GCAAGACAACCCTTCAAAAAAAAAAAAAAAACTCATCACGCTCCCATCCAAGGATGAGATTCGAATCCTTTCTCGATGTCTGCATGGTCATGAGCTCGTTTACATGCTCTGGTGCCATCATGCCTTTTTCATTGGCGATTGTTTCTTCAGTGAGTTGGTATGCACCTTGCTTCAACATACCCAAAGAGATCATGATGTGATTAACAATCTTGCCTATGTTGAATAGATAGGTCATGCACGGCAACAACGTCAGATGCATCTGTGAGGATGTATATGTGCGACACAAAGATGTTAGAAGTGGAGAGGGGGTAGGTAGGTATAAAGAAGGAACCGGACATGTGTCAGGTATTGCATATATGGGAATAGGGCGAAGAAAATGATTTGTGGGGCATGTTCTGGGGCCCCGAGAAGGGAGAAGGTATTATCCACATATCAAAGGAAGTAGCACAAGGCCTGAAAAACCAAACTTTAGAAGACATCGCCTGTAATTCCGACCTGGAAGGAAAGTAGCCCTATATTGGCCACCATGATCCACTTACTTCTCTCTGGATCAAGAGTCTTGTCCTATCAACATCTCGTTTAACGCCAGTTGAGCTCCGGCTCCCATGCAATGTGCGCAAGCGTCTCTCCGGTACTCTCAACTCAGAAGGCTTTTACGTCCAATTTATAGCTCTGTCAAGCTGCTGCACTGTTACAAAAGCACTGGCTGCCAGGCCTCTCGGCAAAATCGCTAAACACTCGGAAAAACTTACAAAGGCAGACAACCGTTCCGCAGATCCTCACTGGCCTTCGAGCGGTACGTGAAGACCGGGAGAAAAACTACGATATCATGGAGTTCCAGGACCGCTGAACTCGACGTTGCTTTCGCTAACTGTGATTGGAGCAAAGCTGGGTTCTTCCAAAGCCCAGACCTCGGCCTAGCTGTCATCAGAAAGGGTGAAGGCAATGACGAGAGGAATAATCCTATTGGACAAACGTTTTATGTCCACGCGGACGCAGTGCACATTTCAGGGGCAATGGGCGGCTTGATAAACATCGTCGTACATCTTGGAAAATATCGGCAGGGTGGGCACTGGTTTGGCGACTCTTCCGCCTCGGGCTTGGAAGTTAGTTTGGGGTTGTGGAAAAATACTGTCGTTGAATGGCGCTCATGGGTAAGTAAAAGCCGGATGATGGGCCCATGGTCGGATTCTCTGTAACCACCCAATTTATGATCTACATGAAACATTGAATTGTTTTGTGAACATATAGCCAGAATTCGCATTTGATTATTAATCATTCAGCTTCCCATCATCATTCTGGCCGCCAGTATCTTTTCGCTTTCATCTTGAATTATCTTGTCAATGAACTTGCTCCGTGCCAACTCCTTCTCTTGCACATTCATATCGATGCCTATCTCAAGGAGCGAATCTCTTGACCATCCACCTATTATCATCTCCAAGGCCGTGAAGCCTTGTGGGCCTTGTGCAAGCGGGTTCGCCCCCAAGCTTAGAAGCTGTTTTGCAGCGCTTATTCCGCCATCCCACACGGCAAATAGCAAGGGTGTATAGCCGCGCTCATCGAATATCTCGAGATCGCCATTTCCCGCTCCAAGCAATTCCAATAGCTCGACTGCGTCACTTCTTTCCGTGGCGTAGTGCGCTAGAGTTCTGCCCCCCTCGTCTGGCAGGCTCGGATTCTTGCTGTGCTGGAGCAGCAATCTCACGGTTTCGATGTCGCACCTCTCGGCAGCAACTGTAAGTGGCCTCATTCCATATTGTCATCGAAAACATCGACATCTGCGCCGTTTTCAATCAACAATTTGACGATCTGATGCCGTTTTTTCGAATCATCATCGTCCGATCGATTCCACGCTGCAATGCACCCGACCAATGGCGTTGAAGCAGGTCTGGGCCTGACGGGCAAACCAAGGACTGGCTCTACTTCCACCTTCGCACCGTTAGCAAGGAGGATCTCGGCCACGCAAAGTTGACCACATGAGGCCGCGATCGTAAGCGCTGTAACGTCATTAAATCGAGCTCTTATGTAAGTATCTACGGGAAAGCCTGACACAATAAGGCGGCGAACTACATCATTGAATCCGGAAGATACAGCCCCCGCCCAGAAATAGTCGAGTGCTTGAGGTTTCGTGTGCAAAGAGCTCGCGTATTCTTGGATATAATCTTCGGGGAACAATCCATGGTCTAACAGCGCCATCGCTAGCCGTTCCGATTGGAATTTTGAGCTAACGAAACTTTGGGCAATGCTGAGTCCGGGATAGAGAGGCGCCTCTGGCTCTCTAACCAGGCGACGCAGATGCTGATAACATGCGAGGGCTCCATCGAGGCAGGAGCTGAGGAACTCTCGCCCCACGATGCCCTTCCAATTCCAGGAGATTCCAAGAGATGGCGGGCCAATACCACATCTTCGGAGTTCTGACTGCAGGTTCCTGATGAAATATTTCAATGATGTTCGAGCGCTTGACGTCCAGAGTGGAGAGGATCGGAAGTTGGGAAGTATCTTGCTTCCGGCTATGGCCGCTGTAGTAGACGGGAGTATAGAAGTTGTGCAGTATCTGAAGGATGTAGGCTCCAAACTTCCCGAGGAGCTGGCGGACTTCGACCAGGAGGTCTATCTGAAAGATTGTGTTAGCAGGCTGCCGATTGTTTGAGCAATTCAGGTATGCATTTTCTCTGTGACACTTGGTTATATTCAGACACTGATTTGCTCTCTTCTACAGCATTCATGTTGTCTAATGATGGGCAGATACGCCAACGATGGGTGAGTAGTGGAAGAGGTAGAATTTAGGAAAGGGGATGATAGATGCAAGCCAGTGACGGGTTGGATTGGTGTGGGTTTCAACACTTGATTTATCTACCCATCCACTAGCAACCTAACAAATACCTCGTCCCGCACTCAAAGCTGGTCCCGCTTACCTACCTAAACAAACAACCACAGACATCTTCTTTAACCGATATAACAATCGCTCACTGCCAGACTCAGTCTCGACATTGATCCACCCACACACCCACACACCCACACACCCCTCTCCTCCCTCACCTCTCCGCCCCAAAACCTCCCACACTACTCCCCATCACAACCCCAAACCCCTCTCAATCGCCCAACACTGCCTCTCCGCCCCATCATTAAACAAAACCTTCACATCCCTCTCACAAACCCTCCTCACCCTCTCAAGCGCCCCTCAAAAAGCACAGGATCCTTGTGCATGCGGAGACCCTGCCCGAACAGCACACCCTCCCACTTCCTTTTCCCTCGTCCTCGTCCTTGCCTTCTCGGTCTGCATTTTCGGCGAGGTCCACACCAGAGCGTAGAGAGGGGCCCTCCTCAAAACCGATTCTAGGGCGGAGAAGGCGGAGGACGCCGAGCGCCAATCGAGATAGTGAATCGTGCACGGAAAACCGTTCCTCGCTGCGCGGGCGACGTCGCGGGCTATCTTCTGCGCGATGTCCGCTAGGACGGCGGGAGGGACGGGAGCGTCCGGGGAGGATCGAGGGGTTGAGGCCGATGAGGAGGATGTGTTTATTCTTGTTCTCCGTCTTGTTCTCGTTCGAGGTTGAGCATGTAGACATGGTCGACTGCAGTCATAAAACGGTCCGGTCCGTTTGGGAAGTTGATCTCTGGTAGGTAGATACTTGTGGGAGGGCTGCTATCTAATTTGTGGTGGAGTAGAGTGTGAGGATGCGAGGATGCAAGCTAGGTGCGGTGGAGTAGATTGGCAGTAGAAGGTACCTATGATAGATAGATTACCTAGTCGTCGATGACATGTCGAGGCATCCCACTGCAGTCCTCCCTGCTCCTCCACTGTCAATCCATCTATTCCTTCCACATACCTGTAACACTCATGCACCCACCATCCCACCACCATCCTCCAACCCAACCCGCGTCCCGTCCCGTTTCCAGACCCCACCCAAAGGATCGCGCTACCATGCACCCGCGCACCCGCGTAGGATCCCAGGCGTGTTAAAAAACGGCCCACACATGTAGACCAGGATGCTCAGACGTGGCGTATTGGCAATGCAAGTGTGCATCGCCATCCATCCATCCATCCATGCGTGGAAAAAGAAAACGAACAAATGGTATGTGAGTGGGCGTTTGGACTGTACATGCGACGAAGGGAGAGGAGAAAAGGATGGGTTGCTGAGCTGAGGGGTAAGACAGTCGCCCTTACTTCTTTCTCTCAGTCCGTTATCTACATCTCGTCTTCGCACTCCATTGCAAGAGGTACCGTACAAGTCAAACTGCCGTTGAGGAGTGCACTTTAGGTTTTTGGGTTTTTCTGTTTTCATGTTGGTGGTACGGAGGCACGCACAGCCCAGCTTAGCACTTAGCATCTCATCTCATCTCATCGCGCATATTTCAGTTCAAGAGTAGAAGTCCCAATTGCGTGCTTGTTCGTTCCATTACATCTACTGTCTGTCCCTTCAGTCCAGTCCTTGACTAAGTCATGTGTGATAACGAACCCCCCGCCCAAAATGTACACAGCAAAACAACAACCTCCATGTAATCATGCACGTGTACCTCCCTACACTTCCCTAAATAGAAACTAGGATGATAGAAGAACAAAGAAGTGTGGTTGTGCGCCTTCAAGAGAAGAGAATCAGTTTGTTGATGCCGTCTGTCAGGCTTTCCCCCCTATTGCATATCCTTCTCCCCATCCATCCATCCATCCACCCATCCACCCATCCACCCATCCATCAGCCTCCAACGTACTCAGCACAACACCCCCAAAATCCGCAACAGATAAAGAAATTACGGTAGATAAATGTGCCTGTCGAGGCGTGTGCTTTTCATATCTTATCAAGCCAAGCCAACATGAGAAAGGAAATAGTGTTAAGTAGGGGTATGAGAAAACCGATGACGATCGGTAAGATGGTTGGATAAAAGGAAAAGAAAAGTTTCGATCATTGAGTTGTGATATGATATCTCGGACATCAGAACGTCGTGATTGAACGCCTGCAAAGCATATTCTTCGCTCCGTGAGGCGTCATGCATGGGGATGTCTAGACGCCGAGCTCGGGCACGCGGCGCGAGCGGTGGCTGCCGTCTGCGCGGCGGTAGCTCATCGACGAACGGTCCATGGGCTCTTCCATGTCGGGCGAGCCGTTGTCCATTACGCCGTCGTAGCGGTAGGGCGGGGCAGTCGGGTTGGGGCGGGCGCCGCCCTGGAGACGGTCGTCCAAGTGTCTGGTGTCGAAGGTGCTCGAGTAGGACCGCTTCTGTCCGATGCTGGCTTGAGGCTGGACCTGAGGCTGGGTATTGTACTTCCCGTGAGCGTCTAGGTAGGCGCGGTGAGGAGCAATCTCAGACGTGGCAGACAGAGGCGCAGACGTGTTATTGGGCGGCGAGTGATACGAAGGTGATACGGGTTCTAGCCTGTTCTGGGTATCGACATTTGCCAAAACCGTTCTTAGAGGTGCGAGAGCGTGACCGTTAGACATATGGGCAGAAGCAGACGAAGAGACAGGCGCTATGTGGTTTGGACTCTGCAACGGCTGAACCATTTGCTGAGGTCGTCCATAATCCATAGAACCGGAACCGTAAGAGGGCATGATTTGACTGGGGCCAGGGTACTGTTGCGTGGGCTGTGCGATAGAGGAACGGCGGTAGTCTGGAGCAGGCTGACCATAGTCCACGGCAGGCTCTTGACGCACAGGAGCTGGCTGTTCATAGTGGGATTGCTGCTGGTAGCTCTGATTGTTCATGTAGCCGTACGATTGACCCATGTGCATGTTGGACTGACTCTGGTAGCTGTGGGCCGGCTGATGGGATTGCTGCGAGTACGACGTCTGCGGTGGCTGCATCAGAGGAGCCGCTGGCTGAGGAGGAGCATACTGATTCTGGTAGGCGGGCTGGGGAGCGTTGTACTGGGGAACCTGGGAGTAGGATGCGCTCTGGGGCGGAGGCATCTGCTGGTAGCTGTTGGGCTGATAGGCGGGCTGCATCTCTTCCATGCTCTGGCGGCGCGGCGGGGCGTACGAAGTGTTACTGGCGTTGGAGACGGAGCGTGGGCGGTTGTCTGAATCCATAGCTGGGCTGGTCGTAGGCAGGCCTTGTTGCTGGGCATAGTTGTCCGGAGTAGAAGAAGTGCGTCTGGCTCCTTCGTAGCCATTCTCGTCTTCATACTCGTCCCAGTCCTTGTTGGCCTTGTTCTCACGGCGCCTCATGCGAACGTCACGTCGGATACGAACGCGGCATCCCTGCTCGGCGACCATGCGGCTCAGAGCAGTGCTCTCGGACAATCCAGGGAACTTCTTAGCGGAGAAGACGACGAAGGGAGCCGACTTGACCTCGAGACGGTGGGAGACATGGGCATCGAGGCCTCCCTGGGTGTGGGCCTGGACGGAGCGGTCCTCGGGATCCATGTCCTTCTGGTCCTTCAATTCCTCGTACAGAGCAAAGCTCAAGCGGTACTTTCCCTCGTGACGGACGGACAAATCAGGGAAGATGAAGTAGCCGGCGGGACTGGGGCGGTCCAGGTAGGCCATGCCAGCGACGGGCGTGCCGGTGAGGACGGGGAAGCTTGGCGTAGCCGCCGGGGCGCGTCCGGGTGCAATGGTACGCGCGTTCTCGAGGGTCGCAAAGAGGAAGAAGTTGGCATTGTAGCCGAAGGTGATGTCCTGCTCACCCTCGAACACCTTGAGCTCGACAATCGGAGGCGGGTCGACAGGACGACGGTCGGCGCTCGACTTGGCACCGCTGCCGCAGGCGCGGGCACGCTCAGGCTGCTGGATGACCTGCAGCGAGTAGCGGATGTTGCGGCCGTCCTTTGTGGTGCGGACGGACGAGCTCCTGGTCTCGTTCGGGACGGAGATGGTGGAGGCCATGGTGGGCTATTTGAGGTCTGGTGGTGGTCAGCCATATTCGGTACGGGCTTTGTCTCGACAGCCTCGCGCCCGCGGGGAAGGCACGGCATGTGCAACTTACGTCTTCGACCAGCACACCGGTGCAGAGTTGATAGCAAGCGGTCGTTGCGAAAACAACGTGGTTTTGAACTTTGGGACAGACGGTCAGCATGCCTCTCGGAACACCTGGGCGGCGGGACGGGACTGCGCCCGTGGCATCGGCAACTCTCCCAATGCCACGCTCCTGGGCAGCGGGCTCTCGACACGGCCCGATCAGACCGAGATGAATGCAAAAGGTATATGCTCACAGTTCAAAGATGATGGTGGAGCCGCGAAAGGTGAATCAGTGTCGGCAGCGCGCGTCTACTCTTCTACAGCGAGTGCGATGTCTCCGAGCGATGGACCGCGGCAGCGAGCAGGCGGATGGGTCCTGCAGTGAGGGCGGCGCGATGGTATGCAGCCGGAGGGAGGGCGAGGGATTCGGAGTCGAGAGGGGTCTCTCACGGCGTCGTGGCCGCGTGTGCTCTACGACCCGTCGCCTTCGAGTGTCGTGAGGTGTCTGAGGTGTGCGCTGGGAGGAGAGCGGACGGGGCGAGGGCGGGTGGACAAGACGGGGGCTGGCGCTTGAGCAGCTTGGGAGTGCGCTGCGCAGTGGGCTTGGGGTGCAGGCAGGCGGGCAGGCAGCTAGGGTCGAGAGTAGCGCCGGCTGAATGTGCTCTTTGTTCCCTGGTGCGCTCCAGCGGCTTGGGACCTTGGACGCTGCCAATCGAAGTGCGTCTTGGGAGCCACACGCAGAGCATCCCTGCCTGAGTGCGCCTGCTTGCATCCGCGGGCGGGCTTACTGTGCGTCGCGAGCGTGAAAATAGCCCGTTGGTCGTCTTCTAGCGGCCCGTGGTGCTGCCCACACTCACGTTCACAGGCCTTCTCGCGTACCTACCATGTCATGTCGCCGCGATAGTCGTTGAACAACGCGCAACGCCATATACCATAGTATGTGTGCGAGCCGTGGGCGCGGTCTCTGCTGGGCGTCGAACCCAAAACAAGCATTGTGCACCGGCGCGGGAACTGAAGGGGTCAAGTGGACTGGGAACGAATGGGACCCGCACCGCCCACCGCGCTCAGACGACCAAATCACCCTCTCCGCGGAGCGCATCCTGGCCATCTTGGCCTGCACGGCTGCCCCCTCGCCCCAGGCATCTAGAAGTCGGAGCACCGTGTCTGAGAGCTGGAGTGAATGACCGGCGCACAAAGGCAGGGTTTCGACACACTGCGCCGTCGGGTCATCTGCCCATGCAACACCGATCCGCTACCCAAGCGACCTGCTGGCTTGCCTGTTGGAGTCCTCCCGGCGAACGCACACTGCGCGCACAATCTATCGATAGTAAGCCATCACAAAGCCTTCTGCGAGCCTTCTGCGAGCCTTCTGCGAGTCTTCTGCAGCCCTTCTGTCGCTGCTCGCCAGACGCCTTCGTCGCGCTGCTCTTTGTCTGCCATAACCGTCGTGCGCCGCCATCGACGCCTGGCCTGGCCTGGAATGACCCGTCGCCGCGCCTCTGGATTGCAACCTCATCACAGCTGCTATGCAGGGGGTGCGGACATGGCATTCCCACTGTCCTGCGCGCAGCAGCTGTCGTGCGCCCTGGGGCCCGCCGGGAAGCACACAGGCGACACCAACAGCCAAAAGTCAGGCCATTCGCGGCGCTGGGTCGCCTTTCCTTTTTGCAGCGCCCACAGTGCGCGCAGAGGCCGTACTGCGGCCTGCCATCTCATCTCACTCGCAGCGCGGCCGATTGGAAGCCGCTCCTGGGGATCTCGCATCGACGCCTCTCCCCTGTCCCTGGACCTCTAGCGATGCCTGCTCCACGGCTGCTCTCCCGCCTCTCCCGCGCCACTGATTCGCTCGCCCGCCGGGTTTCCAACGGCTCTGGCGCAATCTCCCGCATCCTCATCCTCGCGACGGTTTGTACAAAGCGCCCATCATCGAGATGCTGATATTCATTCTTTGGTGCTGTGCCACCGTGGTGTTGAGGCCCCTATGTCGTTGGCCGCGCGCCCGTCGCAGGCGTTGAAGCCATTGCCTCTTGCGACCCCGCCTGCGTCAACCCGTCGCATCCTCAGGCCATTCGCTTTGTCCAGCGTCTGCTACGGCATGCTCGTGCAGTGGCGTATCCAACGGACCGCTGGACCCACGAAGACCATACATGGCGTGCAGCAAGCGTGCCGGCGCGCGCATGCCTTTGGTCGTGCTCGACCGCCATGTCTCCCGCTACCGCCTACTCTGGCCGCCTGCGTTGCGCCCTCACCACGTGTTGCCCTCTGGACACTCGGTGCACTCACGCAGCTGGCTGTTTTCAGAACGGCAGACCACGTTGAAACTGTTCCACCTTCGCTTGCCCTTGCTCGGCACCGCATGCTCTGTTCGTGGGCGCTGCTGAGGCACGCCCGCGGATGACGGAGCCAGAGTGTATGGCGCTCTGTGTCACGCTTCAGATTGTTGGCGTCGGACATTATGAGACGCTACGGGAATTGCCTAGTGGAAGCTACCACGGCGCGTGAGAGGTCCAACACAAGCTTACCACGCTTGAGCCACGCTTGAGGAATACCCCAAAAAACGGCTATCCACTTGGAGCTTTCTAACGTAAGATCGAGCCTGCCGTGACTGAAAGCGGAAGTGCCTGCTCCACTTCCTCAAACGTTGATCCACTGTGACAGCGCGTCTCCACAGATGTGTACCTTCATTCTGTCCGAGGCAGCTCTCCTGTTGAATAGTGCCAGTATTTGCTCAACCAAACGCGTCCAGCCTACGTCACCGTAGCCTCATATGGGAAATCACGCAGCTTGAAAGATGCTCATCCACGGTAGGGTCTGGTCTATCGCTCTGAAAGCTACGGCCCAGAACGACCAAGAGCTCCACCCTCAACCATTGTTTCAAGTTAACAGAGCCCTCACCTATCAACCTTCTGCCAACTCTGCTCATCCACCTCTACAAACGTAGCTCTCTTCTATCCCAACAACCCAACATATACCGCATTCCAAAACTCAAAGCTGACCCTACGCATTCCCCCTGAACAACCACAGGTGTCTTCCCACTCAGTTCAACGAATCGCACACTGTTCTCAATGTCGACCACGCCCGGCCACTCACGTAATCAACCTGACCTCTTTACCGCATTTCGTACGCTCTGTACACTCATCGAGCCTATGCTGCATAGCTATGCATACCCTCCCCCTCATCATATCAACCTCATACCAAACCCACCAGTAGCGCTTCCCACCTTCTCTTCCCATTCATTCCCACAACGCCTTGATACACCTCCGCTCCAGACCTTCACCCGTAGTGTCTTCCTCATCTCCCTCTCATCGCAGTGTTCAGAGAAACACGCAGAGAGATGGGTATTTGAAACAAGGGAGAGGAGAGGGGTAGCATGGCTAGGACCGGGCTGGGCTGGGGTGGTACATACCTCTCATGTATATATATATGTATTTTATTTAAACCCGTGCCCGTGCTGTTTGGTGGGTACTGGAAGGGGGGCGGTGCACCTTCGCGACCGCTCTATAATGGATTCAGTATAGCTGTGATGGGCCTTGCTCATGTGTTGAGTATTTCTTTCCTTCTAAGGATGGTGTGAGGACGGGGACGAGATGGCTGGACTGGACATATAGCAATGCCGACGTGAGGGATACGCTTACGATATGAGACGCGAAGGGTGTGCTTTGTGCGTGTTAGCGACGCGTACGAGACTCCATCGGCGGGTTAGTGTGAGATGAACGTGGTGGTGTCGTGCTGTGCTGTGGTTGTGCGGATGGGCGTGCGTGGCGTGGGAGTTATTGCGTAAGCTCTCTTCCGGCACTTTATCACATACTATCAGACAATCTTCTTAGTGGTAGATATATGTTTTGACCTGTCGGTGAGTTGTTAAGTGGTAATGTCTAGGTTGGAATGTGGTGTGTAAAGGGCCTGTTTACTGGCATTGAGGGTCGCAGCACAAAAAATAAGTGGAAGGCTTGGATACGTGTTCACGAGCCTGTTGAGGTGGTGAAGTCGGAGTTGGTGTTCATGGGCGTTGTCCGAGGGGGCGCAATCACGGGGACAGCGTCGTAAGAGAGGAGTCTGCTTAGGTACTGCGGTATAGCAGAGAAAGTGTATATAGTTTATCATGTCTCGAGCCAAGACCTTACTACCTTCGCTAACCCCATCGCCCATCTCTAACAGCTACGGAACCGCACCCTTAAGCAGCTCAAAGCTCTCCTTCAGAAAACCTTTCGGCCCCTTCGCAGACGCCTGAAACAAACTATCTACCATACTCCCTAGGACTTTCGGCCCCTGAAACGCACACATTAGGTACGTGCTAGCCATATCTTCCGAAACTCCAGGGATACACTCGAACAGCCTGAGATACTCCGCCCGATACATCGCGTCCTCAGGATCCCACCGCGTAAGCCCCCTCGCCATCTGCAAGAACACCGTCATCGCACCAACAGTAAGCAAGAAGAAAATAGCCTTCGTCCCAATCCGCGCTTCCTTCGTGAGCGCATGCCAAAAGCCTGAGTCCATCGGTCCGTAGATGGTCAACTCGCCCAGGACGCGCTCGAGAAAGACTTTCTTAGGGAGCCGCACAAGCTGCTTAGTGAACTCCCCCGCGTGAAAGAGGTGCGATGCAGGCAGCGAGTTCCAGATGTACAGCAGGCGCATGCGCAGGGTGGTGTGCGCTCTGTCGGAGCGCGTGGCGATGCGCTCGGCGAGGTCGTTTGCGAAGCGGTGGCAGTTGTTGAAGTGGAGGGTGTAGCCGTGGGGAGCCATGCGGGTGTGGATTGCTTTCGCTATACAAGTAGAGACGACTCAGCGTGTGTGCTTTATAGTATAGTACGGTACAATACGGTACAGAAGAATCCACCATCTTACGATATCATAATATAATATACATACCCATCTCCCAAATCTGCCCATCCGTCATACACGTCCTCCCCACATCCTTAGTCCTAACTCTACTCTTCTCACCCTCGCCCACCCTCCACTCGCCCACATGCAGCACTACCTCCCCATCGTACTGGAAGATGTCGTAGGTATACGGCCCGATGGTAAGGCCCCAGTGCCCTGCGATCTGTAGGTTGCTGAGCACCTTGAGCGCAACGCCCTTGGGCCCGACGGCGTCCATCCATTTTCTGAGCGGCCGGTGCTTTACGTAGATGACGCGTTTGGAGCGCTGGGCGTTGGTTTCGACGACGGCGAGGGGGACGCGTGATGGGGTTTGGGCGGAGCTGGCGGCGTTCAGAGAGTCGGAACTGCTATTCGAGCCTGGGGTTTGCAACGCGTCAGATAGATGGGTATGGATGTGCAGGGCGGAAGCATACCATAGGTACCAAAGTGTTCGTAGAATTTCCGATATTTGCGGCCGGTCTCGTGCGCGTCGTTGTGAGCTTGTTCTCTCCACTTTTTGTTACTGTCGTCTGAAGTGAGGGACGCGGTGTCGTGGTCTTGTTTGGCGGGTGCCATTGGAGCAGGAGGGTATGATGCTGTGCTAAGCGGTTGCTGCTGGCCTGAAGCGAAGTGGTCGTGGATTAGGGGTTTCTTCTGGTATGTCCTGCACTTGAGCGATTCAAGTTGTAGATTTGGCCAGGCTCAATGATGGAGGATATCCCAGGCCAGATGTATGCTAGAACGAACAGTATACTCGGAGCGAGCAGGTAAAGCAGCGTGAATGGAGGTGTTTGTATGCTTGTATGCAATGAGACTGAAAGATGAGGGTCAACCCACAAAGGTCGGTTTATAAGGAGGAACATGGCTTGTACTCGACAGGTTCAAATGAGTGAGTCAATCTATGAGGTGGACAATAGCTCGTAGTCAAGAACTTCAGATGAGTGAGTCAATCTATCTCACGTACCTTAAGCGAAATTCCTCTCCCAATAAATGCCTTATGGGACCCATCCGGGAGGACGAGTGATCGCACCGCATGGTGTACGCCCGTCAGGACCCTACAGAGCCTCGTAAGCCTGGGACGTCGCCACGGTACCAATAGTTATCATTGGTACTGCGTTCATCGCTTCACGGAAACCATCCCCTATGTGTAGCGAAGGTTGCGAGACCGCGCATTTTCGTTGGACACTGCCACACCACTGAACAACATAGATACGCATGTGCGACGCGATGACGGCGACATACTTCGTGGCTGGGCTCTACCACTGCCTGCTTCGTAGAGTTCAAAAGGCCAGCCACACTCTGCACGCGGGCCCCGCAACTTACTTTCCTCGTTCGCTCACCTCGTCCACGAAATGGCCCCCAACCCTCCATTCCTAAAACAGCACGCCCTCGACCAACAGGTGCTGGCTCTAAGTGGGGGCCCAAACCAAGCCGCTACCATTCACCATGTACCCGACCAGCCCTCGGTGCCCCTGAACAAACAAGAAGTGCGCCTTTTCCTCGATGCCGAGCTGAAAACCGCCATCCTAGATAAGATGTACAACTGGCTGTGGGTATGCGCTACCAAAGAAAGCCACCGCATCGACGCCCTCCACCAGCAAGTCTTCAAAGGCAGATCCATCGTCCCCACCGAAGACCCCGCCCTCCACCTCGTCTGGTTCAAAGACAAAGTCTGCATCAAGCCCATGCCGCTCTGCCTGCTAAACCACGACTTCTGGCTGCACTTCCTGCCAGATGCTCAAGACCCGAAAGATGCTCCGCACTTCGACACACGTGTAGCACTAGGCTTTCTACGCTCCTACGCCCATCTCATCCGGCACCGCTCCGACCTCGCCCTCGCTGTAGAAAAGGGCTTGCTGCCGAAACATGTGGAGTGGCTCCAATGGGAACACTTCATCTCCCCCTTCCGCAACGTGCAAGACTGCGACGTCGCTCCCCGCTACCACTTCGGGCAATTCCGCCTCACGCGTCTCAATCTGCTGATCCGCGTGCTGCGGCCCCGCTCGCACGACGACGCGGGCACAAACAGACACTACTACACTATGCACTGGCACACGGCGGCATACCTCCGACAATTCGTAGAAGCAGGCGTCTTCGTCTTCGCGTCGGTGTCGCTCATCATGTCCGCCATGCAGGTCATCCTGAGCCTACCGTCCGAAGTGCAAACCCGCACGTGGGTGCGGCAGTCAGCGGCGCTGAGTTTTGCGTTCTGGGGGTTCTGCATCACGGTGCTGATACTATTGGCAGTCAGTTGGATGTTGTTGCTCGCAGGGCCGGTCTTGTATTTTGCAGCACAGCAGGTTTTTGGGTACGCGAAGAAAGAGAAGTTTGATCGCGATATGAACAGGGTTGGGAGGAGTGGAGTGGGGGAGAAGCGCGTGTAAAAGGATGGATTGGCGAGGGGGGTCGGGCTGGGACAATTAGAAGGCTGGGGTTTCTTATTATGCTTGGAAGATGTGAGACCTTGCATGTCTGTCAGTATGATGGTGGTAAGGGACAGGGATGAGCCGGTGACATATTATTGACACACCACGAATGGCCATGTCTAAGAAATCACAAGGCGTGCACGGGTATGCTGCCGATGTGGATGTCTTAGTGACACGCACTTGCGTTTACGTACGAACGGTGCGAGCGTTTTTCTATAGGCGACTTGTAGACGTGATTTACGTGTAGAAGTAGGTGTAAAAGGAGGTGTAGAAATGGAGTGTAAAGGTGGATTGTAGAGGTTTTTGTTTTTGAAACGCACCCGTCAATCGCAAGTTCTCCTCGTGACTGCGATCTCTGCTACAGCTCTACGTTCCGCGCTCCAGTAATAGCCAAATGTCCGTGGGCAGGAAATCTCAAAGATATTGCGATTGCGAAGTACCAGTCATGTAGCCATTTGTAGTGCATCGAGTTCTATATGAGCATGCCGTGTCTAAGTCGCAGACCTAAGCAAGGCGGATATCTCTTGTCTCGGGCTCTGCCGCTTTCCAAGGTACCTTATGGATGTATGCCAGAGCTACGCGATAAGCTTGCCCTTCATCCCATCTCACTATCATTACGTTGAGGACACTCCACGGATCTCTTGGCTGGGTGTTACTGAAGAAACTGATAGCGCCATGGTCTTCCCGGGTAGCAAATCTGTGAACAGCCAGCTTCGAAGCAGAAAGAAGAACGAGGTCTAACTTCATGCTTTCTAGAGTCTCGACCATGCTAGGAGTAATGCCAGGTACAGTCCCCACACATTGTCCGCGCGGGTCATAGATCATACACTGTCGCTGCTGATGCTGATGGCCTACGTGTTTGAAAGAAAACTTGGTACTGGGTACGATTTCTGACGAGAAATTAAGGATGTGAAGGTTGTTCCAACTGTCCAAGGAGCGTGAGACAGCAGAAGGCTCTACGCATTCTAAAACAGCAGGATTTATATATTCTTGACATTCGGCCATGCCTATGTGGAAAGGGGAATGGAAGACGATAAGGTCTGACGAGAAGAACTCGTTGTAGTGGATACCGCCCGTCCAGGCTGCCCAGGACCACGTGGGAAACCGCTTGTTCTGTGGATTTGCGTTTGTGCCCCTTGATGAAGTCGTGTCGATTTGTTCCCACAAAAGGGCGAGATCCAGCGACTGCTTGGGAAGTCCACTAACCATGGTCCAGTTGCTGAGCTTCTCCATGACAGCACTGATCCCAGCAAAGGCGTCAAGTATATCCATTGGAAAGGTGAGCTGCTTGCGACAGTACTCCTCGACGAGTCTGCTATAACGGCGCATCTGCAATTCGTCTTCCATCGATAGTGGATCCCCAAACTCAGCGAGGTCTTTCTTAATCAAGCTCCTGGACCCTGGGCCATTAATGAGGTCGAACGTTTTTGTCAAACTGCCTTCGGAGTCGTCGAACCGATCTTCAGACCAGAGCCGGCACTGGCATCCAAAAAAAACTTGTGAACTTGTGAAGTAGAGACAACGTCTTGACAGGAGTCTCTCTTGGAATGTCCAGGCTCGGGAATTATAGACCGATGAGCTCATCATACCACCTAGCGGAAACCGTTCAGTCAAATGAAGGCCTGTATCCTTGAGCTTTACGACATTGCCAGATGCTAGACTGTTTTGGTGTACTCTGTGTAATCCGACACCGGCGTTGTCGCCGTGAGCAGCAACAATAGTTACCACGGCTTGATCGTATATTGAGGCCATCTCACGGATCATATGGTGTTTCACGATTTCATCGTCTTGCACGATACATAAGGAGTCAACCCAGAGAAGCTCCTCGTCCAGTTGAGACACCACCAGTATTGCGTCCCTTATGACTTGAGGAAGCATATGTTCCAGTCGTTGCAAGGAGCCTTGCTGAAACAAAGCTATCTTGTTCGCCTTGGTCAACTGCAGTTGAGGGAAGTTTCCCCAAACATAGCTCAAGGCAAAATATCGGGAAGAGGATGGACGTTGAATCAACTTCCGGTTTCTGACATCAATGTATGTTTGCAGACTAGAAGTAGCCGTCTTTGGCTCGAAAAGCACTTGATCACAGCTTCCTGTGTGCGAACTTTCGCAGTTTTGTAGCCAAGACTTGACGAGCAACCAATTGACTTGGTGGAGAGACAAGATTCGTATTTTCTTCCGCGATTTTGCGTCGTCAATGGCTCTATGACTTTGAGATTCAGCCATACTCGTAAGCCACCAAAAAGAGCTAAAGGAGCATACCTGTCAAGATAATCTCTCATCCTGCGGACAATTCTACTACTCCGTTCTTGGGGGTCGAGAAGTACCAGAACTGAAAACCCTAAAAACTGGGATGGAGAATTTGGATTGACCTCCAGATGTTGCGCTTCGTGTGTGGTATGTAGACTCCTTTGCGCACACTTGACCCGTAAAACCAGAAGACAAAGAGAACAACCGTGTCTCGGAAGGCTTTCTGGACGATCGTAGACATTATCATGGAAATCAACGAGATTTGTGCCAATCGTATCGAGCGAGCCCTGACGAAGTTTGCTTCCGCATTCTTGGCATACACGCATAGATGATTGAATCGGAAATTCGGACCAACTTGAACGCTTTGGGGCATAGTAGCCGGGAACTGATGGCGAGTTCTTTGCTTGTGCTGCATTCTCCAGTAGCCTCACTGTAAGGAGGCACTTTGAACACCCGAGACTATCTCGACTAGTTTTGAAGGCTTTTTGAAGGCTTCGTAGGAACATAATTGGTGGGGCTGCGTGGCGCGCGAACTCATGGCACTTTCTGAGACTTGGTCCTTACGTATACAATGTAAGGTTGCCGCCTGGTCGCATGCACCTGGGCATGTAGTAATACGCGTGGTATATCGGCTGTAAAGGATTAGGTTCTACAATACAAATATGAAGTTAAGATCTATGCTCCTCTTACCGCTGTGGTATGTTTCGTCAGATAACGACAAACTGTGATAAAGACAAAGCGTCTTTTCGTCCGTTCCGGCCACCCGAGTATTAGTGTAGATCGTAATAGAAGAATGGTGAAGTAAGCTGGCACCTTTTAGGCAGACAAGATGGAGGAGTTGAACGAAGACACACGGGGCTGTGTTATCGCACAGCCCCCAGATGAGAGCTGAGTAAAGCTTGTACTACCAATTACCCGAGGCTTTCATAAGGCAGGAACCCGATAACCCTAGGCATTGGAGAGAGCATCTTAAGCCTTGCGTGGGATATTGTGATTTCAGACATCGAGTTGCGAGGGGATTGGCTGATGTTTTAGCCGGTATGATGACGCAGATAGGAAGAGAGACGTCTCGAGGTTGTAGACAGACGTCTTGTTTCGCATGGCACGCCGGGACAAAGGGATGCGCGAGGACAATCTTCGAGGAGTAAAGAAAGTCCTGGTCTGAGGAAAGATGTGACGAAATTTCGAGTCGTTCGAAGGCAGGCATGAAGACAAGAAGTGACGACTGACGACCTCGGAAGGTGCACACGTGTAGGTTCGATTCAGGAAACAGCGTCCTCCAACTTACAGCCGACACGACTCTAACAGCACAACCACGTGTCAATCAGGAACGTTTAAACCTTTCCGTCTCGTCTCGATTCGGCTTCGCGCTTGACATGTCCTAAGTATCCTGTCATGTCGATTACACTCGACCGTGCACTAACTGGCACCAGGCACCCCACGATGAAGCGGGGCAGCGGGGTAGCTATGGCGTGCTCGACGCGCGACTACGCGCTTTGCTCTGAATACGAAACCGGACGCCCACTACGGCTTCTTTGTAGACAACTCTTTGTAGACAAAGACGGCTGGAAGCAGTCAGCAGTCAGCTCATGCTCGATGGCATCAAAAATCGCCGATACCGTGGCCGTGGGTGGTGCCCGAGGCGTATATGAACACGCAAGAACGCCCCGCAGACCAACTCGAACAACACGGGACAAACAGAAGCGAGGTTCGCGGATCGGTAGATGGCGTGATTGAAAAGGCTTCTTGTGCAATATCTCTGGCGCTATTCATTGGGGTCGTGTAGCGTGAGTATAGTAGCACGAGGGGTCCTAGGGTCTACTGGCAGCACCACGTCTTTCTTCCACTTATCTTGTATCGCATACCGTCACAATGGCAGAGGAACTCTCCAAGAACTTTGAGACGCTGCAATTACATGCTGGTAGGGTCCGCGGATGTTGAGGAGAGAGCGAGGGCTAACTTGTGTTGCGTAGGACAGGCGCCAGACCCCACTACTAAGTCGCGCGCTGTGCCTATATATGCGACCACCGTACGTTGGGATTGATATAGGGAAAATGAGCGGAGAGCTTGGGCTAACCAAGGCAGTCATACACTTTCGATGACTCGGCTCATGGGGCGAGGCTGTTTGGCCTCAAGGAGTTTGGTAACATCTACAGTCGTATCATGAATGTGAGTCTCCAGCTCTGGAGAAAGAATGACATTGGAAATGCGAACAATCACCACAGGTCTCTCGCTGACCCTCATTAGCCCACAGTCGATGTTTTCGAGAAGAGAATCGCTGCGCTCGAGGGTGGTGTAGCAGCTTTGGCAGCATCCTCAGGACAAGCCGCTCAGTTCATGGCCATCCTTACTCTCGCTCACGCAGGAGACAACATTGTCTCCACCTCCAATCTGTAAGTTTAAGGATCTAATCTTCATGACCAACATTGACTCAAGGATCCAGCTACGGCGGCACATACAACCAGCTCAAAGTCGCCCTCCCCCGCCTCGGCATCAAAACCAAGTTCGTCAACGGCGACAACCCCGAAGACTTCAAAGCCGCCATCGACGACAACACAAAAGCCATCTACATCGAATCCATCGGCAACCCAAAGTACAACATCCCCGACTTCGAGAAGATCGCCGCCATCGCCCACGAAGCCGGCGTCCCCGTCGTCGTAGACAACACCTTCGGCGCAGGCGGCTACTTCGTCCGCCCCATCGACCACGGCGCCGACATCGTCGTCCACTCCGCCACAAAATGGATAGGCGGCCACGGCACCACCATCGGCGGCGTGATCGTTGACAGCGGAAAGTTCGACTGGGGAAAACACGCGAAGCGCTTCCCGCAGATGAACGATCCATCAGAGGGCTACCACGGGCTCAAATTCTACGACACGTTCGGCCCCATAACCTTCATTATCCGCGCGCGCGTCGAAATCCTCCGCGACTACGGCGCAGCGCTCAACCCGTTCGCCGCGCAGCAGCTCATCCTCGGGTTGGAAACGCTGTCCCTCCGCGCCGAACGCCACGCGTACAACGCGCTCAAGCTCGCGCGCTGGCTCGAGAGGAATCCCAACGTATCATGGGTGTCCTACCCAGGACTAGAATCCCATCCCTCCCACGCAACAGCCAAGAAGTACCTAAAGCGCGGCTTCGGCGGCGTGTTATCCTTCGGCGTGAAAGGCGGCGGAAAAGCAGGAAGCCAGGTCGTGGATAACTTCAAGCTGATTAGCAATCTTGCGAATGTGGGCGATAGCAAGACGCTGGCTATTCATCCGTGGACGACGACGCATGAGCAGTTGAGCGATGGGGAGAAGGAGAGTGGTGGTGTTACGGAGGTGTGTATCCTCCCTTTCCCTAACCATCATACACACCGTGAATGACGGTGAACTTTGACATGTGGCTAATCACCGTCTTAGGACCTCATACGCATCTCCGTCGGCACAGAGCACATCGACGACATTATTGCCGACTTCGAGCAGTCGTTTGCCGCGTCGGCGACTAAGCCTGAGGAGAAGGGCGACGCGGCAAACGCCGGCAACGCGGGGTCTACGGAGCAGAAGGGCTCGCTGTCGGGCGCGACGTAAGTAGTGGAGGCATTTCTGGGACTGGAGGAGGTGAGCGTAGAGTAGGATATGAGATACCACGTAGTATATGCAGGCGATCCGATGAATTTATATTTGATTATGTCACATGCATGATGAGAATTTCAGGCGGAGCGAATGCGGGTATGTGATGGTTCTTTGTGGCTATGGGTGTGCTAGTTGTGATCTGCCATGTAGAGTATGTTTTGGTGACTTTTTCGACTGCTGTTGTGCGAAACACTCACCTAGCCCGGGTTAACTCAGCGCATGATGCGCGCACAGAACGGCATGAATCAACGAAGTACACGTCTTGCAACTCGGTATAATCCGGACGCGACACATGTCTCAGTACAAAAGAGATAGATTGCATCATGTGTACATCAGGGTATCATCTCGCCGCAACTCCAGAACTCCAGTCCGCCCACGCCCAAACCCAGACCTAAGTCCCCAATCCAACCATATAGAAATCAAATCTCCCTCACCCTTGGCACACTCGACTTCCGCTCTACACTCCCCCTCCCTCCACCAACCATGTACGTCCCCGTCTGGTCAAACCACCGACTACTACTATGCCAGCTCGGCAACCCTTCCGGATCCTCATCTTCATTCTTACATCCCCTCCTACACCCGCCGCCCTGTCGCCAGCTCGTGCCCGCCCACTTCATACAGCGTGCGTACTCAGCGCACCTCCCTGTTCTCTTCCTCTTCGCCAGACTGTGGTCGTTGAGGACCTGCCGGGGAAGCGTGCGGCGCAGCGTGATAGCGGATTTAGCGACGAAGTCCGTGACGGGAACGGGGAGGTGTGTCATTGCAGAAGCGGTGGTGTCAAGGGATTCAAGGTGGAAGAGGATTTCCGATTCTTCGTGGAGCCAGGGGCGACTCGGGCCTGCTAGACTTGAAGGTTTCCTGCGGAGCAGTTTGCGTGTCCCGGTCGCAGAGTCAGGACGTGCTGTATCTGAAGACATGGGTGTGATAGCCCGAACGATAGCTTCGTCGAGATCCTCGAATGAAGAGAAGTTGTTGAGATCCCACTCTATGACTTCGCGTTCGCATCCTAGCATGCCGGCGTAGACGAGGTCTTTGAGTTCCATGAGCAACTCGAAGATCATGCGCTGGGGCGTGGGGCGCTGCTGGAAGAGGGTTTCGATGTCGGGGAGGTACTTGCGGATGATTTCGCCGCCGCTGTAGAGGTTCTTGCCGGTTGCGAAGGGCTCGTTGTCCGCCATTTGGATCTCGATGCGGGACATTTGGCGGGAGAGGCCGGCGGCAAGATGGCGGACTTGGATGAGTGGGTTTTGGGTCAGGGAGGATTGGAGGGCTGGTGGGAGGTCTAGATAAACGTTAGTGGTTAGGTTCTTGGTGACAGTGAGCACGGAAGGGGTTGTAAGTCTTCGATGTACACTGTGATACTGAAGAGAATAGGTTCCGGATCGTGGACTGAGTGTACCCAGGCTCTACCAGGAGCTTCACTTACCCGCAAAGGAGACCTCGCCAGCCAGAACAACCAACGCATCCGCCAACTCCTTCTCTTTCTCCCGTAGTTCCTTCTTTTGCGCCTGCATGCTCCGCCATGGCACCACAAAGCCGATACTCCGCCCATCTATCGCATTTCTCCCATCCACAACCGTGTTCTTCCTCCCCGTATCATCGGTCGTAGTCTCTACCACTCCCCCCTTGCCATACCTCGGATCCTTCGCACCCCGCACATCGTCCGGATGTACATGGAAGGACAGCAGCAGATCGTTCTGGTCGCGGGTGTTGCGCAAGTTGCGCCAGACGTTGAGGACGGCGTTTGTCGAAAACAGATGTTGGTACGGCGACATGGTGGGCTTGCGATCGCTAGGCTACATCACATAGCTGTGGGCAGTTATAAAGAGCGCCGCATGCAGGACTCAGCGTGAGACGCAAGGTGTGGTGGGGTGGCAGGCTGATTAGCGATCGAACGGAGATCGAATTCAGGCTCAGACCCTTGTTGTTGTTTTTCCGAATGGGGGAAAGCGTGGGAATGCGCACACGTGGGGGCTTGCAGATGGTTGCCCCGCAGACGCTGGTGCATGGCTTTTCGAAAGTCGGTCTGAAGGTGGCGCTGCGTGATGGACGTGTTCTGCTGTGAAGCAGCTGAAGGTAGTTTGAGTGGATATACCTGCTAGTCTTCATGATGTGTGGTTGTTGCATGTGGTCTTCAGACGTGGCTACACAAAGGACTGGCTCCGACAGGGCAACGAAAGATCAGGCGACCACTTTACTTTGTAAGTCAAATCGAGACATTGAGTTGCGACGATGGACTCTATGATTTTGTCATCTTGACGCTGACTTGGTCGAGAATCATCTCAAACGCGCCCAGAGCTGAGACATCCATGTCTTACAGATCCCCGAGTCTTGGCAGTTTGTGCGGACCTCAAACGGTACGCATCAGCACTGCCGCGATGTCAGGAACCACCCCACAACGCCTACTTGCCTTACCCGCTACATAACTGAACTCTTCGTAACTCTTTGAACGACTGATGACACCCAATCTCGCCCTGATACGATCGTAAACCCAGCGCGCGGCGCTGAAGCGACCCGGCGTCGCAACCACCACCGTTTCGCAACTTCACAAACGTACACATGCAGTTACCCAAGCTCTCGCCTCTGCAGTCGAGGCTGTTAGCTTTCGCGATCACAACATGTCTCGTTGTTGTGATCTGGATATGCTTCCAACCAAATTACTTCGCATACGCTGCCGAGATACCCGTTCCTCCTGAAGTCGTTCAGCACAGCGAATTCGAAGCCTTAATACCGCCTGCGCCACCAGACGATCCGCCTGTAGAAATAAGAGATGGTTTGGAAGAGGATGGTAATGGCGATGCACTCTATGCGCCCACCTTTGCGTACTTTGACAGAAGCTTGGTGGGGCGGCAAGAAGACGATTTGCTTCCGTTGAGCAATAATAAAATGATGGACATCGATATCGCACCTAACACGACGAAGCGTTTTATATTCAAGAAAAGTCAACTGAGTCAGAGGTCAGTGCCGGAAGGTGTTCCGGTTGCGCGGGGATTAGAGGATACCGTAAATGAGACTTTAGACGCAGAGGGCCATTCGGGGGAGAATACTTTGGTGAAGAGACAGGCTCAAAGTCGGATCTGGATATCCGCGAACACTTGTCGGCAGCCCGTTCCAACCACGCCGATTATTTCCGAGTCTGTGGCTCAACTTACGCTGAAGGTCTGGACATCCACGAGCAGTTCCGCAGCACGCCCTAGCGCCAGCAATGAGGCAGTAGGCAACTCTACTACCTTCAGCAGCGGCCATACCAATTTTACGTTTTCGACTGACGAAGATGTGTACATGGAGGTTACAGCGCCGTCCCTTACCGAAGGATGGGTTGGAAGCTGGAATTTCGAGATTGCTGCATCTGTCGATGATGGTTACTACCACAACTACGACAACAGCACCAATTTCATTTACATGGTCGACACTGACAGCGACTCCACTCTCTTCATCACGCATAACATGACGGACTTCAACGACACTGACAAGGTGGCAAAATGGATTGAGGAACATAAGGACGACAATCTGCCATTCGACATCTATGCATTTCCAGACGAAGGGTGGAGCCCCATGATGGGAGTGGAGCGCTCATACTGTGGCTTGAAGGAACAGTTCGAAACTTCCAATAACCTGTCCGTGTTGTCGTCTATCACTACTCAGTTTGGGCAAGGTTTGCCCAAGGGCATGTTCAATGTCCAAGGCCTGCAAACGTCAATGAACTACACTGGCTTCCTAGCTCTAAACGGAACCTCGAATATGACCATCGACGGCACCAAGACCCAAGGCGGCGGCCTCGTCTTCAAATCCTTTCAATGGCAGACAAAAGCCGGTATGTCTCCCTTCCCCGTTTCCACCCCAACGTCGACTAACACTCCCAGACGACACCTGCCAAGTAATCTTCGGCCTAGAAGAATGCTCCACCGTCGCCTACGCCGTCCCCTCCTCCCCCGAATGGAAAAATAACGACACCGGCCTCATCGCCTTCTACGACGACCTCGCCAAAAAGTACATGCAGAACTTCCGCCGCTCCCTAGCACAAGTAGCCTGCGACACCGCCGGCACCGCGCAGTACTCCCTCGCCCGCACCTGCACAGACTGCGAGAACGACTACAAATCCTGGCTCTGCTCGGTCCTGATTCCACGCTGTGAGGACTGGACCGCAGACGACACATGGCTGCACCCGCGCAACATCAACACCCCCTTCGCAGACGGCACGCTGCCCTCGTCTGATAACCTGACCATGCAGTTTAACGCCACGGTCCGCAATAGGTTTGCGTACAACCAGTCGCGTAACAACGAGATCGACAAGCTGATCAAGCCCGGCCCGTACAAGGAGCTACTCCCCTGCGAGGACCTGTGCTTCGATATCGTGCGAAGCTGTCCCGCTCAGCTGGGCTTCGCATGTCCGGATCCGCCGATGCGGGAGCTGAGCTATGGGCGGAGGGATGAGAAGGGGATCGACTTGAAGTGTAACTTTCCAGGGGCGGTGGTTGATCTGACTGTAGATAAGAGTGCAGCGGGCACGCTTAGTTATAGAATAAGCATGGTGATGCTGATAGCTGTAATGGCGGCGGCGTGGAGTTGGGTATAAAGGATGTGAAGAGGCTGTGTGTACAGAGCGGGGATCGGCGTTGAAGCGTTGTATACCTCGTGGGCATTTTTAGGCGTTTTGATCTTGGTGATTTGATAGCATGAGATATGTATATACCCGAATAACGTTGGGCATAGACGCCGAAAGCATCACGGTTGTAGACATTTCGTGAGCTGGTGTCATCATAACATACGTAAAGGTACTTGCAGGAACTTGACCTTGCAGATTAATCAACAACTATCGAGCTAATTGTTTGCTCTCTATGAGCAACACTGCGAGATGCATATCCCATGCCGACTACCGTTCAATTGTGAAAATCAATCCCTCGGTCAGTACCGTAATGAGGTATTTCCATAACTCCGTCGCTGAATATGCTGATGGTCCCACCTCCGATCTTGTTGCGCTAGGTAAGCGGATATGCCAGACTTTAGGATGTGCCAAAGTGTCCAGTAGATCCACCTATCCACCGCATGTCGTATGCAACCCCAAACTCCAGGTCCTCCTTGATTTCCAGCGCTCAAGCATCCGTAGGCAGCGCCTCATTCACCGAGCCGTCGCGCGGGATGTAGTGCACGCCGTTCTCCTCCGCCGCGGCGATGAATTCTTCTGGCAGGATACCCTCCACTTGGACGGCATAGACGCCCGCAACGTAGCCCTCTAGTCGCTGCCATCGGGCGACCCAGCTCTTGCTAGTGTCGCTGACGGTGATGAGGCCCTCGAAGACCTGGCTCGTGCAGTCCGCGATTCCATCCGAGTTGCCGCGAAGCTGGAGGAACCCGTCGCAATTGGGGCAGCCAAAGCTCCTGAACTGCTGCTCTGTCTTGACGATGGAGCACACCATGCAAGCGCGCATGTTGCGGTGCTGGTTGGTAGGGATGAAATTATTTGCGTTCGCCATGTCGTATGTTGCCGCGGGCTGCTCGTTGGGCTGTACGGAGGGCGCGTTGGAGGGTGCGTTGGAGAGACTGCCGTGCGAAGTAGGAGTAGGCTGCTCGACACGGGTATTTCTCCTAGGAACCGAATCTGGACGAGCTCGCTCTGCCGCGGGTGTGATATTCCTGCTCTTGCTCTTCGAAGCTGGCGCTTGCCTGTGTTCTAGCGGAACACTCTCGAAAAGGTTGGGAAGAGGAAGAGCGGTACGGAGCTCGACTGAGGGCACGGGTACGGTTTGGTCTTGGTCTTGGACGTTTGTATTGTCGTCGTCAAACAGATGCGCAAGAGCTTCGCGGCGGGCGACGCTTTGTTCGGGACTCTGGGAATCTTGGCGGCCTGCTACCAGTGGCGCCTCGCTAGGGAGCTTTTGCGACTGCTTCGGCTTGGGACCTGCTAACAAGTCAACAAACTATTACTTCCACCGTCATATTACTTACGGTTCTCTTTCTCGCGCTCACGGGAGCTAGGCGGAGAGACTTCATCTCCATCGGAGTCGACCCAGATGTCCTTGTACTTGTCCTTCTTGACCACGACGGCGCGGCCCCGGTTCACCATGTTGGTAGATTCCCGCTTTACCTGTTCGGGATGGATGCAGATCGCTGACTGGCCGAGATGCACGGCTGGAGCTGCGGGTGGCGGGATGAGGCGAGGCGTTATGATGGAACGTGGGGACAGGTCGAGAGTTTTTATGAAGTGCGCGTGTTGTCGTTTCTCTGTCAACTGCCTCCCCGAGCGTCTTCCGCCAGCTGTGTTTACTCACTGCGCTCCGACCGCTCTTTCCACGTTTCTTCCCGCCTGCGCCTTCCCGCTTTGCTTTCGGCGCGCCGAAGCTCGAATTCACCCCGCCTTTCCGCGTCGCCGCCATGGGAGGCTCCCTCGCTGAGGCTACCGAGTTGAAAAACAAGGGCAATGAGGCTTTCAAGAAGCAGGACTGGCCCGCTGCCGTAGATTGGTACAACAAGGCTATCGAGGCGTACGACCAGGAGCCCTCGTTCTTCACGAATCGCGCACAGGTCAGTATCAGAATGCCCCGCACGCGACCACCTTCCTGACATCCACCACAGGCCAACATCAAGCTAGAGTCGTACGGTCTAGCTGTACATGATGCCGACAAGGCAATTGAACTCGACCCGAACAATGTCAAGGTACGTCTATCAGCTCTTCAAGCGCAGAGCTGCTCAGGCTGCAGTTCATAGAAAAAGAAATGTCCCTCATACATGTGCCCGAGGCTGACGATATCGCAGGCATTCTACCGACGCGCTTCTGCTAACACCGCAATCCTGCGCCATCGCGAGGCTCTACGCGACTGGAAGCTAGTAGTGAAGAAGGCCCCTAACGATGCCACTGCGAAAATCCGGTTAGCCGACTGCGAGAAGATTGTAAAGCGTGATGCTTTCCTCAAGGCCATCGAGGTTGAAGATGCGCCGTCCGCAGTAGAAGGTCTGGACCTTGAACACATGACCGTCGACTCCTCGTACGACGGTGCTAAACTGGGGGACAAAATCACATTGGAGTTTGTGGAGGACATGATCGAGCGATTCAAGAACGGCAAGAAGCTAGCCTTGAAATATGTCTACCAGATCATAATAGCTGTCATGGACATCGTCAGGAATGAGCCAACCATGGTGGAAGTAGACGTCGAAGACGGACAGGAGATTACCGTCTGCGGAGACACTCACGGTAGGTCCAGATTCATCTAACAGGACGTTGGACGCTGACGGTGTACAGGCCAATACTTCGATCTTATGGAGATCTTCCGCCTCGCTGGGAAGCCCTCAGAAAAGCACATGTTCCTCTTCAATGGCGATTTTGTCGACCGAGGCTCCTGGTCCACTGAGATTGCGCTCCTACTTTACGCCTACAAGTGGCTATACCCTGGCAAGTTCTTCCTGAACCGCGGTAACCACGAGACCGACGATATGAATCGCATGTACGGCTTCGAAGGCGAGTGTCGTGCAAAGTACACCAAAGATCGCGTCTTCAAGCTCTTCTCCGAGTCCTTCTCCGCTCTTCCGCTTGCGACGCTCATCGGCAAGAAGTACTTTGTGCTCCACGGCGGTCTCTTCTCCGACGACAAGATCACGCTCGACGACGTGAGGAAGCTGGACCGCTTCAAGCAGCGGCAACCCGGACAGGCGGGCCTGATGATGGAAATGCTCTGGACGGATCCACAGACGCAGCCCGGTCGTGGACCTTCGAAACGTGGCGTCGGCCTGCAATTTGGTCCTGATGTCACCAAGCGCTTCTGCGAAAATAACAACCTCGAGGCAATTATCCGCTCGCACGAAGTTCGCATGGACGGTTACGAGGTCGAGCACGACGGAAAGTGCATCACTGTCTTCTCTGCGCCACACTATTGCGACAGCACCGGCAACAAGGGAGCCTTCATCAAGATCGGATCAGAGTACAAGCTTAACTTCACACAATTTGACGCAGTGCCGCACCCGAACGTTAAACCAATGGCCTACGCCTCGAATGGACTTCAAGGCATGCTATAAAAGGCGAGCGGAGTTAAAGGCATGCTTGGATATTCCCTTGTAGCGTATGCATACTTTGGTGTTTGGCGTATCTGCATACCACGGAGGCTCACCCTTACTTTCGGTACGATACGCCTGGTTCTGTTGAAGGGGTTGCACATTGTTGCATATTACAATGGGTGTATTATAGACACGTCGGTTTCAGCCGGCAGCATACTTTAGACTTCGAACTCTCCACTAGGTACGTATAATGAATTACTACCCAAACATGCACCCTCACCGCTCCTCTATCGCTGTTGGTCGCGCGGTCCCCACGTTGTCGGACGTAGTATTAGTGGGACAGAAAGGTTGAACGATCAGCATCTGTGATGGGCCTATGGCCACATGAACTATGCGACAGAACCCAAGCGGGAGCAAGAATCTATGTCTGCCCACGGCAGTACGTCAAACAGCTCCCCGTATCACTCAGAACCGCTGAGTGACTTTTCTGCTAAATATCACACTATGAAGGTCGACCATCAACTTGGTAGATGAAGCTTTGACAAGCCAGATATCTTCTTCTGTCCTGAACCGACACAAGCTAGTACTATGCCCTGAAGTTCGCCCCTACGAAGTAATATTGTATGACCGATGCAGACGTAAGACCTCGGGAGAGTGTAATGTGACTTGCAGTAGAAAGACTTAGGATAGAGGAATAACCCATGCCGGCAAATCCCGACAGTTTCAGTATTCAGGGAGGCACAATGCGATGGGACGCACGGAATTCACTTCTCATGTACTCTCTGAAGCCCTGTGGAAGGGTCGTCAAGCATGTCGGAAGAACATGCACGGACCTTCAAGGTAGCAGTCGGCCGAACCCCAGGATGGGTCCAGCTCGAGCTTGCCCAATGCGGCATGGCTTCCGAGCGCGTTCACGTTGGATGTCCGCGTGGTCCACATGCCCTGTTGCACATGTGAAAGAACACCAGGCATCCCGGTGCATGTGAGAACGTGTACTGTAAGCTTACAGCTAGAAGTATAGGTAGGGTAGATGGAGCCTCACAATTATCCAAAATGGGGATTTCTACGTGTGCAACGCTGGCTTCGCCGAAATGCCATGCTCGGAAACTCCGTAACCCCAGCGCCGTGATTGGCTCAGCCTTCGGTGCCTCGGCTCGCGGTTTAGCTTCAATGCGCCCGGCGAGCGCGTCACTGCGTCAGTTTCCATCTCAAAAGGTGGAGCGCTCGATGCCGCGGCTCCTTTGTGGCTGTCTCTCCAGTTTCTCCACGTTCTCCAGATCTCTTAATATTACCTCCGCTTGCGTTCATTTCCTGAAGCCCGTTGGGAAAAGCTGGGGAAGAAGAGGCGTCGTATAGATATTTGGCCAAGACCCTGAACACCTGCAGGTATGACATTCGGACACGCCGAGCACCTGCATTGGGTCCGGGGAGGATCTGGGGTTTCTAACGGACGAAGCAGGTCTTCAAGCTCGAGTCCCTCATTTGCTCCGTGTAACTGCATCAGTACCACGTCGTCGACCTCCGCCGCTAGCTAAGTGCTGTGCCTCATAGCTAAATACCACGGATTCGCGCTATCCACGAGATATATACCCGTAGCTTCGAAACGAACCCGGGACAAAAGCCATCATGTTCGGAACGTCAGATCTCCAGCTGCAGCGCGCACAGGAGTTTTCAGTGCCGCCGCCGAGGGGCCAGCCTTACGGTGTGCCGCTGGCCGGAACAGATACGGATGGACGCAGCGCAGTGTACAGGCACTGGAGGTTTGCAGACAGGCCGCTGTTGGAGACGTTGGACCCCGCGATTACAACTGCTCATGAAGCGTTCGAGGCGGCTGGTACGTGGCACCAGAGTCGCATGCAGCTGTGGTCGGCTAACTGGGAGTGCTACAGCCACGAGATACCCGAAGAACAGGTGCCTTGGCCACCGGCCGTACGATCCTGTTACCAAGACCTGGGGCGCGTACGTATGGCAAGACTATGAGACCATCCATCGGCGGAGGAAGAACTTTGGAATTGGGCTTGTGCACTTGCATAAGCAGGTGGGCGTGACGGAGCAGAGCTATGGTGTGGGTTTGTGGTGCCAGAACAGGCCTGAGTGGCAGATCACTGGTACGTGAGGAATCTCTTCTTGAACACAAGTTACCGTACAGTCTGCAGTTCTAGAGTCTCACCGCAAGATGCACTGGACGAGACTCATGGTCAGGCAGAGTATTCTGGGATAGGAGGCTAACGTGCATAGATTTGGGATGCATGTCACAACGCCTATACACCGTTTCGCTATACGATACCCTAGGCCCCGACGCGACCGAGTACATCATCAACCACGCAGAGTTGAATTGCGTCGTAACCTCACTGAACCATGTTGTCCCCCTCCTAAAATTGAAGCCGCGACTACCGGCTCTCAAGCTGATCGTTGTCCTCGACCCTCTGTCGGCTGGCGAACAAGCTGGTTTCTCCAAGAGCGATATGTTGAACGCTATGGCAAGTGATCTGGGTGTCTCCATCCATTACATCGGGGATGTAGAAGCTCTGGGTGAGAGGCAACCGTTACCCTACAACCCCCCTACGCCCGACGATATCGTTACCATCAACTACACATCCGGTACTACGGGAGACCCGAAGGGAGTCGTTTTGTCTCACCGAGCTGCGCAAGCAGGAATTTGCTCGTCTCTCATACTGCTCGGCGGTACAAATTCTGGAGTATATGCTTCGTTCCTTCCCCTTGCGCATATTTACCAGCGGTTAGGAGAGCATGGTGCACTCAGCACGGGCTCCTGCATTGGCTATTTCCACGGTAACATCGCAGAGCTGGTGGATGACCTCAAGGTTCTCAGGCCAACTCTTGTCTCTGGTGTGCCGCGCCTGTATAACAGGTTCGGAGGTGCCATCAAAGACGCCACCGTCCAGCAAACCGGCGTAAAAGGTGCGCTATCCCGCCACGTAGTCTCCAAGAAGCTCGCCGCTATCAACGACAAGCACAACCCCAGCAACACCCACCTCCTCTACGACCGCATCTGGTCTAAGAAAGTTGCCGCCGGCCTCGGTCTCGACCGCGTCAAGACCATGGTTTCCGGCTCCGCCCCCATCGACCCTTCTCTCCTCCAATTCCTCCGCATCGTTTTCAGCAACAACTTTCCCCAGGGCTACGGTCTCACCGAAACTTACGCCATCGGTATCGTTCAGAGCGAAGGTGACTTCTCCGCCGGCTCGTGCGGCGGCCCCGCCCCCTGCGCAGAAGTCTGCCTCCTCGATGTCCCCGACATGGAGTACCTCTCCACGGACAAGCCCCACCCGCGCGGCGAGCTGCTCATGCGGTGCACGTCGCAGTTCCGCGAGTACTTCCGCAACCCGGAGGAGACGGCCAAGGCGGTCGACGCAGACGGCTGGTTCCACACAGGCGACATCTGCTCGGTCGACGAGCTCGGCCGCTTCAAGATCATCGACCGCAGGAAGAACGTGCTCAAGCTCCAGCAGGGCGAGTACATCAGCCCTGAGCGCATCGAGAACGTGTACCTTGCCAACTGCGGTTGGATGGCTACTGCGTACGTGCACGGCGACAGCCACCAGTCGTTCCTCGTCGGCATCTTTGGCGTTGCGCCGGATCTTTTCCCTGCTTTCGCGAGCAAGGTGCTGGGCGAGAAGATTGCGGTTGGCGATGTTGAAGCTCTGAAGGCGGCGCTCAAGAATAAGAAGGTGGAGAAGGCTGTCTTGAAGGAACTGGACCGAGTGGGTAAGAAGAACAAGTTCAACAGCTATGAGAAGGTAAGGGCTGTGAGGTTGTTCTTGGATCCGTTTACCGTCGATAACCAGCTTTTGACGCCGACGTAAGTTTCTCTATCATTATCCATGCAGCAATTGACGACTAACACTGTACAGGCTCAAGCTGAAGCGTCCACAGACTGCAAAGGCATTCAGACAACATCTCGACGACTGCTACGAGGAGGCGCTTGCCGAGGAGGCAAGCGGCAAGGCAAAAGCCAAGCTATAGACGCACATTCAGCGCTTGTACGATTGCATATTCTAGATATAGAGCTAGATTCGATTGTTGCGATGTAGAAGTATTTATATATCAAATTTGAGTTGAACATTACTTATGGCATTGGCGTAAGCTCTGCTTTACCAGGGGGCTCCCCGCATACTTACAATGTCTGTCAGCTTCGCTCGCTATCAACCTTCGTTTCTAGTCAAGCGAGTCACTCCTCCATCCTTCGGGCTTCCCCCACACTGCCCGCGCTCGTATACCCTTCGCCCAAACCTCGCATCTATCGCTTCATCCGACTTTCCTCCCCACATGACGTAGTCGCGTAAGCAACCACCCCATCCATTATCTAAATGCAGCAGACAACCCAACTTCTTCACCAGTCCATACGTACCACAGATAACATCCTCATTCACTGTCTTTTTCATCGTTCTCAATATGGCCTCGCCACTGATGCCCAAAAAAATGCCCGCCTGGCGCACCACCTTCGACAAAGCAGATCCGTTTTTGAAAGAGATAGACACACCGGAACCCGCAGAAGATGAACTCCTTGTGAGGATCCTAGCAATGGGCGTATGTCACTCCGACTGCACGCTGCTCGCGCTCTCCGCCCCCATCTACGGCATGAAGTCCGAGTTCACACTCGGGCACGAAGCCTGCGGTGAAATCGTCTCACTAGGCACCCAAGTTAAAGACTTCGCAGTGGGTGATAAAGTAGCGATGCATATCATCCCAGGGTGCGCCCTTGCTTCTTGTGCAGATTGTTCTAGAGGCATGAATAGAGTGTGTCGCGCCCCCGGAAGCGGAAACTACGGCCTTGGACTCAGCGATGGGTTTTTCGCACAGTATGCTACGATTTCTGCGCGCGCGGCTGTCAAGATGCCGGAGGGGTTGCGGGTGGAAGAGGCGGCTGTGGGGGCGGACGCGGTGTTGACGGCGTACTATGCTGTGCGGTATACAGGCGGTGTCTCTCCAAATGATACGGTTGCGATTTTCGGGCTAGGGGGCGTGGGGTTGAATGGGTTGCAGACGGCGCTGTATTTGGGGGTGGGGAAGGAGAGGATCTTAGTGGCGGATAAGAGGCAGAGTGTGCTAAATGAGGCTGTTAAGCTGAGGGTGCCTGCATCCCACACGTTTCTCGTTGGGGATGAGGCACCGAGTCCTATCGAGGCATATGTTGCCGAGAAAGGTGTGCAGGTTGATGTTGTGTTTGACTTTGTCGGACACGAGCAGACGATGAAGGCGGCGCAGATGGTGGTGAGAAGCGGAGGGACTATTGTTCTGGTGGGATTGATGAGTCCAGTCGTGCCTCTTGTGCCGCTGGTTACGGTTTTGAAGGCTGCAACGATTAAGACGGGGTATAATGGCACGATGGAGGCGTTTCGGGAGTGCCTTGAGTTGATGGCGAAGGGGGTGCTGAAGCCGAGTGTGGAGACGGGGTCGATACGGAAACTGCCAGAGGTATTGAGGGATTTGGATGAGGGAATGATCAAGAATAGGATGGTGCTGTTGCCTGATTGGGAGGCGTGAAAGTGTGGGAATGATGGTGACTGCGGCTCGATAATATGACTTAAGATATGCTAAACAGTACGAAGTAGAGCAGATTCAGATCGCAGTCGTGAGAGTCCAAAGTGACCGATAAATCAAAGTGGTGTCGATGATGTTTATATGATGGCGATGACCTCCTTTCTTCGCACACCCTGCTCAATCTCGTGTGCAATTTCTCCGTTCATGATCCCCCTAATGTACGCCGGACATACAAGTCGGTGACCCTTTTTCCCAGCGGGCGTTAAAATGAAAGGCATGGCCATTCCCAAGATCACGCAACATATGTCTCCAATCTTCGTGGGACTTGAGACAAGGGCAAGGCGGCCTCCTTCAGTGACGGCCAATCGGCGATTGTCACATGTGCGGAGATTCGCATCGACTTCGCGCAGCCAGTGGCACACGTCTTTGTCTTCTGGTATTGCGATCTTATCCCTAAAGTACTGTCGGTGCAGTGCAAAATCTTCTAGGTAGAGGGACAATCGATGCGGATGCCCCGGATAAGCTCTTGGAATACATCCTGCCACCAATGTAAGGGCGAAGTCATCCTCAGTCACTGTGCTGAAAGCCGACACTTGCTCCCAAAGAGTGTCGATGAGTGGCTTCCCGCTGGCTCGTGCTTTCTCCGAATAGCGCCAATGCAGCCTGAGATAGTGGGATACTATCTCGTCTGAGAGCCACACGATCTTATCGCAGATGCTGCCGTTGACTTGAAGAGCTCTCGAATCATGGTCTACGATAGCCTGGAGTTCTTGCGCTGTGCCTCCTGCCCAGGATCGCTGTTCATATTCTGAAATGTGCATCCTTCCCCAATCTAAATGCCAAGTCGGGACCCAAGAAGGCAGTGTGTAGTCCAGGAGGTTATTTCTGTCTTTGCATTCAGCATAAGTGAGTAGCCAGGGAGCTTCACGCCTGTACTGCAACAGCGCGCGTGCTGTTTCAAAATATACGTCTTCCACAGACAGGCTGTAATTGGGTTTGATCAATGTTTCGCCATGTGGCGTTTTCGCGAGTGGATTTCCAAACAGAGCGTAGATACGGTCCCGAGGATCTGTAGCTTCTAGAAATGAAGCTATGTATAGCATAGGTATAAGTCAGTCGGGCTTTCTTTGGTAGGATGATCTGCTGAGCAGTTTGATGAGTGGTAGCGAAGAAGGCCACGAAGCCTTCAACCTATGATGCCTATATACCTCTGTGAACAGGTTGACAAGAAGCGTCCTTGGTCGCCACTCGATATTCAGAGTGTCGAGCATTCTACGAAGGTCGCGCTTATGATGACACCAGCATGCGAATTCGAAGACCTGAGCCACGCTTATGTGCTCTGTGCCCCACCATACTGTGCACTCCTTCGCAAGGGCGACCTCTTGTACTACCCAGACACGGCGAAAATACGGTAGCTTCAGGAAACTGTCGACATGGATCCAGCGCTTCCGTTCTATGTAGATCCGGTTGAACTCAAGAGGCTCCATTAGCTCTGTGAGCTCTACAGGACCCGCCGTGTCTGGAACGTCCCTGTCTAGCAACTTGTTCGTCTCAACGATGAGACGGAAACACTCTTTTGCCTCATCACCTGGATCGCGTCCAAGCCATGCGAGTACGTGCTTAGCCTTCGTGTACACCTGGTCCATTATTTGCACCTGCGAGGCGCGCTCTTCCATGTCTTGCTGGTTGATCCAGATAGCATCTGCCCAAAGGACTCTCTCCTGGTTGGTGAAGCGAAATGACCTCAACGCATCAGCGAGGTTGGTGGTAACATTGATTGCGACGTCATTGCAGATGATAACTTCGGTAATGGTCGGATCGCCCCAGACGTAACTTATCGCTTCGTACTCATCAACAACATCGTCTATAGCAACAACCTCGAGCTTGCATCGAAGGGGATCTGTGGCATATCCTGGCTCGAGCCGTAAAATCCTGAAGAAGTTGCCTTCCGGGAGTGGATGATATATGCTAATGGACGTCGGACGAGCGACGGCGGGTTTGCAACGCACAGCCAGCGTATGAAGCTTTTTCGATCTATCTTCAGATTCCATGGTAGTTCGTAAAAAATGAGGAACAATAGGCGAGAAGAGGATCTTGCTTTCAATCATGCTCAGCCTGCGGGGTAACTGTTGCACGGCTGAGCTTGGAAATTACGACTGCGTCGCGTAACATCGAAGGACAGGTTTTACTTGCAGTACAAACAGTATGTAAACCAATGAGCTGTTAGAATGGCACTGAAGGCTAGCAACGATAATCGCATCAACTGACCACAGCTTAGACGTGGCGGAACGTCTGCTCCGTCATTGATCAAGTGAGAAGACTCAGTCCCGTGACGGCGGAAGAAGAGAAGAAAGTGATGACAGATAAGTGGAATAAGTTATGAGCAGATAGATGCATTCATCCAGCCCAATAACCTGAGCATCTGTGACTGCGATACCTGATAGCCTCAGACCGAATAGCCGCGACTATCTTGAAGACGATCCAAAGGTCTTCGCGACAAACATTTTCCACGCTGTTGTGCGCAAGTGTCTTCTTGTAGCCAGTGTCTTCTTGTAGCCAGTGTCTTCTTGTAGCCAGTGTCTTCTTGTAGCCAGTGTCTTCTTGTAGCCAGTGTCTCAGAATGTACAATCAACGTTAACAAAATAGGAACTCGCTCAACAGCACGGTCGACGTTACTAAAGGCATTCACGACTTCCAACCCCAGCGCGGAGGTTACAAATCAGACAATAACCACAAGTACTGACTATACCCAACCATTACTCTCCCGTCTAATGTATCTTAGCATGTCTCTCGAACATCCCCTTCTGAAACCCCTCATGCAACCTCAACACCCCCGGCACCATCGGCGGCAAAATCTGACAAAACGCCACACCACAAAGCCCAGCCTTCACATCCATATACTACACCACGTCAGCAACCACTCCAATCCCAATCCCGCTGCTCACGAAAACTCACCCAACACATACTCGGCACCCCACCCCAAAAGTACGTCCCACCCCGCATCCTCCTCCTCCTCCTCCTCACAGATCATCCCCGCAAAATTCCACGTCTTCTCTATCTCAGACGGTAGACTCATCCCTAGATACTGCGCATGTGCCGGCGACGAGCGGAGGTACGCGTTGAACGCTTTCTTACACGTAGCATCTAGCTGCGGGCGGAAAAGCTCGTCGTAGGATGCCGGGGTGAGGAGTCTAGCGTCGCGCCGGAGGACAGCGTGTAAGAAGGTGAAGTACGCGTTCGCACTGCCGTATGCGCCGCCGCCGCCTAGGCAGTCTTTTCCGCCGAAGAGGGGGTCGAAAGTAGCTGCGTCTATGGCGGGAGGTTCACCTGTTTCGGTGAGGGTGCTTACGGTTGCGAGGCGGTTTAGCATATCTTCGCGGTCATTTGGGTAGAAGGTTATGTCTTTGATGGCTAGGGGGGTGAAGATCTTCTCAGCCATGAATTTCTCGAGGGTGGTGCCAGTGAGGCGCTCGAGGAGCTTTCCGGCCCAGTCGGGGCCGCCGCTGTAGCGGAAGCTGGTGCCGGGCTCGAAGAGGAGGGGGAGGGTGGACTTTTCTTCGACGGTGGGACCAGTCCAGGGGAGCTCGCCGCGGCTTTGGCGCCATTTTGCGAGGAGGGGGTTGAACCAGTCGTATTCGTAGCCTGAGGTGTGGGAAAGGAGGTGGCTCGTGTACGTTAGTCTGGCTATCGACGACTTTACACTTGGAATTTGGCTTACCGAAGTGTGATCGGAGTTTTGTGCGGCTCAAAGATCCCCTCGTTCTTCTCATCGTCGAAGTCAGTCATGATACCGTACTTACCTACCTCTGGCAGTATGTCTGAAACGGGTTTGTCCAGCTCCACGATGCCTGCTTCTACAGCTTGCAGGCAAACGACAGATGTGAGCAGCTTCGTCATAGAGGCCAGCCAGCATATTGTGTCGAGTTGAAAAGGTTGTTCAGGTCCTTCCTTGAGTGACGCGATGCCGTCTGCCTTCGAATATAGAATGTTGCCGTCTGCGTCCCCAGCAACAAGCGCATACCCGCTAATAAACCCCATCATTAGTCCGAATCTATATCCCTAAATTCAACATCCACGTACGGCAAAACCTTCTTCTCCAACGCTTCATCATACGCCTTCTCAAACGATATCGCAGGACCAGACAGCAAATCATCACGCTGCTGAGAAACCTTTGTTTCCGAGAACAAAGCCATTGAGTCGATTATTGATGCTGAGAAGTTGTATTCGAAATGTAAATTGAGGGTATTATTTGAGGTGAAGGATGCGGGTGCGGGTGCGGGTGCTGGCTGGATATGAGCGAGGGGGAGGCAGGACTGTGCCGCGAGGTAAGACGGAAGTCAGATGTGCGGCACAGTGCGGCGCTACTTGGGGATATCAGCTTTTTGGTACACTTCTCTATTGATGAAAGATGTTTCGCACCCCAAGTGAATGCTTGCAAGGTCGAGAGGGAGGTGTGCAGACTATATGCGAATCTCGCATGCTACATGCCGCCTGTATCATTCGTACGAGATGACTGGTTGGGCATACGAACTTACTATTTGACAGGTGTAATAATGGTTAGCTCATCGACATTGAAGGAGGACTGGAAGCGTAATGCAAAGTAGACGGAGTTGGTTGGCTGGGAATATAAGCATCACGTACGACAAGGCATGCTCGGATCTGCGCACTCGCTGAGTGGCTGCACGTGGCTGCCTTGTAATGTTGTCGGTCGACCAATCAAAATAAATACACATTGATGTCTGCTGACAGGCACCATATGATGCATAGGCGGAATTGTCGTAGAAAAGAGACTCTGGGAGACCAATTTCTGGCGCCAAAAATGATTGAACACCTGATCGTTCGCTTAACACGTACATATTAGGCCCATTCGGCTTTCATCTTATATGTAGCAATCTGATAATAGTGTTTCGAGGATCATTAGCTTTCCAGCTTTCAATGATCCATTAGGCACCATGTAGCCCACTTTCTTACAGGCAGGTGGTCCAACAACTTCACATCGAGAGTCAAAGTCCACCACGCCTCGCCTACAAGAACTCAATCAACATAAGAATACCTCACGTAAGTTGTATTATCAATTTAAAATTACTGACGTTGTAAGTGAGAGTATTAAGACAACGTCGATAGCGCCCCCAGCGTCACATTCCAACACCCCCCATCATACTTCCCCGGCCTCGCAAACGTCGCCTTCGGCTTATTCCCCACCGCAATCTCCACCCAACTCTTCCTCTCAGGATCGAACTTCGGCCACCCAAGTCTCTCCAGCCCCTTTTTAGGATCCTCCACAAAAGCCGCTAGCGCCCGCTGGAAGAGCTTCACCGTCTTCTTCTGCGCTGCCGTCTGCGGAAGACCGCTCGCGTCCTCGGAGCCACCCAGAATCATGTGCAGTTCCGTGCCGTGGTAGGCTCCGGCCGTGGGATAGAGGCGCGTGTTGGGCCAGTCGCCGAAGTAGCGGTAGACCCACGTTGGGACCTTGGCTTTGATGCGATTGCGTGCTTCGTAGGAGGTTGGGCATACGAAGGACTCTAGCAGAAACTGCGCTGCCTGTTCCTCGGTGACGTTGCGACCTTGGGCATATGCTGGGATGACGTAGTAACCTTGCTCGTGGTCATTGTGCCCGTGAAAGTAGGGGAGATTTGCGAAGCTTCCTGATGTAGACAAGGAAACGTAGTCGGAAAAGATAGTCTGGTTGTCGACCATGGGGTAGAAAGGAGGGGTTGAGCGGACGGGACTGCCACCTGGGGAAGGAGCGATCTTAGAGGTGGCTGCAGAGATTGTCTCGAAGGGCAGCTTGCGCATGCAGCTGAGGGTATCGGATGAAGATGAGTTTCCGCATCCGAGGGAAGCGGAGAGAGTGTACCAGTTCGATACTTGCTTATCGGGCGTATTCATGGGGAAGCTGAACGCGTTTCCAGAAGTCGATACCAGGCCATGGACAATCGGATTCTGCTTGTAGGCATAAGACCACCAGTCTACGGCAGCCCCTCCGGATGATTGTCCACCGATGACAATCTTCTTCGGGTCACCTCCGAAATTTTTGATGTTCTTCTGGAGCCATTCTACAGCAAGACGCTGGTCACGCAAGCCGAGGTTGGTATCGGCATCAGGAGCACCTGGGAACCCAAAGACGTTCAGACGGTAATTTGCTGAAACCACGATAATGTCTTCAGCATTAGCAAGGTATTGACCATTCGCGAACGGAGTGTTCGTATTGCCACCGGCGAATCCTGTTGACAAAAGTCAGGTAAGGTCGCAAATAGAAGAGTGGGGTGGCCGTACGTCCTCCATGGAACAAGACAAAGACGGGTTTATTTGCCTTGTAAGACTTTGCTGTTGGCTTGGACCAGATGTTTAGAGTCAGACAATCCTCACTACGCTGAGTACCAGCACCTCCAGTAAAGTAGGCCAGTATCCTCAGCGCTTGAGCCGTGAAGCCCGGGAACGCGGGCTGAGTAGCGGCCTGTTGAGGACAGTCGCTATGATTGGTCAGAAACGTGCTCATCTATCTATTACAACATACACGTACTATCCCTGCAACACAATATCAATTAACCGGCTTTTCGAGAGGCAGGATGAGTACTTACGAAATTGTCCGCGCTATACGAACCGTTCGCCTTGTACTTCTGCGGTGCCGCGAAGCGCAAGTCTCCGAGTGGCGGCTGCGCATACGGGATTCCCAAATACTCCCATACAGCTTGAACCTTCGGTGAGCGATGACCAGTAATGCGTCCGTTCGCTGTTTCGACGGTCTTGAAAGATGCATGCGTTCCTGGGGCTGCAAGCGCTAGGCTGGAGGCACACAGCCAGACCGCGGTTGTTGCGAAACCATGCATCTTGCAGCAGCTGCAGGTGAGAAGAGATAAGCGACGGAGGAGGTACGGACGGCAGCATTCGCAATGAAGCAGGCATGGTTTTCTTCTGGGCCACGGCGTATGCTCCGCGGCTCCAGCCAAGGGCAGCGTAATTGTGGCGGCGCCTTAGATTGCAATTGCGGCGAATAAGGCATGGTTGAGAGTTCAGTCGTGCCGTGCCGCGCACGTCTTGAGGTTGCACCGAAGTGATCCTTCATGGTACTTACCACGTTTAGCGCGCGTCCCGCACCCGCGCATCGTTTATGTACCAAACTCCGACAGGGTTCGACCAAGAAATACGAGCGGCTGGCAAATCGGCGCTTTCCAATAATGGCAGGACGACGGAATGTACTGGGTTTCCGAACGCACTACCGGAGGCATTTGGTCCCGAGATCTTGGTGCTGCAGCTCCAACGGAGGGGCACGGAAACGACCCTGCGACCCTGCAGATGTCAAGAAATTAAGCAATGTGTCGTGCGGGATCCCTCGAGGGCCCTCGCCCATCACTGCCTCAGAGTCTGTTCACTGCCTGGATAGCCATGTTCTCCCAGGGCATGTCCTGAATACAATTTCTTCGAGTTCCTCGGTATCTGCATGGTCCACGTTTCGATATGGCGGTCAATATGGGTTTCCCAGCCGATGGGGAAGACAACCAAGGATGGAAGCTATACTTGACCTCTCTAATCATGATCTTGATCGCAGGGCTCTTCGTCATCGCCAGAGTCCTGACACGCGTCCGCATCTTCGAACTTAAGGCAGACGATTACGCGATCATAGCATCTCTTGTGAGTCAGAAGGAAGCAGAGAGCTGTGTACGGAGGTATTGTCCGGCTCCTTGGCTGACTGGTACAGGCGTTCTCCATCTTCCTATCTGTAGCTATTCAGCTTGCTGTAGTGTATGGGTACGGACAGCACATTGGTGATCTCTCCAAGCAAGAGCGTGTCAGGGCGCTCAAGTTTTTCTGGATTGCGCAAACTCCATACAAGATCGTTGTATGTCTCAACAAAACATCAGTCATTCTGCTGTACATGCGCATCTTTATCGCACAACGATTCCGATGGCTATGCTTCGGGGCTCTTGCGATTGTTATCAGCTCCGGGGTTGCAACAGTCTTCGCCACGATCTTCCAGTGCGTTCCGCTTGAGCGTTCGTGGGACAAAGCCGTTGATGGGACTTGCATCGATAGCTCAGCGTTTTGGGTAGCAAATGCGGCGATCAACATAACGACGGATGTGATTGTATTGGCATTGCCAATCCGCGAAGTAGCCAAGCTTCAACTGAGATTGCGAGAGAAAGTTCTGTTGCATATCGTCTTCCTGCTGGGTGGTTTGTAAGTCCTCAAGATTCTTGTGCCTCCCTCGGTGTCTGGGTTTGGTCATCTTTTCGTGCCAAACTTGAACTGGTCGTTAACATCAGCGATAGTGTTACAGTTACATCGATACTCCGTGTCACCGCTGTTGCGAATAGTGTGCGCAATCAAAAGGACCAAACCTGGAACTTCATACAACGAGGGGTCTGGACTCTGATCGAAGCGAATCTCGGGATAATCTGCGCGTGTTTGATCGTGCTGCGACAGCCAATGGCACGTTTTTTCTCCAAGATATTTGGTACCACGAAGGCGGGCACCAGCGGAGGCTATCGATATGGCTACAACGGTAGCGGTGCAGCGTTGGCCACGATTGGCAGCACAAAACGAGGCATCCGTAGTCCGTCCACTCGCCAACATGTCAAGCTCGAAGATACGATTGATTACGACGATGCAGCCGCAGAGGACGATGACCGCACGCGGATGACATACAGATTGGCAACACTTGCGCGTCGTGGACCGCCGGACACTGCACGCAACAGCGACGAAAGACAAATCGTGTCGACAAACGATACGGACAAAGGGACAGTCTGGCCATTTGATAAAGAGCTGGGCATCACCAAACAGGTAGACATCCAGGTGGAATCTCATAAAAGGTAAAGACCTTTGTGGGGCTTCTCAGCTTTAATGTTGGTCATGCGATATTGCGTGTGAACCGAATTGTATATCAGCCTTGGCCATGTCCACAGAGGGCTTTTGTTGGACCTCTTACCCGGGATACGTTACGCTCCATGTGCAGCTGCGCCGGGGCCCTCAAGCCAGCTCGACAGAACTCGAAGGTCTCGAGATCCGACTTATCGTGCCGCGTTGATACACTAATTAGTCAAGTCGAATTGCAGAATCGGCTGCAGAGAGAAGGCAAAAGTGGAAAATTCCGAAGATGATAGAGAAGAAGAGAAGGAAGGAAGAGAAAAGAAGAATGGAAAGAAGGGGTCCGCAGGTCGCAAAACCGTCTGCGAGGCAACTGCCACGAACCATCACTCGCGACTGCCCTAAGTAACATTGCGGCGGCACCATGGGGTATGGACAAAAGTCGTCAAATCTGTATATGTTCGAACCCCATCAGCCAATGCGACTTTGTGGAGAATGACTTTGATATCAAAGAAACGCTATACCGCGCGTCCAAAACCGACGTATATCTACAACGCATGCATCAGCCTAGAAATACATTTTTGCGTCTGATCTAGAACATGCCACCCAAACGCCATTCGCATGGTAAGGAAACGGAGACTCTTCGTGTCGTGTGTAGTAGGGTAGAGGTATATCGACAATTCTTGATGTCCACGAAGACTAAACGTCTTACGACGAAGTCTTTTCCTCCTTTTTATGTGCCTTCTCGCCCTCTTTCTTCGCCTCAGTCTCGTGCTGCTTCGCCTTCGCAGCCTCCTTGCGCTCGTTGATCCGTCGTTCCTCGGCCTCGACCATTTCTGTAGCACTTGTCAGCCGACTGTATCCCCAATATGGGCGTTCATATTGCCGAGCGTTGCACGTTGGTTCGCAGCATGACGAAGCATGACATGTCCCAGGATCCAGAAAACGTACCTCTCCACTGGTCTTCACCCGCATACCGCTCGTGATGTATCTTCTTCTCAATCATATGCTTATGTTCTGGATCATTGGGATCCAGCACCTTAATCGTCTCCCATCTTCCCTTGCCCTTCGCAGCATCGTTCCCTTCAAACGCGAAACTTGCAAGCAGGGCTGAAAGCGTCAGTCCTTGCGCGTACATACGCGCTTGGACAAGCTTCTGTGAGGCGCTCATCGGACTACGGTTCACAGCAATCCACGACCCCGCCATGGAGGCGACCCAGAAGCCGAAGAGGAGAGGGTATCGGTTCTCGGACGCCCATTCCTTCGCGCGCTGCATGGCCGACTTGTTTGCATTGTAAAGTTCTTCGCGGTGGCGCTCGCGCTCGATTTCGCGCTGTTTTTCGGGGTTGTGCTCGATGTCGAATTGGTTAGAGGCGCGGTCGGCAGCGATGACGGCTATAGCACCATTAGCACATCACTTTTCAATTGCAAGCTTTCAGGAGTGACCACATACCGACGAAGGAGCCCGAGGATGTGACAAGGAAAGCTCGGAACGGTACCGAGAGCGATCTGAAGCTGGCATATCTTCTGCTTGCGCCCACGACCGCAGCAGTGCCTATCGCCGTACCGATAAGACCACCAATGGTTCCACCCTTGACAGTCGCACTGCCCAGAGATCAGCTTCGTTCTTGTTCCCATTTCGACTTGTAGACTCACTTATAATGCGCCTGCTCCTCTTCTTTCGTAAGAATCTTCATGGTGTGAGGCGGATTCGCTTCCGGCAGCTGTCTTCAGGTGTTCAATCGAATGGCGCAACGTCCACGTGTGCTGCTGCTGTAGGTGATGTGTATGATATGTGCACACAGTGAGGGATTGCCGTAGGGCTCGGGGTGATGTGCAACCTTATAAAAGATAATGCTGCAGGCGGGCGGCAGGGCGACGGCAACAATACTCAATCGTGACGTCGCCGAGCGTCCCGAGCTTGGTGCGCTTGAGCCTAGAGTCGGCGGCACCACCCGGCTTACACAACACAGCTCGAACGAGTCCGGTCAGTCCATCACGCGACATCTTGGGTGCATTCGCCGTTTACAAAAATTGTCTGGGCTTGGTCCCCGAACTTTGAAAGCCTACTAGCGATTGCATATTTGGTACTTTGAGACGAAGCTGTTCAGTCTGCAGTTCTGGATAGCTTCAATGACGACACAGTCACCTCCACAATTCACAAACGTAAAAACACAACACCCTCCCTGCATCAGCAAAACGTCCACATAAGCATCCATAATTGTCGCTAAATATGGAACCTTACCGCAAAATACTCGGCGCAAATTTGAGGATGCCGAAGCGGCATCTCGGCATTCTAAAGCCACGCCGCAGGGCCGCCACACAAACATCGACGCATCCAGCTGCTCCTTGCTTTCTCAGATCGCGTTGAAATCTTCTTTCTATGCTACCGAAACCTCCTCTTTGCCCTACCTTGCTTGTTGAATGTTCCAGTAGCATGTAGAGAGACCCGGGTGAGATCCGATGCGACACCGAGCATCTCCGAGTTTCGCATAACTTCGGGCTGAAATCTCCGCCGTTGCTACGCGTCGCGCGAATGTTCGTTCTCGCGCATCAATTGCACACGTCAAGAAACACACAATAGACAAGAGATATAGCCAGGATGCCATCGATTTCGAAAAATACCTACATCCTAGTGGAACTCGTATCCATGCAACCATTTTCGTCGGGTTTTGCTCAATAGAAAGGATACGCATACAAAGCATCAAGTGTCAAGTAACCCCATTAGCTCACATGCCCGGTCTCCACGCCGAGCCTGCAGGAAGCCATGTCCGACTGGAGATATGCCGTGATAAACAAAGGAGAAAATGTGAAGGTATTTTGCTTCCAGGTAACGATGCTAAACCAATCGACAGTAGGAAATGCACCATTTTGCGTATCCCAACGGCTTCGATCAATCTTTTCGACATGAGGCGTATTTTGGCATATCCATGATACCTTTTTGAGATCGAGGACGCAAGCGAATGCGAGCGTATCCATAGCTACGTGCGATACCCAAACGGATAGTATGCTGCAACATTTAGGTCAATTTTAGGGAAAAGGTGCCAGTTCGAGATACTCGCAGCCACCAATATGTTGGCAGTGTTGAGACAACATTCAGCGGTAGCCACCATAGGCGCTGCCACCTCCATTGCGACCAACGCCGGAGTAATTGCGTGAGATGAGACCGCCAGGCGGGCCGGGGCGAGTCGCAAGAGCCGGGTTGCAGCAAAGCATAGCAACGCGAGAGCCGTACTTTGAACCACGGAGTGAGACCATGTGCTTACGGATGTGGGAAGCAACAACTTCGCGATGATGGGACCCGCTGTTCGTGAGGATGTATTGGACCAGGTAATTACCGAACTGATCACCGGCGACTGTTCTTCGTTAGCACCTCCATCGCCAAACGTAATGGTGGGTTTACTTACTATCGATCAACGGCATGCGCGGGCGATCCTGACGACCCTCGCAAACCCTCTCCAGGTAGCGGTCGAGGAAATCATTGCCGCCAATCTTAAGGCACTTCTCGATGACCTTGGACGCGTACTGGTCGACGCTGTAGTCGGTTGCGAATCGAAGGATGTGGTCGATAGCGCGGCTACGATCGGCGGGAGCACCATGTTCGCAGATGTGCTGGATGCACCAATTGCCGAACTGACCATGGGAGATCACGTCAATGCTAGCCAGCACCTCATTGATGCAGGGACGCTGCAATATGTTAGCTTAATATCGCTTCGTCTATTCGCTGCTATACCTTGTCTTCTTCGAGGCAGTTCTCAAATATGTTTTGAACGACCAGACTGCCGGTCTCTCCTAGGGCGACCTCGTGCCACATACCGCGGAGGGCCTCGTTGACATATCGCATGATCTGAGGAGGGGAGTCGCTCCAGCGAAGCTCGAAGAGCTTCTGCCACACGTGGCAAGCGTATCGGTGGATGACGGTCTCCGGAATGCGTCGAAGAAGCTCATGGACCATAGTGGCTTTATATTCTTCGGGCACACAGTCGAAGGCCTTCTGCACCACGTGGCAGCCGAACGGATCCATGCTCAGCGTGAGAGTGTTTCCACGGATCGCGCCCGCGATGGCGATGACCTGCGAACGCAAGTTAGTAATGCGTCTCGAAGTCACCAAGATAATTTCGTACCTGCTCCGGGGTTCCATGCTCGAAGCAGCGCTGCACAAGGAAGTTGCCGAAGCGATTGACCATGAGAGGATACGCCTGGGCGATGATTGCCTCGACGATCTCGTACTTCTGGTCTGGAGTGCCAACCTTCAGCTTCTGCTGCAAGAAGATAGAGGCCTGTTGATCATTATTGCAGATGATCTTGTCCACGATGTACTTCCAGTTGCAGCTCATGTTGCGATCCAACAGACGGCGATAATTCATCGGCTCGACGGGTGCGACGTACTGAGAGCCATTGCCAACATCGGAGGGTGGCTGCGAGTCATTAGCTACGTGCTGAAAGCGCTGTAACGTTGAATTAGGTTGACTCATACCTGAGAATTCCAGGGCGACGGGCCCATCACGTCTCTAACGCTGAACTCGGACGCCTCGGGAGAGAGTCTAGTGCCCATAGGCCCAACGGGTCCGACAGTTCCAATGGGGGTGGGCTGGTAGGGCGTGTACATCTGCGGCGGTGCCATGTATTGGTTGTACATTGGAGGATCGAAAGCAGACGGAGGGCGGGTAGGCGGGTTGCTGCTACCACGGAAGCCTTGGTCAAGTGGGAAGTGAGTAGGCTCGTTCAAAAAGTTGTTTCGACCGCGGTAATGCTGCTGAGGCATGGGTGGACGGGCCGGAGCCTGCATGCTCGAAAAGCCTTGCTGAGCACCGGCATTGTAGAAGGGACGAGACTCGTTGCCCCAAGCATAGTTATTACGGTTTGCTGCATTGAACTTGTTCTGTAGCTGTGTGAGGGTTTGCTCAGTCACCTCATCAGTGTAGGCGTAGTCGGCCTCCGATGACTGGCCGAGATGCTCGACCGTGGACTTGGCGACGTGAGTGCTGTGAAGCTCCTGGTTCATACGAGCGACTTCGCTGCGGGCTTCTAGCAGCTCAGTCTTGAGCTTCCGCAGCTCTGTGGACTCCACCATGATCGAGTCAGGCTCGGTATTGGGTGTGCCGCTCATGTACTCGTCCGTGGCCGGTGTCAATGGGAAAGAGCCGTTGGATGAGCCGTACTGGTCGTTGGGAGAGGACCGCTGCTCATTGAGGCGTTGGAGCAAGGTCTCAACAACGGAGCCCTCATCATGATTGCCTTGTTCGATCTTGATCTTCTAGGATGGTCAGCGTCGAGATCCGGCAACAGCTTTTGCAGAAGGGTGCTTGGTCATTACCTTAAAAGCATCGATGTTTGGCTGCAGCGGCATCATCTGATTGCCCATATTCGATGAGCCTAGCGGACGCTTCGCACCCTGCGTATTGGAGGTCAACATCGCACTGCCAGGCCACACATAATGTGAGGGGTGTTGACGAGTGCGAGTGCCTACCGGCCCAAAGCCAAGTACCTCTGGAGAAGTATCGAGCCTGAGATCACTGGGCATGGGAAACCGAGAGACGGCTTTGCGGGGGGTGGGAGAACCGTCCGAGGTAAGATTGAAGCTCATGTTGCTGTCGGTAGTGTCGGGTATTCGTAGATTGACAAATTCGATTCGACAGATCCGAGATATCAAGCTCGAAATAAGATTTGAAACGCAGTTGCGAAAAGTCCCGGTTTGCGGCGTAAATGGCCAGAGTAGATAGCAACCGGTGGGTGGGGAGGGTAAACAAGTCAGATAGAAGCGTAAATACTCGCGGACGGCTGCGCCTTACGGTCCTAGTGGGCAGCGGCGATAGCAAGGAACGTGCAAGGAGCGAAGGCTCCGGCGGGGGATACAAGGGAAGGAAGAAAAGAGAGTGTAGAGAAGAGGTGGAAGGTGGAGAGAGATAAGTTGGACAAAGGTGCGGAGAACTTTCAAGAAGGGCAGGCGCGACAACGGCAAGAGCGTCACCACGCAATTTTGCAGCTTCACGCCGACGAAGGGACGCGTCTATTTGCGACAAACGGTCACGCTTCACCGTCCGAGCACTCCCTCCAATGACGCGTGGTTGAGGTGGGAGTGGAGAGCGCGTTGTGGTGAATGTGAACAGTGAACTGCGGCGGTCGAGGCGGGCCCCGAGAGCTTCAGCATGAACGACCAGTATCGGAGCAAACGATACCAATAGAACATACGAGACAGCTTTGCTACGCTGTTTGCGTCGAAGTGACGGTCCTGGTCGAATATTCCAGTGCTCGCGTCAACACAACAGTCTCTTTGGACACGACTGAAGACGTCGTCACCTCCCACTCGCCATCAAAGAACCTCAAGGCAAGCGCAATCTAAACCTTCCATCTCGCCCTCTCACCCGAGAACAAATTGCGTCTGTCCAACGCCAGTCACTATGGGTACAAGCCTCGTAGCCTGCGCCAACGCCTCCTCATCACTTCCCCAAACCACGAGCTCAAGCCTTTCGTCGCGTAGCGGCCTCAAGAAAGCGGCAACAACGGGCTCCCCTTCACGGCCGTATCGATGCGTTCCTTTGCTGTTGCGGACCGAGATACCCGAGTCTGAAGGCTGGGCGGGAAATTCTGGGTGAAAACTAGGAGGCGTGGTGTCGCCGAGCGCTATGGTGATGATATCTCTCTTACCAAGTGCTATGGTGTCACGGGATGTGGTGTAGACAATGTTTGCGTCAGCTTGGAAGTATTGGTGAAGGTTGCGGGAAACCTGAAGAGCGAGATACGTGGTTGCGATGGTACCTTGGTGGCGAACGATGAACGGGCCCTGGCTCACCATGTAATCCTAGAAGAACGGGTAAGCTTGAGTCCTGTCCTGCAACACAAGATGCATTCTCCCCAGGTGGGCAGAGCATAGCGTACGAGACCATGCCACCGGGGTGTAAGAAAGTTATCATATGCGGTTCGGATATCGACCTCTGTGTGAGGTTCTGCGAGACTTTCAATTTCGACAGATGGCCTTTACCAACGGTCTTGTAGGTAATTACGAAGTGTAGGGCAGTAGTGTTACGCGTAGGTAAAGTAAGATTTAATTTTTACTGCTCTCGCTTGCTTAGCAACGAGTATGAAAGTAAGATTATTGTTGTTAGGTAAAGTGTTCGCCTGCGAAGCAATTAGAGGTCACGCGTCCTGCTCGAGAATTTGTTCAGAACCAAGCTCGATGAGATTGGACTATCCTACATCGAAGGGCCGGACATCCACAATTTCCATATCATTTTCGCCACTGTTGCAAAGAAGCACAGAGCCGTATGGAGAGGCGAGCTTTCCGTCGACAACATCGGGAAGTCGTATATCGGGCTCTGCCAACTCCAGGGTGCCAGCTGCCTGCGGCGTTGCACCACAACATTGATAGTGAGCCCCAGGATCCTACCCAAAGCCCGTATGTCTCGAATTAGTCAGGATTTGATCAAATGTATATCCGGGGATAGTTGAAGCACTAGTGGAGCCTTCCTCAAAGTGAAGTAATCGCCTTCGGAATAGTGGACGTCGTCAACCCAACGTTCATTCTGGAATGGCATCCGTGTACAGAATGAGATGGTGAGTGCAGCTTTCAGTCACAGGGAGGTCCCTCTTTCCCAGGCCTAGTACTGTACAACTGCCCAGCCATGCACCGCCTCAAGGACGACCTTAAGGAAGTCCCAGTCAACATTGGTACGTACCGCGCTCAGAGTAGCATTGACGAGAAGACGTCTACGTTGCTATTGTCAGGTTCCATCTAGCCGTTCCAATGGTGGGCAATGAACTGCGCAATCTTGCATTCGGGTTGTGTTGAAGCGAATGATATCCCCCTGCCTACGTATTCAAGCGGATCTGCTCCTCAGCTCGCTTCTGCGGAGCTGTTCGTCTCGAGTAGTGGTTGAACGGATCATGCAATATCAGGCCGTCCCACCTGTTCCGACCTGAAACGGCCCCAAGACCTGCCACGAGCTGCTGTCAGCCTGCTGGACGAGAATGGTGCATTCTCTTTCCGCATGCCCAGCGAAGCCATTACGCGTTCATGTGGCGAGAGGGGTTCCTGGGGTTACTCGCGATGGCAGAGCACTGCCAAGAGCCACAACAGCCACAGCGCGAAGATAGAATTGACAGACATCGCAACATCGCGATGCATTGCACCCTGTAGCAGTCGTGATATGGGGTTTTAATGTGGAGGTGGCGTACGCGGGGCTAGGACGTCATTGGGCCAAGAACCAAGCCCGCAGCTTAAGCGTGAATGGAATGCCCCTGTCGTGGAACCATGGCTCCAATTTGGGCGCGGGATGTTCATGTCGCTAACAACAGCCGCAACTACGGCGCTGCGCCAGCCAGCCTCCCTTCCCGAACACTGTGATAACCTCTGCGAGTGCAGGTGTCCCGCCGACCACGTGTACGACGCTGTGCCCACAGGTGTTCCGCAGGGAGAGATCTGTTTTCAGGCCACCTCAAGCTTCCGATTCCGATCGCATCATTTCAGCTCCCAATGGCTTAACGAAACACCCTCGGATCGCAAGACGAACGCCTAATAACCGCCGCGATGGCTATGGTGTCGCCGCTTGATGCGCACAATCCCAAGGAAACTTTCAAGTTCCCTGCCTTCCAGCCCGACCTGCTACCGACGCACGAGGAGGAGCCGCTTGGCCTGACAGCGCAGACTCCTAGCCCGAGTCGCAATCAGCTGCCAAACGGAAACACGCATACCCCCGATCGCTGGCAGCCGCGGAGAGATCAGAGAGCGAGTGGAAATAGCTCGGCACATGGCCCTACAACGAGACACGGGAGGCAGAAGAGTCTAAGTGAGGCGTTTAGGACAATAAGGACGCGCAAAGCGAGTGTCAGTCAGAATGCACACGAGATTGCAGATGCGCTCAAGGCGCCGATATCGCCTACGCTGGTGGTATGTAGGCGAATGCGATTTGCTATTGAAATGCTAATGGGTGTAGATGCTCTGCGGCGTCTGGTACATGACCTCCATCTTCTCCAACACCTCGTCGAAAGCGATCCTCACGGCCCTACCAAAGCCGGTGACCCTCACAGTCATACAGTTCATGTTTGTCTCTGGCTGGTGCTTGTTCCTTGCAGCGCTGGCCCGGAAATATCCCCGCATGAAGCAGACCTTTCCCTTTCTCAAATACGGTATCCGCCGACCGTCCAGAGAACTTATAATGACTACGTTACCACTCGCCATATTTCAGATTGGAGGACACATCTTGAGCTCAGATGCTACCAGGAGAATACCCGTGTCTCTGGTCCATACTATCAAGGGGCTGTCTCCGCTGCTTACCGTGGGGGCGTACCGCATCGTCTTCGGAATCCAGTACTCGATCCCTACGTATCTTTCTTTGCTCCCACTCACGCTGGGTGTTGTCATGGCCTGCTCCGCCGATTTCAACGCCAACTTCATGGGACTTATCATGGCTTTTGCAAGTGCTTTGCTGTTTGTTGCGCAGAATATCATCTCTAAGAAACTCTTCAACGATGCTGCTGCGGCCGAGAAGGAAGGTCTTCCGCCATCATCAAAATTCACAAAACCTGACAAGCTAAATTTGCTGTGCTACTCGTCCGGGCTTGCACTTATCCTGACACTTCCGCTCTGGTTATGGTCGGAAGGATTCGGACTGCTGGGCGATTTCCTCAGCAAAGCCTCAATCGATCTCAACGAGCACCCGGAAGCATTCGACCATGGACGCTTGTTCCTAGAATTTGTTTTCAACGGTACCTTCCATTTTGGTCAGAATATCGTTGCCTTCGTCCTGCTATCTATGATATCGCCAGTCACTTATTCTGTGGCCAGTCTTATCAAGCGCGTCTTCGTTATTGTATTCGCCATCATCTGGTTTGGGAAGCCCATGACCAAGGTACAGGCTTTCGGCTTCTTCCTCACTTTCCTTGGGCTGTACCTGTATGATAGGACGTCGGACGCTGCAAAGAAGGACAAGCAGCCTCGAGCACTTCAGTCCACGGCGCAAGGTCCGCTGTTGCCCCTCACCACAGATAAGCTGCCTCGTGTCAATTTCACCGCGAGCCCCGCGACAATGTCCGCCGGCACTGGCGCATATCCGTTATCGAATGCTCCTATAGAGAGTCGAGATGCGAAGAGGGATGATAATATAGGTGCTGGTAGGCCAAATGGACATGCTCAGCCGAGCTGGTTACCGCCGGGTACAAAGCAGGAAGACACTTGGCGACCTAACGGAATGACAGGAAAACCTGATGGTGTTGGTGTCACTTATGGTTGATGATTTGCTCTCATTTGCTGTTCGGGCGGTGTCGAAGATTTATTTGTATTCATATTGGGACGATCAAGATGTCGAGACTTTAGAAGCATTGGATAGGCGTTAGAGCAAGGGCAGTATGATCTGTATCTGTATGACAGGTCCTGAATAGCTCGCGTACCTTTATGAATGCTTCGGCTGATTATCATTTTACATTCTCCATTTTCGATCCAGTCAGTTTGAGTCGGTGGAGCGCCAGCTGTCTCGCAGATCGTAAGTGGGCAAGCGCCAAGACGAAGTGATGGCTGCCTGCATGTGCCAACACGTAGACAGAATTTTCCATGATGCGTGAGACTTCTGTTCCTGCGTAAATACAGGCCATGTGTCTTTTCGCAGGACCTGCTTTGACAGCGTGATGCACGCTTTCCGTCATGAGCGCGGCAGCAACCACATGCATGGGGCTAAGCGAGCGCGGCCCAGCGAATCCAGGCCACTGCGGTCAACCGTCCTCGGCGGACAGGTGACATCAAAGGCGGCGAACCCTTTTCCCTAACACCAATTATTCCTTAGCCCGCGCCGTGACCGCAAGGGCCCGAGAACCATGGCCGACTCTTTGAAGGTCAACGGCAATGCCCGCCCCAGCAACGTCAAGCACCCCTCCGCGCCCTCCCTGATGATGAACGCCCACTTCGCTGGCGTCGGCCAGGACGCCTCCCAGGAGGAGTACGAACATGGAATCCAGGTTATTGATGAGGACAAGCTCTTCAAGTGAGTGTATGCACGTTTACTCGAGCTGCTGTAGATGTTAACAGAAGTCCGCAGCTCCAACCTGGGCACGTATTTGTCCCTCGAGAAGATCATCCCCGCCGGCTTCAACTACCACCTCATATCCGTCTTCGGCTCGCAGTCTACGGGCAAGTCGACCCTTCTCAACTACCTCTTCGGCACACAGTTCGGTGTTATGTCTGAGCAGGAGCGCCGACAGACAACAAAGGGAATATGGATGAGCAAGAACAAGCGCGAGGGCAGCGAAAGAGGCATGGCAGATAATATTCTGGTGATGGATGTTGAGGGTACGGACGGTCGCGAGCGCGGAGAAGACCAGGACTTTGAGCGCAAGAGCGCCCTGTTCGCACTGGCAACCAGCGAGGTGCTGATTGTGAACATCTGGGAGCACCAGGTCGGCTTGTACCAGGGTGCAAACATGGGGCTCCTCAAGACGGTCTTTGAAGTCAACTTGCAGCTCTTCGTCAAGGATAGCCAGTGCGTAGGCTCCGTCTGTAATTTGGGCATTGCTAATGATTCACAGAACAACCCCTCGATCTCTCCTCTTCTTCGTTATCCGCGATCACCTCGGAACCACCCCTCTTGCCAACCTACAAAACACATTAATAGCAGATCTCAACAAGTTATGGTCAACGATATCGAAACCGAAAGGCCTGGAACAATCACGGATAGAAGACTACTTCGACTTTGCTTTCGTCGCATTGCCCCACAAGATCCTACAACCGGAGAAATTTGAGCAGGAGGTGGAGAAGCTGGGCACGCGCTTCCGGGAAGGATACAACGACCCTAAGAAAAGCGGTCTGATCGACGAGGCCTCGCTTCCCGTATTCTTACCGCAATACCACCGTAGGATCCCTGCAGACGGGTTTTCCGTATATGCCGAGGGTGTTTGGGACCAAATTGTGAACAACAAGGATTTGGACTTGCCGACGCAGCAAGAGCTTCTCGCGCAATTCCGATGTGACGAAATATCGAGAGAGGTCTTGGTTGCATTCGATGAGAGAATTACTCCCCTGGAGGACAGGCAGGCACAGGATGCGCAGGCAGGAAAGCCATCAGTCATTCCTGATCTCGGAGCTGTGATGAACGCCGCCCGATCACAGATTCTCAAAGACTTCGAGACGAATGCCAGTCGGTACCACAAGGGCGTTTACACTCGTAAAAGAGCCGAACTAGAAAGCAAGGTCGACTCGCGGCTCAAGGCTCTCTTCCAGAAGCAGCTTAGTGCCGCGCACAAGTCTGGTGTGCAGGCGTTCAGCGACGCCGTGAGTGGGGCTGTGAAGAGCGGGCAGAAGAAGGGCGCTTCTTATGACTTCGCCCAGATTGTGGAGAGCGAGAAGGAGAAAGCTTTGGAGAAGTTCGCAGCGGATGCGCAGGCCATTGTGGTAGAGGGCGCGTCCTGGAGTACCTACCAGCAAGAGACGAACTTGTACAAGAAAGAGTTGGATGAGGTGTCAAGTCGCTTGCGGAAAGAGGAGATGCGCCGCTTGGCTACAAGGGTCGAACGGTGGGTTCGATCACGCTTGGATGAGTCCATCGGCCTGGAGTTCAACAAGCTCGGCAGCGGTCGTGGCGGATCAAGAGCGCCTGAGCACGGCGAGCGTCCTGCATCTGAGAAGGATCTCTGGGACCGTGTGTGGACCATCTTCACCGAGACCGTTCAGGATGCCGAAAGGCGATTCACAGACCGAGCGCGAAGCTTCGACGCTAGTCCCGAGGAAGTTGAAGTCGGTCTATGGAGATTGCGCCGCAAGTCGTGGGGTGTGCTTCGTGCGAAGATCGATGAGGAGGTCATGGAAGGCAACATCCTGTTGAAGCTTAGGGAGAACTTTGAAGACAAGTTCCGCTACGACGAGCATGGCGTTCCCCGGATATGGCGACCGACCGACGACATCGAGGGTCTGTACACCAAGGCCCGCGAGTCAACAATCACCCTCATTCCTCTGCTGTCTCGCTTCAAGCTTTCAAAAACATCAGCACCTCCGCCACTCGACGCCTGGATCGGCGAAGCTCCCGCGTCGGTCTCTCCTGCAGACGAAGAGGACCTTTCGCCCATCGGCGGCGTAGACGACGACGAGGGCAAGAGCCTCGAGGAAGAAATGACGACCATCAGCGACGCAAAGCAGGCTGACCTACTCATCCGCTTCAAGAAGACGGCGGACGGTGTCTACGTCGAAGCCAAGCGTAGTGCAATCGGCGGAATGACGCAAGTACCCCTGTACTTCTACGGCCTGCTCCTCGCGCTGGGTTGGAACGAAATAGTAGCCGGTAAGGCTCCTACACCCTCCCCATCTCGACAGCTCCACTAACATAAACACCAGTTCTCCGCAACCCAATCTACTTCATCTTCCTCATCCTCTGCGCCGTCGGCGCCTACGTCACCTATACACTTAACCTGTGGGGTCCCATGGCGCGCATGGCTAACGCCGCGTCCACGCAGGCCCTCGACATCGGAAAGGAGCGGCTCCGGGAGTTTTTGGAGTCTTCGGAGTCGGGACGTCAGGCTATGCGTATGGCGGATCAGCAGGGTGGGAGGGGAGAGACGAGGGATTCGGATGGAGCGGTTGAATGGGGATGGGAAGAAGGAGGATGATGATGCGATGGACATTGATGATATTTGATGATGGGTTGGGTTTGGGATGGTCATGAGGAAAATGGTATTTTTGTTGTGAGGGTTGGGTTGGGTAGGTTGGGAAAGGAGATAGATGGGAGGGGGTTATAGGTAATGAAATGTTTTATGACTATTTGCTGTCTTTATGTGGGGGTGTGTGAGGTACGGGAAGGTCAGGCTGAGATTGAGATTTCTTGTGATTCTGAGCTATTGTATTGTGATGTGTGAGTGATGAGAGGTATGCTGATGAGCGCGGGCTTGGACTCGAGAGTGTGTTGCTGGCAAATTTGGACATGCAGAAAATTGAAATGTTGTGGTATTGGAGAGTGGCGGGAACCTCCAGCGCGGGCTAAGATTCGAGCGTGTCACTGGTAAATTTGGATATGCAGAACATTGTTACACGAGGCAGTGGCGAGTTGCATGCTCAGCCTTGTGGCAGTTGCCCCGCTGCCTGCCAGTTCAGCCTGCAGGGTCTGTGCCGCGCCTCAGCCTTGTTCTCACGCTGCCTTTTGGTCTCTTCTTCCTCTTCCTCCATGCCATATTTGGAGCTTTATTGCTGCTTGCTGGAGATTCCTTCCCTTTGGCCTCACAATGCGCTGTTGTTTGCCCTCCAGACGACGCCGTGGCGCGGAGGATGTTGCTCTCGCTGAGCCACGACCACCTACGCCGGACCTCGCGCAGAACGAGGCTTTTCAGCCTTATGAATACCAACCGCTTGATCAGGAAGCACAAGAGATCAGACTACTCAGATTGCTGCCTGCCGGGAATCTTGACGACGAGATCGAAATTGAGATCTTTCATGCGCCGTTGGTCGAGCCGGAGAAAGCGCCGGATACGAGAATTGGGTTTGAAGAGCTGTGGGAGACTTTGCCTGAGGGTTGGACACTTTATAAGACTCGAGGAGATGGCCAATACATCTATTACAACGAAGACACCTATGAGACACAATGGGTACATCCTGACCCGGACATTGACCGTCGATTGTATCAATGCGATGCTGTCCTCGATTCTTATCCTGATTACCAGCCTGCATATGAAGGTAAGTTTCTAGTGTATGCTAGTTCCAGCCAACCTAGCGGGGCAGGCGGGATTTACGTCCGGTGTAGTAGCGCACTTATTGTTCAACGAGTTGAAGCAAGGAGAGGGATATGGTATCTAATTTCATGGGTTCATTGTCTGCTAGCTTGTGCAAATTTGTGCTGATTAGTCGCAGCCCTCTCATATACTTGGGGTGAAGATGGCATTACAGCTAAAGCTCGAGTGCTGCATACGACTACAGGCAGAATAACTACGCTTGACCTACGGCCAAACCTGGCGCTTGCCCTGAAACACTTACGGCAGGCCACCTCCCCTCGTGTGCTCTGGATTGATGCAATTTGCATAGACCAGGTCAATAATTCCGAGCGCAGTCAAGAAGTGAAGAGAATGGGTCGCATCTATGCCCTGGCTAAAAGAGTTGTGGTTTGGCTAGGTGCAGCGAGGAAGTCCAGTACCAGAGGGCTAGATCTACTTGCAGCTCTAGGTGAACGAGTAGCTTTAACTTCAGACGGACGGCTTATCACTTCGCCAGTCACAAAGGGACTAGACAACTCGGAGTCTCTTCCGGAAGACATTAGGAAATGTTTGAATCCTTTACATTAGATCTTGAAGTACCATATGCTTTAGATGATTATAAGGCAATACTTCACATTCTGGAACGACCCTGGTGGGACAGATTATGGTACGTGAAATCAAGATCGACTTAATAACCTCTATAATATTAATCTTGTGATAGTGGGTATCCCTCTTGTATCAATTTGTTTCTGTGCGTTGTCTGGTCTGAGCTTGGATGTAACCAAAAATATGACTATTGGACAGACCGTTGTACAACACATGAACACAGTGACCAGTTGTCTCTTGTAACTCTACGCCATTACCGTATCTACGCTGACTGTTCAAAATCTAGGGATCTGGCAAGAAATTCACCTCGCTAGTTCGCGAAGTCTAATACAGTGCGGTTCGAGCACCAGACCTTGGAGACATGTACGGGACGCAATACTGTACTTACGTGTTCGACCTCCAAAGCTACTCAACATCCCTAGCTATTTAATTGAAAGACGCGGTGATCTTTCTGAAGTCGACTGTGGAGATAACCTCCTCTACCTACTCAAAACTACGAGATTCGCAGAATGTGCTAATCCACACGATCGGATTTTCGCACTCCTTGGATTGGTCGACCCGGACGATGCTGCGCTAATCAATGCAGACTACAAGCGATCCATCGTTGATTTATTCAGAGACGTCTGTCTAGCCCGAGTAAAGCGCTATAGCGATATATGGTTTTTGGAACACTGCGATTGGTCAACGCATGGACAAGATCATGGGCATCCCTCATGGGTACCAAATTGGTCTACGTGGCGTCCTACAGACGTTTTCTTTAGACGAGCTGCTTCCGGATCAAGCAAGTGTCGAACAGATGGTATACATGGATCAGAGCTCATTGTCGATGGTGTGCTCTGTGGAATCGTGAAGAAAGTGGGTGAAGAGGCCCCATCACAGGGCGGTATGAGAGGGACCCTGCGATTATGGGAAGAGATTGCAAGAATTACCGACGATGAGTGGTCAGAAAGATTCATAGAGACTTTAGCATGTGGTGACTCTGAGGAAAGTTGGCCGAATTATGGAAATCCAACCCTCGAACGGTACCGGAAGGCCTACTTCAACACTGATGGGGAGCCACTGGTCTCTGAGAGGATTAGAGATCGTTCTATATTCAGATATAGTGATACTGGATTAGGGATTGGCCCCCCAGGGGCAAAGATAGGTATGTACAGAAGAGCTTTTCTTCACTTATCAGTATTCTTCTTCCATTCCGTCCATTGCTCGAATGAAAACTGAGGAATTATCCACTGTCTCACGAGCTTGAGACATATTGTGTATCTAATGCTTTCGTACGCTTACCATTGCAAGTAGGAGACATATTGGTTGTTATCCTAGGGTGCTCCTTCCCAATGGTGCTTCGGAGATCTTCTCTGGACCAAGAACCTGCTACGTACGTGGTAGTGGGGCCTGCGTACGTTAGCGATCTTGGACACTCGCAAGCTCTTTTGGGATCTCTACCTGATGCAATCAAAGCGCATATTGAAACCGATTGGCAGGGCTTCGACCTTCAAGCATTCGAATATGTGATCGGCGGTACCATGTATGATGATCCGCGATTAGGTCCTCTGCCTGACGGATGGAAATTTTTGAAAGAATACGAACCGAGCCAAAAAGAATTGAGAGGATTTGTGGACACGAACACTGGATGGAAGACTTGGGAGGATCCCAGATTGACACCAGATGAACTTCGCAAGAGAGGGACGAAATTGGAAGAGTTTGTTCTCGTTTGAAGGTCTGCTTGTAGCCCATAGTAAATTTATGTCCTGGCATGCGGATAACCAATTTTGAGTTGAATTCAGGTATGTACAATAGCAAAACTTACGTTACAAGTAACCGAGGAATATTGGTACTGGCCGTATTTCTGTTTCGAAGATCTGTATTCTGATCTATGGCGGCCACTTCCCATCTTGATTCCTCATCACAATCAAAAGTCCCTAAACCCCTTCCCCCACTAACCATATCCTCCCCTTCTTCCTCACCTCCTCACTATGTTTCACCCACGCCCCACTAGCATCCACCCACTCCCCTCCCCAAATTTCTTCTTACACCACTCTAGCACCCTCCCCAGCTCTACACGTATCCTCTCCTCAAGCTCCGCCTCTCCTTCTTGTCCCCCTTCCTTCCGAAACTTCTCAACATCATCAATCAACCGTTGCGCAGCACCCTTATCCTTCCCGTAAACAAACTCCAAAAAGCGCACTCCACCCGCCGCCTTCCCCTTCATATCTTGCACGACGTTGAAATCAAGTCGTTGAGCTCCCTTGTGCTTCGGGACCCAGCCGTCGCTCGCGTCCTGCACATCGCTAGCCCACGCCCGTGCGTTGGGCATGTCGCCTTCGCTTCGGTGCAGGACTGAGTGGAGGAGCATGCCCTCGATTGCAGGTGGTGCTTGCATGTGCCGCACGAGGAAGTGTGCGGATGGAAGGTCGGTGTTGAGGAGGTGGAGTGTTGCTTCTAGGGTGGGATGTAGGAGGAGGGATGATATGGCGGGGGTTAGGGAGGGGTGTGTGGCGTGTGGTGGAGGCTTGGTGAGGTGGACTGATGGAACGAGAGTTTCCAAGAGGCTGGAGAGTGTTGCTTTGGATTGCGTCATGTTGGATATGTGATCGTGGTGGTTGATATGGTTGCTATAGGTGTTCAATGAGTTGACGGATCCACGCAGAAGCTTTCGTACAGCGTGACAGGACTTTAAGCTTGCGTACCTATGGTAGCTGATGGTGCCTAATTGTGCGCTTCGAGATATCCTTGGACTTAATTCTCCCGGTTTCGATCTACTGACATTTTGGGGCGCAGAGCGAAGTCGGAACGATTACGTCATGGACTAAGAATGTACTTGCATTCAATTTCAACGCATCAATGAAGAGTAACCAACACTTGTGACGAACGAGAATACATGTTAAGCAGTCACCATAAGACGGTGCTGACCTGTCAGATCGAATAAGCAGCAAAGCTATCCTACCCTTGACGTTACCAGCGTCCTATCACCTTTTATGGGGTTTAGCACACCGCCACCGTGGTCGATGAGCTCAAAGGCTTCTTCTAGATGAAGTTGCCCTCTATAGGATAAGGTGATGATGACTTGTATCGTAATGTCGACCTTCATGTAGACATATTGTCGCGATGTAACTAACTAGCCTAACGTGAGACTTACTTGATTTTCTCGAGAAACCGATCGGATCATTCACGAAATAGAATTCAAGACAAAGAATGAAGACTTGGAGTTCAACTTGATGTTATATGCGATAGGAGTGGATGTATTCATAGTTATTTAAATGCCGTCAGTTCCGTGGGACTAACAACCATAAGCCAAAAACTGAGTGGTCTGGCGGCATCTACACGTACCTCAATCTTACGAATCATGCCCCCCCAACCTGTTCATAGTTATAGACGACATCAAGGTTTGACAACAGCCCGCAATCAATCGAATATGCCATTGAATATATCGCAGACCTCATCGAGCACGCTATCAAGACTAGAATGTTCAGAGCCGAACTCACCGAGAAACGCATCAAAGCGACGTACACTGACCGTGCGCAAGCTCTTCCGGCAAACGAACTCAACAATCGAATAATTAGCGTCAACAAGCATATTCCAGTAAAGCAGAAGCGCAGTATCGCTCGGTCCAACGGTCCAACGCCAGGGTACAGGAAGTGATATGCTGAGGTAAACGCTAGAGTATTCTGAATTGTTGCTTGTGAGGTAGCAATCTCGTATAAACAGGGTACAGACTGATGGTATTACAACAAGCGGGGGCAAACCAGGACTTGTAAGAGTGTGCAGTCCTTGAAGGTGGATATCTCGGAAGTTTGTGGTTATCATTCAGAAGTGTATTGCTGAAGAGGAAGCGCTTGGGTTAGATGGTTGACATGATGCCTACTGGAGGTATAAAGGTACGGTCTGTTGCTATCAATGATGTGTTATACAACTACCGTTGATTTACATTTGCTATAACGTCCAAACGAGTACCAAGTATGTGCATAACGTAGAAACTGTTTGGGTACCTTGTTTTGGACAACAAGATCGTCGCGTTAGGTTTTTCCGGGGCTTGCTGGTGTAATTGGAAACAGGTCCTGTATAAGTAGCTGCGCGGTCGGTCGACTGGGTTCGATATGCAATCCTTCCGCTCGTTATAAAGTGATGAGCCGCTTGAACTGATATATATCAGATTATCTTCTAGATCAGAGTATCTGTTTTTGCAAAGATCAATGCAGCTGAATCATTGGCCTGCAGCATTTCGGTGGTTGACATTTCCGCGGACCTATGATGCACGCGTCTACCAGAGTGAAAAACTTACCGCGCCATCAGCCAATGAAAGTTCCTCTATAGGGTGATTAACCCCAAGAAGTGAAAACATGCGGCAATGCTTTCACGTCGAAGTGGCTGGCGCCCTTCGCCAAGAATGGCTCTGTCGCCAGACGCCACGAGGTGTTTATATATTCGCCAGACACACTCTGTACCTTAATTCTCACCACTCTGAGCTCACTCAACGTCGACCGACCTGAGCTTGCAGAACTGCCACAGAAACACATCCACATTCTCTCCGATTCGCCCTGAATACCCTCTGGTGCAATGGGTCCCAAACCTAGCCAGACCACGCCTCCAGAAGCATCCCTTGCGGTGCCAATATCCGAACGGTCCACCGAGGCAGTAGGTGACGATAGGCGAGCCTTGTGCGAGAAATACAAGCGCAACGGACGAACATGTAAGTATAGTCGAGCACTTCATGCCGTGTTAAACAACCCAACATCACTTCAACCTACATTCCTAATCTCCTTCGCGATAATGGCATCAGCCCTTGCTAACACAATACTCTCTGATAGTCATGCACTGGGTCCGTTGCGTGAGCAAATTTCCCATAAGGCAATGGAAGGAAAACGGCGACACGCGGGTCGATCTTGTGTCCTTCAAGAAAGGGGTCAACAACATTGTTGAGCGGCAAATCCAGCTGCCAGACTACGTTCGAACGGCCCTGGCTGATGCGATCGATCAACGCCAGAAGGTCACAGCGGACTGTATCGACGCGGAAAAGCCTAATCTTTCCATATCTACCTTGCGGCACCAGCATTTCACCGAAGAATTGGCCCATATTAAGAGTCTTCTGGATACGATCGAACAGCCTGTCACATCCTTCGACAGTGGCAAGTCTTCAACGAATGCGGCGAACACCAACTCTTTCCGTCTTTTGGAGACCGATGAAGACAGTCTCGAAGACGAAGACGAGAACGAGACCATGTCATTTGAGGGCGACGAACTCTGGCAGGAAATCAAAATTTCCGAAGGGATGTCGCTATTGGTGTATTTGCTTTCTCAGGGTATATCTCCATTCAAGGCCGGGGTGACCAGTCCTGGCTCGCTCGCAGCGGCCGCATGGGTCGCCGTAGCGGCTGATGCATTGACGCTCGGTATCTTGAGCTCTATGATTTCGCAGACCGGCCTTGACTGGGCAGAATTGCTGAAGAAGATGGCCGAGATGCATGCAAAAGGCGCGGATGAAGCTTTACAAATTCTTCCTCTACACCAGTATGTCGATCAATTCGTTCGAGCAGCCGAAAAAACTTTCCCGACTTCCTCGTCCACCGGTATCAAGGCTGAGCGCAAGAAGCTGAATCCGGCGGCCACGCAGAGGAATCAGAGTGATCTACAAGATGCTCAGCACACCCTTGAGCACACGGCTAGTGCATTAAGACAGCTTCTTGTTGATTCCATATCAGTGGACAAGGCTGCTTCTAATGTTGATGACCATAAAGCGTGGCTATCCCAAATCTGGCACCAGAACCTTCCTCTAGTCTCAGCATTCAGCCGCTACATTGCCTCCAAGAACAAGGAGAACGCAGTCTCGGCTACTGTGGATGCCATGTTCTTGCTCCAGACGACTGCCGCTGCCGAGCGCGCTTCAAATGGTGACATGACCCAGAAATCCTTTCGAGAGGTAATCGGCTTCGCCAGGTCGGTTAAAAAGGTTGTAAAGGAAATACCACAATCCATTCAGATCCTTTTCGAACAGACGCTCATATGGACACTGGACGAGGTTTATGACTTCTGTGGCCTGATTGAAAAGGTCACGATGAGCACTGCCACGTCTTCCCCTTGGGCGCTTGGTACACAGGTACTGCAAATACTAGAAGTCCTAAATGGTGCGACTTTGAGCATGATCCACCAGCACAAGCTTGTAGGCGCTGTTGTCCACGCCTACAACGCTCTTCGATGCAAGGTCAAGAACTTCAGGCCAATCGGGATCTTCGAGGCGCTTACGATGGTGCTCCAAGCTGAAGTGTTTGTCGCAAAGACCCCACCCACAACTGGCTTTTCCAAGGCGTTTTCTGACTACGTCAGTAAGCGTCCCCCAGTAATAAGAGGCATCTTCGAGGACAAAGACAAGAAACGCGGTAGTCCTTCGGTCGTACATCGGTACCCGTTTCCATGTCTACAGGTTCAGGACATGCTTCGGCGGAAACTTCGTGGGGCGAGCGCCGACCCAGCATCTCTTCCCCTTGCGGCCGAATGGAACATCATCCATACCATGGAACAGACGCGATACACTGCCGAACAAGAATTCAACGGTGCCATTCCTCTGGCACGCGTGAACTTTATTGCCGTCTTCTTGCTGTGTGTCGAGGCGCTGAGGAAGTTCGACCTGTCATTGGAAACACCGCTCACTCCTGAACTAGCTTCGAGTATGGTCGGAAAGATCGAAAGGATCCTGGGAGAGCTGGATAGAGCGGGAGATGGCTTGGTCACCAGTACAGGGTCCGTAACTGTACTTGCCGCGGTATTTCGGACGTTTGACAGCCGCCTAACAGAGGATGTTCTGTGGTTTAATATGTAGGGATGCGAAGGTAGCAGTTCTGTATGTACTAGAGGAACAAAGGCTTAGCTACGCTGTTCGTAGCGTCTCGAGCTTTCAACAACACCCGATATAAGACCGATTCTTGTAGTCGAAGATGTAGGGGCGCGAGGATGCCGATTGATGATGTGTTGGAGGAATGACAGGGAGCTGCACTGGCCGCAGGCATTCTATGATCGAAGTTGTAGGAGGGGAAGGGAAAGATCATACGTATATACTTTTCTTTTTGGAAGGAACGGTCGAATCCGGCTGCAGTCGACAATGGCACAGAATCCGTGACTGCACTTGCCGCGGTGTTTCGATCTTTCGACAACACCCCAAAGGACGACATTTTGTGGTCGAAATTATAGGGGTGCAAAGGGGTATCGTTTTGAGGGAACCTTTGAATCCAGCTACGATCGTCGAGGGCATGGGATGCGGAAGCTGAGCTTATCGCAGCTTTCCGAACTTTCGACAACTGATCACAGGATGGCATTCTATGGTCAAAGGTGTGACAGCTTGCAAATGTCGAATGTATTTGCATGTAGCGGGGAGGTTTGTTGTCGCCTGTGTTTGGTCAGCTCCAGCGTAACTGGAAGGCGCCGTAGCGTTCGGAACGCAACAACTGCAATATATCAATCTGTTTCCTCCTTTTCTTTCTTTCAAGTCGGCGTTAGGATGTGAGAAATAGGATTCATGAACCACAAACGATCAAGAAATAGAATCGTTCTCAGAACCGCTTTCGAAAGTATATAGTCATAAATAGCGTAGAGAAGATCAAAGATGCCATCTTTTGCCGTGCTCTTGCTTGATTTTTAATCCAAATCAATACCCATTTCCCAAGGAAGTCGAATTTACTGAGAACAAGACGGGCATGTAACTGTTCTTGATGAAACGTAGGATCAATATGATATAGATTCACGAAAGAAGGAGGAAAAGGTGGTTTGAATGACCAAAAGAATTGCCCCGGCAGATTGAGGACCATTCTGAAGTTGATGAACGAGATCAGAGCTGGAGAGGAAAGAGATTGCGAGAGCGAAGATGTAGATGGAAGACTCAATGTTGCATGTCTAGAAAAGGCAATCGTTCGCGATATCTTGGGAAGTTGCCACGACTGTGCTCGGTTTATCGTAGGAGCTGCGAGTTCGGACAACATTGTCGCAGAGATGCTACGAGTGTCAGCAAACTACGGGATTCGCATCCTATTTACCGTAGCCCGCCGCCACGATCAGCTATACCTTGGACATCTGAATGAACGATCGGGAGCGAAGCCGACTGTGGCCGTACTCTGACCCCTCTTTCGCAGCCCCATAGAACATGGGACTAGCGATTGAGTGTGGGGGGAAACCTCGGCGCGCATTCGGGTGTACACCGAGCCATCTCCCCTCTCCGCCGAGCTAAATCCATCTTATCACCGGCAGTCCCGCACTTCCACCGAGCGTCGTCCATGCTATCAGCGCCAACCCCGCGTCACGACCGCGCGACGACCGAGTTTCAACGGCGCTGGCCTGGAGATACATCGCTCTGGCGAAGCTGGACCGCCCGCGCTCCGCTGCGAGACACGCCCGCGTGTCGCTCCTGCCAAATGCCACCCTTTGGCCGTTCTAGGCCACCTACTGTGATGTCGCTGATGGAGTTTCGCCTCACCATCGCGCTGTCTATCTCGATGGGGCAACTTGTCCCGGTCGAAACCGGCATACGGCTCTCGAAGAGCTCTGGAGATGGGCAGGAGGCACAGATGTATTGACCATCAGCTTCACGACACGCAGGAACTGAGAAAGCCGTGGTAGAGGAGCATTCCGCACAAAGCTGTCCTCGGAATCTAGCTCGGAAAGCTACCCCTCAACGCTGTGGGAGCTCCCACAGCTACAAGGATGCGGCATCGGCGTCACAACTAGGCGCCGAGGAGTTCCTCGCGAGTACCACTCAGGAACAGGCACTACGGATGCAATTGCATGGTCAAGCTTTGAATTAAGCGGGTATGCAGGGTGGGCAGCTCGTCAAGCGCCTCCTGCCGACGCGTAGCACGATTCGCTGCGACCCCGCACCATCTGCGATCAGAGGCATTTCCCAAGACGACCGCAACTCCCGCGCCCGTGGTGGGCCACTCGCTGCGAAGCCGCTCTGCAAGCTGGAGTGGGGAAGCTAGCCAGTAACTCTGCAAATGACCAGAGACGGGGCCTCGATGCATGCGCGCAAACGAAATCGCTGGCTGAGAAGGGTATATAAACCCCCCTCATCCGTACTTCCGTTCTACATCCTACCCCAACTCCTTTGTGCATAAGCCTACATCCAGGGAAGCACTTTGACCTTTACGTCACGAACTACTGCAAGAGGTACACTACGACCCCGGACGCCATCCTTGACTTTCCACTAATCCGGGTTGCGTCAGGATCACGTACCGTGTCTCCTGGTATATAAACCACTTCGAGTACCTCTCACAGCTTCAAGCTACTCACTTTACACACAATGGTATTTCTCCGCTCATTCTCACGGGTTGCCCGCCCTGCCACCTCCCTCCTCTCCGCACGAGCCGGTCCTCGTCTCACCGGAGGAGCCTCCTTCGCTCGCCAACCCAATGCGATCAGAACGCTGACAGCAACTGCTACACAACAGGGCAAAGTACTTCTCGTACTGTACGATGTAGGTCAATTCCAACCCAATTGAGCCTGACCATAGCTAACAGCAACAGGGTGGCGTCCACGCCGAGCAGGAGCCCAAGCTCCTAGGTACCACTGAGAACGAGCTCGGCATCCGCAAGTGGATCGAGGACCAGGGACACACTCTCGTCACCACCTCGGACAAGGAGGGCGAGAACTCCAAGTTCGACCAGGAGCTCGTCGACGCAGAGGTCATCATCACCACTCCGTAAGTCGATGCTCCTCCTGGGCGATTTACCCCGCATGCGCGCTTCCGAATGCGCCCCGCTCGCCCACCCCACAATCTGAGTACCGAAATGGAAATTGTGCATTTGGCTAACACGGCGGATCCGCAGCTTCCACCCCGGTTACCTCACTGCTGAGCGTCTCGCCAAGGCGAAGAACCTCAAGATTGCCATCACCGCTGGTATCGGTTCCGACCACGTCGACCTCAACGCCGCCAACAAGACCAATGGCGGTATCACCGTTGCTGAGGTCACTGGCTCCAACGTCGTGTCCGTCGCTGAGCACGTGGTCATGACCATCCTCACCCTCGTCCGCAACTTCGTCCCCGCCCACGAGCAGATTGCCGCCGGCGAGTGGAACGTCGCTGCCGTCGCTAAGAACGAGTACGACCTCGAGAACAAGGTCGTCGGTACCGTCGCTGTCGGCCGTATCGGTGAGCGTGTGCTCCGCCGTCTCAAGCCCTTCGACTGCAAGGAGCTGCTCTACTTCGACTACCAGCCCCTTTCTCCTGAGAAGGAGAAGGAGATTGGCTGCCGCCGCGTCGAGAGCCTCGAGGAGATGCTCGCACAGTGCGATGTTGTCACCATCAACTGCCCGCTCCACGAGAAGACCCGCGGTCTCTTCAACAAGGACCTCATCTCCAAGATGAAGAAGGGCTCATGGCTCATCAACACCGCCCGTGGCGCCATCGTCGTCAAGGAGGACGTTGCCGATGCCCTCAAGTCCGGCCAGCTCCGCGGCTACGGCGGCGACGTCTGGTTCCCCCAGCCCGCGCCCAAGGACCACCCGCTCCGCTACGCCCAGAACCCCTGGGGCGGAGGCAACGCCATGGTTCCCCACATGTCCGGAACCTCGATCGATGCACAGAAGCGCTACGCCGAGGGCACAAAGGCCATCCTCGACTCATACTTCTCCGGTCGCCACGACTACAAGCCCGAGGACCTCATCGTCCACGGCGGAGACTACGCCACCAAGGCGTACGGCCAGCGCGAGAAGAAATAAGCGTTCTTTCTTGTTGCATGATTCCCACGTGTGTTTCCTAGCTGTTCTACAAGGAGTTGGGAGGGTATTTCTAGGTGTCTGTCCATAACCAATGCATATCTATGAACTCCTAACTTTGCCCTCCGTGAGACGAATTTCATTATAGTTGAAAACTTACCAGATTTTAGAACCTTATCATACATCTCAAATCTAAATTAACATCGCATTCCTATCCCTCAGTTTTCCGCGTCCCAAACTAACAACTACAGACTCCTACACACGCCGCACACCTCAAATCACAAACTGCCAACCTCCCCTTTTCATCAACTTTAATCCGTTCTTAACTCTTAGTGCTACCAGCTTTAGGAATTATGTTATGCCCAATTGTTCCCTCTATTAATCGTTTTCGTACTACATCCGGCAATCCATCTACGACACTCTCAATCCCACCCTCAAATCTTGATCCAAGCAGGAACTTCATCTAACCTATCAACGACATACTCCCCTCCCTTAAGCCCATGAACGATTAGACAAGATCTTCAGCTACCTGCCTCAAAACCCTTATAATGCCGGCTTACCAGAGATGAAAAGAGCGAGACGCCCGGGGCTACGCTGCATTTACCTTCTATCTATGTATGTATCTACCCGTCACTCGTAGCACTCAGGGCTAGGATCAACCTTCGTAATGGACAGACTTCTAGCACATCATGCAGGTGTGCTTCAGACAATACGTGATGTACACGTCCACCCAAGCGTTCCTCTTCGTCAAGTAATCCACTAACCTCAAGCTCCTCCATTCCAACACGCTCTACCTCCCAACCTATCTCAAGCGGCGTAGAACCCTTTCTCAGCGTAGCAGCGTAGTACAAGGCCCAGCATACATTATATTAACTATTACACCACACGACGTACTTTTCTTTCTTCATCCTCACCAATTATCAAATATGGCCATGCTGTCCGGAGCGAGCGTCAGATTAGTTCTCTATTTGAAACCTATACATGAGAAAAATTGCTGGGTATGCGTCTTACTTCAATGACTTGATGACTTGACTGGAGGAAATGAAAACGGGGAAGAGAATGCGCAAGACGTCGTTCTGTGTGGATTCTGGACGTATTAGTAATATGTAATGTGTACTTGTACGCAGTTCGGGCTCGTTCGTCTGTTTTCGCTTCAAGGGGGTGCACGTGCGCGAAGGGTATCCTAAACCGAGCTCCGTTTTCAGCAGAGCAGTATTCGTAGGCGATTAGGTATAAGCTTTGAAGTTGCGGTGTGGGATTGGAATGGGTAGGACTTAGCTTTTGTTGTTGGTGGACTGTTTCCATGTGTACGTGGATTGGAGTGAATAGAGGAATGGTCGCAGCCTGTTTTTGTGCTAGGTGGGTCTCGAGTACTTCGAACCTCTTGTATAGTATAGTATGGTTGATAGCTACATATACCTAATACTACATTCGTCCTGCCCTCCGCTGTATTGAAACCGAACATATAGTCTAACCGTCTATTTTTAATCTGAGTCTACGCAACTGAAGTCGAGCTGCGAACCCCGCTGCATACTCTTCTATCTCGTCCACGAGAGATCTACTCCACCCCCGTGCCGCTTAATACACTCTAGGTCCAGCACCTTGATACTGCTTAACATGTCGTATAAATGACCACGGTCTCACCGTCCTAGCGAAGGGTTTTAGGTTTACCGTAATATCTTGTCTTGAGCGATCGCTGCGTGTAACGAGGACGGTAGAGGGGTGGAAGGCTGAGGCTGAGGCCTGTGAGGGGTGAGATTGCGCTGGTGGTGGGGTTGGAGCGTTGAGGGTGGATGGGTGAGGGAGAGGAGGAGCTAGGGGAGAGTGGGGTTGGGGAATAGAGGGAGCTAGGGGAGGAGGGGAGGAATAGGAGAGGAGGTTAGGGAAGTGAACGGGGGTTAGTACTTTTACTGGGTTATAGGTGAAGGGGATAGAGTAGAGTGAGAGGGATAGGAAGGGCATGAGTATTCGACGCTTGGATTGTCGGTAGGTGCGGTCTGGTGTTTAGGGTAGGCACATCTAGGTACTCTTGGTAGGCGTTACTTCTGGACGTAGCAGGTGATGCGTAGGGGAACGAGCGAGACGACAATGCATTTGGGGATGTTACGACAAGCCAGTCTATTTGTCGTGAGCCGCCTTTCCATCATTTCCTGAGAGAAGTTTAGTGACTAAAGGGCAATGAAGTGTGTGGCTTGCCGGAGTACGGAATCGTCACCACCAGGCGCGTACAGAAAAGCATATGTACGATGCGTGCAAGCTAGACGCGAAAGAGGGTATATAATGCGTATGCAAGACGTGTATGCACAAATGCCTGCGCCAAGTATCAATATCTACTAGAACCGCGTTCGAGATAACGACCGCCGTCGCTCGTCTTCATGCTCGTCATCGCTCTCGTCCTTAAACCCCTCTTCCAGCTCCCGGCTCAGCCTCAGGTCATCCACCATCATGCTTCTTCGCTGTTCCAGCGCTTCTCTCCTGCGCTCATCCACCGGGTCGAAGCCCACCATGCCCTCGCCCTCCTCATCATCGAAGAGGCTATCCTCGTTGTGCTCGCTGACGCTCCCGTCTACAACCACTTGTCTTCCTCGTGCCCACCCCGACGGAACGAAGAGATTAGCTAGCGCATCGAATATCTTGGTCCGCCAGGACCGGGTGCTGTCAGCTACGCCGGCGGACATGGGGAGGTACTGGCTGTAGCGGCTGCGGTGGCGGCGCACAAAGGGGATGATGGCGTAGGCGAGGGCGACATAGAGGATGGCGGCGAGGAAGAGCGGTATGAGGAGGCTCTGGCACGGCGTCAGCGACTTCAGCTGGACGTGGTGTAGCTGTAGCGTTGTATAGCAAGCACAACGTTGCACTCCGAGTAAGGGCGCCTTGTCGCAGCTGTCAAGTACTCACCTTGACCAAGTGTAAGAAGCCGGCCATCGTGTAGAGTGGAGCGGCTTCAGCTGTCCACTGCTGAGGAGTGCTCCGAGTGTTCGTGTATGCGGGGCGCTAGGGCCGTTCGCGGTAGAAATGTACGTAGTATGTATGGGCACGCTGCTTGGTGATTCTGACACCTGCAGCTTTGCACGACTGCCAGCTGTTAGACAGCACCACAGGCTCTAGACGTCAAGAGGTGAAGTCCAAACAGACTTGAGATGGGATGTGCAGGCGGCGCAGGAGGGCGAAGCGCACGCCGAACATGCGCCACGGGGCGATCCAAGCACGCTTCAGGGGCGCCTTGAATGGCGTTTCACAGCCAAATGCGGAAACCTGGGAGGAAAGCGACAGCACGCGAGACCAGCGCTCCTCAGCTGCGTGAGAGCTGCAGTACCTGCATACGACCCTGGAGACCGTCGCGAGGGTCTTTAGTAATTCCCCCTTAATGCGCGAGGCGCCATCCCACTAATCCTAGACTCGGCACCACGTCGAGGTTCCCCGACCGCAACAGCGACCCGCATCGCAGCCCACCACGACCACAGACCAGAGCCGCAGCAGACGAGCGTTCACGCCTCTGCCCCGCACACCACGTTTCAGGCGCCCTGGGCCGCGAACACTGGCTGTTGACGCCTATCCAGCCAACGCCCACCGCGGGCACGCACAAGACCAGCGGCCAAGCAGTGACAGGAGAGCCGCCGCCGCATCGAGTCGCATAACGGCGCCGCGACGCATAGACGATGTTCTCAGGCACGTCGCAGGACAAGGGGAGGCAGAGTTCCGCGGGAAAGTTCTTCGGCCGCCGTCACCACAAGGACAAGGACAGGCCCAGCAATGAAACCCATCTCTCGACCCAGAGCCCCCAAGGGAGCGCCCATGGCTCGCAGTCGTCACGACACTCCCACAGACACACGAGCTCCGTCGCCTCTGTAGATCGCCCGCTGTCCCTCGGCCCGGAGCAAGGGCTGGCAATGCAGGCTGGCATCTACTCGAGCATACCAGTGCCTTCCTACGAGCAGAACAGCAACGCCCCGCGCCTGGTCGACGACCCCTACGGTGTACCCCAGCCTCACCACCTCGACAAGTCGACCGGTGACTACCACCAGTACCCCGTCTTCGATCCCTCCAAGATGCCCCAGAATGGCTACGCGAACGCTGGGCCGCCGCGCCCGCCACCCCACGCCACGGGCTCCGCAATGGCTTCTTCTCAGCCCGGCGACAGAGGTGTCTCGATCCAGCAGTGGGGCTCGGCAGGCCGGGGAAGCAATGGCAACACATACACATCATACACAGACTCCTCGAATAATACGCGCACGTCTTCAGACCAGGCGAGCGTCTACTCTAATGACTCCAGAAACCGCACCTCCAATGTCTACTACCCGCAGCAGAGCCAGTCTCAGTCTACCTTCTCCTCCATCGGCCTCGACGCCGGCAGCCTACTTCCCATGGCCGCATCTACGCCGCGCGATTCGCACCGCCATTTACTACATTCGAACCAGCCCTCAGCGTTTTCATCGACATCTTCTTTTGGCCAGAATGGCTTCTCGATACAAAGACCAGCGGATCATGTGGTGGAGCAGGAATTCATGAAGTTGATGGAAAGAAGAGGATGGAAGAGCTTACCGGAGCAGGCGCGGCGGCAGATGGAAGCCTACAAGATTGATAAAAAGTGGACACTGGTGCATCAGGATAAGCTGGCCGAGTTCAAGCATGAAGAAAGAAAGAGACAGACACAACGGCAAACATATGTGGGAGGCGCAAATCCGGACGTACTAGCGAGGGCGGAAGAGGAGGGCTCGCCGGAGTGGTACGTCAAGAAGGTTATGGATAATTCCATCACGTTGAAGCAGATGTCGAGCTTGGAAATCAGCCTGCGAACACAGCCAATTGCCTGGGTGCGAGGATTTATTGAGGCACAGGGTCAGATTGCGCTCACGAATGTGCTGGCCAAGATCAACCGCAGGAAAGGGCAAGGACCAGCACCTCCACCTAACTCGGTCTTGCAAAAGGCGGAGAATGATACTGAGCGCGAGTACGAGATTATCAAGTGTTTGAAGGCGTTGATGAACAACAAGTACGGCGCCGACAATGCGCTGCAATATCCCTCCATCATCCAAGCGCTCGCCGGCTCGCTCATCTCTTCGCGATTGAACACGCGAAAAGTTGTCTCGGACGTCTTGACCTTCCTCTGCCATTTTGGCGGTGGTACTGGTCACGAGAAGGTTTTGCAGGCGCTCGATGCCCTCAAGACGCAATATGGCGAGAATGGACGATTTGACGCGTGGATGCGCATTGTGGAAGTCACGGTTGATGGACGCGGAAAGATGGGCTCAATGGTCGGCGCCTCAGAAGAGGTCCGAAGCGGAGGTATCGGTGTGGAGAACCTGCTAATGGAATACGCAATCGCTACACTGTTCCTCATCAACATGGTTGTGGATAGCCCAGACCGAGACTTGCAGCTCAGAATGCATATCCGAGCTCAGTTCACAGGATGCGGTATCAAGCGTGTCTTCAAGAAAATGGAGGGCTTCCAGTACGATGTTATTGACAAGCAGATCGAACGGTATATGACCAATGAAGCTGTCGATTACGAGGAGTACCTGGAGGTGGAGAACAACTCCATGGTGGACGACGTGGAGGGCGAAGGCAAGGATCTCAATGACCCAATTCAGATCGCAGATGCGATAAACAGCAAGATCATCAACACTCGGGAGCAAGACTACTTCGTTTCGGCCATGCAGCATCTGATGATCATCCGAGATACCAACGGCGAAGACCGGTTGAAGATGTTCCAGCTCGTGGATTCTATGCTAAGTTATGTTGCCATGGATCGCCGTCTACCGGATATGGACCTGAAACAGAGTCTGAACTTCACCGTGCAGTCTTTACTCGACAAGCTATATACCGATTCGGAAGCGCGACAAGTACGAGACGAGGCAATCGAAGCTCGGCAAATCGCAGATTCCGCAATTGCTGAGCGCGACGAGGCCAAAGCACAGCTTGAACTGGGCGCAGATGGCTTGGTTCAGAAGCTCCAGAAACAGCTTGCAGAACAAGAGAATATCATCGCTGTAAGAGGGAGGCAGATCGAGCAGATGAAAGCCGAACTAGCTGAGATCTCAAGAATACGGGCCCAAGAGCTGCAGCGCAACGAATTGGAAACGCGTGAGCTGTACTTGATGCTTAGGGATGCTCAAGATGTTGCAGCATCAGCAGCGAAGAACAAAGGAAAGGAGGATCTCGGTGCTGCCGACCCTGCGCAAATGCAAGGCATTCTGGATCGTGAGAGGTTGATGGGCCGACTCGAGATCCAATTGCAAAGAGCGAAGACGCAGGCCACTCTCGAAGGCAAAGTACTAGGCCAGGTACAGCCGAGCGAGAAGCTAAGAGAGCTGAGAGAAAGAATGGAGGGTCAGACCGACGGCGACTTCGATGGTGTGGATCCCAGCTCCCTCGGCTCATCAAGAGCAAAGAGTGGTGTCGTGCGAAGGAAACCTGTTGGAAGTGCCTTTGACGACGACGAGGCGATGCCTGATGTTCTTGAGGATGATGAAGACGTCGTCATCGAGAAGCCTCGCCTCGTACAGATGCACAAGCCCAAGCTCAGCAATGCCGGTCGCCCTCCTACCGGACTCTTGGATGAAATCACGTCGAGAGTCCAACAATACGGCGACTCGGAAGCAGACGAAAGCGAAAGCGGTGCCACACCAGATGCTGAAATGACTGGGGCTGAAGGTCAAAGCGAAACACCCAAAGCTGGCGCACCTCCTCCACCGCCGCCGCCACCACCTCCACCTCCTGGTCAACTTGGATTTCCTGCCAACATACCTCCTCCTCCGCCCATGCCTGGCACCAATGCTGCTGGACCCCACCTCCTCCGCCTCCGCCCCCACCACCTCCCGGTGCACTCGGTTTCCTGCTGCTCCTGGCATTCCTCCTCCACCTCCTATGCCTGGTCAAATCGATGGCAGTATGCCTCCACCGCCTCCTCCGCCCCCAATGCCAGGTGCAAAACGAGGTGGCTTCATGCCAAAGGCACCTGCCTTTGGTACTGCTTCTGCGCACCTTACAGGACCCCGACCCAAGAAGAAGCTCAAAGCGTTGCATTGGGACAAGGTCGATTCGCCTAATTCAACGGTATGGGCAAATCATGGTCTGACTTCAGAAGAGAAAGAAGAGAAGTACCGTGAACTGAAAAACAAGGGTGTACTGGATGAGGTTGAGAAGCTGTTCTTGGCGAAGGAGATCAAGGCCATCGGCAAGAAGTCGGCGAAGAAGGACGACAAGAAACAGATCATCTCACGCGATTTGATGCACACCTTCCAGATCAGCATGTCCAAGTTCTCACAGTATTCAGCTGAGGATGTTACGAACATGATCATTCACTGTGACACGAAAATTCTTGACGATCCCGTTGTTATGGAGTTCCTGCAGAAGAACGATCTCTGCGATGTACCAGATAACGTAGCGAAGCTCATAGCACCCTACTCGAAAGACTGGACCGGGCCGAACGCGAACGAAAGCAAACGGGAACAGAACCCTGAAGATCTTACACGAGAGGACCAGATCTACCTGTACACCGCGTACGAGCTGCATCACTACTGGAAGAGTAGGATGCGGGCCCTTAGCCTGACTCGCACTTACGAAGCCGACTACGACGAGATCTCTAACAAGCTCCTCGAGATCACGCGGGTCTCAGACGCCCTGCGCAGTTCCGTCGGTCTGATCAGTGTCTTGGGACTTATTCTCGACATCGGTAACTTCATGAACGACGCAAACAAGCAAGCAACAGGTTTCAAATTGTCCACTTTGTCTCGACTGGGAATGTTGAAGGACGATAAGAACGAATCGACTTTCGCCGATCTTGTCGAACGCATCGTCCGCAACCAATACCCTGGCTGGGAGGACTTCACCGAGGAGATCAACGGCGTTGTGAAGGCCCAGAAGATCAACGTTGAGCAGCTGCAGACCGATGCGAAGAAGTACATCGACAATATCAAGAACGTCCAGATGTCACTTGATTCAGGTAACCTGTCTGACCCGACAAAGTTCCACCCTGAAGATAAGGTCGCCATCGTGGTGACAAGACACATGAAGGAGGCTCGACGGAAAGCAGAGCAGCTCCAAGTCTTCTTGGAGGACATGCAGAAGATGTACGACGACATCATGGCCTTCTACGGCGAAGACCCCACAGACGACAGTGCCAGACGCGATTTCTTCGCCAAGCTGGCAAACTTCGTCACGGAATGGAAGGTGCGTTCCCACCACTCTACCCTTTTCCCACATCAGATGCTAATCTCCGCTTAACAGAAATCCAAAGAGAAGAACATCCAGCTCGAAGATCTCCACCGCCGCAACGAAGCCAACATCCGCCGCAAAGCTGCTGGTCCCAACCCGCTTTCATCGTCTGCTCTCGCCAACGATACGGGCGACGCACCAAAGTCCCCCGCCAACACAGGCGCTATGGACGACCTCCTCAAGAAGCTGCGCGACGCTAAGCCCGAGGCACGCGACCAGCGTGATCGCCGTCGTCGCGCTCGCTTAAAGGATCGCCACCAGGTGCGCGTCGCAAGCGGGCAGCAAATCCCCGAAATAGGCGTCAACATGGAAGAAGAGAAAGAAGAAGACGCCGCGAGCGACGCAGGCAAAGCGATATTAAGTCCGACAAGTGAGGGCGGCGAAAGCAGCCAGAGCGCCGAAGTCAAGAGCCCGACTGATGCGTCTGCAGAGCCGGATGTTGCGGATCGAGCGGCGGCTATGCTGGAGGGTCTTACAGGGGGGTCCGTCAGCAAGGATGGAAGTCTTGTTATACGAAGGCGGAGGGAAAATGCGGATTCTGAGCGCGAGCGTAGACGGCGGAGAAGGCAGCAGGCTAGTACGGCGAGTAGTGTCCGGTCTGAAGACGCGGGCGGGCTGATGAGTCCTACGATTCCGGAAGAGGGAGAGGATGGCGTCAGGAGGGGCAGCGTGGTTAGTCGGGATGGCAGCGACGATGGGCCTCAGACGCCGATTACAATCGTCAGTCCGCCGAGTCCGGAGCAGAAGCGCGACGGGGACGACGGCGGGAGGAAGTTGCCTACGCCGCCGCCCGAGTCGTAGTTTACTCTCGCGGAAGCCTCATGTCAGCCTGACCGTTTTATGTACCGCTGCTGTTGTTGTTTTAGAAACGCATCGTTGGAAGCATAGCGTTTGTATGTCTGATCTGATACCTACTTTCTACGTTCTACAAGAAGAGAAGAATACCGCTTTTAGGATAAGAGCATCTTGAGGGTGGCTGATGCGGGGCGAAGACGCGGTGTTGTGCAAGGTACACTAGCATTGGGGGCGTTGGAGAGTGGGGGTATTGGAATGGGGTCTCTCTATTTAATACCATGATGTTGGATGCTTTCTTGAGGGTTTGCGTTGGGTTTGCGGAGCGTGATGGTGATGCCGAGGGGCGAGAGAGTGGCTGAGCTGGAGATGTTGAAGGCCACTCACATTCTCTACTGCTACTATGTTTCAGGTCACGACTACTCTGAGCGCCATCCCAGATTCCGACCTGAACCTCGTCAGGCTACGATACAGTTGCGGCGCGGGTACTGGCAGGGGTAGACGGACCCCAGAGCAGATCGTTTATTTGTTGTTTAGTGCTAGTTGTGATTAGGAATTAAGGTTCGGCTCCCCATCCAAACGTCCGGTGAATCATCCGTGCGTTCATATTGGAAGAGCTTGATCGACAAATTGGATTTATCTCATTGGGCAAAGGCCGACATGAAGCAGCTCGGGACAAGCCGACGGCTATGGCATGCATGAGGTTCACGATGCCGTTCCGACGTGGGAATGGCGCCGTTTCAATTGACCTGTCTGGGCACCGAATTGAACTATTGATTCGAGTGGGTCTTGAAGATGCGAGTTCGAACATCTTTTCTATCCGTATACCAACATTGTGAAAGATCTCTATCTGCAACGAGGATGTGGGGCCCAACACGGCACATTACTGGATGCTGTCTCAGCACTTACAGTCTACCATTTCCACGGTCAATTAGGGCAAGCTGACTTTTTGGATTCCACAATCAGATCACTAGCTAACATGACTAGTTGCCGTCGCTAAAGAACGTGCAGCCGCACGATCGCTACTAGGGTAATTAGTCCCAACTACGCTAATCTTGAGACGACCGGTCAGGTTGACGAGCGACGAATACGATATCCCCTGTTTCAAGATGTATCCGCGAGTCAACAAGAGAAACAATAAACATGCGATCCGAAGCCTCGTACGCCTGGCATGGAATACTGGTCAGTCTTGCGCTGATGCTTTCATGTAAGCATGGAGATGGCCGAACGTAGCATCTCCTACAGTCGAAGACAGTTCGCCCTGGATACTTGCTTGTCGATCAAAGCCTTTGGATGCATGTCAAGTCGGGGAAATACAAAGACGTGCAGCTATTCAGCGTTTGCTTGTCCCAAAGCGGACCGTAACTAAACCTATCGAAGCTCGATCGACTGGGATATGCTCGTCTACATGTAGGACTGAACCCTTTGAGTAAGCTTCGGAAGACCCTCATGCCAGAACTCCACCATTTGCCTAGGTTTGCTATGACAAGTCCAGCGTAAACCCACCACACTAGCTTCAGTCTCAAACAAGGCATTAGAACGCCTCAACGCCAACGTCGATGATCTTCGAGGCCATTGCTATTACTGTCTTTGCAGTCAAACAGTCTCAATATGTATAAAGTATTGTTGTCGCACTGTTGCTCACCTTCAGCCATCAAGGTCGACATTGGCGTTTTGCTATTGAGGTTTCTTCCCACGGGCTGAACATCATCTTGTCTTTCGCTTCCCTGTAACAGACTATCCTTCTTTATAATGTATATTTCACAATCCTTCCTTGCCATCCTGGCTACGGCTAGCACCGTCCAGGCCTTTCAGTTCTCCGATGTCACTACGACAGCTTCGAATGTTAAGCGTGGTCTTGTCTCCAAGCTCATGGGCGGCTTCATCGGCTTTCAGAAGCAGGAAGCATGTCCAGCAGTGTGGAGTGAGATTTCCACAACCCTCACAGAGCAGTTCCTCGCGGATGGGCAATGCACAGATGCTGCTCGCGCTGCTATCAGAGCAGCCTTCCACGACTGTTTCAACGGCGCCTGCGATGGATCGCTCATCCTAGCCGACGAGTGCTCAAGGCGGGAGAACACTGGCCTTGTACGTGTTTGCGGGAATCTGGGAAATCTAGCCCAGCAGAAGGGCGTCGGTGTTGGCGACCTTATTCAATTTGCTGCCGGTATGCTATTCTACACTTGGAAATCCTCTCCAACCCAGCCTATACTGACCGGCTCCCAGCTCACGCCATTAAAACTTGCCCCGGCGGACCCACTGTCCCCGTGAAGGTCGGCCGTACAGACTCCTCCGATGCCTCTCCCGCAGGCGTCCTCCCAACCGGCCGCGAGTCCGCTAGCGATCTCATCCAACGCTTCGCCGCCCGCGGCTTCTCCCCCGTTGACCTCGCGGCCCTCATTGGCGCCCACACCGCAGCCCGCAATCGCGCAACCGTCCCTGACAAAATAAACCTCACCATGGACTCAACCCCCGGCCAGTGGGACAACAAGTACTACCAGGAGACGATTAGTGGCAGAGCGCCTGTTACACTCCCCGGTGACAAGAGCATGGCGAATAACCCAATCACTGGAATTCCCATGAAGAGTTTTGCGGTTAGTCAGGGCACGTGGAGTATGGCGTTTGTGCCTGCTATGACGAAGATGAGTATGCTTGGTGTTAAAGGTGATGGGTTGGTGGATTGCACTTCTGCTTTGCCGGGAGGGAGCAGGAAGAGGGATGTTAAGCGATCAAATATGTTTGAGAGGTTGAAGTGGTAGATGGAAGGGTAATGCGTTGATATTAGGGCATGTGTGTACATATTATTAGGAAGATACCATGAGATTCTTGGGTGGCATGGCGTCTATGATTCAGATTTTTGTCAGACTCGTTGGCAGCGCTATACATATAAGGAGTCAATAATGCGTATTTGCTTTGTTCAAAAAGTACTTTATATGATTGGAATGGCTTCTCGAGTTCTAATGGAAAAGATCTCATAAACTTTTTGATAGCCTACGTGACTGGACGTCAACGGTCGCTCCGTCCTGCCGGTAGAGCCCCTCCAGCGCAGCATTTTGTAATTCCCAAACCTCCGAAGTCCCCAGTAATATATAACGACGCGATCTTAACTATCCCAAATCTTTAAAGTTCGTCCCAGAAGATCTCATCCGGACGCCGGCGGTTGAATGACTGCAAAGTCGCTTTCAGCCCCGCAGCAGGCCCTGCACCAACAGCCGCTTGACCTTTGACATCAAGTTGCTCGAGTGCCTGCACGATTCTTCCAACCGCATTGGATGCGCGCTCCAGGGTGAAGGGCATATCTTCGCAGTTTCCGAACTTTCTCAGCACTTCGGCGCAGAACAGGAAGACAGCGATAAAATTCACCCGCGCAAGAGGTTCGTCGCCGGAGAATTCACGACTGGCAGTCAGGCGCATCTGCTCCATCATGTCAACAACGCTCCAGTCTGCTATCGGTCGCAAGTTCGTTGAGTTGGGGCTGCTTGACTGCAACATTTGCATGAAGTCAGTCTGGTCTTGTTCGTCGAATGGATGTGGGTGTTGATGGACTACCGACGGTCCGTGGTATATACCGCCTTTCCTTTGCTCCCAATGGCCGTCAGCGCGGCGAGGGCGATGGGCGTCGTAATCCTGGAACGCTCTTGCAAAACCAGCCTTTGGTGCTGAGGCGTCGGGAAACAGATCAGCCTTCAAAATGCTTGCAATGGCTTCAATGATTGGAACCCCTTTGAATGTCGGATCTATACACGCCAAAGCATTATGCACGTGGAGGACAGCTCCAACTACGCGACGCTGATGGACCATAGCAGCTGTGGACGTGTTCAAGATGCCCAAAACGAGGAGTATCTGCGTTCCAACTGTCCATGGCAACGCGGTGGCTGTGGACCTTTCGTTATCCTTGACCATGTCTCAAATTTCGCAAACTTGGCCAAGCTCACTGAGGAGCTTTGGCTCAAAGTGATCTTTGATCAGCGGAGGAATGGACTTGACAAATTGCTCCACCGATGTGGCAAAGTCGACTCCTTGCTGGAACGCACCGTTGAACACCTTGCGACCGGACACTTGGCAAACGACCGAGCTCGTGTGCAATAAGAAGACGAAATCAACCGTTGCTATCAGGGCGTGGTACTGGGTCTGAGGCTCGTTACCATCACGCCGGGATGTGTCAAAGAGAATGAGCTTTTGCGCCAGTGGAAGCCGGTGAAGCCATTCTGCGGGTACCCAGGCATTATCGTCGATCGTTTGACATCGAATCCAGATATCCGGGATGAGTCGCTGTAGCAACGAAAGAGCTTGTGAAGTAGACGTCAACGGGCGGCCCAGGTCGGTTTCAATTTGGCCTGCTTCGACGGTAGCAGTGTTCTGCGACAATTCCATCGTTGGAGACATAATGGCATCAAGTCGCTCGAAAAACATTTTGGCTTTGGAAGTGAACTGGTCCACCGACTCATGAAGCGGCAGCAGCTGCAACCCGTCCACATTTCCTTCCGTCTGCAAATTTGCCGCAGCTTCCAGCAGCCCGGCCACATCAAGCTCAGTTCTGCCCATTATTTCATGGCACAAGGCGAGTGCCAGAGCCCGTGCTCCCGCCGTGACCCACGCCGCATCGGCGAGACCACGAGGAGTTGCAGCCCTGCTTCTGAATGCGCAGCAAGCCTGGCCAAGGACGTACGCGACCTGCATGATCCAAATGGCGAAGATCATTTCTTCCAATAGGGTATCACCTTCGATGCACACCGGTTGGGACTCCTTCACTTCCTCCTCGCTACTGTCAGTCCCCAGTGTACCGAAGGAACCCTGGGTCGTGACAAAGCCTGGCTCCCGTTCAAGAAAAGTAGGCCTGGGCCTCCAAGGTGGCAGTGGAACAGTTTCAATCTTGCTTTTAAGCTCGCGCAAGTCGGCCGTAAACTTCTCATGACCCAGCGTCACTTCCGAAACGTTCGCCCCTTCTACCATGCGATGCTTCGCCGTAACTTCCTCCCGGCCTTTGATTGCACTGATCAAAGCACCACGGATGCTGGGTGGAGCGCATTTTTTTCGGATGGCAATGTCGTTCGCCGCCTTCTTAAGAGCCGGCATCTGGACATACTCCTGTCCGGGCCCTGGAAGTTTTGGAACTTGGATGTCGCTTGTAGCTCTGATCCAGTCGATTACTTTGAGGGTTGCTCGTTTATAGGAGTTGACCCGCTCTGTGATCTGAGCGTAGGTCTGCGGATCGAAGAGGTGCCGTGAGCGATTTTCAAGACCCAGATCGCTTGAGAGAACTTCTTCGGGCTCGGCATCGGGGAGAGTATTTTGATCGAGGCGGAAGTACTTGTGAGACATCTTGGTGTGAGAAGGATGCTAAGAAGAACTTTAGTAAGGGTATGCGATGGTGGATAGAGCGATGGGTGGCGTGGTTGTTGGGCAGGGTGGAATGTGTGGAGTGGGAGTTTTTGAGGGAAAAGAATGGTAAGAGGGGGTTATATAAACACGGTCCTGGCAATGTGCCAGGCCGTTGGGTGGTTGCAGCCACACAAAGGTGAAAGTGCCATGATAGCCTCTTTCACGTTAAAGAGGGTCTTCGATCTCAACCTCTTCATGAAGCGGCCAGCCCCACACCTGCGAAGCTGGTAGCATACTCTTTGCCCAATAGTGTAGGGCAGACCTGGCGATACCGAAGACATTGCAATAGATGACCTTCTGGACAGCTGAGATGGAGACAGACGAGCACTTCAAGAAGCTGCGCAGAAACTGATCTTATATGAATTAGTAACAACCGGGCCGCGATGTTTCTAGTAGGAAACTTAAGGAACTTGTTCAACTGTACCAAATGGCGAACAGAGACGGCTGAGACAACGAATCGGGGGAAGTTTGGCGAAAAAGGTCCGGCAAACCACCTCAAACATAGTCGCGTCACAACATTGATCGGTGTGCTACTACTAACTGTTGCGCTAGCTATGTACCAGACGTTCTTTCAGATGGGTGGACTTTCGCATTGCGTTTTCTTGTGTGCATTTGGCCCAAGGCGCGTTTGTCTATGTGCCTGTCTTTGCGCGTGGGTTCGTTGCCTGCAAATTATTTCGATGGGTTTTAGTGCAGGCAGTTTTATTCATAAATAGATGTTGTGGGCATCTTTCGACATAAGTTTTCTAGCCTCTACTCCTAGGCTCTACTGATATATAACTTAGCTAATCATCCCATCCATGCGTTCGAGAAGAGTATATATGACATAGTTTCACCAATCCTTTCCCTCATTTTTCATCATCCGTTAAAGAAGCACTCATTGCTTTCAGCACAGACCAAAGCCTACGCATGACAGAAATGACCTATTCTTTCACTACTTCGCGATATAGCGCCTTGGCTCCACACTCACGACAGAGCCTCTGGTGGTTTATAAACACCCCTAAAGCGAATGCTCTCTGCTATACTCTTCGCATTCCACCACGACCAGATTCGAGACCATCAACTCCAATTTACGCACCGTGGTACCCTCAAACCCTTCATTTTACCAAATTACCCCGGTAGTCTAACGCAAAGGTAGCACCTGCAAAATGGCATCTTCTCAGAACATGCAGAACGATACACCCGCCCTCACCACGCTCTCCTATGCTGGAGATGTCATTCTCAAGCCAAGCGGACATGGAAAGCCCGCCATACGCCTGCTATGTTCGTCAATCTGTCTTGGTCATGGATCTTCCGTTTTCAAGGCCATGTTCGAACCGGACCGCTTCGCTGAAGGCCAAACTCTGTCAGTCGACTCTCCTCCCGAGATACCGCTGCCTGAAGATCATCCACAAGCCATCGAGAGACTGTGCAAAATCCTTCATTTCCGGTCGGGCGACGATATCGCATGGGACATAGACCATTACGCGGATGTCGCCATCGTCTCTGAGAAGTACGATTGTCGAGACGCTGTTGTGGCGTGGTTTCAGATGTCTGTTCCTCGCATCTGGGCTCAGAATCGCCCCTTCTACGACGAAAAGCTGCCCTTCGTGAGCTATGTCTTGGGACTCCCCTCTGAGTTCGCAAAAGTCACAAAGAGAATCATCTTAAGTCACACGAAGGCTTTAAACCCGGTCACTGCCACGCACAAGACGGATCTAGTGCCGCTTGAGCTTCTGCAAGAACTCGAAACGCGTCGGCAGGTAGCGCTCCAGAACGCCACAGACGCCTTGAAGCCCGAGTTTGTTCAGCGTATTGGCCTGGGCACTATGACGGTCGCTGCAATGTGCCCTAGGGAGCGGGCGGTGGCAGACTCTTGGTTACACAACCTTATCTCATCAGGCCTCTTGTTCATGCCCCTTGTCCAGTCGGTGGAAGCTATCAAGTTCCGCGTGGATGGGCACTTCGCAAAGCTTCCCATCGAACACGGAGTTGCTGCCTGCTCAAGCAACATTCCATTCTGGCAAGGACGATGCGGCTGCCAAACTGGAGAGTCGAAGCGAGACCATCTATCTGCTGAGATTGGTTTTATGATCACAATGACTAAGGGGATGTGTCTAGATTGCTTCTACCGGAAGGTCTCAGATGGAGCAATCGATCGTCACTGTCGCGTTAGCTTCGACCATGATGGCATGAAGAAACCGGAATCATAGAGGACGAGTTAGCTGTGAGCTTCGGAACAACCTGAATTAGAATGGCATGTGCGAGGACGTTTCCTAAGGTGTTTTTCTCGGGTCGGCAAGCGGGTTTCACTTGCGGATGAGAATTACCCAGACAAGGATCTGGGCAATGGACAGTGTGATTAAGACGATGTGCTTTGAGGAGCTTCGGAGAGTGCCCGGAAGTTGAGGACGGAATTGATGGGGGGACTTTGGGGTCGGGCTTCTTTTGAAGGGCATTTTGCAGCGATGATTGGTCGAATGGATGAGTCATGGATACCATCTCAGTTGAAGAAATTTATGTATATGGTGTTCGTCGGAATCGCGGAGACGGAAACTTGTTATTTACACAAAGAATCCTTGCCATGGCTTCATTGAAACATATCTTCTGGGGCATCACGTGCCTATCTAATCGAACTCAAACAATCGCCCCGTCATAGTGGGCTCATACGACGGGATATCCAACGGTGCTGGCGTCTTGTCCTGCTTGCAATTCACTTCAGCCCACCTCAGCCACCCACCATATGTCCCTTCTTGACAATCTGTCCCACTGTGCTTCCTCCACAACATCCCCAAAGTGGCTGCACCAAACAACTTCGCCGAGAAGCCATGCCCGAGTTTCATGCACCAGCTCTCAGCAACCGCCTTCTCCACGATCGTTCTTGCAAGCTTCTGATCTTCGCTTTCCTGCTCTTCATGCCCCGGTAGAGACAAAGCAAAAAGCTCATGTTGCTTCTTACTCGTCCAATTGGTCAATGTTTCGTGCACGTAAGTTTGATCGATCATGCTGTAAAACCAACACTTCTCGCGCACGTACTTCGGACCATTCCAACCGTCTTGCACATCCAACCATCGCTGCGCAGCACCCAAACATTGGATCTGCACCGCGTAGTCCGTCATCGCTTCGTCGTTGATTACCATCTTGCCCTTGCCCTCCTCTTCTACAACAACTTCCTGCGGCACCCGCATCAACGGAACATGACTCACAAGTGGATGCCTCGACGCGCCTTTCGTATTTGTCTTGCCTTCCCAAAGCTTGAGTAGGATGTAGTGCGCCCGCGCAACAAGCGGATTCTCCGGCCCGGCCATCAACCAGAAATTCACGGCTGAGATCTCAGGGAACTCCCCCATAGTGAACCCCGCGAATTCGTAGGGTGAGTTGGGATTCGCTATTTTCTGGGTCCAGAGCCAGTCTAGGTCGCCGAAGTGCAGCACTCCTACGTCCATGTATACGCCGCCATATCTCAGCAGGAGTGGGAACCGGACGAGGTCGGAAGTGTGTTGGGCTGCGTAGTCCCCGTCTAGGTTTCCTTCTCGAAAAGCATCAGGGACTACGGATGATGAGGTCGTGTCGATAAAGCGGGAGATATTGAGTGGTGAATCTGGGACTGTGTCGACTACATATACGGTCCAGCCGAGTGGGGAGTACCGGCGATACCAACCGAGAACGTTCCGGAGGAGGTAAGGTGGAAGTGTACGAACTCCTACAACGCAGGGGAAAAAAGTTAGTGAGCGATCGTAAGTTGGAGCAACGGGTACAAGTAGATGTCCTAGCTAGCTGCAGAAGTCTGGATTCTAGACTCGGTAATAGAATCTGAAAGTTCTGAAGATTTGCGATAGCTGAAACACCCACTTCGTGCCCCGACATTACTCACCAGTATTCCAAAAGGCGAATATGGACTTCGAGTTGGGCCTAGGTAGATCAGGTGACGTGAGAGATGCAGGGAGATTGGGCGGAGATATCGGAGGCAGTGGATCGTATGAAAGGCAGGATGTTCCTGGAATGGGTGGGTATTGCATTTTCGTCGAAGTAGTTGCGCAATTGTCGCGCTATCAATGTTGTGTTTTGCTAGAGGAGCTTGCGGTCATGTATACCAATTCCTGGATAAATTCCTATTCCCAAGATATTTATGTGTGTCGTGTTCGGATACACCGAGCTTGTGCATCGTGACACTCATGGCTGCTCATCTCGACTCATTTTCGTGCGCTTGCCAAATCAGGGAAGGGCGTAGGCTCATAAAAATGGGGCGCAACACGCTTATCTTTTCTAAACTACTGCCATTTACGATTCACTACCAAAACAACAGCTATGCGTCTTAGTGCATCAACTTTCATTAATACTATTCGTATAGTAATTTTTGATAGGCGCTCAACCGCAGAGGAGCTTCTTCAAATCTCCTTTACTGCCTTCGTGGCCTGTTCGCTCCAAGCTGTCATCTGCAGGAAACCATGTGTGAAAGCGTCGTGGTGTCTCTACGTAGTCCGTCCCAGAGTCGCCGGCAACTACCTAGCCATTCTTAAAGGAAGCAGTAAAAAAACTGAAAGGAACGACAGGACACAGCCTGAAGAATGGGTTGAGACTCGATGTGAATTGATAATCTGCAAACCACATCATGTGTGTGGCTGGTGAGTTCCGCTGTTGCCGGTTGTTGAGTGATGCTTGCCCTGAAGCGGTGAAGCACGTAATGTCGACCATGGCGGTTTAAGACGGGTCCTACTTTCCCCCGCAAAAAATCATCGCACACTCACAGAATCTTAACACGCATCACCGACTGCAACAATACCGCTCTTAAGGAGCACCAAGACTACGACTTACCACAGTTTTACAACACCTGACGAAAACCTCATCGTGGAAAATTGCAGAACATGCCTTGTGCTTACGAAGGGCTCAGCCAACAGGAATGGGAGGACGCTGGCGACCGTTTCAGTGCGTCTATCGAACCTCTATTGAATATGCGCCCGGTGCAACTTTCTCCTAAGCACAGACTTACTCACACATCGGAATTCGAACGCTACACCGGTATATCAGATCCTAAGCCAGTAATACGTCTCGTCCGCGTTGTCTCGGATAAGGGTACCAACACGGAAATGATCAAGGTCGCCGAGATTCCAAAAGACAATCCAGAGGGACCTTTTGCGCCATCTCGATATCTCGCATCCCTTCGAAGGGGCCCAAGGAAAGAGAGGAAACGCCTCATTCCGAGACCGCAAGCTGATTAGAACGATGTCCCAACACGGGTCTGATGAAGAGTTTCCCTTGTCGTCTGCTAATTTCAACACTCACGCACCCTAACATATCAAGAGGCAATCGACGAACTATTCTTGCACCGTTTGAAAGCAACTGGAAGCTGGGATGTACCCCAACATATCGGTACGGCAATAATGGGACTCTGGCGCTATGGAATGTCAATCGTCGGTATAGCTTGTTTGGAGACTAATCTATGATTCTGCAAATATATCTACAGAACTAGTGCTGCACTCGCTACACCAGCTGCTAATGCCTACTCAGGGAATGTAGCGTAAACGGATAACGAAACCTGTTGCATGAATGATTGGCAGCAATGTGTCTAGGCTTGATGAGGTCGCGAGCGCGAATTTCCAATGGGCTTATCAAGTCAACGGGAGGGCTGCTCTGGCCATCTGGAATATTTCTATCAATCTGTCAATTCCCCTGTTCAAATCGTAGAGGAAGTGCCATTGAGTCATGGCAGCCACAACGACAACAAATCAGCGCATCGCTGTATAATGACCTCATCCGTAAAGTATTTCGTACACGACATTCAGCCTCGCCAGCAAATAGTATGGTCAGACGCGCGAGCCACCCAGACACGGTACACTGAACGTAGCCGTCCAATGCAGCGCGATAGATTACATAACGTTCGGCAATGACTGCGCCTTTCAAAACGCAGGAGATGCTCCAAGGCTCACCTTTGGCGGCGCAGTTTGTAATTGCACGCAGGTCGAGGCGCACACAAGCTGCTATGATCTCCGCCAAGCTTCGAAGGTTTTGCCCAATGACTGATGAACAACGCATCTCAGCCCATGTCAGCCTGGCCGCGGAATACGAAGCGTACCGGTTCCAGGCTAAAAACGAGAACCTTACTTAACTTTCGAACCTGGCCACCACTTCGTCGACATCAGCTCTGTTATCTATTCAGCCGCGGGGATACTAAGCACAATCGACTGCTGCATAACGCACGCGTGCTTACCTTGGAATTGTCGTAATCTTTACGTACCGTCAGCCATGGTATTGGATGGGATCTCAATTATCGCACTTACAGGTAACATCATACAATTCATTGATTTCGGCACAAAAATCCTGAAGAGCACACACGAGATTTACCAATCGGCCGATGGCATAGGCGAGGATCATGCGCAGATTAGCAAACTGAGTGAAAGCCTGGAAAATTTCTCAAAAAGGCTGGAAACATCGGCTGTAACACAGAGAGCGGCTGCGACACCTTCAGAAGATGAGCAAGCCCTGATGACATTGGCCACCGAATGCAGAACGGTCATAAATCGGCTCGGCGCTGTCTTAGCTGATATTCACAAACATGCGCACCACCGCAAGGTTTGGAGAAGTCTTCATGAAGCTTTAAAAAGTCGAATGAAGGAAGCGATATCCAGAAGCTTGAGGCACAGTTGATGGGATACCGTTTTGAGATATCATTGAGGTTCATGCGCATTTTGAGGCAAGTCAATCCAGACAGTGAAAATACTTACTAATGAATCCGCAGCGATGACCAATCGAAGGTCATAGAGATGCTGAAAACATTTTCTGACGACAATAAACGACTAGAGGTTTTTCGACAGGCCCAAATCACCAATGTGAGGGAGGAACTAGAAACCTATCGGAAGCAATTAGATTCTGCAATGGTCCTAAAGTCCGATTTCTACAAACTGTCCACGGCGTTCGACAGTTTCATTTCTACTAGTGCTCAAGTACAGAATGAAGAGAAGATCCTTGAAAGCTTGAGGTATCCACAGATGAAAGAGCGGTATGCAGCCATTCCCAAGGCACATGCTAGAACGTTTGAATGGATCTTGGAAAGTACCACTGAACGAGACCCGAAACGGCCGTATGTGGGGTTCGTGGAATAGTTAAAGAACCCCAACTGCGGTGTTTATTAGGTAGCAGGCAAACCGGGATCCGGAAAGTCCACATTGATGAAATTTATATGCGACCACCCCAATACGAAGGCCGCGTTAGAAAAATGGTCCACTGGCAAAAACTTGACGACAGTTTCATTCTTTTTCTGGAATTACGGTACATCGAAACAGAAGTCCCTAGAGGGTTTGTTGCAGACCTTGCTCTACGAGATCCTGAAGAGATTTCCGGACGCCATATCGCCCACATTACCGCTGCGGTGGAAGAGTAGGGTGCAAGACCTCTGGACCCAATCTGAGCTCCTCCAGACTTTTCTCGACCTCAAAGGAAATCTGAACTCGTCCACATGCTGCTGTTTCTTTATCGATGGACTGGACGAGTATACTGGCAACCCCGAAGAAGTAGTTGACGTTCTCAATGTACTCTCCTCGATGGAGAACATCAAAATATGTGTTGCCAGTCGCCCATGGCCAATTTTTCAGAAGTCGTTCGGTTGCAACGAAACCCGCAGGCTTTATGTGCAAAATCTGACCAAGACTGACATCGCACTGTACGTCCAAGATCGACTTGCAGCAAATCCGACATTCGCAGAGGCTAGCCAAGGGGACTCTCGTTACGCTGGTCTAGTCGCTGAGATCGTGAGTGCATCTCAGGGTGTTTTCCTTTGGGTTTTCCTGGTCATCCGATCACTTTTGGAAGGAATAACCAACGAGGACACACTACGTACTTTGGAAAAGAGACTTCGAAAAATTCCCAAGGATTTGAATCATTTCTTCAAACATATTCTGAATGGCATCGATGAGGTCTACCAGATGGCCCGCACGATTATGGTCAGTCTTCTGGATCGGAAACCTCATTTCCTCCTCATCTACTGGTTTATCGATGAGCTTGAAGAGAACCCAGACTACGTGCTTGAGATGCCCGCACGTAAAGCAACGGGAAGAACCATAATGAAAATTGAGTCGAAAATGGAAAGACGGCTCGCCGCACGTACGAAAGGACTGTTGGAGGTGCAGAAAGGACGACAAAGCACCTACAATATTCACAAGGTCACATTCCTGCATCGTACCGTGGCAGACTTCCTGAGCAATTACAATGCGCGAGGATCATTAGACCGTTTGGCTGGCCCCTCATTCCAACCTGAGACGTCAATATGTCATGCGATAGTGGGCCTTGTGGACCTGGTACCCGACGCTTGCATCTCCAGCACAACTCGTCAGGACTTGTTTAACGAGTTGCGTCATTATGCGTATCACGCCAAGCTGGATCTAGACTCGCCATTGTTGGCATTGCTGCATCGGCGCGAAACGGCTGTAAATACAAGGGAAAGGTCCGAGTCACCCCCCGAGCAAATACTGCTTCGTGCTGTTCGGCTGTAGGGTCAAATCGGGGACATACGATTACTTTCTCCCACGTTGGCTACAAAGGAGGCCTCAGAACTCACACAGCAAAGGCTGCAGAACAATAAGAAGATCAACGCATTTTCGCATATATGGAAAGGATTGATTTTATGGGGCGTCAAAGAGAGCGATTAAGGAGTGGCAGATTGATACGGATGTCTCTTTGCCTTTAAATTAAGTCATCATTATGCACATGGATGCATTCACTGTCCGTTTGATGGAGGTTATATAGAATCGTGTGCCTTCATCGTGGTGCAAATGTTCCCTACGCCCCTCCGCAGCTCTGTGGAGGAATTGTGCAGCAATCTTGTTCCACATCCCGTTACCCGAGCCAAAACCCCCGATAACAGGCGTCAAAATCCGGCCAGAGATTCACTAGATCGATTTCAGAGAACAGAGTTTTAGCCACTCCGATACGCCGTGCAACGCCGTTAGTCCAAGCCAACATCAGCAGGTGCAACCAGAAACGGCGGGCGCCCATGCCGTCGATGCACGTAGGTACCGCTGAGACGAGAAGAAAGTCATACTTCACGTTGTGGTCTACGGCTTCGTGGAGTGCTTCCTGAGCAACAGAGAAAGATTGTACGCGCTTGCGACTATCGGAGATTGAATTACTGAAATGCAGCAGGGACCCTCGATCGTTGGTGTTGGGGTTCGATTGCACGTGTGTTTGCGAATACGGAAATTTGAGTAATATCCCTTTCACGTACAGGAAGCCTTGGTGAGTTGTTGGTAGGTTAACGTTTTCGGTATCGAACAGTGTCTGGGTAGTAGACTCATAGAGTGATTGTAGACGCTCTATCATTGCTACGCCACGTTCATGTTGACTTATTGTGGATGCGTCTTTGAATCCGTACTCGACCCGATTGCCCAGAAGCCAGATCTCTAGAGGTGGCTGAGCGTGTCTACAGTAGTTATCGAATTTATCTTCAATGCTGACGGGACTCGCCAGATGCCAGGATGCCCACGACCAGCTCGGAAAGCGTTTAATTCCACGTCGGCAAAGAGGCTTCGTAGAGCTACATGTCCATAGTAGAGCACTTCGGAAAAGGTCCTGCGGTAGACCAAAGAGAAAGCCTCTGGGTAGGATATTCTCTTCTTTTAACAGTGTCAAGACTCCGGAGATTGCGTCTAGCGTGTCTTCTTCGTTTGTCAACTCTCGATTCGCGTACTCTTCCATCACTGAATGAAAAGCCTTCAACGGCATACCTTGCCGTACATCAGGGCCTTTGAGAGGGTTAACAAGAGCGCGGTGTTGGAAGTTGGCTCGTGAGCGTCGTGAATTATACAGTCGAGGTCTCCTGTTTCTTTCATCGCTGTCGTCTCCGTCCTCGGAGATTGACATCTCGTTGCAGGTAAGATAGACTTGGTTACGGCCAAAGAAGATACAGCGGTGAGAGAGCAGTCCTTCTTGATATGTCCATCCTCGCTTCATCCAGATAGACCGATCAAGTTCCTCTCGTAACGTCGGCAGGAAAGAGAGATACCGAATGACATCTTGACGGTACACCGCTATCTGCCTCTTGTGGCCCCCACTACGTCCAACTCTACAAAGGCCAGAGTCAGCACGTGAAGAACCAAGGGCCACGATAGTTGCATAAGCTCCCCGATAGATGCGATCCATGATCTCGACTTGGCTGGCCTTGTCCTCCGGATTGGATTGGTCGATACACACGCCGTCCACCCATAGATAGGCGAACCCAAGCTTCCGGGTAACTCTCACAGCATGTTCGATAGACTTTGGGAGCGTCAACGCTAGCGGGAAAGGGAGGGTTTCGGTGGCAACTAGAAAATGAGGTTGGCTTGTTGAGCCCCATACGTAGCTTAGAGCAAGGTAAGCACTATCCTTTGGTAGTCGTACAATTGACCTATGCTTTACGTCGATAACGCGTATAGTTCGTAGACTTTCTGACCAATCCGGGCGGCATGTGGTATGTGATGAGGAACAGGTCTTGAGCCGACTTCGAATGCGCCGATAATCGGGGTGTTGTGCAACCCTCCGTGCAGCCGGGAGCCCTCGCTTGGGGAGGTCCGCCATCATGACTCTTGTAATCTCTTGACGGTTGGTACTGGAGTCCGTAAGGCCAGCCTCATCAAACATTCCGAATTCTGTGATATCGTGCTGCTTGAAGCCTGATTGAGACAGACCCAATCTTTTACTCCAAATATGCAAGAAATTACAGCACCAGCAAATATCCATGAGTGGATGGTCCTTGTTACGTGCTAGCCGTTTCATGAAAATGGCGATGTCTGGCTCCATGCTGCCTTCGTAATTCGGAACGATGCGGTCGCGTTCCTCACCAGCGAACTGCCACCGAGAGCTGAGGGAATGAATACCAAGTTCAATGCAACGAGAGCAGCGACCATTAAGCTCTGGCCCTCCGAAAAAGCCGGCTGGAGACTCATCATCAATTTCGCGCAACGCTGAAAACGGTGAGGTTGAACGAGTGGACATTGCGGCGATGCGCCTCACGACTGGTAGGCACAGTTGGTGAATATCGAGGACACTGATCTCGCGTACGCAATCATGCATGTATAGGTTGCGTTTGTATCCAATCATCAGAGGTTCCATCGTGGCTGAACAAGTCGTGGCTGAGCAGCTGCAGCTTCATTAGCGAGCATGCGCCCACAGCCTACGCTTGCCTTCAGACATTCGTAATACACTAAGAGGTTTGGCACAACCTGCTGTACCTTTGATTCCAGGATGGTTTTGGCCATAATGACGCATGAAGGCTATGAGAGGTGCAAGGTACTGGTTTCAACATCCGCAGGACCTCGACAGAAATAAGCAATAAACGTTTTTATGTCCCTACAACTCTCAACAGCCCTGCGGAATTTCCCAGCACAACTCTGCTGGCCTGCATGGGTTTCCAGTCCCATTGTAATCGAACGTCACTTCCGGGAACGCCTCCTGCACCTCTGCAGAACCACTCAAAACACCCTCGCCCTTCCCCACAAGCAGCCCAAAAAAGGCCGACACCATCGTTCTAGATACCTGTAAGAACCTCTCTGCGGTGATGGCCCCCTCTCCACCCGCAATTCCGTTCGCCTGCTTCAAGAAGATAAGATCGGAGAAGTCGGTGTGGTTGGAGTGGCCTAAGATGCGAAAGCCCTTGACCCAAGAGGATTGGTACGACTCGAAGACAGCCCAGGATGGGTCTAGATAGCGCCCACTGCTTAGGAGCAAAGAAGGCACGTGGACATCGACTGAGGAAGAGTTCGTTGCCCCGATCCCGAAGAATGAGCCGTCAATGTTGATCGCTCCGAGGAATTTCTTGCCTCGCAAAGCTGTACGATTTCTCTCCACAAGGAGTTGGCTCACAGCTGCGCTTCCGCCGAGCGAGTGTCCGAATAATGCGAAATGATTCAGGTCAAGTGGTATGCCCAGCTCCTTTGAGATCTCTGGTAGCGCGTCAAGAACGGCAGAGTTGTCAGTGAGGCGATATGCGTGAGCAGCGTCGATTACAGATGTGCACGGGCTCCAGGTGACATCGTGACCAGTGAAAGCCGTCCCGTTGGGATATTCTATGTATGGCGCTTCCCACGGATGGTCTACAGTTACGACTGGATATCCTCTGCTCGTCATTTCTGAGATTAGGCCGGTGAAAAAGCGCGACGGCGGGCCTGCAAAAGCCGGTCCAAATAGCAACGTTGGAAGATGCAATTTATCACTCTCTTTCCGCGAGAGAGGCTTCGCATTAAAGGCAAGATTGGCCGTGATATTGCCGAAGGTCCCGTTTGGCAGCCCATAATACGTGTCGTAGGTTGCGCTCAGGCCGTCCCAAACGTATGTTCGCTCCGGCGCATCATCGTACGTGGGATAGTAGATATTCACCAGCAGCGATAGGCTGACGCTCTGAGGTGCCACCGGATCGTTCAGAGTCGTATGCTTCAGCACGTAAGGCTTTGTGCCGACATTGTACGGTCCTGTGGGCGGCGGAAGACTCAGACCCGAGACGAGAACAATGAAATGCAAAACCAGGTACAACAAAGAGCACAACATTATTGTAGCATCACAGGATCTTCAGAAGAAGTTGAGAAGGCGGCAGCCTTTGTATTCGATGTCAATCTCACCACTAGCTAATCCCAAACAGGAAGCTCGCTCTATTAACGATTGTAGCGAATCGTCCGCGCCCTAGGCGAGGCTACATCCTTCGAGGATCTCGTTACTCGCATAATATCTCTAGGCAGCAGTGGAATGCAACTGCTTCAATGAATTTCTAGTGTAGCCTGGTATGCTTCAAGCATCCTTGCGGCTCGCAACTTTCTATGCAATAAATGAGTTTCTAGGGCTCAGAGAGTATTGATTCAAGCACGGCTCACTTACCTTGTCCTCGTGTACTGCCCAGTCGACAACGTCAATTCCATGCTCTGGGCCAGCTTGGATCCAGGTCTTCGAGGTTGTCCGTGCTACGGCTGTTGTATCACGAAACCGAGAGAGCGCGTCGGAGTCTTGGGGCAGATTGTTATCGAAGTCGAACTGGGAAGCCGTCTTCATGCCTGCATATTCCTCTCTTGGTGACGTAGCGAAGTCGAGACTTCTTGGAGAGGAGTTCCAAGCATCCAGGGCTACTGCAGGGTCGACATGGACTTTCGATCTCCGATGTCGAGGTGTGTGCGGAGGAGAAGAATTGCACTGCTTTTTCGGTGTGGCTTGAGTTGATTGTGGGCTTTCTTTCTCCCGGTCCGCTTCAAGGATCTCGACCGGAGGTGGGTAGGGTCGCTTGCGTGACTCTGAGGATGATGATGTGTGTGCGCCGTTAGAATCCATCATAGGATGCGTAAGCGCGCGCGGTGGCTCGGAAGTTGGATTTGACGAGGTTAAGGCTCATGGTTGGGCTATGTTATATATAAGCAGTTGTCGCCAGTTGGTAGACCACGTTCACCGCAGGTTGGAGCGCGACATACTTATATTCACCACTAAACAAAGCGTAACAGCCAAACCTGGCGCAAATCTACCCTTCACCTATATTGTGTTGCATGCAAACTTACATTTCGGCGTCGCTGACATTACGACTCTGGGTGAACGGCATTCACAGAAAACTTGGAAAGCCATTTTCTGCAGCACGAGTCGTGTTTCATTCGAAGGTAGCATGCGAAGTCTTCTCAGACACGACGAGCCAACAACTAGACTGCAATAATGGGGACTGAAAGCTGGTCACTACCCCGTTCCCACTGATAGCACCACATGACCTTAACAATGTTCTTTTTGCCCGTCCTTCCTTTGTCTGCTTGTTCGTTGTTCGGAGGCAAACACAACGCATTGTACGGCATTCTATTTCTTTCTTTATCCTCTTGTTGACCATCCACCAGCTGTACTATGTTGCGATGCTTTGCATATCGTATGCAGCTATGTCCAATCTACGAACTCTCTCCCTTCGTTCAGACTGTCCATCACATTGTCATATGAAAACCAGTATGTCTTCTGGAAAAGACAACACAGAGACCTTAACCGAACCATCGTCTCAAAGCGATACGCTCGATAAATTCATCACTATTCTCAATCGCGAAGACCGCTTCAATCTCCTGAACGACCCTACTGTCCAGGAAGGTAACCTCGATAACGAGATCCATCCAATCTTCCACCATGCACATTTTCTGGGGCAAACCCCACACATCAAGCAAGCACTCCAGCTAGCATCGCTGTATCTTACGACACCTTCACTTCTCATATTCTATCTACCGCTTACATTCGGAATATTCCACAAGGACAACGACGGCAAATTATATCGAACCTACACCAAAAGCTCAGACGTCAGCCGCGCCCACGAGCTAGAAATCATCCAAGCCGCCATGACCTGCCTCTCCCACTCCCTCCAATGGGAATGGAAGACCTTCCACGAAGACAGGAAATGGGGAAGCACACAGCACTTCAAGAACGTGCCTACCGTCCACACAGATGCGTGCCCCGTCTACGACGACGGCGAGGAGAAAACTTTCTTCATGCCGAACACAGGCACGCACATCGCGCTGGACAAGGGCATGCTGGAATTCTACAAGGACGAGGAATCAGGCTATGTGACACGCTCCCGCTGCGAGCAATTCCGCCACGACTTCCAGCTCGCGAATGTACTAGGCCATGAGATCGCGCACGCGTACGGCGCGATGTCCCACGGGAATTTGCGCGAGCCGTGGCTTGGGAGGGATCATCCCAGGAACGAGCAGGGCTACGCGTGGGAGAACTACATGTTCGGCAGCTTGGTTGACCCCACGAAGAAGGTTGCTACTGGGAACTACGTGCATTTGCACAAGGTGTGGCAGAGCAGGGAGGTGACGCGCAAGTATTGGGGCTGCGAGTGGACGGCCGTACCCGTAGCGTGGACGGCGCTGTGGTTCCGCAAGGAGACGTGGGAAGAGGTCGAGGAGTATGGACATCGGGCGGTGGCACTACCTGAGCCCACGCTCAAGCTTTATCTTTCCTTGGGACTGGATCGCTTCGTTGTGTTTACGGACGATGAGGAGGCGCGCGAGGATCTCGAATGGGGGAGGGATAGCGCTGGTTTGAGCTACTTGTTCTCCAAGGGAGGTGTCGATGCGATTCCTAGTAAAGCTGTGAGTCGAGCTATGTGGATGCCTTTGAGTGAGTTGGCTAAGGAGCCGCTTGTGCCTACACCGCAGCGTCGCTTCGACGAAGCACTGGTGAGTGAGCGGCAGTATCTTCGCAATGCTCAAGATCGAGACCATGCCATTTACATGGCAATGAGAGCAGTCAACAACAACCTCACGAAGCCGGATGTGATCTCGATCGCAGCCGGTGTCAAGGCGTCTCGTAGAGGTGCGGGTAGGCTTAGGCCAGTACGGCCTTCGAAGAAGTGTTCCGTAGCAGCTGGGCCGATGACTTCGAGTAGCAGTGAAGCGAGCCCAAACAAGTTTGCGGAGGGCTTCTCAGACATACCTCCTGAGGAGTTTTTGTCCGAGAAGTACATTGGATATCGGCCAGAGTTTTACAACACTAGACCTTCACGGCAGCCATTGCTTGCTGCATCGCCGTCAGTCCATAACCGAGGTAAGCGGTTGCGAGACTCTGACAATCCAGATTCACTCCCGCGAAGCAAGAAGCTACGACGAGACTGCTGAACCCCAAGCCGGGGTTTGATGGCTCGTCTGTTTTCCTGCATCTATCATTATTCTTAAGCATCTATGCATAGCATCAAGCGTTTGCTCTTGCCACAGCGTATTCACCGTGTTTCCTGCATCACAATTAGCGTATCTTCACTAGCATAGCTCAACACCATGTCCAATACAATCATTCTCACCACCATTTCGTCTATCTCAGGTTCCACAATACGCACCCCCGTTCCTGCAATTACATCGCCTCCGTGATCAATTCTTCCAGACCGCCATTTCATCTCACCTTCATGGTGTTTCGAGGTCACGCAGCCTTACACAAGGCAATCCGGCATCTATGTTGCTATTTTGGGCCTTCAAAATATACTCCCGACTTGCACAGCCCCCGAACACCACTCAAACACTGCACACCCACGCCTAGGTACCCAGCAATCTGCACCACCGGTAGCCTGCATACACGACACGCCTTGTACTAGACTGTTCGGAAATACTAGGATCATGATCGGGCACATATGGTGTGTTGTGGGTCTGGTCGTGGCAGACCATCGGTAGTGCGTGGCCGGATAGGGACATGCGCGTGGCGAGACTTCACGCCTGCATCGCCGAATTGAGAGAATTTCGATGGGCGGTCGCAGCGTAGGCCTCGCGTGGCATCTTATCGATACATCTACGTCTGCATGCGTGCTCGACGTGTTCACGCTGCTGTGTGCTTGGAGAGAAGCTGTTGTGTTAGTGTGAAGGGGTTGTTGCCCCTCCACCCCACTAGGTTCAGCCCCTAGCGCACATCATGCCCTTTAGCCCCCAACGCCTTTCAACCGCGCTCGCTCGACATAGAGTGGGACTAGGAGATTAAGGTTACACAGCTATATGGTAGTGGGTACGGCAGGCGTGCAGGTGGGCAGAATGGCTGGTGGGCGTCGCGGGTGCGGCGTCGATCGTTCCTGGATAGGGGCGTGTGCAGGTGGGCGCAGATGTAATGCGTGCAGCAAGGCTCTTGAGAAGTACACGTCTCTAGAAAGCATGAAACCGTAACTGTAGCCTATCGCCGAGGCAGACTCTTTGCTTTTTCAAAAGATTCGAGCCTCGATGCTGTGCAGCTTGTATAATTGCCACGCGATAATTCGTCCGCCCCGGAACGGTTGACCAAAAGGGAGCAAGTCAAAACTTTAACCAAATACGTTAACATTGACATAAACGCAATCTCCACGCAGACCATACGTTCACCTCTCGCTTGCGCACATCATCCCCGCGTCCGCGTGCGTCAGCGGGAAGCTCGCACGTCAGGCTGTCTCCAAGGCGCACTCGCACCAGTTCAGCTTACTAACCTAACCCCTTCCACCGCCGCGGTAAATTTGCTTCCCAATCTACACACCTCGCCCCATTGCGGTAACCCCATTGCGGTAACCTACGCACACGTGAAAAACGCAAGTTACTGCAAGTTACTATACCATGCAGGGGCGACAAAACATCCCTGAAGTGATCTCCACACCTGCAGCTTTTCATCTTGGAAGAAGACGAAGGGAGGCTTAGATCTTGCATGCGTGTCGTAAACGGGCAATGTTGAAGTCAAAACTATATTGATGTCTGAGATGTCATCTTGTCCAAATCGCCTCCCGTCATCATCGAAACGGAAAGGAGATTTTCAGAGGGGCCTGATACTTGTTCGGAGCATTGCCGATTTGGAGAGGCGTGCAGAAGCGAGATGTGCGACGTATGGTTCTGTAAGAGGCACGGTGGACAGGGGTGCTTTTCTTTCCTGGACCTGGTTGTCGACCTTTTTTGAGAGACGGAAGGGGTTCCTAATATGTTATACGTCCGAGATGAAGTAAAGGTGAGGCGTTAAGGTTTCCGGGTGGGGATGTTGTGGGGTTGATGACACACTTAAGTGGCCTCGGCAGGTTGGGTGACATCTCAAGGGTTGGTCCGCGGAAAGATCTTGAAGAATCTGATGTTACGATGTGACACAAAGGAAGTATTGTTTCATGTCCAGACAGATACAGAGACGGGCAGGAGGTGATGAGAGACAGTAGTGATAGGCAACTCAAGTATTGAAGCTCCTTGTGTAACATTGGTTTTCCCAGAGCTAGATATGCACAATCCGCCGAAACGGCCCCCAAATAGATTTCCACCCAAAATTTCCAAGTAAAGGTTGATAAGCGAGGGTATCAATGAGTAGAAGTGAAAAATAAGTACAACAGCTAGATGCTGTGACTGGATATAGAACGTGAATGCAACGCTCAAATGCAGGTCAGAGATGCAAGCAAAACAAGGATTTACCGAGTCCTCCATCCGCGAGACAAATTCCATCGTGATTCCAATTCTCGAGCTCGCGCAGAAGCTTCCTTTCGTTTCTGTGCGGCCATTTCGGCTTGGCTTTGCGCGTAGTCTGGCAGTTCGTCGTCTGGTGGACGTTCATTCTCCGCAAGCCCAAGTCTCTCGAGCTCTAGATTGATCGTGTTCAGGTTAGGCCTGAGCGGAGAGGCAGGCGCATTCATGTCATACGAGTCTCGTCGTGGAAGAGCTGAGCTAGAGACCTGGGGAAGCGCTGAGCTGGAAACCGAGTAGTCCCGTGGGGCCTGTTGCGGTATCCAATCGTAATCAGGTACTGGTACTGGCACTGGTACGGAATGGGCCGATGTGTTCCGAGGCAACACTGGTATACTGTCATTTTGGGAACCGCGTGCAAATAGCGAGCCTTGTAGTCGCGGCGTTTCCGATGGTGAGAGAGGGTCAAAGCCACCAGGTAGTCCAGCAGTAGCTTCTGCGAAGAGATGAAAGTCCGTAGAGTCCCCAAATGCACCGTGCGTTTCAGTGGGCGAGACCCAGGTATGTGGCCGAGGAGCATCTGACACAGACTCGCGAGCAGTCGATAGCATGGTCGACTCCGGAAACGTAGAACCTCTTCGTGGGCGCGGGGTCATTGGCTCGAATGAAGTACCCAAAGATACTGCGCGTTGCTGCTCAGTTACCTGTGGTCGAAGAGTATAAGAGGACACTGCCCGTTGTGGCTCAGTGACCTGTGGCCGAGGGGTATAAGAGGATACTGCGCGTTGTTGCTCATTGACCTGTGGTCGAGGAGAATAAGCTTGGTATTGTGGCACATCTGTGTAGTATCCGGATGCGGAATGCGCCCGTTGTATGTCTGCGGGATGTGGTGGACTATATTGGAGAGGCGAATTAGGCATGCTTCGAGACTGGTAGTGGTTCGGGGGCAGCCCAGGGCTGAGAGTCCCGTTCGAAGAGGTGCGTCTATGGGTGTTCAATGGCGCGGGTTGAAGATGCGATGGGTCGAAGTTGTCGGGCTTCTTCTTTATCAGGTCGAGCAGACCAGGTTTGTGCTTCTTCTTTAAAGATTCGGGGGACGGCGGTAGCGGTTTGTCGAGCTGCACGGTCGTGGATATTAATGGTACTGGCGGTTGGTTTGCCGAGGCGGATCGAGTAGCGTGGTGCCGGGTCACTGTAGCTTGGTAGGCGGACTGTTCCTGGCGTCGTCTGCTGCTTGGCATGCTGAACCATAGCTCCGTATCATCGTCGGTGGCACTATGGGGTCGACTATGCGGTGCAGCCATGCGGTCGTCCTGTTTAGTGTCCGGGGACACTTGAAGAAATATAAAACTGGACGAGATAAGTGACTTGGCCGTAAACGACAGATCTGGCTGGCAGGTGGCGACAGTCGTTGGGCCCGTCAGCAGCTGAGTGTCGGGTATCATTCTAGAAGTAAATACTATCGAAGTTGGGCGGGTTGTATTCCAGGCTGGCGTTGTGCCAGGGTGCAAGCCGGGTCGGCACCAGGGGGTTGCAGCAACGGTTGCAGGTCTTGATAATGGGCTCCTGCATGCGGCGATATTCAGCCAAATGCTGTGGACCAGAGCTGGGCTGCAGATTGGTGGAACGTTGGAGCCAGTCGATTATGCAGGAACGTGGTTTGTATGGGTAGGATAGGACGCAAGGTAGTATATGGCTGGATTAGAGAGCGGCGCAGTCGGTGTTCTGTAGGCGTAGTCGCAGGGGTGTGGCAACCATGGGCGATGACGGAGCGCAGCCGTAGTGATATGTATTCGGCAACTCTATACAGACCGAGGGCTCGCTCGTCCTGGCAACGCAGTTCCCCAGTCGTCGGAACGGAGCAGTGAGTGGGCGCTATCAGGGCCCTAAAGCGTACGAGGAGGCCTTTGCGGAGATTGCTGCGAAACCGCCCATATTTCGAAGGCCGTAACAAAGAGACCCCGTCTGCAGGATCTCAGGCCAACAACGCGGTTGGCTAGGCATTGGAGCGTGCTCCCGCGAGGCTTCAAGTGTGAGGATCGCGCGTATGGAGTCCGCTTTGGTCAGTCCGACGGCGGTGCGGCAGCGACCTGAGACCTTACTGCGTACGGCAGGACTGCACGAGTGACGCTCCGGTAGCCCACCGCTCACGCACAGTGCCGCAGCTGCTCGCCTCAGCGCGGCACAAATGCACGGCGACACCCTCTGCGTTCTTGGCTTTGTTCCGTTGGGGAAAGGTGAGGTGGACGGCGATTTTGGTGATCTGCCAGGGGACAGGTGCGTGCACTGCCTCGCTGCGGCTAAGAATAGGTGCGCCATGCCTAAGCCGGCTAGCACACTCAAATTTAGTCCCTCATCGCTCCCAGCACGATGCGACCGTCACGGCGGCGCCGCCGCGAACAACAAACGAGATTTGACAGCTGCTTGTTCGAGCCTTTTCGTGGGGTAAATTGCTGATGGTGATGATCTGTCGTCCAAGCGCTCATCATCACTGCCAACAACAGAATAGGCAAACCGCCGTGCGTTGTTGCAGTGCGCCCGAAACACTGCACCGTCTCCGTGCCATGAGATTCCGTACGGTACGTACGAGCGCGAAAACAACACTGGTGCAGGCCTCCCAGTACGCCTACCGCTCGCCATGCCCGATCTACGCCCACCTAACACTTCGCTCGTGGCCCGATCGACAACACCGAGGCTGGCTGTACAGTCACTGAGGTGTTTGTTATCGTTCTCACAGCCTCGTTGACCATTGTCGCCCTGGTAGGTAGGATCATTAGGGGCATGTCTAGCGCCCCATTGCATCAAGGGAATCCTTCGTGCCAATCCGAATCTCCCGAGCACAATGAAAACCAAAATACAGTATGCGGCTCCATACTTACAAACCGCCGAAACAAGCAGCACGCCAAAAGATGCATCTGGTATCCCCGATAGAACGTTTCTTTATTCGGATGAAACCATTATAGTCACAGTCACAGTAATCGCTGACGAACCTGTTTTTACCTCAGCACAATGCACCTCCTGACTACGTATGCACAAATCCAACTTGCGGCGGAACGCCATTGGCTTGGTCGGTTGGCTCTTCGCTCCTTCCAACTTCGCCTTTGGGTGCGCGATGCGGCTCCACAGATTGACATTCATGACGTACCGTTAAGATATCCCGCATGATCCTACATGCCGAGCTCTCTACAGGAGGCGAGCCAGTATCCATATTTGACATTATTATCCACTTCTCCGTTATTCATAGCGTTTTTGGAAAGAGCTCTGAACGGGCGATGCAACAACAAACAGGAGGTGCTCGTTCACTTTGAAACTAAACCTGTTGGAGGGAAGAACAACAAATCCTACGAGGCTGACTCGCGGTATGAACATGTGACACAGGCTTTTACGATGCAACGCGCGGGAAGACAACGCCCAGAAGCAAAGTCCACCCCTCTTCAGTTAATGCTGTCATCTCCGCCTTATAACGGCATTTCCAAGCAGACGGTGCTGCCGTTCAGGATCATCAAGCTATTGTAGCGGAACCCCACAGATACGCTACTTACTCCTGGAGGTCGTAGGCTCCTCCTGTTCCTTCGCGCCTGCGTCATGGCAGAGGCAGAAAGACATGGCGAGAAGGGGTTACGCACGACTCGCAATCCGGCGGACCTTGCACGAGAAGTCATTTCATGCGCGGATGTACGGCCGTGTACAGCTTGATAAGATCAACATCCTCACTTCGCTACACATAAGTACGGCCGAGATATACTCCTCGAAAAGCAAGAGCTCCACATGGTGGGATAGCATGGAAAATACCTCGGACGCTAGGGGATTCCGCGGCCCCCAACTTGTGCCTCCGCGCGCTAAGTGAAGACTTCACTTTTTGCTACGGACGAACGGGCCCTGTCTACGCCCTGCGAGGTATCTGTTGCTTCGATTTATATGCGCCTCGTTACCGCAGGTGCGCTACTCGTACGAAGTCACAATACCAAGGTCCCCCCTGTGGCGTAGGTTTCCGTTCACTCGCCGTTCCCCGAGTACAGCCAGGAGACGGTCCCCCAGTCGCGAATTCATGTACCGCCAAGAGATATTTTCCAGGCCACCAGCTCTCCGTATAGGTGGATCTCGGCGAGCAATGTCTACACCCAAAGTAACCAATCCTCCGAGCAATCAACTCCACAACAAATACCCACCTGCACTACCAGTGGGACCTTCCCCACCATCCCAAGCCATAGTTTCGAAACATGTTTCTCGCAGCGAACAATGACTTGCATGAATGAAACTCCGCTTCGCAAAGGCCCCCCAAAAGCGATCTGGCCTACCGAGGCTACCAACTCCGACTCGCCTTGTCGCCTTAGCCGCTGCCTGTCGAAGAATTTCCTCAAAGGACGGAAGCCCCGCGGTAAGCTAAGTTAACCTAAGCTTACAATCTCGCCTTCCGCACCGAAAACATCTTCGTAGCTTTTTTTTGTGTAAAATGTTCCGGAAGTGGGGTCCGCGAGTAGGCCGCGTTGGGGGCCCGGAGATTGGGCGCGCCGGAGTTCGGAGGCGTGAGGTCAGCAAGAGTATGCGATGTAGTGCTGATGCCATCGTGTGATAAGGTTAGGAGAGAGGCGGCGGTGATTTGTTGTAGTGGGTGAGCGGTTGTGGTGGAGTTGGGTCATTGGGCAGGTCATGGGCGGGAAGTCGTGGCTGGATGGGGAACTCCGTGATGTGGTGCTGGTCATTCTCATGGAGCTCACACGTCCTCACGATTAGTCGTTGAGATGCGATTTTTGGCGAGAACTTGGGGCGAAGTGACGAAAGCGGTAGGGCACATTCCAGCCATTCCAGGCTATAGTTTAAGATTCATGCAGGACCTAGGCACTATTGTACTATACTGTGGACATACCAGAGGACCCAGAATAGCGACAAAGGGAAACAGATATCTATACCCGATTTCCGAATCGAGAATTATCTTCCTGCGCTCTTCCCGTCATTCGTAGCCCTGCTTCACTTCAGCATTGCCTGCACAACAATACGCTCTTCTCCCATCTTCAAGACGCACCGCCCATTGATCCTAAACAGTATGTAAGATGCGTAGTCACAACGCCCTTTCAAATGCTCCGCACCCACACCCTCATCCTCCACACACGACAAAAACGGGCTTCAATCCCATAACTTTCTATCCTACCCATTCCCCAGCTTCACTCTCCTAACTGCCCTCCCGCACCCTTCCCCAGAGCGCTTATGCATAAACACTCCCGTTCAAAACCTCCTACCACCTATCCTTCTAGTGCGCTCGATGTTGTGAATGATACCAAAATAGGTCTCCACATAGATGTACTTAAGTCAAAGACACGAGGTTTGCTTGCACCGCTTGCTTCCTGCTCGAAGCTGCGAAAGTGAAGAATGTTCAATCACATTAGCATGTCACATACTAGAGGGAAACCCACGATCATGATGAAGCCACCGATATACCATTCAGGCGTTGAGTAAGACCACTCCGACCATCACGCGTAAGTCACGATGCTGTATGCATTCAACGCAAACGAAGCACACACATCACCAACCTAATATTTGATATACGCCTCCAACTCTCAAATGCCATAATCCATACCATGCAACATCTTCAACTTTTTTCCAACCCTAAACTCCGAACAAAACGCCCACATGCCCCAACGAAAAAACGTCCGCTTCAACGAACCCCGCAAACCCCTCTCCAAATGGGCCGCCCAAAAGAAACTCTCCTCAGGCGCCAACGAAATACAAACCCGCCCCTCGCACCCCTGGACCATCGTCCGCAAACTCGGCGCCGAAAACCGCGGCGCCCTGAACGGTGGCGTTTACATCGTAAAAGACCGCAGAGGCGTAGAGCACATCGAGAAGCGCGCAACAGCAGACTTCGTTAAAAAGGGCGTAGTGCTGCAGGAAATAACTATACTAAAGTACCTCTCCTCGCCCAGCCACGAGCACATCACACGCATGGTAGACCACTTCGTCGACCGAAAAGCGTGCAAAGCGAGTATCTACCTTGAATACTGCACCATCGGCGGCCTAGAAACGCTCATACATTCGCGCGTCAAAGCAGGGGAACTCTTCAACGAAATCGACGTCTGGGAATGGTTCATCCAGCTTTTCGACGCGCTGACGTATTGTCATTATGGACCTGATCCTAAAGCGCGGTTCAACAACACCGTGCCTGAGGACTGGCAGGATGCGTGGGACATGGTGTTCCACCGGGACATTAAAGTCGAGAATATCCTTGTGCATAGGGGTACGCCGAAGGGCATGACGACTGCGTACACGCTTAAGCTGGCGGACTTTGGGTGCGCGGTTGCGAGAAGGCATATCTGGGTTGATCGGTTTAAGGAGCATAATCGGGCGACGTTCGCGACGTGGGGGTGGATGCCGCCTGAGTCGCCGCAGTTTGTGGGGCGGTCGGATGTCTGGCAGCTTGCGGCTGTGATGGGGTGTGTGTGTAATGTGATGGTTATGCCGTGGTTTGACCATGCGAGACCGGCACCGGGGTATTCTGCTACGCTCAACAATGCGATTGTTGAGTCGATGAAGGGGGATTTTACGAAGAGGCCGAAGTCGGACGAGGTGCTGGACCATGTGAGGGGGAAGTATAAGGTGATGCTGCCGATGCTGGAGACGAATGCGCTGCCTGTTCCGACACGTATTGATGAGGCAAAGCGGATGAACCAGATCAAGCGGGGTCGTGAAGAACTACAAGCGCAGATGCAGCAAGTCCAGCAAGGGCAGCAGGCTTCCGCGGCTCCGGCTTTCGATCCGCATGCGCAGGGTAATGGTCGCTTTGGGGCCGCAGGGAATGTCGGGTTAAGCCCGGCTGGATATTCACAAGTTACGACGATTATAGGTAGGAGACAGAACGGTCGCCACGGGAACATGCGCGTGTTTCCTACGCGAGCTCCAAATGGCTACGAAAGCGACGATAGCTTGAACGGGGATTCATACGCTTGGAGTCCTCGAACTAGGAGGCATAATGCGTACGGGCGCTCGCCGTACATGGCCCCGTATGGACGGCCTTGGTGATTGCATCGCGCTGTCAGTGAATATCAACTCTTAAATCCAGTTTCAGTCCTCAATAACCCTTTTGTGTCTTTTCCTTCTAAGTAGGATTTTTTCAACTGCTAGACCATCCCCATGACTCTTCAAGCTGCCGGACCGTGGTTGTCGGAGGGAAGCCATGCGATCGCTCACATGCAAACCACAAATCGCGAAGCTGTTCCTGGTCATCACGCGCGGCGAATCGATCGCCAACTGCATTGCATCAGCTACCGCCCGTAGTGTGGCAAGTCCCGTATCTACTTACCCAGTGCAATCGCAAAACATGCGACGAATATGCAAGGGAAAAACTTCATGTTTGATAGTGCCACGCCACACAATGTACGGACGTCTTCTTGGACCATTTTCTACAAATTACATCAGTATTGTGAGGTTATATGTGTGTGGTGACATACGTCAACGACTGCGCGTGACTGCCTATGTGAAGGACCCAACTGAGGTATTGTAGGGTCGTGCACAACAAGGAGCATATGCGCAAGGGTGTTGTATTGGTTTCCCATCGCTATTCAACTGCATTAGCAACGATACGTCCGAATAGCCCGGTCTCTTACCATGCGCCTTCTGGTGATACCTGATATCTGGAAACATCCTCCCGCTTCCGTCCCGGTCCTGTCGCCAGAAAAGCGGATCCTAAATTAGACACCTCATCAGCAGAATTCTCACAACTGAGAATCAGAACGATCTTTCGAATAGTGCTTACAAAACTGTCAGGCCTTTGTGTTCTCCATACTTTGTTCTCGTCCATCAACTGGCTGTATCGGAGCACGCTATGTCTGTCCTCACCAAACGCAAAATTGCACACATCGCCAAGATGCGCAATCGTTCGAGTAGCCCAGATGGAGTCGTCTGCCGGACTCATCGAGCGATCAGCAGGGAATATGTGCAATTGGAACGCCCGCTGGGTCATGAGCGATATCCAGAGTTCTTGACGAAAGGCAGCCCAATAGATGGCTTGGCGGAAGTTGGGGCCCGTTGTGCCGACATAGAACTGTTCGGCCGCTCGAATAATGGCCTGTGTGCCAAAGAGATGTCCTTGCGGATCGGAGCCGGTGATGGATATATTCATTTCTTCCATAAGTCTTAGGATGATAGTCGCGGCGAGGAGCGACTCGTCACGGTTGGCCATGTTGTCGTTGAGCGCTGGGATCAATGTTTCAAAACAGCGCTGATAATAAGCATCGGCGACATAGGGGTCGAAATCGCTGATCCGACTGAGTTGCCGTGCGGATAGAGCAAAAATAGCGTTCATCAAGGTGCTGTTAGTCTTGGCTCTTTGAACAACATGCACACCAAAGTGACATCTGCTGTCCACCATATCAAACTAAACAATAGTTAGTACGTGCTATCATTGTGTGAGATGTCATACAAATAGAGCAACATTCTCAACGTAATGTTGTAAGAGCATGGCTTCCTGCTCGCTTTCCAGTGGCCATAGCACTGGTGCGCCTGGCGGTGGCTGGTAAGAGAAATTATCTGGTTCATCTGGCTCTGGCACGTGAGGTGTAACCGGTAGGCTGTAGGATGTAGGCGGCGGTGGCGCACTGTAACTTTGTGAATGGACAGCAGGTTCGGAGTTGAGCAGCGATAAGACGGTCAGACCATCTGTCGGACTAGTAAGAGAGGGTGATTGCTGGACGATTGCGCTGGAGGAGTGCTGATCGGATGAGTGATTTTGTGGGGTAGGTGGCCAGCTAAAAGCATCGTCTGCTTCGGTCGCATATTGAGAGCGGATCTCATGTGATTCGTCGAGGAATTGAACTGTTTTCTTCAGCCAATGTCACCTCACAAGTCGGGTGATTCGTACTGCGTGGAGGAAGCGCGACCCAAGGCTGCGCTGTGCTGAAGCTTTCTTGAATTGAAGATCGGCGGAATCTTCTGCCGGTCTCGTACACACATTGCTTCTTTGCTTGGTCGCACCGACTACACTTGGGCTGTTTCCCGTCGCCTAGCAGAGTTCAGCCAGTGAATGCGACTCTTTCAACGGGTAGCATACATCGATAGTGACGTGAACGGCAGCGATTACTGGCAGCATAGGTGAGCACAGACCGATAATGTGATTGTAGGAACTACCATGGCATTGGAAGGTGGGCCTATGATAGCACACACATGGGCGATGACCTGTAGTCGGAGTGAATTGCCCTGTGTGTCGGGGGCCCGGAGATGTGCGAACTGCTGCTGCGCTAAGTGGGCGCCAGCGGGGCGCCGGACCCTGAACCTCGCCAAAGAATCGTGACCAACAAGAAAGCCGCTGTTCGTCAGGCGCCAAGTTTAGCACATCAACGTGGCAGCCAGACTCCGACGGCGAGAGCGGGGTAATCCGGTAGTCCCCACCTGCACGCCTCTACGCGCGCTGGTCGGCATGGGGAAATCCTCGCCTACACGTTTTGTTGTGTCAAAGGTTCGAAGGGGTATTTTTCCTCCGGGGAACATAACATATCGAACAACAAGAGGCGCTCTCTTCCGTTGCTTTTATTCTCTCTGCACCTCTTCAGGTATACCTATATATATTAATCAGCCACTTTGCAGTACTCATACCAACACGTCATGCCTCACGCCGAATCTCCAGAGCGAGAACTACCCAGCTTCAATGGCCAAAAGCTCTACGTGAACGATGGACTCCTCCATCCTGAACAAGTAGGCGCTTTGAAGGAATCTTCTCCGGATCTGCCGGTTGAAGAGCTCCGACGCCGCTATGAAGAAGATGGCTACGTGTTTCTGAAGGGCCTGCTACCTCGCGAGGATGTGCTGAAGGCCCGACAAGCATACTTTGAAAGGCTTGCCCCCAGCGGTGTATTGAAGCCCGGGACTGCGGCGGTCGACGGAGTCTTTGATGATGCAAAAGATGCTGCCGACTATCCTGGCATAGGTGCCGGCGCTTCCCCAGGAAACGGCAAGCCTGGAGCTGGTACTGCTGAGGTTTTTGTCGACCTCGCATTGCAGGCGCACTATGACGATTGGTATAAGGAGAAGTTCTGCAAGCATCCTGTCCTCAGAGATACCATCGCTCGCATTTCGGGTTGGGGTGATAACACACTAGCAGTGCGAAGGAGTTTGCTGAGGAATAATACTCCCGGCAATAAAGCGATCGGAGTGCATTATGACCAGATCTTCTTGAGGCACGGAGAGCCGACTAGTTTCACTGCTTGGGTTCCTATGGGTGACATTAGCTTGACTGGAGGAGGTTTGATTTACCTCGAGAATGGTGAGCGATGAGTGGCGACACCTGAGATATGCACTACTGACGAGCGCAGGCCATACGTTGGGTCGGGAGATCGAAGCAGACTTCACACGGAAGGCAAAAGAGAATGGGTTGACGGACGAGGAAACCAAGTATGCGTTCAACCAGAACATGCTTTCCACTGGTCTGCTTGCAGATGGTCCGCGGGGAGTACAGTGAGACTTTCAGAAGACGATGGCTGGTGACATCCTATGAGGCGGGGGATGTTGTTCTACATACGCCGTACTCAGTAGGTGACCCTCGACATGTGGTTCGTACCTCATTAATATGGTTGACAGATCCATGCTTCGACAATGAACTTTGACCCCGGCAACGTCATCCGGGTCGGGACGGACTTGCGCTTCGTAGACAGCAGCAGACCATGGGACAAGCGATGGGACAAGGACTACGAATTCAACGATGGTGTCTAAGTAGGAGCTGTCCTAAACAGTCAATGACATCGCATTGGCAAAAGCCGCTGTTAACTACTCGTCAGGCAGGTGAGGCCATGATCATGCGATGGATTCGGCCCGCTTCGCGCCTGCCGTAGTCGAAGAGCAACGCATTCCTGAGCATGGGTGCGCACAACTGAGTCCCAGCCAATTGCTGGTGAAGGTCTGCTCACCCACTACGTTTGCCCAGTGAACTTGATGGCTTTGGCTAAACGCGTTTTAGTTCTGGTATTACTACGATTAAAACCTCAAGCCCGCTATAGATGCGTATGCGCACCGACGTCTAACGAAAACACTGGGCAGTCATCGACTATGCGTCGATTCCTGTGTGCCACATCAACAGTCAGTATGCGGCTAGAGTATTGGTTAAGACTCTGCCTTTGAGCTGCCATGTCGAACAATCGAGGTTTTAGACTCAGTCAGATTCCTGCAGCTTCCGTGACATGAGACCCGAATACCGGGATCCGACGAAAGTGAACACCATTAACGAATCACAAAGTCCCCGGACACATTCGGTCCGACCAAATTACACCACCATATACACAGAGTACCGCACCGTTGCTAACATCCCTCGAGTCTCTGTGTATTGGGATTTTGTTGATCAGACGAGCAGTATGGGCCTCGTTCTGAAGGCGGTGGGCGCCTACGTCCTGGTATGTCCTGTGCTCCCCTATCAAGTAACCAGTGCTGATTGAAGCAGTATATTATCTCACGGGCAGTATACAATGTATTTTTCCATCCATTAGCCAGATTCCCTGGTCCGAAGATATGGAGCGCCTCTCGACTTCCCTACCTGTTCACCCTCGTCATTGGACAAAACTCATTCCGCATCAAAGCGCTTCACGACGAGTATGGTCCAATCGTACGTGTCGCGCCCAACGAACTGCACATCAACGATCCTCGGGCCTGGAACGACATCTATTTGAGAAAAGACAGCGAGATCCGCCCTCCACAATGGGGGATGAGACCACCAGGGATCGAGTCCTATAATGTCATTTCTGGGGTTGGCGCCGACCACGCACGGTTTCGCAAAGCATTGGGATTGGCCTTCTCTGAAGACGCCGTCAAAGAGTACGAGCCTACAGTGCGCTCCTACTTCAACAAATTCACCGCCCGCATCGACGACCTCATTGCGAAGAACAAGGGCTCTGCCGTCGTCGATATGGTCAAGTGGTCTAACTTCACTACATTCGACATCATCGGCGAGCTGGCGTGGTCGAAGTCGTATGGCTGTCTGGACACCGGCGCAGGACATGCAATTATGGGCGTTCTATCGCATTTCCAGGGCGTCATCATCGCCGCAGCTATCACGTACTATCCCTGGATAAACAACGCTCTCATGGCGATTACACCGAGGTCTGCTTTCGAAGACTTGAAAATGATCTTCAACGACGGACATGAGCGGCTGCAAAACCGCCTCAAGAATGGTCCAAGCGGCCACCCAGACGTCCTGGGCCATCTCGCAGAGTACAACAAGCAGAACCCGACAGCCAAGATAACAGACGACGAAATCGAGCAGAACGTCTTCTCCTGCCTCGTCGCGGGATCTGAGTGCCTAACTACAGCCTTCTCCGGCGCCCTCCACTACCTCCTCGTCTACCCCTCCAAGCTCCACCGAGCACAACAAGAAGTCCGCGCTGCATTCTCCTCCGAAGCAAGCATAAACGCGACCGATGCCGCAAAACTAGAATACCTCAACGCCATCATAGAGGAATCCCTCCGTCTATGCCCGCCCCTCCCAGACATGCTCCGCCGCCAGCTTCCCAGCTCCACCCCCACCCCCATCGCAGGAACCCTCATCCCCCTCCACCGTCGTCTCCGTCTCCTGCTACTCCATGTTCCGCAGCGCCTCTCATTTCTCCGCCCCCGACGTCTTCGCCCCAGAGCGCTTCTTACCATCGCCCTCCACCGACGACTCATCAAAGTGGTCCCCAGACTCACCCCTGAACCACAACGACATGGCTGCGTTCAAGCCCTGGGGCGTAGGCCCGCGCGAATGTCCAGCTCAGCCTCTAGCTCGGCTGGAGATGCGGCTTTTCCTAGCGATATTGCTGTATAGGTACGATTTTAGGGTTGCGGAGGGGAGTTACTTGACGAGGTGGACGAGTCAGAGGGTTTTTGAGACGTGGCAGAAGGAGAAGATGGATGTGGAGTTCACGCCGGCTAGTTCCTCCATGGGAGAGACCTTGCCTGTAGCGGCACCGTAGACTGTACGCTATATGTAGGCTTGTTACCGGTCTTCGCTGACTTGGGGGTGATTTTATTGGCTTGACGATAGTTGAAGCTGATATGCGGTGGGACTAGTCGGAGTTGAGGCGCGTGAGTGCGGAATTGGGGTGGAGAATATAGCTTTATGCGAATTCTGTTGAGCTCTTTTACGTTAGTGTGTGAAGGGGTGTGCTTCATTGGTTTCCGGTGTCAGGAAATGAAGGCGTGGGTACCACAGCTGAAGCTAGAGGCGTTCCCCCACCGTAAAGTGCATTAAATCATGACAAGGGGAGCTTTGATAACTGAGATGGTGGAACGCATATCTGCTTACACAGGAAACGATTAGGAAATGTAAAGCGCAGAGTTACTTTTTGCAAGAATATTGATGTATGCGTATGACTGGGCAAGCTGGACTATACTCAATAGGCGAAGGCGAATGAAGGTATCAACTGGGATACCTCATTCTTGGCCCGTGATACGTAGCAATTCTACTGAGTTCCGAGCAGAAGTGGCTTCGCAGACGTTCTTCAAACTTTTGATCCATTGCTAAGTGACACTTCGAGGAATACTTGATTACTTAGTCGTTACCCTTTGAAAGAGTTACGGAACCTGTTTGATTGTTACGCCAGCATATGAAAAGCTAAATGAGGCTATCAAGGGCATTGTGGTTTGCTTGTCACGCACGATTAATCTTTTCTTAGTCCTTTTGGAAGGAGGCTTTGATCTTTCCTATGTGTATCGACTATTTGACAGCTTTTATGGTCGATTGTCACGCACGTACTATAGCCGATTCTAGGATGTAGCCGCCTTGTCGATCGCTCTCAGTCATGGATGCGCACATGCTGGAGGCGGTAAAGATTGCAGAACATTGTGTGTTGATGGACAAGGTGAACGTCGTGGAGGCAGGGAACAACAAGGATGTTATCAGGACGGAGTTGTTTGCGCCGTAGTGGTTCAGGGGTAAGAACATGGGTAAATTGCGATGAAACTGACTTCTGACGAATTATATCATCTAGAGAGGCGCACCGGGTGTGTGAACATCAATAGAGATCCACCTAGCATTGTGGTTTTGTTGCTGGATATTCGTGCACAGCCACCGCTAACACAACGCAGCATGCATACCGTATGCATGAACCCCACCTGGAGGTTGCCTGCTGTCAGCCTTGGGGCCTCCAAGTTTTCTTTGATATTTCGCCGTTTGTCCTCTGAGAGTTCGCTTTCTGTGTCTTTTTCTTCCGCAGGCCTCCGCTGTCTTGCAGAATCCAGACACTGATTTTTACGATTGCGACCATGGGCGGCTCTATGACGGATGCCACCGAGGATTGTGGCGACCCATCCACATCACAATCTTCCTATCTTCCACCTTTATCTCCACGACGTAATCGACAGAACTCTGACGAACTGCTAAGGGATCCTTCAACTCACCAGTTGAACGACATCCCTGCGTACACTACAGATGCAAGCGGTAGGCCAACATCCGCATCGAAAAGGCACCTACCTACAGTTTTGACGGGGGTTGACTCTCGACACGAGCCGTCTGATGCCGGCCATAATGACGTCCCGAAAACTCAAGGTTCCTACATCTGCGAATGCTGTCCGAAAAAGCGAAAGAAATTTGATACTGAAGAGGAGTTACGGTATGGTTGAATAGCCCCACCTCTACATGTGTCCTTTGCGTTGATTCGGCTGAGTTCCATGTGCGTATTTTGGATTGATTTTAAGCAGTCTTCATGAAATTGAGAAGTCATACACCTGCGCCTACTGCCCGTCTCGCTTCAGGAGCAAGACCGAGGCTGAGCGCCATCAGAATAGCCTTCATTTACGCCGCTACTCATGGTCATGCGCTGCACTAACTGGATCGCCTGCTACCTTCTCGTATGGTCAAGATAGTGCTGAAGCCTGTGGCTATTGCGGCAAGGAGCTTCCCAATCCTCCGAACTGGGTTTTACGTACCGAACATCTCAACCACGTTCACAAGATGAACGAATGCAATCAAGCTAAGAAATTCTTCCGAGAGGACCATTTTCGCCAACATCTTAAGCATAGCCATGCTGCTACAATTGGGGAATGGATCAACCTGCTAGCAAAGGCTTGCAAAAAAGATGAACCACCACCACAAGACCCACTGCCTGGTTCGTCAAGCACGGCTGCACAGCACGATGTTACACCATCCACCTCTACGTCAACGAACCCTGACTCGCCTTTACAGACCCACATGGCTTCGCCTCTCAGTGGCCAGAATATCACTGATAGCTACAAATGGAAACTGCTCCGTCGAAGACCCATATTGGAGGCCCGGGGAGAACCAAAAGGCGAGGGCAAAGGCCCAAGAAGTCGAGTATCCGAAAGAGTGGACGAAAATCAGGTAGTGACTTCCACAAGGCTTGCGACTGTGTGGGATTCTTGCAGAGAAAACTCGCTAGAGCTTTGGGACAGGAAAGAAGAACCCGAAGGGTCCAAGGTGAAGGATGACAAAGAGCAGGAAGGTCGTAAGGATAGCAACAAGTTACCATTGCATAGGGGTTCAGTACCTTCGAACTCTATCCCACGTTCAGTCTCTACCGCTCGTGTGGCTGAAGTAACTCTGGAGCCGGAACAGCTGCAGGAGATCTCCCAATGCCGGATCTCAACTATGTTGCCTCAGGCTGGGACCCCGGTCGACAAAAAGGATGACAATTCGTTTAATGACTCAGGATATGCGTCCGTAAGTCGAGTCAGCAAATCCATTACGCAAAGTATTTCGGGGCAACGTCGGACCACTCTACAAAATATTCAACTACTAGAAGGTGGAGGGGACGACGAAATCCAGTCAATCGATTCCGATGAATCGCACATCGGTTCAGATGCGTCTGTTCAAACAAGCGCCGCACAACACGAAGGAAAGGCTTACTTCGCACGGTTCCTTGCGGACGATAAGGACCTACGTACTCTGCTCGAGCAGTTACTCCAAAAGATGGGCATAGGTCGTTTCTCGAACACTATGCGGAAACTTCTTAAGGTCTATTACAAGAGCTTATCTAAGACCGCTAACACGGAGAGAAAGCGTTTAAGTGTTTCTCTGTTAAAGAGTAGAAGGGGCAGGAGACGGATTGGTGAGCTCATCGCGGGCTATCTGGGCAAAAATGGTGACAATGATGATGATGACGATGAAGTCGATCCAGCTACAAAGGCAAGACTAACCGAGCTACGAATGAGCCTTCTCGAGGAGTGGCTTGGGAAGATACCGAAGACACTCGTTGGTGAAGGCGATTCGCAGGGACCTGGCAGCAAAAGTCATCTGAAGCATCACGAGGCGAATAACAGGTCGCAGGGCTTGCAGATGGATGATAGTGACATCGATTCGGAATCTGATGATGATGACGAACACATCGCATTGTCCTATCTCACCGAGATGCAAACGTTCTTCCATGATTCCGTCGCCTTCGGAGAGCTTGTGCAAAATCTACCAGTCCTACTTCTGCCGCATGCTCTAGCTCAAATTGTTTTCTCTACGAGAAAGGACAGTATCTATCTCTCACAAGAAGCTGACCTGTCATTGATAAATAAGTGGAAAGGGCAGGTAGAGCAATTCACGCAAGTCGAATGGGACTGGTGGCCTCTATCACCACACATCAGAGATCTACAGCTCACCGAGTCGCGTCTCCACTGGACATGTGTAAGTTTGACCAAATTAAAAGCTTCGAAGCTGACCAAAGGTTAGATTTGTGGCACAAAACTATGGAAAGAGATAAATCATGAAGAAGCCGCTCTTATCAATGCGACGTTACCAAACCTCGCTGACACTCCGTTATGGCCACATCGCTGTCGACCAAACGACGGAAGATCTTTTTGGAAACGTTTATACAGGTTTCTTGCGCATTCACAATCTTCCAGTGCTCAACAGCGTTACACGCCGCAGACTTCTGGCAGGTCCCAGTCCGGGACAGCTTCGAAGACTGATTACCAGACATCCGATCAAGAGGCTTTGAGTAGTACCGTACAAACGTCATCCACTCAGCAGAGCGGCATCGTGAATCAACATCAACCTAGTCCGTATGCAAATTCATCCACCTCCAGTGCCTTTTGGATACTCTTTGGTGTGCAAGGTAGACGAAAACCCCTGGATATGAGTCACATCCCGATACTGCAGCAAAGTGACGATAGCAGCTTCTATCGAACGCTTAAATCAAACTATCGACGAAGTCGAGGCAGGTTCAGACTTTGGTTCTCTTTCTGGAGACTAGATTACTGCGAAGTCGTAAAGGTATGAACTTCGCACCTATGCCTTGGATTAGTCTCTGATGTACAATTCAGTTCAAACGCATTGCATCTCGCTTAGTAATTCGAGAACGCAAGGAGCTCCCCCTCGAGAAAGAGTACGAGTACAGTCCGCGGCCCCCAAATCCAAACGCCACCAACCCAACCATAACCCGACACGAGTTCTCAATGCACCTCAACGCATGTGAAAAGCCTTGTCGCTGGGCAGCCTTTCATGAATGTATGCCACAGCTGAAGACAACATATACCATAGAGACCATTCCGAAACGATGTCAGCAATTCAACATCAACTCAAACGACAATAAGGATATGTTTGCTTGGGGTCTAGAGGCGAAACACGTAGTGTCAGCACGATACCTCGTTGTGTATCATCTTGTGGCTTTCATGGTACCGTTTGGATTATTCCTCTGGTGGATGATCGCCTTCGACGGAGATATTCAAGGTGCAGCTGTACCAGCTGCTGTGTTCATCGGCGCAGTCTCGATGTTCTGGAGTACAAGTGGCGTTGTGATTCAGAGCCGTCAGAACTATGATGGTTTCATCTGATGCATGGTCTCTTATACTTGGGCATATCCAAATCTACCATAATGATGTGAGAGGCAGCCGGAACCTGTGCACACTCGGACGATGAGGATGAGAAAAGTGTGAGATTCGCACCCAAGAGACGCTGCTAGCTTCTTGTAACTGTTGAGTATGTACTCCGCTGGGGAAGAGCAATGTATTTTTGGTTTTTTCTTCCTTTCAGTACGAATTCTATTCAATAACGAAATCCCTGCGCATGCGTTGCAAGATGACCGGTGATGCCACACAACCTAGCCTTAGATCTTGACCGTCAAATCTATGCCCGCTCGCAATACCCGCGCCCAAACCATAAGAGCAGTCGCAATGAGTAAAGCTCCTGCCGCAACAAACCAAGCACCCTGCCAGCGCTCCAGCACATCAAGGCTGCCACTATCACGCGCGAGCCCCGCGATCGGGTTTCCGAGCAACGCCCCTACAGAGGCGATTGTATACCCCATACCCATTCGCGTTCCGTATTCCGACTTGTCCTGTGTGAGATTTGCTATGGTCACTGCCGGCAACGAGACCAAACCGCCAGTGACGAAACAAAAAGTGGCGCTGATAGCGATGAGACCGCCGAGGTCGTGCACGAAGCGCCAGCAGAAAAGGATGATTGATGTGGCGAAACAGCATGGAACGAGGACTGCGATACCACCGTAGCTGTATAGCATTGTTAGCGCTCTAAGATGCGAATCGAAACGTCGAACATACATATCTGCAAGGTAATTGTATGGAAAGCGACCGAAGAATGTGGCTGCATTCATGATGCTAACGACATTGAATGTCATGCTTTCGTTGATGGAAAGATCCAATGCATAGCTTTGAATGAAGAAATACGGGACGTAAGTCCCGGCTACCATGAAAGCGTAAGCTAGTTCGAAAGTCAGCTGTGACATCCGGTAGGTTTCTAGTGGAGGAAGGCTTACAAATGATGAAGATGGTGTACGGAGTGTCGCGGAGTAAACTGCTCTTCAGAAGTGCCCTTTCCTTCCTAGGGTGGCCATGCGGTCTCAGTATCGCCAGGCTCACCGATAGCCCGCCTAGCATGATGAACGCTAATATTCGTACGGCCCAGCCGAAACCGACTTCCCGGAAGAGTTCGCGCATCATAAGTGGATACACTACTCCAGCTGTTGTTGAAGGTCAGCCATTTGCCACTCTTTCTTTCAAGGTGTTCTCCTACCAATACTACTCCCTGTGCTAACAATGCCAGCAGCTAACATCCTCCTTTTTGTGAAATAGAACGGAATAATGGCCGCGCTCGTAAACGCCAAAGTTCCAGAGCCGATACCAACGCAAATGCCCTGCGCAAGGAGCAGCTGCCAGTAGGTTGTGCAAAGGCTCGTCATCATCATTCCAATGACTTCAAAAGCAATGCCAGTGAACACGACAGGACGAAGGTGGCCTCTATCGAGCAACCAGCCAGCAAACACACCAACGAACAGCGTCAAGAAGAGCTGCATAGAACCGATCCATGCGATGTTGGAGTGCGATATAAGCTGAAATCTCTGATGGTAGTAGGTCTCGAATACTGAGAATGAGTTTGTCAATCCCCTACGAACGACTTAGTGCACGCTGTGTCAGAATTGCTGATAAACGAACCAGGTGTTCATGAAGAGGAGCCAGCACCCGAGGACTTGCAACCACGCCTTCGTCCCTCCATCTTGCTGAATGGGGGACTCTTTCGGTAATGCAGATATCGAAATTTGAGAGCTTCCGGCAGATACATCAATTGTGTATCCAACAGTCTTCTCGTTCTTGCTCGACTCTTGCATTTTGTCTCTCAGCAAAAGCGAGCATATGAGGCTTGCATGGCTGCTGGACTTGAGGGCTTAGAAGAGTTTATAGTGCAAAGTAGTTCAGATGCACGCGGCGAATGACAGTCTTCTTCGCGTCGTAGGTAAGAGCACACCGTACAGACTAGTACGATACTGGGTTGATCAGTGAGGCACGATTACCTCCGCTAGCTCTCAGAAGCGCCTATGCATCTAAACCTTGAGCATTAGGGGGCCGAAACAAATGTTTAGCGTTTCAATCTGGTGAGGATGCGTTGGTGATGTTCCATGTCAGCTCACGCAACTACGCCCCGAATCATCGGTGAGAAAACTCTCGGGCGACGTAGAATTCCAGGATAGTGTCAAGGTCTTTCTTTGCTGTTCGCCTATATCTTTTTCGCAAGTCGTGTCTTCGTCGCCTCAAAAGTGGCTCACCCAAAGCAGGTTTGAGTACGAATCCTGGCAGTTGACTACAAAGTTTCCTTCCCCGCTCCATCGAAGCCAGGTACCAAAGCAACTAGATCCTCCGTGCTGACATTACCTCCAGTCAAGACAACGCCAACTCTTACGCGCCTATCAGCAGCCGCCACCCATCCATGAAACGCATCGCTAAATAAGGCCGCAGCCAGCGGCACAGCAGCGCTCGGCTCGATCGCAAAACCTAACTCTCTCACGCCAACTCTCAGCGCATCTTCAATCTGCGCCTCGCTGACGGTCAATACTCGATTGACATTCTCCTCCGCTCGGATGTGCTCCCAGTTCGCCTCGCCCGTCAGCGAGCGCAGTCCATCCGCGATCGAACCAGGCCCTTGAATCTTGAGCGTTCGTCTGCCGCTCTGAAGAGCATGCGCCAGCCCGGGGCCTCCATATTCAGGTTCACAGCCGAAGACAGCCACGCCTTGGGGCTTACTAGCTGCGATGGCACCGCAGAGTAAGCCCCCTCCACCACTGGGAACGATGATGGCGTCGAGACTGTTTCCCGTTTGGGAGGTCTGCTGCAGGAACTCTTGCACTGCAGTTGCCTGACCGAGAACAATGTTGAGATGGTCAGCTGGCGGGACGAGTATTGCACTGGTGGCGTGCTGTATCTGCTCGGCGAGCAGAACCCGGTCGTTGGGATCGGTTCCGGAGAAGAGGACTGTAGCACCGTGGTTTTGGGCAGCAGTGACCTTTTTAGGTGGACAGTTTGACGGAACGACAACGTAGGTCGGGATGCGCATGTTCCGCTGCTTAGATGCGAGATGAGCAGCGTGCGCTACTGCTTGTGCGTGATTACCTATGATCATTTAGTACAGTGTTCAAATGCTCGGCAGGGCATCTTGTTACCTGTGCTGTACGCCACTACACCATTCTTCAGATCTATGTCGTTAAGCTTTGCTAGGAAGTGACACGCCCCTCGAAACTTGAACGATCCAGTATACTGTAGGTTCTCACACTTGAAGTAAATTTCGACATGAGATGAAGACTTCGCGTTCTTGGAATGGTGAAGTTTTTCGTTGACCAGTCGTGTGAGCTGCGGGGAATCTTTGACGGGGGTCGTATGGGTTATAGACGAGAGTAGAAGTGCTGCGGCACGGACTTCAGCGGTGCTTGGTAGTTTGTACAAAGCCATGATGATGAACGACTCTTGAAGTCACTTGCTGTGACATTTATGGGAATTCCATAGCTGGATGGAGTGCTGAGAACCAATGTTCCGGGTCGTGATATGTCTCACGGTACCCTTTTACTAGCGGTGTGCCTAACACAGCTGTGCCGCCCGGGTGGCTCAAACGCTTGCATGTCATATTATTGTAAACCAAACTAAGAGTCTGATTGGTAGTGAAAATCGATATCTGACAGCTACCTTGCACGAGAACGCTAATAAGGAAGCCACCTTGGGGGCTGTTCTACGTCCAAAGCGGATTGTACTTCGCGGAGCCATGCTGAAAACGAACCCAGCGTCTTGTTCCTTGATTATAGACTAGCTTTTATCTACAGCGAATCCTAATGCACTTGACTTGCCAAAAGCGAACAACGTTCTGCAGCAAGCGACTTCACCCTTAACAGCTTTCCGTTGTTTACCTTCTTATATCGCATCACTGCACAATACAGTAGTGACAGCACGGCCAATCCGCACATTCACCACCATCTTCGCATTCCCGGTAACAGTTGCACAGATTTTGGTCCTCTTCGCAGTCTCCAGGGCAACACATACTTGGTCTCTGCGTGTGGAGTAGGAAATGAACTGTCGGAAGCGTGCGTGGAGGCGCAGTACTTGGTGACCAAATGTGGAATTTGTTGGATAATCGCGTTCGGGAATCGACACTTGTGAAAGAAGCGAGGGTAAAGCAATAATGCAGCTCAGTTAAGTATTTCTGTAGGAACGCAAACGGACTCGCCGTGATGGCGTGTCGTCGGCGATTGTCACGGTAAACGCAATCCTCCAACACATTAAACCCGTGTGCGTAGCATACAAATAGCCCCGTCATCCTTAGAGAACACCCGCTCTCAAGGTTGCCAAAAGGCTCGCCGAACGCGAGACTACCCATTACGTTTGAAGTTGGGAACATCCACCACTTCATGACATCACACTGGCGGTCCGTCTCCAGGTTGGCTTTGATGCGTTGGACCGCGAGGTCAGCGATCTGAGGCTCCCACTTTGCGGCGATATTTCTGTTGCCAGCGGCTTGGAAGAGGCGGCGCTGTCGCGAAGTTTTATTTTTCGGGATGCCGAAGACACCGTTTACTTTCTTCACTATACTGAGAGGGCACTTGTTTCGTGTACCACGGACCGCGGATGATACAATATGCGTCGATGTCAGCGATCGTAACCTCCTTTGGAGCTATGCAGACATATGGGACTGTTTTACTAGTTCCAACGCTAAGTTGTATAATAGGTTGACATGGCTTGGACCGTGTATTTCGCACAAAGCGTGAACATGAAGTGATCTTCGTCCCGCAAGGATTCGAAGCTTCAGCGGTATGCCTGCGTATGCTGAGAGGAAGAGTCCGGGAATATTTCGACGACCGCTTTGGAAGCCGGTCTGAACAGCCTGTGTAACATAACCTTTGAGCAATTACGTGTACGGCGGTTCTCGGGTTCTCACCTGAAGTACGACCCATCCTAGGAACAGCAATGAAGCGTACCCGAGAGCCACATATAGACTGAGCTGTGACAGCGAAAAATCCATGATCTGTGGATTCGCTGCGGATACAGAACACAATCACGAAGGTGACACAACCTTGTAATTGATCGTTTGGAGTTCATACGTGTGCCTCGATCGTGCGTTGTTTAGCGCTTACGATCTGGGTCGATTGGTTTGGGGAAACGCTGTAACTTTTGTTGGAACTCCATCAAGTTGTAACGAACATTGGCATATGTCACCTCCATGGTGTTTTATCGTGGAGAGCTACACATGCCGATTGACATATGTACCTCCACGCCAGCTGAAAAAAACTTGATTCGTTGCAAGTGCAGATTGACATTTAGCAACATCATTCTGGGCAATGTGGTCAGACTGCTGGACATGCTATTACAGCGAAGCGAGTGCGCATACGGAGGGTCTGACCCATTGAACCGGTTCCGAGCTCCATGAGGTTGGCCAGTGGATGACTCTGTTGATCGAGACGCTCTTCCTCTACTGTTTGACACTACGTTCGAAACCATGAATGCTGTTTAAGTGATGATATAGTCTTCCTGGAGTATTGCAAGCCTGGCTGGGTGATGCATGATCCTTATCGTGTGGAGGTGACCACACCAATCAGGAGCGTGGAAGCTCCGCAGACGTGTCGCGCGTCGACTTCTGGCATACGATGTCCAGTGTCAGCGATGCTGTTTAAGCTGCGCCCGGAGTATTTCACGATTAGCTTGAGACTCGAACACATGCTGCGGAATGCGGCTGGAGTAGGAGGACGCACCTGCGGATCAGTCCACCAAGGGTCCGTGGTTACGTCATACCCCGCTCATGCCGAGCTTAAGAGCTCAAGCTGTCCTGTCCATTCAAAGGAGCACACCTTTGATCACTCTAAGCATCTTCAAAATCATCAATTGGGCTTCCAAACCTCGATAGACCATCCAAACTCCATTCACCGGCCCCAGCACAGCTTTACACCTCACAATGGGTTGGTTCACCAGCACCAAGGAAGCCGCCTCTACGCCTACCGAGCCCACCACCGAGGGCGGCTCTCGACTCGGCGTTGGAGCAGAGCAGGATCGCTACTCATCTCACTTCAACATTCCGGAGGAGGAGAAAGAGCGCCTTAAGCAGCAAGTCAGGGACTGGGCGAACAAGCAGGGCAGCGGCGCCGAGCAGGACCGTTACGCATCACATTTCAGCCTCCAGAACGATCCAGTCGCAGCCGCTGCAAGGTGGCTTGCAAATACGCATCTCGATTCCTCGGGAGCTGAGCAGGATCGATGGGGCGGATACTTTGGTCTCGGTGCCGATGGGTGGGCGCGCGCCAAGAAGCTGTCAGAAACGCAGGGCGTCGGTGCTGAGCAGGTACGTTCCGAAGCAGCCTCCATTGACGAAGAATACTAACGAGTTCTAGGATCGCTACGGATCGCATTTCAGCATAGACACCGGCTCCGTCAAGAGGGCAGCGCTGTCCGTACAAGAGGGCGTAAAGCAGGCGCGCAACCAATAAATAACTGGGAGGACGATCGTGAACGATATAGCAAGTATTTGGACCAGATAAGAATGGCATCAAAAGTCATGTTACAGTAGCGATCGCATCTTGAATTCAATGGCATTTCATCCCATAGCGCCCGCAAACTACTGCCTATCAGAAGCGACCCATGCATACCGGAACAACACTTGTCCCGCGACCTTCTTACATTGCTCCGATTGATCGCGCAAAGCGCATGTTTTCCGAACGGCTTGTTAATGCAATCGACATGGGTCGTCAGAACTTCTGATCTCTCTGACCTGTGTCTGACTGCCACTATAATCAGCGTTGCTTTTCCGTTCACCGCCAACGCCCCACCTAGAGGACTACCTCGGCACGAATCGGCCGCATGCATCCCCAACCTCTCCTCCACACGTTGAGTCCCACAATTGCACTACAATTGCATATGTCATCATCACATTTGTAAGATATGCGGAGACATATACTACACCTGCGGTACAAGTATTGCACCGGATAGGTCCAGCGTACAGACCCTAGAAATAATGTAAATACCCTCTTCGGACAGCCTTGGTTCGACATCACACCAACAGCACACCTAATTGAACCATCCTTTCCTCCACGATAAGACATGTCTCGCAACATCCTCTTGACCGGCGCCTCCGGCTACCTAGGCGGCACCTTCCTCGAGCTTCTCAAGAACGCCAACCTCCCCGCCTACAAGATCTACGCCGTAGTCCGCTCCGACAAACAAGCCGAAGCAGTCAAACAATACCTCAATGTCGAGCCCATCACTGTTGACCTGTCCAACACCGATGCAGTGTCCTCCGCCATCATAGACCACAATATAACAATCGTATACCACCTTCACAACCCCCTCGACAACACCACACCCGCCTGGATCAAGGCCCTCGCAACCGTGAAGCAGAAAACCGCCCAGGATGTCCACTTTCTGTTTACTACGGGGGCGAAGCTCTTCTCCTCTCACGCGGGGGCACCTACGCGCCCGTTCTCAGACACAGACCCCTCCCTCTTTGCCATCCAAAAGGCCCAGCCGGAAAAAGCACCCATCGATGCGATGGGCATGGGCGTCTCATGCAACAACCTCGTCATCTCGACCGCGCAAGAACTAGGTGTAAAGTCCTACATTTTCGCGCCGTGCATCGTCTACGGCGCGGGTCTTGGTTTCGGAAATAAGATCTCCATACAGACGGTTGCGGTGGTGAAGGCTGCGGTGAAGACGAGGAAGGTGTATAAAGTGGATGAAGGGCGTCCGACGTGGCCGGTTTGTCACGTGGAGGATAATTCCACTTTGTATATTGAGATTCTACGCGGGATGCTGGAAGGGAGGGATATTGGGAGTGGAGAGGAGGGGTATTTCCTTGCGAGTCCGGGGAGCATGGCGTGGGATGATATCTACGCCGCTATGGGGAAGGCGTTGAAGAAGCGAGGTGTCGTTGATGATGAGACGGTTGTGGAAGCGGATGGAACTGCTTTGGAGAAGATGGGGGAAGGAATGGAGTGCCCGGCGGAGTTTGTGCCAATGCAGGTCGGTGGGCTGTGTACGTTGACGGCTGAGCACGGGAAGAAGATTGGGTGGAAGCCGAAGTACGCGCCGGAACATATTGTGGAGGCTGCGGATGCGGAGGTGGCGCTTATTTTGGAGCATCTGGAGGCCGCGAGGAGTTATGCGATTCCGAAGGGATGAAGTTGAAGCAGTGAAGGACCGCTTGACGAGGCGGGCAGAACCAGGAGTACGTGAACATATGGTCGAGCTAGAAAGCCATTTACATATTTACAACGAACAATTTATGTAAATCGATGTGTGTAACGCTTTGCTCTGCGCAGGTATATCTCAGTCTTACAGGCTTCGAGCTTAACATTCCCTGTTTCCAGCAATTGAGACAATGTACTATTCCTAACCCAAATTCCAAAGCCGTCACTCTAGTCAGCGTCTGGAACATCAGCACTTACAACACTCTAATGATGACAGCCAGCTCTGGTACTAAAATGGTTCAGTAAGCGGACCCCAGCCTACGTTTCATATACCACACCAACCATCACGCGTAGCGAAAGTGCGACGTTCCACCCAACAAGAAAGGAGCGCACATAGTGCGAACGTCTTACCTAACGCCAAGTTGGCGAGGGTCGTGTATAGTAACACGCGCCACACTTGTGCCACATACACGTGCAGTAGCGCGAGGATGTTGTTTGAAGGTCATCCACGACAAAGACATTTGCTGATGCTCACGACAGCTTCTGTGGAGTTGCTGGCGCGTATCCGTGGGCTGAGTCGATTTGTATGTCAAATATGGTGGGGTACGGGGCGAGCTGAGGTTTGCACGACAGTTAGATGCGCTGAGATGGACGAACAATGACAGCGGCAGATGAAGGTTTGATGTTTTCGACCTTCTTGAAGACCGAGACGAGGCTGTAATGTCAAGTATAAGAACTCTTTCGAAGACGCAGTTCTAGGGACACCAGCCCACCATTAACTCACCCATATATCTCTTCCAACAGCCAACCATCCCAATTCAGCTCATTCTTCGCCTACCAACCCCACAACCATAACCATGAAGGTCACACTCCTTCTCACCACCCTCTCCGCCGCCCTCGTAGCTGCTTCCCCCGCCTCGCTAGGAGCCCGCGTACGTCCCCTTCCCCCGTGCCCCTCCCTCACCTTCCCATAACATCCTCATCACTAATTCTACCACCAGCCCGGTACAATCCGCGTCCAAATCTCCGACGACACAACCGACACCGCAGTCCAAGCCAACATCCCCGCCAACGGCGCCAAGACCAGCATCGCTGCGAACTTCGCCAATCTGGGCAGCGGCGTGCCCGCCAACCGCGCTTTCGTAGTCAGTGGGTCTGGAAGCTGCGGTATCTTCAAGGATAATGGGAGTCAGAAGGTTGCGACGATTAAGAGTGGGGCAGACGATGTTACGTTTGCGAGGGTGAAGTTGCAGAATGGGGTTATTGTGTGCAAGTAGGCGCTTGAAGGAGTAGGGGTGGAAGTGGGTTGGTTGGACGGTCGCTTAATGTCGTTGTATGAACGTGTGGGGTGGAGAAAGCGGACACTCGTTGATGATAGGTTCATACTGCATCTGAGTAAATTGTGGATATATTACACTTGAAGACCGAGGAGTTCACTAATGGGAGGGGGACGGTTATCGACATGCGCTGGTGTCTCCATGTTTAAGTCCAGTCGTACCAGAACACTGAGAAAGGTAGTTGATGCTTCCAATGGAATCTTATCATGTATCCTTCGGCGGGGTACCTTGAGTTTGGCGCGCTGGAAAGGGCGGCTTTGGAATGGAGCAAGTATTGTTCGTACGGAAAGGGTAGCACACAAATCCGATATCGTCAATAGCAGTTTTCACTTGCAAGATCCGGAGCCCGGCCTTAACAGGATCATATGTTATCCGATCATGTCGTTAAGATGATCGTCGCTCACTAACTAAGAGTGGCAGTGGTGGGAGGCGCCACGAGTGTGCTTCTTGTACATGATCGACGAAGTGCAATGCAGTATCGTCCGAAGGAAAGGCGAAGTCGAACCGCGTAACGCATTCTGCAACAACGAGACGGAGATACATAGTTGCTAGAGGTCGTCCGACACACCAATGAGGGCCTAGTCTCAGGTCAGTGGCCAGACGAAGCCAGAGAAGAATAAACTACTCACCGACATTGAATGGAGCATATCCAGCCCTATCTTTGATCAAATCCGGCTCAGCATACCAGCGCTCAGGTATAAATTCCAACGGCCGAACATATGCCTCTTCTGAACGTCCAACAACGTATTGCGAACCGATGACTGTCACATCTCCAGGTACGAACGTGCCTTGAACCATAATACCTTCCGATGGCGTTTGCCGTGGAAGCACGCTACCAGGAGGTTGGAGGCGCAATGTTTCGTTGATGACCGCATTGAGGTGATTGGTCCTCTGAATACTATGGTGTTTGAACTTCCCGTCCATACCCGCAAGCGGGTCCAGCTCTTGCCGTAACTTTTTGACATGCTCCGGATGCTGAGCTAGGTAAAAGAAGATGAAAATGAGGGTAGACGCGGATGTGTCACTGCCAGCGAAAATGACAGACCGACAGTCACTCTGGAGATGCAACAAGTCCTCCTTAGTTGGCGGAGACTGAGCGTGCGACGCCATTATGCCCATCAGACTGGAGTTTTCTTGTGAGGCCTTTCTCTTCGCCAGAATCGATTTTAGTTGATCGTTACAGTAGTCATCAAATTTTTGGGCAGCGCTCGAGGATCCAGGTATCGCTTTGAGCAGATTGATGGACCAGGGCGGTAGACGGAGACCGATAGCTTTTGTCCAGCCCGCCATAAGCGTAAGAGCCCAATGCTCTTGGCCAGTACTGAGCAGAGAAAAGTCTTTGTCGAGACCAAGATTACCCATGACATCCCACGAAAAGTATATACACCATTTTGAGGCATCGAGAGGATATTTGGACGTCGCAGATTTCTTCAAGATATCGATAAACTTCTCGGTGTATGACTGGATTCGCGATTCGTATCCGCGAAGTGCATTGTTGCTCAACGCCTCGCTCCAGATCCGCCGTCGCTCGCGATGAACACCGGGTGCTGGAGAAATTATACCGTAAGGAGCACCGAACGTGCTATACCATTCTGCTCTACGAGAGCCTGATTTTGTACCGTCTGCGATATGTCTTAGTATAATCGGGTGGGATCTCTCGTCTAACCTCGTAAGAAGGCACTCACACATAGCAGGGACACCCTGCGGAGTCATGATCAACAGAGTTGATGACCCAATCCGTACAAATGGCCCATATTTGTGATACAAAGCCAAGCTCTTTCTATGCCAGTCAAAGTCCTTCGCCTGGAGAGTGAGCCAGACATCGCTGATCCTGGCAGTGTAGGGCCCGGGGAAGCGATTCAAGGGATGCCACCATAATCGATATGACAACAAGCTTCCGTATAAACCTAACGACAGAAAACCATAGAAATGTGTGATATCGATCGAAGCCGCTCGAAGAGATCGTTGGAACAGCAAACTCTGACATATGACAGAGGCGACGAACGTGAGAACACCTACTGCGACGTAGATCGGCGCCTTAGCACTATGCTGCCCACGATAAAAGTAGCCGAGATGAAGGATTACCCCAGCGGCCACAGCCAAGAGCGGACTGATATAATCCTTGTGTGCGCTCATTGCAAGGAAGAGTATAGCAGTTGAATCGCCAGATGTGACCGCAGTAGGAGGGATTTAGCGGCGAGTGCAACCTCTTATATCGTCAATGGATGTCGGATCAATTGATCGGTGTGCTTTTATCACGATCGCCTTAAATTGCAAGGCTGAAAGTTGTGGGACAGGGTGTCGCTGTCGCTCACTATACCGCGCGCATTTGGGTAGGTTGGACCGACCGGGCGTAACATGACCGCATGTACCAGGATGCACCAGAAGAACCTATCAGACCGAGTGCGATGCAAATGACTCTACACTGAGCAAGTATCGACAATTGCAAGCGGCCGTAATGCATGCAAGATGGTGGCTGCCCGTTCCTAATCTTGGCAACCTGCGCAAACGAGCGCTAAATTGCATGTGTAGAGAAACTGTCGGGCGCTGTCGTAAAATGTATGTTGATGACACTCTTCAATCTATACCATGTGCGGATCTCCGGTATGCTCAACAAAATGGAATGAGAGCTAATATGATGCAAGCATTTGGTCATTGTCGCAACAGTTGCGAATCTGGTGAGTCGGCCGTGGAAGCACCTAGGCTAAACCAATATCGTATATAAGGAAAAGGTATTACAAAACATCCGACGATCGTCAATGCATAGCTTGGAGTCTTCGCTGACCGATTCTTCAGAGAAATACAAATGAAGCCGTATGGTAGCTCAAAAATCCTCCTCTTCCTCGGCACCCGCTAAAAGCTTCTTTTCTGCCAGTTCCTGTATCTTCTCTCCAAGCATGTCCCTGCCATATCTCTGCGCGACCTTTCCAGCGAGATCGAGCATCTTGCCATTTGCATCGTGCATCAGCGTTACAAGCTCCAGTGCCTTCATACCCCTATCTTCGCCCGCAAGACACTCTAGGCCCAGGAGTTGCAACAGCGATCGGTCGATCTGGACTTCCAGACTGACCAGATCTTGTTTTTGATGGGCTGTGGGCCGTGTGTGGGATAACGAATCTGAGAGCTGCGCATGAAGCGCAGAAGAGAGAACAAAGTCTTGTTCGTGTTGCTGCTGTTTGTTTTCCGGCTTCTTAGCAGCGCTGTCCTCCTCGTCATCGAACATTGCGTCCACGTCCCGGTCCTTTCCTTCTCGGCTCTTGTCGATTGAAGACGACAGAGGGATCTCGAGCGCGAACTCGCTCAGCATTGGTGGCGGGTTGGTAGGGTGCTTTTCGCTTCCTTTGATGATCATGCAATGGAAGACGTGCTTACCGTCTGCATCCCGAGAAACGCAAACCGGCCAGTAACTCTCCTGCTTTCCGCCACCTGCTCTCCGCGACAGACACTTCGTGTCTAACATGGGTACCCATCTTGCTTGGCCGTTCGTGCGCCAGTGCAGGAGCGTCAGCAAGACACCATCAGAATCGTATATGTATGGATCGCCGTCTGCAGAGAAGAAGACTGATGTCAGAGTAGTGTTGGGTGGAAGCGCTACGATATCTTCGGACTGGTATATCTCGTCGCGCTTCACGTTTTCGATCGTGTACAATAGCTGAGACGTGCCATCTCCGCCGACAGGACCGTTGCCGATAGTCAGAACGTAGTCACGCCATGCCGCACATGTTACTGTAGGCGATGCCTTCTGTCGGTAGACGCGGATGGGTAGGCCGAAGAGCGAGTAGATTCGGACATAATTCGCGCTTGTCGTCACAACGACATATGATTCTGACAGTGCAATGGCAGTGATAGACTCATCAGCCGGCAAGTTCGTGCGCCAATCTGCCCGGTTCGTCCATGTTTCGTGTGGCCTGTAGTAGATCATAGCAGGAGTGTCATCTTTCGGTTGGCAGCTAAACAATGTGCCGTGCTCAGTCAGCGCAGCTTTATCATAGCCGAAGACGTCGGTAAATTTGAAGTTGTGGTGCGCTTGTTCGTCGTAGAACTTGACTTCAGCTGTGTAATGTGTGCCTTCTTGACTTATAGTAGACACGTAGCCAATAAGCGAACAGCACAAAAGGCGCCGGTTACCGCGCCAAGGAGTTCCGCCAGGTTGGAAAGGTTCGTGGATCTGAGGCTGGAAAGCAGGAGCAGTAGGACGTCGTTTACTAATGGATTCAAGAGGCTCTAAGTGACCATTTGTTCGCTTTCCGTGTCCGTTAGTGTAGCCAGCACCGTCGTCATCGATCACAAAGCCATCATCCGCTTCATCAGGCATATCTTCATCGTCGTCTCTGAACTCGTCACCTAAGAGATCATCGAGACTGTCTGCACTGCCGGCTCTGGCCCGACGTTCGGGCAGAACATGTTTTGTGCCGTTTGTGAGCTTAGACGTTGGGTCGTTCGAACGACCTTCTGAAGGGTCGTGAAAGAACGGGGCAGGTTGCACAGGCTTTTGCAGGAAGCCCTCGTGCTCTTGAGGAACGAAGTCGGTATGAATATACAGATGGCCCTCGGTGTTGGTGTAGGAGAGGATGTTCTCAGTGGGATGCCATGCCATGGCTAGAATGGTAGCCTTGATGTCGTCGTACTTCTTCAGTATGCTCTGCGTCTTTGCGTCCCAGAGGCATAGTGTCAGGTCGCTCGAAGTTGTGGCTAGGAGAGCGCCGTTAGGTGACCATGCTACTGCAGTAATGTCTGACGTATGCTCGGTCTTGAAGGTCTTCTGCTTCTCCCAATCGTTCGTTGACATGACTTGTACTTCGCGAAGAGCGGTTGGAGTTGCAAATGCTCTCCCATCCGGATGCCACAGAACCTTCGCGCTAGACTCTGCCTCTGGTTCCAATCTCTTGATCATATCGTCCACCTTTTGCACAAGCTTCGGTTGTTCTGAATCTATCGAGTAGATATAGATGCTGCCGTCCACGCAGGACACAGCAAGTTGCGTGCCGCCCTTGTTGAAGGAGACATGTTTGACGGAGCGGTTCTGGTCGCGGAGGCGCTTGACTATTTGTATATCTTTCGTGTTTATGATATACACAACGAGCTCACTACGACGTGTCAGTAATACATCCAGAAATAGTGTTCTGTAGCATACTCGCTCGCGACCGCAACCCATTGTCCGTCTGGACTCAGCGCTACATCTCTAACAGGAAGTGTGCTTCTCCAGAGTATGTCTCCGCCATCACTACTCCCAATAGAGTATTTGTTTACCGTCCCATCTTCAGCTCCAGTAATGAAGAATCCGTCCTGATCCATGCATTAGCACTATTGTTTTTGCGCAACTCCATATTGCATCCACTTACTCCAGCTGCAATAGACAGATTATTTTCTTGACAGTCGTCGATGTTGGAGGGCTCTCCGTCAGATCCCGTAGTGAAGACACGGCAAAAGTTATCGACACCGGCTGTGATCAGCTTGTTGCCGTTCGGCGTGTATGCGAGGAACGTAGGGCCGGGGGCGTCTATATCTCGATTTAGTATTGGCAATGACAATCATGCTTCTGGCAGCACTTACGAGCGTAGCGACCGCGCAATTGCTGCGGAGTAGCCATTGTTGGTAGCGAATGTGTGGATGTTTGAGAGTCGGCACGACGCATCCAAGCGCGTGCAACGCGTAAAGTGGAAGGCCACGGCCCGTGCACGCGTTATTAAAGCCCCGCGTGTAGCCTACCACTCTCAACCTTCCCTTCCCAATCATTGACACTCGGGACAAAGTGAACACAACTCTTGAACGGAAATTCTATCTTCTCAAATTTCCATTTGCGTAAGACTGCCGTGCCAACCATATACATCTGGAGTCCGCGCTTGACCACGGAGATGCGAGCGCTCCCGGTAGATCGCGAGACATATGTAACATGACCGAACAAAAGTACAGCAGGTTTTCGTCTTGATGTTTCAGCTCACAAGATTCACACGTCGATTTCAACTAGGTTTCTATGATGGCCATCATGCTTGATGACACAGCACACTGGCCAATACCATCAGGACCTTAGTAAAGAGCCGAAGACTTTCGTCACTTTAGCCTTCACTAATTATTCGTCCGCGAATCGCCCTTGGATCAAGCGTGCGCAAGTCCGCTCAATGATTACGACCACAGCCCTACAAGAAATTGTACGGAGATAAGATGAAAGACAGTCCCTTCAGCAACATCAAGTCTATCCAGGCTGCTATTTGTTAGTTTCCAACCTATCACGATCAAGTAATTGTATGTCGCAAAGTATTTCCGTTCCGCTCTGAATGGGTACCATACACGATGCGGATTTACGCGGATTTAGGGGTGCGACCATTTTCCTCTCCTGGAAAACCTCCAGGGTCAAAAAGGATCAAAGTCACTTATATCAAGCCGAGAGGTAAAACAGGTCTTGAGTAGTCCCACGGCTACAGTAGGTTGCGTCTTATAAAAAAAGCTTACTGAACCGACTCCTCATATCGCAACCTGAACTAGTACCAACCACCGAGATCGTTCCCATCATGGCCCAAACACATCTCAAAGTCGTTTTCGGTGCCATGACGTTTGGTCCCAAGGGCACTCGAAGCGGCCAGGTCACCAGCCTCTCGGACCAAGCGTCTATGCTCGACACCTTCCAGTCCCATGGCCACAGCGAGATCGATACCGCACGGCTGTACAACAACGGTCACTCCGAGTTGATGCTTGCACAGAACAACTGGCACAAGCGCGGCTTGTCTGTTGCTACCAAGCTGTACCCTACAAAAGGAGCTGTCAGTGTGGACTTCCGGAGAGCAGCTATGGACTTCCCGATGTACGATCATTCTCCGGCTGATTTAAGACGTGGGCTGGGAGAGAGTTTGGAGGCGTTGGCAGCGGAAGAGGTGGGTGTGGATGTGTTCTATCTGCATGCGCCAGATAGGAATACGCCATTCGAGGAGACGTTAAGGGGGGTGAACCAATTGTATGAAGAAGGAAAGCTCAGAAGGTTCGGTGTCTCTAACTACATGGCTTGGGAGGTAAGGCTATCCCTTCGAAGTCGGCAAGAGAATGCTGACGGTCCAGGTGGCGCAAATGTGCGAGATCTGTATTCGTAATAACTGGATCCGCCCAACCATCTATCAAGGGCTCTACAACGTCTTCAGCCGCAAAATGGAAGACGAGCTCATTCCCTGTCTGCGATACTACAACATCTCCTTCTACGCCTATGCGCCACTAGCTGGTGGACTCATGACAGGAAAGTACTCCCGCGACCAGACTGACTTCGAACCCGGCAGTCGATATGCTCCGGGCACTTTGAGTAGCAGGACTCATCGTCCGAGGTACTGGAATGATCTATACTTCGATGGGATTGAAGAAGTCAGAGCTGCAGCGGACAAGCATGGGTTGACGCTCGCAGAGGTGGCGTTGAGGTGGATGAATTGGCACTCGAAATTGGAGAAGGAAACAGGCGATGCGGTGATTGTCGGCGCGAGCAGTGTGAAGCATTTGGAGCAGAATCTAGTGGACCTAGAGAAGGGACGTTTGCCTGAGGATGTTGTGCAAGCAATGGAAAGCGCTTATCTGAAAGTAAAGGCTGTTGCGCCACCTTACTATCATTGAGTGGGACGATGGTCATCTCAGTTGTTCGGTATTATCACCAAATTTATCAAGTACGGCACCATCAGTGTTCTGGTGTTGCAATGAGAGGTATCATCGCCGGATGCTCTCCGTCAACTGTGCGGCCAAAGTGCTGCGCTCTACTCGTCGTGCAATTGCATGAAGGCTATATGATTCCACTACATACCAAACTATGAATCTAAGAATCATCTTCCGCATTTGCGAGAAGATCGCGAACAAATAGCTTCTTACATATCACTATGCTACAAAAACGGTATTGTAGACCCAAGGACGTGGCACTCGGGTGGTCCAGACCAACCCTGGCTCAATCGGGGTATCCCATTCAAAAACGCCGACCTACCCATGTCACTCTCCCAAAATATCGCCGCCATCACCCATCCGACAAGTGTCCTCGAACCAAACCACCAACAAACAGCATACACACGTCGCATCTCCTTACGAGACCCAGATCGGCCTGCGCGCAACTTTTCCAACTCCCACACTTCCCCGCGCCACTTCACACTCCTGCGCCCCGCTGCGCGCACCTCACAATGTCGAACAGGTACACTCTCCTCCAATACAATCCCCGTTGCAGAACGCCAACCACTCACGACTATTAGATTCGGCCGCCCCTCCGCCCAAAACGACCTCTTCTCCTCCTACAACCGCTCCTCGTCCCCCTCCAAAGACAAGAAAAAGCCACGCTCGCCCTACGGCAACTCTCCCTACGGCGGCGCCCAAAGCTACGCCTTTCCCTCCTCGTCGCCCGCCCCCGAAGGCCCCTCTTTCGGCGCATACCCTGGCGCAAACGGCAGCACGAGTGCAAGCGGGAGCGGGACATTCAGAAGCGCGACGCCGAATTCGAGAGGGCAGTATAGCGCTGCGACGTTGGATGAGCTGGAGAGCCAGAATGATGATCAGGCGGGGGCTTTGATTGGGAAGGTGAAGATGTTGAAGGATGTATGTGTTTCCCTTAATATACCATGCATCTCCGTAGCGTGGATTGGATTGGAACAATGTGCTGACGGGAGGACAGTTAACAGAGGCCATCGGCGTGGAGATCCGCGATTCGACGACGCTTGCGGAGAAGATGAACGACCAGTTTGAGAACTCGCGGTTACGGTTAAAAGGGACGATGAATCGGATGTTGAGGATGGCGGAGAAGACGGGTGTGGGGTGGAAGGTGTGGTTGGGATTCTTTGCTGTGGTTTGTGTGTTGTTTTGGTATGTTTGGGTGTTCTAGACATATCCCGGCTGGGTGAGAAAAGAGATGGAGGGTTGGGTCTACATGGGGAGGTTTCTACACAAGTCGATCCTTGGAATTGGACGGGACTGGGGTTGAAGGGAGGGCGTTCTGAGAGCATTTGGTGTTAAGCGATTCAGCATTGCATGCGAGGCGTCACGGCATTGGGAGGCTGCAAAGATTTAATATGCTCGCGCATATCACATACATAACCACGATTCTCACACATTCTCACGAAATCCGCATTCGTCGCGAGACTATGTACATTCAATTGAAAGGAGATTGGTATCACATGTATATTACCCATAAGCAACTTAACGCTCACTCCCCAACACCTTCTTCAACGCACCCATCTCCCCTTCGTACCCCTCGACCTTCTCTTGACTCTTCTGCAGCTTCGACAGAAGATACTGCACACGTCCAGCCAGCATCGCCGGTCGTCCCTCAATCTCACTCAACTTCAACAACTCCGTCTCGCACTTCTCAATCGTCGCGCTCTCCACCTTGACCAGCTCTTTCAAAATAGCGAGATCCAAGCGGCTCTTCAGGACTTTGTCTTCCGTCAACCGCTTGAACGCAGGGTGATACACAGGTTTGCCAGGACGAATCAGAGAGGGCCGCCCAGAAGGAGAAGACACGATAGTGACCAGCTCAGCCTGCTCGAGCGCGCGAATCGTCTTCTCCCCGTTCGTTGCGAACACATCTGAGAGGAGAAGCTCGTTGTAGCGCAGTTCTTCTTTCTCGGCGAGCTCCTTGATAAGCAACCACGCCTGCTCGTGACTCCATTTCTTACCACCTTCCTCGTCCGCAATGCCGAAGATGTACATCTTGAGGATCTCGCTTGCGGACTGGTCTATCATCTCGTGGACGGCCTTGACAGGCGTTTCACCCGTCTTGATCCTGCGGGCTAGGAATTCGAGGTCCGTAAGGCGGCCGCCGAGGAGGTCGATGCAGGTGTCTAGCTCGTCGAGGTCGTCACGTGTTTGAGAGGGGACTTGCTTTTCGGATCCATCCTTGGGCTCAGGGTCGTCAGCGACGTCGGCATCTAGGTGGCGGAGGACGTATTTCTTGGCAACCTGAGGGGAGCAGTCGGAAAGCGGGATCTGGTGGAAGACGCGGTCCGGGAGGGCTTTGGAGAGAGATTTGCTGTAGGATACGTCGTTTGTGAGGAAGACTACATGGGCGATGTTGGTGGTCGTGAGACGTGCGGCCCTGGGATGAAGGTTAGCCACGTATTGTGAGCAAGAAAAGGACTGGTACACCTACCAATCAGCGATCTTGTCATAGACCACACCACCCTCCTGACTCTTATGCAAGAAGTTGTCAATGACAACAACGGGTCTCTTCTCAGGATGTGCCTCTAGCCACTCATCGTCACCCAGATACGCATCTTTATCATTCTTGTGCCGTTGATCCAGCGCAATTTGTCTCAACGCAGTTCCTGTCGTATTCCAGATCTTCGCAAGTTGTGAGTCCAGCGTCTCAGAGAACCCAGTCTTTACGCCTGTTGCACCCTGCGCAGCCATGTCAATCATCCCGCTGATACTGTTCATCCAGGAGAAAACGGGCTTATACCCAACACCTGCGGCCGCAGCGTTGATTGTCGCGCTGTCCCCACGAGCTTCTTGAATGGGCTTGCAGTCGATGACGAGCTTGTGCTTTCGGTCTTTGAGGGCTTGGTCAATGACCAGCTCTTTCTTCCCGGATCCGCGGGGTCCTTGCACGATGATGAAGGTATCGGCGGTCTCCATAAGCCACGTCTGAATTTGCTCGATGTTTTCTTTTCGATCGTCCCAAACAACCTCCATGCCTGTGTCGTCGTCGGCCTTATGGTGCCAAGGAATAAAATCTGTTGCGTAGCCGATGATTCGCTTGTAGTACTTGTTATCCTGGAGATGCAGGACTCTGGTGATGTGTGCCTTGACGAAGAACGTCCGTATCGGGTCGAAGATGGCAACCGTGATACCGGCCACAAGCGCCGCAACAATCGGAATCACAATCCTTGGGTGATTTACCAACCAATCTCTTATCCAATGCGCTTTGATCTTTTGCTCATACTTGAGCCTGAAACGGGTGCCGTTCTTCCCTCCGCCCTCCGCCTCCGAAACCAGATATCCATGCATGCAGTTCTTCGCCATGATTGCATTTGATAGCTTCATGTAATCAAGGTACGCGAATTTTGGCAACACCTTCGAATCAGGCGGCTGCACGACGATGTCTTGTAGCTTACCATACTGCCTGAAGAAAGAATAGAGTTGCTCTTGGGACAGTTCGACAGCCTCGACGCCAGGCTCGGGAGGTACGAATTCGATGCGGAGCCTGGGAGATGGTAGGCGAAAGAGATCCTCGACCCAGGGCCGACCTTTGACGACGTTGACGTGCATTCGTCGCCAAGGACTCCACCATGGTTTCACAGGGTTCTCTTTCAAATACTGCTTGAGGACTTTCTCAACTTCGGATGTTGGGGTGCTGCCATCATGCGTAAATTTGACAAAGGCACCGCCTTCTTTTAGACGGAGGAGGGTTTCTGTCGCTTTGACGGAAATGTTGGCTTTGGCGCCGGCTTTTTCGATGACAGTCTTCGGGTCTGTGCCAGTGACCATGGGATTGATGATACGGTTCAGGAAGCCGGGTGCTTTGTCGTCTGAGGCGAGAGGAAGGCCAAGAAGTTTCTGAATCTTGAGTGGGAATACATCTTTGACTGTTAGTCCTGATCTTTCGGAGTATGTGATCCTGTTGGCCTACTATCAAAGAAAAGCAGCCCTTCGTCCGGTCCTGCGCTGATATGGCCCGACTTATTCTCCCCGGCCTGCAACGAAGCATACCGAGTCGGATACCCACTCCATGGACTCCTAAATCTGCATCAGTATGTGAGGTGATCGACAGACAAGCTTTCTGTCAACGCACCTTGTCAGCAATCCCTGCAGCCTGCTCCGCCCGCGTACGGAGCTGCGCTGAGCGGCATGGTGCCAGGCAGTCCTAGGAATCATGGTATGTTATTGTGCTACGATGGAGCCTCGAAAGGCATGGTGATGTGTGCACTGTGGTCAACGCGAAGTACAGGCGTCGCGAAGGCTTGACATGCGCCAATGACGTCACGCGATCTCATTCGCTCATCCTGGTGGTGGCAGGTAATCTGACCAAGGGCGTGCCAAGAGGTGGCATGGCCTAACTAACAATAGTAATTATAGCAAGGATTAGAGAAGTTTTTATGCCACCCTAAGTAACTAGCGTAGAACTAGTATATACATAGTCTTCTTAAAATTAAATTAATTCTAAGTTAATTCTAAATAACTTTATATTATAATATTATTCCTAGTCCTAGATATCTAATAAACCTATGTTAACTTAGATCTCTTTAAACCTAATATTCTATAGGATAAGAATATAAGTGTTTAGACCCCTATTATCTCTAGTAATTATATAGATAATAATACTAAATAGTACTATATAAGTCTATTATATAGAATTAATTTATAATTAATTTAGAATTTATAGGAGCGCGCTGTAATTACTAGTAGGAATAATAATAATAATACACTTAAGGCTAATATTATTAAATATGTAGCTGTAGTTCTATAATACCTAAGTATATATAAAGTAGGATATGCTTATATTATCTATATTAGGGTAATATAAGTAGAAGACCTTAAGTAGGAGAAGCTACTAAGGTAGGCTAAGAGTATAAATAAATAAATTAATTTAGAATTAATTATAAATTAACTTTAATTAATATAATTATACTAGTTCTAATACTCTAAGGTAAGTAAGGTAGGTAAGAAGCTAACCTTCTACCCTTTTCTTAATATATATATATTACGATGGGTGTTTAGATGCTCTAGGATTAAGTATTATAAATTAATTTAGAATAAATTACGTAATATATTTTATATAGAGGTTACACTAGAGCTATATAAATAGCTACGGACTATTAAGAGCTTATTATTATAGATTAAGAATAATAAGGGGAAGTGTAGAGTAAAGAGTTACTTTAATAGCCTTACTTACTATTTCTAATAGGGTTCTTATAAGCTACTACGGCTATTATATAGCCTAAGGCTATGTTTATTAAGATAGTAAGTAAGTTATATATAGATTAATTATTAATTAATTCTAAATTAATTTAAGCCTCTTACTAGACCTCTATACTAGCTTATTAGGTGTAAGAGCTAGGTTTAGGGGACTACTAAAAAGTACTTTATTTAGTAGGTTCCTACTCTTATTAATATTAAATACCTACGTAGTCTACTTACTAGTCTATTAATAGCTCCTTAAGAATAGTGTAATATTATTAAGCTATAGTGCTTAAGGCTAAAATATTATAGTAAGTAGAGATAATTTAATTTAAAATTAATTCTAAATTAATTTAGGTACTAATTATATCTAGGGATAGGGGAATCTTATTAAATAGGACTATAGTGTTATTTTTAATATAATTATCCTAATATACCCCTCCTAGGTACTATTTATAATACTAGTATTTACTAGTATATATATACATATACCTCTACCACTATGGCTTATAGGCTAGGACTATATTAATAAGATTCTAGGTATTCTATAGCTAATTATATACCCTAGGTTTATAAGGAGTAAGTTAGAAAAGATAAATTAATTTAAGATTAATTCTAAATTAATTTAGCTAACTTCCTTAAGTCTAAGGCTCTCTCTATATACCTATAGGTATATGGATATAGCTCTATTAAGTAATTCTATGTAGCATTTATAGATAAGGATTAAATTATAAGACTTATTTATTATAAGAGACTACTTAAGTACCCATATAGGGGTGAACTTAAGGGTATTCTTTTTAAGTAGAAAACGCACTATAGTAACTAAGCTATAGTAGGTTTAAATTAATTTTAAATTAATTCTACACTAATTCCTATAAAATAGGTATATATCTAAAAGGTACTTTCTATAACCTCTAGTAATATTATTATCTATCTTTTTTAGGACTAGGCTATTATACTATTAGAGTAGAATATGTTCTAAATAGATATATTCTTTAAGAGATTTAAAGATAGTTAGGCTAAAATTTTATTTATAGCGTTTTTACTATAGTATAGGAAGCGTAAGGCTTTTATTAATTCTAAATTAATTCTATATTAATTCTAATACTTATAGTCTTTACCTTTAGTTAGATTATTACTAACACCTAGATATCTACTATATATAAGAAGGCATTTATAGAGTTCTTTAATACCTATAAGGAGCTTACTAGTATACTATTTTAATAGATATATCTTTATAGAATGGGTATAATTAGTGTTACTATTAATATAGATATAAAATAGATAGTAGGTAGGTTAAATTAATTTAGAATTAATTTATTACTAATTCTTTAGAAAAACTAGGCTTTAGACGGTATCTAGCAGCCTAAGACCTATTCTATTAATTCTAGTAGTATTAGCTTAGCTATTACCTTCGCTTCTACTCTATCTACTTTTATTAGGGAATTAATAAGGCCTATCTATATTCTTTATATACTAAGGATTTAGACTAGGGTTATATAAGGTTACTACTAATAGTAGAGACTAGAATAGAGTATATAGATCTCTATAATCTAATTATAGGTAAGTATTATAGTTAAATTAATTTAGACTTAATTTAAAATAAATCTAATAAGGTCTTCCTAGGTTTAATAAGCTCTTAAGTAATTAGGGATTAGGTCTAATATAAGAAGAATTCTATAATTATAGCTAGGCTTAATTACTACTATAGTAGTATACTTAGGGCTATATAGAACTCTCTTAAGTTATATATAAATATAGTAGAGTAAGCTATATTAATAGGGTATTATACTAGAATAAGGCATAAGCTTCTATAAGGTATTAAGATGTATATTTGTTAAATTTATCTAGAATTAATTCTTATTTAATTCTAATCCTAGAAGGGCTATGCATATAGATACTTAGGATATTTAAATATATAAGGTCTAGAATAAGTATGGTATTAGATATAAGTCTAGGTAGAACCTAACTCTTAGTACTTAATTCTTCTAGAATATAGGTAGAGAAATTAGTAAGTTAATTCTCTATTAATTCTAAATTAATTCTTATAGTACTAGAGCGCTGGAAGTCCTCTAATATTATTATTATATTAGATAATAATAAGGAGGTTTTAGAGAGTCTTAAGAACTTTAGCTTAAGTAGGGTAAGATGTAGGTAGAGTATAAAATTATAAGTAAGAGGCTTAAGATAGGTAAAATTATATTAGTCTTCTCTATTAAGAAGTTTTATAATACTATTATCTCTACTAGCATTATTATTATAAGTAAAAAGCTCGAATTAATTCTAAATTAATTATTTATTAATTTATAGGGCTAGTAGATTTTAGGATCTTACCTAGGAGCGTAAAGAGTTCTAGTAGGAAAAGGAAAGACTATTACTTAAATAAGAGAAGCGTAAGTTCTATCTAGAGTAATAGGAGGTAGAGGTATAGCTAAGAGAACATAAGGTTTAGCTATAGTAAGCTAGAGAATAGTTAGGAATTAATAAAGATTAATTCTAAATTAATTCTCTATTAATTTTAATAAAACCTAAAATAGTATAGCTAGCGTAAAAATTTTTTCTACACTAGATATAAATTAACTATAATCCCCTTATTCTCTAATATTCTTTACTCTTAACTATCTAAGCGTTCTCTGCCACTATAAGTAGTAAGGTGCTATTCTTATATATAAGTTTAGCTAATTAATTTAGAATTAATTCTAAATTAATATAGCCTATTTATTAAGAGTACTTATCTCTAACCTAGCTCTTAGCTAGGTTAGAAGTATTCTCCTATAGAGATAATAAAGGGTAGTTTATAATCTATACTAGGGAGTTATTTTATAGGGTAATAATTAGTAATAGTAGTATTCTCTATAGTATATATTATCCTCCCTAAGTGTTTAAATCGCTTCTAAATTAATTTAGCGTAAATTCCTAGGTAGAGGAGCCCTATATTACTATATCTATTAGAATTATCCTTCTTATAAGCTCTAAAACATATCTTTAGGAATACTTAGTCTTAAAAGAGCCTATACTACCCTTAAATACTTTATAGAGGTAATAGAGCTCTATTATTAGTATAATAGCTTTATAATACTGCATTTATATTATATACTATTAGTTAGTAGTAAGGTAATTATAGAAGAAGATAATTTTAGTCTTCTAAGTATAAATTAATTTAAAATTAGTTCTAAATTAATACTACCTTTATAAGGAGACAGCCTAAGAATTAATAAAGAGTTAATTTAAGCTCCTTACTATAAGAATAATACTACTTCTATTCTAGTATTTAACCTTCCTTACTTTAAGGTATTAAATAAGAGTAAGAGGCAGAAGAAAGGCTAAATTAATCTAAAAGAGACCTATAAGCTCCTATAAGATAATAATATTCCTACGCTATGTAAGAACTATAGAACGAAGATAATTAAGAGTAAGAATACTTTTTAATATAAATTAATTTAGAATTAACTAAGAAATATTTCTAGGATATTAGTTAAAAGGTCTATGTAGAAATAGGTAGTACTTTAAGGAGGTATTATAATAATATAGTATATATAAGTATTAATAGCTAGGTTTATTACTAGAGTTTATAGCATAGACATATAGATATATAGTAGAATAAAAGAATTTATTTAGAAGTTATCTACCTAAAGGTAGGTATCTAGCTAGGCTAGGGAAATTAATCTAGAATTAATTTAGAATTAATTCTTAGAAAATATAGAGGGGTAAGGTAAAGAGAGGCTAGAGGAGGGTAAGGGGGAAGAAAAGGTATTATTCTTCTCCTTCTCTTTCTTCTCTACCTCCTTCTCCTCCTCCTTCCTACTATTACCCTACTCTAGGGCGTGTTTATCCTCCTTCCTTAACTCTACCTAGTAATTCTAATTCTTATACTTCTAGAAATCTAAGTCCCGAAAGAAATTATAGACTAAATTAATTTAGAATTAATTTAGAATTAATTCTTATTTAGGACTACTTATAAGTTAGCTATTTAAGGTTATCCTTTACCTTATAGGTAGGATAGAGGGCAAGGCGCCTAATAAGTATATAGGTAGTAGATATGTGGACGTAATTAGCCTATAAAAGTTAGAATTAATTCTAAATTAATTCTAGATTAATTTAACTTATAAAGCTATTAGGGAGCTAGATAATAGGCTAGGGGGGAGGGGCTAGTATTACTACCTATACTTAGGTAAGAAGAGCTTACTAGTGTACTAGTAGAATAGCCTAAGTATAGTATATATCTATAATATTACCCTACTAGACTAGAATTAATTAGGAATTAATTCTATATTAATTCTTATTATATATATGCATTTCGTTTATTTGGTGCTAGCTAGAGGGTAGGCTAACTTTATAGCTAGAGGGCGAAATCTTCTCCTATCTATAGATATAGATAAGGTAGTTAATAAGATTACCTTACTTTAAAAATTTATGCTATATTTATTAGAATTAATTTAGAATTAATTCTAGATTAATTCTTACACTATAGAGACGTCTATTACTAATATCTTCCTAGTAGTAAGCCTTACTAAGGTAGATAATAGGTAGGTTATCTTTATTCTTACTCTATAAGTTAAGGCCTATAGGTAGGGTAGGGAGGGCATAGTATGCCTTATAGTTAGCCTAAGAATTAATTTAGAATTAATTTATAAATAATTCTATTAATACTTATATTTCTATTAAGAGTTATGGACACTAGGTTGTTAGCTATAGTAGCTAATAAGGCTGTGGAATTTAGCTTATAGGATAAATTAATTTAGAATTAATTCTCTATTAATTTATGCGTGCTAAGTCGCTTACCTTAGCGCCCGCACTGACGCTCTTGGCATGCCACCTCTGGGCGCGCGCATGGTCACATGGCCTGCCGCCTGCTCATCCTGGTCTGTCCAAGCCGAGGAGCTGGCATCACGACACAAACCACATCACAAATGAGTCGCCTACGAGTCGCCTGCATAGTTGCGAGTCTGCTGAGATGGTGGTGCCCTGCCGTTGGTCTTACGTGTGAGGTGGATGCGTGCTCCATTGCTCAATGAACGGCAACTCCTCAGTTCAATGGCTCTGGCCGCCGCGCCACGCGATTAATGGATCAATGTTTCTGCCGCAAATGGGAAAGGAAATAATTTCCCAACATCTAACGCGTCTACCGACTGGACAATAGAAGTTTGACCATAGCTCGGTCGTGGCGATGCGCGACGATGCCAACAAAGGAGGATGCGCAGAACAATAGTAAGGTCGCGAGGTCGAGAAGAATCCCAAACTTGTTCGATAGACCTCGGATCCTTGCAAACAAGTAACAAAAGTGCTCTTCTCCTTCAATTTGACATTCTTAGGCCGTTCTGCCATCCCTAATCGCTCACTACCTCAATTGCAGCATCAAACCTACACTGACGATCTCGCGTCTCACTACCATGGCTGGAAAGTCCGTCGCAATTATAGGCGCGGGGCCAGCCGGCCTCATAGCGGCCCGCAAGTTACTGACGCTTACGCCCTTCAAGTTCACTATCTTCGAAAAGTCGGCTCGTGTCGGAGGGTTGTGGGATCGCGAAAGCTATATCCATCCAGAGATGATGACCAACTTCTGTCGGTTCACTGCCACGTTCTCCGACTTCGCCTGGGAGAGCGTGGATCTTGGAAGACCTGCTCCCGTATATCCTCAGGCATGGATGGTTGAAAAGTATCTGCAGGGTTATGGGAAACTTCTCCCCGATGATTGTTACAGTTTCGAGACGACGGTGACCAGTGCTGAGCGCGAAGGTGGAAGGTGGAAGATTGTGTCCGTCAAAAAGGGTGGAGAGCAAACGCGACATTTCGACTACTTGGTCATTGGGACAGGGTATCTACAACATCCCAAGGAGTTGAGGTGTGAGATGGATGCATCCATCAAGACGAATCCACTCTTCCCCGTGCCTATCTTGCATAGCACGAAGTACCGGAAGCTTGACCAGATCGTCCCGCTGACCGAAAGCTCTCACACGGGCCCTCGAACCGTTCTCGTCATTGGAGGATCGCACTCTGGTGCGGATATCGCCTCTCTCATCGCACATCAAGCTTCAGATGCTCGATGGGGGCCTCGTGGCAACGAAACTTTTCGCGGCGTTCAGGTCGTTCATGTTGGGACGAATGTATTGCTTCCGATTCCCGGGATGGTATGGGATAAGGCGACAACAACGCACGCGTCGATGCACCCGCTCGAGTTCACTCTGTGCGAGCGATCCACCCGCGAGCCAAATCCTCTTACATTCGGATTTGCACCAGCAAGCGTAGAAGAGAACCAGGTGCTCCTCTTCTATTACAAAGAAATTATTGAGGGCGGCGTCGGTGATCTCGACTTTATGGAGAAACTTCCTGCCAACGTGGCTTTGGGCGATCGCTACTACCAATGCGTACAGGATGGTAGAATCAAGCTCATCCCTGGAGCTGTCACGAGGCTGGACAAGGGTAAAGATTCTGAAACCATAACAGCCAGTGTGAAAGGGAAAGATGGTAAAGACAACATCATCGACAACGTCGCTGCCGTCATCAACGCGACGGGCTTCAACTCCGGCGGCAGCCTCAGCTTCCTCGCCGAAGATGTCAAAGAGCAGCTTGAATTTGATGCCGCGAACACACGTCTCCCGGCAGTCCTCAACGCCAGCTACATGGCCCAGAACTCCAACGTTCCCGACATCGCTCTGCTCGGCTTCGTTCCCGTAAATTGGGGCATTATCGAGATGCAAATGCGCGCAGTCGTCAACAGGTGGACCGGCCGCCCTTTCGACGAAGACCCAGCGCACGTTCTCGCTCTTGGTGAGCACATGCGATATATTCAAGCAGCCATTCGCGACATAAAACGGAAGGAAGAAGTTCCACAGTTCTTGTTCGGAGATTATCTAGGTCTCATGGAGCAGGCTGCCAGAGAATTGCATATGGAGCAGATTTACGGGAAGCATGGCGACTTTGACGGGTTTTTCTGTTCTGCACGCTTCGTCGGACCCGGTGAGTCGAAGGGAGAGGCAATTAAGACCATGTACGCGATTCACCATTTGCAAGAGGAAGTTGAGAGGCGGAATCCGCTTCTTGCTTATGTCGCATTTACGGGTCTTTTGGGTCGGTGGAAGAGCGTGTCTCGCGCAGACGGTGGAACGAAGAATGTGTATGAGATTGAGGCCCATCCTCGATATCCTACGGACTCAAACTATGATCTGGAACATGTCATCGTTCTCAAAAAGACGCCCGGTGGAGCAAGTGAAGAGGTCAGGCTGATTGCCCGTTACACCGAAGTCACATACGAGATCAGTCTTTGGGCTTGCGAAGGGCTAAAAACCGGACCAAAGATTTGCAACATCCCTGTTGATCGCAACTCCAACGGCGAAATCACAATACCTGCTGGATGTTTCAATTACCATGTTGATTTCAGAGGGAGTAGGCTCGGCGGCTTCAGTGTGACGAGGAAGGTGGCTGGTACCGCTGGCGAGACCTTTGCTTTCGCAAGACCATATGGGCAACCTTTGGCGCAGGATGCAGCCACAGAAGCTGCTCAAGAGTTATCGTCGGCTGCGGAAAAGCTTGATGTCCATATAAACGGGACTGGGAAGGGGAATGGGTCGGTTTCCAGCGCGCCATAGGAAAGTTTGGTCCTTCGCTTGCTATACCGCCTGAACAGGCGCAAAGGATCGATTTACACGTGTTGCAGGAGGTTGTGATTATAAAAATACCACTCCGTCTTCACGAGGGTGTTTGCTCAAGGATCAACGGAACGCCTGTCAACAGTAGAAGATGAAGCATTGACATTGTTGGTGCAATTAGCACACAAAACTACGTCTATCTCGCACATCCCTTCATACCAAGCCTCAAGCCGATCAACCAGCCCGAGATTACCTAACAAGTGAAAGTAGCAGGTCCAGGGTTGGTATAGCTGGTAGGAACCGGGTAGTTGATGTTAATCAAAATTCCAGGGTCACTAGCCTTGTAGGCACCCGGGAAGGCCACCAGGTCCGTAGCGGCCTTGGAACCACCGCCAGTAACCTCGATCTGAGCGCAGCTGAGGTAGAACTGGGCTCCGCCGGAGCTCTGGGCGACGTGTAAAGCGATTTGCTCGTTGCGCATCAGATACTTTCCTGGAGCAATGCAGGAGGGGATCTTGATGTCGTAGTTGGCGGCGCCTGTGTCCGTCAGTACGTAGTCTTCAAGTATAAGTGATAGGGGAGCACCTACTCAGCCACGTCAATGACGATCCAAACTTAGGTTGCTCCGCGTAGATGCGGAACCAGACAGCCCCAGTTGGGTCCCACGTGTTCACATCCTGGCCTTCGGGCACCTTGGCAAGGTAGGACTGGAAGGGGCCGGGGTGGTAGGCGTTCGGATTGACGTTGACTTTGACGTTTGATCCGGCCGCGACAGTGACGGTCTCGTTGCCGGGGTTGAGCTGGTTGCAGCGGATATCGCTGCTTGTCACGTCGCCGACGAAACCGTTGTTCTGCCAGTTCTTGGCTTGTCGGACAGCGGTCCAGGCGGGCGCACCGTTGACGATTGGCAATGTGTCTGGGAGGGATGTCAGCATGTCGTATTTCAAGATATGGTAGCGAGAATGAGCATACAGTGAGCGCTAACCGCCGAGGCGGCAGCCAAGAGGAGAGTGAAAGTGTTCATCTTGTCGTATGAGGATGTCTTACGTTGTGGACGAGTGAGGACAATGTAGAGGAGTCTTGAGCAATTTATCTTGTGTCCATCACATCTATTCGCGATCGCCGTTCATCGTCCTCTGCCCGGAGATAACTCATGCGGCTGAATGGCCCGCACACGCGACGCGACCTGGTGGGCGGCGAGTACAATGTTGCAATACGCATGCAACGCTATGGTGTTGAATCCAAAGGGAACTCAATCTAATGTCGGTATTGAATAATTAATGTGGTGGAGTGGCGCGTGACATTGATATTAAATGTCGGCTAATCAGGCCCAGTAACCGGTGTTGTCAGGCTTAATTGAGCGTGATATTGAAGTAATATCCGGCATACAGTCATGTATGACGACACTGGGTGGAGACCAATTCTTTTATGCTTTACACTTTGCCAATCTGAGGATGGGGGAAGAACGGTCAGTCAGTAGCAAGGCACCATCAGGAATGGTGTTGCTCAAACAATTCTTTCGAAGAGGAGCGCGAATTTCAAACAAACATGGTTTTAGTACTCAGGCTCATTTCGTTGTCCAGAGCGTATTTGATAAGGTGCCGTTGTGGTTTCACAGATCGTAGCTTTGGAGTTCAAGATCAGAACCAAACAGATGGAATCACGTACTCTACTCAGTGTATGCAAGATCCAGAAACACATAGGTCGGAGGCTTAATCCGGCGAGAAAGACCCTCGGGCTTTGCGCTTCGAAACCATCGACAACATTACCAAGCAAACGCATCCAGACTGGACTAAACTGCACACGCTTGCGCGACTGCCACAGTCAGAAACGGAAGTGGCTTCCGAATACCATGCATGGCTACCATGGCAGCCTTGATGAGACACTGACTCAATTACGCACAGTACACCAAGTAACCCTACGGTGATACAGGAGAGCGAGAGCATGTTGATCGCTCCCTGGAAGCTCATAGCATGGAAAGTCTCCTTATTCATACACTATCGCTACATTTGCCCAAGCAGTCTCCATCAAGGGGCTACTCTGTGTCGGGCATCTAATACTGGACGTGGTTTTGTCGCGATTCCGGTCCCAACTCACTGTATCAGTGCCATCGATCAAGTCCACGCCGGTCGTCATGCTCTCCTTCAGGTGCAACCCCACTTCCGTATCATGGCTTTCAAGCCTTTTCAGCAATCTTGCCACCCCACAGCTCCTTGCTGACCCCGAACTCTGTCTTCGGCGCCACTTTTGCGTCGACGATGATTTTTTCTGGAGATGAAGGCTTGTCCACTCCAGCTTGAAATTGCACATAGCTGCGAAAGGTCTTGGAGCCCTATTTCGTATTGTGTATCTGAACCTGCCGAAGTCCGCTGCCGTTTGATTATATCCACCCATTTTCTTATTTCATCACCAGACGCATCGCGATTTCCGTGCTCAGGTCGACGCGTTGTTCGCTGACTGCCCTCAAGGTCACCCAACATCGGCAGATCTGCCATGTGCTTGCAGAGCCGCTCTATCGCTTCCGCGTCCTCTGCCATGCTGATGATGTGTCTGATGGCGTTGGGAGACATGTTGGTGTTGTGCGTATGGAGAGAAGCTCTGTAAGATTGAAGTGTTGTTCCAGATCGAGCGACAACGCGGTGAAAGTGGGTGTTTGCCTCTCTTAGGCCAGGCGCGCCTGACACGCCGGCCACAATAAACTCAGCCCAGGAGAAGGAATCCTGGTTCCACTCTAAGCCTTGCATGAAGGTACAGGGGCCATCCCGTATAGAAGCCTAACAGTTCATAACTGTATGAAAAGGGGACCCTGCGTTTGCAACACAGCACAAATGATATCCGATATATAGAAGTAAGGACGGCTCCTAAGCTCCGCTATTGCCCTAAGGTACGTTGGTGAGTTGGAAGCAGTGTTTATAAGGCCATCTGGAGCACTCATGTGATTGAAGTACTTCGACAGGCAATCGAACGTGACGGGCACAAACATTCGAACCCTGTCTTCGTGGAGCACTATGGAACTTTTGACTGGTCGCGGTTCTTTCTGGAAGTTTCCAATGACTGGCCAGTATTGGTTCGCAAATATAGAGCTTGGAAGGCTGTTTGGAGGATGGAAGTGCGATGGGCGATGCATAGGTTGACTCCGCTCTCAGTGCTATCGAGCAGGCTCTTCGCATACAACGGTTCCATCCTAGGCATCACTACTCAACAACCCAAGTCAATCATAGCAGTTCCCTTCCTAGATACGAAACGTGAAATACAGGGTTGACGGGCAAAAGTACGATTATTTGGAAATCAGATGCTTAATCGCAATTAAGATCGCTTTGATCCGGTTTCAACCGTGACCTTCATATGGCCGTAACAACTTACAACACGTCCATCAGCCCCAATCAAATCATGTCGAAAGCTACATGCCAGCCCTACCATTTTCAGCATTTCCTGACACTCTCACGAAACTCTTAATAGAAAATTGACCATATAGATGCAAGTCCTACAATTTCCCGAGCAAGGGTGGCATAAGCATGTACACACTGCTCGCTCTCCAAGCTCGTTACGAACCTCGAAAAGCGGTTTGATGGCATTGGCTTCTGAGGCAGCGACTGGTGAGGCCAAAACGGCCAAAGCGGTACCGAGCAGCATAGTGGCCTTGAGCTGCATGTTGATGTTTCAAACTATCAGCCTTTGTCGAGAAAGGCATATGGCACTGTTAAAGTCGCCGTGGAAATCTATGGAAGAGTTCTAGGGAGAGATATACGTAGCTTCTCCTACGCTCATCCCGCAATAATAACAATAGATGCACCGGTATGCGCCCAGGTAAGGGTAAGTACCTCGATGACGTGATTGGCCTGCAGATTGGATGTGAGATTGATGTACCTTCCTTATGCCACATCCACCTCCTGTTAAAAGTGCACTTTTTCCTGAAGCGCTGCTCTTTGGATTTGGAAGCCAACGGCTTCGTATACATCTTGACGTAGCGTTGTTGTTAATTGGATGGCTTGATACGTGCATCTGGATCAGGCGTCGGGTAAGCTATTGCAGCTGCATAACTTTTTGAGAGCTTCAGGTGTGTGTGTTTTAGAGGCGTCTGACTTCAGATCATGCATCAGGGGATAATTTGAAAGCTGTATTCAACCTCTGCTGTTAGCGGCGGACACATGGTGGATTATGTATCCATGAAATAAAGTCAGAGGCTGGTGCAATTAGCGTTCGCTGGCGTTCGTACACTTTACTTACTGTAACACATTTCCTTGCAAAGTCACGTCAGTTTACCTCACAGACAGTACTTGTTTGAATCAAAGGAATTTATATTCTCGGTCATTTTGATCATTGTCCGTGAGACGCAAAATCTTCGCCTGGATATGCTGCTCCCGCCGAAAGAAAACCATACATTTCATTGTTCATAACTCTTAAACTTTTTTATAACCGTGGCTTTGGGGGCCGACGCTCTGTGCTCATTGAGTGACCATAACCGGGATGTGTGAGACGTGTGTAAGCAGACATGTGCAGGCATTCCAAGTGTAAGTGGACAAGCAAGTGCATCAAATAAATGAGACATAGCTTGATTGCACGATGACCCTAAGCAGCGAGGGACAACGTGATCTCGGGAAAGCCTAATGTAGACGTAGTGGCACACTGCCAGGTGATGGAAGCCTTCAGAGGCCTTAGTGTAGAAAGTACACCAGGGTCTTCAAAGCCTCTCAACACCTAGTGGTGCCTAGCGGAGGTCGCCTTCAGGATCCGCCTACCGGTGCGCGGATCCACGGTCCAGGATTTATCTTCTGCTGGCTGGAAGAAGCCCCGGAAGCCACCATACTCCTTGCGATGGGGACGCTCCCATGCAGTGTTGGTGTTCGTGTTGGCGGGGTTGAGAGCAGTCAGACCGCGTGGTGCGCGACCGACCATCTCCCAGTTCTCGCCGGCGGTGGTGCGAGCAGCGACAGGGCTGTGGACAGTTGCAGCGATCGCAACAGCGCCACCATTGTTGTCACGAAGGCGCTTTCCAGCGCGGTCAGCGGACGCTTGGTTGTGCTCTTGGGACCCAGAAACGGGAGAAGCAGCTGGACGCTGGCGCTTGCCCAGCACAGGAACCATGAAGCCCATGCAAGAGACAGGGAAGGAGCAAAGCTTGCTAGGAACAGAGCAAATGGCACTGTGGAAGCGCTTGCCCTTTCGGACAGCCTGGCTTATGAGAGACGGGGTCCTACGAGTAAGTGCTTCGGCGGCGCTATAGCGCCCAGCGTCCATGCTGAAGGCAAACGGAAGGTTATCATTACTGCCCTTGCCGAAGGCGACGGGACCGTCGCGACTATATGTATGTGAGTTATCGCCAAACGCATTGGACGTGTAGCAAACTTACGGTGCCCCGAAAACCTGGCAGCCGGACACCTGGGCCACGCCGAATGTTCCGTCCGTGGTCTTGTTCTTCTTATTGGCGAGTTCGTAGATGTTCTCATATAGAAAGGTTTTGCCGTAGAACTTGTAGTCCATCACGTCCTCGAGGTTTGTGTCAAGATCGTCATCTGAAATGGTCTTGTTGAAGCCTGCGAAGTCTGCCATTGCGTCGTGGAGATGCAACCCTTAAGGAATCGTACTAAACTGTCCGTACAAGGGAGACCAAGCTAAGGAGGCACTGTACATATAAGCTTTCGAAGGGTAGACATTGGCTGAAAATTAGGTAGGAGAGCTTACACTCGAGGCTCAATGTTGCACAATATGTCGAGGTGCCGCAAGATTCGAATGGAGGAGTCAAGTCCAAGTTCGATCTTATTGCGTATCGAAGAGATGAACGCAAAGAGACTACGCTGGAGAAGAGAGTGTAGCAGTGGGGAGCAGGGCTTTATATAGAGAATCGACGCATCGCACAGGCACGCGCGGAAGAGCTAGTGTAACAAAGGCCACAGCGTCGAGTCCAGGTTTAATTTCCATTTGGAGCGGTGATATGAAAGACTGTTGTTGTTGTCTGTATAGATGCTTTCCAATGGCGATGCAATGAATGTATGTCCTCACATCGCGCCTCAGATGGTTGGGTGTTTAGCGTACATCTTCTGAATAAGCAAAACGCTTGGCGGCGCGAACTTCAAGTCCTCGACTCGTTTCTACTCCTACCCTTTCCATCTGATCGGTCGCGTATCTATCCGAGGCTGACGCAATACAGGGCTCCCGTTTAGGTGCCCGCGTCGACTTCAACATTCCTATCAGGTGACGTTCGCCTGCCCTCGGCGCAACCCATGTCTACCTCGCCTGGCCTACAAGCATATACCCATGGATCCATTAAATTCACGTGAACTCGTACTCGAAGCTGACAGATAGCTAACATCCAGTCTCGCAGGCTGAACAGGATAAACCCCCGCTACCGCATCCAGCCAATCCGCCATTTTCCCCTCTCCAATTTGCGAACCCTCCTTCCCATTCGACGTGTACCACCGTGGCTTCATCACCGTGTCTTACCTCGTCACATCCGTCTCGTGCGTTTCGTGCGACTTCGCCTACAATTTTCCGGACGCGGAATTGGCCGATTTGAAATCCCACCCCTACCACTTCTGCATAGCGAGTGCGCATATTGCCTTTACGAGCCGATTCGCTTCTCTTTGCGGAAGGAAATAAACGGCGATCGCTACAGGCGTCGCAAGCGTGAGCCCCATTCGTAGCATCCACTCAGGCTCGCGATTTAGCTAGGGTTTACGAATTGGGTGGACTATTGGCGTGAGGGGAAGCGCGAGCTGCCCAGAAGAAAGTAGTGCAGCTCATTTAAGATGCAGTTCGGGAAGGTCGTATGATCGACTAGGGAGGCCGTTTGATTGATCAGGACAGTACAACCTTGACCTGGTCGACGGTGCAATCCAGGTTTCTCCATCGTCGACTTGGCCGCCTCGTCCGAAATTATCGAGGCGCCGTACGGTAGATGCTACTTAAAGCCTACCATTTCGCTCGCAGGGAACAACGTCATCCGATCAGCACCGCAACTCACCACTTCATCTATCTTCCATTATGCTTAAGTTCACTAGCATACTAGCTCTCGCGACGACTGCGACTGCGCTTGCGCAGGGCATCACGCAGGCAAATTTCACCGGCACAGGTACCATCCACGTGTGGAACTCCTCCGACTGGCGCGACTCCACCCCCGCCGATAAAGTCGGGTGCCTCGACGCCAGCGGAAAGTTCATCAATCCTCTTAACGACTCTGCGTGCGCCGTCTTCACGCGCATCAGTGCGTATCCCTATACCTTGTCCGCGGAAGGCGGAAACTGCACTTTCTCAGATGAATCGCAAGAGAAGAACACCGATAGTATATATGGAAAGTCGGACCACGCGTGGAACTGCTTCAAGCCCTTCACCGCGGGGATCTATGACGAGCTGTATACGATTGTAAGGGCCCTTCACGTTGCCTTCTCTAGCATCAAGTCTAACGTATATAGGATGGCTTCTCCCATGTATTCCTTTGCCAGGGTGGTACGTATCTTCACTCCATTCCAAATTACACGTCTCTCCGAAAGAGCGCAGAGCAAACTCTCTCTCTTTAGAGGAAAAAGCGCAACAGTCTCTGGTTGAGACAAAACACAGCTTCGAGTCTTTCGGAAAGAGCGCAGAGCAGCCCCTTCTGCTCCTCTCTTGTCTGCAAGCAACCTCGCAATCCTCTTTACCTTCCCTTCTTCCCTTCCCTCCCCTCCCCATCTTCCCCGCTTCCATCTATTCAACCCACTAACCCACCCCAGACGTAGACTGCTACTTCGACGCGAAATCCATCCCTTCCCCAAAGTCCTCCAGCAACATCTGGCCCTTCCGCTGGGGCTCCCAGCAGATGGGCATCACACCCGGGCACGTGATGCTGCAGCTGGTGTGGAACAAGATCGCTGACCTGCCGAAGGGTGAGGATAGCGAGAAAATTCCGAGCCCAAGGGTGAGTTTGATGAAGGGTGGAGGGGAGCAGGAGCAGGCTAGGCTGGTGGGGAAGAAGATCTTGGGGTAGAGTTAGGGAAGGGTAGGATAGGAGGGAGGAGGGACAGAGTGGAAGATGGAAAGGGAGGGAGGAAGGCTGTGGATGGGGATGGAGCTGTATTGATTATGTTGAATAGCTTTCGTAAAGAGGTTAGTTGGCATCTCAGAGAGCGTTATATCAAGCATCGAGTACTATGCTACAGTCGCTGACACGAGCTCAGTCATCTATCTTGAACGCACATCATGTATAACGGAGTCGCGTTAGATACCTCTATCCAAACACCAGGACGATGCACAGCCAAACCCAACAATGCGTAGTCTCCGCTCTATCGCCATAAAACATCCCTGACAGGCTCCTCCAGCCCCATATACATCCCCGACGCACAACCCTCCTCACAGCACAGCACTAACATCCGTATCCACCCCACTCCTCGCAAACCTCCCCATCCACCCCACTTCCCCTCCGCCCTCTCCCTCCCCGCCCTAGTCTTCATCATCCCCACATAATACCTAAACCGCTTATGATGCAGCTGCACCCCGTATGAATACTCTGCGCCCTCCGCCCCTCGTTCGCCCCCCATACACAAAGCACCTCCCTGCCCACTCGGCCCCAGCGCATCCAGCCGATCCGCGTCCTGCACGAACGCGAGTTCAGGGTGGCGCGCGATGACAGAGTGGATAAAAGTTTTGTCGCTGGCGGTCGCTTCGCGCGTGTAGCTGACGTTCACCGCGATGGTAGCCACGTCGTTTGCTAGGCGTGGGCTGGCGCCACAGGCTAGCATCTTCTCCGTCACTACTTCAAACTGCGTGCGGTTTTTCTCGAGGTATTTCGTTTCGCCTACGTCGTGCATCATGGCGGCCAAGTACATGGTAGTAAGATCCAGATTCTGGGGCAGACGACCGGCGGCTTTTTCAGCGAGGTAGAGCTCGTGCACGTATTTTACGACGCGCTGGATGTGCTCGTAGTCGTGGGAGGGGTCGTAGCGCGGGCCGTACATGTAGTCTAGGACGACCCTGTTTACGGCGAGGAAGAGGGGGCGGTGGGGGTGCGGGATGGAGAGCTTGTCCATGTTGAAGAGGAGGCGGTTGCGGGCTTCGGGGAGTTTGCGTAGCCGCCTGGGAGGGATGCGTCGGGGCTAGGGAGGAGGCGTAGGGGAGGTGGTGTGGGCGGTGGAGGCCCAGAGGTGGGGGAGCTGCTTGATGAAGGTTCGCAGTCGGGAAGGAAAGGTTGTGACTTCGGAGGGCATTTTGACTCCAAATGCGGGAAGCTCTTGAGGCATTGGTCTGTCGATCGTGTTGCAGTCCGCGTTGCTGCTAGACAGTGCGGGGAGTCCAGAGTTGGGTGATGCAAAAGCTGATGTCGGGTGGGTTGATGTGTAGGTAGCTTTAGAGGGCGTGTCATGAATATAGCGGCGGAGAGGCAGCCCTTCGGTCCTTGAGATAACGACGCATCGTGCCTGGTGCACGTGCCTGGAAGATGTAGAAGTGAATGGACGGAGAATGGAAGAGCAGCGGAGTCGGCGAATGAAGAACGGAGCAAATGCTAGTGACTGAATGCAATGGAAGCTGAAATCATGACCAGAGGAAAGCAAACACTCGTCGCGCAAGACGTTATTGTTGCGTGTACTACAGGTCTTATAAGGAACGGTGCGCTGTGACGAATCAAAGGCATCCACAAACGATGAAGCAGAGTGAAGATCGTCTTGTCTGGGCATGCATGCTCGTTCCATATCTGACGCGATGTTGTAGGGTTGCATGTCAGCCGCAGCTCCAATCGGAGAACGGCACGGTACCTGGTCGGGAAGTAAGCGGTGGTTGTCAGTAGTCCTGCGAACAATGCGAGCAACCTCTGAATGGGAATGATGATTGTTGTATATCGGATGTTGTTAGTTCGAACGTGACTTGTTTGAAAGTCCCAGAGACCAAGGTGGCGGAATGCCCAATGTGATCGTATCACAAGGCAACGTGACCAGACTTGAAAGGCCCACTTCATGGCTGCTAGGCGCCGGGAAACGCTCGGCTCTTCTACAAGTGTTGAAAGCCGTCCGAGACAAGCAAGTCGACGTTTGCAGGTGACCACGTGGGACACTCGCGGCTAGTGCTGGATGCCGGAGAGAGCCCCGTCGTTTATAGTCGGCATAGAGGGCTCACATGACTAAGTTGGCTTGGTCTTCAGATGCAGTACGAGGAAGAACGACCATGGGACGACTCGACGCCAGGTTTTCAAGTGTTGTGAATGTGAAGAGAGCGGAGCTTGAGGAAGCGTCTCGTGCATGCGGGAACACAAAAAGGACCGTAGTCAGCCAAGCACGCGCTGCCTCCCGCGCTGGCCGAGGATGTGTATGCATAGAACGTAGGTACATCAATAATCAAGTCGTTCCAGGCAAGGCAGCTCGTTTCGGTGATCGAGATCGCAGGACGACTGGGGAGGCCGCATCGTGATCTCGGAACCAGGCTTCATGGTGTTGGCAGCGGGCGAGCTGCAGAAAAAGGAACGAGCGAACGGTTGGCGGATCAGACGTAGCACATCTTCGCACGACGTTTGGCCAGAGAGGTGCAGGTGAGGGGCTGGCGATGGGGCGGATGCACGTTGGTGCGCGCCCACATGGTTGGCTCGACACCATGAGCGAATCGTGCAGCCGCAGCTCCCAGGAGACTGAATAGACCGGAAGATCTCCTGCACGATGCCTTGCGCAGTGCAGCAGGACCGTCATGTCCAAGTGACCGTATCCATCGCGGGGCAGTCTTACAAAGGCGCGAAGTGGGCAGGGTCGGTTCGGCCGGCCAACAGCCGCTTTCCGATTTGTTTTCTTGCATCCGCCGTGCGCCGTCAGTTGCGCGCCAAACGTCTTCCCGCTCCCCCAGACGTTAAGGCCAGGCGCCCGCCGACGAAACACCGCGACTCCACGAGATCAAGTCTATATCACTACCCCGCTATCCTCCTCGCCCGCTGCTTACCAGACATCTTAACGTTGCCCCCTCGCAAGCGCCTTCGTCCCGTCTCAAGCCCTGCGCTGAACCTACGTCACCCGAACGTGACAAGCAACCACCACACTTCGGCTACGCGGTAGCGCGGAAGGACGGTTCAAGCAACTGCATGAGGAGTCGATAAAGACGGCCAGAGGCCAGCCCGCGGTAGCAACAGCTTTCCGCTTGCCCGGTATATCCGAGTCTGCGCATCTCACCGTGCGCCTTTCTATGCACGCGGACAGCCAGAGCTCTCGCTCACGGCGCAAACCTCCCGATACCATGTCGTCAAATCGTCCCTTCTTCTCCAACTTCCTCGCGGCGTTCCGCGCTCAGTCTGCGATACAAAAGGCCGCAAGCTCACAGTCGGCAGCGGCTGCGAGCTCATATACCCACAGCGCCTCCACACCGCAAAATGCAAACCAGAACACTTCACGGCAAATAACCACCAAAGCCGGTCCTCCCTCGCCAGGCGCCACGACTGCTGCGGTACAGGCCACCGGGCAGTTCCAGCCTACCAGACAACACGCTGCTCCGTACCACCGCTCGACCTCTCCCGCTCAGACCAAGGCTTTCCCCATACCGGGAGCATCAGCGAGAAGCCGGAGAGGCTCAGATAGCTCCTCGGAGGGCTTTCACGAAGCCATGGGAGCAGAGAAGTGGTACATCGGCGGTCGCACAGCCGCAGGCGAGGAAAAGTTCTACAAGCTCGGCATGGTGAAGCGCCACCGGAGTGTCGACAGGCTGAGCCTCGACCGACTCAGTATATAATGACACGCTACACGGCGATAAAAGTCTACTTGCATTGAAGGCGTTCTCACGGCAGTTTCATCATCGACATCCCGGGAAGGGTTGATCCTCAGAACAGGCGTTCATTGGCACAATCCGCTCAACGCGGTTTCCTCTCGTGCGGCTTTTCGACATGAGTACATAGTTATACGCGGCTCGCGCTGCCACATCGAATTAGACGATACTGTACATGTACAAACAGCGCTTTCTCTGTTTAACGCTCATCGAACAGGAATAGCCGTAGCGTGCAGCCAGATTGATTCCGGAGCGTTTCCGACCAACCGAAAGGTGCTGACCGCTCAGAGTGGTTCACCTTGATGGTCAAGCGAAGATCGCCCATGTGTCCGAAATCGCAGTAGCTTCATTTCGGCGTGGGACCTTCGAAGGTATCTTATCTTATCTACACTGTGTCGATCGGGAGGAGCTCACCATGCCATGCGCCACACATCGTGGCTCATCTCCGTGTGAGATTGGCTCCAGGCCAACGAATCTACGAATTGTTCGGTGACGATAGGTTGTCGGCGAAAACTACAGCTTTCGGCGACATTCCGATACTCCGGCATTCACTCCGACGGCTTCTAGTCCCGATAGCGCGGCCGGCAATCTTCACGGAAAAGCTAGATTCTGACCACTTTGGGACGCCTATGACGGCGAACTTCCCTCAACCTGCAAATTTTGAAGAACTCTGTACGCTAGTGTTTGAGTTGACCAGTACAGTGACCCACCCAAATGCGGAGTGCGTTGTATACCGCTCAAACTCACCGATCCAAATATTTTGAGTCACTTTCTCTCCATCTTCTGTTGTGTATAACAAGTCTAAGTCGCTTGTGGAGAAACTCCACATCCCAATCCCATGAACACAAGATCAGACCGTTCTCTTTGAACATTCGATTAACATTTATTCACATTCGAATCCATGATAGCTCAACATGGCCCCCGCAACTGCGTCTTCGTCCACTGCACCAGCGCAAGGTGGACAATCACCACAAGCTACCAATGCTGAAAAGCAATACGCCTCCATAGTTCCATGGGAACGGGAAGAGAATCACCGGCTTCAACTACAACACACCGTGTCCAGCTTCAGTAACCATGAGATGGCACACGTGTCCTACGTCGCCACTGGCGACAACGATGAAGTCTACAATCGCTTCCCCGAACGCCGGAAGCTGATCATCACCGCCGTTCTCTCCTTCTGTAGCTTCTTAGCACCTATCTCTTCGACCACTGTACTTTCTGCTATACCTGAGGTTGCAGACACATTCGACTGCGATGGCTCCATCATCAATTTGTCCAACGCTATGTATATGTTGTTTATGGGTGTTAGCCCTTGTTTCTATGGGCCGATCGGCACGATATACGGAAGACGATGGGTACGCAATTACCACAATGAAATCGATGACCAAGACCACGCTGGCCTCGGTGATGTCTATAATGTTGACGACTGACGAGAAAGCTGTAGGTTTCGATTATCAGTGCTACCTTGTTCACTGCTGCGAGCATCGGGACTGCGCTGGCGCCTAATTTGGCGGCGTTCTTCATCTTTAGGATCATCACTGCTTTCCAAGGGACGGCTTTCTTGATTATTGGGTCGAGTGTTATTGGCGATATATATAAGCCTACTGAACGGGGTACCGCTTTGGGATGGTAAGCCAGTCATACATTCTTCTACCACGCCAGGATATGATGAGGACCTGTTTCCTGGTAATTTGAGAACCCTCGACTAACATAATGTAGGTTCCTATCAGGTACTCTGATCGGCCCAGCACTAGGTCAGTACCTCACATACTGCTCCATTTCCTTCTTACTAAACTCACCAGGCCCTTTCATCGGCGGCATCATCGTCACCTTCCGCTCCTGGCGCGACATCTTCTGGCTGCAGACCGCCCTCGCAGGAGCAGCCACCCTCTTCGTCGTCTTCTTCCAGCCCGAAACGATCCACTACCGGCGCGCAGACGAGCTAAAGGACCTCCCTAAAGCAGAGAGAATGCGCACCCTCTGGCAGTGGCTGAACCCCTTCCGCATCCTCCGCCTTTACCGCTACCCGAATCTGCTCACCGTGGTACGTCCGCTTCAGTCAATCTATTCTTCCCCTGAATATAGGGGCTAATGGGATACAGGCCATAGCAGCATCCTCCCTAGTCTGGAACATGTACTCCCTCCTCACCCCCATCCGCTACGTGCTCAACCCCCGCTTCGCACTCACCTCCCCCTCCAAAGTGGGCTCTTCTACATCGCCCCCGGCGCAGGCTACCTCGTCGGCACGCTCGTCGGCGGCCGCTGGGCAGACGCCACCGTAAAAAAGTACATCGCCATCCGCGGCTCGCGCGTCGCGGAAGACCGGCTGCGCAGCTGTCTGCCGTTCATCGGCATCGTCATCCCCGCGTGCATGCTCGTCTACGGCTGGAGCGTCGAAAAGCGCGTAGGCGGCGTCGCGTTACCCGTCGTCATGATGTTCCTCCAGGGCGTCGCGCAGCTTTTCTGTTTTCCCAGCTTGAACACGTACTGTTTGGATGTGATGCAGGGGAGGAGTGCGGAGGTTGTCGCGGGAATTACGCGTTCAGATACCTCTTTGCGGCGGCTGGGAGCGCGGCGTGTCTGCCTGCTGTGCGCAAGATCGGCGTTGGGTGGTTTTCGACTATTTCGGCGGGGTTTCTGGTTGTTGCTGCGGGGCTTACGTGGGCGACGGCGGAGTATGGGAGGGGTGGCGGGATGCGGTGGATGAGAGGAAGAGGGTGAGGAAGGAGGGGAATGTGGTTTAGCTTTGGCTAGAGGATGGCATGGGAATGTATGACGCCTGGTTGGGTTGAGCTTCTGGGATGGTTTGGTATGCGCGTAGGCGAGCGAGGCGTTTGGGTAAGGCATTGGCATGGCATGGCGAGGCGTTTGGGTTTGGGCGGTATCTGACTAGAAGAGGGCGATAGACGGCATGGCTATTTCGAACTGAAGGTCATCTAATTTGTAGTTAATCGAAGAGAAGGACATGAAAAGCACCACGCCTGCATCGTTGCCAAGGGCAGCAATGCAGTCAACGACCATTGAGACGGGTGTGAGGCATTACGCTTAGCAGGGAGCTGATGTGGAAGCTCCTTCAGTGCTTCAACGCTTCGACGATCAAACACCACGCACTCACACTGCCCAATGAACAGAAGAAAGTAGTCTATTCCGCGTCTCGCGGTCTAGTATACAGCATGCCTTCTTTCCCTCCACCATGCCACGCTATGATACACACCCCACCCCCAGTAGTTCCTCCCATCTAGAAGGGGTTGTCCTCCGGCGGGATCTCAACGATGAAGTAGTCGCCCAGGATAGGAATCTTCTGCATGATATCGGTGCGCACACGCGGGACCTCAGCGAAGAAGAAGAGCGCGAAGAAGCCGGCGACGCCGCCAAAGCCTGCTGCGAGAGTGCCGCTGTGGAGGGTTAGCATTGTTGTATACGCAGCGCGTCGCGGGACTGGCGTCGGTGGTTCGTGGTTGTGAATCTATGGTTGGGTGTTGGGCGTGCAATAGGACGGGTGTGAACGTACTACTTTGCGAGATGTCTAGCCGTGATGCCGTGCACGTTGGGCGCAACCTTGTACCTGTGCGCTCGTTAGCAAACATTCCCAACGGAGCCAATTGGTGTCCGCAGCTGAGTCGAGAGGGGAGGTAGACGGGCGTGGTCGCGCTGTTGCCATCCGTTACTCCTCTTTCACCTGTCATCCCAGCTGCTCCTTCGCAAAACAAAACAAAGAAACCACATACTGAGGACCAAACGGACTCCTGTACGCCTTATACGGGCTACGCATGCTCTAAGTCCCTATTAGCCATCTCTCTCCCAGCTTGCAGCCGTCTATGACGAGCCATTGCGGCCGCGGTGCGCAGCGAACGACGTACGAAAGCAGCGGGCGTGCGGCCCATGGAGCCGGGCTCAACGGATTTGAGCTGCATCGTGACGGTGTGCGGTGTGGGCGGGTGTCGGGGTGACGTTTGTGGGCGTGAACGGAAGATGGAGGTTGCGAGGAAGAAGTGAGGTTCGAGGGCTTGGCGAGGTTTGGACCAATGGGAAGAGAGAATGTCTGGGCGGGCGATTGCCGACTATCTAGGAAGCCTAAAACATAAAATGGCGGTTGAAGATATGAATTGTTGTTATAGATGAAGTGAGAGGTTTGATCGATGTTGTATGCAGAGTGTCAGGTCGGCATGCAGATTTCAAGCGCGATGCTTGATAGTTCCCAGCCATGGCGAGATCAATTGTATTGTAGTAAAGCGGTTCTTTGTAGGACACTACGTTGGCTTTCATTATTTGATGATTGCGATCCTGCACGAAGGCATCGTAGCAAATTGGTGGCTTCAAGGAGAAACACATTGCAGCATGCACCGGTTCTCACATCGTCACCAATTCCTAGACATGTTCGACGACAAGAATGAAATCAAGTCCAGTCGATCTTTTGCTAGCACTGGCAGCGATAGAGAGTAGATTACTAGAGTTGAGGAGTGGACTTTGACTGTCGCGGATCTATATTGGGAAGAGTCAAAATGCTAAATGAAGCAGAGCACAGCCTTCACTGTCGTGGTATTCTTCGGTTGTGTGGCGTTGAGACATGCATCTATTCATTCGTTATGTGGATGAAGTCGCTTCGAAGATCTCCCACATTCCGTCGTCTACAGCATTATCCTAACCTGCGTCAGAGCGAGAGGAATTATATCCTCTAATTCGTGGGCAGCCTTCCGACGACCTCCTCCATCTCTGTATCCGTGTAGATCCTGAATCCCTTCTCCTTCGTCACGCTCGCCAACTGCACGTTCTTGCTGTCCAGCTTCTCCTCCATGACTTGCTTCAGCGTCTTGAGCACCATGACTTCTGCTTCGGAAAGGGTAAGCGACTTGTGGAACTCGTTCTGCAGCTCGGCTTGCGCGCCCTCAGAACCGGAACCGATAGCTTTCGCGTCGTAGCGGTAGAAGGTACCGGAGGGCTCAGCGTGGTATCTGGCCCTTAGTCAGCTCACTACTCCCGTATCATATCCTATTCCTTCGAAACGTACAGGCTGGGTCCGTCCTCGTCGTATCCTGCGATCAACAGCGCTACACCGAACGGCCGACTCATAATGCTCTCCTCGCCATCTGCACCCTCACCGAACCTCAGCGCCAGATCGCATATCGCCTGCGTGCAGCTCTCCACCCTCAACGGTTCGGCGTAATTGAAAGCATGGTTCTGACTCTCGACTCGTGCGTGCTCGATCATGCTCCGGGCGTCGGCCTGCAGGCCGGACATAGCGCAGCCAATGTGACGGTCGATCTCTACAATCTTCTCGACGGACGAGGTCTCGAGGAGGGTGGAGGTTACGCGCTTCTCTACACCTAGGATCACACCTTCACCGGTTGCCACCTATATCACGAATAAGTTGGTGTTGCGGGGATATGTATATCGCGCGCATTTGAAGGTGGCGCGGTGCGACTCGGGGGTGGACCTACGCCTATCGCTGTTGAACCGAGCTTGATGGCTTCTAAAGAATATTCGACTTGGAAGAGACGGCCTTCGGGCGAGAAGGTGCTGGTTTGCGGTGAGCTTGCGATTTCGAAGAGGGACATTGCGGGGCTACGGACTTGATACCACGATCTAGAGATTGATTGTCAGCATGAATTCAAAAGGAAGTTCTTCAATGACACGTACCATATTCGCTTCGTGCTATGAACTGCTCAAATCAGCATGCGGAGCTCCAGACGGTGTTCGCATCAAGCATACCATATTGAAGGTGTTTGTGGAGAATTCGTGGGGCGGTCGGAGAGGTAGGGCTAGAAGTCTTGCTTTGACGGCAAGGCAGAAGCTTGGAAGAAGTGTGCTTCTGACCAGAAGAGCGCAGATATCGTGTTGTGGGTTTGGTGAGCTTGATGGCCGAGAGCGCAGCTACGACGCGGCAGGAGCTGCCTTGAAGATGGTCCGTGCGGTGCCAAGCTGTGACGCCGAAAGTGCAAGAACGACGGGGAGCTATGCATCACATACACAACCACGACAGAATCGGGCGAAGAGCTTCCCAGGCATACCTGTCTATGTAGCATTATCTCTATGCATCCATGATTGTATTGGGGTAGAATACTCTCATTTTCTTGACCACGTGAACGCGCATCTTATTCGCGCATGCCAATCCCATGGTCTCTTGCAACATGGTTCCTTTTGTCTCCAAACGACTGTGGTCTATACTTATCAGATCAGTAGATGAATTACTCGCCGGTGAGTTGCCGAGAACGAGGCTCCCATCTTTGAAAAGTTAACTTTTCATGTTAAGTACAAGGGCTACTTCAGTAGTATGCAGTGAATAATCCTTCCTACTCAGATAGTCAAAGATAGAGCGCCGCGAGAACATGTTCATTTCATTGCTTTGATCTGGCGAAGTATATTCGTCCATTACACTAGCCTACCTTTTAGTTGACCTGTTTGCCTGGTACGACTTACATGCAGTTGCCGACGCGCGTATGGCATTTATCCCTAACATAGGAGCAGAACCCATACTAAACATATGAATTCTAACAAAGAGTATGGATCTAAAGATAATTCCCTCATTGCTGACTATGCCATACATGCCAATATGTCGAGCAGTCTAGTCCTCAAAGAGTGGCTGCGCACAAACGCATTCGATGAACTATCGAATTGGACCTTCCACGACGTGCGCTGGAGCCACCAGTGTTCGAATTTGAAGCAAAGCGCCTATGTCACACCTTAGGCGCCGCGATCTGGAGCCTCAAGTAGCTTGAGGGGAGTAGGTCTTTGGTCGCAGGCGCGGTTGCTCTAGCGACATGCAGGTCTAAACCGTTCTAGGCACTAGGTGAATTTGTACATCGATTGCTGCGACTGCCTCACCCTCCCATCACCACACACAAACAATCCGCACTCCTCGCTGTCGCATCCAATTCCGCGCAACACCATCAATTCAACCATCCTAAACCGCATCACCTAAATAGACCATAATCGCAATGGCTGCTCAATCCGAGGACCACCAGATGGAGGGCGTCGAGAACCCCGCCCAGGTCGCCGACAAGGGCAAGGGCAAGGCGCCTGACGCTATGGAGGAGTCCGCAGAGGACGACTCCAGCGATGAGTCCGGCAATGAGGCTGAGGTATGTTCCCAGGTTGCGTGTTAGCTGCTGGCGCATAGTTGCTAATTTGGTTCTGGCAGGTTGTTGAGGGTACAGCTCTCTATCCCATTCGCGCGCATTCGCGCCGTGCCGCTGTGTTGACGTCTACTGACACTTGAACAGAGCCTGAGGATGAAGACACCATGGCGGAGATCGACCCCACCAACATCGTCGGAAGCCGCACGCGTGGAAAGAACATCGACTTCGCCAAGGCTGCTGAGGAGCTTGGTGAAGATGAGGATGAGGACGACGATGAGGACTTCAACGATCCTGACGATGAGATGAAGGACTAGAGCTCCAACTCTCTTCGTCCCTTGGTACCGTTTGCCCCACCGCTCGCTGTCTGCCCCGCTTTGCGACTGACAGGACCAGTCTTCTTCAACGCGCTCATGAGGATTGTACGCCCGCACTTAGGGTTATCCCGATGAGTCGGTATGATTAAAAGTATTCCGGCTTTGGTTAGCGGGCCGGCTCGATTGAATAACGGAGTTTCGGACGTGCATACCAGGATGGGGAGATATTGCATATGGGACGTAACCATGCTATGCGTGCTATACGCCGCGCGTGGGAACAGTTTAACAAATGTCATGAATGCCTTGCGCTATCGACAATTGCTTCGTCTTTCGTGCAGAGATTTCGAACATGTGAAGCCTATGCGCTCGAATACTAGAATGTTAGGTGACACCACGTCCAAGCCCACGCCCAGCCTTGCGCAGCAATCTATTGTGTATGCATCAATGAGTGTAGATAGTACACGTTTGTCACGCCAAGCGTATGCCTAGATGCCTAGATACACAGTGTCCAGATGGCCACCCATCTAGCCCAATACAATGTTGGCGATGTCGCAGATTGAGTAACAAACCACGAGCGGTGGTTGCCGAAGACAACGGGACGCTCCTTCCGCAGAGAAATCCAGTGCTTCATGAGCGCACCTGATCGTGATATGACCTCAGGACTGTGACAACACAATCTACTCATCCAATCCATCTCACGAGACCAGCAACTCACCTTCGTGCGCGCTCCCTCTCCAAACACATGTTGTTGCTTATGGTAGGCGGACTGTGCGGCCAGCATTGATTTGATTCGTTCCTTAGTCCTACATCCCTACCCCACCCGGCCCCAATGGTACATGGTACATACTCGTACACAGAGGCGACCCAAGGCTTCGATATGGCTAGATGCCGGGGTACAGTCGGCCAGAGACATACCGCTGCGGTATTGATCAGCCCCAAAATACGTGCAGCAAAGGCGATCTTTGCGGACCGCCAGCCCGCCATGGCGAAGTGTATGCGCCAGTCAAAGCAGCAAAAGCAAGTGCAGACAGCCGGTCACGCGGACAATGAAGCTTCACTCGGACGACCCTGAAGCAGGGAATTTCCGCCTGGCGAGATCGCCCCCATGGGACGGCTGGGTAGTCGTTCTACCTACGAGAATCTTTCGCGTCAAGACAACGAAGACTATTGCCGGAAGAATTTGTGCTACAGTACCTAGGCCTAGAGCCTCGAAGCAACCACGGAAAGGTATTGGCTGCAGACCGGACGGTTTACCGCCGCGAAAGCAAATGCCGTCAGAGGCAGCCGCGGGTACATTGCCAGCGGTGCAGCGGAATCGTCCGCCTTCTCTTTTTCGGTGGCGATGTCGGCGAGTTGGACCAACATAGGCGAACACGGCTGCCTAGGCATAGCCGTGACCTCTTGACACATGGAATTATCCGTCAAGAAGCTCCTCCTCCCTTGGTGTGGGTGCAACATGCTCTAACACGTCGATTCCGGTCTGACCCGAGACGGAGGTGATTAGCTTGGTACTCTGGAGCGTGCCGTGCGTGGCGGAATGGCAAGTCTTGCTGGAAGACTTGCCGTCGAGATGCTGATCAGATCTACTACGACAGAATGGAAGATGGGCTTGTGTTCTAGTTGGATTGGCAAAGGGATCGCTCTGCTCCGCGCACAATGATGTCTATGATGGCCGCGGTGCAGGTCCGTCACTGGATGTTCCGCTGGAGATTTACCATCTCCCGGCCTATGGGAAGCAGGCCATTCCACCATGGGCGCATCTCGGCGGGCGATAAGGGAAAGATCAGAGACATGACATAAAAAAACGACGGACAAGCATCTGCAATGCGGCGCTAAGCAAGCGAGAGCTAATGTGCGCTGGCGGAATTGTCAGTCAGCCAATCACAAGGGCGCCGTTTCAAGTTTGGTGCGTGTGGGCAATCGGCCGGGGGAGCTTGAGGGCGGAAAAGCGATGCACTATGCAATCATAACGTGTCAAAGCGACACCGGAGCGAATGATGAGCCGCTGACGGCGAACTACGAGCCCACCGCCCGGGCAGGCTGGCAGAATTTCGTGGGGAAAAGTTCACCACGCACGACAGCGATGCAGGGCTGTCCTCTACTGCCGCGCGCAGCTGCATGAGCAGAGGGCCGTTGAAGCTTCTCCGGCGCGTCAGACCAGCAGGGCGTGGTGTTTTTGGAAGCCATTGAGCTGCGTGGGGACCGCCAATAGGGCGCCCTTGATTTCATTGTTCGTGACGATGGGAACGCGTCTGACATGTGCGCTTCGAGTACCATACACACGAACAGAAACCAGGACTACGCCCGAGTCCGGAACAAACAATCAAGCCCGGTGAGAGAGTGGAGACTTCTCTTACAGCGGTAGACAGGCCTCCTTCGAGCGCCCAGCCGTGTCACTCATTGGTAGAATAGTAGTGAAGGTCTCTAGCGCAGCGAAATTTGGCACCCCACCCACGTCCTCATAAGCTCTCCGCACTCCGTCAATACCTCCCTCTCTCTCCCCAAACGTCGCCCTGCTGGAAGTTGCTTGCTCGAACGCCACGAGTCATTCTTTAGGCCCTCTTCGATCGGCCCACCACTGCGCGTAAGTCAAAATACAACCTGCACTTGCCTGCACCATCCGCCTTCACCTTCGCCCCTCCACCTCTCCCCTACAGCCTGCGCGTTGCATACACCAGCTCGCGCGCCGGGGTGTAGTGAATCCTCTGTGTGGACAGAGTCAACCCCGCCTGCTCCCATTCGTCGCCTGCCTTATCAGCAGTTTCGTGCTTCTTTGCGGACATCGGTCGCCGCCGAGGCTAGCACAGTGTCATTGGCCTCAGGCCCGCATTGAAACGTCGAGTTGCAGTCACGAAGCCTGCTCTTCCGGCAATATTCGCCGCTTGCAACAGGCAGCCTGGACACTTACGACAGAGAAAATCACTGAAGCAGGGCGCTCTTTGCACTTGCGCTGTGTAATTGGGAGCTGTGCGAACTTCACCACGACAGACCGAAACATCTTCATTGATCGCGACCGCTAATTGTTTGTGCCAGCATCAGAGCATCAACTACCAGCCAAATACGCGAACCTCAGACCCCCACTACGGTCCTTGATACCCCCCGCACTCCCTCGACCCTACCCACCACCCCAAAACTTCGGCCGGCTGCCGATATAATGGGTAGCGTTTCCTTCGCCGAAGATACCAAATTGCCCCAGGATACGCCGATTGTCGAGGAGGAAAGCTCCGTCTTTCCTTACCAGGATGGCCCCGAAAACAAATCGTGGGCGGGCGCCCTGCCCTTGAAGCAGGGTCTTTACGACCCCGAGTACGAGAAGGATGCTTGCGGTGTGGGTTTCGCTGCGTACGTGACCATATGACTGTTTGTGAGCCCAGCTCGTGCTAACAATCGGCAGCCATATCAAGGGCAAGGCTAGCCACAAGATTGTTTCCGATGGTGAGAGAATACGGCTCAATCTTTATATACGACTACTTACATTCATCAGCGCGGTCATTGCTATGCAATATGACTCATCGAGGTGCCGTGGGCTCTGACGCCCGTGATGGCGATGGCGCTGGTGTCATGACTTCGATTCCCCACCGATTCTTCGTGAAGGAGTTTGGACGCGAGCAAGGCTTCACGCTCCCTCTCCAGGGCCAGTATGCCACTGGTAATCTCTTCTTCAAGCCCGATCCCGCAGCGCTGGATGAAACCAAGGCGATGTTCGAGGATGTGGCTGATCAGCTGGATCTAAGAGTGTTGGGTTGGCGAGTGGTCCCGAGGGACTCTACGCTGCTTGGTCCTGCCGCTTTGTCGCGAGAGCCCATCATACTGCAGCCGTTTGTCGTGCTGAAGAAGGCTTTTGGTGAGGGCAAGGAACCGAAGCCAGACTTCGACCAGACGTTCGATGGCGGGTACTTCGAGCGACAGCTCTATGTGCTGCGCAAGCGCTCCACTCACGTTATTGGCCTTCACAATTGGTTCTACATTTGCTCCATGTCGAACAAGAACATTGTGTACAAGGGCCAGCTTGCACCTGTGCAAGTCTACGAATACTATCACGACCTTCTCTCAGTCGATTATGAGGGGCATTTTGCTCTTGTTCATTCCCGTTTCTCCACTAACACATTCCCCAGCTGGGATCGTGCACAGCCCTTGCGATGGGCAGCCCACAATGGTGAGATCAACACCTTACGTGGCAACAAGAACTGGATGCGCTCTCGAGAAGGCGTCATGAAGTCGGAGATGTTTGGTGATGAACTTGACCTCCTGTACCCGATTGTTGAGGATGGAGGTTCCGACTCTGCTGCATTCGACAACGTGCTGGAATTGCTCACGATCAATGGTGTTCTCTCACTCCCAGAAGCTGTTATGCTCATGGTGCCAGAGGCATGGCAAGGTAATCATTCAATGGACCCTGCGAAGCAGGCATTCTACGAGTGGGCCGCCTGTATGATGGAGCCCTGGGATGGCCCGGCCCTCTTCACGTTCTCTGATGGACGTTACTGCGGAGCCAACCTCGACCGTAACGGTCTCCGACCCTGCCGTTACTACGTGACCGATGACGACCGAATCGTCTGCGCCTCAGAGGTCGGTACTATCTCCATCGACCCGGAGCGAGTCGTACAGAAGGGTCGTCTCCAGCCAGGCCGCATGTTGCTCGTTGACACTGTGGCTGGTCGCATCATTGACGACTCCGAGCTGAAGAACACGGTTGCAGCTCGTCAAGACTTCCGATCCTGGGTTGAGAAGAACCTTTTGACCTTGCCTAAGGTCAAACAGGCAGTCTTGGATAAGGGTGTAGACCTCGGCTACACTCTCACAGATACGCGAGTGCACGAGGACCCGCGCCTGAAGGCTTTCGGGTACTCCCTCGAGCAGGTAACACTGCTCCTTGCGCCTATGGCAGCCGATTCCAAGGAGGCTCTGGGTTCCATGGGCAATGACGCTCCTCTCGCATGCCTGGCACAACAGCCCCGCCTCATGTATGAGTACTTCCGACAGCTCTTCGCTCAGGTCACGAACCCTCCCATCGATCCCATCCGTGAAGCCATCGTTATGTCTCTTGAGGCATACGTTGGACCGCAGGGTAACTTGCTCGAAATGGATGAGTCGCAGTGCGGCCGACTGCTTCTTCCTTCGCCAATCCTTTCTCTCGAGGAGTTCAAGGCATTGACCAACGCGCACACCCTCTATCCTGAGTGGACTGTGAAGACGATCGACATCACGTTCCCCAAGAGCGAGGGTGTCGATGGATACATGAACGCGCTGGACCGAATCTGCGATGCCGCCGCAGAGTGCATTGACAGTGGTGACAACATCCTCGTCCTCTCCGACCGTGCCACTTCCGCCGACCGCGTGGCTGTTTCCGCCTGTCTCGCTACCGGTATGGTGCACCACCACCTTGTCCGCAGCAAGGCCCGTTCTCGAGTCGCCCTTGTCATTGAGACTGCCGAAGCTCGTGAGGTCCATCACATGTCCGTTCTCGTCGGTTACGGAGCTGACGCTATCTGCCCTTACCTTGCCATCGAGTGCATTTTGAAGATGCACCGTGAGGGTTTGATCCGCAAGAAGCTCTCGCCTGAACAACTTATCGACAACTACAAGCACTCTTGCGATGGTGGTATCCTGAAAGTTATGAGCAAGATGGGTATATCTACGTTGCAGTCATACAAGGGAGCCCAGATTTTCGAGGCTCTTGGTATCGATGATTCAGTTGTCGACCGTTGCTTCACAGGAACCGCTACTCGCATCAAGGGTGCGACTTTCAAGGACTTTGCCCAGGATGCCTTCGCGCTCCACGAGAAGGGTTTCCCGACTCGCAGCATCGTCGAGGTTCCCGGTCTTGCTGAGACTGGCGAGTACCACTGGCGAGACGGTGGAGAAGCTCACGTCAACGACCCGACTGCGATTGCCAACATTCAGGATGCCGTCCGCACCAAGAACGACAAGTCCTATGAGGCGTACTCCATTGCAGAGTACGAGCGCATCAAGGACTGTACGCTGCGCGGCCTGCTTGACTTCAACTTTGAGGACCGTAACCCCATCCCCATCGACCAGGTCGAGCCTTGGACCGACATCGTTCGCCGCTTCGTGACCGGTGCCATGTCCTACGGTTCCATTTCCATGGAGTCTCACTCTACTCTTGCCGTTGCCATGAATCGATTGGGCGGCAAGTCCAACACTGGTGAGGGTGGTGAAGACCCAGAGCGATCTCTTCGCATGGAGAACGGCGACACCATGCGCTCTGCCATCAAGCAGATCGCCTCTGGTCGATTTGGTGTTACCAGCAACTACCTCGCCGATGCCGATGAGCTCCAGATCAAGATGGCCCAAGGTGCTAAGCCCGGTGAGGGTGGTGAGCTCCCAGGCCACAAGGTCTCCGCTTCCATCGCTAAGACCCGTCACTCCACTCCTGGTGTCGGTCTCATCTCTCCTCCACCTCACCACGACATCTACTCTATCGAAGATCTTAAGCAGTTGATCTACGATCTGAAGTGTTCGAACCCGCGCGCCCGTGTCTCCGTCAAGCTCGTCTCTGAGACTGGTGTCGGTATCGTCGCTTCCGGTGTGGCTAAGGCCAAGGCTGATCACATCCTGATCTCTGGCCACGATGGTGGTACCGGTGCTTCTCGCTGGACTGGTATCAAGTACGCCGGTCTTCCCTGGGAATTGGGTCTTGCCGAGACTCACCAGACTTTGGTCCTCAATGACCTCCGTGGACGTGTCATCGTCCAGACTGATGGGCAGCTCCGCACTGGCCGTGATGTTGCCATTGCCTGTCTTCTCGGTGCGGAAGAGTGGGGTTTCGCTACAACCCCTCTCATCGCTATGGGCTGTATCATGATGAGGAAGTGGTAAGCAGTGCTAAACCTAATTATTTTTAGAGTGTACTAACGTTATCTTTCAGTCACTTGAACACCTGCCCCGTCGGTATTGCTACTCAGGATCCTGAGCTCAGGAAGAAGTTTGTCGGTACGCCCGAGCACGTCATCAACTTCTTCTACTATGTCGCCAACGAACTCCGTGCCATCATGGCCAAGCTTGGATTCCGTACCATCAACGACATGGTTGGTCACTGCGAGGCGCTCCGTGTTCGCGACGATCTTCGCACTGCAAAGACGGAGAACATCGACCTGTCGCTCATTCTGACGCCCGCCCACACACTGCGACCTGGAGTGGCTACGTTCAACGTCCGCAAGCAGGACCACCGTCTCCACGTACGTCTTGACAACAAGCTCATCGCTGAGTCTGAATTGGCTCTTGAGAAGGGCTTACCCGCACGTATCGAATGTGATATCGTCAACACCGATCGTGCTTTGGGTGCTACCCTATCCTACCAGATTAGCAGGCGCTACGGCGAAGCTGGTCTGCCCCAGGATACAATCCACGCCAACATTCGTGGATCTGCGGGTCAGTCTTTCGGTGCTTATTTGGCACCTGGTGTTACTCTGGAGCTTGAGGGTGACGCCAACGACTACGTCGGCAAGGGTCTCTCTGGTGGTCGTATTATCGTCTACCCGCCTCGTACGGCTGTGTACAGGGCTGAGGAGAACGTCCTGATCGGCAACGTCTGCTTGTACGGTGCCACCAAGGGTACCTGCTACTTCCGTGGTGTGGCTGCTGAGCGTTTCGCTGTCCGCAATTCCGGAGCCACCGCCGTTGTCGAAGGTGTTGGTGACCATGGTTGCGAGTACATGACTGGCGGTCGTGTCGTTGTCCTTGGTTCTACTGGCCGTAACTTCGCTGCTGGTATGTCTGGCGGTATTGCCTACGTCCTCGACATCCAGCAGGACTTCGAGCAGAAGGTTAACCAGGAGATGGTTGAGCTTTCCGGCATCGAGGACCCCCAGGAGATCGCCTTCGTTCGTGGCCTCATCGAGGACCATCACCACTACACAGGCTCCGAGCTTGCTGCACGCATTCTCCTGGACTTCTCCCGCGCCCTACCCCGCTTCGTCAAGGTCATGCCGGTCGACTACAAGCGTGTTCTCTTGGAGGAGGCTGCAAAGGAGGCCGAGAAGAAGAAGAAGGAGTACCCCCTTCCCATCCTCCCCGGCAACCCTGTTCGCTCGGCTCACGAGGAGTCTTTGAAGCATGAGCACGATGCCAAGGACAAGAAGGCCGACCTTCTCGACATCGAGGAGAGTGTCACCGATGCCAAGGCTGAGAAGAAGAAGGCTCTCGTGCTCGACAAGACCAAGGGCTTCATGAAGTACCAGCGGCGCTCTGAGAAGTACCGCAACCCCAAGACCCGGACCCGCGACTGGTCCGAGCTTTCTCAACGCCTCAACGAGGATGAACTCAAGTACCAGACAGCTCGTTGCATGGATTGCGGTGTGCCTTTCTGCCAGTCTGACACTGGTTGCCCGATCTCGAACATTATACCAAAATGGAATGAGTTAGTGTTTGCTAATCAATGGCGCGATGCTCTTAATCGCCTGCTCATGGTACGTAATGCCCGGGTACGAAGTCGATCTGTCTTAGACATAAACACTTCGTACCATCTCCACTTTTATGACTTCGCTGACTTAGCTGCGCGTCTAGACCAACAACTTCCCAGAATTCACTGGTCGTGTTTGCCCTGCTCCTTGCGAGGGTGCCTGCGTTCTGGGCATCAACGAGGACCCCGTCGGCATCAAGTCTATTGAATGCGCTATCATTGACCGCGGTTTCGAGATGGGCTGGATGATCCCATCGCCACCCCAGACCCGCACTGGCAAGAAGGTTGCCATCATCGGATCTGGACCCGCTGGCCTTGCTGCATCCGATCAGCTCAACAAGTGCGGTCACGAGGTTACCGTCTTTGAGCGCGCCGATCGTGTTGGTGGTCTGCTCATGTACGGTATCCCCAACATGAAGCTCGACAAGAAGGTTGTGCAGCGCCGTGTGGATTTCCTCGCCGCAGAGGGTGTCAAATTCGTTACCGGTGTCGCTGTGGGTGCCGAGGGCCAGCCATCTCTCGAGTCTTTGCGCGGCGAATACGACGCTGTCATCCTCGCCACTGGAGCGACTGTCGCTCGTGACCTGCCCATCCCCAACCGCAACCTCGAGGGTGTTCACTACGCCATGCAGTTCCTGCACAAGAACACCAAGTCTCTTCTCGACTCCGAGCTCGCCGATGACGCCTACATCTCAGCCAAGGGCAAGAACGTCGTGGTCATCGGAGGTGGTGACACTGGTAACGACTGCATTGGTACCTCCGTCCGCCACGGAGCCAAGTCGGTCGTCAACTTCGAGCTGCTCCCCCAGCCTCCGCCAGAGCGTGCCCGCGACAACCCGTGGCCGCAGTGGCCGCGTATTTTCCGCACTGACTACGGTCACTCGGAAGTCAAGACGCACATGGGCAAGGATCCTCGCGAGTACTGCGTCATGTCCAAGGAGTTCGTCGATGACGGAACCGGCAAGGTCAAGGGCATCAACACCGTCCGCGTCGAGTGGACCAAGTCGGCCACTGGCGGCTGGGACATGAAGCAAGTCGAGGGCAGCGAGCAGTTCTTCCCCGCCGAGCTCGTCCTCTTGTCTATGGGTTTCTTGGGTCCCGAGGAGCGCGTCCTCGGCGACATCGTCGAGCGCGATGCCCGCAAGAACGTCAAGACGACTCCTGGCCACTACAACACTAACTTGGCTGGTGTCTTTGCCGCTGGTGACTGCCGCCGCGGCCAGTCTCTCATTGTCTGGTAAGTTTGATCGAGCTCGAGTGTTTACTTAGCATACTAACGTTCATAGGGGCATCAACGAAGGCCGCCAATGCGCCCGCGACGTCGATACCTTCCTCACCGGCGTCGGCACTCAGCTCCCCGTCACAGGCGGCATCGTCAAGAGCCCGCCTTACTCCCTCCTGAACAAGGCGGGCGGCGCCCCAGCCGAGAAGCTCGTCCAGGCCGCTGCTTAAACCACTTGCATCAACCTCTTGGACGAGATACGAATACAACGCTACGACTGAAGGACGACTTGTACGCAATCTGCACGATCGATCATGTCATGATTACTTTTTTCTTTTCTTTTCTTTTCTTTTCTTTTCGTTTCTTGCGCTACTGGGTTCTTCCTTGAGTCGGGCATGTTCTCAATCGCTTTTTGCAAGATACCTCTTTCACTGCTGGTGCTTTTTTGGGATTTGGAGTGGGTGGGTGCGGGATGCATGCATGCAAGCTTGTACGGTGGAAACGGTGGGCACTGTAGGGTGTATGAATTAATTTGCAAAATGGGTATGAGATTTAATGATGTGCGTGTGCATGCGGCTTTATTTTCTATCGTGAGCTGAGCGATTCCGATGAAACGGTGGACGTGTGGCGGAAAAAGGAACAGGAACAGGAACAGGAACAGGAACAGGAACAGGAACAGGAACAGGAACAGGAACAGGAACAGGAACAGGAACAGGAACAGGAACAGGAACAGGAACAGGAACGGTTTTTCTGCCCTGCTGATGGTGCACAATCGACTTGTTTCGCGCATCCTCGAAAACTCGCAAGAGGGTATCGAAACTTGGGTGCGAGTGTATGTTAAATACTAGCTGGGCTTTCTTTGTCAGATACCGTGGAACCGCAGGACGTCACAAACTTCACTTCATCGCCGCTATATTCTCAGTCGATGCTTCAAGACGTGGGGAATAAATGTAAGCAGTAGATAATAGTGTAGTCTATGATGACTTGCTGTATGATGCTTGTGAGGAGGTGAGAAGGGATGGTGTGTGGTGGTATATCATGTCGTGTTGAGAGTCAATCTAAGTAGTGGGACGATGCAAGCGTTCGTTGAAGGGGGGTGCGATGTGCGAGCGTGTGGCAACTCAGCGTGTTGAAATCCATGATGGTATGTAGGATGGCGGTGGTGGGGCGTGGATTAACTCTAAGGATTGGATGGTTTAATGGTAGAGGGGGAGGGTGAGTGGGATAAGGCTATCTTGCGATATGGTATCCTGTGGTGACTCAGCGTATTCAACCCCATGGTGGTATTTGTGATGCATACATACAACAGGTGATAGTGTATCTTGGGTTAACTCTGCGCATCGAAAATATTGACGGTACATAGCGAGTTTGAGTGGGACAGTGTATCCTGTGGTAACTCAGCGTATTCGAGAGCATGATGGTATTTGTGGTGGGGGTTAGGGATTGGCGATGGTGTGTGTTGGGTTAACTCGGCGTTTCCAACCCCATGAAGGTATTTGTGATGCATCCAACCGGCGATAGTGTATCCTGGGTTGACTCTGCGCATTGAAAAGGTTAACAGTACATGGCGAGTTTAAGTGGGATAGTGCATCCTGCAATATAGTGTCTGTGGTAACTAACTCAGCGTATCTAACCCCATGATAGTAATTTTGCTACGTCTAACTAGCGATAGTGTATCTTGGGTTAATTCTGCGCATTGAAGGTTTGATGGTACATGGCGAGCTTAAGTGGGACAGTGCATCCTGCGAATGGCCCCCACGACTCGACCTCGACTTCGATAGACCGGAGTCGAGCATAGTCTACACCGATGACTCAACTAATCGCAGTCTCAGCCACACTCAAACATAACACCCAACCAGACAAACCTACATATAACTGCCGCCGCGCATCCTACCCAAATCTCATAATCACTCTATCCCACCTCCAAAATGCTCCTCCACCTCCCCAACGAGCTCCTCTGCGCCATCACATCCCACATCGACAGCGAAATTGACCTCCAAGTCCTGGCCTGTACCTCCCGCCGACTCTACAGCACAGTCATACCCACCTACTACAGAACCCTCGCTAAAGCCCATCGCTGCGATCCCCTCGCCGCAGCCGCAGTGCACGGGAACTTGCACGCTGTGCAGACGCTGCTGGACCAGGGATGTAGTCCTCGAGCAAGAGGTGGAGGGAGGCAGTATAAAGCGAAGCAGGTACGTTCCCCAATTTTCCCTATTATCTATATACATACATCTTCATAGATATAATTTGACTTTTCGATGAATTTGATGTTATAGAGCGTCGTTAACAAGGGGGGCCACAGAAATACGCCCGAAGCGCGCTCATCGCTGCGATTGAGAAGAGAAGGGAGGATATAGCGTGTTTAGTGCTAGAGCATGGCGCGGATCCGAATGCGAAGGCGGGGAATATTAGGTATGCGCTGGAGGCGGCGTGTAGTGAGGGGTTGAGCGCGGTGGTAAGCTGTTTGCTGGTGAAGGGGGTGGAGGTTATGCGTGGAGGGAAGGGCAACCCGGGGAGATCGCACGCTTCGGCGTTGTATATTGCAAGTCAGAAGGGGTTGAAAGATATCGTGGAGCTGCTGCTCGATCATGGCGCGGATGCTGGGGTTCAGGGAGGACGGTTGGGACACTCTTTGCGAGTTGCGGCGGTGAATGGGCATATGGAATGTGTTAGGGTGATGGTGGAGCGGGGGGTGGATGTTAATTCGAGGACTAAAATTGAGGGCCGGGCGCTGGAGGCGGCTTTGGAAGCTGGCCATGAAGAAATTGCAAGATATCTGATTGAACGAGGGGCAGAGGATAAGTTGGTCGATGGTGTCGACGACAAGTGGCTGCCCGGTGCGGCGTTCAACATCGTTTCGAAGGAGAAAGAGACGAAATGGAGAGACGTTCTGGATACGATACTCGAACGGATGGACTACTCGAGCCAACTTGCCGGAAACGCCTTCGTATCTGTCGCCCGAGATGGGAACGAGCAACTCGTGGAGCACTTTCTGCGCAACGAAGTCGACATTGAAAAGCATGGCTCGCGTGCGCTCGGCGTAGCAGCCGTCAAAGGTCATCTCAAACTTCTTCAACGCCTCGTAGCTGCCGGCGTGGACGTCAACCAAGAAGTTCCCAAGCGCGGCCATGCCATCTTGCGCGCGGCAAAACATGGCTACGTCGAATGCGTGAGATTTCTGCTCGAACAGGGCGCATCTCCCAACGTTGTCCACGGCACGCCTTGCATCGAGAATCGCGGCCGGTCGAGGGTTGTCTTCTGCAGCACGCCGCTTCAATATGCTTGCTGGGGAGAAGACTCTCCGTCCGAAGAGCAGCGTGATAGATTTGAAGCAATCGCACGCATGCTCCTCAAAGCCGGAGCAGACCCCAACATCTCCGGTAAACGATGGTTCCACCCCCTCAACCTCGCCGCCTACCGCGGCAACGAAGCCATCGTGCGTCTGCTGCTAGAGCACGGCTCCGATCCGTCCACACGAGGACCAGTATGGGGCGACAACGCCCTGCAAGCAGCTGTCATACGGGGCAGCATCTCCATCACCAGGCTCATCCTCGAGCACGGCGCAAAAATCGATGGTTCAGGTGCGCTGCAGGCTGCCTGTGGTGCAGTGTATTACCACGAGGGGAACTTTGAGATGGTGAAGCTGTTGCTTGACTACGGTGCTGATCCGAACCACAATAGCGAAGCGTATGCCTGTACTGGCTATATAAACGCTATGTCAGGGCGCCCGGGAATGTACTTTTGGAACGCACTTCAATGTGCGAGGGGTAATCGCAATAACCGCAGTGAGAGTATTATAGAGCTGCTGTTGGATCGTGGCGCAAGAGACGAGGAATGAGGTCGTTCTGCATCCAGGATTACCATCGAATATAGAGGAAAGACGAACCGTGGTCTGTAGCAACATAGCGAGTAATATACTTCTGTTGTCTTCGCGTTGTCGGTTCCTCCGTCTTCGCGTCGTGATGTTGTAGAGTAATATCGTAATAAGTCGACTTTTTCAGATTTCCAAAGGTTTCTTTGACAATAGCATGCCGTCTCAGCGGCTGAAAAACCTCTCTTAACGCTTCCGTTGTGCCTTGCCCAGTATACGCAGCATCCTACCTCGTATCAGCTGTAGCTTGCTTTATCAGGGCCATTCTAATTAAAAATGTAGACAAAAACGAGTTGTTGTTCTATATTTATTTAGTTATGGGTGTGTTTAGTGTTCCCGGTGGACACGATTTGATATTATCGAGAAGATATATTGATACAGAAGTTCTGTGTCATGGGGTATAGCGCGTGGGAGTGCGCTATGACGGAAGTATGAAGGAACGGACTGTGAAGGACCGTCCCAACCGGGTTAGGCGAACGCTTCATCCTCGCCCGCGAAACGCGTACGTCGCATTGTGAAAACACCAACACCTCCATCGTAGCCAGATGCGAGCTTGCCAATGCGCACGAGTTTAGATACTATGACATTTCCTGTCCGTCTATCCGGTCCAACTCCGATTGGGTGCAGGCCAAGGCCCTAATTGGGGCCAACTGGACCCTCCAAGCCTTGGGACAATGAAGAAATCACAACGGCGCCCTTGGCCCATCTTCACAAGCCGTCAACAAGTCTCACCGTGAAAACTACGTCACCATGGGTCTCGCCTTCGCCTGGCTTGTATACCCTCGGCGCCTTGACATCTCCTCCAAAGAGCCACTTCAAGCTTTACAAACGCCTTTGTTGCAAGCACGGCGCCATGCCCGCGCCCTTTCTCCAATACCATGAACCCGGAAGTACGTTTCCTGTCTAAACTCTACCCTATTTCGTGATTTACTGATGTAGTTACCTAGTCGTTGACATCCTCATCTTGGTATCTTTCTTCACCTTCCTGTGGATCTCCGAATATGCCTCCGAGAAAATCATCCGCGCTGGTATCATTGGGCCCATAATAGTCGGCATCATCTTCGGGCAACCTTTGGCCAACATCCTGCACCATGAGTGGCAAGAGACATTCCTGTACCTCGGGTACATTGGGCTTATCTTGATTATCTTCGAGGGAGGGCTAACGACGAGGCTTGATCTGCTCAAGGCGAACTTCGGACTGAGTCTCATTGCGGCTGCGACCGGCGTGCTGTGTCCCATTGGCTTCAGTTACCTGCTGCTGTACTTGGGATTCGGGTACGGGGCGGTGGAAACCTTCATCATTGGAGCTGCCCTCAGCGCAACTTCCCTAGGAACGACTTTCGCCGTCATAGCCGGAGCCTCCAAGGACGTCGATCTCTCCCAAACTCGCGTCGGCGCCGTGCTCGTCAGCGCCGCAGTCATGGACGACGTCTCAGGCCTGGTCATGAGCAGCGTAATCCACCAACTGGGCTCCCTCTCCTCAGGCGGAAACGCGAATCTCGGCTGGCTCATCGGCCGCCCCATCGTCGCCTCCGCAGCAATGGCCATCCTCACGCCCATCCTGACGAAGTGGGTTTTCGCACCGCTCTTCAGAAAGTACATCGAGCACCACTTCGCCAAGCTCGACCACCTCTCCAACATCACCCTCATGATCCTCGTCCTCTGCGCCTTCATCTCCATCGCCTCTTTCGCGGGAACGTCCATCCTCTTCGGCGCCTTCCTCGCAGGCACTTTCCTAACCTACCTCCCCAGCAAACACCCCTCGGGCCCCTTCGTCGTCATGTCCCGCGAAGAAGGCGAGCGCGAGAAACACAAATCCCCGACCTTCGTCCACACATTCGAGTGCTACTGTCTCGACGCGCAGACATACGTGCTCGCCCCGCTGTTCTTCGCTTCCGTCGGCTTTGCAATCCCGTTTTTGGATCTCTGGACCGGGAAAGCTATCTGGCGGGGCGTCGTCTACACGCTGCTCATGCTGGCGGCGAAGTTCCTCGTTGGCGCTTGGATACCCATCTCAGATGCAGCGACGCGACGTGCGTCTCCAAAGGAAGAAAGCGCGCAAGAGAAATCTGCAGAATCACCCGCACGCGAATCCGTGGCTAGCTCTGTACTTCCCCCTGCGCTCCTGCTCGGCATGGCTATGGTGGCCCGCGGCGAAATCGGCTTGCTCATCGTGGAGATAGGGTACAACAATACGGACTACGTATCGGCAGATGGCTTCATCACTGCTATTTGGGCCATCCTGTTGAACACCATCATCGGGCCTATTTTCGTAGGACTGCTGGTGAAGTTCAGAGGCGAGCGTATTGCGAAGGGAAAGTGGGGGCTGGTGCAGGCGCCTGGGCCGGAGCTTAATGCGAGTAGCAGCGCGACGTTGAGCGAAGCACGGATGGAGGAGGCGCGGCAATGACAGGAGTAGAGGGGCGGTGGGGGTATGCGGAGCCATAAATACTAGGATGCGGTACATGGTGGGAGTTGGAAAACTAGTTTGTTATATGCTGATAGATCGCGCAAGTGTAGTGCTCACGACACACGATTTCAACGCCAGAATGAGCGAAAAGATGGGTTGCATAGCATTCAAGCATCAGCATGCAAAACCTCTTCAAAGCATCCAGTTTCTCAATGATTAATTCCACATGAAACACTGCACAACCGAGCAAATTCCAAGCTGATACTGCCCCCAGTAAACCCAGGGTATCTTGATTACCGGTACCACCAAACGCCAACCATCCCAATGCACCCATATCCGAGCCCGGTTCTAATCATGATCAACCAATCGTACAGATGTTAATACAACATCCAGCAACTACCAAGCATAGCTGTCCTCGACATCGTCGTTGTTTTCATCCCACTCTTCATCCCCGCTGCGCTCCTCATCGAGAAAATCCGCTTCGTCAAACATTTCCTCGCGAGGGCGCAGGTTATCGATACGGCATATAACCGTGTGACATCGCCCCTGCACAACAGTAGGCTCCTCGTCATCGGCTTCAGTATCCTCGGTAAGGCCCTCCGCATCCTCGTTCTCGTTCTCCGACGTCTCATCGTAGTTTGTGGAGACCTTCGCACGGGAACGGAGACGGCGCTTAGCAAGCAGAGGGACATCGCTGTCTGTCTCGTCGTCGCTGCTTCCCGGTGCATCTGTAGCCTGGCCTTCCTTCGCGGCGACGACCGGGACCTCGGCTGTGACATCCAGCAGAGAGTCGTTACTATCAGCGGCATCCTGCTGAGAATCTTTCCACTGCCGATATGCCCTGAGCGATGCGAGATGAGGGCTTGGAGCCGGGCCGCGCCACGCGAACACCTTCTCGAAGCGCGCAGCCCACTTCCGTCGGAAGTCGGCGCGCTGACGCCAGTCCATGTCTACCATGGCCAGAATTCTCAACTCGCGTAGGAAGGGAAGATCAGCCGCGGAATCTATCAGCGAGGTGAAGAAGTTGGTGGCGGAGTCAGCGCCCCACTTGCGGAGGTGTTCCATGTCGATGATGCGAAGGGTCGAGGGCCAGGTGGGGACGTCGTCGAGTCCGAGAAGCCAGTCGTAGAGAGGCTCGTTGTCAGAAGACATGGCTAGGGTGCTGTAATAGCTCAAGTCCATCTTAAGAACTTCCAGTCGCGGGCAGTCTTGTTTCAGGGTGACTAGAAAAGAGAGGTCTAGAGACTGATTGTGGTTGAGAACCAGCTCTTCAAGATGCCATCCGTGGTCAGATAGAAACGTATGCATATCATCGGAGGTGAGATAAATGCAGTTGGTGATGCTGAGGCTGAGAAGTGCAGACGGTAGCAACGACAAGAGTTTTCCGTTGACAGCAGTGCAAGATTCAAATGTCAACGATTGCAAGTTCGGGAGGGACGCAACAGCAGATGCGAGAAGCTCCTCAGTCGTGGGATCAGTGGCATCGGGCTTGCGCTTTTCGTCGAAGTTGAACTTCACAAAAGTGACATCGCGAAGGCTCTGGAAAACTTGATCCGCGTGGATGTCCTTTATCCACAGAAGACCTTCGGCACAGTAGGCACTATGCCACCGCCAGCTTTTCAAGCGCAGCTGAGTCTGCCGCAAAGCTTCGAACAGCTCCGGTGGGTAGGTCCAGCGGCGCATACGCTTCAAACGTTCGCGGTAGGGTGGTCTGTCCAGAGGGTCGAAGATGTCTATCTCCTTCAGTGTCGACAGTGCGGATGTCAAGGACGTCAAATCCGCCAAGCTGTTGGTGGGGTCCGTCAGGGCAGACATTTGCGTGGCGTCAAGCTCGAGACGCTTGACCATGACCTGGTAGTCTTGACGAACGTCCTCTGGTGGCATTATAAGGTGGTTTACCAGCTTCTTCCGATTCTGCCGGATTGCGAAGATGGGTGGATTACGATATAGCGCCGTCAGAGCTGGTTTTGTGAAGGCATGACACATTTGCGCCGTCGTTATCAGCCAAGATATGGAAGAAGTTGCATGCATGTTCTCATCGTGCAGTGGATGGGAGGCGTAGACAAAGATCTGGAGCAGAACATGGTAAGGCAACGACGACATGTCCGGCTTGATTCCATCGGTAGGAATATGTACAACAATCGGTTGGGGTGCTATTGTATGTTAAACCCTTAATCAACAGTGTGTATGCATAGACATACCCTTCTTTTCCTTCAATGGGGCACCAAAAGCGCGCTTCTTCGGCGCAATCGTCTTCCTGGAGCTATTCTCAGACTGCTTACGAGGCGTTGACCGCTGGGAAGTCCCTTTTGACCGTGGTTTCCTTTGAACAACAACCACTTCCGGCTCATAGTCGGCTTCGGGGTCCTCGTCACTGTCTTCGTCTGTGCTCTCCTCTCGGTACGAGACTTTTCTCTTCTCTTTCCTCCGATGTGTGCGCTGAGAGACAGCAGATCGAGCTAATGCAGCTGAAGCGGTGGGCTGAGTATGTCTCGTGGAGGCTTCCGCTTCCGGCTCGACTTCAATCGATTGATGGCGGGCGGACCGCCGAGTTGGCCGCTTCCTCCTGGAGGGATTGTCGATGTCGGAGTTGGAGAAGTCATCGTCGCTGCTTGGCTCTCGGTATGAGACATGAGCCCGCTTGCGTTTGCGGTAGGAATTCGCATCCATGTTCGCCGGCGCAATCTAGGTGCTCTGCACAGAATGCGACATGAGGGTTGAAGAGTAATCCCAGCTAGTAGGCCGTGCACAGGTGCTCAAGCTAGTCGCAAAGCATAGCAGAAGAGCGAGGGGTGTCAAGCGAGAGCCAAAGTGTAGAATTGAGGGTTGATGTGAAATAATTGAATGCGGCGACCGTGAAGTCGCGCCCATGGTGACGCAGCCTAGAACCTCGGTTCCGAAGTTCTGCCGAAGCCCTCACATGGTCGTCACTGCAGCGCCCTTAGTACTGAGTGTCTTCTTGTTCAGGCCGTCGACGGGCAACACACATAGGGAGCAGAATTGAGGAATGCCAGAGCGTGGAATAACAAATCATGGTTCAGTTCAGCTCTCATGTCGCACCGAGAGACAACCGCGCCACACAGCTGCGCCACAGGTGACGCTCGTTCCAGGGTCGTACACGGCGTTCTCCCCTACATCGAGCCAGGGCATCGACCAGTCAGTCAGCGGCTCATCCCACATTATAAGCGCTCACCGCGGCTTTCGTACTTTCTTCTCTGTCTCCGCTCCCTGCGGTCTATAAGTCTTATCCCACGTATCCAACGGCTGGTCGATTGTCTCCCCACATTCTGAGCCCGATGTCCGCGCCCACGCCTCCTCGACCGGCAGTGTCGCCTGACTCTGGCCCTACCGATGCAGCACTTCCAAAGCTGCCCTCAGGCTGGATAGCTCAATGGGACAACACGTAAGTATTCCTATGGCAATATGGGTCTCAAGGCATTGCTGCCCCACCACGCCCGACGTACCCCGCCATCGCACGAGGACTGACAGAAGTTCACAGTTCGAGAAAGTACTACTGTGCGTAAAACTTTCACGATCGTCGTTAATCACGGCGAAGCCCCAGAATTACACTGACAAAACCAAGATGTTCAGATTAGTACAGGAGTATCGCAATGGGACCTCCCCACTAGCGAAGCCCCTATCGGCGGAGGCTCACACCACAGCACGCCTGCGCAGAACACGAATCCATACAACAAACCTGCCGATGGGGTTCAGGGTCCAGACGTTGGCGACGGTACAAGAGGCGTAGATGGTCCGACCGGCGATCGCGCTGGAGGTCTGGGGGTAGGTCTCCTGCGCTGCGTCAAGAGTTGTTACTAATCGTATGCAGGGATTCGCTATGAACGCACTCATGGGTAACAACAAGCAGAGTAGTCATGGAGGTGGTTCCAGTAACCTCGTTGGCCAATTGGCAAGTGGACTGCTAGGCGGAGGAAAGCAGTCCCACGGCGGCAGCAGCAGCGGACACGGCGGCGGATCAAGCAACCTTGTCGGCCAGCTCGCAAGTGGCTTGCTTGGTGGAGGAAAGCAGAGCCATGGCAGCAACCAGTCAGGCCATGGTGGTTCATCAGGCCATTCGACATCGAGCGGAGGCGGCCTAGGTGGCTTGCTCGGCGGAGTCCTGGGCGGCAGTTCGGTAAGTCGGGTTCTCTAGCATACAACTTTTGGATCAATTCGCCTGACTCCAAGTAGCACAACAAACCGGCTGATGGAGGCTACGGATACAGCCACAACGCCTCCCAGGGCAGCACCTATTCTGGCAGCGCCCCGCCCACAGCGTACCAGCCCAGCGGATCGCACGCCGCCACGCCGAGCCATAACGCGCACTCTTCTCCACCTCCAGGCCAGTATGGCAGCCACGACCAACATCAACAAGGAGGATATGGGCAGCATCAGCACAATCAGTATGGCGGGGCAGGCGGGCAGCATCAGAACTTCCCTCCGCCAGGTCAGAGCTACGGCTCTCCCGCACCAGGGCAGCACCAGCAATCGCAATACGGAGGTAACAACCAGTATGGCGCGCCCCCGAACCAGCACCAAGGCAACTATGGAGGACCGCCAGGTGGCTACGGACAACAAGCTGGCTACGGAGGCCCAGTCTTCTCGCCTCCGCCAGGTCAGTATGGCCACAACGCGCCATACGGAGGCCCCCAGAACTACGACCAGCACCAGCACAACCAGTACGGTGGAGCACCACAATACCCTCCTCCGCCTCAGGCACAGCACAGCTACGGCCAGCAGGGTGGGCATCAGCCCCCACAGCCGGGATGGTAGACATCCCAATTGCTTGCTTGTATTTTGAGAGGGAGCACATATGGTGGGTTTGACATCTAGCGTCCAAAATGGTGTTATGTCTTGACGTTGATGGAATTGGAAGAGTATACGCATGTGAATGAGTCTCATTTGTTGGTGGTATCCCGATTGAATCGGCTGGTAGACAAATATCTTTTCCTTTGTGCATCATGCACAGTGATGGTTCAACAAGATTAAGACTTCTTGGGTGGCCTAGCCCGTCTTCACTTCATCAGCCGTGATGTCCGAGTATCGCCTGTTCGTAGAACGCAATGCTTCAAGACCGGTTATGGCTCGAGCTCGGAGTGCACACCACTGCCCCCGCGCACGAGCGCTCGCAGCACGTCGCGTCAGACTCCGACTATATTGCGCATGCCCTTAATCAGCACTTCTTCGCCCCCGACCATCGTCAGTCCTGCAAGTCTCTTTTTCACCATTGCCATAATCCAGCCCTCCGAAGCCTTACGCTTCTATAACGCATCTTTCGACCTGTCACTTAATGTTCTCACCCCGAACAAATCACCCCATCTCCCACCCCTTCTAAACTCTTCCCCAACGTCCCCTCCGCTCAACAACCCTCCACGACACCTTCACCCTCTTCCCCTCATCTGCCTTGTTCACCCCAGGAACCAAGCCCCTTCCACCCCACCTATCCACGACGCCAAAGCCGCCTGTACACCCCTCGCGTCCCGTCTATGCACTCTTATCCAGACACTCCGCCCCTCGCTTTTTAAAATATCGACTGGGATCGCGGCGCCTGTGAGGCCGAGGTAGGATTGCAGGGGTGGCGTGAGGAGCGATCTTATGGTCAGGGATCGAGGTCTGAGGTGAGGGAGGAAGCGGGAGGGGGAGTGGGAGTCGTGAGTGCAGGTGGAAGTATGTCCAGGTGGTGGCGCGGAGGGTGGCAGTGTGGAGGGTTGACGGAGAGGCCTTCTTGCGCTTTTTAGAGGGAGGCTCGGAGGAGGGGTCGTTGGGTGGTTGTGAAGTGGTTGGCGGTGGGGGCGCGGGCGCGGGCGCGCAGAGAGCGGGAGAGGCGCCATTCCGCGTTGTGTCGAGATGGTGGGAGCTGTAGAGAGGTAATTGGCGCGTGATGATGGCGTATGGAGGACGAGGAGAATGTCGACTCGCGAGTGTAGGCGGAGTTGGTCGTGTCTGCGTGGAGCTCGACGCGCGGACCTGGGAACAAAATATAGTGGGGCGGAAGATCGCCCCGCAGACGGTGTACCTTGGCAACGTCGTTTGGCCAGCTTATTTCGACGTCTTGCATGACATGACGGTTTACAATTGCTGCTGTATTTCAGAGGTACGTTGTTATTGCTGAAGTCCTTTGATCGAACATCCTCCGCAAATCACCAGGCGGTATGATATTACATTTCATTTGCTCGGCAATCTCAAGGAAATCTTTTTGTACCTGAGCTAGCAAATATGCACCTCGAAATATGTGCACATGCGACCACTAGGACCACTGCTCGAGGGGGAAATGTACCTGCCTAGCAGCCAGTGTCCGAAGTCGCCAGCGTCCTGCGTCTTAACGCCGACGTCGTCCCTACAATATGCTACATGGGATATCGATCGCAAAGGGATATGTACGCCTCTGGTCCACATGACCCTAATGTCATACGCCGAAACTTGGAGAATCTTAACAGATGAGATGAAGCCGAACCGGCCGAAAAGCACGAGGGGTATCAATGTTTCCGAAATCGCAGGGGATACTTTTCCAGATAGAAAAGTCCGTAAACGCCTGAAAGATCAATCCGACAAAGGAAAGGAAGAGTCGTGGGGTGGATCGGATAGACAATTGATCGTTCGGGATCATTCGGTGACAGTCGTTCAGCTTTTGATGAAAAGTGGATCTGCCTTAGGAGTTGGAAGGTGCTGGAAACGTACAGGTGAACTTGAAGTTTCTGACACTGCTGCTTCTGATGCTGTTGTTGATTTCCAGAGTGAAATGCTGGAGCTCGTAGGCAGCGATCATGAGTGCTGCGAAGTTGGTGTTCAGTTTTTCTGCACGGCAAAACACGATCAATATACATCCTCCACGCAGGGTTAGGGAACGCTTACTGAGGAGCTGCTCGTGTGTTTCCAGGCTTTGTCCGTGTTGCTCCAGAGTGGTTTCCGCGTTGTCTAAATAGTAAACCATGATTAGTATATATTGTTGTAATGCATTGTCTGAGGATACGCACTGATGAATTGCTCACACTTTTCCACAATGTCCCCGTGCTGCTCGATCTTGGACTCCACAGTATTCACGCGGGTGACTAATGTCTCTATCTGACCGTTCAAAATTCGGGATGTCTGTTCAGTGAGGGCCTTTTCGTCTTCCACCTTCTCTTCCAGGGCGTCAACTTGGGAACGAGTCTGGTTGAAGGCATCGTGAATAGGCTTAAACTCATCAGTAAGCGATTCTCGGTTAGAACGCTCAGTGGCTAGGTCAGCTCGAAGGGCATGAAGTTCATCGCGCGAAACACTTGAAGCTGACACACCAGCCCGTGCCTGAGCTTCTGCCTTAATCTCGCTCCGGAGGTTGTCAAAGTCTTCCCATGCAGGTGGATGCCTGACTCTATCTTTGTCGCGGAGGAGCTGCTCGATAGCATCAGCATTGTGGGCAAGATTGAGAAGTTGCCGACCATAGTCGGGGGTTTCTCGCATCCAGGCGATATCATTGACAAACTGTCCGATAGTATTCAGGTTTTGTTGCATTGGTTGCAGCTTGTGTTGAATTTGTTGCAGCTCTTGGAGAAAACTCCCCGCATCTGGGTAAGTTTGTGTAAACCAATGGACTATGTGCTGGTGTAAGTACTCGGTGGTGATGTTTTCGTACTGAGATGTCAAAGTTTTTATAGCCATCTCCAGTGTATGAAGTCGCGCTTCGATTGCTGCGTTTTCAGCTCTCGTATCTGGACGCACAGTGTTGATGGCCTCGTTGTAGTTTCTCGTGAGGGAGATCCGAGACGTTAGTGCTGGTTCGGTGTCTTCGGATCTGGCGAAGGGCTGTTCGCGGAGTGATTTGACCTCTTTTTGAAGTGTGTCAAGGGCACGTGCTATAGTAGAGGTTGTATCAAACGCCGTTTTCGCTTTAGACAATGCTTCACTCGCCTCATTGGTAGCATCCTTGAGATCTTCCTTGACATAATTGATATCAGCCCTGATGTTGGAATTCTCGCTCTCGAGCCTGTCAATTCGACCCGCAAATTCTTCGCTGTGCCTGTGGAAATTGGCCGCACCAACATGGTCCGGTAGGATTAAAGTCTTAAGGCTGGCAGAAGACGGGCCAAGGGCAGTTCGCAATCGAGCCAATTCCGCTCGCAGACCGTTATTGTCAGAAGAGATTGCCGATTCCAGGCTCGAGACTTTGAGTCGCACATCAGTAAGGGACGGAACTGTGGAAGCTTTGAGATCCGATATTTCTGATCGCAGACGTTCCACCTCAGCTGATGCATCCGATTTCGCCCCCCCAATATCCACTCGCAATTGATTTATCGAAGTGGAAGTGGACGACTCCAAGTTGCTCAAAGCGGTCTTGTTTTCGGCAATGTACTTTCCTATATCCTCGACCTTTCGTACAATTTGGAGTGATTCATCTTGCAATGGCTTGATTACACCATTGAAATGCGAGGGCAGGCGCTCGTCCACGTATAACTTAATTCGTCCATGAACCGCCTCTACCTGCTTTTCCAATGATCTATAACACTTTAGTTCATTATAAACCAAGCTATAGAAAGAACTTACTCATACTGCCTCACCGTGGATTTCTCCGCAAGTTCGCTTTCAACCTTCTGGAACTGCTGCGTAGTGTTCTCCTTTTGAGTAGCAAAGTCAGATTGAAGGTCTGAAAATTGCTTGGATAGATTGGCTTTCTTAAAAGCTTCCACATCTTCCTTAAGCAAATACACGTCTTCCTTGAAAAGAGCATCGATACGCTTTTCATTGGAATTAGATTGAGTCTTTACAACAATCAGATCTTTTGCCAGCTTATCGACACGACTCTTGCTCTTCTCGTCGGCAAAGCCATCGATACGGGATTCGTTGGAGTCAGTCTTGGTCACAAGCTGATTAAGCTGAGACTGAAGAGGTTCAGTCTCCTTTTTGATTGACTGCTTGATGCTTTTCTCGAGATCAGGCTTGAGCTTGTCTAGACGCTTTTCAATACCAGTGAATCTCGTCTCCAAGCTAGTAACTTTAGTTCCAGTATCTTTAGTAACATGAGCCTTAATGTCAGACAGGACCGACTGCTTCACGCGGTTCTCAATCTGGGCAGTATCAGGCTGTGCTTCCTGCTTAGACGAAACTTCTAGTTGCTTCACTTTGTCCGAAAGATTGTCCACCTGCTTCGATAGACCTGATGTCACGGGTGAACTTCGGGATTGTTCCTCCTCGACTTTCTGAAGACGCTCTTCCAATTTGGTTCGTTGGTTCTTCTCGGTCTTCAGCTCCTCTTGCATTTGGCTCAGCTGCGCCCTTAGATCGGTCTCCAGTTGGTTGCGCTGCCTTGTATCCTTTCCTAGCTCGATTTGTACTTGACCTAGCTGTTCTGTTGCCTTTTTTAGCTGGTTCTGGAGTTCGATGTTTTTCGCCTGAATCTTGGCTAACGCCGAACTCTCCGAACCAACACCAGGGAGCATCTGCTTTTTCGCAGCTGCCTGTCTGATAGAGGCTACCCCGCGTACGTTTCCACCAACTGGAACCCGCTTATGCGGCACCATTGAAGGGGCAGGTGGTGCTCCGTGTATTGGAGTCGTGTTACCGCTACCAACTTGTCCGGCATCTCCGTTGGTCATCGAAAGTGGTGACGCGACATGTAGAGGACTTGCCGAGCCTGCCGGGAGTCTCCTCCGTGGATCTCTCGAAGGGTTTACAATATTGTCTCCAGCAGACATTGCTGATGTCCGCCGTGCTGCCGATGGGCCGACGGCTGCAGTTATTGAGTTCTGCCTTGACACAGCTGGACTACCCGCATTCGACTAAGTACCAACCGTTAGAAACTAGCTGTACTCTTCTGGTGTAGCTAGGCATACCCTATTTTGATGTGATGACTCATTGATACGTGCTCGCTTGTCGACACTAACGTTGACAGGTGAATCTGCTGGTCTTTTGCCGCGCAGAGATTCTTTCACTTGTGTAGGAGTTGGAGGATACCGGGAATTATCCAAGGGAGAAGGAGCCGTGTCAAAGCCGCTGCTTTCTTCTGTTAGCGGGACCGAGGAGAACGAGTAGACACAAATGCAACACATGTGCGTATGCAAATGGCTCTCTGGTGCAGCAGTAGCTTTGACTTGAGGTCTTTCTGGTTACTTGCGAGCTGTCGTAGGAAATCTGTGAACAAGCTGTCCGGGGTGGCGCAAATGCTTGCCTCGAGCGGCAGGTAACTTGACGGTCTGTAAACAGATGGAGGCACATACCTCTTGCCAGGACTCGCGGAGGAAGGTTTGTTGGGACTAGCGTTGCCATTCTTTGTTGTTTGTAGATTCATCAACGGATACGCCATGCGCCGTGCTGGTGGCTGCTCACGGCCAGCCATGCCGGCGATATCTCAGGTTTGAAAGGCAACAAACCGCCGCTCTGCTCAGCGCACAATGGCGGGAGCAGGCGTTGATTAACAGTATCCAGAAGCCGTGAGCTGATTATTAGCGCAAGATCGACCGAGGGGCCCTTGAATTTATACGTCTGGTTGTCGCGTCGAGTCGCTTGACGCGCTATGCACCACTAGTTCCGAAGGAGGCTTAGCTAGTGCCGATCGCGCCTGATCAGGCTTAAGTATGTGGGTCGATATGGTCCGTGCAGCAAGCTCCATCGCGAAGTTTCGCTGTGAGCTCTCGCCTGGTCGGTCGTCGCATCTTGAAGCTCATCCTACCGCATTGCGCAGCTCCGTCATCCCACCGCTACCATGGCGCTCGTGAGTAACGACAGTCACCGTCTCTTGTATAATCACTGACCATGACAGCCCATCACCACCATCGCCGAGAGCAAGGAGCTCCGAGGGCTGAATCTCATCGCGGCACATTCGCACATCCGCGGCCTTGGGGTCGAAATCGACACGCTCGAGCCGAAATCTTCGTCGCAAGGACTCGTCGGACAAGAAAAGGCGCGCAAAGCAGCGGCCGTGATATTGCAGATGGCAAAGGATGGCAAGATTGCGGGACGCGCAGTGCTCATCGCAGGACCGCCCAGCACAGGAAAGACGGCCATCGCTATGGGCATGTCTCAATCGCTAGGCGCCGACGTGCCTTTCACTATGCTAGCCTCGTCGGAGATATTCTCTCTAGAAATGTCGAAGACGGAGGCGCTTACGCAGTCATTCCGCAAGTCAATAGGTGTGCGCATAACCGAGGAGAGCGAGGTCATTGAAGGAGAGGTGGTCGAGATTCAGATTGATCGTAGTGTCACTGGGGGCAACAAGCAGGGAAAGCTAACCATCAAGACGACGGACATGGAGACTATCTATGACATGGGCACAAAGATGATCGATGCGATGACCAAAGAGAAGGTTATGGCAGGTGATATCATCTCCATCGATAAGGCGTCAGGGAAGATTACAAAGCTGGGACGATCGTACACACGCTCGCGAGACTACGACGCGATGGGCATAGACACCAAGTTCGTGCAGTGTCCGGAGGGCGAGCTACAACAAAGAAGGGAAGTGGTCCACACAGTCAGTCTGCACGAGATCGATGTGATAAATTCGCGGACCCAAGGATTCCTCGCATTGTTTTCGGGCGACACAGGGGAGATTCGCAGCGAAGTGCGAGATCAGATAAACACCAAGGTCGCAGAGTGGAAAGAGGAGGGTAAGGCTGAAATCGTGCCAGGAGTTCTATTCATCGATGAGGTGCACATGCTAGACATTGAATGCTTCTCCTTCATTAACCGGGCACTGGAAGATGAGCTTGCGCCCATTGTCATCATGGCCAGCAACAGAGGTAACACACAAATCAGGGGAACAGACTACCGGTCACCGCATGGACTGCCTCTGGACTTCCTCGACCGCGTGGTCATTGTCAGCACACACCCATACTCTGGTGAGGAGATGCAACAGATTCTCTCTATTCGAGCGCAAGAAGAGGAGGTGGATGTTTCCCCCGATGCCCTCGCGCTTCTCACCAAGATCGGTCAAGAAACAGGCTTGAGATACGCAAGCAATCTGATCACAACCTCGGATCTCATTCGCGGTAAGCGACAAGGGTCTGAGGTTAGCATCGATGATGTGCAGCGCAGCTTCGCGCTCTTCTACGACCCCACTAGGAGTGTGAAGGTAAGTTAGCTCTCCAAGATATAGCATCCGTGCACTAACGTCAAGTGCAGTACGTCGCGGAATCAGAAAAGCGCCTGATTGGTGACGCTGGCGCCGTGTCTCTCGCGGTGACGAACGGCGCAGATGCGATGGATGTCTCATAGCATCCCTTCTCTCTATTGTAGGCGTAGCAGGCATTTAGGTTATATGAGCGTTCCAGGATAGACTATCGACCCTGGCGAAAGTCGCTGTATGGTATGTACTAGTAGCAAGCGATGGGGCTGTAGGGACAGGGTAGGTTTCATATCATCAATACCGATCGATGGCATGTTTCAACAGTAGTTGTTGTGGAGAAATGAAGCGTAGACTACCTTTGAAATGCATTGATGGCCCACCACGGTTGTTCTGAGTAGAGATTCCAGCTCACAGTGTTGTACGATCGTACTGCCGTATCCCGTATCTTGTCGCGTGCCGCTCCGCGGGGTCCCTAACAGACATGGGTCTCGCATTGGACGATTAAGCTGACGTTGCCTTACGCCTACGTGCTCTCGAAAAGGCAGTTAACGAGTAGTTTGCATGCAGGAAAACACGGCACGGCACGGCAGTCGGTGAACCACGGTCGAGGGCTGTTTTGTGTGTGCGCCACGTTGTAGCACGATGTGTGGCACAGCTACTTCAGACCGAAGCCGAACGTCCGTACGAGGACCTGTAGCGCGTTTCCATCGACCTGTCAAATGCTATTTCCGGCGATGCAAATGCGGTTGTCTGTCAGATCGTCGCCCACACAAGACCCACGGAGAATGCAGATCTCGTATGCCTTACAGATATCAGGGGTCCCGCCGTGGGTTCGCTATGTTGCGCTACCGTGGTTTTACTTCGACACAGTAAGGACGCCCGCTGCCAACGGCCTCTTCCTGGCGCTCGGTACAAATAGAGAGTGAATGCGATGCACGCCTTACTTGCGCCGCTGCCGTTTTGTGCCGGACGCCAAGGCGCTATGGCATTGTCCGATATCTTGGCGCTTGGCAGGCGCTGATCTTGGACACGAACAGTAACAGAGCATGCGACACTTGAAGAATGTCTGGCCTGAGGAGGCAGAGTCGTGAGCATGACCACATGAATACACAGTAGCAGCAGCAGCGTGAATCTTCACCAAAAGCTCGACCGTCGAGGCTTGGCTGGCCGAGACGACGAGATGTGAGTGGTTACGTAGTCTCCAGACCCTGCTCCCAAGGACGCGCGTATTGGCAGGGCTGTTGTCTCCGACACACGCACCAGCACAAGCCGGCAAGAACGGCGTGTCCCAGACTTCCACAATCTCACAAATCTCCACTCCGAACGCCCAGTGTGCCTGCCGCACACGCGACCCCCTGCCGGAAACAGTTTGGCGCCTACAAGCTCTTCAGCGCAGATGCATTGCAGAAGGGGGCCTATCCCCTTGTCTACGCGGCGGGAGGACGTAGACGAGCGCTTTCATGTGCCCGAGTGGACCGCCGTTGTGGACCGATAACGTCCTACGTATACCTGTCTGATCGCCTGACGAGCCTGATACCACTGAATACGCATCTTCGCCCGCTTCAACCGGCTGCGCCTGCTAACCCTTCACTCGATACGTCACGCCCTGTTACAGTACGCGCACGCGACAACTTGCCCGAATTAAACACACTCGATCCCCCCGAAACTCTTTGTACCCGTCAACCCGCCTTGTCCCCCCACCGTATATCTTGGATCCTTGGAGGAGGGAGTCACCGCGCCACAGCCCGGATTTATGCGCCACTTCCAGACCGGTACACGATATTAATACTTCCCTCATCTCGATTGCGAGTGTGCAAGATTCCGTCTGTTTTTGGATATGAGACTTTCAGCATACACTGTCGCCATCGCCGGTGCTTCCCTTCTTGGACAAACGATCGCAGTGCCCGTTGAGGCCAGGGGAGATGTCGCAGAGCATGTCATACAGACGCGGATAGAACGGCGAGGTGACCTGTCCGAAGAGCAGAGGGAGGCTCTGAAATACTTCCACGAGCCTGGGTATGTCGATTACCGAGTCGGGGGCTACTGTTGTGATAGCTTGCAACCACCCTGTCCCACTGTCTAGATGGTTGGAACTCGACTAACTATTTTCCAGACAAGGCAATCAGATGGGCCACTACGACCGCCGCTACTTCAAGGGCATCGTTTCAGACGAAGAACGCACCGAAACGCAGTTGCACATGGTCCGCGCATACCTCGAATGGTTCCGCGAGAAGGGCCTCGATACGTGGATAGCGCACGGAACGCTGCTCGGATGGTGGTGGAACGGAAAGGTACCTATCGTCGCTTGTCACTACCAGACCATCACTAACAATTGCACAGCGGCTACCATGGGACTGGGACATGGACACCCAGGTGTCAGAATCCACCCTCACCTACCTTGGCCAGCACTACAACCAGACCACGCACAAGTACCGATCCGACGACCGCAAAACTGAGCGCGAGTATCTCATGGACGTGAACCCCATGATCGTCGAGCGAGAGCGGGGGGATGGCATGAACATCATCGATGCAAGGTGGATAGACACTAGCAATGGCCTGTTCATCGACATCACCGGACTTAGCGAGACTCACCCGGATAGTGCTCCTGGCTGGTGGAGCTGCAAGAACTACCACAAGTATCAGACTTCGGATCTCTATCCCATGCGCGAGACCATGTTTGAGGGTGTCGTCGCCAAGGTGCCATATGCGTACGATAAGATCTTGAAGGAGGAGTACCAGGAGAAGGCGCTCACTGTTACTGATTTTGAAGGGTAAGCCAACGCGCCTCTTCTTAGGGATTGCATGCTAACGAGTCCAGCCACAAATGGGACACCCAACAGCTGCTGTGGATCAAGACGCCAGAACAAGCCGAAAGGGACAGGCAAGAAGAGGCCCAACGAGCAGAAGAACGCAAAAAGCAGGAAGAGGAAGAGAAAAACAGGCAAGAACAAGAGGAGAAGCAAGTGTAGACGGCGACGCGCATACCACGGCCTGACAAGCCAGTTTTCATATCGTTTAGCAAGGGCATCGCATTGGGACCCGGTTGGCATTTAACTGGCGCAGGCGCATCTTTTGGAAAGGATTCTGTTCGTCGGTGCTGTACACATGCGCATCGCATTTCGGAGATGAGCATTGATTGATACCCAGATCATGTCGAAGGTCTTTTGGCTTCGAATATTCTTCAGGTGCGGACCATGGTGGTCATTGTATATACTCGTTCGATATATACCAGACTGTGCTACTGATTGTGATACTGTACGCTTGCGTTCGCGGAATTGACTACCGTTGGTGATGTTCAGGTGTCAGCTGAAGTGTCCTCAGCTGCTTCTGACGCCACGTGCCTTAGGTCTTGGCGCGCTTCTGACAAATGCACGATGGCGACACCGTGGAAACTATATGAACGTCACCGAACTCCGAGTAGAGCTTTTGTGCTTGCGGCGTTATGTTGATCTCTAACTAACCTCTCTACTTACCGCATACATAAAACTCAAGTGATATCTGTAAACGCAGGCCCCAATGGACACCTCCGCACCCATCGACATCGAACTCACCCTAACGCACCACGGCAAACCCATAACCCTTACATTCGCGCAAGATGCCACTGTCGTTGACCTCTCAGAGCGCGTCGCCTCCGAACTCTCAATACCCCCGTCAAACCAGAAATACCTCGTCTCCCCCAAAATCGGCCTCCTCAAGCCGCCCTTCAAAGACCCCACGCTCCCGCTCTCTTCCCTCCAAGGAAAGAAGATAAACCTCATGGGCAGCACAACCTCCGAAATCACCTCCTCAACGCCTCCATCTCCCAAGCCGCCGCCCCGCGCCGCCCCAGCCCCATAAAAGCCGCCCTCCCCGCGCGAAACCGCGACTGGAAGAAAGTCCAAGAGGAAGCGCAGTACACGTTCCACACCTTACGACCACTACCCTACCTCCCGAATCCGGACCGCAGTCTCCGCTTCCTAGAAAGGCTGCGAGACGACGCAGGCATAAAAGCAGCGATGCGCACGCATAAATTCAGCGTGCCTCTGCTGACGGAAATGGACCCCGCGATGCACACGACGCACGAGTCGCGCACGTTAGGCTTAAACAGAAATCAGGGGAGGTTATAGAGCTACGACTTCGCACCGATGCGTACGATGGGTATAGGGATTATAAAACGATACGCAAGACGCTGTGTCATGAGCTTGCGCATAACGTGTGGGGGCCGCACGATAGGAATTTCTGGGAGCTGTGTAAGCAGATTGAGAGGGAGGTTGATAGAGACGATTGGACGAGGGGTGGGCATAGCGTTGGGAATCAGGAGTATGCTGAGGGGCCTGGGGAGGAGGTGTATGATCATGGGGGTGGACGGGTGGGGAGTTTGTGCTTGGGTCGAGTGGGGGTGGGGGCGAGACGGTGGTGAGTAGTGCGGGGGGACGGTGCAGGCGGGGAGTCTGAGTCGGAGGGAGGTACTGGCGAAGGCGGCGGAGGAGCGGGTGAAGAGGGCGAGGCAGGCGGAAGAGAGTAGTAGAGGGAGTGGGGAGGCGCCTTCGTGAGGCGGTGGTATCTTCCTGTTGTGACTTTTTGGGTTCATGCCCTTACGGCTGTGGCATTCATAGCGTTCTTGTCACAACTTGTATATAATGTATCTAATTTCACAAACAGAATGTTGATAAATCTCGTCCTGTCTACAGACCGATGGAAAAACTCGAAATCATCTAATGGCAGCTCTCTTTTGTTGAGGTTGGTTCAGCTGTGCAATAGACAGATGTAAGAAGCAAATTTCAGGACCATGTTTTATCGTAGCTCACTCTATAACGAGTGTCTGGTGTTGCTGTGCGATATCGGTGCTTTGCGAAAGGAATGCCCCCACCCTACCATATTACAGATCCTTAATTGTTATCAAATATATAGTATATTTACTCTATTACTAGCCAGATCTTGTTAAATGCTAACTAGATCTTATTAAATGCTAGCTAGATCTTGTTAAATAGCTAAATCTGGTTGTAGTAGACGTTAAAATAGGGTACCTAGCTATTAGAATAGGCGTACTAATGCATTTAAACTAATAATAGAGTAGATATATGATATACTTACTAAAGAAGGGGGAGCTGTAACTAAATAGGGAGGAGCTGTACCATGGTAGGGTGGGGGCATTCTATTCGCAAACGATAATATCGTATCGTTGATGTATGTACGTAAAAGACACTGCTACTAAGGAGTTCAAGTTATTCTGTTAGCTACTATGGTCTGATTATAGTAGCTAGTATTCGGTTCTAGTTGCTTCACGTTACGTGTCTAACTTTCAGCTCGATACTTGTTCAGATTATATCGCAGAAACGATTATCCCAAGCCGAATACACTCATAGACGTGCCAAGACGGTTGTCATCTATCAATGTGACGAGTGACTAGAACAAACATACCCGACAAGGACTGTCCTCTCCTGTACTACATGACCCCGCCGCCCGTATGCGGGGCAGGGATCAATTGCATGCTTGTAGTACAAGCACCGGCACACCGAGTAACGCTCGACAACCTGAGTGCAATTCCTCTTGGGATTGAGTTCCCACTCAGGCGCAATCTCCACCTTGCGGAAGACATCTAAGCCTTCTTGTTCCTCTTTCCGCATGCGTATTCGGTGAAGTGCTCGCCGCATCTTGACCACAAATAAGAGGCACACGTAAAGGTACATCAACGACAATGACAAGTTCTGGCTCTTGAGCAAAGGGTGAGTGTGCCAGTGCCAGGTTCGTGTCATGGCTTCGTGCCGTTGGGGATCGACAATTTGGCCCAGATAGTATACTAGTTGACAGGAAGAGCTGTTTTTCGATCAGATAAGTGAATCACCGGAAAGTGGTCAAACTACATGGTAACGACGTACCAGACATTAGGGCCACCTCTTGTTTCATTGGCCTCAGTCTTGACGGCCGTGCCCTGACAATGAGGTCTCGGACAGCTGTCCCCTTGCACTCTACAAATCACCATGATCACTGACATATCCAACGATGCGCCGGGGAAGACCTTGCGCTTCCAGTTGGATTGATCGATCGCAGTTTCAGTTTTCAAATTGGTGATTCGATATTCGCCGCGTAAGACTTTACCCTCACCAGGCGTACCTTTGAGTTGACAAGTCAGCATTGCTTTGAATACCTCCCAATGTTGAAATGCTGAATAGGGTAAGCTTTGCTTGCGATTTAGAACATCGATGAATGTGATGTTGTCGTCCAGCATGTTCGTTGGGTTTCGCGGCATTCGTTCGTCAATCACTGACAATAGTGAGTATATTTCGATGTTAGAAAGGTGTATGGCTCTGAGCCCGGCGAGCACTTCGTACGAGAAGGTTGTGAACTTCTTCAGGAGTGTTTCGACCAGAGCTATTGTTTTCGAGGCATGAGACTGTACGTTTGTAGCAGCATCCTCTATAGCACCATGGAACTTCCGTCTGTGTTGCAATTGCAGCTTTCGCTCGTTTTCCTGTCGGCTTGCTGCGTGTTTCACAGAGGTTCGAAGCTCTCGTACACCGGCGTCAAGCCCTGCACATATCTGAAGTAGTCGCCGAGAATCCATGTTCGCACTGCACGCCCGGTCATCTAAGACCTGTCTTGTCTTGGCACCATCGCGTTCTACGCTGTGTCGAAAAGATTCGATATCATTGCGCGTCTGATTGGAAAGTTCCACTTGCCGAAGAGACAAGACTTCGATCCGGCGCAGCTGCCCCCTGGTTGCGTTACTAGACTGTAGAATGCAGAGTCATGCTCAGCATGTACGAACCCTAAAGGGAGCACCAGAAGAGTTGTAAGGCTCACAATCTTCATCGTCACTATACCCCGCACCCTCACTACTTCTTTCTGCATCCCTACAGTCCATTGTATCTCTCGCTTTGCCCGCCTCCATTTCGGACCTGATGCCCCAACCTCCAGCGCCCTGTACGCCGCCATCTTATCCAACAATTGTCGCAGAGGGTGTTGCACCGTAAGTGCCATACCACGAACTGCATTGTAGTGCGTCAAGGATCCGGCAGATTCTGTAGGTAGATCTTGTAGATGTTCGAGCAGGACTTGAAGCTGGGTCAATTCCTGCCGTAGCATGCGAAAATCGTCCGTAGCACCATCAGTGTCTTGCAGCGCTTTCGTGACCTGCCCTATTAATTTTATGACCGCTATAAAATCGCCGACTGAGAAGCCAAAGCCGGGGGACGCCATTGTGGGGAGCAACGGTCGGGAGACGACCGCCGCGGGACTCTACTAGGGTGAAGCCGAGGAGGCTGTGGTGAGGCTGAACTAAGTTCGCCACCGAGTAGAGCCCCATGGTGTGTGTTCAGCCACCTTTGTTCGTGGCTACGAATGTGTGCCTGGCCCGGTTGGGTCGGCTTGGCGAACAGACGACGCCACTTCATCATGAAAATGATTATCCTTTCTTCTAAGACCACTATTTATACATTATAATACTAGTTGATGCGATTCTTCAGGTTCCGTGAAGGCGCTCGCTATGTCGCATCTGCTATAACTACAGTCTCCCCCTAGCGCTTAATATCATCTACGCGTCCCTACTCCCAATTTGCCAGAGGATTCTCATCTGTTTTGTAATCTTGAAAGCTTTCGTGGCTATCCATGGCTTGTTGGAGATGGTTTGGATATCTACTGCAGTAACAGGGGAGGATGTAGGCAACCGTCCGTCTTCTCACTTCGCACTTGGATACGTCGGGGCTGTAAATGACACTTACAAGCACAGCACCTGTCAGCCTCCCCAGGACGACCAACAACAAAGACGGGTCCACATCTTCTGGTCTTCTGGTTCACGTGGCGCACCTGCGAAGTCGCTTAGCCATTTCGATTGGCCATCTGCTCTCTCGCTTTGTTACCTGCCATCTTTGTTCATGAAATCGACACAACCATTTCCGGCCAAAGCTACAACACAAACAAAGCATACACCGAGCAAACTTACACGATGCAGTCTCTTTGTTGCATCTTGAGAATATGTCTTCGAGCTCTTGGTCCGCCGTCCTCGCGCTCGTCTCGTTATCATCCAGATTTGCAAATTTGAGGTAGAGTCATACGCACCGCGACTTCAAAGATTAGACGCGACGATGAGAAACATGCCTCCGGACCATTCCCCTGAGCAATGGCCCACAACATCTCTACCGACAACGACAACATTGATACCTACTCCCACTCCCACCCATGACCCCCAAGCCGCCATCTCCAATCCTTCCCTCTTCACCCTCTCCAGGGACCTGACCAACTACCTCCTCGGTCAAACTCCTTTCATCACTGATCACCCCTTCACTACCCTCTTCGCCGGCGCTGCTCTTGCTCTCAGTGCACGCTTTATCTCCCGCGATCGCACGCGCCGCTCGCGCCGAAACGTGCAGCTCGCCGTGTTCCACATTTTAAAGATTCTGCAGGCCCATCCGCAGTATTACAATAATGTGTCGGAGGAGAATAACTGGACTTTAGTTCTCGCGCAAATTGAGACTGAGGTTGAGAGGGCGGTAAAAGCGGCTCACTTGTCAAAGGATGAGGGCAAGAAAGTGACGATAGCGCTGAAGCGCAAGTTGTGGGATAAGAATTGGGCTAACACGAAGAGCATGGAAGGGGAGTCGGTGGCTAAGCGCCGGAAGCTGGACACAGATCAGGTAGAGGATGATGTGGCGAGGGACCGGTACATGGAGGATAAGGATCCTAAAAAGCTAGAGAAGAAGAAGCCTAAGAGGCCTAGTTTTCCCCCACCGAAAACGGGAGAAGATAGGCAGGATGACGATGACGATGACGATGATGGGAGACCGCCGCCCGGTGGGGGTCGTGTAAAGGGTCGTCCAGGGACACCATATCCAGTCGGTATTATGCCTCCTCCAGGGACAACATACCAGGGTGATATTCCTAGCAGTCTGGATGAGCATCCCCAGCTGCATCCAATCGAGTCGTATCCGAACGGAAGACATGAGGATGAGGATTCAGATGCGGGACCGGGCTTACCTCCGGTGAATCCACCCACCGACGGTAGTTCTTTGCATCCTCCTGCTACAGCAACACCATATTTCAATATTGGGTCAATTCCATCTGGTTCAAATTTACCGGCTGCAAATCCTCCTTCTCCAGACGCAAATCCTTCACCTCCGAACCGATCCGACCAACCACCAATGCCATCGAATCGAGTCCCCTTCACAGAGACTCCTCCCTCGATTGAAGACAGAGTACGTACTATTGGTCCAATCGGGAAGGAATGGTGGCCATGCGAGTTCTGCAAGCGCATGATATGGGTTCCGGCATGGCAGAAGCACGTTGTGAAGGATAGTCACATCAGAAGGAAGGAGAAGGCTGGGATGAAGCGACGGCAGAATCAGATGAACGCTTCGAAGCCGCCTTCTGCAGGTCCGCCTGCGAAGAAGGGAGCGGGGAAGAAACCGGCACAAGATGCCCCGAAGACCGTGCCTCCCGGCGAGGATCCGAATGCTGGGTGTAGATACTGCGGACTATGCAATTTGCAGATTCCCTTGGAAAGGTGGGATGAGCACTTGGAATCACCCCGTCACCAACGTATGATACCGAGACCGGACGACGCCCCAGACGATGACTTAGATGACGATCCGGATAACGGGCCAGACGGTAACACCGACGCCTTCGGTCAGCAGATCAGACCTCACAAGACCAATACGCCTGCTCCCCCGACCCTAGACGGGTCGACCCCCGCACCACCTTCATCTCAGGAGCTGGACACTATAAGGCGCACGAGCCAGGATGCGCTCGCAAATCCCGTCTCCACCAACGTCACCGTCGCTCCCGATGGCCAAGTAACACTCACAAGTCCTGTCTCCACCAACGTCATTGTCGCCCCAGACGGTCAAGTAACACTCACCCCGCCGCCCCCACTCCCACACAACCCGCCGCAGGTGCATTGACTTCGCCATCCCTCCCCAGCCAAACTTTCCGCTCTTAACCCCCGCCGTCAATAGAAGACATCAAGTGCAAGTCACCCCCGGTGGCTTGTTAGCCCGTGCAGAGGAAAAGGCCTACCACACCGTAGGTCTGAAAACGCCCCAGCAATACTACAGCGCGGCGAAAGAGGGGTTGTCACCTGTTCCTGAACTTGAGGAAGGGGACGAAGGGTTTGGAACTCCGAAATTGCCGCCGCGGAGACAGTCGACTCGGTTGAAGAATCTGGTGAATGCTGCTGATGCGAAGAAGGCGCAGGTCAAGAAGCCGGCTTACAAGGTGGGGAAGAGGGTATACAGTAAAAAGGCTAAGCTGCCCGGGCGTTCGGACCCACTAGAGTTCTTGGACGAGGAAGGGCTTGGGGATACGTTGGATGAGTCGCGTCTCCAGGAGGATGTACTTGCGGCGGAGAATGTGGCGGAAGTTACGGATGCGGCTGCTAAAGATTCAGTGGATCCGGAAGAAGGTTCGTTGCATCTTTCATCAGTCCTTTCGTAATTGGATGTGCTAATGTGATGTGTAGAAGGGGAAGCACATGACGAGGACGACCTGTACAGGGATGATAGTCGAGTTGATCGCCCTCTTCCTGCTAATGAAAATGGGACGAATCCATTCGAAGGTTCGTCTCATACATTGCCACTCCTACGCAAATAGACATACTGATGATGTTTTGTAGGCGTGGAGTTAGCAAGCAACGACGGCCAAGATGATGATCTCTATGCAAACGATGGCGCTGCCCCAGCTAAAAGGCCAACTAAACGAGACTCTTCTCGCGTTCCCGTCCGCCGTAACCCCTCTCGTGTCGGACGACCACCACAACCTCCATCTGTCGATTCATTTCGCCCCAACAGGCCCTCGCCAACTTCGCCACGGGTACGCATCCCCCCACGGCGCCGCGCTACTTCCGCCCCAGCGCCCGGATCTGCTCCACCGCCGGCGAAAAAACGCGGTCGCCCACCTGGATCGAAGAACAAGCCCGCCGCAAAGGGAGCAACATCCAGTCGTACGTCATCGGTCAATAGTAGAACGTCTGCGACTCCTGCGCCTCCGGCTTCGCCTGGTGGAAGTGGCAGTCAGGCCGGATCGACACGCGGTAGGTCGAGGAATAACTCTGCGGTTCCGACGCCACGCAGTCGGTCGAGTAGTAGGAAGACGAAATATACTGGATCGTTGAAGGAGTGAGGGTGATGTTTTCACGAGTTGTTATTCTGAATTGTCGGTCTTTTTTTTGGTAGATATTTTGTTTTGGATTATGTTAGTTGTTCAAGTAGTAGAATTTCGATGTCGATTAGGTTAACCATCCGTTCTCCTCTCTAGCCACATGTTTCTGATCTCCAGTCTCTCCTGGCGCGATGTTCTTTCCACATTGTCTAACCGTCCCGGAGGTCAGATGGTATGTAGTAACACGGTAATAGAATGCCATCATTATCAACAAAATCGATGCAGAGTAACTAAGTCGGCCAATGAGAGGACAGAGGACAAAGTATAAGCTAGGGCACAGTGATCGTGGAACCCTTGGACTATGTATGGGATACCTGTAGAACAGCAAATTAGAACGCCGGTAAGTACAAGATGCAGAAATTTTGATATCCGACTGAGCGCTTGAGAGCAATTGAAGATACCATGTTGCTCACTCGAAACATCCAACTATCTCAACGAATCACCAAACCCCTACCACGAGCAAAGGAACACAGGCTCGCGAGTCTGAGTATCATCTGCACACTTGTAAATCCCTTTGTCTGCATTAATGTCTGAGGGGTTTTTGTCTGCGGGATCGTCGAGACACTCATGAGACTGGTCACCGCAATACAACTTTCCCTGGTTGTCCCCCTGGTTCTTGTACTGGCAGTCCTGATCCCACAGCTTGAGGTCGAAAGTGCCTCCAGGGTAGTTGAGTGTTGTTCCATCAAGATCTACTCTGTCTCGTATTTCTTCGCGCACAGGTTCGTCGTCACAGCCCGCGGCCTTCCCGTAGTCGACCTGGAAGAACTTCCAGTGGATCTTCGTCAGGTCCAAAATGTCTCCGTTGCGGTACTCGGCAACGATGCTGAGAGACTTGGTGGGCCCGCTTGGCTCTTCTGGTTCTGGTTCTGGTTCGGGTTCTTGGTACCCTTCTCCGGGACAATATGCGAAGTCGTCGGGTCTGTCTCCGGCATCGACAACCACGACGGTGGAGGGAAGGTCAATCTTTGGGGCTTCGCAGACTTCGTCTTGTTTGTGGCTCATGCGCGGGCGATGCCATTTCAGACTGCCGCTCAGAAGACTCTTGGACACATCGAAACCGTTGGGCCGCGGGTGGAAGACCTTTGCAAGGGCCTCCGGCAACGCCATTCTGGTACTAGTAGGTAATTCTGCGGGATGGTACTTCTTGGCAATTGCGACCTGGCAGGAGTAGATGTAGGTGTCATCGTCGTTGTATTGAGCGGTGGAATTGCAATTGTCAGGGTCCATGTTAAAGTAATCCAGTGTTGCAGTTACATCGTTGTAACTCTCGCCTTTGGCCCTGTCACAGTACGGTTGTATGTATATCTCTGGATCATCGAAGGTGCTGAAATGCTCGTAGCAGAAATGGTGGTCCAAAAACGAGGGACTCAATACGAACAGCCTGTTCCTAAACCAACCTGGTGCATGGCCATTCTCGTTGTTTTGCTTGTCTTTGACGTAGGCGTCTGCGATCTTCAAGATTCTTCTGTTCAGTCTGTCGACTACGTTGTCGAGGTCCCAACGAAGGGAAGCCGTCAGCTTCAGGCCTTCTGTGGGCGGCGGAAAACTGCATTCGTCATAGAAGGATTTATCATTGCACCATCCCCCTGCTCCCGCATCCTAGGATAGTGAGCGACTGATTGCAGTGCGGGGCCGTTGTAGGTCTACGTACGCTTTCGATGAGGGGGTGGGGATACTGGAAGTGATAAACCTGATCTATCGATCATTAGACATAGTGGCCCGGTTAGATGATGTTCACCAATACTCACAGTATTCCTCAGGATTATCCAAGTCCAACTTCTCAAAAATCTTGTCATAAAGATTCCACATCTTGTCATAGAAGTCTTGGCTGTCTAGAATAGCATGCGTTGCCTCCATTTGCTGGGCGCAGTCCCTTCCGATGAAGGGCACCTTGATGCCCAAGGCACAGATCCGGACCAGGGGACCGAACTCGATGTCGTTGCCTCCAATCGTCATGACTACAAAGTCTGTCCTCTCATCCTTATTGTCTGACAACTCTGGAATTTGGTTTTCCAGCACATTGGGGATTCTATGACCAGTGCATGCTAGGAAATTCAACCTGTTTTCCACATCGAAAGGGAAGTCTGCTTCGAGCTTCGCTGCGTATGAACCCTCGGTTCTTAGACAACCACTTCCATCGAAGCTATTGCCAGCGCCCGGCCCTGCTGTGTATGAGTCCCCGAGCGCAACCCAGCGCACTGGAGGGGCATGCGGCGTGTATTCGTCTTTGGGCTTCGAAGCTCTAATGAGCTTGGTACTTGATAACTTTGGAGGAATGCGAAGGTTGCGTGGTTCGAGAACTCGGCTCTCTATGATTGTTCGTTAGCTTTGAATCAATCTGGAAATGTGGAGTTTACCAATCAATAAACCGACAAAAGGGAGTAAAAGTAAAGGACAAGCGAGCGCACGCGTGTTCAACAGCATGCTGAACACTGTGGTTTGGTAAATTGAGAAAAAGGTGACTGTCCCTGGCTTGAAGCAAGTATGTTATCTCCCTTCGTCGTCAACTTACCTATGTACTTATACATATAGCTTCATCAGATGAGTTTTGCCACATTATGTCCAAGAACAACGGGATATTGGAGGAGTCTCACCATAGTGGCTATGTGTGCGGCGTAAGGTCGACTTCCTGCACCATGAGGTATATGTCCATGCTCATCGCTCGTTATATCGAGTCAATAGGTGAGACCACGTCGCGGTTATGCCTCTATCCATACGCCAGAACATACTCTACGGTATGGGCCATCAATGTCATCATGGTGGCTACGGTGAATAGAATTTCGCCATGTCTCGTATTCTCGCTGTGCCACTTAAGGGGCCACTCCTTCTTCGCTCGCGCTATTCTCGTCCGGACTTGTGGCCATAGCACTGGGTGAAACTCCATCACCTGACTGATAGTTAACCCATACGTTGCTGAGACACCGTGTTTAGGAGATGGAAATCATTGCGGCGTGGATTCTCATGCGCCACATGGAGTTAAGACTAGTGCCTGCATGTATGAACACGGCAGGCAGACCTGAAAATACATGTAAGTCTTCGAAGGAGCTCAAAAAATCGCGAGACGACCTGTAGGACTCATGTTTGTGAGAACTCAATGCTGTATGTATGTGATATGTCTGGCTACAGACCCAGAACGATACTACACATTATCCTTAGCGGTCGACCTAAGAGCCGGATGCGCTGACTCATAAGCTAATATCAGCTTCTTCCGTGCCAATTGTTATTATCGTTTGTAGAAAGAATGTGCTACCTCCTGCGGCACCAGAACTAGACCTCAGGAAGTTCAAGGATATTCAACTAATGTAATTACTATGCAGAGTAAGAAATAGGGCACTAAGCTGTTAAGATAAGTGTACTAGACAGATAGACTATTATCTTTCTCCCTAGAGTAACTATATCAGGTGGAAATCCCCTTAATATCTGTTTCTAGCGCCGTGGGAGGTGGCACATTCTTTCTACAAAGCACCGATATCGCCTGTAAAAGTTCATGTATGTACCCCACTACCAAGGAAATATGCTTGTTTTAGATCACGGCTGATTGATGGGAGGCCTGTGGGCAGACTTCTGGGCGTGTCACGCGTCAGACTAAGCTTGTCATAGACCACTCGGGTGAATGTATCCACTCGTAGGACTCCCATAGTTCGGCCAAGACTTAACGACAGGCATGTTTCTATGGTAGGGTGGTACATACATGAACTTTTGCAAAGCACCGATATCTGGAACATACGCATATCAGCCATCGTTGATAAATCCAATTCACGAGGTGTCGAGTGTGAGAGGTCCATGGGAACACCTCGAGGCACATGAGATGATAGATAGCTGATGGTTCAAACAAGATACCGACCACCGACGAACATCAAAATGTGCGTGGCTAAAGGTGTGGCTAGCTAATCTGATTCAGAAGTTCTCCTACAAGATATATTCACTATCTTCTTTGGCTGGTCAACACTAGGTGGTCCGTGTACGGAAGATGTTGACGGTGCGGAGGCACGCGGTTGAAGGAAAGGCTCGAACTCAGCACCTGCCAAAGTGAGCGAACATCAACACTGTTCAGAAGGGAAAGATTCTTATCCGCCTCAACCGATGACATCGAGCCCAAACTGGCGGGGAAGATACTGTATCCCAAACGTAGCAATTGAAAGGTGGAGAGGCACATATGCGGCACTGGTTCAGCCAACATCGAACCTGAACACTCAAAATTACAGTCGGAACTACGCCGTTCAGCGCAGCCCCAAAGTATATATCCCATAGTTTCAGAATCCGCTGGGCATATGGGGCACAGCTACATCTGGTTGCACAGCCGCGATGTTGCCCACGCCGCATGACGTCACGCATGCAGCCTCGAGGAATATAAGCAACGATGAATGAAGGTGGAGAATGAGTCTACTTGAGCATTACTCAGAGGTGTACTAATTCTCACCATGTCTCAACGACCCGATAGAAGTTCGCAGACCTCGTTCGAACTGCCAGACCCACCAGTCCACTTCGACATCCTCGACGCTACGCACATCAAGATCACGGTCCCCGTAAACAGTGGCTGGAAAGTGCCACTTCACTGGCACACCGATGACTCCGTAGGATGCAATCGAATAACGGCAATTGAAAACCGACTTGTGGTTACTTCCAAAGGCCCTCCTGGCAAAGGATCTGCAGGCATCGGATTTGGTCCCGGAAGCTCGCACAGATTCACAGCAGGCGATCACCACAACTTCCGCCCGCGCACCAAGGACAAGGAATGCGTAGCCATCCTCGAAGCCGGCGCCTCGCAAACCGCGCTCATGCGAAACGTTTGCGGCGCCACGCTCGACGCGGACCTGTACCCGACGCTCGCGTGCACGCCGTATTGGATCCGACTCCTGTACATCATGCTGTGGTTCTCACCGAGGGCCCGGAACTACATGATTGCGAAGCTGCTGTGGGTGCAGATCCAGATGATGCGTAGCACGCACGACTTTCATGTGGAGTATGGGCGTATCAACGCACCGTTCCTATGGTGGTTGGCTCATCCGTGGCATTGGGATGGGCCTGAGCCTCGGTGGACGTTCAAGATTGAGTGGTGGAGTTATTATTTTATCACTATGGTGGTGCAGTGGGTGTGCTATTGGATAGGGAGGTTGGTGCTAGGGATGAAGGCGGAGTATAAGGAATATATGCCAAGAGAAGGGGGCGGAGGGAGTGTAGTGAGTGAAGATGTGCGGGAGAAGATGGTGTAGCGGTTATACTTACGGTTGTGGGTGGAAAAGAATCTCTTACGGGTTCTGTAATGGAGTGAGATCCAGGGGGCCTTATTATTATCTTTTTTCTCATAGGCTTTGTGAAAATGTATAAACAAGGGCGGGTGTGCCTAGGATAACGCGTGGTTGAATTTCAACGCTCTCGATACTATTACTCGTTCACGTACGGCGAGCAGTAATACTGCCTGCACGAGTCCAATCAAAGCAGTATTTTGCTTGGTCCTAATGGTAAACTTCTATCAGCTTTCGACAGATGAGTCTTTTGATGTCCTCATTACAAGTTCTGGGAGACCCGTATTTCCATTGCTAAGCACCTTTAGATGCGAGCGGATCGCGTTGTCTGTAAGAGCGACAACACCAGTGGCGACCACGACCCTTGACTTGTTAGTACGAATCTACCGAGCGTACCAACATAGGATTTTCAACAACTCACTCGCTAAGTTCATGATTGCCCCTTAAAAGCTTCGAATCCGTGAAGCGCAGCTCGCACGGTGGAACCCAGCCAATGTTGACAACTACGGCGTCGAGAATAGGTTCGATCTGAGCAATTGCATCATTCAGATCTTCCCGATAGAGATAGAAAGAGTGTCCGTAGCATTCAGAAACTGGTTTTTGTCTCAGATATATTCTACGTTTCCACTGATAGTTGTGACCCCAATAGGAGAAAGTGTATCGTTTGGCTCTCGCTCGGCCACTCCGTTGCAGTACGACGCGGGCGTAGTTCGTGAAGTCAAGCTGGATGATCTTCCTCGATGTTTGTTCAGCCACTACTTCCTCCACTCTTTCAATTATGTCTTCTTTGTCATCGTAAGGCTCCAGAGATGAAGCCGAGAAGGTCGAGCTTAGCGACGACGCTGAACCGCGGCTACTAGAAAAGGACCTCCTCGAATTGCGAAAGCTTTGGACAGAGTTTCTCGCTAATTGTTGCATGCTACCATAAGACGTTTTGGTTCTTTCTTGAAAACGATCCAATTTTCTCGAGAAGAGCGACGTTGATGAGTGGTGTTCTTTGCGTGCTGCTTTGTGGTCTGGACCACGGCTAAGCCCCGAGCGGCAGATTTCGCGACCCGTCCACCCATGGCGGCGGAAAGAAAATTTGCGTTCTCTCAAGCTCTTTATCGTCAAGTAGAAGAGTCGAAGATAAAGAAATGTCGTAAGAGCCGGCAAATGAATGCACATTTCCAACTTCATGTCCCCATCAACGACCTCGTCCTGATGGGTAATAAAAATACTTTGGTCGGTAGGGAAGTGTTTGGCGTAGGTATGCTCTGTGCTGGGGCAGACGTTATCTCTAGAAGGCATCGTGTTGTGATCCCTGCGTGCTGGGCGGACGGGCATAGAGAAGGTGAACGAAGCCAAGGATGGTGCCGGGATACCGTCATGGTTGTTGCTGTTGCTTTGCGCAGGTGACATCGAGGTAATTTCCTCAGTAGTGAAGAAAGTGCCTGATTGATCAGTCGTGTAAGGTGCTGTTATGAAGGTATCAATCGAATCAATAAGCTCCTGAGCTGTGTGGAACGTCTCTGCCGACATATGCAAGTCGAGTGCTAACAATTGTTGTGAAGGTGCTGAAACTGCACGAACTTGGCTCATAATGTTCACTGATCCGGAAAGATTGGCCATGCAGAGAAACAATGCTGACATCCCCTGATCCGGTTCCAGAGCATCCTTCAATTCGTTTGTTATGTGGACGAGGCCGTCAATGAGTGATCTTAGTTGCTCGATGGCATCCCGCATCTGCTCTGCATCGAATACTGCCCACTTTGCAAGAGCTTTCGGGCCCTTTTGACTTTGATTCCTCTTGACCATCTCTCTGAAAGCCGCAACTCTTGACCCACTGACATTAATTAAGCCGGCAGTGGTGTGATCCTTCAGCCCGTATCTGCGTTCAAGCACGTTGAACTGCTCCAAAAGAGAGTTTATTGATCCCAAAGATCTGAGAATGGTCGGCTTAATGTGGTCGGCATCCAGCTCCCGTAAGTACGGTCTCGCTTTTGCGCCCTGGCGTGTGACGATGCCAACACTCTGTCCCCATAGTAATAGCCGCAGTCTCTGCTGCTGGAACCTTGTGTCCAGTATTTCAAAGTCTCTCGCGAAGTCTTGTGCCGCAAAGATGATTTTGAAACTGTCGATACATGTATTGAACAAGGCTGCAACGCCGATGGCGAGGCCTGCTGCCTCAGCCATACGGCTGGCTTGTTACGCATTCACGTCAGCTAGTGAGGAGCTCAATATAAATGCGACAAAAGAAGGCATGTAGAGTTCGACGACATGCAAAGAGTGATGTTCAACATACGTGGCATCGCAAAGGCTACGAGCTGAAGGGTGTCAACGTCCTGTGAGGCTGAATCGAAGTTGCCACCTGCCGTTTTCGGCAGCGCAGCGGTAAGAACACTTACGAATTTCAATGCGAGGCTGACTTGATTGAAAATTATCTTAAATTACACTTTCAGCACTACCTATACCATGATCTCTCGTTTTCTCGTATCAGACGTACACGAAGGTCGAAAGAAATCCTCAACATCACATGATCGGGAAGCCCGCCATCTTTTTGCTCTAAATGAATCAACGTACCGAGAGAAGGTACCCTGAGGTGACCTAATACCGAGTGGATCTTCGAATCAGTACCTCATTGCTTGATCCACATTAGTGTAAAGGTGGGTACAAACAAAGCGTCTAACCTGTTGCGGTAACGCCGCCTTCGTCTTTCCTCCGACACCACGCCCGTCCATCTGTCCCTCCAGCCATGTCATCAAGCAAGCCAAATGTTCAAGTCGGCCAAGCTACTTTACAAGCGGATGATCCACCACCTGTGCCGCCCAAGGACTTTATTTCCAGCGCAAGCGACGTGCCAACACAACCAAGACGCCGGCGGCAACCACATCCATTGACAGGTCGAGCGGTCAAGCCACTTCCACCACCGCCTCCTCCTGACAACAATTCCGATATCAACACTTCTAAAACCCGAAAAGCGAAGCCATTACCAGCAGTACCATGGGCACCGAACTATAGAACTACGCTTCTCTGGATCGGCGGAGTGGGGATCTGGTTCCTCATCGTCGTGCTTCTTTTACCCGTTTTCCTCGAAGCAGATGCTATGCCGGGGTTGAACAGGGCACTCCGTAACTTAGCCAAAATGCTCTCTGGACGACAGAGCTCATGAAACAGTTCCACGAGCGACACAAGGGCAAACGTGCAATGGAAAACACCCCGCATATGCTCAATATACCTGTTGAAGGAACGAGCCCACAACACGACATCACAACACCATCCCCCGAGCAAGAATACGCATTAAATTCACACACATACAACCCCTTCTACTACCCTACAACTTCGCCCCCTTCTCCCTAACCGTCCCATCCACAAGACTCTTCCGCCCCCCAAACCCAAACAAATACGCCGCAACCTTCCTCATCTGAATCTCCTCCGCCCCCTCCGTAATCCTATACCGCCGATGATGTCTCCAAATATGCTCAAACGGCAAACGCCGGGAATACCCATTTCCCCCATGGACCTGTATCGCGCGATCCGCAGCTTCGCAACACAGCCTGTTAGCCCAGTAATTGCACATGGAAACTTTATCCCCGAGCCGCGTTTCGACTTCGACGTGCGGCATGGAGTCCATTTCTACGGCGGTTTTGCGGATGAGGAGGCGCAGCATCTCGCATTGGGTGGCGAGCTCGACGAGGGGAAATTGGATGGCTTGGTTATGGGAGAGGGGCGTGCCGAAGGGGGTGCGGGTATTAGCGTAGGAGACGGATTGTTGGATGCAGTAGGTGGCGGCGCCGAGGGAGGAGGCAGCTTGCCGGATGCGGTTTTCGTGGACGAAGGCTTGGGCGACGCCGAGGCCGGCGTGGATGGGGCCTAGGACGGCGGTGGCAGGTACCCAGACGTCTTTTAGGGGAGATGCTGGCGTGGTCGGTGGGCATGTTTAGTGTCCTGCGTGTGTTGGCTGTTGGGGACATGAGTAGGGGTTTTGGGGTAGGTTTTGGAGTCGGCTTTTTAGTCTCAAGCTGGACCTTAGTTGACCTCTTTAGTAGGACCTACGTCCCCGTCTACGTTAAAGCGATATCTGTGTCCTGCTATATAGAGTCGGTGTGTGGCTATTGGGTTGTGGCAGACTTCTGCGTTGTCATCGACAAAGGTATAGGCCCAGCCACGACGCGATGACCGCTCACTGACTCTATATAAAAGAACACCGAAATCACTTAAACGTAGACAGAGACACAGGCCCTGCCACAAGAGGTTAGCCGCTCCAGCTGGAGACCAAAAAGCCAACTCTAAAACGGCCACACTCCAGAAGGCGCTCAGCTAAAGGAGACACTTACCACTCATACGACTCCACCTCCAACCCCGGCGTTTCCCTCGGCACCACAAAACAACTTATCCCCCTCGCCTGACCGTCCTTCCCCTGCGTCCGCGCAAGAATAAAACAATGCGTCGCAGCATGCATCCCCGTCTGCCACTTCTTCCCCCCACTCAGCACCCACCCATCCACACCGTTCCTCCTCTCCGGCCTCCCCCTCGTAGCCATATGCGTAGCATCACTCCCATGCCCCGCCTCCGTCAACCCAAACGTAATCCTCACCTTTCCCTCCAGCCTGCCCCCAATCAACTCCTCCTTCTGCTTTGCATTTCCATAATTCATCACCATGACCACATCCGGGAAGTTTCCTACAACGGAATGCTCATTCTGCAGATCGTTGAACAAGCCCAGCCCCTTCGAAGCTAGGTGTTCTCTTATGACTGCCATCCACAGATTTGACCCTCTGCCGGAGGCATCGCTGCGACCGCCGTACTGCTTTGGGAGCGAGAGTCGGAAGAAGCCTGCTTCATCTGCTAAGCGGCGGCAGTCGTGGAGGAGGGCTTCCCATTCTGGGCGGGGGAGGCCGCCATTGTCCCAATCGGTTCGGGCGTGTTCGCGGCGGTGGTCGAAGAAGCGGTTGTTGTCGCCTTTGTTTTGGAGCGGGGGTGATCTTGTCTTCTATGAAGGTGTCTAGGTCGTGGAGGTATTTTTGGAGGGCGGGTGGTATGGAGAAGTTCATTGTCTCGGATGCCATGGTTGTAAGGCGTCGTTGATGACACTGTATTGGGGAATAAAGCAGGAGTCGCAGCTGATGCCCGTTTCGGGAACACAACAGTAGTCTCAATGACTCTCAGCGATTGTAAATAATGTCCATATATTTGGCAAAATGTCGATTTCTCGGGAGATATACTGGAGCTTCGGTTTCGCCATGGTGATGACTCGATGAAGCTTGGTCGTGGGGGAACGAGTGGAGGATTGCGGGGAGGTTGCGGGGAACTTACTGCCCTGTACGTGCCTCGGTCAGGTCCCTTGCCTTTCCAGCGATCATTGACTCAGGTACATCGTCCCTGCGCCAATGGCAACTACTTCCGAGAGCAGCAATGAGACATTTGATATTGCATCCCTGTGGAACTTTGTGTGCTACCTCGAGCTTAACCTGCGTATGTCGGCCGTGTACAGCAAGCTAGTTTACGGTCAACGCAGCAGGAGCTAACCTGATGTGTGCAATGCGCGACGGTATTGATCATTTGTAGAAGATCTCATTCACTCGAGCCTTCGTTGCGTTGCTCTAGCCAATGCCTGAACTGCCTCAGTCGCTATCCTCCATCAACGCCGCAAGCTCCTCTTCCTCCTCCAGCGTCATTAGCCCCTCTTTCTTCTCCTCGACTTTCTCCTCTACCATACCTGCCCTCTCGTCTTCCGCCTCCTTAATCGCCTTCGCCAATTCCTGCGCTTTCAAACTCCATGTCCTCACCGTCCCATCGATACTCACACTAACGATCCTCTGCCCTTCTAACAGCACCAACGCAGTTACCTCATCGAAGTGCCCTTCAAAAACGTGATGTAATTTGCCACTCCCCTTTTCCCAGACACGCACTTCCTCGTCCCGGCAAGCGGTTACGACCCACCCACCTTCTTCGTCGACAGCAACGTCGCGCGTGTAGTCAGGATGCTCAAAGGACGAGTCCTCTTCCCAATTCCGCAATCGCGAAAGGCACTTTGCGCTCTTATCCGCAGAGGCAGTCCACAGGTCGCCGTCCGAGTCAAAATGTATGGCGTCAACGCTGGTCTCGTGCGCTATAATCGGGCATGGCTCCTCTTTTACTTCCTTCGCTGCACCGACGCCTACTCTCCATTTTCTGATCTCACGATCGCTGCCTGCACTGAACACAATCGCCTCTTCCTTCGCAGGATCGTATTCCAGCGAATCCAGCGCAAGCGCGAGTATGCCCCGAGTATGTCCCTTCAGCGTATGCAGCTTCTCGCCCGTTGCAACGTCCCAGACAATGATTGTCGCATCTTGCGACCCAGAAACCAGCAGTTCTCTTCCTTGTAGTGTAAACACAATCACGGCCTTCACGAAGTCGGCATGCCCCCGATATCGGTGTCTGGGTCTCCTGCTCTTAACATCCCAGCTCCATATCGATTTGTCCCAGCAGCCAGCAAACAGCGTACCGGACTTGTGCGAAACAGCGAGCGAGGTAATAGGCGCTTCGGGCCCGGTGTATGTAGCGACGACCTTCTTCTCAGCCTGCAAGTCCAGAATTAGCATTCGGGTCCAGCATTGACTCGCGATAGTGTAGGGCGACGGGCGGTGGTCTGACCGACTTCAGGGTTGATCCTCTTCACGGTTCCCGCTGCCTCCGCGACGTAGATGAACGCGTGGTCATGCGGGTCTGCGGCGACGGCGAGAATCTTGGAGGGCAGGTTGACGGGGTTTCCCTTGCTGTTTTTAGACTTTGCGGCCCGGCGCGCGGTCTCGCTGAGTGACGAGCTAGCTATTGTTAGGTCGATGTTTCAGTGCTGCTGGTGTGAAGGCAAATCCGGAACTCACTCCGTCTGGAAGAAGTGGCCTGGGTCGTTGGACTGCGCCATGTTTGCTGAGGAGTTAGGAGGGAGAAAGTAAACAGAAGGTCGAGCGAGGGTCGAAAGTTTATACCCCACCATCTTGCCCCACTAACGGCCGTACCTGCATTGCAAGGCAACGACAATTGCAGGCAACAGAATTATTGAAAAGCAACAACAATTGCACTCAGTCACGGAGCATTAGAGTCATTGAAGTTAGAATTCGCATCATATTAAATTCCTAATATAGTCATTAGCAAGATCGAGAATAGGCATCCAAACCCAAGAAAGCAAACCGTAACGCCAAAAGAAAATAATCAAACCAACAGATCGTCGTTTCTATTCAGAAGCTCGATGCTTCTCTCAGGTATTTTCGTATGCAGAAAAGTCATAAATCATAACGCGTAGCTGGAGTGAGGTGCCCGCAGAGGCACCCGACATAACACTCAGGATATCTTTTGAGAAAATCCTCTAACGCCCAAATAGCTTTTTGCGCAAGCTGAACGCCCAATTATGCGCCAGAAGCCTGAACTGGCTCCGATGCGGTCGTAACTCATGACTGTACAATGCGTATCCAATGCATGCTCTCCAAATAGGTCAACGCAAATGCAAGGGGGCAACTACCGCTCTTCCGAGGCACGCATGGCGATTCTGCGCAACTCCCATCTCCAGCCGTGCTTGTGCTCGCCGCTGTCGCGCATTGTGCCGACCCAGCTTTCTGTTTTGCGGCGCCAGATGGCTTCTTCTTCGCGTTGCCGGCGGATGAAGCTAGGCCCGAGATCGAACTCTTCGCCAACGAAGGAGATGTCTTCGGCACTTGGACCGCCGCTGACGCTATCACCGGGCCCAGCAACGCTGACGTTGTCCTTGAGGTCCTCAAGCCCTGCGAACGGATCTTCTTCGTCATCATCCGCGACGGAGGGAGAGCGCGGATCATTCGACTCCCGAGGAGCTTTGAGCCAGGTCATTTTGACAGGGTCAAAGACCATGCGACCTTCGTACTGCACACCCCGAGGCATAGTCTTTTGCGAGATGAGTGCAGGGCGTGGTGGGGAGGGGATTGGTCGTGCAACGACCTTCACCGCACGTGACGAGACGTTCTTCAGCTGGATCTGAGACAACGCGGTATGAGAGATGGAGTGCGAGCGCTCATGCGGATGACCGAAGGGGTTGTGTACCGGCGAGAAGGTAGGGGTGCTCACTGTCGTGAGATCCAAAGTGGCGGTTGATGTATTGGGATGGGTAAAAGGAGCAAGGGCTTCTTCATTCCCCTCCCATCGCTGCATGGTCGGGTTATATATCATACCTTTCTCAGCTGCAATCTGTTAGCCTATGCGTAAACATTTAGAAAACTGGAAACTTACTTCTTGAACCAGGTTCAAACAAGCCTCGAATAAGCTGCGGCTTTGCTCCGGAACCCTTCTTCCGATGGGCAATTGGACTGGTGTGAGGACTCTTAGCCGCTACATGCACCTTCCAGTTGATACCGGGGCTCGGCGGAACGGGACCATCGCCTCGTGTCCGTATGCTAGCAAGACGCTGTTCACGCGCGTTGCGACTCGCTGCAGTGTCCCGAGCGAATCGAGGAGTGTGATCCACTTTCGGTGGACTACGAGGTGTTTGCGGCATGGGTGTAGCCATGCGATCCGGCATGGGAAGCTTGGAAATACTTGTCTGCGACCGTAGGGTCTTGTTGCTAGCCACGTTACGTGGTGCTTTCTCGAACTGCTTCTCTTTGTGTGCAGACGTGGGCAAATCATCAAAGACTTCAAGCTCTGTGCCATCTCCGAAGTTCTGCTTCCGACCCTTAGGGAAGGTGAGTTTCTGAGGATGACGTGCGAGAGCCGAAGGTGCCAACTCCCTTCGCATGCCATTCCGACTTGGCGTGTCGAAGGGTCCGCGTGAGTACGGCCTCATGGATGGAGATGGAGGTCGACGTGGGTCCGAGTCCCTGCGCAAGTGGCCGCGCGACGTAGATTTTGCCATGACGTGATGAGATTGGGACGTTGAATTGCCTGCAGGAAGGAATGGGACGGATGAGCGTGCTGAGAGCGCAGGATTGTTGTTTCGTAGTAGAGGCGCAGAGCGTTTCGCACGTAGAAGTTGAGCACTTGTGGTTGTCGGCGGTTGTCGACTATTCCCGCTTTGCGAAGCACCTGACTCGTAGACAGGCGTAAGGCGTGAGCGGCTGCTGGTAGATAGAGGCCTCGGGATCTTTGACATGGAGGGCTTGTCTTTGTCGGTAAAGGTCAATGTGGTAGCCGGACGGGCTGCTGGTGGCGGAGTGACTTTTGCGGGGGCCTTCTTCACCTTGACGTTACGGTTCAAGGTGAGCTTGTTCGTGTCCAAGACCTCTCCACCACCAATATCCAAGCCGTCCATGAAGTCATCCTCCTCTTCAACGCCAATGAGCCTAGAGGCAGGTGCCGGTTCCGGTTGTGCGGGGGTTGCAGCTTCCTTTTCAAATTGGGAAGGCGAGGGCCACGACGGGGCAGGCGAAGGTGCGAACTCCAGTGGAGGACCTAATACAGGCGCTGAGGTTGGCGGTGGTGCGCGTTTCGGAAGAGTGAACCCTGAGGGTGAGGTGTCAGGAGTGGGAAGATCGTGCTTCTTGAGCTTCTCCAGACGGGATGCAAAGTCCAGCGGTTCGGTGGGCAGCACCAAGCCATTCAGCTCATCATCCTCACTCTCGAGGGTCACGATGCTGCCCATGCTAGGGCTCATGGCTGACACGGAAGAGCTACGGGCGCCTCGGCCTCCTCTACTCGTGCCTGCAAAGCGGATACCCAAGCTGCCCTCGCCCCAGTCATCGTCGAAGCCGTCGTTGTCGTCCGCCGGCGTGCGCGGCATCGGTGCCTTTAGCTTGAGGCCCTCGCCGGGGTTGTTGGGTAGCTCGAGATCGTTGCCCCAATCTTCATCGACGGCAATTTTCCGGCTCGATTTCTTCTTTCCCAGCCTTTTGATTGCGCCGCCAAGCAGCGCCGACGACGGCACGCTCGTGGGGATCGGGATGCCGGCTTGTTTTGCGGAGGATATCGCGTTCATGGTGGAGGCCTCGTCGTTGGGGGCGAGCAGGACCTGCCAGTCGTCGTCGCCAGTGTTGGATTCGGAGCGAACCGAGACGCGGGACGACGTGGACTGAAATGTGGACATGGAGTGGGTAAACATGTCGACGGAGCCGTCGAAGTCGCCGTCGTCGTCCCAGTTCTCGACGGTCGACGCCATTGAGGCCATGCGCTGGGCGAAGGAGCCCTTCGCGGCCATAGCGGATGGGTGCGGGTGGTGTGCGTGTGCGGTGGACTTGCGATGCAGGAAGCTGGATGGCTGGGACGTGGTGATAGACCCTGTTAGACGAGCTTGGCGGCAGGAGCGGCCAAGCGGTCAGAAGAGAGGGAGCTACCACCGGGCGCTGCTCCGTGCCCACGCGTCGTGAAAGCGCCCACCAAGAACACGCCCAGGGCACTGGCAGGCGTGCAGATGATCGCCTTACAACGGTCAGACCCTCTATGCAGCCTGGCGATAGTCGTACATGGACGCAGAGACCGATCGCGAGACCGTGGCCTGCTTCCTGGCCCGCCTAAATACAAGTGCCTGGAAGGCAGCAACGCGCCTCACACTCACAACACCGCGCCGCGTCTGTTGTGGTGACACTTAAAGTTCGACGGCTCCTTGTCGTCTGACCTGTTTCGATTTTCTCCTACCACGCCTGAAACCTTCGGCGCTCAAGCCGGCCTTCCACCACGCACCCTCTTAGTACCATTCACTACTACAAGCATCATCCCAATCCTACCAAGGGTGTGTATCAGGTTTGGCCTCCGCGCCACACCCTCGTCATTCGCAGCCACGCCTGTCTTGCCAACCTGGGCCGGTTCCAAACCTTCCCACCTGTGACTTTGCCTGGTAGCGACGGCTCGCCACGATGCGGGGCCGCTTCATCGTGCCCGTCGAACCCGCTGCGGGAGACGGCGAGGTCGTGGTAGTCGAGGTCCTGCAGGAGGGCTCCCATCCGCTAGACGTGCGGCTCGTAGGCTGCGAAGGAGAGAGTCCATATGTCGCGAAAAGTAAGATCACGGATATTGATGTCATCTGATTCCTTCTTTGACGCGTTGATTATAGTCTCTCATCGCAATATCTCAAAATTGAAGCACAAGTTCAAGGGTACAGCCGAGGAGTGGGAACAAGTCCTGTCTCATTTCCTGTTAGAAAAACAGCCTGAAGGCGACGCGGCCAAACTGCTGGAGAACGTGCGAATGGTGTACGCGCTCAAGGGCGAGAACATCGAGATTACCATCCAACAGGACGTCAAGGGGATCAAGGCAAGTCATACGAGCACGGCTTCGGGGGTGACATGTGCCCGGTTTCTAATCCTAGCTAACGCGACCCAGGTGAATCTGGGGGAGATCCTGCTTCCCAAAGATGACGATTTCGAGTAAGTGAAGCCCGCCGATCTTCATACCGAGCTAGATAACGCTTGTTTCTATTTGATTGCACTATTGTCACGCGGAGATCGCTCAGTGAACACCAAACGCGATCAGATCTGGCACGTGCAGCTGAGACGATGCGAACCTTGAGTCTGATCACAGCGTCATGAGAAAACGTCTAGTGTCTGACTGAGTTCGTAGATTCAATCCGTTCGAATGGGCGCAAGCCTCAGCGCAAGCACACATCCGCACGTTGAAGGAGTTGGCAGATTCGAAGACACAGGCACATGGTGAACAAGACACCATAGCAAAGCTGAATGCGCAGCTCGATGACTTCATCAAGACCAAGAACGAGACGGAGACCGCCATGTTGCAGCAATTCATGGAACTGTTGAACGAAAAGAAGAGAAAGATCCGGGATCAGAACCGCCTGCTCGCTAGCGTCAAGGTTGATAAAGATACTGGTGCGTCCTCTGTGTCGGCTCTCGGATGTGCTTCGGTGCTAATGCCACTATTATAGCAACGACAGTGCAAGCCACTCGACAAGAGACGAAACCCCGAAAAGCGGCCCCATCTCGGACATCCAAACGGAAAGCCAAAGCCCCAGAGCCTGAACCTGAGCCCGAACTTGAGCCGGAGCAACTGTCAGCCGACGACCAGATGGAGATAAACCAGGCCAAAGCAGAAGAGCAAGACGACGTATCTGATGACGGTGGAGCAGCTACCCCAGACCGTGCATCAGAGACCGAAACCGAGGACGACGGCGAAGGTGGCTTCATCAGCAAAGCTCCAGCACCGTCAGCACGCGCTACGCGAGGGAAGTCAGCTCAAGCAGCTCGCTCTTCATCAGCGAAGGCCCAGTCTGCGAAGAGTACTCCTGCACCAGATGAAGATGCTGGACCGCCGCCTCCGCGACGCGAGTTGCCGTTTGGAAGACCAGTGACAAGGAACAAACCGGCAGCGAAGCAACCTCCAGCTGCAGCCGATGAAGATAGTGAGACCGACGATGAAGAACTATGAGACCATCGGGAAGGGAATCTTGATGATCGGATGAAATGAGAGCTAGCGCGTAGAGCCCACCGATTTTGGCCATGTAAAGAACGAACCTACAAGTAAATCAACATCGACGTTATTACCCGACACTATGTCCACTCTATAACAAGCTAGCACAGTACCACAAAAGCCACAATTGAAGCAAACACGATGAAGCATTTTTCTCAGCAACAGGTGAACCCCTCTAAACATTAAACTAGAATTATATTGCCACAGCATTTACCACGTGCAGAACGCAACATTGCAGTAACCATGCAGCCTCTTTTCCACATACTATTCCTACCACCTCCCCTTCCCATTCTCCACACTCCACCAACCCCTCAATACACATACCTAAAATTCCTATTCTCCCAATCCGTCAAATCCCCAAACGCAGTCGCATCCGTCTCCACCTGCTCGCCGTACATGGTCTCCCTCCTCCCATTCTCCCCCCTCAAATACCCCCTAAACCCCAGCACAATCCCAAACTCCACCAAATGGCAGAAAATCATACTCCAAATGCCCAACGTGTACGTCGGACTCTGCTCGCTCTTGTAGAAGAACGGCCCCGCGATGTTGCCCACGCAGTAGCCAAGGAAGAGGAACGCGTTGGTGACGACCTTTTTGGTGTGGCCTGCGGTGTTTCCCACGGCGAGGGACAGGATGAGCACGAAGGCGGCGTTGTAGGAGCCTGTGAGGTAGTAGCACCATAGGCGGGCGAGGTGGTGCTCTTGCGCGATGTAGCGTAGGCCGAAGGTGCCGGCGATGTTGGGGAGGAGGTACAGGAGGATGAACCAGCAGCGGGTTTGACGGGCGGTGGTGGTGGAGAAGTAGTTGTTCAAGTAGACGCAGGAGAGGATGAGGAGGGCGATGAGGATGCCGTAGGGGACTTGGAGGAGGGTGGTTACGAGGGTGGAGTAGCCGAAGCCTTTGATTATTATGGTGCCGAAGTTGGAGATGCCTGGGTGTGTGTTTGTTAGTATGTTGTTTGTTGGTGAGGTGGGTAGATGACTGACCCCCGTTTGGTGCGTTGTGGATTGCTCCTAGGATGAAGAAGAAGTACGTTTTGGGGTCTTTCAAGGCTTCGATTACTTGGTAGCGTTTGAGGTGCTTGTTTTCGACGCCGGTCTGGTTGGACCGGAGACGCTCCACGGCGACGCGTCGTTCGCGAGGCGTGAGCAAAGGAGCGTTTACGGGTGAGTCGGGTAGCATGATGAACATTATGATTCCCCAAGCGGAGCATAGCGCTACACTGAGAGTAAGGGTTGGCTGGCAAAGTCACCAAGGCAACATACCTCCAATGATCAGGAACTCGTATTTCCATGATGGTAGAGCTCCTTTGATATGCCCAATAGCGTACCCTAGCAAGCCGCCAAGAGCGATTCCAAACCCATTGGCTGTGTACCACAATCCAATGCGGACGGGTTGCTGTCTACGAGTGTACCTAAGGGCATGAGCTCCTGCCATGCATAATCGAAAGACGAAAACATACCACATGCTCGTTATCAGCATAAAAGAAGGATCGGAACATGCTTCAGCAGCTCCGCTGATAGCTCTCAGAACAGCAAGCTGTGTGAAATTCTGCAGATATCGTGAGCCACTTCCAAGACGAAACCATGGGTTACCAACATACCTTAGCAGCAGCCTGCAGCATCAAAAAGACGCCCCAAAGAAAGATGTTCGCACCCAGATACTTCCCAATCGGCAACCTCTGCATCAGAAAATTCGTCGGAAACGCCCATGCAAGGAATCCAAAGTAGAAGATGCTGCTGAGCCAATTGTACCGATCGCCGACCAAGTTCAAGTCCTCTCTGATGCCGAAGATGGCCGCATACGAAAGCGTTGTTTTGTCGATGTAGAAGAAGGCGTAGCAGACTGCGAGATAGGGCAGGATCATGCAGTCGATTTTGCGGACTAGGCGCTTTTCTTCGTTGGCGGTATAGGGCTCGTGGGTGTCTGCTGGGGAGGCAAACAGGGCCATGGCTGTATCGCCGTCGCCGGATCGGGAGAGCACCCATTTTGACGGCGCGTTGGAAGGGATGTTCTCGGTGTGAATGGCAGACTCGATTCTTGGTCCAGCTTTTGGATCTGTAGAGATTGGATGGTTGTTGTCGCTGGCCTGAATGGAATCAGGCGGTTGCTCACGCCTAAAGTTTGGAAAGAAGCCCATCTTCGAATGAACTGGGCGCCAGATGTTCGGGAAGCTCAAGATCCTGCATTTGCCTCATAAAGCTCAACAGATGGAAAATGGGCGCGAGGCTTCTTTATGTTTGGATTTTGTCAAACAGCCCTCTTGAGTGAGTGCTCGGTATTCTCTCCGTCATGCGCTTCCCCTCACCCCGCATGCGCACTGTGGGGTATAGCGATCATTCCAATGCTGATTACCCGTCAGACCTGCCGTTAGAAGTTAACGTTGAGATTGAGCCGCTGGTGGTCTTGACGGCTTTATTCCCACAATGACGTTCGTCCGAAAGCCGAATGGTGGCTTTGATTTAAGAGCTGATACACGACATTCATGTCAGGAGTTTGCTCTTGACTGCTGGTGCTTCTGATGGTGTTTTGAGCCTGGCGGGAATAATGTCTTGCGTATTCCCGACGAATAGGTGATGCAAGTTAGTGTACTCTGATGCCAATATACTTCTACTGTATATGTACAGGTATTGGTACTGGGATATTAGGTATCAAGTCATCCCACGGTGCAACAGTACTAAGCACGCAGGCCATCTTGAAGCTACTTGCTCGAAACATGATGGGAGTGTGCTATCTCGTGGTCCGCGGTCGGCTGTTTGACGATGTGGGATGTGGCACTTCGGCTGTGATGCAACGGGCAAGGGGCGAGGCGAGCCAGGGTATTGGGACGATCGCCTGCGGGCCGACGTGGGATGAAAGACTGGCGTGCCACCCGTGCCTGGCACATCCAAAGGGTACAGCGCCCTGAGCCGAAGAATGATAGCCTCATTCTCGAGACACCACACAGCCTATCGTAGTACATAGATAGCAGTCACGTCATGACGAAAAGCGCAAGGATACGTATTGACAGCTGAGCGAGAACAAATGTCCCAGCCAATCAGACAGATGCAGCACCGGATGCGCCAAGCATCTCCATCATCGTCACCGGCTGCTGCACGTTCTCACTTTGCGCGTAGGCGGCCGCCGCACTCACTTTCTGCAAACGCCGACCGTGCTGCCTCTGTACAACTTGAGAGCACCGGAATGGTCGAATGCTCGTCTCCAAATCACCTTCTGCGGGCCATAGGCTGAGGTAGCACCGACGCTCTGACTTCTACACGGTGAGTATGCTTAGCGCGTTGCGCTCCGATAATACCAGCGCGATGCGACTATTGTGCTAACAGTCCTATTCAGAGTCCAATTGTTCCTCCTTTGCCTGTCACTTTCACGCGCCCGTCGCCGCATTCACCTCCGTCGCGACGGCCTCTACGGTTCACGAAACCCCACCGAACTTTTACGCCCCGCCCGCACACGACGACCTTATGTCCCGGCGCTTCCTCCTTTCTCTATACCAAAACCCAAGCCATTGCTAGGCGCTTCCTCCTCAGCTAGATTATCTGCGTCCACCGCGCACTTGACCGCACTCGCGCTCTCACCATGTCTGGCTCCGAGCGGCCGCCGGAGCAATCAGTACCAACCACAGGGCTAAAGCGCAAGCACATGTCAGATGAAGACCAGGAAGAGCTGGACCAGCTAGACGGCATCTTCAAGCGCATCAAGACTGCTGTGCCCCGCGCGCCGTACATACTCTCCACGCCCTCCCTCAACCCATATCGATACCACTCATCGCACGAGTCGCGCGCATGGATGCTGGGACACTTGTTCAAGTACGAGGAGGAATATCTACAGTACCGGACCTATGTCTTTCGCGAGCCCTACCGGGACTGCTTCACCCTCCAGCCCGGTGAAGACGACGAGCCTGAGGCCCCCCGACCAAAGTCACAGTCGTCGAATGTGGCCAGTCAAGGACCCAAGAAGAAGATCAGCCTTGCCGACTACAAGAACAAGCAGGCCAACGGCGCCAGTGCGCCTGGCTCCAAGAAGGTTTCCCCGGCCCTGCAACCCACCAAGCCTAATGTTGCCCAAACCAATGGAGTGAAAACTTCACATGCGCAAGTTCCGGCGCATGAATTGGATAAGCATGAATTGGCGCAATCGAAACGGTACGTCGTATCATCCTTGATCTTATATATGCGCTGACAGATTTGCAGACCTGAGAAGAAAATACCCGAGAAACCGGACAAGCGCGACCGAGCCGAATCTTCTGCGTCATCATCATCACAAAAGCCTGAGTCCGCAGAGTCCAAGATCAACATTGACAAGTCTGGCCCATCTTCCTCGACGCCTCACGGTCTGCCGCCGCTGTTGTCACCAGTTGACCCACCCCTGAGTAACCCGCATGGGCTGCCCACCCTTCTTTCACCTACACTTCCCCCGAGAATTCTGGAAGAGCTCGACAGGATAGAAACGTCACGGAAACGAGCGGACTCCAATACTTCGACATCATCATCCGATCGCACCAAGAGTCAAAACTTGCACGTACCCGAACGTACTGCATCGAAGAAGCCCGCTGCCACGCAGGCCGGCGAGGGTTCTCAAAGTGTCTCTCGAGCGAGGTCGATATCAACTAACGGGAAGTCACCGAACGAAGATATTGCCGACCACAGCGAGGACCACGCGCCCAGCACCAAGCCCAGCCTCATTGTCAAGCTCAAATACACGAAGAAGTCACGAGAGACTATCAAAAGGCTGCTTGCTCTCCCAGCGAAAAGAGAAGGACCCGTTGCTCGCAAGGAGCGTGATGAGCAGTCACAGAAGTCGGCGTCACAAAGCAAGGCTTCAGATAGTGTCGAGAAGAAACCCAAACCAATACCGAAAGTCGCGGCTCGGCGCCCTGAGTCATCTGCGACCGCCCCCAAGGTCCCCGTACCATCAATCAAAGTTACTGAAAAGCGACCGCGGAGTGAAGATGATGCGGCTCAAGCATCACCTGTACCAACGAAACGTCAGAGGTCATCTACGGTACCGTCCCAACAGGACCGCCCTATAACTCCCAGAGACCAGATTACCTCCTCGCCAGCTACATCAGCTAAACCAAGCGCGCAAAAGAGCTCAGGCTCGCTCGTCACACCTCGCAAAGACCTAAAGGCAGTCAACATGCTTCGAACGAACTCCACAGAAAGCCAACATTCCACTCCCGGAAGGTCAGGTGTGACGCCCGTAGGCTCACGTCTTGATCCTCAGGCGTCTACATCAGTACCGCCACTGGGAGGCAAGAAGTCAATGGACATTTCGTTATTACAACAATCATCTATGAAGTTGAACCAGATGGGACGGTCACTGAAGCACGAAGGCCAGAAGCTGGAGCGCGACAAAGCAGGCAAACTTACCAAGGCAGACCAAAAGCACGCCGCCGTCATTGGTCTCGAGTGCATCCTGTGAGTCGTCTCATTTTCCCATCTCTCCATCCAGCTAACTCGTCCCTCCAGCTCCTACATGGCTGCCTACCACGCCCAAGACCAATCCCTCCAGCTCCGCGGCCGCCCCGCCGAAGTCGAAGGCACCTGGAAAACCCTCCTCCCGCTCTGCTCCTCCTACGGCCGCCTCACAAAAGACTTCACCCACCTCGACGGCTTCCGCTCCTGCCTCGGCGCCGTCATCGCAGCAAACATCTGCACCCTCGTCGCGCCTCGCGCTCCGAACCCCAAAGCCCACGACTCCCCTCACGAACTCTCCGTCGCCGAACTCACTAAGCAACACAGCCAGCTCACCGAAAACCTCGGTCTCCTGTCCGACCACTACCAGAAGCTCCTCCGACACACTCAAGACGCGCGGTCTGCGCTCCCAATGGAAGAGATGGAAAAGACATATACCAAAACCTGGGCCGGCGCAGAGTGGAACACCAAGCTATCCAAGGTACCCGAGAAAGTCAACGCTTCAAAGCTATCCGGCCCGTACTTTCTGCCTATCCAGAACGACACCACGCCCATCCAGGCGGTGCGCTTCGGGCTGAAGTTTCTGGGCGAGTACTGCGAGAAAGAGAAGATTGAGCATCGGTTGAAAATCAGTTTGGATAGGGCTGAGTGAGATTTTCGATGCTCTTGGTTCGCTCGTGGGAGGCATAGAATTTGGATGGACGCGCATCCTTAGCACCAGTGATTGCTCAGGCGCGCTTCACGTCCCCCTTCTCCCGATGTACACTCCCACTCCCACTCCCACCAACCAACAAACATACATACATATCCCCCTCTCCCCTTTCCTTATGGCGTTTCTCTTTTTCCCTCTGTCTACCCGCTTCCCATTATATCGGTTGCGGGTTCCTGTTAGCAAGGTGAATTAGCAAGGTGATACCCACGAGGCGGGCTGTCCCCTCCTCGTAATTTGTTTTTTTGTATGGGATTTTTTGTAGTTGAAAAATCATGTTTAGCGAGCGATGGATGGGACGGGAGGATAGGATAGGATAAGATAAGATAAGCGATTGTGTGAATATGGTGAATGGAAAGATGTGTGACGGCCGAATTATTTGTTGGGCGGTGTTTTTTATCTGCGGAGATATGGAAATGTGGTGGTGAGGTTTGCGTTGAGCATGAGTCAAAAGGGAAGGGGAAAGAGTGTTGGGGTTAGAGGCTTGAGCAAGGAAGATGGGCGGGTTCCTGGAAGATATAACGTTTTGTAGGGATGTGGAGGAATGGAGATAGCAATGCAATGCGGTTGCTGATCATTGGGCTTCTCTACGTGAGGATGTGGCTTGGTGTTGGTGAAGTTTCGGGCTGTATAACGTGATTATTCTTGTGTGAGTACTGGCGTGTGTTGAGGCAACGAGGCAGAGCTACATGGAAGAGTGGATGGTTTAGCAAGGAGGTAGATAGTATTTGGCAAGGAGGTGGATGATGGATGGCAAGGAAGTAGATGGCAAGGAAGTAGATGGCAAGGAAGTAGATGGCAAGGAAGTAGATGGCAAGGAAGTAGATGGCAAGGAAGTAGATGGCAAGGAAGTGGATGGTGATTAACAAGGAAGTGGATGGTGATTAACAAGGAAGCAGATGCCGATGGGCTGCGGCTTGAGCGGTGCGATGTCCGTTGCTGGAAGAGCATAGTCATTGCATACTAAGTCTATGACGAGGGGTTCGGGGTGACTCCTCCTCGTCGTCTCTTGCTCCGTTCAGATGACTCATCGTCTCAAGTTTCTGCATGATGCTGCTGGAGCTCAATCGTCTATGGTGATGACTGGGTACAGCGAGGCCTTCCGGCTCTTTTTCGATGACTATTATCATTCCGTTTTCGATCATATGTATGAGCTGTTGGAAAGGTTCCGTGCAGGCTTCGCGGCATCGCAAATCATTGATCTTCTGCTTTTGTATTAGCTGCGTACTATGAAATCTATCGTAGGAAGCTACCCACCGCTTTTACGCTTGATTTCACGCTTGCTCTCCGAGGTGCACTCTCGTCTGGATCAATAGTGAAGAATGAGTCGTTAATAATTCCGTGCAAATAGAGATCCGGGCTCATTCGCTCGTTGGCAAAGTCTTTGACCTCCTTATGGTTGCCAAGGTACCAGGTAAGAAAAACCAAATAGACACAACCTAAAGCCCATATGTCACATTGTGAGCTCAACTCTATGTTGCGCAGGTCGCACTCCGGTGAACGATAGGTAGGTGAGTTGGGCACGTTACCCTTGTCTCGCTCTGAAACGATGTTTTCAGGGGTAAAACGTGTAATGCCGAAGTCCGTTATCTTCAAGATGCCATGCTGAATTTTTGAACCCCCTTGACCGAAGAAGAGTATGTTGTGTGGCTTTATGTCTCCATGCCGGCCAAGAAAGTTTAGTGGTTCCGATCCGGCTACTTTGGTTGTCGGAAGCGTCCGCATGATTGATCCCTGGTAAGGTATAGTTGTCTCCTTGGTAGTTTGGTATCGGTGGATGACATAAAGGGCTTCAGACAATCCTCTAAATTGCTCGAGTAGCCACCCTGACAGTTCTGGCTGTGGACTATGTTGCTCCCAGAAGCCCTCGAGATCTGTATCAGCCCAGGGAAAAACTAAGTAGAACTCATTGGCCCGTTCGAATGTCGTTAAAAGCTCAGTAAGGTGTTTGTTGATGTGAGTCTGTTTAGCAAGGCTTCGAAGAATGCCTGACTCGTGCTTGAAGGCTTCTCTGTTCCGGACTGGGTCTTCGTATGTATTGGTCAGGCGCTTCACCGCGACATCCTTATTTGGAAAAGAGCGGTGGCTTTCTTCTATTTCTGCCGTGAAGACCTGACCAAAACCTCCCTTTCGGTACTCATTGTTGAACTTAGTAAACGGCAGAACTTCATCAGGCTGGACTTCGTAATGGTTACCTGCGTCTAAGCCTCCCTTAAAATGAAGTGCAATAACTTCCCACTGGCTCTTCATGAAGTCTGCTATACTTTTAGGTGACCAGTCTTGGAAGCATTTGAGAGGCTTGCATGTATCTTCACTTCTAAGTCGAAAGTGGTGTTGCGATTTGTCAATCTGTTCGGCCGATATGGGAAGCGTGGAATCGCAGATCCCCTCGTCCACGAACTTCCATATGCAGGATGCTTGGTCGATCAAGGTCAACACTGCGAAGACTTTGCGGTATGTGCGCTCAGATTCCTGGATCAGCAACCGATTAGTAGAACGGGACTTCAGCTTGTATAGGCCGCGTTTGTCGGCGTCGAGGCGTAGCTTGCCCAGGAGTGACCGATCTCTAGCTAGCTCTTTTGCAACGACATCATGCGTTATAAGCTCCTCTAACAATGCCAGAGGGATAAAGTGCTGATCACAGAAAGGCGAAAGCTCTCTTGCAGTGTTCAGTCGCTCCTTCAGGCTTTCGGGGCGCTTGCGGGTTCGATCCGGCCATCGGCACAGCTTGATTGCCTTGCGAGAGACGTTTACGGCAATGCTCTTTACGACATCAAACGTCTGAGAATGCTGGAGAGCTCGGAACGGGAATCCAGATGACTTTCGCTTCACCGGCTGAGGTCGCACAGGTCTGGCACGAGGTATGATGACTGTCCGATCCTGATGTTTAACGACCACCGAACGTCTACGTTCATGTGGCTGATGATTTGTCGTGGTAGAGCCTGATACTACCGCACCGTGTGAGACATTACCGGGTTTCCCCGATGATAAAATCTCATGCCTTTCAAAAGAAGCAGTGTCGTCTTTCGAACATGGTTCAGATGAGATAAGGGAATCTGCATGCTCAAGGTCTGCTAGGTGGAGCTCCTTGTCCAGTCCTAAACTACATGAGCAGTTGCATCACAGCCTATGTCATCGAAGCCTCACCTTCCAGAGCATGGTTACATTCTTCTACATATGTTTGAACACTCGGATCCTCGATCTTCACCCGAATTTTCGGTGTCTGCGTATAATGACTCTGGTTGCACACGTTGTTCATGATCACCGGGGCCTACCATCAGGCTATGCAAAATGGTTCGGCCGAGGATATGGATGCAGCATAGGAAGGGTGACTAGGCGCGCATGTCAGGCATCGAGCTGAGGCCCACTCGAGCTATATGCAAGAATTCTGGGTACATGTGGCCTGAAGCCGCCCCGAGTAGGCATTCTAGCGCCTTGTCTGAACCCTCCAATATCTGCATGGGTTGACGAGCACATCCAGTAGCGCAAAGAGGAGGCAGCAGGATGTTGAACATAACCTTGTAGTACTAATTTAATGAGGTATGGTTACCTCGGAAACTGATTGGACAGCCTGGTGTGCAGGCTGAGTTTGGCCCCATGTTCCGTTTACGAGGGGGTGCCACGATCGATGCCGATTCTCCTCAGCCGATGGACTCCGACGGACGCATCGAACAGGGACGCCTAGGAGTCAGACCGGTCTTCGAGTCGAAGTGTGAGCACCTCTGAGCCACCACAATTCGGTTCGTGTTGGTGTGTTAACCTTGTGACTCGGTCAGCGCGTGCTCATCAGCCACTGTGGCGATGCAAGAAGAAGTCTTATAAGTGCGAATAAATTGCAGTAGTTGCTCGAGTCGTTAAACATATCAACACTTTTCGCCCAGCCTAGTCTGAGGACCAGTTTCAGCTGAACCTCCAATGTCGCATCCGTCAGCCACCAACCCTCGACCCCAAGCCTTGACCTTGCCTGTCGGCAATGTGCATTTGGGAAAATTGATGAGAATGTTAAGAGCAAAATATCCCGAGCCTTCAGGATTTGAAGTCAGCGTAAGTAATAGGACTGCCCTATCCGACAATCGCTGAAATAGCACTGCAGATAAAACATAATGTGTGCTCTATACAGACTCCACAAATGCTCACTAAGGTAATTCCACGAATACTTGTGCCGCAGAGAATGGCACTAACTTTATCACGCAGAGTGAGATGGACGAATGCCGGTGACTTTGTTCGGACTTTGATAGCCTACAATGAACAAACATGTCGACCGTCGACCTTGTCAAGTCTACCTTATGGATCTCCAAGAATACATGTGTGCGTCAAACCGATAATTGACCATAATCGTCAATCTTTTGCTTATATTAGCGCAACATTCGGATCGTCAATGTGACATCATACTCAGCCCTCGTGTTGAGCTGAGAAAAACAACTCTTCCAGCCTGGTCGAGATCAACGCCATTGCCGAGTCATGCTACCAGACCCCAGCCCAGGTCGTTCTCGGCGAACGCCACATTATGCAGCTCAAGCGCCCTGAGAGCACAGCCAATGAAGTGGGAGCCTCGTGCACCATCGGCTGAAAACAGGCGGCGAGTGCAGTTATGCAGTGTGAGATGTGTTTTCGAGCCTTGTGCGTTGATACACGAAGACTTGCCAGACCGCAGATCAGGTAGCCTCACACAAGTGCAGCAGATTAGTTTAGTCCAAATTTGCCCCGTGAATTCTCTCGACCCAATCTAGAATGTCCCTATTCAGTACATGTGCAAGTCGTGACTATCCGGACGAAACGACACTCCGGTCAGTATTACCTGAAAGCCAATCCAATCGTGCCTCCTGAACCATGGACCAATACTTCTCTACTCTGTTGATGTGTGTCAGCGACACATTCGATGTTGAATGATCCCGAGACTTACGGTTCCACAATCTCCTCAGGTGCTCGAAGGATGCGCTCTGGTCGAACTGCTGCATTCCCAAGATTTTCTGATCGAGCAAGTGCTAGGCATGATTCCAGTGCAAGCCTGTATGATCTCAATCCGGCCCGTTTACGCACCCTTCGCAGTAATTCCTCTTCCTGTACCCTTTTCCAGTTCCGCACTCCAATCTGCTCAACGTCCCGTCGTGTCGATTGCGCGGTGGTCCCCGGCTCGAATGTACAGATTTCGAAGCTGTACTGCTTTTGTGTTTGTTGAAGGCCAACGAACCTGATGGGAGCGGCTATGCACAGCTCAGCAAGTGCTACAGCAAGACGCAGGAACCTCTGCTCCTTAGTGTCCCGGTCGTGACATCCACTCTGTTTCGCTCGAAAGGTGCAGACGTCCTTCTCGTGTTCCATCGTGTCTGCGATGAGAATTCCGCAGGTACAAAGATCTTTCGTCCATGGAGCGTTGTAGAGCAAGACTATACTCTTCACTAATTTTGTTGCGACGATACCGAGAGAACATTCACTTGTCTTCCGGAGGCCTGCGTCCGCCTGAACCTTCTGTAGTAGATCTTTGATAGTCAGTGCAGCTCCAAGGCCCTCGAAGCTGATCTCTTTAACAATCTGGGAAATTTCGAACCGCTTCTCAGATAGCCCCGACTCGATCGTGACGGTGACGAGTTGATAACCATCCTGGTTTTGGCTTATAAACTCGAGCTCGAATTCCAAGCCATCGACAAGGTTGCGCAAGGTTTCGTCAGGGGAAGGTTTTCCTAGCACCAATGTCCACTTTCCGCGATCTTGTGCTGCGCTATATAGCAACTCCATGTTATCAATGGCGTCTCTGGAATGAATGAGATATTTGTTCGTCGCGCTTAGTTCTTTCGGATCAATCCATTTGGTTGAGTCCTTGGTTTCGTCAAGCAGCGTCCAGTACAAACTTCGCGAATCCTTGTTTAACATTTCTACTTCATCTTTCAATCGATCGATTCGCTCTTTTAGGAGGGAACCTTGGAAAAGCGCGTAGACAACTCTTCTTAACCAATCATCTTCGCATGATAACTGCCTCCTCTCACTGGATAGCTGGTCTACGATCTGAGTCCAGAGACCTTTCTTGGAGGTAGGAACTTTTGGAGAGTCGTTGGCTTTGCAATACAAGAAATCTTTGATATGGTTCGCCTCTGCTCGGATGCGGATCAATGCCAGGTCCACATCCTGCAAACCATCTTGGCCCCAGAAAAGCCTGTAAGTGTCGTCCGGGAACGGGTCGCCATACTTATCATACCATATATTCCTCCAATTGCGTAATTCCTGATGGATCAGGTTCATTCGCTTCCTCCAGTAACCCAAACGATACTGCCCTTCGGAAAAGTCATGGTATTTCTTGTTCAGCGTTTCCACAGTAGTGGTCAAGAAGCTGATCAACCCCGCTGTTGTGCCTATCGCCCCAAGAACCGCAAGTTCCGCGACCATTTGATAATGAGTAAACGCCGAAAGATTGCTCTATAGAAGAGTCAAAATAACTGAAAGAAGTGACTTTAGAGCAGTGAGGAGACGTCAAGGAGACATGCCCCGCACTTCAGGCGAGTGGCTGCAGAAACGTAAGCGAGAGCCTCGTGATCATAGTTCAGCTCGTATTTCAGCAAGCCCCGCATTCTCAGCCTGCTCAGGTTGTCTATAGTCGTCAGGCTGAACGATTTCAGTGATCATCTTACACTTCACGAATGTTTAGAAAAATGGAAGAGCTGGATCTAAGGCCACAGGGATTAGAAGCTTTGTACACAAAATGGAACCCAGTTCAAACGATTCATAGCCTAGTGGAAGACACTGCTTTTCAAATCTCGGACAAGGCCACAGCCATAACCCTCCACGATAACCTTATTCGTTTGAAAAACTGGGCAAGCGAGATCTTCGTTGAAGGTCTATCCGATTTCGAGGCCAGTAACCAGGAGTTGGTGCGAGTTTTGTGTGAGCATGTTGAGACAATCGGAAGGAGCCTTATAGACATCAAGGACGCTATTTCCAAGAGGGATACAACTGTAATTGAGTAAGTTCCACAACGTTTGTTATGTGGAAAGATCGAATCGCGCTCATTCGGATCTCATCATCCGCTGAAATTACTAACGTCAGCTCTGATCGATGTGCCTTTGCTAATCAGGCCCAGTGACCGCTTAAAGAGTCTAGATGCCACCATAGAGGAGCTGCTGGAAGACTCAGATCCAACTATTGTAGCTATCGAGATCGCCCAGAAACAGGGTACTTCAGGTAGACTGATCCAGAGCATTCAGAGACGAACGTTAGGACAGGGTGTACGCCCCCGCTCGGACCACGATGAACGAATGAGCGGTGATTCACAAACACGTACGATGACTGTGCGTCGAAGGATGAGGCAGCCTCAGAAAGAACTCGCCGACGAACTTACAATGGGGATGCGAAGAAGCGAGTTCGATAAAACACCATTTAGTTTCCTCCCCAAAAGCGAACTCGATCGTCTCATTACCGTAGAGTCTGCAATGCGGGCCATGTCCATCAAAGTTCCTACTCTCGACGACGAAAAGCTCCTGCATTACATCGTAACAGACGCAAAGGCGATATTCGCTACAGCTGTGTATATCAAGTTGAAACCTGATAAGTTGCACGAAGCAATGACTTTGTTCCGCCAGTACAGCCCCCGCTTTCGCGACGACGCTCTCCCAATAAAAGAGAAGAGCGGAGCAGATCTACTGAAGGAGGCGGATGACTGTTTCGAAAGGCTAGCCAAGGGCTTGACAGATATGGAGTATCAAGAGAAGGAGGAGGAACTTTTACGGAAAGCCATCACCGGTGTACAGCACATCCTGAGAACTATCGAAGGTCCCGTGCAAAGCGATGATGATCGCATATGGACAGACGGTAGGATCATCGAATTCCAGGAAGACCAGAAGCATTTTTGCGCTCCCATCATTCAAGATACTGAGATCAGTCACGACCTATTTGGCGTTGCGATTCCATTTGTAGAGAAATATGCGACACGCGGCGCAGGATCTTACGGCGTGGTATCAAAGTATAGGATACATCACGACCACATTGTATCTTCAAGACCTTCGGTAAGCTTATCATTGACTTCTCATCAGGGACTGTCGGCTCTGACTATTGCAGGATGGTGCATCTTACGAGGTCGTTGCGGTGAAAGAGCTCAAGCCGGATACCCACAAAGACGCCCAAGAATTATCCAGACATTGGGCATCCGAGGTCCGAGCGATGGCTATGATGAATACACTTGACCACAAGGGTCACATAGTCCACTTCGTCACCGCCTTCCGCAGGGGTAGTCGTGCGCTGCCCGAACACTATCTGATCACGGAATGGGCAGATGGAGGGAATCTCGAAGATCTGTGGAAATCAATGCCGAAGCCTCAGCTGACAGAACGTACCGTGCAGTCCGTGATCAGGCAACTACTAGGGCTGGCTGAGGCTTTCAATGCTGCTCATAACTTGAAGTCCGGAGGCGTCACAACCGGCGCTTCTTACCGTCACGGCGACTTAAAACCAGCGAACATCCTCTGGTTCAAACCAAAGCCTCGCGACAACCACAATTACGTCATAGGTACTTTGAAGATCTGCGATTGGGGTGAAGCAAAGAACAAGACCTTTGCCACAGTCATGCGCCATAGCAAGACTACGGCAGGCGTCAGCACGCGGCGCTATCAGCCGCCTGAAGTCGACACTGGTATTCATTTATCTATTTCAGGAGAATCAAAACGGCGATCTCGACTTTATGATATGTGGGCCATGGGATGCATCATCCTTCAGACCATTGTGTGGCTGCTCTACGGCTACGAAGGGCTTGAGAAGTTCAACGCTAGTGTGAGAAACGAGCTTAACGATGATTCGCCATTCTATCAGACCGGAGATGTCGAGGGTAGGAGGATGGCATGGGTTCACAATGTGGTAGAGCACTGGATGGGACACATGGCCAAAGATGCTGCTTGTCGGGCAGGTACAACAGCCCTTGGAGATCTCCTTGAGATTGTGCAGAGAGGTCTCCTGAAGGTAAAGCTACCAGTTTCAGGTGGCACTTTTGTGGAACAAGCCCAGCCGCAACCGGGGGCCATTACGCAGCCACAACTCGAGAACTTGATGCGACCGTCACGGATACGGATAACGGGCCCAGAGAAGCCAGGACAACCTCATCATGATACAGAGGGATCTAACCTGGCAAGATTGAATACCCCGTTGCATGATGCGGTCGTTGATCACTCTCCTGAAATTCCAGTTGTGAACGTCATCTCACCAGATGAGGACGAAACAGATGTACAGCCCAAATTCCTCCTTCCAGGGCCCGCAAGATATCGCGCAGATGAGCTACGAGATGGGCTGCTGTCGATAGCATCGGACGAGGAAGAATACTGGTGCACCAAGTCGAACACAGATGTACCAGCGATTACCGGTAGTCTGTATGCACGAGGTCCCACACATAGTGTTCTGAGGAGGCTTCAAGATCAAGAACAGGAAGTCGATTACGGTAAGACAAGCATTGAAACCGAACGATGGAGCTTCAAGAGCGATAACGACTTTGCGTCAAGGGTGCTCTCTGAAGTGCAGAGCAATGTTGACTTTCCTGTTCCTGCAATCAGTACGAGTGAGCACCTTTGTCACACATGCCAAATCCTCCGCGATGGAATCTGGAGCCCAGTATTCGCGATCAAGTACGACATCAAAAAACTTGAGGCCCGAGCACGAGATGGATCTTGCGCATTGTGCAAGTTGCTGTGGAAAACATGTGAAGCTTACCTTGGGAAGTGGCGTGGACTGTTTTCCGAGGTCGGGTTTGAGAGATTCGAGTCTACTTTGACCATGAACGGCGACAACAAAATGCCTGTCCTTTCAATTTGTCGCTCACTGGGTAAGTTTCTTTACCTCCTTGGACGTTGTTGCACGTAATCTCTCCCATTCTCGATTTTCAGGATGGGCGGGCCCAAACTGACTATCGTACTAGAGGAGAGTAGAAAGACAGCCGACTTTCAAGTAGGCTTCGCGGAGCTCCCAGCCCCTGAAAGCGAGACATCACTTGAAGTAATCCGTCAATGGCTGACAGATTGCGATGATAACCACACCAACTGTAAACCAAGCAAGTCAACGATATCTGATGTAGTAGGTAGCGTTGTCAAGTGGCCAACACGACTGCTGGACGTGGGAGAAGGCCACGAATCTACAGTCTACCTGCGCGAGACTACGGAGACAACACCGCAACGCAAAGGAGAGTGGATTGCCTTATCTCACAGGTGGGGAGAGAAACCACACTTTTGTACAACTACGGACAACCGTGTGAGATTCAAGTCAGGAATACCAGTACAGGACCTCCCTGATACTTTCAGACATGCGGTCACTGTTACGAGGGCCCTTGGATGCCGTTACCTTTGGATAGATTCGATTTGTATCGTTCAAGAAGGTGCTGACGCTGACTTCAAAGAAGAGGCTAAGTACATGGAAGAAGTCTACAGCGGTGCACGATGTGTCATAGCAGCAAGTCGCGCCAATGGCCACAAGGACGGATTTCTCAAGCCCAGAAAGGAACGTGGTTATGTTGGACTCCAGCGAGAACAGGAGAGCAACGCACCATTCTACATCTGCGAGATGATTGATAATTTTGAAGAGCATATCCTCGGTGGTTCGCTCAACCAGCGCGGTTGGGTTCTGCAGGAACATGCGCTCGCTCGCCGGACTATTTTCTTTGACGAACATCAAACCTATTGGGAATGCGGGCATGGTGTCCGATGCGAGACAATGACCAAGTTGGATAAGTAAGTGACCATTTGAACCACCCCCACAGTCCCCCACATGACCGTACTGACCAGCATCAAACAGCGAGGCAGCTAAGCTACTCGGAGATCCAAATTTCCCAAAGCTCCTCGACTCTGCCAAACAAGCCGAGAGGATCATCCGTTTCGAAGAACTGTATCAGCAGTACTCGCGGCTCGGTCTATCCAAACAATATGACAGGCCAACAGCATTGGCTGGACTGGAACAACGACTGCACCGCACCATGAGGGTTAAAGGGCGTTTTGGCATGTTTGATGATTCAAAAGCCCCGGGTTTGCTGCGCAGGAGCTTGCTTTGGCATCGAGGTAAAGATACCAAGGGATTGACTCGTATTAAGTTCCTGCCCACACAGACTCCTGCTCCGTCGTGGTCCTGGATGGCCTGGACAGGAACCAAGATCGACGACTACAAATATACCCCTGGTGGTATCAACTACTTCCAGGTTCCCTTCAAGGAGTTCGACTGGGAGGATGTCCAAACGCCGTGGATGCGACGGGACCTTGATGAGGAGAACGCACTGTCTGTCGACGCAAGGGCTTTCGATTGCACGTCAGCGCGAAAAGAGCAGTACACTTTCATCGGCGATTCTCAGAAGGGATCGGCGCCAAAATGGGGTATGTGCGTGGTCTTGGGCATCCAGATAGGTTCTCTAATGGCCATTGATAAACAGCATTACGTGCTGCTGATTGCGAGGACTGGGAAGATGGATTCCAATGGCTTGCAGAGATGGGAGCGCATTGGTGCGGGTTGGTTGCTTGGAGAGTTTCTCAAGAACGACGTCATCGGAGTCAAGGTTTATTAGACTGTTTGTTAGTACTCACTCAATCAAAAGATGACGACCCACATATTCTTCAAGTTCTCCATTGAAGTCAGCTCGAATATCATCATACAGCTCGTTATCCGCTCATCCTCTACATTACACTCCACCCCACGCTCTAGTTTATCCTTGACCTTCCGATTGACCTTCCGCTCCACCTGATCCAGCTTGATATCACCTTCGGGATTCGCCTCCTCCATCACAAATCCCATCTCCCTCCTTCTTTCCGCATCTTCACATCACCTGCCAAGCACATCCTTCATCTATTATAGGAGGAATTTGATAGATTATAAAGAAAGAATATTGCGAAACTCATTACCGTACGAAAGTCTCGTTATATAGGTTCTAAAGCCCACTCGCATAACGTTCGAATGAATGATCAAACCCAAAATCAACATCGTTAACGTCAACCCACAGACTCCCAGCCTTATCCACTGCCTTGATGTGGGTCAACGGTTTATCTCCACAACTGTATGTATGTAGCTTGAGCTCAATCCCCTCTATCAGCGGTAGCTTCTGCAGTCGCTTACAAGCATCCAGTATCTCATGGAACTTGAGAAGATGGTGAAAAAGCCCACATAGATCGTACTCATTCCCGGAGAACAGCTCGCTTCTTATGTGCGCATTCCTCTCCGGTGTCATGAAGACAACAGATTTCTTGTAGCTTGGATCTTCGATGAATGTTGGGTTCCTGTGTGGCGCTAACGTGAGTATATGGTAACATGATATGAGGTGCGAAACCTACGCCATATGTAGTCTTGTCTTTCCTACATGTGGCCAATACACATCTTCGTAGTTTTTGTGGGCACTGAACCAGAAGTTATATCTGGGGAACCTCACATGAGCGTTCTTTTTCGGCACTTTTATCACGTGCTGTTCGTGGGAAGTACTGTGATTTGACTTGGGTTGTTGTTGAGTGGTGATGCCTAGGATGGAACCGTGGAACGCGGAATGAACAGCACTGGGAGCTGTGCAGTCAACTTCGCCTCTCCTACTTCTATCTTCCTATCCTCCACACCCTTGACCACACAAACGGCGTCTAGACCTCGCCGATCATGGTTGCGCAGCTTGTGCTCACATGAGCTTGGCTTCGACCCGCAGTGGCAAATAAACATCAGAAAAGACGGGTGCAACTTGCTTTAAGTGAATGCTCAGCAGATCATTCCAAGCCTGGTTATCTCGGTATACCTTGCAGCTAGCGCACCTAGTTGGCTTATTAACTATACTTTTAAAGTCCAGCGATAAGTACATTTAAATAGTATAACTTAATTAAAGGAATCAAGTTTAATTTACTTTATCTCGCCTTCGCTGTTCTCTCCAAAACTTCGTTGCCTCTAGAACTTCGGGGCAGCCCTGCACTAGCCAACCCCATTTTCTCAAGAACGCGATACTTATCTCCCAAGCCCGTGATATCCCAAGCTTCACCCCAGACAGTAAAAGGCGCCACCGCATCATCTGCATCCTCGACTCTCATCATATCGCCACATAATTTTTCTTTATCAATTATCCCCGCTTCGAGTCCTCGTAGAATGTTATCTCTCATGACAGGAATTGGGAAAAGATCGATCCAGGGATGGTGATGTATAGACTTTTGCAGCGCAGTTGGGCGGAGCCGATCTGGGACAGACAATAACATGGTGGCGGCGCCTAGGGAATTCGGACCCTGCAAATTGAATGGAGAAATGCAGTCATCATGATACATCTGCTCAAACGAGAAGTTCAGTGCAAGTGCGTTAATAGCCAGCGCGTTAATGACGTTGAGACGCGCGAGTATGGGTAGGTTATTGGGTCTCGGTCCGTTGATGCTACAATTTGCGATAACTGTTTGCACAAACTCAACTGCCTTCTCGTGGGATTTAGGGCAATGTAGGAGGATGAAGTTGAGTGGCCAATCGTGGCGGGCATTCTGCACACTAGATTGGCCGCACTTTGGGTCGTAGGCTTGCTCAGTGCGGTCATCAGACGTAAGCCTGTCTTTGGCTACAAGGCAAGACTCAGGATTATCATTTGAGGCAGCGGTCGCACACCGCTCAAGGTGTCTCTTTTTCCCTGCTCCGTATTAGCATCTGGATCCGGAAAGTGGAGAAGTTGTAGGGGAGGACTAACGATACGCCCTCTGATTCAAACGATTTTGTCGCCTCCTTCTTTCGGCAGAGCTGATCACTCCTGTCCAGTTGTCTACACAATCGTCCCATGCTTCAAACAGATGAGCCATTAGAGTAGTAAGTCCGAGCAAATGGTACCGTAACGGCGATGTAAAGGAGGTGGGAATATCCCTAACATGCACTGGGGTGAAAAGACGATGGAAAAAGGGCCGATTAGAGAAGATCAAACCTACGTACTCCCTTGTCATTACGATTGACGACAGGCGGCAGGCCATGTGACCATGCGCGCGCCCAGAGGTGGCATGCCAAGAGCGTCAGTGCGGGCGCTAAGGTAAGCGACTTAGCACGTATAAATTAATAGAGAATTAATTCTAAATTAATTCATCCTATAAGCTAAATTCCACAGCCTTATCGCCTACTATAGCTAATAACCTAGTGTCTATAACTCTTAATAGAAATATAAGTATTAATAGAATTATTTGTAAATTAATTCTAAATTAATTCTTAGGCTAACTATAAGGCATACTATACCCTCCCTACCCTACCTATAGGCCTTAGCTTATAGAGTAAGGATAAAGATAACCTACCTATTATCTACCTTAGTAAGGCTTACTACTAGGAGGATATTAGTAACAGACGTCTCTGTAGTGTAAGAATTAATCTAGAATTAATTCTAAATTAATTCTAATAAATATAGCGTAAATTTTTAAAGTAAGGTAATCTTATTAACTACCTTATCTATATTTATAGATAGGAGAAGATTTTGCCCTCTAGCTATAGAGTTAGCCTGCCCTCTAGCTAGCACTAAATAAACAAAATGCGTATATATAATAAGAATTAATATAGAATTAATTCCTAATTAATTCTAGTCTAGTAGGGTAATATTATAGATATATACTATACTTAGGCTATTCTACTAGTGTACTAGTAAGCTCTTCTTACCTAGGTATAGGTAGTAATACTAGCCCCTCCCCCCTAGCCTATTATCTAGCTCCCTAACAGCTTTATAAGTTAAATTAATCTAGAATTAATTTAGAATTAATTCTAACTTTTATAGGCTAATTATGTCTATATGTCTACTACCTATATGCTTATTAGGCGCCTTACCCTCTATCCTACCTATAAGGCAGAGGATAACCTTAAATAGCTAACTTATAAGTAGTCCTAAATAAGAATTAATTCTAAATTAATTCTAAATTAATTTAGTCTGTAATTTCTTTCGGGACTTAGATTTCTAGAAGTGTAAGAATTAGGATTACTAGATAGAGTTAAGGGAGGAGGATAAGTGCGCCCTAGAGTAGGGTAATAGCAGGGAGGAGGAGAAAGAGAAAGTAGAGAAGAAGAAGAAGAAGGAGAATAATACTTTTTCTCCCCTCTTACCCTCCTCTAGCCTTTCCTTACCTTACCCCTCTATGTTTTCTAAGAATTAATTCTAAATTAATTCTAGATTAATTTCCCTAGCCTAGCTAGATACCTACCTTTAGGCAGATAACTTCTAAATAAATTCTTTTATTCTACTATATATCTACATGTCTATACTGCAAACTCTAGTAATAAACCTAGCTATTAATACTTATATATACTATATTATTATAATGCCTCCTTAAAGTACTGCCTATTTCTATATAGACCTTTTAACTAATATCCTAGAAATATTTCTTAGTTAATTCTAAATTAATTTATATTAAAAAGTATTCTTACTCTTAATTATCTTCATCCTGCAGTTCTCACATAGCGTAGGAATATTATTATCTTATAGGAGCTTATAGGTCTCCTTTAGATTAATTTAGCCTTTCTTCTACCTCTTACTCTTATTTAATACCTTAAAGTAAGGAAGGTTAAATACTAGAATAGAAGTAGTATTATTCTTATAGTAAGGAGCTTAAATTAACTCTTTATTAATTCTTAGGCTGTCTCCTTATAAAGGCGGTATTAATTTAGAACTAATTCTAAATTAATTTATACTTAGAAGACTAAAATTATCTTCTTCTATAATTACTTTACTACTAACTAATAATATATAATATAAATGCGGTATTATAAAGCTATTATACTAATAATAGAGCTCTATTACCTCTATAAAGTATTTAAGGGTAGTGTAGGCTCTTTTAAGACTAAGTATTCCTAAAGATATATTTTAGAGCTTATAAGAAGGATAATTCTAATAGATATAGTAATATAGGGCTCCTCTACCTAGGAATTTACGCTAAATTAATTTAGAAGCGATTTAAACACTTAGGGAGGATAATATACACTATAGAGAATACTACTATTACTAATTATTATCCTATAAAATAACTCTCTAGCGTAGATTATAAACCGTCCTTTATTATCTCTATAGGAGAATACTTCTAACCTAGCTAGGAGCTAGGTTAGAGATGAGTACTCTTAATAAATAGGCTATATTAATTTAGAATTAATTCTAAATTAATTAGCTAAACTTATATATAAGGATAGCACCTTACTACTTATAGTAGTGGAGAACGCTTAGATAGTTAAGAGTAAAGGATATTAGAGAATAAGGGGATTATAGTTAATTTATATCTAGTGTGGAAAAAATTTTTATGCTAGCTATACTATTTTAGGTTTTATTAAAATTAATAGAGAATTAATTTAGAATTAATCTTTATTAATTCCTAACTATTCTCTAGCTTACTATAGCTAAATCTTACGTTCTTTTAGCTATACCTCTACCTCCTATTACTCTAGATAGAACTTATACTTCTCTTATTTAAGTAATAGTCTTTCCTTTTCCTACTAGAACTCTTTACGCTCCTAGGTAAGATCCTAAAATCTACTAGCCCTATAAATTAATAAATAATTAATTTAGAATTAATTTGAGCTTTTTACTTACGATAATAATGCTGGTAGAGATAATGGTATTATAGAGCTTCTTAATAGAGAAGACTAATATAATCTTATCTATCTTAAGCCTCTTACTTATAATTTTATACTCTACCTACGTCTTACCCTACTTAAGCTAAAGTTCTTAAGACTCTCTAGAACCTCCTTATTATTATCTAATATAATAATAATATTAGAGGACTTCTAGCGCTCTAGTACTATAAGAATTAATTTAGAATTAATAGAGAATTAACTTACTAATTTCTCTACCTATATTCTAAAAGAATTAAGTACTAAGAGTTAGGTTTTGCCTAGACTTATATCTAATACTATACTTATTCTAGACCTTATATATTTAAATATCCTAAGCATCTATATGTATAGCCCTTCTAGGATTAGAATTAAATAAGAATTAATTCTAGATAAATTTAATAAATATACATCTTAATACCTTATAGAAGCTTATGCCTTATTCTAGTATAATACCCTATTAATGTAGCTTACTCTACTATATTTATATATAACTTAAGAGAGTTCTATGTAGCCCTAAGCATACTACTATAGTGGTAATTAAGCCTAGCTATAATTATAGGATTCTTCTTATATTAGACCTAATCCCTAATTACTTAAGAGCTTATTAAACCTAGGAAGACCTTATTAGATTTATTTTAAATTAAGTCTAAATTAATTCGACTATAATACTTACCTATAATTAGATTATAGAGATCTATATACTCTGTTCTAGTCTCTGCTGTTAGTAGTAATCTTATATAACCCTAGTCTAAATTCTTAGTATGTAAAGAATATAGATAGGCCTTATTAATTCTCTAATAAAAGTAGATAGAGCAGAAGTAAAGGTAATAGCTAAGCTAATACTACTAGAATTAATAGAATGGGTCTTAGGCTGCTAGATACCGTCTAAAGCCTAGTTTTCCTAAAGAATTAGTAATAAATTAATTCTAAATTAATTTAACCTACCTACTATCTATTTTATGTCTATGTTAATAGTAACACTAATTATACCTATCCTATAGAGATACATCTATTAAAATAGTGTACTAGTAAGCTCCTTATAGGTATTAAAGAACTCTATAAATGCCTTCTTATATATAGTAGATGTCTGGGTGTTGGTAATAATCTAACTAAAGGTAAAGACTATAAGCATTAGAATTAATATAGAATTAATTTAGAATTAATAAAAGCCTTACGCTTCCTATACTATAGTAAAAACACTATAAATAAAATTTTAGTCTAACTATCTTTAAATCTCTTAAAGGATATATTTATTTAGAATATATTCTGCTCTAATAGTATAATAGCCTAGTCCTAAAAAAGATAGATAATAATATTACTAGAGGTTATAGGAAGCACCTTTTAGATATATACCTATTTTATAGGAATTAGTGTAGAATTAATTTAGAATTAATTTAAACCTACTATAGCTTAGTTACTATAGTGCGTTTTCTACTTAAAAAGAATACCCTTAAGTCTACCCCTATATAGGTACTTAAGTAGTCTCTTACAATAAATAAGTCTTATAATTTAATCCTTATCTATAAATACTACATAGAATTACTTAATAGAGCTATATCTATATACCTATAGGTATATAGAGAGAGCCTTAGACTTAAGGAAGTTGGCTAAATTAATTTAGAATTAATCTTAAATTAATTTATCTTTTCTAACTTACTCCTTATAAACCCAGGGTATATAATTAGCTATAGAATACCTAGAATCTTATTAATATAGTCCTGGCCTATAAGCTATAGTGGTGGAGGTATATGTGTATATATACTAGTAGATACTAGTATTATAAATAGTACCTAGGAGGGGTATATTAGAATAATTATATTAAAAATAATACTATAGTCCTATTTAATAAGATTTCCCTGTCTCTAGATATAATTAGTACCTAAATTAATTTAGAATTAATCTTAAATTAAATTATCTCTACTTACTATAATGTTTTAGCCTTAAGCACTATAGCTTAATAACATTATACTATTCTTAAGGAGCTATTAATAGACTAGTAAGTAGACTATATAGGTATTTAATATTAATAAGAGTAGGAACCTACTAAATAAAGTACTTTTTAGTAGTCCCCTAAACCTAGCTCTTACACCTAATAAGCTAGTGTAGAGGTCTAGTAAGAGGCTTAAATTAATTTAGAATTAATTAATAATTAATCTATATATAACTTACTCGCTATCTTAATAAATATAGCCTTAGGCTATATAATAGTTATAGTGGCTTATAAGAACCCTATTAGAAATAGTAAGTAAGGCTATTAAAGTAACTCTTTACCCTACGCTTCCCCTTATTATTCTTAATCTATAATAATAAGCTCTTAATAGTCTATAGCTATTTATATAGCTCTAGTGTAACCTCTATATAAAATATATTACGTAATTTATTCTAAATTAATTTATAATACTTAATCCTAGAGTATCTAAACACCTATCGTAATGTATATATATTAAGAAAAGGGTAGAAGGTTAGCTTTTTACCTACCTTACTTACCTTAGAGTATTAGAACTAGTATAATTATATTAATTAAAGTTAATTTATAATTAATTCTAAATTAATTTATTTACTTACACTCTTAGCCTATCTTAGTAGCTTTTCCTACTTAAGGTCTTCTACTTATGTTACCCTAATACGGATAATATAAGTATATCCTACTTTATGTGTACTTAGGTATTATAGAACTGCAGCTACGTATTTAATAATATTAGCCTTAAGTGTATTATTATTATTATTCCTGCTAGTAATTACAGCGCGCTCCTATAAATTCTAAATTAATTATAAATTAATTCTATATAATAGACTTATATAGTACTATTTAGTATTATTATCTACATAATTACTAGAGATAATAGGGGTCTAAATACTTATATCCTTATCCTATAGAATATTAGGTTTAAAGAGATCTAAGTTAACATAGGTTTATTAGACATCTAGGACTGGGAATAATATTATAATATAAAGTTATTTAGAATTAACTTAGAATTAATTTAATTTTAAGAAGACTATGTATACACTAGTTCTACGCTAGTTGCTTAGGGTGGTATAAAAACTTCTCTAATCCTTACTATAATTACTATTGTTGGTTAGGCCATGCCACCTCTTGGCACGCCCTTGGTCAGATTACCTGCCACCACGATTGACGAGAGGGCTCCAGCTGGGCCTAAAGGCTGACACCCTGGTAAGTTTTAGTGGTAGAGCTACGTGATATCAGGCAAAGTGGTACAAACCATTGCCAGTCACGTGTACCAAGCATCTCCTTCCGAGCCAATCAATGACTGTGAGGTGACTCACGTGACTGAGAATGAGTCGACAGCCGAGGTATCATCGGAATACGGATATCGATACTCCGTGCTGCAGCTTGCTGACACCCCTGCTAATTCAACCTCAAATCAATTCTCAGCAAAGAGCTCGACTGGCATGCTAGCCTCACACAAAATCAAATACTATTTTGGTACAACACTCATTGATAGACATCTCAGGAACTTCTGCAACATGCTTACACCCCTGCAGGTGGAGAATATTTCATGATTGGGTGGGGAGGCATTATGGTCGAGTATCCCCGTAAAGTATGATCGTGAAGGCGCGATTACCACTGTCGTTAGCGAAGATGGTCAGTACAGGAAGCGTCTTAATATAAAATTCTCTAGACGTCGTTCGCAAATCATTATGGTTCTCTCTCATCAATACACTTCATTGTCTCCAACACTATGCCAGAAACAAAGCGAACTATTCTTGTCACCGGAGGCACTTCTGGCCTTGGCTACCATGCCACTACCAACCTTGCCCGCCAACACCCAGACAACACTATTATAATAGCATCTCGAAGCGATTCAAACTCGGCAGCTTCTTCCATACGACAACTCACAGGACATCAGGACGTCCATTTCCTCCCGCTCGACTTGGGCAATTTGCAAAACATCAGATCCTTTGCCATTGCCATCTCCGAGAGAGGTACACCGCCAATCTCCATACTGTTGTTGAACGCCGCGATGCAGTTCCCCGATGGTATCAAGTACACTATTGACGGCTTTGAAGCAACATTTGGCATCAACCATGTTGGGCACGCGCTCTTGTTCCATCTTCTCCGGTCATTTCTTGCAGACAAAGCCCGGGTCGTCGTAACGGGCAGTGCATCGCACGACCCGGCGCAAAAGACGGGTGTGCCGGATGCAAACTATACTTCTGCAGAAGAATTAGCACATCCAGTTGGCGAGGCAGTCAAAAACACCGGAATGCAGCGGTATGCAACAAGCAAACTGTGCAATGTCATATGGTCGTACGCCTTGCATCGCCGATTCGCTAGCATTCCTGGCAAGCAATGGACTGTCGTGGTGTTTGATTCTGGCATGATGCCTGGCATGATGCCTGGCACAGGCTTGGCCCGTGAAGCAGGACCTGTCTTCAAATTTGTCTGGCATCGTGTGCTCCCCAGGCTCGTCCCATTCCTGCGTCGAGTCTTGTCCTTCAGTGTTTGGACAGCCCAGGAATCGGGGTCAAATTTGGCTTGGGTTCCATCAGAAGAGTCCACTAGCGGTGTATACTATGATGCAAGGACTCAGATCAAGTCTATTAGCCTCTTGCTCCTGGGGAGCATGTTTCTGGCGGCGGCAAGTGTAAGCCATCATGCGGGTTAGGATGATACTGAACCAGCCAACTAACCACTCCCATAGTTCATCGACGAGCGGTTCTTTTCCGATGATTTCTACCCGTCGAGAACAGCCTTGAAGCGAGCGGTCTACGAGCGCGCCAAGGTATAGCTGAGCATGCACGGAACGAACTCAAAACTAAAGGTGGCGTAGGCCCTCTACGACGTCGACTACGAACAAAACAAGATTACACTTATCCAGTCCGTGTTCCTGCTGAGCCACTGGTACAGCAACTCCGAAGACCGGACTGGGCCATGACATTGGATAGGCATTGCCATCGGCCTATCCCATACCATTGGCTTACACCGCCAACCTTTCATTACACCCGAGACCTCCGAAGTGGTCAGGCCGTGCTGGCGCCGCCTCTGGTGGTCCATCTACATCAGGGAAGTGTGGCTGTCATTAGGTACAGGCCGACCGATCAGGATATCCCTCAGGGACTGCGACACGCCCATGGTCGGTCTCTGCGACAAAGACAGTCAAATAAGCGCCGCAAACACGGAAAAATACCTCCCAGAGAATCAGCCCGAGCTGTTCGAGCTGTGGCTTTCTCTAGCGAGACTAACCCGCGAACTGGGCACCATCTTATCGACCAACTACGCCCCACTCAGCACGAAGCCTTCGAGAAGCGAGCTTGAAACGAGCGAAAAACAAATCAGAGACTGCAAATGCGATGTATCGGGCAGAACAACGTTGGATCGCATTTTATCATCTCATATTTACCAGTTCAAATTGTACCTCGAGTAAGCAGCATGAAACATTAAAGTCTTACCCAATCCGATCTAACCCCAACAAGGACATCCATCATCGTCCTCTACAGACCTTTCATCATGGAAACCCCCCCAGACGTATCACCCTCGCAATCCCTGAAGCACTTCGCCCGTCAAAAAGCCCGCGTAGCCGCATCAAACGCCACCGCAGCAATCAACTCCATGCTCGCCGCCGATCTCATGGGCCTCTGCCACTCAATCACGTACAGCACCCTTCTCCGTCCACCGTGACTATTCGGTCCTCACTAACCTCCCCAGGGTCCTCGCCATGAGCGCCCCCATGCAAATCCACCTCTTTGAAGCAACCTCCCCCAAGCACTTGTCCCGCCAGACAGGCAAGCACAATCTAGCTCTCTGCATGCTTGCCGTAAACGAGCTTAGGAAGTCGTACGTCGCTGCGGGTGCGGGCTACGCGCTGTTTGACAGGGCGATTGGCAAGATTGACGGGGCGCGCGGGAGGACCGATGACCTGGAGTCGTGTGCACCATCTGCATCTGCGTTCCCACACGACGGGAGAATGCACACGGAGCACCTTTGGACAAGTCATCCCGAGGGCTACGATATATCGGTCGAAGATATCGTTTCGGATGTATGGAGGCCTTTTCTCGACACAGGCCACGCTTGGAGTTAGTATACACTTTTATACACATCAACAAGCAATACCCCGGTGTAAGAATAATGAAATTGGAAACGATGGCTATACGAAACAGGTAGTGACTTACCCGTGATGCTACTTTCTTTCTTCGTTGGGTACCTTTATGTAAGGCTTGACTGTCGCCTCCGGCTACCGTGCTTCCCCCGCCCTTACAACAAATCGACGTCGCGCAGGCTAGCCTAGCAGTATACATCGATCTTATATTAATCTTACGCAATCGCATGTATGCCCAACTGCCTCCCTTATCCCCTCCTTTACTTTCCGCGAAGCAAACGTGATTTGGAAGTAGCTGCGTAGCACATATACCAACGCTCTTCCTCCGATGCGCGGTCTCATGTGAATCTTAACGTATTTATGGCGATGTTTTGTTCAGAACTAGGATGACGCTATGCGATGTGCATGGTGTGCCTTTGTACGCATTCGAGTAGACTTGCCTGTTCGCAGATGTAGCAAGGTAGATATGCACAATCGCTGGGGCGTGAGGACGATAAGCAGGAAGGAGGCGGTGGGCCAGGGCGGTGAATTGAGGGTTGAGATTCTTTGGAATGGTTGCACGAAGACACGATTGGCTTTGAGTCTGGATGAATGCATGTGAATATTATGGTCTAGAACCAGTGCAAGTTCGGTCGTTACGATGAGATTGCGGGAAGATGTGAGGCTCTAAACTATGTCTATGACGTAGGGTGGGGGGCCTTCCTTCTTTTTCTGCAAGTTTGTTATCAACCCACAGTGCATGAACACGTTGACGCTCCCGTCTGAAAGCATCTCTTCTCTTGGCCATGTTATCATCTCTCCAGAGCCAGGAGGTTATGCCCGGATGGAAACACACACACAAGCCTACATATGTGGCTTTCAAAGGTGCCATCATGGATATTCTCGAGGTGTCATCTAGTGGCATATCATCATTCTTCTGGATGTTGATCTGATGCGTCTCCGGGTCCTGGCTTTCTGAACCATGAAGTAGTCTGACGGCAACTAGATTCTCAAGGACTAAAAGTCCCCGTACATCTAGAAAGGCAGTTTTCGCTTCTTGAGTAACGTACTGCGGAATCCTGGCAAGTGGTATCAAGCGGTCATTTTTCTGCAGGGTGGATGGTCCTACTACGTAATATGGACCATGACTCTCAGAATGGCATCCGAGAATTGCCAACTGACGTCGGAACATGACTATTGCTAGCGAATGTAGGATTTTGTCTTCTGATAGATACTGCGTGTAAACCTGACCCGGAGACTGTTCGACGGGTGCGAGTTCCTTTCCGATCAGATTGTTGAAGCATTCCAGTAAGTCTTTTTGGTAGCTGTCACGGAACATGGTACCAGCTATTAGTGCAGAAAACCGGTGTAGATAGATTGAGCCTTCAAGATTGTTCACAGCCAATTTTAGCTCTTGCACGAATGCAAGAGAAATTCGAGTCCCTTGTGGAGCAGTCGGAACTGCTATCACTGAACGGATAGGTATACCGTATCCTTCCGTGAACGGGTGGAACCACTGTATTCTTAAGACCGCTGATCTGTTGTAGCTCGGAGATTCAGTATGATCAATATCTGTGTCACTACCACTATTGCTGTAGTATGCGGTGAATCTTGCGCACTGATGATTTACATCATTCTTCGACTCGAGGAACTTTACCCAGATTGCCTGGTCGTCACGATAATCAGCAGTGGTTTCTGTTTTAACACGCTCCTTGAAGTAGTCTCTAATTGTGTTGTCCAAAGCCCCTCGAAGACCATTATAAAAAGGCAAGGTGAGTCGCAATCGTTCTTGTGACCAATCTGGGATCCAAGAAGGGACTCGGGTTCCTTTAGTCACACAAAGAGGTCGGAAGTGAGCTAAATGCAAGAAGAGTTCGACAGGCGAGCTCCTCACAAGTTCGACCGCGACCCTTTCGTAGATTTGCTGGTAGGAAGCTGCTAGATCCAGTTTTGGTCGCATTGACGAAGGAAAAAGTCCGTAAAGTGCACCGATGCGGTCCTTCTCTTCTGAGCAATGGCTCCGGTGAACTTTCCACAATAAATCGGTTATACTCCGAGATGCAGTCGAAGAGTGCACCAGATTTTGGATCGCTATTGTGGTTTCGATAGCAGAGGTCTCCGGGAAATGCTCTGCCTCATCAGTGCTCTTCAGCTTCCTGCATGCCATGACGAACAAAGTGTATTGGATCTTATGATATCCACACCACATTAGCCCATGCCGGGACAGACCCGCTTCTTGTAAAATCCAACGTCGGAAGAACCAAGATCGATTAGAAAACTGTCGAATTTGCTTCACGTAATCTAATCCCGGATGATCGTCCTTGAGCTTGTTTGTAGCGCTCTGTATGGAATCCGTAACGGCTAACAAACGAAAATAAGCAAAGACCTTCGCGGTATCGAATCCGTCTTCTAAGCCAAGCCAGAAGTACGATTTGTGAGCTTGCTGGTAGATCTCTCTCATCAAAGGTATTTGTTGTACCTTCTCAGCTTCATCGTTCTGGTTCAGGCAGATAGCATCGATCCATAGAAAAAGCTTCTTGTGTCGCTTGCGAAAATGTTCAAGCATCACCTTCACATTGGATGTGATCCTTAAGTATCTGCAATAGCCGTCTCCGGTGCCGTTGAGCATGAGGAGTTCCGAAAAGTCGGCTTGACCCCATGCATACGACACGGCGATGTACTCTTGGTGGTGGTCCAATTTTGCAACCTCGTCATATCGATCGAACTGGATGATGTGTCCCTTGAGAGAGTCTGTCTCCGCTTCTGCTGGTTCCAAACAGAATATGCGGATAGTATTCGGTGTTTCGAGCGTTCGGTATTCGTAAGGTTCTAAAACGGCGGCTTCGTCTGCAGGGTCGGCATATTGGACTTCGCTTTTGGTTGATTGTGTGCCAGGTTGAGAGGCCGGACGCTTCAGGTTGCGGTCCATTTGCGAGGTGGACAGGCTTCGCTTGTCAAATAGCTAAGCTGATGCCGTACGAGCGGAATGTGCTGCGACTCTGGGGTTGTCGGTAGCTGTTGTTATTGTTATGAAGAAGAGAAAGAGGCAAGCGTCGAAGGCGGGATGCAGCTGCAACAACGTAACAGTAAAGGAAGTCGCAAGGCTGGGGCTGAGCATTTTCCCCGCTTAGGCAGCTGCAGCTTTACGAGGCTGAGGTTATGCATGCCTCGCCAATAGGATGCAGTGAAGCAACCAAAACATGGTGCATTTCGAAAACAATGTGTTCTGATCTTTGTCAGCAGCGCATCGATGAAAGGTGATAATACGGCGTGTTATATCTACTTCTCCCGTTTCCCATCTCTCCACCACCTACACAAACCCCTCCAATGTTTCCGCAACGCCTGGTAGGACCTGTACCACAATGGTGCTCCAAATGTGTATGCTTCCAAGGTTCCGTCGGGAAAGGTGGCGAGGCCGGGGCTGAGCACCTTCCCACGTAGAAGCTACCGCCTCAAAACAGCAGAGCGCACTCTAGACTTCACATAGGAACCCATTTGAAATCCATCAATGAACCGAGATCAAATAGCATGCTACCAATCAGACCTGTAAATGCATAAACCCCCACAAGACATCAGCCCCTATTCCGATCTATACTCCCCTATCGAACGCCATGAAACTTCCCTCAAACATCATTCCCCGCTGCCTAGGACTTGAAAATCTTGTCCAACCCCTCAAGCAGCAGATCCGCATGCTTCTGCTGAAAGATAAGCATCGGCCTCAACCTCACTGCCCGCTCGCCCGATCCCCCAACGTTAATCCCCACACCCTTCGCCTTCTTCAGCACCTCGTCCCGCCGCGGGCTATCCCACGCAATAAAAGTCCCCTGGCCCTTCCCGCGCAGATTCTGGATTTCGCCCGGGAACTGCTCGCTCAGTCGCTGCAGGCCATCGTACAGATACGCACCAGTGACAGCAGTGTTCTGCACGAGATCCAGCCGCTCGATCTCCTGGATGATAGCGCGGAAGAGGATCGCGCGCGCGGGGTCGCCCATCCACGTGTTGAACTGGCGATACGGCTTGTTGGGCTTGAGGGCGTCGTCGCCGAAGTAGTAGCCGGCGGTTTGCGCCTTCTTCGAGAAGGTTACCATGTCTGGGGGTGTGTCGAGGTTCCAGTGGTCGTGGGCCCAGAATTTTCCCGTTGCGCCGACGCCCGTTTGGACTTCGTCGACGATGAAGAGGATGTTGTGCTTCTTGGTGATGTCGCGGAGGCCTTGGAAGAAAGCGGGGGAAGCGTGGTTGTCGCCGCCTTCGGATTGGACGGGTTCGACGACTACGGCGGCGGGCGGAGAGTGCCACTCTGAGATGAGGCGCTCTGTCTCGGCGAGGCAGTGCTGTTCTTCTGCTTGGTTCTCTGCGGCGTACTGGTCGAGAGGATATTTAAGATCGGGGAAGGGGGCTACTGGCCAGTCGAAGGCGGGAATGTCGAGCTTGTGGATGGGCTTGGAGCGGGTGGTGGACAGACTGCCGAAGAGGCGGCCGTGGAAGCCTTTCTTGAAGGAGAGGATGGAGAGATCGGGTGCGCCGGGAGACTGGTTGGTCAAGGATGAAGTCATTTCAGCCTCGGAGAATTCGACATTTGCGCCCCCACGCTCTTGCTGGCGCCGATACATGAAAGCGGCTTTGTATGCAAGTTCGTTGGCATCGGAACCGGCTTGTGCTGTGAATACCTGATTCAGGCCTTTGGGGGCTACGGACAGGATACCGGTTTCAAGGATATCAGCCCAGTCATGCTGGGGAAAGTTGCCGAGCGCTGGGCGATTGATGATGGCGGAGGCCATTTCAGGCGAGGTAGCTGCGAGTTGTAGGGTAGGATTGTTGTAGCCGACGGGGATGGAAGCAATCTGTGCGTACACATCGAGGAGAACGTTGCCGTCGAGATCAGCAATGCTGAGAGAGCTGTCAGATACTTGCCTTGGACACATGAAGAGCTTGTTCTTACTAGTTGCCGTAGCTTTGATTGTAATTGGCCATCATGTTCAAGCTCCTGGTGTCAAACACCTTGCCCAGCCTCTCAACCGCATCCTTGCTCTTTGGCCCGGGGATCTCAGTCCGGATGATTGGGCCTGACGGCTCATCTGGAAATAGAGCAGGGGTGCTATTGTTGGGAGCAACAGCACTGGCAGCTGCAGCGGAGGCATAGTGTCTTTGGAGGGCAATTGGCGTGCTTCGAGAGGTCGGTCGCACGATCGAGCGGGCAATTGCAGGCCGCGCACGGCCTGCAGTGCGGAGGAGGGAGGCCATTGTTGACCGACGGTGAAGCTGCGGTGGCTTCACAAAGGTATGACGATGTTGGGGAAGCTATCCCTGTAGAATCCCGGGGTAGAGGTAGGGCAGCAGCTGTAGCACGAACGTAGAGTAACTGAAGACCGCTGCCGGGGAGGAAAATAGACAGTTCAAGTAAAATACTCAAGAATGAGCAGCTCAAGGTGGCGTCCAGACGGCTTTATCGTTGTTGTTATCGATACCGTTGGAGGATGGGAGCTCCATCGGGCGGGGTCTAAGCCGAAGCTATCCCCAAAGCACACGGGCCCACGCGAGTGTGGAGATGCATCAAGCGCTCTGGTCCGCCACTGGAGGAGTCACACGCCCCAAACGCTCTACTCGCTAACCCCGCGAAACCATGAATTTGTGACTTCGGGCAAGTCATTCCGACTCGGACTTCTAACACTGAAACTACAACACTCACTATGGCATCTTGTCGGGTCTACGTAACTGACATCAAACAAGTGGGCAACATAATCTTCGCAAATTTGGTCTGAACATTACTAATAGTATCCAATGCATCTGCCACATTCACCAGAGTGAAGAAGATAATGCAGCCGATGCCCATGCAGCTGTACCTTCCTCATGCATTATCCTTGCCTTGCATGTCCCTCCAGCAAGCTCTGGTTGTTATTATAGCTCCAATCCCACCCATACCACCTTGCGTCCCCCGATTAACACGCTCAAATATCGATGTTAGATATGCAAGAGAAGAAAACGCTAAACATCGTCAACGTTGACGTGTCCACCCATTGCGCACCACTTTTGGATTGCCAACCGCAATCATGCAGGACATCAGCGCCGTCCAAACGCCAAAGCAATGGGGTTATCGCAAAATGATAAAGTATAAACACATAACAAGAAAGTACAGGTAGAAGTGCTTCGAGGTATTCTGCGTCAATATTTGCTGTCCGTCGTGATGGGATGCTGGTGGTACCCATTGTGCTCCTTGCTCGGGGGCGTTGCAAGCTGTGTAGGGCTACCAAGACTTTCCAAAATTTTCGGTCTGATCCCATTGACGCTTCCATCGCTTGTCGAAAGCATCGAAATTGGATCATCCTCCATGGGCGTCAGAGTCGTGCTCTCTCCGTTTATAGGCATATCGTCTATCGGTGGCGGAGGGGGTGGAGGAACTGGCTGTGTAACCTCTGTCCTGGATTTCTTCGGCGAGGCCGGTTCGCCGTCCTCTTCCCTTTTCCTCTTCAACTCAGTCCCCGATGACCCTGTTGGTGAGGCAGCATTATAACTCGACATCCCGTCTACCATCGGAGTATCATCGGTCCCCAACGCGAACTGTGGAGTCTCCGGCGTTGCCGTCTCCCCTGGCATCGTGACATGGCCGTTTGGTTCGGTGTTATTCCGCGATACCTTGTCCTTCTCACGTCCTGTCTTCTTCTTGACGGCTTTGTCCATGAAGTCTTTGACATAATTTTTCACCGTCTTCTCGTGTTTAGAACTAATGGGTGCTGTCGGATCTGTCACGCGATTGGCCTTGAAATCACCACGCACCAACTTCTTCGCAACCTTGTAATTACTGTCAGTCACTTTGTGGAAAAGAAGAGAGTACGTGACTGACCTCTTTGGAAAGTCTCTTGATGTCCTCCTTCGGGAGCATCTTGCTATAACGGGAAGTGGTGGCCATGACATGCTTAGATAACTGCAACCGTCAGATGTGTTGACAGTCCGAGTTTTCGATACTTACTGTTCCTTCGTATATCTTCTCCTTTTTCTCTTGTGGCATCTTCGCCCACTTGTCACTCTTCGATGTCTTCTCCTTCGTCTCATCCGCAGCGGGTTGTGGAGTGGTAGATGCAGATCCTCGTTTGCCAGATGTAGCCTCAGCGGTGATGCTCGCTATAATGTCTTGGAGCGACTGAACTTCTGACTTGGCTTTGGACGTGGCACTGGGCGGTTGGGTTGCTGGCTGTGTGGGCCGTGTCCATTGTGTAACACCGCTTGCTGTGTAGAAGTATACCGAACCGTTCTCAGACTTCGCCTGGAACCAACCCGAAGGAAGAGTATTGAATGGTCGCGGCGGACGTGGTGCCGGACGAGGAGGGAGATTTGCCATAGCAGATGGGCCCTTAGGGGCATTGAAGCCTCGAGGAGCTGAAGGCGCACTGTTTGGTGGTTTCGGCTCGGGCGATTTTGATCGTGATCTGGAGCGTTCACGGCCCTTTTCCCGACGTTCGAAATGAGGCTCAATCCGAGCATTTGGCTTCATGCGTGGTATCCGATATCCCAGCTCAAGCTTGCTCCACTCTTGAAGTAGGTCAGTGATGGACTGTTTCACACGGTCGTCTTCGCATTCGTCTCGTAGTTTCTGCACGATCTCCTCGATTTTCGAGTCCTGAATTTTATTCCGGGTAATCCGCGGAAGGCCATGAAGGATATTAAGAATCTGCAGCACGACATTCGAATCGTCTCTCCAAGTGACAAGAGTCGTTTTGAGGATTTCATAACCGTGCATGCGAATGACACGGTGGCCGACTTCCTTGTCGCCTTCACTTTGCTGAATTCGGTCAAGAAGCTTGACAGCGATCCACTTCTCCGTACATTGACGGAGAGCGGCCATGACTTTCGTGACACCTCGAGCATCCAGCGACTTGGGCTTGAGGTCGTTGACGTACTCTTCGTCATCTTCGCTGGCCTTCTTCTTGCGAGGTTTCTTTGCGACAGCAGTTTCCCAACCGTCTCCGTCATCAATGCCAAGTGCTTCAATCGTCGCGTGGGATAGCTTCGTAGCGTTGTCAGTCTGCGTCTTGCCGCCAATAAACCCAGAGCAATTTGGCTCGCCGCAATAACAAGGTTGGGGATCTGCGCCATAACGATCAACATTGTAGTTGAAGACCAGCTCCTCGCCAGCTTTGATTCTTCGTTCAACGAAGATGCCCATACGGAGCTTTTCGCCCACCACCCACTTGTCGACGTAGCAATTCGGGTTGCACGAGTGGTTGCAAAAGCGACCGAGGTTGCCTTTCTTCGTCGCATCAACAAATTCACCTTTGGTAAGCGACATGAAGTAGAAGTGCTTGATACCTTCTTGGTCATATTGCATCATGCGGCGACGGAAAGCCCGCTCCTCAATGACTTCACCAATATATTCGAAAACAAAATCTCCGGGCTTCATATCCGCGTTAGCCCGAAGCCCAAATCCTTTCTTGTCTGTTTTGATAACGGTCACGTTGGCGTACTCTTTCCGTTGGAAGCGCTGGTTCTGGCAGTCGCGACCGCATCCGCAGTCACCCAGACACTCCATTTTCGTGGCGCGATTGATACAATCTGAATCCTCGCCACAGGCATTGTTGATTCGCTCCTTAGGATCTGCGAGCGGCGTTAGCAAGCAGAGCGCACAGTGGTTGCATTGAAGATCGGGATGGCGGCTTACCCCACTCCTCGGTACAGTCGCACTCCAAAGCATGTTCGGTCGTGCCGATGTGCTTGTTGGCGTAGGTGCATTCGGACAAAACATTGAAAGTCGATTTGGCTTCTTGCGTAGCATCGGGTAGGTCGAGGAACAGCGGCGGTGGGCGTGAGGCGATTTTATGCGACGCAGTGCGCGATAGCTTGGGTGCCTTCCCCGGCTCCATTTTTAAGGTGATCTCGCCGCCAAGCACCTCTTCCTTCGTGTCCATGTCGGGCGTCGAGGCGTCGGAGGGGAGTTGCTTAATCGGAGACTGTGATTCGGATCGAGACTTGCTGCGAGCGGGCATAACGACGGGGGTGGGCGCGCGGCCATCGTCCTCCACCTTCACTCGTGCGGGAGCACCCGCGCCTTCCCCGGATGGAGAGGCGCCTTCTTCAAGCTTCATGCCACGTAGCTCGGGCCCCAGCTCTGCAGTCTGGTCGGACTCGTGGTCCGACATTGTGGTGGAAGGGCGCGGTGGATGTGCGTGCGCAGGTCGAGCGTGTGCGGAACAGGAGCCTCAAAGAACTTGGGCACGCTAAGAAGGTCCGGGTGCTGGCTACGCGTCGACAATCATGGCCCTGCTTCACCCCACAGAACCCCCTCAACACCGCAAGCAAACAGGCGGGTGTGCCGTCCTCCTAGTGCTATGGACCAAACGAAAGTTGTCGGGTGCAGGCCTGTCACAGCTTGCGTCTTTGGTCTCTTGGGCAGGGAGGCGAATCTTTGCTGTGCTATAACACCGCGAGTCCAAGCGCGCTACAATCCTGGTGTAACTGGAAAGACGGCCTGTACGGAGAGGGCAATACGGGAAGGGTATGCGTGTGGCGATGGCTAGAAGAACGATGGGAGGGGTCTGCTTCCGACATAGATGGTTCAGAAAGGTTCGCGACTCGGGTTGGGCGCGGTCGGAGCGCAGTTCGGCTAGCTAGACGACGAGCAAGACAGGTCAGAATCAAGTCTGCGCGGGATATCGAGCAGGCGGTTGGCTTGCGCCGAGCAGGGAAATTGTCGAAGCCGCAGAGGTTGGAGCAGGCTTGCGGAGGTGTTGCGCGATGCTCAAAGTCTCGGCTAACTGCCGCTGCTGCGCCGGCGCCGGCATGGCCTTGGCCGCGAACACCCTTCATGTTTGAATGGAACTATGAAGTGGATACAATTGGCGGTACGTTTGGTCGAAGGGGGGAATAATCAACGAGGCCATTGGCCTTTTGTTCGCTGCCGCCATGTGCCGAGGCTTTGATTGGGGTCTTTGACTGCCCATGGTGTGTTCTCGGGGGTCCGAGGAACAGGTGGAGAGAGCTTGTCACCCTCCAGCCAACAGGCGAGTGGCCATGTGACGATCGTTGCACAGTCGCTACACGGCTTGCACAGGTGCTCTGGAATTTTGTCATTGGGTTGCAAGCTGGTCATGGTGTCATCTGGATCATCTGAAGTCCAAAGCAATGTCCACATTAGTTGTCAAACCCTCGACTTCGTGCCTAGCTTGCGGCAACGGCACACAGGACAGAGATCGGGATGCATACCTGGCTTGCCATACACTGAGATGCTCGACAATCGGGGCACTGATGATACGGGTCAAGCAAGCCTAGAGGGAAAGGTAGGCGGGACAGCTCGTGCGGGATGGCCGTGGGCGACGTGGAAGCCTGCCTATTGATGCCGTTCCAGAGCGCAGACTATTCTGGTTGGTTCATGGCATCGGGGGGGTTCTGTGGGTGTCCAGAGCTCCATCTGCGGATATCTGTGTGATGGCTCGTATCTGTCCAGAGCACGCTATGCGTCCTACACGGTGCCTGGCCACGGGTGCTTGGGCGCGCAGTCCACCATCTCACCCGTGGACAGAAGAGCGCTTCCTGCTTCTGTACGGGCAGTGCGTCCCGGGCCCTGGGAATGAGGTGTATCGGTATGTACTCCGGCTTGTATCGATCATGTTTAAGCGAAGCAAGCCGACGAAACACGAGTTGGAGCCCAATCAATACTAGCCTGCATGTCGCCGGTTTCTGCATCGAGCCGACCCCATCCATGGTCCCCTTGCCCCAGAGACGAGTTGGGAAGAGAGTGAGGTTGTTATCGACCAAGACGACAGAAGATAGCGAGCGGGTGGCCAATCAGGGCATTCTGCGTCCGCACCAGTCGCGCCTTCTCAAACCGTGTGGGCGTTGCGCAGTGACGATTCCGGACGTTGGCCGCTAGTCAACCTGTAACAATAGTGCCAGAGGGAATACAGCGCTTATCCTCAGGCCCATGCCCCGTCTGCAGCTACTTGTCCACCGTACTCGAAGCATCGCAACGCCGTCCCGCCCCGACCGTGGCCGCCAGGGGTACGAGTACGTACGCAGCCCACGGATGAGGTAATCACACAAACACACAGCACGATGCATCGTCGACGGGCTTGGGACATGGCCGTCGAGGGAGAGCCATTGGTGCTACGTGGCAGCGCGGGTGGCAGCCAGCGCAGACGGCTGTATAAAGGGCAACGGCCCTGCGAGCTCTCGAGTCCTCTGCGGACAACAGCGACCTCGCGGATACCGCCGCGCAAGCCCTCGCAACGCGTTCCGCTTCCCCGCGACATGGCCTCTGCTCTGCCTGCTGCGATGCGCTTCACGATCCTCCTCCTCTGGCCGCCGCCGCCGCCTTGCGCCTGTCCTCTCGTTGCGGCGGCCTGACTGCTGAGCGTTGCAGTGTGCGCATACAGAGCTGCAGGCGCGCCTCCGTACAGCAGCTCCACGGCTGCAAAAGGCGGCCCTGTGCGCTCTGTAGCAGGCCCGTCCTGGTGTTACAGCCCATGCCGGGGTCCGCGCGCCCATCCATTGGACGTGAATCCGCAGGTGTTCTCCCGCGTCCTCCTTGGTGGCGCCGCACCGACCGAACCCTCCTCGCAGCAACTGGAAACGCCAACGGCGGAGCCGGGTGGAGCACGCTTGCCCGCTCCTGGGCGCGCGCTGCAGCGGCCACCGACTGCGAGGCGGCAGAAAGTCACTCCAAGTTTATCGTCAAATTGCGTTCCTGCAAGTCATCATCCAGGATAATCGGAGCTGCATTGCACTAACGCTCTATAACCCGCGTCTCCAGTCTGTCCCTAATTTTACAGCCGTCGTCGTCTCTCTTTTCCCACCGACCAGCCTCATGGTTCTCTCTTGACACGCTCTGCCTGCTGGCATGAGGTCTCCCTGATGACTTTCTGTTTCGTCACGCTCGTTTGATGCTCTCTTCTTACTCTCGTTATTGCCCCTACCTCTCAAGCCCCCCGCGAGATCCGCTTCTCTTACCGCGCGCCTCTGCGCCTACTTTACTTACGGCCTGCTAATCCCTCGTTACTCTATTCGTCTGGTTGCATGTCGCCCAAGTCGCGGCGAGTATTTTGTTGACCTCTGCCCGCCCATTGCTGCACCTAGGTACAGCATGGATCCCCACGAACAGCCGTGGTCAGAGCACGAGGTATGTGCCGCAATCCTCAGCCGCCAGTAGCGCCCAACGTGTCGCTGACCAGTCTGCCAGAAGGTAAACCTACTCGCCGAAGTCTTGCTAAAGGCAGGCACCAGTCCCTCGCGCGTGCTGTTTAGCGTCATAAGAGACTCGGGCGTCCAGGTCAGGTGGAACGACCTGGTACTGCCAAATGGTGAGCCCACTCCAGCCCTACGCTACACTGTCGCTCTCCTCCCAGTTGCTTCAGAAAGCCTAGTGGGCTTCAATTGAACACCAACTTTGGGCTTGCGTCGTTGCTGACCCCGCCATGTAGGCCGCTCCCTTGGCTCCTGTCACAGAGCCTTCGATGACCTCGCCGCGCAGGCTCTACCGAGTGAATATAGGCACCCTGTGCCGCCGCCCACTGCTCCCATAATGTACCCCGGTGGTCGCGAGATACCACAGAAGCGCCCGCACCCCGAATCGTACACACCGATCCAACCGCGGCCGTCGCAACCCACGTACATGGGGATGCCAAACCAACCTCCCTACGCGTCTACCATACCACCCGTGGGTGAGCCCGCAAATAAGAAGAAGCGCGGTCGACCGCCAAAAGCAGTGACGGAGATGAGGAGACAGGAGGCGCTGTCCAAGGGAGAACCCTATCCCCCACCGCGGAAATCGAGACCTTCCATAACGGCCAGAGACCCGTCCCAGGCTTCACCGGGGGGCCCACTATCATACGCGCAGACGCCACCAAGCGCTTCGCTACCCGCGCCTACTGGAGCAACTACACCACAGGGTACACAGCCGCCCGAGCCTAGCACAGAGTCCTCCTCGGGGAAGAAGAAACAAAAGCCCGCACCACTTGAACTGGGATCACCACCTGAACTATATAGACCGGCCACTGACACGCAGAGTGCGGTGTTTTCCAACTTCACGCCCAACTCTGCTCCCTTCTCCTCGTCACCCAAGAAAAGCAGTGAACCACACATTCCCCATCTACACTACGGATCTCAAGGTCCTTCGCCTCGCCAAAGTCTAGGATCCGAGTCTCGAGACGTAAGGATGGAAGGAGTGGAAGAGACACAACCCCGAACAACAACACCGCATTCGTTCAAAGACACGGTCGGCATCTGAGCGTTCCTTTTGTCACAAAAGCATATACGGCGGTATCTGATTTGAGAGCGTTCCGACGACCTTTTCACGCAGTCATGATGACATTCCCATGATACCACTGGATCAATGGAGGGTATGCTGCAGCTTTGACGCATTGCATGCATTATACGAGCATGCGTATGCGCAAGCTTTTCTTTTTACATCTCGTCCTGTTTACCTGCTTTCGTTCTTGATTCTTCTCCGCCAAAATCCTTCTCTTACACTGCACGCATGCATTACTTCCAACGAAGTTGAGATGTCACGGTCGCATACCTGTAATGTCTTTTATTCTTATCTAACGACTTTACGGACACTGTATCAGTTGTTCTTTCTTGCATTTCATTGCGTGTACGATATCTTAACCTCGCTTTCGCTTTTTCACGTCACCAATCTCCTTTCGAAACCCGCAACGGCCTTGTACAAAAGCAATTGTTAGCGAAAAAATATAGTAGGACGCAATGAACAGAACCCTGTACCCTCGAGGCCCTCATGATCGACCTTCGCACATATTACCCAGTTGTACACATGCCAGCCATTGCATCGCATCCCAGGCTTCAGGTTGCGATTCCGCGGTTACACGCACACTCGACACCGCACCTCAACACCCGTCGGCCTATCACACACAGCGGTAGCACCAGCGCCGACTGTGCGTCGACCAAAGAGAAAAAACCAGCGTGTTGAGCGCGCTATCGGCCTCGTTCAAGCGTCGCTGCTCGAGCTGGTCTACATGCGTGCACATGACCTAATGCAGGCACCAGGGGGTCTAACGCCGGCCGAGCGCTAAGCACCTCAGGCGATGGATGGCGATCGCCGCGGTACGCACCCCCTCGCGTTCTTCCAAACGAAACAACGCATCTAAGCGCCGCGCACGCATACCGGACACTGCAAGACGCAAGCGGCACGCGAGCGGGCGAGCGCCCTACGGCCCTATGGCCCGCCTTACGCTTCCTTCGCATCGCATTGCAAATCTCTCCGATAGCCAGCTTCCTTTACGGGCGCGTAGGAGCTGTTTTGCGGCTGATATATATATGGGACGGTAGCAGGCGAGGGTCCGTATGCAGAAGGCTCGTAGCAGTGTTGGTGCTGCACGTCTGCTGCACCGACGCACGCACCCGTTCGACGACCGAACTATCCTTACTCACCCTCCAATTCACGAGCGCGTGTCAGCCTATCGCTTTGGCGGGCTCCATGTCGCTGTCATATTGCGTAGGTGCCCCCGGCTAAAGTAGCCAGACCCTATCCCCATGATGATCAAACGGACAGCAGATCTGTCAGCTGGGGAGGATCCCTCGTGGGGTGGCATGTTTCCTGCGTCCGGATGCGGAGCACTCCGCATTTGTTTGACGGGCGGTGGAGGCGTTTGTGCGACGCTGGGAGGCGGGCCCTCGGCCAATCGTAGCTTGTGGAGGTGTTTTGCTGCTGGGCGCTTTCTATGTTTGGACGGGGAGCCGCGAGGTATACGACACTTAGGCGATAAGAAAGATCGTGTGGTTTTGTGAGGGTGAAACCGATGGCTATGGACCGGGCGTTTGGACGGGGGCTTTGGAAGGGGAAGGTGGATACGGTGGGAACGAGGAAGGAGTGGTGAGGCTCTGCCATGCAATAGTAGAAATCGTGGTGCGCTGGGCTGGAGTCTTTGATACGGAAGTGGAAAGAGTAGGATGGGAAGCCGAGTGCACGTGATACATGTCCCTCCAGCTCCAGCTCCAGTCCAGGGTGCGCTGTCCAGCAAAGCAAAGCACCTCCATGGCCTGACCCCCCAATCCCATCCTATCACCACGTAGCCATCATTCTCTCTACAAATCGCTTTCCTCACTTTCCGCAACGGGTCTCTGTGTTTCACACCGCCGTCCTCCGCTCCGCATGCTCCGCACCTGCAGCTAGCTAGCTGCAGCTGTCATGATCGCCATCGCCAACACGTATACTCTACACTTCCTTGTTCGGAGTCGGAGCGGAGCTGCGCATGAGGCGGGGCTAAGAGACCGAGTACTGTACGACGTGGGTTTCTGAAGAGGTAGTTGGTTTGGTTTGGTTTTTGCGAGGCTGTCTTGTGGGACGGAGCCAGTCTGTAGGGTAGGGAGGTGGGGGTGTTGCACGGGGTGCTCGGGGTGCTCGGGGTGCACGGCGGGCATGTGACATGTCAGTCTGGGAGGGTACACGAAGGCAAGCACGTTTCGGATTGCGGCACAAGGGGAGGAAGGGGTGGGTGGTTATCATAGGTTGGTTGGGTATGATTAGCGGGGTGGAAAGGCGGGTGGGTGTTCGGTGGAGAAAAGATGATATCGTGGATAGGTGGGATTTGAAGGGCCGGAGTGGAGTGGGTTAATGTAGAGGTAGCGTGGGGACTGTACGAGGAGGGAAGTAGTGCTATCCTATGCTACTTTGCTTTGCTTTGCTTTGCTGTGATGGTTAGTGGGATCTAGTCTAGGGGGGTGAAGGTAAGTAACATTAGTGTCGAGGTCGTTGGAAGGCGGGGATGTGAGCTGAGATTGGGTAGTTGGTTGATCTGGCTAGGGCAGGGCTTTTGTGTGTATATTGAGATGCTACTCCTTCTTATTTGTGTTGTTGGGAGAAAGAGGTGCGACGCAAGGAGTTAGTAGACACCAGGCTTCTTGTCCTTGACACGGCATAGCATGTGGTAAGTGTGCAACTAGGTAAGAATCCCCGAGATTGAGTAGACATGCAATGTTCAGATCGTCTTCGTGTCGATGTACGGCGAATGTTATGGGCGATGTCTAAGACTTGGTTTCCCAACCGCTCGGTCGGATAACATAAGGCAAGTATCATCTTGATAGGGTCTCTGGTTGTATGGCATTTGCGCTATGGAGGGGTGTAGTGCGCATCGCAGTCTACTTACGATATCTAACATCTTGTGTGTTCGTGCATTTAGAGATGTTCTTAGTATGTAATTCGCTCTCAAGGAATTTATGCACATCCTCCTGGTGTGAGCAAAGCAGAATCTGATTTTAGATATGGTGTTTAGCTACGATAGAAGACTATGCATAGAATCTGGAGGTTCATCATAGATTGAGTCACGTCGGGTCCTTCTTATCTAGGTTATCCACCTAATTGGGGTGCATTGAATCTTGCACTGGTATAAGGATATTAGAGTCTGGTTGTGTTTAGCTACGATGCGAGATTGTGGAGAGAGTCTGGAGATTCATTGTGGGTTGAGTCACGCCGGGTCCTCCTCATCCAGGTCATCCACCCACCTGGGACGCATTGAATCTTGCACTGGTGTGAGGAGAGTACAATCTAGTTATGTTTGGCTGCGGTGTAAGATTTTGGAGGTAATCTGAAGGGTCATCGTGGAGCGAGTCACGCCAGGAACTGTTCGAATTGCGGTTGTGAGATGCACTGGTGTGAGGGAAGTAGAATCTGATAATAGAGATGGTGTCTAGCTGCGATTCGAGATTTTGGAGACAGTCTAGAGGGCCATCATGGTATAAGTCACGCCAGGGACTGTTCGAACTGTGGGTGTGAGATGATGTTGTAATTGCACTAGTATAAGGAAAGTATAATCTATTTATGCAGCTGGTGTTTAGCTACGATGCGAGATTGTGGATAGCATCTGGGGGTTCATTGGGGACTAAGTCACGCCAGGGAAAATTCGAATTGCGGCTACGAGATGATGCTGTAATTACAAGTTTGATTTCTATGTTCAGTCCTACAGCTCATGACCCAGACCCAAGACACAGCCACACTCCCACTACATTCCCATACTAGACATTGCATCAACAAGGCCGTTGATGTTGACGAGCTTGCCTTGCACGAGGTCGATGGCCACACTGGGGTCCATCCAGGGGGTGTGCTCCTGCGGCGGGAGAGGCTGAATGTCGTCTTCCACAGGAGTCATGAGCGCGTTAAACAGGTCAAGCCTGTGAAATATGCGTGGGTCGTCCAAGTAGCTTAATTCGTCGATGTCGCCGGCCATCGAGGCGATGCCGTCTGCCATCTCGCTCTGATGGCGCTCATCACTCATGAGGAAATCCTCTGTCCGCTGGTGGGCAATCTTACCCTCTTTATCCATGTGGATCAACCACCGCATTGCCCAGAGAGTGACAAGCTTCTGGCGTAGCTCCACAGGTTGCTCATCTGCTTCCTTCCAGAAGTCTTTGGGTGCGAAGGGCATCGGAGGCACGGCCTTCTGGAGCTTCTCGACGGCCTGATGTAAAAGGTCAATATCTATACACATGACCCAAGGATGACTTGAAAGTACTTACACCCTTCATTACACCCCTCTGACCTGACTTCCAGATGATGACATCCCACACGTTATTGTTCCAGGAGGAGAGGAAGTAATCCTGCGCGCGAGTATCCTTCTCTTCAGAGCTGTGCTTGATAGCCTGCTCCCACGCCATACGGTACGAGCCGCGGAATGAGGACGTCGCTTCATGCTCGAACACCTGGTCCACACCCGGCAGCGCAAACGCGATCAACATGCAGAGCATATTGAGGCGGGAGTGTTCCAGCTTATAGCTGAGCGAATGCTTCGCGTCGATTCCAAGGTACCAGATAGCGCGGCTCAGATTCTTCTCTTCGTCATCGGTGCTCTTACGGGCCTTGAAGCCGAACTTCGCAAGATCGTTGTAATTGAGAAAGTACCAACTGAGGTCATACTCCTCCGGGATGCCGCCAACGAAGATGCACCAAGTGGTGCCATTGATGATGTCTTGGAGCGTCGGTTTGCGGCGGCCGAGAAACAGTGTAGCTGGGAGAGGGCCGATCTTGAGGTCGTACATGCGGCGAACCTGCTCATGAATGCGCACCTTCTCTTCGTAAGTGCGGGTAGACATCTTAGAGGGTATGCGACTGTTGTAGCTGCGATTGCTGTAGCTGCGAGCGTTGTATTTGCGAGTGTTGGGCGAAAGAGTGGCAGCTGGGTGGGGAGCGAAGAGGGAGAGGTGCGACAAGTTCTGCAAGTGAGGGGAAGAGCGAAAGTGAAGACGTAGTGAGGCCCGTTTGCCAGGCTGCCAGATCACATGTGATGGTCCTAGCACGTTGCTGAAGTGGCTTAGCGCGAAATTTCGAACAGTCAATCTTGCGCCCCTCACCACGCCTGTGGACTTATCTACGAGGTGAATGGGTGCGTTCCTAAAATTTTAGACATGTGTTGCTCTAAGAAGGGTTTTCTGCGACCTTGAGAACATGAAATAGCTTGTTTTCACTTATCGGGGTCCAGGCAAATGATGTTTCGAAGTCAGTACCGATAGTGAATTGAAAACCCACGTGATGTATGTTAACAAGACGAAGTCACGCCCGTAAATAACAGAAAACCTATTGTGATAGGCATCTTAGTATTAAGATTCTAAGTAAAGTAGTAAAAAGAATTTCCACACTAATTATTGCCAAAAAAGAAAGGAACCCAAGTGGCGTCCACGTCTACCCGCGAAGCCAATCATGCGATCGCGAATAGAGCTTAGCCGGATTCGAACTGACGCCCTTTTGAAAACCCCCAGGAACCACATGTAAAGCCCCCAGGAACCACATGTCCAACCAATGGACCAACGGGCGTCTTTTTGATGATAGTAAGAGTAAAGTTTGGATATATATACAGGAAGGAGAGACGAGATCTGTGGTGGTTTCGATATAGTGAATTCGTGTGTGTCGGGGAGGTGAAAGGTAGAAAGGATTTTGGTATACGTTTTAGTGAATGGTCTCCAGGCTGGAATAGTAGAGTGACGGTCAGCGATGTATGAGCGGGGCACGAGTGAACTGCTCAATGATGACATCTCATTTGGTCTTTGCCATCGCGCATTTGATTCAACATTACCTGTACATGCTCTCCACAAGCGATGTCCGCTGCTGTGGTGCCCCATTGGGTTTTAGTATTTTGTGTTGCACCATGATGAGCAATGTAGTAACCAAACTCATGACATAGCGCCGTAGATTTCAATGCAAAGTCCATTGGGCGACTAGCACTAACATATCACCTCGAAAATGTACAATATGTACCTGATTGATTCTCCCCAACCTCGGATCACGACCTCGTACCGCAAGACTGCCAACAATATCTGAACACAAGGGGATGGTACCTGTGCCCACGCGTCCGACGGGGAATTGTGAAGTTTCTCCTATGATGTCTCACAGGGAGGCGGTGCTCCTATCGATCGCTGTAACCCTCATCGAGCGGTCGTCCACTGAAAATACATTGCAAGCACCGCGGCCCATGGCGACGTAGCCGGCGCACCTTGACTGTATTGGTAGGACAGAATCCCCACATACTTACGCCGTGACATAACACAGGTGTCCTTATCTCGTGGTTGCAGTCCCAATTCTGGACGTCGATGTAGCACATTTTTGGGCTGGTGTGTAAGTTGGGGTTGAATCTGTGTTAGAGATTGTCCTTTGCTTCTTTTTGGTGGTTCTGAGTGATTATTTTCCTTACTTCTCGGCGTAGATGTCCTGCTTGGTTTTCAGTATAGAAAGTTGGTAGAGAATGCTGAGGCTGCCATGTTCTTATACTGGGATGACGTTGCTGTGAATCTCGCAGACAGCGACAGCAAGAAGCTTCGTGAAGGAGAACATTCAATACGATCGACTTCGTTCAACGCGCGCTGAATTGCAGGATTTACCCATCTTGGCCACGACCTTGAATGAAATGTATAGGCTTCACCTCAACATTGACATGCAAGACATCTAATCAATTGCAGACACGATCAATGTCAAAGGGTGTTGAAGTTGAAGCTCTCCTTAGTCAATGGCTTGAGCAGGTTTCGCACTTCGAGAACACCCTTCGATCGGCCATGTCATCGCATATGGCCACGAAACGTTATTCCGTTTAAGCAGTTAATGTTAGATCTCCGTGGAGCACTTTGCTGCTGCTAACAATATAGCCTTCCTACGTACATCGTAGCTCTGGTTGTGACTTGGTTCGCGTCAGGCATTGGACTATATCTACGCAGCAAGTACTTCCGATCCTTCCAATATCATGGCAATGTTATCTCGCAATCGTCTCACTTTACAATGAACCTCCAGACCCTCTACAAGATGTCGCATCGCAGCTGAACACCATCTTCACAACCAAGTTATACTTTCCTCACACCAGTGCAAGATATTAAGGTGCTGTCCACTCGAATTCTCTACGCAATGCAACACTATGTAACACTACTTCGCGGCTTCATGTACCCTACTACATTGTCACATGGCGCCATGCAACATTTTCCTAGTCATCGGCCATGCGTCTTCGTCTAGAGTCAAATAATAGGAAATTGCTGTGCTCGAAATCGAGATCAGGTTTGAGAACGTCCAATTTAATAATTATCAGATATCCGTGGACGTTATCATATGAGCCAAACCAACAGCAAGAGGCCCCAGAAGAGAACCGTAATACCAGCAAAGCCATATCCGAGAATCCTAAGCCCCAATCCAACATCGTTGTTCATGCCGACCAAGAACGACGCCACGATGAGCGCCCATGGAACCCACATTAGAAGTATAACCACGAGCGGAGCATACTTGCCCAGGCGAATTCTTGACAACCCTGGTACCACCCGAAACAAATTCGATCGCGTGATGGATTCCATGAAGTTGTACAGCGTTCCGTAAGCCCAGCGAAGAAGCAAAAGGATGCCGAAGAGAAAAAAGGTCAGTGTTCCGAGGAGGAAGATCACGCCGAAGAAGTCGTAAAGAAGATAGTGCAAGTCGACGAACCTCGTCTGCATGCTGAGTATGGATGAGGCCAGCGAAAGCGGCAGAAATACAACGGCTAGCAAGCTTAAGAGCTGGACGCGTCCGGATTCATGGAGGCTTCGACCCATCTCGAGGAATTTTAGGCGGTTGTCCAGACCGAGTGTGATCGATGAGGCTTGCCTTTCTACTGCTGTGCTTTGGCCTTGGACCTCGATAAGGAGCTCTTTGAGTTCGATCGGCTCAGTGACGTTCGTTGCCAGTTGCAGTGAGCTTAACAGAGATTCAACAGCAGTGCCGAAGAGGGTAATGTCGTTGTTTAAAAGCTCCCAGAAGTACGAGTCTCGCGAAAAGACTTTCAAGATGACGGCGGTAATCGTAGTCCGTCCCGGGTCGTCCAGGTGCTGCAGAGATCTTTCGTATAGATTTTTCGTTGCCCGCAGAAAGTCTGCATTGCCAATGAGAACCGCATAGCATATGCGGAGTAATATCATTCGGTACCACACGGATCGGTATGGACCATTCGCCTGATTGTTAGAAACCAGAATCGTGGCAAAAGAGGGTTGAACGTTTCTAATGTTGTCCGACAGTCGTCCGAGCTCGCGTGATATAGCATCGTCGTTATTCGTGGGTCTGCTGTGCCGATTCTTCCTGTAATGGGCTGCAGCAGTTTTACATAGAATAAAACCTTAACGCAGGATTAGCTTCACTCTGTCAAATAGGTGGTGATCCAAGCCTACAGTGCATACGGTTCTCGCGCCATTCGCATCTCAGTCTTACGGAGCATTGCACGACACCCTCAAAGAGCCCCTCATGATTCGCTCCCGACCCAAAAGTACTTATACCTTCCTGCCACCACGGCATCTGGTCGCCTTTCAGACGTCGATTGAGCGGCGATGTAACGGAGTTGGATATGCTGCGATTGAAGATATTGAAGGGCAAACGTAACAACTGCTCGAAGTACTCTTTAAACACCTCGTCCTCATCAGCTTCATGCACTATATACACCCGACAAGTCGCATCAGTCTGGCCTGGCAGATTTGACAGCTTCTCGGCAGTGTGCGCGTTGCCCTCTAAAAGAATGTCTGGAGGATTATGAGAACCAGCTTTCAGGTCAAAAATGACAATGTGCCGACCCAAGAGGGCGACCCAGTCACTCCCTCGCGTCTCAGTGTACAAATCTTGTGCGTATCGAAGAACGCGTGTGTATACCTCTAAGGCTGATATGGCAGTACTGGCAAAAGATAACGGATCCATTCTTGATAGCGGTATGGAACGAGAGTTGTAGATGGATGTGCTATTTTCGTAGATTGTTACATCGTGTCGGTAGTAACGATGTGAGGCTGGTGTTCAGCTGCGGGGCTCCGGGTTCTAGTAGCGATGTGGGGGCTGAAAATATCCGCTAAACATCTGCGTCTCGCATCCTTTAAGATTGAGGGCGCTATGCTTACCTAGGACTAAGGTCGCGCTTCAAAGATAGTTGTGGCGCACGTGGAGAACTTTCTCGTACGTGTCGTACGTCTGTTCTGATTAGAATCTCTGAGTCATTGTTAGCCTTATGGGCGGGGACTTTTGCGCGCCCTTCGACTTCATCCACTTTTTGGCACACGCTTTGCACAACTTAGCTTAGCCGCTACTTCTTTGTCTGTACGGCAGTCAACTGTTCACGGTTCCTATCTTGAATATTCGTTCGCGATGATGAGTTTGGAGGCTGATCCTAAAACAACGCCCATATCACACTGTGTTTTTCTCACTGGTGTGACCGGATTCGTCGGCGGCACTATCCTCTCTTGTCTCTCAAAGGCACATCCTAGTGTTCACGTCAAAGCTTTGATCCGTGAGGAAAGGGATGCTAAAGAACTCCAATCGGTCTATCCAAATCTCACCCCCATCATCGGCGAACTTTCCTCGCTTTCTCTCCTCACATCTACGGCAGCGGAGGCCGACTTCGTCATCCATGCTGGAGGCGACAATGTCCCCGCCGTTTGCGCGATGATAGATGGGTTGGCATCCCGTACCACCACTGGATCGCCCATGCCACGGCTCATCAGCCTAACCGGCCCGCGTAGTCTTATCGACCTCTCGAATCCCATCACTGGGAATCTTAGGGCGAGCAGCCGTCCCTGGAGCGATATCACGGACGCGCACACAATACTGAACGTTCCTGAGGATCGGATGCACGCTGGTGCTGATCAAGCCATCGTCGCCCACAGTACTGCTGAAGGGGTGGGCACAATGCTGGTCTCGCCTGGTCAATTGTGGGGCCGGGGCAAGGGTCATCTGAAGAAGGAGAGCAATGCGGCGTTTTATTATGCAGCGGTTAAGAGCCGTGGACGGGCCTTTGTAATCGGCGAGGGTACCGCAACATGGTCGTGGACTTCCATTGGTGATTTGGGAGATGCGGTCGTGTTCCTGATGGAACAGGCACTGAAGAGTGGGAGCGAGGGACGCGGACAAGTAGGAGTAAATCGAGACGGCTACTACTTTGTGCGTACCGGAGACCTGAGTATGATGGAAAGGGCCAAAGCTGTCAGTGAACGCTTAGGTCTTGGAGAAGTAGAAAGCGTGTCGGTTGATGCCGCAAGAGAAATTCATCCGTTTGGCCCCATCATGTGGGGTTGTGGTGAAAGAACGAGATCTGAAAAGCTGCTCGAGCTGGGTTGGAGGCCGAAAGAGACCGATTGGAAGGCTTTGATGGAAGAGGGAGATGGAGAGAGGGCATAAGGGTAGTAGTAAGACGGGAATACTAGTAACTGTCTTACTATACTATGTGTCTCACTACGCAGTGACTGACGTTATGATATCACAGCTTAATGGTATTTTATTATAGTGATATACGTACGTGCTGTATAATTTGCTGAGTTCATTCAAGTTACTATTAGAAACCTTTCAGGTGCAAGGTTCAAGATTCAATTACATTGGGACATCCGACTTCGGTGCCAGACCAAAGTACAAACTGTATTAATATATGTCAATCAATCCTACCTCTTCTATCGACCCTTGGGACCGATACTCAAGCGCTTGCTCCCATCCGCAAGAGATCGCTTTCGACCAAGGCCCATGTGAATTGCATCCTCCAATAGGTATCGGATCTCTAGGTCCTCAAGAACTGCAGCAGCAAGCCGAAGCCGGATCGGTGGCCGGTCTCGGTTAACGCGGCGCGAGAAGAGAGCAAGCGAATCGACAATCTCCTCCACAACGTCCTCGCTTGCTCGTGCAATGAACGGTGTTTCCACCTCCTTTTCGCTAGTCTGAAGCCATGGGGCAAGCTGATGTGTTATTGATGGATCGCCAACAAGATCAGTTACGAACAGAGAGTCGGAGCGGCGGTGACTATAGCTATCTTGCGAAGCCCTATGAACCACACGAACCGTCTTGGGAGAGACCGCACTGTTAGAGCGATGACTATTGTCCGCATCCGAGAAGAGGGAGCTCACGCTGACACGACCATTAGTGGTGCGGTAACTAACGCGGACGGGGTCACGCTCCATGTTGATGACAAGGTCATCGACATCGGCATCAGACTCCTCGTCACTGACATCGCTGTCTTCCATCTCTACGCTCTCGTCATCGTCGACGAGGAAGTCATCCCTCTCGTATTGTTCGTTGCCGGGTTCTAGGCGGCTGTCGTAGGATGAGGTTGAATAACGGTGACCAGGGTCATTCCGAAGGTCGTGGGAATTTAGGTACACGATGTGGTCGTGCGACATGTTGGCTTTCTCGTGGTATTCGTCTTCTGACTCTGCGGAGTCATCTTCCATAGAAAACTCGTCTTCTGAATCTGAACCTTCAGAATCAGTCTCCATGTAATCGTCCGAGTCCTCTGTGGTAGCATCCTCGATGACTGGAGGGGTTGCGCGCTGATCCTTCTTGATGTTCGTTGCGACGCGCGGACGTTGAGGCTTCTTCTTTGAGGCAGCAAGCAGTTCCTCAATCTGCTCGAGGTCTATCGATAGAGGCTTTGACTTTTTCTTTGTAGTTGCATTCCTGGGTGAAGTTCGCTTCTTTTGGATAGGTGTCCTAGCATGAGTCTTCGGATCGATATGGGTTTCGGGCTTTACGGCTAAGCGGGCCGAGCGACGCGTTTCGATAACAGGAGCCATTGTGCTAGTTATGTGTTGTGAAGATATCTGAAAGTTTGTGAACATTATTAACACGTTCTTGAGGGATGTATATACTCAGGTCGTGACCATTGTCAAAGAACATGCACAAAGGACCAAGATGCACAATGCATTGTTGCGAGCGCCTTGTGGAGGCGAGAACCAATGGATCTCAAAGAAGTTAAGAATAGAACACGCTTAACGGCGTTGTGGTGTTATAATAAATGCGATGAAAGGGGGAGACGAAGTAGAGACGATCGCCACGCTTTTCATCCATTTAGATCAATATACTATCTACGATAGCGGCTTGATGACATGTTGAACCAAAACACTACATGGCCCCTCAGAAATAGTTGTAGCAATTTGTATACTTAGCCGTGAACAGCGACTCAGTGGAAGGAAGAACGAGTGCAGTGAACTGGCCTCTCTCTAACTCTTCGTATGGTGTTGTCGAAACGCCAGAGACTGCGCTCTCTGCAGACGATATTATTGCTAAGGATTCCAGATGAACTTGATCCAAGGATGCTGTGCATAAACTCCACGGCTACTCTGGGGTGACTTGACGCACTTTGAACGCGTTCTTTTTTCTTTGAATCATGCATTTTGCGCGCACGTAGCAGTGATCTAGTGTATTGAGCAACTGTAACGCGGAAAGACATCTTTACTTCAGTAATTAGATCAAAGCCAGGAAGTTCGAGTTGGCACGTCAATAGGCATTCCGCTCTCGCAAGGGAGCCAAGCACAGGCACGTGAATCTCTCCCCGCCAAGCCTTGACGTAACCCCTGCTGCACCGCCACACCTCGGCATTCCAGAATCCCATCCCGTCTACCTGGCATTCTGGGGTGGCGACTTCAAACTCCTATATCAATTACACGCACCACAACGTACCTCTCTTCCCTCAACAGCACACGATCAAGTCTTCTTTCACCCGGAAATTCCCATACCAATCCACCCACCATGGACGAAGACCTCATCGCTCTCTGCTTCATGGTCGGCCTCCTAATCGTCTTCCCCCTCTCCATCCTCACCCTCGTCCTCGGCAGCGTAGCCTACTCGCGCACCAAAGCCTGGGATCGCGAGCGCAACCAGAAATCCACCGCCCAGGAGTCACTCCTCAACAAGGACGATGACGACAGCGAGTTCTACGACACCGATGACGAAGCCGAAGCCGACGAGCGCAAGGCCGAGGAGGCGCGCGACGCGATGTTAACCTTTGGGCAGAAGTGGCGCAAGGAGTTCGGCAAGGCGTGGAAGGGCAAGGGGATGGCGCAGATGCTGAAGGAGAAGGAGCGTGAGGAGCGGAGGAAGCTGGCGAAGGCTGTGGCGAAGGAGCTTGATAGGAGGGAGAGGAGGGCTGCGAGGAAGGCGGAGAAAAAGGAGGGGTTGCCGCCTTATCAGAAGTAGAGTGGGAGTATGAGGGGTCGTGAAGAAGAGAGGACGGATGTTCACCTTTGGCTGAGACTGATATACCCTGGGTTATGGCGTCATTTGATCATTGAAAATTCAAAGAAAGACAGCACACAGTACTGGTGTAGTGCGTTTACATGTTCTCCGAGATCTGTCGGGATGACATCCCAGGTGATGATTGTTCTGATTGATTCTCCCTAGGCAGATATCCTATGGAGGTCATGCTATGCGATAATCTCGTTCATTAGATCGTCTCTTACAATACGCCTATAACCACGCACGAAGGCAATACTGGGGTATACCTATACAAGATGCCTAACGCCTGAAAACACCCAAGTGCAATGGAAGACCCGACGTCTAGAGGTAGCGACAAGGACATTCAGTACTGTCCAAACCGCAAGCATCACACGGACCTGTCTGAAGTGAGCTATCTGGCAATGGAGCAGTGACACTATCAGCTCTCTTCTCCGGATACGCCCACTCGTAATTATCGAATTTGCTTCCCTTCGGCTCCTGCTCAAAATACTCAATGCATTTCTCAGGTGTGATGACCTCGTCGATGTTCGTGATCGTTTCCTTCCAGTCTACCATTTCCGGGTTGGTGTGCACGACGAAGTAGTGGCGGTAATTTCGGCGCTCTATCACCACGAGGCCTGAGTAATGGTGCGCCATGTCCGTGTTGGCTTCATGTTGGGAGCGCGTACGCGCCTCGTAGTATAGGCCGATGTCTTCGGCAAGGCTCTGGCGCATGGAGATGATTGGGAAGAAGTCCAAACGTCGGTTGTCTTCAGGATGGTCGAAGGTACCGTCGGGCTCACAACATCCGCTGTCTTGCAGGAGAACGTATAGCTTCTCGAGACTAATAACATGATCAGTATCATGACAGTGCTTGCATAGTCGTGGTGCTTTGCCTGATTCTGGTACTTACCTGAGATAGTCCGGATCTCCCTCTTCAATCTCCGCTTGGTGATTCATGCAGATGTCACCGATCCACTTCACCAACTCTGGCCGTGCCCCGACTCGCCAAAGCAATAGTCCGTCATTGATATACATCCCCGGGATGACATTACTATCAACCTTTCTGCCTGCTTCAATCTTGGTGAAGAATTGCTCGAAAATGCTCAACGCCAGCTGTGGCCTCTTCTCGAACACGTCGTCCGTAATATATATGATGCCACCATGTGGGAATATAGCAAAACGGTCGGAATGGGTTTCCGATGAGGCTTTGGGGTCCCAGATGCTGTGACCGATTCCTCCTTGGGTTCCAACTGACCACAAGCGGACCGTGCCTCTTAGCACGTCTCCAAAACCTGGCAAGCTGGCATAGCCTTCGAAATCAGGAGCAGCGATTATGATACCGCTTCCTCCGTCCAAAATCAGCTGTTTGAATGTATCCCATGCTGCACTAAGACCCATGTGTAGGCTGCTGAAAATGTTCACGGAGTGCATCGCTAGCCACCGTTCGATTAAGGCGAGCTCTTCCAGATGTTCGTTCGGGTCGTAGAGAAGAAGAGCATTAGAGCTTGCTATGACATCTTCATGTTGGTCTCCGTTACACCTAAACATTTCGTCCACGTCGAGTTGCATAATCTCCCCGATACTGCGGCTCATGTCAACTGGTTGAATATCGGGAATCGTCATGATGCGATCATTATCTTCCTGAGGCAGAAGGGACAACGACTCTTCGATAGGAGGATGCGCAGGCCCAGTGAATTTGTTACCATCGTCTCTCATGTTCACGCATTGAGAGGTCGACTCGCGTCTCGCTTCGTCAGCAGGCTCGTCCACTTGCATAGGTTCGGAGCTGTCGAAGTGTGTCAAAGGATGCTCATCGATATCCATCAAGCTAGGCTTCTGAACTTGTGCCGAAACTGGTTCATCGCGGAAATGTGGTCGCCATCCACCTTTGAATATCCAGTTTGAGGGTGGGTCGACCACAACGCCTGTATAACAGTGTAGGTTGTGGCACTCTTCTTCCGATAGCCGGCACCTGTACTCGTTCCAGAAAAAACAGGTCTTAAAATGCTTTGGAATGTGTCTTTGGGGTGTTGCATTGGTAGGAATGGGACCTGTTGGGGATGAAGGGCGACGAAGGGCTGCTAGGAATTTAGGTTTCTCATTGCGATCAATCTCGCAAAGCCCGAGTTTTGTATCGGCCAACCATCCTGTGTTTTCATGGGCATACTTGCAATCGTCTGCGCTCTTACCGCAGCCCTTAATCGTACGTAACCAGAAGAAGCATGTTTGAGGCGGGTCTTGAAACTTAGGAAAGGATCGAGCATGAACAGGTGCTTGTTCGGGATCGATCGGCTTAAAGTCTGCTCCGATCGTGTTTCCAAGTAGACCCGTGTTCCTGTGCGCAAAGCTGCACTGATCAGAACTCTTATAGCACCCCTTGGTGTCCATGAGCCAGTTCCAGCAAGTGACATCGGGGTAGTTGCCTGCTCCGCCAATCTTTCGAGCTGCCGTGCTTCCATTCTCTATGTGAGGATCAACAGGCCTTGTTCTGTGATCACGCATCGAAAGATGGCCTGTATTCTTGTGGGCATATATGCACTCGTCGTCAGGGTGCGCGCAACTGCCTTCGCAGAACCAGAACCAGCACATTTCCGGAGGATCTCGATATTTAGGTGGTACTTTGCCATCCCAGGTCGTAACCGGAAGCGGTTTTCCATCCTGACCCCACTCGCGGTGGAGAAATCGACATCGTTCTGCTGTAAGTCGACATGCATTGCCATTCTTCCAGTCAAAGCATGTCATCGGGATCTTACCCTGTTCGTACGATTGTAACTCAATTCTAGTGGTGGGGACAATACGCTCGGGCTCATCGTCCGGCTCGATCTCCGCCAAACGGCGTTGACCTGGCTCGCGGCGTCCGTATGGGTTGTCACGTGCGAGTGTACGGGACGTAGTATCTCCAGACTTCGCGGGAATCCCTGCTGGAGCACCGTTCACAAACTCCAGTTCGTTAATGTCTGGAGTCCCTTCTGCGCGGCTGCGCTTTTCCGCCACCGCTCTATAATGAAGCGTTTTGAAATGATGACCGTGTGTATCCCACGCTTTTCTTTGATGTTGCTTTGGCTCGTTGACCAGCTTAATAGCGCCTGGAGCCCGGGGACCGCTCTGTTCATTGGTTACTAATGGTCCCGTGGGTATAGATGGCCTGCGTGTAGTAGCTGCTGAAGGCGCGGCTTCTGTGCTGGGTTCATTGGCCAAAGAGCTGACACCTGCAAACGATTTTCGCCTTTTCTGTGGAGACGATGCTCGTGACACCGCTTTGGCACTGCCTGCGTGCTCAGTTCGGTTTGGTTGAGCCTTTAATCTTGCCTGTCTTTCGAACAAAGGTTCACTGTCAGAGGATGAAGTTTCAGACTCATTGTCTGAGGGTGCTACGAAAGATTCGTCATCTGAGCTCAGTACAACCCGCCTCTTCCTCTCAGATGAGACGGTCTGTTTGCCCTTGTTCTTAGCAGGGGTTGCAAGACCGCGAGTTGATGGCGCTTTCTTTCTTGCCACTCCTTTCTTTTTGAGCGACTCTTCCTGTTTCCGTGCGGCTTCCTCTTTCAATTTGGCCCGCTTCTGGTGCCGGCGTTCTTTGGCAGCAGTAACTCTTTCTTTGGCTTCTTTAACCTCTTTATCTTTTTGTATGCTCAGCTCTTCCTGTTCTGCTCTGGTCATGTCTTTGCGCTTGTTCCTCCATCTCTCAAAGACCTCCTTGCAGTTGAGTTCGCTTTGTTCCAACCACTTGCATCTGAAAGGTTAGGTTGTTTTCTCAGAGCACGCCAAGCGGATTGACTCACTCGTAAATTGGGTAGTCGGTGAACTTGACCAGATACTGCAACACGTCGCGACCATCGTCCTCGTGCATTCGCCCCGCAATGATGTCGTCGACGTCGAATTCATGGTCAGGGTCATGTTCGCTTTCCTCGCTATCCTCGAGCGAACTTCCAACGTCTGAAGTATATGCGGCTGCTTGCCGCTTCGCTTCCAGATCAGATTGCTTCATGTTTTCTAGGCGCGACCGCGACTACATGTCAAAGGCGACTGTGATTGGCCCAATGGTTGGGAGCAGTCGGTGGCAGCAGTAGCGACACAGCCCGTCAGCTGTCATGTCGCCCCCCGAGAGATTCTAAGCAAGTGGGCTGTGTGAAGAGCGCGAAGTTGCAAAAGAAGCAGCTGTGCAGTGTCCTGTCCCTTCACGGTGGCCGCTCGAGTAAGTGACTGTCGCGGAAAGAGCGACAGGACTAGCGCGGTCACGTGGCGCTGCCCGCATTCGAATGTCACAGGCCGCTGCATGAGCTCCTTCTGCTTCCAAACGAGGCGAGGCAGCCAAATAACTACAACCCCGACCCCGACAGACCCGCCTGCTCTCGCTCTACACTCCCGATCTCCCGCACTCATAACGCAGCATCTTTCCTTCGGTCGCTGTTTCTGCTGCACCCCGCGCACGCTCCCCACCGCTACTTGAACCGGACAGCGCACCAGTCTGCACCCACCGCAGCCATGGCGAATGACGAGTATGATGTGAGTGCTTGCCAGCCGCCGTCCTGCGCATAGAAAACATGCTAACCTGGCTTGTAGTTTCTCTTTAAGGGTATGTGTCGCCGAGAGCCCGCACGTCGCCGTTCTAACCCCCGTAGTGGTCCTCATCGGAGATTCTGGTGTCGGTAAATCCAACCTTTTGAGTCGATTCACCCGCAACGAGTTTAACCTTGACTCGAAGTCGACCATCGGTGTCGAGTTTGCCACACGATCGATTCAAGTCGACGCGAAGACCATCAAGGCGCAGATCTGGGACACGGCTGGCCAGGAGCGATACCGAGCTATCACATCGGCCTACTATCGGGGCGCTGTTGGGGCGCTGCTTGTCTACGATATTAGCAAGCACCAGACATACGAGAATGTGACCCGGTGGCTGAAGGAACTTCGCGACCACGCTGACTCTAACATCATCATTATGTTGGTCGGAAACAAAAGCGATTTGAGGCATCTCAGGGCAGTGCCTACGGAGGAGGCTAAGCAATTTGCCAGTACGTTCCACACTCATAACGTACGAGTATGACAGCAACTAATGGCTACAATTTTAGGTGAAAACAACCTCTCTTTCATCGAGACCTCCGCCTTGGACGCCAGCAACGTCGAGTTGGCCTTCCAGAACATCCTCACAGAGATCTACCGGATTGTGTCTAGCAAAGCCCTCGACCAAGGCGAAAGTAGCCAGAATGTTCTCGGCGCTGGTCCTGGCCAAAAGCTTGAACTTTCCTCCTCTACAGGCACAGAAGAGAAGAAGGGAGGTTGCTGTTAGGCCCTCTAGGTCCCGCTCTCACGATGCCCACCTCTGCGAGCTTGAGGTGCCGGCAATGATACCAACTCGCGGCAATGCTCACGTGTCATACGAACAATGGTCTGTCGGCGTCTTCGAGGAAGTTCAGGGAAACGTGTTCACGGGTGTTTGGTCCTATTTCCATCACACGTCTGCTTCCATGTGCAAATGTTGTGTGGTCTCTGGGTTACTTTTCTCTTTTCTCAGCTTTCATTTGCGTTGCATGCGTGCGTGTGGGGGTCTTCTACTCTGTAGCGACAGTAATGCTGAGTGCTGCTGTATGCTCAATCGCAATGGACAGCTCATAACTGGACTATATAATATCCTGCGTTTTAATAGAAGTGCCTTCATAACACCCTGTTGCAAGCATCCTGGTGCAACTTCTACGAACGCGTCACCGTTGTACATCAAGCCGCAGAGGAAGGCCCACTCACCTACGGCCTGCAAGTTGAATTCAATCGTCAAGACATGGTACGCGTCAGTTTACAAGATGATAGGGCCTCTCAATGTACTCATCTGTTGCCAGAGTGCTTTCGTAGCCATGATGTTGCATATCTCTGATAAACAAAAAACATTGTTGCGCCGCGTCGTCGGGTACAGTACACTGTAGGAAGCAAGTCCGGCGACCCAGCGCAAAAAGGCCGAATTACGCCACGATATACAATAAAGCTGTGTAGACCGCAGACCTCACTGCTGCCACTGGTAAGATTGGAAGTCATATCTACTTTCCAGAAGATTCGCAGTCTTCTATCCATGCAGGTACCTGTCCCGAAGCGCATAGCGCGTTAAACGATCGCCGCAACCCCAAACACAAGCGCCATGAACATAGCAGGCTATCGCGCACTGCTACCCCCTATTAGCCAGCTCACGTAAACCTCGCGGTAAGTCGCCCGGACATTTGTTTATCAGCCCGCACTTATGGTGCAGATAACGCACGCGACCTAATCGAACGTGCATGACGCACGCGGCTTCATCCTGGATACGGGGCGCTATCTTCGATAAGGCAGCCATTAGCGGGCTTCCTTGATCACCGCCGCGACAATGCCGGCCTTTATCATGGCCGCAGCGCGCTCGTGTGCGACCTCAACGTCCCTTCTCCTGGGCATCGGATCGTGTCCTCAGAACTCTGTGTGGGTAAGTGAGTGTTCTAGAACCGCACCGTTGTGCTAGCTTTCACACTATCCTTCGGCTCGCTTTCCCCGCATTCGCATTTTCCCACGTGCTTAATGTTCCTTCTGTGATCTGACTTTGCGACAGACGGATACTTTTCAAATTCCTGACGAAGTGAGAGAACAGAGGAAGAAAGAAGAGAAGGATGTCGAATAGTATGGAGATTACGCACAGGAAGGGGTCGATAAGGAGGGGGAGTGTGGATGGCGCGGCGGAAGCGCAGCTTGCGAAGATGGGGTATCAGAGTGAGCTACCCAGGAATTTGAGCATGTTGAGTGTGCTTGGGCTGTAAGTGAAGAGCCTTTTTAAACTGTCATGGCAGATTGTAGCAAGTTGGGTAAAGGCACAGTCCGTGCACTTGTAGGATACGCACATGTGCGCAATCCACCAGCTATACGACATTGTCACTATTCTCTGATAAAAGAGAGTACCAACGTTAACAAATCATAGATCCTTCGCTATCATGGCAGTCCCCTTCGGTCTCTCCACAACCCTCTACATCACCCTCACAGACGGGCAATCCGTGACGATTCTCTGGGGCTGGGTCCTTGTCTCCCTCATCTCGCTCTCCATCGCCGCCTCGCTTGCTGAAATCTGCGCCGTCTACCCCACCGCTGGTGGTGTCTACTACTGGTCTGCAATGCTCTCGACACGCAAGTACGCTCCCGTCGCCTCCTGGGTGACCGGCTGGCTCACCCTCGTCGGTAACTGGACCGTCACCCTCTCCATCAACTTCTCCGGTGGCCAACTCATCCTTAGCGCGATCAGCTTGTGGGACGAGGACTTTGTGCCAAACGAGTGGCAGACAATCCTGATGTTTTGGGCCGTTATGCTAGTGTGTATGCTGACGAATATATTTGGCGCAAAGTATCTGGATTTGATCAATAAGATTTGTATTTATTGGACGGCGGCGAGCGTGGTTATTATTTTGATCACGCTGTTGACTATGGCGGATACAAAGAGGAGCGGCGAATTTGTGTTTGCGCATTATGATGCTTCGGCGTCTGGGTGGTGAGTTGCTTATTACTGATCTTAAAAGTTGGGAAGCAATGCTGATTCAGACAGGCCTTCCGGATGGGCATTCTTCGTCGGACTTCTGCAAGCAGCTTACACTTTGACGGGCTACGGCATGGTAGCATCCATGTGCGAAGAGGTGCAAAATCCCGAACGCGAAGTTCCCAAAGCCATCGTTCTATCCGTCGCCGCGGCAGGCGTAACAGGCATCATCTACCTGATTCCTATCCTCTTCGTCCTCCCAGACGTACAGATGCTCCTTGACGTCGCAAACGGCCAACCCATCGGCCTCCTCTTCAAGACCGTAACAGGCTCAGCAGGCGGCGGCTTCGGCCTTCTCTTCCTCATTTTAGGAATTCTCTTCTTCGCCGGAACCGGCGCCCTGACAGCCGCCTCTCGCTGTACGTACGCCTTCGCCCGCGACGGCGCAATCCCCGGCTCGCGCCTCTGGAAACGCGTAGACAAGCGCTTCGACATCCCCCTGTGGGCGCTCGTCTTATCTACCCTCGTCGACTGCGTCCTCGGCCTCATCTACTTCGGCTCCTCCGCAGCATTCAATTCTTTCACCGGTGTCGCTACAATCTGCCTCTCCACCTCCTACGGCATGCCCATCCTCATCAGCGTGCTCCGCGGACGCCGCGCAGTCAAGCACTCCAGCTTCAGCCTCGGACGCTTCGGCTACTTCATCAACATCGCGACGCTGTGCTGGATCTGCCTTGCGGTAGTGCTGTTCTGCATGCCGGTCAGTCTTCCTGTGGAGGCCGGGACGATGAACTATGCGAGTGTGGTGTTTGCGGGATTTGCGTTTATCAGTCTTGCTTGGTATTTTGTGAGGGGACGGAAGGACTTTAAGGGGCCGCCTGTGCCGCAAGATGTGGCGCCGGGAGAGGAGGTGCCGGTTGTGGGCGTGGAGAGGACCGATTTGGAGGGGGCGAGTCCGGTGAGAACTGATGCAGAGAAGGTTACGAACGACATTGAGAAGATGTAGGTCTAGGGGTCGTGTGTGTATAGTAGAGTTGCGCGATGTATCTTAAGTGTTGACGTTAGTCTTGTCAATTAGCCTCGTGTGAGGATTCCCTTCGCCTCCCATGAAGTTTTTGTGCATTTGACATAGTAGCTTTTTGGTCTGCTCTTGTGGATTATCTGCCCATATCTTAGGGATGCTTTGCGCCGCCTTCTATCAGGCTGGTAAAGCGTGAGAACAATCACATCTCGAGTATGGTGACTACATCTATATGTGGTCCACTGGGCACTGCAATAAACAAAGGATAGCTAATCAGCCTCGAGATGTACAAATATAGTAAGTGTGTACACTATGACTTCGTGACCTCATTCTGACTCCCAGAAATTTTACACGCGAATTACCCAATACTACCATACTCGACTGGAAGTCGAATTCTGACCCAAGGTTGGAATTCGAGTTCTCACATCAATCTGTGGACGCCAACCCCACTCGAGCGGGTGCGCCACACTCCAGCCACCGCTAAGTTCGCTCCCGCAACCACTTTAGCTACGCGACTTCCCCGTTCTCGCGACGCGTTGCGACTGCCACTGCAGCGTTGAACGCTGTCGACGATGGCGCCTTAGTAAGTGATTGCTTCTCTTCATTCTCACTTTCACTTCCTTTTCGATCCCCGACATCTCTCTTATATAATCACAGGATCTCTTACTCTGTCGCAACAATCGCTCACAATGGGTAGTTCCACCGAGGAGCCAATCGATCTCACACTTGACTCTGACGACGAACCCGGCCCTACACTTGCACCTTCAGGTTCTTCGAAAATGGTACCGGGGTTTTTACCTGCCGGCAATTTCCGACCCTCTTCCTCGTCGATCCCGCAATTTCAGGGCACATCTACATCTGTGTCTGGGTTCCAGTTACCCAACAGCCGACCGAAGCCAAGCCTACCGAAGTTTGAGCCTTGGTCTCCGTATGCGACTATACATGACGATTCGGCAAACCCAAACACTACGTCATCAAGCGGACCGCGTAACGGCCATATTCCTGTATTCACCGCTGCCACACCAGCAGAGGAAGCAGATGACTTTGCGATACCTCAGGCAGAAAAGAGAAGGAAAATATCTGGACCGCCACTAGGAGCTGAATTCAATTTACCTGGGCCAGCTCGACGGAGGATTGGACCGAAACCAAAATATTATGGAGTGAAGGTTGGGCATATTCCTGGCGTATATACGGATTGGGATACGGCCAAAGCCCAGATCGTAGGATGCAAAAAGTCCTCACAACAGCGCTTTGAGACGAGAGAGGAAGCACAGGCCTTTATAGATGGGAGACTAAGCCCAAATCCCAAATTCGACCCAAATCGCGTAGAGTTACCTCCTTGGAACGGCGGCGCACGCCCATCTTCTTTGAATTCGCTAGTAACAACCCCCACAAACAGTGCTGATGGCAAGCAAGCATCTGCGACGTCTCCGGCCATTGGTACACAGTCAGTCGGCGGTCGGCCTCCAGATCCGACCATGAAGCTTAGTACAAACGGATTGCCCTCGGTCCAGTCTTTGAATACTGTGTTGAAGACAAACGGCGCCAGTATGCCATTTGCAGGAAACAATGAAGCCTCACGAACCCTTCGTGAACTGCAATTCGGACGGCTTTCCGATGCGGTCAACGAAGCGAATAAATCTGGATCCAAGGGAATCGCCATCGCTCAGAGCTCGGCTGGTGAAACAATAATGGACCAAAACACCTCCTTCCCGGCTCGACAGGGTACATCCGTCCAAATTATGTCAGAGACCAAGAACGGGTTGTCGAAAGATGAGGATACTACCGTCGAGGATCCCTTCACCATGCTGTTGGAAGACGATATAGTTTCTGAATTACTTCGACAAGCACCTGCTAACGACAAAGTGGCTTTGCTGCTGAAGGCACACCCAAGGGGTCAATTAATCGCGCGAACCATCCCAACGTCACCTCTCCAAACAAGTCTCAATCGGAAGCGCCGTGGGCGGCCATCTTTACGAGATACCAGGAGTCCTCCGGCCGTGTCACCGAGTGAGCGCGACAGTTTATTCTCGGTCCCAGACACGCCCACCAGTGGTGATGCCGTGCATACGCACAATACGGTCAGCAATTTGCCTACAGCACATGGCGTTGTCGCAACCGTTGAAAAGCCGTCAGCATCCAAAACGTGGATGGGCGGACTTTCTGAAGCTGAAGCGCACCTTTTGATCTTTCTTAAGGAAGTTAAGAAACTTAAGTGGACCGAAATCACAGCAAGGTTTCAAGAACACTATCCTGATCGGGCGTACAGTACACTGCAAACAAACTATTCTCAAAAGATTAATCGCCGCGACAGATCGCACGATCCTTCAACCTTAATACTGCCGTCTATGTACGCCTCAGAAGCTCACATTGACTGGGCTAAAATCCATTCAAATCCAAGGAATGATCACGCAGGGCGGAAGCGGGAAGTAATCTCTTTGCAAGAAGAGCCTCAACATCGAGCCTGGTCTGCCGTTGTTGGTTCACTTCAAGACCAGTCATCCGGTGCTGAGTCGGCAAGCCATCACACGCGTCCTCGACGAGCAGTGCCCAAGAAAAATTATACTTGGCCAAAAAGGAACGCATTGGTCGCGGACGATGATGACTTCGATACGCTGGGGCCAACGGAGGAGAAGCTCAACGTGTCTGAAACACCGGAAACAACTGTCCCAGCACCAGAAAAGGCTATTGCCATCGATAACGAAAGCGTCTCGATTGACTTTGACGGGGATGATGCTTTCTCCGCTCTTTCTTTACACAAAGGGGAAGCAAGCATAGAGCAGCTGCCATTTCTCTCCTCATCGCAACGATCAGATCTCCAAAACGTACCCTGTGGATATGAGTGGGACCAATTAATTAGTCGCGACTGGCAAGGTACTCTAATACATGCGGATTTCAGTCCCACCGAACTCAATCTTGTGGAGAGCACGATGACGCACTTGTTAGGCCCTCAACGAGATCTACGTTTGCGGAGTCGGCGGAAACGACTTGGGCGAATGTTGCGTGGGTTGTCGGAACCCAAACTTTTGCAATTAGCTAGCGCACTCCGCTCAAAACTGCGTTCGCGAGATCGACGAAGTATCGATGCGTTTCTCCGAGATGCAAAACAGGACAAAATCCGTTGCGATGCCCCTCGCATTGAGAGGCTGGCAGCATCAAGGCCCACCAAGTCATTCAGCTCAGACGCGAAGTTGTCCACGTCCGCTATGATAAGAAGACGCGAACTTGGCATTCAGTCGCACCGTGGATGGAGTTCGGCGACAGCACCGATTCCATACCACTTGAAGAACAAGGTGCAGGACTCCCTCGGACCTGTCTGCTCCTACACAGGTGCAGCAGGCGATGTACATGCTGTCGCTTGGTCTGTCGACGGGGAATGCTTTGCCGCTGGTGCCATATGTGTTAGTGACGATCATTCTATGCAGTACAACCGATCGAATAATCTCTTATATGGCGATGTTTCTCGCAACACTATCAACGAACTAGGGAAGCACTACGATCCGCGACCGAAAACAGATACGGGCCCGAACTCGACCCATGCAATGTATGTTTCGCAGGATCCAAAACTATTCAAGACAGTCGAATCGGTCGCTTTCTCTCCAAATGGAAGGTACATGTTCTCTGGTGGATGGGATCATAATGTGTGGGTTTGGAAGACAAGATACGACGGGTCGCAACCGACTGATATTGTCTCTTTGCGTCACAAAGCCGAAGTGACCCATATGGCCGTCAATGCTTCGGGCGTGCTGGCGACCGGTACCAAGAGAAACAAGGGCAACACCGTAAAGGTGTTGAACTTATATGACGATGATCTGACACAATCGCCTGATACGACTAGCTTCAGCTCCGAGAAAGCCGCCGCTCGACCTGACCTTTTAATCCGGCCAATGGCGCTCCACTTCTCGCCCAGGTACGAGAACCTTCTGCTGGGGGGTTTTGGCGCCAATGCACGCCAAGATGGAAGAGACATGAGTGGAGACATCTGCTTATGGGACATCAATGCGAACAAGCAACTCAACATATGGGGTTCGGGAAAGAATGTATATGACTTATCCTTTCATCCAAGGGAACGCTGGATGGCGGTCGCGACTGTAGCAGGTCAGAACACCAATCGAGGAATGCGTTCGACTGTCCGATTATACACTGAACAAGGGAATGCCATGGACGACAGATTCAGCACCCTCATGGAGCTTGAATGCCGAGCGCTGGATATCAATGATGTTGTGTGGTGGTAAGTTGTTAGTTTCCGATCGAAAGCACGTTCCTTGGCTAACTTGAGTAGTCCTGGGAATAACTACTTAGTCGCTGCTGGATGTACAAGTGGACGAGCATACGTATGGGATATTCGCAACCCGAACCACTTATTGCGTGAGCTCGCCCATGGCAACTCCCTTATGCCTCTCGAGGAGGGCGTCGATCCCGAAATCTCAGACACCGGCATTCGTTTCCTCAGCTGGGGCGATAACGCCACACGGCTTTACAGTGGATCGTCTGACGGTGTAGTCAAGGTCTGGAACGTGGCGCGTTCAGAAGAAGAGACATTCGTTAAGGATCTTGCTACGTTCGACTCTGGCGTTATGTCCGGAGCCTTTAGCCCGGACCATAGCCGACTCTTGCTGGGTGAAGTCAACGGGTCCATCAACGTTCTTGAAGTTGGCCGAGACGACTGTTCTCTTAGGGATGCAGAAAGGATGAAGTTCATTCCGTACAAAGACAATGATCCCGATTACGAGACACAGTATCCACCACTTGCATCCGCAGCTGCCGACTCTGGGATCGCCGCTGCCAAAGAGCTTATTGAGACCGGCCAAATGACGATCACGCCTATGGGAGGATTGCCTGTCAAACAAGCGGTGCAAGGCCCATTATATGCCGGACCCTACGACGCGAGTGTGGACGCGCCCTTCCTCCGCGAACAAGCATTAGAATCGCAACTCAAGTTTTCCGAAAGGCCAGAATCTCCTTGCTCGCTATGCCTCGGCCCTGGATCGGATCCTATGAAGATCACGAGCGAGGAGATTGGCGATTCTGGCCGGAGCAAGGACCGCATTCCTGATGAGCTGCGCTTGCAATGGGAAGCTGGAACGGTAAACCTTAAGATGCCACCAGGGAAAATTCCTTGCTCACGGTGTGGGCGTGCTGCTCATCCTTCCGACTATGTAAACTATGATGGCAGACCGTTCTCGCCTGTATGTGTTCGCTGCGACTTCTCATGCCCACGATGCGATCATTACGGGCAGCTTCCTCACAAGACTGACGTCTTTGACTGCCTCATGTGCGGTCGGACGTGGGAACTTGGAGCTTTGGGTTTCGACCTCGTCAAAGACGGCTCCCCCACCAGCTATGAAGCTCTTCTCAGATCTCAAGGGCGCGCCGTGGACGAAAGCCACGACATCCCAAAGCTCGACGGCTACAAGAAAGATTTGTATCTGGCAAAGCTAGAAGCGGAGTCCTCGCCAGGTGACGATGGCGGAAGCTTCGGGGACGAAATGAATGCGTTGACGGACTACTACTTCTCGTTGGCGATTGACCGACCGGAGTCACCGTCGCTCTGATCCGTCGGCTTGCTCGCTCCATTAAAATCATGTTGCGATACTGTCAACATAGAGTGAAGGGGAGGTTAAGGCGGGCGAAACGAGCACATGCGAATAGAGCATGCTTCGTTGAATATATTATTGTATGTAGACAAATCCAATGATACCACTTGATATGATGTGTATGCGCATCTTCGTATGAAATTGTATTCTCTTCCTGTGATTCTAATTACAATCTTATTTGTCTGAATGTATGTATTCTCACCTGTGTGGCGCAGCTGTTGATGTAAATCTGCTGAGTTCATCTGCTGAGCTCATTAATTCCCATATGATAAACATGGGAGATGGAAGACGGGTGGTGATGGTCCCAGCCGAACTGACCAATGGCAGTATACTGTACCGTTCGGGGAAAGGGCCTTGCATCTTTCAAGCAACGTAATCGCGTTTTCTCGTTCCATTTGCAATAGCTAAACGATAAGTAATTTACCATCCTATTTTTATTTTACAGGATTGTTGCTGCCTAGGGGCATACGTGTTGCGTCTTGGCCTCACGGACGTGCGTACTACCTCGGCGAAAATGAATATATAGTCGCGGCTTCTCAAACGCTCTCAGTCATACAACGAGTCTGTTTCTCTTAACCGAGGGTTCGATTAAGGACGCTTGAGCGAACGCGTTTTCATTGTCATCTTGAAATCCAGCGGGAAACGATTAAACATGTCGTTTGAAAATACCACCACAACTGCGGCAGAACAAGCAAAATCCAATAAAGTGAACGAAGCACCCGGTACAGAAGCACATCCACCACAAGAAGCTCCCCCCCTCGATCCCGAATACGCACAATGGCTCGCCTCACTCTTCCGCCCCAACGCCACCCCTCCCTCGAGGAACCATCCAAGAAATGCGCGAGAGCAACGAAACAATGATCCGCACTCTCTACGCCCAATTCCCACCCCAGCCCACCGTCAGCCAAACCTCTTACACAATACCCTCCTCCGACGGCACCCCTTTCGCAGTAATCCGCTTCAGTCCCAACCACGACAACCAACGCAGCCCAGCACTCCTCCACTTCCACGGCGGCGGCCACTGCGCAAACTCCGTCTCCCTCTTCACCCGCGCCATATCTGAACTAGCCGCTCTCACAGGCATCCACATCTTCTCAGTCGACTACCGCCTCGCGCCCGAACATCCCTTCCCCGCCGCAATCGAAGACGGGTACGCCGCACTAACCTGGCTCTCCTCCAACGCCGCCTCTCTCGGCATCGACGCCTCCCACATAGCCATCATGGGCGAGTCTTCCGGCGGCGGCCTGGCGGCGGGAACAGCGCTACTCGCGCGAGACCGTGGCTTCGCGCCGGCCTTGAAGAAAATGGTCCTCGTGTATCCCATGCTAGACGACCGTTCTATCACGCAGAATCCAGGCTGGGATAAAGACAACAGCACTGTGAGATTCCTGTCGATGTGCTGGGAAGCGTACGTCGGGGAGGACAAAGCGGGTGATCCCGCCGCGGACGTGAGTTGCTATGCGGCGCCGGGGAGGGCGGAGAGTCTCGAGGGTTTGCCAGATGCGTATGTAGAGGTTGGGGAGCTGGATCATTTTAAAGACGAGTGTGAGAGGTTTGCGGAGAGGCTGGGTGATGGGGGTGGGCGTGGAGGTTTGTGTTTGGCCGGGGTTCCGCATGGGTTCGATGTTGCGAGGGGATTGGCGTGGCGAGGAGGGCTTTGGAGGAGGGTGAGGGTCTTGAGGGGCTTTAGGTGGGTGTTGAGGAAGATGTCGTCAGGGGTGGGATTCTGACTGGGCGCTCTGCGTGTGAGAGGATGATAGCAGCGTCTTTTTTGTCTGTTTCTATCGAGGATGCAGAATAGGGTTGATACATGTTGAGTGTATTCAGAGGGAGGTAGTTATCTTTGGGTGCTTTGGGTGCTAAGAGAGCGGAATGTACGAGATGATACTTCAAGTTTGAAATTGATAGAAGATGAAGGCTGAGATGACAATGGAAGATGCAAATGAGGGATTGATGAATGGATAAGTTGATACTTGAACTTGAAATGCGAAAGAAATTTAAGTCGGTGAGCCTCGAATAACCTTACCACAATTTATATTATCTAAAAAAAAAGGTAGGTAGTTTGAAAGCTGAGATTGAGATTGCAATTATTGAAGTAGGATGGGCGTTTTTGAAGAGGTCGTAACCAGAGGAGTTATAAAGCAGGACAGCTGAAGTTACCTTTTTGACAATTGATAGATCCGATCATGGTCTCAAGTATCTTTCGGATTGATTGCCGTGTTCAAACTATTCCTGTATCAGCTTGGCCGGAAAGGGTTCCGTATGTGTTTCCGAGCAGACTGTCCACATCTGGCAGGCTGATAGTGAGGTTCAGCGTTGTTGCTATCAGCATGCTGGAGACCGACTGTACGTCAACCCCACCATGCGGAAGAAGTTGCACACGACAGCAGCATCGACGTCGGCATGCAGATCCAGCCACGAAGTATCTTTGCCATTTCGGACCCTGAACGACCGCCTCGCCGCAGAGTTTGCTGCCCCCGGGCAATCATTGGCTCCAGCGGCCCGAGATTACCCGACCCCTATCTCCATCTGGGCCTGAGCCTTTTTTCGCGACGGCGCGCGGATCGAGGCCGGAGCAGCCAGCAACGGCAATGGCAATTGCGAAGCTGTGGGTACCCCGTGATTGACTTCGCTTTAGTGAGATATCGAATGCGTGGGAGGGCAGGGTGTGGTTGCTGCGCGAGAAGGTATCCGACGAGTTGTTACAGCAACGGGCAGGGGTCGGCGGCGGCGGTTAGGCCCGTGGCTTGTGATGAAGACGGAGGCGTGGGAGACGTAGTAACGGATAATTGCTGTGGTAGGACTGGAGGGCCATAGTAAATCGCTGGAGATGCAGCAATTGATCCTCACGATGGTATACACCCGGTAAAAGATAGCGCAGCTACTCCGCTGCTACTGCAACCGAAAATCCGCCCTCCCCGAGGTTTCGACAGCAGCCGGAGAAGCGGTTGACCAAGGCAGACTAGCGCGCCAAGATCGTGTTGGTCCGGGCGGCGAAAGATTTCTGCGTCGCTCCTGCTGGCCTTCAAAAGCTCCCAGATCCTCTACAACTTCCATTCATCCTCACTTTATCAAATCTCCTCTCCACACCGACACAATGGCCAAGGGAGAAGTAAACCAGGCGGAGAAGTCCTTCATGGGCATGCCCGTGAGTATCCCCCCAACTATCTGCAGCTCCCGACACCTGGCCATATCCGCATCTCCCAACCGCACGAGGACACCAATCCCATCTCAATGGCACCGCGCGAAGTCTCCCGAGCATCGCGACGATCCTGTGAGATGGAATTGTGCTTCTGGCGATGGGGTGGATGGTCGCGGGTTGAGCTTTGATAGCCACAGCAACCTTTCGTACAGCTGCTAACTCACGCGCAGGGCTTCGTGGTCGATTTCTTGAGTACGTCTCCATCAGCATCGCCTTTGCCATCGATTCCGGGGCACAATTGGCCTTCGGCATCGATGCGCAAGCGATGAAAACTTTTCCGGTCGAAACGCGATTACTGACTGCTTATCTACAGTGGGTGGTGTCTCTGCCGCCGTCTCGAAGACCGCCGCCGCCCCCATCGAGCGTGTCAAGCTCCTCATCCAGAACCAGGTACGTCGGATTCATCACTGATCTATCTCCTCGCGTCGCCACTGACCACCATACTACAGGATGAGATGCTTAAGACCGGCCGTCTCGACCGCAAGTACGATGGTATCGCCGAGTGCTTCCGTCGTACCTCCCAGCAGGAGGGTGTCCTCTCGCTCTGGCGTGGTAACACTGCCAACGTCATCCGTTACTTCCCTACCCAGGCCCTGAACTTCGCTTTCCGTGACACCTACAAGAGCATGTTCGCCTTCAAGAAGGAGCGTGATGGTTACACCAAGTGGATGATGGGTAACTTGGCCTCCGGTGGTGCTGCTGGTGCCACCTCCCTTCTCTTCGTCTACTCTCTCGACTACGCCCGTACCCGTCTTGCCAACGACGCCAAGAACGCTAAGAAGGGCGGTGACCGTCAGTTCAACGGTCTTGTCGATGTTTACAAGAAGACCCTCGCTTCCGACGGTATTGCCGGTCTCTACCGTGGTTTCATGCCCTCCGTTCTTGGTATAGTCGTCTACCGTGGTCTGTACTTCGGTATGTACGACTCCATCAAGCCCGTCGTCCTTGTCGGCCCTCTCGAGGGTAACTTCTTGGCCTCTTTCGCTCTCGGCTGGACTGTCACCACTGGTGCTGGTATCGCTTCCTACCCTCTCGACACCATCCGTCGTCGTATGATGATGACCTCCGGTGAGGCCGTCAAGTACAAGTCTTCCGCCGATGCCGCCCGCCAGATCATCGCCGCCGAGGGTGTCAAGTCGCTCTTCAAGGGTGCTGGTGCCAACATCCTCCGTGGTGTTGCCGGTGCTGGTGTGCTGTCCATCTACGACCAGGTCCAGCTCATCATGTTCGGCAAGAAGTTCAAATAAGCGTCTCGTTCACAACAATCACGGATACCCTAATCGATCGATGTGGAGGGGTGACTTGATCCCGGTGTGAGGTTCGCGGTGGTGGTGGTTGAAGGAGCAATACAATGCCCGTATTTGGGCAGAAGCTTGTTCTTGGTAACGAAAAGCACGCGTCGGTGGTAACACACCTTGTACTTTACTTTGCCCGGCACATCTTTTTCCCTATCACGGCATCTTGTATTCCATGTCATTTCCCTTTACTGTAACTTTGCTATCGCTGGTGCTGGGGAAAATACTGCACTTATAGAAGTTCATGCTGGTTTCTCAGAATATTCATTCATTGCTATGTGATGTACATGCCTGATGCTTCGATCCTTGACTTGACGGCACATGTCTCAATGCTTGCTGCTGTTAATCTCAAACGCAGAACCAAGTAGGACCTATGCCTGAACTGCTGCTCATCAAATCATTGCTCGCCCATCCTCCACTGTCATCCGCCGCTCACTTCTCCCTAACCGCCTTCCAAACCGCCTCCTCCCCCTTCTTCAGCGCCTCCCCCGCTCTAGTCAACATATTCCACGCCTGCTGCCCAACACCATCGCCCTCGGTCCCACCCATCCCGCTCACACCCCTGTCCCCAGCGCCCCTCCCCCGCCGCATACGGCGAGTTGTCAGGCGCCTGCTGGTACCCGGCGGGCCCTCCAAGCTGCTCCTCGGATTCGGCACCGCGCCTCCGCTGTGCTGTTGCTGGAACGGCGACGCCTGCGGCACTCCTGCACCTGTATCCAGTCTCGTCGGGCCTGGTCCGCTAGCTGTGGTCGACGGAGGGTCGAGCGGCCAGCGAGTTGCGCGTCGCTAGGCGGCGGGATGTGGTACTGAGGCGGCGGGCCAGAGAGGCGCGTCTCAGTCGTGAGATGCGTCGCCGTGTAGCCTGGCTGGGGCGGTGGCGGGTTGGAGCTGGCTGTGTTGGAGGAAGCTGTGGGAGCGAGGGGCGGGCGCCGGGTTGCGGGGGCGGTGGGAGGGAAGCGTCTGCGGTTGTGGTTGCGGGGATGGAGGCGGGGATTGTGCGTGTTGGGGTGGGTTTTGGGGCGTGTCTTGCGCGGTTTGGGGGTGATGCCGTCGGGTTTGGCGGCGGTTATGGGGTCGTTTTTGTGGAGTTGGATTGGGGGCATGGTTGCGGTTGTGGTATGTCGAGAGGAATCTACTTGTTCGTGGACTAAATTGTGGTAGAGACTCGTCGCGGTGTCAACAATGGATGTACGCTGCGATGTTCGACCTTCGGGAGCGTAATATTGGTGAGTCTGGTTGGAGAGGTGGTTTGTTTGTCTAGAATGCCACGTAGTCGTGTTCGGGATCGGGAATTGGATATAGTGATTGAAAAGTTAGTGGGGTTTGTGTTGCTGCCTGCTTACGTTGCTACTCTGTCTTCTTTGACGATGGTCGCCGTCAGGGACGATGATGTCACGTCACGTGTGGATAGATTGACTTCAGATTGACCTGCATTGTAGTCTGCAAACGCACACTCCTAAACGCCGACCATCAAACTGTTGATGTATCGGCTGTTGTATGGCACTCTGCGTGTCCAGCCATACGACAGCAAATTGAATTGCTGGTTCTGGGTAAAGACTAAGTACGTACCAAACCTCTTTGGTGTTACCCTGCGTCTTCCGTACAAGGAGACTGTTCTTGTTCTCAGGTACTCCAATCCTCGAAATTAATAGTCTTAAGATCATCTAGCTCTTTTTCAAGAGATATGCCTAAGGTCACGTCGAACTTGCTCAATCTTGTTTCAGCCCCCAATGATTACAATCAAGATGATAGGTACCACGGACTTCCTACATGTATTCTAACCTTCGGTCTGTTTCTGAGACCTGTCTACATGGAAAAGGAATGCTAGCTATAAGCGAACTCCGTTAACGAATATCTGTTTCAAGCCTCGCCTAAATCAACGCAGGCTCAGGAGCATCTACATGGCATGCTTTCTGCATGTAATGTTGCTAATGGCCATTGCAGGCACGAACGAAGACGCAATGGCTACCGACATCCGACGATATTCATTTCCACCACTCGCGACCGTCTTAACGATCAGTGGAGATCTAGGCTGAGAGTCAAGCAACTCCTCCATGGCCGGAACGTTCGTCTTTCATGGTCAGATGTGTATGATCCGTTGTAGGCTTCGCGCCCAAACTCTAACATCGTTTCTGCAAGCGACAGCATGGCCTACTGCCGACAGCATGACTGGTGTGACACTCCAGTCGTAAGTACGCTTCTAGAAGGCAGACCTGTCAGCACGCGCTTGCCTCTGGCCCTCACATTCGGTTCAACCTCAGTTCAAGCCCGTGGACTTCGGATCGTTGGACATCCACGAACGCTCTAGAAGTCTCTTGAGCTTACCACAGTACTCGCAATAGCATGACGTGGTTCGCGTTCGCTTGCACAACCCGTTCGCGCTATCTCGTGGCAGAAGTTCGCGATGGAGGCGATGTTTCAACAACCCCTGCTACTCCCCCCTGCCAAGCGGTTGGTGGAGAACACAGTCCAAAATCCGCCCACTTTTGGAAAACGACGTTTCAAACAAACAAAGAAGCGCCCGTCATCCATAAAGCCAAGAAAATGGCACCTTAAAGGCTTGTCATTATAGGGAAATTCCCCGATCCTACGAACCATTTCCCGCTCGCCTCAACTCGAGTGATTGGTGGATTGATTCTGTGGAAACATACGCCGCTATTGGTGCCACTATTATGCCCTTTCTGGAACAGCGATTACACAGGAGCGCGCGGCTTCATGCTAGAGTTCGAAATGAGGTGATGTGCTGCTCAGGTATAAGACCTCGAACCGTTCTCAGTGTACTATTCTCCAGCCTACGCTGTCCTTTCGTTCTTTCCAACAAGCTTCCCAGTCCTTCACTTATTCTTTTCGTCACTCTTTCTTCATCAGCTCGACGCAATGAGGTTCTCATCTTTCATCCCGCTCGGCCTTTCGGCCCTCGCTCTGGCAGCACCTACACCTACCATCAAGAAGAATGGCATCTATGCTCGTCAGAACGGCACCAGCTCCGGTAACTCCACCAGCAGCGATAGCCCCATCGGCTATGCCAGCCAGAACGGAGGAACTACTGGTGGAGCTGGTGGCTCTGCCGTGTCTGTCTCTACGCTTGAAGAGCTCCAGGCGGCTGTCGAGGGCGACGAGGCCGCAGTCATCACTATCACTTCCAGCATCAAGGGAAGCGGCGACAACGTCAAGGTCGGCTCCAACAAGTCCATCCTCGGCAAGGACAGCTCTGTTGTGCTCGAGAACTTCACGATCACTGTCAAGGAAGCGAAGAACGTCATCATCCGCAACCTTGCCATCCAGAAGGTTGTCGGTGGCGACGCCATCGCCGTCCAGAAGTCCGAGAACGTCTGGCTCGACCACCTCGATGTCTCTTCTGACCGTGACCACGACAAGGACTACTACGATGGCCTCATTGACTTGACCCACGCTGCTGACTTTGTCACCATCTCCAACACCAAGCTCCACGACCACTGGAAGGCCTCGCTCGTTGGCCACTCTGACAGCAACGCCGATGAGGATACCGGCCACCTCCGCGTAACCTACCACAACAACCACTGGGAGAACATCAACTCCCGCGGCCCTTCGCTCCGCTTCGGAACTGGCCACTTCTTCAACAACTACTACAACGCTGTCTCCGACGGTATTAACGCTCGTCTTGGTGCCCAGGTCCTCGTTGAGAACAACGTCTGGGTCGACAGCAAGAAGCCCCTTTACAGCGTCGACGACGATGCCGGCGCTGTCGCCAGCGGCAACGACTTCGGCAGTGCTGAGAACACCGCCCCTGATGGTACCCTCACCTCGGTGCCGTACACATACGACCTCATTGAGGCTTCTGCTGTCGAGGCCGCCGTTGTCGGCACCGCCGGTAACACCCTCACCTTCTAGATGCAGGTGTAGACGGGAATGGGATGAAACCCTCCTGATGAACAGGGGAAGAAACGCGAAGGATTGGAGCTTGAGTTGTATATATTATCTTCTTGATGTGAATATTGTTCGCTAGACGAATGGAATCATGATTTGCAACATATCTCTGTTTGTGCCTTTGTTCTCGTTTCTCTCTGCCTTCCGATCGTATGCATGTAGCTGGAGTTGTGCTCGCCCAGCTCGTTGACTTGCTCATCAGTCACGCCTTTCATCCTCCAGTCCCTTTCGCCTGCAAGCTGTACTTTGTTTGCCTTCTTTAACCACAAATGCAGTGTTGTGTAGATGCAGATTCCCAGGCCAAGCCAGTGAACTCTCCGATAGCCAAAACGTACGTCTTCCAGTCTTTCTCGCCGGTGATGACATATTCTTTTCTTGGATACTGCGCCTTCTTCGCCTGTCCTACCTCCTGCTCACGAAGCTGCACTAGATTCTGAAGGTTCTCTTCGGTGAGAGAATTCGCACTCTCAGGGCTATTGGGCAGAACTCAGGAGACAATGACAGCAGTCAACACTGTGGGTACGCCGTTTATCACGATTATCCATCGACAGCCTCCCCATCCTCGGGTGCCATTCAGCTCACATATCGCATTTTGAATAGGCAAGATAAATTAGATTTCACCTGGATATTGCAATCTTGAATCGAGTGGCAAGAGATATTTACACAATTAAATATATGGCTCCATCACGTCATCTGCCAACTTCCCCATATTTACATATCATCCTCAAGAGGGCTAAGACCCTGCGCAGTTCCGAGCCTAGACTCATACCAGAAACGGAGCCTCTCAACATTGGGCCTATCCAGCATCCACGGGAGGAAGTTAGTCACATTAGTGTTCTTCTCCTCGAAGATGTTGGGGAAATCAGCCGGGGCATCAGTACGGACGGTCCACTGGGGTGAGGCAAACTGATACTCATCGCTGAGGATGAAGTTGTGAAGCAGTTTGGCGCCCTCGGGGTGAGGGGCGTCTTTCAGGATGGCTGCGGTCTGCGGCCAGGTGACGAAGGGTGCGTCCATCGGTGAAGAGGTGTTCACGTTGGCGCCACGGCCACCGCCCGTCGCAAAAGCAGCGACGTACGAGGTGTTCGCCAGTGCAAGCTGGTCGCCAGGTGTAGCGCTTCCACGAACCCAAGTCGGGTTCTGGGCGACGAGCGCGTCGAACCATTCGGGACCGAGCTTCTTCATACTGGTTTCTGTTAGGAATGATTTGTGATCGCTACACATGCTTTGGACACTTACACAAGATCGAACGCGTACAGGACGGCATCGTCGTCGTTGGGGTAGGTCATGATAAGTTTGTCCTTCAACTCGGGCAACAACGCATCAGAAAAGTCGGAAAGACTGCCATTGTACTTGGCGGTGTTCCATGTCGTGCTCCAGCCGAAGATAGCATAACCGTAGTAGGCGCCATCTCGATCTACGAAATCCGATGCGATTTTAGGGAACTCGCTGGGCTTGTAGTTGAGAAGAGCGCCCTCCTTCTTCCAGCGAGGGTAATCGTGTAGCGTCTGCAGGATAATGCTGTCAACGTAGACGTTGTTGTTGGCGATTTGGTCGTCGAGGCGTCCGTCGTGGTATTTTGAGAGATCGACAGTCACGTTGAGGGTCATTCCAGGGAAACGCTTCTCGAAAGCCTGCTTCAGGCCATCCTGCTGATTTTTCTCGTCACCTCCGTGCCAAAGAGTGACAGTTCCTCCTTCTTTCAAAGCAGCTTGGTGGATTTCATCAAGAGTACGGTTTTCACAACCCGGCGCACCAAGCGTGGTCGCTGCAAGAGCAGATAGGGCGAGGACGACTGACGAACGCATCTCGAACGATTTGACGGGTATTAGTGGAGCGAAAGGAAACGAAGCAGCCACACCGTTTGGACTTCGGGCATCTTTTCAGTTTATAGCTTTCAGCTCAATTTTACATTTTCGCTGATCAAGGAAGGTACATGCACATGTAAGCGCCCTGAGCCTCAATTGTTCATCAGTAATGCTTGACGGAACTCTTCCGCGCTACCAAAGTCCGGATGACGTTAACAGATGTTCAGGGCTTCTGCCTGCAAACGGCTGCGCTCGAACCTCCTAACTGTAGGTGCTTTAGGATCGGTCCGATCACTTGCCCACTCCAGTTAGTCTCGCTGCTGCGCCCGTTAAGATCATTTCGGTATAATGCCGGTGAAATGCTTAAACAAGTTTGGATAATCGAAGTATTGCCTACATTGCAGGTTTATGTGCATAATTGCGTGCTTCTGCACTGCTACTCGCCGCCTACCCTAGTCTTCCAGTGTAACGGTAGAGCTTAATTGTTGCGAACCACTCAGTCAATGCGCAAGGGCTGCCGGATGATATTGATTCTATGCAAAAAACTTCTCTTTCCCTCAGCTTCTGGGTGAGGCGATAATTCAGATTGACATCAACATCCTGGCGTGACAACGCTGGAATGTGGTTGTTCGGCATCAATAAAAGACAGTCGGGCCTACACCCTAGAGCACCAGCATGATAGCGAAAAACCGTCAACATCGAAACGGCAGGTTAAGCCACAATGTTTCATAGAGAGAAAACGGCCTACATCATTTCGCCGTGGCGTGCTCAACAGCACATGTATCAACCCGAGATTACAAATGTTGTCCTCTGGATAGTGTGTAGCAATCATGTGGGAAGGACGACGTTCGGCGCATGTTTTCGAAAGAGCGAGATTTGTCAATAGATGCCATACTCGCTTCTTTAGTTATTTTACGGTCTGACTGCTCACATCTTTTTCCAATCATTCGCCCTCTCCCATGCAAAAGCTGCCTCGTAAACTGACATCTCCTCCCACCATTTGCCTATGATCTGCATACTGACTGGTAGCTTGACTTTGTCCTGCACGCCCGGCCCTTCCAATACTGGTAACATGCCAATGGGCATAGCTAATACAGGGTGACCGCTTTGGTTGAATGGTGCTGTGTTGGATGTCAATCCGACTTGCTTCTTGATCTGCTCAAGCGGTGCAGCATCAGGCGCTGCATGACTGGTGGCGACATAAGGCAATGTTGGTGTAAGAAGGAGATCGTATTCATTGAGCGCTGTATCGTATGCGTCTCGCAGCTGACGAGATAGATTCGTGGCCTTGGCGAGCAGTAACGGGAAGTTCTGTACCGCGTACAGGCCGTTCAAGTAAACGTTCTTAGTCGAGACGTAGGCCTCGTCCCAATTTTCCTGCGCCATGGGATGGATAAGGGTGTTGAGGCTGAGCATTTGGTGGCCTCTTCTGCCGAATGAGCCAGAAGTCTTCGCGAGGAAACCTCCTACTTTACTTATGCCGGTCCATATCGCTGCTCCCTTCGAATGGATTGGTATTGATACTTCCGTTACAGTAGCGCCAAGCTCTTCAAATTTCGAGACTGCGGCTCTGAAAGTTTCGATGACGCGAGGATCCGTCGCCGGAGTTGACAGAGATTCGGTGATGATCGCAAATTTCTTACCTGAAAGTGGCTTGTCGTCAGGAATTGCCTGCACTGTGCTGTATGTAGGAACCTTAGACGGATGAGGCGCGGCAAAAGAGCGATCATCGATGTTGTCGCTACCTACAATAGCTTCAAGAAAGATGGCGTTGTCTAATACCGTCCGGGTCATAGGACCCAAATGATCGTTGGTGGGCTCATTGCTTCCGCTACCCGTATACGGCACAAGCCCAAAGGTGGCCTTCATTCCCACGACTCCAGAATTGGCAGCGGGGACGCGTATACTGCCACCTTGATCTGCACCGATCGCACCCCAGACCTCACCGAGGGCTACGAGGACGCCTGAACCACTTGAGCTACCACCAGAGCTGTAGCCTTTGGCAAAAGGGTTCTCAACCACACCAGTACCGGATGAGTGGCTCGTGGCTGAGTGGCACATGTTCTCGCACACAGCCTTGCCCGAGATCTCGCCTCCAGCTTCGAGGATTCGTGTGACGACCGTTGCATCGCAATCTGGCACGTATCCTTTGATGAAGTTGGTACCGAGTAACATGGGAACGTCTTTGACCGCAACATTGTCTTTGATAGCGAAAGTCTTGCCCTGAAGTTTCCCGCCCTTGGTTTGCTTGTCTACTATTCGGCACTTCCATGCCCAGGCGCCGTGTGAGTTCTCAGCTTTCTCGGGGAAATGAACATCCTCCCTGGGATAGCGTTCTTGGTCAACCGGTGGGACGTAATCTGAGTCCCGCTGTCAGCAAAGTTCGAAACATGACATCGAGATAAGAACTACCCTACCGTCCATTGCCATCAGTTGCTCGCTAGCATCGTGGAAAACAGCCAGCAGGCGAGTGTAAGCATCCTTCTCCGAATCATCGATACTAACTCCGAGTTGAGAGCATAATTTGTCCACAGTCTTGGAGGTGACCGGGTTTCCTTTGGCGGCATCGAGAGAAAACACAGACATGATTGCTGAATAACTAAAAGACTGTTTCAACTTTATGTTGTATCAATACTTGATATCTTAGTTCATGATGCAAGCCAGAAAGCATCCTTTGTATGCATCGTATGTCGCGCTCAACCGCCGACTTGAGCGCATTCCGATAGCCGCTCTTCTCCGATGTCTACCTTTATGTCATGCTTTGCTATCGTGTGATTCGCTTACGATATTAGGCGGCACTCGATAGGTAGTCGTTGTCGACAACCCATTTCGGGAGGTGTTTTCGGAGGTCCGACGGAGCGATAAGCGATAAGCTGTAGCCAAGGGTGAAGGTGGGGCTGTCGGCGAAGACATCCAACTGCCCGATAATCCGATAAGGTGTTCTCTAATTGTGCGTGGTCATTCTACATTGATACAGGAAATGATAGGCAATGTTGCTGTGAAGTGTGCGATGGAGTTTGAGCTCAGAATGCGGTTACATTCTTTAGGTATAAGACGTGCGTCAAGAGCGCGAAACGCTCTTTCCACATACTTAGCCGATGTTGGTGCCTCACACGAACCTACGCCAAAAACACTTCAGGAATAAATAACGCTCGTCATGGTTCACGTCGAGGAGTCCCTCCAGTTGCCCCGTGACTTCGAAGGTGGGCTCAACTCGTGCCTGAGTGTTCGCTGGCTAATACTACGACAGGATTTGGAGAGCATGGACACGATCCACAGTGGCCAAATGGTGCACGCATTGCTGTTTCATTCGTGCTCAACTACGAAGAGGGCGGAGAACGGAACCCTCTTGACGGAGATAAGACCAGCGAGGAGTATCTCTGGGAGAAGGGACCGTCCGGTGGTGGTAGAGAGTTCCGGCACTTGAATGGCGAGCAAGATTTCGAATATGGCAGTCGCTGTGGCGCGTGGCGGATAAACCGTCTCATGAAAGAGTTTGGCTGGAACATGACTCTCTGGGCAATCGCTGTAGCGATGGAAAGGAACCCCACCTTTGCTAAAGCATGCGTAAGAGATGGTCATGAGATAGGCGCGCACGGATACAGATGGCTCGATATATGGAATTATTCTTTGGAAGACGACAAGGCGTACATCAAGAAGACATGCAAGGCTCTAGAGGCAGCAACGGGTAACTTATTTTCTTCTTGAAAATCCTACATAAGCTGACGCACAAACAGGCGAATTTCCTGTCGGAGCGTACTTTGGCCGCGGAACACCGAACACGGCAAATTTGCTGCCTATTATGTGGAAAGAAATGGGCCACAAGATGCTTTACACTTCGGAGGTGTACAACGAAGATTCCCCGTACTGGATCGATTTGCCATGGGAGAAGAACTTGCCTGACGAAGAGAAAGAAGGCTTGCTCATGGTGCCTTACAACTACGATTGTAAGCTATGGAACCCTACACGGTCTTTTTTCAATGTTCACTAACAGTGCGAAGGTAATGATGGGAAATTTCATATGCTTCCTGGTTTTGTCAGCAGTGCCGGGGCTACTTACGAACAATATCTGAAGGACACATTTGATTGTCTTTACCGCGAAGGAGGCAAGATGATGACCATACCTCTTCATTCACGAATCGCTGGTAAGCCTGGACGATCAGAAAGCCTCCGAAAGTTCATGCAATACATATCAGAAAAAGAAGGCGTTTGGGTCGCGACACGAAGAGACATTGCGAAGCACTACCGGTCGACTTTTCCTTACCGTCCTGGGTCGAAAACCGGAGGACAGTAGTTACAGTAGGCAGGAACTCGAATGATGGGTGTCGATTCATTCAAGCTGCATTCAAAGGGCGTTATTAGTTGTATGGTTTTCATGCATCATATTGCGTTAGAAGAGGTCTTTCTCGAGCGTCCAGTGTAACAATATCAATAATGCAATTGAGACTGTTAGACTATTTCACGAATGTAACAGCTCTTGTCAACATGGAACGTCTACCTTATCGGTTAAGGTGGTCCCAGGCTCGCAGTATGGTGCGATAAGCTAGCGTAGCCTATCTCGGATGTACGTAGATTAGTGCATTCCCTTATCGCTAAAGAACGCGTGAAAGAATCCACACTGTCCGTAGTATACTTTACTCATCAATCGCAAGATCTCTGCTTGCTACATCTGCTATCCCTTTGGTATCATCGTTCATAGCGCCACAGGGTTACCAGCGATGAACATTTCTAATTCATGCCCTTCTCAATCCCCGGAGCTAGACGATAGTAACCCACGAAAACGTCAACGAACCGCTTGCGATAGATGCAAGACGAGAAAGCAGCGGGTAAGTTGCAAAAGCTTGTGAAATGTAATTCTATGCCCAGTTTAAACGTCTGTACTAGTGTGATAACGCACATCCGCAATGCTCAAACTGTGCAAAATCCGGTGCGAGTTGTAACAGGCCACCACAACAGGAGATACAACGGAGCTCGTATACACGCGCACTCGAAGAGCAGGTTGCGTATCTGGAGACACGCCTTGTGACGATCGAAAGCCAACAGTATCAAAGCAGAAGGGAACATGACTTGAGAGCCAACTTCTCATCTCCTCCAGGTCATCAGCTGGCATCCGTACATGATCAACGGAGTCCGGAGGTTGAAACCCCAATGCAGCAGACACCCAAAGCTCAGCACAACGTAGCCGATATCGTCGGTATACTTTCGCTTGGCAGCGGCAACACAGAAACCTCCTCGTACATTGGGTCCTCGTCGGGCTATGCTCTGGCGACTGACCTTGGAAAGATGGTGCAGGCGACTGCTTGGAATAAGGCCTTATGGGTACCTGCTGCTACTAGCGATGATGAGGAAGCCCGTGTAGGCGGCAGCAGCTCCACGAGGAGAATCACCCTGCAGGAACTCCATTCTAACCGAGCAGAACCGCCCTCAGAGACACTGGGTGCGAAATTAATCAAGGCATATCTGAGTCGCATACATCCGCGATTCCCTTTTCTTTTCCGTTCAGATGTATGGGAAGCTCATCGGTGCCGTTACATACTCGGAAGACGAGCAGGAAGAGACGTTGAACAAGACCAATCGTCATACTCCTCGGTGGCGTATGATTCGGATGGATTTGCACTATTTGTGCTATACATGGTCTACGCGATCGGTGCTTTAAATCTTCGCCTCACTGAAGACTACCGGCACACTTCACCAGAGCAGTTCTACGTTTTTGCAATGCAGCACGTCGCAAGCGTGCGGGAAGCATCACCTATTCACAACTTGGAAGCGACGGTACTATTGATATTGTACCATCTGAGATCAGAGTCTCGCAATGGCCTGTGGCATTTGACAGGCCTTGCAATGCGAACAGTGACTGACATCGGTTTGCACCGTGCAGCATCAACCCATGGCTTACCCACATTCGAGGCGCAGATGAGGCGTCGTCTATTCTGGTCCATTTACTCCCTCGAAAGCATCCTAGCAGGAACTCTGGGCCGACCGGTCAGCCTTTCAGACTCTGATATTGACCAACCACTTCCCGCCAGCGTTGACGATGACGACCGCTTGTCCAACTTCCCCCGCGAGACGCTTTCTACAAACCAGCTTCCAGAGCAGCAAGCTCTTCCGCCAACCAACTTGAGCCAGTTCATTATTCTCTCGCAGCTACATGTCTTCGAAGCACGGATCCAGCGCAAGGTCTACCGCGTCGACAAATCAACGATCGCTCTCCTGCCAAAGATGCACCGTCTCATGGCTGATCTGGAAACCTGGCGGAATAATGTGCTTCCTACACTACAGGCAAGCGAGCACGATCGCGTATCACTACACTACCACCGCAATGTCCGACTACTCCTGCAGCCTTTTTTACCCATTCTCGATCCTAGTAGCGAACCTTTCCACAAGGCTGCAGTAGCTGCCGGCCAAATATGTCAGATCCACAAGCGCTTCCATCAAGCGCCTGAATACGGACACAGTTTTGTTGCCGTGCACACGGCCTTCGTCTCGGGAATCACCTTGTTATATGTGCTCTGGCGCGGAAAAGACAGGTTGTGGTCGATCGGCATCAGCAATGACATCCGCGCTGCTAGTTGCGTGCTTTCCATCATGGGCGAGCGCGCACCGTGGATTCGACGATTCAGAGATACATTTGACGTGTTGGTGGAAGCTACTATGGCTGCATTGCAGGGGACTTCGGAGCATGCTGAGAGGCAAGCGGAAGGTGGTTACCGCTCTGATGCACCGCAGGCAGATTTCTCGTTGTTCGATCATTTGGATCTCGCGGACCATGGCGCTCTCGATATGGCAAGAGAGCTTACTGGGTGGATCACATAGGCATAATCAACTCTGGCTAGGAAGCTGCAGGTTAGGTGCATCAATGAGGCAGTTGCGCTGTGCACATAACTATAGACACACAGAGCAAGCAGTAATGTGATAAGTCTGAGGACTGAAACGCCTTCAAGTCATACCTAGATGCATAGAAAACCCATCGAAGCCTTCTGTATGCGGTGTGTGTTGGAAAGGTATAACTCTCTCATTACAGATGCCAAATTGTAACAGTCAACAGACTTCAATTTGAAGAAAATTGCTGTAACACGGATTTAAAAGACCTGACCGGTCGCACTCATGATAATCTAAGCGAAAATACGCTATGGCGGCAATTCAGACCTTATCCTCTTTGCCTTGAGCCGAGTAATACTGAGTACTGGCGGAATCCACCTCTTCTCCGTCAACGACCCCAGTAATAGTCGCCACGCTCTCGTGGGCAAAGAAGCCCTCGTTAGCAGCCATCTCCTCGAAACGAAGTTCCCTCTCTTCGCCCTCAGGCAGGACCGGTACCGGCCACACTAGGCACAGCACATAATACACCAACGCACCCATAAGAAAAGACAGCACAAACCCTAGCTTGTACATATTCTTGCTGGCAGCCGACACCGAGTCAGGGTCCAGCGAGCCAGCAACTCCGTGTACCGCGAAGGCGACGCCTGCCACCCAAGCAGCGAGCATGCGCAGGTTCCATCCTTTGTAGTAGCTGTATGGAGCCTTGGGTGAGTTGACATATAGTGAAGGCACGTGGAAGTTTCCTCGCCTCACAGCCCAGTAATCAACGATCATGCAAGCGCAGATTGGCATGAGGAAGACAGTATACGAGCCCAAGAATGTGAGGAAAGACGCCGCATTCGCGATAATCTTCCAAGGAACGAGCAGCGGCGCCAGAACCGCGCAAAGTATTTGGCCCCGGACGATGGTCAGCCATCGTGGGAAAAGACCCGTTAGATCGGCGCCAACTGGTAGCGAGTTACTTCCAGCGTTGGTAATTAGGATAGCGAGCATCATGCCAAACGACGCAAACACCATTCCAGCTCTTGCTGCGGAATTCCAGTACTTGTCGAGAATGGCACTGTACAGGTCCCAGACATTCCAGTAACTTTCGCCGAGCACGTTCGTAGCTGCGGACGTGGTTGCGGTACCAAGGAACATCACTAGGACTTTGCTGAGCAGAATGCCGATGCCCTGGCTCCAGGTAACGTCTTTGTAAGAACGGCCGTATCGAGCAATATCGGGCTGATTGATTAGGACAGGCGCGAGTGCTCCCATTACGGAGTTGATGGCTTGAATCATCGGCCATACCAGCGCGGAACCGGACAGACGAGCTTGTTTCGTGGTGTACTTGAACTCTCCGAGTGTTCCTCCGTTTGCGCTGATTGCCCATCCAAGCACGCCGAAGAGGGCAATCGTCGTGTACACGGCTTTGACGACGAAAAGATGGCGGAGCACTTTTGGATGGATGAACATCACAGGCATTTGAACCTATAAGAGTCAGTAACATATCAACATTATTGATCATGCAAATTTACCATCCAAAAGAGAAAGAAGCTGAGCAAATCCCGAGAAGTGATACCAGCGCTTGCTGGAAGATGATTGGGAATGTTATGGTAGCCGTTGCCGAATATTCCGCGCATAAACACCGACGTGATACGCCCACCGTAGTAGGTTTGTGTAGCAAAGTAAATGATAGCGACAATCGCGCGGACTAGGATGTAAAGACTGGCACCTCGGACGCCTGCCGCTGCGCGAACATATACGGGAAATCCGACGAAGTACTTGATGGCACCACGACTGTTGAGCACCACCAAGACAGTCAATATGGCGGAGCCGATGACTGCGGCAATCATGCCATGCCACCATGCCAGTCCGATGGATATCAAAGTAGCACCAAGGTTGTAGCTACTGGGGCTGAAAGTCATGGTGAGATAGTACGCGAAGTAATGCTGCCACCTCCATCGTCTATCGTCTGGTCGCAATTAGTCGATGATGAAATGATCCCCACGGTGAACATGTACTGACCAACAGGACTTGGAAGTAAGTCCTCATTATATCGCAAAGCTCCTTCTTTTGTCGCGCCATGTTGCTCATTGTGAAGGACTTTGGGAGACCCGAGAGCGTCCTTAGCCTTTCGCAGAAGTTGTGACATCTTTGTCGACGCGGTGGTTCGCTCGAATGGTGCTGAAGATGTCTAATGAAGCCGCCCCACGACCAGGGCAACATATATGCACAACGGCAATCATCTTGATAACATCTTTAGGCGTGGCGCTCTCCATAGCTGCTTGTGTAGATGAGATAGAGAAAGATGATTGTCGCAAGGCTTATCAGGTGTTAGCGTCGGAGCTCCGAAGATGGTCTTCCTCTGCACGGGTACCGGTGCGGCAATAGCGCTTGCCCTCTCCAAACGTTTCTCCACGACCTGCGCGGTCCTCCGTGCATAGGAGCTCCGACTATCGACATGCTGCTAACAATGGCCGCTCTGTGCTGGAGTAGTCTTCGGGATTTCTCCGAAACGCGGATCGCGCCCGCGGCCGATGTGCGCGAGATGCGAAGACTCCGAAAGTACTGAGAACAGTGGGGCGAACTAGTCGATCATCGCAAAATCCGCGGCAAAAGAAGACACGCTTTTTTCTCAGCTTAATACATCGCATTATTCGTAATTGTTATACACAAGACATCGTGTTCTCTGGGCTTCGTGCCGTTCCTCTGGCTATGAAAGATCGACAAAAGGCTGCCGAAGCCGCTGTCTTCGACCAAACCGACATACTTCCCATAAAAGAACTCTTGATCGTATTTAGCGCCTTAGCGGTATCGCTGTTTATCTGCTTTGCCGACCAAAATGGAATTGGTGTGGCGCTTCCTACGATAGGTCGAGAACTGCATGCTGAAGCTACGGTCAGTTGGGCTGGAACGAGCGCGTTGATCGCGAACACCGTATTCCAGGTATTGTATGGTCGCATGTCAGACCTGTTCGGTAAGCATCTCAATTAACGACTCGAGTGACACTTTCTAAAACGAATTTCTAGGGAGGAGAATCGTCTATCTGTCGGCTTTGGCACTTTTGTGCATTTCTGACTTACTATGTGGATTGGCCCAAAATGCTACAATGCTCTATGTATTCCGTGGCTTCGCCGGTGTTGCGAACGGCGGCATTACCTCTCTCTCCATGATGATCGTCTCCGACGTAGTGACCTTGAAAGACCGTGGAAAGTATCAAGGCATTCTAGGATCCTGCGTTGGGCTTGGAAACATGGTGGGACCATTCGCTGCCGCAGCATTCGTTGAGCATTCGACCTGGAGAGGGTTATTTTGGGTCATCAGTCCTCTTGCAGCAGTCTGCGGCGTCGTCTGCTTCTTCACGTTGCCTGTGCCGAAAGTTACATCGAAGCCAGACTACCGGGCTGTCTGCAAGAAAATCGACTACTGGGGCATCCTCGCCGGATCTGCCGCGATTATCCTGATACTTATTCCAGTATCTGGAGGTGGGAGCTACTTTGCCTGGGACTCGGCAATGGTCATTGCGATGCTTGTCGTCGGAGGCTGTTGCATGTTGTCCTTTCTCTTCATAGAGTATCGGATCGCGCTGCTGCCCATGATGCCATGTGAGTCCGATCACGGATGCGGCAACGAATGAAGCTAACGTGGTCAGTGTCGCTCTTCACATCCGCACCAATCTGCGTGATGCTTCTACAGAACTTCTTTTTTGGCCTCGTGTATTATTCTCAGCTCTATTACCTCCCCTTGTTCTTCCAAAATGCCCGTGGCATGTCACCAATCCTTTCCGCTGCTCTGGTATTACCAATTCCATGCGCGCAGATGACGGCCTCCATCCTATCAGGTCAGTACATATCCCGCCTAGAACGGTACGGTGAAGTCATCTGGTCTGGCTTCTTCCTCTGGACCTTGGGCGCCGGTCTTACCTGCATGTTCGACCTCAACACGTCTATCGCCGCTATCGCCATCATCCTGGTGATCCAGGGTATTGGCGTGGGCTTTGTCTTTCAACCCACGCTCGTAGCCCTGCAGGCACACTGCACAAAGGCGCAACGCGCAGTTGTCATCTCGAACCGCAACTTTCTACGTAGTCTTGGCGGTGCTGTCGGTCTTGCTATATCTGCCGCAGTACTGCAGAACTCGCTCAAAAAAGCCTTGCCACCAGGCTTTACGTCGCTCGCGCTGTCTTCATACTCCACACCGGATTTCGATACACTTGGGGCATCACCTACTCAGATGCACGAGATCTTGCAGGCCTATGCGCACGCAAGTAGGACGGTATTCATCATGAACGTGCCTTTCATCGGGCTTTGCCTGCTTGGATGTTTGCTGATCAAGGACCGGGGGTTGCAGCGTCCCGACGAAGTGCAGGAACCCGTCAAGTCGCAAGACCGATCTGAGGACCGGGAAGCAATCGAAGCTCAGGCAGAGAAGGATGTGGGCACGGAGGAAGCCATGCAAGTTGATTGTAGATCTAATCCTAGGCAGCAAGACTAGACAGATCACACATTGAATCACTGGTACTGCCCTGATGTCTCACTTTACTTGCGCAACCGCCTGGGCTTCCGTTTATGTACTTCCTCCATTGCTGTCCGCACCTGTGCCAAGCACCGCAAGTACGCAGGGTGGTACAAGGACGAGGAGGTGGAGTGGAAGACGAGAGGCCAGCAGAACTTCAACTCGGTCGGTCAATCGCTTGGCGATTAAACAATGTCACTACCATGGCCCACACGGAACCTGGCCGATGAATACGAAAGGACAGGCGGTAAGGGGTTCCCAAGCGGGTGCGGGGGTGTCTTTGCCGGTCATGTGCAGGACCATCATGTGCGTGCGTCCTGCGAGAAAGTCCGGCTGCATACATGTGCTCTTGTGATCTTCGAGACTTTTTGCCCTTCTGCTCGGCCTCTCCTCCTTTCATAAACATGCAATTTTTCCTTAGGCGTCTAGATCGCCAGCGGTGAGCTACGTGTCTTCACCTCTTCCCAAGCGGTGCTGGTGGGGCTGTATCTGCTCGATAGCCTGTTCACATCCTTCGAAAATTCAATCTTGTAAGCACCATTGAGTACCTTGGCATGAACCAACGTGCCCAATTCGCAACCCGTTCATAGCAAGTGCTTGGCCCGCTAGCATGTTTATTCGGTGTCACAACGTTCCGCCAGTGGCGTTTTTGACAAGAATCTGAGGAATTGCACTCGGCATAGTGGAATCAGTATAATGGTACTCGTGACTAAGTCTACGTGGATACTCGCACTTCATGCCTAGCACCAATAAATGCCCATGCCCAATCACCTATGCACCCAATGTTTGGGCATGCAAGACCCGTTCTGCTGCGTGACGTCAGAGCCGTGCCTTTTAGCATGCCAGGCCACATCTTCACGAGCTGCCTTAGTTGGGAGATGTGCGAAAGGTAGCGGCAGCAACGGACACGAAGATAGAGTCCTCTCACGTCCTCGCTACATACATCACAATACCCAAGATCAGGATACGCATTGTAACCTGAGTCACCCCAGGATTAACTGTATGCAGTTTTATGCTGCCTATTCTTAGAAAACACAACGTGGGCCGAGTCACCCCAGGATCGACCGTACAGCAAACGTCTCCAGCGCTTCTACTTGGCTTGCGATGCGTTCATCGCAAACACCTCCACCGGATTGTCTCCAAAACCCAACATCAGTAAAGAAGCTTGAGAATCACGGGCTCGGCGTCGTGTTTCGTGATCAACGGTTTGAGAAGGTCGGTGTTGACCTGCACCTTGTTCTCCCGTGTACGAATGATCTCGAGATCAATCGCGGAATTTGGTATGGCAAATTTGAGGACGAGAACCTCTTGGTCCTGTCCCTGCCGGTGCAATCGGGAGATGGCTTGTGCTACCTCATTATCATTCCACATCTCATCGCAAAGTATCATGATATTTGCCTCGGTCAGGTTGAGGCCGATCCCACCAGCTCCAACGGTCATGAGAAGTGGTCGCGAGTTATTCTGAGCTTCGAAATTTGCCTGAATCCTGGCCCTTTTGGAGGACGCGACCGAGCCATCATACCTATAGGAAACAATATGACGATGTCGTAGAAGCCTGTCTACGAGGTCCTGGTATCTAAGGTATTGTGCAAAGATTACGACTCTGAGCCCCAACATGTCGGAGATATGGTGGATGAGGTTGACAATGGCGTTAAGGTGCGCAGATTCCATGAGCTTTTGCAAAGACCATTCTTCAAGGTCAGCGAGCCACTTGCTGCGCGCTTCGGCTTGTCTCGGGTAGTTGTCTGAGCTAGCATACATGTCATCCAGGTCTTCGGCCGTGACGTTCTCGAAGTCTTGAACGGGGTCATAGATGGTTTCTTTGTTGAGAGTCAGCCCGGGGTGAAGTTGGTGTACTTGTGCCTGGATGGCACATCCCAAGGCCGAGGCAATCTGCGTGTCGCCATTGGCGATCTTGACTTGTTCATTTGAAGACATCTGCGCCGCTTGTCTATACTTGTCCGTGAGTTCTTCGACGCGATTTGCTTGTTGCATGGGTAGTGTCAATTCGAAAGCAACCTTTCGACGTGGAGGGAGTACAATGCTGTCTTTAGGTCGTATGATTGTGAACGCCATGAAGAGTCTCTGGAGCAGAGACATGGCTGCCGCGGAAGGTCTTTTTTTTTGACCCATCGTACGAACCCCGGATGAATTGGGCAAGAAAGAATTCCTCAGTTGTGTAAGGGTGGCCTTTCAAAAAGTCCAGGTATCCTCCAATGTCATACCAACGGTTATGTGGCAGGGTGCCACTGAGACCGATGACGGCTCGTGTTGAGATCCTCGTAATCGCTTTGTGCTTTGCTGACTCCCATTATTCACATTCTGCACCTCGTCGAGTATGACCCTCTTGTAGGGCCGGTATGTATAGTAGCCCAAATCTGATGCCAACCCGCAGGTTGGGCGCTTTGGGTTGGTGGAAGCGGATGCATCCTGGTTCGCTACCATCTCGAGTACCGTTTCCTCTGTCTTCAACTTGGTTCGCATGTTGCGCTCAAACGTCTCGTAAGACGCCACGACAACATCCACTCCCTGCTCTTCTACCTGATGTGCCGCCATTCTCGCGTCTGCATAATGGAATGCAGTGAGGCCGTGTCCCTAGATACCAGTTAGTGCAGGAAGCGCCAACGGCGGAATTATGCGTACATCCTCAAAGGCCTCCTCAATGGCTTTGACCCATTGTGCACATAGCGACGCAGGGCAGAGTACTAGACTTTGTCCGGGTATGTTTCGTATAGCCCATAGATGAAGTATGACGGTGAGGGGTTTCCCCAAACCCATGGGGTCGCCGAGGAGGGCCCCGCGGCTATCACTTTCGCACAAGTGGGTTAATTGGGTAGCTCCCTTCAACTGGTAGTCGTGTGGACGGGTCGGCATGCTCGGCGGGCAAGCCATCGGCTTGATCGCGCCCATGCGTCTCTGTGTGCTGTTAGTTTCGGTTCCATGTTCGTCTCTTCAAGGGGAGGACCTACGATCCGTGCTTCGTATTCCGGCCCAAAGTACTGAGCAACGTGCATTATTCCCCCATCAGGGAGCACCAAAATGTCCGTTGCGTCTTCTTCAACGCCGTCAAGATCCTCTTCTTCACCTTCTTCAGATTCAACATCGTTCTCGCCGGATGTACATGCGCTGCCCGTCTCGAGGACTTCACCACGGGATTCGCCATTGGCGACTTCAGTCTCGTCCTCTTGCTGTGTCGCGCGAGCTATTTCCTCCTCTTTGGTCCCCGCCAGTCCGGTGCCAGGCCGAATCTCGTGTTGTAGTAGATGCACCAGCGAAGGACAGTCAGCCTTTTCCACAGTGTATGTAGCGCGCCCATCCACTCGGATGTTTTCAGTTGCTTTGATCACTTCTTCCACTGGGTTGAGGCGCGGTCTTTTTGAGCCGTGCATCTTGGTGTGCTAGCAAAGAATGCGGGCTACGGAATGGCAGGATTGTTGATGTCTAAATTCTCACAAAGCATGAAATTCATTCAAACAAACACGAGAATTGCTGCACGGACCAATGACGGTGAGGGAAAGTGGGTGGCGGGGTCGGTGACTCTCCTTCACCTGTGACTCTCCTTCACCTGTGACTCTCCTTCACCTGTGACTCTCCTTCACCTGTGACTCTCCTTCACCTGTGACTCTCCTTCACCTGTGACTCTCCTTCACCTGTGACTCTCCTTCACCTGTGACTCTCCTTCACCTCTGCCTCGACCAACACGCCAAGTCAGCAAATACGTCAAACCCCACCTCCAGAATTTGAGGTGCAAATTGCTCCACGACACCTCTTCAACCACACATACATCCCAACCCCGGAAAATGGCGGATCTATTTTCAGATGCCTTTGTCGGCCTAGAAGGTCTGGAGATCGACGAGCTCAAGGAGTTGACGAGCGCTGTGCAAGACCTGATAAGAAAACACGATCATGTGCTCCAAAGGACGGGTGCAAGGAAGAAAAGGGCGGTCAAGGCCAAAGAAGATAGTTTAGACACCTTGAAGGCATGCATTGATGGCTGGCTCGCAAGGCCTCCCGTGACACCAAAAGCCAATGAGGGAGTCATAGCACGGTCTGGTCGCGCGCTCCTCGAGGATCGGACCGCCAGAAAATCGCTTAGGCAACTCTACGTGCATTTGCTGGCACGTCGGAATCCAATCGCCACCGCCGACCAAAAAGGTTGGAATGATCAGCTCGATGCTATGGTGCAAGAGCTGTGCGAAAACCTCGCCGAAACCGCCTTTGGCGATAACAGCAAAGCTCCACTCTGGATACCAAAGGAGCGTTCTCAGCCTCTAAAAGGTACGCTGACTGCTCAACATCAGATTCAGAAGGGGTCTCGCTAACATCCACAGATGAGGAGAAGATAGCTCTTCCACAGTTCACAGAACCCCAAGAACCATGGGAGATTGAGCCCGAACCGGAGCCTGATGCAACGCATAAAGAAAACAATACCTCGAGGCGCTTACAAAAAGAGTGGTTATACTACCAATCCACTGCGGATACGACCCCCGCGTCGATCGTATCAGACATTCTAAACGGAAAAAGGACCCCGGCCGATCCTCAGGCATTGAGGATGCCACTATACGTCCCGCCTTCTTATGCATCCCAAATGGAACCCATGGATAGACTCCAAACACCCGCTCCCCCGAAGAACAAGGCTGCGCCAATTGATGAAGACGACGATGAAGACGGTGAAGGCGATGAAGACGACGATGAAGGCGTTGAAGACGGTGAAGACAGGGAGAGCATCGCTTCCTACACCTTCTCAAGCAGAGTGAGTTCGGTTACCGGCAGCTCCAATTCGAACGCCAGCGAGCGTCCGTCTTCCGACGTTGATGTCAATAACCAATCCACGAACGACAATTTCCAGCCAGACGACGACGCATGATCAAGGTGACGAACACAAGCGCTCGGCCTGGTGAGAGTAGAGCTGAGGACGAACGGTGTGGCCGAGGAGACTGGCTGAACGTGCTGCATCGGTGAGCAATGCTATGTATGGGCAGAATCAGGGGATATTTCGCCACTGGCGCCGACATGTCTAGCGTTTACTGCTTCTGTAGCAACATCCGACAAAAGTAATGGTGTGACATTTGTGAAAATTGTATAATACTACTGAAATCAACCATTATTAGGCCCGACGGTACAATGCGTGGCACTATGAGTATTCGCGATTACACCACCACTATGGATCCCTCCTTCGGTAATCTACATGAAAGGAGTCTTTCCAAGTTCCCTCGACGATGGAACGCCGTCGCCGTCCTTACGTGGTCAGAGCTCATACTTTCCGTGTGTGCATATCTTGCACTCGCATTCGTTGTCTAGACCATACCGCTACATTTGATCCTTTGAGAGCTGGACAGCCTGACTTTTGCGACCATTGTACCGGAAAGAGCCGTTGGTGCAGGCGATGAGCTCCCATTTCGCAAGCTCCAGTCGTTCCCCTCCTAACGCTCTGCATCAGCTTTTGTCACATGGAAAGCATGGAGCGCGCTCAAGCACCTCGACCCATATGCCGATACGATTAGGTAGGGGTCTGCCAAGTTGCTTGGCCGCAATGTCGTCCATGGTCAAATAATTCACTGGTTCGCACAGGAAGCCCATGTGATCGATCTTGCGCCGTGTCTCATGCTGGTCAGCGACATGGATCCCACCATGCCCAGAGCCTTTCTAGAGCTAGGTTAGCTACAAATCGCCGCTGGCGGTCTTACCACACCTGTGATTGGGTTGGTCCCATGGAAGCTCCATCGCGCAAACGTTGACCCAAATGATCGAATGGTTTCCTGCAATCCCCTAGGTGTCTGCCCTGCGAGTCGCACGGGGACTTTGGTGATTTCGACTCTTGCTCGGCCGTACTCAGGGTATGTACCGTCATCGCGGTTGGAGAAGGCTCAATAGCAAGAGTCGATGTGGAAGCGGGGACGAGGAACGGGTGGGCAGTTTGCTCTGCTGTCAGTGCGATCGTCGCGACACAGGAAGGAACGCATCAGCATTTTCGAGGGCCGCATTCGCTCCCTCCCAAAACACAAAGCTTTGCCCTCCACATTGGTCCAGCAAAGTCGCCAGCCACGATATCCTACACCACTACATCGCCGCCATTTCTCCTCTCGGACGATCCGGAAAGTACAAGCCATGCGATAACCGCCACTGGCGATTTGATGACCAACGTTGCCTATCAGAACAGTAGACATGGGTCCGAACAACCGCCCCGACCCGGCTCCCGACCGCGATGTGTTCACCACCGACCAGCTCAAGACGATGGATCTCGCGCAGTGTCACTTCCCCGAAATCTGCAACGAGCTCAAGAATCTCTACAACCGCATTTGCGACGGCAAGGATCTCTGTACCGAAGGCACTCAGCTAGAACAAAAGGCGAAGGAAATGCATTTTCAGTTTCTGGTCCATTGCTGTCCCAAGTAAGCGATAGCTCGGCGTGGTATCTGGATCTCTTCGGTAGCCAATGAGGCGGCGTGGCGCAGCCACGGCAGCCTAGCGACCCGGGTGGCTCAGATATATGGAAGGGAACGTCTCAGTTCTGGCCTTTACTCAAGTCATCCTTCAATCATCCAGGCAATAAAAATTCCTGGTCAGCAAAGCTTTGCACTCACAGTATTCTTCTCATAGCCTATCTTCTCACCATCCTATTGCTCTCACATCGATCACACGGGTAACAAATCAATCGACATAATCGAATCCTGAGAGCGGAACGAGGATTCGAAGCAATGCCTCGCTCTATTGGGACCTTGCCACCGGAGTTATTCGAGCAAGTGGTGCAACAACTCTCTTTGCCAGATGTTGGGAACGTGCGGCTTGCGAGCCGTCAGCTAGCTACTCTGGCCACGCAACAAACGTTCAAATCCCACATTGTCAATAAAAACGTGCGCCTTACAAAGTCCGACCTGCAAAATCTTGTCGAATTCTCGAACCCAGGCGAGCTTGGCTGCCTAGTCGAGAATCTTACCTTAACATCCGTAGCCATCGATACGAGCCAGCTGGAAAAGATCTCAAAACAAAAGTCGAGATGGGGGACGGACCTGAACGGTCCGTCGACTATGTCGTTCCAGGACGAAAGTACTCACAAATGTACTCCAGAGGAGGTTGCCAAAGTCGAAGATGATATGCGCGAGTTGGAAGACCGCAGATGGGAGTACATTGTGCTCAAGGAGACTGGGGTCTACTCTGGTCTACTCACAAAAGCTTTCCGAAACCTAGCTGCGAATGGGAAGCGAAACAGACTTCGATCTCTAACCTTGGATGTGGTCGTGCTTCGTGAAGACGCTGTAACGGAGAAGTCCCCTGAGCACGGTGGTGGTTGGAAGATCATATGGGTTAGTATTTCCGTCGTAATTCCGTTCTGGATGGAATACGCAAGATTGACTTACGTTTTGAGGATAATTTGACTGCGGGCTAACTTTTCCATAGGAAGCTGCCAGTGAATGCTTTTCCATAGCGATGACGTCGCTTGCAGACAGCAAACTTCGAGTCGACGAGCTGGACTTATTCAACTCTACCTACAGGTGCAGCCTTGGGTCAAACAGCTTCATGGAAATCGAAACATACGCAAAGGAACTAGCACCTTCTCTGCGAGACATGAAATCCCTATCATTTAGTCATGTGGATCGACTATTGACCGAGTCAGAGCTCAGGGGACCGATAGACGAGCTCCAAGCCTTGACCTACCAGCACGCGAATCTCAACGGACTGGCAAGGCTGATAGGTTTATCTCCGGGACTTGAGTCACTGCAGATCCACTGGTATAGTACCTACGCGTGTAGATACCGAGATGACATAGACGTCGACGACACCCAGCTTATCAAAACACTTGCCCAAACTGCCGCCCTGCCTTGCTTGAAGACGCTTATCCTTCGAGGTGTGCGCGTCACCGAAAAGGAACTGCTTGCCCTTGTGCGCAGCGCACCAATCCAGAAATTCTCAATGGAGAACGTCCACATGGAGGAGGGTACCTTCCAATCAGTTTTCGACCACTGTACCAGCAACCAAGCAGCAATACAGAAATTATTCTTCGACGACATTTGGGAGAGGAAACTTATCATTTTCGAAGGTGAGGGCAAGATGAAGATTCCTTGGGGGCTTCCTCGGCGTGGTGGTCAGACGCTAGAACGGGAGGGAGAGGCAGTCAAGACGCCGATTCGGTATCTGTTTTTTCCCACGGGCCGTATGAAGGGATCACATGAGGCTTACGAGTGGCGGGATAGGAGGCACCGTGAGTATGGTCCTCCTGGAGAATAAATCAAGACTTTGGATAGTCGATGCTGAATTGGTTGCGAGATTGGAAGAATGCTTTGAATTGCATCGGGTTGGGGGTGAGCCATTTCCATACTGCCGGCACTCAGGGAAAGAGATGTACAGCATCATTATCTGACTTGAAGCCTAGCCCATGAAGACTCACTCGCCACGTTTTTCTTTCTATTAGCCATCGTTATCATCGGACCATGAACCTGTCAAACTCTCGTCTATCAATAGCCGTACTCCACGCTCCCTTCGATCGTGAGCTGCTTATCAGGCCTCAAGTTCAGATCTATCGTAGTCCAATAACATCACACAAAAGACCAGAAGACTCTCTATCGGATTTTAAAATGATTGATTTTGTGTCCAAGGCCACACCGACCAGTACCAGTCTATCGCGACCCCGTAGCTGTACAAGAAGTCCCATACAGATCAACCAACCGCCCCCTCTTCTCCCTCTCCCTTCCCCCCCCTCCCCTCCCTATCTCACTACGCCCCACTATCAAAGGACAAGACCCATACAGGCCATCTACCCGCAGGTGATGTCACCGCGGTCTCCGTGACCCGCAGTGCACTTGCACCTGCCATTCGTGCAGCGTCTCTCAACCGCCCACTTGCCGTTGACACAGTGGAGCTGCATTTGTTAGCATCGATCCCTCACATTGCGCAGAGTTCCACTTACAATGGCAGCGGGGTTGACCGCGCCACAGGCGTGGGGCGTGCCGTCGCCACCCGTGAACGGGCATGGCTGGCCGACCTGGCGAGTTCCGCCGGAGGGGCAGAAGTCGATGCCCGCCCTCTTGGTGAGAAGGGCAGAGCTGTCGCCATTGTCGAAGGGGGCAACTGGGCCGGCCATGGCGAGGGTGGGCACGAGGGCGATGAGGGCGTAGAGGTAGGTGAGCTGCATTTTGGCGGTTGGTTGGAAAGAGTGGTGGATCGGGATGGATCGGAGAGTCTGAAGTTTGGAAGTAGTTGTTTGAAGGCTGGAAGGCTGCTGTGTGCTGTTGTGATTGAACTGATGATGATTGTAGAGGAGAAGATCATGCGCTTTATAGAAGACTGTTGACGGACAGTGAAGTGACTGTGCATCATCTAGGACTCCAAGCAAGGGACCGTGATGGCAAGTCGCCGTCCATCTGGACGTTTGCATTGGCTGCGGCTCTGCTATTCAGGAGGCAAAGTCACCGTGCAACGACGGACACGCTCATCTGGAGGCCTTGCTCAAGGAGTCGCGGTCCTCTCGAAGCTCGCATTGGTAGTATATTTGCATCGAGACCGCGAAGTGGAAGCCTGGGCAAGGTGAGCCTCAACTTCCCGTGTAGCAGAGCTGCAAGCTTGCCAATTGGGGTATAAAGGTATACCCACAGGTTGTCCGCAATGGACCCCGAAATGCGTGACTTGGGGCTGAAATATCGTGTTCAGGTATAAGGAAACTACTTTGAGGCTCTGCATACTATCGAAAATAGATAGGGCTAGATGTTGCAGTATAGTCCAGTGGACGCCTGACGAGTGGTTAATAAGAAAGAAGGGAGGCGGGCGGCCTTGGCTTTACAAATGTGGGCTTCGCGTACGCTTGTACTCATTGAGACAAGTCGAAACATACATGCATTCGAGCTGGGCTTGGTATTTTGTTTACTGCGGACGTTTTAGATCGATGGTGCCACTCGGAGAATTTGGACCCCTGTCTAGCGAGCACAGGACGGCGAGGTCGGGAACCTGTCCCTGTGTCCACGACGCCACCTGCAGGAACAGCATCTTAGTTAGCTTCAACGTCGACGAGGCTGAGGCTCGGGCTGAGATTGTGGACTGCGCTTGATGGAGAGGTTGCTGAGAGACCATCTTGGTGTACAGATTGAGGGGATGGAGTCGGTACGGAAGTCATGTCAGCCAATTTTCGTCATGGAAGACGAGGACGGAAATTCGGGTACTTTCTGGTAGATCCCGTGGTGACACAGGGTGTACCGCTGTTAGCAAAAAGCTGAGCTATGACGCGACCGTGAGGCAAGCAAGGCTTGACATTGACAGGATCGGTATCGTTCGCCTTGTGTACAGGCGCAACGGCCCTTCCCACTAGCTCTACATGCCTCTCCCACATACGTTGCGGCGTATCGTCCATGTCACTTTGCGATCAGGGCGAAGAGAAACATCGATTAGTCAAGGCTGCTGCTTCGATCTCCCGTCCGCTACTTTGACTTGACGGTGGTGCATCGACTGTACCGCAGCACTTTGAGACAGAGGTGTTTGCGATGAACGCATTGCAAGTCAAGTAGAAGCGCTGGAGACGTTTGCTGTACGGTCGATCCTGGGGTGACTCGGCCCACGTTGTGTTTTCTAAGAATGGGCAGCATACAACTGCAGCGGACATGTGGATGGCTCCGCTGTCGATGATCACTGCCGCCTTCTCATTCAATCGGCCTTTTTTTCAGTTACTCTCAGGCTCTGGTAGCTGCGATCGAGGATGTGCGGCAATACAAAATGCATAAGACCATTGGAGACTATTACGTGCGCTCTTGCTGGTGTCACAAGCTATTGCCACTTCAGTGATGTTCCCCGTGAAATTTAGGTTGCCAAGTGTTTCGTGTCCGTCAAGATGCGCTCGACCTGCAGCCTGGTCTACGGAGTCTGAGCCTGTGGTAGGCCTGATATTCGCCGCCGATTGTCCGCTTATGCATCATGTATCCTGGGGTAACTTGCTCCATGACCCGTCCTTCAAAATTCCCCATTTCAGCGTCGCGTGCTCGCCCTTGCGTTGCTGTCTGGCCACCCACCTGAACTCCAAATCACGCGCTAAACTCTTCCTCCTCCACTTGTCCATTCGCTGAAGTCGCCGGGTGAGTGATGACACATCCGTGATGGAACAAGCACCCATCCTATCCGGCCGTGGCAATGCCATCATGCATGCTTCCCATAGATGCACTCCGCTGCGAAGCTAGGGCGAAAGTACGGAGGCTGTTTGATTGTGTACAATTGATCCTGGGGTGACTCGGCTTACAATACGTGTCCTGATCTTGGGTATTATGATATATGCAGCGAGGACGTGAGAAACTGTCTTCGTGTGCGTCGCTGGCGCTACCTTTCGCCCATCTCCCAACTAGGTAGCTCGTGACGATGTAGCCTGCTAAAAGGCACGGCCAACAAACCCCTATGAGCCCACTCTAAGTGATGCATATTCCATAGATAGAGAGGTTGCCATGCTGATGTGCGTCTGTGAGGACGTACCCATGCGCAGTTTACCTGAGCCTGTAGCAAGGCCTAATGTTAGCTGCTGTCAGTCCATTTACGTATCGTACATCCTGGCATAACTCGATAGGTGTTTACTTTCGATTTCCTATTCGTACACAAGATTTGCCAGTGGCTTCGTGCATGCTATGTGCTATGTACGCCCTTTGCGTCGCCGTCTCATGGTCACCCACCCGACTATGGAATGTTGACTATCCCCGCTAAACTCTTTCAGCCGCCAGGCAGCCGCCGTCAGGTCCGAGCGCTTCACGTGACTCTCGCTAGCGGCTTGGCCGAAAAACCTATATAAACCGCTTGATCTCCGTCCCTCTCTTCTCTTTCTCAGCTCTCTTTGCCTTTTGGTATGTACCCCCAATGGTCAACTTTGTACACGCAATTTTTCTAATCCCCGCAATAGGCTTAGATCAAGTGTAGTATCTGTTCTTTTCAGTTTAATCTCTGAAACGAGTCTACGGACTCATTCAAGATTATTCCTATTTTTGTACCTGGGTCTCCTCTCACTGGGCTTGCTCATAGTTGAGACCACAGTGTCGCCAGTCTTGCACTACCTCTGGCCGACGCGATCGTCATTTTTCATTGAGCTGCTTCAGCGTTGCTGAGCACTTGAGGAAGAAGTCTTTGCTCTTTCGATTGAGTTATTGATTGAGATGCTAATATGACTATGTCAAACGCGCGACGATGTCGTGCCTGCCTGTTCGCGTCACGGATGGAGTACTGGTTTTCATTGCTCACACTGTATCCACCCTGGCTCGACATGTAGCTATTGCGGATGGTTCACTATCATCCAGCGGAGATTCGCCGCCGCAGCGCCAATCCAAACACCCCAGCCGGACCAGCCTGTCGTTGCGAACACAGCGTAGCCTGCAGTAACTCAGTCCGCCGTCGCCACCGTCCTCGAATCCCTCAATATAACGTCATGTATCTCGCCGCGACCCCAACGGTGACAACATGCCCGGCAGCGGTCGACGCTCGCAATGGTCTCAGCACCATCGCTACACTCACCCGAGCAGCGAACATCACCAGAAAACACGCGCCGACCGCAAGCCAACCGCGTCGCTGTGGATGAAAATTTGCGTCAAGAAAGATCCAGTCTCTTCGTCTATATAAGCTATACAGGGGAAACTCAACGCCTCATCCATTGCTAGACTTGCGGGACGAATCCCAAGCCACGCACTACACAGCCAGAGCGACTCTTGTGGCCAAATTTCCACTGTTTCCGTTCAACTCCGCAAGAATTTGGTCTCGTTTCGCTGCTTTTGCTCCCGCAATGCTGGTCGTACTGGTCGTGTTGATCGCCGAGAATTATTGCACAAATTGCAAAGATTGTGCAGGCAACACTGATGGGGTATGGATATCCACGACGTCCGTATCGTCGGTGTTCTTAGCATCGAGCTGGTCAAAAATGATCTTGGAAATGATGGCAGCATCGACTACGCTGTGCTCAGCTGATACCGCTTGTTCACACGTGGGGTCATCCACAAGAAGCGCAGCCATCCTGTGGCCGACCTGCACCGCATAAATTTTCTGCAGTTTTTTCAACTGAGCCACGATGAAATAAATGTTCCTCCGTGCCGTCCTTGGTGACGCCGTTGTCGGTCGGACTTGCGCAGCAAATATGATTAGAGAACTCGCGCCGAACGGTAGGGCAGCCGCGTTGAGATCGCTGAGGACAAAAATTTGCGCAAGGAAGATCCAGTCTCTGCATCTACATTGGCTATCCTAGAGGAACTCAACACCTCACCCACTACTAGACTTGTGGGACGAATACCAGGCCACGCATTACATGGTGAGAAAGTTTCTGGCGATTCGCACTCCACGCTGACTGGCAGCGTCTCTCATGAAGGCCGAAGTGTGCTTACACCACAAGCGAAGAAAGACGAGAAGAGTGTCAGGCATTGGTATTAAGCCCGGTAGCATGACCCCAAGCCCGAGTGGACTTGATATCCATATACATTAGACACAAAGCAGCAATCAACAGTAGTAATATTGACAGTCAACAAGCCACTAAAAACCATCCTTGGTGCACCTCCCCGCCCACCCACCGCATCCCCGCTCATCCACTCAACTAACCCTCACCTCCGTCGTCCGCATAATCCCTCCCACAACCACCCCACAACTCTCATCACTCCCTATCCTCCGAATCGTCTTCTCCTCCTCACTCCCCTCGCACGTCTCTCCGCTCCCACACCCACTCGTAATGCTAACCGCATACCCGCTCTTCGCACCACCGGCATTAAGCTCGGTAGGCTTCTCCATCTCGCTCATAGCCTTGCTGTGTGCCCTCGGACGCCCTCCATCGAGCTCCCGATCAAATGGCGGAACTGTGAAAGTCGACGTGAAGTTCGTGAATGTGGTGAACATGGTGAGGTTTGATGGGGTGCGACTGTGTGCACGCGAGCGTGTGGTTGGTGTTTCGAAGAGGTCGAAGTCGAGGTCCGAGGTATGGTCGTGGAAGCGCGCTGGCTTGGGCCGCGGTAGAGAGAGGAAAGTAGGCGTGCTGTAGGACTGTGGGTAGGGCGATGGAGGTGGTGAGTCTGCGTCGAAGCAGTGGTGTGGTGGTTTATTGCTCGAGGAGCGGCGGATGGAGAAGAAACCGGATAGAGTTGAGAAGAGGGGTTTGAGGGTAGGCAAGCAAGCTGCTGTTATGCCGGCGGTCATTTCGACGCTTTGGAGTTGGTCAGCGCGGCTCTTCGTGTGTGGTATCGCTCGCTGCAGAAACGCTTCGATGAAAACGAAATGAAGAGCAACATAAACTCCCACCACCGATGAGGTCGAAAACAAAAGAAAAGTCTTGGAGAATCACGAGCCCAACCGTCCACGAGGTCAATAAAGTTATATCCCAAACGCTCACGGGTTCCAGCCTCAAAGCGGTAAAATAACAAGCCGTTACCATGCCCACGGGTCGCGGTGGTACCGTATGTGGTACTTGTGCGACCACCTGCGACACGCACGCATCCGATCGCAATCTTGCACAACTCAAATCTGCAGTTAAAGCACATGACAGAGAAACAGGACCGGTGAAGTGGGAAAGTGGCGGAACTCACACGCTCAAAATGCATATGGTTGCGGCATGGCTGTTGGGCTGTTTAGCTGGGACTGTAGTGGAAGGCGGAGGGTGATGGCCTTACGAGAATGTGGAGGTAGTGTTACGTAGGTCGTATAGCTTAATGAGTCGGATGATGGCTGCGACGGTGGAGCTAGGTTTGTAGGTGAGTAATGCGCAGATGCGTGGTGCGGTGAAGCGTACATGAGACCGAGGCTGGCGATAATAATCCTGGGCATCGAGAAAAGCTTGTTACGATTGGTGTGGTGCGAGCTCCAGAGTATCGACATGGGAAGCATGGCGAAGAAGAGATTAGTAGCGGCATCGATCGCTACGAAGAGTTAGGATTGTTCGTAGCCAGGATAGAGACTTACCAATGTAGAAAACAGTCACATTTATGAAGGTAAAGTAGGACATGCAGTGAGCTTTCGCTCTCCGCATGGGGCCCCATGTTGCTCCGATCGGTATGCATTCGAGAAGGATGGTCGTGAACCAAGCGAAGCCAGTTGATGCAACGATTACTAGTATTCCAACATTAGTCTGACAACAGGTACTGGAGAAGATATAGCCGCACCGACCATGATGTACAAGAGCCGTTTGTAGACCGTCCTCTTGACAGTGCGGAGGAGAAAGCAGGCGATAGAAGTCTTGATGAATGTAATGCTGGCGGTAGAAGACAGAGCGCAGACCCAGACATGAAGGCCTAGTATTTGATTGCCTAATGCGGCATCCCCTTCAAAGTTTTGACTGCCGGATCGATGAACAGAAACCAATGAGCCAAAAGCTGCAACAAGACCGACCTAATCAAGAACATAAGCTACTATCGCAGATGTGTTTCGAGAAGCTACTCACAACAGCCCCGAGCATAAGCCAGTCATCGATGGCGAAGAATCGAGTTAGTTTTATACGCGTGTAAATTCTGAGCAAGAAGATCAACAGCGCGAATGAAACCAGCGTAGCGGCAATGGCAAGATAGGAATGCTCCCTGTTGTAGGTCGAGGCTTGGATGCTCGCGAGTTGAGTACGCACCACCTGCCTCGCACCGACATGCATTTCGTGAGCTTTTTCCTTTTGTTCGCTCGATCGGGGGTACCATTCGCGCAGGGCTGTGGAATTGTAGTAGAGTCAAACACATAACCAGTGTGCGTTGTTTGATGGACAGCATGGGTTTTGCGGGACGAGATACAACGTTGTTATGAAGACTTTGCAGTGTGCGACGCCCAACTGGTGGATCTTGCCCTGGTGGTGCCACGACATAGTCCTTGCGCTGTGTCGCCTGCCAAAATGCGCGCTCGAAACAAGGAGTCGTGGCCAGCGGTTCGGCATCTAATCCGGGGAATATGACACTCCAGACAGGGGATAGTGGATGGCAGAAATTGCGCAAGAACGTGGAGTGGTGGAGTTGGGCGTGCCTGCATCGCTTCCATGCAGAGTTCGGAAAGACCTGCATACACGAGCGCCACAAGGAAAGAGCAACGGCAACGGCCGGCAGTCGATTATATGAATCTCCGATCACCCCACCATTCTTTTTCTTTGGGGCACCTTTCTTTGAGTGATTTCGATAAAGCCTGAAAAAGTAATGCCGAAAGCCACGCACTAGTGGTTCAACGGTTCGTACATATCATCTCCACGGCCACCAATTTCAGCGAAGAACACGATATGTTCTATGCACAGTGTCCAGTTTTTTAAGAGATATACATATACTGAAGGGTATCATGTGCTGATTTAGACTATGCAGGACACAAGGTCTGAATTCGATAGATGCTTTTTCGACAGGAATGCGGCCGCTCAGCTGGACAGCAGACATGTCGCAAGTGTGGCTGCCTCTCAACGGCCGCCACTTAATTTACTTTGCCTCACTCTTTCTGCAAGGCCTTTTCCGATGTTGTTCAACGTCGGAGTGGCGCGGTATCCACCCCAATATTTGGTCGGGCAGATGAGAGCACGTTCTCACGGTCTTCTCTGGCAGTACTGGGAGTAGTACCGTTTCATAGAGATCAGCTCGACTCCTACGGTGAACATTACTATAGTGCGGCCGACATTCAATCAGTCACGTGAGCTCAAACCGGCCCCGGGGTTTCGTGATTATTCCCGAAGCGGGTCCTTGGGACATGTGACCGAAGAGATATGGGCCGCATGGAGGAAGGATGGGAGATGAACATGTGTTCTTGTTCCATAGTTTGGTTCGATATGTGGGGTCGAACCGTAGGACTAGCGTCCAGCCTGCATCATTGCAGGAGGTTCAGCCGAAAGCGGCGAGTCGTATGGTACACTACTCTTGAACCTCAACTACCAACTCTTGGCCTTCTTATGTTGAATAGCTTTCGCATTCTCAAGAACCGTTGGCAGTCTGTCCTCATGATGCAGGGCAGAGTTGAAACTTTTCCATGACATGAAAAGAATTCCCATTAGCTATCGCGGGTAATGCCGCTAGAACGTGATGCAGGTGGCACACTTACGGCTGGTTCGGGCCCGTTATTAGTAGGTTGTACAAGTCGACCGTGCACGGAATTGAAGGCATACTGACATGGTGCGGTCTAGCCCACCATTACGCAACCCTACGACTAGCGGTCTTCTAGCCTTTTCATCATGTTCTCATGAAGCAGAGTCGATACCTCCGCGCATTCTAACGTTCAAGGACAGTGTCAAGCACAGCATGAACTCACTCGAATGATCCCTCCACCACCTGTTCGCAACGACTCGGCGCGATGGCTGAGGTCCCTCCAGAGGAACTCGCCAAACTGGCAAAGCAGAACAAAGGCCCAGAGATCATCGCGATTGTCAGCTCCTTTATGGCATTCGCTATCATCTCCGTGGGCTTTCGATTGTTTACACGTCTCAAGATCACCAGGATGTTTGGATCGGAAGACATCTTTATAATTCTTGCGATGGTAGGACTCTGAGGTCTTGTCTTCGAACGCTCACTAACACACTCCTATAGGTTTCGTCAGTCGCTCAGGGCGCGTTCCAAATCAAACAAGTCGAATGGGGCAACGGCAGACATCAAATATTCATCGATTACAATTCCACCGAGTGGATGATGATAGTATGATTCCGGACCTCTACCACTCCACAGGTCGGACTAACATGAGTAGTACCTCTATTGCAGTATTCTTGCATACAACCTTGCCATGTTCCTTGTCCGATTTTCGATTCTACTCCAGTACCGGCGCATCTTCATAACTTGGCAGGAGATCTGGACTCCGAATACGATCGTCATGGTTCTTTGTATCGCTTACGCAATCCAATCGACCCTCGTTGGAGTATTCCACTGTATTCCTGTCGATGCGTTCTGGGCCTTGAAGAAGAGACCGACTGCAAGCTGCGTCAACGACCATGCGTGAGTGAACTGGCCGCTGTTTCGTCACTGGCACTGAGAGGTCGCAGATGGTATTATGCTAACGCCGGGATAAATGTTGCACTCGACCTCCTTATAGCAGCATTGCCAATGCGAGCTATCTGGTGCCTCCGCATTTCCGTGAAGCAGAAGATTGCACTTCAATTGATCCTCACAGTTGGTTGGTTGTAAGTTGCCTCCATTGCCGAACCTTCGCGATAAGAACTTACCCACCAAAGCATCTGCATTGTCTCCATCCTCAGGCTACTCGCGTTGATAGTTCTGGGGAATCATCCAGAAGATACATCGTGGTATGACGCTGCGCCGGCCTACCTCTCGGCAATCGAAGTCAATCTCACTATCGTATGCGCTTCATTGCCAGCCCTGAAGCCATTGATCGCGAAGGTAGTCCCAGGTTTCGTATCAAGGCAACTCAGTAACGGAAGGCGTGTCAACCGAACTACGTCCTCTGATCATCCATCTTTTGTGTGTCCAAGGCGGAACCAAAGCTTGTACACCACGATTGAAAGCGGACATGACAACCGCTCTGAAGAAAACTTCGCATCGCCTTCGCCTTGGCCTTCCGATCGCATCATTGTCATGAAGGAATTCGAACGACACTCGTATCTGGCATGAATTTCCAAAATCCGGAGAGCACCGACCGTCAGGTGAAAGGTCTGGCGCACCCCCAAAAAAGCATTCAGCCAGATCATAATTTTATGAGAGTTGCGACAACGTTGCAAGACAGCTCCAAGGCCTCCTCTACGGTTACTGAAATGTCTAAAATTTCAGCCATTAGGTAGCCATGATCGACAAGTATCAAGCTCAAGTTCAAGCATTGGGTGATCTTCGTACCGATTGGCATAGCCCGGGCTATCAGCACTCGCACCCGCTTTCGGCATTTGTCCTTGGGAGTTGCGTGGATTAATCTGTTGTGAAGATGAGCATCGGAGTGAGTCGTCTACGTCATAGCCATCACATTTAACCAAGCTTACCAGAAACAGGTTAGTGCAATTTCAGATGCGTTATCTCTATCACGAGACGTGGAGTTCCTAATAGACCTCAAATCACGGACTACATCCGCGGCAGAATATATACTACTACTGCTGCTGCTTGATGACTCTATCCTTCTCTGCGGTCACGAAGCACGAGCCGGTGTTGCCACCCCAAGGATCTCGCGGATCGATGCAATTACACGCTTGAGGGCGTCTCGAATGCATTATGGTGGTATGGATCAGTCGATAAACCTCGCTATTGGGAATTGTATTGTTAATTCGACTATACATACTCCCACGCATTACATATTGTTTCATCCAGCCACCAAACAAGCCGGCCTCTCCTCATGCAGTTTTCCATTTTCCCATTCGCCTTTATGATTGTTTGAAGCTTTATTCTGGAACTCGTCTGCCTCGCCTAATGAGATGTAGCCATCGGCAGCCCAAGACTTCTCAGTCGTGTCACGCAACTTGTACTGCTCGATTGGAGTCAGCTCTCGATAGTCCCCCGTGGGAAATCTTCTACGGATTGATCCCTCAGTTTCAACAATGGCAGCCCACTCAACTGCACTGCTAGAAGAATCGTCGAACTTGTAAGTCCTAAACTCGCAGTTCTTCCATCCAGTTCCTGTCGTCTCTATTAGCCAAACACGGACACAAGGAATCCAGCAATCACTCACCAGAGCCACTACTACTACCCTCCCAATCTTCCGTGAAGTAGTGGTTGACCCCACCATGCGCAACAACAGCAACAAATCCCTCCGCTTCCTCCCGAATAACCCTCCTCGCCTCGCCCGCACGCTGCTCAGTCAGGCCCGTCGTAGGTCTAAACCTTCCCGACTTCTTGTCATTCCAGCCCTCAAACACGTGCGAAAAGTCCACAGGCTTGCCTTCGAACTCTTTACGCAATTGCGCGAGTGGAGAACCTGTATCGCATGCAAAATCCGAAGTCTCCTGCAACTCTGGCAGTGCGATGATGCGGAGGTTGGGATTAAAGTGGAGCACTGTCCGGAATGTGAGGAGGGCGGTGTAAAGGGTTCGACGCATAGGAGACGCGTATATGCAATTGATCGAGAATATATCTGGTATCTCGTGGGAAAGTGCGATGCTTTGTTGTTCGCCTTCAGGGGTGAGGAGGGTGTCCGGTAGATTGTAGTCTTCGCGGAGGTTGTGGTAGCCTTGGGCATGGCGAATGAGGTGGAGTTGTGTGGGTGGCATATTCGCGGTGTTTGTTGTGCGTGACTGGTATTAACGGTATGTGTTGACCAAACTTGCTCGTGTGGATTGAAGACTGGGAGAAGGGATCAAATATATAGCGATCCAACATGGCAAAAAGGCACTACGTAACAGTGAATGCTTGTGTAAGAGTTGGATAAACGACTATGATGTGTAAACATCCATCTGATAAAGGACACAGATTGAAAAGAGAATATGCAAGGTATGTAGCTGGTTATCCCAAATCGGCATAGCTTCTGGGTTTTGTAAGTTCTGCGAGTGTTCGTTTGCAATTTTGTTCCTCTAAAAGTAGCCAATGAACACTGGGCTGCTAGTGTGGATGCTTTTTCAGCATGATGTAGTGGGTCGTAGAGGCACATTTGTAAGCACGACTTGCGCCAAACTAGTACCGGTACCTGATGAGCTAGAGCCAAGCTTGATCCAATTCAATGTCCTCATCGACTGCCGTATTCTCTTCCCTTTGACACTGACAACTTTTGCCTATCGCATTTTTAATGAGCATGCACATTGATTCTTGATATCTCGAAATCAAGGGTTGCGTTCTGATAGTTCAAACCACCACGAATCCTCGAACAATCACAAGATCTTGCACCAGCTAGTTCTACGCGAGCATTGATGTGTTTTTATCGATGCACCTACGCGTCTGGCTGTCGTAGGGACCTAAGAATAGACTAGACATAACAGGACGAGAATTCCCCTGGGAATACTGCAGAGGTGATGTATTTTGCGCCCAATGCCCTGGCAAACAATGCAATCAACTTCGAATCGAAGTCTTTGTAGGAAGCGAGCTTTGACTGCTGGACGGGTACAGGTGAGCTTTCTTCTTCATCTTAAGTATGTACCGCAAGCTACCATAGGTAAGTGAGTTGAGGTTCGGATGATCGCATTTGTCGCGCTTCGTTAAAGGGTGTGCCCTTTCCTACTCAAGTGTTACGCATAGTGTGGAGGCGTATTTCAAATGCGCATAGGTCGGTTCTTTTGCGCAGGCCTTAGCCATTAAAGAGGTATGATTCTGTTGTCGAACGCAAGAGGCAGCCCTTGAATGATTGCGTAGTCAGAACCTTCTCGCCAAGTTAGAATTCAAGCGGTAACAATCACGAGTGAATCACAGGCCACCGTAGATCGCAGGTTTCAACTTTGGGGGCGGTCGTGGCACGCCAGGCCCAGTTCTGGAGCGGTTACACGTGCCACGTGATAGCGCGTCCGCTGCGCCTTCCCGATGCATTGCTGCTCACTTTGATTGCGCTTTCTTATCCCGCTTTTATATTGCTCCTATCACACCTCTGCCCTCGATTAGCTCTTGCTGGTCGGATCCATAAACCTTTCGACCAACTCCGTCTCTCTCGCGTGCAAACAAGTCTGCACATGAAGACTTCAAGCAAACAGCCATCATGACAGGCGCTCTGAGCTGCGAGCTCGTCGACGACGTGGTTTGTGTCCACAAGGACTTGCGCATCTCGTTTCAGCGTACGATCCGTGTACCCGATAATGGTCAGCAAGTCTCTTACTTGCCTCCATCGCTTGGAAAATTTCCGCTGCAAAAGGTGTCTCAACACGCGACCAAGATGACAGAAGCCATGGTTGCGAAGGGCGGACTATTCTTTCCAATGCATCGTGAGTCTTATGACACCAGAAGTGCGTATTGTGAATGACTGCAGATATCACATAGAGTCCGAGGCGATGTGGATCAACTTCCGTTGCTTGAGTAAGCTGCAGTACCATATCAAAGTGTACGTTGGCGGGGTCAATGCCATGTCCGGGGAGCCTGCCATCGAGACCAATGCTACTCGCCAGGAACAGCTTCAACGCGGCGACCGCACCTTGCAGGACTACCTTGTCGTTCCAAAACAGAATTGGCTTGACGGGATTGCCGATTCCGATGGAACCGTACGTCAGTTCGTCGCTATGCCTTTTGGTAGTGGCCATTCTGTCGAGATGCAAGTCACGGGTCAGGATGCGGCAGGTGGTATCCAGATTGAGGTGACTCCACGCAAGCCTTATCGACATCTTGCACGCAAGCTTCTTGGGCCTGGTGACATTTCGATTCAGGTCAAGACACTTACCGGAAAGATCATTCCACTCCTAGTGTTTCAGGAAGAGACCGTTGAAGACGTCAAGGTTCGTCTTCAGCACAAGGAAGGCATCCCACCGGAACTCCAAGCTTTGATCTTCGCTAGACAACAACTTGAAGGTCAGTACGTTTGCATTGCCCAACATGCACGAGCTAACAGTGATACAGATGGCCGCCCACTGAAGGATTAAAATATACAGAAGGTTTGGAACCTGAATGATCCAGCCTATGACGGGCTATGTGCTAAATCTACTAGGGTGATGAAATGCATCTTATCCTGACGCTTCGACGTGGTGGTACTGGGCCACTGCCTCGCGAGATGAGTATTGCTGCTGGTGGGAAGATCAAGCAAGCCATTCACGCAGACACTTACAGCAACGAGTGGCTTTCCGACCGAACCACTGTCTTCAACGTGCAGATTCTGAATTCGGCCGCGTACAAGGTCGTCACTGGCAATCCACCACCTTCCAAGCCCATCTGTGCTCAAACATACGCCGAAAATGGCATGCCGTTCTTCGCGATATATGAAGAGCCTAGCGGTATCTCGGGTGATTTCGGTATGGTGAAATCGGTCGCGCAGATTGATGGCATCGAGGAGAAGAATGTGAACCCTGGCATCCACTAAATTAGCCACGCTAGTAAGTCACTGAGTCATGAATAGTTGATGTTGGAGTTTGACACACGCATAGACAACCATCCCACTTTGGAGATTGGTGTCATCAATCCCAACGGCCCTATGCGAGCATTTCGCACCAAGCGCGATTTGGAGAACGAGTACAGCGGGTACCACGTGGCCCACTTTTGAGACTTCCGAAGCACTCCCAAGTGCCCTGAGGATTTTTTCGTCTTGTGATAGCGTGGAAGGAAAATGCTCAATCAGGGTGACAGGCATGGTTTCTGAGGTTTGCTAAGGAAAGAACTTGTTTGCATGGTAATGAGGAGCAAATGGCCGACCGATAGACGCGATCTTCGACGCTTACATTGATAAGCCACGAAAATCGGAACGGGAAGAGTAAGGATAAAGCTCACAGGTAAAGAAGTCACTTCAACGTCAAGCAAACGTGAATGCAGCTTCCTCGTATGTCGTCTGCTCTACGTGAATCTGGCAATGTAAACCGGGAGCTTCAATTACGGCCACTTGTGACCGTCAGTTATGACTGACCATCACATCCAGCATCTCGTGTTGCTCTGTCGGTCATAAGCTGCGTTTGACGATAGCGTGGCATTCACGATGCAGCGCACCTTGAAAGGTCGTATATACTCCGGCCCCTCCATCGTAAGTTGCCTTTCCGCAGCTATAAATATTTCGCGACCATCATGGAGGGATCACGCCAGCCTCGCAAGCGTCCGCAGTCCGAAGTCAAGCAGTTCTCGCATGCACGGCCTACACACGGACAACGTCGCACACGTAGTACTCGTACTACTGCAGGTATCAATCCAGCGAATCAGCATACCCGTGAAGACACTCCAGCGATACCAAATGCTTTTGCTGAGTTCAAGTTTTTCGACGATGAAGAACCAGGCCCAGGTGAGGTGCCACTTCCTATCGACAATCGTCTTTCACTAGGTTTGAGCGGACCAGGCTCTGCTGCAGTTTCCGAGCTGTCTCCCGAGCGTCATCTAAACCATTTAACGAATCCTGGAACGTATGTCTTGAGTGATTCAGCTGTACCAGACACGCCACCTCGACTTTCCTTCCCTCAGTATATTGACGAAGATAGACTGAGGCTAGGCGAACTTACACATCCAAGCGGGAGTCCGGTACTGAGACGCGAAGTCATAGTGAACGTCGAAAGGCCCGATTTGAATGCATTTGACCAAAAGCTGGATCATGACCCTGGCGAAACAGCGGAACATTCCGTAGAGACCCAAAAGGTTGCAGGCCTCAGGTCGATTGCCGAATCGCCAACACAAGAGGATGAGCTGCCTGTTCTCCGAGGTAGTGCTCTTGCGGCTTTGAATACGCCGACTGTCTCTGTTGCGAAGCATGTCGCCAGGGCTGATCAAGGTGATTCGGAGAACCAAGAGCCAAAAGTCGTCAACGTAAGCAAGAACAGCAATGAACCGGAGTTGCGGCAGCGAAAATATTCGGTCGATCAGAACCCCCAGCACACGCAACCCGTATATAATGGCGCACAAAAATTTCTTATCCGAAGGAAATCTCTTCCTATAGCCGCAGAATTTGCGCCGGAGACACCTACCACCACGTTGGAAGCGACGCGAGAACTTTTGAAAGATCTTGTAGACCAGGAATCCGGGACCAGGAGTATTGAATCAGTCGTCGACCGTAACGAAAAAAAAAGACGGTATCGTCCGCCGGACATGCGGTGCCGCAATCGCAGTTCGCAACTTTGGGATCGAGCATCAGTTCCTCCAATAATTCATTGTCTCAGCCTAGACGAAAGAAAGCATCACAGGATATCAGGGGAACAGCAAAGGAGACTCTCACCACCTCGCAAGCCCGGCCGGCAACGCCAGGCCCAGCTGTGCGACCCGCGTCGCCACCGCTACATCGCAATGCTGCAGATAACCGCAACCCGCTGGAAAAGCAAGACCGCGAAACCTGGACACTCTACAACCTTTCGTGCTGGACTGACAAAGCATTCCTCAAGACGCTACTCAAAGGCCCAACGGTGGAGTTTCGCGTCGAAGCGCATAGCGACCCTTTCCTGACCAACGTGTCCCAAGAAATGTTGAAGCATTTCTGTGGTGAACAGCACCTAGCCCGCCTCATTCGGGACTACAGTCTGCAACCTGACCTACGAACAGAGGATGGCGGGGAGAAGAATATTCTGATCTTCCCAGAGAGGTCCGTCGACGCCACCGCCATACTGCGCATAGTCCGCTACATGCGCCGCTGCTGCATGCGCACAACCACCATCACGAAACCTCACTTCCAGCTCCACGCCCCACCCTCCCTGGAAGCAAACATCGAGACCATTCGCGCGTGTAATATCTTCGGGCTGTACGCCGACGCGCGCCGCCTCCAGTACTTTCTCACCGATAAGAAGATTCCTGGGGGGAAATTGACTATGGAAGATGTGGAGACGATCTGGGAGGGATATGGCGGGGGCCTCAGAGATAGCGTGTACACCGATGCCTTGCTGACGCACCTTGTGTACAACGTGCTTGGTTCTGATAGCGTCGATCGTGAGGACTTTATGGTGCTCCTTGACCAGGAAGAATTTGCAGGGTTGAGAGAGTTGGTAGGCACGGAGTTGGGGATCAAGAAGAGGGCTGCAGAAGATAGGGAGATGTTCCAGATGCGACTTCAGCTCGAACGCGAGGAGAGAGTGAATCAGGCCCTTGGGAAGGGTAAGCGCCTGACTAAGATGGAGAAGATCAGGGCGAGTAGGGGGCCAATGGTGCAAGGGCGTTTGCTGAGGGTGCTGAGTTACGATGCGTTGTTGGAACCGGATTTGACGGCTGAGACGAGGTATAAGGCGAGACCAGGACTAAAAAGGAGGTCGCTGTCTACTTCAGATCTTACGGATAAGTCGAATGAGGCAAAAGAGCCAGAAAGACTGGACTCTGCCGGGAGACTTTTCCAAAATGCGTTGAAGGAAATAAAAGAATCGGGAGCGGGCATTGGAAGAGCCGAAACGATACTGAAAGAACCTTCTGATGCAGAAGAGCGGATCACACTTTCAGCTATACGGACACCCGGCAGACCAGCAGGCCCAACACCTTCCGGTAGGAAGCACAGGAGTGGCAGGCCAGAACAATGGCGAGGTCAGCATTCGGAGGACACCCGCCCGGAGGTGCCACCAAAGGACCCACAACCCGGTGTCGTAGGCATAGGAGGGGTACGGCAGGAAAAGACCACGCTACTTCGAAATGCAGCAGCGCATCCTAATACTCAACCGCAAGATGCGCCGCGAACGCGTTTGTACGCTAGATCAATATCGTCTGGTGGCTTGCTCGGCAATGGTGGGAAAACACAGCCAGGGTCATCTGTCGTGACTTCGCAGCGGGCGCCTATGCTGAGGTCCCGAACAGATCCATATTGGGCAACTCTGGGAAATCAATCTCGCCCAGCGAAGAAAAAGACTCCGAGCAAGCTGAAGCAGGTGTGGGATGAGATGCGAAACTTCTTTTGATACGTCATACTGCAACGTCAAATAATGTTTTCATACCACTCCGTTACATGGGAATGAGACCCGAGTACATGAGAACTACTGCCTTGTAATTGAGTGGAAGGAGTGTCCTTTTTCGCGTAGAAGGGTCTTTCCAGGCATGCCTAAGCGCAAGTTTGGAGCATATCACGCGGCTCGTATGCATAATCTCACATGTAAAAATCGGATACAACAGTTTTCAATAGCTCTTGAAATGCCATGAAGTTGTAGGATTGAAGAGAGCGAAAGTACTGGTAACGTGCTGCTCGGAAGGCCGGTACACCGACCGCCGATTGGCCGCTTCCCCTTTTATGTGGATCCTAATCTCAGTCGCTCCAGCAGTCACATCAACCACGACTTGACCTCAATCCTGCATCAAGGCGCAGCTCAGTCTCAATGGCAATTTTAACATGGTTTGCATATACAAAAACTATAGAATTCACGATGGCCATACCCTATCATGTGTTCCGTCGCACACAGTTCGTTCCTCGAGAAGAAGAGCATGCTAATGAAATAAAGATATAGAGAAATGCCGCCCCTCGTTGCGTTTTATGACTCATCACTCATTCATCGTCGGCGTAGCCTCATATACCATTGCCGCATCGACTCACTTCCAAGTGGTCTCAACCGTCACAGTCGAGCCGGTCGTGGGAACGGTGTACTTTCTATTGTCACCCGACTCGTACGTGACCGATCCGCTCGACTCAACCTTAATGAACTTGTACTCAAAGCTTGTACCTGCCGGCAGGCTAAGGGTTGCCGACCAGAGCGGGTTCGACGAGGTATACTGAGAAGCCGATAGCGCTGCGGCCTTCGACGAGTCCCAGCTGCCGAGCTGGGAGATGGAACCCGCGATCTTGATCGTCTGGCCGTAGGATGTCGTGGCCTTCTCGTTGAAGGTCACCGCTACCGCACCACCGGTTGCCGTCGAGGCTGCACTTGAGGTCGTCTTGGTTGCCGTTGCCGTTGCAGTAGCCGTTTTGGTCGAGCTTGAGCTTGGGGCGGGATTCGAGCCTCCTGAACCCCCGATGGCGATATCGGCACACGTCAAGTATATTTGCGGAGTCTGGAAAGAATTCCACTTGAAGGAAAGTAGCGTGTGGTTGGAAGTGTAGTTCGGAATCTTGATCTTCGAGCTGACAGTGTAGCCCCCGGCAATGCTCGTGTAGCACGAGTTGAGCGGCGCGTTGTCTACACCTTGGCACTTGGTGTCCTGGAACCCTTTGCAAGTGAACCAGTCGTTACGCCAGCACGCTTGGTCGGAGGTACAGTCGGCATTGTAGTCGCACGTCTGGCCGGCAACATCGGTACATTTGAGCTCGCCCGCCGTGAAGCAGTCTTCAGCAGCCTGCTTCTCTGCGTCCGTAGGTAGGTACGAGGGGTCGAGGAATTTGTCCACCAGGGCCTGGTCCTGGCAAATTCGGTAAGTGAACATGCCTGTTTCACCGTCAGTCATTGCTTTTCATGGGTACTCAAACACCTTAGTCTAAATTAGGACACTAGGGATTGGTACAAGCCGCAATCCGGTGTTCATGCATTGTAAGATTACAGAAGGGTTCATACCTCCATGGTCACCATTGTGGTCGAGACACCACTGTACATCTACCACATCGCCAGCGTTGTATGTGATGACTGGCTGCGATCCCCACTTCGGACCAGGCTGATTGTAGTCTACACTGACTCGGGAATTATATCCACACGGCCCACTTCGACCCACTTGGGCAGAGTCAAGATCAGGCCAAGCAGTGACTGGCTCCAGGATCGTGCACTCGGGGCAAGTGTCCACTCCAGCCTGTCTCTTCATTAGTACAATTCGATCGCATCCTCTTGGATACGGTACACACCTGAGCGTTCAAACCCGTCCGGCTCATTGGAGAACTAAGGTAACCATGAGCGGCCACCGAAGTGGCGAAAGCCAAGGTCTGAACAAGCGAAGAAAGCATATTGTTAAGATGATCTCTCTGAAACTTCGAGATGCGAACAACTTGAAGATGTCGCTCTTGCCATATCGACTCTGAACTCACAAGATATATACACAACCGTCTTCGGTCGATTGTCCTGTTCAGTCAAAGGATCATGTGAGCATAATTCACTTCAACGTCCGGAGTCCTGGAATCTCATGCTGTCTCTCGACCTCAACGACCATTGGCTCAATGTCGGGGTTCGAATTCTTTCCGGGGTAATAGCCAGTTTAGCGGGTGAAGACGATGCGGAGAATAACGACTTCAAGATCTTCGTCGTCACGATCGCAGTCTCGAGCAAAACGGTCCCACGAGCCTGGTTTATTGGGCGAGAGTCGGATTTGCTTCGAAACGATGCCTTACAAGCATGTGCGATTGGACAAGAGTCGGAACGGAATTGTTCTTACAGGCCAAAGATCACATCACGAGGATCGCATTTAGTTTCGAGCGGGCCGCTCCTTAATTAAATCCATGTGTTACGCTGCGGGGCCAAGCCCCAGATGGGTCCAAAACCGGGAAATTGCTGTCCGCTAAGCCACTTACACAGTACTCCGAGCCTACAACCTTCTAGGAGCCTTTTCATCTTTAGAGCCGGTGTAGTTAATGCAGTGCTTACTGCCCCGGGTAAGGCGCGTGCGGCATATGTGAGCATTTCGCGATGGTGAAGATTCTGGGGTCTCCATGCCTCGGCTGTTAGCCCTGTCGATCGCGGCAATTGATTCAAATCCGGGGAAAGTGCATCATTCAGCATGCAGCGAAACATTTCTCTCAAGCTTCTGCAGCTTCCTAATTTGGTAATTTGACCGTTCAGGTACGTGTTTTGTCGGTCAGAAGACAGGCATGGCTATGGAATGTCATTGGTGCATCCATGTTTGCTGCGCCTTGCCCGATACGGAACGCCGCGCCCAGGGTCACAACCATACTACGGAGATAATATCCTTTATGAAACGAGGCTTCGCCTGTAGGTAGGGCAACGACTTCTATAAGAATAGGCACGAGCCTGGTGCAAAACGGACTTCAACCCAAGTTCTCCTGCCGGGCCCTACCTTTCTTTTCAAGATCAAGCAAGATGTTGTTCTTCCATTTGATTATTTCATTGCTCTTCCAGGCCGCCTCTCTTGTCTCTGCAGCGGACACGGCGGCATGGAAATCTAGGAGCATCTACTTCGTCCTCACTGACCGTATTGCTCGAAGCGACAGTGATACTGGAGGTTCTGCATGCAGCAACTTGGGGAACTATTGTGGAGGCACCGTAAGTCCAGCGTATCCCAACATCTCCACTTAAATATGCTAACCATATCAACAATAGTTCAAAGGCCTCGAATCAAAGCTCAACTACATCAAAGGCGCGGGCTTCGACGCCGTTTGGATTACTCCCGTTGTTGCAAGTACGGATACCCTACCCATTCACGGTCGATGACTGACGGTGGCTACAGACAGCGCTGGCGGATATCATGGCTACTGGGCTCAAGATCTGTATTCCGTGAACTCGAACCTTGGCAGCGCCGACGACCTCAAGAGCCTTGTCAGCACCGCTCATTCAAAGGTAAGACTCATCATCGTAGTGATCATGGTGTCATCACATACTCATCAAACTTGCAGGGCATCTATATCATGGTAGACGTCGTAGCAAACCACATGGGCCAAGGTGCAATCTCGGATAACCGCCCCGAGCCATTGAACCAGCAGTCTTCGTACCACGCTGCTTGCGACATCGATTACTCCAACCAGAGCAGCGTTGAGAACTGCGAGATCGCCGACCTTCCGGACGTGGACACTCAGGATCCCACCATTCGCTCACTGTACCAAACTTGGATCAAGTGGCTTGTGAACGAATACTCCTTTGATGGAGTACGAATCGATACGGTATGTAGCAGATGGCGCTGGAGAAGCCACTGAATCGGTTTTGCTCACTCAAGACAGGTAAAGCATGTCGAAAAAGAATTCTGGACCCCCTTCTCCGCCGCCGCCGGCGTGTACACCATCGGCGAGGTTTTTGACGGTAGCCCTTCGTACGTCTCGGGTTATGCAAACACCATGCCGGGACTGTTGAACTACCCCGTCTACTATCCCTTGAACGCCTTCTACCAGCAGACGGGCTCTTCCCAATCACTGGTCGACATGATCAACACGGTCAGCTCGTCCTTCCCGGATCCCGCTGCTCTAGGTACCTTCATTGACAACCACGATAACCCTCGCTGGCTGAACGTGAAGAACGATCAAACCTTGCTCAAGAACGCCCTCGCCTTCGTGATTCTCTCCCGCGGTATCCCAATCGTATACTACGGCACTGAACAAGGTTACTCTGGAGGTGCCGATCCCGCTAACCGCGAGGACCTCTGGCGATCCAACTTCAACACGCAGGGAGACCTCTACCAAGCCATCGCAAAGCTCAACAGCGCGCGCAAAGCCGCTGGCGGCCTAGCAGGCGACGATCACACCCACTTGTACGTCGCAGACCAGGCATACGCATGGAGCCGCGCCGACGGCAACCTCATTGTCCTGACCTCAAACGGCGGAGGCAGCTACAGCGCACAGCACTGCTTCAACACGCAAAAGGCGAACGGAGCATGGACAAACACCTACGGCGACGGCGCAACCGTTACCGCCGACAGCAACGGCCAAGTCTGCCTCCAAATCACCAACGGTGAACCCGTTGTCTTGGTCTCGGGCGCCACCTCCACGTCAGTCCCATCCACCACCTCTCCCTCCGCCACGCTCACGACCCTGCAGACAACCTCGACGGCATGCCCGACATCTGTCTCAGTGACGTTCACCGAGAAGGTAACCACAGCGTTTGGCGACACCATCCGCATGGCGGGAAACACCACGCAGCTCGGCAACTGGACACCTGCTAGCGGCCCGGCACTCTCAGCCGCGAGCTACACTTCGAGCAATCCGATCTGGACGGTGTCGTTGGCGTTGACGCCGGGGTCTACCATCCAGTATAAGTTTGCGAAGGTGGCGAGTGGAGGGGCGGTTACGTGGGAGAAGGATCCGAATAGGGTGTATACGGTGCCGAAGTGCCAGGCTAGTGCGGCGGTGAGTAGTTCGTGGCAGTGAGTGGGGATGCTGGATATGTAACGGCCGAAGAGTGATAGCAATTTGATATTGTGCTGCGTAACTTCCTTGATTGATTACTGTGTTCGGAAGGTGAAGAATGCTTTTTCCAAGAGCCGCATACTGAATAAATGATGTATACGTGTACCGATGTATACGCGCAATGTCAGACTGAGGACTAGATTCGAAGTTTCAAACAGTGCACTTGACGAATACCGTGCTGCCAGAACATTCTCAATCGATTACTACATTCGGAAGGTGAAGATTGGTTGAATCTGTATACCTGTAACATTGGGACTGATGTCCGAATTCGAAGAGTCGAACAGTGCAACGTTATCCAGGTTCCAGTGTTGTAACGATGGACTGGCAGCCATATGCGGATGTTTGATACGCGTCACCGGCGGCAGATCTGGACATGCAGACTTCGCATTCAGGTGCAAATAAGTGTCTCCTGGTCAATCTTTCAGCTCCAGGCCTTCAGATCCATGGCCGCGTAGCTTGCAATAAATGCAGTGTCGCATCCGCCGGGCGTAACATGTAGGGCTGCTGCACCTGCACCAAAGCAGCTGTGAGGGGAGGGTGGATTTAACCGTGGCAGGGAAGGCGCGTCCCACCCCAAGGCTCGCCTGATCATCAACGCTGCGCCCAGGTACGGATCAACGCTGCACCGAGTTATCCGTCATCACGACTGCTCCTGCTCGTCTACTATAACCACGGTGATGGATGCTCTAGTGTAGCTGGATAATTGCACAAGGTTATGCTATCGTTGTGGCGGCGAATGTCACGCATGTGCCGGCCAAGCACGCGCATGCAGGGCTGAAGTTCCGATCCTGGCAATGTGGAGAGGAGACCTCGACCCGCACGGCAAGTTTTACGTTAGACTATCCTCAACTGTACGACGTCGCTCGAAGATGCATGTGCGGGAGTTGCTTGCTTCTCTTAAGCCATGCCGGAGCCGTCGTCGTCTCGTCCGCTGCGATGGATAGAATCCTCCAGCATGGCTTCCGCGGAGAACAAAGGTACGTGAGAGTTCGAGCGGTGTAGCAACCCCGCGGCGTAGCTCGAGACTGATGGATAGCAGAAGCCAACTCAACAGACCAAAATGAATCGAAGACGCGGGTGCGTCGACAGCCGCGACAGCGCAAAGGCCCTCCCCAGCTGCAATTCGTCACTGCGACCGACCCATCCGACTTCAAGGGCGAGAAGGCGAAGCGAAGCGTACGGTCTCAGGCTATGATCCAGTACAGATACCAATCGACGGAGCAGAAGAAGCAGAACAAGAAGAATCAGGATACCCAGGTCAAACGCTCGCGCGCGCAGCCGGTGGAGCGCGTGGTCCCCGCAGGACAGAACAACGACGACGACGACGTTGTCCTGTTACCCCGGCACGACTCACAATCGCATGCAGACGAGTGGTGGATCTCGCAAGGCCACGATGCGGATGTCGATGCGTCATGGACGCCCTACAATGCCGCAATGGTGCCTGCCCTACTCGCCTAGCTACAGAAAGGCAACGATGGCTATACCGCTAAACAGAGCCGCGCAGCGCGTGATCGAATGGGAGAAGGAAAGAGATGCGATATTGCTTCAACTGCTGGCCAGAAGACTCACGGATTCATGCATTGGCGGCACCATGGACCCCTTTCGAGTCATACCCAAGTTTTCCACTCCAGAACTTGACTCTAACAAGCTCGTCCGCAACTGCAACCGCATCTTCGTGTCGAAACAAACCCTAGCCAGGTGGGTGCCGGCTATGCTAGCGCACCCGCATATACTACTCAGTTCCACGATTATGTCATCTACCTGGCGGGATATGCTTGATGGCATATGTGGAGAGAGCAGGCGCACCATTCTCATCAAGGCTGAGATCATCGGTTGGATCAATGAGCGTCTTCGTCACGCCGATACAATGTGTCGCGACGATACTATCATGGTGATCATGCATCTACTCATGGGTGAAACCTGGAGCTGCAATGAGAAGACGCTGGACATTCATATGGCAGGCATCGCTAGGCTCATGGCCGCTAGAGGGAAGCTGGACTTACCTGCCACCTTCGACACGGTTGGTATGGCTACTGCAATGTAAGTTCTCTCCAGCTGCTCGAAGGCGTCAACGTTGTCTTACCTGCAACAGTGTATGCGGACATGTACCCATCATCTGTGAATCGGCTCCGTACCCTCTATTGTGTGAATTTCAGGCACCCGACTTTCCAGTCGACGAATCCATGGCGTTGCCTGAGTCCCCGCTCTACTGCCCGCGCGAGCAAATGCGATCCGTCGTCACCGATCCTGCATGCTCCAAGCATACCTACAATCTACTCTGCGACGTGCGAGACTTGACCGACGTATTCCTCGCTTATAGTGATAGCTTGTCAACTATCGGCGATGCAAGAAACGAAGTCGACAAGAGCCGGCTTCAATCTCTCTCAGACAACTACAATGCAAAAGTGGCTCAATCCCGCACCAAATTGGCTTCAATGCCTTCTGCTTACACACCTGGCCTCCCGACTACGAACGACTGGATCTACGAGGCATGCCGCTTGACAGCGTTTATATACATGTCAGCAATCATCACATGCCTTCCTTTCTCAGTAGCGGCCGATCCCGCACAAAACGCCGTCGTGTGCGCCGCGCCGTCCGTTGCCGAAGAGGGTCTGCCGACCAAACGCCTCACTGAGTCGCTCTACGAAGCTCTAGAGCGGACGAACACGGGCGACTCGTGGAACAACATGGTGGGCGTGTTCTACTGGGTGTGTGTAGTTGGATCGGCGGCAGCACGCACGCCTGTAATCATGTTCACATACACCCGCCCAAGTGAGGGTAGCGAAGCGTATTCCACGTGGGTTAAGCGCTGTCTGACCATGTATTCAAGCCGTACCTTGGCCCAGATGATCTTCGAGCACCCGCTGCCTCTGCTCGTTACGCAGAAGAAGATGCACAAGATACAAGGGTTGATTGGAAGGCATGCATCGCAGTCACGAGCTTTTCGGAGGCATTCATAAGCGTGGTCAGGCGCTTGTCGAAAATAAGCTTTTGCTCGGCGTTTGTCGGACTTTGGCTCCACCTTACAACCAAAAGAGAAAAAAAGGTTCTGACTCTTGGCTGCGTGCAGATCTTGAAGGGCGGATATTTTTGATTTGCTGAGGAACCATATCTTCTTCCGGTACCAACAGCGTGGTTAATGTCATGTTTCGGTTTGGTGGGCAGGCGCTGGTGCGCGAACGACCGCTAAAAGACCCCAGCTAAGAGCTGTCAGAAAAGCAGTAAGACTTAATCATGTTGATCTCAGCATGCGGGACTACCATGTGGGCGCCCTGAATATGCTGTCATATGCCTATCTGATCTGGACCCCGCGTCGATGATTTGCCCTGGGTGAAACTTATTCGCGCGACGGCTCACGGATGCGATGCGGTGTGATGCCTGGAGGACAAGCGCATTCCCAGGACCACCGCAGAGGAAGGCTTTCACTGGCGGCGGGTACGGGTCCAGAGCTACCGCCTGTCAAAACGTGCAGGCCGCAACAAAGAGATCGTCTCGGTATGCGGGTACTCGGAGTCCGGGCCCACTTGCGGTATATCGCCGAGTCTTTGAAATGATGCCTTACTCATCGAGGGTCCAAAGAGAACAACGGAGAAGGATGCATACGATTCTAGGAATGGGGGCACGGTCGCGATCTGGGCTCTGTCCTGGCCAGCGTGAATGTGCAGCCGATGTCATTGCTGAGGTGTTGCTCGTTGTTGCACTGCTCTTCGTGCAGTTGGCGAGCGCATCCGAGCCATTCGTCCCATGTTCTGCTAGTCTTCTTCACGCCAGCCAGCGCGCCTGCTGTTATGCGCCCAATCACTCGGACCCTCCGTCATTAGGAGGCTTTCGCTCCCGTCAGAACTAGCATGGCAGCCTTCTGGACCGTGGAGGCCGTCCTTTTCTATCGCCAGGGTTTGTCAATTTTGGTCGGACTTCGCGCCTTCCTCGCGGTCCGATTGGACGTCATGGACTGGGGTCCACCATTAGCGAGGACCCCAGCGACCATTCACTACTTAATACAAAATCACGCTCGCCCTCCATGCGTCAGCGAGAGATTATCGCAGCGAGCCTCATATCCAGCCTTGTGCTCCTATTCATCATGGTCGTCGTAGCACGCTTTCTATGGAGCCACAAGTCCTCCAAGGACCGACCGGAAACTGATGGCGAACGGTCTGTTGACCCAGTACAGAAAGAGACATCCCTCCTCTCGCGAGCCCGTTCAGTCAAGTTGTTCTCAGCGCCGAAGAAGGAACGTGGACACTGGGTGCCGACTCTGTCAGGAATCATCAAAGCAGGAGACGAAGGCATCTTTTCCTCCTCACTACTCAACGTACAGCATGTTCAGCATGGTACGCCAGGCGAGCTCTCCCTTCAGGATGTATACGATGCTTTTGCGCATGAGCTGCGCAACCGCCCCGTAGCTGAACGTGGAACCTACACCTCAGAGATCAACAAGTTCCTTACGTCAACAAAGAAGGTGCAGCGGACACAGTCGGTCAGTGCATCACCACCAAGGCGGCCAGATTTATCCAAGCGAGCATCGCGGAAGTCAGTCGATGGTATTCGTAAGTCGATCGATTTGGGAGATCTAGGTATCGGTCGAACACGGTCCGTCAAGAAGTTATCATCACCGAATCTTGTGTCTCTCTCCAACAGTCTACCGTTCGAGGCTGGTGGTCCTGGACCTGTACATACACTGTGGGACCAAGACTTGCAGCACGCGCTTGTCTTTCAAGGACACACGTCAGTTCCAGTGACGGGCCACGAACTCGCGGCATTGTCGGTTGTACTAGGGAGCCCAGTGGATATCAGCCTCGATGCTCAGAACGACAAATGCGATACCTGGGCAAATACCTATAAGGGGGCACTCGGTGTTTCGATCGCGGCAACGGCGACAAGCGATGGATCATATCACATATCACTGGCATCAAACAAGCGGAACGTTTCTCAACTTCCAGCCAAAGGCTCAGGCTACTCCACCTTACACGCTAAGCATCTTGCATCTGGCTCGCTACCTTTCGCGTCTGACCGCAAGACCATCAACAGCATCCTGATTACTCCCGATACACTGTCGCGCTTGAAAACAGGAGAGTCTCTCTATCTTCAGCCAACCGGCGCCGATACCAAAGGTTCCCAGTTCCTTGCCCGTCTTCCCAACGCCCGCGCACCAAACTTCCACGCGTTGGCCCCTTCGAAAAGCGCAAACTCCACATCCCGCCTCCTCCATGCCGTTGGCGACCTTGTCTTCACAGGTGGCTTTACCCCCTTCGCCAGCATCCCTCTTATCCAAACCGTCCGCTTCGTCGCATCCGGCGGTCTCGTCCCAGGCCGCCTCCTCCAGCGCCTAGACGCTCTCGTCGAGAAAGTCCACCGCCAGGCTCCCCACCTCCAGCTCTTCGGACCTCTTCTCGAAAACACGAACGCCCACCTCCGCTTCCGCGTCAACGAGAGACTTTCCAGACTCGCCAGGGGCACCCTCACAGATGAAGCGCTCGCGGACAAAGTCGCGCGCATGAGCCGCTACACTACCCTACTGGAACGCCTCATGGCTCTCGTCCCCGACATGCGTCCCGCGGATGTTCTAGCCGCCGTGCGAGACGGTCTGAAGGCCGAGATGGAGCGCTCGTACGAAGACGCCGTTGCTGCGCATCTCATCGGGGGAACTATCCTTCCTGACTCTACAAGCAAGCGCAACTCGAGCGTCTCAAGGAAAGACACGCGTCGGAGGTCGAGACTCTCGGACAACGACTCTTCTGGGACGGCGTCGCCTGATGGACAGGCGAGCGGAAGACCTAGTTCTACGTTTCCGGTGCATAATCTGGGCAGACAGGTTGAAGACGTGCTGAAGGGGAGCTTGCCTTTGGACGTGCAGACTGTTGTTCATGTTGCGAGACTTGTGCTCGTGGCGTGGACGTTGAGCGTGGAGGGTGTGGCGTGGGGGCAGGGGAGGTTGGGTTCAGGGTGGTGGACCGGGGCGGTTGCCGGAGAAGATGTACATGTGGTGAGTGGTAGAATGTTAGTTATGTCTGTTTTGGGTGGGTTGGATTGGTCCGGATACGGCGTTTGGTTTGCTCGGGGCTTGCATTCACGGCGGCGAGAGATACCATTGCACTTTACGAACAGTATGATTTGCGGGACAAGGCTTGTACAAGTTTACACGGATATAATTCACTTCACCTCGTACTATGAGAGAATCAAAATGGGAGATCTATGGTCGACTGAGGCGACGCGAGGCGTTTCGTTTCTGGTCATTCCCAGCGATGATATGATGATTCGAGTGCGTCGTCCATCAACCGTGGCCCAAGCTCCCGGAGAAGTAAAGCAATGCCGCACCTACAAAAACAGGTAGATACCTGGGGCACAGCGCCTACTTCGACAGCCATTCCCCTTGCACGCCCGGTCATTTTCACCCGCGCCTGATCGATCGATGCCCTCTCTCTCCTCTTGTCGCCGCGCCGATCTCCCGGCCCGCCCATGTCATTCCGTTTCATTTCATCTCGGAACCGCAGCGTTTCCACGCCGAGTGCGCGAGGCGAGCGCTTCCGGAGTTCCGTACCAAAGGTTACCAAAACACCACAATTAGAAAATCTTTTCGAGACTTTGGGACTGGAGTTTATGGGATGCATGAGGAGAGTGTGCGGGGGTGCGAGAAGTGCTTCCGGGGAGTGTTAGTATGGCGCGTAGGTGAGTGGGCTGGAAAGGGTGGATATGCGGATGCGGATGCGGATGCAGGAGGGTGGAGCGGAGGGTGACGGAGGTTGACGTAGCGCGAGGGCGAGGGCGAGGGTTGGCGTTTGTGTGGTGTGGGGTAAGGGTAGTCGTTCTACGGACGCAAGGCTGCAGAGGGAAGGGTACATGTAATTTTACATGGTTGGTGCAATGGTGTAGAATTTATCAGACTGGAAGGCAGACGTATGGGCTCCCATTGGTCAAATCATAGTAGTAACGAGGGTCGAGGGTCTATCTGGAGCGAGCGTCCTCTTGCGTCCAGGTAGGCACGCTATTCCCACCTTGCCCAGACAATCAGCGTGCTGGAACTGAACCTCACGAGTAAAACTGACACACGATAGATCTGTAGCTGCGTCCAGCACTAAAAATGGACGTCGCCTATGAATTGAGGTCGTTGAGATTATCTGCATCGTTCTTAGCAAAGTCCGGAATGATCTGGCGGAGACGTACTCTATTTGCTACTTGGACGATCAATACACTATGTATATCGACGTCAAGTTCCATCGGACGCAGCATGCATGCAAGCGATTATGCATGCACGATCCTTCAAGTCCGTACCTTATCTTAAATGTCCGCATCCTTCTCGTGGGGGCTAAACGAGACCTTGGTATCGGATATGCACGGTCAGAAAGTGGAGTAAATGTTCCGTCTCAGGTTATGAATACATGGGGTTTGATGTGGGCCATGTGTGAGGCGATTCGTATGGCTGGCTGCTTGAGCAAAGTCCGTGGTGAACGGTGGCAAGATGATGTGTTTCGATGCGGATTTATTTTGGGGCTTGCTGCCGTGTATGTAGGGGAGAGCGATGATTTGTGGCGATTCAATTCCGTAGGATGTTCTCGGAAGAAGCATTTATTACAGTTTGAGATGATGGAAGTGCAATTGTCGTATAGGTAGAAGTATCCCGAACCTGCTCACATAACGTAAGGTTTCCGACACAGTTGGCACATTAGACATTTCGAATCCATAGATGCAGAATGGGCCCTCACTAGCCCAAATCTAACCAAATTGCAACGCTTGTAGGCTGACGTTTTAAGAGAGGTATCCACATTGCTCTGTCGATCTGCTTATTCTCCTACTCCATATCGTAAACTATATCTTGGACCCGTCTAACCGTCACTGCACCACCACGCATACCCCACCTGACCCACCTCCGCCGCATATCCGCCTTGCATACTCCATCTGAATCAGTCATAAACTATCTCAAGCGAGCTGACCTGATCTGGTCAATGTGAGGCTGAACGCCAACTCCGCACTTCTGACCGCCACGTTTTCTGACAACCAAGCGGACACTGCGAACGACAACTTTTAACAATAGAACATGGCAATAATCTACGTTTCTTTTCATAATGCATGCAAATTGCCTCGAAAGGGCAAATGTACGTAACAGGCCATGCAAGACCTGATGATGCGCACTAGCCAATGCGCATCTTCCACGCCATCCCTCAGATCCCCACGACCCAGCCTTTCTACAGAGAACAGTGAAGATGCGATCAATCACCCATAACTTCCAACCCCTTACAAACTCCCACCCACCCCATCTCCATACTTCCCCACACCTCCCTAACCCTATCCTCCTCCAGCCCATCTCTCTTCCTCTCTCGTCTCTCCACCGCATCACCAGTCCCATCCGCCATATTCAACCCTTGATTCCGGTCTCTGCTGCCCAGCCGCCTGTGCGTGACACCGTTGATGACGGTAGACGTCTTAAGCCCCTTCCCGTCAAGCTCGCCTTTGACCTCCCAGCCGCGGCGTACGGGGCCGTGCAGCGTGGCGGGCGTGATGTAGCAGCTATCGAGGAGGGAGTGCCAGCGCGAGAGGTACATGCCGGGCCCGTGGGTTGTGCCTTTGCCAGGGCTGTGTTTTGGTTTTGAAGGGGAGGCTGTGGTGTGTGAGGACATTATTGTTTCTAACCTTGACTGCGAAGTCTTCTTTAGCGATTGGAGGTGCTTCTCGTGCTTGTCGAGCAGCTTCTTCAATTGGTCCTGTTTTTCGGTCGAGAGGGTGGAGAAGAGCGATTGGAGGGGAAGAGTCATGTTGCCGGCGCCGTGGGCGGTGGGTTCTTCGGTGGGCGAGTTGTCGACGCGGAATTCGGCGAGGACGGATTGCGCGTACTCGCGATACTGGTTCGCGAGGTCAGGCGCGTTCTTGCAGATCTGGTGGAGAAATCTGTGGGAAGAGGGCATATGCTTCCTTAAAAGTTGGACGTAGTCTTCGACGGTAGGATTGTGTGTGTCCTTTGCAGTATCACTAATGCTAGCAGGACCGTTCGGGCCAGGCGAGCTTGCGCGACTGCTCGGCCTGCTGCCTGTGCCGGAGGGTTTCTTAGGCTTTGACACTTTGACCAGGTCGGTGAGGAATACTTCCGCGTCGTAGACTGTGCCCGAAAGGTCGACGGCGTTGTGCACGGCGCGAATGACGGGGTCAAATGCTGCGACGAGATCTTTCATAGCAGAGGTCAAGACGTCGGGTTGGAGCTTGCAGAGGATCTTGGTGAGCTCTTCACGGTCGCGGATCGAGAGGTAGTTGCTGTAGTATTCCATCGCTACAGTGTGCTGATGTTCGCTGAGAGAAGCGGGATCTATAGGTGGATCTGAAGTCTCGAGGATGACGCCGACGATGGACTTTGATTCTTCTAGCGATATGTTGCGCGCGGCATCGTGTTTGTCCTTTGAAGAGTAGACATATGCCTTTATTGCCTTGAAGACTTCCTTCTTAGGCGGATCTTTGCAGCTTTCGAGTTTCTGGGCGCGCTTCTGGAACTCTGACGTATCCCACGCCATGACCGTGGACATGATTTGCTGCATCAGGTTCATGCCGTCGTTTGTGTTGTTGGTAAGCCCTATCCAATTGGTCACGGCGGTCACCGAGAGCTTCGCGAGGACTAGCCGGACCATGCCATTGACCATTGTTGCCGCATTTCCTACACGCAGTGTCTGTCTTATCATCATGTATGGAATGAGTCGGTGTATATTCTCGAGGAGACGGAGGAGATATTGGCCGTCGGGTGACATGATGAAGACGTGGTGGAGAAATGATGCAAGGCTGCTTATATTAGCACGCTTTACCATCATAAAATTGAGGCGACTCACTTCAACAGAATGAATTCGTGCGCCGCCTGGACCAAACTGGAGTGCTGCTCCAGCTTGTCCGACTTCGCAACCGTCTCGAACAACTCATCTAGAAGGTCACCGTAGATCAGCTCCCTCATCCCATCGTCCCAAGCCTGCAAGACGTCTTCCGGCTTGCTTGTATCGTACTCTTTCTTGCCCTCTTTCCGCTTGCCCACGGGATATCCGCCCAGCATGCCCCTTGCCACATATTCCAGCAAGCTGCTTATCGCCGTCGCCAACGCCTTTCTTGCGCCTATAGATCCCTTGTCGTAGCTCTCGGAGAGCTCCGCATCGCCTAGCTTCTTGACCAGCACGCGCACTTTGTCTTGCCAGAAATCCAGTGCGACACTTTTCAGACCCGGTAGCCGCAGCACAAACTTATTCAGCATGCTCTGGAGCAAAGGCGACGTCGTCTGCACGCCATCGGCCTTGCGGAATGGGAACCCATATTGCTCGATAGCCTTGGGGTATTTAAAAGCTTCAATCTCCGAATAGAGCTGGTGGTGGACCAGGATGTCGAAGAGAGCGTGCGTTTGCGCGGGAGTTAGGGATGGGCTCGACATGGTCCGGGGAGCATGGCGGAGGCAGACGACAGCTTGGATAGACGCGTGCTAGTTGCGGATGTCGTTGATGCTGTGAATGCGGGACGCGTGGGTTGCGCGACGTCATGGTGGCTGGTGTGTGGCTGATGCACGCGCATCCTTCAGAGCACTTGACGCTCTTGAGCTTCCCATCATAAAAATTCATTGCACGTTGTATTGTAGTAGCGTTATCGACTAAACCAGCATCTCTCAGGTTCTGGTAGCAATGTACCACTTGATCTTTGTTGTACTCTCTTTACAACTCCTTCATTTCACCTTCTCGTCACCTCAGGCCCGCCCCGTCGCAATAATAGTAAAGAATCCGATCACTCTTCGTCCAAAGTTCTGTAAAAGAGGTGTAACCGTGGATGTTTGAATACTTTTCGAGGCCTCTACGTCCACAAACGATAGTTCTGATCGCTCTACTTCGTACTCCTCCCCCTCTTCAGCTGTGTACTTAACGTGATTGGCGGCTTCCATGGCTGCACCTCTCCCCTCGCTACGCATGTTCCATCCGTCCTCGAAGTCACAAGGTAGTACCACGCCTGTTCGTGTCAGCTTATATGGCTACTCCTACTGTGGTCTCCCCATACCTTGTTGTCTCAGCTTAGAGTGAACCTTCGCCCAATGGTCGTAATCGATCAAAGCAGGTTTGTTCCACAGGTCCGCAGGTAGCTCGGTCGGCAAGCAAGGTCGACACCGTTGACGCAGTGCGATATAATTTCCGTCTGGGAAGTACTCAAGTTCAGGTGGGTAATAGGCTCCATCACATTGTGGGCTTCGGTACGGGTCCTCCACGACCATCATCCTGCCGCAAACGATAAGTTGATGCGCAGCGATATTTTAACAAATTAATGTTGTAGTGATGCGACCTCAGTCTGTGTGAACAGTCGTATACATCGATGAGTGGAATTCGTCTTCAGTATATACGTATCGTTTGCGATTGCGTTGTCTACAAACGCTGACATTGTGACAGAACAGCACTCAATCAACGCTGCCAAAGTGACGTATACGCAGCATTGAAGTAAGAAAATAGACATATTGCATTGTCATTCAAGTTTCAGATTATCCTCATCAGAAGCGATGGCATTACTCATGGAATACGTCCGCCATCTGAGGCACTTACGTGAAGCAACCACACCCGAGTCACGTTTCGCGCACGGGAGCCTTGACGGTCCAACAAGCACCCGAATAAACACGCCCGGTTACCTTTGGAACCGCAAATGAGTTCACCCAAAAGCTCCGGCCGTTTCTATCTCAAAGCGCTCTCCAAGCCGCGTGTACTCGATAGCTCATACCTTGCGGAAACCGAATTGCAAAGTTTCTTGCGTAAGCGACCGTACTCAAAAACCGCTCTACTACCCTTTCGATGCCTTACCGCACATACCATGTCTAGCGCGCACTTCCTTCACACATACTCTACATCCACGAACCCCTCGTCATCCACGTCCATTTCCCCTTCAACATTCGTGAACTTCACATCGCCTACCACAGGCGAGGCGTCATCACCCCCTCGCAGGTGTGAACGAATCGCGCGAACCCCCCAAATGACCGGATACAGCTTGCCGTCAGGTTTGCGAACGAATAGCTCCTTGGTGTCGTGTCTGAAGATGATCACTAGCTCGTTCCGGGGGATGTGATCCAGTGGATGGAGGGCGGCCTGTTTATCGGCAGCGGTACAAGGTGCCGTTTGGCTGTCATGAGGAGTTTTGGCCAAGGGGTTAGGAGGGAGTCCGTCAATGCGGTCGCACTGATCGATATCGAAGATGCCTGCGAAGAAGTCTATGTACACGTGAGTAAATCGAATGCTAGAAGCAAGGGGCAACTTACCTTCGACACTGGGACTGTTAAGAGGGTTGCTGGACGTCGTACCACCGTCTTCCGCCTTCATTGCCTCTTTAGTCGCTTCCTTCGAGCTCTTGTAAGTCTTGTGGGGTGGTATAGACGCTCCATACACTGCTTCCTTCGAGCTTTGCTTGCGTGCTTTAGGAGGCGTAGATGCCGCTTCCGAGCGCTCCTTGACCATCAACACGACGGCACCCTTGATAACCCAGTACAAGTCGCGATCCCTTCCAACGGTCTCGTCGATAATATCGTCGTCGATCAGGTCACTATGCCGCAGCACAGTGTACTTCTCCTTGAGCAGCTTCAGTGATGGTGTGTGAACGGGGGTTCGCCCGATGTGAACGTGTGGTTTCATGAAGTTAGTGGACGGAGTCTGCTTCTTGTCCGAATCTGAAGGACTGGTTCCAAGCGAGGGCAAGGCGACCGGGGCAGCGGGTCTACGGGAATAGGCAGCTGCACGTGAGCTGGTGGTCTGAGGCGCTAGGTGAGTGTCTGTCGAATAGTATTTGTTGCCTAGGTAGGCACTGTCGGGATGAAGCTTGTACTTCGGCGGAGCTTCTTTGCCCTCGATATGGTCGAGGGCGGTTGTGGCGGCGAACTTGGCCACGTTGACGGCGACCTTGGCCATATGCCAGACACCCATATCGGCGTTTGCGAGAGGGGGTGTGACCCAGTGGTGGAGTGCTCGAGGCGACTGTGTTATTCGTTCGAGAGTTCAATAGGTGTCTCGGAGATGGCGTAGCCGGAGTTGAGTTGGTGTGGCTGCGTAGTTTTTCTTAGAAATTTATGAAGGTAATGATTCTGGGACTTGGCCAAGGGTGAACTAGGAGCTATCGTGCTGCTATAGGGGCGCGTGCTGCTGCCGCTGCGAGCTGAGGCCAAACATAAGGAGAGTGAAAGACTAGACCCGCGATTGGAAATTCACGTAGTTTCGAAATCTGGATTGGCACCACTAATTTGCATAACTGAGATGCTCAAGCATACAAAACATATATATGGCTATGTAGTGCCTTTGCTAAAAATAGCTCGATTAGGTGTATCTCCTGCGTTCATGGATCCCAAGCCTAGTATACAAGACAGATGCTCCGTCAACAATAATAGACAATGTGTGAAAGCGCAAAAATCAAATTTTTCCCTAGATCCAACTTATCCATGCACTAGGCTGGCCATTTCGTCGCGTTTCATGTCTCTCCGCAGTGACCCTTTCAAAGTCATCGTCTGAGCTTGCAGACTTGATGGATGATGCCGGGCTGTCTGGTGTCAGGTTGTCGAGGGCAAGATCTTCGAAATCTTCCCTTGAGTCAGTAAGTTTGGCAGGCCACTCAACTAGCTGGAATAAGACTTGAGGTGCATCTTGCTCTGTGGGGAACTCGGGAAGCGCTACTGAGGCATTGCCCTTCTCAGTGATATATTCAGTGACTTCATTGTCGTGTTCAATCTTGTCTAACGGAATTTTGTCGTTGTCGCCAACTTCCCTGGGAAGCAAGGCTTCTCGATGATTGCGAGAATCATCCTTGATTGGTGCTCTTGGGCTTACTCTATCAACTTGGGCATCTGTATTGGCAAATGTAGTGCAAGCTGTATCGTTGACGTGTTGCTTCGCCAAGGGGACGGATGCTTCAAAAGGAGGTAATGGAAACTGGCGCGACCCAGGCCTCAACCCAGAAAAGATTGTGAGGCCTTGCATAGCCTCAACTAGGTCCTGCGCGTCGGAGGTTTTTGCTGAGCTGTCCTTGTCGTAGGACTCCTGTAATTCAACTGCCTGTTCGCTTTGCGCAGCGCGCAAAGCGTGATGAGCCATCGTAGATTGTCGACGCTCTGCATCGCGAAGTCCAGGGGTGATGGAGAAAAAGCCGCCTTCTCTATTTGACTGCAGATCTTGCAATATAGGAGACGGCGGAGCCATTTTCGAAGGGGTGAGGGTCGATCCTGCCCGTTTATTCCGCAAGTCCTCAGTTATGTGCTGCCCGGCTCCCACTTCTGTCGGCAGGATGAGCAGCGTGTCTCTTGTCCTTTTCACTACACCGTCGACGTACGCAATGGCTTGTTGATACTTATTCTGCGGAGGATTTGGGAGACCCTCGATTTGATGCCCTGGGTAAGATCTTGACTTCTTTTTTCCACCACGCGATGGAAAGATCGAGCGCATTGCCCGTGGTTCGCGTGGAGCGTTGATAGGCGGATATGGCGATTTAGTCACAGCACTAGGGAGATTGCTTGATCCAGGCTCACGATAGGCTTGAGCTGGATTGACTGGTGGTGGCTGCAGTGGGTATGATTTGAAAGCATACTCCTGGAAGACTGTTGGGTTATCGTAGTTATCGTGGGTAGGAGGACGCGGTCTTTCGTGTGCGTGCGACGATTGCTGTCGGCTTTGACTTTGCTGCGAAGTTCTACGATGAGAGGGCGCTCCGGTATTATCGTCGTTTGGTGGATGCATTTTGAGTTTAATCGTAATGAGAGTTCTGGCCGTCGCGCTTGCGGAATTCTACAGAAGCAAGCGCGCAGACTGGTCTTAATGCTATAGATTGTGTGTCTGAAAGGTACGTGAATTACATTGGTTTCAATGGATAGACCAAATTGAATGTATAGCGAGTACAACCTCTCTGTTCTTTTTCGCAATTCGAGACTCGTCTTGCCCATCGTCATGATTCCCGCTTCACAATTCAACGTTGGCAAGCCCCTCATACGATCACCACCCTCCGGCCAGTCACAATGTGCCCTATATCCTCGTGACATACTGGAATTGCTTCTACGCACAGCTCATCTTTGAGTTGTCTCCCGTTTTGTTTAACGAATTCTTTGGATCCAGGGACTCGAAATATCACTATAGTCGAAGCGTGCTACAAATTCATTGTCGAAAAAAGGTGTGCTATGCGAACACAGCTCAATAAGCTGTAAATGGACTAAATTTCTGGCTCCAGTTATGAGATTCTGGAGGAAATATGCTTGCATGCATTACGTTTAACAATCCTAACTCGCTTGTAGATGACACTGGTTACCATCATAGGGTCAAAACACATCGAGATCGCTGGTTGGCATGGAAAGCCTGTGCACAGGGTTCTGGTGGGTATAGATGGCGAAGAGCCAAAGTACTACAATGGAACCCAATGTCGTGGGGAAGAACGCGGCAATAAACTCAACGTATATGGCCTCGGGAGTATTACGGAAGATAGGGCTTTTGCTAAGAATTTCAAGATCGTGTTCGAGTAGGTTTAGTTCTCACTCCATTCTAGCGCAGACGGGGCTTTCGGACATTACTCATTTTGAAGTTGGTTTTGCTTCTGGATCAACTTTCGACGTGCGTTCAGTCGGTGAGTAGCTCAACGATTATTGAGACACTGCATGCTTACATAAACGTATTGTTCAATATGCAGTCCATCTAGAAGGGAATCGTTTTACAGTGGCGGTGATGAGCTGAGCTTCATACGCCGTGCCAAAATTTGATTGGGGGCAGGAAAGGCAACCTCGAGTATCGTCAGCGAAGCGGCTTCAGCCGCACTAACAGCACCCAACGATAAGCACTTAGCGGTCATGGATAGTAGCATGTCATCGCACGCTCGCACGGTTCCACATTGTCCTTTTGGCCCCTTATTCGATCAAGGCCACCAATTTCCTTTGGGGGCAGTACTCGTAACGCTTGTGCCAGGCAAGCCCGTGCGCTCGGGAAAGCTATGAATATCTGACCACCAACTTCCCCAAAAATACGAACTCGAACCCCCTTGTGATCTAGTCTGCAGCTAAGTCTGCATCAAAGCTCTGCCATATATCATATCAGGTGCCGAACGATGCCGTCAGCTGTTTGCATGCTATCGCAATGGTGCTGCAAGCTTGAGAGTGAGATAAAAGAGCCTGCTTCCCAGAGCTTTCATTTCATATCTACATCTCTTACGGCGTCCCAGTGCGCGCGTAATCGCGTGTTCAAGACAATACGAGCCTAGTATTCATTGTCTTTATCCGTCTTTCTTTTCCTTTTGGGTAGCTTGCCTTCGTATCGCCAGGTACTTCACGATGACCATTTCTGGCTCTCTGATTCTTTTGGTCGTGTGTACTACTTGGCTAGGAAAAGCATTGGGGTTTACGATTCCAAAAGAGGCAGCAGATCCCGTACATCGGGCATTAGCCATAAACACAACACGAGCCAGCTTTCTCTACGGACCAGCCGTTGCTGGTGGACCGTTCTACCCAAGTGGATCTCTAGGACAGGCAAAGGTAGCTGCAGACATAGCAAATGAGCAGCTCGAGACGCAACCCAACACGATCTTGGTTGTAGAGGATACGGCGCGCGCTAGTAATTCGACTGAACAGGTATGCTGACTTCTTGATCCTCGCTTATTAGTTTAATGCTGATAGAGATTCTGCAGTTTCAAGGTTTAGACACTTTCGACGAGTATCTGCTCCTGTATCAAGGACAATGGGCCAAGACTTTGCCGAAAGGTCCTGCTCCAGGTGTGCTCACCAATTATACGCAGGATCTTTTCTTCTCCATGGAGCGGCTGGCCAATTCCGCCTTTTCTGTGCGACGGCTACCAAAGTCTTCGAAGCTTCCCTTCCAGGTAGATGCCTCGATCATATCTAAGCTCGCAGATACAAATCTCCAGAAGCTGCTTGAAGAGGGCCGGCTTTTCTATGCTGATCATCGCGCACAAGCATCCCGGCCAAAGACGACAAACAAGTTTGCTGCGGCGTGTGATGCCTACTTTTACATCTCTAGAAAGACGGGGCAGTTCCTCCCTCTCGCTATCAGGACCAACGTCGGATCAAACCTCATCTACACACCAGTAGACGAGGACGCCGACTGGACACTCGCCAAAATCATGTTCAATGTCAACGATTTCTTCTTTGCACAAACATGGCATCTTGCATCAACCCACGAGGTGGTACAGATTACTTGGCTGGCAGCAATCCGAACGTTAAGCGTTGATCATCCCATCTATGCTCTCTTGGATCGATTGACGTACCAGCTCTTCTCCATTCAGCCACTAGCGCAAAGCTTTCTGTTCGATAACGGTACAGCTTTCGACACTCTATTTCCTGTTACCGGTACCGGAGCACGTGATTTTGTCACTGAACTATATTTCAACGGTACTGGTGCATTTCAGGCCGGTTATTTTGAGGCCGATCTGAAGAAGAGAGGACTCATCCATGGCGACGGACCCGATTTAGCCGACTTCCCATACTACGAAAACGCCTCAACGATCCACAAGGCCATGAAGGGGTTCATACGCACCTTCGTCAAATCGTTTTATAAATCAGATCGTGCTGTTCGGGGCGACCGAGAACTTCAAGCCTGGGCTGCTGAAGCCAATGGTCCCGCCAAAGCCATCGATTTCCCGAAAAAGTTCGACAACATCGATGCGGTTGTTGATGCTCTGACCCACATTGCCCATTTGGTTTCGACCGTCCATCACTCTGTCAACACCAACAATCTGATTTCCATTTCTGCTACGTTGCCCATGCATCCGGCGTCGCTCTATAAGCCAGTGCCTACAATCAAGGGAAATACGTCGGTTGCGCAATACCTTCCACCTCTGCAAGCTGCCTTGGCGCAGTTCCAGGTTGACGGGATTTTGTAAGTCTGAACCCTTGATAGACGCCTCGATACTCTTTGATTGTTTTCTTCGCTGACGCAGGCTCTATTGCACTAGTGCGAGGCCGCTTATAGCGAACAGCAACCGCTCTCTTTCCTACATGTTCGACAGCCCGACGCTCCTAGGCGGCACGAACCGTGAAACGCGTACAGCTGCGGCGAAGTTCAAGGAGACGATGCAGTCGTTTAGCAAAGAGATCAAAGCTCGCACTTTCGACAAGGATGGACTTAGCCTGGGAGCACCGTTTATCTGGAGAGCCTTGGACCCGGAAGAAGCTCCGTTTTCGCTGTCGATCTGATCAGATTCGTTGCACCAAGCGGTCAGCAATTAGATTTTACACCGATCGCGTGATCACCTTACGACTAATCATAATTAATCATATCTTACATGAGGTTCTCCCAATAACATGTATCGCAAATTAAATTAATAATGTATCTACCATAAGATGTTCCATGATTCATAAACATTCGATCATGAGACCCGGACAACTGGACAATTGGCTGCACATCTCATGTCCAGGTCGCAAGTAAGCGTGCCGCCTCATATGTACGTGAATCAACGGTGACCATGCTGAAAACCCTTGACAGCAAGAAGCATTGAATATTCAATCAGGGAAGATTGGCCATTGCTTGCCAACCGCCTCCCAAGCTAACGTGCAGGTGCAATTCAAGCTCGCCTGCTAGACATTACTTCATCTTCCTCCAAAACATCGGCCAGTGTCCAGCCAGTCTTCCGGCGATCGTTGGGTTTTGGACTGTCCGGCTCCTTTGTGGCTAGCTTGGAGGTGAAGACGTTGCCAGCTTTGGAAGCCCATCCATACATCGTTCCGTCTCTACCCGAGGTACCACTGGACATGCTTTCAACCTTCTTTTCAGAGTCTGGAACCTCACTTGCATCCATCGTGTTCTCCGGCCGTAGGGTATTCATAGGCTCTGGTTCATCCTCTAGCTCTGGCTCGTCTTGTACCTCAAACTCTTCTAAAAGATCCCATTGCTCATTGTCAAGGTAACACTTCTCGCCGTGAGCACCCTTTTCGGGATAGAGGACTTCGTTGGGGACGTTAGCTTCGCGCTCTGCCTGAGCTGCGTTGACTTTGGCCAGTACGAGTTCGTGCTGGTAGCGCGGATCTTGCTCGCGATGTCGCTCTTCGTCAGCTTTGACCTGCTCTCGCAACCGGGCGAGCATGTCCTTCGGGAGGATTGTGGGCTCGCCTGCTGCTGCCTTCGCTTTGAGGTAGTCGTGCTCGGTGAAATCATCCTCCAAGTTCGGTTCCTTGTCAACGCTAGGACCGATGTCATGCGCTTTCGGAGTCTTGTGCTCATTCTCTGTACCGAGCAAGTTGACATTGCTTCCATCGCTTGATAGGTCTAACTTCGATGAAGACTCCCACCACGCTACAGGGCGGTTGGTGTGTAGGGGGAACACCACCTTCTCCTTCACTCTCTTCAAAAGCGATGTCCTCGATGTCGGACGCATCACTGACCTCATCGTTGTTCATATTCTCGCGATCGCACTCTGGGCCGGCTACCATGCCCTCGGGAGGCTCCTGATGGTCTTCATTAGCACTATTACATCGACATTTGCGAATGGTGCTTACAGAGTTCTTCAATTTGAATTTCTGAACGTACGGAGCCGGCTTCATCTTCTTGACACGATGGAGTGTGAGCTTTGCGGGCGTCGCCGGCTGCTTTTGGTCAGTTTGCGTGGTTCCAGGGTGTTTTGCGATATGTGGGATACTTACTGCTTGAGCGTCGGCTGTATGATCCATGGAGTCGAAGAGCTCTTCATCAGGAAAGCCCTCATCGCCTCCATACATAGCCCTCCACGCCTGAACACCTGCATTTCTAGCCTTGCTCATTGCTTTATGGTTCTTCGGATTTCTTCCTCGGAATGGCGCACGCAGCATGTCATCAGGGATATCATTCCAGTTGGACGAGGTTGCGGGCGGCTGTACGATATTGGTCTTGATTTGTTGCTGCTCAGACTTCCCGTCTGGTATCTTTTCCACTGCCTTAACTGACTTGTTGTCCGCCAGCCCCGACTGTGATGTGGTCCAGCATTGCTCGAGCTGAAGAGACCGTTCATCTGTGTACTTCATGAAGCTGCCTGGATGTTGAGAGCTTAACGTTAAGTCAGGTCGCGATCCAGTGAATCGGTTGGCTTGAGCATCTTTGGGGAACTGAGATCGATCCTGCGCCATGACGCACAAGGTAGTAAGAGCTGCCTTGCTCGGGTTGTTTAAAGATACTGTTTTTTTGCAGCTTGGAGTGCTGTTGAAGAAGTTAGGGTGTACCGTGTGTTTGGTCGAGATTTTATACGCGGGTGGTGATGAATGTCAGAAGCACGGGCAACCCGCCGTTCCGTAATGCCAGATTCGGATGAACTTTCACTTGTCGAACAACCAACCACGTCGTTCGGGTGTATCCAAGTTACTCGGTCCCAAAGTGAAACTCCAGATTATTGCACCGTACTCCGGTCATGTGTTTGTACAGGTATTAAACTACTACAACAACAAATATTCCAAGATTCTAATCAATTCCGCTGCGAATCAGCGAGTACCATCATATACAGGTGCAATAGAGACCTTGAAACATACCAGTCTCCAATGCCATGCTGATTATTCATCTCAGGGACGCTCGTGGATCATCTGTTTGATGCTGCCTACTTCCTTCGTGAATTACATACCGGTATGCAATGCTGTCTGATATGGTACGCGTATGAAGCAAACATTAGGATATACCACTCTACAGCGTGTCCTTTTACACTCCCAGCCAGTTGCAGGTTTGGAAGCATAGATGAAGCTTTGGTCATACACACTATAGATAATCCGTTGAATGACGCCCTTCGAGTACTTCCCATGCGCTAGCCGCATTGGGTAAGTCACTTTCTTGTCCAAGAACTAGCGCAAGAACGGACACATCAACTACACGTTGAAGGTTCCGTTCACGCTTGAAGCAAGTCTAAATGGTTCTATCGAATCGATTACTGTAGGGAACGGGTCGCCATTGCATCGGTCGTCGTTGCCGCACATATCCCTGCGAACGATCCCTTTGACCTCCGTGATCACCCGTCATCTAAACGTCATCAACTATATCCTTGCACCCAAAGACAGTGTATATATGAAGTTTGCCTTTGCGGATTTGAAGATGTATCGATCGAATTGATTGCACGTTTTCAGCTATCTTCACGCAGAGTCGCGCTAACTCAAAATTGACCCAACATGTCTCAAGACAAGCAACAGATCTTGCGCGAACACAAAGTCATCCCCGATGTCTTGCCGGAAGGAACGCAGCTTTCGTACGACCTAAAAGTCAAGTTCCCGGATACCACGCTGGATGCGCCTGGAAAGGAACTTGGTAGAGAGGAGACGCAGCCCGAGCCTGAGCTCTTCTTGAGCCCTCCAGTATGTTCTGGATACTTTAGGAAAGCAGTAACGTCGGTGTGACTGACGAACGTAGCCAAAGGAAGAACGTAGCGACTATGTGCTTATACTCACTGACCCGGTAAGCGCTACTTTGTGCCATGTCCGACACCGTCCTTCTTATTACATACATTCTGATAGTATGCTTAGGATCTCATGGCAAACAACGACCAAAACTTTGGTCAAGTCCGGCATTGGCTCTCAACCAATGTATCTGTGAAGGACGACGGTGGGCTTGTCGTCCAATCCAGCACCCCAAATGACATCTCGCCTTACATCGGACCTGCACCACTCCCAAACTATGTGTCACCTAGGCCTCATCGATACGTCTTCATCTTAGCTCGACCAGCTTCAGGTGGCCTAGATCAGGTCTCCGTGTCAGCGGAAGATTTGCAGAAGTTGCAGGAGCCCTATGCGGCTGCTTTCAAGGGCGCGCAAAAGGAAGATGTGCAGGATCTGAAAGACAGATGGGGTTTTAACGCGCAGAAGTTCCTGGAGATGAAGGGCTTAAAGGTAGAGGCTGCGACGTTCATGTTGGTGGGTGGAACGTTGAAGAGCGCTGCGGCAAACGTGATGATGTCAGGTCAAGCGATGGTTGACAAGGTAAGATTCACCCTCTCAAGGTTTGCTTAGGTGACTTTACTGACTATAAATAGGCTTTGGGTAAATAAACAGCTTCGTTCAAAGTCCATAAAGGCCCAGATTATCACAGTCAACTGCTTATAGGACATTAAATGAAAACGACATCTTTTGATTCGATATGAACAAAACCTCATTATTGCTTCCTTCGAAATCAGCAGGCAGTGTGAACGAATCGGTGATCGCCTATCAACTTTCGAAACGCCATTACGTCCACCATGACCGCCTACTCCCTATCCAGATGCCATATACACTCACGCGAAAACCAGACATCTCGAAACACGTCAATGCCATATGCGCGCCATATGTATGCAGAAACACCGATTCTGGTTGCAGTTGACATAAGTCATAGCCACAGACCGAGATTCTTGAAGCCATTTTCAACTTTCCCCCCACCCCGAACTCATGTTTTGAATTGGTATAACCAAAACTTTAGGATTACTTCGTTCAAGGTTAGCAGGCCGTGCGAAAGAGTCAGTAATCGCTTATCAACTTCCGCAAGACCCTTACGTCCACCACGATCACCTACTCCCTATCCATATGCCACATACGTTCACACAAGAACCTGAAACTTCGAAATAAAGCAACGCTTTAAAAGCCAAAAGAGTATCCATACGTACCTGTGCTTGATGCTGACACAATTCACAGCGACGGACCGAGATTCTCAATGCCTTATTCAACTTTCACCCCTATCCCGAGCCCCCAGCTCAACGTGGAGGCTTGTCCTCACTACCGTAGGTTGAGTCCGTTGCCTCGTCAGCGTCGCCCGGCGCCTTCTCGTGGGCGTCTACGATCTTGAGAACGACGACCTTTTCGAACTGAGGCCATGCAGCAGGGGCAATTTTGGGCTCATGATTCTTCAACGAGGTCATAGGCTTTCGAGGCTGAGGACGACCTTTATCTTGATCGTTGCGCGGACGTCCGGACCTACGAGTTTTGCCACGCAGCTGGGGCCTAGCGCTCTTGCCATGCCACTCTCCAGACATGAGCGTCTCGCCGTCTTTCATATTCTCCGACCCTGCCAACATCTGTTGCGTCTGAAGTGCGGCTCGCTGGCACCACTCCGTTCCAAAGAAGGGCCGATGTTCCTCGCGATCGTTGTAATCTTTGTCATCGAGACGTGCCTTGAGCTCGGGATGCTCTTCCAAGAATGCCAACACCTTTTCTGCATCCTTCAGCGCATTCGTGTTCCCACTCTCGTACTCGCAGCGCTTCTTTCGTAGATCCGCAATCATGCGATAGATGTACTTGCTATCTTTAGGCAGGCAATTCCAGATGGAAAAGATCTCATTCGGGTACATTGGACGCTGGTAATGGTGGTTGGCGATAAACATGTCGACACGGTTGGCGTCGCTGTGCAGACCAAACGCCGTGAGAGCACGCGCTAAGGACAAGGCAGCAAACAAGTTCTTCGGGATGCGGATCTGCTTCATCTCTTCCTTTGGTGTTCGGCACGCGCGGTGCATCCAAGCGATCACGATCTTTACACCAATATGATTGACGTGATGGCGAGGGAAACGAAGTTCTTGACCCACGGGACCACCTACCCACTTCTCGTTGTCCTCACGTTCAAGTGTGCGGAGGAATCGATTGAGCATTTTGCGACCGCAGAACAGAGCCAGCATCTTCTTCGGTACGGCAGCGGCGAACTTGTGGTCGGTGCCTTCCTCAACGATATCGAGCGTAGGTCCGAAAAGGGAATTCTGGAATCGTGCGGGCTGAATGTAGGGCAACAGCGAGCGCAGGCTGTGGTGATCGCGAATCAACTCCAGGTTGGGGTACTCGAGCATATCGCCACCATATTGGGGCATCAAGGGCAGACCAAGGCTCATCATGCCAAATGGCGAGCCACCAGAGGTTGGGGAGTCAAAGTAGCCGCCACCTAGAGGTTTTTCGGCTGAATCCGAATAGTAGCCATCGTCGGTCTCGTGCCACTCGTCATCCAGAGCTATACTATAGTCATCTGGGCCATGGTCGATCATGTTGTTGGGGAATGTCGGCTGAGCACCCATACGTTGCCAATGAGACTCTAAGGCGGAACCAGGAACCAGTGCGGTTGCAAAGTACACCGGTGCAACATTGGGAAGCACGCGGATGTACTCCGAGCCATCCGGGTTGCGGTAGAAGTACGTCGTCATTCTGTTGTTTAGTTGAGGGTGTGGGTGAGGGTGTGAGGGGAGCGATCTGAGAATGCGGTCTTACTTTCAGGCAAAGTTTTGACTTTATAGCCAAGTACGGCGTCGGGTCTGTGTTGATTTGGGTGCGCGCGGCTGGAGCATGGAGTGGTTGAGGGACCAAGCCGATGCGTGGTGTGGTGGGTTATGAAGCAGACTCAGCGATGGTCTCTTGTATATCGCGTGTTGTGCGTGTTGTGCGTGAAAAATTATTAGCGAAAGGATACACTGGCTAAAGATGACGGTTTGCCATGACAACAGCCGAAGTTGCTGGAAGCCAGAGCGCGCTGTGAGTGAAAGTGAAGGTGATCCAAGTGCGGTGCGGTGCGGGCTCACGAGCCTTCGTACCGTATCGGGCAGGCACCGGAACGGGTGAATGCAGAGAGCGCCAAGCATCGATCACGTGTATATTCATTCACTCGCTTGCCGGCCAAGCAAGCAGCTGAGCAAAAGATACACCAGAATGTTCGCCGACACAAGCCCAAATCTAAAAAAGGCCTCTCTACTTCAATGTTCTCTGATACAAGACCCCATCGATCCTTTTCGGCGTTGCGTGTATAGACGATGTTTGAGGTGTGGAAGCCATATGAGTCAGAAGTCCAGGCAGAGATGGTGAGCAACATCGCATACCGCTGGCACGGCTCACAAAGTATGACATCGTACCCAACAGATCTTACGGCACTGGTCAATGCGTCCCTCGTAGCCATCGAGCTGCCATCGGACTCGCTCAAGCATCCCGAGAGTTTCTTAATCTTTCACCATAGATTGGTATAAAATTCAGATAGGGACGACGGATCATATAAATTAAAGATGCAAGGGTTTTCGTTTGATCAGGCCGTCGACGAGATGGCGTTTAAACATGCGGGTCGTTGGCAATCGCAATAGAGAAGGGTACGCTAGTAAGTAATAGGTTTGTAGGTGATAGCACGCCCCGTAAGGTGCTTCTTTCCCGAAAGTGACCCCGCTATCCTGAATAGCGTCTTCCGCCAAATGTTCCCCGTTTCCTTCAAATAGTATCAAATAATACATGATTTCTGCACACCCCAATTGGCTCACCATATCATAGTCCTTATTCAACAGCCAGCCCAGAATCTCAAGAGTCATATCTTTCTAGCGCGTTACGATCTTTTTCAACCAGCGCCCAAGCCGTCCGAAGCGCTTCTTCTTGCTCCCAGTGCGAGCAGGAAGAACGATTGGTGGAGGTGGTGGCGTGGCCATCAGGCTCGAAGATCGGTCTTCTGGATGCTCCACTACATGGTCGCGCTCGACTTCGAGCCCGAGTTGAGCATCCTCACGCGAGGACTGACCTTCTCCATTGCCTCCATGGGGTAAACCCTGCAGGCCATCAAGCAACGACAAGATCTCGCCTTCCAACTCGTTTTCCGAATGCTCTGCTGCATGATTGCTCTCAGTGTCGGACCAGTGTTGAGCATCCGCAGGCGAGGGCAGTCCTTCTCCTCCAGTAGCAGCGGTTTCATCCCCCATATTGTCAAGAAACCATACGATGTCCTCTCCCAGCTCGTTGAACACCCCAGAAGTCCATGGGTGGACCTGTCGCTCTACCGCATTTCCATCAACGACATCTCCACGAGGCATCAATTGCAGGCGCACGGGGCTTTCCAAACTGGAATTATCTTCGGCGCCATGTCGTATTTCCTGGAACTGGGAGCGGCTGATGTCCCTCGCGTCAAGTATAAATGGCCCATTGCCTTCGAGGATTCTGAGCGTGTCTTGATCGTGATTCGGAGGTGCCCGTCCATTACCTGCAGCTTGCGGCTCATGTCGGTATCCTCCTGATTTTCCGGTCATCAACGTGTTGCTGGACGGTAGTGCAAAGTCTCCTACGGAAGATCTAGGATGAGAGTGCGCCTCATATGTATATTCAGCCGAAGATGCTACCAGATCCACCAACGAAGCATCGGGCAGAGCGAAAACGGTCACCTTCCGGCGACGTTGCTTGATAGCGGTACGACTATGCAGCGTTGCCGATTCTTGCACACCTGTACTGCTGAGACGTGGTAGCGATCCTGCAGTGTCCGTCGTCCAGCTTCGATCTTCATCATGGTCACCAGAACTATCTCCAGATGGTGCTGCAATCTCAAAGTCATCTTGGTCGATGAAATCCAGAAGCGTGGTGCACCACTCTTGAAGATCTGAATCCAAGGCAGGGAGCTCATAGGTTGATTCACTAGATCGGGATATGGTCTGCCAAGTTGCTTCTCGAGAGAAGCCTCGCTGCGATATGGGCTCAGAGGAGACTGCGCTCGGAGGATGTGATCCGTGGAGACTGGACCATCGACGCAAACTGCGCCGGTTTTCCGAAGACCCTGGTACAGTCGAACGGCGGGATAGCTCGGGATCAGCAGGCAAGACGAAGTTCATCGCTCGTGAGCGAGGCAACCCGCGACCACGAAGTACCATCTATCCATGTCAGCCAGTACAGTATTGTGAATCAATTCTACGCTTACTGGGCTCTGCATCTTGAGAAATGGATTGAAATAGTAATTGATCTGAAAGATAGCGATAGGTCTGGTGTACCGTCAAGTCGGGTAGTCCAAGGTTTACACAAGACTTGGAGGTCCGAATGAAGAGGGTTGAGAGAGTGGGTGGTGTTGATCTAGGGCTGTGTGTGCTCTCATACATAAACCTAGAAGGGATGAAAAAGATCAGTGTGATCACGTACTGACGCGTCTTCAACACGCTCTGGCAATGCGCGATACAGGAAACTTTCACAACAGCTGAACACGCTCAACCACTTTAATATTCAGAGTTGATTTTCTCGCCAACTACCTTGATAACCCTTTTCCTTTTTCACGCGAAAAGCTCGGATGTTGGCGATCGCGAAATGGAAGATGCACGTGCAGGTGTTAACATCAGCTATCAAACCGAGATACAACAGCACATCGTTAAGTACTTATACACAGCTTCCATATGCAACAAGCCATGCTTTACATGGGACGACTACCTGCATACCTATCCAGCAAACAGTGCACCCCTCTCATAGTGCTGCAGCAAACGCATACGCTCCCACGATAAGTTCACTTCACCGTTTTTCACCGACCACGTCACTGACACGACTTCACCACACCATTCACTGACTATATAAATCATAATGCCACACCACATCTTCTACCATAACCGATTACCCCACAACCCCTACCGAACGTATACTTACATCTCAGCTCCAGCTCCAGAATGTCATCCAACAACACCGCCTCCACACCGACCAAGGCCTCCAAGGCTTCAGCAAAGGCCCCCTCAACACCCACCAAGCCCTCCAACATCACCACCACCACACCACAACTCACTCCACCGGCTCGCAAGGCTCCCTCAATGGACGATCTCGTCGAGCACCTCGCGGACACGAAGGTTGATCACCGCAAGGACGAGCCAATGGACGATCTTGCGGGTGCTTTCGGACAGAAGTGGTCTCCTAACAGCACCTTTAAGGACATGCAGGAGGAGCAAGATCGACGGATCGGGCGGTACGAGTACGGCGCGTTGACGTACCGGCCTAAGGGCAAGGAGGAGGATGCTAGTGGGCGGAAGTAGTGTTGTGGTGGGGGGTTCGTGTGTCAATTCTACGGGAGTGTGAACGGCTACAAGGGAGAATGAGATGTGGAGGAGCGCGGTTCTGATGTTGCATGGCTTATTTGACGGATCGTTCACGCGGCCCTTGCGAGTTATACAGTTCAAGTTCGGGTAGAGAAACGTTGCGGTATTCAACGTGAGGCCGCACATATACAATCCATCTTGAAACCATAGTGCGCATGTCCATCATTGTGCATCACGAAAATGTGAACATGTAATGAGCGCAAGTCTTCAAATCAGCTATCTTCCAAGCTAAATAGCTAGGCACCCTCTCCCCTGCTCCTATCTATATTAGAGATTACCAGAATGCACGTCTTTAACCGCTAGCCAGCGATAGCGTTACACCTGCGTGGATGTATGTCTTCAACCGCGTTCCCAGCGGTAGCATCCCATCCCTATCTATGTTTTGATGGCGCATGTCTTCGATCGCTCAACGATAGCATGGCACCTCTCTCTCCATCGAAGCTCTTCTTGATGCATGTCTTTGATCGCTGGGTAGCGATAGCATCGCATCGTTCCTTATCAACCCTGATGTAATATACACTGATGTACGTCTTCAATCAGATCCAGCTGATCCAATAGCGTTACATCCTACTTCCCCTGTTCCTCATCTAACCTAATAGACATAAGGGATGATTCTGTACGGCACCAACTCGCAGTACCTCTCCCAGTCCTTGCCATATTTCCTGCGGCACTTCTCCTCGTCGCGGCGCTCACGGTGAAGAAGTAGAACAGCAAAGTACACCATGAAGAAGTACGTGACGATCATGCCCCAGCCCTTGGCCTCTCCGGGAACGACGTACTTCTGGTATGAGTTCTGGAAGAAGACGGCGTCTTTAGACAAAGCATCGACGGGGTGTGTCGCTGCATTTCGGATGACGTAGCCAGCGGCAGCGGTGGGAAGGACGTACGACCACGACATGAACCAGTCGCCGAGGTAGTTGATGTGACGCGCGGTGCCCCACCAGCCGGTAATGAGAAGCTTGGAGCCGGACGCAGTTTCGATGTACTTCAGGTGCTTCACGCGCGGGTCGTCGGGGTTGGTGCGGAAGCGGTTCTTCTCGTTGTTGACAGAGCGGAAGATGTAGTAGCCGACTGCTTGGACCGCGAAGATCGGTACCAAGCCGCGGATGCCAAGTTCCACGGGGTAGGTGGCCAGGTAACGCGCTTGCAGGCTGTATGTAAAAGGCACCCAGACGAGATCGCCAAAGGCAAGCATCAGTCCGAAGCCGTCGCTGATGATGTCGATGGTGGTCAGCATGGCGGGCTCCATGTAGTAGCAGTCAAAGACGTAGAAGGCCTGTGCGAATGTAACAAGAATGATAGAATCGGTGACTTTGCCGAAGTTGCGGTACTGTTGCATGATGAAAGCCAGATCAAGAATCACCCAACCGAGCATTCCGGGGCGGATTTCGGCCCAGGTCTTGATGTCAATTTCGCCAAACACGGGGAACGTAATGCGCGGGTTAAGCTCGCGGCCGATGAACCAGTCGTACAACATATTGCCGCTGTGCCCGCCCATGGCAAGCTCACGCAGGCTTGGGTCCTTCGGGTGTTGAACGGTGAAAGAAATGATGTACACATAGGTAGCCAAGGCATAGGAGGTCAGAATATTAGTGGTGAGAAGACCGACGTAGTTTTCCGAGATAAAGGTCCAAACGCGGAATTCGGCGCCTTCAACGATGGTTCCTGCGGCGAGGATGACCAGAATGAATATACCGGAGCCCCAGGCTGCTAATTGTTAGAAATGTCAGGTGACTAGGTAGTAGGACGTGACATACCATTGAAACGGTACTTGAGCCTTCCTCCAGTGCGAAGTTCAGTGCCTTCAGGCTCTTCAGCCGGGAGGAAAGCGTACAGAGCCAGACTGAGTAAGTAGTAGGCAAAGTTTCCTAGGACGGCATTCCAGGTGATTAAGCCTGAGAACCCAGGCCAGCCGACTTCTTTCTTCAGCTGTTCGAAGTCCAATGTTGATGGATGAAGCAGCGATGGTGCAGGACACCCTGAGATGTCATTGCAGAGAAAGGTGAAGGCATAACAAAGTACAGGCAAGAAGAAGGAAATGACGAAAGCACCAGGTCTAGGTTGGGTTAGCACCTAATTGTATGACATTGGAACATGCACTTACGGTCCGAAGAACTCATAGCCATGCGGCTTCTCAGCTGCAGGCTCGGCCTTGCGTTTGGGCGCCATGTCTGCAGAATTCGGGATGTTGTTTTCGAAAATTATCGTCCACACGGAAAGGGGTCTCGGCGACGAACTTTGCTCCAATGCAACACCGTCCAGAATGTAATTTTCCAACCAACCTTCGCGCGCCGCGGAGTCAATGAACAACAGCGTACAAGAGGTTATATAGCCAGGACTTGTAGCAAGATCATGGGACGATGTTAGCCCAGCCGGAGGACGCGTTCCCGCGAGGCTGAGGTAATGACGCGCTCATTTGACGGTTCCCCTGGTTGGTTAGACCGGCGCTAGGCCCGAGGAAGGAGCTGCCGGACAAGGGTCCTGCTGCAACAGCACCAGTGCTCCGGGCAAACCACAGGTGGCCTGGACAATCATCACTCTTGGTATGCTGATGCCTTCCACGTAGCCGACGCCTTTCCCTACTTTCTTTTAGCCACGCTCGCTATTGTCTTCCAAATACCTGCGGAACATGCGGACTTCCTATCTCTCCGCGCTCCTGGCGCTGCTCTGGACAGCAGCGGCCGCGTCAGACAAGAAGGCGCCGAAGCCGTGCACTGCCGTCTCGCCCACTACCGATCGCTTTTTCGATTTGAACCCGCTGCATCGGACGCCGCCGGAGGAAGGGAAGAAGCCGAAGGAGGGCGAGGAGGGCAGCTGGCATGCGCGGGGTCACGACTACGGCGCGAACTTTACTATCAACTTCTGCGGGCCTGTGGTTGAGGAGCTGGACGACGTGCAAGATTTGGATAAGGATCTGTGGAGGAACGTGAGCGCCTTCTATGAGAGGGACGGGAAGCAGTATGCGCTTGGGTAAGTCGAACCTGGAGGATGTTGAGCGGAGGTTCGGGGTGTTATGCGCCTGAAGCTACGCCGCAGACACGATTGTGATCTGTGGAGCATTGTTCGCTGACAACAACTGTTCCAGGCTTGAAAGCTATGAACCTGTCTTCCGCGGTCGCAAGCTGGTCCTGAACTACACCGGCGGTTCCCTCTGCCCCTCATCAAGCGACCGCCGCTCGCCCCATGCCGCTGTCGACCTGTCTTCCCGAGAAATCATTGATGACGATGACGACAAAGACAAGGATAAGGACAAGAACAAGGACGACGAGGACGACGACTCATCGAAGAAGAAGAAGCCTTCCTCGGACGGCAAGCGCCGCAAGACTACCATCATCTCTCTGCTTTGCGACAACGACCCGCTAGTCAAGACCTCGTTTTCCTTTGTCGCTGCCGTAGACGACTGCGTATACTTCTTCGAGGGGCGCTCTAATGCTGCTTGCGGAGGCGTACATATCGAGGAGCAGGCGTTAGGTCCCGGCGGCGTGTTCGGCGTCATCATGCTCATTGCAGTAATGGTCTACTTCATCGGTGGTTGCGTGTACCAGCGCGCAGTCATGCACCAGCGCGGATGGAGACAACTGCCCAACTACGCCATGTGGGCTGGCATTGGACGTTTCATTGCTGTATGTATTACATTGCCCTTCTCTATATACACGCTTGTTACCACCCCTGCTCTCCCGACCCTTTGGAGATCGCGCAACTGACGATACCTAGGACATGTTCATCATTCTCACCTCCTCTTGCGCACGCTTCCTCCCCTCGCGACGAGGCTACAGCCGAGTCTCCCTCGGCCGCGAGCACGGCCGCGGTGGCCGAAGAAACGAAGACGAAAACCGACTCATTGATAACCTCGACGAGGAGTGGGATGATTAAAAGGCTTTTCATTTGTACCTGTGCTGGCATTTGCATCTAGACTTGGATATAGCGGCGTTACTGGGCCGCACTTGGGACACGGAGTCTGACTGGGAACAAATGGGACGATTGATATCTACTTCGAACGATGGGTAGGACCCACGAATATCCACTTTATTGAACTAGCCGAAAACGCGGCATCAGAACCGGTGCTGAGGTGTACATTTGGCCGAAGCTCTAAAGCTTACCATGCAGTATGCCCATGCCATGTCTAAAACATGACCTGGTGTACCTACCACCGAAAAGCAACAAGACCCCATCCACCATGCCAAAGCTCAGTAATAACCCTGTCTGACCACTCCGTATGAATGCCAATTGCACTCCGAAAGGCCGAGCATGAGATAATGCATCCTTACCTCCACATGCGCCTTCGATCGCAGCAGTAACACTATACTGCTCTCCAGAACCTTGGGTATCAATAGCGCGAACAAAAAAATGCATGTGCCAAAACTCCATGTACTTCTTCGTATCAAGTCGTTACGCGTGACCCTGCTCCTCAAGCTGGTCGAATTCCGAATTCCTCGAGGACGTTGGTAAGCAAGGAGTCCGCCTAGAGCTCCCGATCTTCCTCCTCGTCGCCGTTGACGCTTACAGAATGTCGCCTCGAGCCTGATTTAGGCGCCGCAGGTGAAGGTTCAGTGAGCACGGTGTCATCTAGGACGTCGTTCAAGGTCTCGTCGTCCGGTGATGCCTCCTCCGCTGGTGTTCCAGAGGTGCTGGCCGCGTCGTTGTTCTCGAAATGGAGTTGCTGCTCCGCTTCCATGTCTGCACCTGGTCCAGTGTCGTCGCCCGGATCCTCGACGGGGTCGTCTTCAGTCAGGTTTCCGTTCGCGATACGCTCAAATTGTACGTCGATCTAAAGAAGGTTAAGCGTTTGTTCCTTAAATTTCAAATTCACATCACAAAAAGGGGACCACGCAGATGTATAGCATTACTCACCTGCTTAAGCTGAGCCATAATCTCAGCCTTTAAAGATCGTTCTGGCGTGCTAATCATCTGTGCCACCTGCACACCGCCCAGCACACGCATATAGTCGTCGCGCATCGCGCAATATATCTCGTCTGCCTTGTTGGCCATCTCTTCTTTCAAGCCGTTGCACATGCTCAGTAAGGCCATTTCGACCGTTCGGGTAGCGGCTGGGAACATGTTCGGGCTGTTTTGTTGTACGAAGGCCACCATGTGCTCCTTCATACGGTGAAACGATCCGCTACCGCTTTCATTCGTGCAGATATCGTATACTGTCATCATGACGTTGGCAATTACGGGAACGAGATGGCGACTGGCGTCACGTTGTGACTCAGTCATCCGAATCTTCAGCTGAGCGTTGAGGTCTTGAAACATATGCTCGTATGTATAGATCGAGCCTTTGAGCATAGCGAGGTTGGCAAGACCAACTCCGTTCTCATGCGCGCGGTCTTCGACCAATTTGTGGAAGGTATGCAGTATACTCCCTGCTTTCTTTGTGTAAGCTTCGAATGCTCTCGGTAGACGTTGCCGGAAAGCGCGTTCCCAGCCTGTGGCTAGCTTTCTGATGATAGGATCCAGGAGCTCCGCCTTGAAGTCCCGATGGCCGGACTTCGGAGAGTGATAAACGCCGCCTCTACGTACAGTCGCCTTGTATGTTGCCCAGTATAAGCCACCTTGGTCTCTATAGCCCCATGAGTTGGCTATGGTGGGTGCGGATTGGATCGCGTCGCTGATAAGTTCGTTCATCCGCTCAAAGATTTGCTCCTGAAGCTGTGCTTTCATTAAATCCAGACAGGTTATGATAGCCTTCTCCAGACCCTTCTCTAGCTCTCCAAGTCTCTTTAAGAGATAATCTGCTTGTTTGCGCTGATCGGTGTCAGTCATCTTAAGACCTGTACCATCGTTAGAGGCCCAGAGAAAGAACGTCGTGAGGTTTGAACAAAGGTTGAGAAGGAAAGTGCGACAGTTCTGGATTCTTCCACTCTCGGTCAGCGACATGCAGTGGGTCTTCAGCTGAGGAATTTCCGTCTCCTCTTGTGTCCGGAATCCAGGGACGGCCTCATCCTTCTTGAGACGCCCACACATCTTTTGATAGGCCCGGCTGCTTACGCAAAACACCGGCAGGGAACTGGCAACTTCCTCGTAATCGCGTAGTTCTTCATCCGGATTAAAGGCCGCCTCGTCTGCCTCCACTGCAGCCTCTTGGTCCAGCTCTTTGATGCCGGCGGCAAAGTCTTGTTGAATAGCACCTTTCGAGTACTTGTTGCGTCCTTCAATGCATATAGCCAATATTTGCGCCTTGACATCAGCGATTTTGCTTTTCGTTGCTCGAATTGTTGGCCTCAGATCCTGGATCTGATCTTCAACAACTTTCTTCTCATTTCGTGCATTCTTCTTTGTGTTCTTCAGGTCGGCAAGTCGTTGTTCAACGTCTTCCAAAGTCAGCGGCTCTTGGGGAACTTCAATACCATCCGTATCAGGTTCGTTCTCGGATTCGCTGGAGTCATCACCTCCAGACTCAACGTAATCAATATCAGATTCTTCCTCCACCTGCCGTCGCTTTCGAGAACCTTTCCCAGACTCTGACATCTTTCGCTTTGGCTTCGTTATGCTCTTCGGTGGGAACAACGTCTCAGTCTCGACTCTGTCTTTCAAATCTTCCCACGTCTCAATCTCTTCATCGGCTTCGTTAAACGCAGCCTTATAGACTTCCGCGAGATCCTTTAGCTCCGTAATTTTCTCTTCTATCCCCTTAACCTCCTGCTTATGCGCTTGGGCCTGAGTCTCCAACCCCATGACTTCTTCGTCCAGGCCCAAGCTGTCGACAGCCTCAGTTATGGAGATGTCATCTGTCTTCGAGCAGATGAAGGTGACAGCCGAGTAACTTCCGTCGTACTTGAGTTGACGTTTGAATGTGCCGCCGAGTAAATTCTTTGCTGCTTTGTCGTCCACCGCGCGTGTGATGGGGGCGACAATCCACAAACCACTGCACTGTTGGATATATCGTTCCGCAACGGCAGCTCGAGCGGCATTAGAATCGTGAACACCTGGCAAATCCACCACAACAGCACCTGTGGACAGAGCTTCCGATTTCGTGTACAACCGGACAACCTTGATTAGAGGCCAGTATTCCATCTGATTCTTCTGTTGCTTTTGTTGTTCCTTGTCCTTTTTGCTGGTCACTTTCTCTTTGCTGTCGACAAATTTTTGCAACTCAGCATAGAACGGCTCCGGGCGCGCTCGATGTATACGCTTTGTCGTTCCAAGGACGTTGAGCACCGCGTTCTCCCTCATTAACATCTCCACCGTACACTTTTCCAACTCGTCTTTATGGAATCTTGGGTAGACAGCGTGGAATTTGGCCCACGCAATGCCAGCGTCAGAGTTTGGGTCAGCAGCCTCTCGTGTCACGGTTCCATTCTCAGAGAGGAATTCCCGCATAAGTACTCGAAGGTCCTTCTCCCAATCGGCACGATCGATGAACTCGACTTCCGCTGAATATTTGTGACCTGGATCATCGTCCGCGTTCCATGATATCTCCGTCACCACGGCAGTACAAGCACGCATGCAATTCGTCGGAACCAAGCGTTCTTCGTCAAGAAGTGCATTGATAACGCTGCTCTTGCCGGCTCCTGTATTGCCAACAACACCGACAATCGTGCGGCTGCGTTTCGATTGCTCCTTCATTTTGTCGATTTGGTCGATCCAAAGTTTGGCATCCAGGCTAGCGGTTGCGAAATGCGAGAATGTCTCTCTTAGTTTTTCCAGTATATACATAGACCGAGCTACGCCGGCCTCGAGAACATCAACTTTCGATTGCTCAATAACATCGCGAATGTGGCGGTCAATCAGCTGAGTACACGCTTCTGAATCAATTTCTGGAGAAGGATCGCGATCGAACACGTCGTCAGGGTTGAAATTCTCCAAAGGCGGCGCATCTTCAGGATCAGGGCTTCTCGCTGGTGGGGACTGCTCAGGCTTTACCATCTGTATCACCAAATATTAGCATCAAGGCCAAGAGGTGGTGTAGGACTTGAGACTGCGCAACGCGCGTGGTAGGGTATGAGGGTTGAGAGGACTTACTGCCTGCGGAGGAATGCTAGACTCTGTAATCGGTTCTATTTCCGGTGCCGGAAGGATATCCGCTGGCACGGGAGCTGCAACTTCTGCTTGTGCAGGAGGACTAGGCCGGCGAAGAGGTTGCGCAGGTGCATAGGGTGGCACGTCGGTTGTGGGTTGATGAGAAGCTGTGGTTGGAATTGGGACGGAAAGGCCAGGAGAATGATCTTGGATCAGCGAGCTGGGGACATCGCTCAGCGGTGTTGAGTTTACGCGAGTGAAATGGAAAGGCCTAGCTGAGGTTTCAATAGATGGCTTTTCCTGGTCACGCAGTTCCTCCCACGGAGGCAGTGGTCCGTTCCTGTGCGCAGACCCGGGTGTCCGCGGTGATTGCGACCCAGTAGTTTGGAATTGCGGTGCTGGAGGGGGAGGTTGGAAGCTGCGTACGGCTGGTGAAGGCGGCGGGATGGTCCTGTTTGAAGAGGGCGACCGGAGCGCAAGAGCGGGCTGAAGAGAAAGTGTGTGAGTGTGAGTTTATCAACACCGATGCGTAAGTCGGTCACTTACTGGGCGTGCGGGCCTCTCCACTGCACGTAGAGCTATGACCGGGTCGTCGAACGTGCCCAGGTGCCTCATTTGTGTGTCCGGTGAAGCTATGGCGCCCTCGAACCACAAGTCGACGTCGACGCCTGGTAGTCTCGAGATATAGGTCTCGCGGATCTTTGCTATGGTAATTTTCTGTGATCACTTAGTGACTTCTCGCAAATAGGATAGAAGGTGAGAGCCTATTTGGTCCAATTGCCGTGCATAGCACAAAGACAGGTATATAGGAATCATACGTTGAGGACCTACACTGTGAGCTTTGATCCAGCGAAAATCAACATGACTGAGTTCCCCATTTGGATCTCGGTCTGCGAGCAGGACGGCAACGAAAAACCGTCTGGGCGCGAGCGCTTCACCTTCTGGTACTGCAGCTACCGCCTTCTGTCGAAAACGATCCCATTCAGACATAATGAGGGGTGTGAGTTCTGCGTCAGTTGGAATAGGCGTTTGCTGGCGGGGCTCAACAAGGACATGAATTTGCCATCGGCTTTTTGATTCGCTAGGAAAGCGCGATGAGGAATGTAAGTGTAACCGAAAGGGCGACACCGTAGAGGCAGACGCCGTCAGGACACACAGGCGCAGTAGTGGAATAATAGGAATAGGTAAAGAATCGTGCCCACCAGACCCACAGCAGCCTCAGGCAACTCGAGAGGGTAAGTTGGCAGGTGTACGATGCCGTTAAGCTAGCAAATGTGGAGAGCGACGCGTCGCGTTGACCCACAATAGTTACACGCTAGCGCCGCAGATCACGTGCGCGATTTCCGTCCGCGGGTCGTACATTAGAGAATACACGAAGAAAGCATATCAATCAATTCCGAATGCCCATTGTGTGAGAGTTTGTAGTCTAATCATAATCGTAGCGTGCACTTCTTTCGTTGACTACTAACATGTTCAATGACTGGATGCGATTCCAATCATCGCATTGCAGCTAGGTTTACCAACAGTAAATCAGTCTCGATCACCGCATGCTCCCATTCGGATCTCGTCCCTTCTTCCCTAGCCGAATCAAATAGACCACACAGTCAAACATTCGCTGTCACTAACAATTTCTCAAGCATACATCCGCCAGCCGCCCTAATCCACCTTTTTCTGCCCACTAGCACCCAATTCCTCCATCTTAAACTTCGTACCCTTATGTCCAAACCACACCAAATCCATCTTCCCACCCCTCTCCACCGCCCTCTTCTTCGGCTCCCTCTTCTCCACCCTCTCATACCAATCCCGCAACTTCGCGTATTTACTCAAGTCACAATACCCCCTCTGCACCGCAACCTCCATCCCCCAATTCATATTGAAATCACTAACGCCCATTTCCGCGCCGCCAAACCACGGCTTCTCCTCGCTCAGCGCATCATCCAGTATCTGAAACACAGGCTGAAGATCGGACTTGAAGCGCATCGTCATGGGGAGGCCCATGAGGCGATACAGCCAGGACAAGGGCCAAGGAGCGATTTGCCCGAGGATCTCGAAGATGAGTGTGAAGTCGTTTTTCTGGGCGAGCGTGCCGGTTGCGAATTCGCAGAAGAACCTGTTCCTTCGCTTGTCCTCCGGGGACGTCGGCGTCCAGCGTTCTGAGGCGTATTCTTCGTTTATGAATTCGAGAATGCTCTTGGCTTCGGTGAGGACGCCGGGCTCGAATTGGATGAGGGGTGGGGGACTACCGTCTGTTGTTTCCAGGGTCATGATGGGAGATTTGCCGAGGCGGAAGACAGTGAGGAGGTCTTTGTTGTAGGGAACCTTGCGTGGATAGTTCTTGAGGTTGAATTTGAAGGTGGGGTCAACGGCGGAGAGCTCTTCGAGCATCCAGAGGCAGCGGTGAGCCTGGGAGTGCGAGAGGCTGTGGAGGGTGGGAATGGTGGTTTGGGGGGCCATGGTGACGGCTTGGGAGTGAGCAACACTTGACACTTCTTAGACTGGATATGAGAATGTCGTTCAATGCGACTGTCTCTGTTGATTCTGACGCTCGAGATGAGGAGTTGTTGTTACACAAAACGTTCTGCCGCCCGTTCGCGCCGCTTCATACGGCACAGTGATCTCAACACAAAGAGAATCACCACACAATCTGAGCTGGACAATAAGACATTCCGCCATCCGTCGTCGATCCCTTTTATCTACCTTTCAAAACCAACTAACGGCTTACGCCCAGCTTCATAGAAACTTGCTGCGCGACGCTAAGTACACGCCGTTCCTACCTAATGCGGGGTTTAGCTTGCTCCCACAGGGATGCAAGTGGGGCGGAAACATGGCGAAGACCTGGCGGTCAGCGGTTTGGCTTCGTAAACAAGATTGTAACTCCTCTCTATAGCTTGATACTCACGGATACCTCATAACCTTGTAAGTTACCGTAGATGAATATATGCAAACCCAACCAAGCCAGCTTGTTACCTTGTCAGCTCTCAGTAGGTAGTACACTTTTAAGAAACCAAGGAACCAAAGAGAATACGCTAGCTCTATATGGTCTGTGCAGGCTCTCTGATACGTGCGGGAAACACACGCACGAGACGATACCAAGCATATCGCGACACTCTATCATCCCTATTCGCAAACATATGGTGGGCAGCACCACACAAATTGGGAAGATCGACGAGACAGGCGTACCATAACCCAGCCTAGGCCTCCTGGCATTTAAGCGAACTGTGACTCGGCAGTACGTCACCGAAGGAGTTCGACTGCGATACCTGTGGTTCAGTACCGTTTTCTCACTGTAGCACCGTAGAAGCCCCGCCCTAACAATGTGTGGCCGGAAGCAGTATACATGATTCGCTCTTGCTGGATGGCTAATATAGTACCTAAGAAGAGACCAGATCATTAGCCTACTCACCCTGAGCCATGAGTTGTGGCGAGGCCTTCTTCATGTGATGCATTCATGTTGTGTAAAACAGCTTCTACGGAAAATTATGCATATAACGCAGCGATAATACGTCTTAACAAATCGAAACCGCTTTACAAAGCGATTCCTACCCGAACGCGAGCCCCAAAATAAATCCATGAACGTTCGAAACTTCTTTGATACACCGACCCGAGCTCTCCAACGCCTTGCAGGGCCCTCAAGATCCGCGAGCCGGCCCAATAATTAGCTCGTGGACGTTGATCCTCCACCTCCAGAGTCACCGCCCGAGGTCGAACTGCTGAACCCACCGCTTGTAGAGTCGAAATTACTGAATCCACCGCCTGCAAAGTCGGAACTGCCGAAGCCACCACCTGAAGCGTCCGAACTACCGTAAATACCCACCTGCGAAGAGTTAGAATTGTTGAGATCCGTGCCACCATAAGGCGCGCTCATCATCGCCCACGGCGTCGCATGGCCTGTTGTGTAGTGCCATATCTGGGGAGGCAGCATCGGTCCCGCACCAGCTCGTTGTATGAGGTGGCCACGGAAGTACGTACCTGCAGGCTGACCAGCGTAGGGATTCGGAACCCAGCCGTTGCCTTGTTGTGGCTGCATTTGAATCTGAGGTTGAGGCTGTGGCTGCGGGATCTGTGTTTGTGAGGTAGGGCGCGCTTGAGGTACACAAGGGATGGGCGATAATGTTTGTATAAGTGGAGGTAGTGCGGGTGCCATCTTGTTGTAGTCCTCCCATGTGTGCTCTGGGAGGTTGGAGAAGGCTTTTCCGGATGTGAGGAGGAGGATGTAGGAGGATTGGTGTTGGGGGAAAAGATATAGGCCCTGAGCTTCGGTATTAGTAAAGGATATGAAGGGAAATGGAGGCTGCGTACGGCGACAGCACTGAAATCTGGTGCTTTGTCCAGGAAGTCGTTCGTCCCTCTCAACCCTTCCTCTTTCTCTTTGCCTTTCAGGTCCCAGCTACCGCCTCCTTTCACTGTGCGCATGAAGTAACTCCCATCAGCGCCTAAGCTCACGAAACTGGGCGCATCTCTTCCTTCTTCTTTCCATATAGTCTTCCATGCGTCTTGGCTAACGAGTCGGTGCAACAATGCTTTTTCTAATGATGGTGGCAGATTACTCCACGAAGCAGACGTTTTGTCATGTGCATAGTAGGAATCCCACGGCCCAATGCTGATTGATAATGTTGTGAGATCCCGTATTACGCGCGGATGTCCGCAATACAAGTACTCTGTTAGAGGGTTTGGAAGGTTGTAGTGGCGACATACAACCTCTCCGTCATGATCCCGGTAGCTCACAAAGTACGTCCCATTTTCACCCATAGCGAATTCGATGACATCTTTGATGGGAGGCTGTTTCGTAAAGAGTGCTTCGACGTCTGGTGGAAGATTGCGCCTACGTACAGTCAGTATCATTTATCGGAACGTTTGTATCCTTGAATAAAAGTTATCCCAGGATGATATAGACTAGTTTTGGTACGCATGAATGCGCAACTAGCAGCAACGAAAGGGCCGCGCATGAAAGGACTCACCATGCCCAATGCGTAGGACTGTTGAAAAAGTACGCATCCTTCGCCCCTATCACAAACGAAACAAAAACCGGCATCTTGAGTGGGGTTCTATGCGATAGGGCTGGAGCCTAGCGAAGGCGCGGACAGGAGGGAGCGTAAGCGAGGGTCCACGAAGGGGCGCGGCAGCACCGAAGGCACAGCAAAGGGTATCACAGAAAATCAGGGGTATCAGGAATGCGAAATGCAGTAGCTATAGTTATCTAGCGAGTGAAGTGCAGGTAGGATGTCAGACATTTGGGTGCCCGCGTCGTCAGCTTAGCCCCGACACTCGTACTCGCTTAATCTTGCCTGAGACGCTTGGGCGTAACCAGGCAGTGCGCGACTTCGCCCAAGACATTGTGATGTCACACTCTGAACTCATGGACATGTGAAGTTTTTGGTGTAATCATTTTGAACCATGTTGTACATAGGCAGAAAACTAGTGCCCACAGCCGCCCGTAGGCTGAGCTGTCCCAACTCCTAACCCGCGCTATCAGAACATGTGCAGTGCTAAGAGCGAGCGTCGCTGCATGAGATACTAAACCCTATCATGACACGCAATCCTCATCAACGCCATTTCCCTATTGATGCTCGAACATAATAACGCACGCAAACGTAGAGCCTTGTGTAGAGTCCATTTCAGACTCCTCAGTGACTCCAACCCCTCGGAATCTCAGTACGCACTTGGTCATGAACACGAGGAATGCCTACCTGTTTCCCCTTCGCCCCGGCAGTGGAGGTGGCACTTTTGGATTGCCGTGAGCATCGGTGCCTAAGGCCACCCTGCAATCAGGGCAATACCACTTGGCACGGCGTGCGGGAAGTTCGCCTTCCTTTAGGCCTACGCACGCGAAATGGAACCACTCCTTCTCGCACTGTTCATCGTTGGTATCAATAGGATCAAAGATTATACAGGGGTGACTCACATGATTGTCACAAAGAATCATCGACCCTTCGCTGATGCCATCACAAATACAGTATCGCTCTTCGTCTTGATCGATCTCTTCGGCAGGTTCAGACTCTTCCTCCGGCTTCTTCTTCTTCGCAATCTTGTTGCCCTGTGCCCGTTTCACATTCGTGACTGTCATTTGACCATCTTCGCCATGTGAAATTTCCCCTTTAGGTGGGGCTTTCCTACGTGTGCGTGTCCGAGTAGGAGCTGCGGTAGCAGGAGCCGTGACTGCGGACTGGCTGAAAATGCTGTGACGGCGGAGTTCGCGCGAACTCTGTCCTTGTTCGTAAGGTTTGGGTTCTTCGCTCTGAGCCTTGGGCGTAGGTACATGGCCGCGGGAAGAGCTAGGACGAGAGGACCGCGGGCGGGTCGCTTGAACTGAAGTGGGAGCAACAGCTTCAGGCGCGGAAGTAGGTACCTTTAGCTTCTTTTCAGTTGGTGCAGTGGCAGGGGCGGGACTTGTCGGCTTCTCTTTTGGTGGTGCAACCGACTCCCTCCTGGGGCGAGAAGAGGCCGCTGTCACGTTAGTCTGGGGAAGTCCTGCAGAAGCTGCTTGAGCTTCTGTGGAGACTGGAACAGCAGGTGAAGTGACGGCGGGCGTGCCAGGCTGGCTACCTACAGCTAGTTGTGAGATTCCGGGACTCTTCGGTGTACCGGGTCCTGCTGGGGCCAGAGGTACTTGCACAGTGGTCGTCTTAGAAGCTTCGGGGAACGGCATCGCGGTGTTCACGCCGGGCGATAGACCAATAGGTGTGAGGTCCTGTGGTGTGGAAGCTCCACCATTAGTTAATGTAAGATTCAACCGCGGCTTCTTCCGCTCAGGTGGCTTAGTGCCACTGTCTTGCGAGACTAATGAAGGCTCCCTGGTCGCCTCAGCCGGTGTCTCGCCCGCTGGTGGCGGCGTAGAATCACGCTTGCGCTTGTTGGAGAGTTTTGCAGCAGATTTCCTTGAGCCAGCACCAGTAAAGCTCAGCTCTTGCATCCAGTCGGCAGCCTCCTTGATCCTCTTTGTGGTGTTCTCCAGTTCCTGTGCGTCGCGAAAAGCCTGTCGACGCCGACTATCCCGCTTTGACTGTCTTGTGTCTCTGAAATCAGACGTATCCTTGGATGCATCAGCGTCATCGAAATCCGCATATTTGTAAAGCTCGATCGGGGTACGCTCGATGTCCGCGGGCTTTCGGTCGGTGGGAGCCGCTGCAGGCTGCGAGGGTGCAGGTGGGTTCTCCGCAATTCCAGGAGGGACAATCGATCGTATGGTCGGAGCGGCGGGCTCTTCATCAAGAAATGCGTCGCCTGTCTCTTCACAGCGTTTCCTTTCCTTTTCATATGCTTCTTGTCCGCGACCCCCCGCTTCCAGCTGACGCTTAATCATAGTTTCACTTGGAGTCCAAACAGCGTTCTTCTTCATTTTCTTCCTCAGAACAGCCATCTCATACTCGGTGAGCTTGAACCATGGCGCCCACTTGCTGCCAGGCCTGGCGTTTTCGGGCGGGGGCGAGAGTCTGGCAAGCGCGTTGCTCGTGGAAATGCCGGCGAATGAGCTGTGCACGTTGGTGCCAGAGCCTGGAGGCCGCACGCGCACCTTGGGAGGCCGCGGTGCCTTGTCCTTGTAATCTTTCAGTCTCTTGGGTGCTATAGCGAGATCAGCGTTGAATCTCACCTCAGAGTCGTCCGAGTCCGAGAAGCTTGCTGTGCGAATGCGCGCACCAGGCAACGGGACCCGGGACTTCTTGCGATCGCGGGGACGCGCAGTTGAACTGCCGCCAAAGCGACCGTCGAATGTCAGGCGCAAGTGCGGGGTTGTAAAGTTGCGATTCACTCCTCGTAACGCCTGGGGTGATACAGGAACAGGTGTAGGGTCGCGGGATGGTGGCTCTGGCTGCGCCTGAAGCTTCCTCTTGATTATGCCTATGCGATGCTTGTGGCGCTCCGCAACCTCATATAGTCGCGACGCTTCTGCATATGACGATTCCCGGGCGTATATTGCCTTGTCGAGCGCAAGAGCGATCTCTTTACGTAGAGCCACGGGGTCTGGTCGTTCGCCGGCAGGTATGGTGGGGAGCTTGCCATACTTGACGGTGAGCTGGTGGACTGTTTGCGTGGCATCGACGTAGGTCTGGTCAAGATCGCCGATCAGGCGCAACGAGCGCACGAGGTCGGAGGGGAAGAACTCGGTGTAGTCGAGGAAGTCGTTGACGGTGGTTTGGGCGTCTGGATTCGCGACGGGCGGAGGCGTTGCCTCTTCTTGGGCAGCTGCATCTTCAGCCATATTGTCGCAGTCGCATCGCGGGTCGCGCGTCGGTGGAGGATTGCCAGACGGGCGCGTCAGGCGCTCCAACCACGCGTCAATAATGTCGAGTGGGAGAGGGAACGGGGCGGACGGGGCAATCGTGATAGATACGGGCGGGCTAAGATGGCTGCTGCGTGGTCGTCGCTGTTGCATGGGCGCGCTTTGAGGGGACTACAGGACTAACCGCTTTGAGCGCATTGCTTGGCGATGATCGCCAGGTACGCGCGCAGTTCGCCAGCTCCACAACGCCTTTGCGGCGCCGATGCGGGGATGCAATGCCGGAGAATTGCTCACAGGTCGTATGGCTGCTCTGCTCTAGCTTCGCATGGTCTGTATATTCCCTGACCATGCATCAGTCTTCGTAACCTTCGCCAGAACCATTCATTTATTATACCTTTGTGTCGACGTGTCTGATGCGAGCCCGTCAAACCTGCAATGAATTGACCCTCGTCCTACGTCTGGTGCAAGTCATGTGAGGATGCGCTTAGCTTCATCACGAACATGTTCCCTCTAGAGTGTAATATCAACCACATCGCTCGCTGCCTCTTCGTCCTGGTCCTACGGTCTCAAGCGAACACAAATGTCTCGCTCACATGTTTCATGCAAGCTTCGCCTCTACCTAGTTGTTGTCTGACTTTGAGGTAGCTTGCGCAGCCGCCACGCCCCGTCCTCGTACCGTTCTGAGTCAATGGTGTGAGTACTGGCTTCAGTGCAATGCTCACCCTCTGCAACAGACACACCCACCCGAAGGCGGTCAAACAACGCAGACATTCTTCGCTTGAGATTGTCCTCGCATGTTTCCCGATTTCCAGCTACACTTGCCGGTGAACTCAGATCGTGCCTGCCTCACTCACCAATCGCCCGTCACTTAAGTTGGCCAGCAGCGCGCTTTGCTCTTTCAGTCCGCTCAAGCAAACAATCCTGCCCGCGCATTAGATAAAAACACACCCCCGCGTATCAAGTCGAATCGTCCTCGCCCCACTCCACATCGCATTCGTTTGTACTACTGCGCAGCATGGATTCCAAATTAGTTGCTCGTTTGGAGCGGCTCCGTGTGCTTTCGGAGCATGATCTCGCAGCGCTGCCTGATAGGGCCCCCTTTTCCCGAACCCTCCATGGACGATAGACCTGCCCCAGGTGGTGGTGTGGCACTTGTGCCTGAAGCCACTGTCGCTGAGAATACCGAGGATATACCAGCATCGTCTTGCGGCGACGCCAGCAAACGGAGTCTCTCACCTGACGCCACAATGGTCACGGAGGACGCGAAGGCAGATGCCTCTTCCACAAACGGACAGACCGAGAACACTGATCGTAGGTTCGTATGGGCTCAGGGCATAGAGAGTTCGTATAATTTGGGGTCGGATCCTCAGCTCTCGACTCTTCCTGCTCATCCACTGCCACCTACGTTACTCCAGCGAAGCGAGCAAGCGGCACCTCACGAGAAATACTTCACGCCTATTGTCGCTCTCTCAAAGTATCCGTACAAATTCTGCAACAAGGACTGCATGCAAGGCATTGCTTCAGCGTTTTTCGACCAGGGCAAGTTCTGGGCTCGTGAGTGGGATCTGTAAGTTATCTCTAGCTGATGTGTGATCTCATGAGTGGCGTCACCTCTCGTTTGCTCACTGCTCACTCTCACTCTCGCTTTAACTCTTACAAAGTGCCTTGTCAAAAGTTTAAATACCTTGTGCCACCACATGAGCGATACAACACCCGAAACTTTGACACAGTAGTGGACATTACGCTGACACGGACAGATACTATCTCTGGGACATTGAAGAGTCCAAGCCTCTCATCCTCGTTCGCGAGAGCCAGGTCCATGATCTCTTGAAGGAGATCAACTCGCATCTCAAGCTCGGACTCAAGATCACCGATTCACAGCGCGAAGAAGGACTCGTTCTCCGCTTCCCAGATCATCCTCGCTGCCGGCCCCGTTATCTCGGCAGATCGCATAACAGAAGCGAGTACAACAGCATGACGGATCAGGTCCCACTCGTAGGCGTTCACGCCGCTGGCGAATCCGCTACACCCCCGCTAGATGCTCAGACGCTTGAGGATTTCAAGCACATGATCGAGGAAGCATGGGAGGTCACGAAGAACAAGAGCAAAGCCTCAAAGGAGAAGAGCAGAGTAAACCGGTTGAAGAAGCAGAAGGTGTTCACTGATCAGCTCAAGAGGGCTCAGCGTTACCTTGGGCTCCGTCCAGCTGCAACTGATGGTGAGCACTCGTTCTGCACACAGTCGCATAACCATGGGCGGATCACAGTCCAGACCTCTGTTATCGCACTATCTTGAAGGTTTCAGATTGCTAATCTGAATGATCGCAGGACCTTCTGCACCCCCAACAATCCCAGCAGTTGATGTTTCCCGCTCTGCGCCCTTCGCATATGATCGCTCAGTCGTGTTTATCTGTGTCGACGTCGAGGCATATGAGAAGGGCCATCGAAAGATCACAGAGGTTGGTATGGCCACACTAGATACCCGCGATCTGATCCATGTCGCTCCCGGCAAGGATGGCAAGGCCTGGAGGGACTTAATTCAGACTCGCCACTTCCGCGTCACAGAATTTGCTCATCTGGTCAACAGCGAATACGTTGCTGGCTGTCCTGGAAGCTTTTTCTTTGGTGAATCCGAATTTGTGTCTCTCAAGGATCTGCCCACTTCCGTTGCGGCATGCTTCGAGCCGCCATTCTGCGCAAAGCCCGGTGAAACGCCTCACGCCGATAACATCGAGCGCGGCGACAGGCGTAACCTGATCTTTCTAGGACATGATACTCTCACGGACGTCAAATACCTTCAAGACATAGGTTTTGACCCGTTGGTCCTTCCCAACCTCCTCGAAGCCCAGGACTCGGCGAGCCTCTTCCGCGTCTGGCAGCGTGAGGATCAGACCACAAAGCTTGCAAGGATCTTGGAGAAGTTCGACATTGATTATTTCGGACTCCACAACGCAGGAAATGATGCAATGTACACAGTGCAAGTTTTCCTGGCCATCTGTGTGCGTGAAGCGTCTATCAGAAATTCGCCCGAGGTGCAGCAGATCTGGGACGCGAGGAAGGAGTCAAAGATTGCTTTTGAGCAGCAAGAGCTTCGGCAGGATGTCGAGAAGGATGCCAAGGTATGGGATGATCTTGAGGCCAATGGCGATGGCGGTGGGCCAGTCCCCATAGTGATCAAGAAACCTGCGTGGCCAAAGGTCACCCCGCAGACTGGTACAAACGGTACTCCAGCATCCGTCAATGTTGGAGATCGTGATCGAGGAGACGGAAGCAACGGTGCTTCTACTCAGAGTGACCGCGGAGGCTCTGATGGTGGACACAGCAAGGTGGACAATTCAGACGGTTGGGGTGGCTCTGCGGCCTGGTGAAGTAGGACACCATTCGCGAATCAAAGGGTAGCATGGCACGGGCGTATATGGCTTTAGATATCAGGAAATTGGCCTACTGATGGACGACTTCCAATGACAGGCATGAAGAGTAGACTGGTGGAGTCTTCTGACGAACACCAAAGTCATACCAGTAGCTTCTCTCGGGGAACACTGGTAGGGTAGTCAGTATCACAGTTGCTTCTAAGTTCCTGGAATAATTTGATAATGAAATATCGAGTTCCATGCTCGCACTGTGTTGTGACCGCAAGCGAATGCTGTCAGCTGCGGGTTCGCATGCAAAACTATCAATTATTCAGGAATCATTCCACGTTTCGACAGTGCTAACATTAACAGATCTCGCGTAGCGCGAACTATCGTAACGTGATAGAAGGCACATATTTACGGTCTCTCCAGCGAACACATGTCCAGAAGGTAAAAACTTCATTTTGAACCTCGCACAGGCTGAATCTCACCACCACCCACCGCCACTCGCCATGACCAGCGTATGCAAATTTGATATTCATTCAGATAATATCGTGCTAGGTTTTATTCAATAAGAAAAAGCGAGTGTTTTCCATAAGGCATACACATTCGGATTTCACATTATGAATATTGGGTCTAACTCCTTCACATCTCCTTTTTGAAAATAAACTTGTTCGTAAAACCGTTGGCATCTACAGCAAAGAACTCACAGGATTTTAATTCGAGGACAAAGTAACCTTCTAATTCCGTTTTTCACTTTGATGCATGTAAATTTCATTGGTTTGCAATCTCTTCCTAGCCGGGTACTCAATTTCTATAGAGTCACACCCAGCTTGTTGTCTCGGTCTCATGCAGCTGGCGGTGCGTACATCTCTACTGAGCTCTACCGAGACCGGAGATTACTCATTGACTGATTGGGGATTTTGAGTATTATTGTGTTCATTTAGCGGGTCCGGTAACAGCTGCGATCCTCATGGGATGATGATGTCGCGAGTAATTTCGATGCGCAAGCATTGATGGGTAGATAGGTGCAATCTGAGTACCTTGGGTATAACTGATAGGACCAATGCAATGGTATTACAGGATCAAGCTCCTCTCGCGATCACGATGATGATGATGATGATGCGCAACAGCTGCTCGAGCGCGCTAGAGATTGCAGTGCTGATGGGACCGATGGGACGAGGATTGCCAAGCCACTAGCACCTACACGGACTAGCCTCAACTAGCGCCCTCGCTTACCGTGCGCGGCAGGCGCGAATATTGCCCACACGCCATAATTGTTCTTCCAACTCCAGGACACCTTCGATTTCGACACATCCGCCAACCGCCAACATGTCGAACTACACGAAGATCGCTGCCAACAGCCCGTCCAGGAGCTCGCCCTCCGAGATCGAGGTCGCCATCAACAATGCCCTCGAGGACCTCCAGAACAACATCCCCGATCTGAGGAGCTCTCTGCGCCCCCTTCAGTTCGTGTCCGCTCGCGAGGTAAGATGAAGCAATTACCTCTACACAGATGCAATACACCTCTACCTCCCTCGATGCGCTCTCGGACGCCGAAGCCGTCGCACACCACACCATACACACTGTTGAACGAAGAGGCGGTGGGCACTGGGCAGCTTTGCTGACACCAGGATTCTTAGATCGAGGTCGGTCACGGACGCAAGGCCATTGTCATCTTCGTCCCGGTTCCCCTTCTCCAGGGCTGGCACAAGGTCCAGCAGCGGTAAGCTCTAGTCACTCATCTTTTTGCGACGTCTGTGCTAATTCTTCCAGCCTCACCCGTGAGCTCGAGAAGAAGTTCTCCGACCGCCACGTCCTCCTGGTCGCTTCCCGCCGCATTCTCCCCCGTCCCAAGCGCTCCAACCGCTCGCGCTCCAACCAGACCCAGAAGCGTCCCCGCTCGCGGACTCTCACCGCTGTCCACGACAACATCCTCACCGACCTCGTCTACCCCGTCGAGATCGTCGGCAAGCGTCTCCGCACCAAGGAGGACGGCTCCAAGCAGCTCAAGGTTGTTCTCGACGAGAAGGAGCGCGGCGGTGTCGACTACAGGCTCGACACCTACTCTGAGGTCTACAAGCGCCTCACTGGCAAGACCGTCAACTTCGAGTTCCCCCAGAGCGCTGCTTCCGACTACTAGATGTAGATGGTTGGTGGTGTGTTAGAAAAGGGCTGTTGGGCTTCTTCATGGGCTAGGAGTACGGCTTCGGACATGGCATGCGTTATGTGTTCGTAACGAGGCTTCAAAAATGACATGACGTGGGGCCCGCATTGGGGCGTTCAGATACCACTTCCAATTGACTTCTTGTGATTCACTTCAACTGGTATTTGTGTGGAAAATGTTGACTTTGACATGGAATTACGTCGCATATTATCTGGTATCTACTGACGGTCCAACTCAGGGTAGTGTCTGAAGATACCCTTGCTGTAAGGCTTCCTCCTGTCGCTCGACAGGTACTCCTTCAGCTGCCCATGCTCAGGCACACTAGGAGAGAACGTCTTGAAGATAGTCGGCACCTCGCCCGCCTCCTCTCTCGCCTTCATTTCCTTCGGGAACGCAAACTTCAGCCCGTGCACAACCTGCCACAGCGCCAGATCGGCATAGCTACACTCAGTCAGCACTGCATCACATCACGTCTAGTACCGGTCACACATACCTCAACTTGTCCCCAACCAAATACTTGCCCTGCCCCTCCTTGTTCCCCTTGAGCACGCGCTCAAAGTACCCAAGGAACTTCGGGATCCTCGTCTCCCGGAAATCAGTCGCCTTCCTCAACGACTCCGTCTTCTGATCCTCGTAGTATGCGAGCGTGGAAACGGGGTGATGCGTATCGTGTGCCTCATTATTAAGGTCTAGCGCCGTGAGCGCGAGGGCCTGGATCCAAGCTCTCTCTGCTGCGTCGGAGCCAGCGAGATCGAGTTTTTCGCCGAGGAATGCCTGTTATCCCACCAATTTTAGCGTGATACCAGCAATTTTCTTAGAGAGTGTTGGCTTACGAGTATAGCAGGCGTCTGGCTTATGACCAACGCTCCTCCCTTCTTGCCCTCGCCGTGGACGCGCAGCGCAGGTGGCGCCAGGGCGGGCGGGTTGCCGTCGGCATCCCAAGTCGCCTTCTCGTCTTTGAGAGCGAGGATCTGGTGGATGCCGCCTTCGACTTGGTTGGAGACGTCGAGGTAGGGCGTGCGTGTTGCTTCGAAGGTGAGGCGGACGAACTCGCCGCGGCCGGCTGGGGGGGAATGTTAATATCCACATTTTTGAGAGGAGAGGAGGACGTACGGATGCCCGGCCAGTAAAGGAGCTCGTACTTCTTGTCGTTGGACATTGTGGAGTGGTATGTGCGGGTGAAGAGAGAGAAGGGCTGTGTGGGTGTGAGTTTGAAGACTGATGTCGAGCGAGACGGAAGGGAACGGCGGAAGCACCAGCTTCACACCACCACGGGGTAGTACTTACATCAATTCTCTGCAGTACCTTTTGCTGCGGAATACCAGTGCACAGCGCAACAACAATCGCAGATCGTAAGCTCCTCGGAAGCATTCACAAACTATACAGTTTCAACGATGCAGCAGCGGTTGGCCTCCAAGCTCGCGCCGCACTCAACTTATATAGCGCTCCCGCATAACCGCGCCCCTCTTTTGCGCCGGAGTTCCTGAGACAGCTTTCTTACTGCTCCTGGCGTCATGGTGGGGCAAGCACTGGTTGAGGGGCATTGTTGTCTAGCGGGGCGTTGGACCCCTGCCGACGTGGATCCCGACGCCGCGTCGGAGAATGAGAAAGCCATACATCACACTGATTCGCGCTTACACAGTGCGGACATCACGCGGAATATGCCCGAGCGAGGCTTGGTAAGCCTATCGCACTTACAAGTTCATGTACCTCTTGATTGAAAGCGAAGGGCAGGTCATCGGCGTTGCACCAGGCATTTGTCAGTCTCGGCGCGAAGCCTGCAGTACGGGGCTGATGTGTATATGGGGCGCGTCGGAGCTAGAGGCGCGCGAGCAGATCATGTAAGCCAGTGGTGGGAGGATCCAACACGATGGTGATCAGATGGGGTTTAGGCGGGCTTACATGGTGTGGGGATATATCGGTTCACATTGATTGTTCGCCTCCGGTGAGGGGTTACCAGTGCCTGGAAGTACACTGGGATGGTTTGACCTAAACTCTGATTTGCGTATCAGTGTGTGGTTCGTGATCGATGGAAATCCAGTTTTCAATGTATCTCGTGAAGCAAGGGCTGTCAAATGGAGTTGGACTGCAGTTACACGAACAGCATGGCGAGGGCACAGGTACTGGTCTCTCGAGACGTTGCTGCCCACTTCTTCAGCAGATGAGCACGAGACATCTCGCGATGATCGACTGAAACTAAGAGGCGTGGCAATAGGAATACAGCTTTGCAACTCTAACGTGCGAAGATTCGAGAGATTCCGCTCACTTCAGCCTGACATGGTCGAAGATGCTGGCGTATTCCATGTCGATTAAGCGCGCGGCTATGCCTTATGTCATTAGCGCCGCAGCGATCTCTCGCTTCCACCTCAGCTTGCTGCCTCAACCCACGGGGTGGACGTGCCTGCCACTTCGTGCTCCAACATCAACCTCTATATTATTTTCTACGACCTGATAAACATGGTCGGTCTCGGTGCCATGTCTGACTTCAATAGTACGGATTTTGTCGCGCAGATGAGAGGCTTCCAAGCCTCGGACGATGCACGCCAGAAACTCTTTGCGGTAAGCCATTCCCTTCACGAATTAGTTTGGGCCCACCTGATCAACCTGCAGGATATGCTCGAAAGGTATACTGCTTTGCTAGAAGGGTACGAAACCTTGAACAATGACTATGCCTCCGAGAGAGAAATAAGGCGCAGCTACCAGCAGTCGGTAAATCAGATGCAGCGCGAGGTCGCCGAGACCAGACGCGAATTGGTGTGTTGTCCATTCCGCCTTGTGCAACCCAAACCCCAGCTGACGTTCCACAGGAAAATCACTCGTTCGTGCTAGCATTAATTGATGGAGATGGTGTTATCGTATGTTGCGCTCCCTGAATTATTCCAATGGTCCTTGCTGTCTGACACGTTACAGTTTCAGGACGCGTTGCTGCGAGCCGCTGGGAGCGATGGCGGGTCTGAAGCCGCATCTAGGCTTCAGTATGCCCTTCGCGACCACATAATGTCGCTATATGGCAATTCCGGAAATTGGCCTATCATGGTTCAAGTCTATCTCAGCCTCGATAAGCTGGCGCACAAGCTCGCGTCCGTCGGTCTGATCGATAAGCCGTCTGATTTACGAACATTTGCTCAAGGCTTCTGCCTCAACCAATCCCTGTTTTCTATTGTCGATGTAGGTCATGGCAAAGAACGCGCAGACCACAAAATCAAAGGTAAATGCCCTTCCTTTTGATTCTTCATGGGATGCTAACCTTGATACAGAAATGCTCCGCACATTCAGTGATAATCCCACGTGTCGGCACATCATCTTTGGAGGTTGCCATGATGCTGGTTACCTTCTCAATCTTGATCAGTATAAGCACCATGCTGCTAAAGCTGCACGCATCACGCTTCTTGAATCGACACCTGCCTGGAGGGGCTTCGCCGAGCTGCCCAACTTCAGGCGTACTCGATTCGATAACGTATTCAGAAACACAGAGCTACCAGAGTATGGTGGTTATGTGCCGCGTACTATTGCACCAGCCCAGTCTAATATCTCCGCGCCAATGCAGCCCCCAGTTTCTGCCCCAGTTTCTGCCCCTGTTCAACCTATCACCAGGACTATGACGGATCCTACTCCCCCACCCGGATTCAACAACCCTCCTCCCGGCTTTCCGTCTGCACCGCCGGGCTTTAGCAATAGTCCACGTGACACCCCTACTATATCCTCCCCTGCCACGACTGTTTCGTCGCTTGCTGCGACTAACCCAACGCCGGACCCCTCTGATTCCTCCTGGGCTGCCGTCGGTCAGACGAACGGCGTCCCACCTAGTAAGAACGTTTCCATCGCACCTAAGACGAAACCCAACAAGAAATGGGCATATTACAATAAAGAAGAACAGCGCCTCGATGAGCCCTTGTCACCAAAAGACAAAGCAGCTTATGAAGCTATCGAGCAGCGCATGAAGAGGACAGGAAAAAATCTCTGCAACCATTGGCATCTCAACAACGGGAAATGTACCAATGGTGCGAACTGCCACTTCCAGCATGAACCTCCGCTCTCGAATGCAGGCAAGATCGCGCTGCGCTACAAGACGAGGAGTCTCGCTTGTAAGGATCGTTATTGTCAAAATGTTAACTGCTGTAAGTCCAGTTTGTGATTTCCATTCGCTCGGTATGACTCGATGAGATGATGCTAACAAACACAAGACCTAGGCCACCAATGCTCGTTTGAGCGCGATCAAGGCTGGTGTCCCTTCCCCGATACGTGCAATTTGCGACATACGCACGGCATGGACAAGGTCAAGGCCACGCGCTGGGACGAGGATGGCAATTGCGAGGAGTTGTAATGCAAGCTGAGAATTAAAGTATGGGGATGCTCCATGAGCTGAATTGACTTAGAGCATGCTATATGGATGGCGCTGTCTTTATCTTGGGGATGTTACTTATCTCGCGGTGTCCAAAACTTGGAGCGAGATTCTAGAGACGACTGGAATTAAATGCAGATAGTATTTATATATGGTGTTGGGGGCGGAAGGTGCTTATTAAATGCATTATCGTAATAATATACTTATATGACCAAGCACTGCAACAACTATTTCGATAGCCCGTTGCGAAGACCAATACTGTAACCCCGTATACAATAAACAGAGTTGAATTGACCACATACGCCTACCAATGCCAAATCTACCGCCAAAACTAAACCTGAAAGTCTATCGCACTCGAATGCAAAATACGAATGCCCTCATCCATCCCCCACTCTTCTACTCCCCCTTCACATCCCTCACAAACCTCTCCAACACCCCCCTATACGCCTGACTATACTCAATCGCAATCTGACTCTGATACCAAATAAACCTCGCATTATGATCCGCTACAAGATTATGCGCCAACTCATGACAGAAGGTCAAAAACCAGCTATCCAGGGCGCGCGCCCTCCCCGCGGGCGTGCCATACTCGGCGCTATGCATCTGCATGAACCACCCGAGGTTGAAAAACAGCGCGCGGTTCTGATTGAATGCGATGGTGCGGGACTGCTTGTCGAGGAAGATGCTGACTGCGGCGGGGTTCGCGCCGAAGAGAGAGGCGAGGCTGAAGATGAGGGGGAGGAAGAGCGCGAGCTCGGGCTGGATGTCGGACAGGCTCTCGTAGTGGTCTTTTCCGTAGAAGATGTCGACGTGGCGGCCGGAGTAGGGGATGGAGAACGCTTTGTGGAGGTTCTCCCATTGGTCGTCTGTGCAGTAGGCGCCTTTGTCGAGCTCGGTGGGGGGATCTTGGTGGTGTTTCGAGTTGATGTTTTGCTGGTTGATGGGGCGGCAGTCTTTGATGGCGTTTTGGATGTTGTTTTTGGTGACTTGGTTGTTTTCCTTTGTGATTTGGCCGACGTCGGTGGGGGCGGAGGGCCTGTTGTTGAAGCCGAGTTTCTTGGCCCATTGGTTGAAGACGCTCTTTTCTGGGGGGCGCAGGGTGTTGTCGTGCGCGTGGTCGCCTACGGTTAGATCGTCGTTATCGGGGCTGCCGAAGGACCCGGGCATCTCTTTCTCCTTTGGTTTCTCGGGGGTTGCTGGTGTTGCTGGTATTGCTGGTGTTTGACCTAGACCTGGTAGAGGTTGACCTAGACCTGGCAGACAAGGAGGCATCCCTGCGGCGCCTTGCTTGGCTTGCTCAGCAGCATGTTGCTGCTCCTCGAATTCACGCTCCAGCTCCTGCTGCCTTGCAATACGAGCTTCGTGCTCTTTCTTCCGTAAGATGCGCTCGACGTTGATGCCTTTCTCTTGCAGGCGACGGAGTGGCTCTGTAAGGATTCGCTCCAGGGCAATGGCATCGTTCTGCTTCGGTTTCTTAATGAGAAGACGAACTAGCTGGCTGCTGACCTCGTAAACATCGTATGTTGGGGTGACATATAAGATTGTTCCCACACCACGTTTCCGACTAAGGTACGCGGTCCGTCGATGAGAAGTGGCTGCTCGATCTGACAGTGAGTAGCGAATCGAGATATCAGACACGCATTCCACCTTCATGTTCGAGCCGAGCCATTTTGTATCGTGCCGTATGCTCTTCGACGAGGCGTCTCGCTCATACTCGTGGAGGAAGAGCCTACTTCGCTCTAGAATATCGCTGCGCAGACGATGGGCCACACTCTGATCGCGTGTCAAGTTCCCAATGCGCTGCTCCTCCTTTACCTGTTCCGAGATTTTCTTGACCCCAAACCTAGCGTAGAATTCTTCGAGTGCTTCTTCCTGGGGTGCTGCAATAACATAGTCGCGGAATCTGAAGTAGAAGCCCACATCGTCGATGATGACGACTTCACTGGCGCTGTTCAAGGACCACTCGCGTGATACACCAGGCTCATCAAGATCGTCTAGGTTATCTTCTTGAGCGGCAGCAAGACTCTTTTTCTCATCTTTGATATCTCGGTACCCTAGCAGGATGCGGGAGGCCACCAATGTTTTCGCGAGGTCTTTGTCTTTCCATAGATTGTCAGCTTGTACAGCCAACTTGCGAAGAAGATCGAGGTATCGTTCTTGCCCAATCGTGTTTAGGAAACGGACAGGGTTTTTGCAGGTGAGATAGGCGAGGTCATGGCTGCTAGGCTCATGCTTTGCCCCAGCTTTCAGGAGAAAGTTCGTAGCTTCGGCTCCGTACTGAACATAATCTAAGATGCCCCGATACTCTTGATCTTGACCGACGAAGACCGTCTCTGGAGGATCGTGGTGATGGAGACGCATTTCAGTCTTCCCCGATTGCGGTCTCGACCGATCTTCGAAGCCGGCAGAGGCTGCGTCGAGATAGTACTTGCGGAACACCGGAACGATATGTGCCGTAGAGATGCTGGTCAACATTTGTCGCCGCTGATCCAGCTCTCCTAGTCTGCTAGCAAAGTAGGCAAACTGCATCTCAGCGTCAAGCTTAGTCTTCGGCGGGGACTTGATCAGACGTTGAAGACAGTCTTGAATGTCCGGGTTGTGTTGCACACCGAACTTCTCGGCATGCGGTCGAATATCGGCTCTCAGGATGGCGTACCCCAAGCAAGAAGCTCGCTCATTCGTGTAGCACTGGAATGGCCCTACTAGCGTCGGCCAAGGGGCTTGTTCCGTCGGTAGAATGGGCAGAGAAAGGGATGCGAGTTTCTTTGCCTCGGAAGCATAGCCGTGCTTATAGTGATTTTGGATGAAGTAATTTAGGACAGTGGCGTAAAGCGGCCCATTATTCGCCTGCCCAGCCTTGTGCATAATATTCGCAAGGACAATCGAGTCTGGCCACTGCTTCAACCCCAGTCTTAACAACAGTGTGCCTTCGCGAACGCTCTGTTTAAACTCAAATGGAAGCTTCACTTGGACAAGTCCCATAGATAATATAGCCTGATCCGGTGCGTACAGATCCGACGCCTTGAATAGCTGGCCATGTTGCACCGGGGCTCCTTCTCCGGGCAAGAACGGCGTATCTTTCAATCGATCAAGGTCTTTGTTGGGCATCTCATCTAAGACCGAAGCAAAGTATCGGATAAGATCGACATGATTCCATGTAGCTTTCTCTGACTGTGATTTCGAGTCTTGGTTCCGCATGCGATCGAAAACCACTGATAACTCAACCGTCTTCCTCACACCCAGAGCAACGAGGAACTTCTCCTTCGAACCTGGAAAAGCTTTGACTGTAGGGAGGTCGTCAAATAGTTTGACAGTAGGAAAGTACGACTCTTCTGGTTTGCGCATGCCCGTCTTGGTGGGCATGATGGGATGAGGAGTCAGGATATGAACAACAGCCTCCTTCGAGGATCCGTCAAGCTGTTCCCAGCATTTTGCCGTGAGGCTGAGCACTTGAGAAGCAATCTTTTCGGATGATTGGAACTCTTGAAGCTGTGGTGCAGTGGTCATGTGTCGCAGCCAGCGTACCATCGACAACTCGATCCATCCGAACATTTGTAGTTGCTTAGCTGGAATCGATTTCGAATAGCTGAAGGGAATGGTATCCGAAGGTACAGGAAGCGTTGGACTGATTCTTGCTGTGTTAACATACGTGCTCACGTCGCCTAATGCAAGTATTCTCCCTGTCTGTTCGTCGGCACTGGTCTCGATGTTTGCCACCGTAATCTCGAAGAGGCTACGAATGCCAGAACCATCGATTTCTCCGCTTTCTAGTTTCGCTCCGGACCACTTGAGGAACTCTGCCAGCTCATCTTCTGTCAAAGCCCGACTCTCAAGTCCTTTCCGGATATCACCCATGGTCAACTCAGATATGAAACCGCGGCGATGTAGGGCCACCATGAACGTGTAGGCTCTCGTAGCTAGGTCCTGGGGTACCATAGGCACCTCTCCTAGAAAGCTTAGAGTCTCCGCAGGCATTCGTACTAGCTTGCTTGCCATAATGCCCTTTGTCGAAAGCATCTCGATAGAGCGCTCCTGAGAAGAGTTCCAGAAGGCCTCCTCGATCTTTTCCCCTAGCAAGGTCGAAGGGTGCGAAGCGTTTGAGGTAAACTGCTGGAACACATAAATAACTCGCTGAATCAAGCTGTCCATGGGCTCTTTCCCATGTCGTTTCTGGATGTCGGCCATATCCGAGGCGTACAAGATGCGGCATGCCAGACCAGCCACACGTAGTAACTCAATGTTCCACTGGGATATGTACCGCGCATTTAAGTCGACGTTTTCACGCTCCACCGTGGGGATGAGTGAAGGTGCGGAAACATGCGCAAGGACTCCAGTTGTCTGTGCAGTAGGAAAACCAATAAAGATTCTCCCTGTCTTCGTAGGTAAAACTTCCGAGAATAGTTTTGCGGCGAGTTCTGCTGTATTCCCGGTGCCTGTTGATAGAGGAACAGTCGGATCCTGATATGGTGAAGTCAGAATAGCAATCCGTGTTTTGCGAGGTGGTGGTTTCTTCGTAGCACGTTCGATCTCAGCCGCAAAGCTCTTTGATACACGGGTATCGACCTCAACAGTGCAAACTTGGAGGAAAATGACACCAGTAGATTCTCCAGCTATGTCGTGGGTCTCGGTTGAGAATGTATCCGGTGCCTTCACTATGGGCTGAGATTTGCTTGCTTTCGGTGCTGGCGCTGAGAACTTGGAGAAAAAGCTTTTCAAAGCCGTACCAGCATTTCGCACCTCGGTTTGAACCAACTCAGCAGCCCGCTTGGGTGGGTTCTGGGCTGACGCAATGACATTGCTCCACTCCGCATCTATTTGAGAATGCTGTTGAGTCACCTGCGCGACGCGCATGAACCCTCCTTCTGTGTCTGTCCTTAACCCTCTCGGAACTTGCAAATCCGCAGCTGGAGACGTTTTCTTGAAAAATGATGCAACCTTGTGACTGTCGACGTGAAGCTCGAGAGACTGCAGACCCACGAAGGTTAGACTTGTGGCCAGGAATTGACATAGTGTTGGCAAATTTGGAACCTTCGCGGGGTTATACGATGGAGAGGATAGATCAGCTTGCCGATAGTCGAGTGAGAACGTCGTATTATTTGTCCGGTGTTCCTGCGGGACAGTCGCCACTTTCGTAGACAATGTGTTGCCCTTCCAGTAGAATGCCATAGTCTTGTCCCCAGAAACCACAAAAGGTTCATCGCAGTCAGCAAATACACTGTAAAATCCGACACCAAATGCACCAATCTTCGTCTCGTCGGGGTTTCCATCTGCGATGCTTTTGAGACGACTCCAATCTGCAGCTGTGAATGGCTGTCCATTGTTAGATACAATGAGTCGTTTTAAAGTGTGTTGTTGGATGATGTGCTTCAGCAATATTGACTTGTCTGAGCCTTGTGGCGTAGGAACTTCGAGAGATGGGTCGGTCTCGAATTTGATGACGACAGTGCTCGCGCCGGCGTCAGAAGCATTCTGAATCAACTCTCGTAAAGTTGTGTGTTCGCTAGAGTAACGAGCCAGCACTTTGTCTATGAGCGCCCTTGTATTCACGGTAACTTCAGAATCCTGGCCATCGGCCATCGTCTGGTTGCGCAGCCGCGCAAAGTCGACCGACGCCATGATGGGTGCGTGTCTCTTGTACAAGGTGATGATGAAAAGTGTCAAGCGCCCAACTCCATGTGTGCGACCCCAGGTCCCAGAAGATGCGCTTCAAGGAACAGTTGAACGAAAAAGAAGGTCGAGCTCAAGGACAAGGGGACTAGTTGGGTGAATGAGACGGCTGACGTTGTGCTTGAAGCCTGGGTGGCGAAGCAGGGGAAAGCGACAGAATGCAGAAGAACCGATGCTGAGTGCGACGTTTCACAAAGTAAACCCTGTCTAAGCCCTCGCTATGCAAACGATAAATGAAGACCGAGTTAAAGTCCAGATGTGTTGAATGTTATGGACAACAAAGTGACCACGGTCGGCCCCGTTTGTACCGCGTTTTGCCCTGAGACGATCGCGTGGCGTTCTGCACTAGTCTGGACTAGCGTGCTGTGGCTAGAGCGTCAGTGCTCGTGCCCCGTGGGAATCCTCACCTTCACCTACACTGTCCAAAATTCAACGAACCATGCGGATACCTGCGCGCCCAACTCTTTTACAACGATAGCACCTGAAATTCTGGCTCTGGGGGTTCTTTTCGTTCCCATGTGGCGATGGCGGTCGACCCTCTCTCGCCCATTGCGCCTGCGCGCATACGGGCGCTCCTCCTGCCCGTCGGCCGCATCAAGCGTTCACGTTTCCTAAACTTTGTCGAATTCCTGCAGCCACATTGTATGGTGCGCCTTGGAGACATCAGTCCTGATCCTCGGCCAGATAGGAGTACGACCCATCTCGCAACGCGGACACCCACTCAGTCGCTGATCTTGGCATTGCGCAGATATGTTCTCACCTCTAGCATTCCCCAACGGCACCCTTTTATATGACCTGTCGACGTCACTTCCACCCCCTTCGCATTTGTCACTGTCCCCATTTGAGCAATTTCGAGAACCACTCTCAATCATCGGTATTGCCGACGCCTCAGAATATCCTTGGCTTCATCAGTCACGTGCCGAGGCAGAAGAAGATGACACGCCGTCCATGTCCAATTCGCAGGATGATGATAGAGAAGGGATTTTATCAGCCGTGGATGATCTGAAAGAACAGTTCCCGAAGGCTTATCTGCACAGCCTCATGTTGTTTGATTGCGCCTCGCAACAGCCGCATCCTCAACTGCCTCCGGAAACGTTACTCGTGCCCCCGGCTCCTCAAATCAAGATGACCACAATGAAGACACTGATGTGCGATCTCACCGCAACATTACTTGCTGAGATGACTACCCTAGCAAAATCGATACAAGTTTTACCCACTGTAGCCTCACCAGCATCTCAAGCCGGAAACACAGACAATGTGCCCAGCTGGGCTAATGCGGACCCCTCAGCATCTCTGTTCTCCCGAAGGAATTCACAAACCCCCGTTTCGAGTAGACCTGAGTCACCTGTGTCGGCAAATCAGAAAGATCTGCATCGAATGTCCATGCCTGTGCTACCATCGTCCTCTGGAGGCTCACTCGCCAACAATGACCCCAGAGCGGCATCTCCCGCGACACAAGGAGCTCGCACCCCTCCAACAACTTTCGATGAGATATCGGGTCTTGATGCGGCCAATACTCTTCAACGAACGTCGAGTAATTCCTCAAAGCCAAAGAGTGCAGGAAGAGATCGCAGCGCTGATCGAGTGTCCATCCATGGTTTTGGTTCCGGTGGTGCCGGTGAGCGAGCACGCAACAAAGGACGTGGGCGTGTAGGCGTTATTATCGGAACGCTGTACCTATGCGCTGGGCAGTGGCATGATGCTTTGCGAGAACTTACCGAGGCAGCCACGCAAGCACGGACATTCAGTGATCACCTGTGGCATGGAAAAGCTCTGGAGAATATCATGGTTTGCCTTCTGCTGTTCGCATGGTCAGGCATGGATTTTCAGGTTTGCAATACCATACCTTCTACTCGATTGGCGCTAACCCTTCGTTAGATACCCGAGATCTGCTATCCCTCGCACGATAAATCGTCGGGCACCAAATCTCCCCAGCATACACCTGCTGGCAGCATAGCTGATGTAGCCTCTCCAACGTCAGCAAGAAGTTCCACTCACGAAGCCGCCCTTGAGAGCCTCAATACCATTCTTCCTGACCTAGTGAATATGATTCTGAACATCTATACCCGGGCCTCGAATTTTCCAGGGGAATCTCTTCCTCCACTTGCTTTCTCGGAAAGCGTCATACGTTTCTCCAAACTCTTGGCGGCCATGAACTTGTCCGCAGGATATCTGGACTACGATGCGCTGCAACACCTCGTTCAAAACAATCCATTCCGGCAAAAGCCACGGCTTTCTGTGCCACGGCTCGCAGTAAATCCCACAAGGAATGATATCGCTGCCATGCTATTCCGTGCGTTGCCGGGACCCCCCGACAGTTCGGGGATGAGCGGGACCGATAGGGTGGTTGTGTTGGCCGGGGTAGCGTCTGTATTGTCGTCGCTCGAGCTTCAAAGAAAGAAGGCCATTGTAATGAGAGAGTTCATAACTTCCTTGATACCAGGCCTAGTGCAAGCCCGAAAAGTCGGTGCGGCAGAGATGGGAGTGCACCCTGCTGCGGGTCTCGCTGCTCTAAATATGGCTAGTGGGGGCCATTCTGGAGCAGGCGCTCTTCATCTGGGAGAAGGTGAGATCGAAAACGGCATTGATGAGTTCCTAGGCATGCTGGGACGTGTCTACGGGGTCCCCGATACAAGAGCCACGTTCAATTTACCAGTGCTACCCTCAATAACGAACGGCGCAACTATACCCGCGCCAGGAAAATCGAGCCAGGATGCAGTCACAGAGATCTTACGGATAGCTTCTCTCAGATCGTTCGGGAGCCTTGGTCTGAAGGTGGACATTCTACGCATGTGTATCAACTTCTGCGAGGCGTTACCAGACTTTAACGGCGTTCTCCACTTCACTGCGCTACTTCTAAGGATCGCAGGTCCTGGCACAGCCCCCAAGCCAAATAGCACCGATGTCTTCGTCTCGTTACCGCGTGACGAACAAGTGCGACTTTTCGCCAACATCTCTCGCACGGTTGCTCAAGCGAACAAGTTGGGGCTCAAGCATATTGAGACTGACTATTGGGATGACTTCTTGGTTCGTGGTCTTTTCATAATGGAACCACCGATTCCCTTGCGTTTGACCCACCATCGTCCTGCAGAGTTGAAAGTTGCACCATCCAAGGAAGGACCCTTCATCCACAACCCTTGGAACAAGAACCCGCAGGCCAACGCTGTCGAGACTGTGCTTGTTGCCAACGAGGAATACAGATTTGTCATTGCTCTACAGAACCCGTACGACTTTGAGCTCGAAGTCGACTCGTTACGTATAGCTGCCGAAGGTGCGGAGTTTGTTGCGCATGAGGAGCTATTCATTTTGGGTCCTTATCGAACCCAGAAGTTTCCAATAAGTGGTGTTGCTCACGCAGAAGGGACATTGAATATCATTGGATGTTACGTCAAGGTCACTGGGTGTCGTGAGCGTTTGTTCCCGATATTCCCCGATCCTTGGCGACCAGAAAGAGAATTGAAGATGAAGAAAATAGGGCTTAAGGCTTGTCTCGGTGCCCCAGTTTCTCGCCCCACTTCAGCGGTTGGAACAGCAGCAGATGTGCAAAAAGCATCCTCGCCAAAGCCGGAGACGTTGACTTTCAACGTGATTCCAGATCAGCCCGTGGTCATCATCACTGACGTTTCTCTTCCGCAAGGAGCTGTCATGGTGCTAGAAGGAGAGAGGAGGCGATTTACTGTGACCGTGAGGAACACTTCCAATACCACCGCCGTCGACTTCGTTCATATTACATTTCAAGATTCGGCGACGGCAGCTATCCAAGCTGCTACGTCCAATCGGGACCTTCCACCCGCTGAACTCCACGAATTGGAAGTTCAGCTGGCGCAATTCCCCTCTTTGCGTTGGCTTAAGCATGAAAATGAGGAATCCATGTCTATAAAGCCAGGCGATGAGGCTCAATTCGAGATCGAAGTTGTTGGTCGAACACGGCTTACAGATGCGGTCGTTCAGATTGACTATGCTAATCTCGGCAAACGACGCTCGGAGATCCAAGACAGATTCTTCACACGGCAGGTTTCTGTGCCTATATCTGTCACAGTCAACGCTAGCGTTCAGCTACAGCGTCCCGACATAGTCCCACTTTCTGGCGATCTTGCGTGGTCCAGCCAAACGAAGGAGCTGACTATGTCGATGGAAAAATTCGGGAGCCACTTCCAGCAGGCTTTTCATCACATGAAGTCGCAAGAAAACAGTGACGAGTACTGCATGCTCTTACTGGACTTACGTAATTCATGGCCAAACCCTTTGCACATCGCTCTTCAGGTCCGAGGACGACCTGCTAGTGAAGAGAGCAGCATCGATTCATGGGCTGAAGCCCACACGGTTAACGAAGTTATCCAACCAGGCCATATCAACCGAGTCGTCCTCATTTTGCCCAAGATCTACCTCAAGGAACCCTACGCCCCCGTTCCGTCGCTCAACCCAGCGAATCAGCGGCAATTCGTAGTCAGCGCGAGCAAGGTGTCTCCCGAAACAGAGCGCGCAAACCGGGAGGCTTTCTGGTACCGCCATGAGATGTTGAAGCTTATCCGCGGGACATGGAAAGAAGAAGGAGGCGGGAAGACCGGGAGCATTGAGTTGCGCACCATGCGTTTCTCACCGCGCATGGTTGAGGCTATAAAGTTGGGGGATATCAAGATTGAAACTACTCTTGAGGCGGACTTCCCCTCTGACGAGAACGACAACGTAGTGCGACAGCTCGGTCACGCAAGTTTCGAGGTCTCTGTGGACGATTTCTTGACACTCAAGACCAAGGTTCATAACCGAAGTCCTGCCCCAGTCGCACCGCTTCTGCGATTGCAACCTCATCTCGCCGGTCTCCCACACAACATCGCCCTTGATCTCGACAAGCGCTTCTCCTGGACTGGCGTTCTTCAGCGCCGTCTGCCGACGATTGAACCGGGACAGTCGGTGGAGTCGGAGCTCGGCATTGTCGCACTGACAAGCGGTGTCTACGAGATTGGTGCGACAGTCGACGAGGTAGAGCTTCAGCAGACGGTCAGTGACGTGAAAGGGAACAGGCCGCGTAGCGGGACGGCGCAAATGCAGGCTGAAGTATTGGGTGAGCCTAGGTTGCGCTCCTGGCATATGAAGGAGCCATGTACAATTGTGGCGAGAAGGAAAGGGTAGTAAATCGTAGATGTGCTATCATAAAGATTCGCATATAATGGTGAATGCATATACGTCGATTACCAATACAGACAAGAAAACGTGATGCTAGCAGCCTTTTGAATGACCGTGACATGCCTCCTAGACCTCCTGCAGACGTCGCTGCTGCCTCGAAAGCGAAGACCTCCACGAGGAAAAGCATAGACAGTTTCAAACATTTCATGAGTCCATCCATCCATAATAGCCGCAACGGCGCAGCTCCAATAAATCTCGGAGTCCGGTGACAGCACACGCGGCTTACGGCGACAGCTTCTCTTTGCAAAAGGACCGTTCGACACCGAAGAAACACATCACGGGGGCCTCGTGTTGTTCAGCGGCGTGACCTCTTCACATCATCGTTGGACTTATCTCTCACTCTAGCAAGCTGCAGAGACGTCCAGCCGCGCCTCCGGGCTTCGTCTCAAGATCCCGGAGGTCTCACAGTCGGAGGTTCGGGGCAATGTGTGGGGCGTAAATCGCGGCTGGGGCGTAGTTACTTGTCCGGCAACATATCGGTCCACCTCTAACCAGAACACGTTTCCCTACCTCTAGATTACAACGCTTAATAGTGCAGCAAGGACCTGAAGAATAATTTAGGTGTTGTTCGGAGCAAACACGGGCTGTGCGAGCAGAAGAAGGCTTTTCCCATCAGACACTTTCTCTAACAAAACGCGTAAACAGGGATATGAAGTTCAGGGCGATATTCTCACTTTTATCTCCGTAGTGGTAAGCTGGGCACTTCAAAGGGTAACATAAGAATGCCGCTGTCGTCGGTGTGCTTAGACCTCTGCGCGCGAGAGCCCTTTTGTCTTCTTTCCTTTGACCAACTCATACAATCGTTTACTATCTAACATTACACTCGTTTGACCTATCTCGCCCGGAGGCTGTGCCTCGACTGTTGATTCCAACCATGCGTGCTCCAAATGTTGCTCTCTTCCTACTCAGTCTTCTGGTTCTTTACACCATTTCGGCTCCAGTTGAAGAGAAGAATGGTCTTACAAACTTTCTTGACGGTCCTGTGTTCGTAAAGAGCCTGCTCCCTGGTAGATCCGGTAATGGCGAGCATTTTCAGGCTAGAGACTTAATCTCTAAGGAACAGGATATCGGTCCGGATCTGGACAAGAGAAGGGGAGGTAGGGGAGGAAGTCGTTCGCGCACGAAGAAACCTGCCCGCAAAAGGCCTCAGAGGAAGAAGAAGCCGGCGCCAAAGAAGAAACCTGCTCAGAGAAAGAAGAAGCCTAGGTGAGTTCACGAAAAACATCAGCCCGACGTATGCTTATCGTGTGCTCCTTTTAGCACGAAGAGCCCTAAGAAGCCCAACACCCGTAAGCCAACCGCGAAGAAGCCGAAGAAGCAAGCAAAAGCGTGCAAGCCAGCCAAGGGAGTCAAAGGGAAAAATGGCAAGCTCAGCGGACGAGCACAGCCCGCAGGTGAAAGTTGCCCTCCCAAGAAGAAGGTCACCAAGACGCGTAACTACAAGATCGCCGAAAAGGCTGCGAAGAAGGCAGGACACAAGCTAGTATTGGGCGAGTCCTACCTCCTGCGATTCAAAAGTAAACCCGGCCTAGTGAACCATCAGGCACTCATTGTCGGTACTGTGAAGCACCGAAGAGTCAATCCCAACGATGGCGCACTCCACTTTGAAGCTTCCTCATCGGAGCTTACCAAGCCGCTAAATGTGCCAGTGGGCCGGATAGCAGCCGCCAAAGAGAAGTGCCGCAAGATGCATGGTGCAAAATGCAAGCATCGTGGCATCGAAAAGGTGTATGACTGCAAACAAACGCTGAATCACTGGGGGAAGAAGTCTGAGTTTCTGTTTAAGGGCAATGCCGACCCTGAATTTGCTGATCCGAAAACGTTTGTGCAGACAGGTAAGACATCCTTACACGGCCATGCATACCACAGAACTTTCAGAGTATGCAAATCGATGCTAAGTTGTTCCAGGCGAGGCGATCCTTGAGAGGGATACCACATATGACGTAGTCTACAACAACTGTAAGTGCATTGGATTCAATAACGAACATCAAGCTAAGCATTAGACAGGCGGAACTCACGCCAGGAAATTGGAAAACGTTGCTAAGCTCAAGAAGGGACAGGATCCCCTTGTGGATGTCGAACTACAAGACCTGGAGAATTTGACACTAGAGGAGGCCGCATAGTCTTCCGAACGGCGACTTGTTGCACTTCTAGGAAAACAAAAGCATGCAATGATATTGGTGTTGCTTTAGACAGAGAGGGATAACAGAGGAAGCGCTACGGTAGAATTAGAGTGTTTGAAAGAGAGAAGAAAAATGTCGCTTAAATAGGGTGTATGCACACATCATCACAAGCACACCCATCTTCCCACATTAGTGCGTTCGTTTTAATTTCATGTCCCCAAGCACGTCCACATGTCCTTCTTGATGGTATTTTCGGAGGAACAGCCCATGTAGGTACAGTGTCCGAACTTTTAGTCCTCGGGAAGAGGAAAAGGCGTGCAGGCAAAGGAGCATGCAGCAAGACAGAAATTGCTTTCTATGTGTGTTCGGCGCTTAGCACTGATCCATGCGCGACACAAAAGATCGTTCCTTGTTTCATTCGAGCTCGACGTCTGCCTCCACATGACTCATTTTGATGGATATTTCGATACTTTGTCAATTCTCTACGCACATCCACATGTACCCGTACGATCTTCAGTTTTAGAGACACTCCATGGAGCCAGAGATTTTCAATTTTAGTCTCCCGAGAAGGAGGGAAGACTTGTAGTGAGACGAAGTACACTGCAAAGAAAGAAAGATCTATATAAGCCTGAGACGCACCATAACACGGCACAGTAATACAGCCGCCTCACTGTGGCTTTTCGCGCTCCGCTTTTTTCCCATCCATAGTATTGAAGATGTATGCTTTCGATTACGCAAACAAGAAGGCACTTCTGACATTGGTAACGTCCACGGACGTTTGTGGTCAACAGAGGGCCGGTCCAGCTCCGCATGAACGTATGTCCCTTGATTTTCTAGTACACGGAGCAGTTCGAAGTCCCGCATGTGACATGTTGAAGCGAGCTTTAGTCCGTCGACGCCACTTTCTCACATACGTTGTGTGGCCAAATGTTTTTAGTGGTCGAAGTTCTACATCTCTTCTCTTCCTCATAGCCTTCCTCATAGCCTTTCTCATCCTGTATTTTTGAGACGCTCGAAGAAGCGCATAGTATTTGGTGTTCTGTTTTTTTGACCGACGCCCACTCACAGGAGGGAGTGCTCATGTCGGAAGGGCAGACATGCCGTGCCTCTTCCCCATCAAAACGTGAGCAGATGGATTCTAGTCGAGAGACGCCGAGCCCACCCCACCTTGGATCAATGAAACCATTATTGAGTCTTACATTTCCTCCACGTCCACTCGCACATTGTGTCTGCTGATATCATTTTTCACTCCCCGGACGAGCACATTATCTCGGCTTGTCCTGACTTTAAAGCGGCGCCCACTGGAAGACTTCAACGAGGAAGTACAACTTCCACAGGGTCCAGGCTCCTCCCCCATGTAAGGCTTGGAGCAGTCTTTTCTATAGGGGAAACGGTGGACACCTCTGACATGGAGTGGGCGAAGTGACTGTTCAGTCATACGAAAGCCTCCATCTCCAACCCCCACATAGTAGTGTTGGGCGTTCTTTTCTAGCTCGCATGGAAAGCACATCGGATTCTTCGCTGCCCGAATTTTTAATCGACGACTCTATTGATTGGGGTGGCGTAGAGCTCCAGTCTCAAATAACGACACTCGGGGTCACTCCGCCATGTATTCGCTACGTCTTGACTTCAGTTGCGGAGAATGCCAGGCATCTCTCGCATGAACAAGTGGAAGTAAATCGTGAGTCGCAGGCGCCATTCTGCTTACTCTCACATGGCAATAGATCACATAAGTTTCGATTTGACGCAAGGTAACACTTGCTTCTTATGCTTAATGCTTTTGAATGAACTTCCTCTAACGGACATGAGAACGGTTGTGGTCTTTAGCAGGGCGACACCCCATATTAGTTGACGCCGTTTGTTCCTAGTCCTCTCGGCGGACAACATCAAGAGAGACTGCATCCTCTTTGATAATACGATAGGCATTCCGCACAAAGAAAAACCGAACTGTGTTTGCGTCGCACAAGCCTCATTTGACCGCATCGCATAGCGTGATGGTATCTACCTGGACTCCACCTCAGAGAGACACATAGCCGATGGGTGTTTGGTTTTGAAAAGACATTATCGTCCGGAGTTCGAGTGTAAGAAGTGTCCCGTTATGATGAACAATGTGCTTTTCTTCGATCCGCTCAGAGAGGGACATAGCGCTTTGCTTCCCATCTTTGTGACGCCGAGCACTTCCCACATGTATATGAAACGCCATGGTCTGGTCATATAGCTTAGCGTACTCCCACATTAGTTGTATTCTTTGAGATTCTTGATCTGTCCGGTAAAACGCATGGAGCTTGAACAGGTCTACCTGCAGAGGGCGACCTAAAGTTCGACGGCCGTGCAACTCCAAAACCGGGGCAGAAGCTCCCCATAATCGGGAAGTGCATCCATTTCGGTCTGCTCAGCAAAGAACATTTGGTCAAGCTGAGTGTTGTTCAATGGTGATACTCCAAAAAGGTGTGTTCCTGGGATCTTGGTCTCCGAGAAGTAGCGTTCCATACAGTGAAAGATCCAAACTTTTGGTCCCTTCCAGGCTCATATGCCACCTCAGTTCTTATTTCTTGGTAAAGAGCTCCTCCATGAATAGTTTGCATCGTATATGGGTCTTGCAAGGGCAGTGCTTCTTTCGATAGCCACGATCCGGAGATGCACATGCTTTCTTCCAAGATTCTTTTCCAAAAGAGCGACAGCTCATATAACATTGCAGCCACTTCTTTCTGTCGCCAAAGGCAAAGTCCATGCAATGGTATATCTTGGGTTTTGGTGCGCGAGCAGGAGCACATTTTATGGTGGGTCTTTTCTTTTAGAGCACCACTTCGAAGAGACGGCATGATGGCGGCCGCATGATCCTTCAAAGTACAGCAGCTCATTTAGTCCAGTAGGATGTCTTTTTGGTCCGTTCCAAGAAGCACATCGTGGGAAGCATGTGCCTTTTGGAGAACGACACCCACGGCGTCTACCTGAGTGATTTTAGAACCGGAAGAAGAGCAAGCACTCCATAGCGTCGTATGCACGCGCTTTTTTCTGTCCGGTCCAGAGAAGCGCATTCACTGTTGCGTAGATCCTTTGAAAACCTGTACCCTATAGTGAGCCTTCAGTATGGATGTCGCTCCCCAATGAGATACGTTCACACATATTGTTTAGTCCAACCAGCGAAGCACATGGCCCTCAACGTCTTTTAATCGGAAACGGCAGCCCATGAACTACACAGCTGGGGATTTTGATATGCAAAGGGCAGGAACACCATGTAATCGCGAGGCCTCTCGATCTAGTCCGCCCCAGCGAAGAGCATGTGTCTCAACTTGAACAGTTTCGAGAGCGGCAGTCCGTGGCGGTATATCATGGTAATTGTTCGTTCTCGGAGAACAGAGCTCCCCATTTCGTCAATCAAGGTTGGTTTTGGTACATCAGCCGACACAGTACATGCAGGGTTGCAAGGCCACACAGCGACAGCTCATAGTCAGTGAGCACAAGCCTTTTGAGTGCTGAAAACGCAAAGACTCCATGGATTGCATGATGATAGCGTTATAGACCTTTCAGTCAGGCCGGAGAGAACCGCACTCCTGCATCCTGCATCACTGCCTGAAATAGTGAGCAGCATCTATGATATCGTTACGCATGTCTTTCGGTCTCAGCAAGAACACCGCATCGGCATGCATGACGCTGCTCTTTAGTCCGCCGCAAAGCACATACGCGGGTGGTCGAAAATTTTCAGGACCGGCGATCCATCCCTGGATCAGTCTTCGTTGTCCGTGTCAAGAGGGCAAACGAACCATTTCTAACAAACTTTGTGATTTTGATCCGCCAAAGGAGCACATGGAATTCGATGGGTTCATTTTTGAGATAGCCACCCCATTTCGAAGCTTGTTCCTCATTTTGATGCCCAACGGGGAGAAGCATTCCACTCTTCAGCTATTGCTTTCTTCATTCCGTCGTGGAAGGGCATATCGAAGGAGGCTGTCCGCTTGAAGAGCAGCACCCCATGGTGCGAATCCGGTCCATTTTCGGTTTCTGCGAAGAGCCACCCATGGCGACAGGAAACGTCGATTGTTAATCTGCAAGGATCACTCCATCGCACCGATTCCTAGCATTTTCAAGCCAAAGAAACCCCCTCATGAGGCAAATTGAGTAGTTTTTTCCGGACACTCGAAAAAGCACATAAAGTGCATCTTCTTCTTTTGAAAGCAGCAGCCCATGTATAGAAGAGGAGTTTTTTCTGGTTCCAAGGAGTGCCGCTCCATAGTCCTAAAGATTGTAGTTTTGAGTCTCCCAGCAGGGCTCATGTGTCTGATTGGTCGACACTTTTTTCCGGTCTGCGAACAGGAGGCACTCGGTGAGGATGTGAAAGAGAAGAATCGGGCAGTGACTCTCCATGATTCACAAACATTTCCACATTTGTTCCTTCAAGGGGCAGGAACACCCCATCCAAGGCAAACTATCCGGTTTTGTTCCGCCCGAGGAGGCACATAACCTCTTGAGTGCGCCAGTTGGAGAGCGCAGGCCCATCGGGAGCGGGAACGTCGGCTTTTCAAGGATCCAAGAAGCGCCACCCACACCCTAGGCAGCGTGAGACTTGAGTACCAAAGACAAAGCACTCCATTTGATTGCTCGCCATTGTTTTAGTCTGCAAGCAAATCACACTTTACAGGCCTTCAAAGACAAAAGCCTAGAAAAGTCACCCCATGGATGCTGAGCATATTCTTTTTGGTCCGCCCCAGAAAACCATATCTTGAAATTTCGCTGTTTTTCAGAGCACAGCAGAACGCCTGCCGCTGTGGATTTATGTCTCCTGGATCCAGCGCAACATGGCACTTCTCGAATTGGATTTTGGTCCCCAGGACGGAGCACACATGGCCTCCAGTTTTCTTCCTTTCTGATCCACGAGCAGGAAGCATAGATTATTTTGCACAAAGATATTGTGGCAGCGGAGGGGAAGCCAGTCCATACGAGAGCCAGCGTTGGATCTTATCTTCCACAAGAAAGCACCCCATAGTTGCGTATGATGATTAATTTGGTCCCGCGGGAGACATATGTCTTTCGGTTGAGCTTTTGAACTAGCTCAGAGGAAGGTCCTCCATGTTCCGGTACCATCCCTCTTTTGGTCTCCAGCACGAAGCGCCCCATCATAGATGGCACTCCTTATTTTGGTCCGCAGACAAAAACCATGCACATGCCCTGTAGGGCATTGTGACAACAGAAAGAGAGAAACACTCCATCTGGCCACAATGCCAGCACTTTTGGTCTCCACCAGGAGGCACCCCATATATCTTCCTGCGAATCTTTTGAGACCCGCAGAAGGCGCTTGGCAGAGTTTGAGGTTGAAGTCCAGGGGAAGACAAGCCATGACTTGTGAGATTTTGTGTATTTGGTGCCCGAGGCAAGGCACACCATAGAATATGACTTCTTTCTTTTTTTATCCACGAGGAGGCATAATGTTTCTCAATTCCATGTAGTTTTTGTCACCGCAGGAGGCGCGCCTCCATCAAGAGGGCGCCGGACAGTTTTAGTCCCCGTATTGGAGAATGAAAGAAGTGTGTAGAAGTAAATCCACGAGGCAGAGCGTAGGCTTTTATAGAAGTACCTGCGCCCAGGAGGGTTCTAATGATGGGGTTCGGTACCATGGTTCCACGGCATCACCACTCAACCAACCACCAATAAGTCAGTGATGAGCCTCATCACCATTTTCAACGGACACGTGCACAATAAAGCCACTGCATCGCCAATAAAGGTAGGACTTCTCGGTATACACTCAATCTGCTATGCACTGATATCATCCTATTGCATACACATACTCTGACACTGCTTCCATCAATGTAAGCTCCCCACAACACCCAATTCCATCCCCAAGAAGCGCTCAACCGCTCATTCCAATCTGGCCTCCTCAATACTCCGCCAACTTCAGCCTCCGTCCAATGTTCCTTCTGATAACATCGCGCCGGTCGTCGTCGGGCGCTTCTTCCTCCTTCGCCTTGAGCGCGCTCAGCAGCATGCCGGCGTCGAAGAAGCCATCTAAGAAAAAAGGAATCAGCAAATGGAATCCACACCAAGGAAATCGTGACAACGTGGTGCATAATGTGAAAGCGTGTAAAGGTCTTGTCTAATCAGGGTATAGGCAGTGTATATGGGGAATAGAAAAACATATATGCTATAAGGAAGAGACATGAAGAGGGCTAGGAAGAAGAGAAGGTGTTAGGGTATAGCCGCTTCACGACCGCGCGTGTACACTTCCTTGTCCTGAACGTTTTGATCTGCGGACGATGTGGAGAGCTCGCATGCACGGTCGTGAGCGGCTTGAAGGGCGGTGATTGGGGCGGAGTGAGTGGTGCAGCGGGGCGGAGCGTGATAGGAACAACAGGCTCTATTTCAAGGAAAGGGCGAGATGAAAGGGGAGTCCTACAGCCACCAAGACCATCGTCGTCGCTTTCCGTGCTATCCTCAACTGGCACGGGCTGCGGCTTTCCATCGCCTGTGATGATGCGACCACGGCTCTTCATTCTCGAGTTCTTGGGTCGATGGTGATCTTCTGCTTCGCGGGCGCGCGAGACCGTCTTGTCGGCAGAGGTGCCGCGGCGCTTGAGCTGCCGAAGAAGTTTGCGAATTTCGAGGAAGTAGGATTCTAGGGCGTCGATGAAGCGGGAAGTCTGTCGATGCTTAGATGAAGCGCAGATGGAGATGCTGCCATCCTTGATGATATAGCCGATACCGAAGCCGTCGCCTGAGGTAGGGCCGAAACCGAACTGTCTTAGTGAAGGGTTACCACAATTGGACGTGGAAAGAATTGTATTGTTGAGCTTGTCCCAGCCGGCATCAGCGAAGAGGGATGGCATTGAGTGTTGCACAGGAGCTGGAGGAGAACTGCTTATTGATCCGGTCTCTGAGAGCATCGACGAACGCTTTGGTGAGCCGACAGTGGAGTTGACCGCCTCTGGGCTGGAAGGCCGCGTTGAATCCCAGCCGTCACTGCTTGCCATCTCGGCGCCATCCTCGTCGATCGCTCGCTGCCAGATGCAGTAAAGGGCGTACATGTGTCTGTCGGGACCTTGAGCCTTCGCGCAATCCTTAGTTGTCGCGGTGTGCTTCTGGCAAGCTTTCCGTAGGGCGTCAATCTTTGCAGCTGCCGGATTCTCTCCCCAGAACAATTTTACAAATTCTGCGGATTCCTCAGAAACCGATCTTATCGCCTCTGTTCGGCCGTGATAGAAGAATTTGGTCATAGCTGGCTCGTAGACACACTCCATCCTGCCGTACAGGCCGTAGTATGCGGCTTGAAAAGCCATCTGTACGAAGGCATCCGGAGAAAAGCCCATAGATGTCATGAAGTTCTTGCCATAGTGCGGGAACTCTAAGGTTGCGAACTCATTCTGTTGGATCAAATCTGCTAATCGCGTCTCGGCGAAACGCAGAGCAGTGCTAAGCTCTGGTACCATGTCCCACTCCAACTTGTGCGGAGTGGTCTGGACGTCGCCGAAGCTGTCAGGGTCCCGCTTGGCTGGGTCGGGGCTGGTAGACGCCCAGAGACTGGGTGCATTTCCATTAATGGTCCTCGCGAATCGAAGAATGGTATCCGTATAGACGTCGGATGCAAATCGGAGCACAGTGTGACCATCAACACCGGTGTGTTCGAAGTTGATACCTGCACTTCCATTCTTGCAGACGATTATCTGCAGCTTGTCATACCAGCGGTTCGTGCAGGTACCGACTTGCACTCCTTGTTCCACTTTGCTTGAACCGCAGAGCATGTTCATGCAAAGGTCAGCGCCGGTTTGCGGTTCGGTATAATCAAGGCATAGAATAAACAGTGCGGAGTCGACAATGTTCAGGCAATCTGAGTTGTTCGAGCCTTCTTCCCGATGCAGCACATCCCTTAGCCCTGACCACACCTTGCGGTTCTCTGTGCTAAGGACGCCCAATGCGCCTTTTGCGGCCTCTCGGATGGGGATCTGGGCAGCATCATCGACAATCGAGGCTAGATTAAGTGAAATGTCCTTTTCCGTCATGATAAGGTCAGAATTGTCATCCAGAACATCGAACCAGTAGAACTGGCCATGGCATAAAACAGCAATATGTTTCGAGGTGGGATCCTGTCCTATTTGGCATCCATTCTCGGTGGGTATTCTAGCAGTACCGAATAACCTTGAGTACTGATACATGCAAAGGGGTTGGCCGCGAACGGTATCGGGCGGAAGCTCCTCTCTCCGGACTGCGCGTACGAAGGAAAGAGCCGAGACTACTAATGAGGCTGCGCGGGTGACTTGATTGTTGCGAGCCGGGGTGGGATCGTCCTCCAGTAGGAAAAACGGATTTAGATTAAGTACCACCGGGTTGTCAAAATTTAAGTACGAGTCGTACCCTAATGGTAGGTCAGCGCGTGCTCGATAACTGCGTAGTCTACTGCGCGATAGCACCGATTTAGAACATATTGAGATCTTCGGGCAGGGACGTGCATGATATCTCGATGATGCGCATGAGATACTTACAAAATTGCTCGATGTAGTTGGCTTTGCCGTTGGCGTACTTCTTCAACTTGTCCTGGAGAAGCGGACCGTCCGATCTGATGAAATCCTGAACAGCATGAACAGTGTCATGGTGTTCCTTTGGCGTCTGTAGCGGTTTGAGGGCGGCGAGGTACTTTTTGCATGAGCTGTCAAGTTCAGGTATGGGAAGCTTCGGTAGTTTGTCTTGATGGGCGAAAGTGATGCCAGGTCTTGAGTCTGGATTCGTGTGATGAGCGAGGGGGTTCCTTGCTTCGGATGGAAAAGAAGCTTGACTCTCTTTCGCTGAAGCCTCGGACCGGACGGAGCCGTTGATCTCAGAGGAAGACATGGTGGGTGTTGGGTCCGCCAACGTGCCGTTGAGCGAGGAAGGTTTGGTAAAGGTACGGGCTGCCATAGCGCAAAGAAATTAGTTAGGCGTAAAGAGGCGAGATGGAGGTGCTGATAGAGAGTAACCGCAAAGCGGTACGGTAAAAGTAATGACAATCCTCGTGACAGTAGGCCGGCATCGAGGTGCTGGGCGTCGACGGGCGAAGATTCCACTCGGAGCCGTACGGGGCCGGTGTAGGTCTTATATGGCAGTGGAGAAAGGGGAAAGTAACAGTGGGATGATGAGCCTGGGCGAGGCATGTGAAATACACAGAGGTGCAATCACACTAGAGGCAGCATCGGGCGTTACGGAAGATGACCCGCAAATAGACGGAATGGAGCGTATCGTATGGCCAGATGAAGGGGACCAAGGCAGTGGGCGGCAGACTTACTAGTAGTGTAGTGAGCTGATGCAGGCTACAGGCGGACTGTATCCGCAGTCGACGTGATGTCGGGCCTGTTCTGCGACTTGTCAATGTGATCTCCACCTACCTGTCACTCAATGGAACGATGTGACTCGCTGTCGGAGGAACTGAGAATGGGAAACCGGAAAAGCACAGCCGTCTGTTTGGTCGGGCAGGATGGTATCACACAATCTCGGCCAAGAGGATACGGTTACAGAGGTCTGAAGCGCCGAGGTGCTGCGACCCTAGCGACGGACAGCTCTCAGTTGCTGCGGGCGGGCGGAAGTATCAAAGACGTCCGGTGGCGGGCCAGACGCCGCACGGCTAATTGGGCGCGATCGAAGTCTGGGGAAGAGCAGAGCAACGCGTCACCAGCGCAGACGATCAGTTTCAAAGCCTTCGTAGCAGAGTGAGTGGTGATAGGAATGCGGTCATTGTCTCTTTGGGCGCGGGACCAGCTGTTCCAGTTCAGCATCACAGGACGTGGCACAGTGGCGGCGGAAGTCTGCCTGCAGGCGAACGTGCGGGGTAGGTACTTCTGGGCTCGCGTGGCAGTGACGTCCGCGGGGGAAGGGAAGGGCCCGTACAGGGAAGCCGCGTTAGTCAGCATCGACACCCTTCGCGTCAACTTCGCGTCTTGACAGAGAGATCGCGGAGGTGCAACAGATTAGCGCTACCTTCGGTACGTTCGACCAGGAACTAGGCATAGCCTCGCGTATGCGTATGCCTCTCCGCAGAGCCGCTGCGCGCAAAGAATGACCCTGGGCCCCGACGACCCATGACAGACATTCTCCACGTGCTGCCCGACTTCGACACCGCCAAGTTTGCCCATCTGCTGCCCTCGCTCGACAAGGCCCTGATCTCGACAAACGACCTCGTCACACTCGAGCCCGCCGATGTAGCCAAGCGCGCCCAGGTTCCCGCGGGAGAGCTCCGCAAGCTCGTCGACGCCCTTGTGCTCGCCCTGCACCGGCACCTCGGTTTCGGCGCAGAGGAACCTCGCAGCAGCGCATTTCTATCTGCTTCAGGTCATACTTCCGCCGCCCACACTATAAGCACCTTGGACGAAGAGCTCGACCAAGCGCTACTGGGCGGCATCCGTCCTGGCTACCTGGTCGAGGTCACTGGCGAAAGGTATCGATTTCAAATACATACCCTACCTGTGATCTTCATACACTGACCACATTCAGTGGTGCCGGGAAAACGCAGTTCCTCCTTACACTCCTGCTTGCGTCGCAGCTCCCTGCGCCTCGCGGCCTATCCAAGACTGCCGTCTACATCTCCACCGAGGCACCCCTTGCTACCAATCGCCTTACTCAATTACTCTCCGCGCACCCATTGCTCGCCTCGCTACCGCCAAAAGAGAAGCCCTCGCTATCGCGCATACTGAGCATTCAGACGCCCGATCTCGAGTCTCAGGAACACATACTTCGCTACCAGCTGCCGGTGGCTATCCAGAAGCACAATGTGGGCCTCGTCGTGCTGGACTCCGTCGCTGCCAACTACCGCGCTGAGTTTGATAAGATTAGCGTAAGGCAGGGCGCAGCTTCCATGGCGAAGAGAGGTGCCCAATTAGCGCAGCTAGGCGCTCTGCTACGCGGTCTGGCCCGCACAGAAGGAATTGCAATCGTCGTTGCAAACCAGGTGGCAGATCGCTTCACTCGACCTGCGACCCTCATCTCCAACCCTCCTTCTCGGACTAGTAGTCAGAACCAAGGAATCGAACGCCAGGACACGCTGCAGCCGTTGACAAATCAGGGGCCTCACTCAATCCCACCTTCGCAGAGGGAAGACGAGATAATCCTATCGCCAGATCCCTTGGCGCTCGACCACCAGCAATGTTGGTTCACAGGCTGGGGCGACATCCGCTCCGATCCGCCGCACACACTGAAGACACCATCGCTTGGCATCATCTGGACGAACCAGATCGCCTGTCGCATTGCCTTGAACAAGCGACCCGTCTACGCGCGCCAACCGTGGGTTATCTCACGTAACCCCGAGGATATTGGGATTGAAGACGAAACCCACATCTCGAAGTGGCGGCGGTGGTTCAAGGTCGTCTTTGCGCCCTGGGCTCCGCCATCGGAGGGCAGAGGTGTTGAATATGAGGTTGTAAGCAGCGGTATCCGCCATGTAGTGAAAGAGAAATAACATGCTCAAACCCTCAAAGCCTTTATACGAACGTGTCACGCGTGATGTGCTCTGGGAACTACCCGCAAGAAAATCGGCTGGGAGACCTCAGGGAAGCTGTGAAGCAGGCTAGACGAACGAGATTGATGCTTCCTGGAATGATAACGCTGAACCGCAACAGATGCAATGCTCGCCCTAAAATCGAAGTAGAACTCCACCTATTCATCCATTTCCGTTACCAAACCATCATCGACGCCGAAACAGCTCCTCCTACTCGTCCGCAAATATAAACCTCCCCCCTCTCCTCATCGCCTCTAAATACCTCTCCCTCACCTCCTGCATCCCCATCTGCACCGCCCTCTCCCTATCCTCCTCCGCCTCCTGGGTATTCGGAAAATCTACGCGCCAAAACCCCGGCGGCGTCTTCCGCCCCTCATACGCTTTCCTGTGCTTCCCATGCTCCGTCGCCATCTTCCTCGTCCTCGCTTGGAGGACGATCTCGTCCCTCTCAGCTTTGTCCATCTGGGTCAGCCCGAAGGAGTCGTACGCGTCGCCGAGGTAGTCCTGTAGCAAGGCTTCTTCCTGAGAAAGGGGGAGGGTGGGCAAGGCGGTTGCCAAAGTGCGAAAGGTCGAGCCGCAGCAGGTGGGTTTTGTGCAGCCGGGGAGGCAAAGACGGTCTTCGCGGCGGCGCACCGTGTCGGTGAAGGCGTATGTGTAGCCGCCGTTGTAGACGGGGTTAGGCTTGAAGTCTTGGATGCGAAGCTCGGTGACGGGTTTGTCGCGGAGGCGGGTGTGAGGAGCGTGTTCTTTGGGTGCTGGTGGTTGAGGAGCTTTACGTGCGGGTTCGAAGGGACTCATGCACCATATGGGACGGCCGTCGGGTACGAGTTCGGGACGCGGTGCTGGTTCTTGGGTTCTGCGCTGGGCTGGTCTAGCGGAAGGTGTGTACGCGGGCCGGTTGGAAATGGGTGGTGGTGTGGGTACTTGTGCAGCATTTGTCCGTGCTGGTGCGGTCTTTGGCGTCGTCGTGAGGGCATTCTTCATTGGCGATAGGCCGCTCTTAGCAGCTCGTATACGTTCATTGATGTGCGCTCGTGCCAAATTCGGTGGGAGTCGTTTCTTCCGTTCGTTAGTGGGAGGCGGCGCCTCCCCCGATTCTGCGAGGATATTGAACACATTCTCCTGTCGTGCTTCTTCCCTTCTTATCCGCTTGACGGGTGTGGCTTCGTTTGCTCTGCCAGCCACCACATTGGGGTCGATCGGTTGCAAAGCCTCTCTAGGCTCTACAATAGCGTGTCCGGGCTCACTCACCGCTCTCGCATCCTCCATTGTAACCGCGAGGTGAGACAGAGGTCCAGCCTCAGGCATATGTACTTTTTCGGTTGGTTCAGGCTTGATCAGATTGCCGCTGAAGGGAGCGCTGCTAGACCTCTGATTACGCAGTGTTCCGGTCTTGTTAGAGTGTGTAGAGTCCATCCGTCTCAGCCTCTGACGCCGCGGGGTCACGATCGGATTGGGCCCCAATTCCATCGAGATCCATCGTTTCTGTGCGTGAAAGCTGGTGAATCGCAGTTTCGGGTGGAGGGCTACTGTACAACTCTTCCTTGACCCGCACAGGCTTTGCTGGGGTGCCATCCGAGGATCCGTCATTAAACACACTAAACCCTGTAGATGGCTTCCGCTTGCGTTTCAGCGACCGTTCGAATACAAATTCGGGTTCGTCGTCATCGTCGTCTACTAGCCCGGCTGCGCGCGGAGTCGGTTCATTATCTTCCATAATCTCAGGGACTGTTGTCTGGCTTGAGGTTACCTTATCTGAGCTGAAGTGACCGATGATAGCTGCTCTATCGTTCTTTGAGCCGGAAATCGTTTCTCCACGGCCGTTTTCTGTGAGAGGCAAAGGTGATGAACGTCCACCGGATTCAACACGCTCACCACTTTCTTCGTGGTCTTCGTGCTCGTTTGCTTCAGCCTCAACCTGGACGTTCCCTTGTCCTTCATCGCCCACACCAGCCATAGGAGGAGAACGCGCTCGCGCTGTAGCATTCGAGAGATAGGCCATGGGAGCTGGCGACGAATTTTCTTGAGGTATCAGCGACCGCGGTGTAATCATAGCAGCCGAACCTGGGCTGGATGGTATGTGTGGTTTTGGTGCTGGTGCTGAGGTTTCAATCGCTAGGTTGCTTTTCGACTGGATCTTCAGTACTTTCGATTCGGCCTTTGCCTTCTTCTTCTCAATGTGTCGGTCACAATACTCTTGCCAGGCCTTAACACTGTCCTTCATCTCTTTGTTCTTCTGCATGACGGCAACATTCTTTCGCTCCAGGTACTTGATTCGTTGAGCCGCATCTTGATACCGCTTATTGAGCTCATCGAGTTGATCCGTAACTTGGTTGTATTCTGTGATAGACACTGTACCATCGTCCGTGCTGGTGAGTAGCTCTACTACTGAAGGGGGTACTACCGCGGGCCTTCCGGAGCAGGTTCTTGAGACGGTTATTTTCTTCAACAAGGTGGGCCTTTTCAACCACTCCATTGCTAATGTGGTTGTTAAGATGCTGGAGACGGTCATCTTCTGGGATATGTGAGTGAACAATATCGTCTGGAATGTCTTAAGACGTACTCTTCTTGGACTCCGCCTCATGCGTTTCAATCCCTAGTGAAGGTCAAAGATTGAATTTTGGACATGATCAAGGTGACATACGCGTCTTCCACTCCTTCTCGAGATCAGGTGTGATGACCTCATCGTAGACACGCGCCCAGAGCGCCTTGTTGTTCGCCAACCATGCGTCAAAGTCCATAGCAGCGGTCATTACACTGCCGCAGTAGAAGCCGTACCATTCATCGAAACTTTAGCGGGCTGGGATCCCCAAAGCCTAGGAGATGTCGAGCTGGCGTCTGCCTAGCCCGCCCGCGGAACGGACGCGACGCGCAGTCACGCGAAGCTTGGCACCGCCACCTTGCACGAGCCACAAATGCCGGCCTGAATCGTGTGGGGCAACTTTATGGGGACATTCACAATCACCTGCACACCATGAAGAGATCGCGGGAGAATGGCGACCACAGCGAGCGGCCTTCAAAGGTACGCCGGATACCAGCGGTCGACAGGCTCTCTCAACTCCCTACAGAGCTCCTTATTCGTATCTTAGGATGCGTTCCCGTATCATCGCTACTTTTATGTCAGAGGTTCGTATCCGCCACGTCAAGGTATTACAGGATATATGTTGATGCAATAACAGGCTGTCGAAGAAATTCAAGCGCCTCGCTGTCGACTCAGAACTATGGAAGGCTGCATACTACAAGAACTTCGTCTTACCACGGGCCTCGCGTATCCCAGGGATCAAAGACACGAACGCCACCTCCGACCAGTTGCGGTACTCTTCAAAGCTGTCAAAGTGGCTAGATGACGGACATCTTATTGAAGATGGGAGAAAGACGAACTGGAAACAGCAGTATCGATTGCGGCACAACTGGGCACAAGGTCAATGCGCCGTCAGCGAGATTGTGGTTGCTGAAAGTCCACCGGAACCTCCCTTGCTGGTAATGATGTCGCATGGGACTATCTTCGCAGCCGATTCGATATCTGGTCTTCGCGCATGGAGCACTGCCCACGAGCGCGATTTGATTGCGTCCATAGACCTGTCCAGCAGCACAGGTGGTCCGCAACTCCCGACCTCGATGGCGATAGATACATCTGACAGTAGTTCCGGCAACGAAAGAGTAGTTGTAGGCTTTGATAATGGTGTGTTCATCGTCTTCGAGCTTTGGGAGAATGACAGAGTGTTCAAGGTTTTGTTTGAACACGCACCTTCAACAAATGGGGCATTGTCCGCCCTCGCATACTCGTCGCCTTATCTGCTGACCATGACGGAGGACCAGTTGCTCTCTATCTACGTGTTCTTGGACCTCGCAAACTCAAATGCTCTTCTGGCCGCGCCACGGTTACTATACTCATTAAGGTCCCACACAGTATGGCCGCCTGTGTCCTTATCTATACGAACGGCGGCGACAAGTGTGACCGCTGCAATTGCCTACGCTCTGCCAACCTATTTGTCCGGCTGGACTGTGGGCATCCAAGAGATGCGGTTGTCACTTGATGGGAAGCTCTTGGAGTCTCGTTTGGCAACAGCCGCTGACCAAAATCACCATACACTTTCTGGACAACGCTCAATGTCCTCTCCTTCACCTCGTTCATCGTCCCCATTCCCAAGTAGGTCTCGTGAGCCATCGTTGGCCAACATGCCCAGCAACTCCAAACCTACTTCAATGTCATACTCGCATCCGTATCTCCTCGTGGCACATCCGGACAACACGTTGTCATTATACCTCGTTAAATCGAATGCGTCTTCCCTCTCGATTGGTCCCGGAACTCGTCTTTGGGGGCATACATCCTCTGTGTCTGGTGCCCATGTGGGTATGCGAGGCAAGGCTGTTTCGGTCAGCCGTTTGGGCAACGAACTTCGAGTTTGGGATCTAGAAGGAGGGATGGCGTCCTCCGCGAACCGAAAGCGGTCCAGGAACGGCGAGTTGAGCGTCCGAGTTCAACCTTCGAAAGGACTCGAGGCATCCAGTGATACTTCGGACGAGAAGCATAAAAATGGTCTACGATTTGCGCTTGAGCAGCGATTCGATGATTCAGCGATTAGTAGAGGCTGGGTAGGATTTGATGAGCAAAATGTGATAGTATTGCGAGAGAAAGGTGAGGGAAGTCAGGCACTGGTCGTCTACGACTTCACGTGAAAATGTGGAAGTAATCGAAATCAGACTTGAGAGTTGGTTGACATGAGCCTTTGATTTTGAGCCTCCTCGTAATTCGGCATTGCGCTCACACAGCAATTCGGGCCGCAGTAGCCGCGACGTTATGTGGCGGGGCAATCGGTTGGCACGAGGCTTTCTGCATCTTGCCTAGCCGCATCGGCAACAGCCCTAGGATCTGCATACTGTGAGGGGGCGGGACAAGCTGCAAGACAGAGTTTGCGGCAAACAGAAGAGAACCGTACCGTGTAGCCTAAGAAATGAAACAACATATGGTTCAGGAAGCAAACGAACGCTGGTCAAATCAGTATATTGCCCATTACAAGCTGCTAATGCCGCGGCAAAGCTCTCGGGACAGCTTCTTATTCACCACGTTCCAGTTACAGCGCTACTTCCTGATTAGGCTAGTCCACTCAGGCTCGCGCCTGCACTTTGCGGGCACACTGCAAAATATTCTCGTCCCCTCGCTCTGTCCTTCCACCACAACCTCGCGTGTTCACGACTCAATTGGTGGTTTGCTTGTTCAGGCACGAAATTCAGAGACGTCAGTTGCGATATTCACCTTCTCTTTGCAGTATACCTTATACCCCACCTTTCACAGGTCAGTATGCACGCCGCCGCGTAGTTGCCCTTCAGGTACTCATACACACCAGGTCTAACACATAATCTACTCTCGAAATGGACTTCCAAGCTCAATCCGGAGGCGCCGGCGGCCGTGGCTGCTACAACTGTGAGTTGCGCCCTCTTTATGCCCCAGGGTTCCTCGCGCTTGTCGAATTGTTTGCGCACCGCGGAATTCTGTACAGCGAACGTCATGGGTCCGATTCGGCACACCGAAGTTCCCTTTCGGCAACATCATGTGACACAAGCGCGGGACCCGGCAGCAGACTCTCGTCTTGCTTCAATTTGCACACATTCGCATTGCGGCGGCGGCGCACAACCTTTTTCGTGAGCTTTGGCTGATTCAGTAGGCGGCGACCCTGCCCATCGTGCGGCCGACTGCCCCAGCAAGGGCAACCCAACCTGCTACAACTGCGGCGACAAGGGCCACTTGAGCCGCGAGTGCACCGCTCCCCAGGCCGAGAAGAGCTGCTACCGCTGCGGCGAGACCGGCCACATCAGCCGTGAGTGCACCAAGGATGGCGGTGCTCCCATGGGAGGCCAGGGCGGCGGTCAGGAGTGTTACAAGTGTGGCCAGCGGGGTCACATCGCTAGGAACTGCACTCAGGGTGCCGCGGCCGGTGGCTACGGCGGCGGTTACCAGCGTGGAGGATACGGCGGTGGCGGCGGTGGATTCGGCGGTCCTAGGCAGACCACCTGCTACTCGTGCGGTGGTTTCGGCCACATGAGCCGTGACTGCACCCAGGGCCAGAAGTGCTACAACTGTAAGTGGCATGAAGTAATGGACACCTGAATCTAGTGCTAACAAACATCTAGGCGGTGAGGTCGGCCACTTGTCGCGCGACTGCCCCTCCGAGACCACCTCCGAGCGTGTCTGCTACCGCTGCAAGCAGCCCGGCCACGTCCAGAACGCCTGCCCCAACTAGACTATGATCGAGTGCTCGGGCCGGACTGATTTGCATCACAACGATTTACATCTCTACGACCATGGGATCCGGCGTTTCTTTTAGTCAACGAGCTCGATACATCACGATTTCTTTTCCTTGTACATGTTCTCATTTGGCGCGGCTGACACGCCGTCTTTCGACCCTTGCGCACGAAAAGCATCATTCATCGCCCGGCATAATTCGATACGGTTCTTGACCGGCTGGCCCAATCGTCAAGAGGAAGGTTTGAACGGAAACGTCGTCACGAACTGGAAAGATTTTGCATTAGTGGAAACGAATTGGGGAGGAGCGGATTGAAAAGCAGAGCAACGAAGTGGGTTGATGTTAACTTGATTCAAGGCGAACGCTCTCACCGAAGTTAAAAGTTTTGGTGGGGGCAGAGACTCGGTCACGCAGGAATTGGAATGAAAAAGCCTGTCCGCTCATGTTGGATATGGACTCACGTCAAACTCATCGTTCATTTGCAATCGTGATTGTGCTCGCGCCTTGTTCTTTTCTATATTTTTGTGTGCTCTTCACGCACAGTTTCGGGCAACCCACCGAGGACACTGATACTAGGGAACGTATATCGGGATACGAATATTGGGAAACAGGAAACGGAACTAGGCAAGTGTGTTCAAGGAACTGATACCAGGGAACTGAGACCTGAAAGCAAGCGGTGGCCGGGGACTGACGCATGTATATCTATCATTGAGTACGTGGGCACTGAAAAAGCGGTCAACCGCGCTGCACGACTGGCAGGTCAACGTGAGTTGATCTTTCCTACACTTTGCCGCGCCAACGATTCGCCAGACTCAATCCAACTTGGTACAAGGTCAAGTTGAAGTGAAAGGTCCGCATCGTGCACCTTCTCCGCTCCACTTCAATGCTTGAAAAGCACCTTCCCTTCAACGATACGCCCCGCCACGACACTCGCACCCGCCACTCGCCATGGCCGACACCCCTGCCCTCCCAACGCGGGACCATTTCCTCGCCAATCAAATCAGCATTATACAAAATTGCAGTATCTGCCAGGAAGACTTTGACAATAACAAACACGCGCCCGCCCGCCTCTGCGGCTCAGACAGCTGCAATCATGTGTTTGGCGCCAGCTGCTTGACAACGTGGCTCAAGTCTCAAATGCCCCGTGCAAACACATGCCCAATGTGTCGCAAAGAGCTGTTTGTATCGGAGAACGGCGAGTATGATAGCGAAGACAATTATGCAGAGTACTTAGACGATGAGTACGATCGGTACGACGACGATGACATGTATTCCGAGGCCAGTGACACCGATGAGGAAGAGATCGATTCGGAACTAGGCGAAAGGATAATCACGGCTATAATGAATGGCGAGCCTGTCTTGCGCCGCTACGGTGGCGATACACATGGTGGAGGACCTACTAACGTGCAGGAAGTGGTCAACAGTGGCCGCGAGGATGGACGTGCGGAAGACGAGATTGCGGGCGCACGTCCGACTAACCTGGAGGACGTAAACGCACCGTTGCACGACCGTTTCAACCACGAGCCCGAGCAGAACTCCCGCAACGTCGAGAAGGGTCGCGAGGATGACGACAGCGATCCGGTAGCCTGCGGCGAAGAGGTCAGGAATCGCTTAGCTGAGGACTTAGGTGAAGGTACGAGTTTTGCGCCTAGGAACAGCCCGCTGGTAGGATCGATGGAACATGTCACGCCCGTTCAGGTCAACGTAGTGGCACAGGACGTTATGGGCATCGAATCTGGTAATACGGTTCTCGATCTTACCACCAAAGACGGCGGATCCGAGAATCTTGGAGAAGTTCGTGACGAAGGCAGACGGTTAGGCGAACCACTGCTTCCCGTGCGCGAGCCAGTATTTCCTATGGTAGGCGATGAGGCCCAGCTGGACCATGATGAGGATTGTCACAGTTTGAGATGCTGGTCGGAAGCTGCCAACCTTACGTATAAGCTCTGGAGAGAACTCTACGAGACGTGCGTGGTTTGGGACAGCATTCACCCGTTCGACTTGGAGATTGCAATTCACAAGGCACTGCGACACAGCGATCCAACGAGGCACGAAAACACATTCATCGTGTCGACCGAGTTGCAAAAGGTTCTTGAAGTAGCGCGCGATATGATTCGCCAGCATTACAAGAACAGGAAGTACACCGAATTAGACTGCGAAGCCATGAAGGACTGGTTCCAGAGAATGAAGACTGCGATGGGCTGGGAATTGTGCGGTGAATACGGAGGGAGCTGTTTGTTCCAGGCCGGCGATAAGCCTTGTACAGGCCGTTTTGAGAATGGCTGGTGAAGCTCAATACCAGTGGCCTTCACGGCCAAGCACCTGGCAACAATGCTGAACGCGATCCTTTTCTCATACCTGGCAGACGGACGCCACTACATCAACACCTCTCGTCCGCGGCTATGTTTGAGCTTGATTTGGACAAAAGGAAGTCAAGGATTGGAACACCTACAATAGGACGTTGGATTTGGAGGCTGGTTCTGGCCCCATATCACTTCGATGGTACATAGAGCGATACTCTCGCATGGACTATATATCTCAGGGAGGGACGTTGCGTACCACCAAGCATAGCTTTTAGTGTAGATTTTAGCGGAGAATATCCAGCGCTCATGAAGGTCAGCTAGCAATGCGACAACGTGACGCATGCCAGATCTGCAACAGCGCTCTCGACGCAGCGCCATCTCGCATTTATGAAGTCTATATCGAGATAACATGAACCAAAACAGATGCCCTGGTCGACCTTCTTCCACGATACCGACCCAACATAGCCTTTATCTCATCATGTTTTTGCCATCCCAACTCCAATAAAAATGTCGAAATACAATGTCGAAATATCGTACGCCCAATAACTTCTTCAATACTCATCTTCCCCCTCACCATCTCTCTCCCTCTCCCTCTCCGCCTTCGCCTTAGCCATCTTCTCCATCTCCACCTCCTGCCTCTTCTCCTCCGCCCCCTCATTCGCCAACCTATCCGCCCCTTCATTCCCCGTAGTCCCATTATGCGCCTTCACCCACACAATGTGCGTCTTCGCTTTTGCCATCTCCCGTTCCCGTATCCGCGTAAGTATAGGCTCGATCAGATCTCGATTCTCCACGGGTCTGCCCGCCGAGTTCTTCCAGCCTTTTGCTTCCCAGTTCTGGAACCAGTCGGTCAGGCACTTCATGGAGTAGTGGGAGTCGGTGTAGATGCGTGCTTCGCGGTCGATGGGGGCAATGTCGATGGCGCGGGCTATGGCGGTGAGCTCGGCGCGTTGATTGGTTTGTCTTTCGCCTGGGAGGGGACCGTGGTCGTTCCTATGAGAGGATGAGCGAGGCTTCACAGTTGATTTTGGACATGACTGACCTTGGATCATTGGGACCAAACCATATTCCAAAGCCGGCGTATGCACCGAGCTGGCCGTTTCCCTTTGAGGCGCCATCGGTATATATGTCAAGGACACCCTCGAAGTCACCGGTAGGCTGCAGTTTCCGCAGGTTGAGCTCCTCCTGTGTCTTGTACTCCACTTCAGGGCCGTCGGGGCGCCCATACTTGATTCTCCTGTCGAAGCCGTCTTCTGCGTCTGGTGGCAGAGGGCCTGTACCTGGTTCATACTCGCCATTCGTCGCCGTTGCTAACGCTGAGCCGTCGTTTTGTTTTTGCTTCTTTGTACTCTTTCGCGATTCGACTACGGATGATGTTGAGTCGAGATGGCCGTTGAGACTAATTGGCGTACTAGTGGTGTGTGAGGATGCGCCTCCCTGTTGCGCTTCGTTCACGAAGGCTTGTGCTTCCTCCAACGTTTCGAATCGCTTTTGTTTGGCCCCCTTGAAGCCTGTTACTTGCTCCAGAACCGCAGGCCAATCCATATACACCCCGGGTGTGTGACCGACCTGCACTCCGTAATATTTCGTTTTCCCAGACTTTGGGACGCTAACGCTCTTGCCTTTCATGAATTCCTCCGCTTCAGTGAGCATGGAAAACTTTTTGAATATGGGATTTATGAACCCTGAGGTTTGCTGCTTGGCATCGTCCCAGCTTTGATATATCCCTGGTTGGAACCCAACCTTGACAGCATAGAAAGCCGGTGCTGCTCTCTTGCGCTTCGAGCCTGACGAAGCTGACGAACCACCTGCCATCGTATCTTCGGTATCTTCTGCGTCGTGCGAAAATGTGAATTCTTCAATAGGACGCGTCCCTAGGGAGAAGCTGCGGGCTTGCGGAGAGTGGTGGTAAGGGGGAGATCGAACGTGCGTCTTGGTGGAACAAAAAACGTGGCGGCGGGAACAATCGCGAGAGTTTGTCAACCTAGCATGATCAGTTTGAAGCTGAAAGGAGGTAGGTTTTGCCGAGCCCTGGGAGGTGAAGGTGAAGGTTAACATACCAGTGTGCCTCTCGTAGCGCAGCGTAGAAGAGCTGTTGGTGAGCAGCAATTCGCTTGATCGCAGCTCGCATAGGATGTCGAGATGAAAGAAGAGATACAGATGTGGAAAGCAGTTTTATCTAGACGCGGATTCAAGTGAGGGGTTTGCTGGGTTCATGTGGAAGTGACCCAGCGAAGGGGAGGGGGGTGGGGACCTCCGGAAAGATAGCTTGCGCCCGGGCCAGGGGCAATGAGAATGAGGAAGCGGCATGGCTTCGGGAGCAGTGACAATACGAGGACAATTCGGGTGAGTCAAGGTGAACGCATTGGTTTGCAAGTGCAGCGATTCGCCATGCGCTTTGACGTGGGGGCAGCGATGTGAAGGTGAACGCACGACGGCATTTGCGGGAAAGCGCGACCGGGTGCCATTCCGACCAACAATGTCTCCACAGGTCATCGGACATCCATCACACCACCAAGCACCCCAGATTCTCATACCCCGCGCTTCCACCGATCCTGCAGGTACCAACGTTTCCAAGGCCTACGCATTGCCTCCCACGACACAAGGGATCTAGTTGTGAAAACACCGTGGCCCGTTCAATACGCCTACGTCTACCGATCTACCAAGGATGTTCGAAGTACGAGACCACCAGTGTATTAGCCAAGCGTAGGCTGCTAACAATTCCATAGGGACGCCACGCAGCAGATAGATATCATCTACGCTTGCATCGAGCTCGCTCAGTAATACTCTCTGGGCCTGAGCTGGTCGAGATTCGTGCGGCTCAAAGGACGTTCGAGGGAGCCTACATCCGTACTGCCCTTGGCCAGTTCTCCTTCGCACTTATTGTGCTCAAGATCTTCACGGCCGAATTCTACTCTATCGGTGCCTTGTTTGCCGTGTACGGCGCGGGCATACTGTTCACGAGCCTGTTCCGACGCCAGCAAGGTAAAAAAGACAGTGACGTGACTGCAAACAGTAGTACTAACAGCGCATAGGAAACAAACAATTCTTCTCTGAAATAGGCGAAGATGGTTTGCATCGCAAGAAGTTCAGGACGAGTGGCAATGTTGTGTCCGTCTTGACTGCGCTCAGCATGGCAGCATACATTTGCCTGCTTGTCCTCACGCTGAGGCTCGACACCTAATTTGGAAGTACATGCGATGACCGCAGCTCTTCCGCCAGGTGACTTCCTGCGGAGCCTGGCACGGGAATCCGCACGCAGTGGCTCCCAGGAGAGACATACGAGCATTTTGGTCTCTTATTCAAGTCATCTGCCGTTTTGCCCAAGGAAACCGACGCAGCGGACTGCCATTTACTTCATGCCCAGACTGTCTGTGACCAGGCGGCATGTAACCGTGGCCTCGACACAGATTGCACGCCAAGGACTTGGGCGTAGTACCTCTATATTTCTGATGTTGGGTCAACCGCGTCAGAAGGGCCGCTCGATTGCAAGTCAGAGCGTGGAATGTGTTGCGGCGGTGTGAGAGGGGAGTTTGGTCGACAATCGATGAATACTCCGACTTCATGAGCGCACGTTGAGACAGGGTAGTGTATATGCTCTGCGATTAGGTCCATTGGAGGCTTACACTATGCACCTTCGGAGGCCTCTTAGGGCAACCGCAAAGCGTGCGCAGATTGATTAGGGCGGTGAATGGACGCGGGGAAGCTGTTCCCACGCACATCGTAACCTGCAGCGCACGTCTGACCACAAAGGTTACTGTTCTCGGCGGCATGGCTGCATACACGTGTATAAAGAGCAATCCGGCCGGACCGGCTTCCGGTGGGTTGTTGAGACCGCTGGTGGGCAAGCCGAACGGTGGTAGACCAGCGGAGTCATAATTCTTTTTCCACGTCGCCCTTGATAGTCCAACGAAGCGCGGCAGCTGCGACGTGCACCTTCCAACAGAACACACGCCAACCGCACCGCACACCCCAAATCGACGCGCCTCACCTACAATACTCAACATCACCTTGGCATCCTAACGCGGACATAGATACGGTTGCCCTCAGCGGATCCGTCCGCCAGCGTCGGCGTACCTGGTTAGGCTAGCTCCGTCTGGGCATTTCTAGCCCCAGAGCCTCATCGAGCATGGCTGCTCTACCGATCACGATCGCTGCAAGTACACCTCATACGCAAGAACGTCATCCCTCAACTTTCACAAACTCGACCCCACGCCGTACCAGCCAGCACTCCCAGCACTCCCTCATTGCCAAAAACGTGCTCATGAGCAAGCTCTCGACTTTCGAAAACGCTAATCTCGACGGCGAACCCCCGCGTCCCGCATCTGCGCTGCCCACGCTGTCCAGCACGGACAAGACAAAACCTCCTCCACCCAAAAATGCGGCCGAAGAGGGCAGTCTGAAGCCCCTGCCGTACGTACAAGCCCATCATGGACCGCGCCCGGCATTGGCACCATTCTCTAAAGATGGTGTTGGTGCCGCTTTGAGTGACACACCCGCGCCATCGCAACCAGGTAGCCCGCGAATGTCTGTCTCACCCTGCGCAACTACTTATATGTGTCACTCAACTGACGGAAACAGGCTCGCTGCCATGCGCATGACCTCCGGTGGCTCGACACCTCGCATACGTCCTACAACGCTAGACATCCCCGGTTTGACCAAGTCGAAGGTTTCCCCGGACGGCAAGATTGCTCAGCGAGATGTTGGATCAAAGCTCGTCATCGTTATGGTCGGCCTCCCAGCACGAGGCAAGAGCTACATAACGAAGAAAATGGCACGCTACTTGAATTGGCTGCAGCACGACACCAGAATTTTCAACGTTGGTGAAAAGCGCCGTGTGGCAGCGAGCGGTCACGGCATGCGCCTATCATCCGCGGGGCTCGAAAGAATTCCCTCCGGCCTTAGGCAAGCCGTTGAGAACGGAGATACGCTGCCCCAGATAGCCGCTAAAATTCTGATCAACGGCGAATCCTCGGGTGGTTCATACTCTCCACTCAACTTGCCGAGTCCTGCCGGCGAACGCAGCGAGTCAGCTGTAGTAGACGATGATTCGCAGGAAAAGACATTGTCGCCAGCAAAGACCCCGTCTCCAGCCAAGACACCGCGCGTTGAAGTATCCTCACCAGGACCAGAAGCACCTACACCTGCGGAAGGAGAGGAGAACAAGGAAGATGAAACCGATCCAATGGACCAGTCTGCGAGCTTCTTCGACCCTGCCAATAAGAAGGCAGCTCAAATTCGCGAGCAATGCGCCATGGAAACACTGGACGACCTCCTCGACTGGGTGGTAAAAGGGAGTGGCTCGGTTGGTATATTCGATGCTACGAACAGCACTCTGCCACGCCGAAAACAAATCATGAAAAAGATTCGTGAGAGAGCTGGAGATGAATTAAACGTGCTTTTTGTGGAATCGGTGTGCCAGGACAAAAATCTGCTCGAATCGAACATGCGCCTAAAGCTATCTGGTCCAGACTATGAAGGCAAAGATCCAGTCGCTGCGCTGGAAGATTTCAAGAAGCGTGTAGCCATCTACGAGAAGAATTACGTACCCTTAGGTGATTACGAGGAGGATCACAACATGTCGTATGTCAAGATGATTGACGTGGGTCGCAAGATGATCTCGCATCAAGTCAAGGGGTTTCTCGCAGGACAAGCAGTATATTATCTACTCAACTTCAATTTGGCGCCGCGCATGATCTGGATCACTCGACATGGCGAGTCGATGGACAATGTTGCCGGAAAGATTGGAGGTGACTCTGATCTAAGCGCCAACGGAGAGAAGTACGCCAAGGCAATGACACGCTTCATCGACAAGCAACGGAAAGAATGGGAAATTCATCGTGCTGACAAGATCGCGCACACACATTGGCCTCCGGTAGCAGGAGATCACACACCGCCTAATCCCTATTTTGGAAGCGATACTGAGCTGAAGAACTTTTGTGTGTGGAGCAGTATGCTCAAGCGGAGTGTACAATCAGCTCAATATTTCTGCGACGAGGAATACGAAGTCAAGCAGATGCGTATGCTTGACGAGCTGAACGCCGGTTTTATGGAAGGCCTCACCTACGAAGAGATACGAACAAAGCACAAGGAGGAGTACGAACGCCGTCGAGCGGACAAGATTTCCTACCGTTACCCTGGTCCCGGCGGCGAAGGCTACCTCGATGTCATCAACCGAATTCGTCCTGTTATCGTCGAGCTTGAGCGTATGACTGATCACTGCCTACTGGTCACCCATCGGTCGGTTGCTCGCGTTCTGCTAGCCTACTTTCGGGGTTTGAAGCGCGAAGACGTGGCAGACCTTGACTGTCCGCTTGGGATGCTCTACCAGCTGGAGCCTAAGCCCTACGGCGTGGAATTCAAGGCCTGGCGGTACAACCCGGATACGGATGATTTCGACCACCTTCCAGACTACAAGCTTCGACGCGCGAATGCGCCCGCCATTGAGATCTAAGACCTCTTATTCCCTTCACCTTCGCACTCAGGTGATCAGACTGGATTAGGATGGTTCTCGGGCCGTCATCTTTGTATTACTACGAACAACTTCCTTTACCACCTCCTCTCTTTGTGCTGCATATGGAACCAGCTTTATGATTCTTCCCCGCCTTATGACTCATAAGGCATTTTTGCTTTACATTTACGTTTCTTTTCATCCCCTGCATTGCCGGCGTTGGAAGATGTGTCGCAACTGGCAAATGAGATTATGAACTGGCATTGTGATATCCTCAGGCTTGGAACAACAATAGACTTTCTCTAGGGTATGGTCGGTATTAGTAAGACCTTGCCCGTAGCACGGATAACGAAGGGCTCTCAATCTCCTGCTTCCTTTGCACGTTGTGTCACCTCTTTATGCCGTGTGACTCTTCTGTGCATGCTCACGGAGAATACTTGATGTACTAGATTAAGCTGGATTTGGACGTATTACTTGGCTGCATTATGAGCCAACGAAGTTGACAGCTACTTCGACTCGCGTCTTTCCATATTCACACCACCTTACCCCACGATCGACCCAGCCCTCTGCTTCTCCTCGTACTGGTGGAACACGGTCGTGTTCTCCAAAGCCTCACCCTCGAACACATCAATGTGCATGTTCGCAAATTTCCTTGCAGGAACCTTCTTCTCAAAGAGCAGATCTAGCTCGGCAAACGTCCTCCCCTTCGGCTCCGGCAACCTGAAGTACGTATAGATAATGCAGCAGAAGCACAGCCCTGCCCAAAAGAAGCCGGTGAAATTCTGCCAGTTCCAATACTCAGGGTTAAGCATGTACGGCGTGACTACGTTGGTGACGATGGCAACGATGTTGTACAGGTTGCGCCCCAGGACAACGGTCTTGATCGCCAGACGGCGAGTGGAGAGCTCGGCGACGAGGGAGTAGCACACGGTGCCGACGGTGAGCTGGTAGAACGCAGCCCAGATGATCATGATGGAGCCGGTCGCCATGGCGCCTTGCTGGCGGTGCGATTCGGGAACCAGGCCGAGGAATCCCATAATGAAAAGCATCGTGCAAAGTCCGCAGAGACCACCGAGGTACAGCGTTCGTCGTCCGAGCCCGATCTTCATCAACCACCACGCGCCGAAGACACCGGCCATGTTGATGCCGTACTGGCCCATTGCGAAGTCGTACGAGGTCGAAGGCGGGAGGCCAGCTTGTTGCAGGAAGTAAGACGAATAGCCGGAGAAGGCATTGCCGCTGAGATTCTGGATCGCCCAGGCCATGCAGACGATTTCCGTGCGGCGCAAATCGGTGCCTTTGAAGCAGTCCAGGTAGGAAGCTCCTTGGGTGATCTTCTCTTCAAGTGCTGTCGTGTGGACCATCATGGCAATGGTCTCGTCGGCGTCGAAGTTGGTTTCTCGATCTAGGCTTGTGAGACGCAGGAGCGCTCTCTTTGCGTCGTCGATGCGACCTCTGCGGACCAACCACCACGGCGATTCCGGGGCAAGCCATACTCCAATAAGGAGAGGAACAGGCCACATCCACTGCAGAGCGTAGGGGATGCGGTAAGACCATTCGTCGTCGCGGTTGACCATAGATCGAATGACGCCAATACCGATAACCTGTCCCAGGCCCCAGCAGAAGTTGACATATGTCGTGACTGTGAGGCTGTTAGCTTCCCAACATAAATCCTCAGTTTGTGGTACACTTACGGTACCCACGCAGAGCGACCGGGCAGACCTCAGACGCATAAGTAATCGTCAATGTCTGAAAGACCCCCCACGGTATTCCGCACAAGATCTCGCCAACCAACAAATGCTCCACCGTCTGCGCCGTAAAGAAAATAGACGTAAACGCAATAATAAGCGTCAAGCAGGCCATAACCGTATACCTATACCCGAACCTCTCGCTCACATATCCATTAATCATCAACCCAATGATCTCTCCGCAAGTGACACCATTCTGCAACCCCGCCTGCCACGGGGCGGAAATCTCGTAGGTTCCATCCGCAAGCTGATGACCATACTTTTTCTTGAATTGCGGGAACCCAAAGAAGTTCGAAAGGAGGCAAACATCGTAGCCTTCCATGGCAATACACGTCGAGATGAGCAGCGACCACCCCACCGCCTTCGGATACAGCTTGATGCCCTGCCACAAGCTCATCGCATGCTCTTTCTCCGTCGCAAGCCGCGCATCATTGATCACCTTGTCATGCCGCTTTTGGTGCTCGGTCCGGCCGCCCACGGGCTCGTCCACGTCTTGAGGTTGAATCTCCTTCTCGGCCATCTTCTCTCAACAACGCGCAGAGTTCAACAAGACGGTGGGTCGGGTTCCAGTATCCAGGGCAGGGGGAGGCGCGAACCTGGGGAATGGGACATGGTGAGGTTGCACCGAACTTTAAAGGTAGCGTGCTAATTTCAAATTTTTGCGGGGTGAACGTTCGGGACGGGTCTCGTGCGTGCTTGCGGCGTGAGGGGTACGTGATTGGAGGAATGTCGTTGTCACCTTCCTGCTTTTGTGTTAGATCGCTGGGCCGCTAGTGCGTGCTGGTTGCCGAGGGCTCGGCGGGCGGGTACGTGCAGAGTCCGGTATGCTTTGTGGCTTTCCCTAATTTCGAGTGCGTAGGAATTGGCGGTGTGCGGGGTCTGGAGTCGGTAATTGTAGGGTTGATATTGTGTAGTTGACGCGGCAATCGACATTCGACTGAGCCAGGATTGTGGCAATTCACAGGTGTTTGCCGAAGTCTCGGAGAGTTCACGGCAAGACATCGAGGCAAGCTACAAGGTGGATCCATGTGGCTACACTACTATGTCAGAAGTTCGGGTACATTTTTACTCGTCTCACGGTGGTCATTAAGCGTGGATTTGGAGGCTTTTGAGGAGGCACATGCATTGAAGTAGTGCTCTTCAAATTGGACTCTATTTCTACGATAGGTGTCAAGGCACCTCTACTGGCACCTCTTTGCTATGCCGTGTCGATACTTTTTCGTTCGGCTTCTCTGTCTGAGGGATTGGCGACGATACATCCTCGCTACTTCGCTCCACCAACCGCCCTTTATCCCCATGATGACCTTGGGTACCAATCGTCAAGAATGGTACCAACACAACGCCCAAAGCAGCCATGCCTGCCGCGAACCAGAACGTCGAAACATACGGCTGTATAGGATCGTTTGCGTAGTAACCAGAGTTAGAAGGGCTCTGCTGCACTGCATCGAAGATGGCTGTTGCAATACCAAAGCCAACAGCTTGGGACAGACGAGTGAGCGTTTGCAGCAGCGAACCTGCGATTGATTGTTTTTCTGAAGGCATCGACGACATGACGTACATCTACCATTGTCAGCTCCATAAGAAAACCCAGAAGTCCTCCAGGTACTTACGTTGGTGACCACGAACTGAAAGTCGGCACCCACGACTATCAGGCATAATCCCGGAAAGGAGAACGCCCAATACGAATCCCCCCACCGTTGTACAGCTATGAGCACAAACGAGACGACGTAGGCAAAAGCCCCGATGCCCATCAGTAACTTATTGGACACTTTATGTTGGATGAGGGCCCCAATAATATTTACGAGAACACCGCAGACAAACATGGGTAGCATATGCACACCAGTCATGAGGGCATTGTACCCTTCAAACCTCTGGAACCAGAGAGACAGCCAGAACGTGGAGACAGGGAAGCCAATGAAGCCCAAAGATACGATAGCGAGCAACTAGATTGCGGTTAGTAATCGTGGTACAATTATACTGGGAAGGCCTTACGAGTGAAAAGTCCCTGTCTCTCCATATTCTCATATCAATCATGGCGTACGGGTACCTGATTTCCCAGAAGATGAATGCAATGATCAGGAGCGCGCCGAGGATGAGCAAAACCAGAACGTAAGGAGTCTTCCAGCCATTAGGTGCATCGCCACCAAGTCTACTTCAGATTAGTACTGCCCATGTACCCTAGAAATTGCGAACTTACGTCAGAGCTGCACAGAACATGCCGATGCCCAGAATTGTCGTCAAAGTCCCCGGCAGATCCAGTCGCTTGAGCGTCTCGCGATTGAATGTAACCTTCTTCGCATGATCGCTCGGCACAAAAATTGCAGCGAGGATGCTGATAATAAGGTACACAATCGCCAGTAGCCAGAACGCAGCTCTCCAGTTGAAAAGCTCGGTCGCAAGCCCCGAGAAGATGATACCGAACACGAAGCCCAAAGGATTTCCTGCACTGAAGCACCCGAACGCTTTGTTTTTGCGCTGCGATGGTTTGTCGTAGATAGTACCCAGCATGCCTTGAGCAGAGGGTACAGCAGACGCACTAAAAATCCCCAGTATCCCGCATAAAGTATCAAGCGTTAGCCCATCCTTAGAGAAGCCTGCACCAAGGCAGAACACCGCGAAGAGGAACATCGAGCCAATGAACATAGTTTTTCTCCCAAACAGGTCAGCGACACTACCAAAGAAAAGAAGCAAGGATCCAGAAGCAAGACTGATTTTGGGTCAGCAATGGGGGAGTTGAAGTCAACGAATGATGATAAGTACATACGAGGTTGCTGCATTCATCCACGTTATCTCCGCGTTAGACATATCCAAATCTCGTCCTGCGAATGTCGAACAGACGGTCACACTCCCAGACAAGAATGCCGACATAGCTACAGCCATGGTGACCGAAATCACGAACAACACCTCCTGTACCGTCGAACGAAAGCATTCCGGTCGCGCGTTCGGGTCTCTGATTGGTTGGGAGGTTGCATCGACAGGATTCGGCTCCTCAGCGGCCATCTTGATAGTATTTACAAAGGACAATGGCCGACCAACAGAGCCTCAGGTTTGCACACCAGAAACATTATATATGGGTGATTTCTATGACTCGCGCGAAAAAGGATAAATGTGGTTAGTTAGATTTCGTCAGCACGGAATGCGAACCGCTATCGGACAATCCTTCCATCTTTGGAGGCGACCAACACGTGTGTGGGGCGCTCACAGTGATGGGTTTATTGAATTGGCCAATACTGTACACTCTCTCGATTGTGCGAGATCCTTGTCGCTGAACAGAGACGTGGGACTGTCATTTGGTCAGTATACATTGAGCTTGAAAGTGTATGATCAAACCGTCATAGGTATCTTGCACATTCTCGCAATCTATAGGTCGCCCAGGTGTAATCTCAATTTCTGTACTGATCTCCTAGTCAAATCCACCCTACATTCGCGCCGTTACAATTGTTACACAAGGTCAAGCAGGAAGGAGGTGCAAAGGCGTTATTGTAGGGATACCGTGCGAATGAGCACACGTGATTACGTGATCAGTACTCTAACCTGAAGTAGGAATAGTTCCTCATTGTTCCGAATCTCGAATATCTTTCCGAACAAAACCTTAGCCTTCAGCCTGTGAGATTCACGTCCTGCAATTGAGCGCCTCATGTCTCGACTCTCTCGCATAAGGGGCCCCCGTCCTCTATACATATGCGCCGCTACAATCGCAGGCGGAGCAGCGTACCGCTTCCTCCAGCCCGAGTCCTCCAACGCGTCGCTACACCCGCACGACTTCGCACCATACATCCTTGTCGACAAACAACCCGTCTCCTCCACAAGCGCGATATTTACGCTACACGACGGCTTCGGTGTGCCAGAGCCAGACAGTGTCACAGAAGCTCGGAAACGTGGCGTATGGAGTGTGCAGGCAAAGCAGCCGCAGCTCCAGATCGCAAGGGCATATACTCCGCTCCCGAGCATTTCAGACGAGGCGGACGAAGTTGACGGGCACAATTTGCGGTTTCTGATACGGAAAGAGACTGGCGGGGAGATGTCCAACTACCTGCATCGGCTTCCGGAAGGGTCGACGATCGAGCTTCGAGGGCCTACAGTAGAGTACAAGCTGCCTCAGGATGTCAAAGAGGTCATCTTTCTAGCTGGTGGCACAGGTATAGCCCCTGCGATGCAAATCGCACAGGCTTTGCAGAGGTCGCCAGGGAGCACAATGCATCTGCTGTGGGCGAATAGACGAAGAGAGGAATGCGAAGGTGGGCTTAATGATGCGACGGTAAATACAAGTGGGCAGCAGTCTTCATGGTGGAAAGGCTTACTCGGTCTGGAACGAACCGCTGCGCAGAAGCTACCTGTAGGTACGCCGAAGACTGCCAACAAGGGTTTGATCGTGCAAGAAATAGAAGCTCTCAAAGAACGAAGTCGAGCCGCAACCGGGGAACTGAACGTACAGTACTACGTCGACGAAGAGAAATCTTTCATCAAGCCTGGCGATTTGGCAAGGCAAATGCATACCGAACCAGTAGATGGGGCCGGCTCGCGCCTGATCCTCATCTCCGGACCAGACGGCTTTATCGAGTACTGGGCGGGCAAAAAGCTCTGGGTGGATGGACGAGAAGTGCAGGGTCGGCTCGGAGGAATGTTGGCCAAGATGGACTTGAAGGACTGGAAAGTCTTTAAACTTTGAGAAGTACGTTACTTGGAAGATACCCCATTAGATTTTGATACAATGTACAGCATCATGTAATATAGCAGACGAACGATATCATCCATCGATGTCCGACGAAGCCGACTTGGACAAAAAGAAGTTCGAACTAAAATAGAAGAGGAGACGCAAGACGCAGCCGGCGCCGGAGAACGGTGTCACTGTGTCGTGATATCTAGCATTAACTGCGGAAACTTGCGCGAGCTGTTCAGAAGCCTATTTTTGCTGTTAACAATAGCCAAGAACCTTCGCAGAAACTTGGATAGATAATGTCAGAGACACTGGGGTTTGCAAAATAAAGGTAGAAGAGTAGAAGGACGTCGCCCTCGCTCCGCGGGACAATCAACCAATCGAAAACGATCTCTACGAGACACTCTTCCTATCGGGCAATTCGTGAACGCCAAGTATACCGTTTTCCATGGCGTTTCCTACAATCTGCATGAACGATACAACCACCTTCCTAATCTAGCAGTGATCGTGCAAATCATATCAGATCTTCACAATGTCGCGATATACTATTCTACGCACTACCCATGCACCTACATGGACACAAGAAATTGTTTGAATGAACATAAATAACCAGCTTATCGCAAATCAATCATGTAGGGAGGAGCAACCTTTGACCACCTCCCATCATGCGCCTCACCAGCCTCTTCTCCGTTGCTCTTGCAGCTACCACTGCCTTGGCTTTTCCATACACTAAGTCCGCAACTCGCGATTCAAACACGACCGTGGGTCCAGAAAATGGCCACCTCGTAATCGTCGGTGGCAATCTCAAGAGCGAAGCCATCTATCAGCGCATTATATCCCTTGCCGGCGGGTACAACGCCTCCATCGTTGTCGTCCCTACTGCAGGTGGCGAGGCATCCTACGACCAGAACTTCTCCACCGCAATTACCTTCCGCGAACTTGGCGCCACCAATGTAACCGTCTTGCATACCTACGACCCCGCTGTTGCCGACACAGATGACTTCGTTGCGCCGCTCAAGAGTGCCAACGCTATCTTCTTCGGCGGAGGCCGGCAGTGGAGACTCGTTGATGCATACGCCGGGACGAAGACCGAAACAGCGTTTAACGAAGTCCTCGGTCGTGGAGGCGTGATCAGTGGATCTTCCGCAGGCGCTTCTATCATCGGGTCTTTCCTCGCTCGCGGCGATACGTCTGGAAATGACATCCTGGTCGGCGACCATACCGTTGGCTTCGGATACCTCAAGAACGCTGCTATTGACCAGCATGTCCTTGTTAGGAACAGGCATTTCGATATGTTCCAGATTCTGGAGGTGCAGCCTGAGCTGTTGGGTATTGCAATCGATGAAGACACGGCTGTGGTTGTGCATGGGAACGACGCAGAGATTGTTGGGAGTACGTATGCATTGATTTATGATGGGGGTTTTTGGTCGAGGGATGGGAGTGGGGGGAAGTATGATCTTCCGGAGAAGAAGTTTTACTTTTTGAAGGCTGGGGACAAATATGATTTGGGAGCGAGGAAGGTTGTTGAGACGGAGGCGACTGGAGGGGATGAACTTTGATGGTCTAATAGCAGGAAACGTTACATTTGTTCCTATCGAGATTTCATGAAGATGTTCTCAGATCTGAGTCTATGTTGTAAATCCGGTTCTATTGAGGAACATTCCATCCTTTGATCAAGGGTGCAATGCTTTCAAGCCTTCCGTCGCTGCTTCTTTACCCTTGCCTCCGTTGTCGACGCAGAGACTGGCGTTCCAATTGGAGTTCCACCACGAGGAGTAAATGTCCCGTAACCTTGGAAAGGTGGCGACTTCATTGCTGAAATGGCAAAATGCTCACCGAGCCGCTCTCGGACGTATTCCTCCATCTTCTCCCGCTGTAGCTTCATATGATCTGCGTTCATTTGCATTGACTTGTCGACAGTGCTTGCGACCCAATGCTGCAGGTGCCTCAGCTCCGACCTAGTTACCCAGCCGTTCTGAGCCTCAACATCACTGTCGTCATTAGCCGAGAGTTTCTCGATGTAAATGCTTGCGGCAAAAGTGCCGATAAGCGAGATCACACCGCAGAAACCGAAGATGGCCAAGATGAGGAAGAGCTCGTCGTTGTTTTGCGAAGCAAAAGTATTCATGGTGGTATATTCGGGATAAAGTCAACTTTGAGAGCTTTTTTCTTACACCACAGAGTAATTAGTATGACAGGAGGAGCAACTTTTGCATTGTACACTTTCCTAGAGACTAATAGCGCACAATGTTGAAAATAGTAAAAATCGCTCGGGTCGAGTTGGCTGAGGTTACCCAAAATAGTCCTCGTATCTAGCTTCTGTGTGCAATTGTTAGGCAGGCAGGCGCATTTCCAATCATATCTGTTTGGGAGTGTCTCTCTCTCAAACGCGACAAAAGGGACGCACGCATCGACCCGAACTCGAAGTGAAACTTCGAGTCACAAAGTCTATTATTATTTGAAAGACCAATTATGCATATTGTCTAACATAGTGGTCCACGCTCCGAAAGCATTGGTGAAATTCGCACCGTATCCCGCACGTGTGTGCAAGTTTGGATCACTCGAGAGATTTTCATGCTCCGCTCTGCCTTTATAGGTATACGCTTCCCCCTTTGGCCTTTTCTATCAACCCGCCGGTGCGTGCATTGCAACCTCTTTCCAATCGTAACCGCCACCATGAGCCTGTCACGGCTTATTGGTTTCGTCTGTGGTCGTACTCGCCGCATCTTTATCTATATCAAGGAAGAGTTCAATGTCATTCTTCGGAAGGTTTTGATGTACAATGAGGCGAGCCATCTACCGGAGGTACTAGCTACTCACAAGCTGCTGCTAGGCAAGGAGTGCCCTCTTGACGTTCACTTTGGAAGTCTGAACATCCACACTGACCCGCTCTACTACCAGAACGTCGAAAATAGTAGCGCTTATCCTCTTACGTCTTCGAACTACTTACCAGGCATGGATGTCGATCTTGCCTCGAAGAACCGTCCGAACGGCTACGCAAGGATGCGGGACCTAAATCCTTACGAGCAACAAGAGCTTCAGAGCCTCCGAGCCGAGCACGATATAGCCAATGCATCATACACGAGCGCGTCTCCCATAGGCCGAGGCAGTCGATTCGGAGTGCCTGGCATGGGTGATCGCACTGGAGCCCACCGAACCATGGGAGACCGAGCTGCTACCCTGCACAGCTGGGACCATCGAGCGGCGAGGCCAAGTCCATGGGTTGCTCGCAGCACACAGAGTAACCCTATGGGTTGGGGAAATGGACCTGCTTTCAGCAATCTGCGAATTGGAGAGCAGAACACGTCCGCATCTCACGGGCAGACTCCCAGCACGCATTCTCGATATCCACCCGGCATGCAAGTTGATCATGATCGGGATGACTATCGTATGGGACGAACGGAACTCGATGATCTCTACTCACCCAACAGCGTTCGCCGTCATTCGCCAGTGTATCCGCCTGGCATGAACGTTGATCCCCTTCAAAGTGCCCAAAGGGCTTTCGGCGAGATGCACATTGGTGATGAGAGGCTATCAACTTCCAATCCCGAGGGCCCTTTCCTTCCGGGTATGGGTCCCCACCATGTATTTTCCCGTTATGGTACAGAGGTCATGTAGAATAAAGAAGAGAACCGCTCTCGGTGTGGTTCGTGGAGCAAGAGATATGCGTACCCTGCACCTCCGTTGCGAAAGGGCGCTTCTCTTTTGGCCGGGTTATCAAATTACTCGGATTTCTTCTGCTTACCTAGGTAGTTCTGTTGTCTGGTGGGTAACGGATAGAGAATGGCCAGTGCGCTGCGAGAACGGGTGCCTACAGTAGTATCATAATATGGCTTGCAAACACAACACAAAAATGGAACGTACACAAAGAAGTGCGTCCTTTATCTTTTCCATGCCCTTCCCTTGATTTAGAGGAAGACAGCGAGAGTTGGCGTCTGGCGTACAGCACCAGCGCAATAGTATGAAGATACGTCAAATGCGAAGTCAACCAGGTCAGAACATTCAGAGGCTCTTCTCCAATGCTATGTTGAGCCTGTGCACTTCAGCGGTGAGCAGGCACCCATGCGGAACACGTGGACCTATCAACAGTGAGCTCCTGAGCTATCAGAGATAAAGTTGATTTTTCTTTCGCCATCGGTCCCACCAAGCAACCCGAACTCCACTGTGGTGCGTACGCAGGCCTTGTTCTATTTATGCTCTCACGTCACACTCAAGGTTACCTCCCGCCACTCAAGATTGTCTCCACCCTCGACTATCTCAACCATGTATCGCGACAAATTGGCTTTCGAACTCTTCATCGAGAAGATGTGGAACGCAATCGGTATCAGCATCACCGAGCTCGTCAATGACACTTGGCTCGAAGTCCTCATTCTTGACCTGGTCGGCCAACTCGCCATCGTCGTAGTGATTGCTTCGATACTCGCTCTCTGCGTGGGACGCGTCGACTTCATCGGGAATGTTTTTGCGAGTACGGGTCTTAGGAACTTCGCCCCTTCCCACGGCGCGCCTATCCAGGGTAGCGGTGGAGGCGCGAATGGCGGCAACACTTCGGACGACATATACCAAGGAGACGCCGCTGACCACGACGATGATCCGCATGACGGGCACAATAAAGAGGGTGCAAAGCTCACAAACTGGCACCGGGAAGTGCACCTTACCTCGACACCAACGAAAGCTCCATCCATAGTGCCTCGTGCGCAGCCTCAGCAGGACTCCAGCATGCTCGTCGAACACGATGTAAACACTCTAGACCTCCTCAAATATCAGACGCCCCTTCGACAGACCGGCCATGCGACAAATGAGGGAGACACGGACACGATAAGGAAGAGGAAGGAGCAGTTGGACCGGCTTAGGATGTGGTCGTAGCCAGTGCGCTATTTCAGTGCATGTCTGTGTGATGAGAAGTAAGTTTCTGCCAGAAATACGGAGCGTGTCCTTTGGACTGCCAGGAGGATGAATTTGTTTTGACGTTTATAGTGCTCGAAAACAGGTAATCATGTTGGCCTCCGAGAGTCGACGATATGATAACAAGTTGATGGAAGTGAACGACATGCGGCTGTGGCACTTCCAAGATTGTTGGGCCGCATCTGGGCACGTTGGAATTAGTAGAACAAGCCGATAACTCCAGACGTACTCCAGATTAACAAACAAGATCCCGCTCGATTCTCTTTGAACTGTTGTGAAAATAACCCTTGCACTGTCGTTCTCGCTCATCGGACTTTTGCCTGCTGGATAACTCGATGTGTATGTGTATATTTTCCACTCGAAGCCCACGACTCTACTGACAGACCCTGAACAAAGTGTTCTGGGCCGCATAGCAAACGAGAATCCGTACGGTGACTCCGTTCTTTAAGGACCACATATAGTCGAGCTCACCGGCGACTGAAGCAAGGGCAAAGAAGAAGGTAATGTTGAGGGTCGCATAGAGAGCGATATAAAGGGTGACGGCCGCGGACCTTTATCTCATCCTAGACTTGCTCGCTTGGCGGGTGTCCATCTCTAGTACTATTGACGCATCCAAATCGGCTTCATCCTAGCTGCGTGTCCAATGGACTAGAGCTCTTTTTGACAGCGGATTAATGTGTTATTGTCTGCAAAATCTTCTACCTACTTAGGCAATCGTGTGCGGGTACGTTCGTTCGCAAGTGAGATGTTCCGCCTTCAACTGTGGCCTACACGAACCCTCGACATGAAATCGAGAAAAGAGTATCGTATAATGATGGCCACTTATTATTTTGGCCTACTGCTAGCTTGGGTCGTGCGAACGGATACCCAGGTGTGGTACTGACAAACAGAACCAAGGGTACGACATTTCCCAACCAAATATTACCCTCGTCACTCGTCAGTCTCAACCAGGTGCGTTCCATTGGTAGCCTGTACTCATCCACTCCGCTTCTGAGTTGGCTTGTTGGAAAAAAGAAGATAAAAAATAATCACTTTTTACCCTCCAAAGATAGGATGTATTTAAGGAGCCACGCGCCGGTCGCTTGTTGCTCTTTACAGAAACATCACCACACCAAGTTTTCACACTACTCTTCGGACTACCACTCTTCGGACTACTACTCTTCGGACATACCAGAAGTAACATAAGCACCCTCTTAACCTTACACATACCATCATGGGTGTCCTAAAGGCCCTTGCCGTTGTTGGCTTTGCTTGCACTCAAGCTGTTCTCGCCGTTCCCGTTCAAGAACCACAGCCAGCAGCCGACGGCCTCACCGAGCGCGAGTTTTACGCTGGAGACTTGGCGATGACCGAAAAACTCTTGTTTTATACGTCTCTCCCGGATTTCATGCAACATTGGCATGCACAGGACCCTGCCGACTTGTATTGGCGTTCCGATGCATGCTCCCATGCGCCCGATAAGCCATTCGGATTCAACTGTAGGTACTCCGGCCCTTCAATAACTGCCCTTTACTAATAATCTACAGTCAAAGATTCATGTCGCCGCCACGACTTCTGCTATGCGAACTTGTATCGACAGAACCGTTTCACTGACATTGCGAAAGAATATTGCGACGGTCAGTTCCTCGAGGACCTCGAAAACGAGTGCAGCAGCCATGAACATGATGAAATGTGCAGAGGCGTGGCCAAGGTGTATGCGGGCACGGCTGCATTGTTTGGAGGCGATTCCATTGGAAAACACAACGACGTGAAGAAGGTTTGGGACAAATTCGAGAGTATCCAGCCTCCAACCACGATGGTCTGCAAGGACGACAGCGAATGGAGTAGCTCAAGGCGTTCCAGAAAGCGAGCGATCCAGTGCAGGGAGATTCCGATCGACTACAGCAAGTCGACCTATTTCCCTTGCCGGGGCAACAGGGGCATACCTTGCGATCACATCGTCCCAGATAAGAATTACATCTACGAGGATTGCGATGCGAATGGACGCAACTGTATCGTGTCCTTGGCGCCTAGCCCTCCGCAAGATTAATGACAACACCAGTGGTCCTTTGCGGTTGCTGCAGTTGAAGGTCTTGCTCTCGATTCGCAGGTAACACTGCGTTCGACTCGATGGTATTCTGTTCTGTGTTTTTTCATTGGTTCGAACTCTTGAAGCAAGGCTATTCTTCTGGTTCTATGGTTGAAGTCGGGGCTAGGCGGCGTTAGTTAATGGAGTTAATATCTACTTGCCTTATGTACGCATTATTGTGCACCCTTTGCTTGTTGTCCGTGGCCAATTCTTGGGATGTGATGACGTATGTACCTTCTTCCCGTTGAGACAGCAGGAGGCTCCGAGGAGAACACCACAAACCAGTTCGTCGCTTTACATCCGGTAAGTTTATTCTCCACAAATGATGTCGGATGAGCGTGCACGACGTTCGCCGAGCGCCCACTGTGTTGTCGATATTAAGTTGACCCACTCGCCCGGTTTTCGTGAAACAAGCCCAGGCGAATAAAATGAATCGCTTGACGCCGACCATAGCCTTGCCGTGTTTCTTTGCAAGAGATATATGAAACCTGACTGGGGAAGTCGGCGTTCTTGACCGCATGGTTGGAAAGACGATATCACTACAAGTGAAGTGTTGTTGAGCTGGCGTGGAGACGCGTGTGCACGCTAGCTTCGTTGGAGCCTGGTCAACCTCGCCTTTCTCGTCTTGTACTACACAAAACGACCCTGCCTCATATCAAAGCCTTCGAGTCCCATCAGTCAAATCCGTCGCATCGTGTTGCCAGCGCAGCGATGATACAAGACGTCATCGAAAAGTCTAATTCACATCGACTTGGAATACCTCACCTAGGCCGATTTTCTTGACAATGAAGGTCCACCAGAGGCTCCTCATGCCATCGAGAGTTGACTCCAGAGCATGTGTCGATCATACAAGTGGGATCGTGCCTGCACTTGATGACCAGCATGTTGAAACAACGCACCCGCTCTCAGCCCTATCGATGCCTCCGAGAACAGGTCAGTGCCCTGGAACAAGCAGCCGTCCCTTCCACTGACAACGAAGCCTCGTGGGACCGGCAGTGGGACAGGGAAATGAGTGTGGGCATTGAACTACATGTTTGACATGCATAAGGGCTATTCGGCAAGCCATCATCATGTGCCTGTGGTATATAAGGTGCAACCTCAGCGCTACCTTCTAAATTCCTCACAGCATCTTGCAAGTCGCTCTTTTACATTCGTTTTCGACACTTCCGTTCATTTCGTTCTACTTCATCGACTGAAGCCAATTCTTCACACTCTTCGTTGATCTCGAAGCTTAGGCTATCCTTCCCCCACGCCACTCTCTCAAACACCAAACTCATTCGCAATGTCTTTCTCTAAGATCCAAGCCGCCGCTCTCGTCGGAGCTTTGGCTTCCTCTGTCTCCGCTCACGGCCATTTGAACGCCATCTCGGTTGACGGCACCGCATACACCGCTTACGACCCCAGCTTCCAGTACCAGAGCCCTGCTCCGGAGGTCATCGAATGGTCTTGCCCTGAGTGCTTGGACAACGGCTACGTCGAGCCGTCCATGTACGGCGATGCCACCAAGATTGCTTGCCACAAGGACGCCACTGCAGGTGCAAAGGTCGCCTCCGTCAAGGCCGGTGGCAAAATCGAAATACAGTGGACAACATGGCCTGACAGCCACAAGGTAAAATTCATGCAAGCTTCGGCTTTCCAACCCGCGCTCACTATCTTAGGGACCCGTCCTCGACTACCTTGCCAAGGTCGACGACGCGACCTCCGCTAAGTCCTCTGACTTGCAATTTTTCAAGATTGACGAAGCCGGTTATGAAAGCGACCAGTGGGCCACTGACAAGCTCATTGCCAACAACCAGACCTGGTCCGTCACCATACCGGCTGACATCGCTGATGGCCAGTACGTGCTCCGCCACGAGATTATTGCCTTGCACTCTGCACAACAGGAGAATGGCGCGCAGAACTACCCCAAGTGCATCAACATCGAGGTCACTGGTGGAGGCTCGTCCGCTAGCCCCACTGCCACAGCTGCCGACAAGCTGTACACCGAAACCGAGGCCGGTATCATGGTCAACATCTACACCGACGCTTCTAGCTACGAGATCCCGGGCCCGGCGCTGTACTCTTCCGCGGCTAAGAGATTCGTTGCCTTCGTCAAGAAGAGCATCTTCGGTCTTGGCCGTGAGCACCCGCGCGAGTTCTAAGTCCCCTAGACGATACCTGCAGCTTGTCCTAAGTTCTGGTCGGATGGCTTTCATGGGATTCGATCTGTTGCTTGGTGGTGATGAGATAGTGTCTTCTTCACTTCTGTTGTATATACTACCTTTCCAAACCTGCATGTTGGCACGACATACGGCCTCATTCATAGAATACAAATATGTTGCAAGCTCAATGACTTTCAGTGTTTTGCTCATGAGATAGTGACATGGTAATCGTTGTGATGAGGTTATAGCAATCAAACAGTCATGAAGCCGAAGCTCCCTCTGGTGTACATCGAGACTCATTATGGTATTTCCTCGTGCTTGGACTGAATGAATCATATCTCTTAATGCACAGATTTATGGCGACGATGTGAGCGACTGAAAGAGCCGAAAGCACTGTGTCTGGTGGAGGGTAGATTGAAGTATATGTTTGTCGAGGCAAATTACACACTCTCTTAATGCTCCGAGACGAATGCCAGTGCTGCCATGGAAATCCTTGTAGATTTAACTAGATCAGGAAGCAGAAGATTCTATCGGTTGAAGGGTCAGCTCACTAGCAAACGCAAACCCTTAACGGATAAGATACGCCGTGATGGCATCGTAGGGATCTGCATGTTGTATGAAGTAAGGCTGAAAATCGATTGGCCGTGTTGTCGGATAGTTTGTAAGCCCGCGCCATCACGTGGCTTAACGCCTGGGGCTGCACGCGGCGTCACCCGGGCGCCGCTTCCAGTCTTGGTGCCAAATTCACGACGCACTGCTTGGGCACAGCTTCGCCTTTCACCTTTGACCTCCCGCGACATATCCATATTTCCTACGCTCGCTATCTTATGGGCGCATCGCACGACCTGTTCGCCTCACCGATTCGTGAAACCTTCTACTTTCCACCGTCCTATCAGCCCGCTGCCGCGCACCTTCCAGCGCACGCGAGGCTACCATGTTCTGTCTACGGAGCTGGATTCCTGTTCTCTTCTTTCTGTAAGTCTGTCGATGCCGCATATCGAAGTGCGCATATTAATCTTATTGTCTAGGCTACGTACCAATGCCTCGCCCGTCTACCTTGTCCTCTTCATCTCCGCAACCTACTTCCTCAACCGTCCTTGCGTATACTGTTCGCTCCTTCTCTTCATTCTCGTCGTAGCGCTCTTCGATTTCCATACCCCTTGGTTCGAGGCGCCGCTGTCGACGGAAACTGCGGAGTTCGCGCTCAACGGCACGAGTCCGTTCCGGGACACCATATTTGAGACCGCGGGAGTGCTTGCGCAGGCCGCAAATAACACGGCACAGGCACTGCTGAAGGGCGCAATGGATAGCATGCGCAACAAGACGGCAGATGCGGTAGGGGCAAGCGGTTCAGGGAACTATGAGTGGGTAAAAGGTCTGGTGGGTAAGAAAGAGTGGAAGATCGAGTGCCTGGACATTTTGGTTCGAATATAAATATCTTTTGGCTACCCAGCGCATATATAAATGATGAAGGTCTGATTGACCGCGATACCCAGTTGTGAGTGCGGAGTCTCGTTAGGCCATGGCACAGGCGGTTGGCTTCAGCGTTGTTTATGGGCAATGTCAAGGCGCCCAGGTTTTGATACAAGGCATACACCTGGCGTTGGACAAGGCAGTGGGCTAGCAATGGCCATACGTGCCAAATTGCTTGTTATAGTACGCCAAGGTAGATTGGCACATTCGCTAGTCAAGACATCGAGTCCCCGCGGCTCGTGATGAATTTATCTTGGCTAGACGTATTCGTTGGAACGACAATCTGAAACATGCACTGAATACGCTTGTGAAACGTAGTGTATAGTATCTTGTGGTGGCCGGCTTCTCGTGCAGAGACTGACGAGATCGAATTGGATAGCTGGCAGTCGATTTGCGGAAGACACGCCGCATCTATGCGCTCAAACCCTCTCAAACAATACGAGACGTGACCTACACAATCTTCACAAGACCCAACCATCGATCAAGGGCAACGATATTGCTCTATCGATCACTTCCCTATTGCAGTTTAACGCGGGGTGGTTCCTTTTAGCGGGGCAGCTGCAGCCAACCGGCGAACGCGTGCGAGCTGCACCTTCCTCGAACTATCCCCATCATTATCTAATTCCGCGTCCGCACCCATTCCGACCCCTCCAACAAGCTGGCGACCCTCCTTCACATCGCGAGACGTTCTCGCCACGCGCTCTGGAAGCAGCAACTTTTCACACGACCGACCCCTTATTTTCTGTCGACTTCTACAGCATCTACAAGCTCTATCAGAGCCAAAGCTCGCGTCCCTTCTACGCTTCGTACTCGCTCGACCTTTGCATCTGCTCGAATTGCGACGCTTCAACCAACGCCTAGCACTGGAATTAGATTCTGTTCGAGTGAGGCCAGCAGTAGCCTCGTAGCCATGGCATCCGATAGAGATGTTCTGCCCTCCTGGTGAGTAAGACAACCAATGTTCAAGCTGGTCAACCTGCCCCAATTGATCAGATGGAATTGCGTTGAATGATTCTTACCTCGATGCTAGGGCGAAACCCTCCCACTACGACGTTTCCATCCACGACATCGAGTTCGGCGGCAACTTCACCTACCAAGGCACGGTTGCGATCAAGACGAACATCAACAAGGACGATGGCTTCAATGAGCTTGTGCTCAACACCCTTCAGCTCAAGGTCCATTCCGCTGAGCTGAAGACATCCAAGGGAAGCAATGACGCAAAGAACTTCTCGTACGACGAGAAGCGCCATCGCGTAACTCTGGACTTTGGAGAGAAGATACAATACTCCGGGGAAGCTACGCTGACACTGAAGTTTGAGGGAGCCATCAATAACGTTAGATGATTCACGTCCTCTCCTCGATTTCTTACTGACGTGCTACAGATCATGGCCGGCTTCTACCGCTCCAAATACAAGCCCCAGGGCGAGGTGCCAGCTTCTGTCGCCAAAGATGACGAATTCCACTACATGTTCAGCACCCAGTTCGAATCATGCGATGCACGTCGAGCCTTCCCTTGTTTCGACGAGCCCAACCTCAAAGCCACCTTCTCCGTCTCGCTCGAAATACCAGAGGACCTCACTGCGTTGAGCAACATGCCCGAGAAGGAGACTAAGCCAAGCAAGAGGGACGGCTTCCACACTGTAGTGTTTGAGCCTACTCCTGTCATGTCGACCTATCTCCTTGCGTGGGCAATCGGAGACTTCGAATACGTCGAGGCGTTCACAAAGCGACAGTACAACGGCAAGAACCTACCCGTGAGGGTCTACACCACCCGTGGGCTCAAGGAACAGGGACGCTTTGCGTTGGAGAACTGTCATAAGATCGTCGACTACTTCTCTGAGGTATGTCACCGCATCGCGCCGTACTATAGCCTGCTAACATTGTCTCCAGACCTTCCAGGTTGACTATCCTTTGCCCAAAGTCGACTTGCTTGCAGTCCACGAATTCGTGAGTTGGCCCACTGTGAAAATTGCTTGCGTGCAGTCCTTTGACTACTTTGTTAGGCAATTATACGTATTCTCCCCTTTTCATCAAATATTTAGCTGACCATTGCTTTCTAGTCACACGGCGCTATGGAGAACTGGGGTCTCATCACTTACCGGTCCGTCAAATGCATCTATCGATGTGCCTTGTTCTAACATGTCGCAGCACGACCGCTGTTCTCTTCGACCCCAAGACCTCTGCAGACAGCTACCGAAATCGCGTTGCTTACGTTGTAGCACACGAGCTTGCTCACCAATGGTTCGGTAATCTAGTCACCATGGACTGGTGGAGTGAGCTTTGGCTGAACGAAGGATTCGCCACCTGGGTGGGTTGGTTCGCCATAGACCACCTTTATCCCGGTAAGTGCCTATGTATCAGAGACTCATGAAGCTACTGACTTCTAAATCTTGTATAGACTGGAATGTTTGGGGACAATTTGTCGTACGTCGAAAATCCGCAGGTACTTTCAACATCTCGCAATGCTAACGTAATATAGACTGAATCTGTCCAAACAGCATTCCAACTCGATTCGCTACGAACGTCCCATGCTATCGAGGTACCCGTTAGGGATGGTCCAGAGGTTGACCAAATCTTCGATCACATCAGCTACCTGAAGGGAAGCTCGGTCATCCGCATGTTGAGCTCCCACCTCGGCGAAAAGGTCTTTCTACAAGGAGTGGCAGACTATCTCAAGAAGCATCAGTACTCGAATGCGACCACGAACGACCTGTGGTCTGCCCTCAGCAAGGCCTCTGGTAAGGACGTCAACAGCTTCATGGACAACTGGGTCCGCAAGATCGGCTTCCCTGTGGTTACTGTAGCCGAAGAGCCTGGACAGATCGGCCTTCGTCAGCAGCGATTCCTACTTGCCGGAGACGCTAAGCCTGAGGAGGATGAGACTGTCTGGTGGATTCCGTTGGGTCTGCAGACTGGCGATTCTATAACCGCAGCTTCAACGCACAAGACCGCTGCGTTGACGGAGAAGGAAACCACCATCCGAGATGTCAATGAATCTTACTACCAGGTCAACAAGAACCTCACTGGCTTCTACCGGACCAACTACCCCCCAGCACGCCTCGAGAAGCTCGGCGAAGCCCGCCAGAACCTTACCGTTGAAGATAAGATCGGTATCATTGGAGATGCCTACGCCAACGCTGTTGCCGGTTACGGATCAACAGCAGGCTTGCTTGCTCTTGTGAAGCGGTTCCAGGACGAGCAGGAGTACTTGTAGGTACAATGCCCTGTTTGTAACGGAACCATGCTGACTCTCCTAGGGTTTGGGCTCAGATCATCAACAATATCGGCACCGTGCGCAGCGTGTTCTCCGGTTCTCAGGATGTGAGCGATGCGCTAAAGAAGTTCGAGCTCGAACTACTTTCGCCTGCTACTGAGAAGGTTGGCTGGGAGTTCCCTGAGGGCGAGAGCTACCTCGTGGGTCAGCTTCGGGCGCAACTCACTACTACCTCCGGTTTACTCGGCCACAAGGCTACCGTGGACGAGGCTTTGCGCCGCTTCGACCTTTACATCTCTGGAAAAGACAAGTCTGCCATCAACCCATCGCTCCGCAGGACTGTATTCTCCGTCGCAGTCAAGGAACGAGGAGAGTCCGCCTTCGAAGCTATCAAGAACGAGTTCCTCACCACATCATCTATTGACGGCAAGGAGATCTGCCTGCGTTCTATGGGTCACGTACAGACACCGGAACTCGCGAAGAAGGTCCTTGATTTCATCTTCTCTGACAAAGTTGCGATGCAGGACAAGCATAGTGGCACGATCATTCTGGCCAATAACGCGAAGGTTCGCCCCGAAGTGTGGAACTTCATCCGTAATAACTGGGACAGCAAGATATACCCGACTCTATCAGGCAACTTGGTTGTACTTGAGCGCTTCCTGCGTTTCGGTCTGAACAAGTTTGCAGACGACAAGGTTGCGGATGAAATCGCAGCATTCTTCAAGGGCAAGGATAACCGGGGCTATGACAAGGGCTTAGAGGTTATCGATGACACTATCCGAAGCCACGCCAAGTACAGGAGCCGGGATGAGGGTGTCGTACGCGAGTGGCTCAAGGCAAACGGCTACATGCAGTGACTTGAAGCCAGACTTTGAGGACTGGAGTAGACGTTCACTGCATTATAATAAGCGATGTAGAGGTCAACAGACCCAGAAACGGGTACATGTAAAACACGGAAAGACTTTAAGACATACAATCCAAAAGGATCAGCGCAATGCAATGTATCGAACCTTGCAAGTTCCATTATTGGTCATATTCTGATCTCTGTGGTTGATGCTGAATGGCGGATGAGCTTCATGATGAGCGCCGTGTACGATTGCCCTCCGCAGATGGTGGGCCGCATTACCAGCGCTGGTATATCACCGTACCTGATGTTTAATCCACAGCGGTTTCGATAGCGTGTCCCCCGTTGCTTTGCTCTGTGCTTTCCACATCCTTCACTTTGGTCACTACAAGCCTGTTCGACTGCGTCCTTCTCCAAGTCCCCTGGACTCTCTTCCACCAACACGATGGGTATCTCATCTCATCGTCTCCATGTCCCCTCCTTAACCTCTCCATCCCCAATTCCCATGTGCTTGTACTTTTACACCAGCCAGTTTTATTTATTTCTCCCCACCGCTCCCGCTCTCCCACCACAGCCCTACCCTCCGCTTGAACACATCCATCGTCTGCCCCGTACTCCGGCCCTTCTCCCTCTCTTCGCGGTTGATGCGCGTCGCGGCGGCAGCGAGCCCGATGGAGATGGCGAAGATGGGATCGAGGCGTCTGTCTCGCTGTTAGCACTTTGTTGGTCGGGGGGAGAACACAAGAGGGCAGACCTGGAGATGATGTACTGGTATGCCATGGCTGCGGCCGGGGGAATGTGAAGTCCAGACGTGCAGTACGAGTATCGTTGCGACGATAGACTGGACTAGACTTTGGAGAATTAAGCTCGGCGGCGCGCTCTCGCTCGCGGCATGGCGTGTCGCATCGCCCACGTCCCACGCGTAGGGCTGTGCTCCGGCGGGCGGCCTCGGCTCTGGCTACCCCACGATCTACTGTCGCTCGGGCGCGCAGGTACGCAACGCAGGTACTAGTTAAGACACGCAGTAGTCACCGTGTTGGAGCTCGATTAAGCTCCGTTACGTTGGCCTACTGACAAATGAGCTCTGAGATGTGCTTCGCCGCGCGTGCTGTGGCGGGTGACTTGGGTGGTCAGCTTCATGCGATGGCGTCATTGTCTCAGCGGCCAGATGAGCCGCATGTCACGCTGGGCGATCAGAAGGTACCTATGTAGCTGGGTAGATTCACGAGATAGATGGGTACATTCACCGAAAGCTCATGGCCATGTTTCTCGGATCAGGTCCTGTTATTCGAACTATAGGAATGCAGAGGGTCGAGCTACAGTCAACAAGGGAGTCAAGATAAGAGAAATGAGCCATCGCCATGGGATACCATTAAACGGCTGTGTCGGCTCATGTATCCGGTTTGAAACCAAGGGAAACGCAAGATACATAGTAAGTGCGTCCCACGCCCAGCTGGAGCTTAACGAGAGCTGGGCCAGATGTTCCTCCCATGGCCTCTGCCTTCCTTAGTGTGTCAAAGTAATATATAAATAATTTCCCATCGTAAAACCAATAACGCCCTCACACCGCCATCGTGAACCGGGGAGAAAACGCAGGGAAGACTGATGTGACCGGTAAAAGCTCAGGACGACTCGCCGAAGGTGTTCTCACCCGAGTAGCTGCAAACGGTCAGCAACATGGCCCTACCGGGACTATGAATAACGCGCAACTTACGTGATGTAGAGGAAGCCGTCCTCGTCCTTGTGCTCCTCGTATATAGAGGACATCAGCGCGGCAGTCGGGGGAAGCACCTCATCGACGAAGATGAAGATGGCCTTCTCCGGAGAAAGCTTAATTCTCTTGCGGATAACATAGACGAACTGGCCAACTGTGAGGTCTGCGGGCACCAGGTACTTCTTCTTATCGATGGTCGCGATGTCCGACTTCTCGACCTTCTCGCAAATGACCTGCGCCTGTTAGTTTCTATGCGGTCTCGCAGCGTGGGTTCAGAGACGTACGGGAATGCGGTCGTTGTACTTCTGGCGGATGCGCTCGGCCTCAGCCTTGCGCTTCTCGAACGGGTGCTCGTCCTTAAACTTGGAGCGCATCTTGGTGGTATCGGTGACTGTGATGGGTGTGGTGGACTTCTCGGACATGCAGGGGCGGCAGGCTTTATATGAGTGTGCGAGCGGGTCGTTGGGCGGAGTTGGGCGGTAAAGGTGGGTTGAAGAGGGAAGTCAGAGCAGCGAGCGGTGAAGCGGCGTTATGTAGGCAGCAAGAGGCGGGAGCGGGGCGCAGGTGGTCACTACCTCATTAGTCACCCACGCAATCACCTCGCGCCTGCCAGCGGCGCCCTGCCTTCGTCTTGACAGAGACACTGTAGCTAAGGGGCCTAGCGCGATTCAGTCGTTCACAGAGCGAGTTCGTCATGTACAGCACCGCCCTTTGTTTCAAGTGGACTGAGTGACTCTTCGCCGCGAGTATGGCTGTGTGTCCATAGCATCAGCCCCCGAACTCCGAACGAAGTCACTTGCGCAGCTGCTCGTGACCTGCCCGCCTGTTGAGTCATCAACTTCACTGCTGCCGTCTGTTTGCATGTCAAGTACGTTCTGTGCAAGGGACACCATTTGCGTGTCCCGTTAGCATAGGCATCAGCGTTTGCCTCCAAGTCTTGCCTCGGATCACTACCTTAGACTCTGGATAGCTTGAATTCCCAGTACGAGACAAGCCTTCGAACTCACCAACGTGGCATCTAGCATGCTTCTACACACGACTGGTAATGCTACAATGCTGCTTGGTCGCCCTAAGCTATCGATAAGCACGTGATTCGGCGCCCCTCGGTACTCAGCCATAGCTCCATGCGCCGACCGTGGTGTGAGATCGACAACTTTTGCTATTTCTCTCACCACAGCGCCAAAAACGGACTGACCTCAAGTCATCGTTTCATAAATCGCCCCGTCGCTCCTTTTCCATGGTTTCATTGTAGACTTTTCGCCTTCCTTACCACAATCGCTCTCACAATGCCACCCTTCCGACCATCATGCCGCGCCTTTCGAGCTCTCGAGCTCCCCCAGACCGGCGCATCTAGACGCGCACTACATCCGAACTTCTTCACTTCGAGACAGAGCGCTTTCGCACGGAGATGCATGTCAGATGGGCCTCCAAAACCAAAAACAGACCCATTGGAGGAATGGCGGAACCCTAAGCCTAGCAAATGGCCCAACAGGATACGGTTCCTCATGCTGCCCTTCATCGGAGCTATAATTTACTCCATGGTATGTATCCTCATTCGCCAATCTCCGCTTGAAGTCTAACGCTGAAAATAGTACACCGATACAACAATCTACGAAGCCGAGCCTCCATCCATCGCCGAGAAAGATTCTGTTCTCAAACGTGAGAATGGCATCAACGAGCAGTCGCCGATGCGCTTGCGCATGGAACAATTCATAAAACAGCACCAGAAGGAGATCGTTGCCGAGCTCGAGAAGGTGGATGGCAAGAAGTTCATCGTAGATTCATGGCAGCGAGCAGAGGGCGGCGGAGGCATAAGCTGTGTGCTGCAAGATGGCAACGTGTTCGAGAAGGCCGGCGTAAACATCTCAGTCGTGTACGGACGTCTTCCGAAACCAGCGATTGCGAAGATGCGCGCGAATCACAAGGCGCTCGATCCGACCGTAGATTCCCTAGAGTTCTTCGCCAGCGGTCTCAGCATGGTCCTGCACCCGAAGAACCCCAACGCACCGACCGTGCACCTCAACTACCGCTATTTTGAGACCGCCGACGACCAGGGCAATACGAATGCGTGGTGGTACGGCGGCGGTTGTGACCTTACCCCGTCGTATCTCTACGATGAAGACGCGATCCACTTCCACAACACCATCAAGCAGGCCTGTGACAAGCACGACAAGGGCTATTACCCGCGATTCAAGAAATGGTGCGACGAGTACTTCAACAACAAGCACCGAGGCGAGACGCGCGGTATTGGCGGAATATTCTTTGATGACCTCGACGAGACAGAAAAAGACCAGGAACAGCTCTTCTCCTTTGTGCAGGATTGCTTGTCCGCGTTCCTACCCTCCTATCTTCCGATCATCAACAAGAGGAAGGACATGCCGTTCACGGAAGAGCAGAAGCAGTGGCAGCAACTCAGGAGAGGGCGATATGTGGAATTCAACCTCGTGCATGACCGAGGAACCGCATTTGGTTTGAATACCCCAGGTTCAAGAGTAGAGAGTATCCTGATGAGTCTGCCTCTCACCGCGAGATGGCAGTACATGCACGAGCCAGAAAAGGGTAGCAGGGAGGAGAGGCTACTAGATGTGCTCAAGAATCCCAGAGAGTGGGTGTAAATATGTAGCATTATGTGTAGTGGAAACGATACGTTGTAAGAGAGAACCAATGCTCTTGGCAAATGACCGCCCCATAAGTCTTTACAAATTTTTAGCTGATTGTCTGGTCACTCTAGTCCAATTACGGTCACTGATGCGACGAGCTTCGTAGACCGCACCATTTCGTACGCTCGTGTGTGAAGGCGTTTCTAGGCTCGATAAATTTGCACTCCTCCGGACGAAAGACGAAAGTATCTCGGATCGATAGACCGATCAGGGTACAATTGCTACGCCTTGAGGTCGCGGCAAGAACAATGCACACTCCACGCACACAGGATGCCGGTGTACAACTACCACAATTACCAACCATGTAGTGACCACCTCTTTCGCCTTATGACCGTATGAGATACAAATACATAAACACCTCCCAATTGCTCCCACCACTATCACAATCATCCCAACCTTCTCACACTCCCCTCCAACAACACGCTCCCTACTCCCCCTCCCACTCAAAATGAAGCTTTTCCCCATCCTATCCTCCACAGCTCTCTTCCTCAGTGGAGTGCACGCCATAGCGGCAGGACCATCCACACGAGAAGCCATAACCGACACCCTCCTCACCTTCTACCGCTCCCTCGACCTCAAAAGCGAATCCCTCCTCCGCTCAACAACCACCCCCGACCTCGTCTTCGACGGCACAGCCTTCGCCTCCATCGGGGTCGGCGCGCCAGATCCGATGGTCGGGCAAGTGAGTAGCCCATAATCACCTTTTCGTCTTCAAGACTTCAAACCTTGAAATAGTTTCAGACAAATTCCTGACTGACACGTGATCTATCAGGATGTTATTGCCCCGGCCCTCATAGCCTCCCTCCCGATGACCACATCGCACAATCTCGCCAACCTGCGCGTTGTCTTCCATCTTGAAGGTGCAAAGGCGAACGTCACAGCGTACGTGCTAGCGTACCATTATAAGCTTCTCTCCGAGCCGGCGGAGAGTACGAGCAATGTTTATCTGATGAGTAACTTTGTGGAGGGGCTTGCAAGGAGGGAGAGTGGGGTGTGGAAGCTGGAGAGGGTGAGGCTGGAGCCGTTCTTTCAGAGTGGGAATTTGGAGGTTATGGGGTTGGGAGCTTGAGGGGGAGTAGAGGGTGGAGGAATGGTTGGAGGAGCAGAGTGATTTGAGGGTGGGATATGAGGAGAGGGAGTTAGGAGAGGGAGTTAGGAGAGGGAGTTAGGAGAGGGAGTTAGGAGAGGGAGTTAGGAGAGGGAGTTAGGAGAGGGAGTTAGGAGAAGGTGTCTTGTGTGGTTGAGAGAGTAAAAGGGTTGAAGGGGAGGGAGGAAGGTACCTGCGCTGAGTGCGCAGCGCTAAGACAGGCGTAAATCACGGTGTTGGAACCGCAGTAGTATTCGATTGTAGTCTTCCATGCCATCTCGCCGATGAGCCCTATTGTTTTCATGTCAGGAAACAGTGAGGTACTCTTGTGTCGTAGTGATGATATTGAAGCTGAAGACATCCCTAGATCCTTTGGACGTAGTATCGCATATGAACTTAGACTCATCGCGCAAGGCATTAACTATGAGGCATTAATTAGCTTACACGTCAGCTTTAGTGGCAGCACAAAAATAGTGCTTTTTGGGGAACAACGGCCACTAGTTGGAGACTAAAGCTGTGCAACACTCCTTCACCCTTATTCACCATTGAATCACAAATACCGGGAATATGATTGTACAACTGGACATCATCATCATGGCTGGACATCCACAAGAGAAGGATGGATATCTGCTATAGGACGAGGCGAAACATAATCTCACTGCACTACGCACGTATCATCCACGTCCAGCCCGTCATCTTCACCCTCCCTCCTGCTTCTTCCCATCCTCGTGCCCATACCTGCATTCTTGAACGATGCAGTCACGGGACCCAAGTCTGTTTTCGACAATGCCCTTCGCACGCTGTCCGACGGTTTTCTGTTGTCCCCAAGAAAATGCTGAGATGGTGTAGACCCGTTGCTTACGTGCCGGCCTTGAGACCCAGGTCGAACGGTAAGAATCCCAAGTGCTACCAAAGCTGTGACGAGGAGAAGGAGGCCGATCTTCATCCAAGAGTCCAACAGTCTCATCGCCAGCATACCCATCTTCTCCTTCCATCTCAATGTAGGCAAGGCGGCTATGTTATGCTCCTTCTGTTCCATCGTCGGTATGCTGGCCAGGACTCAAGGCTCGTAAGGTGGCGGCGGTGTCTCGAACCTTTCTCCCTGCACAGCGAAGTACTCTCTCAGACTTGTCTGCGCTGTAGGCGAAGGTGGCGTGCTGCGGCTCTCGGAGTAGACGCTGATAGTGTCGATGTCCGAGACAGAAGGGCGTGCTTTAAGCAAGATGAGTGTGTAGCGGAAGATAGAGGGTGGTTTGGAGGAGGTGGTAGCGGTCGAAGAGGTGGAGGAGCCACGGTGGTGGTGGAAGACGGTAGGCATTACAAGGGTTGTCTTCGCGTAGTAGAGTGGCGTAGTTTTAGGTCGAAAGGCGGCGTTGTTTGTATGAATCTCGAATACTGATTGGGGAAGAAATGCGTTCGGCAGTTGGTGGCTGACTGTCGTATTGTCTGTTTCGTGTCTGTCTTTGTTCTCCGTCCAAAACTTATCCAAATATACGTATCAGCCAAAGATGTTAAGAGATATCGCTAATAGATGCCCGATGCACTGACTGCCCGCTCAGTTGGATTTCTCGTTAGATTATTCGCGTCCACGGACGTTGCTGTGTGATGCGCGTCCGATCGATAGCGGTGGATGTCTGAACGCGGAGATGATTGGGTGAAGACTTTTCTTTATACCGCGAAGGTGCACACCTACTCACTCTTGTTTCCTCATGCCTGCCCAACGCAGCTGCCATAGTCGCACAGACACTTCTGCATGCGGAAACAAAGGGTCGCGAGCGGAGGAGGTTGGTCATGGCCGCCGGGGATGTATGTCTAGCCTTATGAGGGGCTTCTGGAACTGACAGCTGTTAGACATTAATTGTCTCAGACATAAATGTTAGCTAGAGATGGGCTAGAGTGTCTATCCTTATGTATGGTAGCATGCAGGTACGCTGTGGAACGCCATATATGAGCCGAGGACGCGGGTCCGAAGCCAGACCGTTTGGACACGGGCTATTGTAGGTTTCATTCATGCGTGGACGTGAGACACATCGAGTAATCTGTCGTTACGAGGGATATCGCTGTCGCGGCTACCGTTCTCGTTCCGAGGGAAGCGACATCCGACGACAGTGAGCGGAGAAGGGAAAACCGCTCCTGATGCGGTGCGTACGATTGTGGCTAGAGAATCATCTTGCGGCCGGTGAGGCCGAGACAAAATCTCGCTGTGATGGAGGCGACAGTCCGATCGATGGTAGTCTCCTCGACTCGAGGTGATGGACAGAGCAAGTGACGTGAGCATCGATGTTCTGGAATGTGGTCGAACACTTCGCGGCATATCTGACGTAGCACAAGATCACTTCCCCCACATTGAGAATGGTATGCATCTGAGAGGCTACCAGTGGCTACCAGGATCATCAAGGGATCTGACAGTATACGGGAACATCGGGCAGGTAAGGGAGACCTCTTAGGAACCTGGTGGTCGGATCGAGGTTGATGGACGTCCACATGTAATTTCCGCAGAGGAATTGGCTATGGGGATATGACTCGTGTGCCGCAATCTGAGTGAAGGGATGGAAACCAGTTGCAGTGGTAGATGGATATCACCATGGGATCTGCATGCAAGCGTCGCAATGAACTGCCGGGAAGGTGTGCCGACCTAAAAATGTAATCATCAGTTGTACTTTGCAATGAAGAAGCTTTGCAGGATACTGCGAGCGAAGATATGCCTGGCATAAAGATAAGTAAATACAGTAAACAAAATCTATCAAAATCCAAGAAGCCAACGCATCGATCGTAAAATATGTGCAATTTACCCAAACCATCCATACATTTTCAGCCACCGAAAGAGAGAGACAAGCACAAAATAAACCGGTTTATACCATCACCAAACTCAAGTCCCTTGCACCTTTTCCTCTTAGTTTCCATCACGGTACAGATTGTACATATAATGCATCCTCTCTTTCTGCAACTGCGTGAACCCCTCGTAACAAGCATCCGTACTATAATCCATATAGTTGTGAATCGGATCATACGTATCACTTCCCTTTTGATTCGGACACGTCTGCTTCTTCGGATCCGTGGGACATCCATCCGTACTCTCTTTCTCATACGGCGTATCGTCGATGTAATCACCTGGTCCATCGCAGGCGTTGCCCTCAAAGGTATGTAGGAGGCCCATCCAGTGCCCGGTCTCGTGCACGGCAGTCATGCCAGAGTTGTACCCGTCCATGGCGCCATCAGGCATGGTGTTTGCATTGACATTGCAGCCGTCGCTGTAGTAGACTGTGGGGTCAGATTTGCCGTTCGCGACGTTCGAGGGGAGACTGCAACGGCCGAGGACGCCGCCACTGAGGTCCGTCTGGAAGTAGAGGTTGAGCGTGCGGTAGGTGCCCTGGCGGAGTGCCTTCTTCATCGCGGTGTCGTCATCTGTTGCGCCAACAGCCCACTTGTCGTTCTGGGTCCACGTGACGTTGATCAAATTGAAGGAGATACCGTAGTCTTTGTATGCTTTGTTGAGCGCGTCGATTTGGGCTTGAGGCATGTCGTTCGAGATGTCATCTTTGCTGGCAGGTGTGGCCACAATGTGGAAGACGGCGTCGACGCTGATGGCGGTGTTGTTGTCTTTTGCGCGGGCCAGGAGCTCGTTGCGCTTAGCCCGCTGCGCAGGACTGCCACCGTTGTTGCCGCCTTCGTGCAGACCTTTGATGGTATTCAAAAAGTGCTCATCAGCGTGCTGAGTGTTGGTGCCGCAGTCGAATGGTTTGGGGCGCGGAGGTGCATTTCCTGCTGCCCCGGCTAGCAGTCCGAGCCCCAGGGAGGCAAGGAGGATGGATTTGAACATGACGAAGCTGGAACCCCCACTATTTGACTGGCTCTGTAGTATCGAATTCCAAATGTCGTCGGATTGAAGCTGTTGTCGAGGCTTGTTTGTTGTGCCCGTGTTGCGAAGTGGTGATCGTGATGTTTGTCCTGGGCATTCTTGCGCAGCTTATATCCTCCTTTTCACTGTGTTCTGGATTCCGGAGTCTCACAATATCCATCTAGGCATATTTCGTCCACCGTCTGGGCGTCTGGCTGGGTCAATAACGTGGACGGAAGCGGGGACAATTGTCTCATGCACCGCCACAACGTTGACAGGCCGAATGTCTTGGGCGGAGTTAGCGGTCAGACAAGTCTGCGAACCATGTGAGCGATTCAATGCAATGATTTCATTCGAGCGATGCATATAGATGCGAATCGATTGGTCGCTGATGTACGCCTTAACTCCAGACACGCAGACCATTGTGGTACAAATACACATCCCGATACCCCGGCCCCATGATTGCGACTCAATTGCAAAAGGAAAAGAAAAGCATCGTATCGGAGATGATTCAGACCACGTAGCTACATTAGGAAGGACGTCCGTGAGGATCATGCACCTTCACCCGGGTGAGCGCGACCGGTCGTTGTTGCGGTGCTCGGCTGATCGTTATTCCAGGACAGGTACGTATGGTCGCCGAGTTTCCTATTGCCACAATTAGCCCGCATCTCTTTTGCACTCGAATATCTCGGCGCCTTACCTTGGCTTAACTAGATGCGTAAGAGTGAAGATGGTGCCGAGCAGTATGCAGAGACCGCCCACAACTACGTAAGCGATGCCGAGGAAGGAGTTTCTGCCACCGACGACTGTGCGGGTCGAGAAGAGGACTTCCTTTTTTCCGCCGTACTTGGTGGCTGGGAACCCTGCGATTATGAGTCAACTATGAAGTTCAGATGGGAATAATGCGATGCGTACGGTCATAGATCTGCAGCCGGTATGTACCAGTCTTCAAAACGTCATCATCGTTCCTCCCAGCTAGCTTGCTAAAGGTAGGTAGACCGGCTGTTCTCATCCATACTTGGAATGCCCCCCACGTGTGAAGATTAGGTAGAGTTGTCGAATCGTAGCCATCCTCGGGGTATTGATCTGCCCAATTGGGTGGAGGAACCACATCAGTGGGCTTGTACTTGGTCTCTCCGTAGAGATCGCCTTCGGAGCTCCATGAGATGCCGTTCTGGGTAAGGTTGTAAGTTTTGTATTCTTCAACATTCAATGCAGTCAAGTTGCCGTAGGTGTCGTTGAACATTGAGTTTGCGATCAGTCCACAGGGATAGTAAGGACGACCGTCCGGAGCGACATCAAGCGGGTCACATTCCCCGGATTTTATCTGTGCTCCGGTTTTGGCGTCCCCCTTCAGTTGATCAACATCGAAACTCTTGACATAGCGACGGTGGTTCTGGTAGAAGTTGTTCAGGCGGTAGTAAAAGTATATGGGGCCCTTGATGTCCTCTGGTACGTTGAACTCGAGTACGCAGACGTTCGCATTCTCCTCCTTTCCGGATTCCCACTTGTACGTATCTTTCGCGCGTGCCCACTGTGGCTTGGACTTCATATCCTTTTTGAAGGTCTGCGAAACAAGATTGGACGGCATATCTTTCAATGGCGAATCCGAACCGATGGGAAGTGTCGTGTTAGGCGCCTCCGTCGCACAGTTGGTGTAATCGAGCGCGATCTCTTGGACCTGGCGGGGTGTCAGCCTACCGTTTCATCCCATAGCCTCACAAAGCGCATACCTGAGAGCTCGCATATAAGAGCAGTCCACCGATGGGCGCGAATATGATGCCGACAATGAAGAAAATGGGAAGGACAGTCTTCGGGGTGAGGATAGGTCTACGGTAGCCTGTCAGCCAATACTCCTCACTTCACACCCTTCAACACCAGGAGCGCCAACATACTGCCATGCTTTCAATCGCTGCTGCCTGAACGCGGTATCTGCATCTTCATCAGCATCCTCTGTCCTTGCGCATCGGCCCGTCGCTGCTCACTCGGGGGTCGTCTGCTCTTTGTCTTCTTTGCCGTCTCATTATTGGGGTCCTGGCTCGATATCGAGTCGGTATGCTCGACCTGCTGCGTCTGCGACATAATGGGCGATCCGCGCTGATCCGCAGCGTGGGCGAGAGAGTGACTGAGGTTGCGGTTGGGGATGTTCGTCGTTGAACGCTGCAGCTGTTCGCGCGGAAGTTAGCTTGGCCGGGGTTGCGCGCCTCGCTCCCGCCAAATTTAGACCGACCAGCCGCTGAGTCGCTGACCCGCGCCACCTTCTGTGCGTTAACATTCCCGAATTTAGGGTTCAGGCTACGTATGTATGCTACATGCACCTAGAAGAGACCAGAAGAAACCAATGATCGTACAGCGTGTAGAACTGCACTGTTCTATTGATGAATTACAGAGCAATTACAAACTGTTTTGGCAACCATCTGCTGTCCATTAGGGGTTGGATGTAAACTGCCAATCGATGCCACATTCACTCATTATGAGTAATACGGGCTTAAGAGTGAAAGTAGTTCACAATTCGCGCAATGGCGACAACACTCAATTCTGCGTCTAAAGCTACGGAACAACACGAGTATCCAAGATGAAGACCGCTAGCCACCCTCCAAGGGGAGCAAAACAAAGAAAGAGACACATAAGTCTGTGGTGTAAGGGGGGTATCAGCATAAAGCATAAAAAGGAAACGATGGAGCGGCGTGATCAGTCTGACGCCGCAGTGATAATGGAGATTCCCAAACCCAACCGAGGGCACCAGCCCATACATGCAATATGCCTAACCCAAGAAAGTGAACGCCTATCGTTCGTAGATCATAACGAGAGTGGGGATGCATCCGCCGTCCCCATGCCCTAAGTAGAGTCGAAGAAAATCAAAAGAAATCCGTTAACGCCATCCGTGTCCGTGGCTGTGAGCCACACAATGTGAGTCGTAACTTGTGAGCAACCAAGTTGGTTGATGAGTTTGAAGTCAATTTGTGTCGTGTCGAGAAGATTGTGAATGCGCATGCCCATGTCCCAGAATGTTTAGATGTGGTGGACGAAATACTTGGGGTCAAACCAGCCAACCTTGTCGTAAACCGCCCAAAGCTTGGAGGCCTTGTTCACGTCAATCTTGCACGCCTGCTGAGCGTCAGTCTTGCGGAACTCCTTGCCAATCTTCAAGGCGTCGATGCGGGCTTGGAAAATGCGACGCTTGCTGCAAAGGTAGGTGGCGCAAGACAGGCGAAGTGTGCCAGCCAAAGGGACCTCAGCCTCGTGCAGCAGGTGACGGTCGGGATCGTCATGAAGCTTGAGAGCTGAGCCCTTCCACTCAGTTTTGAGTGCACTGCTGTTGCCTGCGCCGAGTGTGCTGAGAGGTGGTGAGTAATCCGGAAGCGAGTTGTAGTCGGTGTCATCGCGTGTTCCAGCCGGTCGTGCAGGCTTCGGTGAGGCTGAGCTGGGACCGGCCTCGGAGAAGGAGTCATAGACCTGGGTCCTGGGAGTGCGTTTCTGGATTCGTGGAGTCCGTGGAGAACGAGGGAGGCGCGGGATGCCAACCTTTGGCAGTTTGGCTTGAGACCTCGATGAAGGTGCAGGTGCCAGTTTCTTCAGCGGCTCCCTCTTGTGCACGCCGGCCCTCTTCTGACTAATCTCCCGGTCAAACTTCCGCTCTTGCAGGAACCAAGCGCGGGGGTTCTTGTGGTATAGGTCGTGGACATTGGAGACAAAGGTGACGGCGAGTTCGTAGTCTTCGCGGGCGGGCTTGCTCTTGAGAGCAGCAAAGTCGGCGGAGTTCATGTGCTTCGTGATGAGGTCTTGAGAGGCAGGGTCTACCTGCTCTTGGGGGAACAGTGGCTCGTCGGCGGCGATTGAGCTGCCAGACTCGCTGCGGCGGAAAAGCAGCGGGTCCCGCACATGATCCACGTCCATTCTGTCCATATTCTCTTTCTGTACGCAAGACTCGTAAGGCGAAATTGGTGGAGAAGCCAGGGCGTAGGTGGCGGTGGTGTCGCGCTTTGTGAAGGGATCCTCTGGTGTCCAGGGAAGGATTGAAGGCTTGGATTGCTGCGATGCCATAGAGGCGAAGGAGCCAAACGACGTGGCTGGAATTGACTGTGCGACGGAGCCAAATGACTCGGAGCGCTTCATCTCTGGTGGCGAGAGGAGCGAGGAAACGGGGATCTGTTGCGAAGGCACCCTCTGGTGTGAACTGTTTGCCATGGCAGATTCAATGGGTGGACTGCAGGTGAATTGAGTTGCGAATTGGTTTGTAGCAATGCAAGCGGGCGGCCGCCTGGATATATGTGTCTAGGCAGCAATCGCAGTGTGGGTGTTGGGACTCAATCGCCGGTGCGGACGGTGATTAGAAGGTGGGAAGCGGGCGGTGGCGACTTGGTACGGCCAGCGCTTTATAAGGCAGCGGCCCAGTCAGACTTGGAAGGCTGCGGAACGAGACAATGGGCGGACGAAACACGCTGCAAGACACCAGGCGGAGTTATCAGGAGTGCGAAAGGCGGCTGGAAGAAGGGGACGAGCAGGTTTATGAATGAAAGAGGGCGCTCCAGGCGGCAGTCAAAGGACGTGTGGGCGACAAAGCGGTAGCGCAACTGAAACCAGGGCACACACTTGCACAGGGTGGCAGCTGGCGCAGCGTCCCGTCGTCGCAGTCGCCCATCAGCTGGCCTCCCGGCCGCGCAGGCTGAACAATCACTGGTGAATCGAACGGGGGAGAATGATGTGGACGCGACTGCCACGGCCGCCGAAAGCGCCTTAGCGGGCGGCGCTACTGGAGGGCAGGCGCGCAGGGCACAGGGCACACCTTCCCGAACCGACGCATTCACTCTATCGCTCCCTTCTTGTACAGACTCCAGAGCTACACGACCGCATTGGCGACTCAATTGCGAGCAATGCAGCGCAATGCGGACGCCCTGCTGCTGTCGCAGAGCCATTGGGCGCCCGCGCCCGCTCTCCAGTCCGCAGAGCCACGTTGCTACCTAACCGCGAGGCTACGTGCCTCGCCCAAGGCGCCGTCATCTCTGCATCCCAGATCCCTCTTGTCCCCTCTTCGACGGTGGACCCCAGGACACCGCCTTCGTCATCTCTGTGCCTGACCTGCCCGCCGCAGCCTCCCGCCGGACCTTTGCAATGAATTGCTCCATCCTCCCTCTCCTACCACGGACGGAAGCGGACATTAGCGGACGTGTGATCACTAACTGTACGGACTCCTGACACCTCCTTCGCAACAGCCCGGATTAGCCGCCACCTCGCTCATTGCTCACCTCCCAGGCAGAGCAGCCTGGGTCTCGTGATGCCTGGCGCTCGCAGCCATGGCCCAAGCCACGCGGCGGGTCCTGAAGGGGAGTCACACCCAAGGCGAGTACACGGCGAGCCAGAGATTGATACCCTGGTCGCTCGCCCCCAATGAGCGCGCCGCATCCGCTGAACCTCTGCCCTTGACCCTCGCTGCAAAACATGCCGTGCAGCGGGAGCGACGCTGTCTGCAGCAGGGCCGGTCGCATTGGTTCCTTGCTGCCAATTGCCGTCTGACGCTCGCCGGACTGTGCCATTGAGGGCTGCGCGCTCGTGGGCGCTCAATTGGCATGTGATGGCGGCGACAAGTCTCAGCTGGACGGCGCGACGTTCTGCGGATGACCAGCCAGGCGGTCCCGTGAGTCATGCCCTGGCCGTACGAGCCACCTGAAGGCACCACGCGGTGCGCTCGCCACACCATCTCGCCGTGATGGTGGTGGAGGGGTAGCGGGGTGTGTGTGTCTTATCGTTATCGCGGCCCTGCGCGTGCACCCGCCATCAGAGTGTGGGGTCGATTGATGAATGCAGGGATGCTATTTCAGTCTAATTCTAGGCGCCTGTTCGCTGCGTGCCCAACGCCGCCGCTTACCGAGCCCATGCGAGATGTCGTCTTTGTTTTGCCCACGCGCTCTGCCATATGGAATTGGAATTGGCATTGGGCGAGGAATAGCGTCAATTCAGTCTCACCGATGTGGACAAGCCTTCAATTACTCTCCCATTGTCTTTGCGAAGCTGACTGTGCCGTCGGACTTCAAGTGCTCTCCATCCCGCACCCCTCACTCAATCTTCCGTAACCCCAATATGCGCTCCTTCGCGTCGCGTCTGTCTACTGCCGAGACCCCCCAGACTCTTTGTCAACATTGATCGTCGATGCAATCCACCAATGCCGAACGCCTGACACCTTCAGTCTGTCTCAATACGGGCATCAACTCGATACCCGTACTGTATCATGCAGTGAACCATTGACCAATGGCAGCCAGGCCTACCTTGCCCTCAACAGGCAAGTACCGCTGCTCTTTGACGGACCCGACCGACTCGTGCCCAAAGTGGGGTGGTCTAGAGAACCATAGCAATTGCGCTTCTTCAAAGCGGTGTGCTAGAAGCTAGGCTCCGGCTCCACCACAGAAGAACAACGGCCTGCAAGTCCAAGCGGCTAGAAGTATGACTAGACCAAGCTGAAGGATTCTCGGATAGATTCGAGCCGCTTTTGAGTATCTCACTCACTGCAAACTGCAATTGAAACGTGTCCTTGAATCCAGTCACTGATCTGGTACAGAGCTATGCTAGGCGTTGGCCAGGGCTGCTTCTACAACATACCCCTGCCGAAGGGTACCTTCAGAGGCACAACGATATGCACGTTATGCAATCGCACTGCCCACACGAGTAATGGGACAGCACGCTATGTTTTACGCAAAGAAAATTGACATTGTCTGGTTCAAACCACTTTAGTAGGCTCTCAGATGTCCGAGGTGGACCATTCGTGCGGATACGATTCCGCCTTCGGCCCTACATGTTTTGACTATCCTCGGTGACCGGCAGGCGATACCCCCATGACGCAATTGTATGCTATCTAGCAAAGTCGAGGACGCAATTGCTAGGCAGACCTACGTGACGCACATGACGAGATAGTGTGCTCGTGTTGCGAATGGAGACCTTTGTGACAATCCGGCTCGGAACGCCACACGGGCTTGACCGAACCACAGAACGACCAAAGTAGTCGCCCAGCCTTCGCATATCCAGAAGCAGGATTACACTGCAATGCTCACGCCTGGAACTTGTACCAGACAGTACGTCACGATACAGCCTGCTCAATTACAATTTCACTTCACACAATCATCGTGTCAACATGCCTCCGTCCCTGTTTCCGTCCTAGCGCTCGACGTCAAGATCGAAACGTGGGAGATCTACCGGGCGATCGCAGCATCACGTGCCCGCGCATTGGCCTCACCGCGTGTACGCTAACTCGTACCTTTTGCGTCCCCGCAAACCTGGGGAACTTTATTCCAACCGTCCCGTCGCGGGCCGTCGCCATGCGAATTCGTCCATCGTGAATCCCATCGCCAGCTTCGACGTCGAGCGGCAATATGCGGAGGGAGGAAGCATGTCTGCATACCAGCTTCAGTCGTCTCGCAGATTTGTGACGCAGCTCTTCGACGCACTCGGCGTGCATGCCGGTGGCGAGCACGACGCCGCCGTGGCACGGAACAAGAATCCCCTCGAAGGTGCGGGTAGCGAGGCGAAAAAGCAGATGTTGGCATTGCACGTTGCATTCCCCAACGAGCTGCTGCCTGCGCTGGACCTCCTCGACCGGTCACTAGTGACACGATTCCACATCCGCCGCGACACTCAGGATCAAGCGGAAGGAGCTGCGCCCCAGGACATACGTGGACACGTCGAAGCCCGCCCTGCAGGAACAGCAGGCAACAACGATAACGAACACATCACCGCCGGCCCGCACCCGCATGCAAGGCCGGCCCACGGACTCGGTCGGCCAGCCTCATCCGACGCCGAAATGCGCGAGGCGCCACCCCCGGGTGTACCGGACGATGAAGGAAGAAGCATGCTGCACCATGCGCGGAACGAGGCGCTGGACACGGTGTACTACGTTCGCTCCGCGCAGCAGCGCTCCTCCCGCTATAGCACCTCCTTCGACACGCTCACGTCCTACGAGGTCCGCCTCCGCGCGTGGAACTGCTCCTGTCCTGCGTTCGCGTTCTCCGCTTTTCCGCCTGTGCATCCCGAGCCGTCTGTGCCTATGTACGAACCGGGTCCTGGTAGACAAGCGGAGGGGGATGAATGGAGTTTTGGGGGAGCGAGCCTGGCGGACGGTATACCGCCGGTGTGTAAGCATTTGCTTGCTTGTGTGCTGGCGGAAAGGTGCGAGGGGCTGTTTGGGGGATGCGTGGAGGAGAGGGTAGTTGGCGTGGAGGAAGCTGCTGGGTGGGCGGCTGGATGGGGAGATTGAACGTATACACGATCCATGTGGCATATTGGGGTGTATGAATGTTTGAAGAGAAGCGGAGATACATGCAGGTGAGGATATAGCTGCATTGATACCCAGCCGGACGCAGCACGGCTCAGGGAAAGAAGTAAATGATACCTTTCACTTTCACCATCACTTTATGTTCACGTTCACTTTCACATGAATATCAGCATGACCTGGGGATGAAGATCATTCACATCATGTCGATTCTCTATCATGCCATTATGCCGCGACGCGGGCAAATGCAACCCATCTTTCCGTGAATGGGGCAGCCAGGATGGTGGTATAATACACTCCTATGCGCACATGCAATCTCCAAATGGGCGTCTAAACCCTCTTCCGCATTCTCTCTCCCGCGTCCGCTCATCAGTTCTTCTTTTCCGATTCTTTGCTTTTCTCTTTGTCACCCTCCTTCGCATCGCCATTGACCCCATTCGCCTTCTTATCCTTCTCGCCGTCTTTGCCCTCGTCCTTCTTCAGCTCCTTGTCCTCCGCCTGCTGCTTGTTCTGTATCTTATTCTCGATGAGGTCGTGGAACGCCGTTATCGCGCGGATCAAACTCGACAAATAGATTGCCATCAACTGATCGTTCGTCTTGATGCTCATCGCCCTAGCCAGCTCCGAATTATCCGTCGCGCCAGCTGCGCCACTTGCAGGCCCCACGCCGTTCGTCGCACCCTTGACCGGTGCAGGCTTCGGTGTGGACAGGTTAGGGAGCAAGTTGAACACGTCTTGGAGGTTGCCTAGGATAGCGTGATTGACGGGGAGGTCGCCATCAAGCACCTTTTGTAGGTATTGCCCGATGTCGCGTAGCCGGAGATGCAAGCCTTGCAGCGACTGGAGCTGTGAGGTTATGCGTGTAGAAAGGGTGCCGACGGCAACGTCACGGATGTCGCGGAGGAGGTGCTCGACACCGATCTCTTCTGCTTCTTCGGCTTCGATTAATGAGGGTGTGTGGACGAAGGTCTTGGAGGTAGTTGTGCCGTCCTGTGCCACTGCCATTAGTATTCGTCCTTCAAATAATACTGGCAATATGTTCTTATGCCAAAGTTCATCCCTAGGTATAGAAAGACTCACATCCTTAATCTCCTCCACTGCGAAGTATGCATCCGTCGGTACGCCCACCTCCTTCGGCTGCACGTCGATGATGACTAACAGTGGGTTCGGTGTGTATCTCTTGAACAACTCGTTGATCTCCAAATCCGACGCCCGCAGCTTAGGACCGGTGTGGTACCACCCAATGAGCTTCTCCCGCGCGTTGACCTTCTTGAACATGTCGTTCATCGATTCGACATAGTTGTGGTCCAGAAACCATACTGATGGGTCCTTCTCGTCTTCCTCAAACGGCACTGAAGAGTGATCAGCAAGTTGTGCGTTCGAAGGCCGCTATGTACAACATAGCATCAAGCGCACTGCGGCGGCGAATAAGTTCATGGCGGGGTGGCAGCTCACGTACCAGCGAAGCTGTTCGATACCCTCACGTTCTTTCCATCGTTCTGTCCCAGAAGCACACCGACTACTCGTTTCCGGGTTCCCTTTGCTTGTCGGCCGTAGTGATCTGCTGCGGAGAGGAGCACGAGCGGCGCAACAGAGACGTTGCGGGTCACGAGCGACAGCGTCTCTGCTGTTGTGGCGGGCATAGTGAGAATGTGCGGTTCGAGCAGGCGAATTTGTGTAGAGGTGCCTGCGACAGTAATGGAGACGGGTTTGGTGGGGTGGTGGATATGGTGTGTGTTGTTGCTGAGGCTCTAGCTCTCCGACGTGAGCTGGTAATGCCAAGACTTCTAATCGCCAGGCACGAAAATGCGCAAATGCCTTAGGCTGCGAGCAACACTCACATGAATAGGTCTTGAATCTTCAACGAAAGCAAGAAGGTAAGACGTTGCTCAATGATGATTTGCATTGTATCCGTGATATTGTTGATCTGGTGTTTAACATATTACTATTTTGCTCGAAGCTCTACCCACTCTAGCATAGCAAATGCGTTCAGAACAGTGAATTTATTATAAAATATACACAGCCTATAACACAAATTTGAAAGTGCGTAAGATATAAGACCAGACCAGACCAGCAGCTCTTGCCATCCTTTCAACGCCTTCCAGAAGATCATGCTCGTCAGACCTAATTGTCCATCCCCATGTTATGACCGGCCATTATCCCTCAGTCGCTTCAATGCTCAAAAAATACATAAGACCAAGGAGAACCTAAAGAGTGGCAGTGGGGAAGTAATACTGATCCCAGAGGAACTCGTAGTCCTCAATGACACCACCGACGATGTCTAGGAGTGGCTTGTTCCGCAGTTTCCGTGTAACGGCATGTATCCAGGCCCTGGGAAGTATTAGCTAATGCAACATGGGCTGCGCATGGGATACACACTTGGTAATGTTCTCATAGAAAGCGCCGCGCATCATCCACCAGCCTAACGACCAGCCGCGCTTTCTCAACTCTTCCTTCTCCAACCCTGTCAAGCCTCTTAGTCCACCAGCTAGTCTCTCCTGGAAGTCTTTCTTCGTGAGCTGTCTGGCACCATACTCCAGTCCAACTCCGATCAACCAAGGGCGCCAGCTCTTCCGGTCTCCACTGAAGTGCTGCATGGCCAATGCATAGACGACGGGACGCAAGATGTACAGAACCTCAGCAACTTCACCTTTTCCGCTAACACGGTGCAAAAGTGCCTTTGGCGGCTTGATATCATCGGCTGTGAGTACCTTCGATAGCAAATAGCTCGAAATTTCGGATGCATCCGGTATCTTCGGCATCGATAATCCTGTCCGTGGCATCGTCCAATTCTCCGCTTCCGCCTCTTGCTCCGTCGGGGGAGTGTCCATGCCGTTCGTTGATGCCGATGACTCCTCCAAGGAACTCGGGTCGAGCTCCCTCTGGGGTAGAGGTGGCGATACCAATGGTCTAGAGTTCGTCAACCGCAACAGGAGCAGTCGACACACGGCTTTCACGACCTCCAGTAGCACTATGACGCGCCACCGCACCTTCTCTCCCTTCCTTTTTGCTGCCATCTCCCACAGTAGTTCCGTGTATTGAATCATCTGGAGCACGAGCGCGATTCGCTTGTAGGTTGGTGACCGATCTGTCCAGAACTTTGTGTAGCGGCTGTGGATTGATGGGTGCTGTCGCTGAGCTCCAGGTGTGCGAGCAGCGGCTTTTGCGAGAAGGGAATCATGATACAGTGAGAGGAGTTGGACGCCGCTGTGCACTGCGCTTGGATTAGGTGGTGCTTCGCGACAGCGCATTGAAGTACCTACGAGATTCAGACGCGATCTCAGACTCGCGGAATCGGCCTAATTGGATTAGCTACAAGCGCTACAAGTACACACGATTAGGTTACCCACCGGGAATGATGTATGTTAGCGATCGCAGGGCTGACTCTATCTGCGATACGGCGCTGCTGTTCTTAGCGATGAAGTCGGAATACATCCCGAGCCATTTCGGAGGCAGCGACAGGACCTCGCCCGTCTTCTGTGTCGCCTGCTTGTACATGATCGAAGTACAGCCCCTTCAAAGGGCGCGACAAGTCGTTTGAATGCACGATGGGTGGTGATGCTGGAAGGTTGGGGTCGGGCTAGATGCGCCATCGAGGGGCGTCATGCTCGCGTGGCTGCCGAGGTACAACGTGAACGCGGATCTGCGACCGAATTGACTCCATTCCTTACCATAGCATTGGCTGGCCTATTTAAATCGGTAAGTGGAACATTGCAGGCATACCGGTCAATGCTCAAGGCCATAGGCTACAGAGCCCTTTCCTACTTTCTTGCACCATATCATGTCCATGCCGTGGAAGAAGGGCTGAGATGTGTACCGAAAGGGATAAAGGCGGCCCAACATGTGACCACGCGCGTCGACCGTATTCTACCTTGCCCACACGAGGAAGGCTACTAACATGTATTATCAAGCAGTGCTACATAACAGCCGTAACACAGCAAGGCATCAGTATCACGCCTTATAAAGACACGACTACCGACTGAAAACTCGAAACCGCGTAGTGAATCAAGTTACTCTAGGGTACACCGTACATCAAGTACTTCACGCTATATGCAGCGGCCATAGTTACGAACTAGACTTCACTGCCACCACAATCCGCAGTAGGACGGTTCGCTCTACGCATCTCTCGGCACAGTCCACATTTCTCCCTGTCTGTCAAGAACATCACACTATGGCCGCCTCGGTCCCAGTCCCCGCCATACCTATCCCCGAGGAGCACAAGGAACTCTTCTCATCCGTCAATACCTTCGTCCACGGCTACATGTCCAGCCCTGGTCACGACAACTCACACGACTATCACCACATTATACGCGTCCTCTCTAATGCCCACCGCATTGTAAATGCAGATCCGAAAAGCATATCAGGAGCCCCGTACAACGCATTCATCATCTACCTGGCCGCTCTGTTACACGACGTAGGCGACCACAAGTACGCCAAAGCCGGCGAAGACGTAGAGAACCAAGTCTCACAGATCCTGCTCGAACGCGGTGCAGATGAAGAGCTTGCCAACAAGGTTCAGGTCATCGTAAAGCACGTTGGATACACCAACGAGGTGAAGAACCCGCAGTCGGTCATCAATGTCTTGCAGAGGTACCCTGAATTGGCAGTCGTGCAGGATGCGGACCGTCTAGATGCTATTGGAGCGGTGGGAGTGGCGAGGTGTTTTGCGTTTGGAGGTGCGAAAGGCAATGGGAGACCGTTGGCTGGCGCGATTGATCACTTCGACGAGAAGCTATTCAAACTGGAGGACATGATGAAGACCGAAGCTGGGAAGCGTATGGCGGGACATCGGACGAGACTCATGAAAGACTTTGCAAAGGAGTTCAACTCAGAAGCAGGGCTCACCTTCGAAAACTTGTGGAGGTGAAGGGGTAATTGGAGGTATAGATCTGAAGACTTCAAGGCATCCTTCATAAAATATCACAATTTCATCCTCTTGTTCCTCCATGGATCGTGGTGTACCGCAAGGGGCTTAGCGTACGGTTTGGAGGCAGCCGCATCCGCGCGGGATGTGGAAGCGAAAAACGTCGCTCGCGACTCAAGCGAAAGGGTTGTGAACGCCATCAAATCACTGCTATTTGCACTGATTCTCACAACAAGTCCAACGAAGTTCTGGATGCAGAAACACGTCGTTGTGCACTTGCATGAACAAGCATGTTTCCGAACATTCGTGCTCTTCCCCTGAGTTTTGACCAGTCTCTTCCCTGCGCTCATCAACGCCGGCTTGACAATCAGCGAACGTCCGAATGCACCGCCTCAAACCCCACCGCGAGACGTCACGACGTCCTCTTGCGGAGGGCAAACGCCGGGCGAAGGTTCAGGATCCCACCGGGATCCACAAAAGGCAGGAAGGTGCCCTTTCTTTGTCCGAGGGCCATGTGCTCACTCAGCCCATCCCGCGGTCGGTGGTGATGGCGTCGAATCCAAATGTCGAGGAGTTGTACCACAGTGCGCCGATGACTTACAGCGCACGCTTTATCGAACATGTGCTGGCATGATGACCCGCGTGTATTTTTGGCAGTTCGTGGCACATCCAGCAACCGGGGAAAATGGACCAGCGCACTGGGGATATTGGAAGCTCCACCTTCTAGACCAATCGTGGTGGGTCCGCCAGGGCGCGATGATCAGCTTGTGGCTTGGCCGAATCGGGGCTTCCAGAATATTGTCAACAGTTGATGCTCTCTGCACGCGTCGTTGCTCTTGTTCGTTCTTTGCAGCATTCAAGGTGGACAAAAGCATGTTTGGTGTATCGCACCCAGTTGCTCCGCCCACAATGGATCAGTCCGAACCATCTATCCAGCACCTACGAGCGACAGGTATATTTATTGTTGATGAGGGACTTTCCGCATCCGTCCGCTAGATTGCAGTTGCAGGGCGGAAGGCGACGCCACGCGGCTGTCCCTGCCCGTTCCCCTGCATCGCTCCTTACCAGGCACCATCTCATTCGCTACTTCCCCTTGTCCTAATAGTGCTGCTTCCTCCATAAAAGGTGCCTCCCACGTCACTCCCCAAGAATCATCGCGCTGTCTATCGCTCGCGTCGACCCTCGTTTTCATCTCCTACCTCGTCCACCTCCCTCTGTACAGTTTTTAATCCTAATTTCTTGCTCGCGAACCTCTCCGGATACAACATCCCTCGACCGCTCCGCCTATTCGCTTTGAGTTTTTCTTGTACAGCAACATTATGCGTTTCTCGTCGAGCCTTTTTGCTGCTGCAGCTTTGCTGTCAAGCGCCGAAGCGGCATACAAGGGCTTCAACTACGGAGCCTTCTTCGGAAACAACCAGGCCAAGGGCTACAATGACTTCAAGTACGAGTTCGAGGCCGCCAAGGCCCTTCCCAACACCAACAGCCAGTTCACCAGCGCTCGGTTGTACACCATGATCCAGCACGGTACCACTAAGGATGTTATCACGGCGATCAAGGCTGCTATCGACACCAACACTTACCTCCTTCTTGGCCTCTGGACCTCGGCTGGTCAGGCTGTCGTCGACAACGAGGTCGCCGCACTCAAAGCTGCCATCAGCACATATGGTACTAAGTTTACCAACCTAGTCGTGGGCATCTCCGTCGGCAGCGAGGACTTGTACCGTATTACGCCTACAGCCATCGCGAACGGCGAGACGAATCCCGGTGTCCAACCTGCACAGTTGGTCAAGTACATCAACCAGGTCCGCACCGCGATTAAGGGTACCGGTTTGGCTAGCAAGCCTATTGGACACGTTGACACATGGACTGCTTACGTTAATGGCAGTATGTATCTACGTTTACTCGACTCAAACTCAATATCTAACTTTGCATAGGTAATAGCGCAGTTGTCAGTGCTCTTGACTTCCTCGGAGTTGATGCCTATCCCTACTGGGAGACCCAGCACGCGAACAGCATCGGCAACGCTAACGCAACCTTCTACGATGCTTACAAGCAAACTGTTGCCGCTGGCAAGGGCAAGCCCGTGTGGGTCACCGAGACTGGTTGGCCGGTGTCTGGACCTAAGCAGAACCAGGCTGTTGCTAGCGCCGCCAATGCCCGCATCTACTGGGAGGACGTCAGCTGCTCTTTGATGAAGAGCAACGTCAACCTCTTCTACTACACCCTCCAGGACATCCAGTACTCCACTCCCAACCCCAGCTTCGGTATCAAGCCGGGAGGCGACCTCAAGGCGGTCAGCCCTCTGTTTGACCTGTCTTGCCCCAAAGTAAGCTATACTGTCCCCCTCCTTCTTTCGTCTGTACTATCTCCCCTATTCTTGCTTCTCATGTACAATGTGTTCATCACATCTTGGGTCGTCCGCGCATCGTTCCCTGCAGCTTCATTCAAGGAGCGTCCATTGGCACTGTCATCACAAACTCTACAGCCTGCTGCACCCTACAATTGGATTGCACGGGCTAACGGTATGTGAAGTTCTCCAATGAGACGTCACCCTCGAGCAGCAGCAGCAGCAGTAGCACGGCGACACCGACGATTGGTAGCACTTTGAGCACGATTGGTAGCACTTTAAGCACGAGTCGAAGCACAATTGTGACTGCGTCGAGCAGCCAAACGAGTGCTACCAATCCGGTTTCCCCCACGCGTAGGAGCGTTCACACATCTATCAGAACGTGGCTAACATTTTCTAGTAACTCCCCGACCCATGAGCAGTGTTTTCGTTTGGCCGGCGCCTAGACCTTCAGCCGCAGACAGTGTAGCTGTCAACGGTCCAGCATCTACAGCCGGATCCACGTTTCCCGGATTTCCACAGCTAGATCAACCAAGAGGCCTTACGCCTCCATTCGTAGCACCTAATCTAATCGTGCCCATCGACTCTTCTGATCCAAATAAAGTCATTGGAAACTCGTACACTGCTCAAATATCTTCCACTCGCTCGACTCTTTTCCTTTTTGATGTGCCACTTTCGTCTGCCAAAACATGCAACCTCGTCTTCGCTCTCCCACCTACCTTCGATCCTACTTATATTGCGCCTATGCAGATCAACTCACCTGGTGGCATATCGATCTCTCGTCTCGACAAGCCAGCAACCACCGGAACGAGTGCGAGTTCGGCTACCGGTGGGACGGTTGTGGGTGCTGTGCCGGCACTCCAACCAGGCAACAAGTACACGATTGCGAGTGCGCCATGCGAGGCGGGACAGCAAGTTAGTTACAAGGCTGACTCACTGAACGGGTTGGATATGAGCTTCTTTCAGTTGACGTCGCCGGCCCTGGGTCTGTTCATGGAGACGGCTTGAGTATTGCGAGCGGGTTATGGTGTGATGAGCATGGGATGAGCTTTGTTCCTCGCGATAGAATTCTGTCTCGAGGCTAGTCGGTATACATGTAGTGCTTCTCAATTGCGCCGTTGTTTTTGCCCCCATCTTGACCCGAATCCCGTCACACAAGCATGGCCAACCACGAACCTGAACTCTCTACATGGACGTTCGCTGCCAGTATCATTTTGCGAACACTAGGCAGCATACGTCGTAGAACTTCTTGGGACTCACTCGGTGAATTCAGGATGGCCGATATGGCCGACTTGGCTGCTCCGTGGAAACTCCGTGCCCCGAAAACAACAACAGTATTTATACAGGTGCCTGTGAGTATACATACTGCTTTCAGAGCCAAGTCACTGCTCTACTCTCTCAAAGAAGTATCACTTACCAGTCTCACATATCTGGCTACCTGCTTCTTTCTCACGCCGCCAGCAAACCCTTCACGATCATACACCACCAACATGGCCGAATTCCTTCAAAAGATTGCCCAGACGCCCGGCCTCAAAGCCGTATTCAACTACGAAAACTTCCGCCTCCAGCCTGCCATCGATAAAAAAGCACAAGCTGCCTTCATCCGACCCAATGAGAAACTAGACCATGCGTTCAAGAACTCCATAGCCAAGGGATTGCCGCCCATCAATGTGCTTCCCATGGCAGCGCAGCATCTATCTGTCTTGACGAAGCTCGTTGGCGCGAAGTCAGTGTTGGAAATCGGAACGCTGGGTGTGTACCTTTCGCCTCCCTTTCCGTCCGGGACCGTGATGGGAGGATTAGATGGCTGACTTACCACACACAGGTGGCTACTCCTCCATCGTCTTCGCGCAAGCCGGCGCAAAAGTCACCTCCATCGAAATCTCGCCCACCCACCGGGACGTCGCGCTCGAAAACGTCGCCGGCCTCGACGTCGAGATCCTGCTCGGCGCCGCGCTCGACGTCCTGCCTAAACTCGCTGCCGAAAACCGCAAGTTCGACCTCGTCTTCATCGACGCGGATTTCGACGACCAGTGGGAGCACTTTGACTGGGCTGTCAAGCTGACAAGGTCCGGTGGGGGCGTTTTCCTAGACGATGTGGTGCCGACGATGATTAAGAATGGGGAGGTGGGATTTAAGGCTGATGGAGAGGTGGAGGAGAAGAGGAGTGTTATCGAGAAGATTGGGGAGGATGGGAGGGTGAGTGCGACGTTTGTGCCGATTGTGGCGAATATGAGGCCTGTGATGCCGGATCCGATGATGAATGGGTTTATTTTGGCGGTGGTGGAGTAGGAGGGGGTGAAGTGTGGTGTGTTGGTGAGGGCTGGTTGTGCGAGAGTAAATTCCACTGTTGTTCATGGGGTATAGCAACACAAGTAGATGAGAAAATTTGTGATGAATTTCCCAATAGTAATGGCAATCTAAAGAAAGTGGTATGTCTTTGTGGAAGAGGCATGGATCCGAAGCCTGATTCGCAGAGCAGCATGCCATCCGTCGAGTTCGGTATCTTGCATTCATATCCAGTGTGACCAGGTAGGTCCACGCCCTGTGAGAGCTGCTTTTCATCGGTGGGACATGCTCATCAGCATCTAACGGAATCTCACGATTCTTGAACATCATACTCTCGGGTTCAAAGATCGTTTATACCTTTGTTCAGTCATCAGAAACTGATGCATTAAAGCAAAATAATTCGACGAATTGTGTTCTCGTTGTGACGATAGCAATTCCTGTACACTGAAAGCTCATCGTAGGATTTACCAAACGTCGAGTCGAAAGGCGAACGCTCCCGGCGGAAGGCGGCGTAACAAATGTAAGGCAAGACCGGAGAGAACAGCACCCAGTGGTGCTCTGAAGCCAGCTAAGACAATAGGTGCAGGCATACCCCAGTTTGGACGGCGTGGAACGGTGAGATGTTGGCCCTCACCTGATGCTGTGTCAAATACCCAACTGTTAACATATTCCCTTGATCTCCATACCTGCAGGGATCGGGGACCATGCCTTCGGGGACCAGACCTGCGAGACCAGAAGGCCGATGACCATCGCAAAAATGCAGCAACGTGAGTTGCGTTATAGTCGCACAACTCTAGTGGGACTCTGTTGGGTTCGCACTCACGATCGCGTTCGGAGCCGCAAAGCCGCAAAGCGAACTAGGTACCTAGGTAGTCATACACGCGCGGATCCACGGTGAAACCATTGGGATACGTTCTTCGGTCGCAAAGCATCATCATCATCGTCGGACCTCAACGCCGGCTCCTGCTCGAATTGTAAGAACATTGGTTCCCCCTTATGCGCGCCGACGCGGTGTCTACATGCGCACGGACTTACCGTGAAGCCATCGGGCCGAATTGTAAACATTCTTATCTTGACCTTCCGTCGCACAGCATCCCCATTATCGAATCTCCATCCTAGTCTCCATACGCCGGCTCCTGCTCGAATTGCAAGAAATCATGAGCATGTTCCGCCGCTTCTTCACTTCGCCGGAGCTCAAAAACACCGGCTCGCTTGCACGCGACCTCCTGGCAAGCGAGCGCACCTTTCTGGCCTGGGCTCGCACCGGTCTTGGATTCATAGCTTTGGGAGTTGCTTTGGAAAAAGTCGAAGCTTTCGCGGCCATCTCACCCACTCTGTTCCATCTGGAGGATAGCAGGACCAAATTGGCGGCGGGAGTTCTGGTCGGCAGCGGGAGCTTGTGCGTGGGTCATGGGACCACGAGGTACTTCGCTGTGATGAAGCAGTTAGAAAGAGGCGTATTCAAGCCGAATGTAGCGGGGATCACGATGATGGCTACGATGAGCATTGGGATTGCCGTTGCAGGCACGTTGCTCGTGTTGGAAAATGAGGATGCGAAGAAGAGAAGAAAGAAGGTTGATGCCCAGGGGACGTGAGCGACGTCTACGTTCAGCGTGACAGAACCCCCTGGCTTAAGATACCTTTGAAAGTCGGACATGATATGTGGCCAGGCGGACCTCTTTGGGACATATCCGCTCGGTTCCGGCGTGTTGGCTGTGTCATGTACTCGATGCCAGAGTAAGAAACATGAAGTGCAAACGTCTCATGCCGAGTCCACATTATTATTACTATCATGAGCTCTATTCTTCCAATTGCCACGGCTGCTGCCATCAGGCTTTATGACAAACCAAAAGAGAAGGTGGACAAATGGCCCCTCTATCCCACTGCTGAAGGTGTTCGAAGTAATCGGGAGATGCTCACACAGTTTCAGAGCCACCAGCTACACCAAAAAGGCTTATTGAAACGAGCAGCATTGCTCTTCGGAATCGCAGAGGGCAGAATTTGGCTGTTGTTCGCGGCTGCCTTAGCCGGAATATAACATTCTGATGGTGAATCGACCTTGACAGGAGCTTGTCCCTCAGAAAGCGCGCAAAACACCTGAGGAGTGTTGAAGGACACCGTGGTGGGCGTAACGGTTCCGAATGCTGTGGAAGTGGTGCTGCGTGCCGTCGGGTGGACGCTATATGACCTTGAAGTAGTGTTGACAGCCGTTCTATGGGTACTCCAAGACAGTACAGAGGTTGCAAATGGCGCTGTGATACTATGTATTTTGTTTGACACGTGCGGCGGCTTGTTGATATTGGGATCATCTAGGTCCTGGGGCTCCACGAGCAGTCCCTTTCGGCCGGCCTCAGCTATCGCTTTAAGCCATGCCTCAGCTATCTTCTCGTACCCTTCGTCATTGGGATGCGTCCCATCAACCAGTTCCTCTGCTTTGACGACTGGATGCAGATCGGCGAGCACGATTCGCGCCTTTTTCTCTTGCTTGCGCTTCACCAAGGCTTCGTACTGCGGGTTGACGATTCTCTGGATGCGCTCATCTGCACCTTCGTGAGTGTTGACAATGAGTGTAGAAAGGATGATGGTGACATTCGGGATCTTGTCGAAGAGGTGGTCGATCAACTTGTTCATACGCTCGCCGATCTTGCTGATGGGATAGTCTGGAGGCTCATGGATGATATCGTTGGTACCGGCGCTGTCTCAAGGTTAGTTTATATCTATAGTAGGAGTAGAAAGCCTTACTTGATCAGTATCAGGTTTGGCCGCAGAGGTATGTCGTACTCAGCGAACATGACGACTTGATCCAGGCGCGCCCCTGGATGGCCTTCATTTTCCTGATCAGATCAGCGCTGCTCTTGCCAGCGTGCATCAGGAAGTACGAAAGCTTACGTTATCCGACATCTGCCCAGAGTGCACTGTGCCCACCATATCCACAACTGTATCGTGCTGCTCGAGCAACTCGCGGAGATGTTCACGGTAACCATTGCCATCTGACGATTCCTGGCCCCAGGTAATTGAGGCACCAAGCGGCAAGATGCGCAAGGGAAATTGCGGGTGATGGGGAACAATGGGGTCGTCGCTGCTCGTTTGGTGAGTGTTCGGGAACAGCTCCGCCCGTACTGTAGCGACAAGAAGCGGGATCGCAATCGTGTATATGTATATCGCCAGCCACATGGTGTATGGTATCAAGAATTGATAGCAGACAGCCTGCGGTTCGGCGATAGTGTGTTGAATGGGCGCGAGATCTAGAAGTGGGTGATGGAATGGAACTTCTGTAAAGGGCCACAGGAAGCCGCGACAAACGCAAAATTGTAGCCACACCGCTGTGGCTTGACCAGTCACTCTTCGAACACGCTACTTCGCATTGCCAAATGAGATTTCACTTTGTAGCTAAATTTCCCATATCAGCCAAGTGAGGCTAGTGATGTCAAGGCCCAACGAAGTCTGCACGCCGCTCTGGTAAGCTAGTTCACCATCGAACAGCACACCCGCCGCAGTTCCAAGAGCATCAACAGCCTCTCCGCAGGCAGAGGCAGGTAGTTTCTTGACCCTTGCGTCCATGCGTTATGTCAATTTTAGGCAATAGCACGGCCATTAGCCCCACGATCTTCGCAAGAAGTGATATTGGGCATGATTTTGAAAAACATGCAATTTATCAGTGACTCATTCTCCGTGCAAGATAAGTCTCGCTCTGTACCAGAGGATGAGATCACATATGCTTGATTCTACGCTAAACGCGATTCGTGCAAAGTTTATCTTGAAGTGACCTGTCTGTTAATATAAGCCGAATGGAACAGGAATTGCATTGACGCATAACACATGGAAGGGAAACGATTATCCATTAGGTAGGTGATATTCTTTCCTAGTGGTTCTATTGAAGCTCTTATGAATTCATGCACGCCATTGTATTCCCATTTCCACTTAAACGCCCCACTCATGCAGTCACCTTCCGAGTCGTACCGTGATCATCTTTCCAATATGGCCATCAACAAGAAGCCAAATAATAAGCATATGATGAACAAGTCGTTACATTCACCCACGATCCTCCCACGCCATAGTGTGTGCACTACGACTTCTCAAGCCACCGAAGCACCGCATCCCGAGAGTCTGTGCCAGTCGCTCCCTTAGACTTCTCAGGAACCTTCACGCGCCCCAACTCCGCCGCCACTGCCTCTACCTTGAGTTTTACCCCCTTCTTCTCGGACGCGACCATCGCACCTTCCAGGTGCGGGAAGGCCTTCTTCATGTCATTTTACAGGCGTGCATCGTGGAATCTGCCCTCCTTCCGCAACTTCACTGCATTTGCGACAATGCACTTCCACACCGGATCGTTGCTGTGATTCCGCGTACCCAAAGTGTCGTCCTCGCGGATGCGAGAGGTGGAGATCGCGAGCCAGAGGAAGTGGCCTGACTGGATCGTGTTCTTGCCATCAACTTGATACATTGTGGCGACGATGTCCTTGCAAATGCGCTGACGGAGAGGGAACAAGTAGCGGTCAATTCCAAGGACGCAGCCAGCGTGGTAGATGTTCATCGCATCGTGTGGGCTCTCGATTTTCATGGGTTGCATAATTACTCCACCTTGTGGAGGACCTCCTTCATGTATGGGAGGACTGACGCGGGTTTCGATGTACATGTCCCGGACAAACTCCAGGGCCATCTTCATTCCACTTGGATGGCAGCCGGAGAAGGTCATGGACCGATAGCGCGTGTAGTCGCTGTCCTTCTTGCGCATATTATCTGGGCCATAGCTTCTTCGGTGCACGCATGTGCTCAGCCGCGCGAGCGCACGTTGTGGGAAGCCCTCGTATACGAGCACCGGCTCCTGGTCCTGCCTATTCTTGATGTAGATATCCGGGTAGCCTTGCAGAGGCTCTCCCCAGATCTTTCGGCGAATCTCCTCGCTCGTAAGACGAATGTCACCGGCGTTTGGCCAATAGCCCTCTGGCAAAGAGCGCGGAATCTCAGGAGGCGGAGGTGAGCGACGGGGCGTCCACCGGTCGCGGTACTCCTCTTCAGTCTTGAATGCAGAACGCGGCCTATCACGGTAGAATTCGGAAATTGGCATGATGTTGCCCTCTTAATCGTACTGCGGATTGTCGTGATACATCCATGTACGGATGGTGCAGGAAAACTGGTGGAGGGGCACGCGTCCGCCGTCCGGATATAAAACCCACCACGAACCGTCCTTCATGGTGGTGTAGCAGCCTGTGGACCGGAGCTCGTCTTCCATCTTCTCAACCTTCGACTTCTTCTTCTCCGACTTCGGCTCCGGTTCTTTCTGAACCTGTTCCGCCGCAGAGATGAGCGCCTTGGTCTTCTCCTGCTGCTCCTTGATCGTGTTGAACTCATTCGCGCCGTTGAGGTGGGCTCCCAAGGATTCGGAGAGAATAGAGCTCTTGACTTTCTTCGGCAGCCTGCTCATGAATGCAGCCAGGTTCGCGGGCCGCGCGTCACGCTTAGGAGGCATCTTGATAGCCGGTTGCGTGCAGAATACGCTAGGTCAGTATCTTTTTGTAACGTGGGTGGTGTCGTAGTTCAAGCGTCGACGTTCAAGGTGGCCAGTAACGGCTCGAAGTGGAGTATGTACAGCTGTAGTACTGCTGGGGAGTTCTTATGGTTGTTGTCGTGCGGGCAACGCGACTAGAGCTTTTCAACTATTACTCGCGCTGGTGAAAGCGCAGGTCACTCAACCTTGCTGTGCTTTGGATGGAAGGTGAATTTACACTCGGTGCGGGTCTGATGTTATATATATTTACAGAATCCTTTTCTACAGTCTGATATGTCTGCCGTTCGGTAGCGAATTTTGTCCCATGGTTCAAATTCCACCAGAGCGTCTACGCTGCATCGCGATGGACCCCGCTGATAGGAACCGAGAAACCCTTGGTCGTTCCTGGCGCTTGAGCGAATAAAAGGGCCTTGAACTCCCTCTTTTATTTGCTAAGATTTCATGTTTGCCAATAGCTGCCCCTATGTTCAGTCGTAGAAGAAACCAACATTATGCGTGTGACCTTTTCCAGTTTGACGCACACTCTCCACCTTCTTTCAACCAAGGCTCATCTTGACAACCGAGCCGCCCCAACTCGACCACAGCTCCGGATCATCATTGCTATCTTGCATGAATCGAAGACACCTTATATGTACTTTGACAGGACTTTGCTGCGGGATCTCCTTCAACAACTTGCCCGTCCACATATTATAGATCTTGATAGCTGCCGATGAGTTGACGTCTTGTGCAGCTGCGATAAGCCCGAGGTCAGGCTGTACGGCGATATCTAGGTAGAGATCATCTGGGTTGGCATACTGGAAGCTCACGATAGGCTGCGACCTGTGCGTCATTGTCAGCATGTAACAACGAATAGAGGTGCTATTAACCAGGGCAACGGCCAACATGCGATTACATGGTACACCGAGCCTTGCCGCTATGATTCTTGTTTTGTGTTCGGGCATTACATACCAGTTGGCAGCAGCGGTATGTTTCATCTTCTTCCGCTTCTGGCGACGGTGGAAACCAGGATACTGATCATTGAAGAACTTATCACTGTAGTGCCCTTGCGCATGCTGTGAAAATGTATCTCGCGAGCGAATATCATACAAGAACAGGCTATCCTGCACACCAGCGCAAATTAGTCGTGTGGGGTCGTCTGCGCGTTTCAGTTTTGAAATGGGAAACGGGTTCGTCAGAATATGTGAGTGTCCCTTTGAGCGAGTGTCGTAGAGCAATATCTTGCCGCTTCGCTCACCAAGAATGATAGTAGTCGGAGATAGCCAGTCAAGTGCTAATATGTCGGTGTCTCTTTGTAAAGCGGTCGATGAGTTCCATTCGCCGGTAGGTGAACGCTCAAACAGTAGTAGAGAGGAAGATGCGGCTACAGCCAGGCTTTCTGTGCCTGATTGTGGTATACTGTTCGGTGCGAATGGGACTGTTGGAGCGGCCGCACCCCATATCGTCGAGCAGTTTTTCGGAGTGAATTGCTGGTTCACGTAAGGTCCGTCGATGTCCGGGTCTGACTTGAAACAGGTCAGCGAATAAACACATTATATGCGAAATCAGACATCAACCTGAGTATTCCGTCTTCCCCAAGCTGGACGAGGCACGAGCCTAATCCTATTGACGAATGTTATGAATATCTAGATTGCACTCACCAGATACACCACAGGAGGTCTATCGGACCCAAGTGTAGTCGCAGCTAAGGCTCCAGAGCTCGGTAGGTAGGTCAAGGATGATATGGATGATGTGAGCCTTGCAAGCATATCCCATGGCTCAAAAGAATACTCGTTCAAGCCTTCAGCGACCGAGGAGCCAAACGGCCTTCCGTCTGGCAGAGAAGTGGTTGCCATATTTTCATCGAAATCGGACGCTGGGACCGGGATACCCCTCGGTGGATTTCGTCGGCGTCGTCTAATAGCATTGTCTCCGTGAACAGCATAAAGGGTTTTGGTATTCGGGTCGCGATCAAAGAAGCGAATAATTCCGTGTGCTGGTTGTTCGACGACCTAGTTACAGGTGAGTCAGCACCTAGCAACTGCAAATGTTGTATTTGAAGATTGTGGTAATTTGTTACCATTGTATGCAATACACAGGTCAGTACACACCGTCTTCATCTTCTCCATTCCCGCCACACAAGCATCCGGCCAGATTCCATGCGTGTAATACGTTTTCCGTCGCCCCCCAATCTCCCTGTCTAGACTAGCCATCTGTAGCCCCCATCTGTTGCGGCTGTGTGGTCGCACAATGGTCTCTGCTTCTCTCTTTTCTTGTTGCTTCCTTGCCTGCTTTTCAGCGGTAGACTTTTTCTGCTCCTTCCTTACATTCTGAAGAGTGTATTTTGCTTGAGACGGTGGCGCAGAATGGGTTTTCGTGATCTTGAAGTATTTTCCTTTCTCGACATCGTAGTAAAAGCCTGGAATCACCCGCGGCTCTGCCATTGTTGACGGGGTGAGGTTGAGGACAACCCTGCTGTAGAAGCTAGTAGCACTCAATCTCTTGTCACTGATTTTCCTTCGGAATCGCAAAGTAATGCAAGGAGGGTTCAGTGCACGTGACAAGGCCGACTGAGGTCTCGAGCAGCTGCTCAGGTATGCGTAGCCATAAGTCGCGATCTATGATCTTTGGTAGATGAGGTCACAAGCTGGGCATATGTCAGCATGAGCCTCGAAAGTCAGCAGCGAAAAGCAGGTAGGCGACTCGAATGTCGAATTTCCGTTCGATGTTGTAGTCACTTGCAGTCCATGAACTACCTGCGGCCAAAAAGTTTACGCGAGTCAGGAACACGCGTCTTATCGATAACGCACGTTTGGCGTCATCCCTCGGCATGGCGACGCCACCGGCCAGAGCATCATTCTGACAAAAGTACACCCTGTAGTATATTGGGAAGCATTCCTTCATCCTTGATCCCTTCTTGGTACCTGTGCATTAATCTGACCTTGCCATCTGGCTCATGCTTTCACGACTCCCAGCCTGCAAGCTCACAAACCCCAGCTTCAGACGAACTTTCGCAACATCTATGCGCCTGAATCAAGTCATGGCGCACCTTGATGATTCGACAAATGGCACGAACGGAAATTCCACGCCCGGCGGCTCATACACTCTACAATCCCTCCCAAAATCCAACGTCTTCACCTCAAACCTCCCACCCGACCCCGCCTTTCCCACGCCCGCGGCATCGCACTCCGCACCACGCGAAACACTCGGTCCTCGCCTTGTAAAAGAAGCCCTATACACGTTTGTCCGCCCAGAACCTACAAAAGACCCAGAACTATTGGCTGTGAGCCCGCGCGCACTACGAGACATAGGTTTGAAGGAAGAAGAGGCGCAGAGCGAAGAGTTCAAGGAGGTAGTCGCAGGCAACAAGATCTTGGCGTGGGACGAGAAAGACAACGCGGAGGGAGGAGGCATATACCCTTGGGCACAGTGCTACGGCGGATATCAATTCGGACAATGGGCCGGCCAATTAGGCGACGGAAGGGCGATATCGCTGTTCGAAGCTACAAACGAGAAGACAGGCATAAGATATGAGATCCAGCTCAAAGGCGCGGGGAAGACGACGTACTCGCGATTTGCGGACGGGAAGGCAGTGCTACGGTCGTCGATCCGCGAGTTCGTCGTCAGTGAATATCTTAACGCCATCGGAATTCCGTCGACACGGGCGCTTTCCCTCACACATTGTAGGGGAAGCAAGGTTTTCAGAGAGAGGATGGAGCCCGGCGCGATTGTATCGCGTTTTGCCCAGTCTTGGATACGCTTTGGCACTTTCGACCTCCCTCGCATGCGTGGCGACCGCAAATTGCTCCGACAACTGGCAGACTACACCGCCGAGCATGTCTACGGAGGCTGGGACAAGCTCCCCTCTAAACTGCCCTCAGGCGACCCTAAATCGACACACGCTTCCACTTCCACCGGCGTACCCAAAGACACCACTGAAGGCGAGGCTCTAGAACAAGAAAACCGCTACACTCGCCTCTACCGCGCCATCCTCTGCCGCAATGCCGAGACAGTCGCAAAATGGCAAGCCTACGGCTTCATGAACGGCGTGCTCAACACGGATAACACGTCCATCCTCGGGCTATCCATCGACTTCGGACCCTTCGCTTTCCTGGATACGTTCGACCCTACGTACACCCCGAACCACGACGACCACATGCTGCGCTACTCGTACAGAAACCAGCCGACCATCATATGGTGGAACCTCGTGCGGCTAGGCGAAGCCCTCGGCGAGCTCATGGGCGCGGGCTCGAACGTCGACGACTCCGTCTTCGTCTCCTCCGGCGTAAAGGAAGAAGAAGCAGACGAGCTTGTAAAGCGTGCGGAGGGCATCATCGAGCGCTGCGGCGAGGAATACAAAGCCGTTTTCCTGTCGCATTACAAGGCGCTTATGACCGCGCGGCTGGGGCTCACTTCGCAAAAGGACTCGGATTTTGACGAGCTCTTCTCGGAATTCCTGGACTTCTTGGAAGCGCATGAGTTGGATTTCCACCATGCGTTTAGGAAGTTGAGTCATTTCAAGCTGGGGGAGCTGGAGACGGAGCAGTCGAGGAAGGACGTTGCAGGCAGGTTTTTCCGGTTCAATGAGGCGCCGGGACAGGAGGCGGAGTCTCGCTCGCGCATCGCTAAGTGGTTGGAGAAGTGGGCGGCGAGAGTGAAGGAGGATAATCCCGACGATGAGGCAAGGCAGAAGGCTATGCTTGCTGTTAACCCTAAGGTATGACACCACCCCAACAGACTGTTACTTATGGCCCATTGCTAACGTGACACAGTTCGTTCCCCGTTCATGGGTTCTCGACGAGCTCATCGACCGCGTGGAGAAGAAGGGCGAGCGCGACATTCTGCCTGCTATCATGAAACTGAATCTTGATCCTTTCGAGGAGAACTGGGGCTGGAACGAGTCTGAAGAAGAACGCTTCTGTGGCGATGTGCCGAAGTACAAGGGCATGATGCAGTGCAGTTGTAGCTCATAGGGGCGGGTTGGGGAAAGCTGAGACAGACAGGACAACGTAAGATATCGGGTTACGAAAACAAACGCGTTGAAAACTCAACTTTGTAAGATTGCATTCGAACGTAGTTTGGGGGTTAATCAACACCTCCCACGAGATATTCTCCCACTTCCAGATTTACACCACGCCCAAGTGACCGTGCATACTCCCACCCAAAATTCACTCTCCATTTCGCGCCGGGGTCAAGCACATCCGAGCTTCCAACTCCGCCAGTCCTTACCAGAAGTCGCATACTTGTCAGCGTGGCAATCTGCGTGTACAGATCCGCGACCTGAGGCACCGTTTCCACCAGCAGACTACGGAAGATCGCCAGCAGCCTGTCAAGGGGAAAGGGTGACGGCGTCAATAGATGCCGCGAAATTTTGCGATGCTTCGACTTTGTGACGCCTGCGGTCGCCGAGGGCGCTCTTCTCTTATTCTTCCGCTTGTCGGTGTGCTTCATGAAATATGTGACGTCTGTGCGAGAGGGGTTGTAGCTGGCGAGATAAGCGGCAATGAGAAGGTGTGTCGTATAGTACGGTAGGTCGTGTGCAATCGTTCTGGTCCTTCTCTTCGTGCTGGGTGTCGCTGGTACCACAGTCCCGTTGGTGACACCCGCAGTCGCACCCAAGTTGCTGTTGTCTGCTACGATCTTGTCCAGTACGCTGTCCTCGACCTGGAACAAAGCCCTCCTGTTCACCATGAGGCGCGAATAATCGCGCGTGCCGAATGTACCCTGCACGACGGGCTCGACGAACGGACGCCACAGTCGCATGGCCGCAAGACGAAAGCTAACGAGGTCCCGCCCGGTATGTTTGCTCAGCGCATCGTATACGGTCGCTATAAATCGTCCCCACAGCCAACTGTCGTCTTCAGCCGCGAGATCAGGCGTGTAGTCAGGATATTGTTCTTCGCTCGGCGGCTGTAGGAAGATCTTAGGGGGATGTTGTCCCAGGATGGTAAGAAGGGAGTTGCGGTTGTAGCTTGGGAAGTGGAGGTGCGGTGTTCCAGGGCGGTGGAGCGCATGCGGTATAGGTAGTGTGGTAACCAGAATGATCGAGAGGTTAGGTATCTTGTGTTCTTGTTAGAAACCTGACTGAGCCGAGTGATGTAAACGTACGCTTTCACCAAACCGTGCCAACGCAGGTAAAAGCGTGTGTGGTGCCTCTCTCTGGTTATCGATGCCGTCAAGCACCAAAACGAATTTCCCTCGTCCCTCTAACATTCTACCTAGCGCTACGGCCAAGCTGCTCAGATTCTCTGTCCTCGCATACGGCCTCCGATCTATCTTCTCATCGTAGTGTTCGTCCAGTGCATCCAGACAAGATGCGACAGTCCGCTCTAGTAGATGTCGTCCTGTTATGCATTCCCTCGAGTTTATGGTAGCGTAGGACAGCGAAGAGCGTTTGAGGTAAGAACGTATGATGGAAGACTTTCCGGTTGCCGTAAGGCCGTGAGCGACGAGGAGCGAGGGTGAGGGTAGCCGTGCCTGTGGTTGTTAGCATTTGTCTGGGGTTGGAGTCGGGTATCGCAAACATTGTACAGCGCCGCTAATTGCTGAATTTGCGATTCACGAGATGGGAAATCGGAGTTCAATTGCTCGAGAATCTCATCGGGCAGCATGTCCACGGTGCTTCTCCGTGTTGACTTTGGGCTACGATCAACCTAGATCGAGGGACAAGCGGAATGCGACGCGCTACGAAGTGACGCGCCGCGCTGGCACGTGCGCCCAGCTTTACAGAAGCGCAACAGTTGCCCAGGACTACTACAATGGGTCATATCGATTGTGCGGAGAATATAGAACTATGCATAGTTGAAGCTTTTGATAGTTTTCATGTTCTATTATTCCTTGTAACGGACTATGGGCAGCCAACTGTGAGACTCATAATCCCAAGGTCACCAAAATGAACTCGGCAATTAGACGGAAGGTTTGCATACAGTCAACATAATTGCTGCTCATCATAATCCAAGATACTTTAGGTCCTCCAGAGACACATCTCTACACCGATTGATGATTCCGTCCGGCACACGAGTCCTCTGATTAGGTACAAAATCATGCCGTCATAAGATGCTAAACGCCTACACAATGCTGGTGGTATCCAATTCAACGCCGTCCTCCATCCCGAAAGCGATTCCTAAACATGCACAGTATCCGCAATGCTTGCGGCCGAGTCGGCTTTGGCCGGGAATTCCCAAGCTAGGAACTTCCAGTTCAGCTCGGTCGGTCGCCAGAAGATGCCATGCTGCAGACCTTTTCCAGGGTTGGCGGCATTTCCAGCGGTATCGGCAGTCAACCCTCCCGTCAGAGGCATACGCTTGCTGAAAACACAACGCCTGAATCGAGAGTGTAGAATAGCCATAGTGCACATAACGCAGGGCTCATGCGTAAGATAAATGTCCAGATCCACGCACAGGTAACCGTTGGCCGGGATGTTGTCCTTGTCGTAGGGCGCCTTCTCAACCTCCGTAAGAGGCACATCGCAAAACAAGGATCGGTCCAAACGGGTAGGATCCGTGCCTGCCATTCGAAGTCGTTTCTTGGCTACCATGGCGATGGCACGCTGCACAGAATGGGCCATGACATTTCCACCGCCGGTATGAGCTTCGGCTTCGCCAAGTGGCGAACGCCAACGGCAATCGCCTGCTACGGCAATGACCTCGGACACTCCACGGGTGCGGTCTACGACGACACAGGCGACCTTTTCGCCGATTCCAAGCACGGATATCTCAGCCGCAGCGGTGGAGGCAAGCGAAAGCCAATTGCTGGCTTCGGGCTCTATTTCGGCAGTGTTGCGGGCGACCAGGCTTGGGTGAGGTCCGTAGGGGTTCGTGTTCTTGTACGCGATGGGCCAGTACTGCTCGCTCCACTGGTTTGCTTGTTCGGCCGACGTTGGCGCCAGAGCCGGGACGGTCACATACAGCAGCTTCGGGTATATGTTCATGACGCTGAACGGTGGATTCTTGCGAAGTATGGCGACCAGTTCGGCAGGCTTGAAACATCGGGTTGGGCAAAGCAGGAAGAAGCGCACTGTATCCACATCTTTAGTACTAGACTCATCATCGGATGGCGGAAGCGGGATAAATAAAGATGCAGGGGAGGGCTCGTCATTATCGCTACTGCAACTACCTCTTTGGAGCCTCGCGGGCGGGTAGAACTGCTTCTGCAGGTGTGCCGGCAGGTACTTGAACTGGACGACGCGGCGAAGGTGGGATATCTCGGCAGTCTTGAAGTCAGGAGCGGCGTCTTGGACCGCGCTGGATGCCGTCAGAATAGCATTCGTGACCGGTGTCTGCCCGTGTCGCAACGACACAGACAAGCGCAGTTTTGGCAGGGTAACTCACTCTTTGACGGCATTAGCGAAGCGGGCGGGAATCTCGACGACATAGACGGTGTGCGTCTCCAGGCTGGCTCGCACTTCGTCTTTGGTCCTCAAAGGGACGAGTTGCCCGGTGGCCGCGGCGGGAACAGCCATGGCGGGCTCAAGGTGCGTCGAGATAGAAGAAGCCGAGTTATAATGTGCAGCGGGTAGATTACGTGAACAACGTGTTAACAAGGGAAGAAGCGGTTTCAAGGCAACAGAGGATGCTCCTGTTTGGGGTTATTCTGCCAGTCGCCTTCCTTATGGTGCATGATGGGTGTTGCTGTTCGAAGCCAATTCGTGCCTGCCGTTCGTGAAATTTTGTGGGTGTCGGAACGTTGAAGGAAAGGAAAGCGCGACCGTTCCGAGCCTTGGCGCGCTGTCCTACCCCACGGATGGACAACCCCAACCTCCCCCGCATAAACCACCGAGTCATGCCCGTCGGAAACCTTCATCCTCCAATGGATGTGGCGTGTCCGAGGCTCCCTGTAAAGAGGCCAGGGCCGTCTATCACAACTGCCGATTTGCACCAGTCGCTTTCCTGCATGGCGGCACCAGCACGTGTCGTCTGGGGTCGTCTGGGGTCGGCCGGGGTACGATCAGCAATGATTCAAAATCCAGTCGTGCCCATGTAGGTCTCCAGGGTTTAATTAACTATCCTTTTCACTGTTGAGCTGGTTAAGCCTCTTCCATCGCCCATCCCTACAAGATGGATCCGAAAAGCGATGTCACCAACGTCGAAGATACAACTTCACATCCCCCCAAGCCCCATAATGTGAACGCGCATGTGGTTCCCATGCAGCAAGAGGCACAACAGGACCTCATCCACATTGATCTCACTTGGCGATCATGGGTGGTGGTTTTCGTGAGCTGCTTCGCGTGCGTATACCTAACGCTTTCGCCATTGAACCATGCTTACCTGATTTAGCATTATGGCACAAGTTTATGTTGTTGTGGCAGCTGGAAGTGTGATAGCCTTCATAGTTCGCGACTTAGGCCAGCCTGCTATATCGGGTTGGATTATCCAGGTATGTGGACCATTTGATTGCCGCGCTCTCAACATGAACAAGACTACTGACATCAAATAGGGCCCACTGCTGATGCAAACTGTGCTCTCCCCGCTCGTCGGCCGACTATCTGATGTTCTTGACCGTAAACTGTTCGCATCCATTCCACCGCTTATCGCAGTCGTAGGAAGTATCATCTGCGCCAAAGCTACGTCTATGGACATGTTAATTGGCGGTGGCATCCTCGTAGGCATCACGCTAGCCACGATTTCCATCGTCCAATCGATTCCGTCGGAAATTCTGCCTCTAAAGTACCGTGCATTGGCGAACGGTTTTGCGTTCCTTGGGGGTGCCGTCGGAGGTCTGGTTGGAGGATTGGGTGCAGGCGCAGTGACCAACGCGAATCCGACAGGCTGGCGAAACATCTTCTGGATAATGGCTGGTCTACATGGAGCTACAGCTGTGGGGTTTTTGGCATTCTACTGGCCAAAGAAACGCACCGAGTATTCTCGCATGAGCTTCAAGGAGTATGTCTGGGCTTGCGATCCCATCGGCAGTGTCCTGTTTATTGCAGGTGCAACGCTTATGCTCCTGGCACTCAACTGGGCAGGAGGAGCTTACCACTGGAGTGATCCACACGTGTGCGCTAATCTCGTTGTCGGATTCGTCTTAGTCCTCGCATTCTGCATCTACGGTAAGCCTACCCTCAAGATTCTCGAAGACGATAGACTGATAGCCGCCCGCAGAATGGAAAGGCCGAACGGACGGCATGGTCGCCCATGTATTCTTTAGCAATGGTCCCAATTTCTGGCTGGCAACGTTTGCTTTCGCAGTAGAGGGGTGAGTTCAAATAATTATCCACTTGGTTTGCTGATCATGAGCTTATTATTGCTACCAGGTGGATCTTCTACTCTGCAGTGAACTCGGTCACTCCACAAATAATCCTAAACTTGGGCTTCGAGAGCAACAGCTGGGACATTGCTGTTCGACAAATGTCCTATCAGATCCCATCTCTAACATTCTCTCTTGTTGTGACCTGGTGGGCAACGCAATTTAAGGATCTAAGTAAGTCCACTCTCGCTAGATATGCCTATCTTTGCTAATCTATGTGTGCAGAATCCCCTCTGGTTCTTACGTACGTTATCTTCCTTGTCACTACAATATGCTATGCGAACATTCGACCGTCATGGAATACTCCACAGCTCGTCTTCGCAGTCCTCGCTGGTATTGGCACATCAGGTCCTCTCACTCTGCTGGTTGCCTGCATCCAATTTACCGCACCCCATGCCTATCTCTCCACTGCCACAGGCCTTGCCTTCTCCGCACGCGCCATTGGAGGTGCTTTTGGGTCCGCGGTGATCAACGCTATAGTCAATGGGCGCCTTAACTCCCACTATGCATCTGACGTTGGTTCTGCCGCCATTGCTGCCGGTCTTCCTTCATCTTCAGTCCCGGCCTTGCTTGAAGCCATGGAGGCTGGCACTGGGCAGGTCCCAGGGTCAAACGCGAACATCATGATGGCTGCGTTGGAGGCGAGCCATTGGTCGTATGCGAGGGCATACAGGCTGGGATGGTGGAGTGTGGTGCCTTTCGTGGCGCTGGCAATCGCGAGTGTGGCATGCATGAGCGGTGTGAAGGATCTGATGACGGAGCATGTGGAGGCTACAGTTGAGCGAAATGTTGTAGATGATCACGGCAAGGAGAAGGGCTTGGAAGAGAAGTGAACACGCTTATGTCAGAGGGGCGAATACTAAGTTAGACAGTTGCGTCACTGGAGTAAATTCTAATGTACTCATGCAATGCAAACCAGTTGTGTAAGCAAGATTGATCTATCTGCTACCTGGATTGAACAAGCTTTGTGTTAACCCTTCATGGCGCTTTCCCAACTGGATGTACAGGAACGTCACCGCCCGACGTCAACGAAGTAGTTACCGTAACCCAAATCGACCATAATCATGCAGGGTAATATATAAGCACATCCCTGACTTCGGCCCTTAAGCGGAAGCGGTGTCTAGCCCCGACGGCGGCTCTTGAGGTAGGCCGACTTGGGGCTGGTGCCCTCACCCTCGATCACTCGCCGCTCCTTCTCACCCTGGTTCTTCTTGGCGACGTTGTCGTCCTCTTCTGCCACCTTCTGCAAGCTGCCCTGCTCCTCGCCCACTAGGAAGGCGGAAGAGGATGTCGGGGTGGCTGCATCTCCCATGGCCTCTTCGAGTTCCTCTGGTTCCACAACTACCTCATCGTGTACCTGATTGTTGCCATCTTTCGTCTCTTCGGCTCCGCGGGTATGCTCTCGGTTGATCTCTGCCTTTGCGTTCGCCCAGAAGAGCTCGTCCTCCGGACTAGGTTGGGTAGGGAAGAATATCTTGAGTAGCTTCTCACCGTACCCGGGGAATCGTGTCTCAAGATTCTTCAGAGCTTCCATGACATTGCCGTGGGACAACGATTCGCGGAAGGTGAGGTCGATGGGGCACGGCGATTTGATGACGAGCTGGTTCCGCTTGTAGGCACCGGGCAAAGTGTTCATGTATTGGGCAACGCGGCGGAAGAAGTCTGCAGGACAAGCGGCGGTGATGATGTTGGAGACCGATCCGAGTGCCAGAACCCCGAATAAGAGAGCAGCACCGCGTGTGAGGTGACATGCGACGACGGTGAAAGCCAGCCAGCCCAGCGTAGTACCGATGAGAATATACCCACCTCCGGTACCGAACCAGTCATAGTTGGATGTGCCTGCAACTGCGAGGTCCTCCAGATTGAGAGCTTTGCCGTGGCAGTTGCGGATGATGAAGACATGACGGTGGCCATCGCCGCGCGTCAAGGCATACACGTTCTTATCTCCTCCATCGGCACGGGCGGTGAACTTCTCAGCGCGCCAAGCGGAAAGCTGCGTCGTCAAAATGCTCAAACACATACCAAAGAAGACCAGCAGCAAGATCAATGCCGAGTCCTGGAACAGGTATTTCGGGTGAGAAATTCGGAACAGCTCAACAACAGTGATTGGCACGAACTGTACCCAGAAAGTGAAGTTGGTCAATGTGTAAGGACAACGGTCGCCCACAGCTCGGGTGTTCACCTTTCCAGCCTCGTAGACAGAAATGTTGAGCCCGCCGACGCTATCATCTGTCTCTTTCTCCAGGTCACGCACCATACTCGCCAATACCCAGCTCTTGTTCTTCCGCGACTTCCCAGACTTCATGTTGACAATCTGACAATCGATCTCGGGCTCTGGCATGAGGCCACGCACGCCCGCCAAGACAGGTAGAAGGGAGGTCACCGCATGGCTCAGCCACCCAAAGCTCAGCGGTAGTACGATCTCGTTAGTATCGCAAGATTTAGCGGTTGTTACGGCGAGAGCGGTGCGGAGTATGGGTTCGCCAACGACCATGGAGATCGCAATTAGACAGCCCCACGGGCTCCCAGTGAGGCTTCCGCCGGTGTACATGTAGTAGGCCTGGTACACGATGGTGATGAATATGGCGATGGCGGCGCCGAGGGTGGGGTAGATGTCGGTATTCATTACTTCTATTTCGTGGTGAAATTGACCTTTGACGAGTGCCGATGTGGGGTTTGTCGAAAGAGACAGTGTACCGTACTGTGGTGCTTATAAGCGCAAGCAAGAAGTCGACCCTGGTGGATGTTGCTCGAAGTTGCTCTTCGCGTCGAGTAAGCAGTGTTGAGGGAGTATGGGGAATGAGCGTAAGACCCGCGGCACGGTGTTTATAGACAAGCAGGTCTGGAGGTGAGGCGGTGTGGTATGTGCGGTTTTCCGTATGCGGGTCTCCCATCTGCAGCGTCCCGTGCTGTTTGGGTGAAAGTCGGCGGCGCGTGCCTGGCGCTCTTGCAATTCGCCAGGATTTCTGGCGGTGAACGGGAAGGAGACGTGCCTGCTCGATTCGCGAGGGTCATACCTGGACTCAAGGGTCGCGTCTCCGCCGCAGGCATGATGCTTCTGCTGAGCCATACCTCGGGGGCCAATTATGACTTTCAAGGTCTTCTTCACCAATTCTGCTGACGGTAATGTGCTGTCATCATTGATAGCTGGTCACCGAATCTTGACATATATCCTCTGGTCTTAGAATTCGCTGTGCAAATCGCACGCCCTTTCCCATGGCTATCTCTGCAACTATCCGCTGTACCCACAGCAATTGTTGTTCGTTCCGAAGAAATTTGGCAACGATCTTTAGCGGGAACAATAGCTGGAATGCTGCGTTGAAATGATGCTCATTTCGGAGAAGGAACTCGATTGACCGAAAAATCTCGTGTATGATATGCTCAATGGTAAGGCCCACGTGAGGGAGCAGCATTGGGTTCAATTGCTCTGGCGGAATGACTCCAGCCTTTGCCAGCAACGCTAAAGCTTGCTCTGGACAATTCGCAAGAGAGTGACTCCGCGCCAACTCTAAGACTAGGAGCAGCCCCGCGTTGTATCGCATGACATGTATAGCGGGAAAGTATTCCTTGAAATGGAGTACGGTGTCATATAAAGGTGGTTCTGTTGCGGACGTCTTTACAGTCACCTCGTAGGCAACTTTGGGGTGGCATCGCTCCCAAGACCACCTCCATTGAAAGAAATCGGACAAAACACTAATCAGGCGTAACTCAAGCTGATGGATAGAAACAGTGTGGTCGCCGTTCAACTGAGCTTGGTCGCTCTCCTGTAGTAGTCCTGGGACCTTCGCGAGGATACACCCGATGCGAGCTCCAAGTCTTGTGGGCTCATTTGGTCCAAGGTCGCCCAGAGCTTGCCACTCGTTCTTTTCGAGGAAGACTCGTTTTCTACGCGCTATTGCCCGTGGGATGACTTGAAAGGTAGCCATCTTGCTATAAAATCTTGCAGGCTCTGTCCGGGTCGCATCCGCTCCACGCATCTCTATCAATCTTTCCGAGCCCCCAGCGTGTTCCATCCAACCGCGCCCACTTCCGAATACCGCTAGTTCATATAAACCAAGCAACAACGTAGCAGCGACATTTGCAGGCTCATGCCAACGCGCTGCATCTTCCAGGTTCCGTGCCAGTTCTTTGAGTGCCCGTGAGTAATAGGAAGCGCTGTACGTGAGATCAGGTTCCATCATGCCATGCGAGCGCGCGAACAAAGTTGCGGACAGACAGCACGCGCTGTATAAGACAACGGAAGTTGGGTCTATCTGGATGGCGTGAACTATCCAAGAGGTTACTCCTAGCGGCATGGCATATTCTGATCCTGGAAACAGGAAAGTCGTCACAAACGATATCCAGATGTTTTCGCGAAAGGCGTGCAACGCCATGCTTTGAGGCGGCGAAGGTCTCGCTGAGTCCAAGGCTCGAACCGTTTCAAATGTGCTAACAGGGGCAGGCTTCTCGATTTGCCGTTCCTCAGCCGCAGTCTTGGAAGCATTGCATGGATTTGCGAACCGATTGGTTTCATCGACGAATCTGCTTTGTTTGACACCAGGGGGATATCCATCGCATATCATGTACGCATTCCGACAGCGCTGGCACGTCGGTCTCGCTTCATCACATTTCACCTTCCGCCTTCTGCACGTTATACAGCCTGCAAGTCGTCAAACACTATGGCGCATCTGAGGATGGCGGACACCGCTTACCTGTGGATCTTCCAGGCCTACCACCCATGATCAACGCATTGCATTCGCTCTTTGGAGAAGGGTCATCAGGGGTGCATCCATATCGTTATCATGAACCTGAGGAGCTAGTAAGTTCGTGGACGCATCAACCCATCAACCATGAAGAACGTCATCGCTTATTGCAGAGGAGGAAGCCGGAGTCACACTAAGATGACTTGTAAGGTACATTGACGTTTACGCTAGCGCGCACCTCGCACGCCATCCTGATTGGGCTAGCAGTTCCTAGTCCCTTTCCTCCCATCCGATGCGGCGGATCAACATCATCTACACTAACTCTACCTCCTAGAGGATGGCAATTTCCGAGCTCCTGCGCTAGAAAGCACCTCGCAGTCAGCCAGGACTGGACGGGACCACGAAGGTATAGTAGCTCTTTAGCCCACATCCACTTCATCTTAAATCGCCTTTTGGCATCCATGAGGGGTCTTTGAATTCTCCAGGCGGTGCAGACTAAGCAGGATTAGGGGGATGTGCACTTGCAAAGCCATGCCCCGGAAGGTGCGACATTGCAAAAGCCTGCCTAAGGTCATTGTGGCTTCGATCGAGGATAGATATAAAGCACTGGTCATTGTCCACGAACAGTATCTCTTACTCTGCCATCACCCGGAGACTTGACTTCTTTGCCATCGCTCAGACACTATGCTAAGTCGTTACCTCTATACCACGCTTGCAAGCTGCGTCGCAACAGCTAGTGCAGCTGCTCCTATTGTCGACCTTGGCTACGGACTTTGGCAAGCTACGCTTAATGTAAGCAGGAAGTGTGCGATTCGAAAACGAGCATCTGCTAACGAAGGTCATAGGAAACTGGACAATATTACAATTTCAGCAACATTCGCTATGCACAGCCGCCTGTGGGAGCACTTCGCTTCGCTGCACCTAAAGAACCGCACCTCAACCGTACACTGATGAACGATGGTCAGGACGGTCGGATCTGCATCCAAGGAGAAGTTAGCTGGGCAAAAGAGCGCGCGCTCTTTACGAAGGCTTACTTCTCCAATGCCAACATAAGCGCCTTTCAGCAGATACCGCCTCCAGGCTTCACTGGCAAAGCGAAGCCATCGCCTCAGGCTGATGGTCGCGCAACCGAAGATTGCTTGTTCCTCGATGTTTTTGTTCCAAAGAGTGTGTTCGATAATGGAACGTTAAAGAAAAGTGGTGGCGCTCCTGTCATGATGTGGACACATGGAGGAGGCTTCTACCAAGGCTACAAGGACTCTCAGGGTAACGCCGCCGGTCTTCTTGCGCAGTCCATGAAGAATCCAGCAACTGCACCTGGAATTATCTACGTCGCCATCAACTACCGTCTTGGAGCTTTCGGCTGGCTTGCTGGACCCAGTTTCGCTGGTAGTGGTGCTACTCCCAATGCTGGCTTGTACGACCAGCGCCTAGCATTGGAGTGGATGCAGAAGAATATATATCGCTTCGGAGGCGATCCTAACAAGGTCACAATGATGGGCGAGAGCGCAGGCGGATCTTCCACTTTGCATCAGCTGACAGCTTTCGGTGGAGCCAAGGGCAACGCTCCGTTCTCTAAAGCACTCATGATATCGCCGGCATTTAATCCGAATCCTTACGATGCAGTGCAAGAGCAGACGTTTCAGAACTTCCTCACCGCCGCAAACGTGTCAACACTTACCCAACTTAGAGAGCTGCCCTCCGAAGCCGTCATTGCAGCAAACTCGTTGACCATATTTGAGGCATCATATGGAAGCTCCGGCGGTTTTGGACCTGTGGTTGACGGGAACTTCGTGCCGCAGCTGCCTACTCTGCTGTTACAGCAAGGTCGATACTCCAAGAATGTGGGAGCCGTACTTGCTGCGCACAACACGAACGAAGGGTTTCTCTTCACGGATCCGGCGATACAGAACGATACCGCCTTCAATGCCGTTGTCAACTCCTCGAACTCTTCGCTTTTCCCAGAGGCACAGCCTGCCGCCAAGAATGAGATTGCCAGCTCGCTGTATCCGCCAATATACACCAACAAGACATTGGGCTACAATACCACGTTCTCCCGAGCCGCCACTTTACTTGCTGATATGTTAGTCAGTTGCAACGTCCAAGCCGTGATGGAGACATGGGGAGTGGACCAGTCCCACGCCTGGCTGTTTGGCGAAGGCGCTGGTCTGCATGGCGAAGACAATCCTTACGTCTTCTACAATAACGGTCCAGCGCAAGACAAATACGGCTTTGGCACTGTCAACGAGACAGTAGCGAAGACCATGCAAGAATGGATGTTAAATTTCGGAGCGACTGGCAATCCGAACGGCCCGGGAGTGGTACCGATGCCAGTCTATGGGTCAAACCATGTTATGGCTAGCCTATCGAACAAGGGTGTTGGGATTCCAACGCCAGACCCAGCGTTTGTCCAGCGATGTAATTTCTTCAGAGAAGCATTGTACGTTTAAGACATGTATATCTCATCCGCGGTTCTCATTGGTGGCGTATCAAGGTGTAGGGACATGCGCGCAAGGACATACTCTATCTAGCTCAGCGTCGGAATTAGAGTCTTTGCAATCCCACAATCCATATACAGCGAGTATAGAGTTAGAGATGTGAGTCAATTGATTGAGATAGTTGGGGACATGTCTTAAAGAACACTCAACACGATGTAGAACATCTTGCTTCTCCATCAATTTACAACATTTGCCCAGGTGTCCGGTTTCAGATGAACGGTCTAACCACTATGAAAACTGAAGAAAATTCGGACTTGATGTACGAAAACCACATTATATACCGGCAGTCACATGAAGAAGGACCCGTTCTCGCATGGTAAGGACATTTTCCCCTCCTTCACCTGCGTTTGCCTCGAGAACGGGGCAGTGCCATGGGCGTCACGTGATAGCGCGAGAGCGTTTGCACAGCTTTAATTACCCCACCGCGCGCCTGGATATCTCGATCCCTCTGACACTACATTCGATTCTTGTGCGTCTTTAATTGATAGTACTGACGTCGCAGCAGAATCCACGCACAGTTCTCATCGCAAGTACACACAGGACAAGATGAGCTCTTCTACCAACGAGATCGCAAAGGTCGCCACCGACATGTACGGCCCAGCTCTAATCTTTCGATTTCTCTTTGCTAACCATGCTGTAGCGGCTCCAGCTCCTCTGGTGCCCTGCCCGACATCAATTCTCTCTCCATCGGCGACGATGGCTTGACCACCAACACTCCCTCGGCTACCGCCGCGGGTGAGGTCCGTACTAACCTGTCTGCTTCCAGCGAATTCCCCTTCAATCACGTCATGCGCATGATTGGTCAGTACAATGCTAACTTGGCTACTTCAGACTTCAACTACCAAAACCTCCGTGCCAACCGAACCCGACAATTCCAATTTCCCTTCCAACCGTGCCGCCATGGTTGCCAAAGCCCAGGCCGCGAAGAACAGCAAAACTTTCACCACCCCCTCCGCCTCCGCAAAGCTCTCCGCCCGCCTTAAGACATCCAACTATAAGCCCATCCTGGCCGCGGGTAAGGGCTCTGCGTCTCGCCTCGCACAGATGCAGAAAGAGGCCGCCGAGAAGAAGGCCAAAGAGGAGGAAGAGGCCAAGGCTCAAGAGCAGGAGAACAAGGCGAAGGCGTATTCGTACATGTTGAACTACGCCAACGAGCTACTGCAAAGCCTCCCCGATGAGGCCATTTCGGACCTCCCTGATGACTTCTACAAGCTGGAGCTGAAGGTGAAATTGAAGCTCCTTCTCGAACTACGTGCCAAATATGGAGAGCAGGGTCCTGGAGAAGCTAGCGGAACGACCGTTGGGGAGCTGGAGGAGACCGGCCCCGTTCCTGGAGTAAGTTCAAGTGATCTCTTTTCGGATTGGACCAGGCTAATAGCAAATAGGAGCTTGATGAACCCGAGGACCTCGAGGGGTTGGAGAGTTCTAAGGAGGACTCGAAGGAGCATACAGAGTGCGTTTGTGACGAGTGTAAGGAGTCGCAGGGTGACATGAGTGGAGGAGCTCGTGGCCTCGGCGAGACTGAGCCCCCCTCCATCTAGAGCCGATGGGTTGTTGGTCTGGGAAGAGATGAGTTTCACGTCTGCATTGAAGACTGCGGTATGCACAGCCTTTTGGGTCGTGTTCTGAAAAAGTTTGGCGGATGATATATCAGACGTAGCGTAACGTGTGCGTCATGTTACGTGCGCACAGCAACTAAGCCTCTGGAGAAGGCCTGTCTCCAATTTCCACCGGTTGACTCCTATCAGCCTTCGTATCCATGTCCCATTTCATGTCGCTGCTGTGTCACAATTTCATTCCGCCAAGGTCTTCTCGACAACCTTCAATATTTCCATAAGCTCCTCATCTTTCATCGCTTTTCCCATGACTTGGACATGCGCCGGTAGTCCTTCTAGAACTTTCGGTTCATCTGTTCACGAGTCAGTTCTATACTCTTAAACTAAACTACAAGGGCACGTACACGGCGGTTCATAAGCAGCATCTTCTTTAACGAATGACCTGTCCAGCTCCTCCTCAGCTCTCAAATGCGGCAAAATGCCGGACGGGTACTACCACGCACCTTGTTAGCTTTCACGTCTCTAGTACCCCTCACACAACAACAGAGATACTCACGTTCAGCATATTCTGCAACACTGTAAATGGCGCCAATCCATACGTGTCATGCTTCACCGCCGTCGCCGAGTTTCCAGGCATCAGGACCGCATCCAGCTCATTCTCAACCATCACCTTATGCCAGGCATGCAAAACCTTGAACCGCTCAAGATTCATGTCCCACAGCCCGTCCAGACTTGGCTCAAATCCGCGAATCTCTTCCACCATTGTTGTGCCCAAACTAGGTACCACGGGCTCGCCCGCTTGCTTAAGGTAGGATATGGGAGTTTTCTTGGGGTCGAGAAGAAAGAACTTCCACGCCAGGATAGCGGAGTCCCATATATCGGGTACTTTGTCATCGAGCAGCACAACGGGGTGACCTTTAGCCTTCAGCTTCGTAGCGCAGGAATGCAGCGCCCGGGCTATGGGCGGATGCAAAGGTCTCTTCGGGATACCGCGAATGAGGCCAAATCTCAGGGGCCGCGTGTAAGGTTGGACAGCGCGCCACGGCACGCCCAGGACGTTCTCGTCGAAAGTCCAAGTATCGCTGTTGCAGATTGTCTTCATTGTGAGCTCTATGTCGCGGATCGAGTGGCCCATAGGTCCGATTACAGGCAGGATGGGGCCAGGACTTCCTAGACGACCGGGCGGTACGCCGCCTCCGAACGGGACCCTGCCTACGCTCGGCTTGAAGCTGGCCAGTCCGCAGCACAGTGCAGGTATACGGCACGAGCCAGCTACGTCAGTTGCTAGCCCTAGGATTGAGCCACGCATGGCGAGGAGAGCGCCCTCGCCGCCTGTGGAGCCCCCGGCTGTCATTGAGAGGTTGTGCGGATTTAGCGTGCGGCCGAAGAGGTTATTGTGAGAATCCGCAGTCATCATTGTTTGGGGTAGGTTGGTTTTGCAGTAGAAGACTGCGCCGTGCGAGTACAAGAGGTTCACAAGATTGGAGTTTGAGGTTGCTGGTGGGCGGGAGAGGAAGGAGATGTAGCCGATTGTTGCTTGTGTACCTTTGACGTTGAAGGAATCCTAGGTTATAGGAGTTCAGCTCTTGCACTTCGCAGTGACACTTACCTATGACATTGAATTTCCGAGATGTGAAAAAGAGTAGGGAATACGCACCTTTAGACTGATGGGCAGGCCATGTAACGGACCCATTGGCCGTCCGTTGTACTCAAGATACTCATCGCATTCCTCCGCCCTTGCTATGGCTTCCTTGAAAAAGACCTCTGTGAGGCAGTTCACGCATTGTTGCGCGATTGCCGCTCTCTTGCAAAATGCCGTGACGACTTCCACGCTTGTCACCGCCCTCTTCCGCATAAGCTCGACCAATGCAGCTATTGACGTGAGCTCCCTTGAACAGAGCAGGTTCAGAGGATTTAGCCCGTAAGTACTTACTGGCGTCGTAATTAGAGGTAAGTTCGACTTGACTAGATGTCAGGAGCCCGCATGTTAATGGTACGTCAGTAACGGAGATGGCGGATGCTTCTGTGAATCGCTCAGTCAACGACTGGGGTAGCCTCCACTTCTCTGGGATCTTCCTGAGATTGTCTTCTCGCTTTGAGGCTGCGAGGCCTTGCCAATCTGCGGCAGAAACTTCCGGCATGGTGTACAGGACTTGCTGTTACAGTACAATGAAAGCTAATCTGTCTTAATGTAAGATGCTAGCGTCATATATACTTTGTTTACAATAGGAGAAGAGGTTTGGGGAAAGGGCTACTGTGTAAAGATGTTGCTTTATGGAGCTTTGGGGATCCGGATGCCGTTCCGAGTCGGATTCCGAGATACGATATCGGGTACGACATATTCGCCAGTCAGAAGCGCTTAAAATCTGGATGAACTTCCTACCCTAGTAAGCTTGTTGAGTAAGTCATAATGTTTATTGGGCGTTGTGCAAAGCTTCATAGTGTGCAACGCTGTGATCTAGCTGTTTGCCGAGGACGATGCTCGATGTATTGAATCTGGAAGCACCTCAAATTTCCTGTGAAGGAACATAGATCTATTCCATCCCAGTTCAAAAGTAAATACTTGACTAAGGAAAGAGGAGGCCCCTGGCTTCTTGAGGACCACTTGAAGCTCCTCGCCAGAGGGCGCAGTGGTAATGGACCACAACGATGTACACCGCAAATCTACGTGGTAGGCAGCTCAAACTGCTGCTACTGACTTCACGACTGCCTTGCCAGGTGAAGACCTGCGGACGTTTCCAGCGGTCGCAGTCATCCGGGACCCAGAGTTTGTGTAGGATATGAACTTCGAGTTGAGACTCAATCTCGCCGCCTCTCATGCCTTTCGTATGGTGACCGGCTTTTACGATGTCTGTACCGCTCCTGTGACCGTGGTCGCTCATCGTCTCCGTGTCGCTCTCTACGCCGCTCATGTCGGTCCTCCCGCCGTAGGTGCTCACGACTCCGTGATCGATGGCGTCTCCTCTCGCCATCGCGATCCCTGTCCCTCCTATCGCGCGACCTCGAACGATCCCGTCGCTTTTCTCTCCGATCCCGCGACCTGCTTCTGGACCTATGCCTCCTCCTTCTATCGCGCTCACCGTCGTCCCTGGGCCTCCGTGACCGCTCCTTCTTCTCCCTCCTCTTTTCTCCCTCATCGCCATCCGTTGCTTTCTCCTCAAGAGCCTTCTCAACATCCGCCTCATGCGCCTTCTCCCCCAGAGGCGTCAAGTTTGCGTTCGTCGATGCGCGCTCCGGGACAGGGAGACCCATGGCGCGCAGCATGGCATCTTCTTCGGCTTCTTTGAGTTTGCGCCTCTCTTCTGCGAGCTTCTCGCCTTCTGATTTTTCTCCCTCCTTGTCCTGGTCACCCTTGGCATACCAGTTTAGATCGCGGCCTTGTTGCCACCGGCCTACGGGGGCCATGAGTGAGTGGCCCAGGTAGTTTTCGCGTTGGGTGTCTGCTTTGACATCTTCCCATTTGAAGTCGGCGCGGCCGCCGCTGGAGACATGTTAGCTCAGAAGCATAATTAGTCGAAAATGTACACACCGGCTTCCTTCTTTTCGCACTGTCTGTACAAGATCCATGGTCACGCTGTTGTGTGGTGAGAGGTGTGAGATGAAGTAAAGTAAAGCAAATGCGGAGCAAACGCGGAGGTGCCCAAAGGCGCTCATTTGGAGCTTTGGCCAGGTTCCCCCGCGACTTTTGAACTTCACGATTTCGAACAAAGCTTCCACAATCCAATCGTCCTTCCCGTACTCGTTCTCTCAACTCAATCGTCGCGTACACAGTAAAGAGAACCCACAGAACACAATTTCAACCACCACTAGGCAGTCTACAAGCTACATAGCGCGCGTACATTCCTCACTGACACGCTCACCACATACCCAAATCCCACCGTCCGCGCCATGGTCCCCCAACCAGCGCCCGAAGACGAACAGTTCTTCGATCGCCCCGACCTCCTCCCCACTCTCTCCGCAGCCGGTACCCTCAACTCCAACACAATCCTCTGGTACTTCTACAACTCGCCGTGGTTCGACCAAGGCTCCAACAACAACAGCCTCCTCCGCCAAGTCGGCGGCACCCCTCAGCAAGAACTCATCTTCAACAACCGGCTCGCCTTCGAGGAGCGCCTGCGCACAGACTATCCGTACGGCACGCAATACGTTGTCGCGTACGAGCCCAAGAACGACGGCGAGCCATGGGTGATTCAGCGCCAGGAGAAGAGCGTAGATGAGAACACGGGGAAGACGGCGAAGATCGAGGTCACGGCTACGTATTTTACGCAGGGGACGAGGATTGTAATGGCGAAGAGCGTCCTGGATGTGCTGCAGACGCGCTTGCTGAGCGTGAGCACGCAGCTGCAGGAGCTGATGGAGCTGTCCAAGGACCTGTCGCACTTCAGCCCCGCAACAGGACACACGTACGTGCCGCCGTCGTTCGACCTCGCGAAGGCGAGCAGCGGGAGTCGCGCTGGGAGCCGCGCAGGAAGCCGTGCAGGTAGTCCCGCGCCCGAAGCGTCGCAACAGCCCGGTGTGCAACCCACTGCCGCGGACCCCTTCGAGACCTTCTCAGACGCCTTTTTCCTCCGCTCGCTCGACCGCACGGAAGCCTACTTCGAGGAGTACGTCGACGAGAACCCGCTGCAGGGCGAGCCAGGCTCCTTCGTGCTCACGCACAGCTGGCGCAACACGGTGACGCGGCGCGAGGAAGAGAAGAAGCGCGCCGAGCAGGCTGCCGCGCACCAGGCTGCCGCAGCGCAGGCGGCGTCGCAACCAAGTCAACTGTCCATCTCCACTTCGCAGACGCAGAGCGGTCTCCAGTCTTCCACGTCCACGCCTAAACCCGCCACTCCCGCCACCGAGTCCTTCTCCCGCAAGGCCAGCATAGCAAGCCAGCCGAAGCCGGGCAAGGAGAAGCGCCGAAAGTCAAAGGGACCCGGCAGTCTTGCGAGCCCGGTTACACCCACGGGTCCGCAGATATAGCCTGCCTCCACGCCGACAGCAAGGTGCACCCTTAGACATCGCAGTGCATATCTGGCGGCGGGTGCGTCTGTCTACCGGTGCCGTTGTCGGTGCCGTCGAGACCGTGGACACAGACGGGCGGTGGAGTGAGCGCTCGCGTGACGTGCTTTTCGGATTCCGTTATTTTGATTAAGTGATACCCCCCGAAGAGCACGGCATTGGACGACCGGGTCCTCCATTCCACTCCGCTCAACTGCACCTGCATTGCATATGCGTATGCACGCCTATACCACACCACACCACACCACACCACGCCACGCCACGCCATACATCAAGAGCTTTCTTTCCGCAGTGTAAACACGGTGGCTAGTAGCGGACTCGAGATCGATTTCCGACCTTGGCGCTGTAGCCTAGTAATACTATACGAATGGCTTTGCATCATGCGGCCGCTAGCCATGCCACGAGACCATGTGCACATGTACCTTGGTGGCTGGGCTTGACATTGCGCGTGTGGGTACACACAACGTCGTGACGTTCGTTAGTGGCATGGCGTGATGGGCTACGAGTACACTACTGTCCATGGCCTCATCGACTATCGAAGGGGCTGGCATTGGAGTCACGCGCGTCGCCGAGGATAGGCAGTAATGTATGAGTTTAGTCAATGCAGATCTATCGTTGCTATCTACAGAGTATGCGATCAGGAGCTCAGATGTAAGGTTGTTGGGAAGCATCCACATACCGATACCGGAAAGTGGAAGCGCTGACAAGTGCAACCACGGTAGCTGCTAGTTCTTACCCAAGGTCTCTACCAGTCGCCAGCCTCTGAGATTATTAGCCAACTCGTCCACAGTCACAGCACACTCGCAATCAGAAGACGGTTTTTGAGTGGGTAAATCCCGAAGCACCAGCGCCGCATGGCAGTGATGCTTCTGACGGATACGAGTCTTGACTATCTAATCATCCCTTGGGAGAAGTACTGCGCGCCAAATCAATAAAAACGCCCTTCCCTTCATATCAGATATCAGTTTGAATCATCCCATCCAACCCCTTCCATATGCAGTTTGTGATGCACCCGAGCACTAACAAAGAGATACCAAAGAGTTGCTTCTTAAAATGATACAGTGTGCCAAAGTACATAACATCTATGTACTTCGGCGAGAAGCAGAGAAGTGAGACATGATTGGAAAGGTAATGTGGGTATCGGTTTGGTTCTGAGGAGAGGAGAGTAAGGAAATGGTATCTCTAGCGCTACAAACTCTTGTATGGTGGACGCTCCTTGCATCCTAGGGGTCCTCCGGTAAGATGGTATGTTGAAAAAGGGTTTTTTGTTTGTTCCCAATAAAGAAAGAAAAAAATTCAAGGGATGAAAAGAGTCAAGACTACAAGTGGAGGTCATTCCAACCTCCAACCCACTCAAGGTCACCGATGTCGTCATGCAAAGGTGCATGGTTACGACGCCAGTCTTTACTCAGGCTCCAGGTATCGATGTCCTTGTTTTTGGACTTGGACCAAATATCAGCATTCTCATGCTGGGGGCTGGGGCCCCAATGGATGGGGCGCCTCCAGCTTCCAGTCCGGCTACGCTTCCGGGCGGAGTTCGGAGTTGGTGGCTGCTGCTGCTTGATGGGCTTCGCGGGCGTCTTCACAGGCTTCTGAGGCGTATGTTGTGCAGACTGCGGAGAGCGCCTGCGATCACCAAGTGCAGCCCATTTGTCTGCGGCCGTGCGCTTAGAAGGTGGAGAGTAGCGCGGAGCTGCCGCGTTGTGCTCTTCGAAAATAAAACCAGTCTGCTCACTAACGTGGCTGGTGGAGATTGGACTCGGTTTGGGAGAGCGGCTCCTGCTGTTGTTGACCATAGCAGGATTCTTGAGCTCAGCGAGACCGCCGCGAGGAGTAGAGACACCAGAGCCAGCCTCTGACTGGACGAATGGCTTCTCTTTCTTTGGCGTGAAGCTGTTCTCGATTTCCTCGATGGTGATGTCGTCATCTTCTTCGTCCCAAAGGTCGCTCCAGCTCTTGGAAATGACGTCACGCTTCTTGCCGAACACTGATGCCATGCTGTTGAAGGCCTTGGCTGGGAGTGAGGCGGCAATTGGCATGGGCTTGGATCGAGCAATGTTCATGGGTGCCGGGGCCGGAACATCGAAAGGCTTGAACGAAAGGCCCAGACCCGAATCAATAGACTCTCCAAGACCCGAGTCGACGAAGGAGGCGTTGGAAGCGTTGGCGGGCTTGACATCATACCAGGAACGACCACCATGACCAGCATAGAGATCATCGGGATAGATCTCAGTATCCGGGATGACTGACAACTGACGAATAGGTTGAGGTGGGGACATAGCCAAAGCCTTGGCCCAAGGGAAAGAACCACCCTGGTCGAGCTGAGGAGTCGAGATGGACGGTGTACGAAGGGGCTCGCGGTTGGCGCTGGCAACGACAGGGTCGTATTCATCTGCGCAGAAATCGTCAAGAGTCTCGTCATCGATAGTGAAGCTGATGACACGATCAAGTGCTTCCTTGACAAGAGACAGGTCACGCTTCTCGGGATCGATGGCCAGGCAGTGGATCAAAACCTCGTACGTGTCTTGAGACATGTTGGGGAAGACATCAAAGAGGCTCTGGCGGTCAAGAGCGAAGTCGGCGTACAGGGGATCCGAGACTGAGGGAACAGCAAAGGGATTGCGCGAGAACAGGACGTTCAAGAGGCAGATGCCTATGGCCCAGATGTCTGCCTTGGCGGTTGAATAGCCGGCGCTGGTGGGGTCGTACTGCTCAGGCGCCATGTAGCGATCGCTACCAACAGCAACCTCCCAAGACCAGGCATCGGTAGTAGCAAGGCCGAAGTCACCGAGCTTCATCAAGCCAGACTGTGTCAGGAAGATGTTCTCCGGCTTGATGTCGCGGTGATAGATGCCCTTCGAATGCATGGCTTCCACGGCACCGACAAGTTGATGCATGAAGTCCCGAACATGCTCGGTTTCCAAAGGACCTTTGTTGAGGCGGATGGCTTCGTACAAGTCGCCGTTGGAACAGAATTCAAGAACAAGGTAGACGTGGTTGGTGGTCTCGAACGATTGAAGAAGATTCACAAGGTTGGGGTGCGAGCCAAGACGAAGATGGACACCGAGCTCCTCAGAGCGCTCGTCGATGGCAAAGGCGGTGGGGCAGGTGACAGTTGCGGTCGACTTGGTGATAACCTTGATGGCAACGACTTCCTCGGTTACGAGGTCCTTGGCCTGGAAGACCATACCAAAGGAGCCATGATTGAGGGGCGATATGGTTTCATACCGTCCATTGAGCACAACACCCTCGTAAAGCTGATCGCGCATGCACTCCATAGGGGGACTCTTGGGATAATAACAGGGAGCTGGCCGAGGGGATCCAAAGGTATACCCCGTGGCGGAGCGCGGCAAGGTCGATTGGGAACGCTGACGTGAAATTTCGTAACCAAACAAAAGGGTTGACGGCCGTCGAACCCGCGAAGCGATGATCTAATGGACTTTTAGGTGTTGCAAGCTTCGATGAAGATAGGAATAAATGGCTTATGATGATCGGATCCGGGATGGGGTAAAAGGCACAGAAGAAATGTCGTCAAGTAAACAGGTTGCTAGTTGTAGTAGGTCGCTCCGAGGGGAACTGGTAACAAACGGGCCGTCGGGAATATGCACAGGGGTCCGTAGGCTGCAAGGACAAGGAAAGTCTCAAGAGAGTGTGGTGCTCATTGGCTGTATTAATTTTGTATGGATAACCCGAGTCAACGAGCGGTCGAAAGAAAGGCAGGTCGGAGTGCTGGACGTCCGGGTAAAAGCAAGAGCAAGAGTATCGCTGCGTGAGGTGGAGACGGAGAGAGAGAGTCGTAATACGTGCAAGGCGTAGGTGTAGACAGGATCGAGTGTCTAGGGTGGGTTTGTTGGAGGCGTGAGTCAGCGGCAAGACTCAGTCGACTAGCAAAGGACTCGAAAGGACGAGGATGCTAGGATAGGCGGCTTTCACTGGCGGCAGACGACGGATGGAAGCATCAAACGTCTGGCCACGAAGCTAGGTCGGCGGATCTCGAAGCCGAGGCTGATGTGAGGATCGGAGCTCGGAGGTGCAAGGCGAGGCTGAGGCTGTGTAGTGGGTGATGGCCAGGAGCTTGCTTCCGCACTATCACATCAAAGACCAGCGGCGTTAGGTAGATGGTCCGTTATATGGTCGAGGCGTGGTTGGGTAGATGGAGGCGTGGGTGAGAGAGGCTTGGATGAGGTCGGGTGATGTCGTCGAGCTGAGCGAGGCAGGAGCGTTGCGAGGGAAACGAACGAGGAATGCAGGAGCAGTCGTATTAGGGAGGGAGGATGGTGTGAAGGTGGAATGCGGAAGGGACGCTGGCTGCGACGAGCAAAACGACGACGACGAAGGAGGGCGGATGGTGTGTTATCAGGACATGGCAAGCTTCGGTGAGTGATGGAAGGCAAAGCCGGGCAGCCCCCTTCACTTATGGCACAGCAGGCGCAGCGGTCTGGGAACGAAGGCACGCTTGGCCCGATATGGGGCGCGCATGACTAGCGCGGCGCTTGCCGCAAATGACCAAGCTAGCAGCCAGTGGGTGCTGGAAGGTTCGACCGGGGGAGGTTACGCATGTTTTCGTCCAGGGTGATCTGGACTCGCCCTCCTGCCGCCTGTTCCAGCGATGCGCTGGAACTCTCCACCAGCCTTTGTCCGCGTTGCGCGACGGGCCCACCTGCCATCTGGGAGCCTCTCACGTGTCTCTGCCCTGCTGGGAGCGGCGGGCAAAGACGGAGGCGGGCGATTATGACGCTGCCGCGAGGATGGGCTCGTTGCAAGTCGCAATCGCGATGGCGACGCAACTGGGAACTGGGCACGCAGTGGGAACCCAGAACTGGGCACAGATGCGCAGGCCAGCGAGAGCGCGCGCCGACCTGGCAGGCTGGACGCTCGCGGCGCTGATCCCGCCCAGAAGCGTACTCTCTCTTTGTCTAACAGCGCGGTGCCTGGTCAAACACCACGTCGCACAACATGACAGCTGGCCTCTCATTGGCCTCGGCTTGCGTGCTTCGTTGATCGCAGCCTCTCCTCCAACGCGCTGCCAAACTGCCGCTCTGCCGTTATCGTACCTCTGTCGAGCGCTCAAGCTCATTTCCCACGCCGCCGGCTCGTTGAGCGCGTCGTCGCACCCGTCTTTTGAAGCTGTAGGCCTCAGGGGCTGCTTGGACGAACCCCTCCCACTGAGCACGCAAGCGTTTCAACACGCTGGCGCTCGGAAACCCTTTGGTGCACCCAGCCATGTCGCTCCGTGTCCCCTCGAGTTCCACTCTGAGCACGGCCGGCGGGTAGAAGCCGCGACGTCTTGGACCTGGGGAAAGCTCATGCTGTCCGCCGTCCGCCACTCTGCTGCTTACTTGCCTCGCCCAGCGCGAATCGCTTCGAGCATCGTGGCCTCAGGACACTGGCCGGAAAGGGCATTGCGCGGAGATGAAACAAAGTCGGTGTACAGCCGCCTACACGAATGGCATCGCGGCAAGACCAATCCTCTCCGACCAACTGCACTCGCTGTCCGGCTTCGGGCAGGCGCCCAGCGTCCATTCCTCCGTAGCGCGTCGTGGCTAAGCCTGCGAGTAGTCCACAACAGGAACGCTGCATATTTCCTGCAGCTGGCAGCATCGTGCATGACCTTGGAACAAATCCTCACAGGTACTCGAGGGAAATCCGAACGCTACTAATGCAGGACAACCAGAGGTATCCACCCTGCCCCCTGATTTTGAGGGCGGTGAGAAGCGACAACGAAAAAGGCCCAGACAACACACTGTATTCGGCTTTTATCTAGCCTATAGCATACTGAACAAATCCATAGCTTCACGATCTGAAAAGTGGACTGCTCGTGTGGAGCGGCGGTCCGCTGCAGCAGCCGGGGGCTGTCAAGATGGAACGTGGATCGCGTTAGGAATCTGATACCCATCCAGCTTCAGGAAGTCTGTTTGTTTATTTACTTCGGGATCAATAGGTATAACAACACACACGTGTAAGCGGCGGACTTGGGTCGGGTACACAAGCACTCTGCTGCGCCTGTCCGATGGCATTGCAAGCTCGAAAAACACCGCGACAGGCATTTCTGCACAGCGAACACTGCTCCTGCCCACCGCACTTTCGCCATTGCCATGCTGTCTGAAAATTTTCTCTTGCACGTTCGACTTGTACGCCTTCGCATTCGTGTTTTGCTACCTGGCAGAGCCCTGCTCTACTAGCCCATATCACAATATCACACTGACCGCCTTGCCTTGTGTATTTCCACCATCTCTCAACGCACAGTACTGGACCAACCAGAGCGCGTCGCGGCACACCACCAGTAACACGTTGTTTGTATTTCTGAAAATTTTCCACTCACCGCCCTTCACCGCTTTCCCAATCAACACAGTCTGCGACGACAATGTCTCAAGCAACCCTTAACCAGGCGCGATGGGAAGACTCTCAGGTTGTTCTGCTCGATATTGGTGAGTGTAAAAACACCTGCCCCGCGCCAGCTGCTCGCCGGCAGTTCTTCTGGCGGCGCACTCGATGGAACCGCCCGACGAGCTTCTCTGGCCTGGTCTAGCCAGCAGCCCTCTCGATGCACGACAGACATGCTCGTATCGTAGGAACACGCGCTTCCATCGCGTGCGCGCTGGGTGGTTTTCCCGGGAGCTGCACCCCAGGTTCACGCCACCATGCCCAGCACGTCTTGGGGTCTCGAACCGCCAGTACATGCACGCAACCGTTACCCAAGACAACACTGACGCTGCTGTGTAACGCTTGCAGAGGGAACCATTTCTAGCATTTCCTTCGTCAAAGACGTCCTGGTAAGCCGTCTCTCCGTTTCCTGAAGTTAGTCGTTAGTTTCCGTCGTCGCAACGAGGTTGCTTCCCCGCAGTCAAGAGCGTGTGATCCATCACTGGCCCCAGACGGGCCGCTGTCCAGCCCTCTGTACCTCTCTCGGATATCGTCAAGCCACTCATTTCCTTTCTGGATGCAATCTGTCCTTTTCGGATTCTATCGCCATCTTTAACTTTCCATGACCCGTCACGCGACACCCCAGCCCCAACGGACGGACACTGTCCGCTTACCCCAGGGCCAATTGCTCACCAAAACAGTATCCGTATGCTGTCGACCGTCTCGCGAAGCTTGCTCGCGACTCGTGGCACGATCCGGCCTTCCAGGACCTGATCGCGGGGTTTCCTGAAGAGACGAGACCGAATGCCGACACGCTGCTCGCTCACGTGCAGGACTTGACGCGTAGGGACATCAAAGCCGTGTATCTGAAGCAACTCCAAGGTAGGTCAACCCTGGGTCTTGTTATCAGTACTGGAGCCGTTATCGCAAGCACATCCCCCATTCTTCAGTAGTCGTGACCCTTCACCAATCCGGGGGTTTCCTAGCGATCGTCGCCACGTCATATCCCCGATCTCTGCCTCATGTTAGCGGATATCGGTCTTGGTCATTCGGACCGTCGCAAGCAGCGGACCCTGCGATAATCCGCTTCGCTGTCGTAGCACTCTGGAGACGCGCTGCGTTGTCACGTTACGTAACCCTAGCCCATCCTCGTTAGTGCTTGCTTACCACAGCTATACCGAACATCCTCCTGATTACCAAGTTTCATCGCAAGTGCCTTCCGGGGCCTCCACTGCAACGTGGATTCGCAAACAGTGCTTTCGGCTTCAGTCTGACCACTTCAATAGGCAAATTATGGAAGACTGGATATGAGGACGGCGACCTCAGAACTCCTCTTTTCGACGATGTGATACCCACACTTGAGGCCTGGAAGAATGCTGGCAAAACTCTTGCCATCTTCAGCTCCGGCAGCGTCCAAGCCCAGCTGCAATTCTTTTCCTTCGTCCAGACTGGCTCAACCACACGCGACCTGAAGCCTCTCTTCGCAGCTCACTTCGATCCTACCATCGCCGGGTCCAAACTCGAGAAGGACTCGTATGAGAAGATCTGTAGTGAACTGGGCCAGAAGGCTGCTCAAGTGACCTTCCTCACTGACAACGTAAAAGGTACGTATCAACCTCAGTTGACGTCGTTTGCAATTCTCCCGCGATTTCCCCGTCACTCTATTCTATTCTCCGATTACGCGGAATGTCTACGCGCTCTACCCTGGGCGACTCGCTTGGTGTCTACCTGAAACCGTCTCCGATCAAGCACTGGCCCGTATCGCTCCAACTCCACGGCGCAGCAGCTCCGCCTCTATTAATATGGACCTTACCAACAACGCATCCCAACACCAACACCGGCAAGCAAACCATCTTGTTTCGGAGCCAATCCGCCAAAACACCCCATTCCGTCATTGCGCCCGCCCATTAATTTACCGAAACAAGCCAAGCATCCCAGCTCCGCGTTTGCATTCGCAGATCATTTCGTTTCGACGCTCGCCCAATCACATTCGCGAGCTGCATTATAGACGTAAACAACATGCTGACATGCAGGTGTACAGAAGCAGAAGCCGCAAAGGAGGCAGGCGTGTATGCGCTGCTTGTGGATCGTCCCGGCAACGCGGCGTTGGCTGCGCAGGACAGGGAGCGCTTTCCCGTCATCCAGCAGTTGACGGAATTGCCGTGATGCCGAGCGCAGCTGTCGATCGAAGCGACCAACGTGCGACGTCATGCTACGAAACATCGAGATCACCTCGTTTCGTTACCACGGATACAGATAGATACTCGACGCAAAGAAAGGCTGCCACGACGATATCTCCACTCCAAGCAAGGCAAGGCTACACAGTATGGTTCCAGGAAGGGCTGTGGCATGTTGGTTGGCGCGCTGTACCTAAGCCAGATTAAAGTAGAACCTCCTCTCGTGTAAACAGTTTCAGTTTCGCGGCCAAAGGAATGCATGCTCCTGCAAGATAGTACACATGCCAACCCACCACCAACGACTGCTAATGCACTCCTGCATACGACACGCGACACCTTCTCCACGTAGTTCCACGTAGTGACGTAGCAGCCCTGTCAGGACACGTATCCTCTTTTTCCCCTCTCACGTGCGCCCTTTCTGCTTGTGGTGACGAGATCCCGATGGGCTGCATGTGTATATGTATGCGTATGCGTATGTGTACGTAAACAAACATCCGACCATACCACTTTTACCCGCGACATGCGCGATTATCCTTTCTCGCAACGTGTATCGCTATCTGCGGCGTGAGGCGCAAGAGGTGCGATTATCTGGTGATCTGCTCCGTTGCATGAGGTCATGTGGGGTTGGAAAGAGTGGTTCGGTTGCGAAACGGTTGCGGCTTCAGATGGAGGGAGGGGTGGGAGGATAGGTGGTGTGGACGTCAGGCGTTCTCTGTGTTTTGTGTGACTGCGACTGCGACTGCGACTGCTGGTTGACGCGGCTGGTGGTCTACAAGTTTGGTGTGGTAGGATGAGGTGAGTGGATGATTGTTTGATAGTGTGCTGTCTGGATAGGGGTAGTGATAGTGATACCTTCTATGTTGCGTCTATCTTGAAGTTGGCAGTGTGTTTAATAGCGTTGCTGATCGTTCGCCGTCTAGATAGGGGGCATTTAAGATGGTTGAATGATGTGTCGTGTTTGCGCTGAAATCTTGCTTTGCTGGAAATGGTGAAAATGACTCCATGGGACTGTGATCTTCCGAGTAATAATGCGACGCTGCTACATCGCGAAGTCCATCAGTATCCGCGCCCACTGATTCTCATTTCCGGTAGGCAGTGCTGAAACTCTGGCATAAGAACGTTCACTATATAATTGTATAAAAGAATAATGCATTTGAAGATATGTAACTGATACACTAGAATCTAACAACTGATATCATCGTTCACCTCCACCGCGAGACCCCGCGAGATGTTCTTGTCAACATGCTCCGTCACAGTAGCAGCTCCAGTCTTCATAGCAGCGACGAACACCGGATCTGGCTTCGGCACACCGGCTTTCTCCAGCATCTGCGTCTGCTCTGCAATATTGTCGATACGCTCTCTCAACCCTTCCTTGATCTCGTTCTGCTTCTCACCAATAGTCTTCATGATAGCCCTAGACGCGGCCTCAGCCCAATTATTCAGCGCGTCGCGCTTCGCCCGAACCTGGCTCTCGTCTTTGAGCACCTGGCTGAGATCCCACACGAGATCGATGCCCTTGGAAACATGCTCCACATGCATCGTGCTGTACATGCGAGCGATGGTCTGTAGCAGCTCGAAGTACGCCTTGATCTGGAGCGTGCTACTGTAGATGATCTCAATGTCCATGTCTGTCAAGCGTAGGATCTGCTTTTTGTTTGCATCTGTGGCAAGGCTGGAGACGTCTTCGTCGAACTTCTTGACCTTGTTCTGGACGACCATGCGCACCATGGTGGACAGGGCGCCGAAGAAACTCTTCAGTTTGTTGATTTGGACTTTGAGCTGGACTAGCGTGGCGATGCAGTCTACGAGGATCTCCTTGACTTTCTCAAGCGTTTGTCCTTCGACTTCAAGACCCTTGAGCTTCGTTTGAATGGCGGTAAGTTCTTGCTGTACCTTGAGAGCGCTCTCGGCTGCGGCTTGATAGTTTTGCTGGGAGGATTCAAGAGCCTTCTGGTTGATGGCGAGTTTCTCGGTGGCAGCACTGAGCGCTGCATTCTGAGCCGTGTAATCCGTTTTCGGCACGTCGATCTTAAGGTTTCGCATCTGGGGAGTGCTTGTCGAAGTCCCAGGGAACGACTTGGCGGTGGTGTCGAGCTGGAGAACCGTTGCCTTGACTTCCTTCATATCCGCTTGCCAGGTCTTGATCGTATCTACAGAAGTCTTTTCGGATCCTAGATCGGAGGACTTGAGCACTTCAGCTTTGATGGACTCAATCGTCTTGATCGTCTTAGCAAACGCATCCTTGAGGTCAACGCTCGGCTGTCCAGTACCAAGTCGAGCCGACTTCTCTTGTTGCTTCACATTCGTGAGGAGCCATGTGATGCCATGGGCTTTTTGGATCTTGCCATCTGCATCCTTCTTGGAGTCTTTGAATTTTGTCCAATCGATACCATTGTCGGGACCACTAGTTAAGTATGCATAGAAGTCATTGATGAAAGGTGCAATGAGAGGAGCGGTCGAGTAAGCAGGGTCAGCGGGAGGTGCGACCTCTTTCGAAGCTGCTGCAAGGACTCCAGTTGATTTCGCACCGGTGCTGGCAGCTTGTCCCGCTACTGCGCCAATCATTGAAGACACCAGAGGATTTCCGCCGGGTGCGTTAGCGGCACCCTGGCTTGCGGCCTGACCGAAGGCTCCGGCTATGGATGAGACAGCTGACACGGGGTTCATGCCGTTGATGAGAGCAGGTAGAGCTTGTGCAATAATGGACGGACCTGCTTGGGCAATGGAGTTGATAGCGCCCATAGCACAAGTCTCCCAGGCTGTGTAAACAGATCAGTCAACGATGTTGCTCGGTTTGGGCTTTGTCGACTGCAACTCACCTGATGGCACATCGTCGTTCGCTTTCTGGAATGCATCTTCGGCTTTATTCAAAGACTTGAGCATCTCGTTGGCATACTTTTCTGCACTTTTGATCGTATCTTGAGTATATGTTGATTCGATCTCAGCTTGCAACCTCTTCGAGGTGTTCTCTTCGGACTCAGCCTCCGAGGTACCGTGCTTCTGAACGGAAGCTACATGAAACTCAGTGACACAGAGCAGCCAAATATCGAAGGCCTTTTCGGTATCATCGGCATATTTGAGGCAACTATCGGAAAGGCGTCGAAGCTGGTTCAATTTGTTGTCGAGGATGCGAGCGTAACCAGGATCAGGGAGCTTCTGGGTGCTTCGAATTACTTCAGTGACCTGCACAGAGGTCAGCACACCGTATAATTTGATCAACCTATATCACACTTACAATCTCGGTCAAGTCCCCAGCTGTACCTGCAATAGAGTCCATGTTAGTGGCCGCGATGCTGAATGCCTTCACGCCACAATCGCCGACATATACAAGACAGGCCTTCAAAGTAGGCTTCTGTGCGACCTGCATATGCTTCCAGCCGCCCTGTGGCATGGCCGAGCCTAGGCTTATGGCAGCAGCTTCCTGGCTCGACGAAGCAACATGGCAGGCTCCTAACAGCGACAAAGCAGTGGGTGCAGCGGAGAGCAGGTCAGCCCAATTATACTGGAAGAGCATGCTCTCTCTGACTTCCGCAACGAACTTGGTGCCAGCCTTGCCACTGAACTCGTTTTTCAAGCGCTGCTGGTTCGCTCGTTCGAGCTCCGCCAACGCGTCTGCTTGATTGAGAGCCATAGATAGTGGTGAGCGGACCGGTTTGAAGAAGAGGACGGTATCGAATCTATTGATTGAGGCAACGGAATTGTGGTCAAAAGAGGGCTGGTGAAGGGTTGTGATCGTACTGGCTTGAGTAGAAGAACCATTTATATATGGTTTTTTCTTGAACCTGTCCGTTCAACGTTCCATAGCTGATGGTATTAGTCTCTTCGCATCGCTTTCCTCAGCTTGGAGAAGAGTGAGACTCGCCAGCCATGGCTCTGGCTAGAGCACATGCTAACCGCTTCGCATGTGTGAACGGAGACGCGCATTGGTATTGCCGTGCTTGAGTCGAGACATGGTCTCATCTGCAGGAGCTCGCTTGGTCCAGATGTCTTTGTCCAGATGGAGTCCTCAGCTAGGCTTCACCCCTCTGCAGAAGCACGTTTGCCGTGTCGTTACTGCTCACGCACGATGCTGTCGATGGGTCTGACCTTGCAGGTTCAGCTTCCCCATCTCCCTACATTTGAAGCCTACTGTGGAGCCGCGGATCGGCACGTTGCGTGCGACGCGAGCTAAAACCCTTTGCAACCAATCACGCAACACAGGTACGTGCCATCGTCGCTTCTTTCCGTCCGACAGCCAGCCACAAACCCGTATCAAGTTCTTGAACGGTACATGATACTATGAAGCTCTCGGCCATGGACGCGTCGTAACTCACATTTTGGGGTGGACTGTGGCTTGGCCAGACCGTAGATAGCTGCGTCCTACGATATATCGCCCGAAAGTGTCTTAACAGTTGCGCATGGGCTCTTTTCGTCAACCCTTGACATTAGCTTGTGCTCAATCACATTGCATTCAGCTGGCGATCGGTTCTCTTCGCTCTTTTGGACCCGGTGCTCGGGCTCACTTAGCGAAGTTCGCGTCTTTCAGAGAACGCCCGGCTTCGCAAGCGACAATCAGTAGCTCCAAGTGCCGGCTCCGCCGATTTCTTACCAACACACCGTATCGCTCACAGCTCGCCACATCAGTTTTGTGCGTCAACAATGGGTCCGTGATCGATCAATTCCTGCATGGACGAGCAAGAACTACTGTAATCAGATCACACTCCACAATCCCATCCAGTGAAACCAACCCACTTTCACTCGGCTACTCCGAAAAGAAAGCTCGTGAGCAACAGTCTAGGCTTCTACTCACGACACCAGAATTCTCAATTGGGACACAGGCACTCAATGAGTCTTGTGGCTTGGGGTTGGCCATGCTGGGATGTGGTGCTGGAGGCACAGACACAACATTGAGACTGAGGACCCTTTTCCTCGATGTTTACCTGACTACGGTTTCCTACTCTGTCAGTATCCGAGATCTTTGCACCTACCCACATCGTGCAGCATGGGTGCCGTGTCTTCAACGGAAACAGGCTCTTGGGCCTCTGTCGATAAGTGGAAGAAAACCATGGGTAAGTCGTACTCTGCGCTTATTGAATAGTCAGGAAAACGAACAGGCTAATCTTCCACAGAGAATGTTAAGACCGAATACGATAACTTGGAGAGAGACACGCGCCAGCAGAAATCTGATATGGCAGCGCAAAGCGAAAGGCTTCAGGCCGCTGCTCGAGAAGCCTTCGAAAGGCGCGACAAATTGATCGATGCCGCTTATGAAGCTCTGGAATGCTTTGTACGTGAGCTCTTGACGTATTCCGATGGCAATACAGATATCGGGAGCAAAGCTGTGCCAACCCTCCCTGTGGTTGTGGATTGCTTCAAGCAGCTGGCGGAATTCTGCGAAGGCGTAGTCGACCAGCAGACCCTTGAAGCAGTCGAATCAACACAGGAGATCGGCGAAGATGGGCAGATCGCGGAACGGATCAAGAACGGTGGAGAGAAGTTGAAAGTTACATTGAATGGGTTGGATGCTGCAGTGTCGAAGGCTTGGGAAAATTTCGAAGTGCATCATGGCCACCATGAGAATGCACGAGCGGCTCTTAGGCAAGCCGAGGAACGCAGATCTGTAAGGACCTCTACTGTGTTGCTAGTAAACGGGTCTCATGCTGACACTCTGGAGGGATTTTTTTATGATGTTTTCGGCGACAGCGACATCGACAACGCGGTCAACAATTGTAGAAACAATGAAGACACTTGGCACAAGAGTGCAGACGATGCCTGGGCCATGTGGGACCATCTTCGCAAACTGAAGGATGAGCACCGCTCACTGCTCGACAACAACCTTGGCCAGCTGTGTTCGGAATTGACAATCTTAGTTGACGGTATGCGCGCGAACTACGCCAATATCGGCGCCAGTCGAAAGGTTGACAGAGAGTGTTGGCTTGCGGCTCGGTTGCTGCAGTATCACGTTACGACCAACAACGAGTATACCAGTCGAGACGATGCGTTGAGACATGTGTTCAAATTAGTACACACTGTCAACGACTCAATTGACAGTGACGATGATGTTATTCGTCTGAAGGGAGTTATCGAGAATAATGTTCGTCAAACACTCGGAGATACAAAAGCGGAAGAACTTCATAGGGAGAAGGTGTTCCTTTCAAATCCAGACGAGGTAGACTTTTGATGGTAGAAGCGTACGTTGTATAGCTTGTGCTGCTGCAGGGCAATTCGCAGTTCCAAATCGATAATCTGATTGCGTTTCCTTACCTACTTCCAACTGTGCAAATCGCTTGGATCAAACAGAAAGAGAGCACTTTGTCTTGGAACTGGCTTTGATCGATGGAAAATGACCGCCATCAGCCACCGTGCCGAGTATGTTCAGGCCATGACTACCGTACCAGGTTCAGCGATAGCATAATTGCGCTTTGCCTGCACCCTAGACCATATCGCACCTTCTAAAGGGGCTATTTCTGGGTCAGCTTCATTATAGTTTGTGAAATGCTTTAGCGATGAGTTTTCGGCGAACGCCGCGCGTCTCGATACTTCGGTTGATGCACGCTGTGAATCAATGCAAGCGAACGTGACTAGGCATGCATGGAGATGCTCTTAGCTGGTCAGTTCTTCTAGTGAGCGCTCCAGTGTGATAGATTCAAGGCTAAGCGAGTCACCTGGAACAATCTGGGATAGCAAAAAATTGTGGCATCGCTGTTTGAAGTAATGACTCGTTTGCACCTTACATCTGAAAGGAGAGTCCTGCACACGCGTCTGGGGATATGTTTAGTGTTCGGAATTGCCGATTTCCCCGGCACTTCAACACCAAGCGTACGTGTCCTGGCAGATCAATTGGTCGATGAGACACTTTTTCGGCTCGGTACTCCGCAGTGACGTTGGCTCCGTTCGTATGTACCTTTGTCAAACTGATTTTCGCTTACAGCGCCTTCCTATATGCACCTCTCAGCTGTGCTCGCACAGACACCAGCACTATCACGTCCAAGATCAGGCATATCCAGAAAGGCGGCAGCACCATTCCGGACATCTCTTGGCCTGGCGGCTTCTGAGGTCTAGAGCGTGTGTTGAGGACCCCAGAGGCATATTTAAGCTGCACGTTCGCACTCTGCTCTCAAAGTCATACCAACCCTCGCAATTCCTTCGCATCAACTCCTACATTGTCTCCTCCAGACTATCCCTCCAGAAACCATGGAAAACAATAACGGACCGCTTCTCGGAGCAAAGTTTGGCATCCCTCCTGATTCGGCCTTGGACAGAGAAGCAAAGGCTTTGTTCGCCGCTCGTGCCGTGGCCGGCGGCCGCTATGCAAACGACAACGCCAGACAGGCGGCTATCACCGAAATCACGACTTTCAATGCTGGAGGCTACGTCGTTCCGTGGAAACAAGAACGAGCGGCGCAGCGACCGGCGTTGCCGGCATGGATCGCTAGACACTCGGAAAAGCTTGGTGCATCCAGGGGGTTTCCTACCAAGGGACCACAACAAAACGCTCTGAATGATCTCGGTTATTGGTTGCTGGAGGCAGCGAAAGAGGATTACAATTTGGCCAACGAAGGAGTAATCCAAACATTCAACGGGTTCTTGATCAAGGCTGTCAACGACGGTTTCGATAAGACGGATGTCGGAGGCACAATGAACGGTGAGAAAAATCACGCTGGACTTGTTCCTTAGTACTCTGTAGGAGCCCACAAGCCTTGGGCAGTGAATCAAACAGCTACTCCCAACCAGAAGTGGAGTCGTGATTGTAATCGGTGAATGATGTTTTTTGGTGCTAGATGTTGTGTTTCGGTGCTAGATGACCGCCTCTAAATGCCCATTTCCAGATAGAGTATAGCTACTCTTTCTATTCATTGACCCCGTTTGGCTCAGAAGAATTTGTGCCTGCCATAAAAGCTCAGTGTAATACCTTTTCTCTCATCCAAACGTTCTTTCAGTCAGTGAATTATCACAGTCTGTATGTCTGCCGAATCAAATAGGTCTCCTATTGGATCAGCGTTATAAGATTCGTCTGAGTCTAAAAGAACCCCGATTCGCTCAAAAGAATTGTGGTCTCTGGGAGACTTCCTCAATACAAGTGATACCAACATGTCGTCGTAACCTTTTGTTACAAGGCTCATACGAAGGCACAGGACCGAGGTCAGAGGATTTGTCTGGCCAGGCCCTTCATGGTCCAGAAGATAGTCCGGTCTCATACGCGAACGAGCCTTTGCAGTAGAGACATAATATTCGGTAGATGCCGTCTTTTCCCTGGGGCCCATCTGTTGTTCAAGTGTTCCTTGGGCCACCAGTCCGGATATTCTGAGCGAACCCTGAGCAGATGGCCCGAATCCATCGACTATCGACCAACAGGACTCACAGCTCTCGACGACACTAAAATGCTCGCGGGGTGGATACTCGTCAATGCCTTCGCGCCATTTGCCATAGTTGGTCGCGTCGCTGTAATACACGGGTGATTCAACACTAGCCCAGGACCATGTGGGAGCGTTCAACGGGTATGGTCTTGGCCGCTCTTTTCCTGTAGATACAATCCAAAGAAGATCTTCGTTGAGATCTCGCTCCCAAAGCCCTGCAAGACACCTCGAATCTCTCAAGGGGGCCATTTGGTTGGCCAAGCCGCTGATAGCAGGTAAACGATCTTTCGATTTGGTCAGAAGAAGTGGTGTATAACAGGAGACCATTGTACGCCATATCCGTGCGAGTTTGTAGTACGTTTCTTCATCCGCTTGGTCCGAATCTTCATCCACTTGGTCCGAATCTTCATACTCTTGGTCCGGTTCTTCATACGCTTGGTCCGGTTCTTCATCCGCTTGGTCTGGTTCTTCACACGCTTGGTCAGGTTCGCCGTCGATGTGTTCAGCAATCGCATCAGCATATTCCATCTTGATCAAAGACCCGTCGTAATTACCGTAGGGGTCTCCACACTCGCATTCGATAGAAGATCTACATTCAAAGAACATCTCGTTCCGACCAAAGTGTAGAACTCTGGTCGATAGCATACGTTCTTGAAACACCCACGCTCTGGTCAGGAGAGGGAAGTAGCTTGCGGTGGGGTTCATCCTAGGATATGTTGTGCCCCAGGCAGCATACTTGTCCATGCGCATCTGGTGATCAATCTGTTCTCGGAAATAAAGCCGATAGTCTTCCCCATGTGTGGTCTTCCCACGAAGTTCAAAATCTCGTGTACTTCCGAAGAGACCGCCTTGACCATTGGGCGAATGAGTTGCAGCAATTGTTAAGAACCCGTTGCTGTATACGGAAGCCATCTTAGCCGACTCAATACCCCAATCGCGACCATCATCTTGTATGATGCAGAGAGAGTCGATCCAGATGTAGTCAAACCCAAGTTTTCTCGTCAACATGATGGCATCTTGGAATGTTTTTGACAATTCTCCCCAGGCTATACCCCTTTTGCGTTCTTCGAAAGTTGATTTGGTGGTCGTTGCGATTTGAACAAGACCCCAGCAGTGGCTGAGGCAGATGTATCTTCCCCTTTTTCCTTTGGGCTCCACTAGCTTAACGATTCCGTCGGTGAGGCCCACATCTACAACTCGAGTTGGCAGTTCTGGACGCTCTTGTTGATCGCAATGGCCTTTAGGGTGGTAGTGCGAGACAATGCACCGTGCAATCCAACTCTTGAGAGCGACAAAGGCCCGCACACTATCAGTTTGCTGCGATGTCCTAGGCTTAGTGGGAATGCAGTCCCAAGACTTAGGAATGGGACATCGATTGTCTTGGCTCGCGAAGAATTCCACATAGAACCACTGACTGTCTATCAGGGAAAACGACAGATACTTGTCTGCATGGTCCGTGTGCAAGTCCTCGTCGGCGTATGGATAGTAAAATTTAAGCTCTACGGAAAGTACAGTAGACTCATCAATTCCATGTTGACTAAAGCAACCACGGCTTCCAGACTGTAGGATGCAGCAACAAGGACATGACTTCGCCGACAGTCGCAAGTCTTCTAACGTGAACTTTGCCTCGTGCTGAGCCAAGAACTGGCTTTCCCGTTCAGTATTCCCCTTAAAGTCTTTGCAAATGGCGCACGACATGGTTTCAGGCTTTTCTTACTTAGTCGGTGGAGAAAAGGGTCCTTGGGTTTGAGGGGATGCCCAAGGGTAAGAATATCGTATGATGCTTGTTAACGTGGGAACTTAAGAATATCAGCATTGTTAAACGTTTTCGGCTGCTGCCTAGCTTGTGGCCTTAAAGATTTCTTAGCCTATACACCTCTTTCTCCCGAATAATTGGATGTAACCAGCCAGCATATCATGTCGAGATACGTGTCCGTTGCTGATTGCTCCCCAACTAGGTAACCCGCGATGGCGTCGCGAGAATTTGGTTAACTCTGCCATCTTAGGCTTACATGATGCTAGAATACGGGCTCGTTGCAGGGGTTTGGATATGGCCTCGGCACCAGCAGCGTCTGAAGTCAGCTACTCATCAACCGCAAATCTACCATCAACCTTAACTTCAATCCCCACATCCAGAGGCTCATAATCCCATTCACTCTTCTGCATCCATTCACTCTTCGCCTTCCCAATGTGCACTTTCGACTTCGTAACCGTCTTGTACGGCACAGCCTCCTTCACCAATACCGCTCTGACCTTGCTCGCTGCCTCCTCCTCGCTCAACCCGCCAAAAACCTCCGCGTAGTCTCTGGCCTTGCGGATCGCATGCCTCGCTGCTTCTTTACGTGCCTGGGCCTCTACAGTAGCTCGGGTCGACGGCGTAAGTATCCATTCTAGCGATTTTATTTTTACATTTTCCATAGAGCCGATTTGCGTCGCGAGACGCGCAAGAAGCGCGAAGTCGCGAAACTCGATGCTCAGGTCTGCGAATGCGGTAAATGTAATCTTGTATGAGGCTTTGGAGGAGAAGGACATGGTGCCGTAATCCTGTGCTCTGTCGCGGCCTTGAGAGGTTTCGAGTGTCTTTATTGAGTAGTGCGATATTGCGGCGTTGTTGTTGGCTGAGTCGGTGCTGGTCTCGTACGGGCAGTATGGCGCGATAGCGTCGCAGAGGGAATTCAGAATTGAGGCGACATTGGAGTCGGCCTCTTGTGGGTAGGGAAAGGCATCGACTGCGCGTGTAAGGTGAGGATGCTGCGTTCTGCTGGGTGGTAGGTGGTGCCCGCGCCTGTTACGTGAACGTCCAATGGAGCCATTTCTGAACGGTACTTCTCAGTCGCTCTTTGATGGCTGTAGTACTAAATTGTTTTCCAGTTGTAAGGAAGATGGAAGACGGGATCATTTATTCATGAGGCGCGCACATTTACGCCTTGTCGTTGCCTAAAATAAGCGCAGGACAGATTGACGGTACACTCAAGCTAGTTGCAGCGGCAAGTGGCAGTGCTGCTGCACTTCAGCCTGGACAATTCAACAACGACATTGATTGTATTTAGACAACTACCTAGCACTTCAATACTGAATGAATTACTATAAGCTTATCACACTTTTTTCTATAACGTAATTGGCTGTGCCCCACATATCCTTAAGGGAATACTAGTCTCATATAACTGTTCATTGCTACATGCAATTCATGTTGGTGAGAATGAAATCGCATTTTTTTCTTCTCCACATGAGAAGAGGAGAAAGGGTCGCCTCAGCGCTATCTCTTCTTCTTGTCACCTTGCCTCTTACTCGATACACTTCACATTAGCATGAAGGAGAAGATATAGACCGACGCAAAGTTTGCCATGCCTACAGTCCTAGACAGGATAGTCTATCTGTCGAAGCCAGAGCCACCTCAGCAGAAACATTCTAAACGCGATTACTTTGTACCGACTTCCGGAATAACCTTCTGCAAATCGAACTACAGTTTCTTCGACACCTGTGAAGAGTTGCCTACGCGTAAAGGACACCAAGACTCGGTCCAAGCCCGGCATTGCTGATGTCGAGTTCCCGACTGAGAACCCGAGTTCTACTTTCTTAGTGTTACTAGGCTACCTTTGAGTGCCCATAGGCTACCTTGTGATCATGTCGATGTAACGATAACTTCACTAACGTCTGCTCATTGCCAAATAATGTTCTCGCATGTTTCGTTTCTAATTTCGCCCTCAGACAGTCAAGCTGAGTTCGTAAAAAGCAGCAGCAGGGGGGAATACGCCATGCATAAGGACTGTGAACGAACAGTAGTCGAAGGCAGCGTTTGTGTCCATTATCTCACTTTCGAGGACGGGCACATGGCTCGACCAGTCGGCCATATCGACCATGTCGGGAATGTCGGCCACATCGGTCATTTCAGATAGGCGATCATAGCGCATAAGGAGAGAGAGATATCACATGCAAAGGCAATAGAAAGACCGGCAAGATACATACTCTTTCCCAAAGAAGAGAATCGGGGTCGTCCTATCGCGTTCTAGCCCACGGCAAGAATCGTAGACAGAGTACGATAGACCTTTAAGTAGAGTCAGGGCATTGTTATATAAGTCTCGAGGACTACAGCAGTACCGCACTTCATACACACATTTATTCGACAAGAGCTTCGGTGCTCGGAAGATAAGTCTAAGTATGCTGTGCCCCCGACCGTGCAATACGGAGACCGTAAATCCCGAGCTTGATTGGGTACTGCGTACCTTACAAAACGCGAAAGCGTGCGATATCTTCCAGTACGAGCTAGGTTGGGGTTCATTCTTAGTCACTTGCTTAAGAACCAGAGTATCCTCTCTCGATCCCACCCCTGCATGTAAGTGATAGGTAGGCCGAGGCCAAATGTGAGCGTTATAGTGATCAGCGCGAGACATCGCAGACTAACTTCCGCTCTGGGCTATGCTTCAGGATCTCAACGGAAGTACCCGTTACGCTTTGCTTCTGGCCGAAATGCTGGGATTATTGACGGTTCACGACGCGCGTAATTGCTGACACGAATCTTGTCTTCGTTCTAGGCGCTTCAAATTGACGCTTGATTGGAACATCGAACCATATACCAAAAGGGTATACAATAAGAGGATCTCGCGTGCAGATTCTGCCTCCGCAGCCCTTGTTCGGGGTTTATCAGTAGTACATGCATGGACTCGATTTGACTGCGTTTTACTGGCTTTCCTACGCCAATACTGAACTTCACAGGGCACGACCGACTGTGAATCCCCGTTTCCACCTAGCGTACGCGCCGTTGAAGGATCTTCCCGTAAGGCTGAGCTACAGGGCAGACACTACACTGATCACGATTTCGCATCGTATTGGGGGATCGGCGACAATCCCTACCATAGACGTGCCCAAGCTTCGGGACAGTTATTTCCAGATGGATCTCTATCCTTTCGCCGTGCTTGGCCGTGTTGGGGGCCACAAAGGGTCTCGCACGAGACTCCCACGTCAATCGACCAATCCGCTCACTGGATTCCCACTCCGTTTATCCAACGGTCTCCGCACATACATATCCGAATCAGCGGCACGCAACTCCGCCCCCGTCCGTAAGAAGAACGTCGTGGATGTAATGCCAAATCCGACCATTCAAGCTTTTCACTAATATCAGTGCGCGACCCAAGAGTCATCTACACCTAACGTCTTTTCGTACGATACCATTCCACTACTCCTGTTGAATGAAAATGAGGAGACTTGGGAACTGCACTATGCCGCAATGACTAAATCATCGGCGGTTGCCTATGGATGAACCAAGACTGCGGAGCCACACTGCTATGCTACGCAATGACCGAATGAACGGCATCTACCGCATCAAACGGAGAGCACCATTTGCATAGCGAAGTGAACATGTATAAAAGACCGGACAACTTCCTCTCGCAACTTACAAAATCCCGAAGCTAACCAACATTCGATCATATTTAAACTTCCCCACGCACTTTTCTATGTCCTTACAATTCACCCGTTCCGAAAAAGAAACTCTACTTCGAGCCGACATGAAGTTCTTTGCTATGATTGGAGTGCTCATGGCCTCTGTGGCTGTCGCGACACCGGATCCAGCTCTCCAAGCCGAAATTGCAGCCAACCGAGCCAGAGGCGTTTGCGGACCTATGCCCCCAGTAAGTGAAGCCCCTCTACAACCGAGAGCTTGAGCACAGCCTATGCTATTACAGCGTCAAAACAACACTGAAGACGTTTGGAATCACTGACAGCTTTCAAGTGCCGACCCTGCAGTACTGAAGCCGATGGATGCTGCTGCGATGGCTAGGAATCTGCCTTGCTTTAATGGAGATATGCATGGAATGCTGGTGCGATATGTACCTAAGACACGGACAGCTGCAGGAATGGGGGCCAGTTGAAAGAAGTGTCCTACGCTCGCTCTGCTCAATCTCTTCCTGCCATAAAATTGGAAATGCTCCAACCAATCTTCACATCCATCATTCTGGAAATATGTTCTTCATATGCATGATCTTCTAAACAAGGCCCTTCCTTTCATGCGCAGAGAACCTTCGATTCGTGATCTGTTGGACTCCATTGACCCTAATTCTCATATATCGTCCATCTCCGACTACCTTTTCATAGATGTATAGCTCTCACGTACAGTGGATCAAACCATGATCTGGTGAACGCAGATTGTGTATTGCGCATTGCGCTGCGGCACTGCTCACGCAACTAAAACCTTGCCTCGCATTCATTCAGCCACATCAAACCAACCAGTGTTCTAACCCTCCTTCTACTTTCCTATTGCCTGTCACCCCTCTCCCCCAATCCCTCCTTACCCCCTTGACCTTATCTTCCCCACCAATCCCCGTCTTCCTGCTGGGCTCAGCCTGATGATCCGGCTGCTTCGCCGGATGGTCATCCCCGCTCTTATGCTCCTGTCCTGAGGCACTCGACTGCTGGTCTGTATTCGGGGTATCGCGCCTCACATTTTTGTTGATGGAGTCGGGTTGGTTGGCCTGCGGGTTGGATCCCATGCGCTTTTGGTCATCCGATTGAAATTGAAGTGGCGTGGTGGAGAAGGGGCGTGTGAGGGGGAGGACGCGTGAGGGAAGGAGAATGCGGGTGAGTGGCGGCATTGTGTATAGGGCGTTGATTTGTAGAGTCCCGGTATTCTGGTGTGTGGCCTTTAGAAACTGTTTCTGCGATGGCGATCAAGTTGCACGGAATCAGATGATCATTGAATGTGGTTTCTCTTCGAGGCGTCACTAGACTATGAGTGGAGGTCGTGGTCGTGAGCGCACGTTGATGCGTTGGTGATGTCACTGACTAGCAATGTAGCGACGGAAACCTCTGACAACGTTTCTCATGAACAGGCGATCGCTGAAACGCGCTTGAAATAATGCAGATTCATCTTCCGATCAGAATCACAGATTGACGATGCTTATGAATCTATCAGCTAGGCCTCGCTGTAATGAAGCTTGTCAATGTTCGCCCTTCACCATGTGCGAGAGAACAAGTACATCGGGATAAGATCAACTCTGGGCTAAGTCTCGCTCTGTTGCGAGTACATGTAATTATATATATTTAACATATGGTTGAGCACCCATATCGGCCCAGATTATCGTTCGTATGCGACAAATAACACCGCATATCCTCAGAAAGCGCCTCCCCACCTATGACCCATGGTATAATGCCAGTAAACAATAATTCGTACACCTTTTCCCCGCATACCGTTTCGCAACAACAAACGCCGCCAAAATGCAGATCGTCTTATCGGAATTCTACTCGACTACGTCATCGCCATCCGCATCAAGTGCCTCGCCCCTCAAAGTCGGAGGCAATCTATCGCGAATCGCCTCGAATGCGATCTGGCAGTTGTGTGCGTCCTCAAGCAGGCCGTTGCGCTTGAAAGTATCGATACACACGCCCCAAGCGACGGCCCGCCAGAGAACAGGGCCCTGGCTGCTGACATTCCTCGCCGCCCGAGCACACTTGATGGGCTGGTCGCCCACCTGATTCGCGAAGAACTTGCTAGCCATGTAGTTCAGACACATTGAGACGAATTGAGCATTTCCGAGCCTCTGCGCCCTGTTCGTAGTCGTGTGTATCAGCGTCTTGTGGCCCTTAATTGACTCTTCCTGGGTGATGGCCTGGATGATGCGGAACGCGCAGTCAATGGATTGGTTTGGATGGTTGAGGCACAGAGGCTGCAGCTGCGCGAACAGAATTTGCGCTAGGTAATGCTGAGGGTGTGAGGGATCTCGAATGATGAGCATCCTGTTCATTGCTGCTAGCAGAGCGATGTCTGTATAAAAATTGGTACCGGAATCGGCACCCGGTAGGTCGAACTCGGGGCCTGAATAGGTGCCCAAGGCTGAGTCGAGCGATCCTTTGGCCTGGTCAACCATGCCAGATAGATACGTTAGGGCACGAGCGTAGGACTCCAGTCGTTTAAAGGGGAGTCCAGAAGAGCGCTCATGAAGCATTGACATGGCAGTCTGGGCCGTTGCAATGTCCTCATGGTAACATGCCGCGATGCCAAGAGTATATTTGATATGCCAATCGAGCACCTTGATCCAGTTTCGCTGTTCCAGGGACTTGGGCACCGAGACCGGAAATGAAGAGGAGCGCTGTATAGCAGCTTGAGTGAGAGCATGTCCCTCCTGCAGGTATTTGGTACCCTTGTCTTTAGTCACAACTACCAAGCCACTGAGATAATAGGCCAGCATCCCGAAGTCACTTTGTGGTAACCAAGCAAAGACCAACTCGTCGCGGCCATCGCCGGCCTTGCGAAAGACGCCGCCAGTGTTGAAGGTCAAGTTCGGGTTTGTTGAGCTTCTCTCGATAAGTACGGAAAAGGCCCCGTTGTCAGGTTTGACATTCTGGTCTACCTTGCCCTGCAGAGCTGTGAGCTTCTCCTGGCTGGGCTGCCCCTGCTGAATGCTACATGCAACGTCGATGTAGTCGATCAAAATGGTTATTGAACCCAACTGTTTGACAGAGAGCTCAAGCTGAAGGCTTCTTGCGGAAGCAATGGCACGTTGAGCTTGCTCCAGACGATCTGCAGCACTCGAGCGCAGGTGGATCATGGCTTCCAAGGCACAGCAAGTGACATAAATGGCTCTATCCCCTTGCCGCTCAGCGAGAGCGGCTACTGCATGTAATTGCTGAAGCGCCGAAGATGTTTCTGGCCGCCCAGGGACTTGGAGTGCAAGGGACACCTTCAAGAAACGAAAGGCATACACCCAAACTATATGCTTGAAGGTGTCGGCTTCACCAATGGGTTTATCCAGCAGTTTGAGGGCTGCGCGATGATTGCTCTTGAATTGATAGCGGGCTTGTAGATGTAGCATAGCATACTTCAGATCGGTCAATCGACTTCGGTTACAAAGCGTGATCTGCGAGTTGTTAGCTCTGCCTACTGCTCCTCTCGCCTCGCACCTACCCCTTTCGCCAGAGTCTCTTCAATATCTTGGGTATTATCCGTCTCTTCAACTAGAAGGCTAGCATACCTCAACCTCAGGATTGCCTCGTCCCGCGGTGTCTGGTTGTACTTCTTCAGGACGGTTTCCATGCAACCCATTGCCGTCGCCATGAGCTTGTAGTATTGATCCAGATCAGCGGGCCTCAATGTCATAGCAGCGGTTGATCCGAGACTCCGCGCCGCAGCAATGTACTCATCTGCTGCGGAGAGTATGAGTACCATGAGGTCAGCTGGGAGTGGTCTTGCAGGCGCATGCTGTGGTCTTGTGGGTGTCTGTAACTGCGTGGAAGGCTTGTTCTTGATGACGACCTGAGGGTGCGATCGAGCTTGAGAGGGCGTTTGGATTACGGACGGACTCCGTGACTGAGCGGTTGGTGTGCGAGCGTGGGCAGGCGTCCCTTGTGGCTGCAGCGGCGCACGATGTTGGTTCTGGTTCTGTATGGGAGTATCGACCGGCCGCTGCTGTGTTCTCGGGGTATTCTCTTGAAACGACTGCGATCTGTGCGCAGACTTCGCTGGTGTTTGCGCGGGCCGCTGCTGCTGTCCTCGAAGATCAATGGCCGCGCCGCTGCTTGTGCGCTGAACCGGTACCTGTCCACCGTGACCAGGTATCTGATTTTGCCGCATTTGCGGATACTGCAGCTGCGGCATCATGTTGGGATTTCGCTGCGGCATGTGTACTTGTGGTTGCATGTATCGTGGTTGCGGTGCGGTTTGCGGGGGCGACTGCTGGGTTGGACGAGTTGGGATGACGACTCTCGGATGCATCTGCCCTGGTTGCGCAGGAGGAAAGACCTGCTGCATTGGCGGAGGTTGCGACCCATATGGCATGCTGTATCCATTGGGCGCATAGCCGTTTGGTGGTTGCGACGAAGGCACATGCTGGCCATTTGGATAGCCCTGACGGGCCTGGGGCGGCCAGTTGTACCGTGGATCCATATGGTTGAATATCCGTCTCTTTCAGTCCATCACTGATTGAGGGTGGCTGCTATGACTTCAACATGGCTGCGGTCGCTGCGTTTTCTGGCGGTGGTCAGTCGCGATGCGGTTGAGGCAGGTGGACGCGGCGCGACTGCCGGCTTTGGCGCGCGCCTGAGGTAGCGAATCACATACAAAAGCCGAACCGAGGCGGACTACGACATCGTTGCTGTTTCACAAGCTTTTCTCAAATACAATTATTCAATCTTTCATGCAGGTCCAGACTATTCACCTAGAAGTAGAGAATTCTTTTTGCTTAGACTGAGAGCGTTGGTTTCTGTTTCGGGGAGTTCAGACCACCATTCAGCGTTCGAAGCGACCATTGTCCACCTAAGCGTCTGGTTCCTGGATATCGGACTTTCAATTAGGAAGGCACTCTCGAAAGGTACACATCAGACAGCAACCCGGGACCTCTGTGAAGATGTCGTTCCTCTTCGGCCACGCCAAAACTTCGTACACCCACCACGAAACTCCGATAACCCTTCCCACCAGATCCGGATCCAAGACCTCTTTCGCCGACCTGATAAAGGTTGCCACTCCACCATGTCGACTGAACCCCCTCCTCTTCAATGGCCACCTCCAAACAATGTGGACGGCCGTGAAAGATGACGGCCCCCCGGTGTATTACAAGCGCAAGATCTACGAGTCAACACACTCGGTTTACCCAGGCCAATTCACTGTTGATTTTGTTGTTTCGAAAGAAGAGGGCCTTGCTAGCAAGCTTGATGACGAGCTACCCGAGAGGACTACGTTCTATTCCGAGGAATATTGGACTGCTGTGGGGAGCGATGATAAGAAGCCCATGTTGGTGTGCTTACACGGTCTGAGCGGTGGCTCACACGAAGTCTACCTCCGACAGTGCGTAGCTCCCATCACGGCCTCAGGCTGGGAAGCTTGCGTGGTCAATGGAAGGGGTTGCGCGCTGTCGAAGATCACAACGCCGAGATTGTTCAATGCAAGGGCAACGTGGGATGTGAGACAGCTGGTTGAGCATTTAAGGGAGCTGTTCCCTAATCGTCCACTTTACGCCATCGGGTTTTCCTTAGGCGCGAATATTCTGACCAACTATGTGGCTGAAGAGGGCGAGACGTGCGTGTTGAAAGCCGCTGTTGCATGCTCCAACCCATGGAATCTCGAGATCGCCAACGTAGCACTCCAGAGAAGCTGGCTAGGACTAAGCGTCTACAGCACAGTCATGGGAGGCAACTTGAAGAAGCTGTATGAACGGCACCGCACTGATCTTCTCGAAGCTGAGGGACTCAATGATGAGAAGATCATGAAGTGCAAGTACTTGCACGAATTCGACAGGTAAGCAATGTTGTGGAAAGCTATGTGAATGAGGAGCTGAAGTACTAATGTTCGTCACAGAGCGGTTCAAGCACCAACATGGGGATATCCAACAGAGACTGCCTACTATCGCGATGCACAATCAGCTGATGCAGTTGTTGCTATTAAGATTCCGTTCCTTGCTATCAACGCAGAAGATGATCCGGTAAGTTCTCCTGCCACCTCTTGAGCCAGGCAACCCCCACTAACCTGAACCCAGATATCCAGCATGGAAGCGATACCCTACGAAGAGTTCAAACAGAACCCGTATACTGTCCTCTGCTGCACTAACTGGGGCGGACACTTGAGCTGGTTCCAGTTCGGAGGTAAAAGATGGTTTGCGGACGCCGCTGTCGCGTTTCTCACCAAGCTGCATGATGAGGTGGATATAGATGCATTGCCGGCGGGCAAGAAAGTAGAGGCGAACGGCGAGGTGCCCACCAAGAAGTATCCCATTTTCGACCCGTGTAATAGGAGGTTGGTATTGCCGCCAAAATAGACTGTGGCGAGACGCAATCGTTTATGCTGGGTATCAAGTGCGAAATAGACATAGACATAGAGAACCGAATAGATCATGATGCTCATGGCTCTTTCAACCAAACGACACCCTCTTCTTCTTGCTTTTTGCAGCCTTCGTCGGCGTCTCATCAACCATGGCTTCAATCTCTGCCGTATTAGAATGCCTGCTCTTCCTCTTCTTCTTCAGCCCCTTCTTTGTCTCCTCAAATTTGCTCGCCTTCTCCTCCGCCCTGGTCTCCATCTCCTTCCTCTTGGCCTCCCGCACCTCCTCCAACTGTCGCGCGCGCATGATCTTGCTCTCAACATCCTTATCCTTCTCTGCATTAACCATGCTCATTATTGCCATCATGCTCGCGGGATCGTCCACGAAGGTCTTGCCCTTCTTCTGGCCCTTTGGCTTTGCAATACCGGCGGGGATTATGCCATTGAGCTTCGGTAGGTCCAGTTCTGATTCTTTGTAGACACGCTTCTTTGCCTTGCCGGAAGGAACTCTCGATTTCGACTTCTGGGCGCCACCGGGTTTGGCGAGAGCGAGGGACTTCTGCTTCTTCTTCGAAATGCCTTCGGGTGCGCTGCCTTTCGGTTTCGCGGATTTCTTCGAAGGACCGCCGGATTTTGAACCTCCAGACTTGCCGCCCTTCGAAGAAGATTTGCCTTTTACGGATTTTGTAGGCGCCATTTTAGCTTGTCGTGGGTAAACTTAGAGGTATAGGTATTCGTGCGGAGGAAGTACAAGTGCGCTCGAACTTTTTTGGTGGAGAAGCTGCAGTCGGCGATTGCAGTTGCCGACGTGAGCTTGGCAGGCGCGACCAACTGACGAAGCCTAGCCCAGCCTCACAGGCGCAAGCGCAGCTCCAACATCAGACCTCCCAGCTTGCACGCAGCTGCACGAACACATCACAGGACGACTACGCATAGGGACAACAACACAACAGAAGCAGCATGTCGTCGCACCGCCTATTCCGCTTCCCAAAGCCGGCTTGGTTGAACAGCGCCAACACCCGGACCGCAGGCGTCTACGCAGCCGGAGCTCTGGTACGCAATACCGGCGTTTACTCACGAAATTCTGGACGCTGATAGACACATTTTATAGTTCTCCCTCGGTTTCTTTCTCCTGATCGATGTCGCCTCCTGGTCCCGCTCCCCCATGAACCCCTCCGACCCAGCCGTGCATGTAACCTTTGTGGATTGGATCCCCGGCATCTGCTCGGCGCTGGGGATGCTGGTCATCAACTCGATTGATAAGTCGCGCTTGTCCGCTGACTCCTTTTCGTACTCCGGAAATGGAGTTGCGTGGAAGGCGCGATTGGTGTTGTTCTTGGGCTTTGCGCTTCTGGCGGGTGGACTGGCTGGAAGTGTGGTAGTCTTAGTGCTCAAGTACATCGTGGCCGAGTATGTGTGGCCGACTATCTGGATGGGCGTGGGGAATGTCATTGCGAATGGTTTGGTTATGCTAAGGTGGGTTGAGGCTCCAGCTCCGACACTGATCTATATATGATTACAAGGCTAACGGACAACAGCTCTGCAGTGCTTTGGGTCGCTCAAAACATGGAAGATGAGTATACGTACAATCTGGCACTTTAAGGCGATGGAAGTAGTCCAAAGAGGGATTACTGGGGACAGTTGATTTGGATACGGAAGCGATGAGTCTGCGATGGAGGTCTTAGGCCCCGCAGCGGGTTGCTGGCATACGCGACTTGCAGTGCATGTTGTATGAATATTAGCTCGGCGTTGGGAGTCTCACAGAGGCCTGTGAGGAAGTTCTGCAATTGTGGGCTGTATAGAGATATCTCGATTCTTATATCAAATCCATTCGATATCCAACACAAGCGTATGAATAAGGCCTGTCCGATAAATGCAGCGTAAGGAAAGATAGCTTTACACGAACGCTCAAGATGATGAAACCCATGTGCAGGCGCCAGTCTATGGCGCGACCCAGCTTCCTTCCCAATATCTTATTGACGTCAGCCTGCTACAAGCCGAACAGTGATCCCAGAGGTTAGGCGGTGCTCTTTGCTTGCCTTCTCCTGCGGTATCCTCCGTAGTATATCTTTCATTCGTCGTTCCGGCCTTGTAGTCAGAAATCTTGATCTTCCTGGAAGAAAAGCGTGAAGCTGATGATCGTCCCGTAAATCAGCAGTCCACCCACGACTGACATGACTGCGGCTCCGGCTTGAATAGTGGCGGAATGGTATAGAAGTGCTGGGAGTGCTGTTATATCTGTTAGCACTGCCAACCAGCCATGTAAACGCAGGGCTGGCGCATCGAAACCGTGAGTTCACCCTAGAAGACGTACCAATGCCCATAACAACAAAGAATCCGGTTAAGAACCTCCCAAAATCCACGACTCCACTTCCCGAGCTCTCCATAAAATCATCTGGATTCGCTGCACGCCCGCATATCCAGTTTGGCAGTGGTGCGATCACGTACGTCGCAACGACGAGCAGCGTGAGATAGTTTTTGAAGAGTGCCGCGCTTAATATTACGAGGAGGAAGCCGATGGCAAGGACCTGTTGTTCTTCTGTTAGCCCGTAGCAACATAGGCGCGCATGCGACAAGGCAGTCGTACGAAGGAGAGTCCTATGATCGTCTTGATGCCGGCCATGGCGGGAAACGGTATCGGGATGGGGTACGAGATGATGTTGCGCAAAGGGTTGAGTCGATAGTCCGTATCATGCGACGGCGATAGTGGAGCGTGAGGATGCCTGGCGATGCTCGGAGGTCGCCCGCTGAGCTGCGGTTGCGTAGCGCCTGTGAGGCTGGACTTGTGCACGGGCGCTGTCTTGGCGGGAAGCTACAATGGAGCTTCGTAACATGGGCGCTGCCTACCCTCCCCCGCCAACCGTTCTCTAAAGCTCCCCGCAACACCTCGACGCTTCAAAACCTCCGTTGGAAGCGGTCCGCGCGAATTCTATTGCGGCTATAGGAACCTCTTGAAAATACACGGAATCAACGTCACACAACCCGCGCCGCCGTCATGTTCAGAAACAACTACGACAACGATTCGGTGACGTTCTCACCCCAGGGTCGTATCTTCCAGGTCGAATATGCACAGGAAGCCGTCAAGCAAGGTTCAGTCGTGGTGGGTGTTGTCAGCAAGACACATGCCGTGCTCGCGGCGATCAAGGTACGCATCGCACCTTCTCAGTCCGGAATACCTATATTAATCTCTCACAGCGAAACGCAGAAGAACTCTCGTCCTACCAGAAGAAGATCATTCCGATAGACTCGCACTTCGGAATCGCCCTCGCCGGTCTCGCTTCAGATGCCCGTGTCCTCTCCAACTTCATGAAGCAGCAATCTCTCTCATCACGCCTGACCTACGACCGCGCAATCCCGCTCTCTGAGATCACCTCCCGCATTGCGGACCGCGCACAGATCAACACTCAGCAATATGGGCGACGACCATACGGCGTGGGCCTGCTGATCTCCGGTGTGGACGCAAAAGGACCGCATCTGTTTGAGTTCCAGCCCAGCGGTGTCACGCAAGAAATGGTTGCCTGCGGAATTGGCGCTAGGAGTCAGATGGCGAGGACGTACTTGGAGAGGCACTTGGATAGCTTCGAGGGTTCAAGTCGTGAGGATTTGATCAAGCATGCGCTGAGGGCTCTGAAGGAGTCGCTGTCCCAGGATAAGGAGCTTACGGTGGATAACACTAGCGTGGGCGTGAGTGGCATTGGTGAGGACTTCAAGTTATTCGAGGGCCAGGATATCGCAGAGTGGCTGGATGCTACGTTCGAGAACCGGGAGGGCGGTGGTGAGGAGGGCGGAGAGGCCATGGAGACGGATTCATGAAGAAATTTGGGAGACCTTTGAATAGGTGGTCCCAAAGCTGACCGTACCCAAACAGACCCTCAGACGTAGGGTAGTTGTCCCAATGTGAGCTGAGCCAGTAGATTAGGCTGATGCTCCGAGAGAACATGGTTCACGAATAGGAACTGAATTCGATTGACCTTCATGAATCCCCTCATTTCCTGTGTCAAATCATAGTGAGCGCACAAAGTTTTCGTGCACTTTCACCATTGGATATTTGCCACACATAATTCCAGGACGTTTGACGCACACGATTCGACTTGACATCACCAATTAGCATAAGTCCTTCCCGAGAAGTCAATTAGCCCTGGCTCTGCGAATAGTAAATGGGCTCCTCTCCAATCACGTACAATACAGAGACAGTGCTTTTGTCGGTTGCAATCGCAGTCTAAAGTACAGAGCGACAACTAGACGCGAAGCGGTGCACGTGACCTTGATTTCGCCGAGCCGCATCCCGAAAGTTCGCAAGCTCCGCTCCAACCCTTCACGACCACCAGCTCCACCTTCCCACGACCTCAACGCCCGAAACTACACCCCCGACCATCACAATGGCATTCGCTTGGAAAGCCGCCGGCCTCTCGTACGCTTCCCAACCCTGCACGGCCCGAGGAAATCGCAATTGCACCTGGTTCTGACTGCTTGAACAGCTACAACCGCTACATTGCGGTCGCATCCCGCGCCGTCCGCCGCTCCCTCAAGGAGGACAAGAGGATCGCCGCCGAGCGACGAGGCGAGAGCGAGCTCAGGTTCGCCAAGTGGGAGGTATGTATACTAAGACATCAGGGAGTGGAAGGAGGTTGACACAGGTTAGAACGGCAAACAGGGCGAGGCCAAGAACCTGGCCGAGGCCACCGCTGCTTCGGCGGAGAGCGCAGCATCGTCCTAGATTTGGAGATAAGTAGCAATGGCTTGATGATGGGATACACGGGCGAAGGACACCCGGCGGAGGCTGCGAAGGAGGGCGAAGTGTATATTCTGTACTATCAACGCTGGTATCTTGGAGGAAATTCTAGAAAGCCAATGCACGACAATATCTGAGCCTCAATTGCGCTCTTCGGCTTACTTCACCTGTGATATGATGCTGTGGCGGACGTAGGGCCTCTGTTCGTAGCTCCTCTACAGAGCTTGTTCTAGAGGTGCAAGTGCACCCCAGCGCGCCGTCCTTACTTCCGCATCGGAACCACTCCACTCCCAACCAAAGGGCAAACGCACATCATGGCCGATCCTTCTCTCCTCCACCACGACGCGGCCGCACGCGACACCGATGCGCCAATAGCTTCTAATGGCACAGGTTCGTTGCATGCTTTCACGTCTTGTTTCCATGTATTGATGCGGCTTTAGGCCCCGCCTTTGCATCCGCAGAGAGCTCGAGCTTTGCGCAAACCAGCTTACCACTACGACAGGCACCGAGGCGTGGTGCGCCGCCTCAAATTCATGATGTGACGGAGAAATTTACGAGGGCTTGTCAAGGTAAGTGTTTCAGGCCATTTGGGAAGTTCCGACTTTCGGAATGCCCTCACACCAAAGCCACGATTGTTCATCCACGAACACGTGAAATTACGCTGCCCTGTGTACTTGCAGTCGAAATCTTTCACTAATGTTGTGTTGCAGCCCTCGATGTCGGTCAGCTCATCAAAGATGAATATTTTACGCTTTTCGAATCCATTGGAGCCATTGAGGTAAGATTTTGACAGTGATTCATCTCACTACATCTGACCATGGACGCAGATCATGGACGCAAAGATGGACAGCGGCTTCCTGCAACCAGGCGAGACCTTGGAAGACGACTTTGACCTACTTGCACCTCTCTTGCCCGAGGAATTGATTGGCATCATGGATCAGCTCTTAAGCTATGAAATGGCGTGGCATACAGGCTATCCCCTGTCCCAGACGCTCTTCACTTCAGTCTACATCGACAGACTACTTTACCCAGAACCTAAGACCATCCCTCAAGCGCAGTTCTACCGTGGCGACATTCCGGATGACAAGAGACCAGGCACATTGCTGGACGTGCTAAGAGCGTACTGTTTAGCCCTAATCAAGGGGTGTGACTATGTAATCGCAAAGATCATGGCGAGGGATTACTTCGAGGAGGAGGACTTTGCGACGCATACGTATAACCGAGTGTTGTTTGTGCAGGTGCCGATAGATGTGTTCCTGAGGGAATTGGATGCAAGCGTAGAGATGATTGAGGAGTGAGTCAGATCCTACATAAGTCAAAAGGAAGATCGAAAATATACTGATTATTTCATAGCTCCGATCTCAAGATTGATGACGAACTTCGATCAGCTATAATTGCCAGACTCCATTTCAGGAAGAGTTTCCTATGCGCTCTTGATCCTGAGTGTCCACTGGAGCTTTTATCCAACTTTTGGCCACCTGTACTTCCACATGTCGACAAAGTTAACGATACTCAACATTTGGGAAGGACCGTTCCTGGGTCCTTCAGCACCAAGATACAGCGGCGACTTGCGTCAACAGTACCACCACGGCCGATAGTTGAAGTCGAGTTCAAGGACGCGTTGCAGACATTGAAGCAGCTATGCGCCGATTGCGAAGAAGCAACTCGCTTCAAAGACTTGCCGACAGACCCGCTGGAGTACCAGTCTTTCCTATGGACGTTCGCTTCTCGCCAGCCAGCGCCTCTTACATACTCGCGGTCATACCTCTCGAACATCCTCTTTGACCCCTATATTCTGAATGCGCCTGTGTCATTGCCTCTCGAAGATGTCAAATCATTCGTCTTCCATGAATCTCCCATCTTGGACCCTGCCAACTGGGCGCTTTCTCCACCGCGCAACCCATTGATGCCCAAACCGCCAAGATTGCAGTTCGCCCTTCTGATTGACGAGTTCGTGGAGCGAGTGGGACAGCCCTATCTCGATCTGTGGGTAGCCCTGGGCCAGAATAGGTGTCGTCTCCGCCGAATGCTCACGCACGTAATAATAGCTTGGGATATGTTGCAACAGGATGCTGTATTTGTCGATGCCGATCTCGTGGTTCATGCCTTACAGCTCAACATCGCTGAGGAAGTCATGGACAGCCCACTTCTGACGTGGGTATACATAAAAAAGTTGTGGATGATTGAGAAAGTCATCATCCTAGGCTTCGAACAGGACATATACCTTCCCGACGAACACGCGGGCATGTATTACTTCCTATCACTTACAGCAGGGAAGCGAAAAGACGCATTACAGCGCTGTGCGGAACATCTCTCCGAGCGTTGTATACAATTTGTCCAGAAATCGCGCTATCAGGATACGAATGACACAGACAAGAAACTTGCCTTCATCGACTCTGAACTCCAACAAGCCACGGGTATCAGCGCGTTCGCAAAAGCACTTCACGGTTTCTACGTGATAGCGAATTACCTCCATCTCCTTCCCTGTCCTGGTCGACCTTTCTCTACCGAGGAGCTGCGTTACGAACTGCGCATGAAGCCTTTTCTTACGCTCCAACCGCCCGAGGTCCCACCCTTCGAAGAATTCCAGACTGCGCTCCAACCGTACGGCGCGTATTCCGACCCCAAACCATCAATCAACGATGATCTCAAGCAAGAACACTCGTTACCATGGACTAATATCGACGCTTCACTGAAAGCTGCTAAGGACGCCTTTGCAGACGTTAAGAAACGCGGTGCTAAGGGCGCCAAGGCGAAGGGAGTGGAGCAAGCGTGGAACAAGGAGACGCAGGGTATGTTAGCCAGCTGCGTCGCGTTGGGCGTTGCTGTTGCGGGGCTCAAGAGCGCTGTCAAGAACACTGAACTGGGGCGTGGGCCGCAGTTAAAGGTCGAACTTCCCACGGTAGATAAGAGGTATGTCGGAGGATGGGTGGTGCCGAAGATCGTGAAGGAGTAGACATCTCAGGTGGTGAGCTCTCGAATAGATTTTCCAAAGATGGATAATTCGAATTACGGCATCATGTACACATAGCCTCAGAGATTGAAAGCAATATCTATATCGAGTTGTAATGTCGTGTTACGATTACAAAAAGACCGCATATGGGGTATCATGACCGTGACCGAACGCCGTATTCCATACACATACTTCCTGCACCATCAATTTTCCTTGAGTCGCTCATCCTTCCGTGATATCTCCTCTCGCATCTCAGCCCTTGAACTTCCTTAAACACCCCTCCCTCACTTTTCTCACACTCCTCGCACTCACACCACGCTCGCCTGATCGTTTCGACGCAATACCCGCTTCCTTGATAACCCTGTATCAGTTTAGCATTCTGTTCACTACCGTCTCCCTCATTTCACCCTCTAGTCTTCTTTCCCGAACCGTCCTTCCCTTCTAGGAGCCACGCAAGAGCATGGTGGTGGGGAAACTCACTCCTGCATGAACAGCGCATATTTCAAGAATATCAGAATATCGGCGTTCTTGGAGAGCGGGCGGTTCGCGTGCGCTTTTACGATCTTCTTGACTGTGCCGCGAGGGTAGAGAGTTTGGGGCATTGTGATGCGTGGACGTGGGGAATGACCGTGGGTAGTGTTGATACTGTGTTGATGTACGATAGCGGTGAGCAGCCTGCGAAGATGCGGCAGGATTCGTAGCGCAGCCGGGTGTAGACTCGAGTTGCGGCGCGGTAAGCCTGCGCTATTTGTGATTGTTCGATGGTTGTGATGGACACGATGTTGGTTGGTCTGTGCGCTCAGACGTGCGCGCGGCGCGTTTGCACGTGAAGAGCCGGACATCTGCCCTGGGTACTTACTTGAGTTACTGGTAGTTCGATTGGCCGCTGATGAGAACATCATTCGTGACTTGAAGAGAAGCTGCTTCGTCTCAATAGAATCAGGCCATTTGGCTATGACCTCCCAGATATCAGAATGGGAGGCAAAACATAAGACACAAATTGTGCGTTTGGAAGCAGAGCAACTGACAAATGAGAAATCTTCATATAAGACACTTCTATCTGGGACTAATCACAGGTAATGTTACATCAAGCCCCTGACCAAGCAACGCTTCACACCAGAACCGCCTTCTACTTTAGGTTTGTATTTACACCTTGAGACCGAGGTCTTCCGCGAACGGCAGAACGTGGAGGTCACCGACGGCTGATACTGATGCCTTCTGCTCAAGTAATGACTTGGCGGCCTGCGGATACTGGTCAGTTTACTGTGTATTAAACATGAAAGACTGATTAGACTTACCGATTTGACAGCCTCCTCTGTGACGCCATCAATGGCCTTGGCAACCTCGTCGATCTGGTATGGCTGGTTGTTGCTGATGAGACCGGAGCCAGTGTAGACAAGACCGGCGGTTGTGTCTTGGCCGTATTCGAGCTCCTTGAACTTGGCAGCAGCCTTGGCCTTTTGGAAGAGCTCCTGAGGAATATCGCCGGCAGCGATCTTCTGGATGAGCTCGACGGTGGTCTTGGCAGTCTGCGCGACGTATTCGGCGTTACCAGTGATGGCAGTGTACAGAAGACCAGCGTCAGAGTAGATGGCGCTGGTGGTCTTGACAGAGGTACCGGGCGAGGCCTTTGCGTTTCCGAGCAGCGAGAAACCAGAGGACCACTTGATGCTAGACTGGCCACCGAGCAGCGATCCGAGGACGGCAATCTCGGGCTTGTAGAACTTGCCAGAGGGAGAGCTAGATCCAGGGAAAGCAATCACGAAGGCATTAGCCCTGTCGTGGGCAATGCGCTCCTGACCTCCGTGGTACTTGGTCTGCTCGGTACCAGTGGTGAGCTGCTCGATAGGTGACGCCGGGACGCCATCGAAGAACTCGCTTGTCCACTTGCTCAGTTCGCTGTGCTCCGCACCGTTGGCAACGAGGGCGAAGTTGGGCTTGGCGTAGGCGATCTTGGAGAACCACTCAGCGGTGTCGGCTTCGAGGTACTTGGTGTACGGGTGAGATGACGAGGAAGCGGTGGGGTTGCCCAGACCGCGGTGGAAGGCAAGGCCGTGTGCGGAGTTGATGGCCATGTCGAGCGGGTTGGCGAGGAACTGCTTGTGGGAGAAGTGGAGCATGGGGAGGACCTCCTCGAGGTAGACGTGGGCTATCCAGATTAGCACCATGTTCTATCTGTATTATTCAGGGTTGCATACGGAGGTATTTGGTCGACGCGGCAACCTCGCCGAAGAGCTCGACGTAGTAGGGCAAGTCATCGCGGAGGAACTTGGCCTCGAGAACCAGGGCCTCGCGGGTGTGGTAGGAGGAGAGCTGAGCTCCCAGAAGCTCGGATTCGCGAACAATGCGCAGCGTTGACCGTCTGTCGGTGCTCTAAAATGCAATTGAGCATTAGCAAAGCTCGATACATCTCGTAGGACCTCAATGGCGTACCCGGAACGCAAAGTGCTGTAGGGCCTCGGTCAGGCCGGGCAGCGGCTGGTATCGCGTACCGGCCTTGGCCACGAGGGCGAGAGTCGTGGTTGCACCGGCGTAATCTCTGCTCGCAAACTTGACGCCGTTTGCGTCGCCCGACTGGTACTGGAAGGATCCTGATGCGGGAGCTGCGAGACCGCGGCGCTGCGAGGGACGGACGGCAGCGTGGCGCGCAGCTCTCTGGGCGCCCCGGCAGGCGGTCGATCGAGAGAACATGGTGAAGCGGACGCCGTGCTACGGGGCTGCAATGTGTGAGGAGGCGGCAATGGATGGGATGGTCAAGGCGAAGACACCCGATGAAGCTGTGCAGTTTCCTCTGAATCGCTGACATAACCCGCTTGCGCCATGCCTGATTGGTCGGGCACTCACCACGATCCTCCCCGCCGCCCTCACTTTTTGTTGCAAGCTCCGCTTAGAGCCTCCGCTCACCACCCGCGCAGTCTTGCACGCACCCCAATGCCTCCACGGTAGCACATAAGACACCTAGATATCTGGCAAATATCTAGGCAACCATGTCGTACACTCAGCGCGAGACTCCGGTAAGCTGCAGCACACTGCGCGCTGAATGATTCATGACCAACATGCGACCAGATTCTTGCGGAGCTCTGCACCTTCCTCGTTGAGGATATGTATGGCGAACTTGCAGCGGTACGGTGACCTCCAGAGCACCCGCTTCATGGCGAAAGTCTTGAGTGCCCCATACATTGCGCAAACGCGACGATACTCAAAGCCTTTGTCTTTTGCTGCATCTCTCTCCCAGTCTTGCGCAACTCTGACTCTGTATAGCGCGTCTTCTCAGTCCTCGCGCGCTTTGGGCGGCAGCGGCGTGCAGAGATTTCCAAGGCTTCCTACCTTACTTCGAGTCAAATCAGCCTCGGTCTCGTCATCTTGACCCAGCAGCACCTCGTCTTTCATTCTCCCTCGACCGAGCCCATCGTCTTCTACGACATCGACTGGCAGCAGTCGTATTCCCTAGTCCGTCACGCGAAGATCGCCCATTTTGTTGAGGAACGCTTCGACAAAAAGTCTGCGAATGTCATCTCGAACCTGCTGACATTGGGTCACACTTCGGTTGCGGATCTGCGCAAGGCCTATTTCCCCCCTTCTCAAGGTCAAGAGGAGGCAGTAAACGGCAAGAAAGTGAATGGGACAAAAACCAATGGGGATGCCAGCAATGGAGACACGTCTTTGGTGAATGGGTCGTCGCATGATGAGCACGATGATGAAGTCTTGGGATCGCCAGAAGAGCTTTACAGCATTGTTCAAAATTTAATAGAACACGGCTGGGTTATACAAGTCGCCGAAGCGCAGTATCTATCTGCAGAAGACATGCACAACATTGCGCGCCAACAAGCTCTCAATAACGAATGGGGCGGTGCCGTTCCCACCGGAACCAAAGACAAGGACAGGCTCGCGCATCTCATAATGGCAAACAAACGTCGCATCCGCGATGCGTGGTTGGAGGTTCCGAACTTTTCCTCCAGGAAACGAAAAGCTAACGACTTCGACCACGGCTCTAACAAGCGAACGAAAGTCAATGGACAAGGTCAATATGGCAGCGCTGGCGGTTTCGATCATTCTCCTGAAGATGATCTGGTCATTCGCGTTAACCCAGAAAAAGCAGCCGTGGCAATGCGCAACCAGCACCTCGTCTCTCTGGTCGAGCAGCGCATAAGCTACACTACTGCGCGTCTCTACGAGATCTTGCTACGGTCGCTAGAAAAGAGCATACCTCGTTGCTTTGAGGACTATCCCGACCCGTTCCCTGCAAATATCGAGGACCAGCCACAGTGGGAGCCAAATCCTGATCACGTAGTCAATACCAAGGACATTGCCCAGCGGGCCAAGATAATTGGGTTGGACATCTGCAACGGTCTAGATCCGAATGCGGTTGCTCGTATCACCAAGAATACGGTTAGTAAAGATGGCGTACTCTCTCAGCCTGTGGATCCTTCATCCTTGAGTTTCCACGAGCGCTCAGAGATTGTAGAGGCCCACCTCAGCCTCCTCGTCGATCATCCCTTACGTTTTGTCACCTGGCACGCTCGAGGACAATATAGAGTTGACTTTGACTTGATGGCGAAGAGCTTGATCCAGCAAGAGATTGAGAATACAGTACTGGCAAGGAAAAGCACGGTCGCAATGAAGCTTCTCCGCGCACTCAAGAAGAAAGGCAAGCTGGACGAGCGCCAATTGTGCAACACCATGATGTCCTCTGCCAACGACGTTCGAGGCATTGTCAACGATCTCACTGTCCAAGGCTTCGTGCAGACGCAGGAGATCCCAAAGGTCGATCGACGGGAGGCGAAACTGTCGATGCATCTCATTTGGTACGATGTTCAGCGCGCTCGCGAGAAACTACTACACGATACCTACAAGGGCCAAGTACGGATTCTGCAACGCATTGCCTTCGAGCGCGAGAAGATTGAGGAGCTATTGTCTAAGGCGAACCGTACAGACGTCGCGGGAAACGAAACCAAATATCTGAAGCAGACCGAGCTTGACGATCTAAAGAAATGGAAAGAGGTGCAGGAAAAGCTGTTACTGCAGCTTGCCAGAGAGGATGACCTGGTGGCGGTCCTGCGAGACTACTGTGGACCACTGCTCACTGCTTGAGTATCTACCCCAGAAAGCGCATTATAGCGGTCGAAGTGCTCGAATATCTGTTTTCTGGATATCCCTCAGGTGGGCGTGTATCATATTTCCGAGATGGGCGGCGTTTTGATTGGGTGGTCGCACATTGTGGTCTTGGATTTTTCTACGAAAAGCATTAGGTACGGGAAAGATACCCCAAGCATGGACGGAGTTTTACCTCTCTCTTGTATAGCTTTAGCAGATAGGGGTAGTTACTCTGGCCAAATTCACGTTCACATTCACATCAACCTTCTTGCGTCGCTTATACTCCCTGTATGCGGCCCTTTGTTAGTATATTGTGCTTGCTGCTCTCGAAAACGCGCTGACTACGAGACTCGATTTGATAAAGCCTTGCATGGCATGAAGACGGTCGAATCAAGCAGCTGAACGAACGCCAATGGCGAATTTTGCGTACTGCATTGCTCACCCTAAGGTAACACAGGGTATCAAACTTTAGACATCGCACTGTAACGGCTCATACTCACCGCAGTCACGAGTGAGAGACTAAGTATGATGCTCATACAAAGTTCGCCTCACCAATTCATTTCGACCTCGAGTGAAGAGTCACTTTCCGGTGAAAGACACCTGTGGCTACCTTCGGCACATGCCCGTTTGCGGATCATCCTTCACCTCATTTACGGAGCCTACGTCACCCGTCCTTCAGCTCACTAGCCTCGCCTGGCAGCCATAAAATCCCTTGCTTCCGCTGCTCCAAGCTCTTGCCAGTTCTGTTCTCTCCCATACCGCTCAACCCCTCGCAAGTCCCGAGTCTCTACATCACTTCACACCTCAAACACCACTCCACTTAGCAGGACCAGCCGTCAATATGCGCTTCTTTACCATTGCCTTCGCTCTGGCTTCGGCCACCACCGGCCTCGCTGCCGCCGTCGCTCGCGCAGATGCTGTCGAGGCCACAGTCCCCGTCACCCTTGTGAGAAAAGACCTTTGAACTCTAACAGCCTCTCCAATTGCTGGTGTACTGATAGATATAGATCGAGGCCTACAGCGAGAAGAGCTGGAAGGGCAACCAAATCAACATCGGGACCGACAGGGACGTGACTGACCACCCCGAGACGGATGGCAGCACCGCTACCTGCTTCAACGTGGCGTAAGTGCCTTCCACTTGTATACCGCAATTGTGTGAGGATGCTAATCTCACTTACTAGGCACAACTTCATCTCCTCGCTCACCATGACGCCCATCCTGGGAGCGCCTTGGAGCGGTATGCGGCCGTATGGCTGCAATCTCTATGCGTAAGTACCCCTCTCATCGACAGGTGAGCTTTTGGAACATTGACTGAACATACTATAGCGAGGACAACTGCAAGGGCCAGTCGGTCTGGATCGAGCAGGGGACCTGGGCTGATGTTTCCAAGCTGTCGGACTTGAACAGCATCGCCTTCGACAAGCGTACTTCGTCCCTCAAGTGCTGGCTGAGAGACTCTTAGTAGACGTCTCGCTGCTATGCGACTCTTCAGCGCCACGGCGAAGAGAGTTTGAGCACATGGTGCTATGGCTGAGATGATTACGGATGAGGCATGAAATGGTATGGAGTACGGAAAATGGAATGGAGTCAATGGTGTTCTCGAGCCGTCGTAAAGTCGTCGTCGTGCTCCAGGATTAGTATCTAGCTCATATGGAGGGAAGTGAATACACGAGTGTCAACTAAATTCCTGTTCTCACATGCTGCGACAATGAACTGAGAGAGACTATGACTGACAGTACGACTTTTATGCGCACGAATGCGCGAATACTCAATACCTACCACCAGGCATCGCCAACCGGACCAGGGAAGCTTGTAATTTATTCACGCCCTCTATGCTTTTTCAATGTTATCGAGTTCCATCGCCTCCGCAGTTCGAATACTGCTCCTCCGTCTACTCGCACCCTCTGCGTTTCGTCTACCTTCTTCCACTACACTCTCATGTCTCGATAACCTCCTGCCGCTCCTCTCGCCCCTCTCCGCCTCGTCACTCTCTGATAACACATCATCCCCGCTAGTTTCCGGCTCGATAATTTCGCCGTGGTTCCCGCCTACACTCTCCATCGTGAACGGGCTCGCCGTCGGCGCATCCAACACCCTCAACTCCGCCTCAGTGAACCACCTCGGCATACCCCACGTGCGCATAGGGATATACAGCAAGATAAACACCGGAAACCCAATCGCCGCAATCGTCTGCGTGATCGCGAACGTCGCGCCGAATCCAACCAGCTCCAGCGCGACAAACACCCAAATCGCGGACCGCCGTTCGATGCGCATGAGCGGGTCCGATCGCGGCGTGAGGTGCTTGTCCCGCGCGAGGAAGAGCAGTTTGAGCGTGATACCGTTGCCCTCCAGGGCCTGGATGCCCATTACGAAGAACAAGCCTGCGAGCACGGCCTGCGGGATGAGGTGCAGGACGATGAGGAGCGGGCCTGTCATGGTGCCCAATGTGAGGAGGCCCTGCGCGAGGTTCGAGACGCGTTGTTCTACAACGTGGTCGACGACGCGGCGGGTGTGGCCTTTGTTTGCCTCGTCATCGTCATCGGAGACGGTACGCGTTACGCAGAGGGAAGTTGTGTGGAAGGGTGCTTGTGGGATGAGGCCGTTGGGGAAGGGGATCCCGAGGAGGCCGGCGACGCCGGTGGTCAGGCCCAGGAGGAAGAGGTCCCAATGGAAGCCGGCGGGTTTCCGAAGGGGGAATTCGGTGCCTTGGGCGATGAGGGAGGATACGTTGTGGTCGAACCAGAAGAGGATTGTTAGGAGGACTGCGAAGGGGATGGCCAGGAAGACATCGCCGACGCTGATGTCCCAGAAGTGGATGAACCACCCGCGGTCGATGGTTGGGAAGAAGGCTTTGCTCGTGGGCAACTTGAGGAGCTCGATGTTCGCCATCTTGCCGATGTGGACGAAGCCGGTGAAGAAGACAACTGTCAGGGGCGTCCCGTAGTCTTCGATGAACTTGCGAATGTGGCGCTGGAAGAGGGCAGAGGTACCTAGGATGCCGCATATGTATGCAACACTTGTAACGAGCAGCGCAATGGCGATGGAGAGGTAGGCTGAGGCGTCTGATATCTCCCACTGGCGGGTGAGAACCTGTATACCCTTTTGCAGGTAAATAAATGCAACGTAGAATCCGAAAATGTCACAGGAGAAGCGAGTCACGTAGCGGAGGGCATTGCACGAGTTTGTGATGGCGAGGATCCAGTGAAATATCAGGGACCATCTGCATCATGTCAGCCGAATTGTACTTTCAATTGGGAGATGAAATAAGCTTACATCCCGATCCATGCCATGAAGGCAAAGTAGTTGGTGCCACGGGGTGTTATAATATCGTACACTGTGTAATTGAACACGGTTATAGGACCTTTTTCGGAGCTTAGCCGTTGACCCCTGTTCTTAGCATTGTGATAGCTCACCAGTCACGCCCACAATGACGAGCGGTTGGCATGCGGCCAGCGAGAACACGACAGATGCGAGTACCGACGATAAAAGGACCTCATTGACACCAAAACTTTGGTCTGTCTTCACGAACATGTCCAGACTAAAAGCCAAAGCGGGGAGAATGCTGGTCCACTGTCAGCCTAGGTCTTTTTCTCACGCAACAGCGGCACCACGTCCAGATTGATGGCAATTGCTTCATCTCATCTGGGTGTTCATGTCTTGCAAATGGGCTTTGTGGTAACTGAGTGTATTGATATGTATACATACTTCGCAAAATACATGTACACGGTCGCCGGAACCACGCGATAGTCCCACGCGTCCTTGAAGTCGCTCCAGTAGAACGGCGCTCTTCTCCGTATATCATTGTACATGCCAGCGAACAGCCGCGTCTTCCACCACGCATCCTTCTTCTTGCTCGCGCCCGATCGTCTACTTCCACGCGAGTTCTCGCGACTGAGGTGGCCTTCGCTCGGACTTTGCCATGTTTTCCTCGACCGGTTCGGAGATACGCCGCTGCGGAGGGCAACGCCATGGCTTTGCGTGGGTGCGGTAAGCGCCCCGGTTGGTGCCATGATGGGTAAAGTGAAAAATCTCAGGAAAGCTATAACTCGGCCAGAGCGGGCAACCACCGAAGTTTTATTTGCGCCATGCGGCGGTGAGGTGAGAGACGTCAGGGTCCTTAACCCCGATTATGCATGCACGTTCGTCCAAAGGTCCCGCAAAAACGTGGTGTGGAGTGGAGATCGAGCCGTCTTGAGGAACCGTTGGCTTGGCGCGCGTCATGGTGAGGTTCGTTGTATTCCCCAGCTCTATGATGTATGTCCCTGGGAACGAAAGCGTTTGATTGCTTGAAGCCAAATACTGAGGAGAGCATACCTCCAACCTGGCGGGAGAAAGAACGTCTGGTGTAGCTCTGATACCCACGTAGTACGAGCTGTCATATTATCACGGCTTTCCAGATGCGGTTTAGTATGGGTCTCCACTCAGCGCAACTCTGGCCCCGGCTCCAAAGATTTCTGCCTGAGCATACAATTAAGGATAAAATGTGAGCAATCTCGGTCACTGGCATCGCCTAGCTTGAAACAGCGATTAGTGTCCACAAATCTGGCTAAGAAGAGTATAGCCCGAAGAAGCGTTACAGTATTACCTATAGTACCTACTCTCTACCAATAAGAATGAAAAACCCGAGGGCTGACGGGCGCTGCCACCTCCGCGTTGATTGGAGATGGACCTTTCCTATAAGAGAAGAGCTTGAAAGCAAGCTATGAAAGATCCAGGTTTATCGCAAAAAGAAGAAAACCGTAGCCGCAATAAGTCATTTTCACCCACGAAGGAGACGATATCACGATATCACTTCGGCCTCCAAGCTCGAGTGGGCGTGGCTGAAGATGTCCCCAAAAGAGCATCATCCCCACCGTTTGCCCAATCGGCCGGCTTGTATCTATAGAATGAATGAATCAGCATGGTCAGCAAAGCAAGGTTTCGGATCGAACGTACCGTATTAGGCACATTGTTTTCGTGTCAACCATGGAATTGAGGGCTCCTTGATGGCCTAGTCCCCGGTGGTACTCTTGCATCCAGCTCTCAAAGGTGGCCGATTCCCCATAGTCATTGTCGCGATCCCACTACCACTGCCGCTCCAATTCCTCAGACTCATCCACAGAGGCATATTTCGACCCCGTCGGATGTCTCCGAACCTACTCCTTCACTTTCTGCACGCCGCTGTGGTACCATGGTATGTAGTCCATGTGTAGAACCACATCTAGAGCACTGACGGTATGATTTGTTAGGTCAATCTCGGAATCAACTTCGAATAGCCGATATTGGAAGATGGCCTCTTCTCCGAGAACAAGAGGTACAGCACATTTCTCGAGAATCTCAGACGCATGAGACGGTTTACCTTTGTCCTGATCTCGTCGAACAACTTTTTGGTTTCTGGAGGGTGACAAGAGCTGACACTTCCCTCAGGATAGAGGATTGCCGCACTGTCTCGAAATATTGGGTCACGAAACAAGGGACCATCTCTAGAGATTCCTTTCGAGGCTGCTCCCGAAGTAGGCTCCCAGACATGGGCTTTTCCATCGCGGTCGCGTTGTCGTTTCTATGAATGCCTCGAGTGTGAGGCCAGCCAATGCTCGGCTGAGGAACAGCTTCGAATAAAAGTCCCCTTGAGAGGAAGTAAAAGGTGCCTACCCCGCGATATGAGATTTCGCTGTCGCCAAGAATGTGGCTGCGCAATACCGGTGAAGCCCTTCAAGGATTGTGCGAGGCACATTGATAGGCTGACATGGCCAGCCTCACGACGACATGGTCATGAACATCCAAACGAACAACTACATATCGTCACAAGTACTCTACTATGTCTGAAGTAATTGAAAGAAGCCAGGCCGAGTGCAAGATCCAGACCGCCTCGATGGCATACCGCTGCTGTCCACATTCATGGCAGCTGACGAAGATGCCGCCATCTTCCGCAGCTTCACACGACTTGGGATGCGAAACCTTCTGCATCTACAGAGTCGCCTGAACGAGTTGGAAGCCAAGTTGGACACCATGGACATGGAAGATACACAGGGACCAGATCTACATATGTACCTGCGACGCGGAGCCAAAGCCTACGATTCAATACGTGATGCAGCGGCTCAGTATGAGGCGTGGCTGAAAGGAAGAGGGGAGGGCATATCCGGGACATTTCCCCTCGAGATGATGTTTCCTAAGCATTGCTACGAGCGCGTGAAGGTTCATGAAGAGATTGACACTATTCTTCATCAGTACCGTACTACTATCATCACATCTATCACGCTTCCTAGCTAATATACATCAAGGCCGAGCAACTATCGACGAACACCAGATTCGGTCACTCCCCAAGTCATCGCAAAATGCATTGGCGACCTTCAAGCGGTACTTCAACACCGGTGCCTGACTTATTCTACTTCCCACCACGCCGCGTGCAGATCCTCAGCTACACGATCACTGCCATCCTGTGCGGCATCCTACTAGTTGGTGCCATGGTCTGCCTCTCGCTACTCGACGAACGCTCTTGGAAGCTTAGAATCGCCCTCGTGGCACTCTTCACATTCCTGTTTGCGGCCTTCGTAGCATTATTGACCAATGCGAAAAGAGCCGAAGTGTTTGGCAGTACAGCAGCGTATGCAGCAGTTCTGGTAGTATACGTAAGTGCTGGGTTTGGAACAGGCGGAAGAAGCGATAAAAGCGGCAGCATGTAGTGCGCTATACCGTAGAAGAAAAGCGAACGAACTATCAAGCACCGTTCAAGAATAATAGTGGAGCAAGCAGGGAGCTCTATATACCTTTGGCATCACAACATACCAAATGTTCTCGATGCCTTACAGGAGTTTCTCTAAATCTATGTACTAGAGGAGGCTGATTATTAGCTGAGTTCTGAGTTCTGTTCAATCTGGATTTCTGGGCTGGGTAGGACCTTTGAATTCAGCGCAAACTTGTCCTACTGAGGTAAACAGGCCAATAGCTAGCGATCTATACTACACATCCTGACTGAAAAACTGTCAAAAGAGTACCCAGAGCCGTGGAAGGTGGGCAAGGAAACTTTCGTAAGACACAACCATGTTTCTACCGCAAGACGTACACATCTACTTTACACAGCCAAGCTAATGCTAATACTCTTCGCCTGCAAATACGCATACAGCCCCTCCTTACCAAGCTCCCTACCCTGACCGCTCTGCTTGTACCCTCCAAACGGCGACCCAAGATTCGGCATGAAAGGCGCATTCACACCGACGGTACCAGCCTTGATCTTAGAAGCTACCCTTACCGCACGGCCTGTGCTGCCGGTATAAACCGTTGCTATTACGTGTCAGTCGCTTCACTCACAACTTCAGATCATGGCGTTCAAAACCACGAGAGACTTACCGGACAGTCCGTAACTAGTATCATTCGCCAACTTGATAGCCTCCTCCTCAGTCTCAAACGTCAAGACGCTCAGCACCGGCCCGAAGATTTCCTCCTTGTAGATCCGCGCATCCTTCGCTGGGTTCAGGAAGATGGTAGGCTGCACGAAGGTTCCCTTGTCGCCTTTGCGCTCGCCGCCAACGAGCAGCTTCGCTTCTGACTTGCCTGCCGCGATGTACCCCATGACGCGCTCCAGCTGGGCCTTATCGGCGAGAGGACCGATAAATGTGTTGGGCGAGTTGGGGTCGCCGACGGCGCCGTCGAAGCCTGTGAAGCGCGCTTTGAGGCCTTCGATGAATTTGTCGGCGATGGACTTTTGGACGAAGAGCCGGGAGGCTGCGACGCAGACTTGGCCGGAGTTGAAGAGGAAGCCTTGGGAGTTTCTGATGGCTTGTTAAATCCTGGGAAGGTTGTGAGGAGGGGAGATGCATACCCAGTCAAGGCGCTCTCGATGTCTGCGTCGTCGAAGACAAGAGAGGGCGACTTGCCGCCCAGCTCGAGGGTGACCTTCTTCAAGTTGCTCTTAGCTGCTGCCTCGATAACCCTGCGCCCACTTGGTCCACTGCCGGTGAAGGATATCTTATCGATGTCCATATGCGACGCCATGAGAGCGCCAGTTGTGCCGTCTCCAGAAACAACGTTGAATACACCAGCAGGGAATCCAGCCTCTTTTATCAATCGCGCGATGACAAGCACGCTGAAGGGCGACTTCTCTGAAGTCTTGTAGACAACCGTGTTACCCGTAGCCAATGCAGGAGCTACCTTCCAGGACAGTGTTCTGCCATCAGATCAGCTTGCAGCTCCATTATCACCTCATGAAGACTCACGAAATAGTGACATTCCAAGGCCCAATACCAGCACACACGCCAATCGGCTCATACTGAACGATATTGAGCCGGTTGTCCTCGGAAAGAAAAGCCTGACCCTCAATCTTATCCGCCCAACCAGCGTAGTATCTGAACGTCTGCGATGTGACAGGGACGACGAATCCGCCGGCAATTGAAGCCGGCTGGCCCATAGCTTTTACCTCTTCCTTGACAAGCTCATCCTTGTTGGCATCGATGAGATCGGCGAACTTGTTGAGCAGAGCTGCACGCTTGGCAGCAGGCGTAGCTGCCCATGGCTCGAAGGCCGCGCGGGCGGCGGCGACGGCAGCATCGACTTCAGTCTCGCGGGCGCAGTTGATCTTGCCGACAGACTCGTCGGTGGCGGGATTGAAAACCTCGTAGGTTGCGGACGAAGAGCCGGCGACCCACTGGTGGTTGATGTTAGCAATGGTTACAGAGATTCATAGGAACTATAGGTACCTCGTTGTTGATGAAGTGCGAGTGTTCGACCATGTTGCTAGTCTTGAGGTTCTTTGGGTATCACAAGGCGGAATAAGACAGACAGAGTAATAAGACCTTACAGCGCGATTCCACCGCGCCTCTTATACGCCGCAAGCTCCTCCACAAGCATGCATGCACGATACCTTCTAAATTCTGACTCGCTTCCCTTGTCGCATGCACATCGCAGGCTAGGCTAAAGGTAGCTTTCTCGATTGACCTACCGTAGCTACCGGTCTAATTTTGGGCCCGATTAGTATGCATCTAAGTAATCAAGTGTTGCGCAGAGCCATTCCTATACCATTTGGACGGCGGTATTCACGTTTACGTCCGGTGTGGAAGATCTACAAGAACTGCGGAATTACGTCGGTGTAAAGGCCGCTGGGCTATGTACGCCGTAGCGCCCTTGCGGAAATCGACCGTCCCACTATCTAGCTCTTTTCATTTCAAGCAATGGCTACATGTAGTATGGTGAAGTCCACGATGTAGTCGAGGCAAGGGTTGGGGTACCCCGCCTGTCGCTTGATTCCCTGCCATAAGCGCTTTTTTACTACCGTATTAGAAGCTGACGACAGCGGCAGACCGTCAGCAAGGCCTTCTTCTGGCTTTGACACCCTGGACGATGCATCTCGGATGTTCCAGATTTTAAGCGGTGTATGACTAGGAACTTGGCACAGCCGAGGTGTCCCAATTAGTGACTGATGGTATTTGAAGATCATTCAAGTTACACCAGAGCCGAGGAGCCTGAAGATGCAAAAGCGAATTCTGAACAGCATGATTAGTAGCTTATTGAAGCCGCCTGGTGCTTGGCCGTCCTCAAATGTGAATCAGCTTGTATCTGGACGATGATGTTTGCTCCGACTCCTGCCGAATCTCCAGTATACAATCTCCCCCGGCTCGGAGGCTTGTCGGGTATGCGTACGAAGGATCTCCAGGCTGGCAGTGGCCATTTTCCATACACATTTCGTTGTTGCAAACCCTCCAATCCTCCCGCCTTGGTCCGAAGCCTGTGATGAGGATAGAAATCTCCGAGCCACCACGACGATTGTGTCCCAAGCGTTTTCCTAAACGAGAAAAGCCCAATCCTTCGCCCTCGGCGGCTGCCTATGGAAGAGCGCAGTGGAAGTCCACCCCACGGTGCCTCCCACACGTGCGGAACGGAATGGAAACATCTAGCCATCCGGTTCTATGCGGTCCGATTCCCATCGGGACCTGGATTATAGTTCGGTGCGTGTGCGAAGTAATCCATCCGTACAAGACAGCTCTGTCGCAACAACCTTGGAAGAGCGGGAATCACGCGACGCAGGCACTGTAGCGTGCGGAATCGTTCCGCGGTCGAGTACCATGGTAGATGGCGCATCGTCAGGGATGTAGGTTGAAGTGAGGTGTAATGTCCAGAGTTCAAGGTACTGCAAGGAGTACGATGGCGTGATGACCAAATCGATGGCGGGTGAGATCTTTACCGGCAAATCCTAGCCTATCTGCACTCGCCTGCATGTAAATTTCTCTTATTAGGCATGGTCTCGAGTATCTATCTCCCAGCATCCAGATAACTGCATTTTGTGATTTCAATGACAATATACATTAAGCTATTTAGGTCGTTTCCCACGATCGTTTTGTGTCCCTCAAGACATTTCCGGTGACCTTACCGTGTAGATCCACCATAGCCATCCGCTACACAAACTCCCGATACACCGTCACCTTCTGACACGTGGGATTCTGCGGCACACCCTCGACGCCGATCTTCCAATTCAACGTGTAATAAAGGTAACTCCAACGCGTCAAACAGATGTACCAGTTCTCTACCTTCTGCGGCGTGTCCAGCCGCTGTGGTGGAGTCACCGTGTCATCGAGGTATCTCGCGAGGTACATGCATCCTGCGCTTGTAAATGATACGGATGTGTAGGATTCGTTGCCAGGGAAGAAGGTCGGATTCGAGACGTCGCTGAGGAAATCGTAACTGAATTGTAGGTACGAGGGAACGATGTCGCCGCCGTTGACGGTGAGGTTCCAGACAATCGGTCCGTAGGGGTCTCCATCGGCGCCTGGGACTGTGGGTTCGGCTTGCGTCTGCTGGTAGAAGGTGTCGTAGGAAGTGGAGTTGTTTGCGTGGGTGTTTCCGCTGGGGCAGAGTCCTTCGATTGCAGCGCCTTGGTGACAGGCTCCCAGGGCTGTGAAATGTCAGACGGCCTGTAAATAAGAGGGGAAGATTTTATGAAGAAGACATACTCTGGCCATCTAAAGTGGCATTGTCCGACTTCAGGAAGAGGCGGAAAGGCTTCGAGCTCTGGTCAAATTGAGCAAGGGCACCACTCGCAAGAATTGCGAGCACGAAGATTGACTTCATGTTTTCGGCTGCAGAGGTCTCGCTGCTATATGGCCTTCGTGATCAGGCGTTTCGATTTGGACTAGACAAGAGGGTGCAGTGTGGGCGGAATTAGGCGGTCGCGGTTGATGGTGCTGCGCGTTGGTAGGGTTAACAAGGACACAAGTAAAAGTGAAGAAGAAACAATATATGTAGTCCTACCGAAAAGCCATCACGAGGGAAACTGCGAGGGCGATATTGAATGACGTCTCGCAGGTGCAAGTCCTTGCAGCTTCCTCCGCAACGAGCTACCACGGTTACTTGCATTGGCGTCGAACTACGCTGCTACCCGTATAGGGCTGGTATTGTCCTATAAGTAGCCGACCTATTCAGGCTGCAGCAGTGTACAAGAGCGTTGGCTTGACAGTGGAACTTGCTGAATATTCGAGGGTTCAGGTTTGCGTGAAGCACAGAGGGTGCCTTATTCGGCAGTCTCGTCCACATGGCAGAGCTGGTCGGAAGACAACATCGAGTGGACTCCAAGCGACCGGATCGTGTGGAGACGTACTTACCCCTCTAGAATACAAGGGCCCTGCAATGCGGGTGGTTGTTGCACTAGGATCTGGGCGAAGCTGTGTGCGGGGTCATAACAAAGCCAATTGAACCCTCCATCCTCCTATGAGACCCTGAACCAGATTCCATGCGAGGCAAAGCGACGTCCTTATGGAAATTCTGATGCGGACGAAACCACGAATCGTTGATTCCATGCAGGTACCCACGGCAACCCTCGTGGGTGGCACGCTGCGTTAAGACGGTGCTCGTTGCCGGCGAGACTGTGAAACATGTTCCATCCACCAATGATTAATCGGTACGACGAGGCTGTACTTCCGTTCCACGAACATCGGGCTGGCAGGTGTCAGATCTCATGACATGATAGCGGGGCTGACAATGATGGGTAGCGTACGTAGTGGGCGTCGTCATCATCAGTGATGGTGGAAGAGCTAAGAGCTAGAAAGGCAAGCTGATGTGGCACGGTATGGCATGAGCGCTAGAGAGGTGGCAGAGAACTGTTTTGGAAGTGTTATGCTGAAAGCATCCCTGTGCTGCGGGATGCCTCAATCGCGTTTCCACAAGAAGTGAAAAGGACAAGATTTTGTGGTTGTGCTGCCTTTACCAAGGAGCCGATCCGGACAGGATGCAGAGCTCAGTAACAACATGTATCACATTCAATGACATCACATGCAGCGTCTTATGCCTCCAGCGAGACATTATGTGCTAATTCCTTCCAAAAGCGTGTACATTTACGCTATACAATATGCAACAGTAAAAGCTATGTAACTAAAATGCACCCATAAGAGGCCTAACAAGCCAATGTATCATGGTAATATGATTTCCGAATGCCCAATGTCTCCAAGCCTTTTAACACCGGCTTATGCAAATTGCGATCTAGATCGTGTCGTTAAATATTCAAGGAAATATAGTTGTACAAGGTTAGGCTCAAAATCCATTGAAGCCCATCATGAGCCCAGCGCCGGCGAGCGCGGCACCAGCAGCGTGCCATGGCATTGGAGTCGCGGCGGGAGATCCGAAACCACTTGATTCCGGGTTGCTACCGCCAATTGAGCCTGTGACTGAGGGACCGCCAATGCGGCCACCGCCGCCTTGTACACTCAGAGAGGAGATAGCGTTGGGGACTGATGTAGCGCTGGGTATCTAGTGCAAGGTCAGTCTTACTTCAAATGAATGAGGGAAATGGGGTAGGGCTGTTGTAGGACGTACCCCGTCTGATCCAGATTCAATCTCTTTTACATTGGAGGCCGTGGCGTTGAAAACAGTCTGTGCAAGCCCTATTTGGTTGTTCTCGAGATCGTAGACGACGTAGGCCGATCGCAAGAAGGTGTCGCCAAGGACTGAGATCGAGTCACCGGATGGACCAATTCCCAGGATACAAATAGGCTCGCCCCGCTGGTAACCCATGACCAGTACAAGCTCGTTGAGAGGAACCGAGATAGTGGGACCGTCGGATGAGAAGGTGAAATCAATCGATCCGTCCTGGTTCGCGAGATCACAGTCGCAGATAGCAGCGCCCTGTGAAGAGTCATACTCCGCATTGTACTTACTGTACAACGCTGTGGCGACGTTGTCAGGCAGATACATGAGAGACGATCCGGAGTCGAGAAGCACTGCCACACTCTCGTTCTCGAATATGGAACCCTTGTCGCCGTCCTCGCCCATAGCAGTCAATGCAATGATGAATTCGGCGTATGTGTCTGATTCAGCGATGATCGGGAGCGTGCTGAGAGTTCCGTTGAACTTGTCTGTATCGACGCCGCCGAAGAGGATGCTGCCAGTCGACGCATCCAAGTCATTGAGCCAAAGCGAGTAGGCGTTGGTGTTGATCGTCTTATCATCGACCAGCTTCTGAGGCAGATTCGAGTAGGGGTCCAAGCCTGCACGGTTAACTTGGACCTCGTTGACCCGGTAGCCGATGCCCAAGATGCCCTCCGGAGAGCTCGATGTATATCCGATTCCGAATTGCAGGTCCTCAACTGTCAAGTCCGGGTTGCTCAGTTTGAACGTGTCTGTAGCATAGTCGCCCGATGCGCCCGATCCGTCTACGTACGAAATGTTGAAAACACTGTTCACGTAGTTGTATGATGACGAGTCATTTGCGTTATAGGTGCCCGCTACGGAGCAAGGCTGGCCGATGTTTGAGCATAGGCGGGAGTTGGCAGCATTGACCCAGAGATCGCTGCTGCCTGTGTCAATGTGGAGGCGGAAGTTTTGTTCGGGTGTCCCTAAACTGGCGTTCATGAAGTAGAGCGTCTCGAGGTTGTCCAGCGTCACTTGGACGGTATCGCGCCTACGTAACCGATCGTGTTCGAGAGGGTTTACATTGCGGCGATTGATGTCGAATTTGACCACTTTTGGGTTCTGCAACAGTCAGCCTCTCTTGCGCACACATGGTAAAGTCAAGTCCCATGCGCGCATCCTGGTGCTCTTTGAGGCTGTTGCCAAGACGGGTGCGGGAGGCTCAAGGAAAAGGTATGGGGAAGCCAAGAGGCGCTTACTTCGCGTTGCACAAGCGTGAAGGCCGATGCCGACGTCACCAGCTGCGCGGCCAGCGCCAGCGTTGAGCCCTTCATTGTCGAGCTGTGGTAGGATGGGTGTGTGAGCGACTGCCTCGTATATACAATGCTGCCGGAAGGGGCACGGCGAGATCGACCTGACGCTCGAAGAGTTAGAGGCTTGCAGTGGGGACCGATGTGCAACGCGCGTACCGGGATGCAGCGTACCTGCGACAAGGGGCCAGAAACGATGTGCACAACCCAAACGGCGCAGACAAACGTAACGAGCAACTATCGAAGAGCAGGCAGGAGCAGCCACGGATAGATGAGGCGAGTAAAAGCGCTCGTGTACACGCAACCTGCCCAGGTCTTATGGGAAGGCTGAGGCGAAAATAGCGATGACGCGTTAATCCAGATCAGTTTGGTTTCGAGGCCGGGATGCAGCGGCACTGACTACGCCTGCCGACCATAACATTGGCGCCGGTGGATTTGACCCTGGGCAGGCCGCCATAACCAACGAGCTTTGTGTTCGGTGCGAGCAGGCTTGCGTGGCGCGTGGCGGTGCTCGTGTTTTCGACTTGGGCTGTGACGACTGCAAAGACATGTCCCAATAATCCAAATCGATCCGCTTTACCGCCCCGATGGCGCTACACAATTGTGCATCTCCGGTCGCAGAAGCAATCGCATCTGGTTACAGTTATAAACAGGTGCTCACTTGTCAGCATTTCTGCGCTCGTTACGTATCAGCGCTGGGCACTTGTGCTTCATCCGCGACGTGATCAGGCACAGACAGAAAGCACAAAGAGACATCTTCGTCCTTTTCTGTGCTTTCTTGGTGTGTAACGGCATGACCGCACCATTGCGCCTCCCCAAGTCGCCAGGCCATTCAGTCAGCGTTGCCTAGGCGAGTTGATGTAGCCCGAATTTCGTCTTTGTCTGCACGGAGTTACGCCCTATTCGTACCCAGTACGAGGCGCCAGCAGCCCGTGCTAAGTCTTTACGTGCGAGTGAGGAGGGCAAAAGGCAAATGTCCTGCCTGGCACGCCGTTTTCCAGGAGCTGGTAAATGAGCTGCACACGCTCCAGGCCTCAGATTGAGATCTCCGTGTAGTGGGCTGAGAGGCGAGGCTGTGAATACGTGCGCGAAATTAGAGGAGAGCGTTGTAAGGAGCACATTGGACTGAGGTTGGAGGGCAGACAGAGCGAGGTCGAAAGACGCTATGCAGCAGACTCCAGCTCACTGGGTCGTTGGAACGTCCCTTCGTAGACATCTGGAGGCTCACACGGCAAACTCGGGGCACGTGTGTGGTCGCCCAGAAAGGCCTAGCGCGGCATAGAACGCGCTCGAATCGATTTACGCGTCGTCCCGCGGCGACAACTCATCATCATGGCGAAAGCAGAGTCCTCCAAGGCGGCCGCCAGCAATGGCATCAAGGCCAATCCCAACGCACAAGGAGGTGCTAACTACGAGCTGCCATGGTAAGTTCACACTTTGCATTTACTATCAGAAGCAAGCTGAGACGGTGCAGGGTGGAGAAATACCGACCTGTGTTCCTCGACGATGTCGTCGGCAATACAGAGACAATCGAGCGCCTCAAAATCATTGCAAAGGATGGAAACATGCCGCACGTCATTATATCGGGAATGCCTGGTATCGGAAAGACGACTTCGATCCTCTGCCTCGCGCGTCAGATGCTCGGTGATGCATACAAAGAAGCCGTGCTCGAGCTCAATGCTTCCGACGAGCGCGGTATCGACGTTGTAAGAAACAGAATAAAGGGTTTTGCGCAGAAGAAGGTGACCCTACCTCCAGGCAGGCAGAAGTTGGTCATCCTGGACGAGGCGGACAGCATGACGAGCGGAGCACAACAGGCGCTGCGACGGACGATGGAGATTTACAGCAGCACCACTCGATTCGCTTTCGCTTGCAATCAGTCGAACAAGATCATCGAGCCTCTGCAATCCCGCTGCGCCATCCTGCGATACGCCCGCCTTACCGATGCCCAAATCGTGCACCGGCTTATGCAGGTCATCGAGGCAGAGAACGTGGAATTCTCGGACGATGGCGTTGCTGCTCTTGTCTTCTCAGCCGAAGGCGACATGCGGCAAGCTATAAACAACCTGCAATCGACGAACGCTGGTTTTGGGTTCGTAAATGGGGACAACGTCTTCAAGGTGGTGGATAGCCCGCATCCAATCAAAGTCCAGGCTATGATCAAGGCATGCCACGAGTGCAGGGTAGACGATGCTCTCACAACATTGAAGGAGCTCTGGGATCTGGGATATAGCTGTCACGACATCATCAGCACCATGTTCAAGGTCACAAAAACGATCGATAGCCTGAGCGAACACGCGAAGTTGGAGTTTATCAAGGTACGTGAACCGGCGGGTACCATTTAACAGGTCTAATTATGCGTAGGAAATCGGCTTCACTCACATGCGCATCCTCGAAGGCGTTCAAACACTCCTCCAACTCTCCGGCTGCGTCGCACGTCTCTGCAAGATAAACATGCAACCGCAACTGTTCGCACTTCCTTCGAAATAGATACGAATTATGCATTGCATTTAGCACGGTGTTGGGGCGTCAGTGTTATGTGCATGGTCATGGAAATCTTGAGCGGGTTCGGCTACATTTTGATGCAATATATTCCATACACCGATTTCTTCGCACGTGGTACGGGCAGCACAACATGTAAGGCAAAAGCTGCGAAGTCACTCCAAATTCGCGTAACACACTTGGTCCTGTCTTGAGCAGTGCCTTATGCGGTGTAGTCAGCTCTGCACGCATTGCTACAAAAGGAATTCATTGGGTCAGGTTGGAAGAGAAAGCATCTCATGAAATATTCACGAGCGCATATTCAAGAATACTGCAAAACATGCTTCGGTGTTTGACAGGACTAATGTTGCTACCAGATGCCTCGTTTCCGCTTGGCTCTTCAGTATTTCAAAGCATGCTTATGGATCCGCAGAATTGTCCAATGCCCAAGCTGATCAGGAAGAGACGTTTGTGAGGCGTTTAGGGGACAGAGGAGCGGCGGTCGGAAAGGTCTGAAGGCGGTAGATAATCACTTCAAGGATTGGCTTGCAGGTTCCGACGTTGAGCATTCTTGGAAGTTGGTGCTGTGGGTTCGAAGGGGGAAGTAGAGTCACAATTTGCATGGAAATCCAACCACAAGCACAAATACATTCGGCGATCCAACTGGTGATCATTCACACCCTGTGGGCAAGAAGAGATTGGTGCAATGCAATCTCAAGATGTATGAACAGAGCCAGAGACGGCGCTGCTATCCTAGTACCAAACGAACTTGAGAAGGGCGTCTTACCCTGCCATGCGCGAAACCACGCCCAAGCCTTGCTGTTGTTCATATACCCGCACATCCGTCTAGAGCTCTTACATGCACGCCAGCCAAGCCGCCCAGGCCATAATGAGGGTCCATCAATCCTCCGTCTCTTGCCGCCGTGCAAGCCCTTCAGTTTGAGCCCCTCCCGGCAAGGCCCACCCCTTTGTCCACCTCTGGTCATGACTGAGTCCCAGTGCCTTTGATCCGTCAGTACCTGCCCGCTGTCTTATGATTGGTTCACTGATCCGTCTATGTCTGTGCCCAGCAGGGGCTGGCTGAGCTGTGGGAGCAGGCGGAGTTGTCGTGGAAGCCCGAGTATTCTCGGTGCCTAATTCCGAAGCACCCGCTTGATTCGAGCTTGCGGACGCCAGGGTGACGACAACTTTGTCCGTCATACTTGCGCTCCCGTCTACTTGGCAAGATAAGGCTTTTGGAGACGAGAGCGTGCGATCGGCCGGGTGTATTGTTCGGATCAGGACTTTTACTCCCCCTTTGTTCAACTTCGTTGGTGGAAGTGGATCAACCATTGGCATTGGAGACGTTGGCCGGACTGGTGCCCTGCACTTATCTTTATTTGGGATCCCTGTTCGAGCAGAAAGTTTCATCCCATTAGCATCTGTTGGTTGAGGTGGAACGTCACTGAATTGTAGAATGGATGTAGATGGAAGGCTTTGACTTACCATCTACTCCGTGCTCTGTCTTGCAAACGTCCATGTTCGCCAGATCAAACAGTGTATTACAGTGTGCAGCGTCATCATCCACAACAGCATCGCCTTGATCTGTCGTAGCTGGATCTTGTGCTTTGGCGGGCTCTGCTTGTTGTTGATTGTTGTCTGTTTGCTCACGATCGCCTGCCGCCTCGGTAACAGTGGCGGTGATGGAATCTTCCGGCGTGACCTTGTTGTCAGGCTGGGTTGAGCTGTCTAGGTTTTTTCGCTGAAACGCTTGAGCCCATTCGTGCTGGGGCAAGCCCATAGCGCGCAGAAGGTAAGCTGTAGGACCAGTCTCATCGTGTGCGTACTCTATAGAAACCCTGTCGTCGGGTTCGGGGGGCGAATCGGGCACAGGGGTTTTCTTGCTCGGACGACCGTCAACGTCGCTATCCTCGTCGGAAACATCATCGAATGCATAGGGTTCCTCGATCTAGAGCACATATATGAGTTTGCCGTTGCTGTGATGTCGCCACGAACTTACAACCTTTGAACGTATATAAGCCTCCGCCAGCTGCATCAACAGCGTTAACCCCGAGCCTAAGGCGATGCCCACGCTGAACCAAGTTGCTTTGAGAAATTTCATTGTATTGAAGTTAACGATTGGATAATAATGATGCTTTGGTGAGGTAGAAGTAGCTGTATTGATACTCTAAAGCAAAGTAGCACTAAGCGGCCGCGAAGGTACATTAAGAAAGTGGAAAGAACATAGGGTGTTAATGAGCAGCCAGTGCTGAGAGCGTGCAGGTAGGCAGTCGCGACCGAATAACCGAAGGAACACCGGACCCCATGGCTGTTCAGCATAGCCAGCCTTCAAAGCATTCCTTCTGAACCAGATAGCTCACATCCGCCCCGCCCCGCCGTGAAGTTATACAGTCGACTTTGCCGGCGATTCTGTCATTTGCGTGCCTCGTGGCTTTGCGCCCGCTTTCTTACCCGTAAGATGCTTCCCGATATATCCTCTCGAACCCCAGAGATGGAACGGGTCAACTGCACCGGCGAGTACATTCCTCTTGTTACTCTTCTTTTCGGCTCGTAGGCGCGCCAATTCTTCATCGCTCATGTCCCAAAACTGCGTCTTCTCGTCACGTCCGGTAAACAAACCCCAAATATCGAACGGATCAAAGAGTGTCACAATCCAGGGTCGGTCGTCGGCCCATCCTGGTCCACGGCGTTCTGTTATGCCATCTCTGTCAAGGAATACGGAGTTCGAGCGAGGCAAACGCTTGCCTGGGTGGAAGACATTTAAGAGAGTCGTGTTGCAGAACATGATGACGGCTTCGAAGATCCAGAAGAAAATCTCGTTCTTGTATATGGTACTGTCCCAGCCCTCAGTGTATTCGACCAGACGGTATATGCAGCGAATTGTGACGATGGTAGCGGATACGTATAGGACGTATAGTACGATTCGAAGGTCTCGTGAGAGCAACTTTGCTTTGTTGGCGCGCATGTGGAACTGCGCAGCGAGGATGCCGAAAGAGCCAAACAGCGCTACTTGGAGGGACAGTGATGCCGTAACGAGGTTCGCTCCTAGTTTGCGCTGTTTCGCTGTCATGGATGAGTTCGCCATCCGCCATGCGCCTTGTCCGATGAGTATCTCACAGACAGCATCGAGGCCGACAAACGTGGTGGCGACGCGTCCTGGGTGCATTGGTGCGAGATATGGGATGTAGTATAGGATCCGGGATAGGATGAAGTAGTTTATGAGCGCATAGACGGGCGGACCGGACATGATGAGTACAGTGGAGGCGATGAGATACGTGAGATTGTCCGTATGATACGCCCCAAGCTCACGAATGATGAATCCGGCTATCATCACTGCTGCTGCCCATGGAAGTAGGACAGTCGTCCGCCAGGACCCGTGCTTGATCGTCTGCCAAGCGTGAATGATGCCTGAGATGAAGAAAAGGATTATGAAGACGATAGGGGCAGCTTTAGTTGGCGCGTAATACCAAATGCTCCCCGGTGCTGGATGCGTTAGCTCTGAGAAAATGCATCCATAGGGAACTCACAGTAATCTCCCATGCCCATCTTGGAGAGTTGATGAGACTTTTCTTAATCGCAGTATAGGGTCGTGCAATGGCGGATGCAACAATCAAGCTTGGTACAACGAAGCTCTGCTTGTGCGCTGACAATTTTCAAGCAGCAACAAGCTATATAGCATTCAGATACGATGTAAGGCTCACACAGTTAGCTGCAGACATTCGGTAGATAGTCTTTACAAAACATAGATTGTGCAAAGGCTGTGTACGCATTACAAGCCATCGAACAGGTCAAAGAAGAAGACTGGAAACGCTGAAGTTGCGGACTGCTTGACCTCCTGACGCGTAAATGGCAATACGAGCAATGCGAGCCCACAAGATTCCACAAGGCGTAAAACGCGACAATGCGTGGTGCCACCAACCACCAGGAGGCACCTCGCGAGGCATTTTCGAGTCGCGAGATGAGTTGTCGAAGCTCATTGGATACAGTTACGAGATAGGTAATAGTTCGCAAGAACCGCGCTGTTTTCGACAAAGACAGCCCTGTGACGATCGTTCACCGGCGCCCAGAACAAGCGTGGTCAGTGCGGGGCAGGAGCGCACCGCTAGCACCTTTACGGCAACTTTCGCGCATAAAACATCCAACATACTATGGCTGGGATACTCATTTTGTATTCGGTTGCGGTGCATCCTAGAGAGATATGACATCGTGTCTTGTCCCCATAGGAAGTATCGGTCCATTTACCTGTGCTCCCACGCGCGATTTCGAAGACCACGATTCACGTCGACAATCACATACATGCAAAAGGATTAACCTCGGAAGGGTCACTTGGTTTAGCAAGACGAGCTTCCTGCTGATTGGCTCTACCGTAATGTCCACAAGAATCTTCGTCATTATAGCGACGGTGGCGCCTGGCATGTCGAGACCTTTGCTGGGCTGATCTGTCTCACGATTCGAATTCTGTCGATTGAAACAAAGAACAGAATTTTGCAAGGACCCCGATCTTGCTGGAGAGATCTGTGAATGTACGATGGGTAGACAAGTTGCCAATACATTTCAAGACATCTCTCGTTTTGTAGCCACCCATCGTCCTCGGTAATCAGACACTGAATCTGGACCTTGATGTGATCTTAGCTGTGTATAATGCCTAGCCGAGCTTCCCCTGCGGAGAACTTAGACCTGTGGAGACCACCGGAATCGAGGTCAAACATGAGTTCGGACACTCAAACACAGTTGTAAGCATAAGCCTCGCGCTGCGCTAACAGAAGCCCGGAATGATTCGGGCCTGATTGGCGGGTTAGAGTCTGGCACGTCTGGCTGCCGAAGCCCCACTCTCAGCACGTGACTGGGTTATGATTCGAGTAAGCGTGGCCTTAGCGCGGTCTTAGCGCTCGAAGTCGACACTCGAGGAATCGTGCGAACACAAGCAACACACGCCAAGTTAGACAGACTTCCTCAAACTATCGAAATACAGGACCCGCTTAATCTCTTTGGTGAGCGCGGTTGATGAACACCCCTGGAAATGGTGCGCCAGCTGTGGGTGCCCCAGATGTTGCTTATAAGCAGAAGCAATCCGAAACTGCGATGATGGATGGGCTTTCCAGCTCTAAGGTCACGGGTACGACAGATGACTTTATTTTGGTCTCACGACATACTGATATTTCCGCAGTCGAGTACCACGATCCGTCAGGCCTTTTTTCGCTGGTTCGGGAGCAGCTCGTCTCACGTCTACCCCTGAGGAATCTCCACTGGAAAGCACCAACCCGTCCATTGCGGTCGATTGATTCGTTGCACGTAGATCTCGTGCCAAGCGCCGACACCGCGTCACAGGCAGAGATAGCTGCATCTACGCCAACATCGACCACTACAGATCATGGTAAAGGAGCTTCCAAAGAGCGCCGTCATCAAATTCCCGGTCTGCGCCAAACTCCATACTTGAAGGTGTACATTCTACGATGCGATGATTCTGACACTTACAAGACTACTGCACGGAAGCAAGTTAGGGAATGGGTAAAGACACATACGCCGCCATCACAAAGTAGCTCTTCCGCAAGTAAGCAAGAAAATCATGACGCTTTTGAGTGGATGATCATCCACGTGGTCCTGCCGGACACTCCGGCAGCAAGTCAGCCTCGTGGTTCGGCAAGTACCGCCAGCGGCGAGAAGGAAAAGAGCAACCTTGCTTCTCGATTCACCAAAGGAACCACTACTCTCCTGGAGAAATTACGTGCGGACTTCGACACTGCTTCAAAGTCCGCTCCGGAGAGGGTCGCTCAGGTACGGCTGCAAAAGGATTCCGTTCCACCTCATATGCTCCCTCAGGCACCTGTGACAAGCCCACCAGTCACCGAAGGTCCACAGGAGCAGGAAAGAGCGTGGACTGACGTTATCGTCAAATTTAAACAGTTGATACTCCGATCCTTTGACCAACGTGTCGGGCAATACGAGGACGATATCCGAGAAAAGGACTCCCAGCGCTCGCTTCCAGGTTGGAACTTTTGCACCTTTTTTATATTGAAAGAGGGTCTTGCGAGAGGCTTCGAAAGTGTAGGCTTGGTAGAGGATGCACTACTTGGCTACGATGAACTGTCAGTTGGACTTGATACCGTGATCCGCGAGCAGGCGACGGAAGGTAGCACTGCTCAGGGTGGCGTTATTAGCGACTACTCCAAGGACCTGTTTGAACAGGCTTCAGCACTACTAGACTACTCAAGAAAAGAGCTCGACAACGAGAACGGACAGCAGCCCCAATTCCACGACGATTCGCCGATCAATGCAAACAAGAAAGACTATCGAGGTCAGATACTTTCTAACAATATCTCAGTGTTTGACTTCCGGACATACATCTTCGCACGTCAGATGTCTCTGCTATTGCGTTTAGGTAACTCCCAATCGGCGCGATCTGATTTAGCAACCAAACTACAGCCGCGCCTCAACGCAGATGGACTCCAACGGTCCGTGGACGATAGTAATGTCGGTATCAAGTCGGGAAGCTTGTCTGTTGATTCTGAAGATTTGTTTTCTCTAGCCGAACTTTGTTCACGAGCCCTGAATTTCATCACATTTGCTGGACGCTTGTTGCGAAGCGATCTATTGAATGGGTATGTAGGTCCCTTCCAATTGCTAAAATAGGGGACTGACAATGGAGTAGAGCGAAAGCTCATGAATCACCCTTTCCAGAGCAATTTCTGGACAACATTGTCCGGTCATGGACTTTCTCTGCGTTGGATCAGATTCTACGGGAGACGACTACGTCTTCGCTCCCATTCACAAAATACTTCGGCGATGCGGGCACTGGTTCTTCCAGCAAGACCTTGCCATTTGGCAAGAACGCGAAAGAGCAGAAGATCTCGTTGTCGGAGCCGAAGTCCATGATCCATCCGTCGCGATCGTCATCGCTCAATAATGGTAGACCCCAGTCTGTAGATGTTCCATATGCGCAAGCTCCCGCAAGCGCGCAGACGATATTCGAGAATGGACAGTACCAGGATCGATCTACGCCTCAACAGGAAAGCAGCTTGCCGCAGGTTAAGAACGGTCAGCAAGAACTCGCTGGTACTAGGGCACAATTGCTGGCTATTCAGAGGCGCATATTGGAACATGTAGGAAAGACACTGGGCTGGACTGTTGGATGGACTTCTGTTCTGCCAACACTAGAACCGAAAGAAGAATTCAACGATGTCGACCTAGATGACGATAAAGTCGACTCGAATGAAAAAGACAGCTCAGACGAAGAAGAACCTTCACCTGATAATGTGATCGCTCAAGAGTCCGTCGCTGGTGTATCCGCACCCACACTTAGGAATGCTATGTCAGGCATCGATAAATTTCGTCAATTCTATGAGGTAACCTCCATCCCTTCCGCACCTCAGAACAGCAGCTTACAAAATCCAAGACTCTAAGCGACCTGATCGTGAAACACTACATGGCAGCAGGTCAAACTAAGGCTAGTGAAAGCGTTCTTGGCGATCTAGCTGCCTTGCGGTTGTATGTTCCCCCATACGCCTGCGCCCAGCTTCCTACTAACACAGTCTAGCGAACTCGGCGATGTTGCGGCCGCTGCCATGTATTTCGGACGCATGGCTTCGACGTTTGGGGAATCTAGGTGGAACACCGTCGAAACAACCATGCTCAAGATGTACGCCCACTGCCTGAAGAAGCTGAACCGCAAAGACGAATTCGTACGAACACTATTGGACGTGCTGGCTAAGTCGGCTGCGAGCAAGCGAGCGATCCGTATTCACAAGATGGGGGGAAATTTAGCGGAGCGTTCTCCAATCCCACACGATTGGCTCAATGACGACCAAGTCAACACTTCTGGCATTTTCTCAGAGTTGGTCGAGTACTCGCAGCAGCTACCCTATGATGTCAATGTTCAGATGGCGAAGTACTTCAACGATATTGCAGTGGAACCTTACGTACGCCATTTCGATGACAAAGATGGTTTCCAATTGCGAATTCAATTTAGGCATCTCTTAGAAGATGAGATCGAGTTCGACCAAGCAAGGGTTCGCCTCGTAGATGCCACGGCGCAAGGCAAGGATATTTGGTTGGAAAGTACAGAAGCTGCGCAGGTCAAGAACGGTATTTGCCGAACATGGCTGAGCTCAAATGTGAGTACTGATCTTTTGTTCACTTGCCTCCTGCTAACCTTGCTAGATCAATACCACAGGCGCATATATCGTCGACAAGGTCATCTTGCAAACGAAGCGGATTGCATTTGTGCATGAGCCGTTTACCAAGGCCGAAGCGACAACTCCACTGGGTATCATCACTTCCGTCTCCGCCAGTTCACTCAAGTCTGCGAAGAAGAATCGCGTCCTATGTTTCCCACCCAAGGAAGCCTTCGAAGCACGGCTTTATCTATCTCATTTTATACACATCGACAAGCCCAGGTATATCGAGATCACGTGCTCAAGCGGTTGGAACACAATACAACGGACCGAGATACGTCTGAAGGCCGCATCAGCTGGCCTGCGACTGCGCACAGCCAACGCAATCACGACGTCAGGGAATGTTCAGATCATGGAGAAGCCCAATCCAGGAGTCATACGCACTGGAGAAATCGCCGCGAATACCACCGTGACCTTCCAGATTCCTTACGAGACCGAGACACTGCTACCTGATCTTACGGTAAAGTTGGAGATTGACTACTTCACTGAAAACGGCCAATTTCAATACTACTCGTCTTTCACGATACCAGTTGAGCTACCTCTAGATGTCAACGTTCACGATCACTTCAAGAACGCTTCTCTGTACTCTAAGTTCAACATCAAGACTGCGAGCCAGGTACCGCTGGAGATCACGGATGTATCGCTGGAAGGCTCAGGCGAATACGACGTCAGTGCACCAAAGAGACCAAAGGGTCCTTTCCAGGTCTTTCCGAAACAGCCTGTTGCTGTCACATACAAAGTTACCAAGAAGGGTGTTGAGGCTGGCGGACGTAGAAAGAGCCAGGTTGCGAACAACGGAAGTCTTGCCCTCTCCGTTGAATACCGTTGTCTGGATGAGGAGGTCTTAGAGCGAGTACGCGCACTGTTCGGGCATGCTGTAGAGAACGGCCCGGTCCATCGCTTGGCACGCCTGTTGATCAGCACATTTACGGACCGGTTTAGGCACCGGATCTTGCCTCCTCAATTCGAAAGGATCGCACTGTTGCAGCAGGTTGATATGGGACCGTATGACGAGATGGGCTGGGAAGAATGCATCGAAAGTCTACCGCAGACGGTTCGAGACGACACTCGCAGTTGGCTGCAGAAGTGGTACCAGGTAAATCATTGGAAGACTGTTTGATATCGAATGCTGCTAACCTTTCTGTAGAGTCACAGATCAATCCTTCTGGCAAAGACAGTGGGTTCTGAACCGCCCATCTCCGGTGCTACTCCACCTTCTCCCTACCCGCCTCGGCGCATGACCATCACCGTATCTATACCACAAACGCATATCCTGCACACAGCATCGTTATCGCTAGTATCAGAACAAAATCCATCGTCACACGGCTCAAGAATCGCCGTGGTGGGCCAACCTCTCATGGCCGAACTCAGCATCAAACACACCCGCCGCTGGTGCACCCAAAGCAGCCTTCTATCAGCCGCCAACCTCTCGAACCCTGACGACAGTATTGACTTTATCTACACGCTAGAAGCGAGTCCTGATACTTGGCTCGTTGCCGGCCAGCGACGCGCTCACTTTACAGCCAAGGAGGACGAGACGCAAAAGTTCTCCATTATGCTGATACCTTTGAGACCTGGCACGGCGCTACTTCCCAACGTGGATATCCACGCAAGAATCGCACCTAAGAGCGAAGATGACAAGAAGAAGGATGGAACAGGAGAAGAAGAGCCTCTGAATTGTGAAACGGACTTCCTGACGTATGGGGAGTGTGTTGTGGTAGTGCCAGATGTAAGGAGTAGTACCGTGGGGATAGGAGAGATGAGCTCGCCTAGGAGCGCAGTATGGCTTGAGGCGGAGAGTAGATAGCTCTACATATAATATCCAGGTAGTAAGGCATTAGCGGGGCAAGTGGAATTTTGCGTATTCTGTAATGTGGTGAATGCACATCCCGTCGAAAGAGAAAGAACGTGGGCGGGGTTGGCTCGTGCGCCCCCGCATTTCCGTTTGTTGCACGCGTCGACGCGTCTCGATTCCAATGCCGCCACGATGCGCTTTAAGGCACAGATACATAATATCCATACCTTCACGAGTAAGTATGCGACAGAAGAAGTATTGGTCAAGCTAACTGCTCCAGAACTTACGGCATCCCTCAATTCATTAGGTCCGCTCGCATGGCTCAAGCTCAGCGACGACCAGGTATGCTTCACCATCATACCGGAGCAAGGCACACAGGTGTGGGCGTGAGTTACCATGCTGTGATACCCTTGTGAAGGCACATGTTAATTATCCGCAGTGTGCTCTCCATTGTAAGCCCATCCACGCTTTCCGCTCGCTCGACCTAACCGTGAGAAGGATACCATCTTTGATACGTATGCCGTCCAATCCGCCGCCAACAATATCATCAATCTCGAAGTACCACTTGGTCCGCTCAATCGCGCTCTCAAGTCTGCGTTGAACGCCACGTCGGCTCAGATACGCCTTACAAAGAAGGACAACATACCATTGCTTGCCCTTACCATCTCCACGAGCTCGTCCAGCAATTCGTACTCTGGCTTCCCCACGGGTGGAAACCGCGATGACGATACAATGTTTGACGACCAGTTTGGCGGAAATAGAGAGACCATCATCACCCAAGAGGTGCCCGTCAGGGTGCTGGCCCCCGATACTGTGTCTGGTCTCCACGAACCGCAGACGCGCGAACCGGACGTCCACATCATCCTGCCTCCGCTGATGCAGCTTAAGAGCATTAGTGACAGATTCACAAAGCTAGCCCTGGCAGGGACCAGGACAAGCGCAGGTACTGCGGCGAGCAGGACAAGACTAGAAATGGCTGCCAACATGCACGGCTGCCTCAGGATCAGCATCAAGACTGATGCAATGAACATATCCTCTGTGTGGACCGATCTCGCAAATCCAGAACTGGACCCTGGTCAGGTGGCCAACGGCGACATCGGCATTGCAGAACACCCGAGTACGCGTATGAAGCTGCTGGGTAGTGCAGACGGCCGCAGCGAGGAAGGCTGGGCCTCAGTGCGGATAGATGGCAAGGATTGGGGGAAGGTCATGAGTGTTGGAAGGCTAGGTGGGAGGGTCATTGCTTGTGAGTACACGCCCACGCGATTTGTGTGCATTTCAACCAACTGACACGGAGCAGGCTTTTGTCATGAACATGCACTGATCCTATACGTGTATTTGCCGACTGACGGTGGCGAAGATGAGTCGGTTTTGACGGTACGTTGGCATACCATCCGAAGTTCACGCTCATAAATGTTGCTGACCGCATATCAGTACTACATCAGTTCGTACAGCGCTTGAGCTGTCCGATCGCGCCATGAACTCACGCCTTACGATTTTACGATATAGATACCAACTCACGCGAGACTTAAATTTGCGAGCCACGTAGTATCAATCTATCAAGATTCTGGGAAGGTATCCTTAATTCAGATAATTGTAATACTCTGCGTATCGTGGACCACAGGAACTTCATCCATACTCGCTCCTTCGCCACGAAGCATAGTCGCCTCTGGTGAGCACACTCCTAGTCCAAGTCGTGTGTACACCTGTTTGGACTTATCCTTACAGTCCAATACCAAGAACAACGCATTTCGACTTCCCTCCTCCATCCTAACACCCATCCAGAAGCAGTATACTACTCTGATACACTGTTTCGTGCCGATGTAGTCTTCCTGCTTCATATAAAATGGCAGCTTTTCGTCCATGTCTTCATTGTCTGGAAGATGATAGACTTCGGATGCGTCTCCTTCAAAAACTTTCTGAGACCAGCGCGGCTGTACGGTTCTCCATGCACGATTAAACTCGCCTTCGTCTGGCTCGTAATCCAACTCTACGTCGTACATCCCTTCCCGGCCTGGCGCAAACACAGTGGACCGAACAGCGTTAGAGGTATAAAGCATGCGCAATTTAGCCTCAACAAGTTTCCCGTGCAGTGTGACTGCGCCTCCCCAGAGTCTCATGAACTCTAGATCGTTGTCGTGTCGAAACGATACCTGTTCAACGATTGGGGGGCTGCCAGGAGCCTGCCCTACATATCGCGATGTTGGATACTTGATCGGTCCGGCCACCGACAGCCACGACCAAGACGGTCCTTCAGACGGCCCAGCCGGACGGACCCTCTTTTCTCTGGGACAGGCTCGCTGCCATGTCATGCCTGTAATGAGGCTCTCCTCCCAAAGCCCTGCGAGGTATGTCTTGTTCTTCAACCCACGTCGGAATTGCTTTGCCACGCCTGCAATGGCAGCTACTCGATCTGATGCGAACGTCAGATCCAAAGCAGTGTATTCTTCAATGAGCTGAACCCATCGAGAATGTAAGCCGTGGCTCCGATCACCGTTGGTAATTAGACAATTCGCGTGCTGAGGTTTGATGGGATGTGAAATCGGATTGCGACTCCCGCTTGACTGATAGTATCCACAGTGACAGTGCATTCTTTCATTGCATTCCCAGATCAGGTCGACAGACCCAAAGTGTATAATGCGTGGCGATAAGAGCCGTTCCTGGAGCACCCACCCCCTCGATAGGAGGGGCAACGTGTTGGACGTCCAATAACCTGGGGTTTTGTGTTCTGTGTCTTGCCTGACATAGACGACAGGTGAATCGTCGCTAGCACGGGCTACAAGTTGCTTGATTCTCTGCTCGTTTCCGTCGATCAAGATTTTGGTCTTACCATCTGTCACACAACCTCGCAGGTAAGGTGAAGGTTCGACGAAACAACCTTCGCGTCCGTTATTGGCAACAGTTGCCTGAGCCGGCGATTTCCAATCAGCAAGGTACGTTCGAGATATTACTTTCATAAGCATACAACATACCGCTAATGTAACAGCTGCATGCTCGTAGATACCCGCCATCTTTCCTGATTGCTCGAACCAGTCCTCTTTACTGTCTTGGATGATACATAGCGAGTCGATCCAGATAAACTCAATTCCTAATTTACGAGCGAAAACAATCGCGTCTTGGAACGTTTTCGGCAGTGTGGACCATTCAATGTTCTCTCGGAATAATTCGAGGTTGTCCTTCAATAGCCGGAGCGGCTGTTCGTCGCCCCAGCGGTGACTCAGGGCCGCATACGGTAAATCTTCGTTGCACGTTTCGTACAATTTCACGTCGGATTCATACCAATTCTCATCCGAACAGGCCTGTGCGGAATCGGCTCGACCAATCTTGACGATACGGTCAGGAAGTGCACCATGCGCATGCACATTGCACTTCCGATGCGATTCTTTACAAGCCTTGATCTTATCAGTCACCCAGGCAAGGGAAGCGTCGGAGCCTGTATTGACAACTCCTGGAACAAGGATACTGTTGTAATCGGTCTCGCTGACACCTAGATTGATTCAGACAAGCAGATATCAAGACATCTCCTTACACACATACCAGCCAAAGTACGGATAGCGAAAGCGGCCCAGCTTCTTACTGTCTCTTTTCTATTGGGATAGTCCGACTTGGACTTCCAGGTGATGTTCAATACAATACTTCCGCGTGGAGCCCATGGCATCAATGCCCCCCAGTCGATGGCAGGTATGATGAAAAACGAGCTAATAGCCTCTATATCGATTTCTTCCAGAATGCAGACGATGATACGGCAGTACTTGCAGGTGTGGGCAGACGCTTCAAGGTCTGAAATTGGACGTTCGATCCTCTCAATCTCGCCCTTCGCAGGAAACATGAGAGCATCGTGACAAATAGCGCATGTCATTTTGACGACTTAGGACGCGGGATGGCCCGTCACTTGGCTCACCAACAAAGAGGTTCGACGCAAATAGCGGGGTTGCGGACACAAAGAAGCATCGCCCCCAGCCCCCACTTCGACAACCTTCGCTTCCCGTGTCCATTTCCACCAAGCCCATCCCCAATCTATGTCCTCCACGAATGACAGGAGAACGTAGGGGTTCTCCCCACCCTTCGTCGACGAGGCGCATCTCGCACAATAAGCCCCTTTAGGGCAATGTCGGGGCCAAGAGCACGCTCGCTCGTGGGTACATCGCGAAGTAACAATGGGGCCAGATCTTTGGAAATAGAGGCCAGGGGTCACGCAGCAGGCATGCCCACTCGCGCCGCTACATTGGGTTCCTGTCCATTTACCATGCGCAGTTCGGCCTCCTAACAGCCAACCAGCGCGCACGTACGCCCTGCCAACGGTGTTTATCGCAGACGCCCATTGTGCATATAGCACGTCTGACTGGCCTATCACAGCTCGCTGCTGCCATTGCCCGGATTGGAAACCTTCTAGAAGGTTGGCTGTCAGCTGCTGACGGCCAAGGGCGCCTGGCGGTCCTCGAAGGGCGCAAGGCCGAAAAGCCAAGCTGATACAGGTTTGAGCACGGATGTCCACGGCATTGCGAGAGACTGGGGTACGTTCATGGAGGGTAGCTGGGGGCCATGAGAGAGATGGTATGTGCGGCCACGTTGTGATGTGCAGACATGCTGCGGCGCGTGCTCTGCTATGGGGGATGCCACGTGTAGGAGGATTAGGCAGCTGAGTTGTGTAGGAGACGGAATTGTCACGACCCGCGGATTGAGCCAGCAATCACGAGTTGCAATATTGGTGTACACGCGTCTCCGTCCAAGTTCGTGGTGGAGGCTTTTGTTGCTCGAATCGCGAGACCATTGCAACGATGCGCTGCGTCACCTATGCGCCCCTTTTCTTCGACCACATTGCCGGCCTCATCCGGTTTAAACTAATCACCAGTCACATGTGCGCAAACCGGTCAAACGCCCTGGAGTACCGTCGTGGCAAGAACACATCATACAGGTACCGAGTTTCATGTGCTGCGCCGTTACCTCACTGCACGATTGCGCGGTCAGACGGTTGCCTATCTCTCGCCTGTTCCCAGGGCTACGGACACCGGACCCCGAGCGCTGCACGTCGATGTTTGTTTGGGTCGTAGGGCTGTGGCTGGCTGCTGACTGTGTCTCAGAATCCTTGGAGTGTCGTTCATCCCACTTGTTGGACGACTGTCTATAATAAACGGTCTTGTAGTACAAAGACTCGTCATTCGGAGTTGCGGTCCGGTGGCATGTTCGTATGACTTTACAACTCTTGGTGCTATGTACTGGCTCAATTGGGGCATGTATTGCGAGTTTTGGGGTTGAGGCGTGCAGCGCAGTGGGCTGCGAATACCTGAGGCAATGAACCATGCATCCCTTACTGTAGTCACATCATTGGCATCAGAGCTTCTGACCGTGAACGGGCTTGTCCAGTGCCTTGTTGCGCATGCTGCATGCCTCGCGCTACAAGGACACAAGCACACGAAGCCAGTGGAGATGGAGACATGACCGTGCTCACTATTATGCTTATTTGAAACGTATGGAGAATCAGTGTTGCAAGCATGTGGCTGAAGACAAATGCTGCGGCTGCGCTAAGGGCGTGTAACGAGAGGCGCTTGTAGTGGATGAGGAGATGGAGGCCTGAAACGGCCGACTTCATGGAGGCGAGGTGAGGCGAGGCTGGAGAAGCCTGGGAGTAGCGTGAAACATGACATGGGAGATGATGTGGTTCGGGACGGGCCGTTGCGATGCTATGATATGAGGACTGAACATTGTTGTCATTGTGCATGATATTCAGGAGGTGTAGATATAGAGGCTCTGTGAGTTGTATTTTTAAACACTGAACCACTGCAATGAAGCTTGATCATGCCTCGAACATTCGCTTTTGTACCGTGGTCCTACGGTCTGAGCACAAAACGTCAATGTTGATTTCATGCAAAACTACAAGATGGGCTGCACCAACTGCATATTCAAATCTTAGTGATAGTGGGGAATAAAGCATTTTGCAAACTTTGCACTCTGTCCAATCGTGACGTAAAATATCTCGTTGAGACTCTATGTAAGGCCTTTAAGATGTTTGCAGTGGTCACTTTTCGAAGTTTGACGTTGAGAAGTGTTGCGCCTTTGAATCTCTACAATAGTACAGGCGACGCAACTTCGAAAGAAGGCCTCGCTTTCAAAAGCTCAGATCTAAAGCAACAAAGAACGCAGAGGCTCCGTTGTGGTTGCCTTGGTCGTATGGGCCATGACCAGCTCGTCCGGTTCATCAGATACAGCGTTTGTTCGATGCGATGCGTGAACAAGCGTAGTATCCAATAGTTACCCTACGTAACAAGAACCTACCTCAATGTTCCTCGACGAAATGCCCAACCTAGATACCTATGAACTCCACACCTTCATTCGTCCAGCAAACCGTCCCAAGGCCACCACCTCCTCGACCAGTCAAAAACCCCCAAGAGCTCCTGCAAAACAACACTCAGCCTCGCGCCATACCAACCATCTCTCAAGCACAGCCCTTCCCCAATTGTGCAAGCCTCTCTACAAGTGCACACACTACGCAAACCACTCCGCTCCGTATGGGGCGACCCCGTGCGCGGCCCTCGGCTTCGCCTACTCGAGCAAAACGACGGTTCCCTAAAAGAAGAAAACCTCGCAGATCGGCGGCACTACAGCGCCGATCATCAGCCTTGCCCGCGATTACGTCTGACGGACGAGCCTCCGACGCGCCGTGCCTGTGACGCATCTCGCGCGCCGAGAGCCGACTCGGAGGCTCCGCGTCTGCGCATCGTTGCTTCTTGCGTCGAAACACTGCGGGAAAAGGGTCATAGGGCCAGCTGCGGGTTTGTTTTCCTTGCGCGGTGGAATATTGCGAGAATGGCACGGGCGAATGCTGTATGGATGGTATGTATGTGGCTTGCTGGGATGCAAGGGGGAGATGCAGGGACTGCGGGAGGGTGTGGAGAGATGCGATGGATAGGGCGTCTCGTGTATCGATGAAGAGGGTGCAGTGCAGTGCAAGGCAAGGCAACGAGGCGCGTGACAGACGATGCCTTGCCATTGACGCCGGTGAGGCGCCTTTTCGTGAAGGCATTTGCTGCTTGGAGTACGAGCGCAGAGTTGGGACTCAGTCATTGCCCTCTTCGACTCATTGCGTCGTATTCTTGATTGAGTCAATACTTGGCTCTATGGAAAGAGAGGCAATCGACGAGAACATTCTCCCGCGTCACCTTGCACAGCGTCTTTGCTGTGATCTTTTCGTTTCATCCCGCACGGTAGTGGGCATCATTGGTGCAGGCAACCGAATCGCCTTGATGCACGGGCATGGCGAGTGGAAGCTCAAGCGAAGCCGGCGGACGATGGATCGAACACCTGTTCGTAAACCAACCACCTACGCTAGCCTAGGCTAGCGCTCTATCTGCTCCGACAACAGGAGCTGGTCACGTACCCGCAGAGGCATGTCGGCGAGAACGACGCGCGCCCTATCTGAACGGAACAGAAAAAGCAAAGAACCGGAGACCGGAGGAAGGCGTGAAGGAGATTGAGGGGATTGCGGAATTAGCACGGCGCGGCGGAAGGCGCAACTCACCATTCATGCTGGCGCGAGATCACGAGGATAGAATGACTGCTTCCAGGGCCGCGTTTCCGATCGACGAGAACATGCGGGATGCGTCTGCATGAAGCCCTTGCATTTCCCCGTGTGCTGCCGGTGTTGATGCCGTCACTGTTGATTTCAAAGACGTGACAAAGAGGTGAGCACTGTGAGATACCCAGAACGCACCCGCGATGAGCATAGAGGTAGACCAAAGAGGAATGCAGTTGGACCCCAAAATAACCCTCATCCGCACCACACCTGTTACAAAGCGCACAAATAAGTCCCCTTTGGCGTTAGCAACGTGTGCTTATGCAGCCGAATATCTCGAGAATCCGCGAATCAGAGTAGTGCAGCTGAAGGGTGGTGTGCCAATTGACGGAGCTTGACTTGATTTGGCAAATGGCTGAGATGATTGCTGCGGCGCAGCCAAGCTTGGAAGCGTCAGCCCTACAATGCTAGGGTCTAAGCGCGGCTATCGCGTCTACGAGCATCGGAGGTGGGCCTTATTTTAGCATCTGGTGTGGTATCACAAGCTGAGAATCGACATGGTGGTTGGGATTCGTGTCAGGAGTGATTTGGTTCCTGCAGATGAAGCCTTGGTACCGGATCACGCCGTGGAATCAAAGGTGCGCACCGGAGGAGCGGGTAATGGCGCCAGAGGTAAGGAATGGGGCGGACGGCTGTATCCTGTGCCTCAAATGGGGTAGTGAAATCGGAGGAGGACTCGGCTGTGGAGCAGTCATGTTTCAAAACTTGTACCTGCCACACCATGTTCATCGTATCAATTCACTTCAGCCTTGCTTTTCCCAAGCACTGCGATATTGAATCGATATACCATTGCCTCGGGCTCTCGTCTTCACGAGAATACGGCATGTGTTTGCGCAATGCAGGGGAAATGCGCCGTATTACGTCTTGATACGGACAATTTCCTTGCTCTCGGAGTCGAAGTCGTCCAAACATAGACGTAATCGATACTGTCCACTGTGTCGGGACGGGGAATATGCGCAAGGCTCGTGGCATGGGGTCGCGCAAACGAGGCTCAATCCCGACGCGGGACGATCTGGTATCGATTGCGCTCTGCAGACGTAATCCTCGTGGTCATGACTGATGTGAGAGCGACTTGGTATATTTCCGCAGTGCTCTGTCCCCGGCCAAGGTTGATGATGCGGGCCCCTGCCGTTGCGCGTGCGCACGCAGAGGGAAGTGGGCAGTTCGTGGATTCGAGGATTAGGAACCCGCTTCGGTCCACGTCGCAACATGGATTCTTACCGGTACTGACATCGGAGGATTGATTGGATGGTGTTGATATGAGCTCGCAGAGGCATATTGAGATTATTTTCGGACGCGTAACGTGAAGTCACGATATTTGCTCGCGTTCGCTGCCTTGTTCTTCCACGAAGAGTCCTCCCATACGCCTTGATACCGGTGAAGCGCAAATACCACGGGGCCTCGATGTTCCGTTCAGCAGCTATTGTCTCCTTCATCGTGTGGAATGCTGCGCAAACACGGAGTCGCAGCAGGAACAGTGCTAGCTCGTATTCCAGCGGCCGCCTTCCCGCTCTTGTACAATGTTCTGTTGGAACGAACTGCGCACTGGCGTAGACGACGCCGTTGACAGCTGAGAGGGCTCCGCTCGTGCCCACGACTTGGCTGCTGAAGATGGGTCCTATGCGATGCTACTAGCCGTTCGCACTTCGGCTCGTTCTAGACAGCGCCTTCAAGTCCAATCGTCCGGCAGCCGTTCCGTCGTCGGGCGCGCTGGCGTGGGCGAGGCGTGCTCGGTGCCTTGCTCTGTCGACAGCTCCGCCCTGCGCTGTATTCCGCCATGGCTGAAACTGCAACTTGAGCATCATAATTCGCCGACTTGTGACATGTTGCAGAGCGAAGCTTGTGTCCCTGGCAGCCCGCTGCAACCTCGTACTGTGCTAGCCTGTAGATAGCATTGCACGCGTTGCGCACATGTTCGGTTCCCCTCGCCGCGTAAGCCCCTGCATCCACGGCATCCGTCGCGATCTTGACAAATGCGTCGCACGGCGATAATTGGAATCGCCAGTGCTCGCCTGAAGGTACTTTCAATACGCGCATTCGTCCATAGACTGGCTCGCCGCCGTAGTGCCCGACGACGATCAACGGCGCGCCCGTGGGCTTCCTGTGGCTAGTTTGTGACGAGAGAAAGGATACAATGGTGCTGCCAGTGTAACGGGCGGGATGGCTGAACGCCGCCCATCTCAGCGGTCCCTATTCGCGGTTCCTGCGGGTGCTGGTGGGTGGATGATGCGTGGTATGACTGTACCTCGCATATGCGCGTGCGGCGAATCACGACGGCCAGCGCGCTTGCGAGTGAACGGAGGGAGGATACCCCGGCTCGACTCGACACCCCACGCTTTCCGACCCGTTCGCGATGGGATCGCGAGCATTGGTGTTGGGGTACGTGGAGCGTCGGGTGGTGTCTGCCTGGTCTCCTGGTGGTCCCTCTGCTGCCACCCTTTCACCGTGGACCAGCCCCTAGCACATGAGTGTCGAATAACTCGTATTTTCATCGATTTTGACGCGGGTTTGTGAACGATGCAGTCCATCCCCATGCGGATGCGCTCTTACAGGGTCCGATGCTGCGATGGGCCCTCAGCCAGACGGGCGACGTGCGGCTCCCACATCCCTGCTCGTACACTGCCACGCCCCCATCCCTGCTGCCACGCTCCCCTCGACACCCAGGAATAGTCATGAGCATCAGTGCGCCCAAGTCCACTACCACGGCCATTTTCTCTTCCCGCTAACGCACCTCTGCGCAACGGCAGCCAAGCCCCTGCCCGAGCGCCCCGTCGCAGTGCCTAGCAAGGTCAGGGTCGCTGATGACTAGATGCCTGACAGTGGCTTGCAGCTCGCGAACGTATCGTTGGTGCTTTCCCGCCCGTCCATATGGTTTGTATATAAAAGAAGCCTGGCAGGGCACATGGGGGTCAAGGCAACTCAGTCTCAGTCACAAGCATAATCCAAACGCCTCTTTTTTACCTAATCTTCCGTCTTCAGTCGAGCGTTTCGTTTGTAATCACCTTCAAGCCTGTCTTTCAGTCATCACATCCAACTTCTCGACACTTCCACTGCACATTACCCTTTCACAACTCACCATCAACGCTTACCAATACCCTTCAAATACCACTCGTTGATATCCAACACATCGTCACCACCAACTTCTATCCGAACCCACTTCAACCATCACCGCTTTCCACACAGTCACCCACATCTTAAACACATCACCGCATCAATGGGTCGTGGCGGTTACAACTAAACTTTCGACGAACCTTTCCATTCTCTGAGTCAACTACCTCAGAGGCCACCAACAAGCTGCTGCAACACCCTCATCTTCACATCCAACCAACCACATATCAAACCAGCACCACCGTGACAATGGCCGGACGAGGTGGCTACAACTAAGCCCCCAGCGGCAAACGCTGCTCGCACCAAACCTGCGAACTCTCGAAGCATATTTCGACACCGAACCAAACATGGCTTATTCCCGGCCTCCGCAGGCCAGCAAGACGCTCCGCAAGAAGCGCGTCGAACGATGGCGCTAACAGCACCACCACTCCACACATTTCCTTGCTTCTGCCTGGCTTCGGCCGTGTATTCTACTCTCCTATCCGTCTTTCCTTGTCCTCTTGTACTTGTATTACTGTCCGCATAGCAAGCATTGCGATGGGTGTTTCGGTCTGTCTCTTTCCTTTGTCTGCTTTCAGTCGTTTTCTCGGTAGCATTTGAGCGTGGGAGTTTGATACAATGGGATGTACACGATAACGGTATGGTATGACGGATAACGGATCACGGATTACGGGCTACGGTCGAACTGTTCGACGTATGCAGGCATTTGGGGCGGCGTTTATATAGACGGACGAATCTCGCTCTTCGGTGAGCAGCGCTGGCGGCTATCTGGGATTCTTTAGATTTGTTTTCGGCGTTTCTTGCTTTTTCAATTTGAGATCTCCTTATTATTCTTTTATCTCGTCTCTTCTATCGCTTCGGTGTCTCCTACTTTGGTCGATCTGGCTGCGCCGGGACCAGTCTACCTACCCTGGTGGTAGCTTTGCGGAATCTACTCATTAAATTTGTCTGAAACGCGTGCGCAGTGACTTTCACCCAAGAATTTTTTAAAAGGAATCATCACTGTTCGCCTGCTATTTTCCAACGCAGAACCTGTTGTGGTAAAAAGTTAGCTTCAATAATCCTCGTCAATGATCACCGTCCCAATGCATGCAGCAACGGCACGCGGAATGTGGAGCCGAGACTCCTTCAGGAGGGCGGGACCGAGTCAGTGCCTGCGCCGCAACATCTCCCGCGAATGTCTCACATCGAACGTCATCCACCATAACTGAAGTGGCTTGGACGCACGTGCGAATCCGCGAGGACGGTGGCAAGGCCTGCTTGGGGCGAGAAGCGAGGCTCCCAATATTCATGGTAAGACATCGCGGTCCCAAGTATGGACCGACCTGCGAGTGCTACGCAATTTGACATATAGGAAGAAACCGAATGGACTTACTTCTCGAAAACGACACCTAGAACTTCTTCCACGTCACCGCCTTCGCCACGTCCAGTGATCCTAGACAGTGTATCCGCAGCTAGACGGAGTGACTCTGCAGCAACGACAATGTCAACTGATTCGGAACCTTCGTCACCTTCTGCTGTATCATCCGAATGATCTTGCGAAGGATTCTGCACGGCGTCTAGGAAGGATTCGAGATGCGATAGGCATTCCGACAGCAAGGCCCGCTGCCGCTCAGTTGCACCCAGTGATTCCTGCCAGATTGACGGATCAGGATCTGCTTCAGGAACGAGGGCAGCTGTCATTTCGGCAAATGTATTCAACAAGCCGTGAAGGAAGACCTGTATGCGACCGGGATCTTTAAGGTCTCCACGAGTTGATTGCTTGGCGTCCCAGCAAGAGACGAAGAATATTCGCTCAGTAGGAATTCTGAGGGAAGTATGAACCTTGGTTTTCCAACCTTTCGCCAGCTGTGGGTCGTCCAACTTGTCGACCTTGTTGATCGCAACAACGACGTTGACATTAAGATTGACGCATTGCTTCGTGGTTTCCGCAACTTCTGGGTCCATCTCGGCTGTGGCGTCTTGGACGACAATCAGGACATCGGACTGGAGGGCACGCTGTTTTGCTCGCTTGATGCCTTCCTGCTCAATAGCCCCTACTACCTCTGTGCCCACCAGACCAGCCTTTCTCAAGCCAGCCATGTCACCAATCTTGACGAGCCATCCGCCTAGATCGACTCCGACTTCGACAACATCCCGAGTCGTCCCCGCCTCTTGGGAGACTATTGCAGCTTCGCGGCCAACAATGCGATTGAGCAGGCTGCTCTTCCCCGCATTCGGCGCCCCCAAAAGTGCGACACTGATGCCGCTGCGCAAAAGCTCACCTCGGACCGCATTAGCCACATGAGCTTCTATGAGAATGGATAAGCTTTGGACCTGACTCGCCACAGATGCGCAAAGGGTTGCAGGCGACTCGTCGAAGTGCTGGTCCTCGGAGAAGTCAATCAAAGCCTCTAGCTCTCCACGCGCCTGTAGTAAAAGTGTTCGCCAATGCTCGTACCGCGCCGCGAGTGTCGACGTTGTCCCGCGCACGGAAAGCATGCGCTGTTGCTCGGTCGTAGCAGACAGAGTTTCACCCAGCGATTCGATCTGTGGGAGGTCCATGCGGTTGTTCGCAAAGGCGCGACGAGTAAATTCGCCAGGCTCGGCATACCTAATAATACTGGCAGCTTCCTTGACGCCGGTTGCAGACCCAGCACATTGTGGTATAGCAGCAAGTACTGCGCGGACGATAGCAGGTCCTCCGTGCACGTGCAATTCGAGTACGTCTTCTCCGGTGACGGTGTTCGGCGCAGGAAAGTATAGGACAAGGGCACCGGAGTCGAGCAAGGTAGAAGTAGATGGCGGCGCGTTGGGAGCGTACAGTTTCCGCAGAGTCGCAAAACGTGGTTTTGGTAACGGCTTATCCGGGCAGATACCTTGATAGACCTAGCCACCTAGTCAGAACAAGCAATCGCTACTGGTTCGTGGTCTTCATACCTGCTTGCATGCCGGTCCTGAGACCCGGATTACAGCAATGGCTGCTCTTCCGGAAGCTGTAGATAGGGCATATATAGTCGGTTCATCTGTGATCGGATGGTAAGATTGGAGGGATCGTTGTTGCGTATAGCTCAAGGAGCGCCGTAAATTTCCATTGAAGCCATCGCAGGGAATACATACTCCTGTGCACGGCTGTTTTGAATACACAGTGGCGCAAGGCAATTCGACAGCTATTTCGTACTGGATGAATGGCTCGTATCGAAAGGATGGGAGCTCTCATCACGAGAGCGACTTGACGATGACATTTTGGTGTTGAATGGAGCGTCGATGGTCGATTCCCCACCGCTTGGACCCACCTGCCGCTCACTAGCGTGCCAAGATTTCGAAACTTTTGGATGTTGCCCGCAAAAAAATAACAATCACCTCCGAGTCTGCGGGTTCGACAACCGCCGTGCAAGCAAGATCACGGATTCTCGTCCACATCATACGCGCTATACCACGCTTTCATAATGGCGAGTGACGACCTCGTCTGGAGTGTCATCGGCACCGATTTCTGCAGCTTCAAGCTCAAGACCACAAAAGATCAAGTCTTCTGGTATGCATTACTTTTGTGAACATGCCCTCAGTACGCTAACGAGAGGAAGTCGCAATGAGCACAACGTATCGGGTTTCTGTTCGAGACAGTTCTGTCCTTTGGTACGCTTGACTGCCCCCTCGCCGTCTTCGTCTTACCTGCAACTAACACGACTGCGAAGGCGAACTCGAGATACGCCACAATTCGATCTGACCCGGCAACTGGAGCACTATATCTGTATATTAAGGAAATTGAGAGAGCCCACACCCCAAATAAGTGGTGGGAGCGGATCAAGCTTCCTAGGGACTATACGAAAGCTTTAAGCCTTGTGGATGAGCACTTGCAATATTTCCCGAAGGTCCTGCTCCATAAATGCAAGCAACGTCTTACCAGATTGACTCAGGTACGCAGACTACTCGCTCTCCTGCTATCCCCTACTTACTCTGTTCTTAGGTCAATCTTCGCATCAAAAAGCTTGCGAAGGAAGAAGAGCGTCTTGGAGAGAGGCTAGTCCCGCGTCTGGCGCCTAAGGTCTGGAGGAGGGAAGAGGGCCGAGAACGCAAGGCACTCGCAGCTGCCAAGGTCGAGCGTGCGATAGAACGGGTTCTTATCGACCGCCTACGCTCCGGTGCATACGGCGATCGCCCGCTCAACGTCGAACCAAATGTGTGGAAGCGCGTTATGAAAGGATTGGAGAAGGAAGGCGCGCAGCGGGACGAAGATCTGGACGACGGTGTTGAGGACGAGGACGAAGTTGAAAACGAATACGAAATGGAGAATGGTGCGGCTGATGTTGAGTATGTGAGCGATATTGAGGGAGAGTCCGATGATGATCTCGAAGACTTCGAAGACTGGGTCGGCGGTGACAGTCCGGATGAAGCATCTGACGACGATGAAGATGAGGACGAGGATGAGGAAGGCATTCCAAGCGAGGACGATGATGACCAGGCGGAAGATGATACAGAGGCGCTCAAGAAGACCCTTGCGAATCTCAAGCGCAAGCGACCAGCTGGCGAGCCGCCGAAGCCGAAGAAGAAGCCGGCCAAGGACGGGAAAGGTCCCCGACGCGAGATCGAATACGAGATCGAAAGGGAGCCCGCCGCAAGGGAGCTGTTGCGCGCATAGAGGGGGACTCATTAGCATGTTTATGGCGTTCATTGATTGCAAAGTTGGAATATACCACACGGCCTTGTCTCAAAGCTGGCACAGTTTCTGATGACCTTACGCAATTAGAAATTACATCTTTTTGTTGATCTTCATTTACGGAACCGCCCCACGAAACCATTCTAGCAAACATTCTCAATTACCAGATTCCTCCTTGAATACAGCAGTACAATTTCGTCACCTAAAGTCAGTCCACACGCAACCCTATGATGTCCCAATATAGGCACTATAGCAGTCCATGGCATTCAAGCGTTGAACGAGTATCCTTTCAATAGATCTAGTGGTCTAGCTCTACGTGCACAGTGCAATCTCGTAGCTATACTATCCGCTTTTTGTGCCTAGCGTGTGGCTCTTAATACCCTCTCAACCTAGCATAAAGGTTGTTGCTTTACCGTGTACACCAAGCGCGAATATGTCGCTATCGAAGAGAAGCATTACTCCCCCCAGTCCTGCATGAATACGTACCATGAAGGGGTTCGATGCTCTGCGACCTACACTTCGAAACAATGTAGCTCTTGTAGGTGGTCGAAGAAATTCCAGTTTACGGAAGACTACCTGCATGTGTGACGTCAACTTGCGTCAACCACAGAACCTACCTAGGCACAGTTGTATAATGTCCACCACCATCAACCTTGTAGCACATCCCCACTCCTAAATCGACTACTCGAAATATACGACATGGCACAATCAGCTTCTTTCGACGTCATCGGGACATGTTTCGATTTCAACGTTCCTATCGAAGCCATCCACACACGCCTTGGCCCCAAACTTTCCACCGCAAACACTGATCCAAAGACATTATTCTTCAGCTGGTTCTACGCCGCTCAACGCGACTTCACATATGTGTCCCTCGCAGGCGCTTACAAACCCATCGCCGAAATTCTAAGATTGACGTTCAAGCGTGCATGCCGTATTGTGGACCTGCCTGCCGATGCAGTAAGCGATGAGGATGTTGCTGCGATCATGAAGGCATTCAAGGCTATGACCCCACGTGAGGGTTTGAAGGAGTGTTTTGATGGGTTGAGGGAAGTAGGCTGGGATGTTTATGGCGTTACGAATGGAGGCCTCGAGACGAGTTTGGCGTACTATCATAACGCTGGTATCGACCTTGATGAGAAGCATCTCCTGTCGTGTGATTATTTGCAGATTGCGAAGCCGGATGTTAAGGTTTATGAGAATGCGCAAAATCATCTTTCGAAACAAGGTCTGGGCACCAAAGATGATGGGAGGAGGTGGTTTGTTGCTGCGCATGCATGGGATTTGATCTCTGCGAGGAAGGCAGGTTTTAAGACAGCGTATCTGGACTTTGAGGAACATGACCCGGTGACTGAGGTTTTTGGGGAGTTTGACTTGTATGCGGACAGTATGGAGGATCTTTTGGGGAAATTGAAACAAGTCAGTTAGGTAGAGGCGAGCTTGATCGATAAATGCTTGATGGTCACTAATAGGGCGGGGGTGAGTGAGTATAATTGAGGCAACCTCTAATACATGCGATAGGATCATGCTCCAAGGTGCGGTGAAGTCAAACTAATTGCACGCTGACTCGATCGATCTTCTCCTGGCAGCTCTGCCCCCAAACCGCAAAGCAGCAGATTCCCACGTACCGACAGCCACTGAGCGTCTGTAATAGTGGAAATTGCCCTTTTGTATGCACGGTCTTTGTGACAGGCTCTGAACCAGGCCTCACTATGATGCCAAAAAATGGGCGACCTCTGTAAGGCCAGTAGATGGAATTAGCAGGACCTTGAGGGGGTACAACTAATACGTCTCCAGGCTGAGTGCCGCGGCAGACTCCTATGGCATCTCTTTTGCCACGGATCCCTACGATATCGTATGCGTCCCAAACGTCTTCTAAAACGGCCATTGTGGCGCGTTGAAGATTGTGTTTCGAATCAACATCAGTAGGTGGTTGGTACTGAGGTTGACTCCACGGACCTATAATTGAGAGGATGGAAAGTAAAGCCTCTCTCCAATATCTTGATCCCTGACCTGACACTCCTTCTTGACGCATCTTCTCTTCAAAGCGGTCCGTAGGTAGCCCGTGCGGGCGGAGAAAAAAGGACAATAACACCTCCGAAAGCATACGTATTCTGCCTTCGTCCCAGGAAATGTTTGCCCATTCATGTCGAGTACCTGCACTGTTCAGGTAACCCGCATAGTAACCTTCAAACACCACTGTTCGCGTGGCTGAATCATAGGAGATTTTGCTCTCGGCGAAGTTGTTCAAGCTTAACAGGACGTGATTGTTATCGGGCAAAATGACTGTAGATTTTCGAGCATTGTTCCAGTCAGGTACCCACGACGGGTACGGTACACCTTGGGGGTTCTTTCCCGACAGCGAACCAAAATGTGCGAGATGAAGCCATATGGACTTTTTGTCTTCTTGAAAATAGAATCCTGCTACTCGGGTAAACGTTTCGCTCCAATGTTCGGAGTAGGTCACTGAAGTTATATCTTTTGCATCCTGAGCCAGACCATAGAGCGCGAAAATCCTATCCTGCTCCTCGGAGCATTGCGACTCATGGAATTTCCACAGAAGGGCCAGTAGCTTATGATTCCTGGAATCTTGAATTGAGAGTATCGTACTTAGAGCGGTGCTGACCCTAGGCTCGTTGACAATTAATCCCTGGCCGATAGCTTTCTGTAGACCTCTGGCACCCTCAATGAACCATTGCCATGATAGTTTGTGTGGCCCACAATGCATAGTTATGTGGTGCCCGAGAGCAAGTTCCTGTAAGATCCAACGTCTTTCAAAGTAAGGTCGAATGAAGAAATCACTGATGAGGTGTTCCCAGGACGAACCACATATAGACTCAATAACGAAACGAGCCTCTCCCATTGTGGGTGATGTTTTGTTTTTGAGACCTGTCGCCATCCACTTCAACGCAGTGAACAGCTGGTCAACATTTTGAAGTTCATTCGAATTACCAACCCAAGCGTGTATCTTCACCGCTTGTGCGTATATCCCGCCCATCAATTGTACCTGAACCTGCTTTTCGCGGTCGTTGTGTTGGTCCAGACATATGGCATCGATCCACAAATACCGCTGCTTTTTTGGACTTCGTAAATGGCGTAACAGAACATCAACATTATGGGTAATTGATAAAACATGGTTCTCGTCCACGAGAAGTTGGTGCGTGGGCGTTGGATCACCCCAGCGGTAGGAGACTGCTTCGTAGAAGTTTGGAGTTCCTGCACCGAGTAGAAGATGCTCTCGATCGACATGTGCCAAATATGCTTTCAGAGTGTCATCTTGATTCTCCGCTGCATGTAGGCACAGGATCCGAATTGTTCTCGAGGTTTCCAATGGTCGATAATCGTAGGGGGAAAATGCAATGGTCATAATCGTGGATCGGGCAGCATCTGAGCCTATAGACGTACATCGATCGTTACCGGCTACACTAGTAAGAGAGTCGCGAATCTTCTTACCGAAACGCGAGCTGGTGTTACACCAAAAGTGTAGCCGAAATGATATGTATCAGTTGCTGAGATGCCCCTCACGCTAATGACGTACTAGCTCACATCAGGCCCCCTTGATCGTCGCTACTTTATCCGGTACCTCGCATCCTCAACCATTAACGATGGCATTTCACAATTGTCATTCTTGATGATACATATATATGTTGACGCGTCTAAGAATATCTCAATATTGTTTGTACGAGCTTCTAGAAGGTCAGCCGACCATGCCAGATGCCTGTAGATTGCGCATTCAACATGGTTATGACCGGGTGTTCGGGTAAACCTCTGCTTGATATACTCCTGCTAACTAACCTGCACACTATACCTAGGTCGAAGATTCGGTCAAGACTCGGATGACTTGGCAGATGGCATTCGGTAGAATATGACTCTCTAGTCTTATGTTACGGAGTCAATTACTCCGGTGTAAAGTGTACTTGAAGAGGACCGCGAACCAAATACAATGGCGACAGGTCCACGGGAGTGTTGTACGTTACCAGCTTGCACAACATGGCCTCCAAGGTTTGGAACGTCTTTTGCTTGGGCTTAGCAGTTCTCAGCAGCGTCAACACTACGATTGCTACGCCAATTGAAAGCAGACAGTATACCACGACCACCGGCCGAGAGCGCATCAGCATTGACAGTGACTGGCGTTTCCAGCGCACAGAAAGAAATCCTGATGGCTTATCTTACAGCCAATTCAAACGTTACGTGCTTCCAACGGCCAATGATTTCATCAAAGACGCCAGCAAGCACACAACCCGGCCAGGAAACCTCGGGGGCAATGTCAAATTCGTTCAATCCACGTTCGACGATAGCGCTTGGGAAAACGTAACCTTACCACACGACTGGGCCATCAAAGGCCCCTTCTACGTCGGCGACAACGTTCCTGTAAAGGGTGGCATGGGCCGTCTTCCAATTCAAGGCGTAGGTTGGTATCGCAAGAAGCTTGATTTCTCAACTTCCGACAAGAGCAAGAGAGTCTATTTGGATATCGATGGTGCGCAGTCGTACGCTGCTGTTTGGCTGAACGGCGAGATTGTTGGCGGATGGCCTTATGGGTATGCTTCTTTCCGTCTGGACCTCACGCCATATTTGAACTTCGATGGAAAGAATCAGCTGGCCATCAGACTAGGCAATCCCTTGGATTCATCGAGGTGGTATCCGGGCGGTGGATTGTATCGCAATGTGTGGATTACAAAGGTAGAAACCGTGCATGTTGCACAGTGGGGAACGTACGTGACTACAGAAGCCGTTTCGGAGGCGGAAGCCACTGTGAGGTTGGCGTTGAAGGTGGAGAACACAGGCAACTCCACCCAGTCAGTTGATATCGCGACAGACATTTTTGTCCTGGACGGTGAGACTGGAAAGACTGGAAACAAGGTCGCTTCGTTTCCACACGTCACCCAAGAAGTCGCAGGCAACAAAGTACAAACTCTGAACCAGAGTGCCAAAGTCGAGAATCCGCTATTATGGGGTCCCTGGACGTCCCAGAAGCCCAACCTTTATGTCGCTGTCACACGCCTTTCGGTCCAGAATCGAACCATCGACACTTACGAATCACGATTTGGTATTCGAACGCTCACATACAGCGGTTCTAAAGGCTTGCTAGTCAATGGTGAGCACATCCGCATCCAAGGCGTAAACCAGCACCACGACCTCGGCGCCCTAGGTGCAGCCTTCAATCTGCGTGCAGCAACACGCCAGCTAGAAATCTTGAAGTCCATGGGCACAAACGCCATCCGTATGTCGCACAATCCGCCTGCGCCCGAGTTGCTCGACCTCACAGACCGTATGGGCTTCCTAGTGATGGACGAGATCTTCGATGTTTGGAATAACCAAAAAACTGTCAATGACTTCCACCTTATCTTCGACGATTGGCACGAAGCCGATCTGCGTGCCTTCCTGCGTCGGGATAGGAACCATCCTTCCATTTTCGGCTGGAGCGTTGGCAACGAAGTCTCGGAACAGACATCGAGTTCCACTGGAGGGGTCACTGTTTCCAAACTGAGAGACATTGCGCACGATGAGGAGCCTACCCGCCCCATCACAGCTTCCATGAATGCTGCGCACGCAAATCAGCCTTTCCCAGCCGCGTTGGACTTCTTGAGCTTGAACTACCAAGGCGAGGGCATTCGGGATTCCCCAGCGTACTCGAACCTGAAGGGCATCACCACCAAGCCTGTGTATCCAGACTTTCACGCTGCCTTTCCCAATAAGCTCTTGCTCTCCAGCGAGACCGCCGCCGCCCTATCCTCCCGCGGACAGTACATCTTCCCGGTGCAGAACCTCACCAGCGCACCCGTCAACGATACCTCCGGCGGCAACTCCGCCACGCACCACGTCTCCGACTACGGTATCTACAGCGCAGACTTCGGCTCCTCGCCCGACAAAGTCTTCTCCGCGCAGGACCACGCGCCGTACGTCGCAGGCGAGTTCGTCTGGAGCGGCTTCGACTACCTGGGTGAACCCACGCCTTACTACTCAAGTCGCTCTGCATACTTTGGCCCCATCGATCTTGCCGGATTTCCAAAGGACAGGTACTTCCTCTACAAATCGAGGTGGCTCCCGAACGAAAAGTTCGCGCACATTCTGCCGCACTGGAACTGGCCCGACAGGCTAAGCAAGACGACGCCGGTGCACGTTTTCTCGAGCGCGGACCAGGCGGAGCTGTTCGTGAATGGGAAGTCTCAGGGGAGGAAGACGAGAGGGGAGTACGAGTACAGGTTCCGCTGGGATGAAGTAAAGTATACGCCGGGCACTGTATCTGTTTCCACATTCAAGGATGGGAAGGCATGGGCAAATGCGACGGTGCAGACCACTGGAGCGGCGGCGCGGATAGGCCTGCGGGCAGATCGGTCGGAGATTGCGGCGGATGGGAGGGATCTGAGCTTTGTGACTGCGGATGTGTTGGACAAGGACGGACTTGTTGTCTCAGTTGCTACCAACGAGATTACTTTCTCGGTAGATGGAGGAGGTGAGATCGTGGCTACAGATAACGGTGACCCGACCGACTTCACGGTCTTTCCTTCACACTCTCGCAAGGCATTCGCTGGCAAAGCTCTCGTTATCGTCAAGGGCTCTGGGTCTTTTACGATTACCGCGAAGGCGAATGGTTTGGAAGCAGGCAAAGTGACTGTCACTGCGGCTTGATGATCTAGTAGCCTGGTAGTAATCAACGAAGTGTGTAATCTATGGAACAAGGTGAAGTGTCTATCACAATGGCTTAATGATAGGTTAGCCTGATAGGAATCAAAGATCTTTGCAATTAGTAGCATCAGATAAGACACTCACCGCAGCGGCTTACTGATGAGGTGGCCTGGAAGCACTCAAAGACGTTTGCAATCCGGGAAATTAAGTAAAGTGGTCATGATAGTATTCTCAATGATAAAGCAGCTTGGTAATATTCAAGAATGTCTGCATGGCTTGGATGGACGAAGTTGTCGTCACTGTGCTTCAAAGTTACAGTAATCTGGTAGTACTAAAAGAGTTTTGCAATGCATTACAATTATAGACAAGAACAGCAAAGAAACATCATAGTGTCGTGAACTCATTATCTCATGAACATCCTGTCCTTAACGCCGTACAATCCCAAAAACAGACCCTGCCTGAACTCAAAGCCCAATTGATAAACAAGGAACCCAGAGCAATTCCGCTCATCGAACAAGAAAAAGTGAAGACCCGCTGTATGCAATGAAAAAGCCCGAATGGACTCAACACCCAACGCTATGCTGAAATCAATAGAAGTAACCCGCTGATGCTATCATTTCGCCGTACTTCTTGCCCAGCTTATTCAGCTCCTTCTTCAACTTCTTCTAAGCAAGCGAAGTCAGCATCTCAGAACATCTCATGTTCAAACCCCCCGTACCCATCATCACTTACTTGTACTCTCTTGCCCCGAACTCCAGTTGGAATGTTTGGGATGGGAGGTACAGCAACACCGTCCGGGACCACGGTAACAACCTGCTCTTTCTCGACTCTCTGTGTGGTATTTGTCTTCTTCTTCGTCAAACGCGTAGACTTCTTCCTGATCGACTTCTTAGGCGGGGTGATCTTGGTTCTCTTGGTAGATGGTGCGTCGGATTCAGATGCTCGAGCATGTGAATAATCGGTGTCGGTGTCTGTGTCGGTGGGAATGGGCTTGTATTCGCCATCGGTATCGCCTTCGCGGATGGCTTTGCGTTTCTTCACAATCTTGCCGATCTTAGCATCTGTGGTAGGAGTCGCACTTTTTACTTCTGTGGCTGATTGCGGTGATGCTTCAGAAGCGCTGAAGGAGGGATTGGTCGTGGGGGTCGGAGGTAGATTTGTAGGTAGAGTGGGCAGCGGCGGCACTGGGTTTGGATTGTGTGGACCGAGAACGATTGACAGTTCTTTGCGCGCTTCTTGGAGCTTGTGTTCTAGGTTGGAGACACGCTTGCTGAGTTTCTTCTGCTTATGGAGATCGCGCTTCGAAGGAGTCTTGTAGAGTGCAGGTGTTCGTGGAGTGGTAGCAAGCGTGAGGCCATTGGGCGTAGGCGTAGCGGGAACAGAGGAGGCGAGAGAACCTAGCGAGAGATTAGACTGATTGTTTCCATCTATACGTAGAAAGGAGGACTTACCATTAATTGGTTTCGCCCTCGACGCAGGCCGCACAAAGACCTTGGGCGTAGGCAGGAGACCCTGCTCTTTCGCGAGCCTGTACGCCTCCTCAACTTCCTTCTTGCGGTCATGTAGCGCCTTGTCCGCTGGACTATGCTCCGCCATCTCGCTGCCTGCCTTGCGCTTGCCCAACGAGCTGAAGCTTGCGCCGGCTCCGTTGAACCAGGAGGTCAGAGCACGGGAGAGGCGACTGAAAGTGCCTTCGGGCGCCGACTCAGTTGTTACGTCGGTTGATGTGTTGTAGCTGCTACCAGAAGCGGCGCGTGATGCAGCTGCGGGTCTCTTTTGTGTGACGGCGGAGATGGTTGGAATAGCGGCAGAGAATGTGGGAGCGGGCGCGCCTGCCTCTTCGTTGAAGCGCTCGATCATGTGTTCTATGTTAAGGTCCTTCCACAGCTCGTCTGGCGGCGGGTGGATGCTGGCCCTACTGTCCATTGTGCCTTCCTTGAACCTGGAGGTGTACGCGGTATCTGGTCGTTCATGTTCCTGATCCATGTGCTCGACCGTCTCCACGGGCTGCTTGTCTTTCTTTGGCATTTTGTGCCGGCGCTAGTGCGGCGCTTTCTTGTGTATACCTAATTGCGGGGTATTCTGGAAGGTGTGAGGTTGCAATCGCTGCAAGGGCGGGCGGAATGTGTAGAGTGTTTGGATGTTTGGGGGGAGCGATGGGACGGGCCGACAACGCGACTTTTAGGGAGGGCAGGTGCACGCGCGCCAGGTCACACCGGGCCAGTGCGCCGCTCGTGACCGGGGCAAGTTTACGCGCTACAGCGGGTCACTTCTACATGCTGATGTTCGACATGCTCTCCACTGCGAACGTCGCAGCGCTTCGAGGCGAATTCATCTCTGTGATTTCCAAGGCACTAACAGACCACAATGGGCCCATGCAGCTTGATTGATTCGGCGCTTGTCTTGCTGCCCCGTCGCTGCTTTCGCGTCATCGTGGAAGTCCAACCCTACGCTCAAGAAGACGCGTTAGTTCGGTTCATGCCCTTTAAGGACAACAAGACGCGACTCGTCCTGTAAAGCGGGTGGACTATGCGTAGCCGCGCTTTCAGTGAGAACGCCGCAGCTTCTCTACGAAGCGGTCTGGGAGACCACACCGCTCCACGACAAAGATGATCGGCTCACAGATGGCAATTAGCCATTCTTTTGGAGCTTTGGCGATGCGTAATTAATGCAAATCCCGCTCGACTCATCGGGAAGTAGAAAACCCAGCCAAATGGCTGGTATCATTGGATATCGTAACCACGGCGACTACACATTCGGCTGGAAGGACGATCATCTGCAGCGCGCTATGCACAGTCCCTGCTATGTCAACTGTCTTACATTTGAGACACAGGACAATGAGGCAATGAATAAGTGACTATCGAACGCAGAGTCGACGAGGAAATTGACGGATGTAGGTGCTCCGACTTCTGTCCGATCTACTTAGGGTCTGATTCATTCGTAGAAGTCACTGCTCTACCTGGCGGCCACCAGGCAAGCTACATCAAGAGAAGATGGACCTGATATCCTGGTTGCCGACAGGTTCAAGGATTCAGTCATCCACTTTGACTTTGCTAACCCTTTATAATGGTCGCAGCAACACGGATGTTCGAGCTGCTCCCCAAGATTCTTCGTTCAACTGCCTTTGTACAAAGTAAACTGAAGCAATACGCGGGAGATCTAATTAATTGTGTATTAGGCTGTAAAGGAGAAAGAACTTCGTGTGGCTCGTGTCGGAAGCTGGTTGTGCTTTGCGCTTTGCAAATGCCGTTCACAGCAAAAGAAGGGCCACTGATTCTCTGTTCGTAACGGCAGGCCGCCAAGCTAGCGCTTCCGGTGGATTCTTTCAAAGCTTCTTAATTAGTTATAGAAAAGGCCAAAGCTCAGTAACGCAAGGTGGGTAGTTTGCTGGAGGAGATTGTACCGATCACGTGGCGTCCTGGCGAGCTTCCCGGATAGACTTCACTGCCACAGAGTTGATAGCGCGACTTCACTTCACCGCAGTCAAAAGTGAGAGCTCTTGGCACTGTAAGCTCTGTCGCAAATACCTCTGCGTCGACCGGCTGGCTCTTCACGTCAACGCTCCTTCCGTTCATCACCCCCGCGCACGGCAGGTACAACACAACTTCTCTGATCTATCCGTCATGCCTTCGCTGGAGGATCTCTATATGGGGGCTTCGAATCGAGCTGGGCCGTACGGGCCTCGCAACGCCCCGCCTCCGCCCGTTGGGTCGCCGCCTGCTGCACCGCAACATGCGGGTACAGGTGAGTAGCGCAAAGGGACCAAAGATGGGAGCGTAAATGCTGATGAACCTGCAGGCGAGCATAACCGTCATCTACACCAGCGACGCGAGCGCGAACTCAGTCAGTCTGGGCGCCGTGCTCCTTCACCTTACTATGAGGCCGCAAATCAAGGCCGACAGCCGTCTCTGTCGCCCAACTACCACGACCCGAGGCCAGAGCATCGCCGATACCGCGAACCCTCCCCCAAGAGGAGCCGGAGTTCGACGTCGCCACGACAGTTGTACGAAAGTGAAGGTTCGCGACTGGCCCGCCAATCGCCGTCAGTTCGTCTTGATGTCGAAGAACGCTATCATAGCAAGCGGTCATCAAGCCCCCGCTGGCGCTCACGCTCGCCACGCCGTGACAGCCACCACTATCAGTACAAGGTCCACGACGAATATGAGGGGCACGAGCACAGCGGAGCGCGTAGCGAGTACGTCAATCGCCGTAGGCAGCGTTCACTCACACCCGTCCCCGTGCGTGAGCGACGTATTAGAAATACCGACATTCCCGAGACCGCATATCCCCTTCGCGCCTACACCAATTACATTGCCGATAACCATGCCGCTAAGCGTCGCAGCACATCTCAGAACCATCATTTGCCTGTCTTTCGCAACGGCGACGGTAAGGTGAATCCGTCGGCGTATGGCTCTGTCTTGCAGTATGACTTCGGCTTGTGCTACTGCACCTTCCGGACCATGTACATGTGCGAAATGGGCACGAGATGTCCGTGGAGACATCATCCACTATCGGCGCGGGAAAAGGAGTGGGTCAAGGAGATTGCCCGTGAGAAGGGAACGCACTTCATCCAGGAGGCCGAGAAATCTTGGGCTACTCCCGAGGTACCGGTCCCCGGACACAACATGATCGAGGTGATGCAGCAGGAGCGAGATGCAGATCGACCACGTTGAATACTAGCCGCCGTCGACTTCGAGCAGCTGCGACGAGATAGACGGGTCTAGGAAAAGAGGGAAGGCTCAGCGAAACTTCGCTAAGACGTACATTAGTGTTGCTTGCATGCTTTCTGCGACCAGCGAGAAATCACCATTGACTTTGCTTGACACTGTTTGGCATGGGTACCAGTTTCTGATATGCACACGCATGGAGATTTCATGCTTATCATGGATCATAATGAACGATACATCTCGTCTGTCTTGCTGTCCTTCACTATTTGTCTTTCCGCAAACCACACTTCGATCCTACTTAACGTCTTCTCTACATACGTGTCTTACTCCCTATGCTCTACCGCATCCTTCTTCTCTACATTTGCCACCCCAAGACTTGCCCCCCGTGTCTCCGCCGCCACGACACTGCTCCTCCTCCTTTCAGCATACAGCTGCGCCTCCTCGGTTTCCTCGTAACTGATAAGCAACTCACCGTGCTTATCATACCTATGCGGCATTTGCTTCGCAACCTTAACCACGTCAAAGGGATTCGTCGTCTTGTGGAAAATCTCATCCATCTCCTCCAGCGAGCGGTACGCCGTCTCGGGGAAGAAGAAGTAGACGCACGGCACCATGAAGGCGTTGATGACGGCGAAGATGATGTACGTCTGGTACCCGATATTTGCGAATGCAGGCGGCGTGACCATGACGACCATGAAGTTGAAGATCCAGTTTGCGGTTGTGGAGATGGCGTTTGCGGGGGCGCGGATGCTGAGGGGGGTGATTTCGGCAGGGTACAGCCAGGTCATGCCGAGCCAGCCGATGGCGAAGAAGGAGTTGAAGACGAAGAGGAAGACGGCCTGCGAGACTGTTAGAGAATGGGTGGTTGAAGGGGAGGTGGGGGAATGCGTACGGCGGCAATGCCCATGCTGTCGCTGACTTTGCTTGTGGTGCCGGCTAGGACACACATGCTGGCGGACATGCCTGCTGCGCCGAATATCATGAGGGTTCGTCTGCCGAATTTTTCAATGGTGAAGATGGCGATCCAAGATGCCATCCAGTATTCGGTACCGTTGCATGCGGCTAAGAGACGGCTTAGGAAGGGCGAAAGGCCTATGTTCTGCTCGAAGATAGTCGCGGCATAATACGTTATGATGTTGATACTGAGCAAAATCAGTGTTTGTTTCAAAGTGGGGATGGTACATTGCCTCATGTCTTAGCTAAGCGAAGGGAAGAGTCTTTCCTATATCGTAACTAGATAAAGACGGTCTTTCTTTTGCTTAGCAGAAGACACGCATCCACTTTGTGCCCGGGAGACTTACCCCGAGATCTGTGTATGATTAGCGATGCACTGCGAGGACCTCAAAAGGAACATAACATACCTGCTGAAACATCTGATTGACATAAGCCAAAGCCGTACGATGAAAGTTGCGATTCCGGTTCATCTTAAAGCAGTCTCTGAAACCACCCTTCTGCATCTCCAACACAGTATCTTTGACAGCCTGGAACTCGCTCTGAATCTTCTTATCCTCTGGTGGCAGATCGCTGAGTGCACACAGCACTTGCAAAGCATCTTCTTCTCGATTCTTAAGAACCAGCCAACGAGGAGACTCCGGAAGACCTGGGATCAGAGCCAGGATGAACAGAGCGAGAATGATCTGGAAGGCTATAGGGAACCGCCAGGAGATGGTACTTGGTTCTAAGAAAGAGAAGCCGAGATCAATCCAGTAGCTGAGCATAACGCCGAACACAATCAAGGAGCCCTATGCCTCAATTAGTGCTGTGGTAGTCTACCTGTAGTTCGTCGCATACCTCAATCATGACCATCTGTCCTCGGCGGTGAGATTTACTAGTCTCGGCTTGCCAAGTAGGTACTCTGTAGATCGCGTTAGTTTTATATCAGATGAGCGGTGCAACAGACGGACGTTGATGTGTTCATGCCATTGCCAAATCCTGTGATCCAGCGCCCTACAATGAGCTGTGGCAGGCCGAAGGAGGAACATTGCAATATAGCACCGACGACCATAATTGAGCTACCGACGAAGATTGTACGCTTGCGTCCAAGCATGTTGCCGAGCCATATCGTCGCCACAGCGCCAAAGAAGCACCCGAGCGTATATGCGCCGACCGTGATGCCTTGTATCGTGGAAGTGTAGCTTGCAGTGGTTCCTGCAGGGGGGTTGGCGGTATCAATTTCTGGAACTAGATGCATCCGTTAGCGAAACGCATATACACACTGCGCTCTCATAGGTGCACTCACAGTGTTTCAGAAAAGACCCCAGAGTGAGCAGACCGCCCATTACACCTTGATCTGCGATGCATTAGCTTACGATGAAGACATAGATCTGTCAACGCACCATATCCGAATAGAGCAAAATCAGTGCCTGCAATGACTGCAATGGCAATATTGAGCTTAGTACCGGTAAGCCCGTAGAATTTCTTCATTTTGACTGATCCTAATTATGGACGTTCGTCCACCGGAGATATAACAGTCTTGAAGCAATGCGCCTAGTGGCAGGGAATCAATGAGAACCAGAGGCGAGCGCGATACTGATGGCTTTACCAAGAAGTGGACCTTCTCGCAGATATATGAACTCCCATGATGGCAACCAAGACGAAGCTACTGAATCGCAAGCGACAAAGATCGACTAGTTGCCATTCGTGCTGGGATGCCTGACGATGACGTGAGGCTTTGTGTGGTTGAGCCGCCATGCGGGGTGCAGTAACTCCCGCCGAACGCTGGCTGCTCATTTGCCGAAAAAAGTCGCATCTCAAATCTGATCCCGGATTACCCAACTGGGTCATCCGGCACGTGTCTAGGCGGGCATAGCCTTCGGAGAACAGCTTGCACGTGTCCGGGGAATCCATGGGATAACTCGACTGTGCGCGCGCTAGATGTGAGACCACCGAGAAGGCGCCGTTGGTGACGCATCGCGGTTCACTTTCCCGATGCAAAACGTAGATCGAGGCGGAAGGACCGTGGCGCATACTGTAGAGGATGCTCTGCCCAGTCAGAAGCTGGCTTCCTCAACATTACAGTGCCATACGGTCGAACAGGTCAAATATATATGTGCCTTTCGCTTTTCGGGGTAAGCTCTTTAGGGGCGTCGACTAGAGCGTGGAGAACCGAGTTATGTGGAGAAGTTGTGGGCCTCACCACCGGCTCGGCTTGATCTTTACATCCTTGGACGACTTGGACAAGGCTTGACTGGACTGCCTGGCCACGCATATTGGCCGTTTAAGTGTTGATTCGTGAGTCTTTCATCAGCACTAAGAGCACCTCTCCTCGGGCGAATCATCCTCGAGCTCAATTCCGGGAGGTACAAAGTATCGAACCCGGGCCAAGAGACAGTCGGGACAGAGGCGAAAGCCCCTGACAAGCATGCATTATCAGACTCTCCTTTGAGTGTAGATTTCACTGTCAACCGGGACGAAATCTTGGAATAACGAGTTGGGCTGTAGTGGCAGTCGTGCCATGCGGTCGGCTGTAGATAGCAAAGCCACCTTGCAGGGTTCCGTCGATTGTTCTTCAATGGAGTCGGTATGTTCCCATAGAAGAGATGGTTGCGGGTCGATGCTGAATGGATCCAGGCTGAATTGCGGTAAAGTGTTGAATGTATCGGTCATCGTAGGTAGAAAGGTGTTATCGAGCATTGATGCTGACATTGTCCAGTCCTCGCAGGGAAATGTCGGTTGTTGCGAGTCATAGAACGAGCCAGGGAATTCAGATCCATGACCTAGTCGCCCAAATGGTGTACTGTATGCGTCTGCAGGAAATCCAGCGAAGGTCGTTGCCACGAGGTTATCTGTGGCCGACTGATGTAAGAGACCTAAGCAGGGTTGGTCTTCTATTTCGTCCTTCACGAAGTCAATAACATGGTCCTGCTCCAGATGATGTCTTGATTGCTCTGGATGATACATTTTAGGAGTTGCTTTGGCGAGGTCGTTGCTAGTACTCAATCCAGACGTACGTCGACGAGAAGCTTGCGGTTGTTGCTTTCTGCTGACGCCAACCTTCCGTTTCGTAGCAGAAGGTGGCTGATGTCGAGCGGCGTGTGCTTCTTCGATCAACTCTTTGCCGATGAAATCTTTGAGAATTCGCAATTCTACATCATGTTGGCTCTTCAGATGGTATTCAAGCACCCTTACCCTATGACTCAGGGGGACGCGTAAAAACGTCGACTTCAGCCGTTGCCGATAGTCATCCTGGAAAGCAGGGTCGTTAGCGCGGCTAAAGTCAGTTTCCTCAAGCTCTATTCCCGTCAGTGGGTGCCACTTTTGATTCGATGTGGTCAACTTACTATACGAAGGAATCGGTTCCGCAATCCCAAACAAAGCGGTGTACCAGTTTTGCCACACCTTTACACTGTCCGTGACATATGTCTTCGGCCTCGGACCTCGAGACTGTTCCTTGATCTGTGCAAATGTTCTTTGGCCAACGCCCTCCGCCGGGTAGTATTGTGGCATAGCATTACAGGCGGCTCTACATTCATGTGATCGTAACGATTGCTCGTCCGAAAGAACTTCGGAGCATTTTGCGCATTCGTGAAATACATGCGGACCGTCTGGTCTAGTCAGGTGTTGCCTACCTACTATAAGCAGGAATTCATGGTAGGGTAGGGTAGGGTAGTCGCTTACCTCAGCCGAGACAATGCATGAGGCTGCCTACAGCTCAAGCTGTGTATCCATCTGTGCGGATTGTGCTTGAAGAAAGGACAAACGAATAGAACCTCCTCGTCCCGACCAGGGTCCTGAAGTTCAGGGGTAAACGGACAAGCGCTTGGTCGATCGTGTGACTCTGATAGCTGCCTCTTCTGTGCGACTAATGGTTGTTCTACGTCGAATACGTCGCCCGGAGCTACATAGCCTGAACAGCTGTTTCTCAGTCTCTGATACGCAGGCAGATCTTGTTGTGAGGAACAGTAGTCAATCCCGGTCGGGGCGTCATTATGTGTCGTGGAGGCAGCGGCGGCACGTGCAAAGGGTGCGATACCTTCGGTGCACAAAACGTCGATTCTATTGAGATCATCAGACTCTTCATTAAACACTGGAGTGATCCCGTTATCCGCTGCAGCTTGCTCATTTGAATGACCACTGCGAGAACGTAATGAGGTGAGACCTGCGTTTGGCGCCGATGTCCGGATGGCAGGCTTGAAAGTCGCTGAGCCTCCTGAAGAGGTTTCAACCGTTAACGGACGCGTGGCTGGTGTCAATGGACCAACCAACTGTGAGGCTGGCTTCCCACAAAATCTATGGTCGTTGCATTTTATGCACTCGGGACATCCATTAATATTATGCGGCCCATCACCTGGAGCATGGGGTGTAAGGTCAATAAGAGCCTTCCTGAAAAATGCCCAGAACTACGTACCACATCGACAGCAGTACCACGAAAAAGTACCCCCAGCTTCCTCAATCCGGCAAGGCATAAGGCGGAGGAAAGAAGCCACCCAAGGGGAAGTCGGTTACACGAGCAACTTTGGAAGGCTGAAAGAACAGTCGCGTCTGCAACCATGATGATGAGGCTCTGGCATTTTCTATGAGCAAACACAGACAGCAAGTCCTACTACGGTGAAGTTGTCCCCAGAATTACAGGAAAATGAGTGCATCTGCGGAGGTAGCTGGCGTATTGGAGGTGCCGCTGACTGATTGGATCACGAACCGGTGAGCAATGTACTCTGCAGAAAAGAGGCGACGAGGCGCCCAATCGTTGGTACCATCATGCAACCACCGCGCTCTTGCAGCAACTGGTCGAGTACGCTGGCAAGCTGCCTCGTTGCCTGGAGTGCGCAGAAGAGGCATAGTCGAGAGGCGAGAGCTTCACAGAGACGACTGTTTCTGTGCGAAAGTCTGGGGTTCTTCTACCTCAGGCATCTCTGCACGAAACAACTTCCCCCGCAGTTGTTTGTCCAGCAATCAGTGGCTGTGAAAAGACTTGGCTACTATCACAGGGAGGCGAGCGGCCACGAGATTCCATGATCGTGAATTCCGGTCACCGCCTTTCAGACGCAAAGTTAACGTAGCGTCGCATGTACAGCGATCTTCTCGGCGCAGAACGCGTAAAGATATCGATACCACTGTTGTGCATGAGACATGAACACGCGCTTCAGGCTTTGCCGTGTCGCGGGGTGCGGTAGACGCGTCGAGCACACTAGGTAGGTAGCCTCGCGGCGTGGGGCGTACCGTTCTGTCGGTATCGAGGTACTTTGTCGCATATCGTGGGGAGTTGAGATGGCGTCGTTTGATTTAGAACCTTTCGCAACCTAATTGAGAAGGGTGTGTATCCAAGTTGTAATGCACTTGCTGTGGGTGCGACACCAGGCAGTCATGGGTTTCCAGGCTACGAGACGATTGAACGTGGCCAACCACACGTTAACGACTACAAATAGTCAAACTTTGATTGATAATGTTACAGCCGCTGTGTGTGCGCATGTATGCGCATTATAAAAGCCGCTTTATACAGACTAGGCCATCTCAACCTTAACCTACCACCCTGAAACGCCATTCGCGCGGTACCGCGAGTATGAAATGCAGTGGGCAATATGGATAGTCTCACAACTCCTCCTTGTCCTCCTCCTCATCCCAACCGTCCGTATCCGTATCCTTGATAGGGTCCGCCTCGGCATTCTCAATAGCCTTCAAAAACTTCTCACCGGACTTCTTGTCCGTTGCAAAGAGATGATCCACAACCATCTTCTTGGGCGTCTCTCCCATCCACTGGAACAGCGAGAAGTCCTGGAACTTTTCGGCGCGGAAAATCTCGAGGACCTCGAGAGGCTCGTCGTCGCTCAGGTTCTCAATGAAATGGCCCATGTTCTTGGGTACGATGCCGACGTCTCCAGCCTGGTAGTCGAACGTCCTTGCGTTTCCTTCACCGGCGAAGATGGTCACGCGAGCGCGGCCCTTGATGAAGTAGCTCCACTCGTCTGCATTAGGGTGCCAGTGCATCTCTCGGATTGCGCCCGGCTCGATGTCAAGATGTGCTGCAGCTACAGACTTGGACAGAGGGAAGTTGGTGGAGTCGGTGATGCGGACCTTACCACCGGTTGTGATCATGGGCTCCTGTGCCAGCATCTTGTGAGTGAAATTTAGCTTTGACTTCTTGTATCCTGGGCCATCGGGAATCTCTTTGTCGATGGAATCCACTTGACGACCTTGAAAGATGTACTTCTCCTTTTGAGGGATGGCGTTGAAGACCTCGGGATGGACGCGGAAGTTCTCAGCGAGTACGCTCTTGGGCGTCCGGGCGACCCAGTCAGTCAACAAGAAGGTCGACTCCTCGTTGAAGTTGCCGTCATCGAAGATAAGCAGAAATTCAGTGCCGTTGGGGGCAAGACCTTGCAGGGAATGCGGGTGGCCGGACGGGAAGTACCACAAATCGCCCTTCTCCAGATCGTCGACAAAACTGCCGCCTTCGGTGTCGAGAGCAGTGATGCGAACACTGCCCTCAAGAACATATGCCCACTCAGCTTCCTTGTGCCAATGCAGCTCGCGAATGACACCCTCTTCAAGACGCATGTTAACACCAGCTAGTTCAACACTGGTGGGAAGTTCGCGAATGGTCGTCTGACGGGTCCAGCCGCCTTCTTCAATGCGAATATGCGAGTCTGCGAACGACCACCTCATGTTCTTCATGTTTCCATGATCGGTGCTTGGTGGCCTGATCAGATCTGGGTTTTGGCGTTGTCGCTCTTCGTTTTGCGGGCCCAGCATGGTTGCTCCATCGCCATTTCTCTGTACCCTCATTAGCAATGGAGTTTGGATGTTGGCGAAATTGACTCACCCATGGCAACGGATTGAGCTTGTTTCCGATAGAGTCGACTTTTCGATCATACGGATCGCGATGGTCTGGTGTGTACGGCCGTGGCGTCTTGGACCTGAAGACTCGTGGTGCTCCATTTCCGGCTAGCGGTGCTTGCTCCACTGGAGCGGCCCAGACACCACCGCAGACGCCCAGCAATGCAAGGTACGACGAAAGATACATGACTTTTGGTGCAATTGACTCCAAGCCCGAAGTCGAAAGTCACTGTCCGCCTTTATAAATCATGCCGCAGGCGCCCTGCTTTATGCCGCCGCCGTCCCCCGCTCGCTTCCCTTTTCCCATGACGACACAACCGAGCCTTCCCCTTCTGACGCGCCCAGCCTCCATGTCTAACTCGAGGATGCGCATTCTCCGCTCTTCAAACACTGGTCATCACGCTACGGTGCAAGAACTCTGTCGCCGACCCCGAGATATCCTACATTTACCGCCGGGCTGAGATGGCACGTTAAAGGCACGGCCCCTGCTGCTGGTTGGAGACCCAGCAACACCACCCTTCGGACCTACTTCTGATGCCGAGAGGGCCCTGGACAAGGCAAATCCACAACAACGCGGAACACGGCAGCAACAATGAATAGCAACGCGCAAAACCATCGGGACCGACGCGCTGACGAGGAAACCCCGCTACTGGGAAATGGTCGGTCTGGACCTGCAAAGGATGCGGATGAAGTCGGGCTCGGGACGAAGCTGAAGAAGCACTTTGGTGCCAATGTGAGCAAGAATTGGGCGGATCTCGTCCTGCTGTTTTGCTATGTTATCACGGGGCTGCTTGACAGCTCTGCTGTCTTCATCTGGGGCTCCTTTGTGAGCATGCAGACAGGTGAGCTCCAATTCCCGCTTGTCAATTGGGTAGTAGAGTCGCAATCGACCTGCTATCTTGACGGCAAGATGCAATTGAGCTGGTATTCTGACGCAACGACAAGGCAACACGGTATACCTCGGTCTCGGTCTCGTCGCTCCCTCTGAAGGCATACGCTGGGTTAAAGCGCTCACGTCCATTGCCTCCTTCTGCGTCGGCTCGTTCTTTTTCGCACGCTTCCACCGCTTCCTTTCGCCACGCAAGCGCTGGGTCCTCGTTGCCTCATACACCCTGCAATGCCTGCTCATTGTCCTCGCCGCTCTCATCGTCACCTTCGGCCACGATGAATCCGACGACAAGGAGCGTCTGCACTGGCAGGTCCTCGTGCCGCTCGCTAGCGTCGCGTTCCAATCGAGTGGACAAGCTGTCACGTCGAGGGTGCTCCAGTACGGCGGATTGACGAGCGTGGTGCTCACGAGCAACTACTGCGATCTCTTCTCCGATCCGAACCTGATCAATGTGAACAACGTGGAGAGGAACAGGAGAGTGGCTGCGCCCGTCCTGCTGCTCATCGGCGCCATGTTCGGCGGGCTATGGGCACATAGCTCCATTGGTCTTGCGGGCGCACTGTGGACGGCCGCTGCGTTGAAGGCCGTCGCTGTATTGGCCTGGATTTTCTGGAGCGCCGACCCCGAGGAAGCTTAGTATGGTCGCACAACTCAAATCACGGGAGCCGCACTGTCCCCACATGCAAGCGAACTGTACATCACAAATTGTGGGAGGTAAATACGTGCGGTTACTGGTTGAGATTGTCATACAATGTCCAGGCAATCAGTTTACACGACAGAATTACCTGTCACGTCGTCGTGGAGTGGGGAAGTGGAAGTAGGACCGAGAACATGGTACAGTACGGAAGCATAGCTCTGCATTGCGTATGTAGCTTGTAAGCGCATCGGAGCGATAAATACTTGCACATATGACAATGAAATACAACAACGAATATATGTGTTTCTTTCGAATTGGAGGCTCCCAAGCCTGCGATAAACATCGCCTGGTGTTGCCCATTTGGCGAGAACACATGATACCCATTCTGTAAAGGGGAAACTAGACCTTGCAGCAAGCGGCACACGACGCCAAACGTTCTCCATGCTTACTTCAGCCGTCCTGTCACCAACTCCGGTCGGTCTCAGTGTATAAAGTCATCGATTTCAGAGCGTAAAAACAAATTCTACCCACTCACACTCGTCCTCACAAAAGCCTCCGCTACCCGCCTACTCATCCCATCATCAGCGGGGACCATTGCACGCTCGACCTTCATATCCCCGCCAGCAACAACATCGAGATCATCCGCAAACTTGGCCTCCACGTCCTTCCCCGCAACCCTCAACTTTATCACACACTCTAGACGGTACCCTCTCCATGCACTATATGTTTTAAAACTCGGCAGCACATCCTTCGGCAACGTGATACTCGCTATGCACACCTGGTCTTCAAAAGCACCTTTCTGAGGGGCGAACGTCGCGTTAGCAGGCGTTTGCATTGCTCGAATTTCGACGTTCTTGAGCGTTTCCCTCCTCACAGGCATTTCCGGTGAATTGATGTCGGCTTGAGATGCCACATGTGCGGGTAGAAGCGTGCGGATGCCCGTATACGACCGCACGACAAACGTCATACTCGCAACGGTGATATCTGGAATCGGAAAGTTGTATAGCTTCCCCGGTGGTGGGGCAAGAACGTCCATTGTCAGACTCATCTTGAGGCTCGCACCTGGCATGGATAAGCGCGGTGCGCTGGCCTTGACGCTGAAATAGAAGGTTGGCGCTGCGGTGTTGAATGCATCGCAGAATTGTTCGCGCAGGCGGAGTTTGCGCTCTTTTGCTAGGGCTGCTGTCTGGACGGACAGGTTGGAAGTCATGTGGTGCTGTTCGCCTTTCAAGAGGGTGAGCTTGGAGACTGCGAGGCGCAGTGTCGTGAGTGTTATGGGATAGTGGAAGGTTGCGTTTGGAATGAGTTTGTGAGTGCTAGGATCCGATGTGGAGCGGATGGCGACCAAGGAGTATGCTGTTGATGCGGAGCCCTGGATGTTGGATAGCTTTGACACGCTGCGTGGCCCCATGTACATTGATGGTGGTAACGGATGTCCTGCTTTGTCCTCGAACGGATTCTGATTCGGCCACCCTGTCGTCCAATAGCTCTTCCCTGCTTCATGACCTTGCGTGATGTCGTTGAGGTCCGCAGGTGGAAACTCGCACAAATGCGGAATGAGGAATTCAAACCTTGGTATAGGGGTTTGCGCGCCGGGCTTCAGGTGTGTCGTTTGGAAGACAAGCGGCGTGTGGTTGGTATGCGTTGTTTTGGGGTCCTGGATCTTCGTCGTAGTCTGCCCAGAGAAGATAATGTGAATGTGCTCTTCTGCGGTCGACCAGCCAATGATATATCCTGTTATCCAATCTCCTGGTGCAAACACTTTGGACGGATGGTCAAGAACAAGTTGAAGTTCTGTATTGTGATTTGAAGGCGGCGCCGGAATCGGCGCCGAAGTTTGAGCAAATTGAGCACGAGGTGGTGGTGGCGGTCCAGGCTCGTCGTAAAGCGAATCCGTGTCTGTGTCTGTGTAGTTGTTCGCAGGACCAAATGGAATGAACCCATAATTTGAAGGCCGTGGAGTGAGTCCTGGGCTTTGCAATGATAATCTAGCTGGTGAGCGAGGCCCGGGTGGAGGACGTGGGAAAGTGGCGATGAGTTCCAATCCCAGTGGCTCCTTCCGTTGGGAACGCAGTTCCTTCCGTCGGATGGACATAATCGCACGCAAACATTTAACTGGAGTGCTCAACCAAAGATAAATGTTGTCTCAGTGCAAGAATAACTGAGGTTCAATAAATAGCTGATCAATGCTATTCGAGGCTCATCTGCTTGGGCTGAGATAGAGAGATTGTTCCGATGACAAAATACACAAGGCTAAGACATTCCGTCCACGGGTAGAGCAAAGTATCCGGATCGTATCGTAGACAGGAAAGTACAATGCTGATGAGGATGTGTCGAGTTACATGTCTATTCCATAACGCCGGGACACCCAAAAGCATATGCGACGTAAGCGGTTTCGCTGTCGCAATACTCCAACCCTTCCATCGCTGTCGCATAACAACCCGCTTGCAACACGATATGAAAATTACATGCATAGGAGAATGCCTGCATCCTCAGTAAATCCTCGTTTCTCCATATCGTAAGACACAAAACCGTTGGGGTACTGTTAGTTCTGGCCCCACCACAACTCGGCCTCACTTTCCTTCCAGTCGTCGAAAGCACCTGCCGCGCGAGCCTTGATAGCCTGCTCAGCGGACGCCTGCCAGGTTTTGGCAAGATGGCCATTCTCAAGATCTTCCTTGAACTTGGCGACATCGGTACGGAACAGGTTAAAGTTGAGGCTCACTTCTCTAGGGCGGGCATTCTCGGCAGCGGTGCCAGCCCGAAGGTCGTTGGCGAGCTTGACGTTGATGGTGTTGGAGGGGAGTAACGCGAGGATCTTCAGCTTCTGATCAGAGGTGAGGCAGGTCCAGGCGTTGGCTTCGAGGAGCATGTGGAAGACATCGGACTTCGTGAGTCGACTGCTGGAATTAGTGGTAATGTGAACGGGTTCGTAGATTTTGCTTCCTGCCTTGCGAGGAGCTGCAGTAGCCTTTGGTGGCGAGGGAAGATCAGTGAAGCGCTCAGGCGCCTTTCGGGCGCGACCGCTGGAGCGAGTGCCGACGGGAGGTGCGGGAGGAGTAGCCTTCCCAGCAGCCTTTCGAGCAGCTTTTGGAGCAGTCTTGGAAGTAGTCTTTGAAGCATTCTTTGGGGCATTCTTTGGGGCAGTCTGTGGAGCAGCCTTCTTCACGCGCTTGCCTGGGGCCATGGGGGTTTGAGGATCCTCAACCTCGGCGTGAGCGCGCTTCTTGCTTGCAGTGGAGGTGGACGAGTTAACGGAGCCAGATGGAGATAGAGCACGAGTACCGTCCTGGGAAGGGTCGGGTTTGGGGGCGAGAGTAGGCTCTGCAGCGATAGCAGGGTTCGAAGCCGGGGCTAGCGCGGGCGAGTCATCAACACAGGCGCCAGGGGGTGTGGGGACTGAGTCGGCTGAGGACAGCGGAGAAGAGCCGTGCATATAAGGAGACATGTTCGTCAAGTTGATTTTGATGGGTGTGGTTGAGGGTGATTGTTGGGTTTGGTTTGGGGAAACCGAAGCAAAGTTTGCTGTGGTGGAAGCGTTACCAGAAGAGTCAATCGAGAGTTGGAGTTCGAGGGATGGGTCCTTGGGGGTAGGGAGCCTGTATATGTGAGCCCGTGGCTGGGAAGCGTGCGCCAAGTCCTATTGTATGTATCCGTGCGGCTGCTATTGTCGAGTGAAGGGTGGGTATGTGTACAATAAGAGCGTGCAGCCAATAGGCTTGCCGAATCTAAGATCGAAGGATTTCACCACTGAAAGTGAACGATTGGAGTAGGGCGTGCGACGATTCTCGGCCGCAATATATGGGGGGACTGAGGCGTGTAGTGGGAATGAATAAAAAGACGCGAGAATGCTTTGCCGCGTCGCGTTACAGAAGGGGAAAGTGACAAAGTTGAGATGTGAGTGTCGTCCAGACAGCTCCAATGAAAATTGAGCTCACATACGGTACAGGCAGAGACATGTTGCGAAGGAAGTAAGCGTGGCGACGCTTTGTCGGATCGTAATGTGGGAAGTCAATTGCCCTTCTGTAACAAAAGCAGCCCTCGAACGGCCCCCAACGCATACACAAGAGGTCGAAATCGGCTTCTCAGGACTCAATAGGACGCGAAAAGATTCGGCAAATGATGGCACAATGGCTCAACCCGCTGTAATGCTGATAGGGTGAAAAACATTTGAGCTTTCCAAATGGGCGTCCGCCACGAACGCAGGCTTCGAAGCACAATGACTGGACGAGCCAGTATGATCTAGAGTTCAGAACACCCGCTGTGGAACATTCGCGTTTCCTAGCGGCTTGCGATATGGTGGGATGAGGTGACAAGGTAGGTAGCGAAAAATGTGCCTGGCATCTTGTCTTCAGTGGTCATGCCACAGCAACGCACACAGTGACCACAGCGGCAAAGCGGATGATGGTTCTAGCGTTGAACCACCGGAAGCCGGACGAATGGATTATACATTACAATGTCATGGTCTAATGCTGATGATGTAGCTGGACTGTACCTCGTGCTACTCGTACAACCTTGGAACCTTGGAATGTTTCCGTACCCAAACACCGGCGGGCCCGTGCGTGCGAGCTCTCCACTTGGGTAGCCTACATTGCAGCTTCGCAGCCACAACGACAACTTTCCACATCGACACGTAGCCTCTTTGCAGCGCCCTTCTGCTGCCTCACTCGCCGCAACTACACCTTCCTCGCCCACAAAAACTTTTCCTTTTTGGAAATCCGTCGACGCACTGCGCACACACGATGATTGAGCACACGGTTGTGTCGCGCCTCGAGGGTAGTACGTCACAGCCTACAAAATGCGCCGCACATGGTAAAGGACAGGATTGACGATGCATAGGCTTGGTGCTCTGCGCCTCGCTCGAGACTAGAGAGGTATGAAGCACACCTCGTTTCTGCGCGCCCCGCTCACGCACCTCAGTTAGACCCTGAACTGAACGAGGTCATCAACAAGGCCAAGCTCGTACAGCGCCGTCTCAATCGGAATTCGGAGCCTCAGGGCAGCATCGAGAGCGGAAAATACACATACCAGTACGCCTTGCTTTGGTCCTCGAGCGCCGCGAAGACGTTGCTGACAATACAACGACAGCTACTCCATAAACGACCGTGGAGACCTCGCCTTCCTTTGCATATGCAACCGCGCCTACCCCCGTAAACTCGCATTCACCTATCTCTCCGACCTACAGACCGAATTCGAGAACAACTACAAGCCTGACGCGTACAGCAGCCCCACACTGCGACCGTATGCTTTGAATGGCTTCGACAAGTATATACAGCAGACAAAGGAGACGTATCAGGACGCGCGCGCGACCCAGAATCTGGACAAGTTGAACAGCGAGTTGAAGGACGTGACCAAAGTCATGACCAAGAACATCGAGGATCTATTGTACAGAGGAGACAGCCTGGAGCGCATGGGCGACATGTCGAGTCGATTACGGGAAGACAGCAGGAAATACAGAAAAGCCGCCGTGAGGATCAATTGGGAGCTGCTACTGAAGCAGGTAAGTATAGACACTAGCGACTGCTCGCTGGTACTAACGTTTGATAGTACGGTCCTTTTGGTGCCCTCGGCCTCATCATAATCTTCTTCATCTGGTGGCGGTTCTTGTAGCGGTTCTTGTATCGGGTTGATAAGATGAATAGGTTGGAGGTCCAACAAGGGTCACTGTTTGGAGCTCTTGCGGTATGAAGACAGATGTCTTGTACTATGTTTGATACAGGAACGAGCAGTGCAAAGGCCGGAAGACTTGGCTTCGATGCCATTTCTCATCGTTAGAGGTTGTCGGATAATATACCAGAATATCACAATATACCACAGGGATGTGGTCGCAAAATGCCATCTACCGCATCGCAGTAAACAACGTTCATCACGCGGCCCGGTCTCATGGTCCGTCGTTCTCAAATTTGGCTCAAATGGAACTTGACGTGTAAGCTTCCTAAATCGATTGTTGCAAGAGAGCGATTCCACTTTTCCACGTGGCACTTGTATAGTGAAGTGGCATTAGTCTGGTACGCTCAATAAAATACAGGGCCTCCCGTCTGCGTAAGCACTGGGCAAAAGGACCAGACTAACAACTCCAAACAGTCGTCAGCGTGGAGTGTGAATGCACCGTGCTTACTAGACTCCACTATTAGTGCACAGGGCGTACAACGGTACAACACTGGACGGTACGCCCTGGAGAACTAGACCTCGGAGCGGCACAGCGGTAATGCTACGATCCGACGGCGCGGCGGGATCCTCGGGCGCCCCACAGAGTTTAAGGCTGATACCTCAAGCTTCGGTATCTGGTACGCGTGGGTCTGGGTATATAAGCGGCGTATTCTCGCATTTGACTCTCATTTTCTTTCGGTTATTGGCAGCTTCTACATCTTCGTCGACCGTAACCCTCAAATGTCTAAACCCCAAATCGTGCTCATTCCGGGAGCATGGCACTTTCCTTCCTGCTACTCCCTCATCATCCCGAAGCTTGAAGCAGCTGGCTATACCGTGCACACGACCCAATTGCCCTCTGTTACGGACCACGACCCTCCAAAGGACCTCTCGGCCGATATCGCAGCTGTACAGACGATCGTAGACAAGGCCATTGGGTCCGGAAACGACGTCATTGTATGCCCCCACAGCTGGGGAGGAATCGTAGTGGGCTCCGCCTTAGTCGGATATAGCAAGAATGAAAGGGAAGCACAGGGTGGAAAAGGTGGTGTGGTTAGATGTGGGTACATGTGCGCCTTCATGGCGTCCGAGGGCATGAGCTTAAAAGACGCCAATAAAGGACAACCCACGACGTGGTGGACTGTAAAGGTGAGTTTTCCTCCCAAGATCATGTTAGTACGTATAAAGCGAAAATACGTGCTAACAGCAGCCTAGGACGACGAGTTCTCGCTCTTGAACGACAACGCCCGAGACACTTTCTACAATGACCTGCCGCCTTCCCAACGTGACTATTGGTTCGAAAAAGTCTCGCGCACGCACTCGTTACACTCCTTCGGAGCAAAGGCTACGGGAGAGGCCTGGAAACAGATCCCTACGTACTACCTTCTCTGCGAGGATGATATGGCGATACCGGCTGCGGCGCAGGAAGCGATGACCAGCATGGTGAAGAACATGGGCGGTGAGCTTTGGACTGAGAGATTGAAGAGCTCGCATAGTCCTTTTTTGAGCCATGTGGATGAGACGGTAGCATGGATAAGAAAGGTTGCTGGGGAGGATGTCTGATGTTGTGTTCGGCAATCAAAAGGCTTGGTACTCATCGTGTATGCTGGAACGACTTGAAATGCTTCGCATCCGAGAAAAGGACATGCAAGCAACACTCTCGTCGCTCATTATACCCTCAATTGAACCATATTGAGTCTCACCAGATGTAGGAAAATAACTGCGCATTGATGTTGACACGAATTCTAACGCGCAGTCGGTAGCAAAGGCGGCAAATAACTTGTAGCCGCCAATTTCTACATATTGCTCATGTTCACCGAACGCGCGTTTTTGCACGTGACCCGCGACACTTCATTCGACACCGATCTTCGTAAGTCTCCCAAGGGTCTCTGATGATCTTTCTCGATACATATTGCACTCTAGGTCGCGTCGCACATACTAGCGGGAGGCCCCCACACTCTCATGACAGCAATCAAGAACTCTCGAGATTTGGCCACATGTCGGCTGAAGTGAATGCTCATATATATACTGATGGCAGCTTGCAAAAACCCTGATGAGAGATGCTTCAGCTGCCGCTATGAAGTTCCTCGCATGGACGTTGGCATTGCCATTCTTTGCAGAAGCTGCTCCAACATTAGCCACGACTAGTGAAGCATGCACAATCAAGAACCAAAGAAAAGCTTGGTCGGTCTGATGCACCAGATCATGACCTTTCCTCTAATATATTCACCCAGGCACACGCTCACCCGCATCGAGAAGCTCGCCTACATCACCGCCGAAAAATGTCTCATGACCTTGCCAGCGAAATTAGGGCTCAAAGGACCTCGCACGCGCTTCGATGAGTTCCAAAAAGTACACGTCCTCGCGACAGAATCGGTCCATTTCGTAGGAGCGTTCTTGCCCTTCCACCGGTACCTCATATATGCGCATGAAAGCATCCTCCAAACAGAATGCAACTACACCGGCGCTCAACCTTACTGGGACGAGCCACTTGATGCCGGCAACTTCTCTTCCTCTGTTGTGCTCGATGCAGTGACGGGCTTCGGAGGAAATGGTGCAGGACTGAGTAATTGCGTCAACGACGGGCCGTTCAAAGACTACGTCAATGCTATTGGGCCGTTTCAGCAAATCACGGATCACTGCATTGATCGAAGGATCGACGACTGTGCGAGTGCGCAGGCCGCGTCGAAGTATGTCGACCAATGCATGGCTTCGAGTAATTATTCTACGTTTTGGCCGTGCCTGGAGGGATTTCCGCATGGTGCTGGCCATGGTGGAATCGGTGGACAGGTGAGCGATCATTGATGTTACTGGTAATAGGATAATTGTTAACTTGCTCACGGATGCTGAACGTGTACTCAAGCCCCGGCGATCCCCTCTTCTACCTCCACCACACATATCTCGATAAGGTGTGGTGGGAATGGCAAAGTCGCAACCTCTCTGCTCGGCTCGCCGACATCTCGGGTACGAATCGAGGAATGCTTGGAGGCTTCCCTGGGTTACCTGGAAACGGGACCTTCCCAGGTTTCCCCGGTAATGGAACGTTTCCAGGATTTCCTGGTAATGGAACAGTTCCTAGCATACCGGGAAATGGGAGCTGTGCAGAGTTCCCCGGAGGGCCATTCCCACCGCAGGCGGCTTTCAACTCTGGCGTCCCGCCTACGCGCTTCGTGGAAAGAGATGGTGATCCTGGGGACGTGACTACGCTGGGACATGTGCTCACGTTGTTTGGAATATTGCCCAATGTGACGATTGGAGATGTTATGAACATACAGGCTGGGCTATTTTGTTACGAGTACTTGTAGTGAATTGTGGTTCAAGGCTATTGACAAAGATCAAATCCGAATTGCAAAAGAATAAATCTGGAATTCTGGAAACGTACGATTTGAATAATTAGGTGTCTCTGCTTTCAGTCATCATGGCCTGCAATAATTGACTACATGGGTAGGTCTACGCGCCCCAGGCCCTCCTCTCTACGTCCATCCAGCTCTCGGCCGCATATTCCATATGGAGGTTCTTGACGCCATCCTCGTTCGCCACTGCGCCGCTGATTAGATTATGACTACGGTCACGGACTGAAGTCGGCTCGGTCTTCACCACCATAGGTACTTTTGCAGCCTCCTTCACCACCCGCGCAAGCTCCTCATGCTCCTTGTCAACAAAATTTGTCTTCCAGGCGGCCACAGCTTGCTTGGCCTGTTTACCAGCGCCTTGCCGAGCTGAAGCCAACCGCGAAAATGCCGTCTTGCCCAAACTCCACATACGCTCTGTGGACGTACCATGGCGAGCTTTAGCGGAATATCCGGAACCCGAGTCAGCATGGAAGAGAGGGGCGTAGTCATCGTAAGACGATGACTCGAATGACAGCAAGTTACCAAGGGCACTGTTCTCAGGAGTTAAGTCCATCGGGTGTAAGAAGGCGTCGACATTCTGCGTTGAGCGAAGATAGCCCCGAGGGAGAGGGGAAGGAGGTGGTGACATCTCGTTCTCGGAGTCTTCGAAGTTCTCCAAGGTTGGTCGGTGGGCGTACGCGGCGAGATCCGCCACCCCGGATGTCATATCCTCAACTTGGTTGTAGTTCACAGAGACCCAAGATTCGTCGTCGGTGGAGCTATTCACGGTCTCAAACTCACCAAAGTCTTCATCGTTGGTGGAACCGTCCAGGGACTCAATCTCGGCCGAAGCATCGTCATCAATGTGGGACACCGGATTCTGTTGAACTACATTTGGTTTGAGCTGGCCTCCAAGTTCTCGATCAGCCGTGAATGTGTTAGTGGCTCCCCAAACCTGCTGGGTAAGCTCCACTTGAATTGAGATTTGACCACTTGCCATCGTGAAATCTAGGGTATACGTTCACTCCGGCGAGTGCAACAGATGTGGCTGCTAGATGAACGTAAGAGCATAGCGTTGATATAGGCTAGACATAGGAGAGTGAACAATGTAGCGTCCATGTCAGGATGCATTGCGAATTTCTGCACAACGCTATGATGATAAAGATGTACTTGAGCAGCACACGCGTTGTGCATACACACCGCTTTGACTGAAGAAAGAAATTCTGAATTGATTGTCGGCTAACATAATAAGAAAATGGGGTATCTAAAATGGAGAAGAGGGAGCAAAAGGAATGCGAAAACGTTAGTTTCTACCTCTGTATTACCTATCGTGGAGGGTAGCATAGCACATTGGAATCCAAGTTCTAGCTCTTATCCAGTACTTGATATGGAGGTGGCGCGGTGTCTTCCTCCATTGACGGCGGTGCTTCGGCTGCACTTTCAGTAGCTTTCGCGTCCTTATGAGCTGGGGTTGGGGGTGGTGGCAGAGACGGAGCATTACCGCATGCTACGACCAAGATAGGCCCCTGTATAGGCGTAAAGCGGAACTTCTCCCTAGCACATTCGCCCCAGAGCTCCACTTTGAGCTTTTGTGTCAGTTCTAGACCGTACGTACTGAAAGCTGGGGCGAGCCGTAACGGAACTTCAGCTGTAGTTGCAGTCATGCCGTCATACATCAAGAGTCCTTCGCCCATATTGAAACTCTTTTCCAAAAAGATGTGCTTATCATTATGGCTCTCATCCATGTCGCTGGAGCCGAAGAGTGAGCGAGAAGGTATACGGACCCTCAAGCAGCTAGACAGTCTGACGCTAATCCGGCGGAGATAGACAGGCGGAGGATCGGGGATATCTTTCGAGCGCTCAAGATGGACGAGAGATAAAGACAAAATGACTGGCTGTCCAGAAGTCACCACACTAGGGCATGAGACGTCGATCTTATAGTTGGCGTAAGGCGTTGTGTCTTTATCCTTGTTCCAGCTGTGTTTGATCCTTGCACGCCAGCCTTCGTCCGGATCGTATTCTGGATGCAGTCGATGTGTGCGAGCGATTATGCCGGTTCTAGAATAGATGGTACGAGCGTCTGGGACCTGTGGGATAGGACTTGGTATAGACGGAGATGGTCGGTAGTTGAGCGGGCACCTGACTTCCTGTGCCGCGTTATATCTCCCGCCCGTATAGAGTCTCGCTTCTAGAAAATATTCCACCAGTTGCTCGTTCGACGAACCTCGGTAGTAAGTAGGCGGGAGGGGTCCTCCACATTCGTGCTCAAAGGAAGGATTTGGTAGCCATTTAGAGCCAGGCGATAGTTCTGTGCGTTCGGGCCATGTAAACTCGAAAGGCAGCTCGACTCTGTTATCCTCTGTGACGCCCTGGAGGGCACAGACGATGTCGTAGCTTTGGCCACCTGTGGGCGAAGAATAGAGCTCCAATGTCCGGCTAAAGAACTCTGGCTTTTCTTTGTAGGTGGTAGAACTTTGCCCGTTCGATCGAGTAATTGCGCATTTCATGCGGCCCCGGAACGTGATGTTGACCTGTGGTCATGCATTAGTATAGTATTGGTTTTCGGCATTGGTATAAGGTAGCCTGGGGTAACACAGGGCACTCAAAACACTAACTCTTTGAGGCCTCGAAGTGGCTTTCACTCTTACTGTCCCACGAACCACATCGCCGCTGGTCCAGCACAACCTGGCCTGCGCAGGTACTGAGACGTAGATATCTCGGTTAGGTTGATTCAAGCGGTTTGGCATCTCGAATAACGTGTTTTCTGTAGTTTTCGGGATCAGAGGCGGATCGCTGTTATTTAAGCTTGCAAGCCAGCATTTGAAGTGAGCACCGGGGTAGCCTGACACGAGTCCGTTGCACCACTAGCGTGGCAGCTTTCGAGCCAAGCCACAAATCATCGCCGGTAACACGGCAGCGGCAACTCTGCACAGCCACCACTTCAGCTTGTGTCATTCTGCACAATCGCCAGTTAACAGTGAATACGGTCCAGAATACGAACAAGGCGCAATTCATGTTCAGCATTGCACACGAAACCGGTTTATTAGACAACAATCGCTCCACGAAATAGCCCAGCCTCGGGCGACCAACGCAATCGAGTAGCAGGTCTTGTCTACCTAGGTACATTTCGCGTACGGGCAATGAAAGTGCATATGTCCATCTTATCAAATGTTCTTCCAAAGGTGTATCGAGTTTGATCAGTGACGGGATACGAGCTTGGTCGACCAGTAACCAGACCACGAATGTCAATTACTCTGCACACCACCTGGGCACTCTCAAATTTCCAAACAGATTTGTTTGGGGTGTACCAAAAGTTTGTTTGATTGACCGCTGATAAGCTCTGACCGTGCCAGGACCGAGGTCTCAACATAACATCGAAACACAAAACCCGTAGGAGTCACTGCCTTCTTCTGGAGGTTTTCTTGGAGATTCCGCTCTTTTAGAAGAAGGATCGCATTTCGAGGCTTATGGATTCCGGCACCTGTGGGATATAGCGCTTGGACTGGCTCAAAAATGATGATTCCATGGCCTTGTCTGCTGCCTGCGACGCCGGCACAAGGCCCTTAACACCAGCACCGCAAATGATGATCTTGGATTGGACGGGCATTTCGAAGGTTTCTTCGCCTTTTGAGTAGTGTTGATTGACCAGAAAAGATCTTGCATTTTCGTAAGTTGAGCCCCCAAAAAATCATCACCCATTCACTGTTACATAGAGTATCAACTCGTAGTGAGCTCTTGGAAAGCTCGTAGTGTGGACGTTAAGCGATTGGGAGGATCTTAGCTTTCGGAAGACTCCCATCTGCAGAGCCGCCACTGCACAACGGCCGAAGCGATAACTCGGACTTCCTGGCAGTAGGCGCTCTCGAAAGGATCTGACTTTCTCCTGCGGCCGTTGTAGCGTGACAATGAGCATGCGTATCCGACACTACGCGATCAGCCAGACCCAAAGCCTAGCCTGGATTTGAAGCTTTTCTCCACAATGGGAAGAGTCCTTGGACGGACACGTGCATGGACACATATCATCATTCCTCTCAAAATATCCCAAGCTCGACCCCTTTCTCTCTCGCAGCTTGATCGATGTCGAAGAATTCGGTGTCAGCCTCCCAAGCTTTTTCAAGTAACTCAAGCACGGTCTCGTCCACGATGGCGATATCATCATTGTAGAAGAAAGACGAGCGGAAGCGTGTCAGCGTAGATTTCCAGAGTGGGTTGGCTCTGAGCAGAGGAACCTCGAGGCTCGCTAGTGTATAGGGAAAAACCAGTCCTTTGTTCAAGAACATAGGTTCAAGCTCACCCGCTGTATCCATTTTGCGGACTAGTGCGTCGAGCGATGCGATGAGGCGGCAGAGGACCGCTTCGTTGTTGACGCCATGATCTTCACCAGAAGACGAGGAGCTCATGGTGGGCGAGGCGGCTATGTATCGACACCGCAGGCGACGGCGGGAATCAAGTATGCCAGCATACCGCCAGCTGTCCCAGAGATGGCACTGATCAAAAGTGCCCACGCAGCCCCGCCAGCTCCAGAACAAATCTTCAGCCTGCTGGTTTTTGTCGCGCTGATCGGCCACTTCAGCAAAAACATCCAGCAGACTCCGCGGCATGCCCGTCACAACCTCGATTTCACCAAGGAATTGATCACTGCTCCCGCTCCGTAGACTGCGCACACTCTTCCAGATACCGAGGCTAGGATGTAAGCGGCCTATCAAGAATGATGGCATGTCCATAACACCCAGAACCTCGAGGACGTGCTGCGAGGGCAGATGCACCCGGGGATCTGGCTGCAGACCTGCCAGACTGCCCTTGAGATCGTGCATATCAGCTAGAAGGCGAAGATACGGCGTAATCGGTCTATTCTGGTATAACTACGTAGACATTTCCGGCTCATTAGCACATTTTTCGTCTTCAACTCTAATTTTCCGCGTAATACTTACACACATAGTACAGATGAGTAACCCGCTGCAGATGGTAGCAGAGCGCCTCTCAGAGCCGAGACGCTCTAGGTCGGCGCGAAACGTGCGAATTGAGTGGTCCATACGCTCGATCGCGGTCACTGTCCACCCGTTCTCGTAGTAAGCCTGTAGAGCAGCGCCCACGAGCGGCAAAGCCCTGGACTCCTCCGATGCCGCTTTGAAGAAGACGGCCAGCCAGCTGTAGACTTCTGCATTGCATAAGTGATGAAGGCCTTCGGCCAGAACTAATCCATGGGATATGTTAGTGTGATCAATTATAGCCAAGTTTGTAGTCTTTACGGTGGCACTGTGCACGTACATTCTTCGAATGCGATTTGCTCCTCATCAGAGATGCTATCTGCCCCCGCCCTGCGCACAGCAACTGCCGAAGTTTCCAGTGGCGTCAGTGCCAGCTGTCCAACACGATCTGTGGGTGTGGCATCGTCGTGGATCTCTGTCGTCGTCGATGGTGCCGGCTGTGAGAGCATGCCAGGGTTGCTCACACCAACGAATCGGCCTCTGGACGCGATACCGTCGACCCACCGCACTGGATGTTCATAGCCCCCGCATCGGACATTTCGGTTCGTACACGCCCTGCATTCAGGCTTCTCCTCATCGCACTTGCGCTTGCGCTTCTTGCAATCGATGCAGCCCCCTCTCGTTCTCTTGCCGCTGCTGCTCATCTTCCCAGATTCTTCCATCCACAGCTGTACGATTGCTTAATGACGCTGTCGAGATCCTGGGAAAGGTGAGCGCTGATACTCGAACGCGATTGGACAACAGCATGGGATTGAGAGGAGGATGGAGCAGGAAGAGCGCATGTATTACCCCGATCAAGCTAAATCTGGGGACGGCAGGTTGTTTATCTGGGGTCAAGGTGCCGCCGATTTTAGCGGCCGAGGCGTGCATTAGTCTTATCAAGCGGCACAAGAGCCCCGGCAATTCGATTGTCACGTGCCCTCCATGAAACCTTCTTTGATTTGCTTGTCTTGTCCCTCGACAGCCTTCAAGAAAACTCGATTGGCTATATGTTGGCCCGCACAGGTACTGGAAAGCGCCGGACCCTGCTACACTCGGCGACTAGGCTCAGCTGCGCCAAATTCCGCCTCTGTTCCGCTACAGCTTATCACCCCGTGCCCGGATGCGCAAGGCCTGTACGATGCGCGTATCATCGTATCTGTAACGACATCTAAACGCGCTGCTGGGCCATCGGCGGCTGCACCTTCCTATATTTGTAACGGTGCACAGATAGTATTGTTCGACTAGTCTTCAACGACTGCTGCGGAGATAGTCACCAGAGTATTAGACCTTACGATATAAGTCGTGACCTGTGATGCTGTGGCGGCCTTCTGGGTGATTCATATTTATATCTGAAGTACATTTGATCAGAAAGCGCGGTCTTCCAGTTATGCCTACCGTCAATAACCAAAACGAGGAAGTGTTTCCTCCAGGAACTGTAACCCTCACACAATGTAAGTTGTCTCTCAGGCACCTCGAGATGGGTGCTATCCGCGATCGCTAGAATCACTGACCCTGATATCGTGTTGAAGATCGCGAGTCCGTCGCAAACGCGAAGATCGTCCTCTCCCCCCAGCCATCAGACGACCCAAATGAGCCGCTGGTGAGGCAGTCTAATTTTCACGATCTTCTGCAGCACACTAGCTCACCATTTTCTACAAACAATAGAACTGGTCCACATGGCGCAAGGTGACCAATATTACGCTCATTTTCGGAATGACATTGGCTGTGTTCACCAAGTGAGTCTTTCCGTCTCTCCAACTGCTCCCGCCTAGACAGCAATTCTTCGGATGCTAAGAGTCTTAGCTTGATGGTCCAGACGGTCTTTTGGCAGCAGATGCAAGTCGATATGGGCGTCAGCACCTCAAACCTTAACAACGCGCAGTCTGCGAATCTGGCGGGACTCGCCGTTGGTTGTCTCTTGTTTATCCCTCTGACTGTCAAATATGGACGCCGACCGTCCTATCTCATATCAATCGCGGTTCTAGCTGGAGCTACTTGGTGGACATCGAAAATGAATACAAAAGCTGAGCTCATAGTAACCGCAGTCATTAGCGGCCTGGCCGGCGCTATAAACGAGACTGCTGTCCAAATGACGGTAAGGTCAAATGACGTATGCTCTCTGAGATGCCTTCTTTGCTAATCTTATTCCGCCACTATAGATCGCCGACTTGTTCTTCGTCCACCAGCGGGGCGCCGCAAATGCTGTCTACTTTGGCGCCGTTATGATGGGCAGTTTCCTGACGCCTCTGGCCGCCGGCTCCCAGGCCGCCAGCCAAGGCTGGCGATGGTCCTATTACACTCTCTCAATCTGTCTCACCATTCTCTTCTTCCTCTTTCTCGTCGCCTACGAGGAAACCAAGTTCGTACCCTTGTACGTGGGTTATCCAACCGCGGATCCCACCACCCTTCCTTCAGCCCAGGGTGAGGATCTGAAGACAGCTGGTGGCAGCAACGAGTCTAAGAATCTCGACACACTCACCAAAATGGATTCGCCTTCAGTGTATGCCACGGCGTACACACCGCATACGTATCGTCAGCGCATGCGGCTATGGACGCCAACAGATGAACCGCTGGGGAAGCTGTTTTTGCTGCCGCTGCACGTCGTCACACTTCCGCACGTTCTGTTCACGGCATTGCAATTCGCTGCCGTTGTGGCGTGGCTAGTTCTGGTCATGGCCATGATCTCCATCATCTTCTCAATGCCCCCTTACAGATTCACCACCGCCGGCGTCGGATACATGACATTGGGTCCCTTTGTCGGAAACGTCTTCGGCACCCTCTATGGTGGGCCGCTGTCCGACTGGATTGTCGTGCGTCTCGCTCGCAGGAACGGCAATGTGTTTGAGCCTGAGATGCGTCTACATCTGCTGTGCGTGTCCGTCGTCAGCATGGCCGGTGGATTGATCATGTTCGGTGTCACAGCTGACCGGGTGAGAAATGCGATTTTTAAACCTTCTTATTTATACAGTGGAGAACCTGCTAATACTTATGACAGGGAATGCATTGGATACTTCCCAGTATCGGTGGTGCCTTCTTCGCCTTCGGTATGGGTTCCATCGGAGAAATCGCATTCACGCTCCTGGTCGACAGCTACCGCGATGTACGTCTGAATATACCATGTTCTATGGAAACTTACTAACTGCTCTACCACTGTAGATTGTCGCCGAAGCCTTCATTGTGGTAGCCTTTTTCCGAAACGCTCTTAGCATGGCTGTGCCATTCGCCATGGTGCCGTGGTGGAATAGCATGGGCCTCAGCAACATGTTCATCACAGTTGGGTGCCTGTCCTTCTTTATTGGGCTACTCTACGTACCGTTGCTCCTCTGGGGCAAGCAGATCCGCGTGAAACTGGCGCCCAGGTATGAGGGATTGGTGGCTAAGAAGAAACTCATCGGTTGATAAGGCAATTTCGAATCCACCGACCACAAAGATTCCGAAAGAAAGTCGTTGCGATCAATTTCAAGGGGGGCTTGGGGCATGTCAATGGTACTCTGAGTGAACTTCAATGTCATAATGTTAAATCGCATGGACACTTCGTAGCCTTGCAAGAGAATATCAACACTCCTAATTTGCCTCGATATGTACTCACGATAAAGACTTCTGATGCGTGTTACAACCTATTCAAGCCTGTATTCACTCGAAGCCCGCCCAGTCCAGTGTCTGACAAATGCTTCTAGGTGAATGCCACATGATCTTGGCCTGCCACGTTACCCGGTGGAGTTTCAGATAACGACGCACCTGATAACGTTGAGAGTAGAAGAGTAATGAATTAGCTAAGAAGGAAAATCTGCCCATATACACACTAACACTAACTCCTTCCGAACACTTGTGAACATCGCCACTGCTCCACGGCACCCCCGGAACCGTTCCGCTCGAACGTTTGAAGAGCCAACAATTCCCATCATAGTTTTTGAGTAGGGCACTGCTTGCACTTCGCATGGTCTCATGTTCAATCGCCCCACTAAGTTAGTGGTGGAGAAGCGCTAACATCGCGCTCGCTGTTCCGCGTGGGGCCCAGTCGGGCCACAGAAACGAGACTAAACCACATCGAGTCACTGTATGCGCCGGAAGCCTCCTCGTCTACTTGATCGCTGTTCCTCTCCGGAGGTGTAAGGTTTATCTATCAACATCTCAGCCGCAATTCCGGCATTCAATACCCCGGGTCAGTCGACATCGTGTTCCTTCAAGAGCGAGCTTGAGAACAGATATACGCGGAAGAAAACAAATCAAGATTCCCAGCACTGCTGATCTACCACTGCATCCAACCTCAGTATTCTTTTAGACCTTTTAGGGCGCTTGAGATTTACTGGTAGAGCTGCTTCTCTACCAACACAAATACTCGATATCTGTTTCCCACCCCAAGCATGGCCGTGACCTGGCAAGAACTCGCCGCAGCGCATCGAGCTAGGCAGCAAGCATCCATAAACCCGGAATGGATTTTGTCGCCAGAATCACTCGCGAAGCTCGCGGGCACCGGGCTTCCCGATGAAGGACGCTTGATTGAGCGCCGAGTCGTAGAAAAGTCAGGGCTCCTAACAGACAAAGAGCTAGGGATTACAGAACACTACAGCGTTAGGGCTTTGTTGAATATGATGGCGACAGGCAAACTCAGCGCCTTGGAGGTGACTGTTGCGTTTTGCAAGCGAGCTGCCCTGGCTCAGCAATTGGTAAGCGGCGATGGGAAACCTCTGATTACGATATGACATTTTGATTGCTGATGTTCTACGTGGAACAGACGAGTTGCTTGACCGAGATATTTTTCGAAGATGGCTTGCAGAGAGCCAAAGAGCTGGATCGCTATTTTAGTGAGCACAAGAAAACTAAAGGACCGCTTCATGGGCTTCCTATAAGCATCAAGGTACTTTTGCACGATTGTTGCCCAGATATTGCACTAACCGACGTGTGATGACAGGAATGTTTTCAGGTCAAAGGCCAATTTGGCACTTTGGGCTTTGTAAAAAGCCTTGCAGCAGGGTCGGCATCTTCGAACTCAAATGTGGTCGAGCTGCTGCTTGATGCAGGGGCTGTTTTATATTGTAAGACGAACGTTCCGCAGACGATGATGGTATGCATTTCCTGACATGGTATTCCTCCTCGATGACCGGCTCTCCAATTCCTCCGACTTACGTTGTTCGCATTCCAACACTTCCTGCTTCCTGCTTACTGTTTCTCACTCCCTTTCCCTATTCGAGCTACATTGTCCTTTTCGCTCTGCTATTGAAACATGCTAACTGGATTTGCTAATAGACCGCTGACTCGGAAAATAATATCTTCGGCCGCACTCTGAATCCACTCAGACCTAACTTGACAGCAGGCGGCTCTTCGGGTGGTGAGGGCGCGCTGGTTGCCTTTCGAGGCTCTCCAATAGGTGTGGGAACCGACATTGCTGGCTCTGTTCGTATCCCGTCGCTGTGCTGCGGCGTCTACGGCTTCAAACCTAGCATCGACCGCGTTCCGTATGGCGGCCAAGCTCCCTTTCCCTACCCAATGCTCCGCGCCCCAGGTGGAATCGCCCCAGCTGCCGGACCACTAGCCCACTCAGTCGACGATCTGACGCTCTTCATGCGGGCTGTTGTTGGCAGCAGCACCCCGAATGCCTCACGCTACGACCCCAAATCCATTCCTCTGGCCTGGCGCGAACTTGAGACATACGAAGAGAACAAGAAGCTGACTATTGGCATTCTCACTGAGGATCCAGAGTACCCTCTACAACCACCAGTACGCCGCGCACTTGACGAAGCCGCTGCCCGGCTCACCCGTGCAGGACACCGTCTAGTTACACTGCCTCATAATGCCGCTAGCAGCGCTGGGCTCGGTGGCCGTCTCAGTTTCCAATACTACACTATCCTACCTTCCCCAGATGAAAAGCCATTGGACCAGGTATTGGGCGAGCCACTCGTGGCATCATTAGCTAAGGGTGTGCATCCCTTCACAGGAGGTTTCCCCGTCGATCCGGCTCTGGAACTACCACAACGAATTCATGCATTGACGATGGCGCGCGATGCCTATGCTGCCGCCTGGCATACGCTGTGGCGTAAATACGAGCTGGATGTCGTGTTGGCACCCGGGGCGGCTACGACCGCCGTGCCACATGACTCTTACGGCGTGCCAGTGTATACATGTATGTGGAACCTAATCGATGTAAGTCATCCCAGTATTTATACAAATTGGATACGCGCTGACATGGTTATAGTATCCTGCTGGTATCATCCCATTTGGAAAGGCATCTAAGGACCTCGATCCCCATCCCCAAAAAGCGGTGGGACCCTTCGAGCCCGACTGTAAGTACCGTCCAAGAGTATGCGCAACATAATAAGACGAATGGGAATACTGACTTCAGACAGATGATCCGAACGCTATGGATGGAGCTCCGTGCGCAGTGCAGGTTGTTGCGCCACGACTACAAGACGAGGAGTGCCTGCAAGCGATGCGCATTATTGATCAGGCACTCAAGAACTAAGAAATCTAGCTCGTAGGGCCATCATAGATACATAGGATTGCAACAGATTACGACAGAGTGCGTCAGAATATGTAAAAAAAAATAAAAAATTCACAGAATGTGACGACTACGCAGTACGGCGCCACGGTACAGCAATCGTATGCATGGACAAGGATGGCCGGGTAGGCATCGTTTCCGACATGTGGCGATCTCGCGGACGTACTGATAGGGAAGCACACCAAGCGACCATCGGGATCCATGTTTCAGAACCCTTTAGATATTCGCCAACCGGCTTTAGCCGTTCAGGGAGTGTATCTTACTCAATGACCCATCCGCAATGTCCCTTGAAAGAGGAGATGGTTGCGCTCAATTTTCGAGATAACCGCTCGACCAGCATCGCAAGTCACCTTACTGTTTCGGCATAGTCGAAATCGATGTTTTGCGTTTGTAAGGCAGGTCCATTGCCAAATCTGGGTTTCGCTTATCCGCATGGCTAAGTCCGCCAATGAGCGTCAATTCAGGGTGTTCTTATGCAATGTTTCGTTATCTGGTGATTGGGCCCCGAGACCACGCGTCACGTCTTCGAGCGCTGTCAAAGTCAAGACGGCACAAGCGACCCAAGCAATTTCAAGCTTCCGTCCCGACTGCTAGAGCCCGGTTTGAATATTGCATAGCATGTCGGGATGTGACGCTCGGATAAGTCTGGCAAGAATAAAGATCGGCCACTTGCGGTGCTTGCATCGGTGCTTAAGATAGCTACTTTCCCCCAGCTTCTTCGCATCCATCGTTGGGGATTTGAGAAGCCACTGGAACGCCATCATGAGGTCTACAGGTATTCTTGTGGTGCTAGCCACGAGCTTGCTTCACGGTGCTCATGGATTATTCCCTCTTATGGGTGAGGTTCCACGCATGGGTCTCACTGCGGACGAAGAAGCAACTTTGACCGATGACGCCGTCCCTCTTGTTGGTAACGGAACTTTTTTCCAGCCTATTGACCACAATGATCCTTCGAAGGGAACCTTTTCCACGTCCTTCTGGTATAATGCTACTAACTGGGGTGGACCTGGTTCTCCTGTAAGACAGAAAACGGTATCCTTCTACGTGTGAATCCTGAATAATGCTTTCCAGGTCGTCGTGTTCACCCCAGGCGAAGTCGCAGCCGCAGGATACGTTGGCTATCTTACACCACGTACACTAACTGGTGCTATCGCCGCCGCCATCGATGGCGCTGTTGTCTTGATAGAACGTAAGGATTTATGATCGTAACCTGCAAATCAGACGAACGGACAGCTGATTGTCGCTGTAGATCGATACTGGGGCGATTCGAGCCCATGCGAGAATCAGACAACAACTTGCTTGCAGGATCTCACTCTCCAACAAGCTGTCGATGACTTCGTTAACTTTGCACAAAATGCGCCCATTCCATTTGATCCCAGCGGTTCTTCTAATGCTGATAAGGCAGTATGTGCGCCAAGTTTGAACTTTACAAATAACACTGTTAACCTTGAGATAGCCTTGGGTCTGGGTGGGTGGTTCTTACTCTGGTGCCCTGGCAGCTTGGATTGAGAAGGTGCGTTGCCCTGAAGATAATCTGTTCAAGAAATGGAAGCTAACCATCTCAAAGTTGTCCCCTGGAACCTTCTGGGCGTACCATTCCACTAGCGGTCCCGTTGAGGCTATCTACGATTATTGGGAATACTTCTACCCTATCCAGCAGGTATGTCCAATCGTAATACGAAAGCAAGTGCACTACAATTCCTAATACATTTAAAAAGGGAATGCCGAAGAACTGCAGCCGCGATTATGAAGCGATCATTGACCATGTCGACTCCGTCTTCCGTAACGGTACAGAAGATGAGAAGGCAGCCCTGAAGCAACAGTTCCTCCTTGAAGATCTCGCCCACGACGATGATGCTGCCGTCGCCATTTCATCTCCAATCTGGGCATGGCAGAGCATCCAATTTACCTCCGGCTATTCGCAATTCTACCAGATGTGCGATGCCATAGAAGGCGCAAGTGGTAACTCTAGTGGGAATTACACGTCTGGCTATGGCGACAAGGGTGTTGGCTTAAAAAAGGCGTTGCCTAATTTTGCGGCCTGGTTCACTACCAACTACCTTCCAGGATGTAAGTCCCAGATAGCACCTCATCATTCTTCAAATACTTGGGTGGCTACAAGCGTATACTGACTGGGCGTCTCTTAGATTGTGAGTCGTATGGGTACGATGACTGGTCTGGAGAAATGAATGTACAATGTTTCGATACGTACAATAGTTCGTGGGAACTCTTCAACGACTGGACACCCGATAATGCAGGAGACAGACCATGGACCTGGATGACATGCAATGAGCCTTTCTTCTACTGGCAAACGTAAGTGACGGTCCTCGAATTTGCCTCTACAATGAAGTGTGATGCGTCTGCGGTATACCATACTAATAGCATATATTCTAGTGGCGCACCTGAAGGAATGCCGACGGTCATGACTCGCCTGGCAACAGCCGAATACTATGAGCGCCAATGCTCACTTTACTTTCCACCCGAGGGAAACAACACTTTCCGCAGCGCTCTGGGCATCCGCGAGGACTACGTCAACGACCGCACAGAAGGATGGTTCAATACCGACGCTCCCCGCTTACTGTACGTGAACGGAGAATTCGATCCGTGGAGATCGGGATCCGTCGCCTCCGAGTTCAGACCTGGTGGCCCGTTCAATGGGACCGAGGAGACGCCCGCTATTCTTATTGCTGGCTCGAGGCATTGCAATGATCTCATCATGGGTAATAGTGTTCATCCACCTGTTGCAGCGGCACAGGAGGCCGCCATTAGTCAATTTGAAGCATGGGTTGACGAATGGAAATAGAATGGGAAGTTTAGCCCAATGGACGATAACGGGAAGAGATAATCGGGACTCAAGATACTCGATAGTCAAGCGTAGCCAATCTCGTTCACTTGCCCATACGAACTGTGAACTAGGATGGTGTATTTACTGCCTAGGTCAAGTTTCTTAACGTCTCCAGCGGTGTATCCTGGAGCAGGTGTTGGAAAACCAATCAAAGGTCGAAGACGGTGTTCAGTGTTAGATGGGCTTGGTGTAACGGCAGTGAAGATTTGTAACCTTGGTAGGCATGGAGCAAGACACTTGTTTCCACCTTCATCCAAATTTTTCTGCGTTTTGGACATACCATCAAAGGGGAAAGGAACCCGCTCTGAGGCCCTGGCCTTCCGATCCACAATCCTTCACTTCGGACGTTAGTCCGAAGTGCCATGGCATTGAACGCCCACGCCTTTATGCAGCTGCAATTAGTTATTGATCGGTGAGAAGTCTCGGAGGACTACCGGTGAGTTGCGCTCTGATAAGAAACGGACCTTGAGCACGTTAAGGTCACCAATGTCCAGCGAATTTAGTTTCTTAGCGCGAACCACAACTCCTAATGGATACAATGATTCCATTACGACATTTGTCGCGCCTAAGTCGTACGAATACGACTTTTTACAGTAATAAGGAGGCGGATCATCTTCATAACCACTTCCATATCCTCCATAATCTCATACAGGGAGCGATTACCGGCCAAATTAGTTGTCGAATACGAAATATCTAACGAATATTCGCGCAGTTGTAACTCAAGCTCCCGTACACAGGGCGGGCAGCTTTCAGTAGGGAACTATTCCACCGCTTCAGCATACCCAACCGCAGTTTCACAGCGTCTCTGTGGACCTACCAACGCCGCTCGCTGTATGCCATTCTTGCAAAATGTAGCACAGTCTAGACAGATTTATCTCTGCTCCAGCGCGCTGGTGGGGAGATCAATCGGATCTCGGGGAGATTGTGGGGTACATATAACTAGCGCGAATATCCCAGCACTATATTCCAAACCACAAAGTGGCACGTGGCGAACCTCTCCTCTACAATACTATCCTCACGGGACAATGAGCGCCGAAATGGTGCTTGCTCAAGACTAATGAGACATACACACTCCTGGACTGACAGGGAATTTGAGCAGTGTTCGGTGTCGAAGCGACATATCGCGCATTGTCGGCCGAACGGAGGCTTGCATTAGCATTTTGCGGGGAGCGACCATGTGGTACAAAAGTTGGGGGATTTTCCGAGCTGCGCGTACATCTTGTTGAAGCGAACACCAATTGTTCCGACAAATACAACGTCCCCTCGCTGGTCTATGGGCCGAAAGTCACACAGTTGGCCTTGTTTTCTGATTTGTCCAAGGCGCCAAGGGCCAGTTCGCCCGGATATGAACTGCATCACCCCTGGTTCAGATTGGCTCCTGAGAACAAATTATCCTCCTAATGCCCCAAGTGGCTATTCGTAGCCAAAAACTGTTGTAATCCGAGGTTCCGTGCCGGACTAGAGCGTGCTCCATGTTCATATATGGCATGGCAGGGATAGGTGGCGTTTCGCGCCGCCATCTCCAAATTTTTCCGTCCTTGAAATAATGACAGTTGCTGGTAGCGCGAAAAGGTAATATCACGAAGACTGCGATGAAACTGTATATATACCGACGTTCTTGAACCTGTAAATGCGTTGTTCAAGCTGTTCTACGAGACTACAGTTCAATCACCAAATCCTCAAATATCATATCGACAACATGAAGTTCTCATCGGAGCTATGTGCCACGGCATTGTTCGCGCTCCCTGCGCTGGCTACTCCAGTAATGGAAAAGAGGGCCACACCGACAATTTATCTTGCAGGCGACAGTACCATGGCCAACAAGGGCGCCAACGATGGGGCTACTAACGGTAGGCGTATTACTATCCGGTCATGAACTTCCAACTAATGAATGTAGGATGGGGCGAATACCTGAACAAATATGTCACTGTACCCGTCGTCAACAAAGCCCTGGGTGGCCGCTCAGCCCGCAGCTACTCCAACGAGGGGCGCTTCACTGAGATCGCAGGCCTACTTAAGTCAGGAGACATCGTGGTCATCGAGTTCGGCCACAACGACGGTGGTTCACCAACTTCTAGCACCGACAACGGGCGCAGTGACTGCCCCGGCACCGCCGAAGAAACTTGCATATCCGGCAAAGATGGGTCGACCGTGTACACCTTCGGACATTACGTCAAAGCTGCCGCTAAGACTTTCATTGCTAAGGGCGCAACTGTCGTCGTGAGCAGCCAGACCCCTAATAACCTGTGGGAAGGTGGATCTTTCAGTACCTCGGCGCCCAGATTCGTTGCGTACGCTGCGCAGGCGGGCAAGGAGATTGGCACTGGTGGATCCTTTGTCGACCACTTCCAAGCCGTTCTCAATGCGTACAGGAAGTTGGGTAATACTGCAACGAACGCGCTTTACCCCAACGACCACACTCACACTAGCCCTGCTGGAGCCGATCTGTCGGCGCAAGCTTTCGCGCAAGCGATCAAGTTGAATCTGAATGGGACTACGCCAATTGCGTCCTATCTGAAGTCAGGCAACCCCACTGTATGGTAGTCTTTGAGTTTTCTATGAAGTATTTGCGAGATTTTGTGCCAATTCGGATTCAGTGAGTGAGTGAACATGACCCGCTTGGAAATCGGGACTGCTGCCCTTACGATCACTCTTACGTGGCTGATTTTAGCATAACTGCCCTTATTAAGACGTACCTTTATGGTGGCAATCCAGCCCTTGGCTACGACCGTTTCCCTAATCGCTATGATCGAGTCCGAACTTGCACAATTCCGCCTCCTTTGTGAAGCCAGTGATTTTACCTTGTTGTGAGAGCGGAAGTACTGGCGGCATCATGTGCGAACGCCACCAGAGTACACCCAGTTATAAAGGAATTATCAACACCAGTCGCGTATAAATTGATCGCGATCAAAAGTGCGACCGAATCTTTGGTCGAGTCGTGACGTTACGAAGATACCATATGACGCGAACCCTACTAAGCCTACATGTTTCTTTGTCTTATTATCTATGCCATACAATAGATCTTCTTCATGAATGAAACTTCGACGCAATCCCATGATGGTCAGATCAGAAGCGTAATCATGTGTAAAGATCGTAGATCCATAAATTCTACATCATCACCTGCCGCCATTTGACAACGAGTTGATATTTGCGTGTGTGTTTGACAGTAAAATGATATAATTTACTCCAGCACATAGTGATTGACAACGTAAGAAAGTACCTAGGTAGGGTTATGTGACGCAGTTTCGCGACTGGACGTTGCCCGGTACATGATTTCAAGCTCAACTCGATCAGCATAAACAGATAGTGCAATTATAGACTAGGATGCTATCGGCTGAGTCCACTCCATAGCGAATAGGCAGGTAAAAAACCAACACGGCAGTAAATGCGAGCGTTCCTATCTCACCCTCCCGGGGGTAACGTCGCCAATACACGTTGGCATCGCTTCATTTACAATGGCTTATTCTTTCCTCTCTGCTCCCTCACTTATCGTTACTCACTCACAAAGTAACTCACCAGGTCTCCCTCACTCGATCAGCTCCAGTTCTCTTCGTATACAGGAGCCCCCTTCTCCCTTCTCCAACAGCTTCCTCACTTCTTACGTACAACTTCCATCCTCTCCCTAACACAATATACCCAATCAAATCACAACCACACCAGCCATCGAAGATGAGTGTCTTCAGTTTCTTCACGATCTTGACGATGGCTCTGCTCGGTGCTACTGCCCCTATCGAGCCCAAGGATATCACCCCCGCCTCGCCCCTCCTCGAGCCCCGAACAGACTTCTGCGCTCATGAGCCGCACTGCGCCCTCATCACGTTCGACTTCCAGAAGCAGATCGAGCTCGACAACGAGACCTGTCGCGATCTCAAGGACGGCAACTCGGTCACAGGCATTCTGATCTCTAAGTGCTATTGCACCCTGTTCAAGTAAGTACCTCCAAGCTCCAAGAGACAGGGAAGGAAAGGAGTGAAGAGTTGAAAACGGGTGGATGTTACGGGTGGGAGCTAACGAGGACAGGGAGTATGGATGTGCCGGGGCATTCTGGTCCGGTGGGAACTGCAATGGGCTTATGGGCCCGGACTTCCAGTATCCTGTCAAGTCAATCGCGTGCAGTGGGCAGTGAGGTGTCGGCGGAAGAATGGGTGGGTACATGAGGTGGCGGAAGCATGAATGACTGGAGTCGGTGGGAGTGGCAGAGGCGGGGCTGATGATGAATTACGATCGAGGGTTTCATACTAGCCATTCGGCATATCCAAATCTCAGCGAACTTGCTGGACGGCTTCTGAATGAAGAGTCCTTCGGAAAATCCATCTCTTTACACTTGAACCAGGGCATCATCGAGAGATCCTCTTCGACCGTGTTTGGCATGCTGAGCCAGGGGTGAAAGTAGAGTATGCCGAGCAGAGCTACGGTCTCTTACAGCCGGTTGGGTCTATCTCTTGTAGTGTATGGGCCGGTTTGCCTCCCAATCCTCCCAATCCTTCCGTTTGAGAGGGAGGTAATGGCTTGGGAATGGAAATGTTGTATGAATGATAGTTGAGAACGTGGACTTGGTATAATTACATGGAATGAGGGAGATACTGAAGGGTGTTCCTTCTTGAATGGCGGGTTCTTGTCGAGACGGCTTTTTCTAGACATGTAAGTTTGGACTGTCTACTGAGTCCGTTTGAAACGTAAAAATTCTTCGAGTCTTTCTTGCATTGTTCACCATTGATGCGGTAAAAGATGAACGTTATGGAAGGAAGAATGTCGGTGCACTTGGAAAGAGTGACCCCGCGTCGTGGACGCGTTCTTAAATCCGCACTACGTCCGTGTACGCGCCATTGCCACCGTGAACTTTGATGCATTGGACTTCACCTCTCACGCCTACCACACTCTCAACGCTCCTTTCTCCCACGGTTTGACGTTTCCATACACTCTCTATAACACCGTCACAACAAGCGCATGCGCGTACTTCAAGATGCCCCTCGGTTTCGAGCGCATCAACGAACGCACCCAGCGCCCGAATGCCCACATCAATTTCATTCGGCCGCTGCCCGGTGCGACCGCAAAGACCGCCGAAGAGATCCTCAACCGCGTCGCTGCCATCTGCTATCCCTTCATGAAATCGAACACGATCCTCGTCCAAGCCCTCGAAGAGTTTCCTTTCAACCGAGAGTTCGTCGGTCGCAACTTCAATGCTGGCGAAGTCATACAACTTGTACTACGAGATAGAAACGGCATGTGGCTTCCACAGAGAATGATAGAGATGGTTATGGTCCACGAGCTTGCACATTGCAAGCAGATGAACCATTCTCCCTCATTCTGGAAGGTTAGGAACGCCTATGCTGACGAGCTGAGAGCTCTATGGACCAAGGGATATACCGGCGAGGGCTTGTGGGGACGCGGCAGAGATCTGGACACCGGCGCGTTCCAGCAGGAAGGCGGAGACCCTGGGGATATGCCGGAACACATCTGTGGCGGAACATACGGCCGACGGTCCTCTAGGAAGAGGCGAAGGGGCCGCAAAGTCAATGAGAATCTCACCTATGCGGAGCGTAAGCAGCGCCGGATTCTGAGGAAGTTTGGCGCAGGCGGTCAGTCACTGGGATCAGATGAGGACACTAAGGTAAAGCTCGAAGGAGGCGTCGCGAAGAAGGGCAAGCCTAGAGTGGCGGGTAGCGCCCGAGGTCGAGAATTACGGGCAGCAGCAGCACTGGCGCGTTTCGATACACCAAAGAAAGAGCAGATTGAGGTAAAGAAGGAAGAGACATCCTCAGACAGCGAAACAGAAGACGAGGACACCAATTCACTTGACGGAGAGGCAGCCATCGACGTGGACGGCAAGAAGATGACCGACGAGAAGGGCCGTGCGCTTGTGAAGATTTGTGAAGACGAAGACACGAAAGATGGCAATGCACAGCGGGAGATGGACGAGCTGCAAGTTTTGCATAGGCCGAAGCCAAAGTCAAGCATGCCTGCAAGGTCGTCACTTACGAAGGCGAAGGCTTCTCAATCCTCCGCCCGGTCCCCAGAATCCGCGAAATCGTTGCCCGCCAAATCGAAATCGATCTCAAGCAGCACTCCATCCGCAAAACCGTCCGCTCAAGTTATCCACATCGACGAAATATATAAGCGACGTCCAGCGCAAGCTTCACAGCCTCCAGCTGCCCGACCACTTCCGCCCGCAACCACAACGTGCGCCGTGTGCTCGCTCGAAAACGAAGTCGGTTCTTTGACATGCATCGTGTGTGCTCACGTCCTGAACCCTCGTATGGATTCGAAACATTGGACTTGTAAGAGCGTGGCATGTGAAGGCAGCAGCTACATCAATGCGGGCGACGTAGGGCGATGCGGGGTTTGCGGCGCTGCCCAAGTAGGGCTATGAAGCAAGAAGGTCATCTGATTATTTAAGAGTTTTATACCCAATATGAGCGTTCGTTAATTTGATTTTCATCGTCTTATTCGCTGCTTCCTGTGAGCTGCTGTAAGCCGTTGCTCCTTCCCATTTACACAATGGCGGGGTCGTAAGCAGCATACCTTCCTGTGCGCATTTGCTCAGCCTTCTCCTCTCCATCTATTAATTCTTGCTTTGAAGCTCTGGTAAGAGCCACTGTCGCGACCTTCCCGCGTACATCTTTGCCTGATCTCACATTTGCGCGTGGCTGTCCTCGTCCTTTGGCGATTCGCTGTGGGCAACCCCAGGCTTGTTCTTCCATTGTGCCGCTCCAGTCGAATGTCCGAGGATTGATCCTATTTCTAAAGTCTACGACAGCGCTCCGTAGCTTCCAACACCGAGAGGAGCCAATGCAACCCGATCACGAATCGGTCGAAGCTCACAGTTGTGGACTTTGCAGAACATTCGGCCTTGCGCGGGACATCCCTAAGCGGATCCAGGCTGTAGCGGATGGTCAGTTGGGTCTTCCAGATTTCGACAGATCAGGTGAAGGGGCACATGTCCATAATCCGTACATATCGAAATCGCACTCGCTCACAAGAGAGGCCCTTCTAAAGGGATGTTCTCGCCAGTGCCCATTGTTTCAATGGATCTCCAACTCTCTAGGTCGTAGCCTCACCTCCTTTAAGGCAGAGGTGGCCCGAAAAGGTATCCGTGTACAGCCGCGGTTGCAGAATGTGTCGGGAACACTCCAGGATGACAGTATAGACCATCCCAAGCATAATTTGGATCTCATAGACCCTGCGAGAGGACTGGATGTGCGCATCAGCGTTAAAAGCAACGTCGCCGAAGGGGGTGAACTCACTATCGGGTACGATCCAAACCCAATCATCTTAGACAAACTCTGGACGGCCACTTCCAGACCACAACGGGAAATGGAATACGATGCGTTTGAAAGGGCGTATCGAGGAACGTGGAGGGCACCTCTTATGGGATACACAACCTCAGGTAGGTCTTGAGCCGGTGAAAAATGCGTTGCTGTCTGGGAGACGCTTCCCGAAAGACGAGTTGGAAGATTGATCAAACGCTCCAATTGGACACGCCAAACTGCGCGTCAACTTCCCCAGTATACTCTATTCTAGATAGTGATTTTCCGTTCATGACATCGTCCAAGATCTCACACAACATTATCGACGGACTTTAAAGGCCATGTCGCACGTGCGAAGTTGATTTCCAGCTGACGTCCTTCCTTAGATGACCCCACCGCGTTCTGTATCTTACCGCGTCCGGCCAAATCATCTCTCGACGCTGAAGAAAGCTTCCTCCTCGCTCGTCGCTGGCTCGATGAGTGCACCCATCTGCATCAGAATTGCGCAAGGGGGCCGGGAGTGTTGCCACACAGGGTCATCGATATTGGAACCCGCTTCCCTGTCCGTACGGTCAAGCTCCACTGGACAGAAGAGGGCGAAACAGGCCAGTACCTCGCTTTGTCTTATTGTTGGGGCGGAAAGCAATCGCTTGTTACTACGACTGCAACAGCTCAAGAATTCACGGACGGCATCCCAACCTCTAACATCCCCAGGACGATTTTGGAAGCGATCAATTTGACCCACAAGCTTGGGTTAAGGTATCTATGGGTGGATGCGCTATGTATAATTCAGGACGACCCTGAAAATGTTGCTCGAGAAATCAGCAAGATGGCGCAAATCTATCAAGAAGCTTGCATTACTATCTCGGCTGCTTGTGCCAAAAGCGTCAGTGACGGCTTCCTTTCCCGACAGCGAATGCCGACAATACCACCTGTCAAGGTCCCTCTCGGGTTTCCAAATGGCGTGGAAGGTTGGCTCTACCTGCAGCAGCCTCATGTTTACTCCAGTGTTGAGGATCCCATCCACCTCCAAGCTTGTGAGTATACCAGGCATATTGTATTAAGGCACGGAAAATTCAGGTCATATGTCCAGCACGTTGACATGGTCTCGATGACTGCGTCTCCAAGGGGGGTGGACGGAATACAGCTGCACCATCCGATGGTTTATTGCTGTCACCCTTTCCGAATAGTCATTTACCCCGATGAAGAATATATTGCTGACATTGCCTCCATAGGGACACTGCAGGAGCACATCCTCCCCTCCAGGATACTTTTGTTCGGCACACAGGGTCTCTGGTGGACCTGCTCATCAAAAGAATATTCCAACATCTCGAATACCATTGAAAACTCTAATGCGTACCCGCCCCAAATCATTCCCGGCTCAACAGCAACCACAATTCCGAATCTGACCTCCTGGCGTTCTATAGTCCGTGGCTATACTCGTCGTTTCCTGACCGTCTCAACAGACAAGCTCCCAGCTATCGCGGGCGTCGCCGCACACTACAGCAAAACGTTCAATGGCGCGTACCTCGCTGGCCTGTGGGAGTTTGACCTCATTTATGAGCTTATGTGGTGCTCCACTCGCTCGGATATCACACGTCCGGTCGTCCAACGGGCTCCCTCCTGGTCATGGGCGGCTGTAGACGGCGAGGTGCACCATGACTGGTGTCCTTTAACACTCGGCCCACGATGTCCACATGTTCGATTCTGCACTGCTACACCGACGTCAAGGTCATCTCCATTCGGCTCCGTAGACCATCAGCGGTGTGTCCTCGGACTGGAGGCTCACTTGGCGGAAGTGTACTGGCACGAAGATCGAAAGCGCATTCTCGTGATGCGTCCTGAAAACATGGCTGAATTGGAGATTGGACGGTCGCAGGCTGACGCGCTGGAGGTGAGCAATCACGGTGTTGGCATGAAGGTATGGGCGCTGGTGGTCGAGGAAAAGCCGTGTCGCGGATTGTTGCTGGTGCATGTTGATGGGATTACAATGAGAAGGGTCGGCATATTTTATCGTATTTGGAAGCCGGCCGCATGTCAATTCAAGCGAAGGCTCATCGAGATCATTTAGTGTACGCAATCGGGTAGAACCAGTAAGCGACGATTACAGCATCTGACTCCGTGCGAATGACGCTGGAGCATATTCATCTATATTCTAGCGCTTTATACGTGCTATTCTGAATTTCCGAGAAGTCCACCTTTTAGCTCCCTTGTTTCCAGGAGCAACGCAAACCCCAGTCAGGGTTAAGTCAACATACGAACACCCCTGAGACATCCGCCCTCTACTTCGAGATCATGTGATCCCGCGCCGGCCCAACTCCAATCCACCGCACCGGTACGCCAACGAACTTTTCCATGTACTCGATGTACTTCCTCGCGTTCTCGGGCAATGCGTCCCACGACTTTACGCCCGTCGTTGCTGTCTTCCACCCTGGCAACGTCTCGTAGTGCACTTCTACCTGTGAGAGAATCTCGGTATCAGCGGGGAAATACTCGAGCGTTTGGCCATTGTAAGAATACGACGTGGCGACCTTGAGCTCGTCAAAGTCATCCAGGACGTCCAGCTTAGTCATGTTGATCGCGGTGTAATCGTTGCACGCGTGGCTGTGCTTGACCACAACAAGATCCAGCCACCCACAGCGCCGTTTCCTCCCGGTAGTAACGCCCACTTCATGGCCCTGCTGCTGGAGCTTCTCGCCGACGGCGTTGAGTTGTTCTGTTGGGAACGGACCGGAGCCGACGCGCGTGGTGTACGCTTTTACGACGCCGATGACCTCGTGAATGGAGCGCCAGCCGAGGGTTAGGCCGGTCATGACGCCGCCGAGGCCGGTGTTGGAGGAGGTCACGAAGGGGTAGGTGCCGTGGTCGATGTCGAGCATGAGGGCGTTTGCGCCTTCGACGAGGATGGGGGTTTTCTTCTCTTTGGCGGAGGCGAGGAGCGGGACTTGGTCGACGACGTATTCTTGGAGCTTGGAGCGGTAGTCCTGCAAGGCATGTTAGTCTGTGAATGGACAGGGCCATGTGTTACCCCAGGATGCACTTCGCATAGCCCACTGTAGGTGGACTGATGCGGGGCAAGACATTGTCGTTTGGCCTCTGTATAGGACATCCTGGGTCGACACAGGGTATTGAGCAGCGCCTGGCTTACCTTGTATCTCTTGATCTCCTCCTCAACGTCATACTTCAGCAGGTCGCCGAATCGCTTCTTGTATCCGTCCGCCAGTCTCCGGAGACCAGCCTCAAACTTCTCCTCATTGAAGATATCGCACATGCGCATGCCGCTCCTAGTCATCTTGGTGCTGTACGATGGGCCGATTCCCTTCTTCGTGGTGCCGATCATACCACCACCAAGTTCCACCTCCTCCAAACCGTCGACCAGCTGGTGCACATCGAAGACGACCTGCGCCCGGTCACTGATGTATATCCTTCCATCTGTCTTCAGGCCCTTCGCATCCAAAGCCTCCAGCTCCTTGAAGAAACTCGGCACATGGACGACGCAGCCACTGCCGATGAGGTTGACGCAGCCGGGGTTCACGAGGCCCGATGGCAGGATGTGGAAGTCGTAGGTGACGCCATCGACGACGATGGTGTGGCCGGCGTTGTTACCGCCCTGGGCGCGGCAGCACAGTTTACTCGAGTGAGCGAGGATGTCGGCAAGCTTGCCCTTTCCTTCGTCGCCCCATTGGGCGCCGAGGACGACAGTGACGGACATGTTCGAAGAAAGACGACGAGAGCGGGCGGGGCGCCGGCAGTGTATTTAATTGCGCATCAAAGCGGGGAGTCACGGAGGCGGCCGAGGGGCGCTGCGATTCGGCGTGTCAGCTGTGGCCCAATGAAAATGTTTGCGCTGGGCGCGGTGGGAGTGAAAGATCGTAAAGAGCGGGTATCGGAATGGCTATGACTTGGCCGTGAACGGCATGTCTGGCGACGCATTGGAGACTCACAGCAGGCTCTTTCGTCCTCGGATTCTAGCAGGCGGAGCTTTGAGGTGTTGATGGAGCAATTGACCCCTTGAGTCTATGGATTTTCAAAGGCACAGGGCGTTGAGGCTCAAATGGGGGAAACTTTTTGCTCCGCGATTGCCATGTGCCCCGCCCCCACCAAATGCGGCCGGTGACGCGATGTCGCACATTTTGCATCACCTTGGGCGTCCAATCAGCGGGCAGTGATATGTCTTACGTAAGACGGCGTCCTTTGCACCACATGTTTATTCCGATCATTCTCGTTTGTCGTTCGCTGATACCTGAGATGTGGATTCTCCCTTTTTTCTTATTCGTATGATCAAATCCGTGCTATGTTCTATGTGCACACATCGCAGCAGTCATCTCAAGAATCCTCACCGAAAAGATTTGCGCGAAAGGGCTTGCCCAGCCCAGTATTCCTCTCATCAAGCACTCCAACTTGAATCAAGAAGCATGGTGACCTGCGGGATAATATGCCCCTCATCCGTGTTGACCCGCCCATACTCGCCAGATCGTGCAGACGCCCACTGGATGCCAAACGGAGAGGTTTCGTAGACGATTGTGGGATGGGGTGATTTGAGTTCTGTGGTGAGATTTTCTGACCAAAAGCATGTAGGGATCAGTAATGCTGTTTGAGGTTGACGATATTCATTACATGGCCTACGTGCCAACATTCGTTTGTGAGGCTGACAGAGCTGTATGTAAGCTTCAACCTGGAATTGCGAGGTCGTCAGCGGAAGTGGCAGAGAGGCTGACTTGTTAGAAACACGGCGAAGGCAGATGGCCAAGGTGATTTGATATGGTCGTTCACTCTGGACCTAGGGCTGCTCTCTCTCACTTACAAGTAAGCGAGATTAGAGACGGGCATTCGTACGTCACCACCACGTGTCCCTATACATCTTTCCACCATGCCCTACCATGTCAAGATCTTCTACCCGCAATCTTTTTCTCTTTGCCAAATAACCATCGCCAGTCGCCTTTCGAGTCTTTAGCTCTTACTCAGTACTCTTGTCGACTACTCAGTAGCTCCGATACACCATGAAGGCCCTCTCGGTTCTCAGCTGTATACTAGGAGCTGTCTCTGTGACTACGCTTTCGCATGAGCTTCGTGGCTCGGCACTCCCTTAGTACAACACCCTCGTGCGACGACCCAGACAACGATAGGGTTGATGATACACCAATCCATCTGTTGCATTGGGGTTCTAGCAATGAAATGTTCTATGAGTGCCTTCCTCCGGACACATGTTCAAAGCAAGAGGTAAGTGTTGAGGAAGAGGTCTAGTACGGAGGGCAGAGATGACAGAGTAATGATAGGGTTCGGATCCCATTCATAACCGCATGAACTATATCTGGCCCAAGTGCATGGACGATTTCACGCATGGTCAGGCGGTGCGAATGCACAATACGTGGGAGAATTTGCGGAAAGTGAATAACCAGAACTTGAAGAAGGGGCCCCCGTAAGAGCAGGATGGTGGTCAGAAGCTAAACTTTCGGCTAGGTACAATTGTGTAAACGATCACTCGTTCACTCGTAATACATTCAGTTGTGTAACCGCTGAAAATATACCCATGCGTATTAGACGTGGACATGGTCAGGTCCAGCCTTCGCCTGAGAAAGCTTGCATTCTATTTCCACATTCTATTTCCAGCAGAAATCTATCTTTCTCGTCAATAGGAAGTGTTCCCTTGGCCATGGCATCTCAAATCAGCAGGATGCTGTGCGGAACACTTACCGTAATTGGTATAGTCCCACAGACACAGAGCTTCCAACACCTGTCTTCCAACATTTGCATTCCCGCCCTGCCATGAATCTTACGTGCGTACTTGCTGCGCATCTACATTTGGCCGGGCTTTAACGTCCAGGATTAACTACCTCAGACTCAGCCCTTTGAACTGCACCCGCAAGAAGTTTCGGTACCCGCAAACATTTGCCCGGCTTACGCCCCTTATCTTCCAAACACTGGCAATAAATGGGATTCAGAGGGATGGGATAAGCAATAAAGCCAAGTCTTCTCTCGCCCGGGAGCGGAAGTGCTCTCCGGAAAGGCAAATCAGAGCCCGCCATTTTGGCCCCCGAGGCCGACATGCCTCGTTCATCGTTCCAATGACTGGCCAGCGGTACCTGGTCGGTCAATCAAGCTTACCTGCTCGAGTTTTCCCGTTGCTGTGGGCTCTGTCGTGCCTTCGGTTTGAGCCAACGAGGGATGCGTGCTTATGCTGAGCTTGTATTGCAGAGCCTCAAGCTGAGAGCATGCTACGGCACACTCGGTAGGGCGTTTGCAAGGGTGAGCGCTAAGAAGTCATACCCGCATGGTGCATGTGGCACAGTATTTTCAAGTATTACCAAAGTTCATAAACAGCGCTGCAACATCTCGCTCTGCCGCTTCCTTTGATCGCAAGACCACTTTCCCTTTTAGTGAGTTCATAGACGTTCGACAATGGCCTCACCACGCCCCTCGCTAAATCTGGAAGAAGGCCGGGCAAGTGTGTCAACATCAGAGGAGACTTTGATAAAAGACAAGAGGAGAACCCGAACGCCAACTTTCATCCCAGAGTCATTCATGCTTTCGGAGAGAAACAAACATCGAAGTACGCATAGTCACACTTTTGATGATTACTTCGTAGGTGCAATAACGATTCGGTTAGTGTAATGACTGCTAATTTTCTCGCCTAGCTCGGCCCCCGTGAGCTGGATAGACATTCCAAATGGCCCATGCTTTTCAGAATACATGGAAGCTGTCTGCCGGAGCTAATTCTTCCTCTGCTTTTTGTTGCCGCCTGGACCACTAGCATATGCTTGTTTTCGAGACATGTCCGTGACGGTGACTTCTATCCTCCAAAAGAAAAATATTACGTTGACTGACTTACGATTGCGTTCGCTGCGTAGTAGGCATTTCCTCGACTCTCCTCACTGTGCTTGGATTCATCGTTGCCTTGTCACTGTCTTTTCGCAGTTCCACGGCTTACGAGCGATACATGGAAGGGAGAAGAGCGTGGACGACGCTGACTATGGTGTCGCAAAACCTTGCGCGAAATATTTGGATTAATGCCGTCGAGAGAGAGGAGAACGCAAAAGATGATCTGCTTGCCAAAGTGTGGGTGCTCGAAACACAATAGAAAGTGTGTACAAATTTGATCTATCCTACAGGACCGCCTTGAACCTCATAGTTGCTTATGCACAAGCACTCAAACATCGCCTTCGTCACGAACCTTACACTCATTATCGCGATTTGAGAGATCTAGTAGGACATCTTGACACCTTCGCCAGAGAAGCCACCGAACTCGAGCCACATCGGGATAATGATCCGCCCACATTTTGGGAATCGTGGGGCGAGTATTTAGCCATTCCCATGTTGACATCGAACCCTCGGCAGATCATTAAGCGCGCCAAACATCCACTTGGTAATCTGCCTCTCGAAATTCTCAACCACCTTACGGTCTACATCCATACCATCATTGCTGCTAGTCAATTCAGGGCGAATATCTACCAGACACAGGCCTGTGAGTCTATTGCACCTTCCGAACAGAAACGTAGAGACCAACCAGAGGTACCATTAGTGAACGCAGTCATGACCTTGAACGATATCCAAGCCAACACTGACCGCATTCTCAACACTCCGCTTCCTCTCGCCTATGCCATTGCTATTTCGCAATTGACGTGGGTGTACATCCTTATCCTTCCATTTCAACTATACACGACTCTTGGAATGCTCTCTATCCCCGGAACCCTTTGTAAGCCTAAAGACCCCAGATTACTAGAGTCTAGTAGCTGAAAATAGCTTCAGTCGCCGCATACATGATCCTTGGCTTCGCCTCCATCGGTCGTGAAATCGAGAACCCCTTCGGCCACGACGTCAACGATCTCCCACTCGATGATTTCTGTAACCAACTCGCCGTTGACATCGACATCATCGCTGCGACAGCACCGAAGGACGCTGAGACTTTTGTGAAGAGCAACCAGAATCAGTTAATGCACCCACTAAGCCGAAGTGGGTATGGTCAGTGGGAAGAAAGCAGTATTGAGGAGATCAGGGATGCGTTAAAGAGGAAGAGTTTGCGGACGCAGAAGAATGTGCAACCGGGGCTTAGAAGGAGGAATGATTGGGGAAAGGAGGATGTATGAGAGGGTGAGGGCGAGCGGAGGTGAATTGGCATGAGCAAATCACTTCTTCCGAGGGCATGAAAATTTCATAGAAGACGACGCTACATGCGCATTGTAGACGAATTTCAATGTTGCAGAACAGGAATGGCTTTCGATCAGATCATCTTCATCATTAAAATCTTAATCTACAATTAATCTCAGGCACTGCGTGTTCCAATGGAGCTATTCCAAAGGAGCCATTCCGTCAGTTGATTATCACTGCTTTTTCTGGCCGTAGAACAAATCATCTCGCACAGAGGTATCTGTCAGTGGCTTTGTTACACCAGATAGCAGTACCGATCGGCTATATTGTGCACCACTCGCTGAGACACAGTTCTTGTACGCTACTCGCTAGGTTGATATCAAGCGATTATTCACCAAGCACCAAGCAGCAATTACAAGGCCTAATTACAGGCCCTCTAGACATCACCCTAATGCTCCTTACTAGAAGAAATTCAATTAACTTATCGCACTGAGCTCGTGCTCACCCGCCATCTCTCACTTACTATAGGTTTCTTTGTCAACCTCTTCTTGCGTTCTGTTTATCGACTTGTCTTTTCGTCGTTGGGTAATTGTTTTAGTTGCGACAGATTTGAAAGTTTCTTTTATTCATTTTACTGATTTGTTTTATCTTCAGTCTTACAAGGTAGTCCTCTGGTTGATTTATCGTTCATGGCATCTCTCCTATATACCCGAACCCCTTTTCGACAATTCCTACACCATGGGTAGCCTGCGCCTGAGCAAACCAACTACTTAATTCTTCTCGGAAAAGCTCAGCTCGATGAGGTGATGCCGCAGACCTGTAGTCTCCAGGTTCTCCAATGGCACCAATGGTACAAGGCGTCTACGCACAGTACCTTGCCATTGAGACAGCTTTCTATTACCGAGTTAACTCACGGCTTAGTAACATTAGTATACAGGGGCAGCTCAAATACCACATTTCACTTGGAGCGAGGTCAACTGTGAAATTACTGTCCAACATTGTGCAGTAATGACATATAATTTTCAACCAGCGTACTCACTGGGATGACAGGACAGTGAGAGGCGTAATAGTCCCCGACCGTATATAAAAACTTTCCCTGAAAGATACGCTAACATCGCAATCTCAACGGTCAATACAACCCAACTACGACTCCGGCCCTGACCCTTACCAGCACACTCACTTCGCAAGTCAATTTTTCTCGTCACGATCCGTGTCTACTCCCAATATGTCACAACCGACCCACGTTCCCGGCGCCTGCGCCTCCATTCAGCTCGCTCCGACGCAAATGGGCGGCCAAATCGTCACTCTCAACTTCCCAACTGAGGGCGGCACAATGTACCTTCCAGGTGGCCAAGCCATTACTTTCGCCCCGAAAGACGCCCAAGTTCCTCCATCTAATCGGCAGGTCGCTCTTGTAGACGAAGATGTTGCTCGAGCGTACGGCGTCTACGAGTCAGACTACTCTACTGCCTCCGAGTCGTCGGATTCAGTGCTGACAGCTGTGGAGGACAATGTTTCACCGGCTTCACCGGTTTCAACAGCTGGCGGCCACACTTCAGAGGCTGGTAGCAATGTTTCCGAGGCTGAAGACGAGGTTTCAGAAGTTGATACTGTCGAAAACCCTGACTCCCCGTCCCTCACGGAGACAGAGGCCATTTTTGGGGAGGCCTTCATGAGTGATGACGAGTGGGAGGAATACTATACGTCAAAGGCTTACAAGCACAACAATACAGAGGCTCCAGAGGGTAACGACCGCTCCTCGGCCTCGGACGAAGACATTGATCGAGTCATCGACGTTACACAGAATTCTTCTAGCGAAGACTCGGTCATGGAAGACGCAGATGACGCCTCGGACTCATCCGAAGATGCAGTCGTCGTGCCCGGCCGTAAGAGGGCTACTCAGCACAACACGCCAAAGTCCGTCGTGAAGGCACATAATCCACCTCCTGTCCAATATGACGGTCTCAACGAGGCAGGTGAGTTCGAAGGGTTGTCCGATTCGGACGAGGACTCAGACGAGGACTCAGACAAGGACTCAGACGAGGACTCAGACAAGGACTCAGACGAGGACTCAGACAAGGACTCAGACGAGGACTCAGACAAGGACTCAGACGAGAATCATTCGGAGTACATGCCTGACAAGGGTTCAGATGATGAAGGGGATACACGTGCACCAAAACACCGTACACCTGTGGTCAACTATGCGGAAGAACTTTCAGACGACGAAGAGATGGAGGACGCGGAGGATGACGCTGAGGATGATAATGCTTCAGTCTCGTCAGAGACGTCCGAGAAGACCGTAGTTCCAGAGAAGCATGCTCAAGATGGTGTCGCTTTGGATTATGATGAGGATATTGATGATGATCCCGTGATGCCCAACGGTCGGCGGGTGCGTGCTCGGTCCAACACCTCCAAACCTGTACCGGATGTGGTCACTCCGTCCGGCTCAGATTCTGATGCACCCACCCTTGTCACAGCAGATGCTGACCCCGTTAACGACGAGGCCTCGCCTGTTGAGCTCAACATGGACATCGACATGGAAGAGGACTTCGACCAGTACGTTGAACAAAGCTACTTTGACCAGCTCGCTGGAAAGCGCCCACGGTCACCCTCTGAATGGTCGTCATTCAAATGGACATCGCAACGCGCCATCGACGGGCGCTTCTCCGGAGCCGACCAAGGTCCGGGTAGTCCGTTTGCAAACTTTGATCCAAGCATCCCACGTGGGCCCATGGACGTTCCAGGCAGCCCATTTGCGAACCCCAGTCCCGATGGGCGCGACAACGTCCAAGAGATTGCCGGCGAAATTGGGTTCAAGCGGCACTGGGGCCAACGTATGCCAAACACGCCTACGCAAGATAGGCTCCCGATCCTGACTGATGAGCCCGCTAGGTTCAAGCTTACAAAGGGTGAATTGAAGATGCAAGCCTTGCGCCGCATGCACCGATACGATCCGCAGACTATGGAGCAGTTTCTGGAGATCCAGCCCATTGTCGAGGCGAAGGAGTCCAGCGTGAAGTCGGATATGGCCCGCGATGGGTCCAACGAGACGTCGGTTGAGGGGTGTTATGAGCATGAGAATGCAGCCTTGGAGAGCAATCACGGTAGGGAGTTTCAGGGAGTGAAGGGGTTTGATCAACTGGAGGACAGTGAAGAGCACGGCTCCGCCGAACTTGATGAGGAACTGTGAAGTACTTATTCACTTATCTCTACGCATCGTGGAGCTTGCTTCTTTCCCAAAATGGTATATTTTCTTGTCTATTCTTTGCTCGTGCCGCCTGGTCTCAATCGTGTCATCTGTTGAAATTCCAAAGTGTGTGGATCGAGCACTGTGCACCCTTTAACCTGTGTAGCATCAGCAATAGTGAATCAAGGGATTGAATTGTTCGTACGGAAGGTCGAAGCGAATTGCTAACTGGCTTTGATTGGTGGGGGAGAAAAGTCAAGGTCATTGCTCAACCACTGCAACGTTCAGATTTCTAATCGAATCGTGGTCCCCAAGCATCGCGACCCGCTCAATCTCAAGTCCCAGATAAAGAGAACGAGCTTCTGGCCCTAGCTCGAGCATTGCAAATATACCCTTTTCCATGTCAGGAGCTAGTGTGACCGTATATCGTGGAACCAGCGATTTCCTCCAGCGTTCGTGGCGATACTCAAATGTGGCGAGCTTTACGCTACCAGCACAGATCTCATGCACTTCGGTATGTTCAACGCGCTTAACCATAAATTCATCCATATCCGTTATAGTCCTCTCCTTGTTTGTGACGAGAGACTTGATCTGAAATTTGGTGTACGGTAGGGTCAGAAAGGCACCTTCGACGACGTACTCCCGAGTGCGTCCATACGATGAAGCGGAGAGTAGTAAAGCCACAGTCAGGAGATAGTCGCTTGGTGGCAAGCTTTCCGCAGCGGTAAATATTCCCCATAGCGGCGGAATGATGAACTTGAAGTCGTGAATATCCGCCATGCTGATGTGCCCGTTCAGTAGTTCTAGAACAGGTGTGACAAAGTCCGCTACCCACACTTTCCGTAGCTGCTCGACGAAACTCGTCTCAGTCATCCGACTTCGTGGCACGCGTCCAAGCCACCAATGGAGCACGCTCTTGTGTACGTACGTTCCTTGGCGAAGATGCCCAACGTACACAATCTTGTACGGGTTATACAGCAACTTTTTTATCTCGCTAAAGATCCATGGACGGAGCATGATGTAGTCGAAATCCAGGCGTATATCATCGTAGGCTACAATGACCGGTATAGTCGTGTATAAGTCGCCGAAGCGCGCAACATGTTGAATGAGCTCCCCGGTCGGGAGTGTCTGGTCTAGCGAGATGATGTCGATGAAGAGGAAAAGAATCCCGTGGGCCTTGGCATATTTGATGGCGTGCCCAACATTCAAAGATCGATCCGACGAAGATGCATTTGACTGCGAGAAGTCCCAGCGCCAGCTTAGGACTGCGACCTGAAATGGATCTTCCACGGGAAATTGGATGAAGCGACGTGGTAACGAGGGAATCAGAGCTCCATTTTTCAGCGTGGAAATGTCGACGGCTGCAATATCGATTGCGAGATACCCGCCAGTCTCTAGGGGTCGTGGGCGGATTGCGTGCTCTATGCGATTTTCTTGCACAAGCAATGGTTCTCTTTCTGCGGAGAGGTACTGGTGGCGAAGCAGTCTTCTGGTCTTCAGCCAACAAACGAAAACAACCTCAACGATTCCCTCGATGAGGAACACGACACACAGAGTAGGGTAGATCAGCACTAGCAAGATGGGCCAAATGGTGTAGAGGAAGATGGCTGGGAAGACCTCTGTTTCATCGTTATCAGGGAAGAAGAAGTCGGTCAGTTCAGGAGGCAACAAAATGTCTCGCACAGATGGCATGTTCGGTTGAGGTCTGGAGCTCCATCGGAGGCAAGCTGTTCATGACTGTGCGAATGATGGGGCTGTGTCGCTGCTTCGCGTTTCAAAGAGAGGCTGGTGGTCAGGCGCCCACCCCAAGGCGTCATATCGTATCATGGGGCCAAAGATTAGTATTAGGTCTGCCTGCATGAAGAAGCAGAAGACGTTCGTGAAGTGATGTGACAATGAAAGCTGCGAGATGAATGTAGGAGTGATTCAGGAGCTTGCCCAATGAGGCTACTCGGTCTTGGCGGATGGGGAAGCTGTTGAAGTGCGGAGCTCCATAGCTACAACAAACAACGTCACCAGCGTACCGCACGCCTGCAACATCCTTCAAGCACCTGCGTATATCGCATAACATATCGTTCGCGAAAACATACAACTGAACAGCTCACGCGAGCCAAAGACACCAATGGCATCACGATTCCTCCTGCCGGCAACCCGGACAGCTGCCCGCAGCATCCAGCAAGTGCCGGTCCGCGGCTTCCAGACAAGTAATGTGTTGAGACAGGAGGTGGTCGCGCCTGCCCCAGTCAAGAAGCCCGTTGGCGCCTTCCGTGGAGGGTAAGTCACATTGTGCGCGAGATGCGACCTGGTCCGGACGCATAGGAAATGTTTCGTCAAACAGACAGGGCATGGCAACGGAACTGTGCTAACCAGAATATGACAGACTATTTGGATTCCTCCTTGGAGCGACGACCGCCGGTGCCGGCATGTACTACTACGTTATCGACGAATACCGTGTTTCGAACGAGCTATTGACCGAGGACATCTATGTACGTTGTTTGCCCAACTAGGCCTTACACGTTTGCACACCACAAACAGTGCTTTGCGTGAGAATGAACGGAAATTGACTTGTGTACAGGCATTGCAATCGGCCGTACAGCGAATAGAGGGCTACGTGAAGACCCTCGAGGAGAAGGTGGATGTGCGGAAGAAGTAAGCGACCTTGCGATAATACCATGCGAGGGCAAGTTTGAGATGTCGGAACAACGAGGATGTGCAGGATGGTGGGACAAGTTGCACAACGTTGATATCGAGTGCACCGAGACTGTACTATCAGGTGATCAATTCTCAGCTCATTCTCTGGAGGGAAATGGGGCTAGGCTAACATATACCAATGAACTTTTTTTGAGTCTTCATGCTAACCTGCGTAGTTGCAACTGGTATTGAAAAACCGTGTCCCTGGGTTTCTCGAACGATGCTTGCACGTTACACTACTACATCCTTCAGTTTTGTCCAATCAGCATTTGCGTATACTAACATGGCGAACTTCTCTCGGTGTTCCTGCGCAGGCTAACTCGTATGATTTTCCGATGTCCGTTCCTACCGAAGATCATATGGCTAGGGTCCGGCCGGGGTCCTCGGGCCAACCCGTGTTGCTGCAGCTCATCCGCATAGGTCGCCTGGGCAGAGTCAGATCTGAGGTGTGGAGCTCTACATCTTCACTGGTGACAGGTACTGTCTTTTGGAGAAATCTCAGAGCCGTATGGAGTTCTTGGTGTAAACCCGGGCTACTAAACAAGAATCGATGCGGCAACCCTCGAAGATACGTCTTGCAGGTGCGAACGCCTCGTACAATTGGGTGACTCAAAATGACCACGCGGTGCACAAGTTGGGACAGGCATGCCTTCCGTTGCTATTGTGGGATCCGCTGCACGGGTCGCATCACGCGCATACACCATACCACTTAGGCAGGGCTTGCCGGTACATTAGAGCCCTCAGATGCATCCTGTGCGTGGACGCGCAACTTTCGCAAATCATCTCAATGGCGTCTGGATAGCTTCTTGGAAAACCCATACGTCCACTTTTGGTGCGGACCTGCAGCTAGGCATAGCTTGTATCGATTCCTCCCCCACACGGAGGCAAGCACGAGCCACGACTCTAATCTAGCATGAGATCGATTGTCGAAGAGTCAAGAAGGCGGAGATGCTCTCACCAACAAATATTACCATTGTACGACAGACCCTGCTTGGACACGCTGAGAGCCAATGAAGCGCACCTCAGCAAGTAAGAATATCGCCAAGCCTCCGCTCCGCTCTATGCTCTTCCTTTGAAGGCGAAGTCATTTGATAGACCGCTGTTGCGCTTGAATTCAACCAATCCTCGTGTTCGTCTTGTCATCAGCGCTTCGAAGCTGCATGTTCGCTGCACATATGTATTGGTTCGAAGCGCCTATGAAGAACTCGTGTTAGGCGAGCCCGTGCCTGCGGACAGGACTTGGCACAGGCGTTGCGTACCCGTCATGCTGGGTGTGGGATTTACCTCAGCTGCGGCTCAGGTGGTGGCTTATGCCAAGCCCGTACAACGAGACACTGTTCGAGAACAGCCAACACATGACTTGCGTACGCGCAGCTGTTGGAGTCGTCCACGGACGTCTTCACTCGGTTCTATCCGCAAAAGACGGACTTCAGCAGCACTGCTCCAATCTTGTGAGAGAAATCGGACGTACGTTGCGTTGAAGTGGCTTGTGGCGCCTCACCACACAAGGACCGGCGTCATCGGCTCTCCACGATACGATATACCTTTAGCGTGGAGACGGCGTGAGTCTGGCCACTCACTGTCCTCCACGCACTATCGTTAGACCAATATCTACAGCCTTTTGGTCAGTGACAAGATCGCTGTCAAGACTGTCAGTTTCAGGGTCACAACCTTCTATGAACACAGCCTTCATTGTACCGCACAAGGGCGAGTGTTGACACGCATCGTGAGCACTAATGCAATTATCTTATTAGCCCTATGGCTGCCGTGATACAAGTCGGCGGCAGATTTGACTACAAGGGGCCAGATTCTCTATAAGAAGAGATGGTAAGAAAACAACCTCGGAAGCGATCAAGTTACGCGGACTTACCGTGCGATGTGCCAATTTCACGCTAATCCTCGTGGTCTGATACTGTATGCGGAGCATAGTGGCGAGCTCGCCGACGCAGCAAGATGATAGCTCGAGGCACTCGTCTGCCAACGCACTTCGCTTTTGTTGGTGTGTGCAGAAGAGATTATACGAGAATGTAAGCACCATATGCGAAATATGGAAGCGACAGTCTGGTTCGAGACTTTCGCCAAGCTCACTGACCGATAGTCTGTTCCACTGAACCCTTATGCACGGAAAAGCTTGGCAGCTCCGGACTAGCATCGACCGCAGGTAGTCCTAGCACTGTGTTTCTCCGGGGGCTTGGGATGTAGACTTTGCTCCACTGATTCGGCTCGTCGCTTGAGTCGGTCGCTTAGCCCTTGGACAATTGCTACCTTGTCAGAGCTATGGCCTATTATTGGATATGTTGCTTGCATCGGCCAGTGCCCACCTCAGTTCAATCCCCGTAGCCGTGTTGATCCCACAGTCCAAGGCATCAATGTTGGAAACTCCGTTCCAGAATGGGTAGGATTGCCGAGTATATATTGGATGTCATATGCCATCTTCCCTACAGCAGCAGTCATTATTCCTTCATTTAGCGAAGACAATTTCATTGCAAGCTCGCATCATCTGTTCGGTCTCTTTCGTCAGGCATAATGTTCAACAAGGCGGTCTTGGCTTTGCCACTCCTCTACTCAGCATCACCTGCCTTCGCTACACCTCTTGAACAACGCGAAGCAGCCCCAGGTCTTATAGATGGACTACTCACAGGTGTCCTCGATCCTATCCGACAGTCCATCAAGGACATCTTGACAGGCGTCAAGTCCGGTGTTGCAGATGATGAGGTATCAAGCAAGCCATTGATATGCTTATCGACCGTTGATAAGTGCTGTGTCTGTAAGTATCATGTTCCTACACACTCGTCTATCTAACAATCAGAAAAAGGGTACGATGTCTCCACCGAACTCACAAAACGCTTCAAAGAAACCAACGGTCAATGCAACGATGCTGCCCGTGCCGCCATCCGTTTCGGCTTCCATGACGCGGGCGCCTGGGACAAAGACACCACGACCGGCGGCGCAGACGGCTCCCTCATGATGGACTTCGGTGAAATTGACCGCCCGGAGAACAACGGCCTGCAAAGCGTCCGCCTCCTCCTCCGCGAAGTCCAAGCCAAGTTTAAAGTCGGCTACGCAGACCTCGCACAGTACGCGCACAACCACGCCACCATCTCCTGCCCCAAAGGCCCTCGCATCCGCACCTGGGTCGGCCGCAACGACGCCACAGGACCTGCTCCTGAGGGCAAGCTGCCAGATGTGCACGACACGCCTGACAATCTAATCGCCCTCTTCGAGCGCAAGGGATTCTCCGCGCATGACCTCGCTGCCCTTGTCGGCGCGCACGCTGCGGCTAAGCAGCGCTTCGTCGACACTTCTCAAGCGGGGAAACCACTCGACACCACACCAGGCGTGTGGGACGTCGAGTTCTACAACGACACACTGCAAGAACCTCAAAACCCGGATATCTTTGTCCTCCCTAGTGATAAGGTGTTGAGCGTGCATCCGAAGATTCACGATGAGTGGCTAGAGTTCGTGGGCGATCAGCCGCATTGGAATGAAGATTATGCGAAGGCGTATATTAGGATGAGTTTGTTGGGGGTGCAGACGGATGCGTTGAAGGGGTTGAAGGATTGTACGAGGACGTTGCCGAAGAAGACGAATTTGTAGTAGATACTGGGGAAGAGGAGTCGCGGCATTGAGATCATGATACCAGAGTTACGTTTCTTGTTCATATGTTTTGGAGTTTGGGGGATTGACGAAGTTGGCTTAGGGCTGTAAATGAGGCTATGGGATTACGAAGGGTTTGCACATACTTCCCATCACTCTTATGTTTGCCAGCCTTTCTTAGGGCCATAACTTTTACTATTGATCATCCTCCTTCCACGGATCATGACCCAACGTTGACTCTACAAAGTAGTAGTGACCAGAGGAATGAAGAAGTGACCCAGCATGTGATGAGAAGTATCATTACTCAAGTGCAGCCGTCGAAGAGGAATAAAAGTTAGTTCCATCTACGGCGTGAGTCACTAAACCTTTAGATTGGGGGGGAACCCTTACTTCGGTGTGATCTTTTTGCTTCGCGTGTTCCACAAACATCGTGCATATCAACGCTAAGCGATATGTCAAGCAAGTACACTGCTGGTAGAGGCTTTGCAGAATGCGTGAGTTTATTTGAACTTTTCTACCTTGTTTAAATATTAGGCCAGGAGTGTATGGACAACGGCCCACGATACTGAATATTCGAACCACGTGCAGCGATGTCATAAGTCTCACCTCACACACAACTCGAATGTTTTAGGAAAGCAAACCGTGTTATCATATCCTTCAGCAAGCTATCTATTCACGCACTCATCCTCATGGCAGGCCAACACAACCTCCCACAGAGTTTGGAACGGGTTGGCACTGCGCAAGAGCGGCAAGTGAAAAACCTTGCTAAAAACGAATCATAACCCCAGAGGGAAATCTCGCATGTGAAGCCCAGATGCACGTCTCCCACGACAAATGAGAAGTCCGCATACAAGGTAGGTCGAAAGCTGCCGCGCCTAAGTAACCCCGCTATCACTCATAGTTCCAGATTGCTCTCACTTACCCTTTGCAGACAAGCAGCAAGAGCTTTCTCCTTCACTTCTTCAGCAACAGCCCACGAGCAGCCCACGCCTTCCCATCCCGCTCCTCCCAGTCACCTGGAACCTTAAACTCCCGCATCCACTCAAGAGTGACCCAACGGCGTCCGCCATCTTCACGCTCGTAACGCGGGCCGACTCTACCCTTACGAATGAGGTACATGAAATGTTGCTTGGTCTGGTCATAATCGTGGCGGGAACTGGCGTCCTCGCCCATTCGAAGATAAGACCAGTTGTTGAGATACGCGGTGAGCATCGCCTGGTTCTCTTCATACGTCGGGTGCTTCTTCCGTTCCTTGGTAATGGAGTTTGGACCAGATGCAGATGTAGCATCGTTTGTACCGGAGGGACTGTCGTTCTTCTTCGTTCGGCTGGTGATAGGAACGTCAGAGACAGATGCTGGGCGCTTTGGGCCGGACTCAACGTCATTATTCTGGGGCGCGAGTAGGGAAGGCGGTTGCTCTGTCGGAGAGGTCCGCTTTGTAATCTTGGTTGGCTGTGCGGTCTTGATGGCCGAGAACACGTGTTTGCCAGGGTGACTCCCACCATAAGATGCTTTGGAAATAAGGACAGAGCCTCCAGCTGCCCTACGTGCGGCAGCTGCTGCACCTACGGATGTGTGGTGAGCCAAAGTCATGTCATCGTCCGAGCCTTTGTCCCCGATCTTGTCGCCCCTAGCACGATACTTGGAAACCACGGAATTCCGAGGCCGGATGTCGCCGAAATTTTCCTGATAACTGTGGAAGTTCTTGAGTAACAAAGTAGCACGGCTGTCGAGGACCGTGGAGCCTCGAGGGTCTTGAGTGACCGGCGCAGTGGCATTGTCTGCTCCACCGTTACCAGCCCGAGGACGTTCTTGCCAGGAGTCCTGCGTGACATCAAATGGAGGAACCCAGCGCTCGGGGCCATCAGGGCCTATGTCGTCCGGAAGGTGGGACATTTGCCAGATCAGGGAACGTCCTCCGATAACTTCCTTGCGAGCCTGAAGAAACTTCTCTGTGGCTACAAACTCAGCAGGGTCATCATGGAATAATAGGTCCATGACTCTACGACCACCATGAGTGACTGGGGCAGTGGTGATTATCGCCGGAATTTTACCCGTCTCGACGCGTTTGCCGCGGTTCTGTGACTTTTCGGTAGAAGGAGGACGATCGGCAGCCTCTAAATCAAAGCCGGCAGAGACACGAGGGCCTTCATATCCTGCAATGATGGTATTGTTCGCTGGAGCTTCACTAATTCGGGCGCGTGTGTTGCGAGCCTCTGGCTCATCGAGAGGAGCTGAGCGCTTGGAGACAGAGCTCCTCAGCGTCTTGTCGCGTTGTGGCTCTTTGGTGTGAGTGAAGAGCTGAGCAAGCGAATCGGCGAATCCGTTGTGAATGTGCGGTTGGTACCTAGAATTCCAGTCCTCTCGAACAAAGGTACTGGACGGGTTGCTAAGCTGCGGCTCATCGATCGGATCAATCCCACGGTCGACTAGGCCAGTTGATGTAGCCGCGGTTTTGACACCAGCTTCGAACTTAGACATCGAGTCGGTGCCTGGGAGAGGATGTCGGAAACCTTGATCAGAGGCAGGCTTGAGAGGGGGCGAGTGGGCTTCAGGTGTAGTGTCGGAGCCCTTGTGCTGGTGCAGGGGCCGATCAGACATGACGCTATAGTTGGTACTCAAGGTTGCTGGTGAGATTTAAGTGGTTGTGCGTTTGTGGATGCGGGTACAGCTTAACCTCGATGGGAGAGATTTATAGGCCGTGTGGGGTTCTGTGGCGCGTCAGTGTCAGGTTGAGGGAGCAATAAGAGACACTTACACTTTCGGCAAACAATTGAGAGTGATAGACTCCTGTTTTGTTCTTCGACACCGGCTTAGCTTGAGTGGCTGTGAAGAAGGTGAATTTGAGGCTCAACCAATGCTAGTTGAAGCGGTCGAGTCGCGTGGAATATTAATTCAAGGTAGGTCAATTCGGTCTTTTATTTTCGCATTGTCGGCGTGGTTATGCCTTAGGATCGAAGGTGGCCCGTGATGTTGGACTGCTCGTCGTGAAAGTTTGCAAACAGGTCGAACCTTGGCCAGTGAAAATGCGAGGAGGATCCAGAAGTGCATACAGTGATCGAAAAAAGTGTGAGGATCTCTGATGAAACTAACGTTCGGCCTAAAACGTTAGTGAACAGCTCTGGACTCACGCTGTGTGTAGGTGGTAGCATTTCCTGTGTTGGCCCTGCACGAAGGAATGTGGAATCCCATGAAGATAGTGATGAAGTTTTTGTAATCGAGTAATGGACTGCTAGGGCGGAAAAAGCCGCCTATATGAGCTAGAACTAGTGAAAAGCACCTTCCGTACAGCTCAGGGAACACCTGCCTCAAGAGATAGTGCTTCGCGTAGGCGAATGCCTTTTGTTCATCTCTACTGGAATGTATTCTCCGCTATTCTAGTCTCGCTCGATTCTTGACTTCCTACCCTATTTCGAACGTATCTTACCATGATGACTCCAAGTTTGGAGCGGTGATTCTTAACAAGAGTGTCACTGGCCTTGTCCACTTCCCTTAGTTACACTATAACTAACTGCGCTTTAACATATATTTCCACCATTAAACAGACCTGCTCAGTCTTCTTCTTGTTATTATCTTGACTATTGCACAATGCATCAAACTATGAGATCCTGCTCTTCTTTTCATGTTGATGGCGCCGAGGTGCATTGTGACAATTAATAACCAGGGTCCAATACTAATTTCTCTAGTATCAACGGGAATTTCCCACGTGTAAGATAAGGCTTCGTATGCGATCGAGGAGCCTGATCTGCGATGATGGATTATATCATAATGCACAAAGCCGCCCGCACGCGACCACCCAAAGATGAGCATATCCAGTGACTCGCCTCGGTGGTCCAGCCAAGAATGGTCTCATAATCATTGAGCCCATATTCCTGTGCCAGGGAGTATCTTCTCCCTGAACCTACCAGAAATTTGAAATCAAGTTTGCAGCGTTCACCGATCAGCTCGACAGCGAGCCGCATTCGAGTGCTTACAGTGACCTCCCAGCTCGTGTCACCAGAAGCTTGAGTAGTCGGTACAAAGAAATCACATACTGACCTCCACGACCTAGGCAGACTCGATATCACTGCGGTACGTTCAAATTGAGCGATTATCTAGAGGCTCTGTCTGTAGTTGATTGATATCACGCAATACTAAGTCGTCGCTTCCAACACAAGTCTTGGCCCCCAAACACATCCTTGCATATGCAGTGGCAAAAGTACACTAGGGCCCTTAGATTCCCCACCAACTCTCAACTTTGGCTTTCCTCATCTCTTCATTACCTTCTGTCTCTTCTTGATATACCGTACATAATTCTTGCTTAGCCATTGCATCCGGTAGAATGAGGGCGCTTTACGAATCTCTATCAGCCCACGAAAATCCACATATACGCCTACTCACGCTGCTGCCGGCGAGGTCTGAATCTGATAAAATCCGTTGCTCTGTCTTCAAAGTCGAATTGGCAACCGCGCCACCTTTTGAGGGTCTGTCCTACTGCTGGGGAGACCGTACACACCAGCATCCCATCGAATGCAATGAGCATCCACTTACTGTAACCAACAATCTACAATCAGCTCTCCAGCACCTGCGATACCATGACAGAAACCGCGTACTATGGATAGACGCTATATGCATCAACCAGAACGATTTGGAGGAGCGCTCTGCCCAAGTAGTCTTCATGCGCGACATTTACCGGCGCGCAGAGCGTGTGCTGGTTTGGCTGGGGCCAAGCGCGAAAGACAGCGCGCTAGCGTACAGCACATTGCGGAGACTGAGCAAGTACTGGCCGGAGATGATGGAGCGTTGGTCGGTAGACAGAATGAGCGTGGTCAAGCTCGGTCCGTATCGAAAGACACTGCAGCGGCTGTGCGGGCCGGACGGCGTGGCGCAAAACGATGACATCGAGACAGACGAGCGCTTCCAGCTCCAGCCGCGGGAGTTTGCAGCGCTCCGCGCAGTGCTCGAGCGGCCCTGGTGGACAAGAGTTTGGGTCATCCAGGAGGTCTGCGTGGCGACAACTGTGACGATGCTCTGCGGACATGGCACCCTCTCCTGGGAAGATCTCTCCTCCGGATACGTTGTCGCGATGGGTGCGTGTGGGATGATGGCACGCATCGGCGTCATGCCTTGGAGTGCATGTTGCTCAAGTCTTTACCAGCTCAAATTCGCGTTTGATAGGATGCATCAGCAGGCAAGAAATTCTGCGGGGAAATCGACCGATCTGTGTCTTTGCGCGGGTTCTTCAGCACAATTGACATGCTTCAGATGACGCAGATCACGGGTGCATTCAGAGCTTCAATGCCCCATGATAAGATCTATGGCATCGTGGGTCTAGTAGATCTACATCCAGACGAAGATGGGCTTTCAATAGTGCCGGATTACGAGCTTCCTTTGACTGAGTGTTATCAGAACGCGGCATTGACCATTATGACAAAGTCTGGTAATTTGAGATTGCTTGAGGATGTTACTTTCTCATCACTTACACTGCGCCGACTGGATGGTCTGCCTTCCTGGGTTCCGGACTGGAGCTACGATATGGCCACGACGTGGGAAGGCGTCTCATGGGGCCCAGCGAGTCCCTTTGCGCAGCACCTGGCGATCGCGCAGATGTCCTATGCGCTCTCCCGAGACGAGGTATCATTTTTTGCTTGTGGAGAAGATGAGCGCTGTAATCCACGGGTAGTGGAAGGATCTGTCCTTGTGCTCGATGGGCATGTAGTGGATACGGTCGCGTCGTCTGGTCACATTCTCCATGGGGCATTGAAGGACGATGACGAAGAGAAGTGGAAGCTTTTCGGCGAGGAACGGACTGGATTGACCCTCTTCCAAAAACTCCATCTCTTCATTAATACTTGCCTTCGCGTCAGTGCGTTCGTGGCGGCGCTACTGAGCTGGGAGCAACTGGCTTTTGCGGATCCCTTGCATCCGACGAAGAGTGAGAAGAAAATTTTCCATGAAGTTATACAAGCGAGTGACTACATCCAAAGCCTAGAAACATCTATTCAGATATATGAAAAGAACTGGCGCTTATTGATTACGTGGTTGCGTCGTTTGGCTTTCCTGCGGGTTTTAGGACGGGAGGTTGGGACGCTTACAGCGTACAACTTAGCTATCGGTGTGGTTTCCTATTTCTCTTTTACCAGATCGAGGTCAAAGTCTCATCTCGTAACACTGCTACTGAGCGTGCACATGGGCTGCCGGCTTTCGCGAACGTCTGGCGGACGGCTGGCAAGGGTACCGCACATTGCTCGGGTTGGTGACAGCATCGCGTTGCTAAGAGGGGGGAAATATGCTTCTGTAATTAGGCCGATGGGAGACCGATGGGAATTGATTGGACCAGCGTACGTGGCTGGCATCATGCACGGCGAGGCATGGCAGCCGAGCGCATGCGAAGAATTTGAATTCATCTGAGTGAGTGAGGATACGGATTCAAGAGATGTAGAGCAATGTACGCGCGTACGTCGAAGGTCATTGTCAGTGTGTTTGAATAAGTAGCTGGCAGGCTAGTGATCACTTGCCGTACGCCCGGAAGCATCATCCTTGACCAGAAGGTGACCAAGGAGAGAACCTGGATAGTACGTGCGAAAACACCAATGTCACCGATGAGAGCAGCGAGTCCTTTCCCGATCTTAGACGCAGTGCGAGTGCTAGAAATTGTTCACGAGAAATTCGACTCCTTGAGATGACGGCTTTTTGGCTTGCCACCTCACCGTTTTCCAGCATCATGCTCACCTATCAAACCAATATAGCAAGCCACGCTGCTCCAAGGAACCCCCTAGTCCGTAGGGAGTCATTGTGTTGAAAGTCAAGTGCGGAAGGTAGAGTACAGCACTTGACCACGTGCTCCTTCACCCTTTTACACATTCTCTGTCCTTTAACAACGCTAGGATCCTAATATCAGCAGTCGTAAAACGCTACCTGGTCTATCCAACAAGGAGAGATTGCTCTAGAACTAACCAGAGCGTTTGATTTCCCGCATTAAGCCGCCAGTGTGAGCGTATTCTTGCAGTGAAAGCTGCAATGACTCCCAGCTTGCACGAAGATTTCACCTGAGAACTTTCCCAGTCAAGACCAGTCTCTTGTCCAACTATCGTGTCACTTTCAATACCTCTGGGCAGTGTTCCATAGTTCAGAGAATAATGCTGGAGCTGTGCTACAAAGTGCATTCCCAGAACCCCCACGCTGGCCAGACTTGTTTCAAGACATCTTTCAAGATGAGAGACATGCAGGAATGGAATGAGCGTATTGCATTCAAGCAGTGTAAATACAAGACTCTTGAAGGTTGGTAAAACAGACTCCGCTTCAGAAAGCTGAAAATTCTGCTCTTGTGCCATGCTACTATAACTTTTCTCGCAATCACGTACGGAGCCGCGAGTCGTCCATTAGCGTTGTCTCGGCTGAAGATTCATTGTCTTGATCATTCGGCGTTGTTGACTCAGTCTTGAAGTCAAAGTTTAGATGCAGAACATCCTGACTTGTCCATTTAGTAGCGGGATCATTATACTCATGATGAAGAGTGGCGCATAGTGGTGTTGGAGCAATATAGTGACGCGCAATACGGTCACGAATGAAAGTTTGGCCAGGTTTCCCGAAAAGTCCCATCCTATCCATGGTTGATGGTTCCATTTTAGCAAGGAAGAAGCGGAGCAAAACTTCATCCTCCTGAATAGTCCATTCTTGCGGCTTCTCATACAGACATCTTCTTCTGCTCTCATCGGCTGCTTGCTCTTCAGCTGTGGGAAGGGGAGTCAAAAACTCGAAATGCCCGTTCAGGACATCTTCAATCGTCCATCTGGTGACACGTTGATAACTGCCACGGCTATTTTCGCTACGGCGATTGTAGATTTCCAGAAGCCCGTGGTAAAGTTCCGATCTTGTTGGAAGCTCGCTATGTAGAGCGATACGTTCGCGGACGACGTCGAGGGCAGGATTGCCAAATAAGCCTAAGAGCTGAATATCTGTAGGTTCCATGAGAGCCAGGTGAAGGCGCAGCAAGACTTCGTCCTCTCTGCCGCCCCACCGAAGCGGTTTGTCTAGGAATCGTCGCTGCTTCACCTGGAGAGCAGCTTGCTCTTCATTTTCCTTGATGGCGGCAATGCGCCGTCTGATCAAATGGAAGTTCAAACGCATCTTATTGTGTATAGTGTTTTCGTCATAACCGGCTGCTAGTAGCCTGAGAAGCTCTCGTTCCTTTCGTTCGTCCCAGGGGTCAGTGCCCACAATGCCCTTTTGCAAACGTATATAGCGGTGCTTGGCGCCGGACTTGCGGAAGTTCGGTCCTAGATTATCACTCGTCTCCTGCCATGTGTAGTCGCCGGGACCTTCGCGCATACGGAGTAGCAATAGGTCTCGTTTCGGCGTCCAGATGTGATACCGGACGTGCAATGCGGCCATGTCACGCGTGTAACTGTAAAATCGTAACGCAGAGCAAGCTGGTGTCCTGTGGCCGATATGTGGTGGAATGATAGCAACGAAAGATCAATGAGGTCGGTGATGGATACAAATGCGCGCAAGTAAGGATACAGGAGAGTGAAACGTCAAGGCCAAACGCCAAAAGCCAAAGTCCAATGGTCAGAGACCAACGTCACCATTAGCGGCATCAGCAGCGGCGTTGCTTCCTACATCGAACTGTACGTAGGTGCGGTCGACGTGCCGCCTAGAAGCAAAGCACTTACTTGGTTCGCTAATTATGATAATGGAAGCCACGACCTGCAAGTCACTCGTACACAATGTCATCGAGTTGGAACATTGGAAAGCGCTTCACCATGACTTTTCATTCATTCCATTGAGTGAAATCACATTCTCGGTAGAGCACCGGTAACGCCCAACCATGCATAACAATACGCCTCATTGATGCTCAACACGCTGAATACAACAGTCGGACTTCAAATCAGTCTCCAGCCTCTACCTAGCAAAGCTCAGCTGCTGCCGCCCAGGCGTAGTCGTCTTTCCACTACGCCTCATGCTCTCTAGCGTCTTCACAAGCTGCGCGTGCACCTTGCGGTTGGCTGCCCACCCTTCGCTCCATTTTTTCATTCGTATTGCGGCCATGACAGCCAGGCCAGCTGCCTTCAATGTCGGCTTCTTCGCGTGGATTGAGACATCAGGGGTGATGCCCATCTCTGAGATGAGGTGAAGGTCTTCTTGATTGCTATGCGAGAATTAGCCGAATGATAATGGAATTCAGAGCATGTTCATATACCATTGATTGTAAACCTCAATCATCATGAGGAAGAATCGTTTCTGATAACCAAGGGATTCGCGGAAGCCTTCCGCGCGAACGCATCGTGCACGGAGAAATTGAATCTGCTTCGCGAGACCATTGATCTCTTTTACGTGGCGTTTTTCGAGAGCCTGGGTTTGGGCACCGACATCTATCGCTTCATTCACCGCCTTCTGCTGGACTGCTTTGGTCGAGGCTTGCAAAAGCCGGAATTGGCTTTCCTTTTCGCGAAGTTGCGACTGCAAATCACGGAGCTCGCTCTGAAGGTCTCGCAGCTGCTGCTCGAAGATGGACTTCTGATCGCGTTGTGAGGCTTTGAACTCGGATTGGAGCCGGCGATGCTGAGCATCTTTTTCGCGGATTGAAGATTCAAGGTTCCGGATCTTCTCATCCAGGGCAGTTCCTTGCTCGCGCTGTGTAGCCCTGGCTTCGTTCTGGAGAGAAATCTGCTCGCGTTCCTTGTCGCGGAGCATTGACTCGAGCACTGAGATCTTGTCTTCCAAAGAAGTCTTTTCATCGTTGACTTCGTCTACTTGCTCCTGGAGCACGTCAATCTCGTCATCCAGATCTTGCTTTTCTCGCTCCATCTGAACCTTGAGCGATTCCAATGTCTCCATTCTTTCGGTGGCCAACCGTTGTAGAGTGTCCACCTCGCCCTTACGGACATTCATCTCTGCTCGCAAAGATTCGAGCTCATCGTCCCGTTCTCGGAGCAGGTCTTGCATGACATCGAGCTGGGTGCCCGGCTCATCGGCATGGCTTCGGAGCGCATCCAGCTCTGCGTCGCGTTCCGAGATGGTCCTTCGTGCGTTTTCCAGATCGCGGGAACGGTCGCTCAGCTCACTTTGCAGCTGCTTAAGCTCTTGAAGTGTGTTGTCATGGGAGTCCAGCTTCCTTTGGAGACTCTGTGCATTGCGCTCGCTGGATTGAAGCGAGCTCTGCAAAGTTGCGAGATCGCGCGATAAAGCGTCGCGCTCACGTGTGACTTTTTGCAACGCTTCAATCTGGCTATCCTTGCTGGATAAGTTCGATCGAAGACCATTGATCTCTTGAGTGGCGTCATCTCGTTCTCGACGAAGTCTGTCCAAGTTGTCCAAGTCCCGTTCTTTCTGAGCGAGCGCTTGGCGGAGCTGCTGCACCTGTCGCTCGTACGAAGTAGTTTCTTGCTGCAGGCGTGTGGCTTTTTGGATCGCATCTTGAAGCTGTTTGCGGTAGTCGTCCAATTCATCCGCTTTGATCTCGGCATCGTCGACCCTTGACTGAAGAAGCTGGATCTCCACATTCTTCTCACGTGTAACATCGAGCACCTTTTGGCGCGCATCGCGAGCGGCCTGTTGCGCGAGTTGGACTTGGCCGTCGCCTTGTGATTCTGCAAGCTGTAACCTCTCATGCAATGCGTCCAGCTCGGTTTGCTTTTCACTCTCGAGAGTTTCCAGCTGTCGCCGCAGCGCTTTGGCCTCTACATCCTTCTCCCGTTCGATATTCCGTAGCCGCTCTTCGAGTTGGGATACCGCCTGCTGCTTCTCCTCTTCCACCTCGTTCAATTGCTTCTCTACTTCATCCAATTGTTGTTCAAGCTCGCGCAGCTCCTGGTCTTTGCCTTCCGACGCACTGTCGAGCTTGTCCTGCAGCGTATCGATCTCAGCGTCCTTCGAGCGCGTTGTGGTCTTGAGCTCTTCCTCCAAGACCTCAATCCGCTCAGCTTGCTCCTCGATCTGGCGTTGCTTCTCCTCCGCCTGTGTTCCGCCTGATTGTTCAAGCGAGCGCAGTTGTTCCTCGAGGATTTTGATCTTCTGGGCTTGCTCCTCTAACTGACGGTCTTTTTCCTGAATTGCCCCATCATCGGCACTTTGTGTCCTGAGCTCTCCTTCCAGCTTCTCGATCTTGTCTTCGTATTCGTCCAGTTCCCGGTCTCGATCAGCAAGCTCAGCTCTTGCGTTTTCCAGCTCCGAGTTCACTTTCTCAAGCTCTTCTTGGTCACCGCGCGCTTCCTCTAACCTGTCTTCCAATTTCTCCAATTCAGCAGCACGCTCGTCGGCGATTCGTCGCAATTCGTCCATTTCTTCGCGCATGCCTTCGTCAGCGTGCCGTCGTTTGACCTTCTCGGCGTATTCCTTCAATTGCTGTCTGCATGATTCGAGGTCCTTCTCTGAGTTCTTCAGGGCCTTCATGTGCTTCTGAATGTCGCGTGTCATCTGAACCTTATCCGTTTTCAGGTTGACATTCTCTTCCATTGTTTGCCTGTTGAAATCGGGTCCCATCTTCTTGAGGCCCTCTTCCAGGAAGTGGATTTTAAGTTTGAGGCCGAAATTCTCCTTGTCGATTTGTTCGAGACGCTGCTCTTGGTCAGACTTCCGTAAGTTTATTTGCCAGTGGGAGCGATTTCGCTAGCGCAACGAGCGCCCATCGAATCGGATAGCTACTTACAGCTTCCTGTTCCCTGAGTGTGAGACCTTTACCGTCGTCGAATTCGCCCTCAGGCCGCTTTCGCAGCGCCATTGGCGTGCTCACGTCGCTTGAGTCGGCTGCGAGAGGAACTGGCGTCTGGCTGCCAACACCAGACTCACTGAATGAGCTGGACATGGCGTTCAATGTACTTGCTTCGGGGAGGGGCGTGCCACCCAATTCAAACCCCTTTTTCAACGCAGCTGGCGTAGCGATGCCGCCCTTGATCACACCGTTGACTTGTCGCGTTCGATTGGCAGTTGCACTCTTCATGAGCGGTGTGAACTCGACTTTTCCGGCGGGATTGCGTAAGGCAGCGAGTGGATTTCGTGGTGTTCGGGCGCCATTTGGAGGTTTGAAAAGGTTATCGCGGTCAGCGGGTGCCTGAAAAGACTCGAGTTCAGTGAAGTCGACGCCGGTCGCGCTCATACGTGTCGCGTCGCCGCGCTCGGTGCGCGGTGTATCGAGAAAGTGCGCCATAGCAGAGATTCTCCTGTTAATTCATGAGCAAGAAATATAGGGTATGTGGCGCGCCGACAATGTGGGAGGGACACTTACTACCCTACGTGATTGCAGAGTAAACAAACATAGAACACGTCGGTTGTGGTCCGTGCCGTAGCGTATAGAGTCGCGCTAACTTGGGATGGGAAGGCGTGCCCGAGGTACGGGGACGCGCCTGCCAAGGCTGCATCAAGCTCGAGATTTTTGTAACTCTCCGTCCCAACTCACCGCAACCACCACCATCGTCAGCCAGTACTCCGCATTGTGGTCATACGCATGATCTCCGCTATGGAAATCCCAAAGGACAACTTCAAGTGGTTCGGTGAAGGCTTCGACGGCTTTCCGAAGCGGCTACCCGAAGATGTTGTAGAATACATGGTCTTCATCATCGACTCAAAGCTCTCTGAGGTCCAGAATAGAGAGCGTCTTCAAGCTTTCCAGCGCGCACTAACCGCTTTAGAGAAGAAGTTCTTGAAGGAGTACATTTGGCAACGCGACTCTATCAAGCTCGACCTCGTCCGGGAGGAAGGAAAATGGCTGCTGAAAGGCACCACAAATTATGGTGACAGCGTCGCTGACGAGTGGCTCATTGTGTACTTTATGCGAGAGCTAAGTAAAGAGTTCAAAGACGCTTGGATCAGAATCTACGACACAGATGGCGAGTTTTTACTGATCGAGGCTGCTAACGCTCTGCCAAATTGGCTTAATCCAGAGGTTGCAGAGAACAGAGTCTGGATCAATCATCATCGACTCCTTGTCATACCACTCTCCAAGTACCAGACACCAGCGCCGTTAGGCCTGACCGAAGCGCTGTCGATTGTCCGAGAAACACCCGGGCGGCCCCAACACCATCCTAAGATCGAGAAGGAGGCCTTCCATCGTCTCAACGGCTATCCCAATGCTATATCCACGAATCAACATCATGCGACATTACCGATGCCTCGAAAGGTGGCGCACATCCTGCATCTGAACCCTTCGTACATTTCCCCCGCCGTGGAGGCTTTCTACTTGCGGGACCCGGTTGCGCTACGGTTAATACAGCCTGACAAATCAAAAAGGGCGCTTTTCTTTCCTCCAGAAGACTTCGTAGAGATCAGCACCAGGTTTACCAAGGTTCTTTATGCGCAGCTCCTTGGCCAAAATTGGGATCCGCCTGCTGCTCATGATGCGGCTGTGAAAGACCTCAAGAAGCAAGGCACGACACCAGAGAAAGCCGAAGTCGCCGTGAAACTCGTCGCAGGCCTTGAAATGCTCCTCCAGCACGAAATCTATGCGGACAAGCCGGCAGTCAGAGAGATCCAACTGCTCCTGGAGGATCTGGACACAGGCGCTGATGTTTTACCAACAGATGCTGAGATTGCAGCCTGGCCCAAGCGCGACGATGACGAAGCTTGGTTGAACATCGACTTTGCGGAGTTCGAGCGCGAGCTGGCTGGCAAGGGCGGGAAGGAAGGCTTTGGGGACAAAGACGCCCAGCAGAATTTGAAAAAGATGGTGGAGCGTTTCAACGCGTTCTTGGCGGATGATGAAGCCGGTATCGACGGTGCTGGTGGTCTTGACCCCATGGACATGGATGATGACTCCGACGCAGAGGGTCGCGAGTGGGAGGACCCTGAGGATTCTGACTCATCATCTGACCACAAAGGCGCGGACGAAGAGAGCGATAACGCGGATGCCGATGCCGAATACGCAGAGTACGAAAAAGCTTACGAGACATTCATGACGCTATCTGCGGCTGAAAAGGCTATCTTGACGGATGACGCCCGCGAGTTGGCCCTTGCAGAAGAGGCAGATCGTGAGGAAGACGAGGAGATCAAGAAACTCTCGGATATGATGGAGGCAGAACTGTTTGGCCATGGCGCACTGAACTTGGATCCTGAGCGGGGCCAAAAGAGCGCCAAGGGCCAAGCGACCCAATCGATCTCGTCGGCCAAGGGCAAGGGTAAAGCGGAGGTAGAAGAGCTACCGGAGGAAGGCTCCGACGACAGCGATGGCGATGTATTAGACGAAGACTACAACCTAGCAGAGAATATGCTCAAAGCGTTCAAGGGGCAAGTCGGCACGGCAGGTCCGGCAGGCAATTTGATGGGGTTGATGGGTGTGCAGTTTCCACCGGACGCGGACGACGAGCAGAAGAGTCGAGGGCAGGGCAAGGCTCCGCTACGGTAAGCTTAGCGTCAATCACTATGATACACCTCTGATGCATCACGATGCAAGGCTTCGTGTTGTATCTCAGAATTCGGAAGTGCAATCGACGATCCAATACATTGGCCGAATACCAACAACGTCCATGCATCTACCATTGGTCAGATTGCGGAACCTCTATGCAACCGTCTACCTCCTACGCCCGTCTTGAATGTGGTCTTCTCTATCGTACAAAATTTTGCTTCTCAAGTCTATGTCTACAAGTCATGACCTCTTGTCTAACCGGCTGTTCGGTAATGCGTCAACCAATCCTGTTCCCCAATGGCCGATTCCCGCGCCGCGGCTCCACCAACGCGACAGCGATGATTCACACCTGTACTCGCTTCACTGAGCCTCATTCTGTGACCCTTTGAATTGCTTGGCGACTGACTTTTATGACCCTGGCCCTTTTCCTTTCCCCTGCTCTTGCGCCGATCCCGCCTTCTCGCCTAACTGCTCCCGTTTCGCTCCAGCAAACGGCCATGGGTGCGGCACGCGTGGTACCTGAAAAGGTGCCGTAATGGGATATCTTGCTGGAGGTGGCTGTTGCTGCGGCGCTGGAGGTTGGTAGTGGTGGAACTGTGTGGCAGTGGCAGTGGGTTGGCCAGCTTGCTGCTGAGGTTGCGCCTGAGGCCGTGGTCGTATGGTCTGGTATTGCTGCGCTGTCGAGCTTGGAGTGGATGGCGAGGTCATGGGAGCGCCGGTGGCGGATCGAGAGTACGTGTTGTGCCAGTTCGCTGGGTTGTGGGGATGTTTGCTCGGATCCATTGTTCGCTGGCGGTAGTTGCCTCTTGGAACACCTTGCAAAGTTCAGGTTCGGGATTCCAGGCCTCACGTGCTGGCTGTCGGTTGCTCTGTATGATCGAGTTGCTCGAATGTTGGAGAGAAAGAGGAGCCGACGAGATCAGGGAGATGTGGTGAACAACGTCTCCTGGACTACTGGAGCTTGTGAGGATGGCACTCGGGTTGTCTTTCCCGCTTGATTTGCACGTGCTATCAGGCAACACTTATATGAGATGAAGTGATTTGGCGAGCGGTTGTTGTTGTGTGTGGAGGAGCTGGAGGTATGTACGAGTGCAACAAGTCGAGACTGGCTCATGGGTCGCGCTGCGTATGGACAAAGAAAGCAAGCAACAGCTGGATGATAGAGAACATGCAATACACTGCGAGTCGTTTAGTAGCAATGGTGTTTCTGGTATGGTCAAGGTGCATCCATACTAGGTCTTCGCCTATGCGAATCCTGCGTACCTAGGTATACCTCCAGCCTACTTAAGGCCTCGCACACACCGACAACGTGTACTATTCTGCAATCTCACTAGCCATCGACGTTGCAGCGCAAGGTACGTGCAACGTACGTGCAACGTGCATGCATGAGCGAGGAAGTGCCACGTGTGTACTGATGCGGAAGGTCGCGAGGTAGCAATCCTCCCGCGTAGGCCCGCTCTGTTTTATTAGAGTATCTTGGTATGGCTAACGGTGCGGCTACATCTACCTTGACCGTATCTGGAAAGGAACGCGGCTGATACCCGTGACTCATGACGATGCTTCCAGTGAATGCTCACGCACCGCATACGCGGACTCTAGGGCTCAGGGCTCAACCCCACGCATGTAATACGAGGCTTGCTCACTTATAGTACCAACACATGCACGCCACAATGGCGGACGTCTGTCCGTCCACTAATCCATCATGGCGTCATCACCTCGGCAGTACTGGCAGACTTCTGGAAATCTCTTCGAGACGCCCCCAACGACTCGGCGCCCCTGGACACCCGATCCGGCAGCTGTCGCAGCGCATAGGGCAGCTACTAGCCCAGATATCCCTTGCCCAGCCGGCGTCTAGCTCCGCTCCCATCGGACATGCAGGTACAGGAGAACGGTGCCCCATACCACGCGGTCCGACCCAGATTCTGCGAAGCTCGCGTGGCATGGCCCCGGATCGAGCGAGACAGTTTCTAGAAGCGTTTTAGCGTTTTGGCGTTTCTGAGCCGCATTTAGTCTACGCATGGACATCTTCACACCTTAGCTTGGGGTCCATGGGCTATACCCCAATCTACACTCGGGTCGAACACCAAAAATGGTATTGCATAGCACTCTGCTGCGGTAAAGATTTGTAACCAGCCGGCATAGGGGCGAATCGGATGCAAGCGAGATCTTCAAACGGGCGGATTGGATACCATGTCTTTGTGAGTCAGGGGCATTGAAACGTGCTCTCTTGTCGTCGCACGGCGGTGAACTATGGCCGGCAGTGAGGCTTCGTATATCCGGACCTCATCGTCCTCATCCCTGATGATCATCAAATCTCACCATGCACTAGCGAGACCCGGCGCTGCGGCCATTCTGGCAGGGCCTCGCGTGCAGTAGTCCAGACATCGGGTAGCGAGCACTCCTCTTACCACTGCTGCAGTGCTGCTTACCATGCACTGCCGCCCAGGTACCGTTAGACTAAGCTGTACGAAATATGACGAGATGTTTCATAGTGGCCACGCAGTGAGTTGTTGGTCCAAGCAGAGGCTGTTACACACTACGGACTTCGACTAATTTACTAATCGGGTAATATCAGCACGCGATTGGCCAATCAGAAGACTTCACCACTAGAAAAACCACTAAAGAAAATCTCAAATAGACAAAGCGGCTGTTGGCCGTCGCGTGGCCTCCTTGCTGCGCCGTATGGTCGACCTTTTTTCGGAAACGTATGGGGCCAAGTCTAAGGTACGGTCGGAACGACGTTCCATGGAAGCTCTCTAAGAGGGGTTGATGCCCGACACCTCAGAACTCAGTTGACACTTGATCTTCCAGAGCTAGTTCAACAGTATGCAGTATCTTCGCGTCGCTCTTCACGTGCGAGATCGAGTATATTGATCGCTCTTCTGGTTTATTTGAAAGCGTGGGCTAACGTTATTCTTACGCCCTAAAGACTAATTGAGGAGCTCGTATATATGACCAACACAGGCGTTCTGGATCAGGTTTAAACCATGAAGAGACACATTGTAGTCATCATCTGCAGCCTAGACCTTTCAATCAGCGCCTTATTACACAAGAACCTACCATCTACTACAAATGCACTATAATTATCTGACCCCGGGTGATCCTCGTCGTCTCCCGCCCGCCCGATCTGCCGTGTCACACTGTGAAACCACTACGTTCCCGAAAATCGGCATCATCTTCATGCAAGTCATGATGTGCAACGAAGGAGCCAATCAGCGAGCTCCAAAATGACGCAGATTGCACAAGACAGGATCTTCCTCCAGGATTGACGCGGACTCTCCGGAAGGGCGTCGGAGATTATTATAGTACATTTGCCGGATGAAGACGGAACGTTGGTAGGTGGTGTAGTAGTACACTCGGGTACACTCCGATCACGTGTCGGGAGCGCCGAGATCTCGTGGATCACTACAGTTGGAGGCTTAGATTGGGCAGATTGAATCTTCTCCTTGGTATTACAAATTTCGAGTAGTAGATTGGCGTAGGTACATGAGAATCCAAGGGAGCCACATTCTTCGGGAATCTCCGCGTTTGGGCTGGACGTGTACAATTTGATTGCTAATACGAGGTATACGGAAACCTATTCGAGCACATGACCTTGCGAAACATAACATCACAATGCAAAGTGTAGCGAAAGCCCTGTTCTATTTCTATCCCACTGTGTAACCTTTAATGACAAGCGAGCGAGCAGACCATTACCAAGGTTTGCCACACAAGCATGATGGATCGCTCTTTCCCAGAGGTAATGTGGGCATGGAAGTGTATAAACCAAACATGCTTCTTTTCTCGATGACACGTGATGACTACCTAGGTAGACAATCCGATGAGCAATTTGCCACATTTCCGCTGTCACGTTGACTTCTACAATACTCAGCGGACCTGCTAGCAATTACGGAGTGAGCAAATAAGAGTGTTCCTTACAAGTATATAGTCACTTTTAGCTGCTACGTTTTCAAGGCCATGCGAAATTTCAGAATACTGTAAATTACTACGAGGCCTCGTCGCATTCGGATGATTGGAAGGCACTGTGAAACAGGCTGCTGACTCTATTCTCTTATACCACATTATCTTTCTCACTTTAGACCTGAATTGGATAGTACACGAGATTTTCAGCACTCTGTATAGTCACATCCACGCCGGCCTTAGACAAGGTATGATCATACGCTGTTGGAAAGTATTCAGTGGTATGTTGATAATTACCTAGTTTGCCTATCGTGCAGTGAATTGAGTCCACCCTCACGCCCTTGGAAGACAAGAAAGTATTCAAGAATATCGAGGTGACCGCCGATATCAGTCCTTGTTACTTCAACCAGCCACGGTCACCAGAATGACTCCTTGGATGTACAAACTCGAAATCTTGGTGAAGTGCAGTTGGTCGTCGAGTTTCTGGTATTCACCAAGTTTTCGAAAACACAGTTCATGTATATAAACTCCATCGCCCAGCTCTAGGGATCGGAACCTCGTTATACAAATCGGCAGGGACTGCTACTCTGAACGACATCACATCTACTCCTCCACAACAACGATATATACAAAACTATGGCTGCTTCTGCCTATTCAACTCAGGACACATCTGTGTTTCCCTTCCCAGTCGACCAGGTCCAGATCGACCCCACCAAAACCCCGGAGCCTTACAATAATGGCCTTCGTATTTGTAAGTATAAGCCACATAGTCTGAGAACAGGAATCGAGAACTAACATCAATCCCCCTCCAGTCCAGAATGCGCCTGTCAACTGGGTTGGCAACAACGAGTGTAACCTGCATTCTACGGCGATTATCACTCAATACGCCTACCATGACGTCAAGTTCTACTATATCATCTACGAGGTTTCTTCCAGCAATGGCGCCACCATGGAACATGGCTGGCTTCCCTTCGCCTACGCCGGGGGCTTCCTGGAAGGCGAGTGGGAAGATTACAAGAACGACAGCGAGGAGTTCACTCACTCCGGCATCATCAAGGACCTCCGCGATGAGGCTACTAACTGTTTTGCTGACCTCCTATCCGCATCCATTACCGATGGTGGCGACGCCACCCGCTCGCTCGCGGAAGAGACGATGATTCTGACTCTTTCTGGTCAACTCACTGACATCATGGACAAGCATATCGCAGCCATGAAGGCGAGAGCGAAAGGAATCAAGGAGTTGGACGAAGTTTTGGATGATATTCTGAAGAACAACCCCCCTGGTGCTCAGGGGAGTGCCAACGGCGCTTGAACAATGACGGTCGTACCCTGGACGAACTTGAACAATGCCGGCCGTACCTTGGACGAAAATCATTTACTGGGATTACTGATTTGGGGGTGCTTTTCGATACCTCCAAAGGCTCCACGATGCGAATTAATCATGTACGCAATCCACTTTACCCCCCAGAAGCCCTCAAGAAACCTATATGTTACCTGTTCCGAGGTGCTGAATGAAACATCGGCGGCGCTGTCACCAGCTTGCACCTCTCACGACTACCACAAGTGGAAGGCTCGAACATGGATGGATCATAGCTTTGAAGTTTTGTACTTGTTTTGTTTGCATTGCGGCAAATGGCGTTAGATAAGGAGCTTAAGTTCGACTGGACACTGGCACTGAAATACCTCGCTTTGAGGAAAGCATTGGGAGCATTTGTCGATACATACTCTGCTGAAATTCTACTTGGTAATTTGCGGTTGAAGATACTGTCTTGGTGATTGTTCCACGAGTGTTTGAACAAGCCATCACAGCGTCCAAATTAGCTCTAGCATTCTACACTGCATCCTAAAGCGGCTCATCGCGCGAGGTGGGCTAGCCTCCTTGAGCTAGTGCATCCCCATTGCAGGTCCCACCACGACTCCATCTTGAATATGAATCTCAGGAGATTTTGTCAAAACTATACGCAAAATGATATGGTACGTTCGCGCACCGAGCTACTTTGGGCGGCTGTGGAGTCAGTTTGTCTGATTAAGGACTAGCCATCTCCAGTCACTATAATCGTTTTCCACTTGTAGAATAGTGAGCCGGCAGATGGGAGTGTATAAAGTCGCTGTCTGATGCCTCGAAGTTGCTTTATATCCCATCTGTCTTCTTCTGTTTGAAAGTGCAGCTCTCCTTCTCAGTCATGGTGAAATTGCAAACCTCCTTCGGGTCCTTCAAAGGCATTCGTGGAGATGGTGTAGTCCAATATCTCGGCATCCCGTACGCGAAAGTAAAGGACCATTTGAGTGCACCGGCGACAGTTGAATGTTATGAGGGTGTTGTCAACGCTACGAAGTATGGGTACGTCTTCCACGTAATTCCATTCGCACCGACCGTGGCCTATGAAATTTAACGTATCCAGTCCCCGCGCTCCAGCGGCAGACGCAAGCCTTTTCGAGCAGCAGGTCCTCATCCAACAAGTCATGGACGATGCACCCTCGCCGCCTATGTCCGGCACGGAATGTCTCAACCTAAACATTACAGTGCCCTCATCTCTCAAAACAGAGGCGAGAGAAGCACTCCCTGTCATGGTATTCATACACGGTGGAGGGTATATCATGGGCAGCAACTCCGCGCCGTACTTCGATCCGTGTCGGTTGGCCGCGCTCTCCGTCGAGATGGGCACGCCTGTTATCGTTGTTAGCATCAAGTAAGCCACTATCCAAACCCAGTGCATCAGACACAGCCACTGACCAAGGTATACAGCTACCGCCTAGCCGTCCTAGGCAACCTCACGTCCGCAGAACTCCGCGCCGTAGGATATCCTGGCAACAACGCACTCAGAGACCAGAAGTGCGCTATTCAGTGGGTCAATGGGCATATTGCTGCCTTTGGCGGTGACGCGGAGAATGTGACGGCGTTCGGGGTGAGCGCTGGCTCAGGTATTTCCCTTCGACCGTTTCCTTGTCAGGTTGTGTTCCAGAGCTAATACGGAGCAGTTGCTGTGCTGACGCAGCTTTTCTCGAAGAAGCCGCTATTCAAGCGTGCGATTTCTATGAGTGGAACGCCACTTATGTTGAAGCCGCTGTCCTTAGACGTTGCCGAGAGTACGTACCAAGCCATCATCGCCGCGCTTGGGCTCAACGATGCGAGCGTGGAAGAGCGTATCCAGCGCCTGATATCGATTGCTCCGGAGGAGCTCGTCGAGAAGACAGCGATGAAAGCTCTGCTGGCGCCGTTCCTTGACGACGATGTCCTCCCCGAAGCTATCACGTTTGAAAAGCTTGCTTCTGGACTGGATGTCCCTGGTATGAAGTGGTGTGAGGAGCTCATGATAGGAGATTGTCGACACGATGTACGCCTACCTGACTAATCCTGATTGGTGCAGTACTCATACACACAGGGCAACGTCACCTTCTTCATGGGTCTTGGGTCCCGGACCCAGAACCTCGCCGCTGATCTGTACACCTCTCTCTCAGCCAGCTTGGGGGCTGCTTCAGCAATAGCAGTGTTAGAAGCGTACGGTATCAGACTTAGTACTTCAGACGACGCTGCACTCCAAGCTACCATTGATCTCGCAACAGATATCGTGTACGCTGCCCCCGCACTTTCGTTGGCGCAAGCGTGGCCTGGCAAAACATACGCGTACCATTTCAACGAGGGGAACCCGTGGGAAGGTCAATTCAAGGGTATGGCGACGCACATGCTGGATGCGGCGTTTCTTTTCCACAATTACAATGAGAGAATGGACAAAGGTGTGAAAGACATTGCGAGGGCATTTGCGAGAGCCGTTGTAGCTTTTGCCAATGGGATGGTGCCATGGAGAGAGTTCGATGAGGACCATGGGAGTGTGAAGATATTCGGGGGTGGAGAGGTGGACCGTATGGTTGGGAGCAATGGCTGGGCCAATGGGAGACGAGATACGTTGTTCAGGCTTGCGGAAGAGGGGAAGGTGGATCTGGACGGGCTGAGCGTGGCGTGGGATAAGTTCCTCGCTGGAAATTGAGGTGGATAGAAAAGCCTACTCATATACAAGAAGAGTTGTTCATCATTCAAAGTTCGGTCTCTCCGGCACTTTTTGGTATCCCAAGTCCCAGATGCTCTGGCTCTCCTCACCTATCCATCTCTGACTCTCATTCACCCAGTCCACGCATTTCCTGAAGTAAATGTTCTCCTGCGACAGCTCGATCGTTTCAGCCGTAAGGGTGTCGTCTGCCAATATTGCATCGATGGCTTTCAATGCCGTAGCCATGGGCGTGATGTGCTCCTTCGGCCAGAGCGGCAGGATCTCGGGCGGACAGAGGCCCGTTGGGATGAAGGCCGGGCAGATTGCGTTGACAGTAATGCCTTCTTTGACGAGGATTGGCCCGGCTGCGCGGACCAAACCCACGATACCGTACTTGGAGGCAGTATATTGTGGGTTTTGTGTCATGAAGCTATGCTTGTAAGTCCTTCTCTCTCCGCATGATGTCGGATTGCTTACTATAATCCCGCCGCCGAACTCGTTGCCACAAACTTTCCCTTTCCTCCACCGGCCTCTTTGCTTCGCCTTACGTAGTACTTGAACAACCACAGTCCCTGGATCACTGCCTCGAGATTAACTTGCATGCTCTTGGTGTTCAGGGGTTTGACTAGGCCCTCCGCGTCCACCTCCTCTTTCTCCGTTCCATCATACAGCATCTGTCTGTCGTCGATGCCAGCGTTTGCATGGAAGAAATCGAGGCGATTGCCACCCCATTCGTAGGCTTGTTTGAACAGGCGTGCTTGTGATGGGTACGAGGCGACATCGACCTGGATGAAAGTCGCATTGTCACCGAGCTTTTTGGCGGCTTCGGCGCCAGTAGTAGGATTGAGCTCTGCGATGACCACGCGGAAGCCTTTGCTATGAAGGTGCGTTGCTACGGCCAGGCCGATGCCTGAGCCTGCACCTGTTACTACCGCCACTGGTTTGGACATGGTGGAGGTTCTCGTGAGTTCAGTGTCGTTACTGTTACGCCTATTTACGTTACGGATCAGTCGGGAGGGTCGCCCAGAGAAGCTGGATGTCGACCGAATAAGATCAGATGCACGTTCATATTCAGATGGTGTACAGCTATTAGACGGTAGTTGTGGAGTAGAGACGACCCCACATCACTCCGGCACACTCGCAGCGCGGAAGAATGCCGCTAGCCCCGCACTAGGCCTCATAGAACGATGAGGGGTATCCATTTGACCTCGTACCCCATCTTCCCCCACCCCTGCCTCAATCCTCCAATACTACCAATCCTCAATCGCCAAGCCTTCCCAAAATGCCTACGGCTAAGGAAATCGAGCAAGCCCACAAGACGCTTTTCGAAGCGGGCATTGAAATTCGCCGTGAGGTAGCCGGAAGCGACTACGTTGATGCCGCCCTGCAGCGCTTCTCTTCGGACTTCTCCAAGCCGTTGCAGGATTCGTTGACGGAGATAGGCTGGGGCTGGATATGGAGCCGGCCGGGCCTCACGCGTAGACAGAGGAGCTTGCTGAATCTGGGCATGTTGTGTGCGTTGAACAGGAGCACTGAGCTGGGAGTTCACGTCCGAGGTGCGCTGAACAATGGGCTGAGCGAGGTGGAGATTAGGGAGGCATTACTCCAGGTTGGAGTATATTGTGGCCTTGTAAGTTATACTCTACGATGAAGTACATTCTTGGACACCGTACTTACCTTGCACAGCCAGCCTCCCTGGAAGCATTCAGGGTTGCCGAAGATGTCATCAACAAATACAAGAAAGACGCTAAACCCAAGGCGAAGCTCTGATCAAAACATAACATGAGTCAATATCTACCTCATCAAAAGTTTATCCCCTCCTTTTCTGCTTGTGCGAACTCCTCCTTCATGACCTCCGCCCGTTTCTCACTCCTCGGCACAATCTCACATTCGAACGGTATCGGCACAGAGAAGAAGCCCTTCTCCATTTCCTGCGTCGGTTCTACGAGTTCACCATCTGGGCCTTTCTTCCTCTCGATGTTGAAACCCCACAAGACTCGCGAGATGTTGATGAACAAAGAGCGCTCTGCTACATGTACGCCAGGACACACACGCCGTCCAGCTCCATATGTAAAGTGGTCGCGCTCGTACGGGTCAGGTGCGTTAATGTAATCGGCGGCAGAGAGGGGTTTGTCGAGGTACCGAGAAGGATCGAAAGCCTCCGGGTTCTCCCACAGATCTGGATCGCGATGGATGGCCCTAGTTCCTACTCAGTCGCTGTAGAATCAACATATAGGAATAGACTTACCACCAGTTCAGCACAGCCACCGACCCCTTCGGAACAAAGTACCCCTCGTACCAGTCGTCCTCACTGGTCGCATGTGTCATACCAAACTTGTTTACAGGCCGCCACCTCAGCACTTCTTTGATCAGGCTCCTCACATACGGCAGATTTTGTTCGTCTTCCCATGTCGGTAGCCTTTCGCTCCCAACAACACGATCCAACTCTTCCTGTGCCCTTTTCTGCGCATCCTGAAACAGCGTCATACATAGCATGAAATTGTTCAGCGTCGTCGCCGTAGTCTCCGATCCCGCCTCAATCAAGCCACCGCACGTATACGCCGCAGCCAGGTCGTCAATTCCGCTCTTCGTCGGGTCGTTCAAATAGAAGGTCTTGGTAAAACAATTTTTTGCCTCTCCGGCATCTGTCTCTCTTTTCAGCCTATTCCACAAATCTAAGTACACCTTGCTATCGTGCTCGAACGCGCGGCGTCCATGCGTACGCCAGTTTCCGAGCAGCCGTTCAGGAAGGAACGTCAGCGAGGGGAAGCTGTCGATTGCGTAGGCCCCTGGAGCAGTCATCTTTGTGAAGTTTTCTAGTACGTTATATATCTTCTTGATGAGCGGGTCTTCCCAAGAGGGGATGCGGTAGCCGTAGGTGACAAGCATGATGACAGAGGCTGAGTAGCGCCGGTTCATCATGTAGAAGTCCTTTGGGCTGGTAAGGAAGTCGACGAGCAGTTGTTTCGACTCGAAGTCTTGGACGGGCTGGTACTTGACAGAGGTGTTCAGGTTGAGGAGCGCGTGCGAATGCTTGCGAATGGAGCGCCAGCGCTGGCCGTAAGGCATAAAGAGTTGGCGGCGACCGGCGCTCATGACATCTTGGGCTAGAGGAAATGGTGCACGCGAGGAGTAGACGGAGGATTTCTTGTCCATGAGATCTTTTACAGCTTTCGGGGTCGAGAGCCAGATGTAGTCTGTGCCCCCGAGCTTGGTGTAGAAAATTGGGCCATACCTGGAGGGAAGTCAGTATGCCTTCTCATTGCGTTCATCTATTGGAAATCTTGCAGGTACGTACTGTTTGTGCCACGCGGTGACTTTGTCGCGCACGGCTTCGCTGTCCGCAAAGTCCAGGAGATGACCAATGAAAGGAAGTCCTGGCGGTCCCGGAGGCAATTTGCGTCTTCGCGAGTCCTGTATTCCATCAACGCCCTGATCTTTTTTATTTCAAGAACATGTCTTCAGTGTCATCCAGTTACAATACTTACTTTGATGGAGTTGGGCACGAGATAGAAGTACACCGTCAAGAACAACAGCACCGGCGCTGAAACAAGGAGCACACCCTGTATCAGCAACGAACCCATTATTGATTCTCGTCGAGATTTGATGTCGCTAGAGCTGTGTCGTACGTAGGTATACCTTCTCGATCTAGCTCATCCCCAGACGATGATTGGGGAACTGGGGGAACCCCTCTCCACTTCCCCGCAAAGTTACCTGCAGCCCCACAATCTACCACCTCCTAGTACGCTTTTTGTAAATAACGATCTATCAAGTCGAGATTTCACACGAAGAGAGAGGAAATAGACAAAAAGCAAGACCACATATTGTGGCTGCATTGAGCACATCGACTTTCCGAAGTGGTTTACCATGCCGCTCGAACGCGACGCCGAAGGCCACACCTACATCCGCCATCCAAACAACCAAGTCACGCACTACATCCGCGACTCCTTCGTTGATCCTTGGAAGCCAGCAGAAACTATACTGATACAACACGGTTTTGGTCGCCACGCAGAATTCTGGTACCATTGGATTCCCGTCCTATCACGAAAATACCATGTCATCCGACGCGACTTGCGAGGCCACGGACGATCTAGCTACGCGAAAGAATCCGACAATTACAATCTGAATCTCGATACCATAGTTGATGAAATAGTAGACACTCTCGACCAGCTAGGTGTGGAAAAAGTGCATTTCCTGGGCGAAAGCACGGGCGGAATGTTAGGTGAGATACTGGCTGCGAAGTACTTACCCCTTCTCCACGACTTCATCATCACAAGAACAAAATCTGAGTATCATCTAGACACCCAGAACGCCTGCATTCCCTGACTGTCTGCTCCACACCAACGCACCTCCCGCCTCCAGCCCTCAACCTTTTCGCCTTCAACCACGAGGATTGGCCTACCGCCTGCCGCACGCTCGGCTCCCGTGGGTGGACCGAAGCTCTTTCTAAAATCCCTGGCACTATTCCAATCACAGATCCTAATTACCTCCCCTGGTATCTCGACCGGATTAGTCTGAGCGATGGCGAGGGCTTAGCCCAGTACGCACAGTTTTTGATGACGCTGGATGCAAGGCCGTATTTGGGGGAGATTAAGGTGCCGACGCTCATATTGGCGCCGAAACATAGTGCGGCGACAAGTATGGATGAGCAGACAAAGTTGGCTGGGATGATAGAGGGTGCGAGATTAGAAGTGATTGAAGCGGTGGGTCATGAGATTTATGTCACAGGGGCAGAGAGGTGCCAAAGCGCATTCTTAGATTTCCTTGGGGGGTTGGGAAAATGAGACGTTATGTTGCGAAGCTTATATGTCGGGATCGTAGAGTATTTCGTACCCTTGGAACGTAATCTGAGGGGGGGAAGTTGCTGCGTGTCCAGTGGACGTAGACAAGTTAGATACTGCAATGCAAAGATCATTCCGCGAGAACCTGACATCATTATCACCGCCAAAACCTCACGGCGCCAGAGGCAGATGACAGCACGTCTAACCATGCAGTGATGGGACCATTACAGAGACGCCGGTTCAGGATGCTATTAGAGTCAAGATCATGGGTGAATAGAAAGCCTTCCCCAAGGCAGACGTAGGGGGACTGTGAATCGCTGTTTTGCATGGAGACGGCGACGAGAGGGCGGAGATAGTACTCCACAGTTATTGTGAAAGAGGAGAGCAGCTTTCGGATGGCAGCAACATCGCCTCGGAATGCACTTAAGAAGTTGAAGTGATTAAGGATCGTATCTGCAAACCCTTGTCGGTGGCGCAGTTATAGGTCCAATCCCATTGCTGCGGAACTGAGCTTACTGTCGTCGCCAAGCGGTTTTTACTGTTCGTTCAGCACACTCTCCCCGACCTCGTTCTTGAAAATTCCCGAAAACCAAGGTATTTGTCCTCCTGCATCTGTCTCGTACCCTGTACCTCAAGCCTTCATAAAGGCCACAACATGCCTCACATAATCATCCAACTCGATCTCAGTATTGGTTCGCGTACCGCGCGTCTCTTTGAAGCACCTTGAAATCACCGTTATGATTATCTTGATGAACGAGTCATTTTCGCCATGGTACGCGGTGACCGTGAAAAGAGTTTCAATGTGCATTGTCTTCTGTGAGCTCAATAATATGCCACGCAGCCATTGGCGTGCTGTAGCCTCGGCCACCTCGAGCTGACCTCGGGAATCTTCTCATCACGTGCCCACCGTCCCGCCCAGCAGTTGCGCAAAGGCTTAGTCATATCTAAGCTGGAACAATTTCCGACGTAGTACCTAGGGTTTCTAGCTTAGGATTGCTCGGTTGTGCGATTAAGTCGCCTGATGTTAGCTTGGTAGATTCGGGCTCAGAGTGGTCTTCAATTTGTTCAAGTCTCCTGTTCCACTTTTTTTTTTCATATCATCTTCCCATCCTCATACGCAGGTTGCGGCAGCGGATCCGAAATCCCATAATTCCCATAAAAATCTATCATGCTCTTCCTCTTACTCTGCATCGCCTCCTCCAGATCCTGCGACACGAAGATTTCCATTCCGCCGCTCTGATCGGTTCCCCTATCTTCAGACGAAAGCTTGTAGCCCACACCAGCTGAGGGATTGGGCGACATGACTGTCGAGTTGTTCGTCCGCAAGATTCGCAGCCAACGAGATTCCGCATGCCGCTTGAAGACGTCTTCGAGGTCGAAAAGATCCTGCATTGAGAGCATGTAGTGTTTGCCGGAGCGCAGCTTCCAGAAGAAAAGGACGGACAGTTCGATGTTCTCCACAGCTTCCAGCGATGTCAGTAGCGTGTCCATAGTCTTCATTAGATCTTTTGCAATCCTGATCTGGTCTTCGATACGGTCGTTCTTGGAGAGCACAGTGTAATTCCATTCCACGTAGAATCGGACATGGGTGACAAATTTCAGCATGGGCAGCTGCAGGATATGTGGCGAATATTCGAAATGGCCATTATTTATCCGCGAATTGCGCAGTTCGGCATGTAGTGTAAGCTTGCTGCGGCGGAAATAACTTTGCAAGATCTCGTTTCGCAACTGTCGATTGATCATTTGCAGATTCGGATGTAATCTGTGCTTTTTCGGCACGCCATGGCCGTAGCCGAAGATGTCGTGGCGCCAGGGCTCATGAACCATATCTGCTCCCCACAAACATGTATGCAATTCAGGTCGGTGGCTATTGGCGATGTCAGGGAGCGCGAAGTCGAATATCCGATCCCGTAGTTCTCTCGGTAGTGCCAGCAGGCTTGAGCTCAATTCCCTGGGGTTTAGGTCCAGTAGCATCTCTAGTTCGCGTAGGAGCATGCTTTGTCGCTGTACCGAAAAGTCCTCGCTGCCAATGGACATGACAGAGAGCTTCTTGTCGTTCATGGCGGCCATGTGGAGTCAGACAAGGCTGTCTGTTTAGAAGCGATACCAAGTAAGCCGGTCGTTATAATAGAGAGATATTAAGGTAATCGAGTGCGGGGAATCGTAAGCCCTAGAAGTGATGTGGAAGAAATGAACCGGCGTGGTGGAATCTAGTCGCGAGCAGAGAGGATTTTGACGGTGTCGTGGAGCTCCACGAGGCGGTATGCCGCCGAGCGAGTCATTGGTGGACGCTTCGGCGGTTGGCCGCAGGGGGGGTCGATCCGACTGTTGGTTCCGTAGATCATCACGTGCAAAACGGAGCGGCCCGTGCTTGAGTTTCGGTAGGGTTTTATGCTTGGGTGCGACAACTTCAGCCCCGCCCTGAACAATGGCATCGAACCCTCAAACAGCCCTCGAGACATTGTCGAGCGCACAGAAGACTCCGTGCGTGCTGAGGACGCGACAAGCCTTGACAAGACGCTTGTGTCTTGGTAAATCCCGCAGGAGTGGACGGCAAGCGCACGCGGCAGCCCCCACCCAACATGCAAAGTGCATTGAGGACTTGCGCCACATACAACATGAACTTGGGCTATTGTGTGGTGTGAACTCCTGCATATTGCCTACTTCACTATGGGGCGAGAGAGATGTACCATAGGTACCTAGGTAAGGAGCAGTCTGCGAGCGACATGGTATCCCAGCGCCAGAACGTATGGTCTCCTCCACTCACTCGGAGCCAATTGACGAGGAAGTGATGCAGTGGTTCAGGCTTTCCGACTGTGTTTGACACGCCGCTGAATAGTATTGGATCACGGTACGATGTGTATGATCTTCGCTGTCCTTTAACCAGATCAGGCCTCTGCACCCACTGCTTCCCGTCCGACTCCACCAGCGCCATAACCCAACACCCGGTCATGTTTACGCGTCTCAAGTCAATGCATGTGGCTAGGCTGAGCGCTGTAACATACGTGCAGCACCGAGCATATATCTATACGCTTGCACCAATGATCAAGCTGTTGTACAAAAACTGGGGTGATGATGTGGGCTGCATGCTGGTGGATTTTGCCAAACCGAATCTAAACCAGGGCACAATCATGGAATGTAAAGATAAGGACGCGGGTTGACCTGGATGAGGTAAAGCAGCAAGAACAGACGCGTGATCAATGATATCGTAGGCAAACTCCCTGGCACGGTGGAATCGGCTCAAGACAGCAGTGGGTTCAATTGAGCACCTGGAATATCAGACGAGCTTACATTCCTCGTTGCTATTTCGCGAAATCGTTTGAAGCAGATTTCTGTTGGTGACAGTGTAAATAGCCAACATAGACCGAAAATCTCAGAACGTTTTGTAATGTAAGGCTTAAAGCTAGCAGGAGGACGAGCCATTTCTTCGTTGAAAAATTCCTCACGATCCACGAAAGGACCACGATCACCGTATATTGAATTCCAGAACCCAGGATATCTACCGTTCAGGTACTCTATGATAACGAACCAGAACATATTACACAGTCTAAATGACGCATGACCTCTTGCCATCTATCTACCAACCGCTTTTCACGTCCACACCTCACAATAGAAATCACAGCCATCAACTGATCTCCATCTTCCAGAGCTTTTCCATCGGGTTTCCTTACTTCGAATCTGCTCTTTATCAGCCTTGCCTACAGAGCGCATACAATTAAAACCCACCTATCCTACTATCCATCTGCAACGGAACGTGGCAGCACCCTTCCCATCTTTGTTCTTGGGCAATTGGCTGAACAAACAATTGCTTCTGCTGTATATGATACGATTTGGTATCTGTACGGACAAAAGAGGTGACGCATGATTGGTCCATCTCAAGCCGTTGCGCGCGGCAGTGGCCAACGCAGGTTCCGGCGTGGTGGGCTAGTTGGATACCGTTCATCGTTTGATTGGCAACGTAGGTCAAAGTGTTGTGTGTAGTTGTTTGTAATTGTGGAATGTTTGTTGTCTGAGTAGTGTATGATGCTGATAATCAAAACGGGTACGTACAGCATGAAGACATTTTATAGATAGCACGGAAGCCCAACATGTTCTTGTTATCTCTCTGCATTATTGGGTGGCGTGGCAAATCGCGGTGGTTACACGAGATCGTGAACGTGATGTTGTTGAAGAGATTGCGGCTGAGGTTGCGTGGTTGGAGTTGCGGTGTGGTGACCGGCCGAGATCACCCCACCGAACAGACGATAACGCAACTTCTTCAAATAGGCCATAGCCCTTATCAAAATTATTATACGATCCCATATTCGTACGAGCAGGTTCGATAGTGTCCCTTATCAAGTTTTTTCCTTTTGTCTTTCCCTTTTTTTGCAACGTGTTAACTACCACCTTCCTAACTCTGCTCCACCCACTTCCAGTCCGTGCATTCGAAGTTTGCATAGCACCTGAACTCATTGCTCAGCCCCTTCGAATGCTTGACCTCAAACGTCGTGGTGCGCGTGCCGACTTTGGAGTACAATTTCTGAATCAAAGCCTCCATGCGCTCGCCCGTGCAGGCGATCAATCGCAGCGACCCCTCGTCCCAAGACCTTGCTAGCCAGCGCACAGTCAGGGCAGCTGTAATTCATCAGCATTACTCAAATAACTCTAGGTGATGTAGAGCGGAAGCGAGGAATGGGGAGGAAACGAGGGAATTTACCTTTCGTCTGACAATCCTGGCTCAAGAAAGGCGGATCTACGATGATGCGGTCGAAGCTGGCTTTGAGCTCTACGGGGAGCTTGAGTGGCTGCTCGAAGTCGTAGGGGACGAACTCTTTGAAGACGTTGAAGCGGGTGTCATATTCGAGGAGGGTCAGGTGGGGTTTCGTGGTGCATTCTCCAGACGCAAGTATATTCTTTAGCTGTATGAATGTACTAGGTGCTGATACGACTGCTATCCTCGATTCATTGGTGGCGCCGTCAAGGAGGTGCCGGGCGAGTGTGGTCGCTGTCTCGTCGCTATACTGTGATGCGTGAGTACAAAGGAGCTTTGTTGTAAAAATAGTAAATACCCAGAACTGGCTAGCATTCCAGTCTTCAGTGAAGGCATCCATGCTCAATTTTCCTTCGAAGTCATCTTCAGCCTGCGTCTTCAAGTCCTCGAATTGCTTCTGCCGTGCGTCGCGCTCGCCATAAAATTCTTTCAGCGCGTCCAACGCCCCAGCCGAAAGCTGTCTTCGCTGCTTAGTTCCGCATCTTCCGAACAGGAAAGATACTTACATTGGGCCATCATCTCCATCTAAGGATGCCATATCGCCTTATGTACACGAGCTCACGAGCAATGCGGGGAACCCGAAAAGTGATAGCCCACTGCGAAACTGCCCCTCGGTCTTATCGATAAAGCACATTCTAAACACCGGTACCTCGGCCTGGAGGCCTCCCCGATATGCAAGCATGCGCCTGCCATGGCGATTGCGTGCTCACACCTCGTTGTACAGACTATATTCCAACATGGTAGAGCCGCTGGCAGACCTACCCAAAGTCGAGAAGATGAGTAGCCGCGTCATACGCGTGCTGGGCGGGAATCCAAGCAAGGTACGCAGTATCGCATGCCTTTGTGCGACCGCGCGCTGACAGACGGACAGTTCACGTTGCAAGGTGCGCGGTAGCTCTCCTTTTTAACGGGTTACATTCGTCTAAATAAATTCTAAGGCACGAACACGTACATCGTCGGGCAGGGCGCGCAACGCCTCCTCATCGATACCGGCGAGGGCAAGCCGGAATGGATACAAAGCCTCAAGAGCGTGCTTGAAGACGAGAACATCACCATTTCAAAGGCGCTGATATCGCACTGGCACCACGACCACACGCAGGGCGTGCCCGAGCTCCTCGCGCACTCGCCATCCACCGTAGTCTACAAGCGCGACCCGCAGCCGGGTTGGGAGGACATCAAAGATGGGCAGACGTTCACGACCGAGGGCGCAACGCTGCGTGCGTATTTCTGTCCCGGACATACTACAGATCATATGGCGTTTGTGCTTGAGGAGGAGAACGCCATGTTCACGGCCGACAACGTTCTCGGGCACGGCACCGCTGTCTTCGAGGATCTGGCTACTTACATGAAGAGCCTGGATGGTATGGCTACGCAGTTTACCGGCCGGGCATATCCCGGCCACGGGCCCGTCATTGCAGACGGACCTGCAAAGGTGCGCGAGTACATTGCGCACCGGAAGCAGCGCGAGAAGCAGGTGCTGGATGTGCTCGGGGAGGAGCGCGAGGGCGGCTGGACGGCTATGGATATTGTGAAGATTATCTATAAGGATTATCCTGAGAATCTGTGGGCACCAGCGGAGAAGGGTGTATTGCAGATATTGAGGAAGTTGGAGAGCGAGGGGAAGGTTGTGAAGGAGGGGAATAGTTGGAAGTTGGTGGGGATGGAAGCTGGGAGGCCGGCACTGTAGCCCCACCTATCCACCGAATTTACGGCCAATTGACGCCCAATTGCTACGCCAGGTACCCCACAGTCCTCTATCACCTACAGTGAGAAGTGTGACGCTGTTTTGAGTGGTATATATACCATTAAAGAAAAAAAATATCATCAGTCCATACCAGATTCTGGTCCAGAACCACGTTCCAGAAGTCGCAGTGTCAGAGTGGTTAATGAGTTAGACTTGAATTACGCAATTCAGCTATCTAATGCCTTCGGGCGCGCAAGTTCGAATCTTGTCTGCGACGTTTAAGGTCGACGTCGGTGGTAACCATCTTTTTGGCCTTCGTCCGGAAGGCCTGGACCACGCTTTTTGCACGGAATACCACGTACACATACTCTGAGTAGGGTACCGTAGTTGTATCAATTGCATTGCTGTGTGGGGTGGGAGTTGCGGGAGGAGGGGTGGTCTCGGATGGCATGTCGCGGCTTCCATCTCAACTCGCCCTGCAGGCGACTGTAGGCAGTAGATCAACGTCGTACATGTTCTTTTTACTCTATTACTCTATTACTGTAGAGATAAAAGGAAATTTCAATGTCATGGCATTCGAGAGTCAGGTTGTGCACGGGAGGAATTTGCCCGTTGCTACTCGTCATCCTCGACGGCTGCGAATGCCTCCTAGACGCTAGCCATGCTTCTTTTACTTTATCACGACAATGGAAGATCCACATAATCGCTTGGGCTGTTGGCTGAGTCGATTTTATCGCAGGCGTAGGTCAGTATGCGAAAATCGCTACTTCATTGTGATCACTTCCGGAACCTTGACATAGGGACCAGATAATCCCTTGAATATGTTTGTAGCAACCTAGGAGCTCTCGGAAATGACACTGACGTATGAGCCGCTCGTCAAACTGCATAATACCGAAGCATGGCCCAGTAAATGTACGATCTTCAAATCTTGACTAGCAAGTTACACACCGTAGCGGCGCCTATGGCGAGGCTATAATTATTACAGTAATGGCTTGCCTGGGAAATCGTCGACGCGCCTTGCCGCAACTAAATGTAGGAAGAGCACAAAAGTGCCCGGGGTAAAGGCATCGGCTCCGGCGACTTTCATGTCTGTCGGCACAGTTCATGTACGCAGGTACCGGTGGTCGGGAGTCGGGAATGTATGACACCTACCGTACGAGTATACGCAGTCGCCGGAAAGCTTAGTGCGCTTGTACGCCGAGACGAGCACACGGGACTAGGTCTGATCATGGAATAACGCGAGAATTTATTGTTGGTTTTGCTTAACCGCACATGTTGAATTTGGCAGCTGGCTACATATCATCAGATGCTAAACGTCTCTAGCATCTCTTCCATCCGATCCAATCCGGGAGTATCATTAATCTTTCATTCCATTTCAGCCAGCCCAAACCAAATCGTCATGTTGAACTTTTCGCAAACACCATGTTCTAAACGCCAGCAAATGTCATATACTCATACAAATCGGAAGCGGTAACCTAAATGGGAAGAGGGAAAGTAATAGCCCAGGCAGCGATCTCCTTCTTGAGGCTGTTAATGTCATCAACGGAGCCGCTGGCGACCTTGGCCTTGAAGTCCTTGAGCTTGTTGGCCTCCTTAGGGAGCTCGCTTTGGATCTTCTGAGTGAGCTTGATGACGTTGTCGACATATCCAGCGATGCGCTTGAAGTCATCCTCGCCGAGACCACGCGAGGTCATGGCCGGCGCGCCAATGCGGATACCCATAGGGGTGAGCGCAGACTGGTCACCAGGGGTGGTGTTCTTGTTGCAGGTGATGTTGACCTGCTCGAGGACGGCCTCAACACGCGCGCCGTCGAGCTTGATGGGCTTGAGATCAACGAGCACCATGTGGTTGTCGGTTCCACCAGTAACGAGCGTGTATCCGAGCTCGGTGAAGGCTACCTCGAGTGCCTTCGCGTTCTTAATGACCTGCTGCTGGTAGGCCTTGAACTCGTCGGTCTGCGCCTGCTTGAGGGCCACGGCGAGCGCGGTGATGGTGTGGTTGTGAGGGCCACCCTGGTGGCCGGGGAACACGGAGAAGTTGATGGGCCCTTCAAGGTCGTAGAGGGTCTCCTTGCCAGTCTTTGCGTCGGTCTTGCGTACACCCTTGCGGAAGAAGATCATGGCACCACGGGGGCCACGGAGCGACTTGTGGGTGGTGGTTGTGACGATGTCGCAGTAGGGGAATGGCGACTTGTTTACACCCGCAGCGATAAGACCGGAGATGTGAGCCATGTCCATGAGGAGGTAGGCACCAACCTTGTCGGCGATCTCGCGCATACGGGCGTAGTCGATTTCACGGCAGTAAGCGGAGGTTCCGGCCACAAGGACCTTGGGGCGGTACATGAGGGCATTCTGCTCGAGCTGGTCGTAGTCGATAAGACCGGTCTTGAGGTCAACGCGGTAGGGGAAGGTCTCGAAGTAGGTAGAGACAGCGGAGATCCTGTCGATGGTAAGCACAGTACTCATAATTCGCAAGTAGTAAGCTCTGCGTACTTCCGCTGCGGGGTCTGGTAACCGTGGGACAGATGTCCGCCATGGGGCAAGTCCAACCCCATGAGCCTGTCGTGGGGCCTCATGATGGCCTGGTATGCCTGCAGGTTCGCAGGGCTGCCGCTCAAACATTGAACGTTGACACCCCATTTCTCAGAGTCGAGACCGAAAGCCGCGAGAGCACGCTTCTGGCAGAGCAGCTCGATCTCGTCAATGTGTTGGTTACCGCCGTAGTAGCGGGCTCCGGGGTATCCTTCAGAGTACTTGTTGGACATGGCTGAGCCAAGGGCATCGAAGACAGCGCGGGACGTGACATTCTCGGAAGCGATGAGGAGGATGGACTCGCGTTGACGCTGGAACTCTTTTTTCTACGCCAATTAGTGTTCACTACATCATTAAGAAGGCTGTAGATCATACCATAATCTCATCGACCTGGGGATCCAGCTCGACCAAGTTCTTGTGCATCAACTGTCGTGAGTCAGTAACTATTGTGCTCACGGTGCATTGTGCGGGGCACATACGTCCTTGTGGGACTCTGAGAGCGCGTAGGTAGACATGATGGCTAATGGGTGTGGAATTAAGGAGAATGGGTATCAAGCGGAAGACGGGAGGGATGAGAGCTGCTGGAAAGAACAGCGGCGCGCTCAGTGGAGGGTTTTGCTATTTGAACACCTGCACCAACGCGAGACCAACGGTGACTTTTTTGCGAGGGGCAGCAGCGCTAGGCGATATGCAGCCTGGCGTTCCCCGAATCGGAGCCCGACCCTGTAGTGGGCCTCCGATTTGTGAATGCAGATCCGGCTCGAGCGACCGGCGTGGAGCACGCAAGTCCCGAATGACATCTCTGTACACCAGTAAAGTCTCCGCTGATGTTGTTGACACTGAGGAGTAATGGAAGGCTTATACGCTCGAAGGTGCTGGTTCCCCAGACCGCGCTCCCGACGGAAAGCGCTTCTTCTTGCCCTTGCCGCGGGTAGGCTTGTCCTCACGAATGAGGAAAGCTCAACCATCACTCTCACGTAGCCTTACACCAACACAGTCTAAAGCCGCTAAAAGTTTGGTAAGACGGACTCGACTTTTTTCAGTCTTCGTTCATTCATTCTACATAAATACAGTCCATTTGGGTCCTCCAACACTATCCAATCCTTGTCTCGTCCATCGAATCGAATCCATCAATTGCTTACCATGCCGAATGCACACCAACGCCGAATATGCCAAATATGCTGTCTGAGCAGCACGCTGCTGTCGCATCGTGAAAGGGTATGTAACTAGTCTGAATCGAAGCGTCATAGGCAAAACTGCTCGGCGCCAAATATCCCCAATGCCATCAGCAACTCTCGTATCGTATCGTATTATCCTCCATAAAGTGAATGCGCAAGTATGACTGCAAGCGCTTAGTCGTTGTCGGTCAGGCGGTCCAGCACGATGATGCTCAGTATCATGACCAGCAGTCCGATAGTCACAATGATCAGCAGTACGAAGCCAAACCAGCCGAGTACCATGGCACTTGTTCCGACACCAGCTTTCACACTGCCATTCCCTAGGTCTTGCGCTATTGTTGCTGCTGCGACGGACGCGGTGTGCTGCCAAAGAACCGAGACGAGGACGAAGATGGAGGCGATGAAGATGAGCGCGAGGGCGACTTGAGATACCGGTCTGGACGGGAAGGGCTTGATGTCGACCTCGGAGCCGGTTTCCCTGTCGCGCTCTTCGTGCCAGCCGGGGAATGTCGCGAGGAGGACAAAGCAGAAGAATGCGAGGATGATGGCGACGATGAGCAGGTAGGGGAAGACAACGGCGTCCTTGAAAGTCGATGCAACCCACACAAGGTTGAGCGGGTCTTGGTCAACCGACACACCCTGCACCAGCGCCGTGGCATTGTTGGAGCAGATGTAGTCGCCGCCGTCCTTGTTGATGCAAATGCCAAAGTAGCCAACGCGCACGGCGAGTTGAGCGTTACCGACGATGTTCGCGATAGCTGCGGTGACTCCAGGATCGACTTGCTCTGTGGAGTAGGAGGGCGTGTACTTTTCGTACCACATGGAAATGAGGAAGATGCCGGGTATGAGTGGCGATGTGGAGGAGCATCCTGCTAATAATAATGCTGGAAATGGTCAGTCGTTGCTTGTTATACGCTGGCATATCGGGACTCACATAATAGTATTATAGCAATGGCTATCAAGATCATAAGCACGTGGTGGTAGCCAAGAAACGGTATCATCCCTGAGCAATGTTAGCAATGACTTTTCGTTGCATCGCGAGACAAACTAAACGCACGTTGCATGCTAACAGCGAACCGCATGTTCGCCATGGTGTGCTAATTCTCTTTCTGTCTCGTCTGCTCTGGAATGCGATCCGATCTCCTGGCGCCCAAGAGGGCCGGAGCGCGCGTGCGGTGGAACGCAGTCAGAGTCTGCGTGGGCGTCTCTGCAAAGAATGAGGAGCGAGCGAGTGAATTGCCTCAGTCCTAGGAATGTGGTCGGTTGTGGTATGCAGGTAGCGTGGGTCTCGCGATAGCGTGCGCGTGGTGGGTAGCTTTTGAAGCTCCGCTCGGAATCTCAACTGCGACCAACGACTGTCAGAATACCTCCTGTCGCTAGAGGAAGAATTGGGGGAGAGAGTAGGAGAGAGTGTTTAGCTTGAGATGTGTTCCAGCCTTTGTTCCAGCCCGAATACTTTTTGCTGCGCTGAAAATCGTGAGGTTGGGGTACTTGGTGTGGCTGGGCGAGATGCCAGCCTCCTCGAATTGTAAACACTGGCGCCCGGGGCAACCACCAACGAGAGAACGTCATCGCTCCCAGCCTCGCCAACGCACCAATCATCGGCACCAGCGCATTAATACGGACATTTTATTTCTGGGATTCGCGTGCAGTCGCGCTTCGGTTCCTGCGTTTCCGCGAGCTCGACTTCGGTGTGGAGGTCCATTTCGTCGACACGCAATCTCTCCCAGCCTCTTCTTTCTGCACCGCAACGTGGCATGGCAGTCGCGAGACGGAACTGATATCAACATGGCCAGACCGCTTCTTGCGCAAGGCCATTATTGCTCATCAGCACCGGCGCCTGTTCGTCCAGCTCACGGCCTCCGCGTTGTGCGATATTGAATCTTCTCGCATGTCTCATTGCGCCTCCCTCACCTCGTTGGAGGCTAATCTCGTCTGAGCTGATTTTCTAATGATGCAAACTCTACCAATACCATATACCCACACCCAGCCCGTTCTTCAACTGCGATGTATCTTGCACAACGCATACCGGATCATGCGAACGCCATCTTTTTCTGAGGATAGGATGGATTTGAGGATGGGTCCAGCGTCAATGACAGTGCAGCGGTCGCTAATGTCGAAGTTGACGCAGTGACTCCTGAGGATCTGCTGCCCATTCTTCGCAACGAGCGGCTACATGCCTGCTCACGCCGAACGAACGCTTTCTTCTGTCGGGTAGGCTGCGGATATGGCTCTCATGATAATAGGCTCTGTTCAAGCAACAATGATTGCGCTGCTCGATGCTTCTCAGCCTGCTGCTGGTGTACAACGATCTAGACTAGTACTCTCCTGCAGCGGGAGGGTCTTCTCTACCCGCCCCCGATCCAGTCTTCAGCGCCTCTGTAGCGCGTCATCGTTAGTGGGCAAGCTTGCAACGTGGTCATTCGGATCGTTCCCGCTGTCATATTGAGTAATGCCGCCTAGCTGTGGAGCTGTTCGCGATCGCAACAAAACCTCGATGGAGCAGCACGTCACTGTCAGCTGCACATACAGGCAAAAGGACAGGCAAAAGGCATCAGGCATCTGCCGAAAAGATCGCAATCCAGATGCGGCACCGCGTAAGATCGAATTGCTATCAGTTTCACATGCAGCAGCTGGCCGAACCCTGATTTGACAGGTTGCGCTTGACCGCATCCGTCGATAGCGCCTGCGTCAAGTCGCAACGGTATGACGTAGCGCATCGATGCCCAAACAAACACACGGAGGAAAACGCAACCTCACGCATGCTCTCGTGCAAAGCCGCCAATGAGAGCGACAGAGTTGCTTTGCCATCGAGATCAGAATTATCCGCGCTAGTATTGTACCCAGTCTTCGCCTTCGCTGTGACGTTCAGCGATCGACTTCAGTCATGCGCTCCATCCGCAGAGACTGTTTGTTTGTTCCAGGCTATCAGAACCCTGGAGCTCGATGGAAGCGGCGATGCAAGCCATGACGTACCTGTCATTCAACGGCTGCTGTCGAAGGGACCGAGAAGTACTTAAGAGGTCACCTCTGCCACCCCTCTAGCTCTCCATCAACGCCTACAATCGACTCCTACAACAAAGCAACTTCACACTCAAACCAAAACTTCCACCAAAACAACCATAACTATGTCTGACGCCGGCCGCAAGGATCTCCACACCAAGATCGGTGAGGGCATCACTCCCGACTCCACCAAGTCCACCCAGCAGAAGATGAAGGAGACCGTCACCGACACTGGCGACAAGTTCGCTCGGTATGCTTCTCTTTCCCCCTCATGTCCAACCACGCTAATGAACATCCACAGTGGCACCCAGCCCGACCATGACAAGTCTCTTGGCCAGGAGGCCTCCGACAAGGTCTCCCGCAGCCACGACCGCGAGGCCCACGGCTCCTCCGGCGGCTCCATCCTCGACAAGACCAAGGGCGCTCTCGGCCTTGACAAGCACTAGATGCTACGACTGTACGATGTTACGATGACTGGAGGATGGATGTTCAGGAACTGATCGGTACCGACCTACGGTTATTCGATATATGATACCAAGCCTTTTGGCTAGCTGGAAACAGTAATGAAATAACTCTACAAATCTTGGCGTCCTCTGTGCTGTGACTACTCTGCTGTGTTGTGAGTATACGTTGACTGTGTGGTGTCGGTTGTGCGTGAAAGAACGAGAGCCATGAGCTGTGCATGCGTGTTACACGGTTCATGCCTCATTTGAAGGCTGCCCTTGTTCTCGTGACACTGTCCGCACTTTGAACGCGATTTGCACTTTGAACGCGTTTTGATGCCGCTGGTATCATGTCTACAGTTCGGCTCATTTACATGCAAGTACCGTAACGTGCTAGAACGGAATTAACATCAGCGTCGAAACCAAGTCATTGACCCATGCTCACGTTGAGCTACAATTCTCATGGCAGTGACACTAAGCCGCTTCGGGACTTGTGACTGGCGTGAGAGCAATCATTCGTTCTTTTACTCACGTTTCGCTTGCAAAGACTGTCATGTAGCTTCTTTCGGCCTCACTTCGACATAGAACAGCACATTCGGATGCGAAAGGGGCAAAGGGTGCAAAACACAGACTGTATGTTCTCGTCACTATTCTTGCACTTGACGATAGGCTGATCACGTCGCTAGACGCTTCTAGTGGTGCGCAAGCAGACTGACCAGTCCGACATCAACCGCCTAGCAGAGCAAGAACCATTCTATATTGGACACCTGCCCAGTCATGAGGAAGGCCTAAACTTCATACTTCATATAGTTGACTTTCATTACTGAGGCGGCTGACAACGTTTTTGGAGGCGCAAGGCGAATAAGATACTTGCCCTCATGATTTTCCTGTGTAAAGCAACCGTTTTTTCAAGCAGAAGGGTGTCGAGTTGTACTTCAGAGTCCCAGGATTCGAACATTCTTTGTCGTACATAATCAGCTGGTTGTAGCGCAGGTATCAGTGCTTTGCAAAAGTTGTGACCCCCACCTCCTATGGTTCTTGGTATACCTTTTTATACGTTTTTCGCAATCTATATACTATAGGAGGCTGGTTATTAGCTAATTTCTGTTAAATCGTGGTTTCTAGGCCTGGTTGACGTTAGTATAGGGCACCAGGCTATCAAAACAGGCGTGCCAGAGTGACGTACCTGATAATCAGCCTCCTATAGTAAATAAATTGCTGGAAACTTATAGAAAGGTATCTCAAGAACCATAGGAGGCGGGGCTTTGCAAAGCACAACATCTCGCCGTGAGAAGAAGCGACCGAGGTCGACGGAAGTGACGCCTATTTAGCCGAGACAGATTTGTATACGAGTATCCCGCAATTGCTTGCGTGGCTTGAGCCGAAGCTGGACCTTCAATGAGGATAGACCACAGGTGTAGGTGATTACCTAATCGTTTTAGTACCTAGGTAACTTTCAGCACCCACCAAACATCCACTGTTTGAACAAGAGCACCATCTCACGAACTCTATGATTATACTCATTAACTCAACTGCCGATTTCCCTGCGGCTCGTATATGCATAAAGCATTGGTCGCTTTCTATTATGCTACATGTTCGTCGCCATACTCCGCGGTGCGGAGTACAAATCTGAAATCGGTCGACGGAACGGCCCCCAACTTCACAGTGTTGCTTACCGCAAGCCGCACTGCGCTAGCATCGCCGAGACCCCATTAGCTGCAGTAGGAGATGCCCAAAATACGAATGAGATGGATGGTGGCTGAAGCCAAACGATATTGGGCGAATGCTACAATGATCAGCAACCTCGACCGACATCTACAAGAAGGGGTCGAAGCCCAAACGCAGGCTACGAATGCATTCGACTCAATACAAAGCGCCAAGGCAAATTCAGTATTTTCTGTGTCGGCCTATTGCACATCGCGGAGCCAGGCGAAATACGGGCTTTCGTCCCAAGACCAAGCCCCGTACGATCGGCCTACCTTTGATGTGAAGGTGTGCGTGAACCACCGCCTTCGAATATGGCCGAGAAACCAGAAATCAAACGCATCAAGGAGGAGCTAGATAAGGACACCAGAGATGTATCGGATCTATGGAACGAGGCGCTACGAAACTACAAGGGTATTGTCGGCGAGGGTCTTGTGCCGACGTACACCAGTGTGGGCGAGATGATCAAGACTGGTACAGAGCAGATGAATGCCTTCCATAAGTTTCGCCACGACAGCAAGAAGGTGGATAAGCTGCGCAGCTTGTTCGCATCAAACTTGGATTATATTGAGAAGGGTGCGCAGCAGATCATCGCTGCGGCAACTCCAGCGTTCCCTCCTGCGGCCGCGATCGGGACAGCGCTAACTTACATGCTTACAGTAAGTGTGCCAGATATCGCTAATTGTGAAATCTAAAAGCTAAAATTCGATTAGGCTTGCAAGCAAGTCTCAGCCGATTACGATGTGGTGACAGCTTTCTTCGAAGACATGAATGCATTCCTTCAGCGCATTACAATTCTCGAGTCGAGGCTACCAAGTTATCCGGCGTATCGCAACTGCTTGATGGACGCTTTTACTTCCGTCTTGGAAATGTGCGGATTTGCAACGAAGTACATTCAACTGAAGCGCTTCAAGAAATGGATCTTGAACATGATTCGTGGGCAGGACGACGAACTTGCAGGCGCCCGCAAGAAGATGGACACGAAGATGTCGCGCTTGCAGAGTGCCACGGAATATGCTATTCTCGGCAACACGGAAAAGTTGCAGACAATGAGTGCCGAGTTGAAGGAGAACGAAGAGATGCAGACTCGAATGCTCGAAGAGCAAAGTAAAATGCTTACGACAGTGATAGAGAGTCAGGAAAATGTACGCAACGACCTCAAAGATATTCGAAAGTTGTTGAACGTCTTTCAAGAGCAGCGAAAGGAAGAATCACACGCTGGGAAGCAGAAGAGCGCAATCGGGAAACCACCTACGTCCAACCGCGTCAGGACTTTCTTCTACGACTACATTGACCCTGCTCACGAACATCGCAACATCAAGGAATACTTAATACCAGAGATGTCGAAATGGTTTTTGGAAGAAGATGAGTGGGCTGCTTGGCTCGCGCAAGACAAAGAAAAGGAAACTTCGAAATTGCTCTACATCGCTGGTCCACCGGGCTCTGGCAAAAGTCATATCGCTTTCACTGCTCATGAACGACTTGTTCAGTTGGCGCAACAAGACTCTGTTCGGAACACGTGTGTTGTGCATTACTACTTCCGCGAGACCAGAAATGAGACGAGGTGTTTTTATAACGCTATCAACTGGCTCGTCATCCAAATGGCCGAACGTAACAATCACCTGTGCGAGAAAATCAACATTGAGCTTTCCCGCGAAGACACCGACATCGACATCAACGACTGGAGAGACATATGGAAAAAAGTCATCGCACCGCTTTTTGATAGTTCATCGACGTCTCGCCTACAGATTGTGTTTGACGGTTTGGATGAGCTGGCTCCTGATGGCGTACAACGTCCTGCAGGACTTGAATTCCTGAAGACGGTCGCTGAGTCAGACCTGAACGTCAGTGTTCTGTGCACAACGCGTTCTACCTCCACGGCATCTATATTTTCGAAGCAGCTGGATGAGATTGGAAGTAAGAGTATAATGGTGACGAAGGAAAAGCAGCTGCCAGACTACAAGACTTTGATATGGCATCACCTTGATAATGACGCCAGGCTGAAGAATCTGAGTCAATATATGAGGCAGAGAGTGTCCAGTACACTGGAGGAAAAGGCCGATTGCCTTCTCTATGCGGAACATATCCTCCGAAGATTCAATAACTTGAGCCGAGAGCCGCTCATCCTTCGACACCTGGACCATGAAATGCCTGAAAATCTTGAGAAGCTATACAGTGTCATCTTGTCTGACCTACTACGCAAGACGAACAGTGAACAACGAAAAGCCTTGAAGACCCTGTTCTTATGGATCGCCTTCGCTGTGCGTCCTATTACTCTGTCCGAGGCCATGGTCATCGTTAAGCTCTCGCCAGGGAATCTCGATCTAGAAGAAGAGCTGCAAGATCCTCAACTCGGCCGTTTCCTACGGATTGCTGACCGCATAGAAGAGGTAGACCTGTCATCTCCCTCAGCGGATACTGATCTGGACGACTTGCAGGAGCAAGGAAGTCGTCATGAGAGCGCTTCCGATGATTGGAATCTGCCGCTAAAGTTTCAAGAGCGCTCTATGCGCGACTATTTCCGCGTCGCCAAATTTGACGAGGATCCTGATAGCTTGCGCACTACGGGCTTCGAGGCACACCGGCAGATTTTTGTTACACTTTCTCGGATCCTCTGCGAGAAATCTGACACAGGTATCAGCGATAGGCTGCGTGGATTCGCAGGGAGCTCCTGGTTCATGCATCTGGGCTGGGCGTGGTGGTATAATAAGCTTGGCCGCCCGACAGAAGAGCAAAAGATTGAGCTCCTAGAAGCCATGGCTGCGGTGTTCAATGGTGAAGGTGGATCAAGTGCCAACATTGAGAAGCAAGATATTTATTACGAATATCTCGGTACTAACGGCTTAGAAACGAAGGTGAAGTACTTTGCGGAGGTTGCGAGTGAGGTAGGAGAAGGAAAGCTAAAGGAAAGTACCAGCGCGTGGATCAGAGAGATATCGACCAGCTGGGAGAAAGCTTTCATCAATTTGGCGAAAGCTCACATCGGGAGGTGGTTTTCCGCAACGGATCTGAAGTCTGCTAAGCAGTCATATAGATTTGCACGGAGTGCCTTGGGCATGGTAAGCATCCCTTTATTATAATTAGTGTTCGAGCTGTAACCGAGTTATGGAGTGGACAGATACTGACGTCTCATTAGACTGACCTAAAGCATCTTAAACAAGAGATCGATTACGATGAAGACTCTGATGAAGAGACCTTGAACTGTGAAGAGATCTTAGCCATCTCTAAAGTATTTCCGGATATCACAGACAAGAACGCCTCTTACGCAGTTGCTCTGCTTTTATACGACTCTGAGTACTACATAGATGCCCTTCCAGAAGCCGAAAAGGCCCTCGAATTCGCGTCATCCGACCCAGTCAAGAAATTTCATGCGACTGATCTCCTCGCCAACGTCCAGTACGCGCTTGAAAAGTACGAAGCTGCCCACAGCACGATCACTTCCACACTTTGTGACACTGCAGACATTAATCCAGCTCAGGTCCGCCGTTCACTTGTCACTCGCGCCAAAATCGAGTCTGCGCAGTCGCTGGTAGAAGATGCTATGGCAAGCTATGAAGAGGCACGGCGCGCACTACCAGACACGCCCATGCTGGGTGAGGACCTGCAGGACCAACTTGGCTCCCTCGTTTCCAACAAGTATGATGATCCTGCTGCCATTGTCAACGCAGTCAAAAGCTGGACACCGCTTGAACGTCTCGCTTGGGCAACATGGAAGTACGATGTTGACGGCGAGCAGCATCTGGATTTCCAGCGGGCATGTGGTCGTGCAAAGGAGATAAACTTCATGGTCGCCACCTACAAGGAAATCATAAAAATGCTCGATGCTGTGGATGCCGGCGCACCCATGCGAAAGGAGCTTGCACTTACACAGTGGGAAGTATGTGGGGACTTGGCCGCTGCGAAGGAACTCCTTGACGAGATACTAGACAGGGAATCAGACGGGTCGGACTACAGGTTCACAGGGCAAGACTCCTCCTGGAACATGGTGCAGACCATCGATGCCATTAGTAACGTCCTCTACGAACAGTTCCGCACGACTGCCGATCCCAAGCAAAAAGCCGATATCATCGCAGAAATGAAGGAGGTAACGAACCGGCCGCTACCACGATCGATCTCGTCGTGGAAGTCGATGCTTAACAGCCATAGACTGATCTTAGCACGCATGGTAAAGAAAATGGGGCCCGTCTCCGAGTACCAGAACCTTCTCCAGCAAATATTTGACGTTTGCTATGATTCTTTGACTGATAATGTTGGGTGGAACGACTCGGATAATTTGCGGTCTTTGGCTATGGTGCTCTCGGTGATGGGTGGGTTCAAAAAAGAGGCGCAGATTTTGATATCGGCGATTTTCTCGAACTTGGATAAGACTCTGGATGCAAACGAAGATGAGAAAGAGGGAGAGCAAGATGTTGACGGCGAAGCCAGGCCAGAAATCGATGACCAAAATCATGAGACGCATGACCAGGACCATGAGAAGCAGGATCATGGAGATGACGAGACTGGCGATGGAGACGACGAGGACGAGGACGAGGACACCAGTTCCACCTCCTCCCTCCCCACCGACGAAGGTGACCTGCTAGGCGATAGTGGGTACTTCTGCTACGGAGAGTGCACCGACGGTACTCGCTACCGCGCCTGGAAAGGCCGTGCCCTGTATGTCTGCACCATTTGCGCGGACGTCATATTGTGCGAGGCCTGCTTCCAGAAACGCCAGGAGTACAATGAAGGCATCTCATCTCCAAGAACAAAGGTCGGGGCTGAGTATTGCGGTATAAACCATCAATATCTGAAGGGTCCAGTCGAGGGGTGGAAGGGTGTGAATGACGGGGTAATTATGCTTGAGGGAGAAGAGGGAGTGGGGCTTAAGACGTGGTTGGCGAGACTGAAGGAAGAGCGGTGGAAGGGCGCATGGGAGGCATTCTGGTTGAGGGAGGATTAGCCTTTGGTATTGTAGGCGGTACTCGCATCGTTATTGAATGGTTATACTTTTGCCAAAGCAGGACCGTCCTCCCCTAATGGACTACCATAGCTATCCCTATAGTTATGTCACGTGCGCAAAGACGTAAGCGCGCATGCAGGCTACAAGGCTGACCTCAGGCGCCGATTATTCTGCACATTTTGGCCGAAAAACATAACAGCGACACTATCCCTTCGTCACCTCGGTCGGCGTGCGACAACCGATGACAAAAAGAACCGGTGCTCCGTTCTCTACCATAACACAGTGCCCCGAAGCCACGCCAATACACTTGATCCATGATATCCTACCCCGCAGCCTGCGGCCGAGTCATCCCAAAGGTTCACAACCAGGCACCACTAAGGCTATCCACCTGCCAAGGCCCACCGCGACACAGGCTTCGTCATGGCGATACGACTGATTGATACCAAGACCCTCAGTATGAGCTCTTTCGTGGGGTCTTCTGTTCCGAAATACGCAATTCTGTCCCACACCTGGGGTGCTGATACAATGGAGATCACATTTCAGGACATGATCGCCTTGACCAGGGGATTTGAGCGTTCTAAAAAGGCGAGTTCTGGGTATCGCAAAATTTGGAAGACTTGCCAAAACGCTCGGTGGGCCGGCATTGGATATTGTTGGGTTGACACTTGTTGCATCGACAAGACGAGTAGCCGTGAGCTGAGCGAAGCCATCAACTCGATGTACAACTGGTATCGCGATGCAGTCATTTGTTATGTTCTGCTTTCTGATTATGAAGTCAGACCTATAGCGAATCACAACACACTGGGTGGTTGCAAATGGTTCACTAGAGGATGGTGTTTGCAAGAGCTCGTGGCGCCGCGACACGTGAAGTTCTATGATCGATTGTGGAGATTTATCGGAACTAGGGAAACACTGGCATCTTCTATCTCTACGATCACGATGATCAACACCAATATCTTGACTGGTCAGGTGCCGATCGAATCGCTTCCAATAGCACAAAGACTGTCGTGGGCGGCTAACAGAGAGACAAAGCGAAAGGAGGATATCGCTTACTGTCTACTGGGGATCTGCGACATCTACATGCCAATCCTATACGGGGAGGGATCGAGAGCATTCATACGTCTGCAGGAGGAAATCATAAAACGCTCGAACGACCTCTCGTTATTCGCAACGCGGCAACCTGACACGAGTGGAGGACCGGATCCATTGCAGCGATATCGTGATCTGCTAGCACCTTCTCCGAAGCACTTCGCCCATTGTGCGGACCTTTACTATACGAGCAATGACACTTACCAGAGCAGTGCATATGCCATGACCAACAGAGGACTTCACTTTCCCGAGGCTTATGTGTATTGTGATTATCATTGTGGCGTATACCTCATGGAACTGAACTGTAAGAATCCGGGAACACGGAGTAACGGCCAGCTAGTCCTTCAGCAAGTTGGGCCCAACCTTTTTGCGAGATGCCATGACCAGCTACTTGCAAGGGGAGTAGACCGTCTGCTTTTTAAGACCATTCTAAAGGAACATATATACATCATCTCGAATATACGACCTTCGCTGCAGGCGCATTTGAGCATAGCAGCCGAATACGCCATCACAGTGCCGTCTCGTTGGTTGAAATTTCCTCGCAAGCAGGTGCTGGAGGTTTTAGAGAGACCACTCTTCAGAGGACGCTGGGACATTGCTAGCATGCAGTTTCTCACGAACGGACTTTCTTACTTCGAAGCTATCATGAAATTCCACCCAAGGCGAGCATTGCATGGTAATGCCAACGAGATACGTCACCTACAGATCAAGAACAACAGTTGCTATTTGATGTTAGGGATTCGCAGCCCTGCTTCTGGTTCGGCGGCAACGGCATGGGTTCACTTAGTAGAAGAGACTGTCTGGCAGTTGTCACAGGACCATAACGACAAAATGAACCCCTTATCTCTGCCGGCCATGCTGGGTATCGATATATTGGATACTCGTGCCACACGAGCGAGGCTGCACCTTGGTGCACAAAAGACAGACCACGTGTACCTTGATGCTTCGATTACAGTAGATGATCAACAACGGAAGGTCAATCTGAAGCTGGACTTGAACTGGGAGGGTGGTACAGTGTAGTTCTATCGTGTTCAATCGTTCACTTGTTCGTATGTTTCACTCAAGGATGGTTTGTCGCCAAAGAGACTCACACCAGAAGTGTGAGCCGTGCATTCTTGAGACTCATATCAGCAAAGAAGCCGGGTCAGAGCTGGACCAGATAGGGATCCACTTGGTGGAATGCTTCATGATAGTTGCGCTCATGCACACACTTGCAGATGTTTTCCCTTTCCTATACTTTTTGTCTTGGATAAGAGCGTGTCCGCTAAAGTACCTGGGTTGCTACATAGCTAATTTCTACCTTGAAATCGTATAGTACCATCAGTTAGTGCCAGAGGGTTTAATCTTGATCTGGCCCTTTCTGAGCTCGACTATTTCATACTGGCCGGCGGCGTCTGCGCATTACATTGATATTGCCCTTGCCTGGCAAAGCCCTATACTGAACTTCCGAAGCGCGTCAAGCATTTTATCCCTAGGACATTTCTCGTGGCATTCTAAGATAGGGTGTGAGCTTCCACTTCAAGTCAATAACAGAGAAAGCGCATGATAATGAAAGACTGCTAGCCTAGGACTGATCTGCAGAGGAAGCATTTGAAACAGATGCGGGCTTCCTTCCGTCCAACACATTTAGGGGACTAGAAAGCTCCACTCTCAATCTGCCATAAGCTTTTCCTAGCAGAGCGCTAGAATGCGAAAGTGGCAAACACTGTCCATAGTGCTTCATACCATAGTTATTCGTAGATCAACAGAAAGACAGTGTTGTAGACATCGCGAGGAAGTAGAACTCGGAATTAGAAGCGGATGTGGAGGTAATGGTAAAAACTGGGTTGAGTGAGAGCTCGTTTGGGGATAGTAGTGTACAAAGCCATATGCGGCACGCGCTAAACTCCCGTTCCAAGTATATGCACAAGAAGTGAATGATCCCGGGCACAACCACCCGGCAGGCCTGAGCTAGGGCAATCCCTAGCATCCCAGTATGACCAATGATAAGTGCGTGGGGTGTAGCCAACTCCAACTTTTCATTTCCAAAACATGGTATCGCGGCTCCTAGACAGCAGAGTACACAGCCGTGCAACCCCGTCCACACTCGACCTTTTGTTCCATCTCGACATTCCTCCCATTAACCTTAACCTTCTGCCTCGGCGTAATCTGGAAACGATGCATCGCCTTCTCGCGCTTCTCCCCAAAGAATCCTAGTCCTTTCTCGCGCTCCGCCTCGGCCGCCTGGTCTAGCGGCTGGATATAGGTCGGGTTCGGTGCGTTGCTCCGCTTCCCTGTGCCAATCTGGTAGTACTCGTTATTGCCCCAGAAGAGAATGTCGCGGCCCCAATTTGTGTCATTGGGCGTCAATTTCGAAGAACGACGGGAGGTCGCCGGAACAGCGACGGAGGCGACGTTGTCCATCACGGCGGAAGCATGGTTCGCGCCGATGCTCATGTACGCGAGCTTGATTGGTATGACGGTGCTCGTGGGCTCGTCGTACTCATACAGCCCTGAAAATGTGGGCAGCTTGGTGGGTGAGGACTGATTGTGCGTCCAGCGGCCGTTACCAAGCTGGCCTGTGAGCCCGAATCCGAATGCCCAAACGTCGGCTTGCACGCGTGTGGAGTCGCGAGCGGTGGCGACAGGCTTGGTGGCCTCGATGGTAAGGAAAGAGGTGTTGCCACCAGCGAAAACGTTGGTTACAGAGGCTTGTTGGGCGGTGCCAGTGTAGAGGCGTTGTGTGGGAAGGAGGGAGGGCGCGTCGATGAACATGGCTTCGGGATTGAAGTCGAAGCCTAGCTGGCCGGAGGAGTTCTGTGGTGGTGAGTATGTAGTTTTGAGGCATGGGAGATAGTAAGACTTACGTCGCCGAAGCCAAAGGCTCGCCCGGCTGCATCACTGACAAGACTGTGGAAGTCTCCGGTTGCGATGTGTTGTATGGGAAAGCCTTTGAGGGTCGTGATCTCATGCGGATTATCGAAAGCACCCGCTGGGCGCGTTTCCCAGGTCAGGCCTGGGACACCGAGCTGGCCTTTGCGCGGGAAGTCTTCGGTTCCGGAGGCAAAGGAGAAGACGCGTCCAGCCGAGGTGAGCATTAATGCATGCTCTAAACCAGACGAGATTTGTGTAACGCGTTCGCTCCATGCGAGGTTTTGTGGTGTACGGAGGCGGTAGGAGACGTCGTTCGACGATCCCCAGAAAGGTATCCACGATGTGGAGGCTGGCTTGGGGCCAGTCCGTTGTTCTTGTTGCGAAACAGGAATCGAATATACATCGCCCGATTTGGAAAGCGCTATGATTCTGTCTCGAGAAATTGAGAGGGATGACAAGTTCTTTCCCCTCAATGTCGGTGTCGGCTGTGTCGTCTCCTTGGAAAAAGCGGTCCCCCATTGCAGCAGATCGCCTCTCTCGTCGATAGCAGCGCCAAAGGCTCTATCCATCTTGATATCCCTCAGCAATTTTCCATCGAAGAAAGGTATCCGTCGCGGTGATTTTATGAAAGTCTCATTAGAGTCCGGTGCCACCACCTTGCCGGAATTTGACCCCCATGCATATACTCCAGGATTCTCCCAGCTTTTTTGCACCTGCAGATGCTGCGAACTGATAATGTTCCTGTTGTCTTCCTCCGACTTCGCTTTCCGCCGGGGCTCCTCAAAGTTCAGCTCTTGCTGCTCCTGTGGCGGCTCCTCCGCATGCACCTCGCGGAGGAACTTCTCTCCATTATACCACTGCCATGCAGTTGCGGTGGCCCAGAGGGCTGTGACGGCGACGACGGAACGGACAAAGCGCTGCTGGCGGCGCTGCGCGTACGGGTGGGGTATTGCTCTTGCTCTGCTCGGATACGATGATCTGGAGGTAATGTTCCTACTGGTGCGCGGGGCCTGGTGAACTCGAAGTGTGGCGCGTGAGAGGCATCTGCTGCTGAGCATCGTGTTCTGGGACGATTTATGTGCTATGGAGGGAGTGGTCGGACAGTGGACAGGACGGATTAGACACAAGACATTGTAGATAAGAGTAATTGTAGTAGTGAGGTAATGGAGAAGCGCTGGTTGGATGGCAGTGGAGACGCTCAGTAGCTGCGATGCGGCGAAACCAACGGCGATGCGGCGAAACCAACGGCGATTTCGGAAGTCTAGAACGTCACCATTGGAGAGCTGCCATTGACGTCGTTCGGAGCGGGCACATTGATGGGGCGATTCGGAGCAGGGCAACCCCACGCTCCGGAGCTAGCAACGTAGTTTGGTCTTCGTGGCCGTGACCGACGCAAGGGCACCATTCACTCCCGCGGCAGGTCGTCCCTTCCTTCACAATGTACGAAGATGCGTCTTGGTATTCGTCCTTCGTGCCGCGGGCTGTCAAGCCCATCGAGAAGACCAAGCATCGTCGCCGCGAGTCGCGTCTCGAGCAGCCAAACGTAAGCCCACTCTCCGTCCCATGGGTATGTTGTCGCGTACGTGTATTGATTGTTTGTCATGTAGGAGGGCCCCACTGACGTCGAGCGCGCAGAAGCCATCGTCGAGTCCGTAGAAGACCAGCCGGGAAGCCTCAATGGCCCGCCGCCCGCCACCGTGGCCAGACGCGCAAAGTCGTACAGCGATTTCTACGATGTCGTCCGCGCCCATCTGAAAAAGGAGAAGGAGCTGGAGCGCAAGAAGTCACGCGAGAATATCAGCAATGAGCTGGAATTTGCAGAGTGGTGAGTAACCTCAAAGCAGACGAGAGTACCCACGCTCATGGCTCAGGTACAACGGCATCCACGAGGAGCTGCTGGATGCCAGCCACGAAGAGTACAAGCTCTACCAGGACCAGCTGCATCTCACCCGAACCCACCTCGACACAATCATGGCCGATACGACCGCCGCACTCGGAACGCTTTCGTCCCTCACCGCATCCTTCCAGGCCGTCGACGCTCAGACCACCGCCTTCCGTACACAGTGCGAAGGCCTGATAGATGACCAGAAGCGCATCACAAAGCTGGCAGAGGGCATGGAGCAGAACCTACGCTACTACCTGTACCTAGAGCCCATGACGAAGAGGCTCAATGCCCCAGGAGCTGCAAATATTGTTCGTGGGAAGGAGTTCACAGATATGCTGGCCAATCTGGACAGCTGTCTCGAGTACATGCAGGCTCATCCCAAGCACCGCGAGTCGGCCACCTACCGCTCCAGATACCGCTTGCTCCTCACTCGCGCCCTGACGCTCATTCGTGTACACTTCACGAACGCACTTCGTGAGATCGCCGCAGACGTAGCGAAACGAATAGCAGACCGGCAATTGAACGACACCACATCATCGGCCTTGTTGTATGCAAAATTCCGTGTGGGCGCACCAGAGCTTAAGAGAATGGGTCTAGAGATTCAGAAACGAGCCGTAGTGCCCGCCGGCGCAGAGCCTGGAGCGGAGGCCGAGTACCAGAGCTTGATGAACGAGCTATACCAGAGCTACTCGGCGACTCGCGGACGCCTGATTCTGCCCATGGTCACTAAAAAGATTGGCGAGATAGCCCAGGCGCCGAGCTCCTCTAACGATCTTGTTGCCTTTGCCCGCAGTAGCATAAGCTACATTCGCCGAATATGCTCCGATGAGTCCGATCTTTGGTGTGAGTGGTTCGAGGGTGAGCGCGGCATGTACGACTACTTGGAGGCCATGTGCGAGCCCATGTACGATCATCTGCGCCCGCGAACCATCCATGAAACCCAGATACTGAAGCTGTGCGAGCTGTGCACGTTCATTCAAACACAGTACATGGAAGAGGAGGACGAAGACGAATCGCCTATCGAGGCGCCCAGGTTGGATTTCCAAACGCTTGTGCAACCGGCACTGCACGACGCACAGGATCGACTTGTATTCTTGTCTCTTGCAATCCTTCGTGACGACATCGAACGCTACAAGCCCAAACCAGAAGACCTGGATTATCCACTCAAGAATAAGAAGCACGCTCTGTCAGGGTCCAAGTCGAACCAACCAGTGCTTTCAGGGAAGAAGGCACCCAAAACCGATCTGCCGCCCACTCCGCAAATGCCGAAGACGCCCACAGTGGTTGAAGAAGATGATCCAGATGCCAAATGGAGCTTCAACACCGAAGCTGCGTTCAAAGACTGGTATCCCACACTGAGAAAGGCAATCTGGTTACTCAGCAAAATTTATAGGCTTGTACATGTAAGTTGGAAATCGCTGTCACAACTCGATACCCCTAACATTCAACTAGTCCTCCGTCTTTGACGACCTTGCCCACCGCATTGTCCACAGCACCACTCTCTCCCTTCGCCACGCCTCAACCCTCATTACCAAGTCCGCTTCCCCTACGGACTCAGCCCTATTTCTAATTTCCCACCTGCTCCTCCTCAAACAGCAAATCGTCGCTTTCGACATCGAGTTCGTCACCCCAGAGACAGACCTCCAATATGACTTCTCCAGCATCACGAACACCTTCTGGGAGCTGCGCTCCCGCGGTAACCTCTTTAACCCCCGTGAGCTCGTTGGCCTGCTCATCCCAAAGGTGGTGGAGAATATGCTCGACGCCAAAGCCGAGGTCGATACAGTTCTGCGCCAAGCCATCAACGACTTCACCGGGCAATTCGTCACGCGCATCACCGAGCCTATCAAATCCAAGGACGGCAAGACAGTCATGAAAGTGCCGCCCGCGGAAGCAGCGCCACGCACAACGAAGATTAGGAAGAACCTCGAGCGCGAGACGCCGTTCCTTCGTTCTAAGCTTGAAGAGTATATCACCGACCACCGCACGCGCGAGATGCTTGTCGCCGCCGTTATGGAGGCCATCACACAGACGTACGAGGACTGGTTCGATACGGCGTACACTCCTAGTCTGAACGGTGCGGGACGCAGCGCGAAGGGCAAAGGGCCTGCGGACGGGGTCTGGGATCCGGATGTGTTTTCTGAGTGGTGTACGGGTGTTTTTAAGCTGGGCACCTTGGGGCTGGGCATTCTGGGCGCTGGTGAAGAAGAATATGACAGGGAAGAGGATGACAGTGACGCTAGTGATGCAAGTATGAGGGCGGTCAGTGAGAGGACGGGTACGGAGAGGACGGGCGGGACGGGCATCAGAATTCGGATGTAAAAGCTCTAGCAGCGGCGAGATACGATAATATAGCGATGATAGATCGCACTGAGAACATCATTTGATCAAAGCTAAGCTTAAGCGCTCCCTGACCAGCGATGTTCTTACTTCTCTGTCCCTTTGTTAGCTCCGACATACTTGCTTACACCGTCACCACGTTAACACTTCTATTCCCTCCAATTCCACCCCGACAACCCCCCAAACCCACTTTCTCGATCATACCCTCCGTACGCACAATTTTTTATTATTCTTGCTCCCTCTTTCTCTTTCTAACACCTATGTTCTTCTTGGTAGCACGCCTACTTTCATACCCCTTGCCTTTCCTCCTATTCTGCGCTTCCACTCTTGCAGCACGCTTCTCTTTCCCTGCATCTGTTCTAGGTCGGGCTACGCGGGTCGAGCGTTAACCGGCGGTGCTTTAGGTGGAGCCGTGGCGCTGCAGTGTGTTGCATTATTTGAAGAGCCAGCCGTCGGTTCCTTCGTTACCAAACCTTTGCGTCTTCTAGCTTCTACAACGCGATTCCTCGAAATCGAATCCAAACAATGCGCGAAGTCCCGTACTCGCAGCCATTCTCGTATAACACATTCTAAGCTGACATTAGTACTAATCCTTGTTACCTAGTAACGCAAAGAACAGAAGCAGATCCGTGTTCCCCAGATTCTCGGCAGTTCGCCCTGCTGCAGCCTAAATACCGCGTCTCGGCGGACACTTCACGTAAAAGGTGTTAATGTGAGACAGATGTGTAATTGGCTGCGCGAACTAGCCAGCTTGCTATGATAGGCTGTCAAAACATAGAAGCAATCTACATGCGTTGACATATTGAGTAGTGAAGCATCCGGACCGTTCAAGGAAACCGAATCGCGTTTCGCGAAGGGCATATATCATGGCAAAGGAGAACGTCTCGAGCTCTCTTGCATTATTGTCACGCATACGAAGAGAGTCTACGAGATGAAGTTCTTCACCACCCTTCTTATGGCCGTAACGGCCGTCCAAGCCCACTGTAAGCCATCTCTGACCACCCGTACCTCTACATTTCTCACTGAACCCAGATACCTTTCCCCGCCTCGTCATCAACGGAAACTCCGACGCCGCAGACTGGACCACGACTCGCCGCACCAAGAATGCCGATTCAAAGCAAGGCATCGAGAACCCGACTTCGGCCGACATCCGCTGCTATCAGTCATCGAACGCGGCCAGCGTAGCGACCGTCCCCGCAGGCGCTACCATCCACTATGTGAGCAGCCAGCAAGTCAATCATCCGGGGCCAACGCAGTACTATCTCGCCAAAGTACCTACTGGAGCGGACGTAAAAACATGGGACGGAAGCGGCGCGGTGTGGTTCAAGATATCGACCACGATGCCCAAGGTCGATGCGCAGAAGCAGATGACATGGCCTGGACAGAGTAAGTTCCACTCCTCCGCTACGCTCTCCTATTCCGTCCCGTCTCACTTGATCCTCCTCCCCGTTTAGAGGGAGTGCTCAAGTGGACTATGCACTAATGTGAAGGGGGTTTCCTCTAGATGGATACATAACCTCCAACGCAACCATCCCCAAGAGCGTCCCTAGTGGCGACTATCTGTTGCGCGTTGAGCAGATTGCACTGCACTTGGCTATGAAGGCAAACGGGGCGCAGTTCTACCTCGCGTGCTCGCAGATCACGATAACAGGCGGTGGGAGTGGGAGTCCAGGGCCAATGGTGACTTTCCCAGGAGCGTATAAGAGTTCGGATCCAGGTGAGTTGCGTCGATGGGAGGAAGTGGGATGATGGAGCATGTTTCACTGACGAGATGTAGGGATCCTGGTGGATTTGGGGAAGATTGCGAGTGCGCCGGATACCTATCAGCCTCCTGGGCCGGCTGTCTGGACGGGATAGAGGGACTGAGAGGAAGTTTGGCTGATTGCGTGGTGTGAATGAATCCTTTGCTCGACGTCTTGCATGGAATGAGATCGTAAATTCTGCAGGTATCTGCTCAGCAAACGCTCCTTTTCTATGATGAGTTCTGAGTCTTCCCACTGACATAAGCTGTTTGCGCAATCTACGGCGTTTGTGTTCAGCTTTTGCTGCTTACAAGAGCTTCTAGGCGGTTGAAGATATGGAGTTATGCTTGGGATCAATATTATCTATTAGATTATCTTTCTAGTGTGTAACACATTAAAGGGTATCATCGTAAGCCCTGCCACATCAATATTCCCACGCCTACAGCTACTGAGTTACTCCACGAGAGGTCTCTAGGCGCAGAACCTTTCGCATCCGCGCTGCTAGTAGATGAACCTTGAGCTGCCCCCTCGGCTTTAGCGCCATTGTTGGCGGAACCCGTAGCAGATGGTGAAGAACCGCTCGAAGACGAGGAAGCCGATGGCGACGAAGAAGACGATGACTTGGGACACGGGTTGTCATACACAAATTGCTCAGGCACACCACTGCAGGTACTCGCTTTGGTAGCGTCATACGTGCCATTGGGATATTTCCAGCAAGTCCCCGAGGCATACGGCGAGTTGCTTGGATTATCTGGGTTGAATACGGCGTAGCTGCAGGAGTCTGCATCTGCACATTGATTCAAGCAGTCCGAGGCACCGCTACTAGCAGCGCAAGTGTAGAAGCAGTCGTCATCGGGCGTAGGGTACCCGCAAACCGATGCAACAGCGGAAGGTGAAGCGGTGGCCGTGCATGCACCAGAGGTTGGCGTTGCCCCAGCGCACTCGGGCTTGTTGTAGACGGAGAGGTAGTCGCTGCCAGCGGTGCCGGCGCTCTCGTCGAAGGTTTCACCCGGGTACAGCCAGCATGTGCCGGTGCCAGTGTAGGGGTTGCCCTTCGCGAAGATAACGAAGTTGCATGGCTGATGGGCGTTGCAGTATTCCCAGCAGTTGGCTTTTCCAGAGCTGGCGACGGCGAATTCTGGGCCTGGCTTTTTGTAGTCGGAGAGCGTGGTGATAAGGGAAGCTGTGCAGTTCGATACTTCAGCGGTGGGTATGGGATACTGTTGGACGGTTGTAGTGGGTTCTGGGCCTCCAGTAGCTTGCCGCAAGCCTTGCGCAAGGACTGTGGGAGCACATGTTAGGGCGATCGATGCCCAGAAAGGAGTGATATTCATGGTTGCGAACGAGCGTGGTTGAGGAAATGGGAAATTACGCCGAAAATCTGGGGAAAAACCACATACTGTAGGTATGATTTATAGGAGAACCAATAAACTCGGCAAGGCTCATTCGACTCAGGGTTCGAATTGCAATAACGGAGCTGCCTAAGTAAGGCAAGGGCGATCCTACGAAAAAATATATTTGGTGTCATCTTGGCCCCCAAAAGCCTTGCTATTGGTGGGTGTCTTCAGCCTAGCCTCGTTCAGCCACCGCAACCTTATGACTGTGCCACGCTAGAACTATTGCAGAGCGCACCACCGTTCATCTCCCAGTCCACTCAACTCATGCATACGGCCGTAGTTCCTGATCGCTCCTCGAGAGCCCAGCCCCTTCACATAAAGACCTTTTAGTCCCTCATCACACGCAGCACCATTCTCAAGCATCGTTATTTATAACGTGCAGGCTTACTGTCGCCGAGTACAACTCTGGTCCTGCTCTATTCGCCGCCTTATACAGCTCTGCTTCTTGAAAAGGATCTCTGTTTTTAGCACACCGTTCACTGCACCCGATATACCCATCCAGCACAGCTATTGCCAGTACCGTTGCAGCCACTTCGGCGTTGTCTCGACGCTCATGTGTATGTCTTACTGCAACCTATTGTAGCTTGCTTAGGTACTCTTGAAGGCGGCAGTATTTGAAGTCGCGGATTGCATATACTATCGAAACCTAAGGGACAGCTTTTGGTACCGCATCCATCCATGAAAGCGAAAACGGCTGGCTACATAGCTTTGTTTGACTCGTCGTAAGGGCTCATCTTCTGTCGAAAAAAGACCTCTCTCGCCTCTCCCTGATATCCAAACTCCACCTGTATGGGAGATACGTTGCTCCTGCAACTGAAGAAAACGAAGATACTGCACTTCGAAGCACTGCATCCTACGCTACATATCTTGCTCGTTACTCTTACCATTTTGAAGCATACAGATCTTGTTGAGTCGGTGGAACCAACAAGTTTTAGCGGAAAAGGCCCTCGCAAGAAGCCGAAACACGAATTCGTGTCTGAAACGGCCCCAAACACATAATAAAGTATGTGAGGGAGGCAACCCACAGGCCGACAGAATGTTCATGCAAAGAAATCTCTTTTTAAGAAAACCATATGTAGAGTATTAATGATCTGCTTATGAATGAGAGCTGGGGACTGATTATTAAGAGGATGTTTTTAACCTTCGATGTGGTTATTGCCACATTGCGGTATATTTTGCAAGCCTCAAGGTCCTCGCCTAAGATTCGACTCCATCCGCTGGTACACCTTTCTCTCCGGGAAGTTTTGCCTTTTACAGTCACCGTTTCGGCTTAGGAAGCTAAAAAAAAGTGCGCTTCAGGCAAACTCTATCACGAGTGAGCAACAGACGAGGAGAAGAGACTGCCTTAACGTATTCTATAGTACTTTCCCTAGCTCAATGTCGAGAGGAATAATCCTCTCTACCATACCGCAAAACATCGACGGAAACAATCCCTACACTGTCGACAAAGGCTTAGGTACGCTGATAAATCTTTATCGCCCCTCCGAGCTGCAGGTTTGCGCTTCTGGTTCGCTAGTGTGATGATGTAGAGCTTGTCCTGGGTCTCAGAGAAGTTGATCCGTCCAGCCCGGAGAACTCTTGCTTGAGGAATGACTGTAAGTACTACTGGGACAAGATCTAGAATGAAGAGGCAATAGTGAATGAAATGTGACGCTGGCTAGGAAGGCACGCATGGAAGGAGATTACGCTTTAGTGCTTGGTATAGAAATCGGTACAATCGTTGGGCGAACAGCGGATGGCTTCAATACCAAGATGAGTTGAGAGGTGTGGTCGAAGGACAAGGATTATAGTTTTGGGCCAAGCAGAAGGGTGTGACTGCTATAGGCCTGGCATCGTTTCTCTATCATTCATTGAGAATGTTCGTATCGACATGTTGTAGTAGGAGTCTGTAGGTACACACACGATCGAGCATGCTGTTGTCATATCCACTCAAGATGCGTGTACCTAGCCTTGGCAAGGAGAATAGAAGACAACTATCCGTTACCAAACGTGAGTAAGGTTAAGCTGCCAGCATCTTTCCTTGGAAGTACTTAAAAGAGTCGCTCAAATCGCCATCGTTCGAAGAAAGATTTGTTTTGCTGAGCGGGTTGAGACCTTCAGAAGTTTGGAGTGACAAAGGCATTCCTATGAATTCACATTAGAACGTTTAACATTATGAGGAAGGAATTTATCAAGTAGCGCTGGAAACTCTTGAGGCTAGTGCGCTCGGTCATTGCTTCCACGCATTAACTGAGATCCTAAGTTACCTTCATGCATATGATAGTATGCCTGACGCAAGATGGGCATACCTATACAGTCCGTGAAGCCGTGGCGTGAAACAAAGATCAGTTGATACTGTGCGTATCAGTGGTCGCCGATTGACTTTCCTGCATGTAGCCAGAACTCCTGAACATCCACTACAGAAGTAGTAGATGGCTTCTCGACTTTTGACATAACGCGGGGACTAGTATCAATCGCAAAGTTGGTCAAAGCAAGCACGAGTAGGTCCGAGAAGCAAATGTGTGTGATGTCGGAGGCTCAGCTCGCGCAGTCAGCTCGCCAATCAATCAATAATGTACCTCGGGTGAAGATTGCATCTAGTTTTGATTTGGCCAGGCACGGCGAATTCTGGCCGATGTTGCAATCTACGATACCTAGGTAGGTGTAGGGCTGAAACGCCGCTATACCAGATCAGCGCTATCTACTGGGATATCGCCATGAGGCGTCGCTGACCTCATGGGATTGTTCAGATATTGTGGGAGGTCATAGGTGATATCTTGTGAAGCGAGATGGTCCGGTACGGCTCTAGCAGCCGTTCGCGCATCCATCGCTTGAGGCCCAGACGCGTTCGACAGGACAGGCTTTCGCCCCCAAATAGGTGCGCGAGATTCTGCAATACGGGATTCGTACGCTTTGAGCCCGCTAGTGAGATTATGGCGTATAGCAATTCTATGTCTGCAGCTGTGACATTTATCTGATTGTAGGCCGCCCACCTTTGTAGACTGCCTGTCCACTTACCAAACGGTTCCTTAGACTACACAATGGCCTTTGAATGGATATTCCCCTGAGGGCACGTCAGAGGAAGTTGTCACACAATCCGCTGGTATCGGTCCTGTATATCTCAATGACGGCTTCCAGCTCGAATGGAGACCAGCAGACCTGCGTGTCACCATTCTACTTGCATGTGATGAGGCCGGTGGAAGTAAGTGATTCTTGTTCAGATATGTATGGCACTAGATCCTGACAATGCATTCCATCAGCCTACTTCATCGGCAACCGATCCTACGATGCTTCACCGGGGTTTTGGCGCTTGACCGACCTACCTGTATACGACGAAAGCCCCAATTGCCATTTCGCATATGACGGCTCAGATGGCAATGCGAAGCTGTTCCGATACATGAACACATCAAATCCGAAGGGAAGCACGACGTGGAGCGCTTCCGCCTCAACAACATCATCGTTAGCCTCAACGTCATCAGCATCATCGTCGTCCTCCTCTACGTCAAGCAGTGCAACGTCATCCAATTTATCCGCACAAGCCACATCGTCCCAAACGACTGTGCACACGACCTCACACAGCGACATACCTGCAGCAACCGCGACGCCCGATGCGTCCAATGACAGTACAACTCCTTCGTCGCATACCAATAAAACAGCCATCGGTGTGGGAGTCGGTGTCGCCGTTGCCTTCATTATTGCACTCATCGCTGGGTTGCTCCTGTTCCGGAGACGCCGTAGGCAAAAAGTGGCAGAAACCTATGGTATGCCTGCTACAGAGCAGCTGGAGAAGTATTACATGACCGCGCCGCCAGTGGAGCTGGCTAGTGATAGAGCTTACGAATTGAACGGAGAGAATCAAAAGACGGAGATGGAAAGTCAGGACAAAAGGAAGCTTGGTGCAGTGGAGCTTGGATGACTGGAGATCACAAACTCGATTGGGGTCGTTCACGTAAGCAAGCTCTTTGGAGCGATGAAGGAAATTGCTATTAGATTTGCAGATTGACCAAAGATAACCAAGGATCACCGTCAGCAATAGTCGATGTTGTAAGTCTTGTGGGAGATTCGGGAAAGGCCTTCTCTAATTGAATCGAACTTGCGCAAACACCAGAGTCTTGTCCCGGATGCATTGCGTTCCACAATGTCTCACGCGCCTACGGAAGTACCGCTCAAAAATTCATGGGATGCTCCATCGGCAGATCAGCCTCGGACATCGCACAAAATTCCAATTGAGAAATTGCATCGCTCCCGTAATGAAACATATTTAAGAAGTAAGCGCGAATACAAGAGGAGAGATAAAGTCTAGTGCAGATGATATGCTGCGTCTAAGACGGACTGTCAAAGTGAACTTGATGGAGTCTGAAGAACGATATCTAAAGAAGATAAGCCCACACTAAAAACTGGAGGTGATGCGATCATCCGCCTCAGCACCTGCTCCCTAGTTCTCTTTGACCTCCAGATATTTGGAGATGGGAGTTGGCGATGTGGTTGGTTCTTGACCACGGCGATAGCGCCAGAGAATTTCTTTGTGAACTGATCCGCTGAACCAGGGTGTGATGGACTCGTCCATGCTGTCCAGCCAACCCTCAGATGCATAGTCAACGGCCATGTCTACGAAAAGACGATGAAGTGGGGTAAATCTCATGCGACAAATGCAGAAGCTCTTTTCGTCAGTGCACTGGTGGACGATACGACAGTGCAAAAGCATGGACAAGTCCGGGCACTGTTGATACTCCTGAAACCACTCCATCAAGGCTTGTGTGGCGTTATCCCTTGTCAGCGGTTCGTCGAACACATGCCCAACTTGCCACACGTTCACAATCCGAAGAAACTTTTGATCAGCGTCGCCCACAAGAACTGGTAGAGTCTGGTATACGAGCAAGTGGATGTAGTCCTTCAACATCTGAGGGTCAAGAGAACTCCCAAGATAGATGGATCCATCTGAGTTGGCTTGCGATTTTTGACGAAGATATGTCGACTTGGAAATGATGTCTGGATCCACGTTATAGGTGATCAGGGTCCCAGAGTCGTCGAGCCTCAGTTTTATCAGTTCCCTGTCGCTCAATCTATGCCTTTTTGTCAGTACATTGCCGGTGTGTCAGGAACTCAACTTCATTTACGGGGATAGTGAAGAGCTTGCGACTCTAATTGTGCGCTTTGGAGCCATGTTATTCAGGACGCTATGGAAAGCGAAGATTGGATATATGCGTGATGGAGCCGGTCCAACAACTCCTTTTAAGGCCAGCAAGGAAAGCAGTTTGTGATAGATTAGCAGTTTAAGGTGGCAATGTTGAATATTTATGATCTTTATTAAGGTTCAGGCCTATCTTCGTAATGATGTAGAGACTCGTTCTGAGACATGGTATAGACAATGAACTACTGAAACGGTGCGCAAACAAGCTGCATCCGCCCGTCGCTACCATGCTTGGGATTAGACAAAGCAACATCATGTCTTGAAGATCAAAGTAAGGAATTACGGCTAGTTGGTGGTCTCCAGGTTATCCCGGAGCTCTTTTACCCAGTTTAATCTTCCCTCCGCAAATATTTCTCCTGTAGCTGGCATCTTATTTCCGCCTTCGAGCAATAACGTCCGTACAATGACCTTCTCAGGCATGACATCTTGGTGGTGATAGATGTGACTGGTGCAAGTTTTGCAGAAGTAGCAATGCACGGATTTTCCTGTTTCATTCGTTAGCACGGTCGCCCACAAGCCCAGTTCGAAGTGTCTTGCAAACTCACCACTTGCGCCCTTGTACTTGTACTCGCCAACATTTCCTTTACCCAATACAATGCTAAGCTCATCTTTTGGAATGATCTGATTGCACGAGTACGGCCCGCCTCCAAGCTTCTGACACGTCGCACAATGGCAAAGCACATGCTCTGCGCTCTCTAAGCGTACCGTCCACCGCACTGTTTCACAGTGACAGCTTCCTCTCCATACGCCCTCGTTCTGTTTGAGCAGTGGATGCTCCGCCTTGGCGCCAAATAATACGCCATCTTTGATATCCACAACCAAGGAGTCTTCGATTAATGGTTTCGCATCCCGCGAAAACTGCACATGCACCGGCTCCGCTGTCAGATAGTAATCCAAATCATCTTGTGAAGCAAACTCTAGAATAAATGCATGCGTCATGCCCTTCGAGTGCGGCTCCCAAGATGTATTCTTTCCGGCGCGCAAGGATTTGATGAGTGGCAAGCCAGTTTGAGGGTGTAAGGAGCGGGTCTTCAGCGACATGAAGTATTTGAAGTGGTCTTCTAGGTCGCTCCATGTTATATCTGAGCGATATTTGAAGAGAACAATGTGCGTAATGGTTTCGGCGGCCATGATAACTTCGTCGATGTTGATGAAGGGTATCACAGTCGGGAGAGAGGAAATCGATGATGTTTGCGGCGTAAGAAGAGAGGAAGATGAGCTTGTGCTAGACATGCGATGGCATTGCTCAGACGGGCGCAGACTTTTAAGCACAGCTATTGACGGTCAATTGATGTGAGGTGCTAGGCTGACCAAATTGGGCAAAGTGCGGAGATAATTGCTACAATGGGATGCAGACAAGCGTAAACGGAAGCACTTTCCGCGCTAGTGCTGGTACCCATGGCAGTAGCGTCATCTTCCCCGTGGGGCGAGGATAAACAGTATCTCTCTTTCTGTTGCGAACGGGCAAAGCAGCTATTTTGTGCAATGGTTACGATCAAGACGACCGCAGACCGTTGCGCGGATGGTTCTGCAGGATCGCTATTGTAGACAATTTTAGTAACCAAGTCGATGGCAACACTCTCTCATACGTAAGAGTCAGATCCATTTCGTCGAACATGTACGATAGCGTCTGTTCATATCATATTCTTTTATTTGGGAATCGTTCCTAATTCGATCCAAATCCTGCGGAAGTCGGCCCAGTAATGGTAGGTGCGGACGAGGCTCGCTGGTCAAACAGGTCGATCGTTCTTCTTGGTCAACCATCAATCTACCTCTTTTCCAGTGATATTGTGAGAGATACGAGCGATCATGCCTTGAACGCAGTCATGGGCTAAAGGAGGGTGAAAAGTGCTCAAAGGCAATATTTCGGCGACTAGCGAGATGTAGCCCGTGAGGTATCATCTTGGGCACTGACAATGTCTTAAGAGGAACTGGACGATAGTCGGCTCACAGTATCTAATTCCAGCAAATAGTCCCAGAATCTAATATGGTTCTGTGCTGTTGTCATAATCATTTGTATGTGGCGTTACTACCGGCGTCGTGAGACAGTGAAGCCGGTCGGCAACAGAGAAAATAAACATGGGAATGAGAGGAAATGCTTTGTAGGGGTAACTTTGAGGATGGCAAGGGCATTATATAGGGTGTTGGTGTTAGCACTGTGATGGTCATGAGATGGAAGGGCAACCATAGGCCAGCTGCTTTAGGCAAGACGCACGGACCCGGATATGAAATCATCTGCAGGCATCATGGCGTCAACCAACCAGTCCACAGCCAACTCCTTTCTCGTCCATCAATTGTCGCATGTCTTGCTGGCACGAACGGTCAGTCTGATCATCCGCATTCGAACGTAACTCATGAACCGCCCTCTTGAGGCGCAGCGTCTGAACTTGGCTAGCGCAGATGAGTCACTTTCGCTCACCTACAGCGGCTCCACCCATGTAGTAGGAGTCATCGCAGATGCCTGATTCGGATATCAATCGTCACGGCATCAAATTTACTACACTCACATATTCATTACACATATAAGAAAGTGTAAGCGCCTCGCTTTAAGTGTCAATCAAATAGACTTTGCATATTGAGCGTTTCGTTCATGATATCCGTGGCTCACCACACCGTTTCGTTTCATCATTTACATCAAATTGGAAAAATTGGAAGACATGGCGGATTCCGACCAACAACACAAGCAAGCATCCTTTGCAGCAAATTCCTACGACACGGCGCTTTGCATCATTCCACCTCAGCAGTGGTGTGAGGAGATAGACAAGCTCAGGTCGTTGTACGACAAAGCATACGAAAAATGGCCTCCACATATCAATCTCATATACCCTTTCGTTGCGCCCGAACGTCTTTTGCAAGCAAAGAAAACAATTGAGTCTCACCTTGACACGAATTTCGACGGAGCTGCCTCACGTACGATGGCATTGGGCGGAGCAGGGCTTTTCAAGCATCGCAAGGATACAACTATCTTCCTTCGGATCAACAACATCACGGAAGATGTTTTGGTATCAATGCGTTCGGCAGTGCTGCAAGCGCTCGGCCTGAAAGTCAGCCCTTCGGTTTTCCATCTCACAGTCGGCCAGGCCCAAGATAACTCCGTTTCGGCTCGTCAATTCCTCTTGGATAAGGTGAACCTCATGCCGGCTTTCGACTTTGATGCCGGTTCCCTTGTGATCCTGATTCGAGAGAAGCGCGACCAGAAAGCGGACCCCACCAGTCAAATGCGTTTATGGGGCAGCATCAACCTCTCAGGTTCGGACGAAGCGGTTCATCCTCCCATGACCGAGTTCTGGACCAACTCAGCTTCATTAGAAGGAGCACCCTCCGATGTCAACCTTGTCAATGAACATTCGTCGTCCAATGAACGCCAAGGACAGCCTGGAACTACATTCGTATTCAATCCTCAAGCACAGAACTGGACGCCCGCGGCTGTTTCATCGGAACTGAGCAGACCGACTACATTGTCTGTATCTAGCTACAACGTACTGATCGATTCGGAATACCCACCCTCACGCGATCGAGACCCGCTTCTAGTCGAGACCATTCTTGCAGAATCTGCGCTTGCGGATGTAGTAGTTTTACAAGAAGTCTCCGATGGGTTCCTATCCCATTTGCTCCAAGTTGTGCAAGTGCGAGAAGCATTCCCATATGCCTCCCACGGACCGCCCAGCCAGCCGGATATTGGCCCTCTGCCTAGTCTTCGCAATATTGTTATGCTCAGCAAATGGCATTTCAGTTGGGAGTTTGTGCCATTTCAAAGACGCCACAAAGGCGCGATCGTAGCCTCATTCTCTTCTATACTCGAGAGCGAATATTCAAAGGAAGTGCCATTGGTAGTCGCCGGGGTGCACTTGACTGCTGGATTGACGGATGGCTCAGTTGCAGCAAAGAAAATACAGCTCCAGAATGTGATCAGTATTCTCAAGCGAAAATACTCTGCCAGCCCCTGGATTGTCGCGGGTGATTTCAACCTTCCGACTTCAAGGTACACGATCGATGAGGCTGTTAAGGAAAAGTCGATCTCTAGGGAGACTTCCCACATCTTGGAATTGACTGAATCTACAATGAGCGAATCTGGACTCCTGGATGCATGGGCTGTTGCTAGAGTAGAAGGTGTCGACAAGACCGCGGCGCTAGATGCGGATGGTCTCTTCGAAGGCGAAGAAGGTGCTACGTTTAACCCCCACGAGAATTCGCTTGCTGCATATATTTCCGGTACCCCAGAAAACCGACCTCAACGTTATGATCGCATCTTTATGCGTCCTCAAGACAAATTTGCCTTAACAGGATTCATCCAGTTTGGACGACCTGAAATTGCCAACGGTACTACTTCGGTAGCAAGCGACCATTACGGGATACGAGCCACCTTCCAGATTCATCCCGAAACAGTACATCAGAGTCTAGAAGAACGGGACATACTTCAGCGGCGTGTTGTCTACCACAAACATGCCCCTCCCCAGCTTTCAAGTACTGCCGTGTTGACAGAGGCCCTCTCTGGATGCGCGGTGTTTCCTACCCAAGAAGACGAGGAGCGCTACAGACAAGCTTTTGGAATCATCAAAGAAGTGCTTCTTGGCAGTGCAGGAGGAGAGTTGAATACTCCAGAAATACCTATGGTCATTGTTCCAGTGGGATCTTATGCGCTTAATGTCTGGACAGCTGACTCTGACATCGATTGTCTTTGCATTGGGTCCATCAGTTCAATGACTTTCTTCCAATTGGCTCGTCAGCGTATACTCAAGGCTGATGTGAAGGGTATACGCATACTTCGAAAAGTGGAGGCAAACACCGGGACGATGCTGGAGCTGTCGGTCAATGGAGTGAATATGGATTTGCAGTATTGTCCAGCCGCGAACGTGGTTCACAGGTAATTTGTCATTGCCCTTTGTGTGATTTCGATGTTATTCTGATCTTGCGCGTAGGTGGTCTCAATTTCCGACTCTGTCTGCTACCGACCCGATCTTTAATCTTTCTATCCTATCGCTACGCAAGCTCAAGCCCATCCGTGACCTCACATACCTCCAGCGCACGCTTCCGTCCCTGGCATCCTTCCGACTAGCCTACCATTCCATCAAACGATGGGCCGTCGAACGGGGAATCTACTCTGCCAAGTTTGGTTACTTCGGCGGCATTCACATCACTCTGATGCTGTCCTGGGTGTGTAAGCGTCTAGCTCATGACATGGGACACGTGAGCGCCGGCGACCTCGTCCTTTCGTTTTTCTACCACTACGCGAACTTTGATTGGCAGAATGACATGGTATACGATGCTTTCTTCCACAAGAAAAAGCCACGATATCAGCGCAGCGCACGGGAACCGATGGTCATCCTGGGATTCCATGCCCCGAACTCGAATATTGCGCATACGGCTACCGCTCCAGGACTGCAAGTACTGGTCAACGAACTCAAACAGGCAGATGCACGCTTGTCAAGTCCTGGTATGACTTGGGAACATCTCCTTCATGTTGATACACCGGGGTCGAAGCCTGCCATCGAAAACTTTCTGGATTCGTTCGATAGCTACGTCAAGATCGATATCCAGTACTGGGGTCGTACGCTTTCGCGAGGTAAAGGTCTAGTGGGCTGGATCGAATCGCGATGCATCAGTCTTGTTGTTGGTATGGACACGTTCCTACGACTGCTATTGCAGTTTTAGGCTAATTGAAACACAGATATCCACAAAGCTCTGCCGAAGCTCTCTTCCCGCATCTGGCCTGCTCGTTTCGCCGAGAATGAGGCGAACGACTCCGACACCTATTACCACGGCTCTTATCTCGTCGGCTTATCTCGAAGCAATGACGATACCTTGATTAGCCAGGAGGAACGTACAGAAGCGAGAGCGGCCTTGCAAAAAGTATTCGATCGCTTTCTTACACAAGTGCGCGCGGACGATAAGTACTACGACGAAAGCTCAGCCTGGATTGGCGTTGGCTTGGTCAAGCCAGCTGAGGTCAAAGGTTTACGACTTGACGCACGCGAGTGGGGTGATTACTTGCCCGACCTAGAGCCAGAATCAGATGACGAAGAGGAATTCGATGAGCTTGATGATGACTTGGCACTACCAACTGGGCGGAGGCTCCCAGTGCGTTCTGCGCCTTCATCAACCAGCACGCCCGTATCTTCAAACAAACTCCGACCTGCCTCTGACGTCCTCAATCGGTTACGATGGGACTCAAATCTTGATCCTAGTGACTACATTGTAGGATACGAGGACCGATTCCTGGGTGCGAAGGAGACAACGCTGGAAAGGTGGAAGACGGAGCAGACAGATGAGGAATTCATTCCTCAGCATCGGATCTTGTACTTCAAAAGAAAGAGCGAAGATGGAGGAGAGGTGGTATGGGAGCGTTCCACAAGAATCGACAGGATCTTCGGAAGCGGGATTGGGAGCGGGGAGTGATGGATAGTCAAATGCGTCCTGCATACATAGAGTCAGCAAATCACTGCGGTAACCCTCGAGCTGAACTTCATTCCAATTTAATGTTTCAGCATTAATTCACGCCTTGCAACATTAGACACTGACTCATTCCTTCTTCCGATATCCGCTTGAACCATGTTCCCTTCCCCATTTCCTCACTTTGGTATCCATCTCCCACCGGATGAACACCATTACCACCGCAGTAATCCACCCTAGCACCGTATTCGCCAGCCCTCTCCAGAATCCTCCTCTAACAGCACCTCCCAATACACTCGCCATCACCGCTCTGATGATCAAGCTCGTAGCCACCAGCTCCTCGCCACCTTCCAACCCACTGATAGCTCTCCGTGCACATTCTTCCGGCTCCAGAATTTGATCGCCCTCCTCGAGCGACTTGGTTAGATCGGACTTCACGGCATCTTCGTCAGCGCAGGACTGCGTATGCATAGTCGCAGGAAACACTGTATGGATGCGCATCCGTGGTAATTCCGGGCGCGATGTCGCGTAGAGGTTCATCTCTTGAGAGAGCGAATCTGACAGAGAACGGATGGCTGCTTTGCTAGGTGCGTATGGGGTGAAGCCAGCGAACGAGTAGAAGGACACAAAGGAACCTGTGAAGATGATATGGCGTGCTGGCATTGGTGCGTTCTTTGCGTCTGTTTCCACATTGCTCGCAGGTTTGGTTGTAGGTCGCAGCCATGCGTTCAGAGTAGCGTGTGCCATGTACACGCACGAGAAGTAGTTGCTGTCCATCATGGTCTGGAACTGCTCAACTGGCGTGTCGGCGAAGAGCGTGGGATGTGCGCTTCCGCTGCAGCACCAGACAATGTCGGGAGGCTGGCCATCATTCCACTCTGTTGCTTCTGTGATAACGCGCGAGCATGCTTCCGCGGTTGTTACACTTGCTTGAATGGAGTGGAAACGTTGAGTTTCTGGGTTGCGGGCGCTTTCCTGTACACATAGTCAGAACAATGAAACGTGGAATCGGAACTGCATTCCGAGGCTTACGGTGATGCTCTTAAGGGCAGTAGCTAAGCTTTCTTGGCCACGTGCCACAATGACCAGGTTGGCTCCTTTGGCCGCTAGCTGCTGCGCTGCTGCGAGCCCGAGACCTTTCGAACCACCAGTGATGAGCACGGTCTACATCAAAGTCAGCAATTTGATCCTATCAGGATCCTCAACCGCTTACTCGGCCTTCGACGGGAAACTCGTTCTTCGTAAAGAGCGCGCCCATTGTTAGCGCCGATGCACGTATGTGTCGTATGGCAGGTCGAAGAGACGATATATCACGCGATTGCGAACGAGCTCAGAATAATGCCGTGTTCACGATGCGCCATGGACTATTTGAGATGGATGGTGATGGGAATGTAGCGGTGTTGTGAGTTTTGCGGTTGCACGGCCCCCACGCCTTATCGCTCGTTCGCACAGCCGCTAGCATCCCTGCAGGCCATTTATATCCCCGAGCATGTCCCCACATGGGAGCTAAAAATATCTGCCACGCGACACGGTGATTATCAGCCTTGCGCACAGTGCTCTGCGATCCCAAACACATACTCAAGAGCCTCAACACTTAATTTATCGACCCAGAAGATGAAAAAGAGATGAATTTAAGATATACAAGTTTGGAACAACACTGACAAGTGTGTGGGGACACTTGAAAAACGGTGACCCACGTGTGTAGCGGCCGCATGGAAGCTTCCGCATTGCTCCCGCGGAACCATCCACCAGACCCTGTTCAGTATAGCCTCATCCAGATAACCTGATTTCCATTGGTGTCATTTTCCTCCATTCGAACGTGCATGTACAACGGCGACGCTATACCACATCAACCCTACCAGCCGCGATGCCCCACGTTACTCCGCCTCGCGCTGCCGTCCTGCCCATTCTACGACGCTCTACATTCCCGGGAATGCCTGACGCTCACTGCATATCTATAAGTTGTCGCACATGCCCACAATGGAATCCTTGTTGCGAATTATCATCACGCCCAAAGGCCCGGTATTCGGTAGTGATTTGAGGAGGAAAGCAAGAATACAGCTAACATGGCCCCCATGTATGCGCAAAGCCTAATGCCTCGCAACCATCCTATCTACGCGCAAAGCCTATTTTCCCGTGACCAGCAATCGAGCGGGGATTCGAACGCTACTCTGGCCGTCAGCGGCCTCGTTATTGCGCTTGCGGTTGTCTCAGTTGGTCTGCGATTTTACACCCGCATCTTCACGAAATCGGGACTGAAGGCGGATGACTGGTCGATCTTATCTGCCGTTCTCTTCACACTAGCAACCGCTGCGGTGACCCTTGCAGGTACATACCATCCTCTTCATCCTGTCAGTCTACCAGAGCTAACATCCACAAGCGAACAGCATCGCGCCCAACGGCCTCTGGGTCTCCGAAAACACAGACACCAGCTATACCTACACCGCTCACGATGTGCTCTATCTCAAGCTCGCCTTCGCAACTTCAATCCTCTACTTCACCATTGCGACCACCACCAAGCTGGCTATCCTGCTGATGTATAACCGCATCTTCAATGTATCGAACGCTTTCCGCGCGCAACTCTACATTGCCATATCCCTTGTGGTCGGCTGGTGGATCGGCTGCACAGTCGCATCCTTCACCAACTGCATCCCACTAAAGTGGAGCTGGATCAATAGCTTTGCGGACCCGAAGTACTGCTTTGACTATAACTTGTTCTGGATGGCGAGCGGCGCGTGCGAAATCGCACTAGATGTTATCATCTTGGCGATGCCGGTCAGTGTGGTGGTCAGAATGAAGATGAGCTGGCGAAGGAAGGGTTTGGTGCTGGGTATCTTTGCTTTGGGTGCATTGTAAGTGTTGCTGTTCTTGGTAGTAGAAGGCGGATGTACTAACATGGTGGACAGCACTATCGTCACCGGTCTCGTAAGAGTTGTACTTGGCTACAAAAAGGGCAGCCGCGTTCCTTCGTACTCCAACACCGAGGTGTGGACCACTGTGCACGCAGGCATGAGCATAGTGTGCGCCTCGCTACCCATCTTCCGCCCACTTCTAAGGCGTATTGGCAAGTCGGCATTTATGTCGAGACTCTCAAGCGCGCTCTCGATACGTAAGGGGACAAGCACAGGCCGAAGTACAACTGCGAAAAAGCATTCTCCAAGTTCGAGCGCCGACACGAGTATCGCGAGCTTTGTGCAGATCGAGAGGGGAATACCTGCGTTCGTGGCGACCTCGTTCATCACGCGGCCGGAACCTGCTTTCGTAGAACCCACTTTCTGTCAGCTACCTACTATACATGTGGAAGAGCGACATAACTCGCTGACAGCGCAGTGGGCGGGCTTTCTAGAGGAAACTGATAGGAAGGATAAGAAAGGCTCGTCGATAGCTTGCGAAGAAGTTTAAATAAGAATAAAAAATTCAAATTCAATGCGTTATGATAGCTACAGAAGCAGTTGAGCTCAAAACAATTATTGATCTACGATTTGAGCATGAGTTAGCATATCGCGTGGAGACAAAGTACAAGGAGCAATGGTGCTTGAACGTAAAAAGGAGCGTGACTGCACTTGACTTCTAGAACACGGTTGAGATACCATTGAATCACCTTTGCAATCAACAAGATGAGTGGAGTTGCTATGCATTCCTTGCTTGACCTAAACTACACCCTGGCATACCTCAATGCCTTGTGCATGAGCCAAAACTCCACCTCATCATGCTTCCGTTCTCATCCTAGAGAATTCGATGCACAAAGCCACTCCCTGAACGCCATAAACCCCAAAATAGCTCCTGACTGGACTCCCTTCACCTTGCCCGAGCCCAACAATACGAGCAGGCCACAGCCTCGCAAATCGTGCAGTGGTAAGACACTTGCACACGTGTCATGCAGAAGATGCAATTGGTCCTACCGTCCAGCGTCCGCCAACGATCGGGATTATGAGTGCACCTGTTCCTAGCAGCCGGATGACCAGCCATGCGGACTTCGAGGCCATGAGCCGTTGAGCTAGCGTGGTCAGTACGGTACATAAGACTTAGAAATAGAATAGACTTACTCTGTGTGATCCTGCGAGTAGTACTGGGATTCCGAATGCCTATACGAGAAAGTCGGTTGCTCTTGCGAGGAGTACTGGGATCCCGTATCGCTATACGTATGAGAGGAGGACGCTGGTTCGTCTCGCGAGTAGTACCGTGATCTTGTATAGCTATACGTATAAGGAGACGCCGGTTGCTGTTCTGAGTAGCACTGGGAGCCCCTACGGCTATACGTATTAGAGGAGGAGGACGGTTGCCCATCTGAGTAGTACCGGGATCTTGTATAGCTATACGTATAAGGAGACGCCGGTTGCTGTTCTGAGTAGCACTGGGATCCCCTACGGCTATACGTATTAGAGGAGGAGGACGGTTGCCCATCTGAGTAGAACCGGGATCCTGTATGTCTGTACGCGTTAGAGGAGGACGCCGGCTGCCCTTGCGAGTAGTACCGCGATCCCGTATGCCTATAGGTGTTAGAGGAGGACGCCGGTTGCTCTTCCTCGAATTCGGAGCCAACATCGTTATATCGGGCATTTTCGTTTGGCCTAGTATAGGCGCTGGTCTGACGGGGAACGTTGGCCGGATTAGGGGCGCGTGGGCGCGGGTTGAACGCATTGGAGGGACGCGTCGCGTTGTAAGCAGTCTCTCGCTGCTTGCGCATCTTCTCGTCATACTGATCTTCTGAGCTGGTATCACGAAGGGCCTCATAGGCTTCGTGCACCTTACGGAACTCGCTCGCAGAGCCTTGTTTGTCTGGGTGGTGAACCTTGGCTAGTCGATGAAATGCGGCCTTGATCTCCTTGGCCGTCGCATCCCGAGTCAAACCGAGATCGGCGTAGAAGTCGCGGGTAGGACTAGTGTTAGACATGTCAGCGGCTTGAATAGTCAAGCTAGGAGAAGCAAGTGGATAGTGTGAGTGAAGGAATGGAGGAGCTGAATTAGTGGAGTTGAAGTAGTAGAGAAGAAGTAGTGGAGAAGAAGACGGGGATGGTAGCAGAAAAGGTTTTATATAGACTTTGTAGATCTCAGGCACCCAGGCAACATGGTTTTCATGCTTTCGTGATGCTATTATATGGCGTTGCACAATAGGTGATTGCCTGTTGCTTTCGCGGTATTACATGACAGTGCACAATCAGGCGATTGCCTGTTGACGATGTGCAAGTCACAGGGGCAGGGGCACGACTTGAGTCATATACTATTGTTCTGAGCTAGGCATTGTGTAATAAGGAAAGAACGTACCTGAAGGGACAGAATACAGGAAAGCCTTCTGGTACACCAAATATCGGGGCCAGCATCGAACACGTGATGCTATTCTTAGTGCGCATTCATCCCAATACTAAAGTCCGGTGTATGTCAATCGATCTGGAGAACGTACATTGGAAACGCTCTTGATCCACCTGCTGGTCGTATAATGCACATCCAGACGACCATCAAAGCTGTGGCTGATCGGCTTGGCGGCTGCGCGTAGCTCAAGTTCACCGTCCACTTACCGAAGATGTGAGTCGGGTGCGCCTTTGATGCACAGACGATGCGTACGATTCTTACAAGAGGTTAAAGATAGAGCAAAGATAGAGTGCAACTTGACGGTGTACAAGAATAAGTCGGCGAAGGAACTTATGCCGTCGATCTTGGGAAGACATCTGAGCCGAGGAGTCGAGTCGCAAACGGTTTGGAAGGGAGGCCACCCACTCGGTTGAGACTTTAATCAGGCTAATCAAGAGACACACGGGCTTACCTAGGGTTCAAGAACGACTGTGGCCGGGTGGGCGAAAAGGCGCGAATGCGGAATGATGTTTCGACTTTGCCACCGTGAGCGAATCGATTCAAGGGACTGACACGCACGGAAGTATAACTACGCTGTCCGTCAACCATCTCGAGAGCTCACCACGCTAATGGGACGAGACGCCGTTCCTTTTTGCCATAGGCGCCTGGAACACTCAAGCACTTGCGCGTCCATGTATTGCCTTGTATATACCCCTCTCGACCGGCCGTGCTCTTTACATCGCAGATCATCAGAACCCTGCTAACTCTTCCACGGGTAATACTTTCTGACGAAAGCAGCATCTCCCTCGGACGGGCGCGTTGGCGGCTGTATCTGTTCCACACCCACTTTGACCCCATTTTGCTTCTTGATTTTGACCAGCGGGCATTGATTGAGGTCGCCTACGCAAGCTTGATTTGCGAGGGCGGTGGACGCGTACATCACTGCAGCCTTTGTAAGCCTTTTCTGATCACCTATGTCACATTTTTTGATAGACTCACTTATTGAATTGACGTCGAACTCTCTATCGCCGTCTTGTTTTTCTGCGGTCTTGATGTATTCCTCAGACAAGAATTCATTTTCACGTGCAAAGGCAGCATCGGTACATAGCTTGTTGCTTAGGTCCTGAATGCTGATGCCCTTGTTCTCGGGTTTTGACTGGGCTGTCATGAGAGCGACTGCGAAACCTTCAAGCTTGACGCAGCGGAATTCAACGTAGTCGTCCCCTAAAGTGTTTATCAGCAGGTGCACTCGAAAGATACGGCGCTTCCTTACGATCTTGGCGCTTCATCTCATGCTCCAGGCCGAGCACTAGGTACATTAGCGGAGCTATTCAAGTTGTCCGCATTCAAAAAGACTGACCATGTCCAATCTGCAATTCATTAATGCCGCTCTCTGCATCGAAAACTTGCCCACACTTACCTCGTGCGCAATAACCGCGGAATCAGCATTATCTGCTAATGTCAATGAGTGCCTGAACCCTATGTAGTTTGAGTCGGCGTGCTCTTTGGGCGTATAACCCACAGTCCCAGCACTGACGCCGCCAGAGTTTGCCGTATCCCTCCAGTAGATGGCCAGCACGTCATCAGAGACGAGTTTGTTGCGCTTCCCATTCCAATGGCCATAGTAGAACTCTTTGAAGCAAAGCTGAGTTACCCCCGCAAACGTCACTTCGGAAAAAGCGAGATTGTGACCTGTTCCCTTGCTGGCCCCGCCGCCGAGCGCTTCGTCCCATAGTGCGATTGCCTCCCTCAGGCGACATCCAATCTTCGCTTTCATTTCTGCCGTGGCGTAACAGTAGCGAACGCGATTGCGCTTCTTGAGGATACCACGAATTGGCCAGGGTCCGGAGGTGTCGCCGCTGACGAAGGCTGGAAATCAACCAAGTTAGTCATGCCTCAAAAACTCGCGAAAGAGTTAATCGGTTGAACTTACGACTGATCCATCTACTTTGTAGGGCGCTGGAAGCATTGCTGGAGGCCACCAGAGAGCCATCATCGGGGTCAGGCAATATTTCAGGCGAGTGCAGTTCGGGCAGCGGAAAGGATTGATCGGGGCTTATTGGAACCCAGGAGTAGCTGATCGTGACGGGAACTAAGAGGAGTAATAAGACTGCGATTCGAGTCAAGGGGGGCCATTTTCGTCGCATTCTAGGGTGTTAGAGATTTCGCGTGGGTGAGGGCGAGGTTTATAAGGTGACGCCATGCGGGATCGGGGGAGAGGGGTGACGAGCTCCAAGCGTCAACATATTTCGCCGCGAGATTAAAAGCATTCACTCACTGATCAGAAAAACTTTGCCCCGCACAGCTCTTGCTTGTATTCACGGCTGCAGGTGCTGCCGCAGCCTTGACATACCTAATCTTGAAACAATAAACCATTATAGCCTGTAAGTCGTTAGCATCAAGAGCGGCAGTCTCTAAGACGTAGGTTAGGCTTGTGAACACTCACATCTCTCAATGTCTCCACAAGCAGAGCGCTGTTTCCGCAAAAGGTGCGTGGCATAAGCATCTCAACGAGAACAAATGGGAAGTCAACCGGCATTCGAAATGAAGGATTAATAGGGTATCACACGATGACTACCTCTCACATTTACATCAAACCATAATCATTATCATCCAGCGGCTCCGGCTCCACCATACTCAACTCTCCAGACTCACTGCTAACCTCGTCGCAGCTATACTCTTCCTCATCCACCTCCGCAACAGCAACTACCGACATCTTCTTAGGGGTTTCAGTAAAGAGCTTCCTCGGCGCTTCGACAGTGATAGGAGTAGGCGGGGTATCCTTCGGGTACTTTAGCAGTTCTTCCAAGGGCGGCGAGAATTTCTGCGTGTCAAGATCATGCATGGAGATCTGGTGGGGGTCGGGGTCATATTGGGATGAGGAGGACCAGGTGGGCCGCGTAAGATTGGTCCGCTGGGGGCAGCGGCAGGTGTGGGGGCAGTGTTGGTGGGGAGTTGTTTTCGGCTGGTGGAAGAGGAGGGGAAGGTCGATTGACGTGATGGAAGAGAAAGGGCCGGGTCATCCATCTGGATGGAACCTGACAATGGATCCATGTCCTCCGCCGGGGCAGGCTTTGCTGCTGGTGCTACCGAGGGTGTGGGCGCTGCCGAGTCCGCTGGGGCTGTCGATGGCATTGGCGCTGTCGCCGGGACAGGCATCGTCCTTTGTCGCTGTACCAGCGGCTGTTGGCCTGATCTTGAAGGCCTCGATATCATCTGCCTGCGAGGGTGTGATGGCTCTGCAGGTGGCGGAGTTGGACTTTCTGTTGGGGGACCGGAGACGTTGATCAAGCTATTGGATGACTGCTGCGCTACTACCATTTCTGTAGCCCTAGAAGCAGATGGGTCTGGTTGCTGACTGTCTTTCTTGTGCTGCTGTACGTGTTTTCTGACTTGCTCTTTCTTCCTCTCGGCCATCTCCAAGGCGCGCTCTTGCTCAGCTACACGATTGAAGTCGATATCGCCGAAGCCGATCTTCGTAAGGATGCTACCAACTAGGTACCGGTATCGATCATGGCCACTGACGAGTTTACTCATGTCGACGTTCTCAACGCCAAAGACGCCTTTGACCTCTTGCAGACCCGCAACGCCAAATTCGAGCTTAGTAGAGCGGTACAGGAAGCCCAAAATGTAGTCTTCTGTGCTATACACATTGACCACGCGAGCAGCCACGACCGAGCGAATCTTTCTCCAGGATTTGCTGTCTGAGGGTGCTGGTGTTCCCATCAGTACGGCAGCTTCGACTAGGCCGAATGCGTTTTGTTCTGCCAACTCAACCAAGCAGGAATAAATGACACGTGCCCCAATTGAGTATCCCATGAGGGTAACAGGTCGCTTTCCTTGTACACCATCAATGAGGGCATGCGCTAACACTTTTCCAGCCTTGTCTGCCCTAGCGAGCGCGACACTGAAAGGGTTGTCGAGCACACTAGCAACTTTGACGAGGCCCAGCGGCCAAAGCCCAGCATACAGGGCTCCAAGAAGCGTACGGCTGACAATAGTATAGGTAACGCCATCCCAGGCGTAGCTAAAAAGGACGTCGTTGAGCGAATTGCCCATGCGAAGCATAGCATCAAGCTCGAAGCGGAGCGCAAATGGCTCGGTACCTGCACCATCAATGATCTCCCACGGCTTGTTAACATCGGACGGTGAGGTGAGCCAACCGCTGATGCCGATGGCTACACGAAGACGGTGTTGCTCGCGCTTCGTGGGGTCACGTGCGTCAAGTTCTGCTGCCCATTCATGGTCGCGCTGGGCGGATGGGCGTTCAGGGTCTGTGCTGTGTGAGTACTTATCCCATTTCAAGTTCTCACAGCGGCGTACCTTGGACGGGGATGAATTCAAAATCCTGTACTTCCCTGGCATATTGCTCCATGATCCTTCCGGTCATCTTAGCACCGTAGGCACCGAAGAGAGAGCCGACGAGGACCGAACTTCCCGCCAGTGCACCAAGGTATGTTGATACAACGCCCAAACCAAGACCACCCATGACGGTACCGAGGCCAGCGGCGAGCAATGGTGCTGCAAGGCCACCAGTGACACCGATGAGAACAGCACCGCCGACCGCAGCGAGGCCGACCTTCCATTTACGTGATGTCGCATCATTTGCAGCCTGTTTCTTCGCCGATTCTTCCGCGTCCATCTGAGAAGCTGCGGTGGCTAGAAGGCCTTGAGCGACCGATTTCTCGTGCTCAGCTAGCAGATCCGACTCAAGCTCTAGGCTACTCGTTAAATGAAGAAGCAGGAGCCGGGAGTGGGCGGAGTATTGCTCCAAGCTCAGGATGAGCAAAAGAAGACAATGCAGTATGAGCACCTTCTGTTCAGCTTCGAAAGCCAATAACTGGGTTTGAATGACCTCGTAACGTCCATGCTTCCGCTTGTTGCCCGTAAAACCCGTGCTACTGAACGGATCCCCTTCGAAGTCGAGAAGCAGAGGATTGCCTTGTCTGTGCCTTTCGCCTTCCTCGATCATTTTCTTTCTCTTGGTCTTCGCCTGGCGAACAACGTCGCCGCGCACGGCGAGCACGTCGCAGATGCGATGCATGACGCCTGCCCTCCACTTATCGAAGTACGTCAAGGCAGCTCTTCGCAAGCCAAGCATGTGTGTCGATTCGACCTCCCGTTGACGCGCCCTCCTCCTCCCTTCTGCCTCCAGGGCCGCTTCATTCTGCGGTTCATCGAAGCTTATGAGATCCCGCGTCGCCGTCTGCGGTTGTGGGGACTTTGGTGGGGCCGCCGCCGTGGAAGATTCGGTCTCGTGGGTCTTGTCGGCATCGAAGGTCGCGACTAGATCGCTGCGCATCGCATCGGTGCAGAGGAGCACCAGCAGGGCGAGCTCTACGCGCAGAGCGGGCGTTTCGAGGACCGACGTGAGGGAGGCACCTTCATCTTGTTTGGCGGCGCTCGGTCCCGCACCAGTAATGACATTGGCGACTTTGAAGAGCATCTTCGCTTGCGCAGGCGCCTAGAGACTTCACTGAAATGGCAGCATGGCTGCCTGTAAAGGAGGAACTGGTGAACGTGGAGTCGCTGTTTGGGGCTTAGACCGGGCCTGGCCCGCAGGATTCCACGAGTGTCGGCCCCCGCATACGCGCCTTATTCATCCCGTCAGATCTTGGCACTCGAAGCACTGGGAGCCTGTCACCGCAAATGTGATTCCTGGAGGCGTGAAGATTGGTGTCAAGAAAAGGAAATGACCCTGAGCGCCAAGAGTCGCACCAACGCGGGATCACGTTACCGGTACCATGGATCCACATTCCGCAACTTCCATCTCAGATCCACCATCCATATGACACTCCGTCCAACGACCCGCTTCCTAGCGGCGAATCGTCTCTACACGTCCTTATTTGGTCAATGTTCATTATGCTGCACGCAACAACCACGCCGGCAGACCCATCGCTGTGGACAGTGACATTACTGACAGAGCTGTGTAACAATACGATCGCGTGATTTACAACCAAAGAGATACTGCAAGCCTTCAGACATCTAACAACTCGCAATACGCCCACAATTCATACCTCCAGCGGCAGAATTGTCAGCCCCAGCCGTCTATGCCGCGGCATTGCTCAAGAGATAATTCACCGCTCTTGCAATATCACTAGTGTCCCTAACACTCCTCAGCAGTGGCGCTGCACCCACAGCAGAGAAGAGCTCTGGCTGCTGTCTTGCGGATAGCTGCATCGTTCCCGTCCGAATCAGACCCGTGGAGGTTGAACCCATTCTGACATTCCATGGTGTAAAGCTCTGATGCCATTTACGTCCATATTATGCCTACTGCCTTTTTCTTGGGCATACGCCAAACACGAAAGGAGGATGAGATAACTAGAAAGAGATATGGTAGATCGAGAGAAAGAGAATTGCTCGCACTGCGTTAGGAATGCTACTAGACAAGCCGACAGATCGTCAGAAAAACATGCGCAAAGCGATCCCAGAGCTGCAGAAGCCACTGCCCTCAACGAGTCGTCTTACGAACGGTCGGAGAGCGAGTCATACGATTACTCGGAACGTGAAGTTCAAAGTCGGCGTTGCTGAGCAGCTTCGAACGTCAGTCCAACTTCACGGACCTCACTCAAAGCCTCAAAGGGCTCTTTTTGACCAATATCCTGGCATCATGTGTCCGTGCAAGATAACGCCATTTGAACACGATTGCGTCAATACACTGTTCGGTAGGGAATACGCCGAAGTCTGCGCTAAGATCGCGGGGCCCCGCCACCGTTTACCCCATTCCAGGTACATCTCTAGAACACGACGTAGACCCCTCCCTACCGCTAAGACGATCAAAGCTTGTTCCTTTTCGCCGTTCCCTATGGTCGATCTAAAATATCCGGTGATGCGGAAAGGGCGACGCAATGGTCCTTCGATTGATGTATTCTAATTTCTCCGCGTCATGTGGCTAGTTGCGAAGGCTGTTGTGCGTCCTAGAGAGATGTTCCGACCTCCATGTGTGAGCTACGACGTGGCAGCTATAACTATAGATCCATGGTACGTTTTGTCTTGTAGCTTATTTCCCAAGTCATAATCTTGCGCATCTCCGCAAGATGTCTCTTCGTGCTATCGTGCGCAGTCTTCTACTGGCACCTCTCGCTATCGCGTTACCTGTTCCCGGACACAATGATGAGAAGCCAGCAGCATTCTTCCTAGCCGGCGATTCCACTACAGCTGTGCAATCCACTGGCGGTGGCGGATGGGGAGATGGCTTCCTGCGGACGCTCAAGAGTCCCGCTTTTGGTGTAAACAAAGGCCACAATGGCGCAACAACTGTGTCTTTCGTAAAAGGTGGCGATTGGGCCCAGGTCCTCAATCTCGTCAAAAACGCGACGGATAACTACAACGTTTATGTTACGATCCAATTCGGACATAATGACCAAGTCAGTGACCTCAGGTCCTTCCTTAAGCTGTGTATATAAGCTAACCACTATGAAGAAACCCGCCAACAACGTCAGCATCCCACAGTTCAAAACCAACCTAGCCTCTCTCGCCTCAGATGTCCAATCCCTCGGTGCCACCCCTCTCCTATTCACCTCCCTCTCCCGCCGCAACTTCAACGGCAACGAACTCATCCAGGATCTCGGCGACGTGGTGAACGCCACGCGGGAAGTCGCAGCCGCCTCTCACATAAAGCTCATCGACCTCAACGCCGCATCGCGCAAGTACGTACAAGCAATCGGCTCCGCTGACGCGGATAAGTACAACCTAGTTGAAGGCGATCGGACGCATCTTAATACGCACGGCAGCGATGTGTTTGGTCGCATAGTTGCGGATTTGCTTCTCGGGAGCGACAGGAGTCTGGGTAGGTGGATTGGCAGGAACGTTACGCTTAGCCATTTGATTGCAGAGGGGGTCTACGCCTGAATCACTGCATGACTAAACGGTCTTGAGGTTTTCATTGGCCGAACCGTGTATTTACAGGCCGTGCATTACAATTGTTAAGATCAACTACGACTTGGTGCGTAACAGTGTCAGCCCTGCAACGTGTTAGCGTACGTTTTGGCCCCTGCGAACACTCTGAGTACGCGACGTAGCCAATCAGCGACGCTTCCGAGTTACGCACTGCCATTGTATAGCGGGAACAGAGTGTTCGGGCCCAGTACAGAGTGCAAAGATGTGGCCGCGTCAGGAAGAGGCTTAGGTATGGTATCCACCATTGTTGAGGCTGGTGCTCTGAAGTAATCTTGCGTCCGTTGAATAGGCTGTATAAGAACGGCAGCAACGAACGATGCTGTGTCCGAAGCAGCCGCTACCAATCTCATACCACCATGGCACGAACCCTTATCCTAAGCAGTCTGCTCCTCGCAGCGTCATCTGCCAACCCAATCAGCCGCGATGCAGCTAACAATACCATGGTTTACTCCTTTGACGATGTCCGTCTCCCATCCTGTCTCCTTCCTGCCCACTAACAGCATCAGGTAACACCTTGTACCGACCTCATCTGGACACCCTGTTACACCAATTTCACTTGCGCCCGTCTCATCGTCCCCCTCGACTACGCCGAGCCTACCGTTGGCAATACAACGATCGCCTACATCAAGCTCTCTTCTCCCACCCAGCCCGCCGAAGACATCCTCTTCAACCCCGGCGGCCCAGGTGGCTCCGGGGTAGACTCCGTCCTCAACGCCAACGCCGAACTGCTCAACAAGCTGGGCACGTCGTACAACCTTATCGGATTCGATCCTCGCGGTGTGAACAACAGCGGGCCGAGTCTGAGCTGCTTCCCTAATGATCCCGCATCGGAGGAACTGTTCGCCAGTCAAATTAAGAGGCCTATCAATAGCAAGTCGCCTGAGTCTGTGGTGCGCGAGTTCGAGATTATGGGCGCGTGGGGCGATTGGTGCTCGAATGTGCATCGTAATGACTCAGCGAAGTACGCGAGTACGGTGGCTACGGCGACAGATATGCTAAACTACGCGGAGAAGAAAGCCGTTGCGGAGGGCACGAAGCCGGAAGAGGCGAAGCTGTGGTATTGGGGTGTAAGCTACGGGACCGTTCTAGGTTCGACGTACGCGGCACTGTTCCCGGATCGCATTGGAAGACTCATCCTGGACGGTGTGGTTGACGTTGAAACGTACTACAAGGGAGCTTGGGGTGATCTGAGCCAGTCAGATGAAGCGGTGTTGAGCTTCGCGACGGCCTGCCAGGCCGCGGGAAAGGACAAGTGCGCGTTCTATTCCTCGACCGCAGACGAGATCGCGAAACGCATGCGAGACGTGCTGGAAGACCTTAGGACAAATCCCGTTCCCGTGGCCGACCCGGCGATCAGCCCTGTACCAACACTTGTCACCTACGAAGATATTTCTTTCACACTCTTTGCGGGGGCATACGTTCCATTCAAAACCTTCCCGATGCTGGCACAGATCTTCGCAGATTTGGAACAGCGCAATGGTTCATCACTTGCTTTAGCTGTGCAGGCTCAGCCTCCTACTGCTCTAGATTATGGTGGCCTGCTCGCATGCATGGATAACATCAAGATGCCTGGAGTGTACAACATCTCGACAATGGAGCTCTGGGAGCAGCACATCGAGGATCTCAATAACCAGTCAAAATGGGCCGGTGATCCCTGGGCAAGCGTAGCGCTGCTGTGCAGAAAGATGGATATTGTGCCTCCGGAGAGCCAGCGATTCCTCCAGGTGCCGAGTGCGAACAAAACAAGCTTTCCGATTCTTTTCATTGGAAATACCGTTGATCCTATTACTCCCATTGTTGGGTAAGTTGATGCCAATCTTCTCCTCACGTTTGCTAATACTGCGACAGCGCACGGAAAATGTCTGGCCTCTTTCCTGGATCTGTCTTGTTGACGCAGGAATCAGTCGGTCACACATCCCTCGCCGCGCTTTCGGAATGCACGTCGCATAACGTGCAGCAGTATCTGGAGGGAACATTGCCCGCAGCCAATACTACATGTAAAGTCGAGAGCGCACCTTTCATCACGGAGGTTTAAGTCGGTGGAAGTGGTGTCGCGGTTTTCCGGAAGTTCGTCTGGTGGTTCATACAATATTCCCAAAGCTATAATTGATAGATTAATCTTCAGGCTCTCATGGCCCCGTATTCTTCCTTTTCCTGGTCCTGAGACTGGTAACCGATGCACTGAGGCGAACATTGACACTGTGCTAGACGAACAGAGGGGGGCCGACCTTGGAACTATGGGCTACTCGGTTTATACACCGAAAATAGGAATCGTGTACAGATGTTAAGCTATCTGCTCCACGCTTTCCTATATGTTTTGACTGCATATCTCGATAACGACAGTATCACCACCACGATGCGTCCACAAAATGCCTCCGTCATTGCGCAGTTTCCCCTGAGCTGTATCAAGCCGCGCAGCACTTCTGGTAGACCGTCTTTTGAAAGGGCCAAATTCCCGTCTTCTTGGAAGAGCAGCCGCTATCCCAAAGGTGCGAATATTTAGGAGCGACGCAGTTGTCGTAAGTGCAGGTACCATGGTAGGTCCTTTGACAGTTCACATCGGCCATGGCTTTGCATGAATTAGCTTTGCGTCAGCTGATTATACCATTGCACGTACAGCTGGCAGTAAGACTAAAGATGTTTCTTAGCGAAAGGTGCAGAACGACGCGATGGTATGAACTTACCCAACAATGGTCACAAGGATGGTAGAGATGTGCTTCATGGTTCTGGCAATTTAAAACTTGACTTAGAAAATTCAGCTGCAGTCACGAGCTTGGATTGAACGCTTGAGGCTGCGGTGACAATGGCGAGGCCATGGTGGTTTTTATATGTCGTTTGCACGACCCTCGACAGTGCCAAGTTGATGAATGACCATGCTCAGTTTCTTGTGCTCGGAGTTTTATCTTGGCGTTAAAAATGTCTCATGCAGAGGCGTGCTGATAGGCAGCTTGAACGTGCTACAGCTCAGCCGCAAGGGCTACGAACATCCTTCAGGTAGAACAAGGCTCGATCAGATCGGCAGAAAACCGTATTCTCTTTTCTTTTTGTAATATATTCCCGCGTCGTGAAGCCAATCAGACAAATTAAAGAACACGAAAGGTTGACCGATGCAGGTGCAGGCTCTCGCAAGGTGTCCAAGCCCGTATCCAAGACCTGGTAAAAAGAGTGATAGTGACACCAATGGTCCAGCCAAGGAACGTAAACGGTCACGCCTCGCATTCGTCGCATTCGCGCTTCTTAGTGCTGAATATAGCAATAGCTGGTGACCTGATTTCCATACCGTGAGGATAGGCATTGACATCCCCGTGTGGCTAGTGTTCTGATCACAGACTGAAGTGGCCTGCTTCAACTTCGCCTTGTCATCAGTATCCTTCTTTGGTACTCCCAATCGCATGTGTAGCAGATCTTTGCCAATTATTCTCACTTGCCAGCGCTTCCAAACATCTCTTTCGGCCAAGGGCCGCTCGTAGATGGTCGACTTGATCCAAAGATCACATTGATACCTATCATTGAGAACGAGTGCCCGACGATCTCATTGTTGTTGTATCCTTTCCGGCTCTTATGAACATGGTATGGATCAGAGAGCACTCCCGTTGAAGAGGTGCGTCGAAGACTAGGTGAATTTAATTACATATACGATGTTGGCTTGATCTCCGGGACAAACATTTATGTCGTAACCCTTGTATTATGGACCTCTCGCTCCGGACCTGTTTCAAACACTCGGAGGGTGTAACCTGGAAAGAGAAAGACTGTTTCATCTCGAGGAAACGGGACCATGTCCTCCTTAGTCCTGGTCTCGCGCAATACAGTCTAATGCCCTTTCGCAGCGCCGGATAGATTGCAATATACAGCGACGTCCAAACGCACGTAAGACAAGAGAAAACAGAGGAAAATAAAGATAATGTAGAACGTAGGTACAAGATAGCGATGGCCAAGTACAGCCATGTGGCTGCCACAACAGAACTGATGTACGCACAAGACATGACATCCGCTTACCCAGCTCATATCAAAATGATGTTGAATAAGCGCGAGGCCGAATTCCTTCGATCGACTGGACCATCCACATGATACTTCGCACCCCAGTCCCTATGCTGACACTGTCGTATATTCCATTTTGGTTCGTACAGCCCTCTTAGAGGCGATACCCAGCGCGTCGTACTCATATAGCAGCTCGATATGAGCTTGTACACTGGCGGTGAGCCTATCCGTTGCCTGTCCAATTCAGTCAGATCTACAGTCCGGTCGATAGCTTGGCTTAGAGCTTCTTGAGAGTTTGCAACGACTGGTCTTACGACTAGTGATCTCGCCCATAGTGTGGAACCCTTCAAGCTAGGTAGCGACATGATTCTGCAGCCTTCGATGACCGCGATGCCACCTATGCCCATGATTTCTGGGGCAAGCATATCTAGAGATGATTCGATTGTGTCGCACGCGAAAAGGCAGCGGCCCTCCATTGTGAAGGCGATCAAACTCGTCAAGGGATGCAGGGGCATTTCCGCTGCATCCGCACGAAGACGTTTGCGTAGAATACTGCTTACTTTCCACCAGTCGACCTTTGGCTTCACTCTCTGCTCGTATTCTGTGAGGATGTCAATATCTCCTTGCTCAGTACAAGCGGGTCGATGCTTCCTCGGGTAAGACCACTCTTCCTTTGATGATTCACATAATGCAGCCAGATCTTGCTGGTGTGTGACGCTTAAATGGTCGAAGAACTTCCCGCCAGCAGTGATTACCCAGACAAAACGATCGATCCATGCGTCCCAAGTGCTTTGATGGAGCCTTGTGTTAGCTGGTGTGGCTGTTTCATTGCCGAAGCCTAGTGCAACGAGATATCGATCCCGTATGCTAGAAATTGTCGAATCGATCCAAGTGAGAATATCGGAGTGAGCCGCTGAACTCGGGAAGTCTGTGCTTTTCCACTTGATGACCAACGGTGCGAAACTGTTGTTGTCTACCCGTGATGTAATTGTGGAACTTGTTGCATTGTTGGACAAATATTTGAAATTTTCGAATTGATTCTCACTGCAGATCCGCACAAGGGTTGATGCGTTACCAGGCCTGTCCCAGTTATCGGGGGCGGAGTGCAGATAAGGTACCCAGTGCTCCACGTACGAGAAATTCGCTCTGAGAAGATACTCGCCTGTGTTAGCGAGATCCCGGATTTGAGGCTCTTCGTGTAACCGGACGAGAGTGGGGTCATGATTTGCGTCTGTTTCGTACATTGGCTTTCTAACGGAAGTAGAAACATGTTCACAAAGTAAAGCGTTACCCTGGCGCGGGGTGCGCCAGTCTGGGACCCACGAAGGCAAAATGCCGTCGTTATTTTGATAACTGCGCATCATGGCTTGATCGAGAATCCATGCGAATTGATTATAATTCAGTATCATTCTGGCTGCCATCGTGTAAATGTCTTCGAGAGGGCTCTCGTAGTCCACTATAATGTGAAGGTATTCAGAACCGCGAGATGAGTGTTTCGTATCAGTATGGAGTCTCACGTCGCCAGCCAAGGCAGCCAATGTGAAAAGTCGATCTCTACTATCGAAGCACTCGAAATGGTCGAAATGCTCAATCAGTCTTTGCAAACGTGTCTCGCTCTGGGGCTTATTTTCTCTCAACGCCCACCTTCTCCAGAGGCGAAACATAGCGACAACAGCACGCAATTGCCTAGTGTTTTCGGAGGCTGTCTGGGATTGTGAATCCAAAACATCCACTACCAGACCTAAGCGCACAAAGAGGATTCGTTCCGCGCCGCAATGAAGTACAACGTTTGGGTTCAAAACAACCTCCTGGATGATCCAGCGTCGGCTAAACCAGGGAAGGTTCACCAAATTCGAGAGGCAGAACCTCAATGGGCCCAAATGAGGCTTGGAATGCGATTTGGATGGTAAATTCGCAAGGCGCGCAAGCCTATCGATGCGCGCGACAGCTCGGTCTGCTGTTGTGTCGTATCCGAGCCAAACAAGTACCGTAGAAGCAACCCGATAGATGTCAGTCATCAAAGTGATGTGCTTACTCTTCTCAGCATCGTCTTTCTGATTGATGCATACAGCATCGGCCCAGAGCAATCGTGATGCGTCCTGGCGCCTAAACATACAGAGCGCATCGAATAGATTTGCAGTGATGCGCATCCGGCTCGGTTCGTCTTTATGATCAACCAAGAGAGACTGTGAAAACGTTTCACCTCCCCACGTGTACGAGATCGCATCGTACAACGGTGTTTGTACGTCGTACAGATCAACAACATGGATGTGGCATCGCAGTTCGGTCGTGACGTCGCTAGCAGGCTGGAGCTCTAACAGGCGAGTATGCGTAGGCGAAGGCAGATCCGAGTACTGGTAGGTCTGTTCGGCCGTTAGAGGAAGTGCATAATGGTCCATCGTAGGCGTAGCTAAATCTTGTCGGTAGAACCGAGTGTGTTCGTAGAGACTGTCCTTGGCCGGGTTGGGTATTTGAGTGAGCGGCTATGTAAGGCACTGCGCTCCACGATTGGTCGAGGGATTGGCAGATACGCCCTATGAGCTGGCTGCAACAAGGCGCACATGCCCAGGCAGAACTCGACCGCCACAACCTGAGGGTTCCTTGACATCTTGTATGTGGCCCTATGGGGTTTCATAATATACGCGCAAGGGCGTGACTTCAAAAGAAGGAAACAAGAACAAAGCAGCGCCACGATCCATGCTCGGTGTAAAATCACCCAGTGAACGCAGCTCCTTGCATCTCCATTTCGACCTGTTCACGCATCCCAAGAACGAACATCAAGTGCACCCACAGGACCAACACGGCAATGAGCACGGCCTGCACCCCCACCACAACCGCCTTCCCTCTCTTCGACCACACGTTCGGATATGCAAGCACCTTGATTACATCATCTACCAGCGCCATATAAGCCGCGCGATACATAGCTCTATCGATGGTCCCCATCATTCCCCACGCCATCTCCCACGATGGCGGTATGAACCCAAATATCAGTGTACTGGCGCCCGTTAAGAGTGCTTGAATGAAGAACTCGCTTCTTCGCGGGGGTGCGCCGTCCGGTTGATCGACGATAGCATCAAAGCCATAGCTGGCGAATATGTCAAAGATGTAACTCGAAAGGTTAAATGGCGTGCGGAGGAGACGTCCGTATGTAAAGAGGACGGCGGCGCGGTGAAGGTCTGATCGGCGCGTGAAGCGTTCGTTTAAGCGGGGCCGGGGCCGGTGGACGAGCGAGGCGAGGAAGTATGTAGGGAGGGCGCTAGCGAGGAGGAGAGCGCGGTGCGAGAGGGGGTTTGGGAGGAAGAGGACGAGGAAGGCGCTGGTAAGAACCGGGAAGTAGAGGTGTGCAAAAGCGCGCCATGCTGGAGCAGAGGGTTGCGGGGTCAGCTCCGACGCCTTTGGTGGTGGGCCGTGAGCTGTAGTAGACATTGTCGGTTCAGATTGTCTAGAAGTGTGGTCAGGTCAAGAGAAAAGACACACGGGGATGGAAGGAACTGCCAAGCCTAGCGCGCGATGTCACATGGTAGCGCGTTTCGAAGGCTTAGCGTCTCATCTGCACTTTTGTAGAACTGGTCCCCACAGCAAAGGTGAAAGTGAACAGCAATCAATGTAGGTTCAAAGATTACCCTATTAGGAAGTTTCCCAACCTTCCCAGACAGTTGCACAAGCGCACGGCCGAAGCTCACCCAACAATCCCCTCTCTCGAACTTCCCGAAGCCGCCTTTCATACTCTTTATCGCAAAGCGTCTGGGAATGCCGGCCCCCTCCACTGCATGATAGCCACACCTTCACCCTTCTCTCCCTCAGCCGGTCTTTTGCACTCCAGCACGCTCATTTCCATCAACTTCTCATAGAATGGCACAGTCTTCTCCCAGCCGCTCGTGAACAGCAAACTCCGCCTCAGGTGCGGTATCTCCTTGATCACTTCTTGCACACATGTAATTAGCCAAGCACCAAGTCCTTTGCCTTGGAAATCGGTATCGATGTAGACGTCGGTGAGATATAGGAAGGTCGTGAAGTCGGTAATGCAGCGGGCAAAGCCTATGAGCTTGGATTGAGCCGTTTCAGCATTCGGCCTCGTGTCAAGGTCCTCGTACACGCCGAAGCAGAGTGAGTTTTCGAGCGTCTCGCGCAGTACGTCTTCCGGTAAGGCATCTGCCCAGTAGAAAAGGTCAGACGCGAAGACGGCATTGAGCTCGGCGATTGGAATAAGGGCTGTGTCTGTCGAGATGAAGTAGGTGTCCTTCGTCCAGCTGCGACGGGACAGCTTTTGCTTTGCTGAGGTCATGATGCAACGTTGTGTCCGAGACTGGTCAGATCCCTCTCGAGTCAAGTCGAAGGCAGTTTCACTCGGTGCTCAGTTGCCGCGGTGCCCAGGTAGAAATGAGACAATCACGCAAGATTGTCACTGATGTTAACGTGTACACAATGGAAACCTTTCGGAGACAATATCGCGTCGCGCGACATCGGACGCTACAATTTACCCCTCGAGCCGAAGTACAAGTGGCATTAGTCATTGATCGTATTCCTCGTACACTACATGTGTAGCTGTGTGCACTTCGGTCCGAAGAGTTACCAATCGATGGTTAGATGACGATGACTCCAACGCGGTAAACTCGCCCGCAACAACCCCACGTCGGCGCCAAGCAAGTAACGAGGCTAACTCGGATATAGCTAGCTGCGACGAACCTTGCGATATGCCGTGCCGAGTCACGTCCTCCGTCCGAACCATGACCTCTTCACCTCACCATGAGGATGTCAGCCTCGAACGTGATACTGTCGAAAAGGTGAAAACCCTTGTATACCTCATGATCACGATAACCGTCGCCTACATTCGATAGTCCCCGCGCTCCTGTTCAACCATCTTTCCAGATTCATTTCAAAACCCAGACGCTTACATCCTATCGAACACCAGCATAAGATCGTTAAAATGTCTTCCAGGTCGGGTGAGAATGAGCCTCTACTAGGCCATCGACATGCTGAATTTACGAAACCCGATCGTGGGAGATTTAACTACGTCAAAAGCCTCCTCTGGGGCCCTGCATCAATAGAACGATCTGTGGTGATGAAGCTAGATCTCACCATTCTACCCTACTTCTCGCTGATATGGTTCCTGTTCGGCGTAAACCGCGCCAGCTATAGCCATGCCTACATCAGCGGCATGAAAGAGGATCTCGATTTTCAGGGCAATCAGTTCAATTTGATGATCACGATTTACATGGTCTTCTATGCAATCTTCCAAATTCCGTCCACATCGCTCCTCACGTTGGCGCGTCCAAAGTACGTGTTCGTGGCTGCGAACGTGGCGTGGAGTGTTTTGACTCTGCTCACCTTTCGGATGCAACACGTCTACCAACTCTTCATACTAAGCGGCTTCGAGGGTGCGTTTTCGGCTGTTGCATATGTTGGAGCGCATTTCATCTATGGATCGTGGTACAAGAAGTCCGAATTGAGTACCCGAGCGGCAATCTTCTGTTGCTTTGGGCATACGGGAAGTATTGCAGGCGGATGGATCCAGGCTGGTTTGCTTTCTGCTTTCGATGGAAGGGGCGGGCTTCCAGCTTGGCGGTGGGTGTTTGTTGTTGTATCACTCATTACGATTCCTGTTGCTGCACTCGGTAAGTCATACTATCACACTGAGCTAGGTCGTCACTAACCCTTAGTGTAGGGTGGATTGTAATTCCTAATTTACCCGCGCATAAGAGCGCGTGGTACCTCTCAGACGAGGAGAAGGAAGTCGCCGTTACTCGTCTCGGCAAGACCAAGAAAGCCAGCTGGGACTTGACTGTCTTCCGACGAGTACTTTTGAGCTGGCAGTTCTGGCTCCTTCCCATGATATTCATGCGTAAGCCCATTCATGAATCAAACAAGATATCCGTACCTAACTTTCACATTAGTCTACTCCCTGTGCATCCAAGCCTGCGGCAACAACGTCATGCCCCTCTGGATGGCATCCCGCGGCTATACGACCATCCAGCAAAATACCTACCCCACCGCCATCTACCTCTTCGCCATTCTTGGCACGATAACCTATTCCCTCATTTCTGACCATCTCCAATCGCGCTGGCAGGCCTCGCTAGCCATCGGGTTGACCTTCATCATCGGGTCCTCTATTCTGGTTGCCGACCCCGCCGCGGATGGATGGCACTTCTTCGCCTTTTACCTGCTCGGGACTACGTATGCACCACAGGCTGTATGGTACAGCTGGATGGCCGATGTGACAGCGCACGATGTCCAGCTCCGGGCGATCACGACAGGCTGGATGAACAGCTTTGACTTTGCATTTGTGACGTGGTGGCCGTTGGTATTCTACCCTGTCACTGATGCGCCGCACTATGAGAAGGGTTACATCGCCAGCCTGGTTACGGGAGCGCTGGTTGTGCCTTTCGTGGGATTGATTGCGTATCTGGAAACAAGGGATCGCAAGAGCGGGAAGATTGGGCTGAGCTTTGATGCTCAGGGCGAGGAAAACGAAAACGTAGTAAGAGAAGACGTTGATTCGGGCTTGGTGAGTGTGCCGCAGATATCGTAGGATTGTTTCGCGTGTGTTGGGCAAGAGAAGTATGCACACTTGTACACCGCCTACAAGTAGGGCAAGGTATGTGATATGAGTTCCAGAGAAATTTGAGGACAGAGCAACGCGACCGCTGAACGGCTGATGCGCAATATCAAGGCAAAGCACAATAAGCCGAAGCAAGAGATAAAGAGGAAATGAATGTGTTGAGCGATGTTATTTCCGCACGCGCCAACCCGTGTCAGAGGTTGGGCGTGAAGCGTATGTGCTCAGTGCCGGGTGTAGGCCATCTCACACTCGGTCTAGAAGTCAGCCTCCCGCAGTTGAGAACCTCAGCGGTTTCTTCCGTATAGGACGTATGGGCTCAGCAACGCACGTGGCACGAACTTGATTTTGAGGCCCTGGTATTCGCAGCACTCCTCTATCACTACATCTTTCGTGTTCTCACAGCGCATGATCGCGCCGCATTAGGCGACCGGATGACGCCTGAAACTCAGCCCCCAGTGTTTCTCAAACACAATTGAAGACACCAGCGCATGATCAGTATTCGCTGGCACAGCCACATGTATTACGCGCCACCACTTGTACCGGCCCCCGCCAGTTCTTCGTCTTCGCATCTGAGTCGCTTCCGGTTATTCTCGGTCGCTTTCCTGACACGCCAGGGTGAATACATGAGTTGCGAGAAAGGCAACCTATCGCGCCTCGCATGACATACCTAGGTAGAAGGCATCGCCGCACATGACCATTTGGTGTAGAGGGCTGCTCCATTCCGAGGTATCGTGTTCACGCAATTCCCCCTGTCGAGCTGTGCCCGTAGGTAGGTCAGCGGCACGGCAGAAACTGAACACCGTGTCGTGAGATCACAATTGTGTGACATTTTCTTGACTTAACGCTACCCATCATCATCGCTGCCTTACGCCTTGTTCCCGCAGCCTACGTTGTACGTCCGTACGTATACCTATAAAGTATACATAGATGAGAAAGTATTCCAACATCTCTTCCCCACTGATCAATCCAAACACCTCAATCATTCATCCTTATCTGAGCATCATTATCCATCTCCATCTTCGAACCACCAAGATGCACATCCCGATCATTTTTCCTCTCCTCTCCCTTCTCCCTCTCACCACGGCCTTCCCTTCCTCTCCCTACAACACATCAACGTGCACCCGTACTACTCCTGACTACACCAACTGCTCCCCCTTGCAAGGCTCCAACTCCTCCTCAGCTAAGCAATGCCCGCACCACTACACGTTCCCCGAGTTCGCACCCGGCACAGGATCCAACCGCCAGCCGTACTTCCGTTTCCTGATTCTCTTCAAGTTGAACCCGGATCTATGCGAAGAGCAGGCGCACGAGCACTGGCAGACCGTACATGCGGATTTGACACTTGCGGTACGTAGGCCGGGTATGAAGTATCTATGTCTTAGATATGGATATAAGGTACCCTTCACCACTTTCCTGACTTACACTGACGTTGTTCCGCACGTCTAGGCAAAGAATACAGGCGTATTGATCGAGAGATATGTGCAATTTCACGCCGATCAAGAGCACAAAGATGCAATCCAGAGTCTCGTGGATACAGCGAGTGTGGAGGTTGCACCGTATGATGGGATTGCAGAATTCCATGCTAAAGACGCTGCATCGGTCCTGAAGTTCATTGACAATGCTTTCGGAGATGATCAGATTGTGAGGGATCAGGGGTATTTTGTGAATGAGGGGGATGAAGTTGCAGGTTATGGCTGGTAAGTTAAGCTTGAGGAGCTATGACAAGAGTGCGTTGGCTGACTGGACGATAGGATACGATACGCTGATCTATGGGTCGAAGATCGAGACATCTGGTGGTACTGATGGCATCCTGCCTGGTGATCCCCGCTTCAACAACGTGTACTGAGCAACAGGGTTTCTCGGTTCTGCTATTTGAGGAAGTGGCTTTAGACGTGATGAGGCGCTTGCGCTTTTCATAGAGGTTTCCCCATCTTCTATTGTTGGCTTTTTGTTATGCTTTCCTGGGCGATCTAAGCTGGCTTGGTTGTACTCCAGGGCTGTTGCGAGATTTTGCTACCTTACACTCCTTATAGGATCTTCAGGGCGCAGATATTGCCTATCTCGGCGAATCAAGGCACTGAGGGGGCTATTGAGCATCTTTTAGGCCTAGCGTAAAGAATCCGAGAGCCGAGTACAGTATATGCGTATATCTCATCCTAGATCATGCACTCTGCAACGTCGTGGTGGCGGAACAATAGCGCCTGTTACTGTTTTCTATCACAGTATACGAAGAACGAGCTCCACCTTTGCTTACTTTTAGGCCAAAGAGCGACGTCAGTTGGTGTGACCTTAGAATAGCAACAGTCGGGTCCTGCGGCTGAAGTGGCGCTAGTCCCACTACTGTAAGCCCTCAGAGCTAACCCCACAAAAAGGATCTCTGTGCTCCCGCTAAGATGCCACCTCCCGAAGACTCATTTCGGAAGTAAAATGACAATTGGCACCCCTTGAACGACCCCTTTGATACTATAGCATGCCATTGATGACGCCGTATGCTCAGTATGATCTCTCAGTATGGCGACTGCGCGGAGACTCGCCTTGAACGGAACGATTTAGCCAATGGCAAGCTCACCGAAGATATTCTCGCCTGAGCTGAAGCGCGCTGAAGCTAACGAATGATCTGCATAACGGGGGTACATCGTGCTGTTGACGGTGGAACCTGGGAAACGGCGTCCCTCGTACTCGGCGCACAGCTCTTCGTCAGGCCTCTACCTGGTACTTTGCCTCGCTGTACTCCGCCTGCTTCCGCGCTATAAAGTATGTAGCTGTCGCCCATGTCCTTTTGTCTCTTCGTCATCGGGCGCACTTCTACACTCGTTCATCATGAAGGGTCTTTCGTTCCTGGCCGTCGGCCTATTCTCCGGGGCCTTGGCCGCCACTATTTCGACGGACGCCACATGCGGGGGAACCAACAAATACACCTGTCTCGGTAGCACGTTTGGCAACTGCTGTAGCAGCGCCGGATGGTGTGGTTCCACCTCCGCGTACTGTGGAACCGGATGCCAGTCGGGTTATGGAAATTGTGGAAGCAACAATGGAGCTTCGAGTTCAGTGCTAAGCAGCACCAAGATCTCCTCCGCCACCTCAAAGACTTCGTCCGCCACTTTGTCACCGTCTGCAACCACGTCCGGCTCTGCTACGCAGTGTTTAAGCGGGAAGAAGGTGCCCTACAAGGTCTCATCGGACGCAGCCTATTCCCAGCTTGCAGAGCCCTATAACTTACGCCTGCCGTACAAGCCTGCTGTTATCGTTCTGCCGACAACGAACCAGCACGTTCAAGATGCTGTTGTCTGCGGCGCAAAGGCCGGCTTGAAGATTCAGGCGAGATCTGGTGGCCACTCTTACGCGAGCTTTAGCAGTGGAGGAAAAGATGGGTCGATGGGTAAGTCGACTTGGCGGGAAAAGTCACGCGATCGTAGCTGACGTTGTTCTAGTCATCGATTTAGAGGATTTCCAGACCGTCGCTTTGGATACCTCATCTGGCGTCGTTCAGGTTGGTGGTGGTGTGCGCTTGGGCAACCTTGCGGATGGCATTTACCAGCAGGGCAAGCGAGCTCTTTCTCACGGAACCTGTAAGTTCTATCCAAGTGTTGAAAGACTTCGTCATACTAATGCGTCCTAGGCCCTGGTGTTGGCATCGGTGGACATTCCACGCACGGCGGATATGGCACGACTTCGCGAAGCTGGGGTCTCGCCATGGACGCGATCATCGCTGCCGACGTTGTTCTCGCTAACGGTACTCTCGTCAAGGCTAGTTCCTCGCAGAACTCTGAGATCTACTGGGGCATCCGTGGAGCTGCGGAATCGCTCGGCATAATCGTCAACTTCTACATGCAGACGCGTGCTGCACCTGAGAGTGTCACTTACTTTGCTATCCCATGGACTGGAATGTTCAACAAGAAGGCCACCTTCACCAACGGCTGGCTGCGCCTGCAAGAAATTGCACGCAACTCTTCCATCATCGACAACCGCATCTCATTCGGCGTCTACCTCGACAACGCCGGCACCTTCAGTCTGTCCGGTTTCTTCTCGGGTACCGTGGACGAGTTCAACTCCAAGATCAAGCCTGAATTCCTGCGAAACATGCCCACAGCCGGCACCGCGACAGTCAAATCCTACGGTTGGTACGACTACCTCGTCCTTCTCGGCGGCAAGACCACGATCAAAGAGCCCACCGCAGGCTACGACGAGCACGACACCTTCTTTGCGAAATCGCTTACCGTCCCGGAGAAGGACGGCCTCTCAGCCGCTGCCCTCAACGCCTATTACGATTACATCAAGGCCGGCAGCACCACTTTCTACTCCATCATCAACCTCTACGGTGGACCTGGCTCCGCGATCAACAGCAAGGATACCAACTTCGCAGCTTATGGTGATCGCGATAGTCTGTGGGTATTCCAGAACTACGGCCAGGGTGCAGACACGGTAGATTACATGAACGGCATGAACAACGCGATAATCAAGGCGCAACCTAACACTAACTTCGGCGCGTATCTTAACTACGTAGATCCGAGCTATGATGCTGCCACTGCGCATAAGCTTTACTACGGCGACGCCTTGTATGCGCGCTTGTTGGCGTTGAAGAAGCAGGTGGATCCGCAGAATGTGTTTTGGAATCCTCAGTCTATTGGGGCTTGAGGGTGCCTTAGGTACGCGGCGGACGCATAGATAATGTTTACATATTGTTAATAGATTAATTGGCATGCAAATATTCTTTGTATAGCATTTCCAGCAGTATTAGAGACTTGACCCCATCAGTTCATCGCATTATGTGTGGTTATCTGGGAAAAGCCTCGTAAGTTCAGTGACACTGGATGTGCATTATACTGAGCCGTGTACTGCAAGAAATATTGCGTACCTATGTTACAATATCGTTCAATTTGATACATTCAACTTGATACAAAGGACAAGATGACAGCCAGACATGCAAGTGGGTCCTTTATCATCGCGAAGAAGAAAAGCTCCGCTGCATTAAACAAAGAGGCATTGATTCGAGAATGCACCACAAAGCCATCCCAACCACCAAGTCACAAAAGCACAAAGTCCGTCAATCAAGAAGTCTTGTGCATCATGGAAGATCTCGCTAATGGCCAGCCATTTCGTCTTCATGTGAGCACGTTTCCCATTGTCTGCAACGCCTTTATCGTCTGAATGTTCAGACCTCAGGCTGTCATACCTTCTTCCTAACTCATCATTTTGAGTATATGTCGATTTTCTTGTAGAGAATCTCCGAAGGTTGGATTTGCCATCAACAACGAAGTCCTTTACCATCGTCCTCACCCTCGGCTCGGCTCTCTTTGACACCAACGCAGCCCTTCCCATTGACAAGATTTCCCTTAGAACCTGGACCAAAACCTCCGGCGTACCCCTCTCCAACCCTACTGCTGAGGGTATCAAAGCGGGATTGGGTACAAAGCCCAAGACCAAACCGGTGACGAAGCGCTCTGCATATCCTGTCCCGGGCGGTGACGAGTCTATCATCTACTTGATGGAAGAGTTTGGCTGGGACAAGGGGCACGAGTTCGACACCAATACGCCGGCCGAGAAGCGCTCCGGAGGTGGCTCCAGCCTATTGTACCTCCTGAACAACCTCGGCGACAAAGTCATGCCCAATAAAAAGTACGGCGCTGGGGACGTCTGACTTTGAGACGGTGGCATCCTCTTTTGAGTTGGAGTAGGGGTCGAAGGCGCGTGTGGAGACCACTGTCGTTGGACCCTGTATCTTCGTCTGGAGTGATTGTTGTAACGAAGGGGTGCTGTGGTAGAAATTTCGAATCATCCTTTTAAAGTAGACTTGCTTTGATGGATATATATTGGTCGTGAACCTGTGTAACACTTTGAGGCTGATAAGGGATGTAATTTAGTCGCGACGGTAGTTGAATAACGAAGGTAGTGAGTTACCTTGCATTGTAAATCAGTATTTCCTTCAAATGTATTAACATGTTTAACTTTCAGAGTGTAGACAAGTTCAGTAACCGAGCCAGTGAATGTGTCGGGATAACATAGTCGTTCTGATCAATCTCAACTCCCAGAGCAGTTATCCAATTTGCAGATTGCGGTGCCGTCTCGATGATCACGGCAGGCTCGAAGTGTCGAACATATGGGGAACGATTGCCATCAAGACACAATTGCAGCTACTTAGTCCGTCTCAAGCTCTTTAGACTCAACTCGACTGCTACTTTCACTATGACAAGCGCATTCACCTCTAGCCATCCTACTTTTTCAACCTTCGATGTGGCCCCTGCTTCCCCTTCTCTAAACAATATAAACACCCACGACATAATGATGAAACGCTCTACACACCACACGCACAAGTCTCACCCAGTACCCATCATCAACAAAGAGTCTCATATCATACACCTAAAATACAAGTACACCGAGCAACCACCCCGACCTATACCCCCAACAACATCAGCTAACCCTATTAGTACCCTACCCGTCCACAATGTGCACCAAGATCTACACCCGCCACCGCCCCTGCCCCTGCCCTACGCCCTGCCTCTACCCCCTCGGCACGCTCACCGCCTGCCGCGCTTTCCTCGCCACAGGCCGCTGTCCTCAGAGCCGCGCTAAGTGGTCCGGAGCGTACGTCGACGTCCCGTGTAAGACTTACAAGAAGGAGAAGAAGGCGACGTTGACAATGCGGGGCCCGCGTGTTACCGGAGAGACGCAAGATGGTAATGGTGCTGGTCCTGAGCTGCGCGCTGCGCAGGACGAGGATGACGGGGAGGACGGCACGCCTGGCGTTGAGGTTGGGGATGGCTTTGGTGGGTACTCGCCTCATGCTAGTGATGAGAGTATCGATGGGGATGTTGAGGGGGAGAGTATTACTGGAACCGGAGAGGACGAGGATATGACTGAACCCGGAGATGACGAGAATACAACTGGAACCGGCCAGGACGAGGGTGCGGATAGCGGTAGTGGCAGCGAGCAGGTAGAAGGTGGTGGGTCGACTGGAGAGAGCAAGAAGGCTCGGAAGACGTTTGTCGACTATTATTGGGAACACAGCGGATAAATGAGGACACTAGCAGCGACAGATGCTGTTGGTAGTGGATGAGGAGGTGAACGTGATGGGTATATTACTTGTTTTGGTCTTCATAGGATCCCATATGGCGAGTCCGTCGACTTGATATGCGGTCGCGGATGGGCATGCTGAGGGTTGGAAGAAAGGCCCGGAAGCTGTGATCCCTTTGGCAGGGCGATGGTGTCTCCTGGATGCAATCTTCGGCTCCTCTGCACAGGCATTTGCGCGCTTGAATGTGAATATTAACGACCTTTCGATGTGGTTTTGCCTATTGCTCCTCCTTCTCTTCTACGTTCTCCTCTTGCTTCACTTCCTGCTCTGGTTCAGGTTCCGGCTCTGGGGGAGGTTGCCTCCATCCCTTGTACAGCGCATGTTCATGTTCGCCACATAGCCCATCCCACTTCAAGAGTTCTCCCTGATCAGCCCAGGCGTCTTCTCTCGCACTTTGCTTGCCATACGGCAGGTACGGTACCCAGTTGATCCCTTCGATCGTAGTGATGACCCCGCGATCAGGTTCAGCCTTCAGCAGCTTCTCCGCATGGGGAAAGAACCACATACGGTCCCACCACTCATCGCGGTAGTTCTTCAGGCCAGTAAAATGAATGATGGGAAACATGTTTTTTTGTCACCGTGTTGATGCCGAGGGAGACGTCTTTCCACGTTTTACGCTTCAGCCAGGCGTTGCCCCAGCCCCATTTGTTGAGGGCGCGGTACGGAGCTTTCGATTGCTCGACATCTTTGGGAAGCTTGAGCGAGAATTGATGGATTTCGTCTTTGGTGACGAAGGTGCGGGGCCTATCAAAGGTGGCCCACTGGAGGATATCGTAGAAGAGTGCAACCGTTTGGAACATGCGCGACTCGTAGTCGATGCCCACATGCTGCTCGGCCTTTCTCCGGTCTTCTGGCTCGGGAGTGAAAATGTTCGGTTTGACATCATCCGGGACAGCATCCGGGAGAGGGAACGTTGCGTTCTTGCCTGTCGAAGTCATGCGCACGAACTCTTGATCAGCCCACACGTCGGCCAGATACATCTGGTCTGAATTGCGTCCGTAAAACTCGGGGTCCCACGTCTTGTCGACCTTGTCCATGGTGGCCAGGAAAAGACGGCGCAAATCCTTGACAGGACCAAGGACGGTGCCGGAATTGAGCCAGCGGGGCCGTGTGTGTTCATCATCCTTGTCCGTCTCTGAACCGAACGCATCACGTGGCAGTGTTGACTCCGGTACTATCCAGCAGGCTGGCCGGCGGAAGTCGATAGGGTAGCATAAGACGTCGGGACCGAAGAGAATGGTATTGTACATGTTAATTTTCTTGACATGGTCTGCTCCGAATTGTTCTTCTAGCCGTGCGTTGGAGGCCTTGACCACCTCGTGGTAGCGTTGGAGCAGTACATCTGGGCCAAGTTGGAAGATGACATCGTACCCGTCGATGATCAGGACAAGGTCGTCATCACTCGATGCCGGAAGCGTGTCGAAGTAGCGCAAGGGAGCTCTGACCTTTGCGAGATGGGTTTCTGCGGCATCAAAGTCGCCTTCGCCGTGCCAGGCAAGGAGAACTGTTGGGGGGATAGGAAAGGACGGCGGCTGAAAGCACCAAGCGGCAGACGTTTAGGTCGTTGCCCGTTGCTGTTGTGAGCAAGTGGAAGCCACGCGTGTTGGCGGTCTTCTGGTTGATATCGGATGCGACGTCTATGTCAACATCGAATGTCTTCTCTGAACTGATCAAAGATGGACCAGACGAGAAAGAAAGAAATGTAACAACGGTGATAAAGACAAAGCCTGCAGCCACGAAGAGGGCTCTGGGCCGAGGCATGCTGAACATGGCGAGTGACAGAGGATAGATAGGAAGGGACCGACTGGACGAAAGCCCACAGGCCGGTGCGAGCACAGAGGCATGGTGTACGAGGCTTACGCCCAGGCTGTGGCGGCGCCGACAGCCGCTACCCTGGCGCGCCTAGATTCCGAGGCGCGGGTGCCGGGGTGGTGTGGGGATAGGGGCGCGTCCGCTGCCAAGGGGCGCATCTCGCTGCCCCGAAGAGGCAATGAACGATGATGGGGTTTTGGCCAACCACTCACCCCACGTGCAACACCATGGCAAGGCCGACCCCACCCTGCACGCGCGTCTCTGAATGCGTCCAGGAGAGGGAGTCGTCAGCGTCATGGGCGAGGAAATCATGTCGTCGATCGGCAGCAGATCGGTGTCTCGGTGCGACGGTGGTGTGCGAGCTTCCTGCGACGAGATTCACCTGGTTGCGACGTTCGCAGTGTGGAATGGTGGAATGACGCAGTGCCCAATGTATTGTGAGACTGCATCGATCTGGCTAGCTGTGGCTGGGACCCCGGCGCCGCTCCTTCCGCTGCCAAGCTCCGCCGCCCTACCGCGGCGTCTTTCCTCTGACCTCAATCGAGCTGTACCATGCCGCTCCACCCAGCGCCAACAGGATTCCCGCCCCGTTTACCGCGTTCATCCGGATGTTCCAGAATGCGGCGCCCAGCACTATCGTCAGGCACTGTTTTAGGTTCGCGCAGATGGTCATCGACAGCGCGCCTGCCAATTTGTTCGTCTGGAACGAGGCCACATTCAAGACAAACGCCAGTATGCCGTTACCCGCGACCGCCATAAGTCGGCCACCATCGAGCTGTCCTTGGCCCACGTAGGCCAGGAACTCTGAGAACTCGCCCGTCAGCACTGAGTAGAGGAGTGACTGCAGCGCAGCTAGCGGACCCATGCGAAGCAGCACCTCGTACGCCGGGAGCTTCAGCCGTCCCGTCATCAGGCGATTAGTCACCACCGTTTTGACAGCTGCTAGCACCACGCCGCTCAACGTTAGAGTAAAGCCCAGTGCGGTGAAGTGGTAGTCGCCGAATGTCGCAAGACCGACTCCGACAATGACCGGGACAATGGACGCGTAGATGGCAGTGGCGTACGTCCGCGCGTACAACACGCGATAGATGAGAATGCAAAACACGGGAGTCGTCGCTCTCATTACCTGGTGGAACGGTATCGACACCATTTCCCTGCCAGCCAGGTTAGTCTCAACGTCTCTGCTGCGGCACCGTTTCACTTACAGCGAGACGTTTGACATGGCGATGTTCAGTGTGAATAGCAGCGAAAACGTGACGAGAACGAAGTGTTCACGCAGAGTCAGTCTGCTCAACTGGAAGTGACCGAGCAGCAGCAGGATCGAACAGCCCAAGGCTGAAGTTCCGGTGTGTATCGCTGTGAGGATCCAGGGAAATGCAAACTGTTCTCGTCAGCTTCCGTACAACATCCAACAAGTTCAAGGACCAGCTACCGAGCCTAGAACCAGCTTGTTGTAGAAAGTCAGGCTCAGGTTGATCAAGAAGTACACCCCCAAATAAGCCAGTATTCGCGTCCGATTTGCATCCTGCTCTTGCTTCCGGTGTGGGACCTGGCCCTCGGTATCCGCCATCTTTTCTTCGTCTCTTAGGAGCGGCTTGTTGGGTTCGATATCATCCTTCTCGTCATCCAGCACAGCAGGATGCTGTTCGTTGTCGTTGCGCTCCATTTCCCCCGGAACGCGAATGATGAAGTCAGGACGGACGCGTAAAAGGTCGGCAATTCACAAATTTCGAGACTCACACGTGCAGACCTTCCTTATCGCCAATGACACTCCACTGCCCGGGCGGATGTGGTACGGCTAGCTCGGCCGGGTCACAACCTTGGCAATCTCCAATTTCGCCTGACGCGTCCGAAGCGGCCCCCTGTCTACAAAAGACGGTGGGTCTCGGTAAAACCGTCTAGCTTGCATTGTGGCTGAGGAGCCTATCACCAATGGCTGGTGCGTCGCGTGCTTTCTTTGTCCACCCGTGCGGTTGCGGACTGCCAGGGGCACACCAAGATGAGCATTGGCGCGTGGCTTTCTGAGCCGTCGACTCTATGTTGGGGCCATCTGCGGACCATTAATGGCCCGTTGGGCCTGCTGGGACATAAGGTTCCGTATTTCCGGGGCTGGAATAGTGCTATCGTACTCGCCGTCCTCGCAGCCTTGTTTTATCTATTGCCTTGCCGTCGACCTCACACGACAATGAGCCCTTCAATCTCGTTGCCAATGCACACGCAAAGGAGGAGTGACACGCCCATGGCAGCTTACCAGAACACTGAACGAAGCACCAAACCTATCAAGATAAGGAAGATATGCTGCATCGGCGCCGGTTACGTGGGAGGACCAACGTCAGCCGTTATTGCAAGCAAAAACCCCGAAATTCAGGTCACCGTCGTTGATTACAACCGTGAACGTATCGAGGCCTGGCAGACGGACAACCTCCCCATCTACGAACCTGGTCTTCTCGACGTCGTCCAAGCGGCACGCGATGCAAAATCCAAGCGTACACCAAACCTCTTCTTCTCAACAGACGTCGATCGATGCATCGCGGAAGCAGACTTGATCCTACTGAGCGTCAATACACCCACTAAGTCTTTAGGACGCGGTGCTGGTCACGCGTCAGAACTATCCTTCCTAGAATCAGCTGTTCGTAAGATAGGCGAAGTGGCCGAGAGCAACAAGATAATCGTAGAAAAAAGCACAGTGCCTTGTCGAGCCGCCGACACGCTTCGAGATGTCCTCTCCGCAACAGCAAAGCCCGACCTCCACTTTGAAATTCTTTCGAATCCCGAATTCCTGGCCGAAGGCACCGCCATCCCAAACCTGCTGAACCCCGACCGCATACTGATCGGCTCTCTCAAAACGCCACGAGGCCTCCAAGCAGCTCAAGCCCTCGCAGACGTCTACGGTTCCTGGGTCGACCTCGACCGCATCATCACCATCAATCTCTACAGCTCGGAGCTCGCCAAGCTCGCCGCAAACGCCCTCCTCGCGCAACGCATCTCCAGCGTCAACGCCCTCAGCGCAATGTGCGAGTCCGTCGGCGCCGACATCGACGAAGTCTCGTACGCCATCGGCCTCGACAAGCGCATCGGCTCGCGCATGCTAAAAGCCTCCGTCGGGTTCGGCGGCTCCTGCTTCCGCAAAGACATCCTCTCCCTCGCCTACATTGCTGAATCGCTGCACCTCTTCGAGGTCGCGGACTACTGGCGCTCTATTGTCGAGATCAACGAGTACCAGAAGGATCGGTTCACGAGGAGGATCGTGAGATGCTTGTATAACAGTCTGAGTGGGAAGACGCTTGCCGTGTGGGGTTTTGCGTATAAGAAGGATACGGGCGATACGAGGGAGACGGCTGCTATTAGTGTTGTGGATAACGTCCTTACTGAGGGCGCGAACGTGCGAATATACGATCCGCTCGTTAAGGAGACGCAGATTAGGCAGGAGCTGAAGAGCACGACGTCACGGCTTGACTGTGCGGAGAAGCAGCTCGTGGTGTGCGAATCGGCGTATGAAGCGTGCACAGGGGCGGACGCCGTCATTATACTGACGGAGTGGGATGAGTTTAGCAACCGAGGTGAGGTCGCGAGAAGGGACTCGGGTCATGGGAAGAAGACAGAGGAGAGGACTGGGAGGAAGGTAGACTGGGCTCGGGTCGCGGAGGTGATGAGGCGGCCGATGTTTGTTTTCGACGGGCGGAATATTGTAGATGCGGGGGCATTGGAGGAGCTGGGCTTCAGGGTAGAATGCATTGGAAAGGCGTAGAGTTAGCATTAGACCGTTTAATACCCCAATCCTTATGCATCTTAGAGATAGATAATCGACATTCATTTATCACTACCTGCTGTTTAATGCTTGTTGTGCATGCTTGAATCCGCAACGTGAGATGAGATGCCATCAAGATACTGTAGGTTCGACATCGTACTCGACATCCGTCCTAATAACGTACTTTGCGCCCTCGACAACGCCCGTCCCTTCGTGCAGCAAAGCATCCTGCGCCTCGCCGTGTGGGAAGACGGCCACGCTGCCCATGATGGGCTTAACGGGGTAGGCATTCAAGACGCCTTCTTTTACGCTCGGGATGAAGAAAGTAGTCTCGCCACCTTTGAAGTCGTCGTTGAGGTAAATGAGAAAGGTGTACAGTGAGGATTGCTTTGCGTCCCGTGGTGAGGCGTCATATTGGTAGGCGTCTGTAACGGGGTCGATGCCGGACGGGGGCCATGCGCCGTCTACGCTCTTCTCGTCAGTATCATTCTCATCGCAAAGCAAACATCTAGAAAACAAGGAACACACTCACCGATATGACACCTATACTCCGCCCCCGGCACATACCGATACACCCTAAACCTCCTATTAATTCCTCTCACCGTCTTCCCCTCTTTTTCCTTCGGCACAAAATCTTTCACTCTTTCCCACAGCGCATCGTGAAACGCCTGATCGACAATCCAGTAGAAGTTGTGCGCAAGCACGCTGGTGTCCTCGCCTTGTGGCCGCACCGGCGCGTCCGGGATGAACTCCATGGTCTCGCCCGCGGCGATAATGGAAGCGCACTCAGCGGGCGTGAGGACATCGCAGATGAGGCGGAGATTCGGAACCAGCGGGTGCTTGTGGACTGTAGTTTTGGGAAGAGGGCCGAGAGGGACTGTGTTGTCCTGGGAGGCAAAGAGGACGGCGGGGTGAAGGTTTGGTGGCTTCCGCTGTGGGCCGGGCGTTGTTTCTATAGCGCGGAATCTGGTTTTGAGATCTGGTGCGCAGGACGCGAAGATGGACTTGTCTTCGATAGTGTGGCGGATGTAACGCGTGGGCTCCGTGCTACTGCGTAGGTTCCAGGTTTCCTGGAGGGAGATACAGCCTGGGTATGCGTCGAGGCCGTGGGATGTTGTGTCCGTAGGACCTGTGACGCGCAAGATGGCATCAAGAACTTGGATCAGTTCGGCATTGTGCGAGTTCGTGCCTACGATGTCCTGGTCTGGTACTCGCACATGGATGGATAGGCCAGAGATTACGTCCAGGGTGCGTACCCAGCGGCAGAGGGCGCCTAGTGAGGGTGTTTCTTTCCGGATGCGCATTTCTGCGAGCAGGATCCGAGAGTCGAGATATCTTCCATCTGTGAGCGCGGCGGATATCCGTGCTGTGAGATTGCCGCCCTCTAATGCATTGCATGAGCGACATCTGGTCAATTGTGATGTCAACGGGACAACTTACCCGCAGCTATCATTCCGGTGGTGCTTGCCTGCTTGAAGGCATATACCGCTGTCCTGAGGTCTTTGCATGCTTTTGATTTGATAAGAGAGGGGTGCTCGGCCAGGGCTTGCAACGTCTCCACGGCAATTTCGACTTCCTCGGGTGAGGTAATCGCGTTAATGGTGGAGGGTCCATTCGTGGCTGACGAGTCTTGTGGTGGAGTCAATGGGCCTTTGGATTTTATGGATATCGATGCATGGGCATTGTTCCGCTTGCGTTTGGCCATGTTGGTGGTTAGTGGCGATGCGGTCTGGCTTCAGAAATAGGCAAGGGTGTTGTGCGCTAGGTATGCGTCTGCTATCTCCTGGAACAATTGAACCGAAATATCCTCTTCTTCGATCTTGAGAAAACGTTAATTGCTGGTTGCTAAGGGGCTTGGAAGAGTGGACATCTGAAGGGTAGGATCGTGAAATTTGACATCTTATCGATAAGAGGAACGCTAAGCCAGACTTGACAACGCTAAAGTGTCCAGAAACGCGGGGGTGGGGCAAGCGCACTTGACATGAGATGCGTTCCAAAACCAAGACAACTTGCGCCAATTTGCTCCACGGTATTTGCATCATCCTTCAAGCCGTGCTTCAGGCCTTGCCTGAAATCTGGTTAGTTGCAGTCCCCTTCAATACCTAGGCAGCCAACATGCGGCTGCTCCATTCCAACCTTTCAATGTTCCGCTGCTCTCACCCTAGTGAGGATGCTGGGAAAGCCCATTCTGGACCACACAACACGAAAGTAGTCGGCAACAGTTGCAGCCTTCCATAAGGACGTACTACTTCGTCTCGTCTCGGCATAACGTTGTTTGGCGATCCATCATGTACATCGGCTCCACAAGGCGGTGAGGTGTAGAGTTCGACACCGCCCGCAATGGCAGCGTGCTTTCGGTTTTTCCCCATCTGGATGGCAAAATTTCGGATGCTGAAGGTGACATCCCATCTCCAGACTCAGCCAGTACGCGCTCGTTGATAGTTTCGTTTTTCCTCTTCTTCAACCGCTTTCCCGCAATCTCTGGCAACGACGCACTCATGCCGCTAACTTTCGTGCTTTCCGGGAAGAAATGCGAACCACAGTTCCATGTGCTCTCATCAGCATCCACTAAGCTCCCCCGACATACTACTCCTCACCCGTTCTTTCGTACGCGTTATCAAGCATATAAACGTCGCAAGTCCCACAAGACAATTTCTGCACATTTTGGGGGAATTGGTGTGCCGTGAAGCGCTCGAGTCCATAGCCCGTTGCGGAATCGGAAGATGAATAGTACAAAGCATGCCAGGGACTTGCGACAGATGCTGCAATTGCAGGAGTACGCGATTAGTGGCAGGGACCTAGTGGGGATGGGGAAGGAAATGCACCAGGCCTTGCAGTGGCACGAGGCCCGGAGTGTTGCCGCATCTACCATCGGGGCTGTGTGTGCTATTGCTTGGAATGAAGAAGACTACTGCAACTATGACAAGAACGTAAGTTATCGGACTGCGCATATAAGCGAATAAAAGAAAAGCATGAAGCGGGGCTGCTAGTGTTGTCACAAAATATCGGCCAGCAACGACATCTTCTACTTATCCGCTTCCGTACATGGGGTTTCACATAGCACCATTAGTGCTAATACTACCTGCAAATTTCTGCAGATGTCATACTCTCGAAAGTGAAGTCGAAGAGTCAACAACCTGTCGCCAATGCACCGGTTCTGGCGGGCATCGTCGTGACCCTCAACGATCAAACCATCACTACTCTAAACCTCAAGCGTTGAAAAATCCAACAAAAACTGATACTGCCTCCGGTTTGTCAAACAAAATTGAACATCACGCTGTGCAAAGACGCTGTGGTCAAAAGACTCCCTGTGGAAACAATGGTTCAGTTGCTAACAGGAATAGCAAATTATCAGCAATTCCATCCACTAACAAAGATACGCCACAGTTCCAAATCCAAACGGACTCATTCGAGCTGACTGGTCCGCGGTAACAGAGTTATCCGGTTTACGGTGATGTCAAGCTGATTGTGTCTCAGGGGTACCCGTGGGAGTTGTCTCTCATTTGAAACATTGCTTACTCTTCTCCAATTGACCTAGCTCGTCGCTGTCAGACTCTGCTTTGCATCTCCTACCCGCCCAAAGACAAGAACAAATCCGTGTGCGGAGCTAATGGTTTCCTGGAAACCGCGCGCGCAAGCTTTGTCGCATCCTGCGATGTTTGTGAAGATACTTCGATGGTATTAATAAGGAGCTAAGAAGCCACCAGAACAGTTATCATTGCAATCCGATTCATCTCTCACAAGTGGCATATTTGAATTTCCTTTGGTCGACTTGTATCTCATTGACACTTGCTTCACTTACCCGTGTACTTTTTTATCGCTCGTTTGTTGATGATGAGTCAGTTTGGTGGTGGAGGTCGTGGCGGAGGTCATGGTACAGGCCGTCCTGGAGGACAGGATGGTTGTACGAACTGTGCCCTGGCCGACCATACTAGACCAGATTGTCCATACCCCGTAAGAGTGTGCCGAGATCATTTGAAGGGACAATGTAGACACGGGAGCAACTGTAAATTCAATCACGTTGCTCGACTCAACCACGTTGCTCGACTCCCGCCGCCTGCTCCAGTCACACAAGACGACTCCATTCAAACTGAACTTTTCGATCACAGAGACAGCTTCCAGAGCAAGAAGTTCCAGAGTTCCATCGAAAAGGAGAAGAGCCAAGCCGTACAGCAGGACGAGATTATCTACGAACTTCGAAAAGAATTCGCACAAAAAGACAACCTTGTTCTCACGAATCACTTCTGCCTGGGTTTGCCTGATGAAAAGAAAAATCCTCTCCACCTTTTCGTAATAAGTGGTATCGAAGATGAAGTCGAAGCGGACATGGAGATGAAGAGCACCGAGCAATCCGGAAAATCAGCACAGATGCAACGAGATAATGTTTCGCATGCGATTCCTAGGCAAGAAATCGTTGGAACTTCTTCAACTGCAACATCACTGCAAAATCATGCTACCAGTATCCCTAATTCGGTCTCTACGAAACCCTTGCCACGCGGGCGGAAAGAGCAACTATTCAACAAACTGGTCGAAAAGTGTTACACGCTTCGCAAATACAGAATGGACTACGCCACCGATGGAATGAGGTTCATTGTAGCTTGGAAAGACATGAAATCAGACTTCAAAAAGGAGCTCTCGCAGTCCGATCCAGAGTCCGATGTGGTATTTCAAACGACTGTCGATTTTCAAGAGGGGAGACAAGTAAAGCATAAGACTCTGAAGGTTCATTACAAGAACACGATACCTATTTCGAGGTTGACTGAATCCTCTAACGGTACAAAGCCCTACTTCACTGTCAACTCGAAGGATACCCAGTCTGAAATCTCTCCCGATCACGCCATAAATTTGGTTCTTGCAAAAGTTGCAACAGCGTCATCCTCCAACGTCTTTCGGATTGGTCGCAACAAGATCTACTTGGAAGATACGATGGAACGTCTCGCGCCTGGCATGGTCGCGTACAAGGGCTTCTTCTCGACGGTGAAGGTCGGAATGGGTATGCCACTTCTCAACGTTAGTTTGGCGAACAGCGCCTTCTGGGCGCCTGGCCCTTTGATTGCTTTTCCCCGTAATCGGGCCATAGGTAGGAAAGTCAAGGTCTGTTATGGCAGGGAACGCATCAAGACAATTCATGGTTTCGGATTGTGTCCAAAGCAACAGTTGTTCAGGTTTGAAGAGTACGGGCAGGAAATTGAGATTAGTGTTCTCGAGTATTTGAGGACAAAGCCTGAGATTCCGAAGAGGCTCTGGCACGAACTCAATGCCTCGGAAAACCATTGTGTAAACACACAGCCGAGAGGGAAGCAACCGGAATGGTTTCCGATGGAGCTACTCGAAATCGCGAAGTATCAACCATGTGGTGGCAGGCTTTCAGGAGATGCGACAGCCCGCATGATCGAAATAGCCCGCACAAGCCCTTTTGAAGGCCTGCGACGAATTGTAGGTCATGGACTAAGGTTGCTGGGAAATAACTCCGATGCTTGCGCGCAGTCAACTTTGAACAGCGCCTCTATTAGCATTCAACCCAAGGTCCTAAAAGTACCCGCCCGGCAACTTCCAGATCCAACTGTTCGTTATGGCGGAGGTGGTAACGCTCAGATATTGCCGAATAAGAAATGGAACCTCGCTAGAAAACGATTCTGCGACACCACAAATACCCTTCCGGAACAGTTCCTCGTCTTGGTCCCCAATATCGCTGGGAGATTGAGCATATCTAGAGACGATGCTTCGGCATATGGTCTGGGACTTGCAACCGAAATGCGTAACACTGGTATACGGCCTCGCGCAAACGTAGAGCCCCAAAACTGGTTCACTTGCGAATTGATCGATCTCAACACCCCAGCGGGACCCGAAGAAGGATTTCGAGCTCGCTTGCGGCAGCTCGACAAGAACAAGTTGGTCGTGTTTGTGAACCAAAGCAAGGACTCCAGCAACTCCATCTATTTCGACCTCTTCAAGCGTGTTGCAGAGCAGGAATACGGTCTACAAAACGTTTGTATTACCCACGCAGCCTTGGCAGCCCAAAGGAACAAGACACAATACTTCGCGAATGTGGCGATGAAGGTCAACTTGAAGCTTCGCAACTATAACCATGCTATCGCTACAGTGAATATTCAACGGGGCACTTCTGAGCTCGCTGGAGTGAATTTGAACGATACCATCGTTTTGGGTGCAGATGTCACTCATACCCAGAAAGATAGCGATCCCGGGTCTTTCTCTCTCGCCGCGCTCGTTGGTAGCATAGATGGAACCCTAGGCCAGTTCTACGGTTCCATGACGTATTTAGACCGAGATTCAGAAGTAAGTAAATTTTCACTCCCCTCCTGTATTGACATTGAACGGATCTAAAGAATTTCAATAGGCCATCGCATGGAATAACATGAAGACAATGACACAGCAACGTCTCATGGCCTTCCACAAAAAGTCCAACCGTCTTCCTGCGAACATCCTATTCTTTCGTGATGGTGTAGATGAGGGGCAGTATGCCCGCGTAAAAACTATGGAGGTGGAAGGTGTGAAAGCGGGCTACCGAGCTTTCGCTGAAAGCATCGGCAAGCCCAAGGAACCGAAGATCACGACCGTTATCGTGACAAAGCGTCACCACACGAGATTCTACCCTTCCGATGTTTCCAATGCTAGCGATGCAACCCGGACGAACAACTGCACACCTGGAACCTGCGTGGACTCAGGCGTCACGCATCCCAACTATTTCGAGTTCTACCTCCAATCACATTATCCACTTCAGGGCACTGCTCGGCCTGCGCGTTACTTTGTCCTCGAGAATGGCATGGGATTGACACCACGGCAGCTTCAGAGATTTACGTATGAGCTCTGCTACTCTTACGTCCGCGCCACGCTTCCTGTGGGTTACGCACCTCCAGCATACTATGCTGATCGGCTTTGCGAACGTGCTCGTAGCTACTTCTCTGACTTTCTCAAGTCACAAGATACCGCTGGAAGTAACTGCGATGACGCTTCGACCCAGGGAACAACATCATCGAAAGAAGCGCCATCCGCCACGGCAAAGACATCTACCAAAGACACACAGGTAGTAGAGTCATTCGAGCCTACTGGCAAATGGAAAGACAGGTGGGACATTCCCAAAAACCCCAACGGTCCATGGCACCAAAACCTCAACGACTCTATGTTTTGGATGTAAGACTTTAGGCCTTGAATTTGCATGGCACTCTCTTCTTTCCCCATTCAGGACCTGCAAACTTCCTTATGTTTCGTCAGATCCACCAGATTATTGACCGATCCGACCGGTACTTTCTAGCTCTCATTCCTCGCACCTTCAAGTTCTACAAGGCTTACCTTGCATGATTATTTCATTGCCATTATTGCTACTTCCGGCGTTTCCCATGACCTAGCTTTCATCTGGAAGAGCGGCGGATCAGAGGAATATCCTATCCTTTCATTAAATGTTGCACAGTCCTTCCTTCGATGTCATAGACTGGTTTCCTTCAATATTATAGACTGTTTTACTTGGCTTTTATGGGTTGTTCTATTTAGATGCAATAGACTATTTTGCTTCAGAATTTTATCTTGGTCTTGCAAACGAAATGGCTTATGTTCCTCTTTAGGTATTCTGAAAATCGATTTCTCGCAACTTCTCGAAAATCGATCCTTCCTCACGACTGACCTCCTGATCTCTTTACAGAGGCCTTCGGGAGAATAACTATTGTTTTCACCCATATGCCGATGAATATTAATCGTCTTTCGATATATACGCGCCGGGATGGGGAACGCTTCTACCAAGCTGACTCTTGATATAGAATCTTGGACTGGGTCTCCAAAGACTGGGCTGCCGAAGGTCCCGACGGCTATATCACTAAGCAAACCAGTTTGGTATAATTGCTCCGCGGCACGTACGAAGCTGCATCCATAGCTAGTTCGAGTATAAAATACAGATGAGTATGACCTTCATCTGCAATGTTGGAAAGCCGAACATGTCCTTTTCGAAGCCAGCAGAGCCGAAACTGCCCGAGATCATTGCTGATCGAGGACTAGGAGCGAAAGCAAACTATATGCGCATGATTCTTCACGACTACCCCGACGAGCAGTGTCGCGAGATTCTGTGATATACCTCGGCTATGACAGAAGATTTCCTTTTGATCAACGAAGTTGTGCTCCCCGAAGTTGGCGCAGCATGGAGAGCGATGCAGATGGACATGGCTATGCTGAATGCCTTGGCGGGTAAAGAGAGATCTGAGAGGAAATGATGTGCGCTATTGAAATCGGTGGGATTGCAGATCGTGAAGGTGTGGAAGTACACCGAGGAATGCGAGGATTGCATCGTCGTTGCGAAGCCGCAGAATTCTACTTGGGGTTAGCTGCAGTGATACGGCTATGTACCATATGCAGGTCGCCTCAGCTGCCACACAGGCGCATTTTTAAGTGTTTCGTCGATGATGTTCGCGATGTTGAAAGCGGTATTGGCGTAGTTTAGCTCGGTTCCGTACTGTAAAAGATATTCTTTGATCTCAGAAACGAAGGCAGAGTTGACATTGGAGCGGTCTATGTACTTGATAAAGGTGCCGAGACAGTCAAAAGTCAGAAGGGGCATGCTGAGCTGGGTGATCATTAAGTGCACTACAGGCGAGGTGGGTAACCTTTCAACAAAGTTGGACCCTGGACATATCTTCCAACTTTCAAGCCTATAAACTCTTTACGCCCGGGTACCAAAAACATTAAACTGGTCATAAGAATCTCATCAAGCTAATCAAGTCTATGCTTAGACTAAACATGCGCGAAGAGTTGACCAAATTGTCAAAGCGATAGCGCGATCACCGCGTGCAGTCTTTACAGATATCAGAGAATTCTTGTCAGCTAGACACTACTTGAAGCTTGTGGCAGCTGTCATTCAAGAGCGTGCCACACTTGAAACAATGTTAAGCAAGGAGGCTATTACGCGCGGCTTCGGTGATATCGAAGCTATAGCTCAATCGGCATCTCCTCCTAGGATTTGGAAAACTTATTATTATGCCCTAGCGTAATATAAAGGGAAGTATTCAAAGAAGATATAACTTGGGGACGCTGGGCGTAGGAGTTTTACGATCTGTAGGCACTTGGCATGTAAGCGCAATAGAGATACGTGGTGCGCGTACATCAAAGAGGAGCTATTATAGCGCTACTATGCACTAGAGGTTACAAGCCCACATAATAAAGATAGCAGGGGTTTTTTTAAGTGTGATGATGGTAAAGAGCATTTCTTTGGCCTAGAGGTGTAGATATGCTTACGGAGCTTATAGTAGGTAAACGCAATCGATTCTCTATGCATACAAGTGCTGCTCTCAATACTAACCTCATGTTACTCCCGATCCCGCAACAGACACACCTCTAAGTAGCCGCCTGGAGTTACTAATATGCATCGCTTTGTAGAATCGATGGGATAAGCTCATGCGTGTAAAGAAACTAATAAGAGGGTATCCTAAGGTAAACAAGCACAATGAAGAGCTCCTCTTTCCCTCGTTCAGTCCTCCAGATATGGGTCCACTGCCTCCACGATTCTTGGAATTCCATCCTTGCCCCCTGCACTCCTCAAATAACCTTCCGTGCACTTCTGGCGTGTCAACCCTCCAATCGCAAAGACCACATCGTTCCTTGTCTCTTTGTCATTGATCCTATTCGAGCGTGAGAGGATGTAGATTCGCGCCAAGTCGTGATAGAAGCGGACGACGGCGGGTTCTGAGGAGTCTTCCAGCTTGTAACTCAGGTTGGCCATACGGCGCTGTACGAAGTCGATGTAGAGTTCTGCATCCTGAACACTAGCTCCTAGTGGAAGATCAAGAATGGTGTTTTCGGTGCTCCTGTAGGAAGCACTCCATTTCCCACGGAGGAATTCTGAACGGAAGACTAGTTCGAGTGACACTCTGAACGTCTTTTGGCTCGGCCCACTACCGGCACGGATCTGGACGGCTCGAATATCTCCCATACTCCTGTTGAATATTAGCGCCATTCTAATGTTCACTTGGGCGCGTTGACCTACTTTTCTCCGGACTTGTCGAAGTGTACCTTCTTGCCCGATGAGGGCATTCTGAATCGAGGCTCGACCTCAGTATCCTGTGCCTTAAGCTTTATATCAAGCTTCGAGGTCAAGTTTCTGGGCGAGTATATATGTATCCTCGACACTGTGGTCGAGGAAAGTCTACCGACGATGCAGTGTTGAAATGCTTTCTGATTGGTGGGGATCGCGTGAGGCGAAGGGTCTGATGATTCTGAGTTAAAGCAAGAGTTCTGAGGAGAGCGGTCACGTATTATATAATCCCCCGTAGGAGCAGTAGAGGCTCGTGAGATACACGGACCCCTGGGTTGAAAAGAAGCAAGGACCATATTAACAGGGCATTAACCCTCCGAGTCTATGCATCAGCACGTGAGAGAATGTCCCATTATAGTAAAGACTCTGCCAAGTCTACGGGTTAACAATGCAGGGTTGAGAATATAATCCCAAGAACGAATCTAGCGGACTTTATAGAGTCAATAGTGTATTAGACAAATGCACAAATTGCTGTTTGTCAGCAATAATTAACTCTAATACTTAATTCCTGCTAATTGTTAGCGAAAACACGAGTAGGATCCGAGTTAATGGCGCAAATTAATCAGTCTAGTCAAGCTTGTGGTTACACATCTTCTAGCAAGTACTATACTAGGATCCAACTCGCAAAGTGCAAACGCACCAGTATAGTGGATTGACTTGCCATGGAAGTAGTAAGCATGTCAGGACTAGATTTCGTTTTTCAACCTGAAGTCGTGTTGCAAATTCCTCTACAAACCATCTCATTGTGTTTGGCTTGGATGGAAACGCGCAACGTAAGCTTGTAGGCAACTGAGCCTACTACGATAGAAGGCCAGTATAGGTTACGTTAGACGTATTAATAAGGACGACACAACTAGTAAGATCGTTTCAACCCTGTGTCTCTCAAAGCATGTCGACCAGAAAGTGGATCTCGACAATAATGTTGTATCGTTATGCTTGGACTGTTGCGGCCCTGCTTTCGTCTATAAGGATTCAAGATACAATTCAATTCAGAAGAGTCATCGCCAGATGCAGATGATGCAAAGTTTGACTCCTTTCCGTCCCCATCCATCGCACAACAGAGGAGTCCTGATCTCTGCTGGATATTTTCATCCCCATGAGGTCTCCCGGCCGGAGCAGTTGCCAACGATGACAGCGAGTATTGATATACTCCTGAAATTACTATCAGCCAGGTAAGTTCTACATAGAGCTTCGATTGAAGGAAGTAGCGCACCATTATCTTGTATCTTGGATGCTGTGGGATTGCTGGTATTTTCCACGCAACACCTCCCTACTTGGTGCGAGACGCAGGATTCATTCGAGATGACAGATCTCCTATGCTGATCGCGAGTCACCTAGTCTTGCGAGAGAAAGGCGGGCTGTGTGTTCAATGTCACTTCAGGTGAATCGAAGGAACAAGTTGCGGATAATTGACTGCCCAATTTCTAATTTTGCTCTAGTTGCGTCTGGATCTGACACAATAAAATTGAGTCTTTTCGAATAAGTGGAAGATAAGCGGCATAGTCGTCTGCATCAAAGAGACGCAGGGTTGCCCGATAGGATTCACTCTGGACGACAAAAGCCAGTACCCCTTCAAACTATGTTTAGAAAACACGCCCTGAGTGCATAGTACACGAATAGACAAACATGTTATAGGAGTGAAGCCTCGAATGCCCCTAGAATCAGCTATATTATCCACCAAGCATGTACAGGTACACGACAGGCTACCAATTACCTTCTCTTTGCATTGGAGGTACTAGACATGGATTATTGAGTTCATAAGCGAGTGACGCTGATAACCCATTGCCCTTCGGCAGCGCCTGATTCTTAACGTCGCCGGCTCCCCCACCCCGCGGGCGAATCTTGTCCCATCTTCCTGGCGGTTAAATCTGGTCAATGTACCTCTCAATGCCATGCTCGACTGCGATGTTCTTGTGCAACAACCCCGCTTGAACTCGCGTAGCGATGATAATGTCTTTGAAGAACTCCGCAAGGAGGTCGTGGGCCACTGAAATCTCCCAATTGTCGGCGCCTAACCAGACATCTACAAACAATCGCCGCATCGGGTCGTTATTATAGGTTCCCTCATAGACCGTTCTGACTGCCTCTTCGTCTGGGGCCAACCAGATCTCCGAATCGACATTTACTTGTAGTAGATCAAAGACGCGCCTGCACAAGGATTTAGTAGATGAAAAGAATTGTATACAGGGAAAAGATCTAACCGGACAGTGCATGTTTTAGTCGTGGTGTCTTGAAGCTTGTTCGCCAGCACGTAGACTTTGGCAAGATCCTTATACTCTTGCTCCAATTGATCCATGAGCGGTTCATTCGAATCATGTGGCAATTCCTTGACGTAGATGAACTGCAAGTACAGACCAACCGTGTACGGATCATCCTCGGACATCTCAATCGTGCGGGTGTCCGACTCGAGCCAGTTCCCGTTCATTGCGTTGCGGAAGAAGTCAGAGCGAGCGAGTATAGTTTCGTGGGCGACGAACGTCTCTTGATGCTGCACCTTACCGGCACGGATTCGGACGATGCTGGACTCCCTGAAGCTGCGAAACATTTGTAAACCACCCGATTAGGATCTAGGCGGTGACTTACCTGAGCGCTGCCGCATTCACGGGAGAATCTGCTTTTGGTGTTTCCATATTGATTGTACAATTCCAGGGATGGCTGTCGCTGGTTGCACGTTCGGATGCTGAAGCGCGCACACCGACCTGGTCACAGCTGCGAAGCAGAGGTAGTTTGAGTGGGGAAAAGCCTGCGCGCACCGTTCCTCTGTCTGGTTGTCTGGCCTTGTTTGACTTGAAGGATAATGTGAGTGTGTTGTTTGCCGGTAGAGTGAGAGGGCACCGGGCACAACAAATTGAGAAGGCGCGTAAGAGATTGGGACCACAGCACGCGCTAGTCCGAGATTGGAGGACAGAGTGAAGGAAGGCGCGAACGAAGTGTCAACATTCTACATTCAATATACAAGAACAGTGATGTGTCTTTTGAGCTACTGGTCTGTTGGTGAAAGTTTTTGAGGTCGGTCAAGTCGAACTTAGGACAACAAACTCGACGACCAAAGGAAGTCTAATCGAACCGAAGATCCTGTAAGCTTTCAATACATACAAGCTTTACTATTCTTACTTGATTACGCTTTCAAAGGACATAGCTGTGAGATACAAGTGGACGTCAAACCTACAAACCACCTTCCCAAGGATTGAATAATATCCTTCGAAACACGTTTTAGCAGGTATATGAAAGCGCCCTTGTAGCATGAAAAGGAGAAGAGGCACGAAATCTCTGAAGTGCAAAAGCATCGAACTATGTAGCTACAGTCAAGAATCTATCATATTTTTGAAAAATCAGAAGTTTCATACCTTTTCTGGAGCTTTTCGGAGTATGGGGAAAGGACGTAGACGAGAACCACCTTTAGCACATTGCTGTCCGTGCTCCTTTGATGCCGTCCAATAGAGCCTATTCTTCAAAACTAGATCGGAGGAAGCCTAGCCTTTGTAGCTTAGATGAACAGGACGTTTAAGAACGGCGATTCAGTTAGATGATGACGTTACATTCCGACTAAGCTACCTTTAGGTAACATCTAATTTTCAACGTGCTTCCGCACAGGTGAACGCCGCGGCGCACCTGAGACTGCGACTGAATGCGCGTCTCTTCTTCCGAGCCCATGACGCCAGACAATGCCCATCGACCCGTCATCGTTTCCTTGTGTGCTCTCTGAGCTATGTACAAGATGACACCATATCCTTTTAACATCACCATCATCTCATCATCTACTCCTGCCAAAGCACGCTGTTTTCGTCGCGCGCATTCACCAAGACGTACTCGGTGCATCTCGGATCCGTCTTGCGATCCGGGATTGTCATGGCCATGAGGTTGACCTCCATCCACGTGGGCCGCATGCCCATGGACTCCAGGCGCTCCCACCAGTTCCGGAACCTCTTGAAATCGATGCCCTTCTGGTCATCACCGACGTGGATCTCAATCATGATCTGGCCGATGGGTAGGACGGCATCGCCGTTGCCCCTCCACGCGGAGGTAAAGTAGTCCATCACAGAGTCGAATGAAATGTATTCCGAACCCTCAACGTCGATCTTCAGGATATCCATGTAGGTGTGGTTGTTCTGCGCCATGAGGGTCTGGAGCGTGTAGAAAGGCGGCGACTTGGCAGGCTCGTCCGTCTTTCCGATGCCGACTTTCTTGAAGAAAGCTCGGTCGTTGTACTTTGCTGCGATCTGCTTGCCCCACGCTTCGACGGTGAAGTCGTATCCCCAGATGCGCGCACTGGGAATACGCTCGAACATCTCCGCCTCGAATGATGACTCGCCGTTGATGCCGAAGCTGTAAATGACGACTCCTTCCTGGCCGCCGGTCGGTACGCCGCTCATCCAGGTCTTGGGTATGGGAACCGACTCGTAGACGCTCATTCCGCACACCCACTTTCCTCCATCGCCCAGTCTCCCGACGCGCTGCACGTCGTGTGGACATGTCCATGTTGGCGGAAAGAAGTCCCACAGTGTGTATGGGTATTTTCCGAACTCGTTGAGAGATTGCGCAGGAAAGAGCGGAATCTGAGGGTTTGTTGGGTGCGCCTCTGCCATCTTTCCTCGAAGCTGTACGCTCTTCCGCCACGCCGATTCTGATAGAGCCATTCGCTCTTTCAATCCCGCAAATTTGCGGCCCGCTGTCCGCTGTGGCAGGGGAAATGAGGGCAAATATGATTGCTCCTCTGCATTGTTGTGTAATACTGCGATGAAGAAAACAAGTACAATGATGGTAGCGACAGCACGCCCTAATGCCATGTTAGAGAATATAGAGATAGAAGTCGAGAGCAACGGTCAACGTTAAGTGAGATGGCGGGGTGAGTGGCGGCAAGACGTACCTTGGGGAGAGCGAAGGAAGGTCATTTTATGAGTAAGTATATGCAGAGTGTAGAAGGATTCGATTTGCGACTTAAAGATTGACTAGAAACTGCCCCGCTTTGATAATGTGAAGCAAACGAACGGAGTATGGAACGTGAAGCTGGGTGAAGGACTGAACTGCGGCTTGGTATGAAAAGCTGAGGAGGGAGAGTAAACAGTAGACGTATCGGTGGCAGATGCAAAGGATGCGGATCCCTCCCAGGGTCTGACTACGAGCAGGTACAGCCGTGTATCCCCTGATAAGCGCATGAGAGTGAAGCTCAACAGCAAGGATAGACAGTGCCAATATGGCCAATCTCTGCCAAGAGAGGGCAATGACGGTCTCATCCCAGAAGTTCACGGTCCCGTTGTTGGCAGCGGCAGCGCGGGCAATCGAAGCAGCTGAAACCAGCTCCACCCACTCGAAGCAGCCAGGTCTTAAGCCCGAAGAACGCTGCCGCAGGAGAGCTGCCACTTGAGGTAACGAAGCCCCACAGAGCCCATTGTCGGTCCCACAGTTGTCAAACGGGGCAAGCCACCTGTGCTTTGGGCGCCCAGGGATGGTATTCCGATGGACATGTCGATCAGTTTCATGATTGGTGTGGTAACTATGTAAGCAAGAGCCGCGTTTAGAGCTCCGCCTCAGGCACGATTATTACCCGATGCGGGGCTTTTGGCGACTGGAACGCTAGCTCGCCTAATCTACTGTGTACAAGGGTCGCGATCGGACAAGATATTCACATGATTTGGGATACTATCAAAGCTAGAGTATGTACAAGGGCGCCGAGCCGCCTCGGAGGGAAAATGGCTCACGCAAGAATGCGATAGACCACCAAGGCTGCCGCTAGCAGCAAGCCGCTGCAGAGCGTAAAGACCATGTTGCGGTGATGCTCGCCTAGGGCAATTGTTAGCGGCTGCGGCATACATGCTCCCCACGAGTAGCACGACGTGGAAGGGATGTGGAGAAATACCTTCCTGCGTCATACTAAGAGCCAGAACAACGAAGGCGTTGAGGGGTACTCTCAGAATGGTATAGACGCTTGCACGCATGCCGTCCTCGATTAGTTTGCTCTTGAGCGACCCCATGGATGGGTAATAGATTCCGCAGCAGACCTCAAAGATGCAAAAGCACCAGAGGACCACATTTTCCTCGCGGATGTGCGCGGGTAGGAAAAAGCAGAGCGAGGCAGCGACAAGGGTGTAGATGAGGATCTGCTTGGTCGGCAGTGACGACGCTGAAGCAGAGAGATTGCTGTATAGCATAGAGCCAAACATCATGCAACACATGAGGATGGCGAAGATCAGGCCGAAAGGCAAGTCTAGTGACAAGGATCAATATCCATAGCAGGAAGTCATTATACCATGGGAGTCTTACCGGTTGTGGATCCTGAGAGCTCATGGCAGAGTTTTAATGCCGGAAACTTGAAGAAAATGAACAAGAACAGTGTGCCCTCGAAGAAGCACGACGTCAGTGCCAGAGTGAGGATGTTTCTGTCTCCGAGTATGAGCTGCACAGCGGATCTTGCAGGCGCTTGCACATGCTCCTCCTTGGCCTCTTCTGCGAGCAGGCTCGTAGCCTCCGCAGAGCTTTCCTGTCGGGAGCCATAGTTCTCAGACTACCCATATTAGCAATGTAGCTTCGGTTGCATTGAGGGTAAACTCACCCAAGTCTTGGAGATGGCGATGAAAGCGATCGACATACATCCCAGCGAAGCCATGAAAGGTGCTTTAGCCGTGCCGACGTGGTCGACTAACCATCCAGCCACAATACCAGCGACGATCGCGACGAAGCTGTTCAGGGTAGTCATCATGCTGAAGATGCCGCTCAAGGCCGATCCTTCGTCGTCGATCATCAATTTGTTGTACTCTGCGACCAGCCAGCTCTCAAACACACTGTACAGCAGAGTTCCAGAGACTCCACCAAGGATGCGACCCAGGAAGAGAACCTCAATCCGGTCGGTAAGAAGCGTGAGGCAAGAACAAGAGTAGATGACGCAGTAGGCGAGACATCCTGCTTTGCGGCCAAAGCGATCCGCTATGGTTCCAGCGAAGGAGGCAGAGATGCCGCCTGATAGGAAGCCCACCATGAAGAGGAGAGCTACCATGCTTTCCGCGAGGCCCTTTTCATCTGACACGTAAATCAGTCACTGGTGGTATGAGTTTAAGTGGACAAATCACCTTTGTAGATAGGATAGATGTACGGTCCTTGGAGCCAGTCCGCGCCGTTGACCAGCAAGAACACGGGCAAGAATTTCCACTTTAATTGTCGTACTCTCTCCGCATCGTCGTCTTCTCTTCCTCGATGCTCGACCTTTTCTGAGTTGTTTGGCGCTTCAGCGAATGAGCCTGTCTTGGAACGGTAGGAACGAATGAAGACCACGCTGTTCAACAGCAGTAGTCCAGCGAATGTGCTACGGTAGAGATCCATGGTGTAGTTGTTGAAACACCAAGGTAGAAAGGTTGAGTAAGTATTGTTGAAAAGCAGTCGCCAGGACGTGGTTCAGAGTGAAGGCTTGCCATGCTCGGTTGGATCTTTGTTGTTCACCGGCCAACGCACGAGCCAGTGATGGACGCGGATCCCGCGCCCATGGCGTCAGACCCATAGATTCTTCAGGAGGTGGCGCAATCGGTAGACTCAGGGACGGTGCCTGTGTGATCGTGCGTTGTGAGAGAGCGGGGAGCCATGCCCCGGAAACGGGAGCGGTAGGAAGGCGTAGCCGAGCGCCACTATAGCGGGCCAAGTGGGCTAAGGCACCTGACACGTCTCACCTTTATTGGTCTCGCCAGGAACTCTTGTGAGATCTTAACACACTGCAGTGATGGATACCCCGAGACTTTGGTGTATGTTTGTGGCATGCCGATACATGTGCTATGAAATGGGTGGTGGCTGCAGCTGGGACCGAGTCCGAAGGACACCGGCACATTTGCGGTAAGACACGCGTTCATGTACCCACAACGACAACAACGATTAATTATACTGTAAGAAGCAGCGATTCGCATAGTACTATATTGGGATCTTTTGGTGGTGGCCCACCAGCCGACATTGATGTGCGAGATCTGAAACTGGCCCGCCCTGACAGGTCACGTGAGTATTGCATCAGTGATTAATGCCCCCACGCCCTGCTGTTTGACCAGGGGGATAAACGCTCTCGGTGGCACGGAGTCCAGTTCCGATAAAGAGATATGCGCAAAGGGTCCTCCATCGCTGATCACTACCGTACGGCGCGTCCAATGTTTGGATGAAGATGCCGATGATCTCCGTCGGTTCTGGTGGCCTGGCAGTGCACTCATCACCTGTATCATTCCCAGGGTTGAATCTGCTGACCTTTTACACAGTGGTCTGTTATACGCCCTCCAAAGGCAGGACTCTCGGCTTCTTCATCCGTCACACGCGTCGTTCATAGCTCGCAAACGCGGTTCAATCGACCAACTCAATGTAGCTCCCATAGTTCATTGGATGGGCTATTCTGGTCGCGCAGATCTGTCGAGCCCATGCCATTGCGCTTGTCAAATCGGAATCCTTCCTTATCTTTGGCTATGATTCGTTAGCAGATCACTGCATTTGAAAGCATTGTTCCGAACGTGCTTTCCACGATCGCCAGATAACCGTGTTAAATCGGTGGTTGAAGTACCAGATACCCCGTGCCTAAATCGGTTAAGTGTTTGGAAGTCTCTTCACATGAGGTGCTTGCATGTCTACCTTGGACGGATCCGACTTCTTCTCGTATTGGGCCATCAAAGTTACGCTCGAGGTGCGACGGGATGGACACGCGTTCCTCTTCGAATACGACCTTGAAGTCCGCAAAAGAACCATTGTAGTGGTTGTCTTTCACTGGCTTTTTTTTAGCACCGGGTGGGATGCTTCGTTTGTATTTATTGCACATGCAGCGCAACTGCTCGAATGCTAGCAGGTGCTTCTGGGCCACAACCAATGGGTTGAAGAACAAAATCAGTCTGACCAGGTATTTTCCGAATGATTGAACCTTGTTATCGTTGCAGTCGAACAGCAAGACGAGCAAGACGCGCATCCACGAGAGAAGTGGCATGCCGGCTGGAGTTTTGTCTTCTGTGACCCGGTATCTTGGGCGTTGGCGCAATGCATTGAAAATGCGCATGGCGTGGTCGATCAAGAATTGTGCGCGAGTATTTGCAAGTAGACTGATGATGATAAGGTGAAAAGGCATGTCGCGAGTCGGAGTACTGGCAAAGCTATGGTAGAACTCGCTTTCAAACACGGAAGGGGGACTGCATTTTTATGCAGAGCTTCTGGAAGTAAGGGAAAGAACACCAACATGAAGGTGTGTGATTTCTCTAACACTTTGCCCCTCTCGCTGCTTTCTGCCCGGGCAGGCATGCCTTTGCGAACCACAGATATGAATGAACACCTAAAACATAGCGAAGTTAGTTTGCACACCAGAAAAGCAGCCCAGCTTCTCCCATCGTACGTGCTCTAACACAGGTTGTCTATGCCACAGAAATCTCCAATCAGTGGAGAACCTCCGCACGATTGTCATTGAAAAAGCCTTGCTAATACCGATTTCTTTCCCTGCCCAAAGTAACATGCCCAAAGTAACACCTGGAAGATGTTACGCCGTTCGAATAGCTAATCCCTTCGACAGAAAGTATTTGATAGAAATCAAGTCTGACAGCCTCGGCTTCCGCTAGAACGTAACTGCTGCCGCCCGACAGCATAATCGCTTCCTGAGATACAAATACCAACGCCGATTCAAACACACCGATCATAGTACAGGAGACTGCAACCTCTGCATCCTGGAAAAGAAGCGCCGAGGGCAATAAGGCCGAGAAGCAGCCTAATCGTATCCTTGATCGCTGCTTACCTGAGAGCCGAGTACTTGGGTCGGTATTTGAAACATCTGCCGAGGCCCGGCATACGTCAATATATCTACCGGGCTTGGGCAGGTCTGCAATATGCTGGGCGTAATCGACCACAGAGAACGATAATCGGGATTACAGGTACGTCAAACGTGATGTTGCATCAGAACTCCGGAAGTTGTCAGAAGTCAAAATGATGATCGAACATAATTAATTGCGTGGATCGTGTCTCGCTTAGACGTCCACGAGTGATACTGCACATACACAGTACATCGCTAGCACGCGGTCGCTGTTAGTAACACTGCAATGCGTGCTTTTTCTACAAGCGGCATGAAAGGCGGAGAACATGAAACTGAAGAAGCCCACTGACAGGTTTGTTTGCGGCATGCCCACCGCTGGTTCATTGAGTCCTTGGCTTTCCCAGCTCAGCTCGAGCGCGAGCCTGGGACCGGAATAATCAACTGCTCATCTTGGTTGAGCAAAGCAAGGGTGTACGTATGACCACTGCTACAGCGTTCAGACGGTTCTCGGAAGCAGACAGTCATCGCGAGCTTTTCCTCCTGCTTCTCGACCTCGCCAATTAGTAAACCGGCTGTCATGATCATGAAGGGAATTTGGCACCAGTGCAAAGCATGTTGAGGCTGAAGAGTGTAATACGCAAATCAACCGGCCTCAGCATCTTAGGTTGCAAAAAAAAAAAGGACCCAGGCATGGCTATTGGACAGTGAAGCTGTGTAGCAATGCACGGGAATAAGTGGCATCTGTTCTAGCAATCCATAGAGCTTATGTGGCAGTACCTGCAGGTATATGTCGATGAACCGAAGACGCTCATATATACTACAATGTCGCTAACACTTTACCCGTAGCACGCTGTGCTGAGAAACGAGACGATATATGTGACGGGGGTCTCCTGGCTCTGTTGTTCTCCCTATGAGCTGGGTTGATGAACGTTACAAATAGATGTCGAATGAAGGAACCTTTTAGTGCGGATCAGAGTCTGCAAGTGTTCCCATGTGTCGTTGAAAGATGCGAGGTAGTCAATGAGGTTACGCTGCCAGGGACTGCCTAATGACGTCCCCTCATACACCAGAGAGAGACGCCTTGCAGAAGGTGAACAGCAACAGCCGTTGTACCTTGCTTATGCTCTCTTGAAACAGCCACTGTTGAATAGTTCTTTGCAGAGGTGCCCAGAAGTTCTCACCAAGTATATAGAGTTGGAACAAGTCTGCATATTGGTCCTGCATCTTGGGCTTGTACGAGGCGGCCTCCATGGCTGCCAGATCATCGAGATTTGCGTGTGTAGGGTGGATTTGACTGGTGCAGACGTGTCCAAAGTACAATTCGAGATCCTTAGACCGCCCTGTGGCAGATTAAATGTTCGATTCTGCGCTTCCTACCATGCGCTACCATTCAAAGTGGTGCGAAAGTCGAACCGGCTAGACAAGAATGATGAATGAGCCGCAAAGGTTTGCTACCCAGTCTCTGTACCGACACGAACGGTGACCATGGAATCATGGACAAAGCTGCCGGTCAAGTCAGCTCTGCTGATGTTTATTAGTGGTGGCGAGGATTCTGCATACAACTTCCTTTTCTTATTGCGAATATCTTGAGCGCCTGGCATTGTGGTGGTGCAGGATGATCGAAGAGCCTCACTGTTTTCTCTTCATTAGCACAATCTTCGTCCGGTTTCGGAACCTTCAACGCAGCTCGTGGATGACAGGCGTCAAGTCAGTCCGTTTGAAAGGGTGTGTCCACGAGTGGAGGAACTGCGCCGAAACCAACAAGGTCTGGCTCGATGATTGAAGAAAGGAGCAGGAGATTGGACATTTGCCGTACTCATGAAGATCACGGACCAAGGTGTGTAATTGCGCTAGTATTCGAGAACTGAGTTCGTATGGGCGAGAGGCAGTCTAAAATACCTTCTAGGCGTGCGAATTGCGGGCCATTATCGCGACAAGAAACACGCCACACCATCTTAGATCATCGGGTGATGGAACGGATATCTTTCGTTGTTCATATGCAGCAACGCTCAAATCTAACCAAGATCACAAACTTCAAGAATATGTGATTTTTCAGATTATGAGAAATCTCATAACAGAGGAAACTCTTGCTGGTACTTGATCATCTGCTAAGGGCAGCTTTCCATGCGTGCACTCCAAAAGCCCATAGCTAGAGTCTTGAAGCACAGGCTTGCCATACCTCATCATCTCGAGACCTCCTTCCTGCCGCCTCTTACCTTTCGTGGAGGAGATGTTGCGAGCTTTGCCCTGATCCTATCGAGCGCCACACCTCGCATCGTCCCAGCAACCTCAGAGCTCCGCGTTGTCTGTAAAGATCACAATGAAAGGTACTGCACTCAGGGCGAGCAAAGCCTCTGCTAGTGTTAGTATTGCTGGCCATTGTGGATGTAGACATGCAACCTACTTAGTCTTCCTTCTCCATGTACTCATCGATGTTTCTATAAGGACTTTTCTTCATGACATCCGAGCGAACGTCCGAGAAGGCAAGGGCAAGTTCGACTAGAAATCCTTTCGGGGCAAGCTCATAAAGTGTTTCGCAACCCTTTGGCTTTCCAGCGTGATAGGCGTAAAAGTCCACGACCAACCTCCGCATAGGCGAGTTCGGCATTGTTCCATTGTAGATCAATTCGAGACATGACGAATTGGGTAGGTACCAAAACTTTCCTACTCGTTTTTCTCTCACCGCTGCGTTCATGACCTTGATGGCTTCGTTCCCGCAACGGATATCCTGAATTTTCTCGGCAAACACATAGATACAACAGGCCATCAATTGTTCGTCCATTGCGGCGTCATGGTCATTAGATTTATCCGAGTCGCTAGACTTGACCGACATCTTGCCAGTGTAGAGGTAGTCCAGGTATTGGAAGAATGTCGAAGGGTCATCTTCCGGTAGATGAACAGCACGATCTTGAGCTTCCTTCCAAACGCCCGCGAGTGCATTCTTGAAGAAGACCGATCGTTGAGTGATGAGATAGGGATGCACGAAGAAGGTTTGTTTGTCGCTGTCCTTTCCGACGTGGATCTTGACGATCTCTCCATACCTGTGATCGCTCGTCAACGCAATCGAGTTGTGAGTCAAACAAACCTCAGCTCACTTCTCAAGAGGCTCATCACCAATCTGCGTCGTCATGATTGTTACAGCCGGTAGTACCGACTTGGGGCTTACTGGAGAAGGTGTAAGAATAAGAGGAGGCGCACCGCAGAACGGGTGATAAAGGACCCGCCTATAAGATAAGTTGAGAGTAAAGGCGCAACTATAAGTGAAAAGCAAATGGAAACCTCGGCATGTTTGTATCTATTTCACACATATGATATTATTTCAGACAGCGTAGTATCACCGATGTCTCATCTGGTCCATAAGTACACAAGACATGTCTAACCTGTGCAGAAACAGCAAACTCACCACGACACACAAATGTTTGAGTCAAGCCCTGATATCGATACTACGACAATTCAAATGCTGACGATGCTTTTCTGGTCTCCATTGTGGACATATTTGCTTCATAATGGAACCAGCGCCGTCGCTTTCTTCTTGCCAATACGCGTAGATGGGACGTGTTTCTTTAGAACTCAGGTGGACTCATATTCTAATTCTCATTTCAGGGAATCAATTGAGTGATCTACTAATAGAACACTTGTGTTACACCACGTTCATGATGTCCATGTGACCCTTCGCGAGCGGCGATGAGCGAGAATGACTGGCGCTTGAGTACAGAGCGTGATAATAAGGAATTAGATGTGCTGGATAAGCGCATATCTTTAGTACTAAGGGCTTGCCGCCTACAAATCTAAGAGTACGGAGTACGACTCACTGCTTCGCTAGGTCAAGCTACCTTAGTCTTCCAACTGGAAGCATGTTACTGCAGATCAGTCATCTATTGGCGATCGCAAATTTTTTCCCCGGTTATTTGCAGCTCACGGCTTGTCAACGTCTAAACTGGTTCATGCTATCTTTCGTGGTCCTTCTACCGAAAGTAGACTCTTTCCTCACTGTAATGCCCTGCATTCGTGCAAAGTCCGCCGGGTAAACGACTCTATCAAAATGTCAAAGTGTCGATGCATCGCAAGTCAGGCGCTGGATTTAGAAACGTGTCAAAGTGTGTGCTTGATAACTTCACCCACCTAGTCACCAGGTTCAAGGAATTTCCCACATATTCACTTCGTCACCTCGATATATGTCTGTACTCAAGGAATCGTTCCAGCACGACAAGTGCCTAGGTCGGATCCTTAGCTCTGCGTTCCGTTTCTGTTCCTGCATGCTTTCTTATATGCCAATGGAGCTGATGCTGCGCTTCTTCGTCAGCACCAGAGGTAATTAGACACCTTTTGTGTCGCATGCAATCGCCGAACGCAATCAGATACAATGCAAGTAAGTGTTGACTCATTTGATCACTTCGGTAACAGCTAGATATGCCTAAACCTTTTATCTCTTCACCTGGTGCAGCTTTAACGCCTCGTAAGCTGCAAGTCAACTCAGACCGCAGCATCTCACCTCCATTTCCGATACCGACCCTTCACGAACTGGATCTCCCGGCAGCGGCATTTCAATACCCCGTCAATGGTAGAAAGCGTAAGCAGGGACACAGAAAAACCACTTTCCTTTGCTCTCCGCCTCCATAAAAGGATAATACTGAATTACCCAATTCCAGTCCAGCAACCCAGGCACGTCCGCTCTGGCACCCTCACACTCGCACCCATCTCCTTCGCCCGTCATCATTTCTCGGTGCTCTCATCCTTACCACCCCCTAGCGCAGGTACCGGGACCGCCGTCGAGTTCGCAAACATCAACACCATCATGTCGCACCAATACGCCAGAGAAGTCGCGCTCAAGGATCTTAAGCGCATCCTAAAACTCACCAAGTGCCTCCCAAAGCCTCCCCCTAGAGGCGGGTGAGCCATTTGAAGACTATGAGATTAGCGCTTAACTTCGTCCACACGCGGGAGAAGTGAGAGGACGAGTAAGGCGGAATCTGAAGCATGAGCACAAGCGGGAGCGTTACGGTCAGGCCCAGTTAGTTATCGGGCGGTGTTCTGACAGGCATGGGGGTAAGGGATTTGACCTGATCATTGGAGAGCTTGTATGCGGGCATGGTGATAGCATTCAGCATCGGGGAGACGGCCTTTTATGATGACTTGCCGACGTTCCTTACCCACACAGGGGGCCACATTCCTAGCCTATTTATGTAGCACGGAATCAATATGCATTAAGTAGGAGAAAGTAGCGATGGTACCTTCCATTACCCCTACATAACCTATCAAAGCGAATTCCTCTGCGAACAAGCCGCCACGAAACGCTCATTCCTAAACGCCGGGCGAATCTGAGTATAAACGGGTTATCCGACAAAACGCTCAATTTACCATGTGAACGCCACCGATGCAATGCATATGATTTCAGGAGACTTATCCTGGGAAAGCCGGAAGGCGGTGGAGACTTAGTAGATGGAATGGACCAGGAGTTGTGCGCCGTGTGAAGTCTTTGGTGGGCATCATGTTGATGGTAACCCCCGTCTCAACAGTGCTACGCCCATTGTGGATGCTCATCGTCCGGTGGTAGTCCGGAGAGCGCGCGAAACATCCGCAACCATGCCGATCAGGACCATAACCCCGATAAATGTTACACCAAAACGTACTCATCCCCGGCCAATCCCAGCGAATCGTCCCTCACCTGCTCCTATGCAGCATCCTTCTCCTTCCCCCTACTCGGCGTCTGCACTCCTGGCTTCTCTGTATGACTCGCCACCTCAAGGACACTCGTACTACTCGCCTCTCCCCCCTCAACGCTCATTCCTAGCATCCTTCTCGCAAACTCTTTCTGGCCGTCCCCTACCGCACTCTCCACCGGACTTTGCAACGCACCATCGCTCCCGTTCGTCTCGCTCGTGTCTGTGCGGGTGATGAGGGGCGGCTTCAGCCATGGAACGGCGGTACACCGGGTTACAAGGCGCTTTGTGGTCTCGTCGACAGGAGCGAAATGGTTTCCGCTGGCGATCAGAAGGTTGAGAATTTGGTGTATGTCGTTGCGCTTATAGTGGGGTGGTTTGCTGATTTGGCTGTGTGTTAGGATAGGGTGGAGGACGCGGAGATATGTGTGTCGAAGGGCGTTGGCGGCGGGTGAGTCTGAGGGGAGGTCTATCAGGTTGCGGAGAATCACGTCGACGAGTACGTGAAGGTCGTTGGTGTAAAAGTACTCAGCGGTCTGGGGATTTCCAAAGATGAGGTAGAGCGCCTTGAGAATTAGCAGCTGGAGCGAGGTTTCGGATTCGCGGTTCAGAAGAAGAATCAGATTACAGCCGAAGGTCTTGTATGTCATGCCGTGAGTGGAAAGTGCTTTGATCACGCGGTTTGTTATGCGGCCGTCTTGCTGTTGTGTGGAAGCGACGAGGTATTGTTCGTTCAGGACCAGCTGCAGATGTTAGTGAGGGAATGATACGATGTGATGAGCTCGTACCAGAACGCGTATTACAGGGTAATGATATGGATCCTCGTGGTCGTCTGACACGCCTTCTATTACGCCAAGCAGATAGAGTATGAAAGAGTCGTCAATGGCCACTGTAGCGTGTCAGTGATATCGGTAGCCTTGACGATTTGCGCTATGATCGGGCATGGCATACCAAAGTCTTCCCACTTCAAGCGCTGGATACGCGAAGACTCGTACAACAGGTCGAGCAGCATCTGGTGCAGCTTGGGCTCCTCCTGCACGCTCTCCAACTGTATCAATTCGATAAGGCGTGCGAAGACGCCTTCCTCGTGCATCATCTCAAACGTAGCATCGTTCTGATTATTCCGACCGTCGAAGAGAAGGAAGGCGGCGACCATGTGGAGCGTGGGGTTATCGTCCTCCTGCAGAACATTAGCTATTGCGCGCAAACAGTCGAAAGAACAGCGTACCTGCAGCAGGCAGTAAATGATCTGCCGCCGTACATAAGCTTTGTGGGTCGTGAATAACTCCCCTTGTATCAGGCGGTAGACGCATTTTGCGACGCTGTATTCGGTCTGTAGGTACTCGGCTGCTCGCAGTCAGTGGCGCGCACACTATGCCAACGATTCGGCGGGTTATTACATTGATAGTTGGTGGTGACGTTGAGGTAGGAGCGTAGGGCGTTATCGATTATTTCGTGGTCGTGCTGCTGGCAGCGCGTCGACACGATGTCGTCGAGCTCTGTGGTGTGGCGCGTTAGCAAAGCCGTTGGATGCATGCATGGCGATGCATGGCGGGGTCGTCGCAGGAGGGTTCGCTCACCGTCCCAGAACTGCTGCTCATTTTCGAGGTTATACGATACCTCAAACGCCATACTTAGCTCTTAAATCGACCGCCAGACGCATCCTCGACCACCGTGGAGGCTGTGGCGGTGCGGAGTAGCGCGACGTTGTGTGTGGTGGTAGTGGTGTCGTTACTCGTCTCGGAGTGTGATCGTCCGAGATATCACCGTAAAAGCGTCATCGTACAATCAGGCGAGCCACACCTCCGACAACCGTCATATTGCCTATTGACAGCCCCAAGGACGTCTGTGCATCCGACGCATTCACTAACGCTCAGACGCATGGACAACCAAGCATCTGCACGCTCGTGAGTATCCTGGCTTGTGCCTTAGACCAATAAGACTTTTGTCGAATCTCCCCGATAGATACTCCGTAAGTCTGAACGTCAAGCCCCCAATGACTTCCTTTGATAGACATGTCCCTTTAAAGAAGTGAAATGTGGACTTTCCGTGACGGTAACCCATGTATTGTGCGAGCAAAGTCATCGAGCTGCAAACCTCCAAAACCTTCCCTGACCCATCATCCGCACTTCTTCTTTCAGCAACCGGAAACCATCAGCGTCCTGACGAGAAATCATCAAAGCGACTATTACATCTAAATACTCAGTAGCCCTCAATGACCATCATCATCAAAATTGTTTCCTATATCAGACTTTCATCCTTGCCCGGTTCGGCTACCCTGTCAGCATAAGAATAGACCATTTTTGGAACAAAATTTGATCGTATTAGCCCATGACGAGCAAATCACGATGAAGCCATGACGTACGCGAGTTGCACTTCAAGCACTCGACTGGTGAACGCATAGGCTGAATGGAGGACCTCCTCGCCACGCACCGGATGCTTTCTAATACCTATCTACACCTCAACTGCAAATCAGAGATTGATACCTGATACAATGCAATATAAACGCCAGCGCGAGACCGGACCGCGACAAACGCAAGCCGCGTGAACGACCAAATAAGAAACAGATCTAAGACCGCCCATAGGGAAGGGGTATGCAATGCTAAGTCCATGTCCAACTCCAAAAGCCGCTCCACCATGCTTCGCGCTACTCACACACCAGCACGCACATCGCTCTGTTTCTTCCTTGGCCTTCCTTATGATGCCCCTTACGAATCGAACATCCCCGCCACGCCTTCCAATCCCGGACTTGTCCCCCTCACAATCGTATTAGCACCCGGCTCCAAACTCATATATTGCTCTTGAAATGCAGTCTTCTTTTTCGGCTTCGCGCGCTCAATCCTGCCCTGCTCGTGGATGCTCACGCCTCGGACGCTGGAAAGGAGGTCGAGCACGATAGAGCGCTGTTGCCTCTCATCGCTCCTGTTCACACTCTTCAACTTCGCCAGCTTTCGGTCGACGCGTGAATCGTCGCCCATACCAGGAAGAGAGAGGATGATAGCGCGGGGAATGTCGTCGTCAAGATGTATTATACCCGCGATGAGCGAAGCGAGATCTTTCTGGCAATCAACGAAGTAGGGTTCGTGGAGGGAGATAATTGCGTTCTTGAGAATCTCATTGCAGAAGTAGTCGCGGATAGGCGACTTTTCCTTGAAGCGCGGGAGCAGCATGCGTAGCACGCGGACGGTGGTGTTTACAGAGCGCGTATCGCGGACGTGAATGCAGGTATTACAGAAGAGGAGGATGGGCTCGAGGACTTCTGGGGCGTTGAGGACGAAGTCGCAGATTGGGGGGCCTTCTTTGCGCTGATCCTCATCTAGGCGGGCGAATTCTGCTTGTTGTTAGCTTTCGAAGTATATGGCATCTCTTGCCGAGGCGGAACTTGAGAACCGGCACATATGTACGATGGCAAGGGCCGATGATCTACGAACTTACCCTGCCTTGAGTCAAGCAGCACAGCGACGAGCGTGACAGAAGAGTACGTGAGCTGCCGAAGGATGCTTTCAGTCTTCATCTCGTCCGTCAAATTATCGTTCTCCCTGGCATTGATAACCTGCTGGCTAACTTCGTCCCACTCCTTTGTGATCTTGCCATTTAGTTCGCGAAACAATCCTTGAATCATAGCCGGCAGGAACTGTGCTCTCAGATGCGGTGGACAGCCTTCAATGAGATGTGTGGAGACGGTGAGAAGTACAGACAGATGATGCGCCGTCAATGCATGTGCGTGTCCAAACAAGGCTTGACTCAGGGGTGCAGAAAGATTTTCTATACCATAGAAGTAATCACGGAACCGTGTCAAGGAGTATAAAATATAGTACGAGCTCTCCCGAATTTGTCGGACGGTACCTCGCACAGTGGACGCAAAACCTTCGTATGTCGACTTCGACCCACTCACACGAGCGAAAAAATCGTCGCGGCTCTCAGTGGATATACCAGCTTGCCAAAATCGGTCAGTCAGGACTCGTTGGATGACTTGCTGCAGATCCGGTGGGAGGAACGACCAGTTGGTCTCGATGTCGTTGAAGGCCTGCGCATGACTGACGAGTTGCAGGAGGTTTGGCAGTATTATTGGTATGACTTCGGCCCATAACCGGGCGGCCGATTCGTATGCAGCAGAACCATCGCGCAGCTTCTCGGTAGAGGCGGCCAGGAGTGTCTTAGTAAGCCGAAGCGGCAAGCGCTAGTAGAATGTCAGCAAAAGCATTGAGATGGAGCAGAGTGACATACTTGCGAGTGGTCGAGAATAGCGGCCTGCATGGCTTGACCATCATTGCTGAGTGGTTGTTCAGACCAGTCTTGCACGCCACGGAAGTTGTTGGCAGACAGGAATTCTGGTAGTTGTACCATCCCGAGGCTTTCGCAAAAGGCTTGAAATGAGGAAACCGAGTTTACAAAGTCATTGTCCTGCCAGGCGTCCTTGATCTGTGCCAAAATTTGCCGCATACGATTCTCCTGGCTTTCACGATCCAACGTGCCACACCGGTGAATGATGATGAACAAAAAGGCGGAATAGGCCATGCGCTGACGGTCATCAGTCGTAGGGTCGGCCATCATCTCGTTGACCTTATTCTCCAACTGTTCGTAAACATTCATGAAGTCGTCGGCGAACTTCATGGCGAGCTTCTGCATCTCAAGGCTACATATGCGTTCAAGGTCCTTCACCGTGTCGGCATACTGCGGATAGGCAGGGTTGTCGACGAGCTTGACGGTGATCATGTATTCAAGAAAAGAAAGAGCAAAGTTGGGACGGTCAGGGAGCGCTTTGGTCGAGAACGTCGACATGAGTTGAATGATTTTTTTCGCAATCTCAGGATCGTCGAAACGCGCCTGCAACACCTGCCTGCCCCACTGCTCGAACGAATCTTCCATTGCGTTACGTTTCCGTTCGTCCTCTTGCGGTTCGTTTCCATGGGTGGAGAGCCACTTCAGATAGCCCTTCAATGCTGCATCGATGATGGTGACTTGTGCATCTACTTTAAGCACGGGGGCTGAGTGTTTGGTGAAGTTTTGCGGCTGGAATGGTGGATTGTCGTTGTATAGACCTTGAAGTGTATTTGTGGCCTGCCCAAGAATATGCTCCATGGCCTCGACAGGCGTTCGCCGCACGAGGACATCAATAACATCAGCGCAGAATCTTCGATAATTGCCAAGGAAAGCATGTCGCTCTGGCACGGTGTCGATATCTTCACTCAAGAAAAGAATGGTAGCATCTTCGGAATCTTCAGGGAACACTTCATAACGTACCAAACGGGCGCAGCAGATCTCTAACAGGCCGCCAACCATTTGATTTACGACTGGAGATTCGCGAACAATGCGGGAGCGCAGTAGTTTGGTCCAGCAATGAAGCACGGGGATCGACACAACCAGACTTGGATTGCGTGCGACGTCGTAGAGGAATTGAAAGATTCCAGGAAGATCGCTGCCTTCAGGCACCTGCTGGGGCTTCTGCTCGATGAAAAGACCGAGGTTGTTAGCCAACTGCACAGGTTAGTCCGAGAAACAAAGCCATGCGTCTAGATTATTTACCTCGGAAAGTCTCTTGCAAAGATTATACTTCTTTTCATCCAAGTCATGGATGTTCATGTCGGCCAGAGTCCAGTTGTACACCTCACGCAAAAGCGAAACGCTACCGGGCGTAAACATGGGACACACAAGCTCTACAAACTCGTCATCATGGAGGTGGTGGCGGGTGTATATGGCTTGAAGGACATCGACAGAAGCCTGGAAATACCGTCAGCATGCAGATTGGAAGGTAATTGTGGTGGTACATACCACTTGCAGCTCGGCCACGGGTACGGCGAGAGCCTTGCACACATGCTCGATTACCTGAACAGCGGCAATTGCTTTCGGAATTACCCATGGCATGCAAGCCCGGAGAGCGTTCATGGTTTTCACTGCGCACAGTTTCACCGCATCTAGATTCTCGTAGTCCTGGGACAGACACCACGACAGATTATCGCACAGCCTCTTGAGCCACCCTTCGTCCCCATAGCGTACATTTAGGCTCTTGTCGCGCGTAGGCAGGTGCTCAGTGAGCACTGCCGTCGGTGTAAAAATTTCCACGCATGCCCGACCTAGGTCGCTACCTCGCAGACCCGCCGTAGGATCTTCACGGTTGAAAATCTCCTCGGACAGCGTCTCGAGCACGTACAGCACGACGGCCTGGTGGTGCAGCGACGATTGCCACAGCTCGACCAGCTGTTGGTCCATGTCCATCCACTCGGCGCCCCATGACCGCTTCGCAACCTCTGTCCACAACTGTGCCACTTTATTACGCAGGTAAACCGGGTCTTCTGCTGTGATGCTCTGTGCTAGCTCGACCACGTAGTTTCGCAGACCCGTGCCCTGCTCCTCGGTGAAGTCCTCCCAGCTGTATCTGATAGAGAATTCCAGCAGGGTAAGACCATAGTGGCGAAGCTGGGCGGGCTGCGACTTGTCGCGAGCGAGTGTGTGGCCATGCGAGGGCGCTTCGGGGTGCCTCTTGGCCTGTTCTAGATATTCGGTGGCCTGGCGGCGGGTCTCGTTGTTCGATTTGGGGTCGTAGATTGCCTGCAGCGCTTGCAATACTTGCGAAAGGTCGGTCGTGTGGCCGTTCGCGAGGTGTTGCGGGGTTGCAGATGCCCCATCCATCGTCGTCGCAAAGCTCTTTCGGGTGCTGGAGACCCTGAGCGAAGCGTCTAGGAAAGGCAACCGTCAATGAAGATCTAGCGGGCGAAGGAGGTCTAATCGTTGGGGGCGGTATGGCGGGGGCGGGATGTTCTTGGGGCGGTAGAAGTCTAGGGTAGGCGTGCGCTGGCAGAGAAAGCGGTGGTGCGCTGTGGGCGGCTTAAGAAGTCGGTGTAGAGTGTACGTGCCCTACTCATCGCCGACCAACGAGTGAATAAACGAGCGATCGACTCAGACACAAACAAAGCTGAAAAGAGTGACTGGAAAGGCGAGCTGTCACGTCTCGCGCAGTGTCACAGAACGCGTGAGGCAAGGCAGCCGCTGTCGCCTATTAGGTCGCGTCAACGCGCTGTCAGGTGGTTGCTTCCTAGGATCGGAGATATCGATGTGAGACCTATGTACCTGCCCAGTATGTACAATCCCTTCCACGAACCTATCTCGGTCACAATGAGGCTTCTCGCATCGCATCCATCCAAAAGCGCTGACATGCACCCGCTTACAACATGTGAGAACCGAACGAGTATTACATCACCATGCATGACGACCCAGTCAGCGAAAATGAACCACACCCTACTCGCCATGCGCCAAACTCCATGCAGTCATCCATCAATCTTTACATGATAACACACGCCTGCTTCTGGCACTGTTGGAGGTAGCCCTCGTCCTCTTCGGTGGATAGTGCGCCTCCCTGTTTGCGCACTACCCCTTTGACCGTCATCGACTGGTCACCCTCCGCATGCCACCATTTCAATATTTGCTGCACTGCACCGTTGTGTTCTTCAGAGGCGATGCTCCACTTGCCCCCGCTGACTTCCACTGTTGAAGTTGGGAAGTGGAATTCTGGGAGATACACAGTGGTTGGCGCGTCGTCTGGCGTGGAGCTTAATGCTGAGAGCGCCAACTTGAAGGTGGCATTCTTCAGGTCGAAGCCGTAGGATGTAAGGTCGCCGTGCGTGACGATTGGTGTCGGACGTATGAACGCTTCCGCAGCGCGAAGACCCCTCACATCACCATTTCCGGACTTGGAGCTCATGCGGTCTACTGATAGTGACTTCCTGAGATTACCAGGATCCACGTTGAGCGTCTCCGCTGACTGTGCTCTTGAATACGAGGGTGAGTTGACATCAAGAGATGCGCGAGATTGTGCCTCTGAGAAGGAGCCTGCGTTTGGCACAGGTTTGTCGTCCTTTGAGTAGATGGAAAGATCTTCACCATTCCACTGATCGCCCCAAAAGTGATTGTTCTGACGAGCAATTAGCAATAATACCGGCTATGGCGAGCAGGTGACACGTACATTGACGGTGTAGCACCACAAGGCAAATCCATTTGCGTGGCTTTGTTCTAGTGCGAAGTGGTTGGCATCCAGGGCTGCGATTTGACTGCTATAATTTCCCGTCTTATATGCAAACTTGTCGTCCATATCGTAGGGAATGCCGATTTCTGAGAACAAACAAGGATGAATACCCATCTTCTCGGTTGCTTCTTCTCTTATAGCGGTCAGCTGATGTGCAAAGCAGTTTCGGATCGCATTCTCTCCAATCTTTATTGCGAATGCCGGAGTGAGATATTTCCCTCGTAGTACTCCGAAGACATCAATGTTCCACACACGATTCCTGGTAAATTTTAGCAGAGGCGCGTTGAAGATTATTTGTTGGTGTTTACCATTTCTTGGTCAGTAGCGTGATGCCATCGTAGAAATGAGGACAGAAGACTATGTTGGCATCGTCATCCTCAGTACCTTTGATCGATGGCGGTATTTCGAGGACTGGAGCTTGTAGAAACATCAGCGAATCCGGGAATATTGCCTTGACCATCTTGCTGTACCGCCGCCAATGGTCCAGGAACCAATGACTGTTAAAGTACTCATAGTCAATCGTGGCTCCATCTCGGGGGTCCTTCGCAAAATAGTCCTTCTTCAGAAGGGTGTTGGTGGCCGGGTCCCAGATGCCATGCTGCGCCCATAAGCACTCGCCCAACCGCCACCCGGGATCGCGTTTCCAGCCGTATTTCGTATCATCGTAACTTGACGGAAGCCACGCAGACTTTCCTTCCGGATCGACTAATTGACTGCCGGACTTGTAGGGCCCCAAGCCACCGAAGTCCCATGTGTCTATTTCGCAAGCATTGCCCGATCCGGTAAGTATGGCTTGCCACGCAGTGGGCGAGGTTCCCTTTTGCAACTTCTGTTCACTTGGGATAACGGAGATATCCTGGTAGCCGATCATGCCGCGATTTGGCTCATTCATGCTCTCGAAGCCAATAATTGGGTCGTGCCAAAGATCGCCGGCCTCGTTGATGCGCTTCGCAAGATGCTCCACCGCGCCGATAAAGTGGTCCTGGAGGTAGTCCTGGATGTTCTTGCCGTCAATGATGGCCTTGGGGGCAAAATCCCTTCCGGCGAAGAACAATGTAAAGACGACCTGACAGACGAGCCTCGTATAGTTCGTTGCCCATATCATTTTGGGGTAGTTTTCAGGTTCTGGGTATACATTCTGAACGAGGGCAGCTTCGGTAACGTCGAAAGAGGTCGGATCTAGTCCGCAGGCATAGAGAGTCCACATGGGTGCGCCTGAGCCCCCTGAGAATCTTGACCACTGAGGGCTGAATTAGCAGGCGCATGAAGATGGCTCGGTCCTACGTACAACATCCTGATGGGGATCCATGAAAATATAGAAGCCATAGTCTTTTGCTTTACGCAAGATAGTGATGGTATGCTGTATCCACTCTTCGTCGTACCGTCCTGGTCCTGCGTGTTCTATTGCCTCCCATGTAAAGATGTATCTTATAGTGTTGTAGCCCCAGCTACGTAATCGTGCGAAGTGCGTAGCAGCGTCTTCCACAGAGAACGGTCTGTTAACAAAAGAGACGTTGTCGCCGTCGAAGAATTTGTCGGCAATATGCGAAGGTTGGTCGGGTGTGGCGGGGAACTTTGCGTCGGCAGCGCAGTTGATACCATGAAGCGTCACCTCGCGGTTCTCGCCGTCTCGGAACGTGCGCCCGTCGATGCGCAAACGGAGGGGGGCCATGATATCGTAGGACTATTGCTCTGCTCTAGGTATGAAATGGACGACAGTGTGAGGAAGAGCAGAGCAAGGAACAGCGAAAGAGTACGGAAGCAGAGGAAGCTATATGCAAGCCATCACAAGGCGGTCGAATGCTTGGGACCTGACGACGCGGGCGGCGTGGTTCTGCCGCAATGACAGGGTTGCAGGGGTGGCACAGACGCACTTGCAGGCCAATACGAGCCGCGGGCCAGGCGTGACCGGGGCATTCAAAGAGGACAACTTTCAACAATCGACCGCTGCGGTTACACGTCGCTCCTTTGAGATCGATATAAGCTCGCCACTCCCGCCTTCCATGCCCTAGGACGCTCTTATCCTTCGAGTCCCTCGTAGCTCAACCCTACCGGCGTCACTCATTCACAGAAACCGTCTAGTCCACCGCGGGCAGGCGACGCAGACAACCATGATTCTACGACTGTCCACGCTGGCCCTCGGCCTGGTCGCGACTGCTCCTCTTTCGCATGCGCTATCCGCCTCCGACATCTCGGCGGATACGCCGGTATCGCAATTAATCAAAGATGCCGGTGTGAAACTGGCCAGCGGAAACGCGCAAGAAGCCCTCACCTACTTCGACGTTGCCATCCAGCGCGACCCCAAAAACTATCTCACGTTCTTTCGACGCGGTGCGGCATATCTCTCACTCGGGAAGACCGCTCAGGCGCAGAACGACTTCGACAAAGTTCTCGAACTGAAGCCTGGATTCGAAGGCGCATTGGTGCAGCGCGCAAAGATAAGGGCGCGCAAGGCTGATTGGGCTGCGGCGCGTAAGGACTATGAAGCTGCAGGGAAAACAGAGGCGATTGCGGAGCTGGAAGAGGCCCAGGGTGCCGCTATACTAGCGAAAGAGGCGGCTGAGAAGGGCGACTGGGAGACGTGTGTCAGCCAGTCGGGTACAGCAATCTTGGTTGCCGGCGCATCATACGATATCCGAAAGACGAGGGCGCATTGTCGTTTTCAGAAGGGCGAAGTGGTCGAGGGTATCAGTGACTTGCAGCACCTTCTTCAAATCAACACTGGCGACATTCAGCCGCACCTCCAGAGCTCTGCCATGGCATTCTACTCGCTTGGTGAGACTGAGAAGGGCCTGAAGCACATTGCGCAATGTCTGCAATCCGATCCAGATTCGAAGGCGTGCATGAAGCTAAGGAGAAGGGAGAAGAATCTTGAAAAAGATTTGAAGAAAGTTCGGTCAGCATTCCAAAAGCAACAGTGGGCTACAGGAGTGAAATACCTCGTTGACCGCGGCGAAGAGAATCCCGGGCTTCTCAAGGAAGTCAAGGAAGACTTTGAAGGCTATATCAACGATGGCTACATCTTCAAGAACTCTCCTCAAGGTCTCTACAATGAACTCGTCGAGATGACGTGCGAGGCATACACGGAGGTAAGATTTGCCAATGCCCAACCCAAGTAGCGGAAACTGATAATATGTGATAGATGAACAACTTTAAAAAGGGCGCACAATACTGCGAAGAGGCTCTTAAGCTCAACCCCAACTCTCTCCACGGTCTCCTCCATCGAGCACAAAAACAGATCGACGCCGATGAATTTGAAGAAGCCGTGCGCACGCTCGAAGCCGCAAAGGAAAACCACCAAGCTCAAAAAATCCAAGATCTCCTTCGTAAGGCACACACCCTCCTCAAGCGCTCTAAGCAGAAAGACTACTACAAAGTCCTCGGTGTTACCCGCGACGCCGACGAGCGGGATATCAAAAAGGCCTACCGCAAGCTCTCCAAAGTGAACCACCCTGACAAGGCGTCAGCGCAGGGAATTACGCCTGAGGAGGCGCAAAAGAAGATGGCTGCTATCAACGAGGCGTATGAGGTTCTTTCTGATCCGGAGCTCAGGCAGCGGTTTGACAGTGGGGATGATCCGAATAACCCGGAGCAGCAGCAGGGTGGGCACCCCTTCCACGGCTCACCATTCGGCGGCGGTCAACAATTCTTCTTCCAGCAGGGCGGTGGTTTCCCTGGTGGTGGTGGTGGCGGCAATTTCAAATTCCAGGGCGGTCCGTTCGGCTTCTAAGAACGTGTATATTTCATGTCATGATATGTTCCGGAGTTCGCTCACATTCGAGCATGGGTGGGGTGGCATTTCTAGGCGTTTCTTTCTTTTGAGACTTCTAAGTACCCCGGGCTTCGGCTACATGAGGGCGAAGATAGGGACCACAATCATACCTGATCAATAACCATGTCGCAAGCTTCCTGCAACATGTGTCACACGATGTATCGCGATGGGGAAAAAAAGTGGTTCAAATGCTACAACAGCTCCGCGTAATCTTTCTTGCGTACGTGTTCAGCCGTGGCGGAGGCGTTCTACGACGGCGCTTCCCCCGCGCCCGCAGGCTGTGGGTCACAATGGCAGTCCGGTGGGGTCTTCCGCCTCAGCGCCAAGCGCAGTCCAAACACTGCCTACTGACGTCGCTCAATGCGCGTGAGACTACGTTTTGTATCCACAGCGGAACCGTACGCCGCTGCGGCACCAAGCAGCTAGTCGTGTCGAATGGCGGAGAAACAGTCAGAGCGGTTGGTTGCGGGCGGAAGTTAGAATGATAGATCAGAGTCGCGTATGAACCAGGTAGAGAGTGTAGGCCATCTCCCATCTACATTGCGGTGCTTTTCTAGACCTTGTAGGAGAGGCTGCTGTTGAGTCGGTTGCTGCAACAATACACATGAATGGGAAGCTTTCTTGGTGTGCTGGGATTGTTTTCATGTGAGAGAAGTCGGGCGATAAGGGGCCTGCTCAGAAGTAGGTCTGCTATGAGGTCAGGGCATAACGAAGCGCTTCCAGATTAGAGTTTTAAGATCAGTATACATGTATACATGTGACATAGGCCCCAGATCGAAGGTTACCACATATGCAAGGAGGTGTCCTCTGGACCTCCGAACTGCTGTTAAGTGCCATTTGTCATCAAGGCGAGCTCACACTGTCGACAAGCGTTTTGGCGGCTAGTTGCATCGTCAATATGTTCGGCTGAGCTGTCTGGTAAATAGCCGTGTCTGCGCTCGGAAATAGGCCGAGCAGTCTAGGTATAGTCGATATTCGTAGCGGCGCAAATGAGCGTCTGACTGACATCGCATCTCCACAGCGAAGGCAGTACCAAGACGCGCTACCTTTATAGAGAGTCAGAATTACAAAGACCTGCCCCAGTCCATGTATCCGCACGTTCTTGTTACGGTCCCCGTACCAAGGCGCTACTCTGGGAGAGAGTCAGAGGTCGCAGCGACGCATCGGTCTCAAGTGGATATTCGGGCCGCTGGTCTGACAGAGTACTGCAGCCCAAGCCTTTATTTTCCGACAACCAGGGTCCTAGGATAAAGTTCTCTCAAAAGTGTCCGTGGCTTCCATAAAGGGGATTCGTGGTTTGCTTTGTGTCCGCATGAGGGTTGTGTGTGGAGGCCGGGGTCTTGGCCCAGCGTACTAGCAAGGGATCTGCAAGATTGGGATGGAAGAGCGGATGTCGAGATTGCCGAAGATGGGCGCGTAGGAGGTGGGATGGATGCGGACTGTGCTCTTGCAAAGTTGTCAGTGTTAAGCGGATGGATAGGGGAAGTCGGGCTCCTGGCGGTGCGATCAAAGTAATTGTGTTCATGGTGGTTATTGCGCTTCTCCAGATGTCGGCTACATTGTGTCCCATAAGCGGCTCGGGGAACACTCGAAGGCGGTGTATCGTGGGGTAAGTCATACTAATCCATCGACCTTCGTTTCGAGGTCAACGATGGCGACGGGTTATGAGGCTCGGATCCCACATCGATCGATGTTTCCCCCTGCCGCAGATCCCACCTAGGCGTCTTGGCAAGCCTCAACACCAAAGACCTCACCAGCGATCGTCCCTCACCAAGCCTCCAATGCGTCCCCCTCCACGGCCGTGCATTCCTCCGGAAAACTCCAAGTCTGCTTATCAGTTCGCGTCATTGTCATACACACCAAGAGTCCTTCGGAACAATACGGGTTGCTGCGCACATGTGCGTTACCGCCCAGGCTGGGGAACGCTGCAATGAGACTGCGTCTACGCTCCGTGCGCTCCTAGACGCCATGACGATGATGTTATCTGGGCGCGTTGCTTCGTTGCCTTGACACAGCCTCACCCGCTGATGCAGCGGCTCCACTGCGAAGATAGGGATATCTAGCCCAAGAGGTGGCGGCTGCTTGGCATAATCTGCCTGTATCCCACGCCCAGACTGCGTGTTCCTGCTCCGTTCGAAGGGTTGCTCACTCAAACAACAGCAGATGGCGAAGCGGCAGCGCTGTATGACAGTGACTGGAGCTCGAGAGACGCCCCGCCGTGGCGACGGGCGTTTGGCGGAGTCCATCCGTATGCCCAAGACCGACTTCGCTGGCACTTCCTTGCGTATCAAAGTGCCATGACGATCGAAGGTTGGGATTGCCAAGTCAACCTGTATTGTTTCAACTCAGCCTCAGTGATTGATCTTCGCGTTCTAACCTCTTTCAAACCTTGAGGTTCCGCCAGTCTTGGGTGCATGTACACAATGCCGATGTGCGTAATTCTCGATGCCTGGAACTTTGCCATCTCACCAAGTCGGCCCTCTCATTCTCCTTCACCTGCTCCCGCGGGTAGGTGGTTGGTGTTTGACCTTATCTCAACGGTTGTACGGGCCGCAGTTGGCGCATTCTGGCCTTGAGCTGAACAGGTTTCACGGGGCCCCGCCAGCGCCCGCCAAGCGCCCCCGTGGCTGTCCGTCCCGCTCCGCTTTCCTCCCTAGGCGCACTATGCCTTCAGATCTGCTAGCATCGATATCTTTCATCACCGAATAGGACTCTGAGCATTCTCCCTGACACAAGCTGGTCACAGATATGGGATTCGTAGGGTATCTGCCTTCAAATCGAATCGTGCTATTCCTAATGTTGATGACACCCTACCGTGGTTGTTAAAGTGGATATCAAGAACTAGCGCTGCACACGAAAGCAGTGAGCAAGATAAAGACACTTTGCGTTCCCGGCAAACGAAAGCAGGCAGCACTGCCTCAGTGTACAGTACCTCAATGGGCATTATATGACGCCAAGCAGGAAAATTTGTGGGACAGCAGCCCAATTCACCAGCGCTTCCGCTTCGGGCGACTACAGCATATCGCCTGCCCGTGGAGACCGACATCTTGGCACAATCTAGCGGATGCCCGAACGCATCGACAAGACCCCTGAGACTGGCAAAGTCTAGAATGCTGCGTCAGTTGTGGAGCTTGCAGGTCTTGGCCCCTTCTTGGAAGCCTCTCCTTGCGTTGCTTGTGCTGCCGGCCTATCTAATACACTATTCACAACGGGCTTTGAGTAGCACGTCAACGCAGGTAATGTCAGCCACGCTCATGGTGTTTCACAGGGGCGATTATACGCGTGCTTGCCTGTGGGGCCCGCACTGGACAGCCATCAACGCATAGGCTTCCCGGGTCAGTCTCGTAGTGGGGAAGATCGCCTGAAGTATTTAGACTTTGAGAGGCCCCTACACCCTCGGCGAGCACACTCCGTCATTCTCACGCGCCTGTTGTGAGCGTACTTGTACAAGTTATTCATCTTCCACACTGTGCTTCTCCTCTAAGACATTCACCGCACTGTCAGCGTATCGCGTGCATAATCGATTTGTTGTGTGCTACCACCGTTATATCCAATCGACAGGACGGACCTGTAGCGTGTTGAGCGCCCTCCTTCTATAGGCGTCTACTACCAGCCGTCACCTCCCGTTTGCGATTGACGCTCAATGCGGAAAGTGTCACCAAATACAGCCATGGCAAACCAAGCAAGAGACGAGGAGAGTCAAAAGGGTAGACCCTCAACTCTGCCCTTATCGACTGCCTCCTCCCAGGAGACCGCGTCCGTCGAAAACGTCTCTGTGACATCTTCGATGGAGGACGCTTTCGAACCAAAGTGGCCTCGCTCGTGGCGGGCCTATGCTTGCTGGCTCGGTTGCTTCTTCCTCATGTTCAACTCGTGGGGCTTGGTCAACGCCTACGGCACTTTCTCCTCCTACTACGTCGGCAATTCATTACGAGACGTGGATCAACTCGAGCTAAACCTCATCGGCTCTACTCAATCATTCCTCGTTCTGCTCTTCTCAGCACCGGTGGGCAAGCTCCTGGATGCCGGCCATTTCCGCTATGTCGTGGCCACGGGCACCTTCCTCGTGCCTTTTGGGCTATTCATGCTCTCGGTGGCTCATCCGACAGGAGACGCTCCGGCCAGCTTTGGCTCTATCTGGGCCACTCAAGGCCTGGTAGTTGGCTTGGGCATGGCTTGCTTCTTCGTGTCTAGCTCTCAAAGTAAGTATACACGTCATTCGCATACAACATTCATCGCTAACATGACCAGTCGCTGCTACCTGGTTTCGAAGAAGCAAGTCCCTTGCGGTAGGCGTCGTCGCCTGTGGCGCCAGTATAGCCGGCGTGGTTTACCCTGCAATGATTAGATTCCTTATCCGAAAACTTGGTTTCAACAATGCTGTTCGCGGCGTTGCCGGCCTCGCTGGTGTCACCTGCATCTATGCGCTCCTGTTTGCGACCCCCAATCCTGCTCACGTGCATCCCAAATCCCAAAGCTACCGCAAACTCAGCACTTGGATTGACAAGGAGGCTTTAAACAACAAGGCTTTCTGTTGGTTTACTGCCGCAGTGGCTTTCCTATTTCTCGGCTTCTACCCGGTTTTCTTTAATCTTGAAGAGGTACGTACATTCACCATGGTTATGAAACGAAAAAGGCTGACTATTAACAGTGGGCTGCAGTGTCCGGCTTAGGTACCCGCGGCGGTAGTCAAACACCCGTCCGACCATCAGCTCCGACCACCGCACCCATGCAAACTTACTTCATGCTCATGATCATGAACGGTGCTTCTACCATCGGACGTCTTGCTTTCGCCTTCTTCGGCGACTATACCGGCGCCCTCAACATGCACATTGCCACGCAGATCATATCCTCGCTTCTCATATACCTCCTCTGGACGCTAGCAGGCTCTACAGCCGCTGCGATAGCATTCTGCGTCTTCTTCGGCATGTTCTCTGGCTCTGTCATCGGACTCCCGCCTGCCTCCATGGCCAACATCCTCAACTGCACATACACCGATCCTTCGACCGCGCACTTCGCGCACTCCAAGCTTGGCCAGTGGACTGGCATGATGTACAGCGCGGCCGCCATCCCGGCGCTCATCGGTCCGCTCATTGCAGGTCACTTGGTCACCGAGTACTCCACTTACATCACAGTCCAGCTTTGGTCTGCTACTAGCCTCATTCTCTCAGCACTGTGTATGATCGTTACGAGGTGGTACCTGCCTACTGTGGAGGGCACCCATATCAGTACGCATCTCTATCGGTTCTTTGGCAAGCATGACAGGGCAGATGATGCGGAGAAGAGGAGACCTAGCCGTGCGACAGTGGACTCGAAGAGGCCTCTCTCGCGATCGACTACTCGGGTAAACAGTAAAGCTCCATCACGGCAAATGTCCGAGGTGAAGATCGAGACTGCGCCTGAAGCCGCGGTTTTGGCTCCCCAGAGGGATATTTGAACAAAGACATTGACTCTCTTTTCGCTTTTAGACTGATTTTAGATGGTTTCGGGGTTGGGGTGGGACATTTATGATCGCCCAAAAAGGCGCGGGCACATTGCCTCATAGCGAGGCAAAATTCGAAGGCTTTCAGATACCCGGGCACTTTGCCCACCATACACGAATGTCTTCTCGATCACAGTACGGCTTCGCCCACGGAAATGGTTAGGGGCGTTCAGGTTTTTTTCTTCGATTTCGCTGCTAGGGAATATAGATTGGTAGACGCATGACGCTTCTCGAGTGCAGAGTTGAGCGTCCATCTACGGAATTTGAATCATACTTTGTTTCAGGATCGTCTCGTACTCCCTTACACTTGCTGCACCGTAAGATCATGTGGGGCAGCAGCGCCCACGATGAGGAAGTGAACAGAGTGGAGTCGAGCGGGGTAATATCGCCGCACATATAGCATGTCGTCGAAAGAAAACTTGCTCGCCGAGATCTCGGTACTTTAGATCGAGCAGGGTCGCGGAAACATTCCGGAAGGTGTTTCCTGACACAAGGCTCAGATCTCATATATGATGCGGCTCGAGAAGATCTGCCGGGTCGCGAAGGACCCGCATCCAAGATGCTGGGCGAGAAGTGTATAGTGGTCTGATAATACCGCAGTGGGGGGATGACCGCATACATCATGCACCTGTTCGATTTCGCATTCAGAATACCACCTTCCAGCTCGGGTAAGCAGCGTTGCACTTTCTGGTAAAGTGGTCTGACGATACCGACAGCGCCGGACACACACTGTTTGACCTGGTGCTCGGCGCCACGCCATGTGCCCTCACCGAACACAAGTCACGCATGTGAGTAGTTACACGATCTGCGGGTAAATCAGAGAAATTCCGTGGTGTCGATCGGTGAGTGTTTGCATGAAGAGGGAAATGTATGCGCATGCACTCAGCCTCAGCTCAGCCAAGGATTGCCCAGAGCTGATGGTACCAGTGAGCTTCGATTGCAGAGTTGTCGCAGTGTTGAGTTTACGGAGCAATTTGTCAGGCCAAATGATAGAGTTAGGTGCATTGAGGACACGCGGCCGTAGTACTAGTGCACATAATACCGCAAGATCGAAGCTGGCGTAGCACGTTTAGGCTCATGGTATTTGTATCGGAGAAGCAGGACGGGCTGAGTAGGTTTTTGACTCAGTGTATGAGGTGGGTGGTATGAGAAATGAGGTTATAGCGTGTTTAGATAACAAGGTACGTGCGAAGCGAGTCTAGATTTCCAGCGCTATGAAGGACATGCTTTCTCCGGGAAGATAATGGCAGACAAACAAGATCACGAGATCGGCACATGTTTCCCGAGTTAGATATCTAGTTACTCGACATGTGCGTCTGATGCGGAGCCACGCCTTCCATCGGAAAGGTGTATCCCGGCATGTAGGTTGCGTCAGAGAATCGGCATGGCAGCAAGGAGAGGTCTCATACTACCGGACGACATGCTATGTTGATGCAGCTTGACAAGGTACGGTGGTGATGACGGTGACTACAGTGCTCAGCTATTCACTTCATGCATCGCTACCGGTTGGTATGAATAGGTGCGAGAATCAGCGCGCACTATGTCGTGTGGGCGGGCTGTGCGCTATTGGGAGCATTCCAATGAGCTGATGTGTTGTCGATGTCTATGTATGAAGGCATGTGTTGGTTAAACAAAAGTTGTTGTATAGTAGAAGTAAACGAATCCATTGTCGCGATCGTATAGAATGTTTCGATGCGTTAGTCAATTGAAATTAGAGGGCACGAAGTGGTAGACAGACGAGTTGGTGTCTTTGCAGGGTTTGTGTGCTCCCACGGGATGTGCCTTGTCATGGAGCCTCTTAATTCACTCTCAATCTGCTGAGGAATACGCAGCGTACACTACCTCAATGAGTAAAACCTACGGGCTGATATAAAGGGATAGATGCGACGTTTCATGACGCGTTAGTTGCCGAGGGATTGAATGGCGAAAGGTTGCCCTTTGTGAATGACTGCTGCAGACGGTCCCGCACCGAAACAAATCGATGCTGTGAGTCTTGAGTACGAGAGGTCATGAAGTGAGCCTGTAAGTTGCTAGCATGGACGTGTACGATTGTGGTTCCTGGTTACGGCACACATTGCGATGCTGAACATGTCAAGTGCGGCCGTGGACTGGAGAGGTGCGGGGAAGTGGCGCGCTAGGACAAAGTCAAGTCCGCCGCGCACGAAGAAAATACCGCCCTTGTACTCTCTAAAATCCGGGGCGTATTGCAATGCCAGCATGGTTAGTGATCCACCCTGCCTGTACCCTAGAGTATTTCCCTTGGCAGTCTGGGTGCATGTTGACGCGATTGCAGGATGAGGGCAATAATTATCATCCCATAGCATGCGAAGCCTGCCGAAACAAGAAGTCTAAGGTGCGAAAGTACAGCTGCAGCCATTGTCATCAACTGACATCTTGATAGTGTGATCGTGATCTGTATGTTTCCACCCCGTGTTCTGAACCGATCCTATCTGAAACAGAACAGGCCGATCTGCTCACAGTGTGCTTCCTCCGGTGCAACATGTCGGTATCCCCCAACAAACAAAAGGTCCGTAAACACTGTTGAAAGTTTATGAATTGGATCTATCTGACCATGCGAGTAGAGGAATCCCGTCGGGCTACATCGCTTTAGTCGAACAACGTCTTCTAGAATCTGAAAACGTTATCTTCGAACTCCTCTCCGCTTTGTACAATTGCAGCGCTTCAATTGAGCAACAGAAACTGTCACTTGATGAGCACCGTGGTCTCTCAGAATGGTCAAAGGCACAGTCGAAATCTAAGAAGGTGGAAGAATGGACGAACTTCCCATTAGCTACAGACGATCAGCGAAGGAACTGGTGGTTGAAGAGGCGGGAAGCAATTGGTAGAGCCGATTTAAGTGATATTGTGCAAGCCAATAGCCCAGGTACGTTGGGTATCTTGCCGGATGCATCGCCTTTGTCCACTGCTTTCGACGAGATACACTCAGGCATCGGCATCAGTCCGCCCATGCTACCGAACCAGGCAGTAACGGGAACAAACCCCGGTATAAAACATGCATGGAACCCAGGAACAAACAGAAGACCTGATTACTATGCTGAAAATCTATTGCAGGGTTCCATGACACCAGGACCGCTGATAGCGGATGAGGAATCACAGCATCCTGCAATAGCTGGCCCGATTAGTCACACGTCGCCAGAGGGACGATCTTCGACGTCCGACCGATGGAGGAAGTACTTCTAGATATTTTAATCAATGATAGAAAAACGTAGATTCTTCTACCTATGTCTCCGTCTTTACGTGTTCGTGCCAGTGATGCTTGCAAAGTGGCGCTAACTCCATTAGGGAAGACTAGAAAACCACGGTGGAGACTCGCGCCTTGCTGCCCTCTCATGCCTCTCTTTACACCTTCTCCCTCACCAGGTCCCGTCTCATATCAGTTGTACCTGCATGTCAGAGTCAACAGCCAACAGCAAACGTCGTGCGCGGCATAGCCAGTCTGACCATGGCCCAGATGGAAGCGCTGCCGAGCTCAGGAAGCGCCGGGCTTTCCTCCAGACCATGGGCCAGCAACTTCGTGAGTTTGGCGCGCAAGGCACAAGTCCTCAAGACCATGCCAGGTTCGCCTTCAGTACAAGTCCTTCAGAACGACCAACAACGCGTGGGGGCGTAACGACAACAGTACCTGTTCAGCGTACTGATACGCCTGAAGCCGATGCTGCTCCTGGCGAGGATGATCAGTTACCAGCAGGAGCTGCAAAAAGCGCGGCAAAATGGCTTTGGGATACAAATGAGGTGTATCCCGTAAACAGTGGGAGGACCGACCCGCTAATCACCTTCGAAGATCTTTTAGACTGGAGTCAGAGTTACTTTGATCATTGGCATCCTGCCTTTCCATTTGTACATGCGCCGTCCCTCCTGGACTACTTTCGTCAGACAACAGTTCGGAGTCCAATGATATCTACACTCTCGCCTTCGGAGTCATTCCAGAACGTCATACTGCGATCAGTCATGTCGATATCTATTGCAGACCGACGGCAAATGAAAATGCCAGCTAGGACACTACCAGCGACGCTTGTCTTTCACTCATTCAACGACGCCATCAATAGCACCATGTTGGTTTTGACTGAAGAGAGCTCTATCTTGTCACTGCAGGCCCTTGTTAGCGTCCAGCTGTTTCTGCTTACCATGCATAGGTACAATGCAGCGTCTCGCTTGGAAGGCCTAGCAGTACGTATAGCATTCCAACTGGATTTACATAGATGTCCATTGCGTGCTCACCCCAAAGCGGGCAAAGAGGCTGAACTTTGCAAACGTCTATTTTGGTCTATCTTCTGCATTGACCGGTATATTTGCATTCGCTTAGGAAATCCATTGGGTATGCATTCCGACGATGTGGATGTTTGTTATCCGCATACCGAACGGCATGGCGATACCAATAGCGAAAACGAGGATACAGGTATTTTCTGGCGAATCAGGTGCATGGTGAATGACCTGTTAACCATCAATAGGTCGCGATGACAGGTTAAATTTGCTTGAGTTCCTTGCACAGCACGCCTCTATTAGAGGCTCCATCATGGAGAACCGAAGCAGGTCAACGATTAAACCCCACCGCGAAGACCATGATCAAGCTATGCAGATAGAAGCTGAGCATGCAAAATGGTGGAACGCAGTCGACGAGTATCTCTCTAATGACGAGCAAACACAGACCATCACCAAAATGCATCAAGTAACGCTCATTGTGCTACGCTTTGAGTCCGTCCTAGCACTTCATCGATCTTTATTGGCATCATCCAAAAAAGATGCAGCATACAATGCAGCGCTACAGAGATGCGTTACAGCCTCCCGATCGATCATCAATACCCTGCACAAGGCCCTGCAAGGATTCGGGGCCTTTGATGGCTCGCCTGGCGTGAATGGATACGAAAGTACACCTCTCCTCTGGCCTTCTTTCACATGGGCTGTGTGGATGAGTACATTCATAATCATATCCGCCGCAATGGAAGAACAAGTTCCTCGAGGTGTAGCATTGAGACTAGCCGAACGAAGTATTGCAGTGCTTCGACACCTTGCCTTGCGAGGGACAAGTTGGCCTGAAGCCTGCATCGTCGCTATCGAAAACCTCTCCGCGCGCTTAAACGGTGTTTCCACACGAAGCTCGAGTGTCGGGCCTCGTAATTCGTCGATGACGACTTTTTCCAATCTGCGGGAAGATCCAAGTGTGAGAAGTCATGCCCACCACCAAGCAATTGACCAAGCTGTGTCACAACAGCGAGCTGCCGGGTCTCGTATCCAGCCGGTCATATCTGCGCAGTTCCAGGGACCTAACACGTCGACGATGCAGTTCACTGATGTTGTACCCATGAACAACAGAAACTTTGACACTTCCCCACATGTTCTGGACTTCCAGGATCGCACAAGCCTTGTGAGTGCCCATTTGGGCGGTGCAGGCAACTTTCTAGGTTTGGCGCAGCAGTCATCCGACATTCCAAGGCCCGGCGATGACATTATGCAACTCTTCAGTGGGGAAGACTTGGCTTCATGGTCAGGGAGTAATCTTGGCTTTGGTGCGTTTGGATAGCTTTGGAAGATTCAACTGATACGTGATCTATATAAGAAGCTCGGTACCGAAAACTCTTCAAGAAAAATCGACAACCAGAACCACCGTGCAGTCGATCAATGAGACTTGGGAACAACGGCCTTGTTCAATGACGCGGACTTGATAGCGCTGTGGATTTCCTGCTCGGCACCATCCGGCAATGGCAACAATCCACTCCTCACTGTCGCGTGCTCCAAGATACCTCTTGCCACCAAAGCGTGCTTCAGCGCTACAGTGCCCTCCATGTGCGAGCCTCGGTGATAAACGCTCTTTGTGACCGGAAGCAGCCTGTCGTGGACCGCCCTGGCGCGCGGGTAGTCTCGGGCCTTTCCAGCCTCAATCATCTCCAGAAGCGGCTCCGGCGCAATATTTCCGTACCCGACTAGCATACCATCAACATCAAATGCTGTGTGTAGAAGGTACTCATCGTGGCAGGTCAAGATTGTCAGATCAGGATTCTTAGCCTTGATCACGGGAATCTCGGTGTCCCAACGTCGCATGTTGCGCACACCGTTCTTCATCGCAATGACGCCTGGCTGTGCGGCAATATCCAAAAGAGTCTGCAGTGAGTATGTGGCCTTGGTGTTGTCCGGGTATTGGAACAGAATGAGCGGTAGCCCGGACTTCTCATACACGGTCTTGTACCTGTCCTGCGGCGCGCCGGCTTGGTATCCAAATCGAAGCCATCCATGGCTCGGGTACAAAAGGCCTGCCTGAGCACCAGCATCCTTTGCGCGTTGAGCTTCAAGAGCAGCGACTTCAGTGCCTTCGGTGGTGATACCGGCAATGATTGGAATCTTGTTGTCGACGGATTTGACGAACGCCTTGATTACATCGACCTGCTCTTCTTGGGTAAGGAACGTGCCTTCACCAGCGTGTCCGAGGACCACCAATCCTTTGACGCCTGGGATACTGCCAAGCCATGAGCCCAGGCGTTGAATAGCGGCGTAGTCGATTGAACCGTCTCGATTGAAAGGTGTGACGGGAGCTGGGACAAGACCTGCGAGGTCGATACAAGGAGCTTTTTGAACTTCAGGTACTGAACCCATGGTGAAGATGTTTGAGGTTGGGGTTGGGAAGAGAAAGTGTGAATCTGTTAGAGGAAGTGAAGATGTTGAAGCAGCTACTGATCGATATGGTGGGATGTACTACAAATTATATTCTTCATGGAGTCTCTTCCACGAGCATGCTGAGTACTGTAGTATAGTAACCCCACGCGCTAGGCTCCGCTTCCACGTCGGCCGAATGCGTACATCTGAGGGGAAAAACCTCGCGGATGAAGTCAAGTCCGACCTAGACGCGACTGATACTCCATTACGTGACATCGATGGCTCTTGTTATTGGCCGGACAAAGTTTACTCCCCGCCCTGAGAACGCCTCCAGCGCCACCTACATCGGACTCACATATGCCCACCTTAGCGTGGAAGGAAATTGGCGCCCTAGTCAGGCTCGTCCCAGTTCCCCAGCTCCTGGATACTAATTCATCCCATATATTGAGTCAGTTCTTGACTTCTTACCAATTGAAACGAATCAGCTATAAATCATCTCACCTGTTCTACCCCGCACCAAACCGCCCATACTTTTCGTGGCTTGATGTCCTAAAATCTGGAGAAAGTCCGGGGTATCCTCAGGTCATAGGTTTCTGCGAAACACTCATTCATTTATATATATAGTGCCCGCCGTGCACTGCGCACAGTTTCTATCATCTTCTGTCGCGTCTCATTGCTCGCTTCAAATACATCATGACTGTGCCCGCGCTTTCATCTGACCTCGAGAAAAACTCATCTGTGCAAATGGATGATGTGGCTGCCTCCGAGAGAGACATGAAAACCTCTACGCCAATCACCTCCGGCGACTACAGTGGGGCGGTAGCGAAAAGTGACCCGGAAGAGATTGCTTTGGTCCGCAAATTAGACTATCGGATCATGCCAGCTCTGTTCTGCTTGTACTTTCTGTAAGTGTAGACCATCCATACCTATATCTTCATTGTTGTGTTCACGTGTTAAACCTATTCCTGACACCACCCAGGAACAAGTTGGATCAGAATGCCATCGCAAATGCAAGGCTCAATGGACTGGAGAAGGACCTAGGGTTGGAGGCTACACAGTACAATACTTGCATGTAAGCGGTGGAAACCACTGATAGCTGTAGAACTGCTTCTAACTTTTCATCCTACCAGATCCATCCTCTACGTCGGATATTTATTTGCTCAAATCCCTTCAAATATGTTGATGTCTTCAAAGAAAGTTCGCCCCTCATTATACATGGCCATTTGCGCAATCGTTTGGGGCTGTGTCGCATCTCTGACAGCACTCGTGAAGAATTACGTAGGGCTAGTTCTCGTTCGGTTCTTCCTAGGATTCGTGGAAGCGCCCTTCTATCCAGGGGCATTGTACATCTTGTCCCTGTTCTATACCCGCAAAGAGATCGCTACGCGTGTGTCGATCCTTTACGCCGGGAACATCTTCGCGGTGTCTTTCGCTGGGCTCATTGCTGCCGCTGTCTTTTCTACCTTGGACGACAAGCATGGGATGCATGGATGGCAATGGTATGGGAGAACTTGACGAAGGTATCGAGATGGACTCGCTGACTCTGCTTCTAGGCTCTTTATCATCGAAGGCGTACTCACGATAGGCGTGGCAATCATCTGCATCTTCCTACTCCCAGACGAGCCCCTCACCACGCGTTGGTTATCACCTGCCGAACGCCAGCTCGCGCATGACCGCATGCAGAGGGATACAGTTGGCTTGGAACAGAGCAAGGGAGCGCGCGCCGGCTTCATGCAAGCATTTCGTGATCCCAGACTCTATCTGTTTGTATTCATGCAGAACATGCACTTGAGCGCAACATCGTTCAATCAGGTAGGCTATGCCCAAATGTCTTCAGATCTCAGCGCTAACGCTTTGGCAGTTCTTTCCCACAGTCGTATCGTCGCTTGGATTTAGCACCACAATAACGCTTGTGCTCACCGCTCCTCCTTCGCTAGTTGCAGGTGTTGTAGGCATCGCAATCGGTATCTCATCAGGCAAATTCAATGACCGCACTTGGCACATCTCAGCGATGATGGGGCTCGCGACGGTAGGTTTCGTGATCAGCGCAGTGACGCTCAACGTAGCCGCACGTTACGTCTCGTGCTTTCTCTTCGCCTCTGGTTCGTTGATTCCTCCATTTCCATATGCACTCTCATTTTAACATCTCCACAGGCGTGTATTCGGTGAACTCCGTGATTCTTGGCTGGGTGTCCGGCACCCTTGGTCAGACGCCCGAGAAAAAGGCCGTGTCACTCTCCGTGGTCAATATGGTGTCCATGGCTAGTTTCATCTACACGCCGTACCTGTACCCAAAGAGTGATGGGCCTAAGTATGTGACCGCGATGAGCAGCAATGCTTCTTTCGCCTTTGCTACTGTGGCTGCGGCTTGGGGAATGCGGGTGTGGCTGGAGGTGCAAAACAGGAGGCTGAAGCGGGATGGCGGAAATGTGTTCTATGCTTACTGAGTTCGTGTCGTGTTGTGTACTGCATGCAACCTCATCTCAAGTTGCAAGGAGCACGTGCCTCTTTTTCTTGAGAGTGCGAGAACAATCAACATGTGCACCTTTCTATGTTCTTTGCAACCGTACACAGGCTGCATTTCGCACCTCGCGTGATAAATGACATACTCGGTCGCTGACGTCAGCTTAGCAATAGGATGAATTGCCCCACCAAGCTACGATTCCCTCATTGGTGTAACTGCACGTTATCGTTAAGCAGCCGCCGCCTTCCTTTCTTAGATGAGCGAGACTCCAGTTCACTTTCGACAAGAACCTCTTACGACTTCTACGTTGCACCACTGTTCAGCAGTGCTGTTCTTGCATGGCATTCGATCGTAAACATGGCACAATCCAACGGCACGTCCACTATACCAATCATTGACTTTAGCGCCTTCGTAAACGGTGTAAAGGAAGAGCAAGAGCGTGTCGCACACCAAATCGATGCCGCATTTAGGGAGGTGGGATTTGTATACCTCAAAAATCACGGAGTTCCTAAGGAGAAAGTGGAGGAGTGCTTCTCGTGGTCAAAGAAGTTCTTCGCACTGCCAATGGAAACGAAAATGCTAGCACCACATCCACCGTCCGGTGCTCATCACCGCGGCTATTCGTCACCAGGCCTAGAGAAAGTTACGCAGCACCAGTACGAGAAGGGCGAGATCGCAAAGTCGAGAGAGGTCCCTGACTACAAAGAGTCTTACGAATCTGGTAATGTCAATGACGAGGCGCAGCCCAACATCTGGCTCCCCGAAGACAAACTCCCCGGCTTTAGGACGTTCATGGAGTCGTACTTTGATAACTGCGCCACCTTGATACACAGGATCCTCGATGCACTTAGCATAGCGCTATCAGTCCCGTCTCCAGGCCTCTCACCTACACACTCTAAGTCGCTTTTCCAGCTGCGTCTGCTGCACTACCCATCTATTGAGGCAGAAGAGCTCAAGAACGACAAACGCAGTCGAATAAATGCACATTCAGATTTTGGCACGTTGACCCTTTTATTTCAGGACGATGTTGGAGGCCTCGAAGTCGAAGATCCCAAACGTCCGGGAAACTTCAGTCGCGCCGGCCCGATCGAGGGTGCGGTGTTAGTCAACGTAGGAGACTTGATGATGCGCTGGTCGAACGATAGGTGGCGGTCAACGGTGCACCGCGTGGGACTCCCGCCCCCAAAGACGTTGGCTATTCCGGGCCCAGGCGTGAATACCGAAGGTCAGCGCAATGGCGAGAAGGTAGTCATTTTGGAAGATGCGATGGGAGCAGTCGTCCCAGACAGGTATAGTATCCCGTTCTTTGCGACAGCGGATATGGATACCGTGATTGAGGCCTTGCCGGGTACGTGGGGCAAGGACAAGCCAAAGAAGTATGAGCCTGTCACCGCCTGGGGATACGTGCAAAAGAGGATGGCAATGACGTATGAAGAGTAGGTACTACAAGCAGCAGATATCTATGGTATGGCAAAGCCGAGCCCAATGATATGATAGCATGACCTCGTACACAAAATCAAAAGAGCTGCTGTGTTCTGTCTCACCCAATGCAGTAGCTACTTTCGGTAGTTGACTATATGTAGTCGTAGGGCAGGTTGCATAACCACAACGAAAGTCGGATCACGCCATATGACCGGGCCATTTGTCCAGAAGAGCAATTCATTCAGTTGTTCGGTTATGCGGCTACGTCTGCAGAACTCTATCGAGTCCAGCACACCAGCACATACCACCAAGCGCAACCATGCACAACGCTTCCTCACCAGCACAACCTAGTACAACCCTATAGTAATATCACCACGGACTCTAGCAGTCAGATGCACCTCTGCCTCGAGGTCGAGCTTGATTCCGACCATCAAGCTCGCATCTTTCAAGTTGCCGCTGGCGTCGGTGGCGCCCTTGAGCAAGCTTCCAGGGGCTTGGTGGAGGGCCGAGTGAGGGGGAGGCTTGATGTTCGCGAGGCCGCGACGACCGCCAGCAGCTTGACCGTCATCGTTGGCATTGAGGTTGGCACTGTTTCGTCAGCGAAAGATTGTCGCAATAGAAGAGTGAATGTCCTACGTGGTCACTGAGCTGCGACGTGTTAGTATGGAAAGATTGATGAAGGTAACTGGATGTGCTTACTCGCGAGAAGAAGACATTGTGAATGAAGGTGTTGCTGGATTGAGAGAAGAGCTGGTAGTCGTGAATACTGCTCAATCAGAGGAGTTGTTGAATGGAGTGTTGATCGAAGCGAGTTGATGGTTCATCAGGCTTTCTTACAGCTGCACTTATATACCTTCACTTGGCACATGTACGTTGCTTACCTGGAACTCTTACAAGCGGAGCCTTCGGTTACTCGTAGCCGCCCGAAAGCCTCATGACAACGTAATGTTGAGTTCGAACAAGGATGCCGTCGTAGGAGGTCGCCGGCGGGCATCAACTGCTGCATACCGAAGATACTGCCGATGTCTAGAGCCGAGACGAAGGAGCGCACACTAAGGATCGTGCAAGACCCACGGTGTTCTCTTGACTAGATCTCGAGTATTTTCGTGGTCGAATGATGTTCCTATTCTGCGATCGAAAAAGCAACCTAGGCGCTGCATCTGCGGACCGAGCCGGGGGATCGTAGCAACACCCTTGTCAGAGATCGTATACAGCACATTAGCCCCGTTTTAATCAGTTCATTTTGTAGCACAGGCGTCGTCTCGGGCGTCTGGAATTCTGGACCCCGCATCATCTGTTACACTTGACCAACAGCAACATCAGTTGGCGAGAATGAAACGGCCCGCTATGTGGCAGGTAATTCGACAGCTGTGTGCGGGCGTAGCCGCTCCCGCAATGGCCCCTGCATATCTTCCGGTTGACCGCTTCTACTAGGTCGCGAATAGTAAAAGATGGGGACGGAAGTCTTGTTGGGAGATGTTTGTTTGGGAGTCTAGTAGGGGGAAATCTCCCTTGACAAAACATCTATTCAATTTTGAATACACGATGGGGCGTTCGTCAACTGCAACTGTCCCCCTCCTCTCCAGCACATCCACTTCTGACTATATCATGTGTGGGGGGTTTCCAAGGGCCTCACAAAGCCATCGCACCAAAAGCTCATGTTCGCGCCTACAATAAGGCGCCCAAAGGTGGACTGATACTGACACCATATTTTCCAGTATGCACGCGAGCCACTCCCGCATCCGTCACACATGGGTTCTGTACAACTTTCGAAACTTGGCATGGCGCGTTCCTGTAACATACCAATCCCGACTTACAGTAATCACGATTTTGCTGGTAGACCCGGCTCAAAGGACTCACAAAATCTTCACAGAATCCCAGCGACGATTCCATAGACATCCATGCCATAGTCACAGCTCGTGCTGCCACACTACTGCGCCAACACTCCGGTCAGCCGACGGTAGCCTTTGTCACGGCAATATTCCCCAGTGACTTCTGGGATCAGCCTTCCATGGGTGTGGCCAGACGCAGAAACTCATCTACCGTGCCCCATTTTCAACAGCGTGAGTTGGCGATCACCCCATTCCTGCGCCAAGTCTAACTTTGTATGGCAATACGTTGTGATGCCAATTCAAAAACTGGTAACGATTGAAACTGGACAGGCGCGGTGAACTTGGAAAACCTTCACCTCCCCACGGACCGTTTCCGTGTTGCCGTCACGTTCAAACAACGAAAACACTTAGCGTCCTTGGGTGTTCCACCTGCAAAGAGCGCACGAATACAGGGCGCATAGCCAACACAATAGCGCAGGAGAAGCCCTGGCCCGATAGCAGCCGGATCCTTTCCGCCGAGACTAGTCACTGGCCAACCACCATCCTCTTGATACCATGCGCGTGGTGCTAAATCTACATTCCCGATTGCTACAAGCCTCCGCCTCATGTCCCTTCTGATCGCCATGATGACCGTACCAGGCCTTCTAGGAACCCAAGAAGCAATCCGACAAGCCCAGTCCAAAGACAAGAGAGAAGAGCACCGAGCTCGAAGATGCAACTTCATTGCACATTGCATAAAGCCGTCGCTACGGGCACGGGAAATAAACGATAGACCACTTGTTCTGCGCGATGGGCGGGTAAGTCACGCATGTCGCCATGTAAGCAGTAAAATCACTGACTATTTTCGTAGATATACATCCACTCCGGTGCTCAAGACGATAACGAGGTTGTCTTGGCTTGTGGCTACTACCTTCCTTACCCCGACAGCGAACATGAAGGTCTCGTTACGAAGACTTCTAAGTACCTACCAGTCATGAACTGGGTTTACGCGGACGCAACGACATATCAGCTACGTTATGGTATACGCACCGACGCTGACGGAAATATCACTGGGCCATTCGACTGCACAAGTCACGCCCGCAGAATAACCCTGTTCAAATGGGAAGGATGGTGCGCCGTAGAAGAGCAGCCTAATGAATGGGCCGTCTACTTCGACGTCAACGACGATGGACTGGCGGGCAAAGTTCAAGCTGGAACACGGGTGCTTGAGATCGAGATCGAGAGGAGAGAGGAGCGCTACAAGAAGGACGAACACGGGGGTGCCGCCTCAAAAAGCACCGAAACATCATCGTACAAACCAGAGGTTACCACGACGAAGATCACAGAGAAGCCCGCGCAGACGAAAATCGAAGTCCCTGAAGTATCAGCGGAAAGACAAGGAGACCAATTCGATGTCTCTCCGTCGGAAAAGAGATCAATCCCACAAGCAGATTCTCTAGCATCCGTAAAACCCTCATTCTCGCCTCCCAAGTTTCCACTCCGACACAAGACAAATGTACCACCTGAAGCACCGGAGCACACCCCAGGCAACAGTACGTCCAAGAGCAAGCGCTCCCATGACCGTCCTCCTTCGTCGCACACAAATCGGCCACCTTTCCGACCACTTGGTCCCCTTCCATTCGAGGCCAAGCCCTATCAACAACCACGCCCAAGAACACCCAACATGGAAGGACGACAAAGCCCACATCCACGTGCACCGCCCTCTGCCTCACGACGTTTCCAGTCCCTCGACCTCTCTCGTGATGATGCACCACGCCCGAGGAGAGTATCGACAGACTCGACTGCGAGGAGAGCTCTCCAAAGGTTAAGAGAGACCAGTTCAGGTTCGATTGGGTCATCGGAGTCAGTGTCACAAGTGCCGAAAAAGAAGTTATCCATTAGAGAACGAGCGTCAAAAGCATTGAAGAAGAAGAGAGAGTCGGGGTAAGTATTCAAGAACTCATAGTGATAGTTTGTGATCCTGAATAATTGCTATCGGAAAGACCAAGCCGGCTTCTCGTGTTTTGAACATTTCAAAATTCCCAAGTATTGCAACATTCGCAACCACCGTACCCAACGTGTATCTCTTCTTCTGTGACACTCCAGTCCACATCATCAAATGCTGGATCTGCCACACGACCGCAAGATTGCAATGTGTTGCACCAAACACGATACGATTCTTCACCATATAGTCTCGCTACCTCACTGGGCGTTAAGCGTCGATCCTTGAGGGATTGCGGCACTGCCCGACTCATCGCATTGCTCAACGCGTCTAGGTCTACTCCGTGCTGTATAAGAAACGCAACCGCCTCGAAATTACCTGCTCCTGCAGCAACGTGAAGTAAGTTCCACTTACGCAAGTCTACCATCTGATGAGGATCATCATAGATATTCCAGAGCTCTTTCATCGTCTCATAGTTGTTGTGACATACGGCACAGAACAAGGCATTCCAAGCTATATTGTGTGTTTCGACACGGGTCGATACTCTCGCTGCGAGCAATGCTTTGACATCTTCGCATGTGCCGAATGCGGCTGCTCGATGTAGGACCGTCCATCCACGCGGATCTTGGCGGTCAGTCTCCGTGAAAGAATTGCAGGAGATGATGTCGAGAAACTCGGTTTGGACTTCAGGTCTGCGGCCGAAAGAATATAGAAACATTGGGGCAGTCATGCCGTCGCGTCCAATGAAATTTGCGTCTACTCCATTACTGAAACAGAGCCTAGCAAGTTCTGGCTTTTGCCAGTGAGCTGCGAAGAGAAGCAAATTCCTACGCTTTCTTTCAGTCGGAGCCAACTTAGTGCATTGTCGAAAACTTACGGGAGTACGGCCGCGCCATTCTCTATCAGGTACTTCACCAATTCAGTCGAATCACTTTTAGCCGCGTACTAAAAAGGGTCAGCAGCGAACGACGTGTGGGCTGTTTGACTGACATACCCACAGCAATGAGTTTCCTTCACGTGATACGTCGGTCGGTGCGGCATTACCGTCTAAGATCGAATCTCGAACAGTCATCAGATCGCCCTTTAAACAAGCAGACACCACTTGGTCGTTGGCATAGCTAACAAATCGCAAACGACCGCCAAGTATGTCGAACTCTTGCCATTTTAAGCGCGATTGGCGCAAGGATACCATAATAAATAATGCCATGTGACCAGATAAGGTCGGTACACTGATCTTTGCTTGACATTGATAGGTCCTCTGAGAGCGCTCGGTGTGGTGGGTCACGACGAAGTCGCAATTCAAGAGTGACGTCCAAAAGGCGTTTAGTTGGAAGGCACCGAAGATAGATTTGCGAGTTTTCAAGTCCACGTGGTTCAAGGAGAGGGGTCTCTGCTGTGATTTTGGACAAATAGTGTGGTCTGGTTGACCTTGTCTAGGAATAGTGTTCGAAGTTATGCCCTTCAGACTGTCCCGCAAGGAAACAGATGTTCTCAAGTTTATCTTTCTGATTCAGGTCAGCGACGACTAGTCAGCTCCTATTGAGTTGACTTACAAGTTGGTCGACTGTAATATGATCGCGAGACTGTTCTCGACACGCTGAAGCTGCTGAAGGCATTCCTCAGCCTTGCTCTTTTGCATCAAGCTCCACCTAAGTCTACGCCTGCTTGCGGATAAATCGACACAAATTTTGGTGCATTCTTTCTTGACGGCCATGATCTCATGTTTCGCGGTTGTCAATGCTTGGTTGAAAATCCATATCTCTTCGTCGGAGAGGAGATCCTGAAGGCTAGCGTTGACGCAGATATCATCCAAAGACTGCAGGGCCAGAAAAACAAGGCAAGTGTGATTCTTCAGTTGAGCAAACTGTCTTGGCGCATCACATAGACTGTTAGTGAGCTTGATCGTAAGCTCCGACACCTCTTTCGCAACTGCAACGAGCGTTGCTACGGATGCGACCACGCCCACGACTTCCATCACACTCAAGTACAGCGAGGAATCGGAAGAGGTTGACTTGTTTGTGGAGCTCGGAAATGTCTGCGAACACGGATGTCATTAGTTGCCAATGTGGCCGGTCAGGCTGGCGACATGTACAGACAAGGCACATTTATATGAGTTGATCGACTTGATTGGATGGCGAAGAAGGCTGAGGCTGCGCGGGGCTCTCTGGGCTTGGTGTATCACAGCCGCCTGGGTTCTTAAAAGGCCTACACACGTACATCCCCAGTCGACAACAATTTGACCAGCGGTATCCCTTTTCCAGTGCTCATCATGTTTAACTTACCGACATCGCTACTGTAGGACAAATGATATGCGAAGATCACAAAAATGGACTAATGAGGTACAAGCAATTCGAAACCAACAACTATGATACATAGCGGCGGCTGCCAAGTTTCAGGTCCGAGCGACAGCTGCACGACATGCGGCAATTACAGTTCCTATTATCAATAAAATTTCGGTTCATTCATTGCATTTGTGCAGGTATATGAGGTAAGTTATAACACACCGAACATGACGTGCATCATGCTCAACAGATGTCGCAGACGTCGAGCTAGAAGGAGTGGTTCGTTATGCGAGCCATGTACTCGTTCGCGCTCGCGCTTTTCTTAGATGAGGACATGCAGTTAGTGCCAATATGAAACCCAATCTGTGGCTATTAGATATCGTATAGCTTCATGTTAGCTTATGGTCGATATTTCAACACCTACCTAGCACAGACAAACATATTCCAAACCGAGCTTGTCTTGATACTTGAACATATGTCGGAGAGCCATGGACGGAGCAATCGGGTGGCTGAAGACCCACAGGCGCGGATGTAGTACGTGGCATGATGCATACGAGGCGTACTCGCGCCTTAAGGTGAGTTCGATTGGGCAACGAGGAAGGCTGAGGCTGAGCGGGGCTTCGCGGATGTTGAGACAATCCGAATGATAAAAGACACTTCCCCGCGTCTTGGAGCAAAACATACAAACCTTCCCTCGCTGTTAAGTTCATCATGCATAGCTTTTCTGTATCTGAACCGCACTGCAATACCTTGTGAGACTCTGTTACCTTACGGAAAGAATTGCCGGCTAATTGTTTGTAAGAAGCGAAAAGCTGGCGGTGGCACACAACAGACCCCGGGGAGGAGACGGCGGAGACTGCGGACCAGGCTGCGGCGCAGGAGGTCCTGGGGACCGCGGTTGATAATACATACTTTGTTGAGCATCGTTGTGAAATGCGATGCCAGAGACCGGTGTCGATTACAAGGAAGCTTTTGTTTACTGGGAATTCTCCTAAGGCTAATTGTCAGTTCGGATACGGATATACGGATATACGGAAGGCTCAATGCTGGAGCAGGATACAGCTGAATCACCTTGTCAATTGCAATGTTCTAGTTGAAGGGTGTAGTCGGAGCTGATAGCGAAGGGCCATTTTCCGATTTCGAATGGATGTTTGAGCAGATTCCATCTTCCTGCCGCGTATTAAAGGCTCGCTGGGCTCATTTCTGACGGAATCCATACCATAGCCAGGCGAGGCATTCCTGCATCCGAAGGTGTGGATATCAGGCGACAAGGGAGGTCCATGTCAAGCCGGGTTGTCTGGCAAGGTCTGACTGCCCAGATATGTATACAGGACGCTTGTGCCTATGCCACGTTTTCAGGCGGTATCTATTTGCACCGCATTCACTAAATTTTCATCATGCATTCTTTGTCTACGTCCCACCATTTCAGGAAGAGTGAAACCGTCTTGCAGGATGTACATTTGATAAAAGGTCCTCCTCCACGACCAGGATAAAATGCAATATGCTAAGCTCCAATGCCAGTTTGATGTGGGAGCAGGTCAATATCGTGCTACGAGCTTTATCGTCAGCTGACATGCTTTTAAACGAAGACGCGCAGCCGGGCCGAGAGCAAATGTTACGCTTTAGTTGCCCCTTGAAGAACATGGCGTTATTTCGATAGTCCTCGAAAAAAAGTCATGTGGTGACCATCGAATAGGTGCATAGGCGAGGTTCAGTATCGTTGTCCAAAGAAAGAGTACTAGCAATATCCAGCTGTGCGCGAGAGTTTCTGTAGCATCCCTTGTAGTCTGATTGGCAGAGAAGCGTTGGTGAACGCTGAAAACTATGATGATTCGTGTCATCTAGTCATGAAGTTTTGGCACGTCAAACATGCCTCCTATGCAGGTAGATACCTGTTCCTCTCAAACGCCTTGATTCCCGCCCTATTCCGGTCGTGCCGCCCTCGTATCTCATTCACATGGTATCACTTAAGCTGGTTGCTCGAAAGCCCTCCTGACAACTCTTGAGAATTCTGCACATCATGTCAGCGCGGTGGATCATCATGCGAACTGTCCAAACTTACGATCGAACTTGACATTCTCCCTGACAACGGTGCCCTTGGCCTCATTGTCCTTGTTGATCGGCACCTTGATCTTGTCGCCGTCAACATTCCATCCGCACACGGTCCCGACGAAGTGCTCGAACTCCTTGCCATTGAGGTCCAGCCAGCTCTCCAAGATGCTACGCTCGACTTCCCTTATTGACTGGCTCACTGTCGCCGCAATGCGCACCCGCATCAGCTCCTCAAAGCCAGATACGTCAGCCACCAAGTCGGCATACAAGTCGTCAGAGTCTAGCGTTGACCAGAATGCAGCGTAGTCGGCACCCTCGAGCAGGTTCTTAAGAATGTTCAGCTTTTGCACAGCCTCAGATAGGGGTGCGTCGCCAGCTGCTGGTGTGTGTGATGATGTTGAGAGAGGCGCGAGGGTGTGGCTGGGGAGGAGGGCGAGGCCGAGCGAGAAGTCGGGCGAGGGGAAGACGGTAAGAGCTTTGACGAGGATGTTGGTGATGGTCTCGTCACGGGCGAGGTGCGGGTTGAACTGGTAACTACGAATTGCTGTCAGCTAGAAGCCGCAACTGGTATGCTGGTGACTCGGTTTGCGGGGTTGTTGCTTTCAGATAGAGCTAATAAAAGAACTTCAGCGGGCGGAGGGATTCAGTCTCCAATCCCTCGGGTAATAGGAAACGTTGTGGTTGTTTATTCATCCTGCAAGCACATATGAATACAGAGAAATGACGTACAGCTTCAACAATGCGAGGTTGGCGTAGCAGTCGTACGTCTGGTTTTCGCATTGCTGCATGACATAGTCCTGGAAAACCGCCGTCGTCTCCGGGTTGTACCGGTCGAGCCCATTGAGGATTTGTTCAATGTGGTCCGGCCTTTCCGGCGCAAAATCGAAGGGGGCGCCCATGGTGAAGTTGCCTGGCTTGGATGTGCGACGCTCGTTGAGGAAGAAGCGTTGGCGAAGTTTGCGTGCGCAAAACTCAAATTATGTAAGCGACGAGTAAGCCACAGCACCCCGCCAGCCATAGGTCACGTGCTAGTATCAACGAGTTGTTTAAACATATCCGTACTCTCTCTAGCGTAGCCAGCATCTCGTTTCAGCTCGAGCCCGATTGAGTTCAAATAGTTAAAAAGTACATCTCGATGTACCATCGTGACCGTCACTGCCACTGCCACTATAGACTAGAGGCTCGTGCCCTCTACTCGAATGCATCCATTACCCTTGTTCACCACATTCATATGCGACGGCAGGGTTCGGGTGTCTTCCAAGTTCTCACAGGTCCATTTCGTATCCAAGAGCATCTCTCTCTGGCCCAAGAATGTTAAAAACTTACGGGCAACTACTGCCTCCCTCTCCAGCTACTCCTCAGCGATGGCACTCCCAACGCTCGTTGCGACCCTCTCGCATCCAGAATTGTGCTTCCAGAGGATGCTGTGGTGATCGAACTCAATCTTGACTTGGCCGCACACATATGTTTCTCCCAATGCCTCAAGGATCTGAATCGTCTCTTTAGTCACAAAAGACGCAGTATCCCTCTTTGACAGCAAGGCCCCTAGCTCTAAGAGCGGCGCTAGATGCATATTTCACTCATTCTCACTGAACCTTATTGCCTCCACACCGACGATTGTAAGTTACTTCTCAATCTGCTTCCCCAAATTTTGACTATAGCCCTTGCCCAATCTGAGTGCCTGCATGTGGGCTACACAACTCGCAAAACAATTCGTCATAGCATTCCAGTCCTCTATTTATGTCTTTTCGCTGCATGCTCACGCGATGTGGGGGTGATAACCACAATCATATTAACACCAGCAATTCCGGATCTTGTTAGGTGCAGAATCAATGGTCCATTTCATAATAGCCATTCGACATGATTTCTGAACCTACAGATAAGGGGCAACAGCCTTCCAGTACTCGATCCTAACTTAGATCTCGGGCGTCATCTGCATCACCATCGACGAATGGAACTTGGCTACTGTGCTCATGTTCCTCTCTCTCGGGTGACCTTTTTTTTATTAGATGGCCGCAGTGGCGTACGCGTCGCCTTGTGTATTCTCTGCATTGTTCCCTTAGTGTGTGCGCTCTACTCTAGAAGTGCTGGAGAATGATATGCCCACAGGTCGCGTCTCGAAATGTTCGCAGTAACTATGGAGTCACTTCCGGAAGTGTCATTGCTGGACTGTTTCCGCGTCCAGGACCTTCATAGCCATATCCACCTTTGTGCTGTTTTGGGTCAGATTCCCTAGCTCGATTCTTTGCTGGGTTCATCAAAGACGGCATCAGATGGCATCCCGTCATGTAACTTGGCGCTACTATGCTTACAGCTTGCATGGCTATCAACGCCTTCTTCACAGAAGAGACATTGTAATTTCGCACCGACGTAGAAGGCGACGTGGATTTTACATCGTCCCAAGTCCTTCCAGCTAAAACGAAACGTAAAACCAGGTCATGCTCTCGCGTCGTTGTATCAAAGACTTAATATTCAATAGCATGCATGTACAGATTTCATTTAATGGACTCCATTCCATGACGATGATACCTACCACCCTTTCCATGGAATCCAAGTGTCGATGACGATGTCATTCTCGTCCACAACGAAGTACGCGTAAAATGCAGCTGCGGTTATGCATGAATGCTGGCACCAGAGATATACCTTCTCACCGACCGTGAAGATATCACCGGCTGTTTCCTTATCGTTCGAGCACCCCAGGATGCCATGTTCTTGCGACACACGTACAACGTCCCAAAATGGTCGATCCACGACCCTGCCGTGTCCCGGGAACCCGCTAGCTTCTCGGGCCAAAACAATGACTCCTGCGTTTATCAGAACTTCGTTCCGTTCAGGATAAACGCTGACGACATCTGCGCATACGCGAATGGCCTGCTGTGTTATCGGAATGACATCCGTAGAGACTTGTTGAAGGTCGTTCGTGGGGAAGTTGCCTTACTCTGGTCAGTTCAAATGATTGAGAGGTCGAAAAGTCACCATTACCAGCATGAAGCTCAAGTGTCACGTTCGGTGGTAGCTTTTCGTTCAGTCTCTCGATTACGTGTGCTGTGGGTGTCGCGCCAATTGACAAGATGAGAGACCTCGTCGTCGATACTAATGAAGCTGCTGCAACAACTTCTTCCACCTCAAGCTGCAGCATTTTGGTAACCTCTTCCTCTGTTCGGCAGCCGTATGAATGATTCGCGTGGCAATAGAAGCCTTTCAATTTCGCGAATTCCGAGCTCTCTATTGCTTGCACTAATTCCTTGAGTCGCGGTGAATCGGTCGTCAGTCCGGCTCTGCGTGCGCCAACGTCGATCTTGATGAAGACGTCCCATGCTGTTCCGGAGCTTTCCAAGAACTGCAATTGATCGCGGCTATCGAGAAGCAGATCAATCTTGATATTCTGGCGAAGAGCGGTCAAGCGAGGAATGACGCTCTTGTAGACTGGCATGCCAAAAATAGCCTGATACAAAGTCAGCGTACGGACCTCAAGGAAATATCGAAAAATGTGGCAACACAGGGTAATTCCGAACATGGACGTTTTTTAGACTCTTAGCGCATGTTAACAGGTGAATGATAGCAGTTAGTAATGTACCTCTTCCAGGAGACCCTCTTTGACCAAAGGCAGAGCACCGACAATCTCGGGTACAGTTGAGCATACAACCTTGCGGTACAATCCATTTCCCAACATCAGCCGCGTTACCTCCAGAGTCTGTGATGTAGCAAGTGAGCGCCTGAAGTATGGTATTATAATGCCTTGGAATATACCTTCAGCGTCTTCAAGTGTGGTCTAAACGAGATATTGAGCTTGGAAACATCGTCGTGCAACTTCTTGATATTTTGCTCAATGATGGGTTTGTTGACGATGAAGGAAGGCGTTGGGAGTTCAGATGCATGCCGACCCAAATAGTCTTTGTGATGCTCAAGTGCGTGATCCATTGTCTGCGTGCACAGGTGTATGTATGCATCATAGCAACCACAGAGCGCAGTCCATGGACCCCTTATCGGAAGCGCGTTGTGACGTGACGGCGCTAATGCTAGACGGGAACGCTAACCTCGCTCCACCACTTTTTTTTTCAAATGTCACTGCGACTTATTCGACACCTCCTTCGGGAAGTGCTTTGGATATTCAAGACATTCTCTGTCCCAAATCTCATTACGATTTCCAACCGGATTCCATGGATCTCAAAGGTAAACGTGATGTGCCTTTCAGGGTCCCTATCTCTAGCAAGGAGTTCGCCGATGTCAAAATTCACGTACCCGCTATTAGATCACAAGGTCTTAATCTGTTGCCATGGGCATCAACTTACGTACTCGCTGGCCAATTACACAATCTCGGCATTGAACCACCGCGGAAGAATGGGATTAATATTCCAATCTTGGAACTTGGAGCTGGCATTGGGCTCGTAGGCATGGTCGGCTCGATGATATGGCGTCAACCCGCCATTCTAACGGATCTCAAAGAGATTGTTCCTGGACTGGCAATTAATATCGATCTGAATTCGAAGCTCTTGCAGCACTACGGTGGATCGGCCAACGCTGGATCGTTAGACTGGAATGATCCGGACACCCTTACTCTGCACGATAATACAACTATATCCGCGAATGCGACCAAAGCGAACATCATCATAGCCGCGGACACAATCTATGATGACGAACATCCTGAAATGCTTGCGCGTACGATTTCGAAGTGGCTCGCTCCTGGGCGGGAATCAAGGGTCATCATAGTATATCCCCTACGCGTTGCATACCTTGATCAAATTCGTGAGCTATGGGAGCGTCTCGAAAGTATGGGATTGCAATCCATACACGAAGGTAGGGAGGAGGCCTCTGAGATCGACGGCGCCACGTGGGACGACGAGCGACTCTGCGAATGGAGTGTCTGGAAGTGGGATTCCAACTGATTTTGCACTCGGTAAATTGGGTCGAGCTACGCTTGATGTATTATCACAAGTTAAAGAATATAGAGTAAAAGGGTGCGGGCTGCGTTCTGCCAATAGATGATTAAACTTTGCTAATTTGCCATGGCTCCACACGTTTAATCTCGACTGGAATTCCCCTGGGTTGTTCTTGCCCGCGACGCAACTGTGAGCAGGACAGGGTGTAAAGTGTTTCTCATGCACAGCATTGCCCTCCGCAAAATCATTTATAACGGTTCTGAACACCGTTGCTTTGACCGCCAAGGCTAGGCTCGACTCCAGCTTCCAAACTTGCGGCGACATCTGTACGCATCGCTCCGCTTGCAACCCCATCGACAGCATCAAGTCGACGTCTTCTGACTCACTAGCAGTTAGCTTGCCGCTGATAAAGACAAGCGGTGGTGCTTCGATGGCCTAAGGCTGATGTCTTCTCAATGCTCAATCACTCAGGACATTCTCACTACAGGTATAGGGACCGATTACTATTCAGCCGTTAGTAACAGAGATTTTGAAGCAGTCATGATGATCTTTCGGTACCACGCACGGTGCCTCGAGCCTGCTTAAAGTCAGTGGCTACAGAGGGTTACTAAGTGGCAGATCTCATACCTTATATCCTGCTTCAGGAAGCTGCTTGACAGCGTTGATTGCCATAAATCCACTTATGCCAGTGACTAGGACACATAGGCTGAAGGAATGGCCAGACTATATTAAACGGGGTAGGATAGCGTTAAAGAGAGTCGGGGTTGAAGCTGTAGGATTCAATCTGGATAGCAGAGGAAGAAGAGTAGTTACGGCAATCAGTCCTAAAATCGCAATCTCTTCTACGTTATATTTCATGGCGAGAGAACCAGGGACCAAGACGCTATCGCGTGTCGACGAGGTTACGAAATCTTAGGTGGCGATCAAGTTGCAGGCTTGTTCCATATTTGCGACTTCCACGACATCCCGAGACGAAGCAAAGCTTCGAACGTCTTGCCCTCAGGCACGAATAACTGGCCACCCAATCAACTTGCGCATGGCGCATTCCACAAAGAACCAAAATCCTTCAAAACACGTGAAATGGAAGTTCTGCTGTCTTGAACCCTCGCCTGTGCCAGGAGGCATGTTCATACCTGATAAAACCTTCTGCGTACTCGGATCACGTACACGCTATCACAGCTCGAAAACGACCATGGAAGATGATTACCCCCTACCTTTTCCCGCTTCTGTCACCACCACTAGGATCGCCATCGATTCGATCCCTCTCCTCCTTCAGCCGTTTCCTGGCATCTTCTTCCGCTTCCAAGAGACTAAGCACCTTTGTCCTTCCCGGCACGGAGAACCCACCCGCGTACTCGTACCTCTCCAGATAACTCAGCCGGGTCTTTTGAGATTGCCGGTGTGCAGAACTCTTACCGTCTCCGGTATCTCCATCCCCTGCACCATGCAGCCCTCCCAACCCTTCCGGCCCTTCCCCATGGCCGCAGCCGCCTACGAACCTTCTCCCGTCCTCGTACCTCCTCCTCACAAAACCCTCCACCTTCGAAAAGGAATCATCCTCTTTCTGCTCCTGTACTCCAACCGTATCACCATCTCCAAGAAAACGGGCTACTTCGCTCTTCAGGACATCGATGCTTTGCTGCCCCACACGCACCCTTTTCGACTCCGTCAATTTCTTCAATCCCTGCATGGGCGTCTCTGTCGCTCTCCTTGCATCAATTTTGGTGTTGCTCACATATTCGTAAACTTCTTTGCGGTCGGTTTCAGAGGCGAAGTGCAGGATCGAAGAGAGGAGGGAGATGTAGGCGAGGAGGGGTCCGGCGTCGAGGCCTTGTAGTGGGATCGGCAAGTTGATCACAGAAACAGAAGGATGGGGATCAGGCGGTGGCGGTGGCGGTGAGGGAGGGAGTGATGATTGCGTGAGCTGTGGCTTGTGAGGGGCCCGCTGGGTTGCCGGTGTCTCGTCTCCATGCTCATTCTCAGACTCAGACTTGGGACCATTTGGATCTTTGTCGATACGATCGACTTGGAGACTGAGGCCGAGGGATAATCGGGTGCCCTTCTCGCATGTCGTCCTCTTCGCAATATCTCGTACTAGTCCGCCTCCCTTGCCCTCGTCCATCAGACGATATAGATAGTCGCACCAGCTAGTTCCCCCCTCGCCAAGTAGCTGCTCCCTTTTAAGCATGATTCCATTCTCCCAATCAATATCACCTCTCCATTCAAGGACCTTCTTGCGTGTGCGTCTTTCCCCTTCCTCTACATCTTCCTCCTGGTCACCTTTCGTATCTCGCCTAAGTTCTGTCCAAAGCGCTCGGTAGGAGCGCCGCATCTTCTTCACCTCCATAGTCGTAAGGAATTGGCTGAGTGGACGATACGTGAGTAGAAATGTTGGCGTCGCGAGTGTGGAGAGTTCGCGTTCAAACGCTGTCGTTAGGAGCAGGAGGTTTTGAACGGTGTAAGGATCCCACGGCGTTGGCTTGGTTCCGAACGAGGATGAGTGACGGAAGGATACGTTCGGGTAGCACCGTTCGGCCGCGATGATGGCGAATGGACGCTTGATCTCCGGGTGTTCCGAATGGTTGGAGTTTTCCGCATTGCTGATACGGGATAGCGCTTTCATGACGGTGTGGATTTCAAGTTCCCAGGCGTCTCTACGGGAGGCGAGTAGATTGACGCGCTGGAGTGTGAAAGGGAGCGTCCAGATGTGTGAGGTGGAAGCTACATGGGCTTCGGAAGGCGTCAGAAGGAAGTCGCCTGGGCGTAAGGTTGGGGGCATACCAACTGGTTCTACAGTAGGCAGATCGAATTCCGAAGTCTTTGATGGCGGCTGTGGATGATCAGGCATCATGCGGAGAGCCCAGTCAGCGCTGAGAATAAAGCCATCCCATCTTTTCTGCTCCGTTCTTCGCCATGCTGCTCTTCGCTCTTCGTACAATCTCGTCTCATCTTGCGTCGGATTATGCCCTAGTTTCTCCTCGAAAACAGTATCTCGCCATAGCTTGACAATGTATCCAGATCCGTCCAAAGCGTTGGCTAAGTTTTCGCATAAGTTTATGAGTCTCGTCATATGACGGTCCTCCCCAAAAGCGAGCTCAGGATGAAATTTCTCAAGGCCAAGCAGGACAAGCGGGATGGAGATGTCTAGCACTATCGGTGCAGTGGCGGTGGCGGAGTATGTGAAGGGTGTAGTAGTTGTTGTGGGGGTTCTCATTATGAGCACGGATGACGAAGGGGACAAAGAAGGTTACGAAGTAAGACTAGGCGCAGAACCGGAGAGCATGGAAGTGGATGCCGAGAGGTAAGCAAGACGGCGAAATTCCTCGTAATACAGGACGTGATTCTTGAGTGGAGAAAGTGTGGAAAATTGAGACAAGGATGAATGGATGAAGTCAGGGGAAGAGACGCTGTGCACGTGTTTAGAGGAATAAAGAAAGGAAGACAGGGCGGCGCGATACATCAAGACAAAGAAATCTTGTGAGGCAGTGTGGAAGGCGACAAGACTAGGTTCCAATTATGTGTGCTTACCTACCGTGAGTCACGGCCGTCTATACTGAATTTCGATTCTGGAGCGTGTAAAAAGACGCATAAGAGACAACACCTCGCCACACCCCATCCTTTCAAGTCACGATCCTTCTCAACGCCAACACAATGCTGCGCATATACCCCCACACGTCTCCTTATGCCGAGTTCGCAGTGTTAGGGTTCACAGCCGAGGCCGGAGCAGCAGCGGGCTCCACGCCCTCAGGACCAGCGCCCGTCAACGGCTGCTGACCAGCGCCTTCGGTGGGCGGCGCGATCTTCGTATTATCAATAACATCCTTGCTGTCCTCCTTCTTCGCCCACTTGGGCGGTTTCGCCCACTGCGCATCCTGCCACGGCCCTGCATCGCTCAACGCGCAGCCTCCAGGGCATTCACAGCTTCCGCCAAATTGCTTGGGCAGGTTCTCAGCGGGGACCTGAGCGATCAGTTCCTTCTGGTAGCCGCTGCCAAGGATGTGGATCTTGTTGACGGTGACGGGGTCGAGGAAACGCTTGACGACGCCCCAGACGCCCGAAAAGCCCCACGGCGCGTTGATGACGTACATCTTGCCGAGGCGCTCAGGGTAGTAATTCTGCGAGATGGCGGACACAGCTTGGAGGTAGCCGTAGACGGAGGTGGCCTTTGCGATGCCGACGCCCTTGAGGTCCATGATGGAGCACGACGTCTCGAGGAGGTAGCCAGACCTGCGCGAGCAGGCGGGCAGGCGCGGGTCGGCCATCTTCTCGTATTCGCAAACGAGATTCTGGATCATGCGTTCTTGCGAAGTGATCTTAGCCATGGCGGTGAGGTCGACGTTACCGAGCTGCTCAATGTAGACGGGGCGGCCATCCTGGGCGATGTAAGTGCTGTTTTTTGGAACCCCCCTTTTCTGCAAGGCATGTGTGGGGACGTAGATGATAACGCACCTTGTCTGTCTTGTGGTAGTACTGCGGATAGTACTTGAAGATCTGGGGCCTCTCCGGGTAGTCAAAGGTGCGAACTAGCTCCTCGACGCCCACACCCGCGTAAGATGCCCGCCACTTCTCGCTGTCGATGAACCTGCGCGAGCGTCAGTCGCCTTCATCCACCCTCTTGGGGGGTCCTGCACATACATCTGCTTGGAGAGCTCGACATTGAATTTCCGCGCACGCAAAAACCGCAGCTGTAAACAAATTAGCCCTGGCCCTTCTATTGTGGGTCTCTCCCACGCACCAGCGTCAAAGTGTCCAAGTTCTTGGTGTAGCCAGCTTGCTCTAGCATGGCCCTGAGCTGGTGAACCTGCGCATCCTGTTCTGGCGTGGTGTGGCCGGGGTGGCCGCTCTGGGGCGTGGGTGCAGTGGTGGGGTAGTCGTAGTCGTCGTACTTGGGGTCGAGCGGGAGCTCTTTTGCGGCTGGTGCAGCCATGACGGGCGTTCTGTCGAGGGTTTGAGTCGTGGCAGTGAAGTATAAGGGAGAAGGCAGGTTATCGGCGCCTCGAGGTTGAAGAGATGTTGAGAGAGAAATGACGACGAAGTTGGGCTAGGCGCACGTTGACCGCCGCTCAAGCGACGCCCGCCAATGGACCCTGGTCATGTCTTACCCCAGGATATGACTTTACGGACAAGCCATCGCACACAGTGCATCACCTATTGCATCCAATTAGGTTAACTTGAGCATTCACCATATTCACCCACGTGGTGCATGGAGTATATTCTACTGTGTAGACATGCGACCCTCTGCAGACGCCTTTTCCCACCTCGAGTCTTACTGGTGCAGCCACACCTCTCTAGTCCCACAAGCTTACGAGTCACTGACCGCAGGTCGATGAGACCACATATGAACAGTGAAGCGCTAGTCAATCCTACCCAACAGGGAGGAGACACGGCTCGTTTTGTAGCTAACTAACTCATACATCCGCAGAAGTAAAGACAAACATAATCCAGACCATCCATCCATCTCCAGCCAGATACACTCCTGCTCCACACACGCACCCTACTCTACCATCACCAACTCCTTCACAAGAGCTAAAACGAGCGTTGTCTAGGCCCACTACCCAAGAGCCAGAAGCAACGCACAAAACACAACAGTCGCACTGTGAAATTGCTTGAACACTGACCCGTTAGGCAGGAGTCCACCGTCACCGCACCGCCAAACACATTCCGGATTCCGTCATGTATACCATGAGAGACCAACCGACCAGATGAGAGTTGAAAAAGGACACAAACCGAACACCGCCTGATGACGCCCAAACATGACAGACGAGGAAAACCACGAACGCGCCTATGGACAGTCCAAGCAAAGGTCGAGAATAAGTCAACAAAAGTCGAGGCTGAGGCCTTCCCCTAGTGTTGAGGGATCATGGTCGTCACTACCGTTGTCGATCCCGGTCGCGGTCGCGTCCCTGTCCAAAGTCTGGCTCTACGATCGCCCTCTTCTCTTTCTTGCTCCTCACCACGTATCGAGCGAAAAGGGCAACGTGATCTGACGGGAAGTGGTAGTTCGGGAATCCGGGCACGCGCTTGAGGTAATCAGAGTCAATATCTCCGAGAAGCTCAACGACTTGCAACGTGTTTGTTGAGTACCAAATGTAGTCAAGTACACCAGTGAAGTTTGGAGTGTAGTTGGTGAACTTCAACTCGCCAATTGGTGAGTAGCTAGATTTCAGACTGAAGGGATGCGATACGCCGTTCCTCGTCAAGTTACCGTAGTTACGACTACCCAAATCTTCGTGCTGGTTTGACATGCTGCCCGATGTGATGAAATCGTAGATGCTCGACGTAGGCGTTGAGTTGAAATCACCGCAAAGTAGGAGCGGAATTTGGGCAGCGTCCGAGTATTCCAGTGAAGGCCCCGGCGTCTGCGTATTATCCGCTATTGGGTTTCCTTCCTCGTCATCGCCGTTCGCAAAGCGATAGAGTACCTTGTCCGTGCAAGGAGGATGCTTGGCCCACTTGTTTGCAAACTTGGTAATTGACTCCAACAAGATCGCCACTTGCACTATTTTGACATCCGTGAAAAGGGGGTTCCAGAATACGTGTACGTTACCAACAATCAGCCTTGAACCTGTTGCGCGGTTCTCGAGGAAGGCAATGACAGCAATATCGTCCCGAGGCATAACCCGGTTGAAGATGTCATGTTCTCCTTTCATGTCTGGACGATTGATGGCGATATTCGTGAAGTCAATGAGCTGTTTGTCCAACAAGACATACCTAACGCTGTCAGATTGATTCTCCATACCATATCACACTTGAACTTACTTGCTGTTCTTGTAGAAGATAGCACACCCATCGACAAGTTTAGCATCCTTCTCTACCATCGTTCTCGCTCGAGTCTTGGTCCAAAACATGCCTTTATAGTCGTTGTGCGCCAGGGCGGGCCGAAAGAAGTCATTATAAGATTCCTGATCAATCTCTTGCAGGCAGAGGATATCAGCATTCCTGTCCCGAAGTTCGGCGAGGATAGTCTCTCTTCGGTGCTCCCAGTCCAAAGCTCCACTTGCAGTGTACCCGTATTGAGAAGGAGTGCAGTACTTGTCGCAGAGGATATTGTAGCTGAGTGCAGATACTGTTTCTTGTTCGGCAGCTACTTCGTCAAGCTGGATGATGTCTCGCTCCATTGGAGCTTCAGGGCCTAAGCAAGTCAGATTCAGCTCGGATTGGCTACCATTGCTGCTTCTCTTACCTGGCGCAGTTTCACGGAAGTGTTCGATGAGTTTGGAAGTTCCGTTCTCTTCCATGATGATCTCTTTGTGTTCGCTAGGAATTGGGTTACCATCTACACCGAGCACTTCCAGGTGAAACAAAGACCCAAGTTCGGGCGGCAAGTAATTGATGTTGTTGTCGAAAAGAAGCAGTTGCTTCAGCCCGACAATCATACCGATTTCGGGGGGTAGTGTCCGTAGCTCGTTCAACGACGCATCTAAGTGAGTGAGGTTCCTGAGCCTTCCGACGCCCGCAGGGAGTGTGGAAAGTTTGTTAGAGTTTAGGTACAGCTTCGTAAGAAACGTGTATTGGAACAAGGTCGGTGTCAAGGTTTTCAAGTTTTGGCCGCCAAAGTCGAGGATAGTCCAGACATGGTTCTCTTTGCCATCCTGAATCATCTGCCCCGCAGGCCTGTTACGCTCCTCCTTATCAGACTCTTTCTGAGTGCCGCTGTTGGTTCCAGCGATCACGTTCTTGTTCACACTAGGGTGATTCCTCGCATGGGAGTGGGACTGCGTCATCTCGCGAGCCATTTGCGCTAACTTCAATTGTTCTGCCCAGTGTTCGCTGACCGGTTTATTGAGTCCGCTGTGCACACTTCCCGGGGTTCCGTTTTGCAGATGGTTTTGACTGAAGTGAGGCTGTACGTTCGAGATGCCTCCGCTAGAAACATTGTGCTGGTGGTTGAACTGATTTGCATGCGTGCCTGTTCCATGGTCCTGGTGTTGATGATGCGTTTGACCGTGATGCTGATGGCTAGGATTATGTTGGAACGGTTTGCCTAGGTTCATCTGCATCGTGTATCGCTGATGGCTGTTTCCTCCATTCATCATCACGTTGTGGCCCTGGTTGCTATGACCGTGGCCTTGATTGAACATGCCGAACTGCTGCGGCGACTGTGCGCCCGAGGAGCGCGACGGAGAGGGGGTGTCTGGGTTATTGAAGGGTATGCGGCCACTAGTAGTCGGCGATCGCACTCGGTTCGGGAGGTTTCGTGATTGAAGATGGTTTTGTGCGTGCTGCGGGTAGAAAGCGTGGCCTGGTCCCCTTTGGTAAGCCGAGTAATCGGCCATCTACAGGTATCGAAAGGTCAAGCGATGAGGAGCCCCGGGGCTGCAGCGGTGAGGGTGAGTTGGCGCCCGGGGGAGATTCGTGGTGGGCGTGGGTCAAGTCGGTGGAGGGGATCGGAGACGCGCTTTTCTTCGTTCTAACATGGGCGACTCTACAACACGCCTTCATATGCTGCGCTGGGGACGCGGGCCGCTGTGGGTCATGTATTGAGGTGCCGTGTCGCCGGGCAAGCTGTGGTCGCGTTTGTGCGGGGAGCGAGCGTGTGCGCGGAGCAGGAAGGGGTGTTGGTGGGAGCAGGGATTAAAGGACAGATTCGTTGTTCGGTGTGTGAATGTTTCGATGGTGCTGGCGCCTGTCTTCACCGTCGTTAGTCACTGGGGTGGGGAAGAGGTTGGTTGACGCCGAAATAGACGACGACCGAACCGGGGAGAAGGACGCGCACACGCACCGGTTGGGGCAGCGAGAAGCAGTGCAGCTATTCAAGCAGTCTCAATTGCGCGGTTTCGGGCGTGACGGGCGCCGGGTGCAGCGTAGGCAAAGAATAGAGAGTGTAGCAATGCTATCGCATGTCGCGAAGCTCTCGCTGGGTTCGCCTAGACCGGCGTTAATCCGCAACGTCACGTGGCATGACCAAACCGTACCAACGCTGCCACCAAGATCTCACGCCTATCTCACGAGGCCCCAGCAGTCCGATTGTCCGCGGTTGAGCGCGGCTCTCCACGCCGTCGCATGACAGCTAGACTAGAGTGTGGTATCGAGCTGCAGCGCTTGCATCATCTTGCGTGACTGTTCTTTCAGGCTTTTCCACTACCCATCCTACGCACCCATGGACGATCTCCGGGGCTCAAACGGGGTTGGCATGCCTGGCTACCCCCGCGTTTGCCCACGCCACAGTCGCCGTGTCTCGTGCTAGACATGCGGCTTGAGGCGGGAATACATGCCCTTTCTATGGCTGGCGCTCTGGGGAAGATGTGCAGAGTCCCGTTCTGATTGGAGACGGAGGCCTCTGGTCCTCGGTTGTTGCACGTCTGTCTGAAGCTGTCCGCCGCCCAGCTGAGGGGCACCGACGGTCCTTCATACAGCCGTCGGAGGTGCCTTCAGACCACCAACTGTAGGTGCAGATGCAATCTCTCGTCCTCCCGCTCGAAAGCCACACCCACCCTCGTCTCGTCCCGCCTGCGGCCCCGTCTTCATATCTGTCGCTCCCCCGATGTTCCGAGCTTACACGTGCTTATCGGACGACTTAGGAAAGGTCCAATATCGCGAGCTTGCCCGCTAAAAACAGTGGGGCAAGGGTTTGAAAATGGCCGAGTGGATGATGGTGTGCTCTCCTGCGGCATTCCGTCTCATGTCGATGCCTCTGACCTGATCACTAGTATCGCTACACTGGCGGCAACGCCAACGGTACACCTGTCCGCCCAAAAACTGCAGAGGCGAAGCAATGGAATTTGACCTCTACTGACGCCCTAGGACGAACCATATCAGCGAGCGCAGCCCCTCTTGCGCCTGCGCCCGGAGCTCTGATGGATGCAGCGCGGGGCTCAGTTTCGAGCGCATCAACTACCCAGAGCGCCAAACCAGAAGACTCTGCATTCCTCGCCAACCCTTTCGCATTGCGCCATGGCCGCCGCTACCTTCGAGACTTGCCGTATCCCCTCCCCTGCGACCTGCCCGAGCTCCAGCGCCAGAATCTACAAACGCTCCTTGCAACGTCAGTCTTCGGTCGCGCACTTGGCTCCAGCCCAAACCCTGAATGCCCACCTCGAAAGGTCCTAGAGATCGCATGCGGTAGTGGGTACTGGTCGTCGCTATGCCACGACTACCTAGACGGCTTGGGTTACGAAAATGTTCAATATACCGGACTTGATATCGTGCCCATCGCCGCAGACTTGCGCAAACAGCACATAGACTGGAAGTTCGTCCAACACGATCTACGCAAGGTGCCTCTACCTTTCGATGACGGCGAGTTTGATATTGTTGTTATGAAGGATATGAGCCTGGTGGTGCCCCTCGGCTCCGCATCACAGAGGATTCTGGACGAAGCCATACGAATACTCAAGTCCGGAGGAACGCTGGAGATCTGGGAAACCGACCACGTCATCCGATCTATCCTACCACATCCTCCGCCACCACCGGGGAAGAACCCCCAAGAGTATGCTTGTGCGGTCGCGACTGGAACCTTCATGATCTCGCCAATAACACCCTTCACTGAAGTGCACAACAAGTTCCTTGCGTCTTCGAACAGCTGGATAACGGAGGCCTTGGATAAGCGGAAACTATCGCCTACGCCGTGCGCGCGTATCTCGCAGATGTTGTTACAGGAGACTGAGACTCTCCAGGGTGTTGAGAATCGGCGAGTTGCCATTCCTCTGGGTGAACTGCGGTGGGAGCGAGAGGCCGCAGCAGAGAAACAGACGGCGAATCGTCGCGGAAGCGAGGCGGCGCGGATCAAGAAGAGCGGGATCGACAGCATGACGCTTACGGAGGAACAAGCAGCTCTGAGACACACAGCGTTGCTAGTAGTCATCCAAATGATTGAAAGTCTTGAGCCGCTCCTCAAGGAAGTCAGCGGCAAGTCCCAAGAAGAATGGCAGACCTGGTGGGGTTCGATGATGACGAACTTGTTGCAGGAGAAGGGTGGCTCGAGCGGAGAGTGCTTGGAGATTGGAGTCTGGTGGTGCCAGAAGGTCTGATTTGAAGGCGCGTGCGCATACCTTTTCATTTGAGATATCCCATCGTTGGCCTCGTTTTTGGCACTGCATTTCGCTGGCGAAACTTTTATACCTTATCATAGCGTTGACGTAAAGCGCGGTATCGTTTCAAGTAATACAATGCTTCTATCTCTGAACAACTCAGGTCAACTCGTATCAAAAATCGCCCATGATAGGTTTACCTACCTTTCTTTACAAATTCGGCCCGTTTAATGCCTTCCTCGATCTTTTTCTCGTCGGTCAAGTGTTGCTGACTTGCAAACGCTTTATGCAGCCGTGTCCTATAGTAATCGTATCCCAAGGGATATTCTCGACCGAGAAATAGTAGCTCTGTCGATGTCAGACATACAGGCGTTGTAAGAAGCCCTCCCGAACTCGCCTTTGTAGATATTGATCACCTGGTGACGGAGCGTTGGATTGATAGATGCCATGACTGCCCAGGGACTGAAGCAAAAGGGATGCGTTTGAGCTCCACGTCAGATTAGGATGTGCAAAGGTCCATTCCTATGAGGCCAGCGCTCAAAGACATGGATTTGGATGCAGGTCCTCGGCGTGGTGGGTCCAAGCTTCGGGTGACGAAATGGACATGGAGGCTACTCGCACACCTCGGCCCGTCGATGCAGCCGTGGGAAGGCGCGATTTGTCCATTCACACCCAGCGATGACACCGTAGTCGAACATTTGATTAACTCGTACTCTCCTGCCCTCGAGCATCCTGTGGTCGAACTGCAGAAGATGCGCCCCCTCGCGCGCGGCGTGCTGTTCGCCGACCCGTCGTCACTCGTTCAGCGCGTCTCGCACGCAGCACGCTTTCAATCGTCGAGCGCGTCCAGCAAAGATGCGACGACCGCCACACTGAGTCCACGGTGGCTCTCCGACCTGAAGGCGCGCATAGGCAAATGCATTATGTTCGGCATAGATAACGAGCAAGTAAAGGAAGCAGGCCAGATCTTGCACGATGTCAATTACAACTGGAAAGACCTGGTCGCAGGCAGTGAAGGCTACCTGACCGGGAAGGGTCGATGGGGTCTCCATCGACACCAGGTCGCGTGGGGAGAAATGGTATGGAGCTCTCCGTTCGATTCAATAATGTGGGATCGGTAGGCTAATGCGCTTCGGGTGGTACACAGGATAGCATGGTAAGACAAGCAGCGAAGGCGTCTTCCTACCTGCAGACTACGTGCTAATGTTTGCAAGGGTACGACGTTCGAGAAGTCCCGGTTTGGGAGAAGATGTTGACTGTGTGACAGGTCACGTCAATAACGTAACGTACAATCGATGGGCAGAAAGTGCTCGAGTCAATTGGGGCACGAACTTTGCCGCTATGGATGCCGAGCACAGAGATGAATGGAAGGCTCTGGTGACACCGACGGGCATAGGCATGATCCTGCGCAGCATCCGTACTGATTACAAGTTTGTGAGTGCTCTACCTCAATGGCAGCAGCCTACGACAAAGGCAGCTCCGCACGCATAACCACAGGAGTGAAGAAGCCAGGCTCTTTTCCTGCTGCACCAGTCGCTCCACTCCAGAAGTTCGCAGCTACAGGGCTCATACACAGAAACGTCGCTGACTATAGCACCACTCTAAAGCCGATCAAGTATCCGGACCGTGTCACGGTCCTGCATAAGCTTCGTTCGAAGCCGAAGGCGGACACCGACCACTTTATCCTAGACGTGCTCATACTCTCCGAGCTGCATCGGAGGGTTGCGGCGCGCTGTGTCGAAGACATTGTCATCTACGACTACAAAGCAGCGAAGAAGTCGTCAATGAAGCCATTCATGGTCGAGAAGCTGCAGGAGACATTCGAGCTCCAAGAGCGGGCCAAGGAAAAGTACGGGAATAAGGCATTGGAGCTCATTCGACGGGTGCAGGCCCTTGAGAAGAGCTCCTGGGATAGACCAGATGCCAAGGAAGACTTTGGCAGCGCGAATCCATAAAGCTTTTTCCAACATGCATCTTGCATCGACTGCGGCGGCTATCCAGCCACAGCACACCATGTGATGATCTGCATGCCCGTTACGCGTGACTTTCCCGGATTTCCTAATTCGCACGTCACGATGCAGGGCATTGGCTGTTCGCATCAAGCTTTCAACGGCGCCACCACGCCAAATGATGGAGGGGCGGGATAGTTTCCTGGCCAAACGACCATGACAAGGAGAAATGCTCCGACGACACAAACAGCCGGGCGATCCCCTGGCGATAGCATTTGGCCATGTTGCGCAGCTGTTGCTTACCCGAACCAGCTGGCTAATGTCGACGAGGCCCCCGAAGTAGGCGGCGGGGCTGCAGTATGCTCGTTGCAACAAATCAGATCATGAACAGCGGTGTGCGGTGCTACCCTCCCAGAGGTGCTGTTTGCTTGCCGATCGTGCCCGCGCAGGCAGAACGAGGCAGCGCACCAGGGGTTCCCGGTTCTCGCAAATGAATAAGCTTGGCTAAGACGGTTACCCGCTGCACAGTCATTGGCGTCTGATGTGTGTTTGCTGCGAGCAAGAGACGCCAGCGCAGGTATGAGTCCACGCCCAGGATGTGAGCATCAACGGCCAGCGAGCAAAGAGTGAAGACGCCCTACTGCTTCCGCGCAAGCGTTGCGAAGATGCGGCTAGGGCGGTGGGAGGACAGTCCCCATACAGGCGCGGGCACGCTGATCCCTGAGCCGGGCCCATTTCCGGCGCTGTGATCGACGGTACATGTGAGATGTAGGCGACAGGATGCTGAGAAGAGCGAGATGCAGCGGGCGAGTCGCGGTGCCTGGGCTGTTTGTCGTGTGCGCAGCGGTGCTTCACATGAAACGGGCCTCGGAGAGCAGGCAGCACCAGCAATCGTACGACGGCGGCCACTGGCGCATCTGTGATCCCAAGCGGGCCCGCACTGCGCCAGAACCGGAATTTTACAGTCTCTGCGCAGCGATTCCGTGGGTTCCTGGGTAGTCTAGTCGGCGCCTGACACTGGCATTCGGGCGATTTAGCATTTCTTGGCGCGTGCAAGCGTCTGGTGCAAGCGCAGTGTTGCTTGTCAATTTGCAGCCTGCCCTCCTCACAAGAACAACCTCGACTCACACGACAACCCGTAACCCGCAGCCCGCGCCGCCTTCACCCAGTCTGGCTCGTCCTGTGTCCCAGCCGAGCCGACCTGCGGTGTCTGCGCTCTCCGCCCGCTGCCTGCCGCGTACATGGTAGCGAAGGGGAGACGGAGCCAGGCGACCACGCACGACAAGAGACATGAGAATGGCCTCGCAGCGCCCGGGAAGCGCATCAGCAAGCAGCGCAGCAACCCGCACCTCAACGGCAACGCCAATGGGAAGCCCAACCCGCCGACGCCGCCGCCCACGAGCAACGTAGACAATCCCATGACGCAGCCGGCCGCCGCCGCAGCATCTTCTGACGAAGCCGCTGCCTTCGCAAACACCACGGCCGTCCCGGCTGCGTCCATCAGCACCGCCGAGGATCGCGCGCGCGCAGGCTCCAATGTGTCGCTTGATGGCCTCGAGGCCTGCCGCCAGTACGACACAGACCCCTTCGATTCAGCCCCCCAGCGCCCTCACGCGTACTGCTGCCAATTCTGCCAATGGGACAAAGACCCCGCCCGTCTACATGCCCAATATGCTCACCGTTGCCACCACCATTCTCTCGTCCTGTCCTCTGCGGGACGTTCTCGCCATACTCATCATCCTCCTTCAGCTGCCTCCCACCGTCTTGACCGTGGTGCAGTTCCTCTTTGCAACCCTCACCTTCGTCCCTCCCCAAGCCGGAACCCCCCTCTCCGCCCTCTCCGCTTTCCCTTCCTTCACCGATATCTTCCAGGGCTCCGGTGGGACACCTTCCCTTTTTACAATCGTCTTCGCTGATGCCCTCATACTGGTGCTCTGGCTGGTACTGTGGGTCCCTGTACAGAATTTCTTCTTGGACCTGGCGCAGGCCGTCATTGCAATAGCCCTTGGGGGTGCCGCAGCTGGAAAGAATGGTACGACCAACGGCATTTTCATCTGTTTCGTCATCATTCTGTCCAATCATCTCTTCAGATTCAGGCCTCTTCGGCAACACCTTCTCCACTTTGTCTATACGGGGCTCGCCCGGGGAGGCCTGGAATTCTTGTCGAGCCCTCCGAGTATGCCTTCCTTTCAGGAAAGCTTCTCAACCCCCCCACGGATGGCCCCGCAGCCTCCTGGGAATTCACATTTTAGCTCAAGGAGTAGTTCGTATCATTCGGCGATCTCTATCTCGACGTGAAGCAGCACAATCACTGCCCACCGGCAAGAAGACTGACCCCGAAGCCGGCGTCCACCTCCAGCGCGCTTCTACCGCCACCATCGATTCCAACGCCGAAGTTCCCAATTCTTCGAGTACCGATGGTCGTCCGCCTGGGCCGTCGCCCGCGTCGCATACACACAAGGACAAGGCGAGTAGTAGCCGGAGGAAGAGGAAGCAGGCTACACATGTTCGCAGTCAGCAGCCGTTTTGGGCTGCACTTGCTAGTACAAAAGTCACTGTTCTTAAAGAGATGGAAAGCAGCCGAGCGGCGAACGACGCCGGGGAGGCTAACGCAAAAGACGCTAATCACATTGGAAACGCTGTTTGGGGATCGGAAGACGACCGTGTTTGGATATCAGAAGTCGGACATTCCGACATTTCTTTTCGTGTCAGTTTGAGTGGGAGTGAAGATTACGACGACGTGCGGGAGCAGGGTGGGAGCAATGGATCGGGTATTGACAAGTCGAAGCCTTTCTATATACGTGTCAATGGTGCGGACTGGAGTTCGACCCGGATTCGGTCGACCCTGCCGGAGGGGTATCCGGGCAAGGAGAAGAATGGCATATGGGTGGGAGAAATCTTCGGTCTTACGGGCCTCTCAAACTACCACTGCGAGTTTGTGCGGACCAAGGACCACGAAGTCTTCTATTCCACTAGCCTGATTACTTCTCCGAGCCCGGTCACAGAGCAAGGTGAGCTTTTCCATGGTATCGTATAAACTCTCAAAACTCATATTGAATAGCAATCGCCTCCGTTGCATCTCCGCCACCACACCAGACTTTGAGACCTTCGTCGCCTACAACGACATTGAAGAACTCAATCGCCTCTGCTGACCAACAGTTGCAAGAGCAACGCAATCGACTGAAGCGGAACAAAAAAGACCACAAAGCTGCACTCACTGCCATCAAGAAAGAGGTCGATACCCTGGGTACTCGACTGGCAAACGCAGGAGGTAGTGACGAGCGCCAGCGCCAGCGAGTCATGCAATTTACACAGAATATCCGCCAAGCTGAAGATGCCGCTGCTGATATCGCTGTCAAGATCAGTTCCATGGGTGATATCCCAGCCGAGGAAACGGCTGAAGCTTCTGTGAAGAAGCGTGAGTGGAAGCAAGAGCGAGACCACAAGGAAGCTGTGTCGATCGAATTCGAGAATACCAAGACAGAAATCGAACGCCAGGTCCGCAGCGTTGAGTCCGACATCAACTCGGCCATCCAAAAGAGAGAACGCCTTCAACAGCGTCAAGCGAAGCTCAACGATCAGCACGACCGCCTCATAACAGCCAACAAGGAGGGGTACACCGCCAAGCAAAGAAAGGAGCAGGAACGCCTTGCGCTTCATCAAGAGAGGCTACAAGTTGAGGCCCAGTATCGCAGCAACATCAATAGCTTTGAGCGCCGTGCAAACGACTACTACATGGCTACTGGTCAAATCGAGCAGACAATTCAACACTTCGAGACTATCATTTCGCAGTGTCAGAACATGTCTGTTCCTGCTACGCCTGACGGTCCTCTTCCAGGTACTAACAGCATGTCTCCCCACGCCTACCCTTTCCAAAGCTTCACGTTCCCTCTCTACAACGATGGTCGAGTCAACAGCACTCCAGGTTCTATCCGAGGCGGTCGCGGACGCTCTTCATCCATGCTCTCCAACATTTCCGGTTTCACCGATGGCTTCGACGACAACATGCATTCACCTTCTGGTAATGTTCTCGGCAATCCTTGGAATGCGCCTGGATTGCTGAACGAACGTAACGGAAGTCATGGCAGCGGTAGTCTTAGTTCAGGAACGTCTAGTCAAAGCTCGAGTCAGCGCGATCCGATGAGCCCTGTGCCCAACGTCAAACCTATGATGGCACGGAGCGCAACGGGGGGTAGCGGTGCGTACGCGAGTCCGATTGGCACAGGTCGTTAGGTCCAGATTTCTAGGTAGCCGTCCTCCAATGTGATTTTTCGTTTTTGGTGTGGATTAAAAACGTTCCTCCTGCTGAACTACCTGAATGTGAACCGGAACTCCACATGCCCAATGAGAGCAACCTCAACGATAGCAGGTAAGTAAGAACACCACCAATGATGCTTTGTTCGTGGTATCCTGCTCCCTACATTTCTTCCTTGACGATCGCAACATCAGGCACCCTCCTATGCGCAACCTCCCATTTACTTTGCGTTTCTTCGTTCGGTAACATCGCCACATCTCATCAGCCCAGACACGTCATTATGTGCCATGCAACTTACCTATCGCGCTCCCCATACCCGCCCTCATGTCCTTCAGCAAACCCCCCATGGCTTCACGCACACTTCCGCTACTCTCCGCTTTCGCTAAGCACTGCCATTTCGTAAACTCCCCTGGCGACGTGTAGGTAATCAGAGCCACACCATAAATCGTCTGCGGGACTTCACGCCGCCCATCCAGTATGATGAAAAGGCTGGGTGGTACAGGCGCGGTGTAGGTCAGGATGTCGAAGGCTGAATTTGGGCAAGGGGAGGTAGTGCCATAAAGAGCGAGGGCGATGCTAAAGATCTGAGATTTCAGATGGTCGAAAACGCCGTGGGAGGGGTCTGTGAACGACATGTCTGGCGTGGAGGCTGGAGTGAGGATCGCGTCTCTGCACACCAACGTAGATATATTGTTGTATGTAAGAACTACAGGTTTGGGTTATAGGGAAAAGGAGGTTATGAGGTGCCGATAAGCGGAAAAATTCAACGTGGAGAGTGTTTGTGTATGCGGCAATAAGTGTGAATAACGTCATCACAGCCTCTACACTCTTGGAGCCGATATCGACTCGCACCATCTTCACAATAATCCTGCTCTCGTACTCGCAATTGATCCGCATCGTCCTCACTTCCGCCCTGATTGACACTTCACCTTCCCGCGTAGTCACGCATCCCTTCTTCACATATACGCTCAATGCCTTCTATACAAATACGCACGCACTACCCACTCATCAGGAAACCCCACTACAACGCATTGCAAAACGCGAAGAAACTACCAGAAGACAGTAGCGAACAACAGAACAGCTTTATCGCTAGAGGTACAATGTGTTGGTCCGGCGATGTCATTCACAAATGCAAGCACGGTGTAGCGACCATTATTGCTTGTCACCCAGTGCAGCTTGGAGGTACTTGCCTTGTGGGTACCAGGTATATAGACGAGCGTGCGTCAATGAGTCTCTGTCCTCAGTGTGAGGAATTGGTAAAGGCCGGGAAGGGAGCGTCAGGGGCTTGATGGGTTGGAGAGGTGTATGTGTTGCGGTATTTGCGACTTCGATGCTTTTCGTGGTTGCAGGTCAGTGGCTATGACTAGCTTGTGTATTTTAAACCCTCTATTGTGGTTATTGGAGCGTCTTTGCGCAACCCGTTTCGCATGCTGAGATTGCTCTCGTACTTACAAATTCCTCTGCGATGGCCTTAGTTCGCATACTCCCGGCCACCTCGAAAATTAGGAAGGGTTTATTGAGCTCGCCCGTGAGCTACTTGCTAATACAAAGATTGATATGAAGAGGTCTAAAGAGAGGGAAATGCATGGGAAAGGGCAGGAATCAGTTGCTCGCTATGCTGAGATCAGGGCAGCCGTTGAGGAACTTGACAGAGCGTATGAAGCTGAAGGAACGGAGTGAGCGGATGACGTGGGAAGATTGGATTATGTAGCGGAAGTGGATGATGCGGAGGGGACTACGTATGAGTTCTTCTTCAGCGCGTATATTATTCAGTATGAGAAAAAGCTTAGACAGCCAAATGATGCTGAGATGCTGGAAGTACAGGAGGCCGGGTTGCCCACGACCAACACCCGCGATGAGGATGAGCACCAAGTTTCATCGCCTTGTAAAGACAGCTTTCGCTCGTACTGATTTTACGCTAATACATGTCAGCGATATGCTTGGATTCTCTAGCGGACGACTGGGGCTTCCAAATTTTCATGTGACGCCTGGAGGGTGGCTTCAGATGCGCGGTTAGATGTAGATATCCTCATTGCAGCGAGGATACTACCGTAGTATCTGCGGAAACGTGAACATGGGCAGCAGACTTAGATCCTTAAATGTGGCTGCAGTTCCCTAGGTGATGATCTAGGAATACAAAAGTCACTTGGAAATGCTGCGCTGGAAATTTACGTTGAAATGGGCTTTCAGCCATGCACGCGCCATGTACAGCGAGGCGTTGACGTTAGAATTGTTAGTAAGCGGGTAGTGACCAATTGACGCCTCTAGCGCTCTAGCCCCAGCTCATCTCCGCGTCGCACTCCGGAGGTTCTCTTCATCACCGTTCGTAGACGAAGCCATCCTTTTACACTAAAAAGGCCACAAGGCTGCCTCGATCAGTTCCTCGCACAAGCTGCTCGTACGACATAGCTAATCCGAAATGTTCACCTGGATACAATGAGATCTCTCCAGCATCCGGGTTTTGACCCCTACCTACACAGCGACCTCTTCATAGCTCCATGACACGCAGGTATGAAATCTAGTTTCTCTGTCTGATCAAAACAACGCGCTTCCTTCTATTCACGATCGCGAACCTTCTCCTTGTTCCGTCAACAAATACACTCTTGCACCATTCGTCCCGTGATTGCTCTCTCATCGATGGTCCATTGTCCCATTGTGCCACGAAGCGCTTTCTGTGACAAGATGGCTTGTCCCTCAATTCCTAGCTTCGTACACAGTTCTGTTTCTTTTATCCTGTTCAGTCAGCGTCTTTGTGTTTTCGCGGGTTTGTCCCTTTGTGATTCATTTATATCCCGTTCCTCAGGCGAGGACAAGCGTGAAGGTGCGACGCATGGCAGTTTCAAAGTGGAGCCTTCATCTTACACACACCCCGCATGTTCTCTGTAGCGTTTCGTTGTTTAAAGCCATGCTCATCGCCGCTGGGCGCGCGTGCACGCTCGTTTTCACTTTCACATACTCGCACGCCTGGGCGTTGCGCTCGCGGTTGCTCCACGTCTGGAGCCGGACTTCACATACGCCATTTCCAAGATAGGCTAGCGCCAGGTACCGTTTGCTCCTTCCGTGGCACAACATCACCGCTGCCCTTGCTTTTCAAAACCTCTGTCGCTACTTTCTTCCTCTCAAACTTCCCTACACTCCTTCCCTTCCATCGGCTGTGTCCGATAGTCATTCCTTTATCCGGTTGCGAAAGTTTGGCAAGGCCATCAGGTATAGCATTCCTTCACTCCCTCCTTAGTAGCACAACCTCCATTCGCCACATACCTCCCCTCCACCTCGAAATTGCCCTGAATTCTCCGACCCACACCCCAATAACATTCGCTTCATCGGCGCTCTCACGTTGAACGTTGAGAAATTGCATTCGAGAGCCAGGTCTCGTAAGTCCTCCACTCCTGCAAATGCCCCTCTTATTTACGCATAACTTCCTTTGAGTGCGCGCTGTCTATTTGCGACTGTTTGACTGACGCCGCCGGTCGGCACCTGTAGTCTTTCATTCAGCCGTACATATTTTCCAGTTCATTTCCGGGGTTAAGTCGGCACCTTCGTCATGAAGCTGGGCTCTGCTCTCGCTTTGAGTGGACTACTCGTAATTGGCACGGTCGCGCATCCGCTCAGTACGTATTTCAACACCCTGAAGAGCTCTAAATCGCCGGCGAAAAAGATCTGAACCATGAATCACCTCAAGTTGGGCAGTATATGGCCACTTGTAGCCAGACTTTGGGTGGCTGGGGCCTGCAATCACTTTACATGCTAACGTGGAGCAGATGTCAAACGCGCTGTGACTACCGAGGTGGTTTTCGTCACCGAGACGGTTGCTGAAGCGGTTGTCTACGTGGACGAGAATGGCGCGCCGTACCTCACCTCGACTGTGGAGCGAGTTCCCAGCGTCCCGTCGACTTCAGTCGAGCCTACCTCCGTTGCGTCTTCCGCTGTTGTCCCTACCTCAGCTCCGGCCGAGTCTCCTCAGCCAGTGCCAGCTCCGCCGCCTAGCCCATCGTCCTCTGACGTACCGTCCTCTTTTGTTGTTGCAAACGTGGAACCCACGTCTAGTGCTGTGCTACCACCACCTGCGCCGAAGCCGACTTTTGTAGCTCCAGAGCCGACTTCTGCAGCTCCAGCCCCGGCGCCCACTTCAGAAGCTCAGGTTCCAGCACCTGAGCCTTCAGTACAAGCCCAGGAGGCTCCCGCATCGCAGCCAAGCACTAGCTCCAGTGACTCCTTCCCTCTCGGCATCACCTACGATCCGTACAAAGGTACGACTAACAACGTTGATTGCAAGACTACAGACGAGATAGCTGCGGACTTCGACACGATGAAGGATTATGGAATCGTTAGAATATATGGAAACGACTGTGGTCAAATTCCAGTCGCTGTCCGAGCAGCCAAGAAGAACGGGCAGAAGCTGATGGGCGGAATCTATGCGCCGCTTCAGGACGTCGATAGCGTCGTTAGTGCTTTGTCGGACGCAGTCAAGCAACAGAACGGCGGCAGCTGGGACATCATCAGTCTCGTTAGTGTCGAAAATGAGAGAGTCAATGCAAAGGCAATGACAGCTAGCGACGCTCAATCTACCATCGACCAAGCACGTTCAGCTCTCCGGAATGCTGGATTCAACGGACCGGTTGGGGCAGTGGAAACTGTCCCTGCTGTTATTGACAACCCAGGAGTATGTTCCACATCCGATCTGGTGCTGGTCAACATTCATGCCTGGTTCGATCCGAACACCAAGGCCGCGGACGCAGGAAAATTTGTCAAGGGTGAGGTCGCGCGCGTCCAGAAGGCGTGTGGCAACAAGCGCGTTGTGGTCACTGAGTCCGGTTGGCCGCATCAGGGCGACAGCCACGACCAAGCCGTGGCTTCGCCTGATGCCCAGAAAGCCGCACTCGCTTCGATCCGTGCCGAGTTCAACTCCGATCTCTTCCTCTTCAGCTCCTTCGATTCGCTCTGGAAGTCCGACGACCCTTCCACTTTTAACGCAGAGAAGTACTGGGGTATTTTGTGAGGAGTAGACGGGGCTAAGCCAAACCTTGGCTATTCTCTACACCACGGTACCCAGTCGAGGCCGTCTATTTTGAAGCTTTATCTTCGAGTGGGCAGCAAGGCCTGCACATCTTTTGAATCGTTTCATTTCATGGCAAGCATCTCGCATAGGGGTGGAATAGGCATTTTTGCACTATTACGAATCACGGGACATGGAGCATGTAGTTAGCATAGATACCACTTTCAATGATACGATCTTCTCAAAATCTTTATCCTTTGCTACACTGTTCTGCTTCGAATCCGTTGCTTTCCTATTACATTTTGTTTGAACTGGAACGTGGAGTCATGAGCAGGCCCAGTAGTTCACAGAGGAAACGTTCGGATTCTTTTAGTAGCGGCTCTCTCGCCTTAAGCTTACTAGCGAGGAAACGTTAGTAAGTAACATGAAATCTAGTATAATCGGGTAATTCACTATACATCAAGTGTTTAAAGTTACGAGTCGAAAGTACATGGCCGCTGATCACATGAGGGGCTGCTAACAACGAGACTGAGTTGTACCCTTGGCCACTGGGTTGGTGGTAGTTGAAGAAAAAAGTTCTGATCACTCTGAGACTATGCTATTTTCGCTATGCAATGTACAATATAACCATGATATTTTCCTACCAAACTCAATCGCACTCCTCATCCTTCCATTGCCCTGCCCCTCTCCAAAATTCCCACCTTCAACCTCTCCACCACTTCCCTGCCTAGCCACAGCAGCTTGCCGTCTCCCGTGCTCGCTACCCCCTCGGCCCACTGAAATACGCCCCTCACCTCCCACAGATCCCGCGCCCTGCTACTCTGCGCCAGCCTCTTCAGCACCAGTCTATGGTCCACGACCGTCGCCGCGCCATCCAGGAACGTGCTACTGTGCGGGTCCGCAGGTAAAATGAGTCCTACATCTGCCTTGGAGAATTCCGCCAAGGAGGGCAGAGAGAAGAGCCAGTTCCACATCGAGTGCGAGAAGCGAGCGGATTGCGCGTCATTGAGCGCGACGAGAGTGCCACTGAAGGTGGTGGCGTACATGTCGTGTGGGGCGCGGCGGCGTACGTTGAGGGTTTGGGTGGTGCGGAAGTGAGACAGGTGCTGTGGGTTGTGGGTGAAGTCGAGGGTTGTGGGCCAGTATGCGGGATCTGCTGTTTCTATCCTCGATATGCTTTGAAGTTCGGGGAGCAGACATGGGGCAGTCATTTGCCGCACTCGGTCGTTAGCTTTAAGGTGCACAAGGATGGGGGACGAAAACGCTTTCCCCGTGTCGACGTCACGCACGACGAGGCAGCGCGGTTCAGCAGCAAGAACCCAGAAGTGGCGGAAGGCTTGGAGGTGTGCGCGGCTGTCCTGGACATCGGTCGGGAAGATTGGGTAGAAGGCGCAGATCAGGGAAGCGAGGGCCTTGTTGGAGGTGCTGAAGGTGTAGGTGCCACCGCCGAGGAATAGGACGCCGATAGCCATATGGGCCGCAAGGTGCGAGCCGTAGGCTATGTCTGGACTGACCTGGGCGTGGAGGGCGCGGAGGCGCCGAAAGAGCTCGAGGTCGCCTGTGCCGGCCATGACGGTGGCGACGGAGAGGGCGAGGAGGTCCTGGCAGTTTCGGACTGTGTTACGGGCTAGTCGGGAGTCGTAGCGTAGAGCGGGGAGTCTGCTGATGCGCATGAACTGATCGAGATACCTGATGAGAAAGTCGCGGACTTTTATATCGCCCGTACCAGCATGTTTCAGTGAGATGCTCCAGAGAAGCCCACCCAGTATATTGAAGAATGGCATCTGCTCGCTGCGTAATTTATTGATGTTCTCAAGGTTGAAATGCTCATGGTAATCCCGAGGGAGGTTCTTGATGATCCAAGCATTGTCGACGTGGATATAGTTCCACATGATAAGATGCTTAGCAAGGGTTCGAAGCAGGAAAGTGTCAGGACGGACGTAGTCAAATTGCGGGAGAGTATCTGGTACGTCGATCTTGCGGGCTACTGTCTCGTCGTGCGTTTTCATAAAAATGAGTGTAATCGCTACCACTGCACCAGCCGTCGCTTGGTCGAGTATGTGAACGATATCGACTGGTTTGGGGGCAACAGCGACGGATAGAAGGCGATCCACGATCCGCATATCGTGTAGACCGAGCAGGTCTCTGCCCTTGCCGATATTGATAAACCCTAGCGCGAAGCCTGCAGCTAGCCGGTAGGCTTCATCCCGGAGACCGTCGGGAGGCTCAGAAGGATCTGGCTCATCCACATGCTCAATTTCCGACAACATCACCTCGCTCATTCGGCGGTGCTGGGTATCGTAGTAAAGCAACCCGATACCCATTAAGCCCGTGGTTTGGGTGTATGGAGAGAGATTAAGCTCTGCTGCTCCAGATGGTAGCATACGGGTTACATGGACAGACAGTAATCGTGTGACCAATGTATCCATCGTTCCCATGTAAGATGCAGACAGACCGAGCAGCAAGCCTACCGATGTCATCGTATGTTTGGGTGTAAGGTATTTGAAGGAGAGCCATTTCTCGATGGTTTTCAAGTGACCGTTCAGACCTAGACCGAGTAATAATCCGGCATGTCTATTCGAGACCTCGGCAGGCTTGTTGTACATGATCCAAGAAGTGTCAATGCCTTGCGCATCTCTCGAGATGCTCAGGCCAGCCGAAACTCCTTGGTTGAAGAAAGCCCAGAAGAACTTCTCTTCCGAGTATGTCGTGCGATCGGCTGTAACGACGTTACCCATTGGCTTCATGATACAAGATGTGGAAAATCCAGCTAACAAGAACTTCTCTGTCAAGAGAGGCTTCTTACTGCTGAACTTCAACATCGAGCTTCCAACGGGGAGCGCCAGCGTGCGAACCATAACCCATTGCACCAGTGTCTTTTGTCCTTCTAATATGGCTGCGTCATCAACTCTTTGGTCGTATCCATAAAAGGCGATCGATGGTTTCATTGGTTCCACGAGCGTATGTGCTTCCATGTAACGTCGGTCTTCCCTGAATATCAATCTTGTGATGGCGTGACGGTCAGACTCTGCCATGGATATTAGACCTTCTGCGCGTTCGGAATTTTCGCAAATGGTACGAATGTCTCGTGCAGCATGCGCTGACTGTGAAGTCGACTCCGCGGAACCGCTGTACAAGTGCGACTCTTGTGTGGAATCATGAAGCGGCGTCAACGAGAGATCAAGGTCCTCTCGCCCTATGAGACGGAGCAGTGACCCGGTCCAAGTCGTGGGTGGATTTGATTGACATCTCGTAATTGCTTCCATGAGGGGTGCTTGCGCAGCTGCTGGCAAAGTGGAAAGCACATCCGTGCCAAGACCGCAGTGTTCAATGAGCCTCACGGCTTTCCTGGGACCAGCACTTGCATCAAGATCTCGAAAGAACATTTGTAACGCAACTGTTCGAGGGGTCACGTCAGATATCACCTCGTCTATGTTGACTGACGAGTGGGGGGAGGCTTTGGATTTGCCGACGAGTCTTGCAAGTGTAGGGAATGGAACGTAGACTCGAGCACCTGCAACAGTACTGATCCATTCTAAAATCGAAGGTGGTGCATCCCATGGCTGATCATGCAATCGTACGTTGGGCAGAAAGCTCGACTCTTCATAGGTCCAATCCTCAGTTGAGCCTCCGTCTAGATCGTAGTAGCCGCCGTGTCTACGTCCACAGGAGTCCCAACGTAGCCAGTGCCCGAGTTGGGCAAGCACAGGCGCCAGGTTGCCAACCTTTGTGCTCGACGCATCCGAGGAAAGTACGCTCAACTTGAGTTCCTCGCGGAAGAGGTGCAGGATAACGACGACTTCCGAGAGGGTTGAGATGCGGAGATCCTGCTTTGCAGAAGGTGATAAATTTCGCCAATGGTCACTTGCTACTTTTCCCATCGCTGACTGATTGAACTGTCGTGCGAGTTCAGCACTAGCGGCAAGCAGATCTTCCTTGCATGCAATCTGCTTCGAGATCGGTGGTAATTGATCAAGGGAGCTGCGCTTGGATGGCGGACTCATGCTTGTACTGACAGACGCAGATTTTGATTGTTGAACCCACCGCCATGGGGCAGATTCCCAGCTCTTCGTGTGAGGTACTGTAGATTGTCGATTACACATTGACCTCCAAGCCGATGATTCGGTGTCTTCGCCATGATCTTTCGAACGACCGGTATTGCGTCTTAGACCGGATCTCCCACGCTGAGTGTGCTTCCTTGTCTTTTCATCTACAAAAGGTGTTGCCAGTGTGAAAAGTGTGGTAACAAAGGACAACCAATCTGCATTGGCCGCAGAGTGTTGCTGCTTAGCAAGGCTTCTGCGGATATCCCACCAGATATCAAGCAGAAGATCGCCGGCATGGTTAGGCAAGATGGTTCGCAGGACCCTGAAAAGATTTGCAACTAGTGTGTCTGCTGGTTCGAGACGGATCTGGGTCTGGTGCCTTCGACCCTCGCCATCCACGATGTCAAATGACCCATTCGGGCCCGCTGACAAGAGCTGCTGCAGTGGTTTAGAAGGGGCAATGGTTCTCTTGAGCCCTGCAGTCATTCTCGACTGTTCATCCTGAAGGAGTGCGTACGGACTGAATAGTCTTGCCGTGCCAATATCGAATTGAGAGGGTAGGTGAGTACCCCAGCCGGCAGAGACTGTGAGAGAAGGTTCATTTGAGTCATTTGAAGCAAGACACACGATACGTTTCACATAGCCGTCTTCGAGTTGAAGAAGATCCTGATAACCGACCATCTCCTTTACTTGGACATATCTCGGAACGCATGCGTAACGTGGGGGCGCACTGTTCGAACCACCAGACTGAGAAGCAGCAGCAGAAGGCGACAACCTCTTGCGAGTAATTGCGAGCTCGCACTCCAATGGGTGCTTTAGGGACGAATGTATAAGATACAGATACATCTTCCGCTCATGTAGAGTTGCAGAATTAAAAGGTGCTGCTGATAAAACCGCTTTTGATATGGTCTGCAAGTGCTTGTTAAATAGAGGGACTAAAAACAGCTCTTGAGACGGATATTTACCTGTGATGACGACGTCAGGTCCCTCAAGGCGAAACGACCAACTTGAAGATATTGCTGTACTGGGATCCTGGCCACTTCCGTCATTATCAATTCCTTTCGGAGCCCATCAATGGATCCTTGGTCAGTATTTGCCTCAAGTGGCGCGAACAGGTCATCAAGCTCTTCGTAGTCTTCTATGGTATCGAACGTGTCATCCATAGTCTCCTCGAACGTGTCGTCCATCGAAACATTACTCAAGCTTATCCGCGAAGTTATGCTTCCTGGCGTGGAGGCCCGATGGCGGTGATGCGAAAATCCGCCGAAGCTTGTGCGGTCATTGCCCAAAGAAAGCCGGCTTCTTTGACTGGCCCCAAAAGACGCCGAGAAACTTCCACCCAAGCTGTGGCGCTGCGTTGCCAGATCCTGGAATGCCGTTTTATCGAAGCTTGTGGAAAGTTCGGCGCGAGACAGCAAGGAGCTGACCCGCCTGGACTCCTTCTGTTGGCGCGTGGGATCGAAATCTGGGTTGAGCTGGGACGCGAGAGCATCTTCCACGGCCTGATCGGAGAGACGTTCTCTCGTCTGTGTGTTCTTCTGGAACGGCGTGGGCTGTGTTTTACTCCGTGCTCCGCCGAGGCTCTCCCTCACTCTATCGTGCCCGCGAACAGCTGGAGTGGTTGCACCGGTTCCAGGGGCAGTAGGGCCGTACGAGCTACGGCGACGCGATTTCGAATTGGCTTGGGTAGCATTATGTTTTCGTGAATGGGCGATGGATTTGGGCTCAAGATATGCAGCAGACCAGATGGTAAACACGTTCGTCTCATAGTTGGCCGTGACAACCAAAAGCAACGGTTTATCGTTGCCGCTCTGATCGAAGTGCACCTCGTTTTGCGGCGAAACATAGACTATTTCCTCAGCTTTGTCAACGGCTTTCAATTGGCGATGACCGGAGCCGTTGATGGTCAGAAGACTAGCCCTCTCATTGCCCGAAACAACATGGACTACTAGGCCTAGCTCAGCGAGCGGATCAGTGAACGAGTAGAGTCTCGGTAGGACATCCGTGTTGGATGCCGATGATCCCCTCGCCAGCTCTTCCAGATACCATGGCGTCTGAGCCTGTTTAGCACCCAAGCTCAGTCGTGACGGCCCTAGAGAGGAGCCTTGACGGCGAAAGGGCTGACTGAAGCTCTGTGAAATATTTTGGGACAAGAACGACTGAGGGTTGGACAGGAAAGAATTGGGTGGGACGGAGGGTATTTGCGGGCTTGTTGGAATAGGCTGCGGAGGGGCAATCTTCCTTTGCAGCAAGAGGCCGCGGGCGGCAGGGAATGCCCTTTCGACTTCGAAGGGAAGATACACTACATGTGTGGCCCCCGAAAGAAAGAAGACGTGGGCTTGCGATTTGAGTATAACGACCAGCGCCCGCGTTCTGCCCTCTAGAGTGCGCGGGGGCTGGTCGGTGGGCGAGTTAGGGTCGGTCGCCGGTTGTGTCCCCTGGGTTAGATGACTCCAGGTGGAACTAGCATCTGAGGTGGACGGTGAGCCCTGCGAAGCCGTAGAGGTGGCTTCTTCAGTCGCAAACCATGTGAGCAGCGCCTGGACGACTCGCTCTTTGTCGATGGTGAAGTTGAACACTTTGCGCACGACGCCTCCGCGGGCCCACACGGCGTGATATTCGGTGGTCACCACCTCATCTTCAGGCGCATCGGGGCTCTCATGATATGTCTCCCAGACATAGTCGCGTTCGGTGGCATCGGCGGGAAGGATCGACTCAGCGATGAGGTACGGCAGTGCCGCGGGCTTGCGGACGCCGATTGAGTGTAGAGCAGCCATGCGGTAGCTTCGTTCGCGGCATGAGGGATGCGTGTGCGTGGTGTCGTAGGCGGGGCGTCAGTGGGATTGCTCTTCGCCGATTGTTTGGCGGGGCTGCGCGCCCACCCGATCCAGGTGGTGAAAGGCGACGCGGTTGTTTGGAACGCGACTTCCCGTGCGCCCAGAACTCCACAGAGCTCCGCAATAGCTCCGCTCTCTACCTCACGACGCCCACGACGCCCGTGCCCAAGCACACCAGCCCGCACCTGCAATTGAGCCCTATTGAGTTTCTCGAGCTGACAGATACCCAGCTGTCGCAGTGCTGCCTTGTAGCGCTACGCAGCGCGCCAGGCGCAACATGCAGCCCATCATTGCGACCAAGGGCAAAGTAACCCAATTGAGGTGGGCGGACATCGTTCAATGTATGAGTCTATGACTGACTGAAGTAGGTACGAGCTGTCTCAGCGCGCGCACGCCAGCACGATATACCCCGTCAAGGCGCCAAATGGCTCTACCATCGTTCTATGCGGCAGCGAGAACGGCCTCGCCATACTTTGGAGAGGCGGACGCCCGCTGAAGCAATCTGTGCCTGCCCCTAAAGCTCCCGCGAAAGCTCCGCCGAAAGTCAATGGTACCAAGGATGCCATTATGATCATAGACTCAGGCGATGACGAACCCGCAAAAGTGACCCCACAACCGCTCCTCAACGCAGAGTTCGAGGAAGAGGAGGAAGAACTCGATCCGGGTCGTCCCTACCCTTCGATTATCCAGCACCTGCGACTGCCCCTCAACACCGAAGTTCTACACATCGCCGTTCCACAAGTACCGGCGCCCTCGGAGCTGCAACCGGGCCAGGCCATACCTCCCATCTTCAAGGAGAAAATCGTCTTTGCAGTAGCATGCACCGACTTCACTGTGCGCATCATAACCTTACCGTTGAGTCCACCACCGGACGCAGCTAAGGAGCGACCGTCTACCGGCAAACCCTTGTTCGGTGAAGAGGTAGTCAAGATTCCTACATATGCCGGCCACCAAACTATTCCGAGCGGTGTGAGCGTAACGTGGACGTCCAAAGCTGAACAAAGTCATGGAGAGCCATTGGAGGACGAGATGGAAGTCGACGACAATAGCGCTACTGCTCCAAGTCGACGAAGTCCCCGGAAGAAACAAGCCCCATCGCGACCTGCAACAGGAAAGGATCCGAAAGGATTCGATTTACTCGTTGCATCACATTCGGCAGAACTAGGTGGTCTCTTGAAAATCTGGCGATTCAGCCTTACCGAGTCGTCAGTGAAAACTACAAATCCTATCTCCGCGTATCAGACCGTTATTCTCCCCAAACCGGCTGCGAAAATTGCGTTCAATACGGCACCATACCCGAAGAAACGCCACTCTCAGCTTCTCGTCGCGGATTCAGCCGGTGTTGCGCGTATCTACGACCCATTTGCAACTCGCAAACGTAACAACGCTTCTGGTGCGTTTGTTGCACTGTTCAGAACGCGGTTCGAGAACATCAGATCTAGTGCCCCATCTGCGCCCACACTTGCTTCAAGGAAAGCAATCCTCGACGCTTCTTGGGTGTCCGAAGGTCACAGCATTCTTGCTTTGCTTGCTGATGGGGAATGGGGCATATGGGACGTGAAGGAAGACGATTCGAAATCTTCTGGAGACCCATCTGCGTTTTCTTTAAGACATTTCGTTGGCACCTCAGAAGCCGACAAATCTAGCAGCGGGGCCTCCAGTCCCAAGTCACGCAGCGGCCGCAGTTCTCTCATGCCAATGACACCTAACACGCGCCGCAGGACGCAGGAAGTGCTTTTCCAAGGAAACCCATCCAGCGCGATACCTACACGAGGCGGCGTATCGCTTGCTTCTCTCGCTTTCAGCAACGGTGACCCGGCACTAGAATCAGTCGTTATCTGGTATGGTAAAGATTTATATCGGCTTACCGACCTTGCTAAATACAGGGCACGAGCTGCTTCGAATATCGCGGGTAATTCACTGCCTGGACCTGGCTTGACACAGGTGCACGACGTACCCTTACTAGGGGGGTCCATTACGTCTGTCAGCCAGTTTGATATTACTAAGAGAGAGGCTCGTATGGCTGTCTCGAGGGATTTGCTCATTTCAGCTGAGTATCGCCTAATCATCTCGACATCAACCAACCAACCACCTGATCGAGATGCCATGACAACTTCTTCGAAAGAAGATGGGGAAGAGGAGGATACTAGGCGCACCGACCAAGCGCTATTGGCTCGAGGTGAGCTTGGTCTTGAGGGAATGTCTAGACTATTGGACAACATGAGTGGGAGCGGGTCGCACAACGCTTTGACGTTGGGCAACCCACGCAAGGTCTTGTTCCAAGATGTTGTTTGAAGACTCTCTTTCCCGAAGAGGCTGAAACATGAGACGATTGATGGCAACATAGCAGGGAAGCGGTCTAGTGACGCTGTAACATCTGAAAGCGAAGATGAAATCACGTGCCCTAAGTCTTGGCGATGTCTGCCTATTCTACTACCCTTTTCCTTCCACCTTCCTCACACCTTCTTTCTTACAAAAAGCCACGTTCGCGGCCTAAGGTGGAGCTCAGAGAACAGACTCATTCCTGCTGCTCAGTATAGCCTTGCGATAGATCAAACAGACAACAGCCAGTCGCCGGCGACGTCAGCTTAGTACACCGAAAGGTCGGAACGGCGTTGGGTCGTCTGGATAGCTGTAGGTTGTCGTGCGCCTCATTTCTCATACCCTGCCATACTTGAGCCTGCTGCGGCTGCGTGAGGACGGTGCGGTGTGGGGCACATGGCGTTGGAGCCTCTCGATTGATGGGCAGAACGTTATGTGTGGGAGAGGCGCGACATGTAGTAGTATGCTGGTTTGCTCGTGTATAGTTGCCTTGGGCTTCTTCGTAGATTTATCCAGTTCTTCATTTGCTGCATCTAATTGCTAGCGATGGCATCGCTTGTCTCGTGCGATGAAGGTGGCCGGGGGCTTCGGAGCCGGGTGGGCGACGCGTGAGCACGTGATGACACCCATCCATGGATGCAACAACTCCATGTTTGCCCAACGGCATGTATAGCGAAGGTACTACCGTAGCTACGAACACCTTTCCTCACTCTAGACTTGCTATCTTCCCACCCCTCTCTGTCACATCAAATATGAAAGGGCAGGACTGCTAGCGACTTCCAGGGCTGTTCCGAGTGCGTGGTACAAGGTAGCGCGCATCTGCTCAAGTTCGGCGCGCTAGTAACGCGTTACAGCTCAACCCCATCACCCCCGCGACTTCTACGAAGTAGACGACTCTACCGCAGTACAGCATCACCGCCACCAGCTCGCTCAGCTCGCTGTACAGCTTGCGCCTGCATCTATGGCGCAGGTGCTGCCAGCCAAGCGCCCCCATGGGCTGTCGCATCGCCACCAGGTGCCGGTAGACAGCGTTGCGTCCCGAGTAAATCATTGCCAGTCGTCGCTCACGTTGATCCAATCTGACACTAAATACAGAGGAAACGAACCCGCCTATCTCATGAGCCCTCCGTAGAACCAAGCGAGGCTTCTTACGCTCAAGATGTCGTATCAGACGCCCCTGCTGACGAACCGTCGTCTGCAGAGTCCGAGGCCGAAGAGGACGATGAGGCTCGCTTCTTCCGTGCCACACAGATTGTGGAGAAGACCTTCCGAAGAGCCACGCATGTCGATAATACACCCGCGGAAAATGGAATTATTGAAGAGATCGGGTGCATAAACTTCATGTGTCATGAGCAGCTCACGGTCAGACTAGGGCCGTTGATCAACTTCATTATTGGCCATAATGGAAGCGGTAAGAGTGCGGTGCTGACTGCTCTTACGCTGTGTCTTGGCGGTAAAGCGACCGCCACCAACCGTGGTCAAAGTTTGAAGAGTTTCATAAAGGCAGGCAAAGATTGGTCTACTCTTTTCGTCAAAATCAAAAATCAAGGCTCAGGCGCATACAAACCCGATCAATTCGGCGATTCTATTATTGTCGAGCGCCATTTCACACAAAACAGTACTTCTGGCTTCAAACTAAAGGATCGGAACGGCAGAATCGTCTCTACTAAGAAGTCCGAGTTGGAAGACATCATCGATCACTTCGGGCTGCAGACCGACAATCCCTTGAACGTTCTGACTCAGGATATGGCACGCCAATTCTTGAATGACTCCAACGCCAAGGAGAAGTACAAGTTCTTCTTGAAAGGCACGCAGCTCGAAACCTTGGATCGTGATTATTCGCAGATTCAGCAAGAGCTCGAGGAGCAGATGGCCAAACATCAGACGTTGGATAAGGACGTCAAGGAACTAGAGAGAATATACAGTCGTCTCGAAAAGAAGGCACAAGCTGCGCGTGGTCTGGAGAAGTTGCGTGCTGATGAGACCAAGCTCGAACGGCAAGCAGCTTGGTCATTTGTTGCCAATACCGAAGTAGAGCTCGCTGACTGTGAAAACAAAATATCAGAGTTGTCCAGTACACTTGAGCAGCGACAAGTGGACGCCGATACTGCGTCAGAGAAGTTTGCGCGCCACGACAAGGCCGTGAACGATGCAACAATGGCTGTGGAGGAATGCCAAGCCGAACTACAACCGGCACGGGACGAGGAAAAGGAGGCCAATGCCAACTTTGCGGAGGCACGGAAAAAGCTCATCGAATTCAAGAATAACGAACGCAGTGTGGTTGGGGCGATCAACAAGACGAAGAAATCTATGCAAGACACCCAGTCGCAGATCGACGAACAAAAGGAACGGCGAGCGCTAGCAGATGGAGGGCTCCACGAGCAAAAAGCTCGCGAGCTAGAGGACGCAAAGGCTGCATACGAGCAGCGGAAGGCGGCTTGGGAGAATCACGATCAAGCCCTGCCCGCTTTAAATAGGGATTCGCAAGATGCCAAAGAGCACTTGAAGCAAACGATGACTTTTCTGGAAGACAAGAAGCGCGAGGAGACGCATATCTTGGAAAAAATTCGCAGGCTCGAGCAAGGTCAAGGCAACTGGTTTGACTCATATAGAAACGGGAACAACCTGGAAAAGCTGCTACGTGCACTTCAAGACGACCGTAGATTTCGCGCTCGACCAGTCGGACCTATAGGTCGCTACGTGGAACTGAAGCATCCAAGATGGTCGTCTGTACTCGAACAACAGTTGGGTGGTGCTCTGAATGCCTTCGTTGTCACAAATAAGGCCGACCATGCCATCTTGTCGGAGATGATGCGGAAGTTCAATTAGTGAGTGGACTTCGAAAACCAATTGAGCACCCCTGACTATTACAGTTTTGCAACCATTTACATCTGCTCGAAGACCGAACGATTAAATACAACGGGTAACACGCCAGGAGCCGGGTTGCTGACAATGGACGAAGCGCTGAATGTAAGCTTGCATGACGAACCTGTGTCAAGCGCATAGCTAACTGTGATACAAGATCAGCCATGATATTGTACGCAATTCACTGATTACCAACCAATATATTGAGCAGGTTGTGCTCATACAGGACCGCAAAGAAGCTTCGGAGCTAGCTCATCGTTCCCCCCTTGCTCGACCAAACGTGAAAGCGATATACTGCTGGTCTGATCAAGGCCACAGACTGGGACATCAATTCACCATGAATAACAGAACGGGCACTACCAGTATGGGTGCGATCCAAGAACACCGCGGAGCCATTCGGATGCAGGCAGACAAAGGGCATCAGATCCAGGAGGGGAAGGAAAGCCTTGCTAGGATTCAACGAGAAAGGAACGAACTAGAAGCGGCCGTTCAAGCCGCACGTGAGCAGTTGAACGCTTGTCAAGGCAAGCTTCAGGATCATAATACAAGCAAAAAGAGGCTTACCCAACAAATGGACCGCGCTCATGAGGATGTGGACACGCTGGAGGGAGAAGTGGCCGCGGCAGTGCCAGATACAGCACAGCTAGAGCAACTTGAGAAAGAGCTTGAAGATTTCCAGGAGCAGTTGAAACTGGACGAAGAGCAATACGAAGACCTGCTAGGGGAACAAGGCAGTGCAGGCATGACTTCCAAGGAGTGCAAGGGAAAAGCAGATGAAGCAATGAAGGTTGTTAAGGACCTCGAAGCCAAGCTTGAGCGATGCAGAGCCCAAGTACACGCACTCTCGCAGAAGCGCGAGCAGGCGTTGCGTCGCAAGAACCAGGCAATAGAGCAAGTACAGGAAGCTGAAGAGATCCGGTCCAGTTGGCAACAAAAGCTCGATGAATTGCAAGTCGATTTAGAGACTCATCTTGAAGATGCAGGGAAGGTCTGCGAGCGGGTGGAAGTGCCTCGCGGTGCCACGTTCGAAAGCTTACAGCGGGAACTCGAAGAAGCAAAGAAGAGACGCGCCGGTTTAGAGAAAGAACTCGGAGGCTCCCAGGCAGAGCTTCAAGCTCAGGCACTTGCGGCCAAGAAGACATGGGAGGAAGCGGCGGTATTCGTAAGGAATGGCGAGAAAGTGAGGAATAGCCTCTCAAACGCTCTCAAGCATCGGAGAGCTCACTGGCTCCACTTCCGCAACGATATAGCACTTCGCGCAGAGGTAACTTTCAATTACCTTCTCTCCGAGCGAAGGTTCCGTGGGAAGCTCAAGGTAGAGCATAAAAAGAAGGCGTTGGAGATGACCATCCAGCCGGATAGCAACGTCGACGGCGAGGCTGCCAGGCAGACAAAAACCCTGTCCGGCGGCGAGAAGTCCTTCTCGACGATTTGTCTCTTGCTCGCCTTGTGGGATGCAATGGGATCGCCGCTTCGCTGTCTCGACGAGTTCGACGTCTTCATGGACAGTGTTAATCGTGACATCAGCATGGAAATGATCATTGGCGCTGCGAGGAACGCGAGAGGTCGACAGTACATCTTGATCACGCCGCAAGCGATGAATAACAAGAACGTGAAGAGCATGCAGGATGTCACGGTGATCAAGATGTCGGACCCCGAGCGGGGCCAGACAGCGCTCAACTTTTCACGGTAGAAAAGGGTGGTGGGACATGGCGTTTGGTATGCAGGTGTTCAATGTTGGCTTTGATGGCTTTGTCATGATGTTTTAGACCAACATACCCATACGGCGTTTAGGGCATATGGAGGATACCCTGTGGGCCACACAGGATGGTTGTCATTTTGGTAGTCGCCATAAGTCACGATTTCATATCATGTATCAATGCATCCCCACTTCCCGTGCGAGCAACGTGACGAACGCAGCGTTACACTCGTCTCTAACGCTCCCAGGAAGCCGGCTCGTGGTTGACGCGCGGTCAGACAGATCTCATCATGAAGGGCCAAGGCCCCCTCGTGGTCTGGCAGATCTCATTTCCAGTGGCAGAGGCGGAGGAGGGCAGATAGGCTTCAGTAGTGACGAAACGCAGAGTCGCACTCATCTCAAACGCTCCCAGCCCGTCGGCTTGTGGTCGACGCGTGGTCTGACAGATCTCATTGCGAGTGGAAGGGCCTTCTCGTGGTCCGTCTGATCTCATGAGTGGCAGAGGCCGTCCTTGCATCCCCGTCTCAGAGGAGCAGAATGGGTGTCACATCGGCTAGAGTGGTGGTGTTCAAGCCTCGGAGTGGAGTGTTCGTCGATCGGCGCCGGGGGGGACCCTGGAAAGACAGGCCCGCGCCGCTGGTTGGCTGAACAGCGCCCTCTCACATCTCTCCATAAAACACCGCGACAAGCACCTGCTGCGCTGTCCAACGCTCGGCTCCACGTCTCTCCATGAGGGCTCGTAGCGTCGCGACCCTCGTGAGGCGCGGCTCTATCTAACCAACACCATGGACTCAGTACCCAGCTCGCGCCCCGCCAGCCCCAGGACACGCTCGCCCTCGCTCTCTGACGATTCGCTGCGGCTCACGGCGGCCTCACCCGACGATGAACAACATGCCGCACCGCCGCGGGAGCACCACGAGAGCGGGCGCATGAGCCGCGCGGGGACACTGGCAACCAAAAGCTGCGCCAGCCCGCCTGATGCGACGGACAAGGCCAAGAGCCCGCTGCGGCTGCTGGACCTGCCCGTGGACATCCTCAAGGAAATTATACATCAGGTGAGCAGCCGCCTGTTACTCGTTTGCCCTATCCAGCATGAGCCTCTAGAACTAACCCTGACTGTAGCTCCCCCACACAAACGACCTCACTTCGCTCTCGCTCTGCCACTCGGCCCTCCACCGCCTGACTGTCCCGTGCATATACTCTCGCTTTGACATTGTGTGGCCCGATGAAAGCACCCACACAGAACCGCGGTCGGGCGTCGATGCCCTTACGTACGGCCTCGCGACGCTGGTCATGGGCGACGACTGCTTCCCCCACCAGAATCGACTGCGGCACCATGGCGGCGTCCCTGGCAGTGCCAACAAACGTGCGACACCATACCCCATTACACGACGTCGATTCGGCAACTACTACGCCCAGTTCACCAAGAAGTTCTCCCTGGGCAACGGCCCCGCAGCCTGGGTTCAAGAGTACATGATCACAAAGGAAGGCGGGAAGATGCTAGGAACACTCGTGGCCCTCGCCATAGCTCGCATGGTCAATCTCGAAACCTTTGTCTGGGACATGCCAACCGGTGTGCTTCGTGACGTGTGGCTCGCACTTTCCAGCCTGGCCGATCGCACTGATGGGGAGGACTGTCGCCTTGAACGCCTGTGGATACGATGGCATGACAACAGCGTTGACGCGCCGGTCCCCCCACCTGCGCCACCGATGATACTCAGCAATGTGAACGTACCTCCGCCGCCGAATCCGGGACATCCTAGTGGAGCTGCCGCTATCCAACCGTCACTCGTAGTCCCCCAGCATTTCCACTCACAAGTCACTCCTGCGATAGAACGGGTGGAGCATCCCACGTTTTCTGTAATTCCTCCGCTGAAGAGCCTCAGTGTCCTGGATATTGATGAACTGCCGTATCTGGATGAGATGAGCATTCTCATTGCTCGGTCTCAGAACAAGCTCCGGGAACTCAGGATCGGCATTGCACCGCAAGCGCAACAGCGAGACTGGGTCACTGCTTGGGAGGGGGATGGCATTCAGCAGGTAGACTACGATGCTTCTTGGACTGGCGCGAGTGCGATAGGAGAAAAGAGATTAGGTGGTGTACTGGGCATCCTCGTTGGCAGGGTCCATAACCTGCGACACTCGGAGGAGCAACACGTTCAACACCTCAAGAGCGCCGCAACTAGTGGTCGGCCACTAGGGTTGCCAGTCAAGTTCGGAGTCACTGGTGCAACACCTGTTCCAGTGGCTCCGTTACCGGATCGGGAGCTCGACAATACCACGGATCACTTTGGACACCCTCTAGAACCATTGGTGTCCGAAGGCGTTAGCCTCGTGGAAGAGATGCAGTCGCTCAACATACACCCACCTGTGGATCCATGGGATGATCCCTACGCGCTGGATCTCAAGATCGGGAAGCCCCGTGCATACTCAGCATCAAGTAACGAAAATGGCAGCGGTAAAGAAGAAGAACAGCTGACGGGGAAACTGAAGTTGGAGGTGTTAGAATTGGAGAGGGTACCAATATCAGTCCCAGTCCTCTTGAAAGCATTCGACTGGTCGATGCTGACGACTCTAACCTTGCTCAACTGCAGTAACCACGAGCAGTTGTGGAAATCTCTCCGGAGAAATTACACCCCTCGCTCACCATATCCCAACGGCTCGCCATCTTCCTCGAAAGCCTACAAAGCCTCGTACACACTCCGAACTGAGTACAGCTTAAACCTCAAGAAAATACACACAAACACCGTATCCCCTTCGTTAATATCATTCCTCAAAGAGACGCTCGCTCCCAACAGCCTAGAAGTCCTATTCCTACAGGAAGGTCGCTCATACCAGTCTTCTGTCACCGTAGACGCCATCTATCGTGGTCCCTTACGACGGCATCGAGCCAGTTTGAAGAAGCTGATGATCGATAGTAGTGAGAAGGGTCAAGACGGCCATGCGACAGGCAGTTCCCGCTGGCGCCGCTGGATGCTAAACCACAATATTCTAACCTTCATTACCAGCGGTAAGATGAACAGCCTGCGTGAACTCGCTGTTTCCATCGACTATAAAGATTGGGTAAGCCATATCCCACCCTACAGCCCACGAATATGAAAAATCTGACTTGAACAGCACCACTTCCTCCAACGCCTCCCGCTAATCCCGCACATCCGCTCCCTCTATATCCCCTTTATCGCTGACCACCTACACGGCAACAATATCGACCCGCGCGAGCTCGCTTATCAAATCCTCGACATTGTGCACCTGCGGCCTGAAATCGAGCTTTGCTACATGGGCCTGTCGTCCAAGTGTTTCGAAATCTTAGAAAATCGGCCGTCGAACTATGATCTTAGGCACGATGCTGGCACTGGGAATGGTGCGGGGATGGGAGGGGGCTATACGGTCGAGGATCCCCTGCTGTCCGACGACGAGTCGGAAGCCACCGAGGACGAAGACGAAGACGACTTCGATGCGCCGGTAGAAGAAGAGGAAAGTGAGGAGAGCGAGAGTGAGGAGCAGGAAGACTTCAGTGATGATGAGAGTTTTCTGCAGGACGAGAAAAAGGCGCCTAAGCTGCGTGTGCGGGAGATTCTGTTTTATGAGGAGAGGGTTGAGGCGTTTAGACGGAGGCATGGTGTGCTGAGGCCGTAGTGAAGCTGTAGGAAAAGGTGTACGTGCAGGGTAGAGCCGTAACGGAGCAAGGGAACAGGTATTCATATGCCACGCGATACGATATTGCATTTTGGGGGAGCTGGTGGGATCGGTCTGGCGCATTTCAGGGCATATTCCCCTTTTCCTTGTTTGGTGGGTTTGGACACCTAGGATCGGAATGGGTCACGCGAGCTGGATTGCACATGCGGAGTATACATACATTCTTTTCGGCCTTGTCAGGGTAGTGTAGGTTTAGATGGACGGTATCCTTGCTGTATCAAGTGCATGTTCCGCCCACTAATTGTCAACTTGTAATATCTGTGCGTTAGCACTGAACTATGCATACAACAACAGGTGAAGGCAAGGTACACGCGCGTTTATCCATGCGTGTTAGAAAGAGAAGAAGTCAATGATTTTGAGTCGTGACAAGCTCACCCAACAATAGTTCGAAAATTTCGATTGTGCTGCACGCTGAGTATCAGTTTGCTTGCTCATCTCAGAAAAGGTGTGGTGAATTAGTGTGAGAGAGGAGGCGCAGGTGAGGGGGTGTAGATTGCGCTGAGGTTTAGTTGAAGGAGCAGAGATATAAGCATCTAGACTCGGAGATGGATCAAAATCTATGTTCTATCTTCCACGCATGTAATCCCATCCATCGCCACCAGAACTCGGATACCATAGGTTGTTAATCGGCTGCTGCTTGGGGTCGCATCCCCAGCATAATCCTCCTCTTTCGCTCTGCAAGTAAAGCGGGACGCAGCGAGGTGCGTTGCGGCAGATGCGAGGATGAGATAGCGAGTGAGTGCAGCCAGTATAGTAGAGAGTGAATACTGTGCACATTGTGCTTTGTATTGGAACGAAGATGAGATGATGTAGATATTAGAAACTGACGTGGGTCTGCCCTTCAATTTGTAGTAGATACTATGTGGGAAGGGTGATGTGTAAAGAGGAGACGTGTTGTACAGCTCAGTGTATAGGGCGTTTGCTGTTGAGCACCATGGTGCGCGTACAAACAAAACAAAGCTCTACAGCGAGAACGAAACATATATGTCAATGAAAAATTCCATGCTCATAACCTTGCTTTTCTGTACCCCAATGCTGATCACCCTACCTTGTGTATGCAGTGGTCGTCAGGTTGAAATCTTCAAGATTTACGTGTCGTTCGTGAACTCAAAAACAACGTGCCGTAGTATGACGCGGCGAGCGCAAATACTGTGCGCTCTGACCCTCTTCATTGTTTCATGACAGTGGGACTAGGTGAAGCAGTACAGTAAGGTTACGATCATTCTGTTTGTAGGCTTGTCCTGATGTTCCAGGCTCCTCTGAGTTGCCTATGAAGGCATAAGAGCCTGGCGTCGAAGAGCGGTGATGGCGTGTATGGAACGCGGTTGTCGTATGAGATGCCCTCTTAGTTCGCGCCCTAGGGGGCTGCGCGTCGTATTTTATACCGCATTGGCACAATACTCGAGCTAGTGGAGATATTGTTGTCTTGATACGCTCGTTCGTGGTAGTAACAGAGGCTCGCCGGATCAGTATGATCAGTGTAACCTTTAGAAGAGTCGTATCGAGAAGTCATCCTAGCTCGGAGAAGCCCGGGTAGTCAAGACTCCCGTTGACAGCAGAGATAAGGCTGAATTCGTCTAACTGAGCATTGAATATCGCACTCCACATGTCCTCATGGCTTTGGTTGAATACATCAATTCTATCAGACCTAGTGGGGTCCGTGTTTAACACCGTTTCGTGCACGAATGTATCGTCGTTCGGTAGATCCCCAAAATATTGGGTGAAGTCAGGTGACTGTTGCTGCCAGAGCATCTCCCATTGTCTCATTTGGTCGGTCAATGGTTCGGTTGTAGGGTGAGTCTCGATAGAGGACGTTCGTTTGTGTAGTCGAACGATAGCACGCTGCAAGGCGACGACGACACGCGTTTCTGCGCTGGCTTGGCCTTGACCGAGCGACATCTGCTGGATCAACTCGAGACCCTGTTTTAGAAGATCACTAATGGTGGGTGCCATATCGGTGATGCATCTCGCTATCAAGACAAGCATTGCCGCTCGTAAAGAGGTAAATTCTGTGGCGTACGAAGCACGAGCGAGACCAATGTTTTCATGGACGAGCTGACACAGCTGAACGATTTTCTCTGCAGCATGCACAGCATCGTGGCGCAATAGTGTGCTAGAAGAGAGACTACTTGATGGTGTCTGGGCCGGATGTCTCAAGGGCTGCTCGTGTGGTGATGGTTGCTCAAGGAGGAACGGGCGCCCGACGAACAAACGAGCATGCCAATAGTGGAGATGGAGATGTATGTCCAAACGCAAGCGACCTTTGTCCTCTTGAATGTCCAGATGAGGTAGCTCGTCCTCGAGCTCTAACATGTTACGCCTGTGCACCAGAAGGTTCGCAATATGCGCAGGCTTCCGCTCCTTTCGCAACAATGCGCTATATTACATCAGTATGCGAAGTACATAGTAGAAGAGTAACAGATTCGTACAGTTCATACGCAATCTTCTCAAGCGTAATGGTGATCTCTATCAGCGTCACTTGGTTGAGAAAGTTGGACGGACCATTCCGAGGCTCAAGCACCGGATCTAGGCGTGGCCGACGAACTTCGACCTCACCATAAGAGAGGGTCTTGGGGTAGCCATGGATAATTCGTGCGCGCTGGTAGAAAGTATATAACGTCCACCAGACCCTTACTTGTACTTCGTCGTGGGCATGCTTATGCATCTTGTTTCTGATAGCCATGTGTAGTGCTAGACCAAGGTAGGTGTACGCAGCCCCGGAATGATCGATGGGGAAAAGAAATGTAGCAATCAGAAGACAAGCCCGAACACTTTCGAAATCTGAGCGACGTATCAGTTCAGGAAGCATACTGATCGTCCGCTCATATAGAAGCGGACCAAGTGATTCGTGAGACGTATCAGCGGAGAATTGTGTCCCAAGTGCCATGATCATCATGATCGTGGCAAGCATGGGGATGTTCCTTTCCGAGAGTGTTGCGCTGGTTAAGTAAATGTGATCAATTTGCCTCTTTGCCCAATTTTCGTCAGCATAGAAGCTGTTGCATTGCACTCGCGCGAAGCAGACTTCAGCAAGACAGATTGCGACAGCTTTCGAGGGCAGAGTACCCAGGACAGCGACCGAGATCTCGCTATCAGAATAAACGCCATGGTACGGCTTCGCGCACTCGTGCTCGCTGTTCCCTGTCTCCAGGATGTCGGCGCCCGCATCACCAAGCTTCTTCTCAAGCTGGCGAGAAAATGTTGAAAGAGAGTTCTCGGTAGCAGTAGAGTGACTGATATTTCCAAAATCAGTCGATTCAGGTATTGAATCGGACATGATGCGTAGCTCTTCGTTGTCGAGGGAGGAAGTCTCCAGTATATGTTTGATCACTTTCTCTAAACGTTCGCTGCGCTCTCCTTTCGTCATGCGCTCGCTGGAAGAGGCATCGCCTGGCTGGCAATCCATCTGGAGGCGAACACATCTTTGACAGGGCAAGATGCCCGTGCATTTTTCCTTCTTTTGACGGCAGTTCCCGCAAGCATGGCGTACTCTTTTTCGTCGCTCATCCGGCACATGCGGTCGAATCCTTTTCGCTTCATTTCGAGTAATCTTCGCATCGCTCTTGGGAACAAAGGGTTTGAAAACAAGACCTTCGCTTCGGACTGACATAGTACAATAGAGACATGTTTGTGATGGAGGTGAGGCAAGGATGGGGGAGTTGCAGATAAGCAGATGGCAGTTGTACCTAGCCGAGGTCTGATTACGTCACGCGAACCTTATCTTCCAACTCACTGCGATTGACAGGATTCTATTCAACAGTAATCGTGTTAACCTTCTTCCTGAGTGCTTAATGAAATCCCTCCGCTTTATACGTCAAATATTCAAGGTTACAAGACCCCTCATAGTGATGAAATATACAATCAAATACGATCATCATAGTGGCTCGATGGCATGTAGTCCTCCAGACACCGCAAAGAATGCTTCAATCTACAGCTTCGCTAAAGGCGACTCGTACACGTATTCGTCCACGAGGTCGCGAGCCGCCCTTGCTATGCCAAAAGAAAATACATAACCTCCGCCAGCTACTCCGTAAGCATGTACCACCTTTTCCCCGTTCATTATTTCTTTCTCTATTCTGACTCCCGTTGTGCGAGATGGTCTAATGCCGACATTGTGACCCACCACATCATAGTCCGACAGGTGCGCTGGAAAATCATTCGGCAAGTCCTGATGCACCCTACGGATGATCTACACAACAGTCAGCAACTTCTCCGGTCACTTGCAGTTCGAGAGATTTACGTCTTGTTGCAATTCCATGTCGACCTCGGGTTCTGTCTGTTCGTATTGCTTGATGCCACCAAGGATGCAAGTTCCGTCCAATCGGGAGATGGCATAGGTATAATCCCTCCCATGTCGCATGAAAATCTTGTTGAAATTACTTTTGACATGTACAGTCTGGCCTCGAACAAGCTGAACATCCTGATCCTGGATATCCTCCAGGAATTTTGGGCCGAAGCCAGTGGCGTTCACGACAATGTCATGTCCCTGCGACTTGACTTCAGCGAGCGAACTCAAGTTAATCCGCTTGAATCTGACGCCAGAGCTTTCCAATCTGTTCCTTAGCCAAGGCAAGAATATCTTCGGCGTCATGACTACGGTCTTATAGCTCATGCCAAGCTTCACACCTTTCGGGAGCTCGCTGTCCTTTAGTATGCGAAACTCGGGCAGTTTCCCATTGTACCATATTTGATCTATGGTCTTGTCATCGTGAAAATCATTCATTTCGATGCGCTTGATGCTCGACTCCGGATTCGATACGGCGAGGGACCACAGGACGGCGAAGGAGTCTAGTTGCATCTTCTGTTCGTTCGGTTTCGACCCATCAAGCCCGAGGAATACTGCGCCAGCCCATGGACTTGCCCATTCTCTGCTCAACTCATCCCCGGGAAGGTTCTTGGCGACTATTGTGACTTCGTGGTTTCGCGATAGCAGGCTAGCAATGGCCATACCGGTGATGCTATTCGCTCTGGTCAGCTCGAAAATCCGATATTGCGTTGCAACACCTTACCCTGCACCAACGATAGTGATTCGAGCCATGTTTGGCCAGGCGGGAATCTCTTTGCAGACACACAAACAACTAAATGCTGAAGCCAAGCGGTCGTCAGGAGGAACAGAGTTGGTTGTGTTGCTCAATGCCACAAGCCTATTGATGTGTCTTCAGCTCCGGATATGTCTGCTTAAAGAATGTTTTGTTGCGCATTGGGGGCAAGCGAAGGGCGTGTTGCCGGCACGCCTACGTCTGCAGAGGAGATCTAATCCCCACTATAGCTCCACCCAGTTCGCACTGCTTCGGCTCTACAATGTTCACCGTGCAACATCTCAAAAGGGGAATTCGACAGATATCCGGTATCTTGAAGTGAATAACATCATGCTACCGACGCCTTTCCAATGCTGGTTTCCAACAGAAAGAGACTAAACCAAGAGCGGTGATTTGACATACATCCGGTCCCGGATGCGAGTTTTGTGGTCTGTCCTCCTCCTTCGCGCTCTATACTAGCGTCAGATAGTCGCAAAAAGCCAGACCAGACCCTGACGATTCCCCGCCGGAAAGAGGATGGGGAGCTGCGTTCACCCCGCAATTGCCACACAATGTGGCGCTAAGCTAGGATAGGGAATTTCTGACACCTATCCGGTCCCGCTTTTCGAGCGTTAATCGGCCCACACAATATGATAGCAGTGAATAGCGCGCCAGCTGTTGCCAGGCCTTCCCCAGCAATACTCCGGCTCCTATCACGGAAAACCTGAGCCAGCAATGGCCAAATTAGTGTTCATTTTATCTGCGATTCAGAGGCACATGATGGATACAGAGCGCGCTGCCTTCATGCTCCTGTCTATCAGCTATAACTAGCTGAGAGCTCAGCACATGTCTTCTTACGGCTTGCAACGACTTCGAGTCGCAGAGAAACTTCAATCGAGTCTTCGTCTCTCTTTCCGACGATGGTAGATATGGAGAAGACGATTTCAAATGCCGCTCCGTCCGAGAAGATGGTAGTAGGACAGACAACGTTTACCACGACGTCCGAGTACGATGAGTATCTTGGGCTATGCGAGGTCATGACGGAAGACAGGATGAAGAAGCTGGTGCGGAAGATTGAGTAATTTTACGGCCCCTATGCTACGGAGCTGAAACTGATAATACGGGCCAGTCTCCGCGTGTTACCGCAACTCATCATCCTCTACCTCATGTCATACGTGGACAGAACTAATGTCGGTAAGTTATAGATGGTGACATAGAATTCAACTCAGCCATTGACAACTGTAGGAAATGCGAAACTGTTCGGCGCTCTCACGGACATGGGTTTATCGGGACAAGACTGGAACACAGCTCTATCAGTCTTCTTTGTTACATACGCTCTCGGAGCGGTACCTGCGAACATCCTGCTTCAGAAACTTGGACCACGCATCTGGTTGCCCACGATGATGCTTTCGGTGTCTATATGTTTGATCTGTTGCTCTCTGCAGAGCACGTTTGGTGGATGGATAGCTTTCCGGGTACTTCTGGGACTGGTTGAAGCAGGTGTTTTCCCTGGCTGCAGTGCTGTTCTAACCACCTGGTGAGTCCTTGAGGCATCCCTCAACAAAAATGTCTCTAACGAGATTGCTGCATAGGTACTCACCACACGAGGTTCACACCCGCATGACGATCTTCTACATGGGCGCGTCGGGGGCTGGTGCCTTTTCCGGCCTTCTTGCATACGCAATAGGTCAGCTCGATGGTACCTGGGGTTATAGAGGATGGCGTTGGATTTTTTGCCTTGAAGGTGAAGAATGAGCTCCATGTATCTTGGAACTCCTCTAATAATCATAGGTGCTTTTACCGCGCTACTTTCAATCGCTGCCTTTTGGGTAGTCCATGACACGCCAACGAAAGTGGGCTGGCTCACTCCAGAGGAGAAGCGGTTTGTTGTGCTCCGTCACAAATTTGCAGCCGGTGGAGAATCAGGCGTTGCTGAGAAGGAGGAGTTCTCCTGGAGCGCTGCTCGGCAAGCGTTCAAAGTAAGCACACATTCAAAAGTTATGTTTACAAGCTTCGCTGATAGCACAACAGTCATTGCACGTGTACGCGTGTGTCGCAATGGAATTCACATTATGCGTGGTCGTATATGGAGTATCGTTCGTCCTACCTACCATGTAAGCCTCTTCGATTTGGAGCGCTCTGTCAGCACGACGCTCACCTTACTTCAGCATCGCGAACCTGGGGTACTCGGCTGCGAACGCGCAAGCGATGACAGTTCCGCCCTACATTTTCGCCTCTCTCGTTACGGTCTTCTCCGGCTGGGCAGCGGATCGCTATAAACAACGCATGCTCTCCGTTCTTCTCCCTAACCTTCTCGCAATGATTGGCTTTATCATAATCATTGTCAGTGTACGATACAAAGAACTTCCGGGCGTGACGTTGTTCGGAATTTTCTTCGCTATTGGCGGACTATACCCCATCTCGCCAGCTGTGACGGCGTGGACGGCACTGAATCTCGCGGGCTCGATGTGAGACTCTTTCCTTAACCTTAATTCAACCTTTGCCATGAAACTGACTTTGGGCGTAGGAAACGTTCCGTGGGTATAGGCGCCATGATTGCTTTCTCGCAACTCGGTGGCATTGTGGGATCCAATATCTACATCTCTTCGCAGTCGCCGCGCTATCCCGTCGGATTTGGTATTAGTATCACTATGCTGGGTCTCTTTGGCATCATCTGGCCAGCTTGCTATTACTTCATCCTCAGGCGAATCAACGCCAAACGTGCGCGCACCCCAGTAGAAGAGGTGAAGGAGAAGTACACGGACCAGGAACTTGCAGAGATAGGTGATGAGAGTCCATTGTTTAGATACTCTACATGATCCCAATCGGTTGGGGCAGCCAGTGTACTGATTGCAACGTCCGTAGATGGTTGGAATATAAAATGCAGAAATTGAATATCCTGACAGGAGGACCAAATGTCTAAAGCGCCTAGATGGAACAACTTTTCTCACCAAGCGTAGATATTGTATTCGATTTTACGAGAGAAACATTGCACGTGGGCATACAAGTTCTCGAATCGCTTGTCTTGGAAGCACGTGTCTTCGAATAGCATACGGCTTGTGCTCACAGTTACCACTTCCCAGGTTTGTATGAGACACTTAGAGCTGCATGATATCGAGCATGTTGTTACCTTCTGGCATCAGGAGACAAATATCAGGTAGATTATCGTAAAGAGTTTAGCCCGCAAGTCATAACAAGTCATGGAATCTGGTAGGCGCGCGGCAGATGTCTCATGCCACTGTGAGTGAGTGCTGCGTCACGTTGAACAGACGCATCGTGCTTATTGACAACGAGCCTTCGGTGGACCCAAAAAGAGACGCATTGTGAGGCATTGATATCTATAACTCATAACTCATTGATCTGATAAATGATCGTCGTTCGACAGCCTGAAGCCATGCCTTAGACTACTCGGCACGGTCCTTAGTTTTCTGTTAAAGAGTGGAGCAAGTCGATTTATTAGATATCAGAGTACGGCATTCGAGTACTTCTCTGCACACATCAGTCTACCTCCTTGTAATTAAAAAAAGTGCTCCACATCTTCTGTCTGGCGCTTCTTGTACGCTGAAGTTGGCATGCATGCTTCATCAATGCTATCCCATTTCCGGTTTAGCCATCTCGTCGCTAAAACAGCCTCCTGTTACACTCACCTCCATCTTCTTCACATCTCAATTACACGACTTGACTTTGGGGCCTAATCGCTTCGCCCTTTCCATTCAGGGTCGTCCTCCTATTATTCAATCAAATTGTGTGAAGACATGACTGTGTTCGACGAATTAGCTGAAACCGACGGAGACGATGAGTTTCGGACGTGGGTGTCTAAGGTGATCGACGCGAAGCAGGAAATTGTTGAGTTTGTTGCCTCTCAAAGGCTAGGAAGCCCTCCCGGAGAGTTCGACAGCTATCTCAAAGGCTCTTTCAATCTCAGCCTTGTCGTCAAATTCAATGATGGAGGACCGAAAGCAGTAATTCGCTTCCCAAAACCAGGCCATACAGCCAAACATTTGTGCGAGGAGAAAGTCAGGAACGAGGTCCAGGTGCTGAGTTTCCTAAGTGATCAGGCCACTATTCCTGTGCCCCGGGTCTCGAGCTGGGGAACAATTGAAGACAGCCCTCAACACTTGGGCCCTTTCATGATCATGGACTTCATTGACGGTACTTCGTTAGCGACAATGTTGAAGCAGCCAACCGAAAGTGAACGGGATGAGGTTATCCTCGCAACCGACGTGGACGATACCAAGCTGGAGTATGTGTATGAGCAACTTGCTGATTACATGCTGCAACTGTCTCAACTCGATTTACCTCAATCGGAGCTTTAGCAAAGGACCCATTTACCAGTGAATGGTCTGTTTGTGAAAGACCACTTACCTACAATATGAATGAGCTGGTGACTGTCGTCTCCAAATACCCCACAGAAGGATGGCCGAGCATACCGTTTGTCTCCGCTAAAGAGTTCCTTCACTCTCTCGCTGATGAGCACATCGTCCATCTCCAAGTCCAAAGAAACCTAGCTGAGAGCCGAGCGGATGCTGAAAAACGATTTTTAGCTCGTCATAGATTCAAGGATCTCGTCTCCCGCCACTGCTTGGATGATAGCGGACCTTTCAAACTCTACTGCGACGACTTGCAACCCACGAATATGCTTGTAAACCCAGAAACCCTTCAGATAACCGCGATCCTCGATTTCGAGTTCACGAATACAATGCCAGCACAATTTGCCTACGACCCACCTTGGTGGCTTCTCCTCTTGGGACCCGATATGTGGCTCGAAAAGCACTCAATGGAAGAATTCTTGATTCGCTACGAGCCCAGATTGGAACAATTCTTGCGCGCCTTGCAACAAATAGAGGCCAAAGCGAACCTAAAAGGAGAATCGAGCGGTCCGCCTCTTTCTGCTCGAATGCGCGAGTCTTGGAAGACAAAAAGGTTTTGGTTTAATTATGGTATTAGGAAGAGCTTCGATGTAGATGCTGTATATTGGGCTGCACTTCATGAGGATGGAGACGACGTGCTTGACGAGGGATCGAAGGAAGAAATGCGGAAGCTGGTGGACTTGAAGATGGAACAGCTAAAAGCTTACGATGCTGAATGCAAGCTTCGCTTCGCTTCATAGTTTCCAAAAGCAAAGAGTGTTGTATTCGACAAGAGGGCACAGAAGCTTCGTAGGGCCTCGGGAGTGGTAGCTTGCAAGATGGGCCTAGCGTCTCCTGAGCCCCAAGCTTCCTCTTCCAATGTTTGGTCGATCAATTCTTCCCGGCATCGGCTTTCATCAGACCGCCTTGCCATAAAGCTTGGAGAACATCACAATTGAAAGAATAACGTGCACTTCTTCGCATAAATCAACCATAACGAGAACCCATCTGCGATGTCGCGTTCTCTTGGCATGACGCGTAGAACTACCTAGGTACAATTAACCCAGCGTCATCCATACTGGTACCCGCTGCGGACTGCAAGCGCGCGAGCATGTCTTAATGAACACGTCACTTTGTCCATCTGACTGTGCTACTCGGTCGCTTCGGACTCCGACTTCTAAACGTGTTACTGACTTGATATTTAGTCTGCAAGCATGTCTACTAGAAACGTTTTACTACGTTCAATCTGCTCTTCACGCCCAACTTCTACCTTTCAAAGAAAATCACTCCTGATCGTTTCCCCTACTACCTTTAACAGCCAAAGGCATCTTTCAATCACATCAGTCTACAAAATGCCCGAGCCACTCAAGCAAAGCGAGGTCAATTCCAAAACCGATCCCTCAGTCGCAAAGCAGTACGACAATGAAGCGCCAAAAGAACAGCAAATCAAGGACCTGTTCAACATGATTGATGGAAAGAAAATCGGAATGCTGAACACATACCGCAACGGAGTCGGTACGCATTCTCCTAATTAATGTTCCAATATCTCCCGTCCGTACTGAAAGCGACAACAGGACCCGTCGGGCGCTCCATGGCCGTTGGCAAGCGGTCTGGCCTCGACATTCTCTTCCTTTCCAACGCGCACTCCCAGAAGTTTTCCGATATCGAGCAGAACAAAGAAGTACAGATTACCTTCCAAGACAGCAAGACGCAAGACTGGATCTCCATTTCCGGTACCGCAACCACAACGTCGAACACTGATTCGCGCATCAAGGACATCTGGAATAGTGGTATCAGAGCTTGGTTTGGAGACCTAGGCGACGGAAAGCATGATGGAAGCGCGGACGATCCGCGTATGACCCTGATCGAGGTGAAGGCAAAGTACGCCACATATTATTTGACGCAAGTGGGGTTGTTGGGGTATGCGAAGGAGGTCGGAGTGGCGGCGATGACGGGTAAGGTCGCTGATACTGGCGTATTGAGGGAGTTGAACGAGCAGGATATTGAGCAGGCAAGGAACATGGAGTAAGTTGACTGCCGAGATGATCGGGATGTACGATACTAGCGATTGCAACAGCCATCGCTCGAAGCTATGAAGACTCACAGGATTCGGCAACAACCTTTGAGCGACAGTTGTAACCTAGTGGCAGTATGGAAATGCTTTTAGCGCATCGTATCCGGTGATTCCATGTGTAGCAATACACGTGAAGTACTCAACAGTATTTCTAATATGGGCGCTGCATTTCCATATTGCCACTTAGGAAATAATCTACTGGCAATTTCGAAGAATCTCCTGGCTACCAGAATGTGATGTCACGCAAATGGTAGCGTGATCCTACTTTATTTAGCTCCTCGTACGTAATCTACCTTGCCTGTAGAACCCGAAGAGTGACTTTAAAGAAAGCTTTGATATTGCCGTGGGCGGAGAACTTAAGGAGCGAACGTCAATGCTACATCCTTCTCAATCCTCCTACTTACAACCACAGTCACTTGTAATTAGGCCATACGGATATAGACTCAATGTAGGGGTAACGTCAACGAGTCCTCAGATGGTACATACAACAGCTTACAATATGTAGTCCATATTCCAACGAAGTGCATAGGAGCAAACAAGAGACCATGGAGACAGTGTCCATCCTTCTAGTATAATAGCAATATCCCATCATCCAGAGGAACGTAAGCGAAGAAGAAACCCACTGTGCATAAGGTTACCACAACGCCGGACTCCTAAGCTACCCAAAACACACTTGAACTCAACGTATTGCAATGCTGACATCTCTTAGATTTCGGTGTTCTGCAAGTGCGAATTCCGCCGAGTCCGCAGAAATGAGGGGCCATTCCACCGTTACTTCGACACTGCATGTGTGCGACGATCTGCCTTACGATCTGGCTCAAACTTTCAAAGAAACGTCGACGCCTGTAGGATTCTAATCGAATGTTTCTTATTCGACGCTACAGGGTGATAAGTCTTTTCAACTGCCGTTACAAAATCAGCGTCCACCCATCACACTCCAGGTCGAGTCTTGGCATGGATTGAGTCCGACCCACTTCGCTACCCCACTCTTGCGCTACGTTAGCTGCTAGTCTGCTGCGGGTTCAGTGGCGCTGCTCGTAAGCGGCCTATTACCCCTTCCAGATTTTGTAGTGGTATATATATGTCTCGGCCTCATGTATTGTTATCGATAAATCGACTTTACATCGTGAAGTCTAAGGCAACGTGGCGGAGTGGTTAACGCGATTGACTCGAACTGTCAGTCAGACTGACATAGACATCAATTTCCTTCGGGAGCGCATGTTCGAATCATGCCGTTGTCGGATTTCTTTTTGCAGATCTTTTTCATCTTATCATGATGAATATATGGATAGATTGTATGAAGACTAGATATGTGTTCAGCTTCGTAGGATTTTGCTTTGCCCGATTATTTTGCTTGGTGGAGACATGCAGTCTCAGCATCGCGGAACTGGTCAGATAGTTATGCACTTAGGATGTGTTATCTATGAATAAGTCCTGCACATGGTTCTTGAGCTTTGGCTGTCTGTCTATACATCTCAAAGACGGAGCCTCCAACCGTGAGACCATTTGGCCAAAGGCAAGCTTCTGCTAACAAATCCTAAGAGGCTCAAGGCGACTCTCATGTTTGTCATCCATAGTTTAATCATGCAGAGGAACCGTGACTCCGGCCAGACATAACGCACCAGGCGGCGATCACACACTGCGAAGAAGCTTGACTCCAGTTCGGCAGCAGTTCGTACCTTTTGCACGATCTTGGAACGCGGGAGTTAGCGGGGCGCGGGCGATCTCCGCTAGTGGCACTTTATCCGACAAGCCATTGGTTTCATGCAGGTGTTTCCGACGAGACAAGCTCCAACGGCCGTGGGACGTACACACGCAGCCTTAAACAGCATACAGCGTGCGCGCGGTCTGCCTGTTCACCGCGACGACACACGCGGCGGAAGGGCTGCCGCGCCATGTAGAGGCTTCACCTCGGCCCATCTCTTGTCAGCCTTACCCTGCACGCAGCAGCACGCCGGAATCTCAACACCCAGATCATGGAAGCAATTGCGAAGACGCCGGCTCTGGCGAGCCCGAAACTTATCAAGAATGCGAAGGGTGCCGTTGTTCCTAGTAGTCAGATGGCGCATATTGCGTATGGCTGCGGTGCGTTTCCCCCCAACTTTTTGGCGGCAATCGCTGACATGATGCAGAGCACATGCGCACCATGATCGAGAATGCCCGCAAGCCGACGTTCGGGCATTACCGCGGGATATTGCAGAAGATATACGAGGAACCGAGCGTAATCGCGCAAACGTACAATAGCAAGGCAGACGGCCTGTCCTTGATTTCGTTGCGCCCGCTGTATCTGTGTCTACAATGTCCGAACATCATGACGGAGACGGATCGCGACGAGCATATTGATTCTAAGCGACATATATTCTGTGCGTATATCCGCTCACCGGCACAAACATGCTGACAGGTGTAGCGGTGGAGTCGCGGAGCGGGAACGTTTACTGCGGCGACTGCCAGGACTTCATCTACGATCCGGATCTAGAGGAGCGAAGGTTGCAGAAGGGTGAGCTATACATGCATGGCAGCAGAGGGAGTGCCTGCTAACTGGAGCAGGAAAGAAGCGCAAGTACGAAGACACGACCACCACCGAGGAACACAAGCTAGTGCTGAACAACTCCACCTTCCTACCCTGCCGCGCGATAGGCCTCCGTGGTCTTTACAACATGGGCCAGACCTGCTTCATGAGTGTCATATTGCAGACGTTAATACACAACCCTTTCATACGGAATTTCTACCTCTCTGAAGGACACAAGACGGTGGATTGCGAGCGGGAGTCATGTGTGAGCTGCGCTCTGGACGAGATGTTCGTTGAGTTCCACTCAGTCGAAAAGACGGAAGGCTTTGGTGCCGTCAACATGCTCATGGGCAGTTGGCTTGCCGGAGAGGTGTGTATACCACTCTACACAATCTTCCAAAAGCTGACTACATAAACAGGCGCTAGCAGGATACCAACAGCAAGACGCACATGAGTACATGCAATTCATGCTCAACACACTACACCTCCAGAATGGAGGCTCCACCGACTCGGAAGACTGCGACTGCATCGTGCACCAAACCTTCTACGGCCGGCTCTCTAGCACCGTGACATGCGACAATTGCCGAAACACAACCACCGCGCTAGATCCATACATGGACCTCAGTCTCGACATACGGAATCTTCCCAAGAAAAAGAAGTCCGAGGCCGCTAATTCCGACGAGAAGTCAATCGCATTGCAAAGCTGCCTGGACCGTTTCACAGGGCGTGAGAAGCTCGGCGCTGCAGAATACACCTGTCAGAATTGCGACAGCGGGCAGAACGCCACGAAGCAGCTAAGCATCAAGCAGCTCCCGCCTGTGCTGCCTATCCATCTCAAGGTACCTCCTTCCACTCCCCTCACCCAATTCCCCTTTCTTTGTTAGACATACTAACGATATGATTAGCGCTTCGAGCACGCCAAATCCACATCCACAAAAATCGAAACCAAAATATCCTTCCCGCTCTCCCTCGACTTGTACCCCTACACGACAGAGTATCGCTCCAAAGCGCCCCCGAAAAACGTCGCCCCGCCCAATACAAATCACAACATCAACTCTCCCGCCAATACCCTGATATATGAGCTGTCCAGCGTCGTTGTTCATAAGGGGAAGATCGATTCAGGGCACTATATCAGCTATTCGAGGGAGGGGGATGATTGGTTCATGTTTGATGATAGTAAGGTTGTACTGGCGAGTGAGAAGGAAGTGCTCGGCGCGGAGGCGTATCTGTTGTTTTACATGGTGCAAGCGCTGGAACTGTAGGGGGAGCGGGCCAGCGAAGGAGGTCTCAGCAAAGCAGTTGTTGTATTATACCATTACAGGGCGATACTGGGTAAAGAGCATTCATCGGCGTTGGACATCAAGACCGCACTACATCTTTGTTTTGCGAGCGGCATGGCGTGGGGCGCTTTTCGTTCGGTCTGGTATGGATAGTGGTGCTTTGTATGCCTCGACAACATGCATATTATATCTGAGCTCGTGGGCTGATAGAAATATTCGAACGCGCTCGATATCTTGAAGTCGCATTCACAAGACAGTCGCCGCATTGCGCAACGCACGTAACTATTCCATTGCTTCTCAGGACCTTCCCAGATAGGTTAAGCGAGATATGGCTCATAGTGACGATGCACACAAGTAATCGACTCATACAGCACCGCACTATAAGCGACCAACGTAGCCGCCCTTTCGTATAGCACTCTACGGTGAACCGGCTGCAGATATGGTGCGATGTATCATGCAGGAATGTTATTGCTGTGGGTTAGTACTATAATGGTTGCGATCACCGATACAGATATAACGCAAGTAGCAGTTCCAGCATGAGCTTTTCTTGAGAGAAGTCCGAACAATACCAGCCTCCCATATCGCTATCTAGAGTCATGGGCCCTCCTAAGGTTGAGGTCGTGTCTTCGACCAAAGTCCAACCCGCTATCACGCACTCACCGACGATAACACCCCTTTCACTGATCGACGCTTCCGTCGCTCGTTTTACCCCTTGCGGCGCGATATGGTACTTCTCCACTCCCTCTTCTCCCGCACCCCTGTCCCAGGAGAATCTGCAGCGAAGTCTATCCCACACACTCTCCGCATACCCGCAGTGGGCAGGCCAACTCCGCATGACGCCTCACAAAATTGGATTGGATAAAAGGAGAAATGGTGAGAGATACGGAAGGATGGAAGTGCGGTACGGACGAGAGGAAGATCCTGGCGTTGTGTTCGTTGTTGCAAAGATAGATTGTCCTCTCCCTGCCGCACTCCCTACATGTGAAGAGAAGGGGGATGGTGTAAAGATATGCGATGGCATGATCCGCGAAGATGTACTCCTCCCAAGTGTTCCGCTTGCTGGATACAACTCCCTACCAGGCCATACGGACTCCAGCTTGGCGGTACAGGTCACGAAATTCGAGGATGGTGGAACAGCCATTGGGGTGCAAATCGCACACTGCCTAGCCGACGCAATAAGTTTGTCGCGGTTCGTGCACGATTGGAGCGCTACCCACCGATCCCTCATAACGAACACGCCATTTCCGGACTTGCCTCCCGTGTTCGAGCCGTGGATCCTCGACCAGAGAGCCGCGAGGAGCGTCGACGACGTGGCGCCAGACGAGAATGTGCTGAAGATGGCGTATGGGCTGCCGCTGCATCGGTACGATTGGTGGGCGTCTGGCGAGGAGTCAGGGTTTGGTCCGGGGGCACATAACATTCCTGAGGCGTTGAAGGACGAACCTAAGGCGCGGGAGCTGGCACAGGAAGGAGAAAGGATGCCTTGGGACACGTACAACGTCCGGGCACCTGTGTCGCATACGATCATCCACTATACTTCAGAGGAACTGGAAAGAATATGGAATGCGGCTGCGGCGAGCCCCGATACGTATGACAACACGAAGGCGAGTTTGAGCCGGCACGATGCGCTAGTTGCACACATCTGGACGCTCGTGAACCGCGCAAGAGGGCCTGAAAACGGGGACGTGGATAGCGAAGTCCACTGTGATGTAACGATTGGTCTTCGGACAAGAGTCAATCCACCACTCCCTACATCCTTCCTAGGCTCACCGCTACAAATCGTACACACGACACTTCAATGGTCCGTCGCCAGCTCATCAGCCGCTCTCTCTAGAATAGCATTCAGCACCAAGGCCACGCTCTCGCGGTGTACGCCTGCAGCGGTAGGAGCCCAAATTTATGCCATCGCTCATGAACTTGCACCGCAGAGGTTGTGGCAGGCGTTTCTGGGGAGAAAGCATCTGATAGTGACGAGCTGGGCGCATACAAGACTGTACGAGTGTGATTTTGGTACCGGACGGACGCCAAGGTATGTGCATCCTATCATGCCGCTGGTAGATGGTTGCCTTCAGATTATGGAGGCTCGGCCGAAGAATGTTAAGATGCCAGGAGGAAGATGGTATAATGACGGTGTCGACGTTGCAATTTATCTTGAGAAGGAGGCTATGGGTCGGTTGGTCAAGGACAACCATATATGGCGTTGAGATCGAAAGAGTCTTTTTGTGCTTTCTTCAAGAGAAAGTAGGTACCCCGGCTGCGCGTAGGATATCGCTTGGATCGTCCTGGTTCCTCCCAAATCTTTGTTGCAATACACGTTCCGATTCGGGTAAGATGCTCCAATGTGGGCTGGGTTCTGCTTTGAGCCATTTAAAGTCGTCGATCTGGTCCCACTGGTTCTTCTCGCTTGGTGCGTCGTCCGTTACCTGTTATAGATGTGAGCCGTGCTTCAATGGCTGAGAGATTCAAATCTTACATAGATATGTGGTAAAGGCGCGAACCGGATGTCCTCGCAATCTTCGATGATGGGCCGGCTCGAGCAATGCAAATAGACGTCCACCTTCTTCGACCCATGCATGCGGAATTGGCGACAGCTCGTGACAATAACACTGTTCTCTACACCCGTGATGTGTATCGGGCCGGCTATGCGCCCACACACGATCAAACTCCTCTCGATATTCCTCAACGTCAGCGTCGCAAAGGTATTTCCGCTTGTCGTGCGCGCAGATACATCAACGACGCTTCTCCGAAGGTTTGACAAGACGCCCGAGCTCCCCGAATGCACTTCAGACCCCGGCAGCGCGATATGCTCACCATCTTTATTTGACACAGTCACACCCACAGCTCCAGCCCCATTTTTCACCTCCCCAATCTCCAATCCAAGCGCTTCTAATTCCTTCTTTTCCTCCCCTGGACTCAGTCTCTCCAATGGCGTCGGACTAAACGCACTGTTCACCGCACTGCTCTCCTTGGAACTATCCCACGCGCCACCTCCCGGCCCCAACAACCTCTTATTCTGTGCTAACTCGGCCGCCTCCCCAATGCTAATCGCGCTCTTATTCTTCTTGGTCGTGAACTTGAACTTCTTCGGGCCAGCACCCAATTCGTTTCTCGTGTTTTGAAGTTTCTCTTGCAGGGCTTTGATGGCGTCGCCGTAGGTGCGCTGGTCGTATGCCGGGATATAGGACGAGGCGTCCTTGACTTCGGAGGAGAGGCGCGATATGCCGGCGAGGCAGTGGTCAATTGCGTCGGGGCGTTCGGTGGGTGAGGTCGAAGAGAGGCGGGACATTTGGGCTTGGAGGGCTAGAGGGGAATTAGATATCTCAGAAATAGGAGCGTTGGAGAAAGGAAATTTGTACCAATGACTTCATGCTGGAAGTAGCGAAAGAAACGCTCTTTGGAGACGCCACCTGAAGATCCAGGGCGAGCTTGTGGGGGGACTTCGACAGGCGCCATAGTGAATTTCTAATGTGTTGTTGCGGTACTGAATGGGTACAATGAAGCTGTTGTAATCACGGCTGCTGTGAGAGAAGCAATCTTCGTGTGCTGCCGAAGGTATGTAAGGCGAAGCGGACTAGGTCTCGTGGTCGATGACGAAGCTCGTCGGTCTCTGCAGCTTGGTGTGGGGTAACTCGAGGTCTAGACGGGAAGGAATCACCTTCATCTGCAGCGTCAGGCAGGACGACTCGCTATGCGCCGTTTCGCCATCGCATCCATGTTGTCTATGATGTCGATGGTGGCGGATGCAGTATCCGGTGTCAAATTGAACCCTGGATCGATCAATTGATCGCATAGTTCCCGCGCTACCCCGCGGCTAGGGCCTAATCTACGCCAGCTCGGCTTTGTACCATCACAAATCATCTGGACTGTGTAGTGTCATCTCAGAACATCGTCTTAGTGCAATTGTAGTAAAATGTAAAGGAGAGATCGTTGAATCATCAATGTCGATCCGAACAAGGAGATCCTGTACGCCCATCACCTAACCAGTATCAAATCCCCACGATAGCAACAAGAATGTCTAAGGAGCCGCCTGCTGTGCATCTAATACCTTCTTTCCGATCCTCGCCAAATCCGCGTTCTCCAACGGCTCCTTCTCGAATCCATTCGAGACTTGATCCACCATCGCAGCAGCAACCTCCCTGATGCCAATTTTGCCCGCAATCAAGCCAGCGACGGCGCCGACGACTGTCATAAGCAGCCCAGGCGGGTTGGGGAGAACGAGCCCAGGCTTTGCCGCAGCAGCTTCCCAGCCGCTGGCCTTGTGCTTCTCGGCAAACTCAAGGCAGTCGACTTCGATGCGGCCCTATCACAATATTAACATCCCAACATGTCATGGACAAGAAGGAAAGAGGGGCAAACTGGGTAGGAACGCACCTTCAGCCGGATGTATTCCTTGAAGACGGGTGGCGTAGGGCCGTCGGGCGTACGAGGCGTATCCGGGCCACTGATGTATAGAAAACGGAAAGTGCCTGTCTGTCCCTTCGCCGCACGCGCTTCCTGGATCTGCTCAAGCGCTTTGAGCGTGTATGTCTGGTTGATTTTCTTGACTTCTTCAAAGGGCATGCCCCGTGTATTCTGGGGAAGGACGGCGAGGGCCCTAAGTATCGCATGTCAGTATCGTTCCCACAATTTCTAGTAGCAAGGACAACAATGATATATTGGGCAAAGGAGGAATTTACCAGATAGCACCATCAGCATCCGCAAGCTGCGCCTTCACGTCCTCGGGATACTTTTCAAAATCCTTCACTACCAAGCTCTTCAACTTGCTTGTATCCGCGCCAGGCGCTGTGCCTGACGGCACAGTGATCGGTTTCCTGCCCAGCGCATAGATGGTAGTGATCTTAGGATTCGACAGGCTCTGCTTTATGATCTCTGTCGCGACGAAGCCTGTTGCGCCGCCGATGATGAGCTTCACCATCTTGTCTTTCTTCTTTGTTGGTCGAAAGGTGTGCCGCGGTGCAGTGAAGTGCTGGGCGTGTATGCACGGGAATGGGAAGGAGTTGAGGTTAGAGAGGAACAAAGGCTGCGTGGGATGGACGAAAACAAAGATATTTCCAAGGAGTAGCTCAGAAAGGCACGCATTATAAACTTGGGAAGGCGCCGGGGATTAACGCGGGATGTTTACACGACGAGCTCGGTGTTCGGCGACCAAGCACCACACTTGATTGCCAAAGAGCGCATGCCGCCCGTCACAAATCACGATTAGAACCCTGTAAACCTGCTTTCGACATCGGAGCCTGTCTTAGACGCGTACATGCAATAGTGAACACTATCGGTGATGCGGGACTACAGCGCCTCCGATTGGCTCGCTTGCAGAGGGTGAATAGAAGGTGATTGGATGCCTGGTAAGTGGCTGCATCGGGCGCGTGGAATGAATACGCCTTCGCTTTGTTTGATGGGGTGACTAGTGCCACCTCATGGATGCTATTTTGCGGCGTAGTCGCTGAGTCTTTCGCCAACCCAAGAATCGGGCTGTAAAAATCCGCTTGTGAACTTGCGACTCATGACAAAGCAATGAGAAAGCTCATGGGCTAGGCGAGCAATGTTTTGCGTAAGCCTGTGGGAAACGCCTTCGGATCAAGTTCCTAGCCGACCTGGCAAAAGGTAAAACGCCGTGGTACTTACCTCCTACCGAAAGTCAAACCATCGGCTTAGCTGTTCCCAATGTATAAGTCGGCATAAATGTCTTCCCCACAGGCAGCCACTCCTCCGCTCCCTCCACCCATCCCATCTCACAACAAAAAGCGATTTCGCACCTGCAAGGCGCACACACCTAATCTCCCTTCCTACCCGCCCTCGGACCAAGCCCTATATGTCCCCTCGCCGTGCGAAACAGCGCCCTCCCACTCGTGTAGTGTAGTAAGCGGGTCACAAACGCGGCACACTCGTGCTCGATTTCTTCGCCTGCTACAAGTGGGATTTTGTTCTTATTCGTCCATCTAATAATTGTCTTCATTGTTGGCAAAGCATAGTCTATCGAGTCAGTTATGGAATGCTCGTCAGGCTGGGCCCAAGCATACCTGCACCTAGTTGTACTCTTGAGCGCAATTCCGTGCAAAAGACAGTAGTAATACCCTCGTAGATGCGGTTCCACAGCTGAGGCCCTTTTGCAAATGCATCACGAATAGGAATAGGGGTCATTAGCATGCGGTTTAGATCCTCCTATACGGTGTCTTGTGCATCGCATTATATTCGAACATGTTTGGCACATGTCTCTTGGACAACCCAGATGCATTGGATCATTGTCGGTAGAAAAGAGGCCTGAAGTAATTCCATTCTTTAAGACTCACAAGGAGCTTGTGCTTGCCTGTCCGTAGGTTAACCATCTTCTCGTCTAGCAATGCCAAAACTGTCGATCGAATATGATGCTGTCGATGTGACTGCCACCAATTAATCAAATTAGGATCGAAATTGCTCTCAAGCCCTTTGAACTTGGATGAGCGTAGTTTGATAACCTTGCATATCATCTAGGCAGCTGTTCTCGTGCTGTTGTCATCCAGTCCCAACTGTATCTGAATGAGATAACATTAGCATACCTTATAGGCCTTGTGAGTTTTGATCACAACGTACGTGATAAGGGCAGCATGGCAGTAAACACGGCTCGTGAGATTGATCAGGATGCATTTTCTGTATTTTCAGCCTGATTGATGGACACAGCGTTAATCTAGAAGTGTGGCAAAATTTTCTCCTTGAGTCCCCTGTCCACAACATCAGCCAGATGCCTTAACCATAAGCCTAAAGCAGGTTGGAATACCCTCGTTTGTGTTCGCTAGATCAATAGCCACTCCTATAGAGTAGGTCGGATTCCTTGGTCGTGGTGGAGAGTTAGTCTCTGCCATGTTCCCCTGCTTGCAGGATAGGCTCACGGGCCTGATCTATAATGAGTTGCCGTTTCATCTATTCCTGCAGCATGTAGAGGCGACCAATTTGTCGTATGATTCTTGAGGTGAAGGTTAGTACCTCTCTCAAGTAGATACCGCACTACGTCTAAAGTGTTGTTCGCCGCGGCGTAATGTAGCGCAGGGCATCCCTCTCCGGCCACAGCATTCACATTCGCACCGTGTTCCACCAACAACCGGACGGATTCGATGTCTCCTCTCTCTGCCGCACTGAGCAACAAGGGTTCCACTCATACGGTCGATGGCTTTGATCTCGATGTTCGCTCCGCTTGTTAGCAGCACTCTAGTTATGCCTGCGTACTTTCTCCGGACCGCATCGTGCAATGCAGTCATGTTATTGTCCTGCCTAGCCTCAAAGTTTGCACCTGCATTCATAAGCGCTTTGGCTATGGATATGTTCCCAAGTGCGGCAGCGATATGGAACTGTGTGTACTCGGGCATGTACACTTTCGCACTGAATCGTACCTAGGTAGGTCTAGGCCTGTGTCCGCACCACGGCAAAGTAGAAGAATACAACAATCTCGTTCTCGATATGTACAGCAAGGAAAAGGGGCGTCCTGTCCATGTCATCGCGGTCACTGATATCAGCGCCGATAGCAAGAAGATTAGCCACCACCTCTATATGGCCTCTATGAGCCGCATAATGAAGGGTACTGCCTGCACCCGCGGCATCGCCGGCGTCATCGTGTCTTGAATCATAGAGTCGGAGAAAGCCATGCAGGTTCTTGCTGACGAGCGCAACCATGCCGTCACAAAACACAGGCCACTGATCCTCCGCTCGACATGACACATTGTGTTCGGGGGAAAGGGCTACCCCATGTGCATGACAGTGCGATGTAAAGAGGGGGGTTTCCCGACTTCGGGTTCCTCTATGGGGAACGATGGTATGTCAGACGCGTTTCGTCTCTGTCGTTTTCGCAACGAATGGAGGTCCGTGTTTCTAAAGGATTGTTTAGAATTCTTCGAAGTGCTCATGCAGCCTCGGATGTAGAATTTCGAAGCGGACGCAATTCGAAGGATTCGGTTGTGAACAAGCTTTGAAGCGCTGCAACCGGCATTCCGTGACCGTGCTCCTGCTCTTTCAGCCCTTAGGAATTTTCTCGTGGGTCTAGGCGCGTGCAAAAGTGGTTCAAGGTGTTGGGAAAGTATATGGATCTGTCATCCGCAAATTCAGACACCATCCCCAACAAAAGGCGGTCCAAACGATAACGCCCACGAGCCGCCCGCTGCACGATGTCTTCGCCAGCCATGAGGAGGGTGAACCTCTAGCTCACAAGGAAACGACATGTGTGGAGTAATGCATTTTGTTGCCCGACGTATCGCCAGCAGCCTGTGAGGCGAGAGGCGATGCTGGAGACGGAAACAGGAATGCGTCGACCAATAAGCTCTTACTCATTCAGTTTCGCTAAGCCGTGCAAGGGTACGAAGTAAAGGAAGAAACACCTCGCGGCTGCGTGTAGTGTGAGAGTTCGAGGTTTTAGTCCAATGTAACTAGTGCATAGGGCGCAGTATTTCATAACTGTATGATCAAACGAATTGGCAAGTGAGAAATGTTGAGAGTGGTCGATGAACGTGAAGTACTAAAGCAGGGGAGCCACGACCATGAGACGACCATGGGACAAAAGAAAGCACCCTTTGGTAGCACATTCAGTGGATATATGTACAAATGCCTGCAGCTTAATCTATAGGCTGGCCGTGGTGTCCGCGTTCTTCTCTCGGAATTGCTCTTGCGCCGCCTTAACGTCGATGCCATACTTGGCAAGTAACCGCTCCCGCCTCCGCTCCTCATAACCGGGGCCGTAGATTCCTATTGATGTTAGCAGCGAGCACTGTGTGCCGTACACAGCGCAACGTACCTCGGCCCTCACCAAGCTGCTCAAGCGTCTCCTGGAGCGGTCTCCGGCGCATCTTGCGCATTTCCTCTTTCCGGGCGACCTCGTCTTCGTCATCTTCCTTGATCGCATAGCCGTTCAGGCCGTTGGTATATCTGAAGGCAGCAGTGGCAACGCCGAACGTAGCGCCCGCGCCGAGGACCATCGGAATACTTCCCCCTACAATAGTCAATGTGGGTTCCCAAAACCGAGCTGAAAGATCTACTTTGGATACCAACCGCAGTGCCGCCCATGAAACCCGCAAGGGCCTCACCATAGGTGTCGTCCTTCTGTCGAAGGTTCGCGGTTGCGTCCTTTGTGAATTGGTACAGGACTCCCACACCCGCTGTAGCCAATTAGCTTCGCCAGGCCTCCGACACATTTCCTAAGCGGCACGCACTGAAGACTGCAATTATGCCGCCCGAGCGGGTAATGATGCCCATAGCACCGACATTCTGCTTCCGAAGGGTGTTCTGCACGCCCGCAAAGATGGCGCCGGCAACGGAGAGCTGGAGGGCCGTTTTCGACGTGTTCGCGAGCGTGTCTCGCGGATGGTAGGTATCGTCGTGGGAGGCCATGACGGGCGCAATTGGGCGGTGATGTCGTTGCGGAGCTCTCGCGAGGTTGAAGTTGAGTCGCGGCGACGCTAGCGACAGCGCAGCTTCCACGTCTCTTGGCGCGCATCACTGTTTGACATGAGCAAATGTCTTACCCACAACGCCGCTTTGGGGGATTGCTGGCTTTTCGCCCGGCCAGACGTGTGAACTCTTCCTCGTTACGAATCTGATCAGTGCCGGACGTGGGCCTCCGTTCTCTCAAAGCCGTGGTGAGCGAAGCCAACTTCACTCAACCCGCTGCGCGACTGCCGCCTAGAGACAGCAGACCACGCCCGCACCTTCCACTTGACGGTGCCCGCTCCGCGCCTGCCGTACTCTCTGCCACGTAGCCCCGTCCAAGCTGTGCGGTATTCGAGTCTACAGCTCCACGCACCATATTCTTCAACATAACTCCACCAGGACGCCTCCGTAGCGGCAGCCATGGTTGGCCCAGGTCAGTCGTACGAGAACTACATGTATCATGCATCAAGGTAGCTGACCATGCTTTCTTATAGGCAAAACGGCACCCCTACTGCTACAGGACCTTCTCACATACGACCCACGCTACGAGCACGCAGCGGGCAGGAACCTGCTTACATCCCCGCCGCCGCACCATGACCCCCGTGCTGCTCCGATCTCCTCCGTGCCTTATCGAAACTGCCGTCACGATGTGCAGTTGAAGGAAGAGCAGAGTGCACTTCCACAGAGTGGCTTTGCCCCCGACGAGAACACTATATACAAAGTCGCCGTCTATTGCAAAAAGTGTCGCTGGCACTTTGACATCTGGGTCGACTTCCGCGACGATGGCCCGCAAAACGTTCCATGCAGGAAGTCAAACCCTGAATTCCCGCTACATCACTTCATATTCTCGGGCGAAGACGACCCGTCAAGATCTGAGAGTCTAGGCGGCCATAACAAGTCGCGGCTGTATACCTTCTACTGTTCAGCGCCTAAATGCCCAGTCGCTCTACGTATACGCATATCGCCACCTCGCCTCTCCGATTCCGACATTACCTTGCTGACAGACCCGGCAAACTTGCGGAAACGATGGGAACGCTCAAAAGAGATCAACGGAGACCGTGCCGATCCCGAGATGGCGCAATCCATCGATGCGCCCAATTTCTTGAATACCTATCTACACGACAGTTTCAATCCAACAAAAGGCAAGTCTAGGATACCACTCCTGAATAGGAAGTTCCTTAAGACATTTGGACGAGACTGCGACGACATTTTAACGAAGCTGGGCTTTACCTTCGCGGTAGAAGTGGACGCAGACGGCAATAGCACGGACGGATGGTATCTGCCGAAACCTTCAGAGGCTCAAAACCCTCTAGAGAGTCTCGAACCCACGGCTCGCAACATCATCGAGGATGCGCGGTTTGAATTAAATGCTATCATTCTACGCTATCCGGAATCAGAGCGTTCTACGGCGCGTCGCAATCCTTTGGTTCTTACACCTGCCCGTAATCACATCGAGCTGGCGCTTGGCTGCGACGACTATGAACTCAGGGAGGGCGGTCGTAGGGAGACGCGCAGTACATCTCGCGAGGAAGACCATCCCTATTACGCTGGCCTCGGCGCACTGGCGGATTTTGCTGATGGCTTGTTGATCTTCGCATACCGTCGCCAAGTCATAGAAGATGCAGTCAACACATCTTACTATTTCGAATGCTTAAAGGATCTGGCCAAAGGTCGCAACAGTGAGGCTCTGTTGACAGAAAGCGCGATACTCGAGTCCCAAGGATTAATCACGCGACAAGATGTTATTCAAGCCTATCGCACGCTCGGTATAGATCCTTCCCATGCCTCTGCTCTTAGTGATGAGATCATCACCAACCAGTTCAAGTCTCGACTGTCAGATATCGGCCCCAGACAGGTCGAGGAAGCCCGGGGTGCCCTGCAAGTCATCGGTACAGCCAGAAATAGCGAAATCATCAAACGAGCGGCATCAAACTCCATTGAAACGTACGAAGAAGCGCTCGCTTGGCTCAGTCTTCCGGAATCTGTAGAACTTTCTGGCGATGACTTTGTCATCACCATGTACACATCGAAAGTAAATGACAGTCCTCAAGAAACTGAGACTGGAAGAAAAGCAGTCAAAATAATCGCAGACTATCGCAAAAGTCAGCGGTTGTGGCAATGGCTGGAGACAGGGCAAATGGACGCGGCTGAGATGGACGCGGCTGAAGCTTATGCCACCCTAAGCATCACAGACAGATCATCGAGACTTGACCCGAGCGTCTTGCAGACACTGTACGAAGGTATGCTTCTAGATGCACCGGAGAATGCGCAAAGACTAGGGACCGCTCTCGCAAAGGTTCGGCAAGATCAGCAAAATTCATATGGAATCTCCTATGCCGATACAACGCAGCAGCCGAGCCATAATTATGAGCTGGATGAGTGGCCCGTTGGTTGCTGTAACATTGGTAATACTTGCTACTTGAACAGCGTATTGCAGTTCTTGTTCACCATCAGGCCTTTGCGCGACATGGTCATCGATTGCGACACGCACTTCCAGGACCTGTCACCCGAAGCTTTGGAGCCGAAGCGCGTGGGACGAACGGCTGTTTCCCGCGCGAGGGCCGAGACTGGTCAACAATGTGAGCACCGGCCCCTGACAACTTCGAGACTCGTGCTTTTGCAAACCCAACCCCTGTTTCAATAGCAAGTGCTAACCTTAACAGTCGTTCGAGAACTGCAAGCTTTGTTCAAGCATATGATTACTGCGAATACACACAACATCCGCCCGGAGCGATCCCTTGCTGCTTTGGCGCTGACGAGGGGCGAAAGCACGGATATTGCGAGCGAGGCACCAACTCGTGCGCCCTCGAGACTAGGCAAGATAGGCGACATGCCGGTCAGTGGGCCTATGCTTCCGCCAGTATTCCTGACGACGTCGATGCCTCCTTCTCCTGCTGACTCTGTGATGGGCGATGCCGAAGGCGATGCCGATAGCATGCATGCTATGGACCTGACAGCAACAGCAGATAAGCCCAATGACACTGCCGCCACTCAACCGGAGCCACCGTCGCGGCCTCCTCCCATTCCTCCTCGGCCACAGGCCTCGGCTGACATTGGCCTCAAGAAACTCGAGGACGTAGCCCAGCAGCAGGATGCCGCTGAGATCTTGAACAACGTATTCGACCTATTGTCTTGTGCTTTCAAAGGGGAGGATGTGCTACAGGATGGTGAACAGCTGGATCTGATCAAGAAGACTTTCTTCTCTAACGTCACAACCGTGCGGAAAACAAAGGATAAGGACATTCCGAAATCCGATCTCCAGGACAATGTTCTCGTATCGACGAAGGGTAGGGACCGATCGATCTGTGCCGCCTTGGACGATGAATTCGGCCTCACCGAACTTGAAGGCGGCGTCACCAAGTACGAGTTCTTTGAAAACGCTGCCCCAATCCAAATTATTAACGTTCGACGCCTGCAATTCGAGAATGGCCGTGCGCGAAAAGATGAATCACATCTCGCGCTAGATAAAGTCCTGTACTTGGATAGATATCTAAAGTCGACCAGATCGCTTTCCGAGGAACAGCTACAAGAGCTTCGAAACCAACAGTGGCAGCTCCAGGCTGAGTTAAGAGCTCTTGAAAACCGCAAGAAGCTGCTCAGTGAGACCGACTTTAAAGATGTTGATCTTCCGGGTGTTCTGGCTGAGACTGCTTGCCTAGTCACGAAGCTTGAGGAGCAGTCGCCAGAGTCCAACAGCAACAACGAGCCTCCACAGGCATCTCAAGAACAGAGTAGCACCAGCCCGGCTTCTCGAGAAGCGATCACGGGCCAGCTCAACCAACGCGCTGATGAGCTCCGTCCGGAGCTTGCCGAGATCCACGAACGTATGGACAAGCTTGAGAAGCAGATCGACTCCGTCTTTAAAGATTGTCAAGATCACCCGTACAGACTACATGCTATATTCATGCACGCAGGCTCGCACAGCGGAGGTCATTACTGGATATATATCTACGATTTCCAGAACGACATTTGGCGAAAATACAACGATGAAACCGTCAGTTTGGAATCGGAAGAAACCATCCTTAAGCGGGTACAGCAGGATCGACCGCCCACGAGCACAGGTATTGTGTACGTCCGCGACGATGTGGCGATCGAGTACACGGAGGCTGTGTACCGGAAGCCGAACAAAGGGACGGATGCGCAGGATGGCGAGACTACGCAGCGAGGCGACATCGAGATGACGGACGCCACCCCGGCGAATATTGTCAACGTGGAGGATTTTACGAACTTGGAGGTCTTACACGGGCAGGAGCTGTAAGAGTTGCAAGGCGTTTTACCTCGATCTATTTTGCGATATGACGCACGATTAGCACTTTCATGGTTGTGCTAATTGTACTCGTGTCCTAGGCCTAGCCCACTCTGTCCGCCTGACTCCCGAACTGGTTCTTCTACTCTGCCTTCTCTCCTTTCCTGCAAAGACGGCGATATGTCCGATGACCACCATAAACCATTTACTTATCCGTTCGATCAGCGCTCTTCAAGATTCGAGCGCGAGCGCAGCGACTCGGGCGTATCCAGCTCTTTGAATAATCTGGTAGCCGCAGTCCAGCTCAATCGGGAATCCGGCAACGCTCCCATCAAATCTCCTGGTAAACGGGCTACGAGAGACTTCATCAATTTTGTATCGACGTCCCCAGAGAAGAAAAGCAGGATTGGGGAATGTGGTACGAAGGACGTGTTTGTGGGGAAGTTAACAGATGGAAAAAGGACATAAGATGAATATTGGGCGTGGAAAGCAAGGCGAGGCAGGCCCGCCTCAAGCGTCTCTCTTGCAAGGGGGGCGATAGTGGCTAGTGAGCGACACTAGAAACCTCCGACCCTTTGCGTATTCAATTGGTGTGTATAGTGGTGTGGATGGCTTCTTTCCGATATGTTCATTGTTGTGGCATGGTCAGGATTGTGATTTGTCTCGTATGGTGCAGACGTTGGTGTGCAGTTGCATTAGCGCATGGCGGATCGGAGCAGGAGGGGGATAAGACGTTCATAGCATTGCGCGGTACACAAGGGTTGCATTACGTCCTGTAGATACCCCTTTTCTGGATAGGAGAATATAGACATAGCGAGGCCTTTGAGCTTCGAGCGATGTTGTACTACCACTAACCGAAGCGTGAACGTATAAATGTGTGGCTGATGTGGCGGTGCAGAATCTCGCTTATCTTATCTTTTTCCGCACTCACTGTGCGAAAAGAACCCTGGGAAATCCGAACACCTCACACGCTACACGCTACAGTCTACGGATCACTCTACGTAAGTACGAATGCTGCTAGATCTGTCGCACTGCTAACGTTACTCGTAGCCTACCAACTTCCCCCAAACCGACACAATGGAGAACGAAAGAGGCGAGCTCGTAGATCTGTAAGCCAACCTTTGCCCTTCGAATCGAAACCGTGGATATCTGATACCTCACAGCTACATCCCGCGCAAGTGCAGCGCAACCAACCGCCTCATCCGCCCCGATGACCACGGCTCCGTCCAGATCTCTGTCGCCAACGTCGATGCCAACGGCCGCGCCATAACGGGAGAGAACACTACCTTCGCGCTTTGTGGTTTCGTACGGGCAATGGGCGAGGCGGACGACTCGCTGAACAGGCTGGCACAGCAGAGCGGCCTGCTCGAGAAGGTGTGGAGCCCGGTCAAATAAACAGCTTGGGAAGAGTGGGCGCGACGTAGACCGAGGAACGATACCATACGAACTGCATGATAGACGGATCGCATTGGGCTTTTGGCGCATAGGAAAGCTGGGAAGGTTGGACTGAGCGGGAAGCATCCCCCGTCATGGGAGCGCCCGGCCATCGAGACAATCTGCGCAAAGTAGAACGGGATTCACTTCATGTTCAAAATTCCGCAAGACCCTTGCCACGAATGTAGCAAAGGAAATGATTAAAAAAAACGGGGAAATTCTGCTCTCATATTCTTTGAAGCGACCTATGTCTCTGTGAGAGTGCTCCTTGCCCACCCTCAGGGACGACTGATGTACCAAGTGGATGTTAATGGAACAACTACAAGGAGACTAGCGATGGCACGACAGACTGCGCTGCGACTTTCAAGCTTTTGGTCCCTCGAAATCTATCGTCGCAGCGCTAACATTTGTAAACTATGGCTCAACGCCATAGAATCCTCGCCGGGCCGGGCGGACGCCTCAATGTCTGCAAGGCTGTCGTCAGATCCCGGCAGAGCCGGCAGATCATCTCCACACTTGCGGGCTAGCACGTGCCGAATGCATTCAATTGTGAAAGTGTGGCTAGTGACACCCCGGGACCAGAAGCTGGCGATATCCATGAGCACCCCACGTCTTGCTCTGGATGCCACGAGGCTAGGCGGGCGGCGCTTCTCGACATGTGACAAGGCAGTGAGATGCTCTTGCGCCGCCATGAGCGGTAGTAAAGGGGTACATGTGCTCGGAGCAGCGCAAATGTCAAGTCATAGGAGGAACGCGTTGCCGGAAGAGGCTAGAGAGCAGCGCAAGGTGTTCGGTGGACGGTGCTACTGATGACGATCCGTGGTGTTGAACCAACTGCCAAGGCCAAAGCCAGCAAGCTGCATGACATCACTGCGACTTCTTATGCCTGTTTGGCGACAACATAAGGGCCTCGTTAGGCCGCAGCTTCCCCTTTGGCTTTTGTTTCAGCTTCAGAGAGCCATTTCGGTCCCGCGCGCATTTCTTAGTCGGAGTGATCTACGCGCCTAACTGTGCGGTAATCTCGCTGCGCACTCGGGCATCGTCTGCGTGACTGCTCCGCCTCGGGCCTCTCCTTTCGAGCTGCAGACGCCCGTCTACACGTCATTCCCGAAGCACTCCGCGAGAGCTGCTGGAGCTTGCGACCTACAGCACCACAATTCGACTCCACTGTATTCGAGGACCGCAATCGTGAGCCTTGCAATAACCGCTCGCCATGGCATCCCAGCGACCCATCACGCCCTCGGGCGGCTACAATGGCATCCCTACACCTAGCGACCCTACGCACCTGAGCAGAGGATATGGCGCCAATTCGCACCTGGGCGTCGACGGCAACGACTTTGCGACCACCCCCTCAGCCCCTGTAGAATCCTCACCACTATCGCAATCGCTCAACCCCCACGACAGCGAAAGGTTGGGCAGGTTCAATGAGAACTTTGATGCGCAAACGCGGGGTTCGTCAGTGATTGGAGATGGCGAGCATTTGCCTGCCCGCTCCGCCTCGCGCGCATCTACCTTGGGTCATGGAGCATCGGGGGCAGCTTCAGGAACCCCCTCGCGCAGTGGCACGCTGAAGAAGCGAGCCTCGGTCAAAAGGAGTGGCAGTCTCAAGCGTAGCAGCAGCAGACGAAGCGTGCGCGCGGGGAGCATCAAGGGCGTCGAGTTTGCCGACGAGGATGGCAGTGGTGTTAAGCACAACAGTGTCTTTTATACCCCCGTCCCAACTTCAGGGTCCCCTACCGACATCCTTGCAAACCGCTTCCAAGGTACGCTTGTCTACGCTATGTTGGCACCATGCAGCAAATGACTGATAGTTTGACAGCTTGGCGGAAACTGCTCAAGGACCTCATTTCGTATTTCCGCGAAGTCGGCGCCTCCTTCGAACACCGCTCCAAGGCCTTGCTCAAGGTCTCCAATGTCATCAACAATACCAATGCGCCCGCGCTATTCCTCGCTGAGGGCGGCCTGAACGATGCGAACAAGATCCTCCGCGACTACCATAAGCAAGCACTGTCCGAGTCGAACAAGGCCAAGGAGATCGAAAATGAGGTGGTCAACCAGCTATCTGGGCTTCGAGCAGACCTGAGCCAGAAGATCAAAGAGATCAAGTCTCTGAGCGGTGACTTTAAGAACTCCGTAGACAAAGAGAAAGAAAATACCCGAAAGGCTGTCGGTGCTTTGGAGGAGTCTCTGGCCCTGATCGACTCTGATCCCGCAGCTGTTGCCGGGAAAGGAGATCCATTCGTGGTTCGCTTGGGCGTAGATCGACAGGTCGAACGCCAGATTGATGAGGAAAACTATCTGCACCGCGCGTATCTGAATCTCGAGCACTCTGGGCGCGAGCTAGAGTCGATCGTTGTTGGAGAGATCCAGAAAGCCTACAATGCGCTCGCAAGCATCATGAAGCGTGAAGCCGATGAGAACTACTCCACAATTGAGAAGCTGCGAAGCGGACCTGTGGGTATGCCTCGGGATCTAGAGTGGAACCAGTTCGTTACCAATGACCCGCACTTCGTAAATCCAAATCTGCCTATGAGGAGGTTAGAGGATATCGAATACCCTGGCAAACACCATCCCGCTGCTGCTGAGGTAAGAGCGGGCATGCTAGAGCGCAAGTCAAAGTATCTTAAGAGCTACACACCGGGCTGGTGAGCGGATCCACATCTGTTCTTTCGTTACTTCCTTACTAATTTGGTACAGGTACGTTTTGTCGCCTACTCACTTGCACGAATTCAAGAGCGCGGATCGTATCTACACCCAGCCACCAGTCATGTCCTTGCTTTTGTCTGATCAAAAGTTGGGGAGTCACGCTCAACCCAACAGCAGCTCCTACAAGTTCGGTGAGTTGACATAACTCGTCACCCTTGACTTTGGCTAATGTTCGCAGTGATCAAGGGCCGACAAACTGGATCCATGCACAGAGGACACACATGGATTTTCAGGTGCGTACAGTGACGATCTTCGAATCTTGTACTGACATTATACAGAGCCGAAACCTATGACACCATGCTCGCCTGGTACGATGATATCAACAGCCTTATCAACAAGACTGGCGAGGAGCGTAACCAATTTGTAACCCGCCACAAACGTAGCTTGAGCACTGGCAGCGCCCGTTCAGTCAGCTCAGACGGAGGCCTAGAAGAAGACGAAGCGGACCGCGTTCCTTTCTCTGCAGCCCAATCAATCCAGCACCAAGCCGTTGCGCAGGAGTCCGAGCTTCCGTCTCGACCGAGTCCAGGTGGGCGATTCCCAAGTGATCTCCAGGTCGACCGAAGCTTACAGGCACGTGGCCCATCCAGTGGCAGCTCATCGGAAGTCGGGCTTGATTTAGCGACCGCAGCCGGAGGCCCTCAGACAGCGCATGCTAGTTATCCAAACGCATACGACGACCGCACCCCTTATGATGCCGCGTACGGTCCGGGCAATCCCTACGAGTACCACCCGGACAATCCGCCCCAACAGCTCCAGCAGCAGACCTCATACTATGCGAACAACTTACCGGCAACGCCAGGCCAGAACTTTGCGAATAGTCAACCTACCGCTCCATCTGCCGTCCAACCCGTACCGTTCGAAGCCTACCAACCTTCAGCGCCCGCCCAGGCACCTGCATCTCAGCAACAACCCCAACAGCAATACCCAACATTCGGTCAAGGCCAGCGCCACGCTAGCAACTACGGCGACTGGATGGCTCCTACAGCAGCGGGTGCAGGAGGCCTCGCCGCAGGAGGCCTCGGCGCAGAAGCACTTCACCGTCACCGCCAGAACCAAGATCAAGACGATCAGACAAACGCCGCGCTCGCCGGTGCTGGCGTCGACGGTCGCGCTGGACCAACTGCCTCCCAAGACTACGCGTCGCACCCAGCCTCGCAGATCGTCTCCCAGCACGAGAACGCCGCCCTTGTAGGCGGCGTAGTCCCTATCCCCGTCCCTCCCCATTCCGGCCACGACCGCGCCGATGGAGCCCAGGCGCCCTCAGTCGCGCACGAAGCCGTCGTTGGCGTGCCAGCCCCTGTGGTCGCGACGGCAGACCGCCTCCCAGAGTGGAGCGCGCGCGAGTTTCCGCAGGCTACGCCAGCGTTGGCCGCGGCTGAAGAGGGAAATCAGTTGGGCAATTTTCAGGGCAATGGCGAGCCTGTGAGCCACATGGCCCCCCCGGGCGTGAAGAGGCAGAATACGGATTTTAGTGTTAGTGATCTGCATGTGCCGGGGGAGTACCCGAAGCAGAGGGGCGTGTAAACCACGTACGTGGGGAATGCTCTGTGCACGAGAGTCCTGTCAAGGTGCGGTTACGGCCGGGTCGACGTCTGCTTTGCTTTGATTTGCTTTACGTTGGCGCTGCGTGAAAATGGAAATGATATCAGGTTGGGCTGGGTGGGCTCTTGGAATGGAACGGGATGGGAATGGAATATATGGTAGGCACGGCTAAGAGTATGTGGGGAAATGTGTCTCAAGGGGTACTCTTGTTCAGTTGTGCTTCTGCTGTCTTGACATACAATATGATTCAGTCACATGCTTTCGTATTTGCTGCTGTAAACATTCCTCGCTTCTAAGAGTCTCACTTCCATCATTGACTGTCTTCGCTTCTGGAGATGTTAGTACACTTCAATACTATGGATGGGTTTCAAAGTTCTTGCGAGACGCTCTTGCAGATGAAGAGGATACAGTTGAAGAATGGAACGGACATGCAACATCATCCGTTCGCCAAAATTTGGAGGAAAATGAAGCTGATGGGTTCTTCGGTCCTGGTTATATTCTAGTGGAATACCTGTGACGCTTAAAGAAAGATGGTTCATCCTAGTTTGCAACATAGCCTCGATCTTCAGAGATGGTATTGTATGTTGTCAAAGACGTGACCTCTTTGAAGCGCACCGCTGCACTGGAATCACGCACGGTAATTGTCGTGAAAAGGATCAGGTTCTTGCTATCAATGGCGCGGGCACTCCTTTATTCTACGATGAATGGGCGAGATCAATAGAGACGGACTCAACCAGCTTTCGGCTCGCCGAGCACAGGATGCTTCCGCTCGTCGCCATAAGTTGCATTAGGCAGCCCACCCTTATCCCTCGGCAATACCAGATTCAAGAAAACGCCCACAATCGCAGCGATGACAAAAGGAGTCTCAACAGCCAAGTTGATGCCTTGTTCAAACCCAACCAGGTTCGCGTTGGGTCCGCTGTAATCCAATATCTGCGCGAACCAGTCCGGCTGACAAATGTCCATGAAACCGATGCCTAATGCAACCGTGAGAATGAAGCGGTCGCGTCGGGTCCAGGCGATAAGGGCAAGCACGCGAACACCAGCAACGGCGATGGTGCTGTAGAGGAATACTTGCATACCACCGAGGACTGACGGAGGCATGGAAGCGAAAACAGCGCCGAACTTGGCAACGATACCCATGAGAACGAGGAAGCCGCTTGCAGCCCATCCAGCCCGTCGCGATGCGCAGCCGGTAAGGAGAATAACACCGTTGTTACCGGCTTGCGACACCATTGGTGGCCCAGTCGCGAGCGCACTGAAGAAGCTACCAATCCCGTCACACAGGATGCCACCTTGGATTCTGCTGTTGAATTCCGTGCCTTCGATATCAACATCCGAAAGTTCGGCGGTAGCAAGGATATCTGGGATACAGCTGACCGCTTGACAGGCGAACATGATCATCATAGGAAGGACCAGGGCGCCATCAACTGAGAGCTTAAATGTGTGCACCCACAGGAACGTGCCTCCAGGCGCGCGCTGAAGCTGCTCAGTTGACCAATACCCTTTAGCACCGGAGATGATGCATCCAACCGCGAGCCCGATGATGACGGAGGCGGAGCGCATCAAGGGAGCTCCGATACTTTCCACAGCAATAATGGTTGCAAATACGCTGAACCCAAGACCGATCAGCTTCGGGTGACCCCAGACCAAGGGTCGGGGAGCTGCGACATCTGGACACAACGCGTAGAATCCTTCGCCGCCATGGCAGTTGGAGCTACCTCCCCAGTTTTGCAGTCCATTGCCAACCAGATAGACTCCGACAAGAGTCAGTAAGCTGCCGGTGATAAGCTTGGGGAAGATTTTGTTGAGGAACTTGGGCGGGACAAAAGCCATTGCTATCTGAATCCAGACGCAGCATAGCATGGTCCCTAAGCACGCACCCCATGCATCGAGGCATGGGCCTTGCGTCCCATCCGCGTCGACGGGGCAGGTACCAGATTTGTACCGCAAAGCAGCGTAGTTGAAAACGATCGGCAGGATATCAAAGGTAGGACCGACAACGGACAGTAGACCTGTACCGATGAAGAAGGGTGTCTTCATAATGTGGAGTCGCGTAACCTGAAGAGCTGTAGCAAAACCGGTAACAATGAAGGCTGTAGACACGAGGTATTCGGTCATAGCTGGATCGAAGTTGAATGCGCCGGAGGCAATAGCAAGCGGCGGCGAGACGATGGAGCCGATCATGGTAAGTGCATGTTGCAGGCCGAGCAGAAGCGTCAGCAAGACGGGTACTCGATCGTTGAGACCGTAGAACGGTGCCCTGTAATCCTTGTATTTCCGATTGAGAGGCCATATGTTCGGAGTGATCAGGTAGACATAATCCTGAGCCAAGTCAGTGAGACTACTCTGCCGAGGACCTCAATATAGACATACGTAGTCACCGATCCAGCCATCCTTAGTTAGAAAAGTATGCTTGAGTTCGTCAAGCGTCGTCTGCCATTTGGTACGTACGGCGCCTTCGTTGACCGATGGCGTGTAGTCGGCGGTGTCAATGACCTTGGAATCGGACATGATGAGCCAGCTTGCTGCGATGGGCGATTGGACTTCTACGCTGGGTCACGCCAGAAATCTTATACATGCTGCGTCTGATATGGTATCCTTTTCGGGCGCCGGGCTCCTGCTATGGAGATGGTAACTCCGCTCTTGTACCCCATGCTGATAGCCAATCAGTGGGAGGCGATAATCATATCGCTGGTGGGAACTTGATCAGCACCCTCGGCCGCGCCGGGGTGGAACACTAAGATAGAGCATTGCTCCGGCGCCGGCCGACGTAAAGCAAAAATTAATGGTGAACAACCGCTCAACATCAGACTTGCTGTTAGGTAATTGACACAGTGTCGAAGTGTTTTGTGAACAATTCAAACATTCCTTGATTCGGTCCAAATTCTCAAGAAAAAGAAATCGCGAAAATGCCTGGAAGCCAGCCGAAAGCCAAATCTCACCTGTTCATCCATGCGACCATCGTAACAGTCAACAAGAGCAGAGATGTCATCCTTGACGGTGCACTGCTTGTCGAATCTGGTCGCATCAAGGCCATAGGGAAGACAGCAGAGCTTCTACAGCAGTCGCAAGGAACAGGTTCCAGTGTGGAAATAACCGATTGTACAAACCAAATTATCATTCCAGGACTCATCAATACACACGCACACCTGGCACAGTCATTGCTGAGGGGGCTTGCAGAAGACTTGCCGCTTCACGAGTGGCTGTGCGATGCGATCTGGCCAATGGAAGCGAACTATGACGAAACGGACGGCTATGTCGCGGCACTGGTGACAATCGCAGAAATGTTGAAAACGGGGACGACTTGCTTTCTAGAAGCTATGCTCACGCATCGGAGCGGTCTCGAAAATATCGTGCAGGCTGTCGAAGAAACCAGAATCCGCGCATGCCTGGGAAAGCTCATCAAAGTGACCGAGACAAATTCGGATCTAAAGCTGAAAGACGCGAGAGACCGCGACGTCTCTTCCATGTCCATTTCCTCAGCTCTCAATACTCATAAAGTGCATCATGGGTCGAACAATGACCGTTTGCATATTTGGTTTGCAGCTGGTACACCGAGAGGATCGCCCAGTTCTGCGCACACAGCAATAGGGGAGACTGCGAAGAAGCACGATATCGGCCTCACTATGCATTGCGCTGAGGCACCGAAAGATCTTCCTATTTACCGCCAGTACTACGATTGCAGTCCGCTGCAGTTCTGCAAGGATACTCAGTTGGTTGGCGAAAAGAGTGTCTTCGCGCATGTCGTTCATCCAGATGCGAAAGCAGGCGATCTTGACATCCTCCGCGAAAGCAAGAGCACAGTATCTCATAATCCAACGAGCAACCTCAAGCTCGGCTCTGGTGTGTGTCCAATCCCAGACATGGTAGAAGCAGGTGTGAACGTCGCGCTCGGCACCGACGGAGCGCCTTGCAACAACACGTACGACATGTTCCGCGAGATGCATCTGGCTTCAATACTTCACGGTGGTGTCAGAGAAACCGCAGGGCTGCTAAGTGCGTACCAAGTGCTCGAATTTGCGACCATCAATGGCGCCCGTGCGCTAGGGCTTGATGGCGACATAGGAAGCTTGGAGGTGGGAAAGAAGGCTGACATTGTGCTGGTGGCACCCAAGGGCGCAGCAGTCGCGCCATGGGATGCCTCGCAGATAAGCACTGGTGGTGTAGATCCAGTCTCGATCGTTGTTCACAGCGGTGGTGATAATGTCGACTCTGTCCTCGTGGACGGTGAGTTTCTTGTAAAAGGTGGTAAGTTGCTGTACCTCGATGAGGCTGCGGTCGCGGAGCGGGCCAGAGATTCCGTGGCTGGTATCCGCAGTAGGAGCGGAATTACTGCACGAAACCACCAGAAGCTACATTACATATAAAATGTATGCAGTTGCAATCTTTCATAGAGAGGCGTCTGGGAGTGCTCGATGTCCGACGGCCCAAATTGGTTGCCTGCGCATTCACGTCGTATAGAAGTTTTCGAACAAATACTCGCCCTCAAATCCAGCATGTGTGCCAAGAAGATCCATAAAGGAGTCCCAGGAGTCGTCTTCAATGACAAGTGCTTCTTCCGCAACGGGTGGAGGAGGAGAAGTGACGCCAAGGTTTTGCGAGGCATCCTTGATGAACGCTTGCATATTCAGGGCTCGTTGTCTCTTTCGGGGTAACTCTGGCGCTTCGCCACCTAGAGGCCTATGCCGCTTTTTTGAGCCATCTGAGACTGTCTTTCCAAGTTTCTGCTGCAGAAAGAATAGCAATTGAACACCGCGCATGGCAATCTTGCTATGACTGAAAGCTCGCAAGTAACCAATTGCGTCCGCCACAAGCTGCTTGTGTTCCTTAAACTCCCTCTCGCTTGGTGCTCGGTGAACACTATCTAAACTCAGAATGATACCAGCAGCTATAGTGAACGCCTGCTCAATCCAAATGACAGGTCCATGCTTGTCAGGGACAGCGAGTGCTTCTCTCAAGATGGTTTTCGCTGCTGCGAGGCAGGTACGACGGGTAAAGGCAAATGCCGAATTAGTAAAAGACAGGCCCACAAACTTGCGGTGACTGATTTCGTTAGATAACAGTCCAGCAAGCTCAATGATACTCACATCATGATGATTTTGTGCGCTGAGGTCTGATTAGCATAGAGATAATTATGATAAGAGATTCTTACCAGCACAGATCGTCAATGACCGGCGGCCCCAGTTGGTATAGTTGGGCCCTTGGGTATGAAGGGGAGCGTCCGATGAAAGAAACGTGGGAATAGAAGCGGTTGCTAATTTGCGCATCTTGTCATCAAATCTGAGGACCTGTTCGTATTTCGTGTACAGAGTGTTGCAGTTGTTTGTTGCGTCCAGGAGCTCCGGCATCAACGCGGCAATATCGTATCGGAAGTTACAGTAGCTCGTTTGAGTAGGCGCAGACAGGGGCTTGATGGCCATGTCTTCGTCGTTACAATTGAGAGGCCGGACAACACGCGAGTAGCTTGAACTCAGGGCGTATGTCTCCGAAAATGGAATCTGAAACCAATCCTGGGTACAAAGTTGAGTCAAAACACGTTTACCAGCCTCACGCTTCCGGAGTTGTTCAATGGACAGGTCTGTCGATTCGGACCCTAGTCTATGAAGACCAAGGGTTTGCGCTATCTTTCCAGCTGAGGCTAATAGCACGGCTTGACTGTTCGATTTCCCTATCACATGAGCTGATATGGTCAACGTGGCAATGGCCTGCACGGAGTAGATGGTATGGATCTCAATGTAATTGGAAAGGTTCAGGCAGATGACAGATGCTTCGTACCACTTCTGGGAGAGGGTCGGTTGCTCGTTCGAAGAGAAACCCCACTTCTCGAGCGTTGATGAAGAGGCGCAAGTCATGCTTCCAGTAAGTATAGCGAATAAAAGTGCGAGCCACTGGAGGTTAAGGTGCTCATAACGGACACTCCCGTGGTACCGCTCGATGAAAGTGTTGAGATCATCCAACAAGATCTTCGATGAGTACGAATTGTGATACCAAAGGACAAAATCATTATGATAGCGAATAAGCTGATATAGGTGACTCCGATTTGGCATGAGAGCTTCCAGGAAGTCGAGCTGGGCACGAGTGCTAGTTTCGGTCAGGATGGCAGCTTGTCCCGAACTATGGTCGATTCTCAAAGTGTGCTGTAAAGGTCCACTTTGATGCTCAGGAGCGGTAGAGAAGTCAACGTCTTTGTGACGCCCCCAGGCAAGAAACTCAAGAACGGTAGCAGCGTCGCAATCATCGCCGTCTACAGGGGGTACGGTGTCGTTGTCGACTTCACTTTGAGTTTCTGCTGCATCTTGGTAGTCGTGATCACTTTGTGGAGTGCCTTGCTCTCGTAGTTTTGCTTCGAGGTGAGCAACACGCTGCAAGAGAGCTTGAACAACGCCATCAGCAGTCTGCGAGCCCTCCCCGAAGGCGATTGACGGGTTCTCAAAACATGGAGTAGTGTCCTCACGAGCACAGGATTCAGCCAGCCCTCTGCCTCTTCGTCAGTGGCTGCGCGACACTAAAGCTCAGGGCACTACCTCTTGATACATGTGCCACACGGGATGTTCTTATCACACTTGATCTTGCGCCGATGACAGTGGACACATGTCAATCGAGCACGGTGGGGTCGCGTGTTTCCTGCGTCTTCTTCCATGATGCAGCAACGCGTGTCGCCGTGGCATGCGCGGATTGAACGTTGTGTTGACTCGAGGCTTCGGCGGCCGCAGTGTGCGGTGGATGCAAGTTGGGACGGCCGCCGCATCTTTAGCCTTTAGCGCGGCCAATCAGTGTCCGTGCGCTTATCCTTATCTGTCCGCACCTCGGCCGCGCCTGCCCCACCTCGATTCTGTCTGACCCTGGGGCGGCCGCACGCCGTGTCCATCACTCGGCCGCAGTCAGCAATGGAGCTGGGATCAACGCACTCGGCGCTGGCAATTCCAGCCTACACCTTTGTTCCAGCCTACACACTTAAACCTATAAAGGGAAACAAGTACAAGCTTCACCATGGCAAGCCAAATAGATCAGACCGTTCTGAAACATCTCATCATGGCTCCTACCCACTACGTGAACCGTACCGTTCCAACCATCTCCCTACGCGACTTCGAATCCCGAGCAGACGAAATCACTCGGGAACTCGTCGATGCTGCCGAAAATGTTGGGTTCTTCTGTGTCGTAGATCACGGCATCTCTCCATCTACCATTGACAACATCTTTGATCAATCTGCACGCTTTTTCAACCAGGCCGACGAGGTGAAGGCTCGTGTTCCATTCTCCCCACAGCACAATGCTGGCTGGGAGAAGAACGCCCAGATTCGACCATCAACTGGCTCTGCGGACCGTAAAGAATCATACCAGATGCAATTCGGGTCTGGAATGAATGGTATGCCGAAGCATGCTGTCGGCGAATCAGCGCTAACGGAAATAGGACGGTGGCTTGGGGAAGACACTCTTCCCGGTTTCCAGAAAGGTGCTCTCGACTTCATGCATCAAGCTCAAGGCGTCAGCGAAAAGTTGATGATATGCTTTGCTCGCGGGCTAGGTTTTTCGGATGATTACTTCATCAAAGCCCATGACGTTGCTCAACAGAAATCACAGACCGTGTGCAGACTATTGCACTACTTCGAGACTCCTCAAGAGGCCAACCCGACAGGCGAAGTATTCCATCGTGCTGGCGCTCACGCTGACTGGGACTTCCTCACACTGCTGTTCCAGAAGGCCGGACAGTCTGGTCTGGAGATATGTCCTGGCCGCGAAGTCTCGACCTCTTTCGGCTATGGAGACTCGTGGACCAAGGTGGAACCTGACGTCGAGAAGAACGCCATCGGTAAGGGTAATCTGTCTGAAGGAATGATTGCAACACAACGCTAATTCCCGTAATAGTGTGCAACGTTGGTGACCTGCTAATGTCATGGTCTGATGACCGATTCAAGTCAACTTTCCACCGTGTGAAAGCACCTTCCGAGCCTGGAGATTACTATGGCGAGCGCTACAGCATTGCATTCTTCAACCAGCCATGCAAAGATGCTAAGATTCAGGGACCGATGAAGAAGTATCCTCTGGTGACTGGCGAAGAATTCACGCGCAATGCCATGACGAGAAACTATAAGGCAATTCAAACAAAGCTTCAAAAGGAAGATGATCAAAAAGTGGCTGCACCGGAGAGTTCCAAGGCTATAAGTGCACAGGCGTGAAGATGACAGCTGTATGGTTAGGGAGTAGAAGGCAGTACCCAAAATGCATACCCATGTTTTTCTTCCATCCTTCCATTTGTTTTAGACATATGTTGTTTGAGGCCGCATTTCATTACAACTTTAGGCTCTAGGTAATGCGAGGCATTGCATACGTTTCAATATGAACTATAGGTACAGATCTAAATACACCACAGTTAAACCATTGCACAAGGTCTGAAACTACGTCGCACTTCGAAGACTCTATGATGTCTCATCTACGCGCACCAGAACCTTTACAAGGTGTTTAGCCGCTCAGCTTTATCATGACCGCTTCGCTTGCCTCAATCCCAATCTCCACCATCCCGCGATCCACGGGTACCGTTGTAGTATCATTCAGGACCTTCACTTCCTTCCCTCCGCTATTTACAGTCCACTGCACGCCTCCCCAAGTGATGTTCCCAACACGCGCCGTCCCACCCATCTCACTCGTAAGCCGCTTGATACTCACCTCGCTGACTCCAACCCCAATATCCAGCGTGATCTTCTTCTCCAACCTGTTTCCATCCCCTTCACTCCACAACTCCAGGTTCACTAACGCAATCCTCGCTAGCCTTCCTGCATCATACGCCGCATACCCCGCCAAGAACGGTCTGCCCAGCTCCAGGTGCTTGACCCTGATATTGCTCGTCTTTCCCACGAACTCTCCCGCGAATACATGCCCGTAAAACGCAGGATGCACACTCGCAGGCACGGTCTTCCCATTGTGTTCATACTGCGGGTTCCAGAGTGCGAAGGGAAACCCCAGACCAGATTGCCAATTTATACGCTGCACACCAATGGACATGCTGTAGAGTGAAAAGTCCACTTGCCAGAGGGCAGAGCCAAAGACGGCTGCGAGCGCGTTGTTCTGCGAGGCATTTCCGCTACCAAGAATGGAACCGACTTCCGCGAGGGCAAGTGGAATCGGCGCGATGATGTTGTTGAGGAAGACAACAGCGTCTTTGACGAAGGAGGAGCCGTGGACGACGGCTGTGTGGTTCATGATGTCGCGTTGAAGATCTGAGTCCGTGCGGACTTTGGTCTGGTAGCTTTGGGGGTTAGGATACGTGCTGCGCCCATATGACAAGATTAGATCTTACTAGTGCATGGAAACTGTCCCGATGCGAGACTTCACATCTTTCAGACCCAGATCGAACAACTCAGGTCTATGTCTCGTTAGTATGCATTCATACATGAGCAGAAGCCTGACCGACTTACACCCTCCAGCCACCAGGTGCCCCAGGGGATCCTGTCTTCCCGGTCTGACTCGCCAAACACACTGCCTGGAATATTTTCTCCTGCTCCCCCAAACCTAGTGTCTGCAATATCTGCGTCGACCACTTCTTCCACCTGCTCACATATGCCTGCTTGCTCAATCCATAATTGTCAGGCTCATTTCCGATCTCCAACCCCACAATATTATCCGCGCCAATCTTGTTGTAAGCAGCCTTAGCAAAGGCCTTGCTATTTGCAAGCTTATTCTTCTTCATCGGAATGTCAACTACATACTTTGCATCCGGGATCGTGGCAAAAGCGTCAAAGTACGATGGACCGAAGGTCATGTTATTAGGGATACCAGCGTTTTCCTCTCAAGGGGGGATTTTGATAGGGTCTGGCTGGGAGGGGTCGTATTGGGCGTCATCGAGAGATGAGCCGCCGACTCGTATATTGGGTGCTGCATTAGTCTTTGATGTGATAGCGTTGAGTAGGTTCTTTGAAAAGGCGTTCGGGTTGTTGGGTGTTCCTGAAAAGCTTTTAGTGCAGGGCTGTGAAGTGGCGGATTGTTACATACCGAAGTAGTAGTAGAATGATCGTTCTTCGAAAGCGAAGGCAGCAAAGTCGCGGCTGATCGGTTTGACATCAGCTGTGGGCATGGATGCGGGTACGGATATTGATAGTGCTTCATTTTGATGTGTTTCAAGAGCTGTGCCTGTGGCATAGCCGCAGTACAACAGAATAGCAAAGAAATTGTGTAAGTCCATTCTCATTCTCTCGATATGTGAAAGATTCAAATAGTTGGTAGCTTATGGAAAAGCATCCAATTTAGCTAGGAGAGCGTCTAATATATACATATCTAATTCCGTTACGGAGGACATGATCTCGGAGCCAGTGTATCGGCGATTATGCATTGAGGCATCCACTTTCGAGCGGCTACTTTTAGCTGACATGCATTGTTCAAGCCCAGCTGTAGTTCCGGGCCCCGTAATATGGAGGTGTCCGTATGAAAGCTTCTGTTTGAGTGAAGAACGTACAGGCGTGATAGGTGCCAGTGACAACATCGCCTTCGTGCATCTTCTCAATCGCCCCATCGGCCAATCGAGAATGACAGTCTTGCTGTTATCTCGATTCAAGTTGAGATAAAAGCCATGGGAACATTTTGCGTTGCGCAAAGAATTTGGGACGATCTCCTACACGTGGTTACCGCGTGGCGTTATCAGGCGCCCAATGGGTTGACTGGTGGCCTGTCTATCTTTAGACTGGACCTGCAGCTGGCACCAAAACAGCAAGGCTTCAGTCATATCCCTGAATATGGTCCAGCGCTATAACGGACCAAACGTAGCAAACGTAGCGTCTCTATAGCCTCTCTCGTATCGTGTTTGCCTCGAAAGCAAGCTAGCTTACGTTTAAATTCAGCACCCAGATCACAGCGTCATACCAGCATCTATTGTAAATCTTTCAAGCGCTATTACAATAAAGTTTAATCCAAGCTTATTAACCTGAGCCGTACCGGGCAACCGTCACGAAGCACGAACTCTAGGCCGGCTCTGCATACTTGTCAAGCTTTTCCACAATCACTCCAATATCCTTCCAAATCCTTCTTCTGTTCTGCAGACCCTTCAAGTCCTTCCAGTTCCTCGTGATTTCAACATAAACTTTATACCAATTCGTCTTCGATGCAGGCAGTCCTATTACCATCTTCTCCAACGCATCAGTGCGTCCCTTGGCCAGGAAATCATCAGTACTCTGCGAAAGGACTGTTTGCACGTCCGCCTCCCAAGCATCGAGAATCTCGGGTAACTCTGTTTTGATGATATCTCTTGTCTTATCGAGCCATGCTCCCATTTTATCCGCTCTCTTTTCGTGTTGAACAACGTCTTCCCAGGTGCTAGTAGCCCAGATGAATGGGAGGTCATCGCTCCACACCTCCCATAGATAGGGCATCTCTTTCAGTAATAGGTCACGCCAGAGTAAGATAGGCAATTGATGGAACGTTCGCGAAGCGAGACGTAATTGTGCAATGTCTGACGAAGCGAGGTAGGATACTGTCTGCAGGCGTAGTTCTAGCGGAAGGCTGCTGAACACGTCTCCACTCCATTCTTGAACCGGTATGTCAAATGCCCCATTTCGCGGGTCAAAGTTGTTATCCCCCTCGATTGCAGCTTGCAAGATGGGCGTGAGGCGCGGGATTAATAGAGGGTTTGCAGCGAGATATTCGCAGCCGTCTCGATGTGCCCACCACTGTTCGGAGCTTTGTCGGACATTAGGGTCGCTTGAAACTAGGTCGACATCCTCATTGGATTCAAACATCCAGTTCCCGAGGGCTTCGAGATTAACGTACCCAAATCGCTTTCGAGACAAGCGGGAGAAGATGTCGAAGCAGGCGGTGTGGAAAGGAACGGCGGTGTCTCTGTCGCTAAGGTCCTGTTGCTGCTTAGCAATCCCATCTCACTGACCGGAAACAAAGGATGTGAGGAAGTTGTTGACCATACCCAGCTGTCTACATTTGCGTCGCGTATTCCATGGCGGGAAGGTACAAATTCTTCGCCGCCGCAGTCCCTTGAGCGTACGTGTCCACAGAGACCGGACAAACAGAACTGGCCTCCTCTTTCGAAGTCTTGATCGTCCGGCACTGCTTCTTCGGCGCCTAAGTGAGCTTTACTAAGAAGACACTGAGCTGTGTTACAGCCCCTCATTTCTTCGGCTGTGATGAATTTGCCGTTATAGCCTGCTCCTCGGAAGCACTTGTGCGTTGGTGGCAGACCAGCCTTTTCAGGTTCAGTCGTGTACAATGACAGATCCGCAGCGTCGAAAAGGGTATATGTATCGTCTTCCGGATCAGAGTCGACATCCATGTGATCGTCCTCGTCCCCAACTGCCATTTCATCGTCGGAGTCGAACTCAAGTGGCTCTTCTCCGTCCGGCTCTTCATAATGATAGTCGTCGTCGTCTTCCCCATCAAGCATCTTCTCGACATCTGCGTTGAGTGCATGTCCTTCGATTCTATCCACATCTTCACGCTCATTGTCGTTCTCAGGCGCTTCACCACCAAGTTGTTCCTCCTCTTCCTCGCCGGGAGGGTCCTCATCCACACACTCGTCTAGCTTTCTTCCAGTCCCAAGCTGGCAGCCCACTAGCTTAGCGTCGCCCGTACACTGCCAGCCCATCCATGCCGGCTCAGAGCGCAGACGCCGGCGTCCAATGTTGAATGTGACGCCGCAGAGGCGGCAAGCGACTTCTGAATAACCCATAACTGGTTCTTGCGTTGGAGATTGATGAAGAATCAAGATGGAGATTTCAACGGAAATATGTCGCGAGATGTATGTTGTCGTGGGCTAGCCAGATGGAAGCACTAGTGTAGGCTGCAATCGTCTTTGATTGGCTAGAACATTAGCAGTGTCAGGCTGCCACCGCTGGAAATGTCACTCGGCATTCACTTTCCGCTGGCACGAAACGTTAGCGGTGGAGCGCCCTGGAGTGAATAGATCAATGTGTATGACATTTAAGCAGAAAGAGTTTATCACATGTTGAGTTTCTGAGCACCAATACGTACACGAGTCTGGATATACCATATGCAACGGCCTCCGCATGATGAGATTATTTCGCAAATCAAAAGACAGAAAGCAGAACACCCCAAAAGTTCTTTTCATATCGCCGTCTCAAGCAAAGTTCACGTCCATTCCCGCGACAACTTCCAGCGCATCTTGCTTCGCTACACGTGCACTCCCATCAACAACGCCAACCTGCCTCCTGCTCTCCACTAATGCCTTGATCAGCGCGATTGCGACGTCTCGTCCCACTGCCAGCTTTTCGTCGCTGCCGCTCAGATCGGGCACGTGCATGAATGCCACCGGCCGCTCATCTTCCTTCTTCTCAAAATAATGCGCAAGGCTATTGTAGTAGATGAACCCACACATGAAATTTCCCGCATCAGGACTGATCCTCACATCCGGCGCAGCTCCGAGCAAGAGGCCCGCCTCGAGATGGGGATGGCCAAGACCCTCTCTCCACCGCACGAGCACATCGGCAGTGTCGAAACTCGTGTGCAGGACGGGCGGAAAGATGTCTTTTGGGAACCGCGCTTCGGCATCCTCATCTAGGAATCTCTGGCCGTCCACATCGGGGATCTTGCCGTAGCCTCGGCCATGGGAGCCTTGCTCGAGCGTGTAGAAGGTCCGGCCCGCGGCGAGGCCGATGTGCAATATGATGTCGGGCGCGGGGTGCTGATGACTACCGGGTGGGAGGAGATGCGGAACTAGGTCGACGACCTTGTGGTAGGCTACGCGAGTTGGTTCGTGATGGACGTGGATGTGAATTGGAGTCGGGTTAGTTGGTGATGCTGGAATCAAGGCGGGGAGGGTGGAGGCTATCTCCCAGCTTGAGTTCTTGGGGAATTTGTCTAGGAACGGCTGAGGTGGTCAGAAACCTTTCCAAACGATAAACATGCACAGCGTAAACAGCAAGGTTGGTAAGGTGGTGGGAGTAACCTCGACCTTGTCCAGTGCTAGCTCTTGAGTGTTCGACAACAACGACATGGACCAAAGAAGACGGTCTGCAAAGTTCTAGACGGCTTGAAAACGAACTGAAACATAGCACAGCAGATTCGGGGGGTGGCGCACCCCAAAGCCAGTGACCAGCACCGTAACAGGTTCCTCGCCTGCGACTGGAAGCGGCTGCCTCGCGGTGGAGGCCCAAGCTCGTGGCATCACACGATGTTTGGAAGCGTGACTATCAGCGGACAATGTGTATCTAGCGGAACAATCAGCCACACCTCGCAGATCATGAAGACAGCGTTGCCGGGGGGAGGTAGTTGAGACACTCGCACGATGACGTCGCTGCGCGTGCCGAGAGACTCGGGATACTGTGCCGCCCACTCAGAGGCGAAGACGCCGGCAACGCTGAGACGGATGTGGTACTTACGTTGCGATGCGACAACAGGGTAGAAGATGCAACGATGCTGCTCAGTGTTTCATATTGCGAGGGCAAGACAAGAAGAAGAGGAGTTCTCGCGGGCACAGTAGGTGTAGGTGCAGGTCGGCTGCATGTAGCCAATAGCGCAACGGCGAAAGCGGTATAATTCCTCGTGACGTCTTCGCCTGATGTCAACTTCCACCCCTCCTCGCAATAGAACTCTCCCGCCGAACCATAAAGAGCTCATAGTGACAGTTGCACGGCTGATACTACTCTCCGAGCTTATTTCAACTCTTCTCGAAGCTCGCATCAGCACGCCAGTAGTTCCCCGCGGCAGCTACTGCATGATGACGATGCCGTCGGAACGCGCCCCTCCACGGCACTACATCCCGGGTGTTTACCATGGTCAACAACAACCTCCGAAGCGCGTCTTGTCATCGCTACAGTCCCTACAGTCAGACTCATCATGGCTACTTCTAAGTCCTTCAATATCGCCATCATTGGCGGCGGCATATCCGGCCTCACGCTCGCAATCGGGCTCCTCCAACACAACATCTCCATTACCATCTACGAAGCTGCCCCTCATTGTACCATCACACCACCTCGCCAATGCACCCGCAACTGACAGCTTGCAGTTGGCGAAATCGGCGCTGGCGTCGCCTTCGGTCCCAATGCCGTCCTCGCAATGAAAAAGATATCCCCCACCATCACTGCCGCCTTCGACAAGTGCAAGACCGTCAATCAAGGCCCCAGCAAAGCAAACAGCTGGTTCACCATCCGCGTCGGCGACGCGCGGAAAGCCGACGCGGACGGCTTCGTCAAGCCCGGAGTCAAAGTTGGCGACGCGTGGTACGACGTAGAATTGGATACAGACCGGGGCAACGGCGGCGTGTACCGTGCGCATTTCCTTGACGAGTTGGTCAAGGCTATACCGGATGGCGTCGCGCAGTTCGGCAAGAAACTCAAGCACCTGAAAATTGTAGACGACGGGTCGCGAGACGTGATATGCACGTTTGAGGATGGCACACACGCTCGGCACAATGCTGTCATCGGGTGCGATGGGATCAAGGCAACGACAAGGCGGTGGTTGCTCGGTGAGGATGACCCGGCGGCAAAGGCAGTGTTTTCTGGAAAATACGCATATAGGGGGCTCATCCCGAGCGAGGAGGCGACCGAGATGTTGGGTGAGGAGGTCGCACAGAATAGCTCGTTCTTCTTCGGATACCATGGACATCTTCTTACGTTCCCTATCGAGCAGGGCAAGACGATGAATGGTGCGTTGTCACTTGGCGGGAATTCGGCTCTCTACTAACACTGGCAGTTGTTGCGTTTGCCTCGTGCAAAGAGTGGAAGCACGACCAATGGGTGATCCGCACGTCCAAAGAAGACATGAATGCCGACTTCGCCGAATGGGGACCGCACGTACAGAAGATCGTTCACGCGATGCAGAAACCGGACATATGGGCGCTCTTCTACCACCTACCTTGCGATACATATTACAAGGGCCGGGTGTGTCTGCTTGGCGATGCAGCTCACGCGTCAACGCCGCACCAAGGCGCTGGTGCCGGAGCATGTATCGAGGATTCTCTCTTCATGTCAGAATTGCTGAAGGAAGTCGAGAAGAAGGAGGATATCGAAAGGGCATTCAAGGCGTTCGATGAGGTCCGAAGACCGCGAACGCAAAAGATCGTAAAGACGAGCGAAGAGGCTGGCAGGCTTTATGAGTTCGAGCTATTAGGAGATGATCTTGACAAAATTGAGCAGAACCAGACAAAGAGACAAAGATGGATCTGGGATTATGACGTAGATGAGGAACTCGCCAGGGCGAAGAGTATATATCACAGCTCAAGCGCTCAAGCATAATGCGCACAGATGCTGCCTCAAATTTACCGGATCTCGAGTCCGCCTAATCAATAACATCATCTCTGAGCTCGAATATGGCCTTCAAGACATCATCGGACTTCGCCGAGACAGCATTGTGGTACATTGCGTTCGTCACGTACGTCTTGCACCCCTTGATCGTCCTCGCCGTCTCCGTACTAAGCTCGAAGTCCACATACATATCATCAAGGTACGTCGCGGCGTACACAGGCACCTCGTTCTTCTTCAGCTGCTCCACATCATACAGCTGCGGCCACTCTTCTCTGGCAAGCAGCTCCCCAACCGTCTTGAGCTTCTTCAGTTCGGGGTACGTGTCGAACATGAAAGGGTAGATCATTTCGCCGGTGAAGTATATAGGTTTGGAGGGGTCATTGACGGTGGTCGTGTGATGGAAGGCGGGGTACTTTGAGAGGAGGCGCTGGGCGGACCAGTTGGAGGCGACCCCTGAAGAGTAGCAGGCTTCGTGGAGGAGGGCGTAGATGACGTTTGTATCCCATGGCTGGGTGCGCTCGATATGGAGGACGGTTGGGCGTGTGAGGTGGCCAAAGAGAGTGAGATCGTTGTCTGCGCGTAGAACGTGCTCATGGACACGGTCGAAGCCGCCTAAATCACGTTAGGGATCTACGATGTTGTGGAGAGGGGAAGAGGGATGTACCGTGCGCCCCGAAGTTGATACCCAGCTGGAGGAAGCGAGCCGCACTTAGATGCCCTTCACCACCCTGTACCCGTACGGTCTCATCACCAAACCGGCTCAGAAATTTGACAATCCGTCGTACTCTCTCCACATCCTCGGGATACTTGGCGTAATACTGCTCATTCCTCTTCTCAACCCTCGGATAGATCCTGTCATACACCTGATCCGGCCCACTGGTCAGCGGAGGCAGCCCTCCAAACACAAACGCTTCCTTTACCCCCTCAGGATAGAAACTCAAATATGTCACGCTGCAGAATCCGCCAAAGCTCTGTCCCATTATACTCCACTTCTTCTTCTCCTCGGGATAGTCAGCAGTCAACGCCTTCCGAATAGCTTCCGCATCCTTGACAATACTGTCGGCCTTGAAGTGCTTCATGTACTCAGCCTGCACCTTCTCGTCGCCCCTCAATTGCAGTGAGGACTGCGAAATTGCAGTCGATAGCCCGGTGCCGCGCTGGTCCATGGACAGTATTTGGTAGCCTTTGTCTAGGAGGAAGGAAGACCATTTGCTGTCTTGGGGCGGTGCGCATTCACAGCCGGGCCCACCTTGGAGGTAGAGGAGCCATGGGAGTTGCGATTTTGCGGGGTCTTCTGGGGTGGAGGGGTCTGCCGGTTTGGACAGTTTGCGGGCTGAGCGGGCGAAGAGCTGGATTGTTCCTAAGGAGGGGTTGGAGTGATCACGGGGGACTTGGAAGAAGTGCTCTGTTATGCGGAGCTTTCCTGGCACGAGATGGCTCCGTTGCTCGAGGATTTTGGCGGCTTGGATCATGTTGCCTCCTGAATGTACTGAGCCGAAATATGGGTCCTTCAGCCTTCTTGTTCACTTTTCTGGGATTTACGAGAATATTAGTCCCAGCCACGTGGTCTGTGTTTGTTTTCGCTGTGATCGTAAACAGTGAACGTAGAGGTAGAGGTAGTGGCGTGCTGACAGTTGGGTAACAGCTTTATCGATAAGGGGAGGGGCTCCCTATCACGACGCGGCAAGCGCTCCCAAAGATTAGCGGGGAAGCCAAACTCGTCAAATGACAATCCTGGCGTGAACGACGGCAGAACCTAAAGCTCGATCGCACACTCGTAAGACCAAACTGTATTTCTTCACCACAAGCAGGTCCTGCCCTCACAGTGAGTAAAGGCTAGATAAGCCCTAATTTCGAGCTGCAGGAATCGATCCACGTGTGGCGAGGTCGAGGCGTGTCCACAATTTGATCGAATACTCCTTTTTCGGAAACTATTTAGGCCAACATATTATGGCAAAAGACAAGAAGAAGAAATCGGGTGACAAGGTCGCCGCGAAAGCAGCAAAAGCAGCAAAGCAAGAGAAGAAAGCCGGCAAGAAAGACAAGAAGCAAACAACCAAGAACAAGGATGTAGACTCAGATGCCGAATCGGTAGATCTCGATGAAGTCCTTGCACAGTATGCAAAAGAGCAGGAACAGTATCTCGCCATCACTGAAGTGCCGTGCGACCCACCATCAGCGAGAACTTCAAGTTTGATAATAGGCAACCCGGCAAACGAGAATGAGCTTTTTCTGTACGGCGGCGAATACTACAACGGTGCCACAGTCAACTTCTACAGCGATCTATTCGTGTATAATATCAAGAAAGATCTTTGGAACAAGGTCACCTCGCCGAATTCGCCTCTTCCGCGTTCTGGACATGCCTGGTGCAGAGCCGCGAACACGAAAGACATATATTTGTTCGGTGGCGAATTCAGCTCTCCAAAACAGGGAACGTTTTACCATTACAACGATTTCTGGAGATTGGACCCGCAAAGCCGCGAGTGGACGCGTATCGAGATTAAGGGCAAGGCTCAGAATCCGCCAGCTAGGAGCGGGCATCGTATGGTGGGATTCAAACAGTACATCATCCTGTTTGGTGGTTTCCAGGACACGTCTGCTACCACAAAGTATCTCAATGATATTTGGATATACGATTGTATTAACTTTGCCTGGCACACACCGAAGCTGCAGTCGGCACGCGCTGTTCCCGATGCGCGTTCGAGCTTTACGTTGCTTCCACACGATCAGGGAGCTGTGCTTTACGGAGGTTACTCTCGCGTTAGGACAGAGGCTAAAAGCAAGCAACAGCAACAAGTCAAAGGCAAGAAGCAACAAAGTGTTGGCGGAGGTGCGCGCATGGTCTTGAAGCCCAAAGTGCATGAAGACACTTGGTTCATACGCATTATCCCTCCCCCAGCGGATCAGCCCTCGACCACGCTACCAACCATATCCTGGGAACGCCGCAAACGCCCCGCGAATACACCAAACCCGTCTCGTGCAGGCGCGACAATGGCCTTCCACAAAGGCCGTGGCATCATGTTTGGTGGTGTTCACGATGTCGAGGAGAGCGAGGAAGGCATTGACTCTGAGTTTTTCAACCAACTCTTCGTATGGAACATCGACCGCAATCGTTACATGCCTCTCAACCTGCGTCGTCCGAAAGCAAATGCGAACAAGAAAGCCGCACAACAAGCCAACGTCAGCCGTCGCGACCGTGCGCGAGCTGATGAAGAAGAGCTCCTCGCCAATCTCAAAGCTCTTGAAATGAAGGCGGGAGGCGTCGCAGCACCGACATCCGACGATGAAGAAGAGCCAAAAGAGAAGGAGCAGGAGGAAGAAGAAGAAGATACGCGCCCTGAGAAGCCGCGCCTCTACGAGTTCCCACATCCCCGTTTCAACGCTGCTCTAACCGTGCAGGGCGATACGCTCTACATCTACGGCGGCACTTTTGAGAAAGGCGACCGCGAATTCACATTCGACGAGCTCTGGTCACTCAATCTGAACCATCTAGACGGCGTGGTCGAGATCTTCAAGCGTGAGCTAGAAGACTGGCAGGGCAGCGAAGACGAAGCCGACTCGGAGGAAGACGAAGACGAAGACGACGACTACGACGAGGAATATGAGGATGAAGAAGACAAATCTGCCTCCGCCTCCACAGCTCCAACCAGCGTCACCGATTCGCCCGTCGCTGTTCCCACCAAGGACACGCCCGAAGAAGACATCGGCACCACGGAGGAGATCTCCGCGCTCACGGACACGTTGCCTCACCCGCGACCTTTTGAATCTCGCCGCGCGTTCTATGAGCGCACTTCTGAGGCCTGGCAGAATGTCATTCTGGACGAGATGAGCTATGGAGCCGCGGGCCAGACGAAGTCACCCAAGGAGATAAAGAAGGCGGCATTTGATCGCGCGGAAGAGAAATGGTGGGATTGCAGGGAGGAGATTCGCACCTTGGAGGATGAGCAGGAGGCTGCGGGTATCGGTGAGGTTGTCAGTCTGGCTGACAAAGAAGGTGGTGCAGGTGGTGGTGGTGTCGGGAGGAGGCGATAGAGTGTTACCAAAAGATGGGTTCAGATGAGACCTCGTGTCGTAGCCTAGCAAGTTTTCATTTTAGAGTCAAGTTTGTGGCCCATGGGCCACCGCGGCCGAAACTAAAACTATAATTGATTCTCGCACCAACATGAAAGACGACTATGCAGTATCAGGTCGCAGGTTTGAGTACGCACTATGGCGCGAGTTACCTTACGCTATGTGTTTATATGCGTATAGCTAGCCTCAAGCTCAACAGGTGATATTTCAGGAGTTGACGCTGAGAAGTGATCGCTACATTTCGAGACCTAACCAAACACATTTAAACAAGCTATTTAGAGGCCACAAAAATTTACTAAGCAGAATAGCAATCGAGCTCGTCAAGATCTCTCAAGACCATATGAAAACTCTGACTGGCTCGAATTAGTCCAGTATCACATGAAACACACTTGCCCTCCAACCATCTCCCCCTCCTCCCCAGCAACACCCTACAGCAAAGCCAAATATTGCATCGGCCGGGATAGAACCACGGTGCAGAACTCACTTGTATCCTATGCGCTAGTCATTTACAGTCGAAGGACAGATTGGTAGGTTCGTAAGGCGTACATCACCATTGTTAAGAACTTCTGGGAAGCGTCCATCGACAGCACATCGGTACCGCAACATAACTCTCTACCAAATATGCAGTATACTGCTACTTACTTCAACATCCTTCCAGTATTCATTCCGTTTGCTCATTTGATACCTACCCTTTGAAGCAGCAGAGGGAGCAACCATTTCAGCCTATCCCACATCTCCATACTTCGATCGAAACCCGCACGTAGCTATAGTCAACTCCAACCACTACTGGGCTTTCAAAGGGGACGGCAACAAATTTCCCTTCCGCGCAGCTCCCCGGTCCGGAAGTAGGCTGAACCGAACATATGGCCTCCATGCATTTTCTTTCGTTATGGAAATGTAGAGTTGTAGAGACTAGCAGGAAGTGGTCAAGCAACCGACAGCTGTAGAGACGAAATGCTACGTGCATAGCAGCATCCAAATGAAAGATCACAAATTGTTTGTCGGATTTGACAGTTCAAATTACATATCTAGCTGTCGCAAGGCTAGTGGCGGCACGAAGGCCCATGAGCCAGTATCTCAAATATGTCGCCTTCGAAACTGCAGTATTGGTCCATCCCTTACAGTTATGTACGCATCTTGCAGCTGGAACTGCGGAACCTCCTTTCCCCCGATCACGCGCCTGTGCCGCAAGCCTGCACCTTTGGCCCACTCCGATGCAAGCCGGAAATCAAATCGATGCACCGTTTTAGCCACAACAAGCATCAGCTCCTGCAGCGCAAAATTCGTGCCTGCACAGTTGTGTGGTCCAATTCCAAATGGGTGGAAGTTTGCCCTTATTCGCGAGACGTCTTCCGCGGAATTGGTGTCGTCCACAAGCCAGCGCTCCGGTCGGTAGACAGCCGCGTCGCCGTACACCTGGTCATTGAACCCGTCACACCAAGCCGCCGTTCCGACGATGGTGTTCTCTGGAAAATACTCGCCATCAATCTCTGTGCCACCGGGCAACACTTGCCTTGGAAGCTCGGACAGCCCGGCAGGCGACATTCGCATTGCCTCATCGATTGCGGCCCTTAGATACTTGCAAGACAATAATTTAGAGCCAGGCGCAATATCCTCTGCCATGCCGAAAGTGTTTGTTATCTCGTTTCGAAGGCTGTTCAGGGCCTGCGTGTAATGCGATAGGTAGAAGAATAGGCCCGATAGAGTGACCGAAGTACTGTCCGAACCAGCAATTACGAGAAGTCGACATTCGGCGACGAGCCGCTCATCTCTGAAAGCCGCTTCGCCTGTTTCGTTATCTTTCGCATTGTAGATGAAGTGGAACATATCCTGGCGCGCCTCGGCCGAAGATCTAGCGGTTATCTCCCGTGCGATTCGTTGCTCAATGCTGGAGTCAACGAAATCATCGAATACTACTATTTGCTTGGGTCGAATTGCTCTGAATAGGCGTGACAGTCCTCGCGGCCTCAAATATATCACAAGATGTAGGAAGGGTGACTTCGCGATGGCGTACAGTACTGTCGTTAGCCTGACTGCTGCACGCGGGATAGCCTTGAAAGAGTTCTCGCCCGGTTCCATGGTTCTGAACGACTTTCCATAGCAGATGTCACCCAAGATATCGAATACCAGGAAGTTTACACGGTCCGTGAAGTTGAAAGGAGGTGTCCAGTCGTCACCACTGTCGATAGTCAAAAGCTCATGCCACCGATCGATGTGCTGTTGCATGAAGTCTGCGGAGGCTCTGAGAGACTTATTCGTGAACGCCAGATCTAATAGTCTCCGACTTTTGTGATGGCTAGCATTATCCATATATGTGATCGTACTGTATTGGTTTTCCTCTCGCTTCAGAGCATCGTAGAAGTCGGCCCGCCGCACGTTCGCACGGCTGCCATATATGTCGCGATAGGCCGTGGGGCTGCGAAAGAGGACAGTGTCAGGTGCTACACGCACCTTGTCCCCATATTCTTTGAAGCAGTGCTCCAGCCATAGATGTCGGTCACCTTTCCAGGCATGCAACGTCGAGGGCCACGGCGACATTCGGCCAAAGAATGGTCCCGGAATATATGCAAGTGGGTGGATGTATCGATTGTAAATGTGATAGAACAGTAGCCGGCTGCAAAACAGTATGATCAGCAGGACCAGAAGGTCAGAGAATTTGAAGGTCAAATTGATGAAAGTCATGTTGTGATCAGGCCTGAACATTGCATGCGGAGTGCGTGGACGCTCCTTTTGTAACGCTCACATACCACGCGCTGCAGGCATCCGTATGTGGTTCGGTGGCCCTGGGCTTATTTATATTACATGCGGCGTGAACAGCGGCGCACAACCGAGGCTTGTCTTGATAAGCCCACTCATTGGGTTGACTTTCTCCACCAACACTCCCTCTCGATGGATCTCGTAGAAAAGAGTCAAGCTCTTCAACCCACCATATCTAGGCTTTTAGAGCTTAGCGGCGCCCCAGGGCTCTCACTGGGAGACTTGCACCGTGGTTCTACCATACATACTGCTCACTTCGGCTGCAGGAATGTGGACTATGCCGCTTCACCAGACGATGACAGTATCTGTCAGTATATACCAACCCAAAGTCGAGATGTGTAAATGCTTATGCGATGAACTAGATCACATCGCCTCGCTAGTAAAGCTTCTGACCGCAGCCTAGACGAACGAGTGGGTGTCAAGCATGCCCAGCGTCTGAGCGGTGAGCTGGAGCTCCTTATCCCAGAATCGTATGTCGCGGGGCACAGCTATTATCGTTTGCGCAAAGAATGTGCCACCTCCCACGGCACTGGAATAAGAGATCAGGAATATTTGACCAAAAGTTTACTATAGGAAGTGAAGTATTGGCCTATCTACTCTGGTACACTTATTTTGACAGTTTAGTACTCTATTTTAGGCTCTACCAGGCCCAAAAAGACGAGTTCAACAAAATATAGCCTATGATTCACCGCCTATAGTACATGTATTGGTTGATTCTTAATCTCTTATTCCAGCGCCGTGGGAGGTGGCATATTCTTTGCGCAAAGCACCGATAACATCATGCTCTCCGTAGCCTCTGATTTATTTCAATGTCCTCTGTGAGTCGTAGAATGAACAAGTTGCTATCAGATTCGGAGATTCCGGTTCGACCGCAATGTCCGGAATCGCCAAAGTATCTGACCTAGGCCATCGAACGCTGCGTGCAAGAGTGGACCTGGGTCCTCTTCGAATGTAGTACTTCTCACAGATGCGTTCTCGGTTCTCAGCGTCCTTGAAAAACCTCGAGCGCTTCTTGTCATCGGGCCGGACGACCAGGGCTGGTAGCATCCAAAGGATATTTGACGCCATCTTGAGCATCTTGCGGAAGTGTAAGAAGTTTTCTGCATGGGGGTTATGGAGTAGTGGTTTAGTCGAGCTGTCAGCAGCGGTGCTGAGGCCCTTGTCCGTGGTCATGCTCGGTAGTGTCATAACTTCATATCCATGCCACCACGCCACCTGCGCGTAAGGGCTGCGGTTCGAAAACGTTGCTGACATGCATGAGTTCTCCGTTCCGTACCTGGATACGACTACCTGTTCTATCACATACACGGTCGGGCTAACATCGATGATGTTTATATTTGGTGAGTGTGTGTGGCACAGCCTGCTCGACCTCCCAATGAGGCTAATCCAATTGTCTCATCTGCATGTGTGTTTGTGGCACAACTCTGGGTCCCTGGTCGAACGAGACCACCACATCCGTACCCGCAGGTAATCTCATATTCCTCGCTCTACACGACCACGTACCACCGAGACAACGGGTTCATGGCTCTCTTTGCGCCTCACTGCCGCAACCATGGTCAAAGACGTGATCATAGTAAGTCTGTTTACGTTCTCAAAGTCATACCTGATAATGACATAGACCGGCGGCTCGATGGCAGGGCTTCTAAATGGTGTCATGCTCAAGCACCACGGATACGAGGTGAAAATCCTAGAGCAGTTTTCCGGTTCCAGGGACGGCTACGTAATTTTACTATTTCGAGGTACAGGGGCTCTCCACACTCACGCTTCAGAGCCAAAAAGGATCGCGACAACACCATTCCAGACTCATCGATCGCAAAAACTCCAAAAAATGCATCGGCCGGGAATCAAACCCGGGGCTATGTTGGATGGTCTAGATTCAAAGATGTATAGGAAGGTTGCCAAAAAGAAAGATGAATGATGATATGCATCGGCCGGGCTGATTAATTGTTAGTGAATGCATTTTTAAGATAGGAATTGACCAGACTCACAATCGAACCCGGGGCTAGCCGATGTTGTGAATCAATTCAATGAACTGTTTCTGGCAACGGCTAATTTTACCACTAAACCACCGATGCTGAAAAGATGGAAGAAATCCCGAAACCCGCTCTGAACGAGCAGACGATAGTGATGAGAGTGGGACTCGAACCCACGCCACTTTCGTGACCAGGAAATGATGTTAAGAAGACCTTAACCTGGCGCCATAACCTTTGGAAGTTAGTACCAGAATTGTACAGATAGGCGATGAACGTACCAACTCGGCCATCTCACCCTATATGAGATCATGTGATTGATGAAGTTACTCAAATTTATACAATTAATATACCCGCAAACATATAAAACACTAGATACAGGTTGTGCTATGTACTCCGCACCGGTCCGCTGTGTTAGACTAGCTGGAAGATAGCTCTGCGCTAGCTACATTACTAGTGACCACCTCGCTAAGTTGACTATGGAAGAAGACTTTTTTCCTTCTGCCCCACTATGTGGGTACCCGCTTCCAACACGCGAGCATTTCTACTCCAGCATTTTTCAAGGCTTGAGTCATGTCTAGGTATGCGTTGATGGGGCTTTTGGCCGAGAAACGTGCAGTGTGCGCGGTAAAATATCTCCCTTACATATCTAGTCCATCTCCGGTACAAACCTCGACTTCCTATTCAAGTGTACCCACAGCATATCATTCGGACTCCGCTCCTATGTTGGGAGTATTGTAGGGAGTGTGGACTGACACGGAGTAGTAGAAGATTAAAGTCCACAGTGGCCGACACAGACAATTGAACTACTCAGCGCCGACTCATCCTAACATACCCTGTCGAGCTTGAGGCTGGCTAGTTCTACGTATATGATTATATAGCGTAAGGTAACTTACGCTATAGTGCGTGTTCAAAGCTACGACCTGATACTGTATGGACGTTTCTCATGTTGGTGCGAGAATCGTTTCAGGTTTCAGTGTCGCCCACTGTGATGTAAGCGACGTTGCTGATGCTATCCGGACACTGTCTCATCAACTCACAATGGCCTTGTCCACATGATGTAGTCCCTCCATAGACTAGACGAACAGAATGAGAATGGTGTATTTACTTTCCCTTTTGAAAACAACATTTGAGTTGCGACATTTTATACGAGACTGTATGATTTCATTGACTCGTGTACACGAAGAACTTAGATTGCGTATATACAGCCAAAACAAGCGAAGTATGACGCAAAAGCATAAAGAGCCGCCATCTGACATAAAATCAAATCGCACATCCCTCTGAGTAATGGATTAGAGAAAGACAGGATTCCAGTATACAGATACGCAAGACGACAAAAGAAAGGTGTCCCCCTAGTGTGTACAGTTGAAACAAAAGCACGTTATGTTAATACCGAGACTACGCTTCTTTCCTGATCAAGAAACCGTCGTTCTGAAGCGTCTGCATGATACCATTTGGGTCGTACTTTTTAGCGGTCTTCTTGATGAAGTCGAAGTTCTTCTTGCCGTAACTGCTCAGGACCTTTGAATGAGCGTTGGCATTGTTGGCATAGATGTAAGGTAAGAGGACGCCCTCGTTCTTGGCTTTCTTTGTGACAGCAGTAGTCCATTGGTCAACTGCCTTTTGTGCGAGTGCGTACTGGTTCACATCGGGGAATGTGACGTATACGTCGTGCCCTGGTACACTGTTAGCATCATCTGTTCATGCAGAAGCCATAATACTACACTCACAGAATTGAGGACCTTCGAATAGTCCCATTACGTTACCGCCATTGCGCGCTCGACCTGATCTGACTAGGCCGGATGTGAAGCCCTGGGGCGAAAACACTAACCTCATGCCAGGTTCCAGGATGCTTGCAGCGGCGAGGTATTCGTTGTATGCCTCAAGCGTTAGGTTCGCATCTGGTACCTTTTGTGCAACAGAGGTGCCGTAGTATCTGTATCAGAGTAAGCGAGAGCATTTGGGATAGGATTAATAGCGCAAACTTACGAGCCAGGGCTTGCACCGTTTGGCCCTTGTCCAGACGAGCCTTCGGCAGCGAACAGCAATTGGGCCACCGTGCCATTCGTTGGGGGGATGAAAGGCGTCATGACAGGGATCGAGCGGAAGGGTGCGAATTCCGGGGCGGAACTGACATGGCCGACGTGACCATAGAAGACCAGGGTGTGGTCCGGCGTCATCTCAAGCTGTATGCTGGCATCACCGGTGCCACCTTCGACCTCGTGAAGAAAGTCGACATATGCTTTCAAGATAGCTCTCGTCGAGTTCGGGGCATATAGGCTGACTTCGTAGTTTATGTCTACGATGTTCGAGGTCATGACTTCGAACTCCGTGATGATACCTTGGGGAGTGTCCCGTCAGCATTAAAGACTCAAAGTATACAAGCGGGAATCCCGTACCAAAGTTGCTCATGCCGCCTTTCAAACTCTTATACAAATCCGTGTTCTCGTCGATGGTTGCATTGACCAATTTACCACTTGGCAGAACGATCTATCAGGTCAGCTTTGTCCATAACAAAACAGGAGCTTGCCAAAACCTACTTCGTATCTAACAACCTGGTCCATCCCTAATCCTTGCTTGTCATTGAACAGAGAGATGCCACCTGTTTCACAAGCTGTCAGTAAGAGTGCCTGAGCAAAAGTCCTGAGGTCTCATACCGCCAAGAAGGAAGCCACCGACTCCAACTTGAGGCTCGCGATTTCCAATGATCTGCACATCAAAATCTTCAATCCATTTGTAGACAGACCTCCATTGTTGGCCTGTTCCGATAGTTGCATATTTCTTGTCGGCGCTCAGAACCTTCTTGTCAAGCTTTTCAAGTGCAACGATGACGCCATCGCTTCCGACAGCATTCCAACCGGGAATGTCCAGATTTCCTGCACTGCGGACGGCGAACTTGGTGTTTGTCGCTGTCAAGACACGCATGATCAGAGACACATCGTCGCTTGTTTTTGGCGTCACAAAACAAGCAGGATCCTTCCAGCATACCTCGGAGCTGTAAGATCGAGGTTAGTAACAAGGTTTGGTACAAAGCAATAGGTCAGCCTACTATGGAACTTCCACCAAGGGCTGGTAGTACTGTGATCCGCCTGTGAACGTTTCATTGCTTGGGAAGAGGAATTGTAAGACGCCGCACGTCTGACGTGCATTTCCCGAGCATGTGGTATTTCTCGACCAAGCAGAAGGTAGTCCAAATGAACCCAGGGATTTGGAACAGGCGTTATTGGACGCAGTAGGGTACGACCCTGTTGGACCTGCATATGCAGTACCAGCAATGGCTAGTGCCGACGCCCACGTGGTGATGGAAAACATGGCAGCTTTAATTGGAAAAGAGAGAGCAGATATTGGAACTAAGAATGCAGAGAAAAAAGATCGAGACGATCCAAAGTCCTTATGCTCTTCAGAAGGCCCCCAATCCATTGTCCGAGAGCCTTCAAAAGCCACATTGATCCATCGCCTGAGCCCTCAAACGCCGCACTGATCCATCGCCTGCGCCATGCCTTCGCATACTTCGCCGTACACGAGGTACCACGCGATGAAAGTGGTACAGTGACATTCCAAGAATAGCGTAAGCTTAGAACAAACCCTGGTAAGTGATCACACTTCTCGAAGTTTCAGCCCAAGTCGTGGTTCGGCCGGGTCCACGTGCGGCTGCCTGCGGTGTCTTGGACTATCTGTGGTACGGCTATCGGCCGAAAGCACCATGTTTGGTAACTGTCAAGCTAAAATGAACCTGGAAATCTGGAATAGAAGAATAAATTTCATATATCGAGCTGAACATGCATTTCGAAACATATTATCATTTAGACAGCATCATGGGTAACGAAACCAACACAGTCACTTTAAGGAAGCAACAGACCGGCTCTGTCCGCGTAATACCTAATCAAGAATCGAAACGAGATCTTCGCAAAGGAATTTGGCAGTTGGCTCGGTTGCACACAAAGGAAGCATGGCTGTGCTGGTACCCAGCTGGTCGGTTTAAATTTTTCCTCCACGTGGGCGTCGGCTGATGTATTGCAGTATGGGGATTATGTCTTTCAGCCGGCACACAAGATATCCGCCTTGGTATTCTACAGATGGCGCGGATACTCTTCGGTATCTGGAGCAGCGTGACAGTAACACACTGCGCTTTCTGCACCTGGGAGTAAGAGATGGCTCCCTAAGAACGCACGGAGTCTCAGCTGACCACTATTCCTAGTGATATCTGCGACGTCGAGTTCGATAAGCAGGTCGAGCGCTGTAAAGTACGCCCTCTACCAGCTGGTATGTTGACCGTCGGAGAAGCCTATGTTGCATTGCTAGCGTGGCTGCCGGTGGTATTCGGTGTGACATACCTTACCCTCGGAGAGGCCGGTGTATGGACCTTCGCTCCTGTGTGGGTTCTCAGTATGATATACCCTTTCATGAAGCGGATAACTTCTTTCCCACAAATCGTGCTTGGTGCCATCATTGGCGCGGCCGTGTTTCCGGGGTGGGCCTCTGTCACCGGCGATTTGACCACGCTCAGCCAAGGATTGCCCCTGTTTTTTGCTACGGCAAGCTGGGTTGTTTACTTTGATCTCTTCTATGCTGAACAAGTAAGTTATCATCACTAGCATTCGTCAATCTCTAATGAGCATTTACAATAGGATCGTCCGGACGACATCAAAGCCGGTGTCAAGTCCCTTGCAGTGTTGCTTGGAGAACATGTCCACTTCTTCCTAGCTTTCTTGGGTCTTCTCCAGATTGCCTTCTTCACCCTGACCGGATTGAGGGCGCAGATGTCGCCTGTCTTCTGGTTTCTTGGCTTGGGTGTTTGGGCAGTGAATGTAATCTGGCACGTGGCCTCGTTGGACCTCAACGACCGCAAATCGGGCGGGAAGATTTTCAAGGCAAACATCATGTTGGGGCTTTACATGACAGGAATTTCCGTGCTTGAGCTAGCTGTCTCAAGGCTCTCCATTTCGGACCTAGGGTATATTGGCGAGTCCCTGATCGGCATGCATGTGTCGTGAAAGAAGTGCCGGCGGAAATTCTTGCAAATTGAAAAAGTCATCCGTAGCAGTCTTGGAGAAGTCGTCATTTGGTCGAATTGGGTTTATCTTGCTCGCGTATGTAGATAGCAGTTTCTCGGCCGGTAGAGCGTGATCACGTGCGGCGCCCTCATAGAAGCCTGCCCAAACTACTATACACCCCCCATAGATAGATATTTTATTCATTACACGTACTCTGGTAGCAATTTATTTGGCGGTGTGATGTACAAGCTCTTGATGGAATGCACGTGGAAAAGCACCCAGTGGAGTTGACTGGTCCCCAGTCGCCAAAACTCCACGAGGAACAAAGTAGCCTTCAATATTTTTCGCGCCCATGACATAATCAGCTGATAGTGGCTGTGTCGTGAGCATTATTCAGACGTTGTGTTGACTGCCTTGGGGTGTCTGAGACGCAGCTGCTTTATGTGAGGATGCAAGCAGGTAACACGTGCAGCGTGTTACACAAAGGCTCTCGCCCGGCCGAGAGACAAGAAGGTGCGCTTTTCGTCCACAAGCAAGCGGTTCCAACTGCTGCGGCTCCCCGGAAGCTAGCAGATCCGTTTGCTTAGGAATGATCTCTGCTACTCTTTTATACCTTCGCGCCAACGAGAAAATAGGAACGCGACGAACCACGCAGGTATCTCGATCTACCGCTTTGGAACATGGCCGACACGAACCACGAGCTAAGCAGCACAAAGGAGCTGCACGAAAGACCCGCCGATGCACCCAGCGAGCATGCAAGCGAATCCGACATCGTGCACATCTCGCCATTTGCCCTTCTCTCGCTTATGGTGGGCATCAGCCTTGCTGCCTTTCTCGTTGCACTTGATCGTACTATCGTCGCCAATGCGATACCGTACATCACCAACGAGTTCAAATCGCCAGATGATGCAGGATGGTACGGGTCTGCGGCAAGTCTCGAATGTCGGCATTACTCTTGCTTCCAGCGCTAATCATTTGTACAGTATTTGCTAACAGCGTGCGCTTTTCAGCCTACATTCGGTCGCGTATTTGCGCATTTCGATGTCCGATGGTCGTTTCTTCTAGCACTGTTTGTTTTTGAGTTAGGCAGCCTGATATGCGGCGTAGCTCCCAACACAGATGTTCTGATCGTGGGACGAGCCATTGCAGGCATCGGTTGTGCAGGCGTGTTCGCCGGGTGTCTTGTCATTATCGCCGTGACAACGTCTTTGGCTGCCAGACCAGTATATATGGGCGCGATTGGATCAGTGTAAGGAAGCACTCCCATGCATGTCCCCCAATAGCTTAGCTGATATGTGCGTGTAGCTTCGGCATCGGGTCTGTGTGCGGACCACTGATCGGTGGCGCCTTGACCAGCAATGTCACCTGGCGTTGGTGTTTCTACATAAACCTGCCCGTCGGAGCACTGACGACGATCCTGCTTCTTCTATTCTTCCATCCTTCAAAGACGAATCGCGGGCAAGAGGGCAGCTTCGTAACGCGCATCCTACGGCTTGACCTGATTGGCAACCTCATCCTCACCGCCACGGTGGTGATGCTCCTGCTGGTCCTCCAATGGGGCGGTATTGAGTACCGCTGGGGCAGCTCAAGAATCATCGGTCTTCTCGTCGCATCAGGTGTTGGCTTCGTGTTGTTTGGGCTGTGGCAGCACAAGAAAGGCGCTGAAGCACTGACACCGCTCTCTATCATGGCTAATCGCGGTGTTGCCGCCAGCATTGGTGTCATGTTCTTCCTCAGCGGCGCGTTCCTCGTGCACAGCTACTATCTGCCATACTGGTTCCAAGCGGTACGTGGCCGCACGCCTGTCCAGTCCGGTGTCGATCTCACTCCCTATGTGGCCACAAGTTTTGTGTTCTCCATGATCGCCGGTATTGCCGTCAATAAGCTTGGCTACTTCACCCCTCCTACCATCATAGGCTGTGCAATAGGCTGTGTTGGTTGCGGGCTGCTGACAACGCTACATGTCGACACCAGTACTGCAACATGGGCTGGATATCAGGTTCTGACGTCTGCGGGCATGGGCATGGCAATGCAGCAGCCTATCATCGCGGTGCAAGCAATTCTCGAGCCCGACCTAATCTCTATCGGTAGCGCAATAGTGCTCTTCGCCCAGGGCCTATCTGGCGCCATATTTGTTTCCGTGGCCAACAATGTCCTGCGAAACGAGCTCGCGCAGAACCTGGTGAAATTGAGAATCCCCAACGTGAGCGGGATTCTGGCAGCGGGTGCGACGGACGTGCGCGAACTTGTCCCGCAGGCATTCAGGCTGCCGCTCATTGAAGCTTACAATGATGCATTATCGAAGGTTTTTATCATGGCCATCCCATTCTGTGGTATAGCTCTGCTGTTCGCTTTGGGTTTGCCGTGGGTCAGTGTGAAGAAGAAGCAAGCCGAGCGGGGAGGACAGGCAGTTGTGGCAATGGAAGGTTGAAACGTCACATATTCTGGGCTAATTAAGCGACGCTAGTTCTCAGATGGCGCTAGGGGTGGGCCAGATGCAACCTCACTTGCGCTCCCAGGGCCTCAAGGCAATGGGTAGTCTTGTATTATACGTCTCAATTAGGATCTTCTTCCTTAACACCTCATGCACAAGGCTCACTACCTAAGGTGACTGTTGTCCACGTGCTTTCTCCCAGCCATGCAAAATAGAAGAGCGGCGGTGCATGTACACCTGCCGCAGGATCCATGGATGATTTCACATTGTTGAGGGCAGCATAATAAGCCAAGAGCTTCTCACGCCACGATGTAATTCACAGGCAATGATTCTGCTTATCGCGGTGCGCTGTAAGTTTACGCTTGAAGTCTTGCCTGAGACCTCGTCGATTCGTCTCGGCCGAGCAGCCACTGAATGTTCAATCAGCCTCACGTCGGCCGGATGACTCGGCGTACAGCTTGAGGGCGCAAACTAGATGAAGATTGAAAAGGACTTGGTTACGATGGACTAGGTTCAATCATCAGACTCGTCAATCACTATGGGTCCGATCACAGAAGTACCGCAAGGCATCGACGTCCACCATCATTTCATTCCGGAATGCTATGCAAAAGGTATGCCGATAGACCGAGGGACGGGCGTTTCGCAGAGCTGATCAGTGCCTACAGCGCTCGCTGAGACTGGGGGCGATCCTTCGGGCTGGAAGCTCCCCGCGTGGTCTGTCGCGGCATCTAAGAGCCTCATGGAATCACATGGCATCCGCACCAGCATCCTCTCTGTGACGGCGCCCGGCTGCAGTATCCTCCAAGGTGCACCAGCGGCCGCGCTCGCACGTGCTGTCAACGAAGAGGCTGCGGCCATCCGTAAGGCCGACCCCGAATCGTTCGGCTTCTTCGCAGCACTACCGCCCGTAGAAGATGATGCGGACGCTGCAATTGCCGAGATCAAGCATGCGCTGGACGTTCTCGGTGCCGAAGGTGTAACATTGTATACGCGGTACGGACCGGGCGCCCGGTACCTGGGCCATGAGGTATTACGACCCGTGTGGGCGGCACTCAATGCACGCAAAGCCGTTGTATTCGTGCACCCTACACACTTAGCCGACACACGACTAGTCAACGCATCCCTGCCCCAGCCGATCATCGACTACCCGCACGAAACGACCCGTGCTGCCGTCGATATGATCACCGCCGGGGTGGTGCGAGCCTTTCCCGACGTCAGGATCATTTTACCACACGCCGGCGGCTCATTGCCGTATCTGGCGACTCGAGCTGCACATTTGATGGCTGATGCCGGCCTCACTCAGTTCAGTGCCGATGACTTCCTCCAAGATGCTAGGAGCTTCTACTTTGACACAGCGTTGTCCGGGAATGACTTTTCGCTGCCGTTGCTGCTGGACTTTGCTGCGCCCGGGCATGTTCTGTTTGGCTCTGATTTCCCATATGCGCCGACGCCGACTATCAACACGCACACGGTGGCTGGGGCGAAGGTACTGGCGGAAAGGAAGGGTAATAATGGGATGGACCTCACTGCCAACGCCTTGCAGTTGCTCCCGCAGCTCAGATCGAGATAATTTTAGTCTTCTGAGGAAGCGAATCGTTATAAATTCTATTAACAGAAGTCTGAGATGTCCCACGCCGTCAATTAGTATGCCTGTAGTGATAATACAATGTTGACGTCAATAGATCTTCAGCTACGTGAAATCACTACTTGTGAGCTCACTCCTCACTACATTCCGTCACTGTCTTCACACACCATTTCGATAGCCTAGCGTACCTCCTGAAAGTGGCATTAGGGAATACAGTCGTATCTACGGAAGTTCTCTTGATAGTGAATCTGTACACCTCCCTTGTCGTGCTTGTGCAATACCCTTTTCGTTTCAATGACTGCTTTAGCCCTCCGGATTTGCCACTAGAAACCTTGCTTCTATGATGAAACAACATGAATGTCTAAATCACCCTTCCAGAGTCTAGCCTAGCCGAGTGTCTACCGTCTATCCTTTTCACAATCATCCTCACTCACACTCACAGCCGTACAGGTCCAGCTAGTCCATCCAAAAACACCGCGTCCCTTCCGCAAGACTTCCCCGTCTCGCCCCTCCCCATCACATCCCTCACCTTCTCCTCCAATTTCCTAACAACCATAACGCGAAACTCCCCTTCCCCCTCCCCCTTCTCGATCCTCGCTCGAACCAACACGAGCACCCTCTCCAACCTCGCAAGCAGCATCTCAATCAGCGCAGAAATGATGCTCGCCCACTCCTTCTGCGAATCGACGGAATATGCTCCGACTGCTATGCGACGGGTGGAAAGGTCGTCGCTGACTAGCAACAGCGGGACATCTTCACTAGAAATGTCTGAATGTTGAGAGCGAGACGGAGAGTGAGCCGCGTTGTCGAGCCACGATCCGACCGCGAGACGCAGCCGCGAGAGAGATGTCACCAATTCGTCGCCGACAACCAGTGCTGTTACTGTCGCAGACGTAGATGTACTGCAGCGCTTGCATCGTAGCACTGCTTCGTACGTTGCAAGCGTCCTCTTGTAGGCTGCGAGGGTGTACTCGACGACTGAGGGCGCAATGATGTCGGCTAAGGCTGGGGTGTCTTCGAGCGCGGAGATGGCGGTCTTGATGCATTGGCAGCGGGGGGTGAGGATGTTGGACATCTGGGTGTGGGTGGTGAGCGACAATTCGGCTTTGGAAATCATGTCGAAGTCTGGGTTCGGGTGCCAGGAAGTGTATGAGGGGTCTGCAGGAGTTACTGCGGAGGTTATGGGAGAGAAGTATGTGTCAAGGTCGTAGGAGTCGGAGGGACTGGATAAGTCATGCGCGTTCACTGCTCAGAGTCAATGATATGTTTAGACTATGGCAACAAGGAAGATTTACTCAAAGAAGGCACGCCATCGCTCGTGTCGCTCCCCACGCTGAAATGATTGTTGGAAGACTCAAGCAGCATCAATTCGCTCTCTTCAATACTCAAGTCCGGACTGACCTCAAACAATGAGGTAAATTCGCTCATGGTCTGCTCTTCGACGGTGGATTGGAAATCTCCGTTGTCGCTTTCGTTTGCAGATGCGAGAGCGTGTATCGGACTTTCGAGAGACATATCGCTCACGCTTGCGGTCTCCCCACCAGTCCATGTATCCAATGTTTGGTCTTTACTCCTTGATTTCGGACTCCGGTTATCCTTCCTGTCTCTTGCTTCTCTAAAAGTGGCCGATTGTTTTCTCTTCGCGGGCAAAGTAGGTTTTCTTTCCGGGTACGTGCATTTATTTACGCCTTCGGATTGACAGCGCGCGCATGCTGGGCGATCACCACTGCAGCGAAGCTGCAACAGTCAAACTCCGTTTCACATCGAAAAACGGACTGTTAAAATTACCTTTCGCCGCTTGCAATGTATGCATGCAGAATGCTGATACAGCGCATCCCCTCTCTTCAATGGGCCCTTGCCCACATCCTCCATACTGTCCTTAAGTCTCAGTGTCGTGAACATGTTAGAAGCCGTGAACACTGCGGTATGCACCCTGTCCACAGAATCCGCGAAAACATAGGCTTCCCGAAACGGTTATACCCGATATAACGTTCACCTTGGTGTTTTTTGGGTTACACGTGGTAGAGCCGCAGGCTGTTTCGCTTATCGGCCGGTACAGCCGTCTCAGCTAGGCTACGGTACGGCCCAGGGCTGGACCTCGCATTCGACTAAGGACCCACAGGGCTGGCTGACAGCTCCAGGGCTTGCGCGCGAGAAATGGACCCGGCGAACGGGTGGGCATTGACCGCCACGCGGGCGAGAAACATGTGTGGGGGGCATGCTGAGTATTAGGAGCAGTCACTTCTCGGCGAATAGCTGGTCGATGCTTCTTAAACACTCAAGGTCTTCTTCGTAGACATAAATTCCACAAGCCCGTTAGTGTTTCGTGTTTCGTGTTGCCTGCCCTTTCAAGGACTGATTGGCAAAATTCGAGCCTAGGCTCGGTAATGTAATTCTTGGTAGATAGTATCTACATAGGAAACGCCACCCGATAGACCGAATAAACACCAAGCATTGCAGCCACTAATGCGTCGCAAAATTCTGAGCATTTGGAATTTACCACCCAAAAAGAATAAGATAATCGTGTATGGTCTAACATGATAAAAGAAAATCGTATTGTTCGCATAGCCAAGAGCGGATGGCTGCCTACCGTTCGAACTATCCGTTCGGTCTGCGTGCATAAAAGTGACTGTATCAGAAGCCTAAGACATTGGATCCGATGGATCCGATAGGGTCTGACCGTAGTACCAAGGCGCTGATAAGCTGTGAAGCAGAGTGCCATGCTCTACTCTGACAGTATGCCAGGTAGAGGAAGGGTGCATGCTTGGTGCAGCTGGGCCGTCGTAAATCAAGGACATCGGGTGGTGAACCAATGTTTGCGTGCTTCGCCCAGATGATTGGGTAACCGATACGGATGGACGAAACAGGTTGGCTGATACAGCTCTGGCAAACTTTATAGTCACAAACGCCGGAGAATGTGCGAGCTGAGCTGAGTGAGATTGCATATTAAGTATCGGTTAAACCTTCGAGCTGTAGGAAAGAGGCTAGACCTTGATCCATCCCACCAAGATCGACGACGCTTGCCTGGTCCTTCTGCCACTGACCGTTCTGAAAGCTTGGGTCCAAGAACGAAGAGTTGAAGTCCGCAGAAAACCAAGAAAGGTCCGTGTGTGGGCGCCGAGGTAAGTGTTCCTTCAGCTCATTGAGAATGGTCCAAAGATTTTGGCGCAACGAGGACGATACGCCAGGAGGTTGCTGATTCTGAGCCTGCTCACTGTTGTAGCACATGTCAAGTACTTCTTCACCAAAGTGCTCAACAAGGTCAGCCTCAGCTGGGCACGACTCCGTCTGCAGGTATGTAAGCAAGATAAGGGTTTCTTCCAGGGGTTGCAGTCGGCTCAGCAGTGCCCATTTGTACACGCCTGCGGCGGACCAACGCGTCAGGCGAAGATATGTTTGGATGAATTGACAGCAAAGGCGCACAAGACTGGATCAAGAAAGCTTGGTAAGCCTACGGATAGAGTCTCTGACTGAGAAAGGGGCACTTACGTTTTCCACAATGTTGCCTGGCGCTGGCCGGTGAAGTTGTGAAGGAAGCGTTTTTGTAGGAGTATCAGTGCCCTCAAGTAAAGCATGTGAAGAACTGATCGGGCCCAAAAGTTGAAGACGGTGGTAGTGCCGGGGTCGTCCCTGTAGAGTGTATTGTGGGTAGCAGGCCCCACGTTCGCTTGGAAGGAGGACACCAGGCCCTTCTCGGGCACGCCTTTGGCTGGTAGGCGCGCAGAGATGGCACGGATGCGGCTATTGAGAGAGGAGAGCATGTCGTTGAGCTCGATCAAGTCACGCTGATTAGGTTTTTGTCGGTCATAGGCCCTCACTACGATGTGACGCATGGCTGAGGCGATCTCGGCACGGCCGAGGGCAAACAACAAGAACGCTGAGGACTTGGGCGTGTTCTCGCCGGCTAGCACGTTCTGATCTTCCAAGAACTCAACAGGCATACGCGTGTCGGACGAGCCCTCAACGCGTGCCGCCTGCAGCTTGGTTCCTGCGGCCACAGCCGATTGAATGTCCAAGTCGACAAGGTGCCACCAGATACGCCGACCTAGCTCGCTCTTGACCGTGCCCAAGCCCTTCCGTGATGCCTCGCGGTGTAGGCCGAGTTGCTGGGCGGCGCGGATGCACGTGCTGGTAATCTGCGCGGTCCGCAGCTGGTAGATGTCCTCACGGCCGAGGCCGCTCTGCACAACCAGTGCGGCGACGAGTGAGTCCATAGTAGGTGTTTCGGGGAAGTTGGAGGCCTTCATGGCGCTCGTAAAGGCAGAATAGAGACTGTCACGGAAGGCAAGCGTGTCCGGGACTTGGGCAGACGCGGCAAGGGGCGTGCCTGAGGCCGCTATCGCGCCGGCGTACATGACACCCCATAAGAGGGCAACAAAGCCGGCCTCGGACGTGGACACGGAGAGGGGGATGATGTTTTCTTGCTCGCCCAGCAGCTGCGCGCATAGCTGGCCGTAGCGTTTCGCCAGCGTTGGGGCATGGACGAAGGGCAGCAGAGGATGTACACACAGAAAGAAGCACTGCAGTAGCGCGCCGCAGACATGTTTTGGTGGCAGCGTCATGTGGTCGGCAGAATTCAGCGAGGGAACTTTGCACCGGTCAACAGCGCTCTGGGTGCGCAGTATACGCTCGTAGACATCTTGCTGTAAGCACGTCAGCCAGCGTAACACAGCAGGTACGAAGGGATACTCGCATCGCGGCTGACCAGCGCCCAGAATGTGCGCTCGACGAAGAGCTTCGACCCATCGTCCTGGGTGGATATGTAGCCTTCAAACGGAGAACCGGCACGAGACGAATCCCTTCTGTTGGGCAGAGGGTCCAGTGGGCAGGCGCTGTCGAGTTGAAATGAGTGAAGTGAGAGACTGGGAGTGAGCAGGCCGAAATCGAAGGTGGAGTCGAAGTCGAAGTCAAAGTCTAGAGTGGGAGCGTCCCACTGGAAGCCTAAGCCCAAAGGAGGCGGGGTCGTCCACCCCACGGCGGGCTCAGCGTCTGCAATGGGAGAGTTGTCGCGACGGCCCGCTTCGTGGGGCTCAAGAGGGTCGAGCGCGTCGTGCGAATCGTGGACATCGTGGACATGTTGGTGTTGGTGTTGGTGTTGGACGTCTACCAAGACCTTCCGCTTCTTCGCCGCAGCCTTCTCGCGGTGGTCGGCCTCGCTCTCGTACACGCACTCGGACTCGCCCAGCCGCACGCAATTGGCACACGCAGGGCGCTGTTTCTCGCACTTGATCTTCCGCCGGCGGCATGCCAAGCAGCTCAGCGACGGCCTGTTGCGAACGATTTTTCGGAGAGCCATGGAGCTGTTGCAGCAGTGTTGTGACCGGTGGGCATGCACGTTTATTAGCTGTCCATGTGCGGCGCGGTGCCCCAGGTGTCAGCCAGCTCACAGGTACTCTCGAGCGAGGGTGGTAAGCAAGGCCAGGTTCGCTGACGATTGTGCTACCGACGGCCGTAAGCGTGGGATTATCCCTTGTCTGAGACCCATTTGTAGGCCTGGCCGATGCAACTTTGCCGTAGGACTCTACTATGGTCTGATTCGGTCTCAGAATCACTTATCGTCGACGTTGACGAGCGTGGCTTTTGCCTGCAGTGTTCCTTCAGGCCCCAGGAATCTCACCACCTACAGGATGACTTGCATTGGCATACAAGCTTTCGCTGCTCGCGGCCCGATACTAGCATCCGCCTCCTAGACCAAGCCCAGCGCCACGCCTCAAGAGCAGTTGCATCCGGCTCGAGCGAGTTTATCGAAGCCTTATATAGTCTCACTGGTTTACTTGCACCGCAGCCACTCATCAATCATCAAGGAAAACGAGCGGACGATTCACTATGCATTTCCTTACTAGTGTTCTATGCATCGTACATCGCATTCTTAGGACGCGTCCTGGTTCGTGTGGTATCCGTTTGTAAATACGGCCCCACAGGCAGCCCTCAGCTGTCGCGTCGCTTCGGTACCACGAGGAGCTCCCCATGGAACTCCGGCACTACCATGTCGTCCCATGCCATGTCTGCAGGGGTTGTGCCCGCTAATTGGAAGTCGAAGCGGCGTATCAGGTAGCCTATAGCCATGTACATCTCCATGTATGCGAGACTAAACAGCGGTCAGTAAGAATATTCCTCCATGCGGCAAACGTTGCAGGCACTTACTTGATGCCTAAACACGATCGGCTGCCGCGTGAGAAAGCTACCATGAAGCGGCTCAAACGCGCAACTTCTTCTGGCGCTTGTAACCAACGGTCGGGATCGAAAGTGCGCGGATTCTCGAAGATAGAGTCGTTGTAGTGTATATGATAGATGGCCATACCAATACGCGTACCAGCAGGAACATACCGTCCATCAGGCAGCGTTACACCGCCAGGCGGCACCAGTCGGGGAGTACGCGACGCCGCTGGGGAGGAATAGCGCAGCCCCTCTTTGATTACTGCGGTCTGCGAGCACGCAATTAGTTCCAAGGATGCCAATGTCTTGTCCCACCAAAACTTACCAGATAAGGTAACTTTTCAAGCTCTGGGTACGGAGCATGCGACTCTGGTTCAGGTAGTACTGTTTTCAACTCCGCCAGCAGGCGCGAGTGGATGACAGGATTGCGGACAATGTTGTACAAAGTCACCATATTCGCTATCCCGGTGGTATCGTCACCAGCAGAAATCGTTGTCAAAATCTCGTCACGCAACCCCTGCTTGTCCGGTACTATGTAGCCCTTCTCGGGGATAGGAATAAGCAATCGCTCCATGATGGTGGGGAACGACGGCAGCTTGCCCGCGTCCTTCTGTGCTACGAAGTCGTCGATGCGACGGGCCGCGAATTGTTCAAGCTCATGACCCATGGCAATAGAACGCGACATCCGGTGTGTCAGCCAGCGCGGCAGCTTGTGGAGCAGCCGGATGAATGGGAACGCTTTGATAATGTGTAGACTTGGCAGATATTGTTTAAATACCTGCACCGGCAGCGACTTGAATTCGGGGTCATCCAATGCCCCCAAAGACTTGCCAAAGGCGAATTGGGAGACCATATCTGGAATTTCATTGTCAGCTTCACGCGTGAATACACTGCGGAGAACGCACCCATGGCCAGCGACTTGAGCGCCCACTCCATCGAGACCGGCTTTCCAGCGTCGTAGAACTCGTCAAAGCGACCGCAGCAGTGGTTTACATGTTCCATCAGCATAGGCTCGAGCGCCTGCATGTTTCTCTTTGCAAATAATGGCTCAAGCGGCGCTTTGCGCTGCTTATGCCTAATAGGATCGCTTTCGGCCAAGGTACTCGTAGGCGCCCCCAGTACCTTGTGCATAGACGGGTCTTTGTAGAACTTGCTATTTGGGAAATAGAGTTTGTGGTAGAACTGAGGATCGTACACATGGACCTCATTGGGCCCCATACGCAGGGCAGCACCTGCAGGCGCATGTTAGCTGGTCCAAAACTCTACTTTCTGATTGAGCACGGACCGAGTCTCTTGTGCATCTCTTCCAGTTTGAAGAGCGTCTGACCCTTCTGGCCTGGACGCGTCCCGATATTCCAGTAAGCCTCCCAGCTGGCGGGCGTTAGCGGGAAGGGCGCTGTGGCTAGAGCATATCACTTACTACTCCCCAAGGGCAGCCCATTTCGAGCCAGGGAAAATTGCCAAGGGGCTGAGGTAGATCAGGTATACGGCTCTTGTCGCATGCCAACAGAGGAACACGGTCAAAGCAGCGAGCCATGGGTGGGCTAGCAGGGTTTGCACAATTGCATCCATTGCTTCTGTGGTTTTGCTGGTTCTTTTCATTCGGCAAATGGTTACATATAAGACTGCCAGCTTCGGAAGTTGCCGTACTCGGCCGATACGCGCTCTCGCCCATTGATGAGGCGGAGCAAACAACGGCCGACAGTACTCGCATCAATTCATGGTGTTTGATGATTAGACCACCATGACCGATAACAGTTCTGCCACAATCAAATCCACATTGCTGCACCGATGTCAGACACTCACGCGTTCCTCCCTTCGCTACCCACAATATACAGTTATGCGTTTCCGCAGCTGGATTTCCAGACCTGCTTCATACTCTCCTTTACCACAGCTGTGCTGACGCCGTGCTTTCGTCGCGGCTCGGTAGGGCGTTCCGGAATTCTTGCGCTGCAGGTCTACTTCACCATACAAGCGTACCTTGCGCCAGTCAAACCAACGGGAAACCTAGCCGTGAGCTACTCATCTGGTGTACTATTCGGCAATCTGACATTACGCTACCTCGACCGTCTTTATCTTCATGTCCCAGAAGAAGTATTTCACCGTATCCAAGAGGATGGCGCTGAGGAAAGGCCAGACACGCTCTCCTTGAGCCAGAAGCTAGGGTGGAGCGCCGAGTTACTCCTCACCACGCGCGGCGTCGGATGGAATTGGCGCGTACAAGGCACTCCCAAGCCTGTCAACCGCACGCGTACGGCTTTCGTCTCTGACAGGTTGATCCGCTGGGTTGCGATGTACGGGAGCATATTACTCGCCGAGCGCGTCTGCGAAGGCATCCTGAACGAGTGGGCGCATCTGCCGGATAGTCTGGTAAAGAGCGGTCTGCTAGCAGTGACAAACAGCACTGTGTTCTTATATGCTTGGATCGTGTTCGTGCTCGGCTTGACCGTTTACACGCACTTTGCCATGATCACACTGCCGCTATCGCTGGTATGCGTTGGCTTCGGGCTCGGCCCAATCCGATGGAGACAGCCTGATGCTTGGCCGGCCACTTTCGGTTCGCTGACTGAAGCTTACAGCCTGCGTCGATTCTGGGGGTAAGAGCTTGCTCCCTTCACTGGTGATGCCTTCCGCTAACAAGCATTCAGCTATTGTTGGCACCAACAAGTCCGCCGCGTCCTCGGCGTGCCCCCAGCGTTCGTGCTTGCCAACCTTCCTAGCCCCTTGCGCTCATCGTCCCGCTTGCCTGCCCGTCTCTTCCGCCGTTATCTTAGCCTGCTCCTGGCGTTCTTGTTGTCCGGGACATTTCATAGCGTCGGTCACTGGACAGTTCTCCGAGAGCGCCGCGGCTTGGGAAACGATGGTACACACACCAGTGTCTTTGGGGAGGTGCCGTTCTTCCTGGCGCAGGGATTTGGAATCATGTTTGAGGATCTGATATATCGCTTCATAGGCATTGATAGCCGTCGAAGGACGCTCGTCGGTTACTTGTTAACAGCGGTCTGGTATACATGGACGAGGGTGCAATTGAAGACGATACCAATGGCAACCACTTTTGGGATCAGCGACGGTCGCGGTCCGCTCTTCGAGGCAGTGGAGTTGCTACGGCTCGGTCTGGTAGCAATTCCTGGCAATTTTGTGAAGATGGGCATGGAAAGGTGGGCTTAGGGAGTTTGGGAGTTCATTGCGAGTTTCCGCCCAGCCTGCTGAGTAAGAGAGCTAAGTGGGGCAAATGAAAAGCCGAGGTTGCCACACGTTGCTTGAGCCAACTCCAGATAAAAGAAAAAGGTATCAACAACGTCCATGCCATTACCATCCCTTCAAGTCCTCAATGCTTGGAGGAAACCGATAAGAAATCATGTGATCGCACATCGTCCATCACGCCTTACTCATCCATGCCGGAATCGTGATCAGTTTCGACATCTCGTCCACCGTCTCGTTCCACAACATCTTCTGCACTTTCTGGCCGTCTGCAGACTTGACATAGGCGGCAGGCCTGATAAAATCACATAGTCAGCAACAATCGAGATGAATGATGGCTTGCAAACTTACTCTGCGATTTCCTTATCAACAATAAACTGGCAGTGACTCTCTGGACCGACCACAACCGCCGCATTGAGCGCAATCCAGCCCGCCGTCTCAATGGATCGCGCCCGAATTGCCTTGATGAGGTTCACGGGAAGACGAAGATAGATGGGCAGTACGTCGCTCATTCCTGTAGCCACCTGGCCAGGGCAGAAACTGTTCACAATGACTTTGTCGCTGGACAAGTGTTCCCGCAGCTCGAACAGGAACAGTAAGCAGAGCAGCTTGCTGTCGCCGTAGCGAGAAAAGGCGACGAAGCTCTCCTCACTGTCGAAATGGCCGAGCACCGTCTCGCCAGGCTTGAGGGGCACCTTCCCCTTGGCCAGGGCGCTGCTGCCGTGCATGCGGCTGCCGGTCCAGGTAACGCGCGAGGGTTTGCCCGTCTTGTCCGCCGTATCTTCTAGTACGGGAAGCAACTCCAGCATCAGCAACACATTGGAGAGATAGTTGACCTGGACGTTCTTCTCGTGGCCGGTACGCGTCAGCTCACGCTTGAGAGTGCCGATGCCGGCGTTCAGCAGAAGCAGATGTAGCTCCGAGTGCTCGGCAAGGAAAGTCTTTGTGAAGCTTTGGACGCTATCGTAATCCTCAGTGTCCAGCTTCATGACCTTGACCACGGCCTTGGGGTTTGCCTTCTTGATGGTATCACGGGCAAGCAGCGATTGCCGTGCGGTCTCGCCTTTGGCCACATTGCGAACGGCGAGGATGACGGTGGATGCCTCGCGCTCCAGCAGCTGCGCCGCGATTTCTGCTCCTATACCCTGGCTGGCGCCGGTGACGATGGCTGTCTGACCGCGTAGGCTTATGCCGTCAGGCAGCGGTGTGACGGGCGGCTGAATGAAGGGCATTGTCAGTTCAAGGGTAGCGTCGACGGCGGCAAGTGTGTTGTTCATGGGGTTGGAGCACCCAGTGGCGTGACAATAAGCATTTATAAAGAAACAGCATGCAAACGAGCAGCTTCCGCCGTTTCTCGGCCGGGATAGTGCTACCAGGCAGGCGTGCCATCGTCTCGCCCGGAACGTATTGTGCGTGGTCGATAAGTACTCCTCGTTCCTTCCTTGTTCTGTGGTGCTCACGCAAGTTTCGTCCGGAAGTAGTATTGTTTAGGTCGTTGTTTTACCATGGCACCTGCACAGCCGCAAACGTTCACCGCAGGCGATGATCCGCTAACCAAGTAAGTGCGGCAGGGATCACCTCGACGGCCAGCGAGCTAATGCAACGGCCCGCGCCGATCACAAGATTCGGAGGCGCCATCGAGATGGCCAGTCTGCCGCGCGCCAAACATCGACAATTCGCATTCCATGGCTTCATGCGACCGTGGTTGGGAATATATGCGCAGCTCATTGCAGGCGGGAAAAAGCCACCCACCCACTTCCACGTGAACCAGACCGAGTTCTTTCGCGTTTTGAAGGGCAATCTTAGCGTCGACATGAATGGGCGGCGTGTCGACCTCAGCCCCAGCGACGGCGAGTACACTGTGCCGCCCTTCACACACCACGTCATCTACGGCACCCCCGGCACAGAGCATAATGAGGTCGAGTTCGAGGTCAGCGCCGAGGAGAAGCGGGACGGCGGTTACGCCATGGATCAGCCCTTCTTCGAGAATTGGTATGGCTACCAGGAGGACGTGTTCCAGCGCGGCGTCAAGCTGGACTTCATACAGGTACTTGCCGTACGTCATCTCCGCTGCATTGCTTTTCAGAAATGGCACATAACACTGTTAGATGTTCGACGCCGGGGACACTTACCTCTCACCGCCTGCATGGGTACCATTTCGTACCTTCCTCAGCATCTGGCTCACCGTCATCATCGGACGCTGGATCGGCGGCTTGCTCGGGTACGCGCCTTTCTATCCCGAGTGGACCACCGATTGGGAGGCTGCCTGTGACCAAATGGATCGGCACTGGACGCAGAGGCGTTTCGCCAAACGAGATGCACAGGAAACGGCGCGCCAGAGATTCGCTGTTAATGGCGCAAAGGATACACACATCAATGGCAAGAAGAAAGCTCTGTGATGATGATGTCGGCCCTGTTAATGGGGGTGTTTAGGTACATCTATTACAGCACTAGTTACATCGCACCGCGCACGCCATCGAGGTCTGGAACCTTATGATACCAGTATCCTCAGTACTCAATGTCAATTACATCTACGTTTGCAGGCGCGCTTATGTCAGCCAGATCAGCATGGTAGAACTCAGTCTTATCCACGAAGACATGCATCGTAAACGATGCGACAGCGCCGGCAAATTCAGTGGCGGAGCGAGTAAGCGATAGACGCCAAATCTAAACAAACCTCTCATGAACCATGGAAAGACACTGCTATCATCAGCCCTTACAGTCTTTGCTGTGAATATAGATGTACATCATGGAAGACGCAGAAGCTTGTGATCAAGTGCAAGGGCTTGACTTGGGAAGTGCCTCTAGCGCTGTCTCACGGACGTCTCCTTTGGATCAAGTCGCTCGAAGGCAGATGCGTTCTACTCGAACACCAACTCGTCTACTCTTTCCGAAGAAAAAGGGCGAAAGATCAAGACTGAGCTACAGAGTACAACAGAGATCACATTGATTCCTTCACTTGGCAAGAACTAATACTCGTATGTGAGAGTTTATATGCAAATGGCGACACGCGTAGAAAAGACGCACTTCAGCTATCATTCGTATCATCGTATCAGCCTGTTGTCTGCTGACACTACATTTCACAAATGTCTCCTCGCGCTCAAGCACTCAAGCAGACTTGCCGTTGAGCCTACCCTGCCTTCCACCGCCATATTTCCTCACATAATTTAGCGCAAACGGATACGCTAAGTCGGAAATATGGCTCCCCACCAGCAAAAGCGCTCCATATGGTGTCCAAGCATAGCCATACCTTTCAGGCCAATAGTAGATACGCCAGTAGAAGCAGCACCCAGCCGCAACCGTGCCGAGGAACCTTGTCCACCTACACACTCACTTAGCATATGAATAATGAATGTGTGAAAGAGGTGAAATGCTTACCAAATAGCCATGGACTGCCCAGCATCGTGTCCCCTCGCAAGCACCTGCGCCACACACCCAATCCCGATGATAAGCTGCATTGGCCACGCCGTGAAGAAGACAACCTGTCTCCCCACCACGGGCACAAACGTGCTTGCAACCGCAAGATGCAACCAGAGACACACCGCACACCCTACCACAATGATCCAGCTCAGATTCCGCGCAACAAGTGGATGGTGTCTCCACTCGTTGGGACCAAACTTCAAGATCGAGTGGAATAGGAAGACATCCACGATCATAAATTGTGCGAAGACAATCTGGTTGACGAGTCCCGGCCCGTAGATGAAGCCGAAGACGAATTCCCACGTAATATTCAGGCAGAGGCAGTAGATGGGCATGGCGTAAGATTTGTCTTTGTAACCCTTGATCGTCATTAGGATGTAGGAGATGGACCAGAGGATGCCTGACACCGCAGTGAAGATGTCAGGCACCACTTTCGCGTGCCAGTAGGGAGGAGTAGCATTTTCGTAGTCGGCATTGGCTTGCGCCCATTCTTCGAGTGCGAAGAAGCCCATGGTGGAGAGAAGTACACAGGGGAGTAACGTGCTCAGGGAAACGCCACGGGCTGCCTAGGATTACATATATCACAAAGGTAGGAGTTTCTGGGTAGCTGAGAGTCGAGACTTGATCGGCCCGTGGCTCTCGGCCGATTCCGGCTGGTCGTAGATACGCACGTGGGGGGCTATTCTAAGATGCACCGTGTGCCAGTCGGCCGGAACACTAGCAATGCACATTATGGTCACACTGGAAATAACCTAATCGGGACATTACCAGCGATTCTAACGCAATGTACTGCACCAACCACTAGTTGCCTATCTGCTATCTGAACCCACGTATCGGGCCCTGGATGAGGCTGAGGGCTTAATATATATACTTCGCTACCAGCATCATGGTCATCTGCAGTACCGAAGACACCGCATGCAACTTCAATATGGCAAGCGATCATTCGTCCTCCGATGAATGTACGGCATCTGCAAGCCCGTTCGTCGAAACGCCTCCCGACGCCGACCGCAGCGACGATAATGGTGAGGAGCACAAGCACTAGTTAGGTTAGTGTGCTAACAGAGATCTCAGATATCGCGGTTGTCGGCTACGCTTGCCGTGTAGCGGGTGACAACAATTCTGGAACCCAACTATGGGACTTCCTGATGAAGAAAGGGGATGCCTGCGGCGAGATGCCAGCAGAGCGGTGGCAATCCTGGAGAGATCGACAAGACATGGTCGACAAACTGGACCAGACCACGTCGAAAGGATATTTTATCAATGACATCAAAGGCTTTGATGCTCAGTTCTTCGGCATTTCCGGCCGAGAAGCAGTACAGATGGACCCGCAGCAACGCATCAGCCTGGAGGTTGCTTGCGAAGCTCTCGAGCATGCAGGTATCTCACTGCAGAGCCTTGCAGGCTCAGACACCGCCGTGATTATGGGCGTCAATTCGGACGACTACTCTCGATTAATCATGGAGGACTTTCAAAATCTAGATGCGTACATGGGCATCGGGACTGCATATTGCGGCATCCCCAACCGCATATCACACGCGCTCGACCTCGCTGGCCCTACCTACGCCGTAGATGGAGCGTGTGCGTCTTCTCTCGTTGCCATTCACCAAGCCAGGCGCTCTTTGCTCGCGGGCGAGACGTCTCTTGCCATAGCCGGAGGTGTGAACGCGCACATCAGCCCGTACCTGACTCGCGTGCTAGACATAGCTGGCGCCGTTTCTCCTGAAGGCCGGTGCAGATCTTTCGATGATTCAGCATCTGGCTACGGCCGCGGTGAAGGAGCCGGGATCGTTGTCCTCAAACGACTCTCGGATGCGATTCGCGACGATGACCGCGTCCTCGCTGTGCTCAAGGGGTCCGCGGTGGGCTCGGATGGCAAGACTCTCGGCATCATGGCCCCCAACCAGCTTGCACAGGAGCAGGTCGCGAGGGATGCGCTCAAGGAAGCACATCTCCCAGCCAGCGCCGTAGAATATATCGAAGCCCACGCGACGTCGACCCCAGTGGGAGACAAGACCGAATGTGCGGCCATGGCGTCGGTGTACGGTTCAGCACGACTGTCTAGCTCGCCGGATTGCTTCATCGGCTCGATCAAACCTAACATCGGGCATTTGGAGGCCGGCGCCGGTGTCATGGGCTTCATCAAGGCTGTCATGACCGTCGAAAAGGGGATCATTCCGCCGCAAGCAAATCTGGAAAAACTTAGCACAAAGATAGACTGGAAGGCTGCCAGGATACGACCGGCCACAGAGCCGACGCCTTGGGCAACAACCAGGAGGAGGCGCACCGCCGCTGTGGCCTCATACGGCTACGGTGGAACAGTAGCTCATGCTATCATCCAGGAAGCGCCCAAATACTCCTCTTTCCGCGACCTAATGGCCAGCAAACTGCCGTCAGACCAGCCCACTATGCTACTCCTTTCGGCGCCGCATGATGAGCGCATCCGCAAGCAAGCTTCCACCCTCGCTAATTGGCTCCAGCAGCAGCCAAGTGAGCTTGACATGAATTCCGTAGCGTGGACGCTGGCGGTCAAGCGCAGCCAACATAGGAGGCGCGCGGCAATCGTGGCGGAAAACAAGGCACAGGCTATTGAGCTGTTGTCGTCGGTGGCACAGGGAGCCAAACACCCACAGATCATTCTTCAAGAAAAGGGTTCTGTCAAAGCGCCCGATTCCTCCAAGAAAGAGGGTGCCGTCTGGGTCTTCAGCGGTCACGGCGCACAGTGGAAGGGGATGGGCCGCATGCTGCTGGAGACGGACCGGGCGTTCATCGATATTGTCAAAAGGCTCGAGCCCGTTGTTCGAAAGGAAATGGACTTCTCTATCACCGAAGCGCTGCTCGCTGGTGACTGCGATGAAACGGCTAAAGCGCAGGTCCTGACGTACGTTATGCATATCGGCATCGCTACGGTCTTGCGTGAGAAGGGAGCGCGGCCAAGTGCCTGTCTCGGCCATTCACTGGGCGAACTTGCAGCAGCTGTTGTTGCGGGTGCGCTGACGGCAACCGAGGGAGCCATCATCTGTTGCCGACGAGCCGTGCTCTACAGGCAAGTCGCAGGTGCAGGCGCCATGGCCCTTGTGAACTTGCCTGCTTCGGAGGTTGAGAAGGAGCTTAACCGCGCCGAAGACGTCGTGGTTGCCATTTACCCTTCGCCAGAATCGACTGTCATTGCCGGAACTATCGAGGCCGTCGAGGCCGTCACCACACGCTGGCATGCAAAGGGCATCCGGGCTAAGAAGATCAAGACAGATGTCGCCTTCCATAGCCCCGTTCTCGAGCAGCTGGTTGACCCGCTACGTGCTGCTCTGGGCGAATCTCTGCGCCCGAAGGAGCCGCAGATAGCCATATATTCAACGTCGCTGGACGAGCCACGAGCTGTCCATGCTCGCGGAGCCGACTACTGGATCGGAAACATGGTCAAGCCAGTGCAGCTCGTTAGGGCCATCGAAGCGGCGACGTGCGACGGCTTCCGACTTTTTGTCGAAGTGTCGGCGCACCCCATCATCGCCCACTCGATCCAGGAGACGCTCGACGCTGGCGAGGTTGCCGATGCAGCCGTCATCCCCACTGGCATGCGCAATCAGGACGAGGGAAAGACGGTGTTGCTCGCACTCGCCAAGCTGCACTGTGCCGGTGACACTGTTGCGTTCAACGAGGGCTTGCCCGGATGGTGGAACCACAGTGTGCCAGGCACGGCGTGGCAGCACCAGCCCTTCTGGCCAAAGATCGAGAAGCCCAAACAACCCGTCGGCCAGAACCGTTCAGTCGACGTCAAGGGCCACAAACTGCTCGGGGCAAAGACGAGCGTCAACGGCACAAACATGACGCTATGGCAGGCGTACTTGCATGCGGGAGCTAAGCCTTTCCCCGGATTGCACCCCCTCCATGGGTCTGAGATTGTACCCGCCGCTGTTCTTCTTAATACCTTCCTTTCGCTAGCGCACACCAGGTCGCTGCGGAACGTTGGGCTGCGTACGCCCGTGGTCGTAGAGCCACCACGTGAGGTGCAGGTGCTATTGGATGACGGCAAGATGTCCGTCTCATCGCGGCTCGCGGCTGGTGAGGATGAGGAGAATGGCCACTCGTGGCTGACTAACACAGTGTCGAGCGTAGGCCCACCCACCGCCGAGTCTAAGCTGGGACAGACAATCGACCTAGCCAGCATCAGGGAACGACTCCCAGAGACCTTACCATCATCCTTCTCAATTGACTACCTCGCCAATGTCGGTGTCTCCGACATGGGCTTTCCTTGGCAGGTGATCGAGCACTTGCGCAACGATGAAGAGTTCCTGGCCGTGGTCGACGCAGACCCGCAGACCACAGGTACATCGCCTCACTGGGGCGGACAATCGTGGGCCTCGGTGCTAGACGCTATGACTTCGGTGAGCTCAACCATCTTCTGGAAGCAGCCGCTGCTGCGTATGCCGACCAGTATCGACTCTGTTACCCTACTACCAGGCGCCGTCGCGCCCAAGATCAGCTACATGTACGTTCGCAGAAGAGTGCAGGATGAAGACGAGTTTGCGGCGGATATGCTGGTGTGCGATGATCAGGGCACCGTGCTAGTCGACGTGGAGAACCTAGCATTCGCGGGCATCGAGGGCAATCCGGACAGCATCAAGAGCCACGATGGCCTGGTCCATCGCATCGCATGGCCGCCGGTACAGTTGGCGGAGGAGCGACGACAATTCGATGAGGTCGTCTTCCTGGCGCCTGAAAGCGCGACCGAAACCGTGGAGGCGTGGAGTATGGACCTAAGCCGCCAGGGTGTGCGATCGCGGTTCGAAGGCGATCCCGACGCCGTGGCCATTAGCGTTTGTCCAGCGTCAGTAGTGGTGGTGGTGGCTGAGACTACTCAAGAGATGGACAATGTTGCCGCGGTATCGTTGCGTAACTGCGCACGGCTGGCGACCACTGTACAGCAACTCTGGAAGGCAAGGACCGCGACAACACTGTTCTGCGTGACAGAAGCCGCGTACGGCGGCAGCGATGCGGCAGCCCTTTCGCAGTCAGCACTGATAGGCCTCGCCCGCATCGTACACAGCGAGCACCCGGAGCTATTTGGTGGACTAATCGACACCGAGCATGCCGCCGCCGCTTTTCCACTCCAGGCGCTCAAATACGTGCGCGGTGTCGACGTGACACGCATAGAGGATGGCGTAGCCCGGGGTGCGCGCCTGCGCCCCTTGCTGGAGTCTTCCCTGCGTAGGACTCCACCATCCGACCTCACTCCAGGTGGTTTGGCCCAGCACCATGGCAGCGGGAACGCTAGCAACGGGACGTTGCGATTAGTGCCCCACCACGCGACCTACCTCATCACTGGCGGGCTTGGCGCACTGGGAATCGAGACAGCGCGCTGGATGGTGGAGAAGGGAGCAACGCATATCGTGCTGGCGGCGCGGCGAGGTGCTAATGCAGCTGCCGTTCGCAGCATCGTCAAGCTACAGAAGCGAGGCGCCTCAATCCATGTTGTGGCGGTTGACATTGGCGCGGCTGACGCACAAAAGCAGCTGCAGCAAGCTCTGGAAAGGCTGAGTCTACCACCAGTGAGGGGCGTGGTGCACGCAGCTGGAATGCTGGCTAACGAGACGGTGGCCGAGCTAACTACCGGTGCGTTGAGTGCGGTTGCGAACCCAAAAGTCGCTGGCGCGTTAAACCTGCACCAATTGTATCCGCCTGGGACGCTTGATTTCGCAGTCTGGTATTCATCATGCGGTCAGCTGCTAGGTTTCCCCGGCCAGGCTTCGTACGCGGCCGCAAACGCCTTTTTGGATTCGCTGGCTACCCATCGCCGCCGAATGGGCGACGCCTGCTGCGTCAGTATTCAGTTCTCCAGCTGGCGTGGGCTGGGCATGTCTACGAGCACCCGCTACATCGACGCCGAACTAGAAGCCCGCGGAATCACCGACGTGACTCGCGCAGAGGCGTTGTTTGCGCTGGAGTTGCTTCTGCGTGCTGACATGGACCACGCTGCCGTGCTGCGTGCCCGCCCTCTGGAGACCGGCGATCCTCTGCCACACCCCATCCTACGTGATTGCGTTTCCTATGTTGCGAACCCTGTCAACTTGACAGCCGTGTCGCCCGACACGGCGGCCCCCAAGTCGCTGAAGGATCGGATTACCGAGTGCGTGGCGGCGGTGCTGTCGCTCTCGGTCGACAGCATCGATGAGCACACTGCGCTGGTCGAACTGGGCGTAGACTCGATTATGACGGTCGGCCTGCGTCGACACCTGCAGAAGCTGGGGCTAAATGTGGGGCCGACCTTACTTTGGAATTGTCCGACAGTGGCGCATCTGGTTGCGCACTTCAAGGCTGAGGGTTCTTGATTACCGGCCGAGTGATTTCCTTCCCCGATTGCCCCACTTGTTCTTCTTGTATGTGCATAGAAGTTAATAGATGCGTGCTTTCTCGGGTGCTGTCCACTGTAATTAGATCAAACAATGGCTTTGGCTGGCTTCTTCCTTGTCCTCGCCTTTTCGGCAGTGCTATCTCTTCTGATCCCTATAGGTCGGCGGTCTAAAAGCCTCCCGCCAGGTATGCAATGATGCTCTAGCCGTGACAAGATGATATTTTCGCCAGGCTGACCGTCGCGAATTCCAGGACCACCAACTCTCCCGTTAGTTGGCAACCTCCACCAGATCCCAAAAACGGGTGCTCATTACAAGTGCGCATGCAGCTCCCACTTCCGAATACTCGACGCTGACTGAAGCCGGCCAGATTCACCGAATGGGCGCGCATGTATGGCGGTATTTTCTCACTGAAGTTGGGCCCAGCCACAGCCGTGGTCATCACGGACCGACGCCTGGTAAAGGAATTACTTGACAAAAAGGGCAACGTCTATAGCGCCCGGCCGCAGTCATATGTCGCGAACGACCTTATCACCGGCGGCGACCACCTACTAGTGATGCAGAACGGCACCAAGTGGCGACTCTTCCGGAAGTTGGTCCAAAATCACTTTAACGAGGCGCGTTGCCAACAAGAGCATGTCGAGCTGGTAGAGGCTGAGGCGGTGCAGATGATGCACGATATTATGGTGGCGCCCGAAGGCCTGATGTTGCACCCAAAGCGCTTCAGTAACAGCATCATCATGAGCCTGGTTTTCGGCATCCGTACCCCGTCGGTGCGGACCAAGCACATGCTGCAGCTTTATGACGTGATGGAGAAATGGTCGGCCGTGATGGAAACGGGTGCAACTCCTCCCGTGGACATCTTCAGCTTCCTGAAGTGGGTACCCGAATCGATGTTTGGTAATTGGAAGAAACGCTCGCTCGACGTCAACGTGATGATGGTAGCACTATACGCGAGCATGGTCGGAAGAGTGCGTAAGCGCCGTGAAGCAGGGCACCAAAAAGCTTCTCTACTTGACGGCGTTCTCGACGCGATGGCAGCTCCTGGTAGCGGTAGCGAAGGCCTCAGCCTCAACGAAAACGAGATCAACTTCCTCGGCGGCGTACTAATGGAGGGTGGGTCCGACACGAGCGCCTCGATCCTGCTCGCTTTTCTTCAGGCCATGATCAAGTACCCGCATGTGCAGCAGCGCGCGCAAGCTGAGATCGACGCCCTTCTCGGCGCCAATAGTACCGCCATCGAGCGCTCGCCTCGATGGGAAGACTATGCTCAGCTCCCGTATGTTGCCCAGATTGTCAAGGAGACGATGCGTTGGCGTCCCGTCACGCCACTGGGATTTCCGCACGCGACGAACGCCGGTATGAAACCAGCACAGTCTGTATACCTCTTTTTCTAACAATAATTTTCTTAGATGACGTCGTAGACGGGTACACGATCCCCAAAGGCACCACCGTGCTCCTCAATGTGTGGGGTCTGCACCACGAAAGAGCTGGCGCGGATGGGGCTCTCTCGCCGTTCGCCTTCGATCCCGACCGCTTCGCAGGCCGCACCGCGCCCGCCCCCACATTCGCCGCTTCCAAAGATTATGAGGCGCGCGATCATTACGGTTACGGTGCCGGCAGGCGGTTGTGTCCTGGTATTCATCTCGCCGAGCGGAACCTGTTCGTGGGCATGGCCAAGCTGCTGTGGGCGTTTACGCTGGAAGAGAAGCCCGGCGCAGTACCTATCGACGTTGATCCCAAGACTGGGTATTCCGAAGGATTTTTGCATTGCGCTAAACCGTTTGCGTGCGAGGTGAAGGTTCGGGGGAGGAATGAGGCGGAGAGGAAGAGGAGAAGGGAGATTGTGTTAGCTGAGTTTGGAAGAGCGGGTGAGATATTTAAGGTGTTCGAATGAGTAGTTCGTTGAGCACAGTGGCGAATTGGCCATGATGAGCTTGAAATTGGAAAATGCGAGCCTGGAGAATGGTGAGGATCGACCTTGGGATGCACGCATCCGCGTGACTTGCAGCTACAATATGGGTTCGTATCACTATACTGAGCTTCAGTAGCGTTCTCCTTAGGTAAAGTCGCGAAATATATTCTAAAAACTGGTTGTCTTTGCGGAGCACCAAATGTGTGGTTGAAGTGTGAGTAGATGAGTTACATGTACCAGATCGGAATCGGAAAAAGATTTCCCCTAGTGTCCACTCCCGTGATCGCTAGCGGCTGTTACTGCTCTCCTCAACAACCCATTCACCACCATTGTACTATTCTGATGATGGTCGACTTACTCGTCAGAGTCTTCGCATATGTATCGTGTTCGACACTATAATACAACATCACTCCTCCAAGGAAAGCAAATTCACCCCAAAACACATTTTTGCGGTGGGAATAACGCACGGAGAGGCCTACAGGACACGCCGTAGCCTTCTATCCATGTTAACCATTTTCCAGCGACTAGTAGTCAAAAGCGATTAAGCCTTCGAGTAGAGGTACTTCTGATGATTCAAGATTTGGGCAAAACGTTCTCCCTTCGGATGCTGCATTCTATAGTTGGGATCGATCTAAGTTTTCCTTGGTGAGTGCACGGTCTATCTCGTGCAGTATACTCGCATGTTTCTATCGTCGTATTTCGGACGATGCATACATGCGATATCATTTAGTAGGGAAAATGTCGCCTCAGCGTCATGGACGCCAGGTTGAATTGTGATAAGATCGTTCTCGTCCACTGCAACAAAGTCAACTTCGTCTCCCCTCGCCTTTTGATAAATGATCGCCCATTGATTCGATAGCCATACTCCAGTAGAGCAACGTTTGTGTGCGGCCATTCATGGGTACATGCGCAGCCCGAACAAAGCTCATAGAGGCAACAAGCATGGGTACGAGGAAATGCACAAAGATCAAATATGCGCCTCTGCAATCCAAATTATAACCAAAAATCAGGAGTGCACCACAACTTCACGTCCAATGGCCCTTCTGGACCTTTACACATGAGAAATCTACCACCTCATATTCCGGGGTACATTTTTACAACAGGGAAATACAGTAGTAAGTGGATCAACTATGCTCGCAAACATGGCCAACTTATTCTACCTACTTGTACCAAAGTCATCTTAAGTCTGAAATCTCTTTACTACGTTTCTGTTCTTGACTTCTCTATTGACATGGCTTTCCTTATAAATTGTAGACACTCTGGGAGAGAATACACGTATATCGAGCAGAGTCCTTTCTTTCCTGGTCTACTGGTTTGTAGGTTTTCTGCATGGGGGGTTGGTCTTGGAGTATCAAAAATTGGTCTTGCGTGGCGCCCTAAAGGGCTATTGAAGCTTTTGATTCGATGCTTAACGGTCGTAATTCCATAATCCTTACCACAAGCAAAAGGTATGTATCATGAACAGCCATATATGCTTCTATTCACACCAAGGAAAATCCTGATATTTACATGCTCAAAGCACAGGCCCGAGCAACAGAAGGAGTAACAGTCTCTCCGGGAGATGATCGCTATTCACAAGCTCGGATGCGAACACCTAGTCTCAGTCAAGAAGTAGGCGTTGCACTATAGCTAAGAGATGCTTATGCGACGAAGCGCTTAGCAGTAGCGCCCTTCGCAACCTTGGTGCCCTTGGTGGACGCCGTGGACGCAGTACCAGCAGTACCAGCAGTAGCACCAGCAGTCCTCCCGGCAGCAGTGGTGTTACCCGTAGCTGCGCCGCTGCCCGCCATCTGGAAGGCGATGACACCACCGAAAGGGCCAGCGTTGTTGGCTGTCCCACGTCAGCATCGTTCTTGCACCAATCCACAAAACAGGGTGACTTACAGTTCGCAATCTTCATGAAGCACACGTTCTGCTGGCCGGCCACAGTGCCAGAGCAAGTGGTCCCCGCAGGTACGGCGATGTTGATCGGGAAGTCCATGTTAACGTTTGACGCGCGCTTGACGAGGCCGCGAGCGCGGAGAGCCCAGTAGCTGAGGCCGCGGGGAACGTTGCCGTTGGGTTTGATGTTGCCTCTATTACCGGGGACATCTACTTGCTATCAGCTTATGCACAGATCAGGGGAGAGGGAGCACAATTTACCAGTGACGACATTCGCCTGCACACCATCCGCAAACTGTCCCGTCGCAGTAGGATCAATCATAGCCTTGACTGGGCCCGCACCATCCGTAGTAACAACGTGGAAAGTGCCGGTAATGTTTCCGCCGTCGCTAACCTGAGGAAGAGTGGCACCACTCTGGTCCATGGTCGCTGCGACCATGGCCGCCTTGTTTTGGCCTTGGCCCTGGGTCTTGCCCAAGCCGTTGCTTGCGATCTGGGTCTTGCCAAAGACGGTGGTGTCAACCTCAGTGACTTTGTTCTTTCCCGGACCGGGGACAATCCCGCCCTGGATTCCGATGGCGGTGCCGTTTCCGCCTGCATCACCTGCGACGGCGGCGACTTTGCCATGGGCAGAGATGAGGGTGGTAGCGAGAGAGAGTGTGGCGAAGAAGATGGTGTGGGCGTTGAAGTACATGGTTGCCACTGGACTGCTGGTGCTAGGTTGGAGGAGTGATTAAACACTGAATCGAATGATAGATAATGGAAGAGCAACGAGTCAATCGCGCTTTGATAAAAATAGGCGAACCGGTGTGAGAAGAGAAGAGAAGAAAAACTCGCTGAGCTGATATGTCCCCTGGAATTGTAATCGTCCCGCTCTTTATACACATCGACCTTCGTACTTTTGCCTGCCACGGCGGAACTCTTGCGCCGCTAGCGGAGGACTCAAAACCTCAGTCACGTCCGTGCTACTCCGCATCGTCGTGGGCCAAAGGCGCAGGCGGCGCGCAAGGGTTTCAACTGTTTGACACCCAATATCTGCGGCAGCAAGGCTCGTTGCTGATGGGTTGAGGCCAAAAGTGATGCTATGTGAGCTAAGCTTTTGTCAAGCTTTAGTGCCGCTGCTTACACTAGTTTGAATGCTAGCGGATTTGAAGGTTTCGTAAACGCCCAAAATGGTCCATATAGTTGTACGAGACGAGATTCATTCTATCAGTCAGAACGGTCTGGCGGTTCCACTCGAATGAGAGGGATGGATCTGAAATGCAATAAGATTGTAAAATAAAGAGTCCCAGTCTATCGGTATCTGTCAGCCTGTCACTCCAAATCTGCATCGTCTCCTCCCCAACACAGTTAGCGTCCCGTCTACACCTGCGTGTTCACGATGTTCACGTTTTCACCAAGTTTCAACACCAAGTCCTCGGCATTTCGAAACCAACACTGACCCAAGTAGATCACGCAGCGAACAAAACAAGCCATCGTCCTAAAACGACTTGCTTTGATATGCATCTTCTGCAATAGCGGAGTCTTTTTCACCTTATTCGGCGCTGGCCCATCGGATGCTGAAACAGGCGAAACGCCGACCTCGCCCTCCTTCGCAACACGCTTCTCCCCACGACGCCATCATCGACACTAGGATGCGTTCATCTGGCAGCCTTGCGCATACCCGCGTGCCACTTGGCGGCTGTTCTCATGCGGTGCTTCGCTAAGCTTTAAGAGCCCGTTAGGTCCAAGCAACGCTGGTGCGAAACTCAAATCAAACGCAAAGAGAACGGTGGCCGAGGTGTGAAGACGCTAGACTTTTGCAGGTGGTGATGGAGGCTTCAGAGGGGTGCCGAGTAGAGGGTTAAAGCCGCTGTCAAGTTTCGACAGAGGTGACATTTGACGGATTTGAACTCCGCCGTGACATTGCCTTGAACAGTGACAGCGAAGATGGTGAAACTTGTTCTGGAAGATCCGGTACGATGACACTTCACTACCGCGTATGGAGTTGTGGAGCTATCGGAAAGGAGTTTGGATTAATTGCTTCATTAGCATATTCTAGGATAAAAGACATAATTCGTTACATGCGCCATTTGCTTTTGCAAACCTTTGAAAGCTTCCATCACCTTTCCTTACGAAGCCTCGGCGTTCCTCTTTGCTGCTGCTTCTGCCGTGGACTTCAGTGCTGCAGGCGCGTCATCCCATGGCATCACCAGTTCGACGAAGCGCAGCTTCTGGGTGTCGCCGCTCGAGAACTCCTTGTCCATGAACAGCTCTTCTACCTGCTTCTTCGTTTCCACTCGGTAGGTCAAATACTGCTCCTTTGGTGCGCCAAACGCTGCTGGCAGGTCCTTGTACTTCCACTCTTGTACGTCATTGTAAGGGTCTTCCATGCCGTGGATGAATCTTTCAATCGTGTACCTAGGCGAAGTCAGCAAAAGTCTTACATGTTTCAAAGGCTTACTTACCCATTGTTGCAAATGACGAAAATTATGGGGTTCAATTTGTTGCGAAGCATCGTGCTGACTTCTTGCGCAGTGAGCTGGAATGAACCGTCGCCCGTGAACAGGATCGTGCGCTTGATGCCCTTCTCCTTCGCGGCAAGAGCGGCACCCTGGCATGAGCCCGTGGCGTAGCCGATACTGCCCCAAAGGACCTGCGAGATGGCAATCACATCATCCGGGAACCTCGTCTCCCAAATACCGAAGTTCGCCGTACCAGTCTCGGTGATCACGATATCCTTCTTCTCAAGCCACTGGCCTAGGCGTGGCCAGAACCACGCTTGTGTGATGGTCGGCTCCGGCGACTTGACCTCATCATTTGGTATCTCATTGTCCGGCTTCGGTCCGCTCTCGATGTTAAGTTTGCCCAGCTTCTCTGTAACCTTCTTCAGAACACCGTTCATCCGCACACCTGGGTATTCGGAATACCGCACTTTGATGCCGTAGCTATGGAAGTCGATGGTGTTCAGTTGGGAGACGCGGTACGTGAAGCCAGCAGTGTTGAAGTCTGATTTGATAGCGCCAATGGAGATTACGAGATCCGCGGATTCCACACGCTCACGCACACCCTTGTTGCTGCCATCGCCCGCGTAAACACCACCATAGTTAGGCAAGGTTTCGTTCACGGCACCCTTGCCCATAGGCGCGACAAAGACAGGGATGCCGGACTTGGTAATGAATTCGTGTGTCTCTTCCAATGCTCGGTGGCGAATCGCGCACGCGTCCACTAGGATGACGGGGTTGCGGGCTGCATGGAGATATTTGAGGACTACATCTACAACGTAGTCCTCTTTCTCGGGGTCATTCGAAGGGTAAGCTAAATCAAGGGGTGTCTTGAGCCGATCGCCGTCGACTTTCTTCTGAACCATATCCGTGGGCAGGGCGATGTAAACGGGCCTCGATTGCAGGATGCATTCGCGAATCGCATTGTCGATCAAGGTAGCCGCTTCATGCTGCTGGTTCAGCATGGAGACTGCGCACGAAATCTGAGTCGACATCTTGGAGAAGACGTTGAAATCTCCATTGCCGAGCGTATGGTGAAGCAAAAGTCCGTTCTTCTGGGCCGCTGTGGTGGGATAGCCGACAATGTGCACAATGGGCACGTATTCGGAATACGCGCCCGCAATGGCGTTGACTGCGGAAAGCTCGCCCACGCCGAACGTCGTCACGATGGCGGAAATGCCTTTGACACGTGCATAGCCGTCGGCGGCGTATCCGGCGTTCAGCTCATTGCAGTTTCCGACCCAGTGGAGGCCGGCAGGTTTGATGTAGTCAAGAGCTACAAGATTGTAGTCTCCTGGTAGACCATGGACTGAGCGGACGCCGACTTCGTGGAGGCGTTTGAAGAGGTACTAGCATGCGTCAGCATGGACCACACTGAGGCGCTGGAATGGGAATGCTCACCTCAGCGACATCTATAGGATTCTTGATTTCCTGTGTTCGAAGATCTGCCATGCTGACAGTTGAAGCCTGTGAAGACTGTGGAATCGAGTGAAGGAGGAGGTGTTGTTGTTGTTGCGATACTGCAGCACTGCGGCAGCTCGCGGGCGCTCTGTGTAAATATAGTCGGCCTATGACGAAGTTATTGCGGGACTTCACGCGTTAGTCAGGCACGGCGTGGGCCGACAACTCGCATGTGGTGTGATCGGTAGTGTACTAATCCCAACAACATGGCAGCTGTCGACATGAAAGTTCGCCCATGGTCAGTTGCGATTGCAAGCTATGCTTCACATTTCTCTTGCTGCTGATACTGCCAGGCAAGATCTTCCTTGTCTAGCACGCTGGGTGGTTCACGTCGTGCGTTCGTAGCGAGATTTGACGGCATCTGCGTCCGACATTGTTGGGAAAGAGGTTATCGCAGACTGACGGGTTTGACGCGCAAGTCACCGCATCTGTTGCGCCTGCGGATAAGCCCGGTGCAAGGCCTGCAATGCTATCGCGCACTGCGACGCGAGCATCGTCCACAGTCGGCCGAACCACATCCACTCAAGGCCAGACGAGCTTGCATTCGGTCCGTAGGCTCCTGCGATGAGCTGATTGAAGAGGGAGTGGCATGGCTTTGACCACCAGAAAGATGATACGTGTGCACGGAGTGACTTGGCGTTGCATGCGGCGGGTACTTCTGAGCGGCGAAGAACGGTCCTTGGTCCCAGAACCCGGCAATTCGGTCGCAGCTGTTCAGGGTGCACAGGTATGAAAATCTTGCGCTCATGGGCCATGCGATTATTCCGCGACAATGAATCGAAATGGGAAAATGAAGAGTCTGGAACGTGCGCGTGGTAAGAGGGCGTAAAGATGGGCCGCGCGAGCACAACATGGAAAGGTTATATCTGCACTGCGCCATAAGTATACGTTGTCGTTGCTCATGTTGTTTCCTCCCCCGAGAGGTCAAACATCATGGCCAAAGCGATGTGTAGGCGTCGGGCCGACACGTTTCCACCATCCACACCCAAGTCTCGTCTCACCATGGATGATGATGAGGCGCAAAGCCACGGCCACAGCCAAGAACTTCGGATGGGTGCTCTGCGCGAGCTGCGGGAGAGAGGCACTTTACTACACATGGCATATGTGAGAGCCCAAAACGTGATGATCATGCACCAGTGAATGCTATCCTGCCTCCGCTCGTTGGCCGTCTTCGAAGTAGCGAGGAAGCAGCAGGTACTTCTAGCGCCGCCCGCTCAGACCACTACTAACGCCTCTCCACGGTCCACCCATCATCTCTGGGCGCACTCCAGCTCACCAGCCAGGCTCCAGAAGCCGCCCTCCTCCCCGAGCCCACCCAGCACCCTCGTCACCGCCGCTGCCTCCTCCTCCCGTGTGTCTTCCCGCGAGCGCAGCACCCGCCCGCCGTGTCGCTGCATCCGCCTTCCCAAGTCCACTGCGCCTTTGTTATCGAGCCTGGCCTCGCAAGCGCCGTGCCCAAATCAAGTGCTGCCGGCCGCATTCCTAGACACTGCTTACGCCAGATCGCGCAGCGACTGGCCTCTCCTCTCGTGCCCTGCACCGGCTGCCACTTCTGTCGCGCGAACCCTTTGCGACGTTGACACCGATTGTTGCAACACCACCACACGCCGCCGTCGCCGTTGCCTCTGACCAAGCTCCGCCCTCCACCAGCTGCCCACGAATCAGACTCGGCAAGCTCGCGAACATTGCGCGCAAGACAACGTCCGGTGCTGGTTCAGTCGCGCCGGGCTCTAGAACGCTCCGTCGCATCGTCATGCCGTGACGCGCAGTGCCATCAACCACAGCACTGAGTAGCCTGTCCTCGAGGCCTCGATAATGACAATTGCTTCGCGGCAGCGCTCCACGTCCAACATATCCAACACCTCGGATCGTTCAGGACGCCGCGGACCTCCCACTCCCCTCGCTGGCGTTCGCTCGAATCTCGGCCTGCCCGAGCACGACGTGCAAAACTTGGTCTCACCTCCTCTCCTCACATCCAACGGCGGGACTGGCTCGCCATACTCGCTGCTTTCTCCTGGGAGCTCCTACTCGACCAGCCCGCGGGCTCGGGCGCATACAGTTGCAGACCCTAATCTCATTCAGAGACAGCCCAACTACTTGTCGCAATCCACCATGCATCAGTATAACCTTCCCCCGCCGCCTCCGCAACCCACCTCGAACCCCACCTCCCATAACATGAACCTCCCTCCGCCGCCTCCACGACCGCCGACCAATCTCAATGGAATGATGAATGCTCCGCCGCATGCAGGGTATAACTGGGGTGCACCGCGACAACAACAACAGCATCAGTACAACCCGGGTTTATACCAGGGGTACCACCTTCCTCCTCCGCCAGGGCCTCCACCTCTGCAGCAACAGCAAAACCAGGAGGCACCGCTGACCTCTGCGACTTATATACCGGGTGGGGAATCGTTCGGACCAGGAGTTGGCATCCCACCGCTACATACGTCAAGACATTATCAAGAGCCGGCGTTCTATAGTGAAGAATCATACTCGGCCAACACTGACACCTCCGCGACCAGCTTTCCAGTACAAAACTATGGAGCCAACACTTCTTTTCCTACGGCTACGAACCGTAGCCACCTCAACATCCCCACCGAAAGATCTCTGGGCTACGACCCTCCCGGACCACCCACCGCGACAATGCAGAATCCTATACCGCAGACACACGGCAGCTTGTACTATCGCAATGAAAATACCGGCACGACCCCCGTCTCGCCGAATGACGCGGCCTCTCAATGGCCTGCGGAACGAGTTCAGATGTGGCTGGCGAGTTACGGTTTTTCAAGAGATTGGCAGGAAACGTTCAAGACGCTGGGTTTAGAGGGAACTAGGTTTTTGGAGATCGGTCGCGGTCATGGTGGGAAGGGCAACGTTGGCATGATGCATCAGGTCATCTTTCCGCAGCTAGCGAAACAATGCACAGCGAGCGGGACTGGTTGGGACCAGAATAGAGAAAGAGATGAGGGTCGAAAATTGCGAAGATTGGTTCGTGCCATCGTTGAGACTGGAAGCGCAAGCAATGTGCGGCTGCCGCAACGACAGGATACAGGCATGACGTTAGCCAGCGCAGGTACTGAGGGTACACTCGAGAACTCCCCATACCTAGGCACAGGTCGTGACCAGTTCGGATCCACGCCCACAACTGCTGGAGGCGGTGAAGAGAGCCCAGGACGTCAGATGCCTCTCACTTCGCCTGGTTCTGCGACTATTCCTCGCCAACGGAACTTCACCGTGCCTGGACTTGGCCCACCGCCTGACTACAACGAAACATCTGGCCTTGGCGCATACTCCAAGGAGCATCGTGAGATGCTGCGCGACTTGGACGCCAAGCCCAAACACCGACACAGCCCTAATGCTTCTGGTGAATTTGCTCCCTCTTCGTTCAGCGCTTCGAATCACCGCGATGTGATGAGGCAAGCAAGCCCACAACATAGTCCCGGCTTACAGTCGGCACGCCTCGCGACTACTGGTCAGCATAGTGGGGGGCTGAACTCGTCAGCGAACAGGTACTACAGCAACCATATTCGCGGCAACAGTTCCGAATCAAATCTATCGACATTTGCTACGGCAGGGTCCGTGAACGGCGGGGTCTCCGGCCCACCTTCGGGCAGGTCCGTTGAACCCAGGTCTGAAAGTCGCACCGAGAAGAGGTCTGGCTTCGATGCTGGTTCTCGGCCAGGTACTGGCATGTCCAGGCACGACAGCGCAGAGATTCCCACGAGTGCTAAAGAACACAAGGGGTTCTTACCCAAGTTCATGCGGAGAGAAAAGAAGAAGGAAGAAGGACATCCTTCCCCTGACGACACTAGTCTTGACTCTCCGACGAGTCCAGCGAGCCATAGGAATATCGCTGCCGGATCATTCTTCGGTAAAACAGGACTGAACTCTAGCGAAACGTCGTTGAACGAACGCCCATCCTCTCGTCGTTCCGCGCAAACTGATTCGGATAGTCGGACCGGCATTCGCGGCCGAGGCTCGTCTGTCCGAGAGAGTGATCGGAAATATGCATTCGTTACCCCAGATGGTTGGAATTACCGTTTGGTTGACATCTCCAATGCCAGCAGCGCGGCGACGCTACGAGAAATCGTATGTGAAGAGCTCAACCGAGGACTCAGTCAGACGCCTGGTGTGCAATTTCACTTGACGTCTCCGGGACAGTACGAACACAATGAACCCCTCACCGACTCTAAGCTGCTGAACGCCCGATCGCAGTACGGAAATAAGCTGGGCGATCTCAAGATCTTCGTCAAAATTCCCCGAGAAGCACATGTTCCAACCTCTACAGGTCTGGGTGTATCTATTCCTCCTCCGGCTGAAAAGCGTATTGACGAGGGCACATACGCTCGTTTGAACGAGTTGGACCCGGATGTCAAATCTGGTGAATCGACCCTTGTTCCGGACAAGAATGGCAAATTACGAAAGCTGGCAGAGAGACAGGAGCTGACCCCTGAAGCAGTAGCGGAACGTCTGAATGGCGGCAGCAGCAGATTACCAGAGCCTTCCTGGGCTGTAGGCGATGATCTCCCGGAAGAGGAACGCCAGAAGCTTCTTCAAGCTGCTTCAGAAGAGCACCAGCGGGAGACCAAGCGCAAGCAGGCAGCTTACCTAGCATCTCGTCAAGAGAAACTGAAAAAGGAAGGCTCCACACCTTCTTCGGCTAAGGATGTCGGAATTCACAGTCCAGGTATCATTGACTTCGATGAGCCGCGCAACTCACCCTATGAAGCACCGAAACCATTTGATGATCGGAGAAAGAGCAAGCAATTGGTGCCGCTCAGAGAGCCACCCCCTGTTCCTGGAGATTCAAATACGTTGATTAAGGCTAATTCGCTGTCGAAGACTAAGAAAGACCGCACATCATGGCCTGATGGTGAAGAAGCCCAAGCAAAGCGATCGTCGACCGATAATGATATATCCAAACGAAAAGCCATACCTCAAGGACCCAGTGGTCTATCTAGTATTGCTGCTGCGATAATTGGGGCAGGCAACATCGGCAGTTCAGTGGGAGCTGCCAACAAGGCGCCTAAAGTACCTCCTAAAGACTCAACTGAGAACGTGCGTCCTTCGCAGCGCATTCTTCAAGAAAATGGTTTTGGATCTGGTTCTGGGAGGAATAGTCCAGGTGGGTCTCCTCGCAGTCCTGGGTCTCTGACCATGAGCAAGGGCAATGTCCCGTTCTTTATACCTGACTATGAGGAAGATGTTCCCGATGATGTTACGCTTGACAAGCCGCTCCTCAAGCTCAAGATGCCAACCGCGCCAAACCCGACGATTTCCAAACTTAAGGATGACCTACCGTCACGAACAAGGTCACCCGATGTTAGTCCTCACTCTGCGCACCCCCCGGCCTCGGCCTTGTCTCGCGATTCCTCAAGAATTTCCATGTATGGAGGGACGATCGATTTTGATGAAGCTCGAGTATCGTTCCACTCCAAGAGTACTCAGGATCTGGATCCCGTCAATTCTGATGACGATTCTGATGACGGACTGTTTGCTATGCCTCTTGCTAAGACTGGGCCTCCTACGCCTGCCAAGAGTGGATTATCATCGACGATCGATTCCCGTGGTCAACGGCCCAATCTCACGCTGAAAACTTCTCGGTCAAAGAACTCACTAGACAGGGTCCCGGAAAGGTCTGGCGATGTTAGTGCAGCTACGGACGACAGTCGCAGCACCCAGCCGAACGATTTAAATCCGGAAACTCCTCACTCCAACACCTGGACGGACTCACCTGATGATAGAGGTGGGTTTAACAATGTCCTACGCCGGGAGTCATTTGCTTCTGATCTCTGGGCCAATCGACCTCCCGCGGAAGCCCTTGTGGAGCACCTTGACGAATTCTTCCCCAACGTCAACCTCGATCAACCAATGCTTGAAGAGGATGCCGATGACACCGATGCTTCAACCGAAGTGACAAGTGACTTTTCTAAGGACAGTCGCTCTGTCACGCCAGCGTCATCTTTTGAAGATACTAGCACCGTTAGTTCCACCCTCAACAGAGCATCAGTCCAGTCCATGGCGCAGCGCAATATCCGCAAATCGGGTGTTGGCCTTGGTCGTACCAAGTCTATTCGAGAAGTGGTCAAATCGCAATATCAGCCGTTCGAGAAGCGGCCTCAAATTCCTCCTGTCGTGGCAGGGCCCTCGCGCGTTACTACACTGCGTGGTGGTGGAGATATTGTCCGCAGGAAGTCGACAAAGATGTTCCACGCGAAGATTGAGCAGGTCAAGCCTCCTCGTGGCTCCAGGTTGATCCAGCTAGAGACAATCCCACAGGATCACCTACCTCTTCCGCAACGTCAGCCTACCTTCAAATGGATGAAGGGTCAACTCATTGGCAAAGGGACGTTTGGTCGCGTGTATCTTGGTATGAACATTACCACGGGTGAATTGATCGCAGTCAAGCAAGTGGAGGTCAACCCAAAGGCCGCTGGGTCTGACAAAGACAAGATCAAAGAGCTTGTGAAGAGTTTGGACCAGGAGATCGACACGATGCAGCATCTGGACCATGCAAACATCGTGCAATACCTTGGTTGCGAGAAAAAGGAGTACAGTATATCGATCTTCCTTGAGTACATCAGTGGTGGCTCTGTCGGCTCCTGTATTCGCAAGCACGGGAAGTTCGAAGAGAGCGTTGTGAGCTCGCTCACAAGACAGACGCTAGGTGGCCTTGCCTACCTGCACAGGGAAGGCATTCTCCACCGTGATCTCAAGGCGGACAATATCCTGCTCGACCTTGACGGGACGTGCAAGATATCCGATTTCGGCATCTCCAAGAAAACGGACAACATCTACGGTAACGATGTCACGAACAGCATGCAAGGATCCGTCTTCTGGATGGCGCCAGAAGTCATCCGCTCTCAGGGTCAAGGCTATTCCGCGAAGGTCGACATTTGGTCGCTCGGCTGTGTCGTGCTCGAAATGTTCGCGGGCAAGCGACCGTGGTCGAAGGAAGAAGCCATCGGTGCCATCTACAAGCTAGGCAGTCTGAATCAGGCACCTCCAATCCCGGAAGATGTTTCAAGAGTGATCGGGGTAGAGGGCTTGAGTTTCATGTATGACTGCTTCACCATGTAAGTGATTGTGTCCATTGCGAATTACATGCATGCTAATGACGATGCAGCGACCCGGCCGAGCGCCCGACTGCCGAGACGTTACTCCGTTCGCCGTTCTGCTTTTCGGACCCGAACTACAACTTCCTCGACACGGAACTCTACGCCAAGATTCGGGGCGCATTCCAGTAAAAGCGAGTCTTGTGGTGCATTCCGATCTTTCGAATTTCATATTATGTATTGGAGCAGCACATTCTTTCTGCGAGTTACGACGCACCTATACCCATACTGGCTTTCCTATATCAGTTATTCTTGCTGTATTACTCATAGCTGCACGCGGTCTAGCGCTGTTCACGCTTATGAATCTCTTCCTTGGGCTTCCAGCGCGGCGTCATGGTGGGTTGGGCTTGGGAATCAAGGGCACGGGACCCCATGGGCTTGGGACCCTGAGCGATGCATGCGGGCGCTTGGGACTGAAATGCATCTCGTCACTGTTCAGTATGCGTCACCGCCTCAACCTGCCTGCTTTTGGTGAGGCTGGGTGGCGGGGCGGCAGGGCGGGGTAACCGATTCCTACTGTTGTGGCTGTAGCTAGATGCCAGGCCGTTGCGCCTGTCGAATGATAGCAATATTCTCTGACGCTGCGGACTTTTTCTTTGCCCTGCAGAGAGGCGGCGGGAACCACGGTGGTAGCGCGCCCGGGCGAAGTAGTGGCATGACGCAGGGTCGGGAAGTCGCACGTCGGCGGGCCGGTGAAGGCGTGCGCTCATCATCAGATGCATCAGGTGATGGCTCGAACGCGCCCTGTACCAGAAGATGTTTGCGCACCGGGGGCAGTGTAATGCACGCCCAGGGCGTCGGCGCTTGGATGTGCCGCTTGTAAGAGGAAGGTAGGGCGCTGGGTAGCGGGCTGGTTGTTTCCCCACCGACAGCCTATATAGGCGGCCGGTGCCTGCCACTACGCTGCATGTACCATTCATCCCATCCTACCTACCAAACAACTTACATCGAAACAAGTGCCTGTCTAATTGTCCACCCACGGTTCGCAATAGGCAATTGTTCACACAACCTCGGTTTTGTGCGAGCGCAAACATATAGTCAAGAGGAAGGCCGCCCGTTATGGACACGCCTGCGTTCACGCCTGAGACTCTGCATTCGTCGCTTGGATCATCCTCCACACAACCACCGCAGAAGCCGGGAAACACCAACAACAACGGCATGGCCTTCTCCAACATGGACTTCTTCGCCAACGCCCTTCGCCCGCTCTCCCCGCCCGAGTCGCCCTTCAACTTCAACGCCGCGTTTTCAAATTCAAAGCCTCCATCCAGGACTTCGACTGCGCCGGCGAGCCCGCACTTGGATCTCCCCAAGCCTGTGAAGAGAGCATCGCCTAACTTAAAGCTGCAAGCCCGGGCCCGCAGCGTGCAACCGCAAAAGAAAACAGAGGTCAATCCGTACTTTCCCTCCATCGCTGAGCAACAAAGATCTGAGAGGTGGATGCGCGACGCTGCGCGCTTGCCGCAGGGTTCTCCACCTAGCACGAGCGAAGCCCCACTTGAGGCTCCACGTCCATCTTCACGTGAAAGAGCATCATCGGATGGAGCCCTGACGCTGAAACTTGATCTCTCGTCGGCGCAGCGGCGCCGCGCGCTCAAGATATGCACCTTTGCACAGAGGGGTGGGGGGCTACCTGCGAGTCCAGAGAGTCTGCCCGAGTCCTCATCGGGCCAGAAGGTGGCAGAAGAGTACAGTAGGAATATGGCGCAGCATTTGCAGGAAAAGATGAGGCGGAGGAGTGTTAGGCCTACGCCTTGGGGAAAGGATTTTGAATGGTGAGGCATAGTAGGCACGTGGGAGCATTGTAGCGAAGGCGTTTGGCACAGTCACGAAGCACGATTTACGATATGCATTGTCTCGGGGTTGGAAAATAACTCTCGATACCCGAATACTACGGTTCTTCTGTTCGCTTGATTTTATTCAATGCTCGCGATTCAAGCTGTGAGGCTCTTGTTCTTTGCCATGGGAAGCAGTAAATTTTCCTCTGCCGCGGGAGGCAGTAGGCAGTCGTGAGACCAACGACTAACGCGAGCAAGCATTTCGATCGCGAGCCAATCACAGCTTTCCACGCGCGCCGCATGTGGTTAGTTGCCAGCCAATCATAGCTTGCATATGTACATGTGCATGTGCATGCGCATGCACGAAAAATCTAACATGTCAGACTACTCATGACTTAAACGGGTGTGTGTGCTGGCAAGCTTGCTGTTGTGAAGGCATGCGAGGAGAAAAAGGGCATGTGAAGGCGCAGAAGGTATGATGAGAGTAGTAGTGCATGTGAAGATTTTCCATTTTTGTAAAAGATGGCCGCTGTTCACTGTATATCCTGCCGTTTTCGCAGTGTCCTTCTGAATGTAACAGTGACTTGTGCTTGTGATTTGAGAGGAGGCGAGAAAGTATGACGAGGTGATGATTTATTGCGAGGCCATTTGCGCAGAAGATTCTCCGAATTAGGAAGATATTCGGTGTTAGTGGGTAATGCCGGTACGAGAGGGGCAAGTTGAATGTTCCTAGGGCTGTGGCCGGGTACCAACCCTCAAATTCCCCGCATGCGACAATGAATTGTGGCGAAGGCGATGTAAATAGTTGAGAAATTAGGAGGGTATCTTCTGTGAGGCGTATTCGAGTACCCCACCAGCGTGGTAAGGCACGGTGTTGATAATGACGTATGCGATGGATGCGGTGGTCACTCACGTGCACTCAGTCTACAAGTATTTTTGGGATTTTCCGGTTGACGACGAGTTGGTAACGGGACCGGGACAGAGTGTTGAGGACTCACCTCGGGACCGAGTGTTTGGAAGATGCGTCTGGAGAAGATTTGCATAGCCTTAGATGGTGCGACGTAGTAGTAGACCCTTTAAATGTTCTTGAGCCGTTCTTGAGAGGATCAGCGCACGTAGAGGAGGACCCTTTGTTCGCCGTCCGAATTCGACGGAAATGTGGTAGTGAGGTCGTCAGCGTGACTGAGCGCTGGCTGCGGTTAGCTTCGGCGAAAACAAGGTCCGATCGTGTAGAGAACCCCTGCTGTTATCATCCAAAGTACACAGTACGGCTCCAACGACGGTCCGAATAGTGCTCCCTACAGTCCTGGCGCTTGCCATGCGGTACGTATCGACTGGTTGATGATCGATCTTGGACGCTGAGCTCTTCTGCCAATAGCAAAAGCACAGCTTCTTGAACTCTAGCACACGGTCGAACGTGACGTGTGCAGATCAAAACATTGCACAGCCGCTCCGCTCTGTGATTCGCCGGTGCCGCCACCTACAAATATTCCAAGTAGCGAACCACCGCTTACTCGGCGCAAACCACAGCTGAAGCGCATCTTCGCAGATGTACGAAATGAACTTGGAGCCGCCGCGTACGAGGTGGTCCTGCGCCGGCGTGACCTAAGATGGGCGAATGTTTGCGCATCTCCAAAGTCCGGCGGTGCACAGCCGCAACCATCGAGTTGCGCGAATGGGGCAACGTGTACGGAGATCAAGCTGTGAGACATGCGTGGATGCGGAAATTCGTGGACTGGCCCGTGGAGATAAGACCCGAATGTAGGGCGGTGTCTAGTCTGCGCAGGCGTAGAGGCGTAGAGGCATGTTTTTGTGGACAATGGGCGATGTGTACTTGGTGGTGGTTCATGGTGACGGTACAGTAAGTAACGGCACGGCGAGCTCCTGGTGCGCGGCGCTGAATGATGCGGCGGCGGATGGATGGATTCAGTGCAGCAGACAACACTCGTCAAGCGAAACACGTTCCTTTCTCTTTTTCAGCTTCCAAAGTCAGCATGGAGGCTACAGGCGGGTATCGGCATCGGCATCGGTATTGATATGGGAAAGTCTATGGACGGGCGCGCAAGGCTCGACGAGGGCTGTTCAGATGCATGTTTGGCGCACGGGCGCTCTCTCGAAACATGCGGAGAACGCACCAAGTGGATTGGTGGTAGCGGCGCATGGATGAAACAACTTGTGGCTTGCCGCATCGGGGCGATCTACCACACAACACTGGGTCGCAGCATCGCCAGTGGCCTGCAGCGAGCGCAGAGATGAGGATGCGCGCCCGTTGCAATGCTATCGCTGCTAACAGACACCAGTGACGACACGGAAGATTGAGAGCGTCGCGCCTGCCCTGCGAGTTGCCGCGCTGGTCGCGCCTGCTCAGTGCTCGCCTCTCGTCGTGTCCTATTCCCGACGACTGCGGACTCCGCTGCTCAGCACACACTCCTCCGACCTGTGCTCAGGCCTCCTCCATCCTGGCCACTTTCTCTTTGCTCTACCGCACGCACAGTCCTGCATCCTCGCGGCACGCTGTCACCGCGACGCCCTGGAATCGATAGTCGCCTCTAGGGTCGCGCGGGCGTGTATGCCAGTTCGAACGGCACGCGGCAGAGCAGCTGCATGTGAAGCAACGTCGACCACGATGCAGCGTTCCTGGGGCGCCGCGGACCAGCAGCTCGCCGCCCCAGTTTGGCTTCCGACGCCGTCGCTTCGAGCTTAGCCAGGGGCACGCCGGCTGGCAGATGGCTCGTTGTTTGCTCGTTTGGGCGCGCGCACACCCTGCAGGCCCGCCTCGGACCTCCAGGCATCCAATCGCGTAGCCACCCCTGCTCCTCTCCCATGCGCCTTCGCACCCGCAGCCACCGCCCGTTTTCCAAAATGGAAGGCCCCGGAGTCAGATCCAGAATTAGGCGCTGTATATGACCCTGAGGCCTGCCCAGACATGCTGAACCACACACCGTCACTCCTCTCTTAATTGTCCATCTTCGCCGTTGAGGCCTCTTTTGGTTCCTCACTTTCCTTCGCTTGACTGAGGCTTGTCCAAAGTCGTCCAATCTTTTCCAAAGCAACCGCTAATTTTTATTCGTTTCTTTCGGGGCATTCACAGTCCCCCTTCTCTGGCATTGGTCCATCCTTTCCGGCACATAACAACACAGCAAACAAGAGGTGGCCAACATGGTCGCCTACAGCAAGCCCCAGGGCTTCATGAGCATGCTGCTCACCGTTTTCGTTCTTCTACAAGTTACTGCTGCCTTCTCGCACAATGCACACTCGCACCCAGCCCACCGGTCACCAGCTGCCATGGATGCTCACCTCCAAGACACTCGTTCGATGCTCACAGCACGTGCCGGCAGGGTCACTACCAAGGGAGCCCCTGATGGCCAGTACCCTCGTCTGGAGATTCGCGACCTGAAGAAGAATGCCGACCAGTGGAACTTGTTTCTCTTGGCCATGGAGAGGTTCCAAAACAAGCCCAAGACCGATCCCATGTCCTACTACCAGATCTCTGGTATTCACGGTCGTCCTTTTGTTCAGTGGGACAATGCCGGCCTGAAGCACACCGGTGGATACTGCCCACACAGCCAAAACGTCTTCGGTTCCTGGCACAGGCCGTACCTTGCCGTCTATGAGGTATGTATATTACCGAACGATTGGCATTTCCGAGCTGACAATACGTAGCAAGCTGTATACCTGAACGCTCAAGAGGTCGTCGCATCTTTCCCTAAGAATCAACAGCAGCGATGGCAGAAGGCTTTGACTGGTCTGCGCATTCCCTACTACGACTGGGCTGCAGAGCCCCCGCGTGGCGAGGCTGCTATTCCGACGTCCATGCGTGACCAGACTGTCAGTGTGACAAAGCCCCAGGGCAAGGTCACCATCCGCAACCCGCTGTACTCGTACACCTGGGGCGCCTCCCTTCCCAGTGAGATGGGCTGGGGCCCTAGCAATGGTTTCGCGACCACTCTTCGCCGTCCCGTCTCGAACCCCACTCGCAGCAACAACAACGCCGTGAACGCCATCTTTGGTCAGGCTCGTGTCGGGTGGCGCCAGCGTATCTTCGCCATCTTCTCCAGCAAGCAACCCTGGGGTTACGCATCTACGGCTGCCTATGGTGTCAAGACGAGCCGCAGCAACGCCGACAGCTTCGAGTCGATTCACGATGACATTCACGGCACCGTTGGTGGTACTGACGGACACATGGGATACCTCGATGTTGCTGCTTTCGATCCCTTCTTCTGGCTGCACCACACCAACATTGACCGTCTCCTCTCCATGTACCAGCTCATCGTTCCCAACACCTACGTTGTTCCCGGGAAGGTCAACCGCGACATGGCTCAATGGAACGCCGGTCAGACGACGGATGCCAACACCCCTCTTGTTCCCTTCACCAAGGACAACCGCGGCGGCGTCTACTCTTCCAACGATGTCAAGGAGACCCGTGTGTTCGGATACTATTACCCTGAGACCCAGTCGCGCAATGCCAAGCAGGTCATCCAGGCTGTTAACAAGCTTTACGGCATGGGCGAGCGCCAGATGTCCAAGCGCGACGGTGAGGATGCCGCTCCTATCTATCCTGGTCGTCCTTTCCAGGCTGGTGACTACGACACTGTTCTCTCAGTTGTTGGTGACAAGTACGCCATGCCCGGATCGTACCAGGTGCACTGCTTCCTCGGCGCGCAGCCCGCAAACGGCACCGCTCCCTCCCACCTGCCCACTGGCCTCGTCAACGGCACTGCGCCCACTGTGAAGCCCACTAACGGCACTGCTGGCAACGGCACTACTGGCAACGGTACCGGCAACTACGAGTACGGTTTCGACTCTAGCTACGTTGGCTCTCACACTTTCCTCGGAGGCTCCGTCGCTGGCAGCGGCAACGGCACTGCTCCTACTCTCGTCGAGGGTTGCATCCCGATTACTGCTGCACTCCAGGAGAAGCAGGCCAACGGCGAGCTTGCCTCCCTGCACCCTGACCACGTCGAGCCATATATCAAGGAGAACCTGAGCTACAAGATTATCGGTCCCAACGGCCAAGAATTCGTTCCTGGGGACGTCGCCAACTTTCACGTCCAGGTCAAGTCTTGCGAGGTCCAGCCCACCACAAGCGACGACGAGCTCCCTGAGTTCAAAGACTACATTGAGCTTCCTCGTGCTCACCTCCCCGCCTCCACCCCGTGGACCTACACCCCTGGTCCTCTTGACACCACGCCCGACACCCCTGCCGAGACTCCGGAGGGCTACTGTGTCAGCCAGCAGACGATCCGCTACGTCGACCCTGCAGGCAACTTCCTGTACGAGGAGGTTACCGGCATGTAAATATAGAGGAGGAATGTGTATGCTACGTATATTGGCACGATATGATACGAGGGTAGTATAAAGCGGTGTTTGGAATGACTATCCCTTGTGCAGGGAGCAAAGATTCCACTTTTTATTCTTAGGGCATTTACGGCGTTGATATCCCCATCCCCATGTGACGTGGAGACCTTTCCTACTGTTTAGACTATACCATCTAATCGAAAATATCCTGATCTTCATTGAGTTGTCTCCGTGGTGCAGATCCTGTCTTTTTGTCATGTGGTCCCATCCAAGCTCACTATCGATTCTATCCTGGCGCCTTTCCAGCCTGCACATTCCCGAACGCTCTGACTAACCTACGTATGTTTTTTTTTCGGAAGATCTACCAACGTATTGCATCCGCATATCATTCAAATGTTGTTATTCCTTTGTTATTATGGTCATGGCGGGATCTCTGCAAGTCTATCATGTTTTGGATAGCGCTAACAGTAATACCAAACGTGTGGTGATATCACGTTTAGGTTCATTTAACCTCCCAACTCATACCGTCTTACAGTTATACTATCTTAAGTATTCATACTTGGATTTCATTTTGTCTTCAAAATAACAGTCTTGGAGAATACACTCTTATGAATCCTTTTTTATTTCGTCCCCCTTTGAAATTCATTTCACATAAGAACTATCAAATAATTACCAGTTTATCTACAAATCTACAATTTCTCTTCGACGTCCTACCTGGCACAGAAGTCCTCCTCATGAAGCTGCTGTAAGATTGAAGCTGTTCTTGCATCTCGTAATGGCTGCAGAAGTGATGGTCTCAGGCGTTGTCGGTCGACTCCTGAACCGCTAGCTTTTCGAATAGCGCGGATGCATCGACCTTAAGGTGACTCTGTGTAAAGACGTTCAGAGAGGAGTTAGACCTCAAAACCGGCACCTGCATGTGAAGGTCGATGCATCCTCATGGATTTGCCTGAGTTGGAAATTATCACGAGACCCACGATATCAAGGAACGATGCCAACGGCACTTGAGAACGACCCACATGCAACTGTCTCTATCGCGCCTGCAGCTACCACTCCTCAGCCTACAATCACTATACTTCAAGTTGTGACTGCCTCAAGGCTGCCTGCTACCATGGCTTCTCTGCGTGCCACTAACGCATTTTACCTGCCCTTGCCGCGCTTCAGCTTACCGCCGCCACGCGCCGGTTGACGACTCCCACGTCTGGACCGAACGCATCTACCTGGACCCTTCCTCCAGGTGTTGAATCGAACCGTATTGCATTATTGACTCAAACACGAACGCTGGAAACAGTGCAATGGCAATCGGTGATGCCAGACGTGACTCGAACACGCACAAAAGATGTAGGGCTACCAAGTTTTGTGTCGCCTGGGACAATACGCCCAGCAAGTTTGTCGCCTGCCGTTCTGACGACGCATGCTAAGTCTATCCATTTGTGTGAATACTGATGAAACAAAACGCCGTGCTATGCTATGCATACCCATCCATCCTTCGCTGGTATCCTGATGCATGTCAAACTCGTCATCATTCGTGAAATCGTCGACCGTCTCTTCTATGCTCCGCTAAATGCAAATGCAGCCTAAGCCTACTATGACCCATCGTCACACCTACCGCTTCTTTCCCTTTTTCCCACCCGCGCCCTTGGTTACGCTTACAGGCGCAGCATGGTTCGTTTCCTTGATGTGATCAAAGAGCTTTGTCTTGCTCGGAAATCCAGCTTTACACCGCACACACTTGTGTGGGAGATCAGGAGAATCAGAACCACCCTCCGCCTGCTTCGCCGCCTTCTTCGCGCGCTTCAACGCCGCTGCGCCGAGTTTCTTTTGTAAAGGCTCTGTTTTTTCGTCTGGCCGATCCGCGTGGGGAGCTTCTGAAAGTCCGTCTGTTACCGAAGTGGCGGGCGTGTCTGTCGATATGCGGTAAGAGGCGAGGCGGGCTTCGATGTCGGAGCGGGAGGCGTATTCGTCTTCGTCGTCTGAGTCCTGCGACCGCGAGTCGTCAGATTCGCCTGAGCGTTGGGAGGCGGGACGTGGTGAGGGGTCCGAGTCAGGTGGTTTATTGTCGTCTGTGCGTTCATCCTCAAGCTTCACGCTTTGGAGCTTGTCGCCGAGATGCGAGGCTGGGGTGTCTAGATCCGAATCGTCCGATCTCGCGTTCGTAACCTCCTCGTAATTAAGGTCTTCCGCGGCTTCTACATGGTCAAAATCGTCCTCTCCTTCGGCTGGCGTGATGGCCCCGCTGCTGGGAACGTCCTCATCCAGGTTGAGAAACTCGTTGTCCTTCTGCATCTTCTTTTTCAGCGCGTAGATGGCTTTTTGATGCTTTTTGCTCTTCTCATGGGCTTCCCATTGGCGCTCGCTTTTGAACGTCTTGCGACAAGCTACACACTCGAAGTGCTCTTCCTCAATCTCCTCTTCTGACTCTTCGAGCAGTTCCTCTGGGTCCCGCACTTGTGCCCATTCGGGCACGGCGTCTGCCTCGTCCTGTATCTTCGCCGCGTTCGCAGCACGCGCCCGCGCCTGTTGCTGCTTTCTCGCATCACGTTGCGCTTTGGCCTTTTGCTCTTCTGTCTGCATATTCGGTGTGTACCGCGGATCTCGTTTTCGCACAAAGGCTACCAGTGTCTGTACCGCGACATTGAACTCTCGTATACCCCGCTCGCGGAGCTTCTGGTTCTCCTTCTCCATGAGGCGACGCACGCGGCGGTCGGGCGCGTCAGAGGTGCGGTACAGGTCCAGCGATGCGAACGACTTGACCGTCGCAAAGCCACCCCACACGTTGTAGAAGTTCCGCACCACGCCTCCGCTCTCATATGTGTCGTGCTGGTGGCCGAAGGAGGGGTAGTCGTTTACTTGGACGCCCTCGTAGTCTCCTGCGCGCTCCTCCTCGCGCGCCAGCTGGTCGAAGGTCTCACGCACGAAGCCAAAGAAGCCGGTCGGTGAGTCTGTGAAGTCGATGTTCGATCTGAACTTGCCCATCATGCGCGAGATGTCCTCGGCGGTGGTGACTTTCATGTTGTACTCGTAGTGGTCGCCGCCGCTACCCCCACCATCGCCTCCCCGCAGTATGTCGCCCTCGTGCGCATCGTACCAGGCGCGCTCTTGGGGGTCGGAGAGGACTTCGTAGGCGGTGGAGACGTCAGCGAAGAGGGCAGTGGTGCGTTCGACGTCGCCATAGTTGCGGTCGGGGTGGAGTTCGAGGGCTTTTCTGCGGTAGGCCTTCTTGATCTCCTCGTCTGTTGCCGTGCGCTCAACGCCGAGCAGCTCGTAGTAGCTGGTCTTGACCTGGATGCCCTCGCCGTTCGCATCGCCAGCGGCGCCAGTCGACTGCTGCGCGCCCATGTCGTGCTCGGCGGAATACGATTAGGGGTGTGACGCGCTATCAGCAGAGTTTTGCGGCCACGTGCGTCTAGGCGGTGGTGTTTGTGTTCGCAGATGGTTTATGACTGGCGACGCGGGCGCTGATTGGTGCGCATACGAGTCCGGCAGGAACGGCCAGCAATACACAGACAAGTAGTCAGAGTTTGCCATGTGAACTAGCCACAGACGCCGCAATGGCATCACCGCCCGGAATGTGTGAAAGATACAAAACCATCAGGGTCTCCTGCATGTGTTCTTCTCGATCCCCAAAGGCCTCGCCACCGCGTGTTCGACCCTGCAACCCCACGCCCCCCTCCACTGCACCCACATGACTAGCCACCACGTCTTGGAGCAGGACACCCGGAGCTGCCATCACGCGCCTTGAGCGCAGCGCCACTGCGCACCTTCGCAGCGCCGGCACACCACCAACGAGACACTCCAGCAGCCCTGTGGGAGAAAGGCGCGCCTGCTCAGGGTCCCGTCGCACGTCATCCCGCGTCGCCGTAGGGCCACGCCTGACAGCCAATCACCCGCCCACGTGCAGAGTTTTCGCTCTGCCACAGGCTGCCCTTGGACCCCGCTGTTTCTGTAGCACCGCTCCGCTACCATGAAGTTCGGCCAGCTCTTTAAGGAAACCCTGCGCAACGAGGGCTTCCCGCCTGAGTGGATCGAGTCGGCCCTCTCGTATAGCCAGCTCAAGAAATGCATCAACCGCCTGTCTACCGAGCTCTCAGAGCTGGGGCTGGATCCCGACACCCTGGGAAAGCTGCTCAAGCACGTTGAAGACTACAATGCGGCCGCCGACCAATCCGACGACAGGGCCCGTCCGTTTGAGTACATCTTGGACGACTCAGAAGACGAGGATGGCACTGGCGAGAAGAAGCCAAGGAAGACGTTCCAGCCAAAACTCGTCTTTCACGTCGATGAAGTGACGGGTGCGCTGCATAGTGCGCAGCTGGACGAGAAGACGAAGAGGAAACTGCAGATGCTTGCTGTCGAAACGGGCATGACAGAGTTACGCGTATTTGAAGAACCCGATAATCAAGAAACACCATCCCACCCTACCGTTGCCTCGGCGAATAGCCCAAAGAACCGCCCGGGCTACCGCAAAATAGAAATCCCCCTAACCTCCGACACGGAATTCTTCACCAAACTCACTGCGGAACTGTCCGGCCTGGAAGCCCTCCAAAAGCGCGAAGAGCAACGCATGCACGGCGAAATTCAAAGCTTAGGTAGGCAGATAGCGCACCTGACGGATCCTGATCGGAGGTCCAATAAGAAGCTACTAAGCGTATGGCGCCAAATATTCCAGCTGTATCTTGAAGAAGGCATCTTCTTCGGGACTACCGAGAGCGACCATTCTGCGCACGATGCGGCAAAAGCTCAGGAAAGGTTCAACGATTTCTGCGAAAAGCTGAGGACAAGCGGACTGTCCGAGAGACTAAAGAAAAAGGAGAACATCGAGGCCTTCAACACGTTTATGAACATCAACCAGGAGATTCTACAAGGGCTGCGGTTCGGGGAGATCAACGAAACCGCCATGAAGAAGATCCTGAAGAGTAAGTTATCCACTTCCTTGCCCCTACCCACTCTAGTAATTTCCGACACCATTTCTAACTTCGAACAGAATTCGATAAACGCACCGCCCTCGGTGTAAAGGCCACCGTCCCCAAACAAATCACCTATCCTTCCTTTAGTTCCCATCTAGCCAAAGCCGTCTGCGCCGAAGTCTCCACCGAAATCCTCTCGCACGTCCCGCAGATAGAAGACTACGCCTGCCCCATGTGCATGGAGATCAAGTGGCGCCCTGTCCGTCTCGGATGCGGCCATGTCTTCTGCATCCGCTGCCTGATTGTCATGCAGAACAACAAGCAAGACAGATGCCCGCTGTGCCGCGAGCAGACGGTGGCGAATGCGAACAGCGATAATTTAGATGAGGAACTGGCGCAGTATCTGAAGAAGTGGTTTCCGGACGAGGTCAAGGAGAAGCAGAGGTATAATGAGCTGATGGCGGGGGTCGATCAGTATGGTGAGGTCTATAAGGAGAAATGTTGTGTCATGTGAGACGGCGTGGGAGGGGGGACGGTGGATTGCTTGTTTACTTCATTCGGCGCCGTAGGAGCGCTTCAATTGTGATACCCCTTAGCTTTACTTCGTATTCATATCGATTCTCTCTAATGATTATGATGCGCTATGTGAAACACATGCTATCCCTCGATTACGGATGAAAAAGAAACGAAAGGTACGGAAACGCTAGACATCGTCTTGATGCATTCATGCGCAGTGCACCTGGAAATCCCACACCCCTCTCCTCTCAAGCACACGCCACTCCCACAACCTCACCCCCCTCACCGCTCCCACTCCTCCCCATCCTCAAATTTCTCCACCTCCCATCTGTCTCTCTCCTCTTCCCGCGCCTTCCACTCCCTGAACAAGGCCCGTCGTTCTGCCTTCGTATACACGTTCACATACAACTGCTCCAGCTCCCTCTCCAGCTCCTCTGGGCTCGGGGCCTGCTCAGTGCGGTGACGGCGCAGCAGGCTCGCCAACTTGGACCGCGGTGGGGCGGTTGTGGCCGCGGGAAGGCCAGCCGTGTGCGCCCGCGAGGGTGGTGCGGGGCGGTCCATCTCAGCTGCAGGTGCTGCTTCTAGGCTTGCGCGTGACTTTGAGCGGTGGAACAGACTGCGTTTTGGTTTGGGAGCGTCGGTGGACGCGACTGTGGAGGTGGACCTTTGGGAGTCGAGACTGGTGCTGGTGCTCGAAGGTGAAGGTAGCGGAGGTAGAGGCATTGTGTACACGCCGCTGAAACCGCGGAAGGGGCGGTTGATGAGGGACATTGTGTTCGGTGCGGCGCCCTGGTGCGCTCGAGTTACGGTGGTGGTATGATGTGACGAGTCCAGTCCAGAGTGTTATGTACTCAGAGTGCGGTGGTGGGAGTATGTGTTGGGTCCAATCCGGCGTCCTCGTGAGCTCTTGCTGGTGGCGGCTAACGCGGTACAGCGGTCTGGTGGGAAGTCGGCGCCAATTGGGAATGTTGCGTGTAGATGTGTGCCTTTGTTGTGAAGAGCACTTGCAGAGCGGAGGACTTTATTATAAAGCCATTGTCGTTGAGGTGGAATTATGTTTTTACAATGTTGGGGATGAGAGAACCTGGGCACGGATGCGCGGTTTTTGGCGGCGGTACGGTGGGTGTGAGTGGGGTCGTGGACCAGGGTTGTGGTGGCCCCGCCCGCTCAAGCCGTTGATAGCAAACGTAAAGAGAAAACGTGAAGGCAATGGAATAGGGATGTAGACAGGCACCGAGGTCGTCTTGTAAGGTTGAGTTTGTAAGGACTGTGAAGTGCAGTGCAGGGCTGAGGCGGAGATGAAACGTCCTTTTGAGTGCGGAGCGTCTGGGGTTTTACCTTCGAACTGCAAGGCGCGGCCCTTATCTAATGGTCAAAGTCGGCGGCCGCCGCCATTAACAAATAATAATGGCCAAGTGAAGTTGACGCTCGCGCCCGCGCCTCTTCCGCTTCTCCCAAGGCGATCAACACTACCTCGGCCGCTTGGCAATGCGCTGGTGTCCTGTCGGAGCGGAGCGTGTTTGTGTAAGCCACTACACAGACGCAACGTTGGGACTGACAGAGGCCAAGCGAATAAGGCGCTTGCGTTGCTCGCGAATCTTGCGCGTCTCCTGGAGAAGATCAACGATTCCAAGATTCTCTTGTCGCTTGGCAGCTGGGAGGCTCTGGCACTGGTGCAGAACAAGGCTGATTCGAATGCCGTTTGTGATAACTTGGCATGATCAAAAAGGGATGCTTGCGTTGTTCGCGTATCGTGCGCACTTCCTGGGGAAGATCAGCGTTGCCCAGGTCCTTGCAGCTTGGCAATGAACTCTAACCTATCGCCGTACTGCCTCCTTTTCGAATTCCGCATAGTCTGCACACGAACAACAAAAGAACAAAAAGAAACTCTCCCTCGGGGAATCGAACCCCGGTCTCCCCTGAGACCTGACAGAAAGGTTTCAGGGGTGCTACTAGTCCCGACCCTGGTTCTGTCATAACAGGTTAGTGGATATAGAAGGAACCCACCGTAAGAGGCAGCGACAAGGAGCGACTGGCCAACTACCCTCCCGAAAAAAAAATATTTGCTCTCCCTCGGGGAATCGAACCTATGCAGGATTAGCTAGGATTACAGCATTCAAGGCGATGTTTACGTACCCCGGTCTCCCGCGCTCGTAATCACGTGATGACAAGCGGAAATCATGACCACTAGACCAAGGAAGACGTGTTTCGATACAGATTGAGGAAATAGCTGTAACTATATACCCAGAGGATATCATGGTGATGTCGCTGGAGGAACCGCTGGCGTCTGTGAGGAAGCTAACATACTAGCAAACGAACTAAGCTTAGGTGGGGTTAAGAAGCGGCCAGAGTGCGAGACATTGAGCCGAGTTTGAAGATGGCCGCACTGGTGACGTCATGGATATCTCTGTACTACCAAGCGCAGCAATTCCACGAGAACTTTGCAGCAGTGAAAGGTATAGAGTTATATCAGGAGCGCATCCCTGAAAATATGCGCCGATTCGTGAAGTGCACAATCCAGCATTCGAGGCAATCTCGTGCAGTATACTTCAATTCATGATTTAACCGACCTCGCGAGTCTATAACTCGTGAACTCACTCTGCACAGGATACTCGCTTTCGTGTATGTGAAGAGACGATATCAATTTCTCATGCTGATCAATATGAAAGATGCGTCTACGAACGGGTTGCTGCACTTGAAAACATGGAACGAAAATGTTCGTCTCGGTGGCTACCCGCACAGACCCGAAGCTCTGTAGAGTGCACTACCGAATGAAGCCTTTGAAAAAATGCTGTCGCTCATGCAGACATTGTGCTTGCAAGATCTGCGCACGAAACGTCCACGATGCAAGCCATGTAGCAATACCATAATCTCCACCAGCAAGGTTCACCGGCTTGGCTCCAAATCCTACGCATGCCAGTCGTGCCACTGCAGCCTCCACCCCTCAATCCAAGTGTCGTCCGGCACGACGATCCAGTTCAAACCACCCACATAAAAGCGTCCATTTAGTCTGCTCATGCAATCATCAAAGAACTCATTCCTGGTCTCTGGGCCGTGCAAAGCGGCATGAAGGTCGGCGAGCAACCCAAACAGATGGGTTGCCCTGTCGAGCCGACTCTGAAGATGGTTTTGGTCATCGATTTGGGGGGCAGCCTGTAGACCTGGGATGGGTCGGCGTGGGCGTCGGACACCTATTACTGTTATTCAAGATGATCCTCTTTGAGGTGAAAGACATTGACCTACATAGTGTCGCACGGCATTGTGGGCAGAGATTTGCATTGCGAGCAGTGGAATTGACCCATCTTGATATGCAGCCTTTCCCGAAGGTGTGACCGCAGCGGGTCAGGCTGAAGGCGCCGTGGCCATCCTTGTACGACTCTGTACATATGCTGCAGTGCCGGTTCTCGTCGTCCTCGTCGTCTTCATTGTCCTCATCGTAGTAATCATCCTCATCGTCGTCCAGAAAGGCATTCCCAATAATACCATTGGAAGCAGATACGGGTGAAGGGGGAGGGGTTGGGAGGTAGTCATAGTTATTACCTTTTATGCTCTGGACAATCGCTGTGTTACCCACCGGGGGGTCATGCAATGGACTGTCCACTCGAAGCTCGCTGATGATTTGTACTACAGTCTCACGCTGAATCTTGGGGCCTTCGACGTTTTGTCCAAGGCCGCTGATGTCGTGGTCTGGTCCCACGTTGACCAGCTCGTGATCTTCAAGAGTATTCGACGAAAGCTCTTCCCAAACTGTCAATATGCGTACAAATTCATTTGCCAGGGATACTCTTAGAGTCGAGATATCGGTGTTGTATTCTCCTCTCATTTGCATTGCTCGTAGAGCACGTGGACTGCACGTCGACATGATCCACCGGCTAGAAAACCGATTCCGAATATCGATGATGCGAATGTTGACATATGTCAAGATATCGATCCCGGAGCTGCGCTCTGCACGCCGTGCGATTTGGCTTGTCCTGGATATTGCCCTCCACATGTCATCATGATCGTGGTAGAACCGACTTAGCGATGAGCCCATATGGAATAGACCAACTGCCGCTACGACACGCAACCGTCCTTGATAACTTTGGTTCATCTCTCCCAGGGCGCGAGCGTGCCTTTGAGCTCGCCTTAAGAGCACAGAATCAGTCTCTCGACTTTGTGGCGCAATCCGTGCTTCAGCTTCGTTGCGAATGCGTTGCACGGTGCCAGCTGGGATGATATCAATGTGGACTCGGCTCGGTGGCTGACGCGACGTTGCGGTGATGGGACAGGTAGGACTCCCGCGAAATCTGGGAGGGGCCATGGTCGCTGATCAGGTGGCATCGGACGGCGACGTCGAGTACCACGAGATATGGGTGCGGTGGAATAGAAGTGAGCCGAGAACCGATGCTCAGATTGGGGTCCGGAGAGAACGGGGTCTAGATGGTTGTCAATGCTGTGGTCCATGGTGAGGCCTGATAGGCTGCAATACCTCGACTCACAACAACCAACAACTGCCGTTTGTGCCTTGGTGCTGTTTGTGGGTTGATGCGAGGATTGTGTGAACTGCAAATCGAGGAGGTTGCAATCTCTGCAGCAGGAGTTGAGCGAGTGAGTCGAGCGCTATATGTATGGAAGAGATGTCTTGAGGGGGACAAGCCACCTGGGCTTTTTCGGTAACGCTGCTCTGATGAAATTATACTGGTATCCTAGCAAACGATCCATGGTCAGTGCGGTAGGAAGTTCAGGTGAAAGAACACCTACATCCAAATGATGGTGAAGGCAAGTTGCAAGGTCCAGACGTGTGGCTATGTGATCATATCCATGCCGTCGCTTCACGCCGCAATCTGCCTCAGGGCAAGAGCTGACGTTCGTAAGGCAATATCACCTTCCAAGCCACAAGTATTCCTGCTGCATCGAGCCCGCCATCGTTACCGGAAGGATGGAGAGGGAGCGTCTTCTTTCCGCGCAGGGATCAGTAAACTGTTGAAATCTGGGAACATGCACCATCTTCGTAAGGGAGGAAACTCTCCGGTTTACCCACTGACATTTGCATTGTCTATCAAGATTTTCTACTTCGAGGGTGATGCCCGGTATCAAACTTCTGCACACCGAGAAGTATGTTCAGCCACGCCTGGTTAGTGTCCAGCTCTACAGCCTCGCTCTTCGCTCTCTTGGGACGCGTATAGGGTATCATTAGATAGCTGTAAAGCAAAAGCGGCTAGTCGCTTGAGTAAATGCATTCGAGCTACTCTTCTAGGCTCGTTTTCGACTCTCTAAAGGTTGAGTTAGCTTAGCCCCACGCATTGTGAGGCGGTCCTACCGACCTCTCCGTTCATCGTTAGCCAAGCGACGATACAACGCCTGCATGCAGTCCGAGTATGGGCCTATAGGGGATCAATCTTCGCCAACTCAGAGTCTTACCCCGTCATACTCTGATCAACATCCTCCGCTTCCTGGGATGGCTTCCCCAGGTCCTGCAGTGCCGACTTCAACTTCGCAATGCGCGCCTCAAGAAACTCGATCTCGTCCTGCTGATCCTCGATGGAGCGATCAACGTCGGGCAGCGCCATGACGGCCTTCCGCGCCTTTTGTAGCTTGAGTTTGACCTCAGTGGCTGCGGTGGAGACTTGCTGTATGTCGAGCGGGCCATCGGCGGAAGGCTGCCCTGGAGGCTGGATGGAAGTGTTGATAAGGCGACTAAGGACGCGGTGCAGATCGGGGAGGATGTCGAACGTCGATGGCGGCGGGAGGGCAGCCGCAGCCGGTTGCGGTGCCTGCGCTGGGGTAGGTGCGACCGATGCCCTTCCCGAAGTGGGCGCGTGGGGTGTCGCGGCGCCGGACATGGCGGTCTTGTCGAGTCGGGGCGTGCAGTTGAGGTGGAGCAGGTGTTGAGCTTTGTACTCGGACCAAGCGCGTCTTCGTGCGAGGCGGAGGGCTGCAGAGCCGTACCGCGTCGAACGTCGGCTATGAATGTACGTATCCAGACGTGTCGAACGAATCACAGGATCGGGCTTATGCTTTTTCGCACGCGTTATCTGCGCCGCGTGAAAGGTGGATGGTGTGACGTTCAGGCGCAAGGCTTTTGATGGGAACGAGCCCCGCTTAGCCTGGATCCTACCCCTCCAACATCTTCTGCAGCACCTGCGCAGCACCTCAGTCGCAGTCGCCGTCAGCACGCACTCATCTTCGGTGCCCGGCCTCCAATTCCCCTCCACCATCATCGTTAACGCTCTCTTTCGCCCGCCCCAACTTTTCCCAGCAATTGGCCTTCACCATGGCGAAGGTCGACCAAAAGACGGTCCTCATCGTCATTGACGGCTGGGGGGTTGCCAGCGAGAAGTCCCCCAAGAATGGCGATGCCATTCTTGCTGCTGACACGCCATGCATGGACGAATTCGCAAAGGACGGCTCCAAGACCGCCCAGGGCTACACCGAGCTCGAGGCTTCTTCGCTCGCAGTCGGCCTTCCAGAAGGTTTGATGGGGAACAGCGAGGTCGGCCACTTGAACATTGGTGCTGGTCGTGTTGTCTGGCAGGATGTCGTGCGAATTGACCAGACTATCAAAAAGGGCGAGCTCAACAAGAACCAGAACATCCATGAGTCGTTCAGTCGCGCGAAGAATGGCAACGGCAGGCTGCACTTGGCCGGTCTGGTTTCAGACGGCGGCGTCCACTCGCACATCAATCACCTCGTTGCTCTTCTCAAGGTTGCTAAAGAAATTGGTGTGCCGCACGTGTTTATCCACTTCTTTGGCGATGGTCGAGACACCGACCCCAAGTCGGCTGCTCGGTACATGGAAGATTTGCTGAAGGCTACCAAAGAGGTCGGCATCGGCGAGATTGCCACTGTCGTCGGTCGTTACTACATCATGGACCGTGACAAGAGGTGGGAACGTGTTGAGATCGGTCTGAAGGGTCTTGTCACTGGAGAGGGCGAGGATGCGGAGGATCCAGTGGCTGCCATCAAGGCGAAATACGAAAAAGGAGAGACTGACGAGTTCCTGAAACCCATCATTGTGGGAGGAAAAGAGCGAAGAATACAAGGTATATAATCCAAGCTGAGCACCCAGATGTCCATGAGCTAATTGGTGCAGATGGCGACACTGTCTTCACTTTCAATTACCGATCGGATCGTGTGCGCGAGCTCACCCAGCTTTTGGGTGGGTTTGACCGTTCACCACGGCCAGACTTCCCGTACCCTAAGGACATCAGCCTGACTACCATGACTCAGTATAACCAAAAGTTTCCATACCCCATGGCTTTCCCGCCACAAAAAATGAACGATGTGCTCGCAGAGTGGCTGGCTAAGCAAGGCGTTAAGCAGTGTCATATCGCGGAGACAGAAAAATACGCACACGTCACGTTCTTTTTCAACGGCGGCGTCGAGAAACAGTTCGAAAACGAGGAGCGTGATATGATACCCTCTCCCAAGGTCGCTACTTACGACAAGGAGCCCAAGATGAGCGCCATGGCCGTCGCAGACAAGACTGTGGAGCGCATCAAGGAGGGCAAGTTTGAGTTCATCATGCTCAACTTCGCACCTCCGGACATGGTCGGTCACACTGGCGTTTACGAAGCGGCCATCGAGGGAGTCACCGAGACCGATAAGTCTATCAAGAAGATCTACGAGCAATGCAAGGAGAGTGGATACGTGTTGTTCGTCACTGCTGACCATGGGTAAGTTCACAAAAACACTTCAACCCTTCGCAGACTGACACCTTTCAGCAACGCAGAAGAGATGCTCAATGAGGAGGGTAAGCCAAAGACGTCGCATACCACCAATAAGGTTCCCTTCGTCATGGCCAATGCACCCGAAAGCTTCTCTCTCAAGAAGACGGACGGTGTGCTCGGGGATGTTGCGCCTACGCTGCTAGAAGTCATGGGCCTATCGCAGGCCGATGATATGGACGGCCACAGCCTGCTCGTCAAGTCGTAAAGTACCACCTCTTTCGACAATTCTACCCGTCTAACGCATTTGAGGAGCAGTGGATCGAGCCCACCGCCCAAGCGTCAACGTACAGACTAGATAGATTTCGCTTCCTTGAGCAAGGGCTGTGTCAGTCTCGACCGGCATTCTTCTCAATGAATTGCGGATACCACTTGATGTAGATAGAGAAAAGTTTATGAATAGATGATGATGAAGATGTACGAACACCTTTTGACAGTTCCACCTGCCAAAAGGGACAAGCCAATGACAAGGGTCCTAACCGGTGCGCACCCCACCACGCCGCCAGAACACCAGACGGAACCAGCCCGGCTTCACTTCACTTCACCTGCCACTCTCTGTCCGCTGCTGAGCAACGACTTACTTACGTCTGGCCTGCTGCCGAATTCTTGCGTGTATTCTAGCTTGCTGCATTGCCGACGCCGCGCTGCTGTTCGCCCCACCGCCGCGGGGAACCTCAGGAGCTGACGAACAACTTACCTTCATTCAGACTGTCGTCGCCCCGAGCACCTTGGGAATCTGCTGATTCTAGGAACGGAGGCTATATAGCCCTCCCACATTACTATCTCATCGATCGGCTTCGAACGCGCACGCCCTCCGCATCGGCCCGAAACATCAGGTCAGCAGCCCAAGGCTGAACATCCCACCAGCACCGTCACGCCGCTTCGCCGGCGCCGACGACCGTTCGTCTACGCGTAACGGCTCCTCTACAAGTCTAAGATGGCCTCAAACGGCGGATCGGGCGCACACACGCTGCAAGCACAAGCACAAGCGCAGGTACAACCATGTCGGTACAAGACAGGAAAGACACTGGGTGCGGGCAGCTATTCAGTTGTGAAGGAGTGTGTACATATTGATACCGGGAGATACTATGCGGCAAAAGTTATCAACAAGCGACTCATGGCGGGAAGGGAACACATGGTGAGTTTCCGCTATATACATACTGCACACTGGAGCTTATGCCCGCCAGGTGCGGAACGAGATTGCCGTCCTGAAGCGCGTGTCCATGGGACATAGGAATATCTTGACGCTCGTCGACTACTTCGAGACCATGAACAATCGTACGATCAGTCGAAACGGCTCTGGAAGCAATTGCTAATTCACATTCAGTCTACCTGGTCACTGACCTTGCCCTAGGAGGCGAACTATTCGATCGCATCTGTCGAAAAGGAAATTACTACGAGTCAGATGCTGCTGACCTCATTCGCGCCACCCTCTCTGCCGTTGCGTACCTACACGACCATGGCATCGTGCACCGTGATTTGAAGCCCGAGAACTTGCTCTTCCGCACCCCTGAGGACAATGCAGATTTGCTCATCGCGGATTTCGGTCTCTCGCGTATAATGGATGAGGAGCAGTTCCATGTATTGACAACGACATGCGGTACACCTGGCTATATGGCGCCCGAGATCTTCAGGAAAACCGGACACGGGAAGCCTGTGTATGTAATGTAAGAGATATGATAGTAACTTGCTAACAGAATTCAGCGACATTTGGGCCATTGGTGTCATAACCTACTTCCTCCTTTGCGGCTACACTCCATTCGACCGCGACTCCAATCTCGAGGAGATGCAGGCTATCCTCGTTGCCGACTACTCCTTCACGCCCCTCGAGTACTGGCGCGGTGTCTCCCTCAAGGCCCGTGAGTTCATCCGCCGCTGCCTCACAGTCGACCCAGCCGCGCGCATGACCGCCCACGAGGCACTCTCGCATCCCTGGATTGCAGACCTTGGGGAGATCTCCGCTGAAGGCGAGGAGGATCTGCTCCCGACCGTCAAGAAGAACTTCAATGCCAGGCGCACGCTTCACGCTGCTATCGACACTATACGTGCTATCAACCAGCTACGGGCCGGCGGTGCAGCGGGCATGATGGACGGTGTTAGATCTGGAGAGCCGAGACGAGGCGCGCCTCCTGTGAACGTACCGCAACCCGTCGCGGACGAGGATCCCATGGACATTGACAAAATCGATAGCCGCGGCAACGGCCACGGACAGACGGACGAGATGATCAAAGAGCAGGAGCGACGGATCCACGAGACACAGCAAGGACTCTGGGCTGGGAGGAGATGAGTAACTGCGGTTGCTCACGAAACAATATCTGGCCATGTAACCGGGTTCATGTATAGCATTAGCAGATACTCAGTACCTGCTTAGGTATATCAGCGCTTAGTCAGGAGACTAGAGCGCCTACGATTATATGACTTCTTCTAGCACCGAACCATATGTTATCAACCTTGGATAGAGGTTGATGAATCATCCATTCAGGGTCTCTTAAGACCATTTAGTGTCGAACAGTAAGTCGTACTCTCGTACAATGCTAACATCGGCCTGTGTCCTACACTTGGTGTATTCTTCCCTACAATACCTTTCGTCATGCACATCTCATAAGCTCGCGGTCGTTGTCAAGTATCTCCGAACAGCGTCATTAGGGTCCAAGGCTGAAGCGCGCGGGTGCGGCGGACAGGCTTTCCGTAAGCGCGACACTTGCGAGCATGGCATCTAACGTATACTAGGTCCGTACGTCTCCGTCGGTTTCTTGAGCTCGTGCGATGGTATGAAGCCGACTGAGGATGAGGTGGTGAGCACGCAAGCATGGAAAAGCAATAAAGGGCGGTGATATACGCTCAGCTTATCTATCATTACGATACATTGATTCACGTCACTCCACATCGTATCAACATGCCCACCGAGCATATATGCTCTACCCCTCATTTTACAATTCAATCTTCCAAATCTTCACCATCAAGTGTATCAAATAACATCATGTCAGCTCCGTCTTTCCCTGTATAACGGACTAATCCAACCTCGAGATAGTCCTACCTCCGCTGAAGTCAATATCCCTCCTATCAAACTCATGAGTTGCGAAATGACCTCCGCATTACCAACGCACTCACACAAGTACATTGAAATCGATACCAGAGCCGATGCGTTTCATCGAGGGTTGGGTCAAGCGCGAGATGCATAGTATCACCATCCCCGATCCAGAGAAGGATCTGAAGGCGCACAGCGCGCTTCATACCCATACTACAACAGCGCCACTGTCCAACCGCCGTCGGACCCAACTATCTCGTTCTTCGAAACTGGCGTAGATGTTCAGGCATCTTGGACGTGATCTCATGCGCCGGCGGATGACAGCTACGAGCCCGCCTCTGCTTGGAGTGCTATTTACCTCGGTACGAAGAAAGGCAATCCGTTCCTTGTTCGCCATTGCCTGCTTCGATTGCCCGCCTCACCGGTCAAGGCAAGGGTCTCTGCTTCCTCCACCTCCAGAACAGTACCGGGATCAGGCTACTATCTCGATCTCTGCCTCAATTGATTGCATCTCTTTCCATTTTCGGTCGTTCCATGGAACACGCCAACTACACAAATAAGCTTTCACCATTGCTGACAATCTCTTAGCATTGGCTCAACCTTGTACATGATGCTCCCAACCATAGGTTTTTCCGATCTATATTTGGCGCACCCATCCCCGTAAGCCGATCCGCCCCCACAGTTTCACCACCAGCCATACTCCTGTTCCCGCATCTGGAAAGACGTATGCACGTTACGTCCCAGCGCACGCTTCGTCAGCAATGCTTCGGGCTTGAGACGGTCAGCGTGGCTGCAGTAGCCGCATCGCGGAACAACATCATTGGCTCTGTTGCTCGACGTGTTCAGTCCCTGGACATTAGCTGTGCGGGAGCTGATGATGGCGAAGCTGTCAGTAAAGGATTGAATAAGAGGGCAGTTCCGTAGTTTGATGAGCTGCGAGGGTGACTAACGTGACGTATATTTGCATCTTGCGGACTGCACTAAGAGGCTCCAGGGAAAGGGAATGGACCATATGGCTACAAACACTTATTACGAGTCGCACCCGCTGTCGATGGACCAGCAGCAACAGCAACACCTTCTTTCGCCGCCAATAGGATCACCAGGAAACCATTCAGGACGCTCGTCCGGACAATCAACGCCGCTGAAGCCGCTTCACGTAGTTACGTCGATGGACAGCGCGACGAAGAGACAGAGCCTCGTGGACTTTGACGGGCTGAGGAAGGCTCACAAACAGGATGCTGTGCGTACTTCTCGTAGTATCGATCCTCTGAAAGATACAGCAAAATACTAACCGCCACAGGCCCTCAAAGCACGCATCCGCCGCCTGCGTGTCGTCTCCCGCGTCCTCGCCTTCCTCATCTCCATCGCAGTCTTCGTCCCCATCTCCCTCACCCTCCACAAATTCCTCACCACCCAGAACGTCTACCGCGACGTCACCAAGGACGGCATCACCACGCACCGCACCGCCTGGGCAAAAGACTCCAAAGTCTGGCCTACGTGGATGTACTTCCTCATCGCTGGAATCTCAGTTCTGCTCAACTTCGCCATCATCTTTGCGTACAAGTTCGGCGTTGAGAAGGCGAATAAAGTGGCCACGGTGGCGACGGCGTTCACATGGGTGGTTATGCTGGGGAATTTGGTGGTGTGGTGTGTAGCTGCGAGTTTGTACCGAACAGAGAAAGACAAGAATGGGAAGAGCAACGATTTGTGGGGCTGGACGTGTAGTCCGGCTGCACGAGCGATACAGAAGGAATTTGCGCATGAGGTAGACTTCGACAAGTTTTGCACTGTTCAGGTGAATTTGAGATGCCGTTGCTATAAAGGCGGCTCGCGCTGACAGTAGATTAGAGCATCTCGTGGTACATTGGACTTGTGCAGGTTGGAACCGCGGCGTTGACTGTGGTGACTTACGTATTTGTATTTGTGAGAAGGAGCGGGAAGAAGGATTTGAAGAAGAGGCACTCGCAGATGGCCGGGCAGTATCCGACGAACTACTAGAAGCGAATAGGGTGCAGATACGTTGTGATTAAATTCTCGACTTGGGTCAAAAGTCTTCTTGATGATCCAGGAGCTTATTCATTGTAGTGACAGTAAGCACCGTTTGAGTACAAGCTGCTAGGAGTGGCACGAACTGTTTTATAGTGCTGACCCTGAACCGATCTATGCCGCTTGAAATCGTGAGAAAGCCCTAGAACACTGTGGGTACATCTCCGCCGAAGCCCATTGAACGTCGATGCTGCGAACTTCATGTACGCCACCTAGGGAAACCATCTTACAGATGCAATAGAGCACTAAAGAGCCACAACCCACTCAGATTTTGGAGGTACGAGTGGGATATATTCGTTAGGGTTGAAGATGCCCATCTGTGCAACGCGTTGGTATATCTGCTGTAGCTTCCGACCCTGCTCGCCCTCGTAGTCCTCTGGCCTACCCTCCTTGAAGGGATCGGCGGCACCAGCGGCACCAGGTGGCTGGGTGGCTTGCGAAGGAGCTTGCTGTGTTGCTGCTTGGGCGAACGGATTGGCGGGCTGGGATGGAGCCCCGAAGGCTGGAGCCGCAGGTGTCGTAGTCTGCGTGGCGGCTGCGAAGGGGTTCGGCTTGGGCATTGTGGTTGTCGTATTCTGTGCAGCAGGGGCAAATGGCGATGGTTTTGCCAGGCCTCCTGGCTGGCCGAACGCGGACTTTTGCTGTGCGGGTGCGCTACCGAATGGGTTTGCGGGCGCTGGTGAAGTCTGCGTTTGGGTGCTGCCGAACGGATTGCTAGCTGGCTGTGCCTGACCCGCTTGTGCTGCTTGGCCGAATGGATTCGCGACGGCTCCTGCTTGTGAAGTCTGACCGAAGGTTGATTGCCCGAATGCTGGCTTGCCAAAGGCGGATGTTTGGCCGGGCGCTGAAGACTGACCGAAAGCAGAAGTTTGACTCGGTTGAGAAGGCTGTCCAAATGCAGAGGTCTGACCCGGCTGAGAAGGCTGTCCAAATGCAGAGGTCTGACCCGGCTGAGAGGGCTGTCCGAATGCTGCTGTTTGACCTGGTTGTGAAGGCTGACCGAAAGCAGAGGACGCTCCTGGCGCCGAAGGCTGGCCAAAGGCAGATGCGGTCCCCGGTGCTGAAGGCTGGCCGAAAGCTGACGGCTGGCCTAGAGCGCTCGTCTGTCCAAATGCAGAGCCACCTCCAAACGCAGACGGTTTTCCAAAGGCAGGACCTCCACCTGAGGCAGACGTCTGAGCGAAGGCGCTCCCGCTCCCGGGCATAGACGGTTTGCCGAAGCCGCTACCTGCGCCTGCGCCTAGGGCTGATGCCTGGCCGAACGCTGAGTTGCTTTGACCTGGAGCAGAGGATTGGCCGAAGGGATTGGCGGGCTTTCCGAAGGTGGAGGTTTGCGACTGAGTACCGCCACCAAAAGGATTCCCTGAAGCAGAGCTCGGTACCTGGCTGCGAGCAAACGGACTTGCTGCCGCAGCACTAGAGAAGGGATTCGCATTGGACGGTGCTGGTGCAGCTGTTGAGCTAGATGGGTCGACCTTGCCTTGCGCAATGTCTAACCTGTTGGGATGAACATCTGCGCCGTCTTCAACGTACTTGATTGCTCCATCCAGGTCGCTCAAGATCGACTTCACCTGCTCTTCTGCTTTCGAATAGAGCTGGGCTTCTTCATGTTGCTGATCAGTCGTTAGCTGGGTTGATTTTCCACAAGATGGAGATTGCATACTCCCGCAGCCTCGTTACCTGATGAGCGCTGTGTGTAGTACCGAGCGCGCAGTTCTTCCGGACTGATCTCTAGCGGTCCTTCCATGAGCTGGCGTGGTGCATCGCGTCCCGCTCCGTAGCACGAGAACGGATAGGCTGGGCGCTGGTCCGTAAGATCGGTTTTGATCTCATCTTTTGACAAAGTGTAGCGTGGAGTGCCTGTACGGTTCCCTGGGGGTAGGATGAGCGATGGCCAGATCAGGCAAAGGTAGAGTACAGCGTTGCACTGGATGTATTCTTCACCGAAAAAAGACACGTTGGTTGCGCAGAATAGATGCACATACCTCCGAATGCTCCGCCTCCGCCTCCGCCTGAGGGTCGGTAGCGATCACCACCACCCCCGAAGGCATTGAACCCGCTTCTATTTCCGCCGCCGAAAGCATTGCCGCCATCGCGCTGACTTCCTGGGTGCTCGTTCTTGCATCGGTCTTTGACGTGTTAGCCTCATAGTCAGGCCTATCGCACCGGAAGTGATTACCTCCGAACTTGCACGTGCCGCGCTGGTAGAACGGGCAAATAGCCATGCTGCCGTGACCGTAGTCTAGATAACAAGATGTTGCAAGTGGTGAGATGCTGACCGTTGGGCCGCCAAACAATCTATTCAAAAATCAGGAAAGGTGTACAAGTATGTTGGCGCTCGCGTCGAGCGATGAAGAAGCAGCAGGTTGATGGACAGAGCGTGAGAAGGGCAGTTTCGCGTTCGACAGTGCGCTTAACCCGATCGAGACTCAACCATGGACGCGTAGTCACGCTTCAAGCTGCAGTCCACCGGTCGCTGTTACGTTACCTTTGCCTGCTGATTTCGAAGCCACTCCCGTAGTTCCTAGGAGGATTGTGCCTGCCCAGTGGCGCCCATTTTGACAGATTCATTGCAGGAGGAAGTTCCGGATGCTGATTGGTGGATGCGATCTTGCAATGGTGCTGGATTTCTCTTGTGTCATGGGAAAAGCCTCGCTTGCAGGCGTGAGTTTGGCAAGAGGATCCAGGTGCGAGTGAATCTCAGTCTCCTGTCACGTTTCGTAGCTATCACCTGCACTGCAGACGACAAGCACGTTGCCGTCGAGGCAGGCAGGAAGTGACGCTAAGTCCGCTTTCGGAGTAGCTCCTGCCGTTGAAAACGAACGTCCAGGTACAGCTCCACGTAGGTATCAAGGTCGCGCCGTGGACCATTCCATCGCGTATACGACACGATGCGCAAAGTGAACATCGGTTCCTTTGCTCTTCGATCCCCACCGACGACCCCCAAACACCCTTCGCGGTGCGTCTGTTGATTGCGACGTACCCCGCCGTCCCAGACCTCGCTCTCACGCTCTCACACTCTCCCACGCGGCTCGGTTCTGTGTAGATGCACGCCTTCTCTATCCTAACGCTCGGCATCTTCGTTGCCGGATACTCTACTGCGCGCTGGGACCTGGTCAACCGTCTATACGAGCTTGCTATCTTCGCCTGGGACCACGGCGTCATTTCGAGGGTAGTGCAGGGCATCGCAGTCCTGTCAATCCTCTTCTTCCTCGTCATCCTCCCCATTGAGCGCCTCGCCTCACACGAGGTCGGTCTGGTATGTTATTAGGTCCCAAAGAAGTGCGATTGCTCACGCGCAACAGCATCCTCGAGCAGCCGGCGGTGGCATCTCTGCTCGCGAGCAGCTCAAGCGGCGCGGATCCTTCTGACGCGAAACACTATGTTGACATGATTACACATAATGTATTGATGCGCATATTCTGGCCATCCGATGCGCCTAAGGGTCCCGCACCCGGCGTACTCGTTGGCTTTCGTAACTCGGAGCTCGATATGTTCGTTGTAGCTATATTGCAAGAGGTGGGGTTGCCCAGCGTCGAAAATGCGCTGCAGGTTGGGACATTACTGCGCCAACAGCGTCGTGACATCCAGGAGCTCCTCAAGCTGTGCCACCACTCGTCGTTGCGCGCTCTTGGACGCATCAATCCGCCAGAATCGCCCAAGCATTTCGATCCACACCACCTGGTCGCTTATACCGAGCCTGGGACCCGTTTGCCGCGCGTATACTGCCCCATCGATACGGATATGACCCTGCAAGTCATCGTGTACGATCGCCCAAATCCTAAGTACATGCAATACTTGTCCCTGAATCCAATATCACTTGCACTGGGTGACAAAGCGGAAGGTGAAAGATGGGACTCAGCTTTCGAGGGCGTCGAAGAGGAAGAAGAGCGTGAACGCAAAAGGAAGGCAGAGCTGGTGGAAAAGCTGACGCTTCATACTGTCATAGCACACCCGGTCACGCAGAAAGAACTCCTACTTCCCGTGCTCATCGATCAGATTAACTGCTCCTTCGAGCTGAACACTGTGTTGCAGAAAAATATTGACGTTATCGGAAGACGCACCAAACGAGCACAAAGTGTGAGTGAGCATGTATTCGAATCTGCAAGCACCTTCTGGGATTACATTCGCAATGCCATCGGGTATGTGTGGCGTGTGCGGATGTACCCACTCATCGCACAGATTCTCATCCTGGTCTTGATGACCCAACGCTTCACAAGCGAGATTGCCCTACGAGCCTTGGATTGGCGGCCGGGCTCCACCAACAGTCCTGCTCTCAAAGACGTATCTGCGACAGCTCAGCAGCTTGACATTCGTCTTCAGCAACTCTGTTATTGGCCTATCCAGTTCATGACGCTGCGGAAGCGCAAAGAGAATTGGGGAAGCATCACCAACAGCCATCCTGAATATATCAGGTTCTATAATAGCCTTTGGTTGGTTGCCAACGATGTCATCATTGGCGTCGCCCTTGGCTCTTTCATATTCGATAATTCACTATACGTCGCCGCCCAATTTGATACAGTGTTTCATGAGTGGTCGATCGAAGGTCTGCGCCGCATGATTGTCTGGCTCTCGGAATGGCCTGGCGGCTTGAAGCTCAACACTGAGCTTGCAGACTTCCTGGGTGATTTGTTTCTCTGGGTAATCGATTATTGGGCTGGTGTGTATCTCTCCATCCTTGTCTACATTCAGACTGACTCGACCAGGATGCATGAGTGTTCTGCGACCCCATCTTCCTACCTTCATTCGCCTCATAGGGCTTTCAGCATTCGCAGGTGCTACTATGCCCATCTCACTCTTCTCAGACTTAACGTCACTGCTCACTTTGCATATTTATTCCTTCTACGTCGCATCAGCTCGCATTTTCAACTGGCAATTGAACATCCTCTTGTCGCTCTTCCACCTGTTCCGAGGCAAGAAGCGAAACGTGCTGCGAAATCGTATCGATTCGTGTGATTACGATCTGGATCAGCTCCTGCTCGGGACCATCCTCTTCACGCTGCTCTTCTTCCTGCTTCCGACCGTTCTTGTCTTCTACTTACTATTCGCATCCGCGAGAGTTGGTGTCATTGGCCTGAAGGCAGCCCTGGAAATGGGTTTGGCGTGCCTCAACCACTTTCCGCTGTTTGCTATTACGCTTCGTATCAAGGATTCGAGTCGCCTACCTGGTAAGTTTCCGTCTTGTCATGTTGTATGCTCGAATCTGATGTGGTTGCAGGAGGTGTTTGCTTCGAGCTGCAAATCCCGAGAAGCATCGAGTTGCACGATCCAGATGGTTCGGCCTCAGCGCCCGCTTCGTATATCCTTTTGAAGGTAAGGCGTTCACATATGATGCGAATGTGTAAGCTGATCTGCTCTAGCCGATACCTCTTTCTTTCCGACAAATATTCCATTCGTACTTTGAGCTGGGCGACCGCATACGTAAACACTACTTCTCACCAAGCGTCTTCATATGCCTTGTCTATGGGCAATCTGTTCCTCCGATCCACAGGCGCAACTTATACAGTCTACAGTATAGTATGCTGCCGGCTAAAAGAACGGAAATCTCAGAGCTATGGATGCGGCTCACTGGGAAGGAATCTCCACGCGCCGATCGATCAAACGGTAATCTCACGAAACGGAAGGTTTTGACGAATGATGTTGCCAAGACAGATAGTAGGTAGCAACATTAACAAGGGCTACTAGACCTCAAGTCTTGCCTAGTCCACACAGTGAAGAATGTTACTTGAATCAGACACCATCTTTCCCTGCATCACACCACTGAGCTTATTGGCAGGGGAAAAGCCCATCGGACTAGGAAAGGAGGCGCTTAATCGTAAGCAGGGTATGAGTGAGCCATTCCAAGAGCTGATCGCCTTATATTGACTCACGGCATCGAAAGATCTGCACTACCAGATCACGCAAATGATTCAAAATTAAAGCCGCCATACATGGTTTGGTAGAACAACTATACTTCCTACAATAGCACTAGACTTCACCAACAGGCACCTGCTCACCCGTTTTGCTCCGATTGCGGACTCCAAAGGAATCAGAAAGCTGCATGTATGCCTCCCTCGGCAACAGCTGGCCGTGCTCATATAATTGCTAAGCGTGTCTCGCGATCGCGCGCAGACTCGCCCGAGATACGATGGCGATCCGGGTAAACTCTGTCTAGGCACCTCACGCCGTGGAAAGATCTTCTGGAAGGCCTCCACTTGTCCACCCGCACGAAGGTCGGAAGGACGGGACGCTCCAAGAAGGGCAAGTGCGGACAAGCTTTGATGGCGTTGCAAAGCTTTGATGCGGCTATATTAAGCTCTCAGCTAATCGCTTAGTTCCCCTACGGCTCCTTTCTACCGTAACGCTAAGTTTTGCTCCGGATTATAGTAGTGACAAGGATGCGGTGCAGCGGCCCGCCAAGCGCATCATTGGATAGAAATGCCGCATCACTAACGCGCAATATAGTGATGCCTGTCGGGCACTTTGAACGAAATGGTTGTCAATGGTGCGGCATATCACGCGAATGAAGCCCGCGTGGCTGGAGTGGAGGCATACTTTACGTGATGCAAGGTATGTGGAAGTGGGGGATATAAGGTATAGCAGGTGCCCTGGACAGTGTCTTGAGTCTTGGGTCGTAACACCTTCGCTTTTTATTGTCGCAAGAGAACGACACCAGAATGGGCATCACCAAGGGAAGCAGCAAGGCCAAAGGGCAAACGGCGGATCCGGTCCTCACCCGCCTTGTCGCAGAAGACACCGTATCGTGGGCTCGCAAACCGCACCTGCGGAATCTTTATTTGTTGCTCGTGCCGGCTGCTATTGGGATTGAGATCACGTCTGGCTTCGATTCGCAACTTATCAATGCTCTGCAGATTGTTCCCTCATGGATTACTTGTAAGATGGCACAATGCCATTGACGTGTAACTCATGTTGACGCGGCCAGACTTCGGCCACCCCGAGGGCTCGCTCAAGGGTATCATCGCTGCGGCGTACTCTCTTGGTGCTATTCTCTCGCTTCCTTTCATTCCCATGGTGGATGACCGGGTCGGACGTCGAGGCTCGATCATGGTCGGCTCGATCATCATGATCATCGGAGCTCTCATCCAAGGATTCTCGCAGAATGGTACGTCTAACGAGCCTATCATTATGCAATGATCTATTAGGAAATGATGTTGATCTTCCACAAACAGTGACCATGTACATCTTCGCCCGACTCATCCTCGGCTTCGGCATCCCCGCCTGCATCGTGGCCGGCTCCTCACTTATCGGCGAACTCGGCTACCCCAAGGAACGCCCCGTGCTCACCTCTCTATTCAACGTCTCCTATTTCGTCGGCCAGATCATCGCCGCCGGCATCGTATTCGGAACTAACAGCATCCCCAACGACTGGGCATGGCGCGTTCCCTCCCTCCTTCAGCTCTTGCCCTCGCTCCTTCAATGCATATTCGTGCTATTTCTCCCAGAGAGCCCGCGTTGGCTCATCAACCACGATCGGATTGAGGAGGCGGAGGCCATATTGGTGAAATACCATGCTGAGGGGAATCCCGAGAGTGAATTTGTGAAGGGGGAGATTGCACAGATTAGGGCCACGATTGAGTTGGAGAGTGAGGCAGCGAAGAGGGGGTGGATGGATTTGCTGAATACAAGTGGGATGCGTCGTAGAACTCTTATAACAGCTAACCTAGGTCTGTTCACGCAGTGGTCGGGGAACACGCTCATTTCGTAAGACCTCCCACCTTCTCCGTTGCTCTTCTGTTCGCATTCACTGATGCAAAGGATGACAGCTACTTCTTCGGCGACCTCATGAAGATGATCGGCATCAAAGACGCGCTTACCAAGCAGAAGCTCAACGTCGGCTACGCGGCATGGTCCCTCGTAACTGGCGGCGTCATCGCCCTTATCGTCACGCGCTTCAAGCGCCGCACCCTGTACATGCTCTGCACGCTGTCACTGCTCGTTGTGTATACCGGCTGGACCATCGCCTTCAAGTACGCTGTCACTGCCGACAAAGCTGGAGGACACAATGGGCCTGCTAGCGCTGCCAGTGCATTCTTCATCTTTGCGTATCAGCCGTGCTATAATATTGGATTTAATGCTCTAACGTACAGTAAGTTTCCCTACTATAAGAGATAGGGAGTAGGTTAGGATGAGGGAAAGGCTAATACTACGTAGCGTATATGGTCGAGGTATGGCCCTATATGGAGCGCTCCCGCGGCATTGCCGTCTTCCAGCTGTTCGGCCGTCTGGCGGGTTTCTTCACTACCTTCGTCAACCCCATCGGGCTTGACAACATCTCGTGGAAGTGGCTCATCGTATATGTCGCTTGGCTTACCTACGAAGTCGTCTTCGTCTGGTTCTTGTTTCCCGAGACGGCGAATCGTACGCTCGAAGAACTTGCTTTCTGTAAGTATTTGATCACGGTGACTGGATGGGGAAGAACCAGGCTAACGTGAATGCAGTGTTCGAGGGTGAGGAGAAGAACATTCGGGCTAGTGAGGCGGTGGAAAAGGTTGTTGTTGAGAGGGAAGAGAACGTTGTTAGTGATAAGAAGGTCTGAGGGGTACGAGGGGTCTGGAGACAGAACTCCATGCTTCGCGAGATACTCGGTCTTTGGTGAAAAGGCATGAAACAGGCTGTGGGACGGTGACCCGAGGGTTTCTCAATAACGAGTAGTAATGGATTCGATGCTTCCTCTTCTTACTACACGCTTCACCCTTAAATGCAAGATGTAGATAACCAAAACAAAAGGTGCTAGGTCAGTAGGTAGTCTGTCTGTTAAGATCACTGGACGACAATCACCAGTGGGCTTTGATGGCATCATGTCCCATCTTTGTTGGCCTCGACCTTCCGTCACAAGGTTCGGTTTTTGTTGCTACAATGCAACGTCAGCAACACCTCTAAACAACAGAAAGTTTCCTCACATTAAGACCATTTATATGCTTTCTCACTCTATAGTCCGGCCATCAACACCAATCCTTTGCCCATCCCAGCCTGTCGAGAAATTGACATCGTCCATGGCACTTAGCTCCAGGCACCTCTTCGTAGCAGTCTCATGCTCCACTTGATGCGCAAAACCCACCACCCATGTCATCTTTGGTCTCTTTCCCTGTGCAAACTCATTTTTCACATATTGCCTTGCTTGTTCAATGCTGAAATGACTGGCATGTGGCGATTCCCATCGCAAACCATCGATTACCAGAACGGAGCTTCCTTGCATTAACGCCGTCGTGGAAGGTGGTATAGCATTGCAATCCGAAATATACGAGTAATTCCCTATCCGGTATCCAAGACTCATATAGGGCATTTCCAATTGCCAATTGTAGCCATGCTCAACCGGCAGCGGCGTCACGTCGACATCACCGCATGTAGGTATCTTGAACGATTTCCCCTCATCAAAGACATGCCACCTAAACTCTGGGACGTCGCCTCCACCAGTCGCAAAATTCTTGTTCACGAGGTATGGAAATGTCCTCTCCACCTCTGTCAAAGTAGTCTGCGAACAGTACACATCAATCCAAGGTTGCACGAACCCACCCAGTGTCCAGCTCCTCAGATCATCGAGACCGAAATACGCGTCGGCGTGCGCATGCGTCAATATCAAGGCGTCTATTCGTCTAATCTTGTATTGTGGAAACCAGCGGAGTGCGGTTGGGTAGAAGGTCTTTCCGCAGTCTATGAGCAGATTTCTCGGATCTTCAGACGAGCCGAGGCGGAAAAGGGCGGAGGTATTGAGGCGCTTATTTTGAGGCAGGGGTGAAGTGCAGGTGCGGCAGGTTGGTGGATTTGCAGTCAAGCAGCCTATTACTGGGATGCTACCGGAAGTGCCTGTGCCGAGTAGGATGAGTTCGTGTGGCTGTGCTGAGGTGGAGGCTGAGCTTGCGGTCATCGTAGGTAGATGAGCAAGAGCAAATGAGTGAATAGTAATGTTACGAATAACAATGTGGTAGGCAAATGATCTTCGGTTTGCAACGATGACGTCACCAAGCAGCTCGCGAAGCACGCTCAAGACGCCTCATCTTCTGTCTAGGTCCGAGGTGTATCTCTATTATGGTCTAAAGCTCATCGCGCTTTAGACTTCCCCGCTCACTGCATCCTGATCGTATACCAGGAGAAGCGACTCATGCCTTTCTTCACCTTAGGGAGCCCGGGACATCGTCCCATCGCCCGGTTCGTGCGCTCTTCTCCACGTATTCGAGATACAATATGGAACTCTACTAGTTTACTGATGTTGAAACAAGATGTGTTCGATCAGTTGTCTGGCGGGCGAGCCGAGTCGCTCCACAGTGCATTGATATCGATCACGAACCTTAGATTTCCTCCCCACAATTGCGAGTTCACGCCTGTCAAGATGGCCAATACCGCGATGAACAACTTCATGCCCATCAACCTTGAGATGTCGGAGAACCCTCCAGACGCAAACAAACCGTTGCCTTTGGCCAACCATCTCAGTACCGCAATCGGGGTTACTATACCATTCCTCGTGTGTCGATCTTTATTATTGACAACTTCAGCCGACATACTGATGAGAACAGGCATTCAATTTCGTGGCCTTAAGCCTTAGGCTTCACACTCGACTGCGCATTGTGCGTGAACCAGGCTGGGATGATGCAGTCGTCGCGTCAGCCGCCTTCTCCAATCTGGTCGGTCAACAACGTTCTTAGGAGGTACCGCCCGATCACCATCCAAGCCCTACTGTGTCCGTGCTGATGACTATCAGGTGTCAAAGCTGGAATCGGACAGCACCTCATGTACATACTCAGTGCACTGCCAAACGCAATGAAGTGGTTCTACGTAACGAACGCCACGTATGCTTCGACCACCGTCTGCATCAAGCTTCTCTTGCTTTGCCAATACCTTCGACTCTTCCGCGAGAGCTACTGCCGTACTATTACCCTCGTTGTAATTTGCAGTGGTAGTTCTTTGGGGCAGCGCCTTTTCCTTCATTGCGTGGTTTCGCTGCTTCCCCATCTCTGGGTTCTGGAATAAGACGATGGTTCCGTCAGCTAAGTGCTATGCTTTTGGCTATCGCACTGCACAAGAAGTCAAGAACACTTTACTTGCTTTTTCCGGCTCGAATATACTCCTCGATGTTCTGGTTTTCTGATACCACTCACGGATTATTTTCGGCCCAACCTGAACAGAAAGCGAGTGCTAGCAATGACGGGGCGGTTCGGTGTAGGGCTATTGTGAGTAACCAAATCGTTTCGCCCGATTTGTGGAAACCTGCTGACGCATCCAAAGCGTTGTTTTGATAGCTATCTTGCGCCTGTGGAGTGGCCACAAATACAACAACCGCGGCATTCTCATGAACGATTACACGTTCTGGTTACCGGAAGTTCTTATCTTCTCTCGTCTTGAGATTGATTTTGCAATAATATGCGCCTCCATGCCGATTTTCTGGCCTACCGTCATGGCCGTATGGAACCAGATCTCTGTTACGGAGGGAGTTATTGCGACCGTCGAGCACCGCGACCCTACCAACATAGGTGACCTAGAGATGGACAGGCCCACAGCATGGCAGAATAATGAGAGCACTGAGGGGCTGGTAACCGCTCTTTCATACCGCCGTCGGCAGTCATTCTACAAAAATGTTCTGCCAGCACCGAAGATGACGAAGATCAGACCTCTCGAGGAGACGGTGCGCGTATCATTGAACAGGTAGTGACCTCTACGATGAGACTCGTAATCTATGGTAGCGAAACATCTCACCACAGCCTCAAGGTAATATTGCAACGATAATGTTGACCAAAACGTTTTGTTTTGCTGTTCAATGTCCTCAAATCACGCAACTTTCGCGCTCCTCTTGTGGGAAGAACGAAACTCGCACGATTGCATTCAGGTTCTCCCAACCATACTCTCGCATCACGGGCTGCTCCATATCATGCAGATGATGACTAGAATCCGGCTGCCCTGGCAACATCCTCCTTGCTCTCACCAATTTGCACGTCATACACAAAAGTATCTATATCGATTTCCTCTCCACGGTAAGCGCCAAACTTCGGATCCGCTCTACCAGGAAACGTGTTCGCGGTCAGCCGTGTCACACCCTCACCGTCGCCGAGGCGCTGCTGCTTTCCATCAATGTAAAGCTCAACCCAGCCTGGAGAACCGGTATTGATGGCAATACCGATCTTGTAGCGTTGGTTGGGGATGATGGTCTTCTGCCACTGCCCCACACGGCCGACACTGCCTGACGCCTGGTACTGAAATTGCAGGTGCGTAGAATCGATGAATTCGAGAGCGAGCGGGATGTTGGCACCGTTGTCGTTGGCGTTATTGGCAACGTATTCTTTGCTGTAGTATGTTGTCAGTAACACATCGGCAATCAAATAAGACTCTTGCACGGAGCGTGTACAGTCAACAGAGACTCCAAAGGCGGATTCTTAGAACAGGCAATCCAACATCCGGGTGACTCACAATTGCCAAACCATCAAGCTTTTCTGGATCTTCGCGACAGAAACATCGTATCCTATCCAGTACGTTTTGTCCGCCTGAGTCTGCTTATTCAAAGCATGGTATTCAGCCCTGATGTTGTCCTTTTTACGGTGAAAGTGCGCCGCGGCAGTGCCGCTTGCGTCTTTGTCGGATTTGATGTAGAGATCAGCTGCATTGTCGCTCCTAGTATCGCCCCGCGCGGCTTCAAGGTTGCGAAGGCCAAGTACCTTTGGGTCGTCGCCACGTGCAGCGTTAAAGTCGACGAGCAAAGCGCCGAAGGTGATCGGGATTATCGCAAGTGCTTGGATGAAGAACTTCATGACGGCTGAATTGGCTATGGAGCTATGGAGCTGAAGATGCTTTGTCGCTTGAAGGCCTGGCGATAGTCAATCTGAGCGGGAATGAAAACGCGCAGCTTTATACCGAAGCAGTACGGACTTCATGGCTGCCGACCATGACCGGCTACTGCTCAGCCATCGGTATAAGATCTACGGATCTACAGGAGCCTCCAAGATTCCGGCTTTACTTTGGCCCCAATAGAGGGGCATAGCTTCTCGAAGGGGACAGAAAGCTGAACTATCCTGGTCGAGACGTGCTGCGTAAGCGCAAGCTAGCCTTGTTATGAGACTATAACCACGCGCCAGGTGTATGTCTTTCCATTGCAGGAGTTATTACGTTCCCTATGTAGCCCTATGTTGCGAGCTGGGAATCTGTCAATATGAGCCTGCGTGCATCTAGGCACTGCAGGACACAGTAATTTGTAGGCTGCAGCATTAGAGCATCGGTTCGTCATACGCCCTTCTAGGCACGACAGCGGCGTCGTGGGAGATGATCTGATTTGACGATAAATGAGGGAAGGTCTCCGTAGCCGCCTGCTGCTAAGGGTCCGTTGCAGGGAGAAGATGCGAGGGTGAGGTAATTGACGAGATAACCGTGGCAACGCAGTCACCTGCGCGTAGCCTGTAGCATTGTCAACGGTCATCGTTTATTCAACGAGAGATTTAAGTTCACAAGGGCAGGACGGCAAACCTCTAGACAACATGATGACTAAGGTACAGTGATGGTGCTTAGATGCGTGATAAAGTTGAACCGATGCTCACAGTATGCATAACTATGCAAGGCCTTCAAAGGGGGTATCATATCAGCATTCTCGCGTTCCGACCCGACCTCAAACGGCAGCCCTCTTCCTCCCCCCACCCCTCCTCCAATTCCACAGCGCCTCCTGCGCGAACGTCCGACTCGTCAAATGCCCCTTGCTCTTATTGGCCTCCTCCGTCAACGTCTCAACCACCTTTCCACTCTCCACCTCTTTCCAGAGCCCGCTTGCCATAGCACTCCCCGCATCTTCCATATCAACCTCAGTTTCATCCTCATCGACCTCTTCCTCTTCTACATTGGGATTCTTAACGACCTGCACCGGCCCATCCGTCTTCCGCCTGACCCTCTCAATCCCAAACTCGCCCCGCCCAAGACGGTACAGAACCCGCCCGAGCGTTTGGAACGCTACGCACCGTTGGGCAGCGACGCTGCTGCGCCCCATGATGGCGAGCTCAGCGATGGTGTAGCCTGCGGCTTCGGGCGCTTCGGCGTGGTGGTGTAGGCCCTGGTCTACGGGAATCTCGCGCGCGACGGAGGGTGCGAGGAGAGCGCCTTTGAAGTCGAAGCGAAGGTCGCGGGCGTTAAAGGCTTGGTGCGAGGGGTGGTAGGGCGATTTTGTATCGGCTGGGTCAATTGGTGTCATCCAGGAGAGCGTTGAGGGGTCGTAGGCGAGGTTAGGGAAGTACTTTTCGTGGAGGTTTTGGAGGAAGGCCCGATCGTTAGGGTCGAGATCGGGGGGTTGTGTTGGGCGGGGGAAATGTATTGAGCTGTGCTCCTCGGCGAGCTCTGCTCCGGGAACCGCGGGGTCTGTTGAGGTAGGCAGTTCAGATTGCGCTGGCGACGGCTCTACGAAGGCGACTTTCTTCGTAGACACTGCCTTAGACTCCCTCTCCCTTGCCACAGGCGTCTCCGACCCCGTTTCCTTTGGTGCGTCCCAGTCTTCCTCATTGCTCCCATCCGCAACATCAGCTCTCCCTAAGAGTTTTTGTATCTTCATAGACTCTGTTATTGCTTCGTTCTCTCTGATCTCAAAATTCTCTGGCACCGAATCTTTCGGTACATCCCAGTCCTTCTCATTACTCCCATCCGCTACATTGGCTCTTCCCAAGAGCCTCTGTACCAAGCTCGACGGTAGACTCATTAACAACTCCCTCTGCTCCTGTTCAATCTCTTCATTCGTCATATTCGCCAGCCTCTTTTTATTCTCCTGATCAATTTGCCTCTTCTCATCGTCCTCTTGTCCCCTCGCGCCCGTGATGTGCACTCGTTCTTTCTTCACGTCCTCTGTCCGCTGTATCGCTTCCTTTGGCTTTGCATCTTCATTCGCAAACCTCTCCCTCTTAAACGCAGACACCCTAGGTTTGCGCTTCTTATGTGCCGGGAATCCGTTGACATTTGCTATGAGCGACGGTGCCACGGGCGGATGCGCGACCTCTCTAGCGGGGCGCTCGAGAATGTCGCCTACGAAGGCGGATGTAAGCGCGGGCCGCGGTGCATCGTCGATTTCTTGTCCCACGCCTGCAGGCTCGATATTTCCGTTATCTAAATCAAAATACACGCGTTCTCCTCGTGCTAGAGACATGGTCGCGGTGGGGTTGTAGAAAAGTTGTTCGTCAAGCTTCGTCCCAGAAGTGGGGTGCACTTCCGAAGGCTCGCCTAAACCTGCCGTTTTACTCGCATAGCCGCATCCGGTAAGCGCGCCTCGACCAAAACCTGTGAACATACTAACCAAGGAGGGAATGTGCGCTCTACACAGCAAGTCATGTAGTGAAACAAGAGAAAAAGTATATAGGTCGTAATACAAGCAGTTGGAAGGTACAGTGACCGAGATACAATTCATAGTATCACACATGAGAATGGTAGAAATCAATACACAGAATCAGAGTGCATATCACAATCCCACAGACCATCCCCTCTTCCCATCCTTTCCAAATCATGCCAGCATAAGCTGCCCAATCCCGCTCAAGTGCCCGCAATGCGCCTTAAACATCTCTCGTGTCTGCAATGGTGTAGCAAAATGGTATACAATGAGCGCTCAGTTTTCCGCAAGGTAACCGAGCCCGCAAAACTGTCGCAAAGCCCTCGCATCCAATTGATGCATCAGCAAGGCGCCAAGCACTGTTTCTTTTCGAGGCAGAATGTCTGCCTTGACTTTCCAAGTCGTGCCTCCGACATCAAGTTCTTCCATGTCATCTACCCAATCGTCTTCTTCGTTGTCATAGCCAGTCCCGTTCGTTTCAACGCTTTTGACCAGTGATTCTGCGCCTTTAGACTTATCACCAAGCCGCTTGATCATCGACAGAGCTCGATTGACAATGAGATGGTACCCTTCCCGATCCTGTTCCATAGGCCTTTGCCCGCGATGGTTCGGTTGTGGTGGGGGTTGTTGCATTCGGGCGTCCAGCGAGCAGAGCGACATGGCGAACTTCAGCAAGCTGTTCGCCCACCCATCCTCGGCTTCTAGCCAAGAACGACAGACGCCGCTTTCAGGCCCAGGGGCTAGAGAAGCAAGGATATCTGCAGCAAGCATGCCTTGCATCAGATATGGTTTTCGAGCCTCTGCGACCCGTGCCTCGTAGTGTTGCACTTCTTTAGGTCGGGTCTCAGCTAGATCGTGGAGTTTCCCTTCGGTTCTATCCGGCACAACTGCGATCGCGAGCGCGAATGCACGGGTAAGAAGGTCGTATGGAGGATCGGACGTTGCTTCGTTGATAAATATCTGTTTATAATATGTCCGATTGGGATCGTCGATAGCAAGCAGCTTGGCCATGCTGTCCACAGCCGACGGAAGATAGCGATGGACTTTGGGATTGTACGAAGTGAAACGCACAGGGAGTCCCGGACGAGGGCTGGGGGCGAATGCACATAGGAAATGGAGCACGGCGTAAGCGTCCTCTCTGGAAGGTAGCGCAATCCTGGTACTCGAGTTGGAGAAAAACGTGATCAGATCCTTCATGAAGTCCAGTGTATGGATGTAAGACCTGAGAAAGAGCATTCTGGTGCCGACCAGTCGTATCGCATTCGAAAGGAACTTTAGTACGGGCGGCGAGGAGAGGCGGGCGTGGTTGATTTCGAGGAAGGATAAATTCCGAATTATGGATGTTATGGCAAGCACCCGATCTGCGGTTCGGTCGAGGTCATATGCTTTGGTGCCGAACTCCGGGAGATCCTGAAGCGTATTGACCTCTGTCTGGCAGTTGTGTAGGATATCCTCATAAGACATAAGCTCGATTATATCGGTCACTTCTGGGTTGTCAGTGCCTAGGATCTCGAGTTGATCTTCGGCGTAGTCTGCCAGCACTTCCACTAAGTCGTCGCACTGCTCCAGGTCCAGTTGGATGTTATTCTCATGGGTCAATTTGGACAGAGTATCCAGCGCCAACCTGGTCTCCGCGTGTAGGCCAGAGCGGATACTCATGGTTAGCGCGCGTATGTCGACCACTCCCATCTCCCGCAGTTCTGGAACGTTGGGCATCCAATGCAACTTCTTGCTGACCTCTTGCACAAGCTCATCACTTAGTTCCAACACTCCCCATGTGTTTTTGATGGTCAAATTAGTCGCAGGTCTATAGTAGATTCCATCTTCTTCTTCTTCGATGTGACGTTTCTGTTCGAGTGCAGATTGAGTTACGGCAGCGTCTGGCTCGGCTTTTATGGGCGTTCCGCTCGGTTGCGCTGGATCTGAAGACGGAGCCGGGGTTCCTTCGAGTGGACGACTCATGCTTTTGCGATGTTGTCCCACCAGATTGCCATCGGCTTGTGGAGTACTCCGACCGTTAGCTAGGGCAGGCGTAGCGTTCGTTTGCAATGGGGTCGATTGCGGCTGCTGTACTGGCTGTTCGAACTGTTGCTGCTGCTGTAGTCCAGCATCAGACTGGCGTTGGGCCTGTTGCTGCAACTGTTTCCTTTGGAGTTGCTGCATGTACTCCTGTTGCGCCGCCGCCGCAGCAGCGTTCGGGGCACCGGCCATTGGATTCCTTGTTGGCGACATCTGCTGTCCCATCTGCTGGCCCATCTGCTGTCCCATCTGTCCCATTTGTGCCATAGGGTTCATCTTCATCTGCTCCTGTTGTGTCTTGCTACGTATGTACATTTGCTCGTACAGCCCAAGGTTCGCCTCGTAAACTTGTCGCAGCTCTTCCGGTGCAGTGGGGAACTGCGGTACCGGAATTCCCAGGTGTTGTGCGATCCGCGGCCATGCGTTGTTCGTTGTAACGTTTCTGGAACCTCGAAATTTGATGACAATTGAATATAGGTTGAAGAGATCGATTGTTCGGCCGGCGACTTGCGGTTGGGGGTTGAAAGGTCGACGATTCTGGGCCATGAGAGAATGCACGTTCTTCAGGAAGGTCTGAGGATTTGCTTGGGGGTTCTGCATTTGTTGCCCCGGCATCAGCTGGGGCTGCATGCCCGGACGCTGGCCCGGCGCGCCGGGTGTTTGTCCTGCCTGGTGTCTTTGCTGCGCAGCCATGTTGCTTGCCGCTAGATTTCCGAGCTGCTGCTGCTGCGCTTGTAGTCGCATAGCATATGCTCTTTGAGCCTCCTGCTGCTTGTGCTGGAGATTCTGAGACAGTTGTATCGATTGCATTGGTTGAACTGGAAACTGGCCGCCAGCATTGGGATCAAAGCCCTGGCCCATGGGAGAGCCTTGCGCGAAGTTCATGGGAGACATCTGAGGCGCATGCGGATTCTGCGCCGGAGAGGCCGTCTGCATCCGTTGCGGCGGCATTTGACCGGGTCGGAAATGTTGGTTCTGCATAGTTGGGGAAGGTGTGTGAGCAAAGCCTTGCTGGAAGAATTGTTGCGATGGTGTCTGGGAACGCGACATGGTCGCGCCTGTCGAGTCCCTTTTCTGGGGTATTGACGACATTGGGTACGGTCGCGTGCCGTTCATCTGGTTGCCAGCGATGGCGCTGGGATCGATGAAGCTCGAGGGGTCGTACATGCCGTTTTGCGACGACTGGAAATCCATGGCGCGCGGTCACCACGAGCGTTTGCGGTAGGCAGCGAAAGACGTGACGGGGACGGAACGAGCGTGGAGTTCGTGGGCTTGGTATTAAAGAGGCCAATAGTAGCACGCGAAAGCATTCGACCGGCCTGTGTGAAAAACATAAGCAATGCTGTTGTTGATGTCGGGGCAGGCGCGACCATGAGGGTCATGGCGCCTGCCTCGAAGAGGAGTCTTGGGGTGGGAGAAGGAGGGAGGATGGCGACCTACGCGTATGACAGTTGAGCGCTACAGGCGGCTTATCATCAGGCGTACGGGAGACGGACCGTCTGGGATGCGGGCAGCAGCTTCACGTTACCGCAGGCTCTCGGACGCGATTTGCGGCTTATGGGGTGGAGAGAACAGACATTGAGGCGGTGTTTTGGCGCTAGGCTCTGATTTGGTCACGTGCAGCGACAGAGGCAGTAGGACCCAGAGAGCAGCAACAGCGACAACGCGCGCCCGCAGCAGAGCAACAATTGAAGCTCTCGAGATTCTCACGACGAGCAAGGTGTCTGCATGAGGACCAGAACACGCGTTGACGCGCGAGCCAGTTGAGTGGCTGCTTTGCCGGATTCGCAAAAGCCTAGTCTAACTTAATCTTACCACTCCGGGAGCCACGGGTCGTGTCGCCGCTGTGTGACAGTGGGAACACATGCTCTCTCCACTTATTACATCACTGGAGCCTACAGCAGACGTTGTGCTGTTATCTCTGCGTTGCGTTTGGGCCGAGATCGAGACCGCCTTCTTTCCGGGCGCCTGCCGGCTTCTGCCATGCGCAACCACGGCGCCGAGCCGAAGCCACATTCTTGTCTCAAATGCGACCGTTACTGGGACCGCTGCTCCTTACTCGGGTAGAGGAGTCTTTCCTTGACCATACGGACTTTCCCAAATCGTCATCAGCATCGAAATAAGGGAGACATGACGGTATCTCCCATGGCCTATGCTATGTGACATGGCGAGGATATGTACTGTATACCCGCATCAGATTGAAAGCTAGGTTGAAGGATCTTTCTCAGCGACATAACCCACGGTGGGACCGGCACCTGATGTCTCAGCGCAATGACGACGTTGGCGGAGACATGGGTAGTTGTTCTCGAGCTTGTCGTCAACGGTCAAACTGCCAGGGTGCTTCTTATTGGCAGAGTCCCGTCCCATCGTAACGGCGCGGGGTGCCACCATGCCCAGTCGTTTAATTTCTTCACGTATCCTTCCGGCCTGCATAACACCTGGTAATGATCAGGGAATTGCCTCAGCGCTGGTTGCGCTCAGGGTCCATGCATTCGGCCCAGCGTCTTGTGGTCCTCCTACGAACTAGCCCGTGCTGGCCAACAAGCACGAGCTGATCTCCGACTGGGGCAGTGGAAGCTAGAAAAGAACCGACATTGAACGAAAGCGAAGGGGAGAATCCGTCACTTGAGCACCTGCTGTCCTTCGTTTGCATCGCATATTCATCTGTTGTATGCGATACTCGCTAGCAAGCAAGCGGGTTTACAGGATAGAAAACATTCCTCGGCGTAGGCGACGCTACCTCACCCAGACATGCTAAGAGGCTTGAGTTACAAAGTGAGAATACCTCTCAGAACTAGGCTCCGCAGAAATTGTTCTCCTTCCAGCGATGGCAGGGTTTCACGCTCTGCGACACAATGCAGATAGACGGTCAGGTTGCGGTATGAGTCTCGGTCATGCGATTCTTGCCGAGTCGCAATAGGTTACAGCTTGTACAATGGCTGTGTTGATATCTGCTTTACCAAATAGACGGTTCTTCTCAATATCAGAGGCTACGAAGGTATACCTTCGTACTAATAGTAGGATATGGAAGTACACTACCTGATGTCAGGGTTTGCACCTTCACCGATGTACCACTCATAGCTTACGAATTGACCCATGAGTAATGCTCTCAATACTATCGATCCCAGTGTGCATATACGTCTGTTGCCATTGTACCTCTAGAAACCCACAGTCAGATTCAGCAGTTGCGGCGTGTGAGTGCCCAGGTGAATGAGCTTGCACGTGACATCGGGCTTGGCGCCTGCATGGTTGCCGATCGTCACCATGAGATGGCGAACGAACAATCAACGTCAACATACGCGCCTATCCACCCACACTCCCTCGGCACTTACCTTTCCAAAGCTGAAGCTCGCTCTCATCGCTTCCGTGTTGCACCACGCAAAAAGGCCGGCCCCCAGAAAACCTCGCAATCATGGCTGACGCCGCCGTGGAGAACCCGCACAACACAATACCGCCTCACAAGAAGCAGCTCCCCTCGTCGATACCGAATTTCGACACGCTCGAGGGCTTCAGCACAGACGGAAATGATGACTACTCAAATTTCAAGAAGCTCCAGCGACAGCTAGAGTGAGTGGGAATGAAGCGATGACGCTGCGGACAGCAAGCTAACTCGCGTCAGGTACATTCACCTTCAGGAAGAATACATCAAGGACGAGCAGCGGAGTCTGAAGCGGGAGTTGGTGCGCGCGCAAGAGGAGATCAAGCGCATTCAGAGTGTGCCGCTCGTCATAGGACAGTTTATGGAGGCGATAGACCAAAAGTAAGACACCGATGCGAGGCATCGCTTTAACGTAGCTAACATCCGCAGCACTGGCATCGTGCAATCATCTACCGGCTCGAATTATGTCGTCCGCATCCTGTCCACGCTCGATCGCGAGCTGCTCAAGCCCTCTTCCTCGGTCGCTCTCCACCGCCACTCGAACGCCCTCGTTGATATCCTACCTCCAGAGGCCGACTCCTCCATCGCCATGCTTGGCCAAGACGAGAAGCCAGATGTCACATACGCAGACGTGGGAGGTCTAGACATGCAGAAGCAGGAAATCCGAGAAGCTGTGGAGCTTCCACTCACACACTTCGACCTGTACAAGCAGATCGGTATCGACCCACCACGCGGCGTTCTGCTGTATGGGCCTCCAGGAACAGGAAAGACGATGTTGGTGAAGGCAGTAGCGAACAGCACTACGGCTTCATTTATCCGCGTGGTAGGCTCGGAGTTCGTGCAGAAGTACCTAGGAGAGGGTCCGCGCATGGTGCGCGACGTCTTCCGAATGGCCCGAGAGAACTCACCCTCCATCATATTCATCGACGAGATCGACGCTATCGCCACAAAGCGTTTCGACGCACAAACCGGTGCCGATCGAGAAGTCCAGCGTATCCTGCTCGAGCTTCTCAACCAGATGGACGGTTTCGACCAAACATCCAACGTCAAGGTCATCATGGCGACCAATCGTGCTGATACACTCGACCCCGCGCTGCTCCGACCCGGCCGTCTCGACCGAAAGATTGAGTTCCCCTCGCTACGAGATCGCCGTGAGCGCCGTCTCATCTTCGGCACCATCGCTGGGAAGATGAGCCTATCACCCGAGGTCGACCTTGACAGCTTAATCGTGCGAAATGACCCATTGTCGGGTGCTGTCATTGCGGCGATTATGCAGGAGGCGGGATTGAGGGCTGTGCGGAAGAACAGGTACAACATCATCCAGAGCGATCTGGAGGAGGCGTACACGAGCCAGGTCAAGGGCGCGACGGAGGCGGATAAGTTCGATTTCTACAAGTAAGCATGGGTGGGAGGTGATGCTTGCGCTGTGTACATTACGATGGAAGCCTCGCAGTGGGCTGAAGACTCTGCACTCATAATGAAGCATTCATCAAGAAAACCCGCCCCCCTCCCCTATAGACCTATGACCGTGATATACTTTTCCGGTGAATTGATTCCTTAGTATTACCGAGAAGATATGCATCACAATACATATTGACATCACAAGCAAGCGAAGCCAACGTAGTGGCAGTGATTTATTTGCATTCCCAAGCTCTCACTTCCAAAAAAAAAAACAGTCGTAAATTTGTCGACTGGAGCAACGCTAAAGTATTGGTACACGAAGCGTACATGCATCCGTTCGTCATACATCCTCCGTTCTCCGTTCAAGTCAAAGCAAGGATATCTTTAGGTGTAGCACTTAGATCTGGTTTGCCTTTGCCTTAGCCTCGCCCTTGAGCTCCTGCGTCTTGCCCTTGGCCTCGCCAACCAACTCGCTTGCCTTGCCCTTCGCCTGGCCCGCGGCCTCGTTGGCCTGGCCCTTGGCTTGGCCGGTGGTCTCAGGAGTGGCTTGCTTTACTTTCTCGGCGACTTCCTCTGTTTGCACATTAGCATGCATTCAATGATAAACTCGGAAACATGTTCAAGATGGTGGTGCTCGAACCTCCTCTCTTAACAAAGCCGGCTGTTGTTTCTTCGACTGCACGGCTTGAGCGGATGCTCAGGTAAGGAGTTGGCATAATGGAGAATGAGGGATGAGAAGTGACATACCGCCCTTCTCGATGCCCTTAACGGCAGCGCCAGAGATCTTTGCGTCTACGGCCTTTGCGGCATCCTTGACGGTCTCGACGGGGCTCTTGCGAGCGATGGGGGAGGTGCTGAAAAGGCGAGCCTGACGAGCGATCTGGGTGCGAAACATGGTTGCGGTTGTGAGTGTGTGTTGGTGTAATGGGGAGGGTGAATTGGCTGTAAAATCGATGGCTGGGAGTGATGAGCTGTTGTATACTCAAGGCCTCAGAGCTTGCAAGCAGAGAAGGTTTATAAAGGGCGGAGAAGCTTGTCGGATTGGCTGCGCAGGTAGCATGTACCTATGACGTCTGGTCCTCGTCACAGGTGGTGCCCATTTGGGCTAGATGTGGCCATAGCTCCCAGCACATCGCGATGCGCTGCACGTTGCAATATTATGTGCACAGATTCTGTAGCGCATGTGGATATCCTGCTATTCGCATGTCTGCTAGTGCTGCACATGGTCGATGGGCGGCGGTGCCGCCACAGTTGGGAGAGGATCCAGCTACACAGGGTAGGCTGGTTGAACTTCAAGTATGATACAGCGACAAGTCCCGATCATATGCATATAGTGCTGAGCCCGCGCGGAGTGCCTGGTTCGACTTTGACATCTTCATTATTGCATTACTTCGTATCTATGATCACCATAGACATGATAAATACGTGATGCGCAGCATAACTACGACACCAGCGCCTTCTGCCACCAGTTGCAGCGCTTGCTAGCATTACTATCGTGGATCTCCTCAATACCAGTAATATTCAGTTCTAGCACCTTCGCATCCGGCCCGTACATCTCGAATTTCTTGACTCCCTCAGCCTCCGGCACGCCGTTCTTCGCGAAGCTCGTAATGAACTCCTGCAATGCAACCGCAACAGTACGGTTCGTCACCCCAGTCGGTAATAAGGTCGTAGCTCCGCCAGTGTAGTAAGTATAGGCTACGTCGAATCCGTGGTACGCGGGCGGTACAGCGAAGAGATAGGAGTAGGTCTTGTTGTGGAAGCCAGTGGAGAGGTAGTTTGTGTTGCAGGTGAAGATACCTTCGGTCACGATGGTAGCGGCACGCGTGTAGTTGTCGGTGTAGCCCTGGCTGCCGTCGAAGACTGCAGGATACAGTGTGTTCGTGATATAGTCGATGGAAGACTCAGGGATGTTGTATAACGTGGATTCGAGTTGAGAAGCAATGCGCTCGGTAGAGTTCGCGTATGGAGGCGTGAAATAGGTACCTTCATTCGTGTTGTGGCCGACCATGACGCGTATGCTCTTGTCAAAGCGCCCTTGAGCGAGGAGTTGGCCGGGCTGGAGAGGAGCGAAGAGACCGTCAACGACCGGGCCGTAGACGTAGCCACCCCATGGCGGATCGTATGTAATTTGCTGGGCGTTGGCTCGGATGACAGCTTCAGACGAGAGATTACGAAGTTCCGCCAGTGAAGAACTGTTCGTCAGCTTCAAGAACTTCTGGTAAATGTTTTCTTGATAAGACTGCGACTGTACGGGAATCCAGCCAGGAGATTGCGGCACTGCCTGTTGGAAAGGAGCAGGTCCTTTGTTGCCTCCATAAGCAGTGATCTGATGCATGATGCTGCCTCCACCGGCGCTCTCTCCAAATACGGTAACCTTGTCTTTGTCTCCACCGAACAAATGAATGTTCTTCTGGACCCACTCAAGAGCGAATCGTTGATCGTAAAGCGCGAGGTTGCTGACGCCGCCTTCAGCTAAAAACGATGGACCACTCGTAAACCCTAGAGCACCCAGACGATAGTTGAGCGCAACATAAATGACCTCTGCATCACCAAGCTTTCCAGATTCAGCGAGCAGACCGGCCGGGTTGTTGTATTTGTTACCTCCGACATATCCGCCACCATAAATCCAGACTAGTACTGGCGCTCCATACCCAGAGGAGTTCGCGCGAGCGAGGATTTGCTCCGGAACAAATACGTCAAGAAACAAACAGTCTTCTGTCTCCAAAGGTCCGGCAGCTGTGACGTTGGAGGTCCAGTTGGCGCCCAGTGGGGTGTAAATCGGCGTGTTGGCAGAGCTGATCCCCAGGAAAGAGTTCGTCAGGACTTGGGCGGAAAGGGCGCTCCAAGCCGGGGTAGCTTGAGGGCAGATCCTGCAAATATGAGCCAATGGACGTGTACATTGGGGGTTTGGAGAGCATACCGACCAACACCGCCATCATTGATGGCAGACCTATTCTTTGCCGGGGCTTCAGGAAGAGCGAGTCTTAACTTACCGACCGGTGGTGCTGCATATCTGATGTTAGAGAAATTGTAGAACCGGCCAGTGTCCTGTCAATTAGTCAATATCCATTTGGCCTTTCCAATCATTTGCAGAAACCTACATTGTATCCAGAAGCTCTGTAGATCTCATACCCTAAGTCGACGACTGGCAAACTCGCATTTCCAGTGTTTTCACCATTGTTGTACTGAGCTGACACCGCCCCCAGGGCAGCCGCAAAGCCCAAGAGCCCCTTCATACTTCGTAATCAATAAAAGCAATTTTCGTACTCACGCCTTGCGAAGAGACCAGCAACCGAAAGCTCGAAGAAGCCCTCTGAGCGGAATTGTCGCTGTACAAACCGGGACAAAGAGCACACGGAGTACCACTGTGGCCGGCAGGCACACGGCCTTAAAGCAAGCTGATCCCAAGCTTGTATCACTCCCGTCCGCTACATCCGCCCCGAAAACGCCATAGCATCCCCAGCCTCGGCGCCAGGGACCCACGGTAAGCGACTGGGGAGTCCTTTGTATGGACGACACTGCGCTCGACCCGGCAAGCCCATCCATGGCACCTGGCCTAGTCGCTGATGACGTACATCAATTCGGCGCGACAATTGCCCGCGGCAACGCGTCGTGCGGAAACGCGGGGGAAATCGATAGACTCCACGGCTTGGGGAACTCTAAGTGCTTCGATTTCCTGCGGCCACGGCGCGGAGTTGCCGTATCAGTGTGTTGGAACGCTCGATGGGGGAAAGGTAGGTGAAGGATGGGCTGGGGAAAGTGGCAGGGGTTGGAAGCGAGCCGAGGCTGTGGATTCGAGCTTTGGAGGATTGACGTCTTCGAGAAAGCGGCTGGAGATTAAGAGCGGCACATGTGAGTGGGCTCGTTTCGTTCAGATGGATCGTACTGTCCAAAAATTGCCGATAGCGTTTCGAACGATTTTACTGGCCTGGCTGAGGCTGTACAATAGTGCGAATACACAAGCAAATCAAAATATGCAAGGTACATCCAACAGCGCGTGATGCTCATCCACGCTTGGACAACGCGCTGTCTCCGTTGCGTACAACATTGCACTTCGGCCTTCAGACGGGCACCTGCTTCGATCCTACGAGCGTGAAGTATGAACAATTTCTTCTTGCTACTCAGAAGATGTCTACGGCCAATACAACGCCAGCATCGCTCCCCATGTACTACAAGCTAAGACAAAATCCATCCCAAATCCCGGGTATCTGTGCCTGTATGCTAATGCCAGTGCTATGCTCAATCACAACGACACCGCACCGACCAGCTGCTTTTTGGACCCTACGATTCCCGGTCAAAGCACTGACAGTCCTCTATGTTCCCACCGACCCTATTTCCACTCAACAAGCTCGGACATCTCCACGCGATCTCCATGCTATTGCACTGAAACAGCAAGTTCCACATACGCTCCATTGTGTATCCGAAAACAGGCGCGTCCATCGAGTCCGGTCGACCCTGCAGATACTCCTCCTGATGCGCCCAGCTGTCCCGATTCACAAACGCATCGTGTAGATCTTGGTAAACGGATTTGTCGACTCCGCGGATACGTTTTGCCGAGGCGATGAACTGGCCCTTGTAACTAAGGAGCACTTGATTGCATGTCGTAATGTTGCTGATGCGGTTCGAGATATCGGGAAAGAGATGCGTTGTATCCCACAAGTTGAAGCGATCACCACAGTTCTCGCAATTACACACCTGGCCAGACCATCCGAGGCTGAGCATACCAGTCTGTCCCGGCACAAAGTAATTCCGTATGCGAGGAAACAATTCGCGTGGGTTATGGACATCGGCTTGGAGGAAGACCGTTTGCGCAGCAAGCGTGTCCCAGCTGCCCAAGATGTGCTTCAGGTATGTTTCGCCCTCGCGTCCGATGTTGGGTAAAGGCGTTACTTGGTCAGCGCCTGTGCCTTTCTGTACTTCTTCTACGTTTGCGTCCATGTCTTTAATGTAGATGTGTATTTTCGCATCTCCTCCTATGTTGGACATGTTTTTAAGCGTGGAAACTAGATGTGCCACTTGATCAATGGGCTCCTTGTACATGTTTATGACGGCTTCAATGTCAGTATGTGGAGTGTAGGTAATGTCTAGTATCGGCCGCGGTTCAACTATCTTCTGGTGTGCATGCTGGGAGAAGTTTAGAATGAAGTGCGCGAGCCACGCCCCAGGGAGAGCGATAACGATAAAAATAGTCCGCAACAAGATGTAATCCCGCCTTTTGGGGACAGACGCGACGCGCGTGTCATCGGAGCCCTCAGATAGTTCCGATGCAAAGGTATCCTCACTATCAACCGACCGCACATTGACGTCGTCCGGTACGGCATCGTACATGGTTATCCATCTGCGTCCGTGTCTTGCGGCCAGGTCCCGACTAGATAACAACGCAATTACGAAAACGAAGAAGGTATACTGCGGCCACGACGTGTATGATCGACGGAGTTTCGCGGCCGAAACGGATCCTGTAATTCCCGTTATCGCCAAGAGAGAAAATACGTCGCTGATGTTATCGGCGTATCCGTTGTAACTCTTTTCATTCTTTCCATGGTCGATAGGTACTAAGAACGATTTCCCAACCCGTAGGGCTGTCGCGGTGGCGACAAGGTTGACGGCCAGTAGCGGCAGGTACCTATACTCGAAAGCGGAACTAAATCGAGCGACTGTCTCATCGTCTACATCTCGAAACACAATGCAAGCAGTAGTTAGCAACAAACCGACGAAACAGAGGAGGCCATCGGCCTGTCGAGCGGTTACAGGCGCATCTCGTGAGGAACGGCAAGCCATGTACCAGAAAGCCCTTGCAGCTCCAGTCAACAGCACTGCGGGTATGGCCGCTTTCAGGGTTTGTGGGAGCAACCTGTACTCCCCTAGAAGAATACCGGCGCAGCACAGGATTGCGATGATGGTGCGACCGACTTCGAGGCGTGAGCGCGAGTCGTGACCGGTAACGATGAGAATTACTGCCTCGGTACAATAACAAGATGCCTAGTTGGTCAGTATACCCTATGTTGTAGGATACGACGAGGCACTTACTGTGAGCATCATCAGTGTAGGTAGATTCTGAAAGTGTAAGATCGACTGAAGCCCGAAGATCATGGCTGCGGCCGTCAACACCAGCGCAAGAGCAAGCTTGATCCATCCTGCGGTAGTGAGGCTTCGTAAAGGAGTCGATGCTACATCAGGCTCAATCGCATACGATATCGCGACGCTGAATGTGATGGCTACCAGTTGAAGAAGACATAGGTGGAGCGGAAAGTTGACATTCAGTTCAACGAGCAAGTACCCTATAGTATGAACACGTTAGAGCCGCTCCTAGAGCTGGAGTTGAATGGAGAACGTACTAATCACAAGTTAGTAGAATTCCTGCCTGTCGGTGAAGGCTTTAGAGTCTTCATTCATGCCGTTGCGCCATCACCAGCTTTAAGCCAGCGTCTCGACAGCGCGCGAATGTGTACCCTTGAGGAGATGCAATGGGCAGCTACTCACCTGGAACTGCAGATCGACACGCTGGTGGCTGCTACCCATAGGTATCTTTGCGTCCGCACGGCAAGCACGTTCTCACGCAGCCAACCGCGCGGTTTTTCTGCCTTCAGGTCGGAACCTTCCATGCTTGTAAGGAGATTGGGGTGGAGAAAGGGTAAAGGCGTCCGAGGAAAACACAAAGGAGGGTCGAGTCCAGATCAGCGCATGCTATTGGGCAAGCGCAGGGCTAGGTGGGCAGTCACGGTACGACAAACGGCAACAACGACCGTCGACCACACCCACGGCAGGTTGAATAGTAGAGCGCTTCTTCAACCTCGAGGACACGAAGGGGAAAAGGTGCGAGAAGCGATGCTGACAAGGTGGGGCGGGTGGCCTTCACCTTCGCCCTGCTGCCTTTGCTGCAGTGAAGCACAGCCGTGCCGCTCAGGATTAGTCTCACATCTTCTCTGTTTGACTGGATTGCAGGCGGTGGCGCGATTGGAAGGCCTTGCCAAGGGAAGGATGGAGCGAATGAGTGAAGTGAACGGTTGTGTTTACCACACTTGATCTTTGATCATCGAGAGTCCTATGTGCTGAATGAGTATCCCACGCCTTGCAGGGTCCTCGCAGATGCAATCCAGTGCGCAGCAAGACGCGTGCGTGCGTGACGTTCGTCGGGGACATCTTTGAAACGGGGCTGGTGGGTTGGGATTAATTTAGCGTACGTGACCGAACGGACAATTGCTTCCATTGTGGATAGCAGCACTGGATACAAGCTCGCAGTGACCGATGCGCTCATTTCTCCGACCCTTTCCAAACACTTTTCCATGACTCTGATGTGGAGTACAATGCGTTTGTGAGGACTCAGCTTCGCGAGGCGAACATACACTGTGCCATGGAGTGCAGGGAAGGGCATCCAGGTTGGAAGGATCTGCTGCCACAGACTCTCCCAGTTCGGTACGTCCACAACATAAAGAAGTTGCAAAAGGGCAGCGCAGAGAACCATCGTGACCACTCTTTGGCTGGTCAGAGATTGATGCGTCGTCTCAACTCGTTCGCAAGGCTGGCGGGCTACGCACCAAGGCGTCCCAACTATAACATTAAAGGGAAGGTGTCCGTCGGGATCTAGCCGAAATGGGTAGGCTACAGATTCTTCCGTTACACGCGATAGGCGAGTCACCTGGGCACGTCGCCGTTTAGGGTCCACTTGAAAACCGTCGCACAGCACGCCCACGTAGACATTTTCGTAAGCCATGTTTACGTCTGGTCCCACGTTCTCCATATAAACACCATGAAGGACACTGTCAATTACAGCCTGCGGGAGGGGAAACACCTTACCCCATCTACACCTGGGCACATGCATGTGCTGCGTCGATCAATCAGGCGCATTGTGGGACACCCGATCCCTGACTGGGCCCAGAATCGTGAAGTACATGTCCGGCTCGGCAGCACATTGCGACGGAAATCTTTGAGCACTCTTCTCACTTGTGTTCGTACTTTCCGGTTAAGCCGAAAGTGGCACTGCTTGCGAAACGTACCATAAGTTGTGAGTAGTCTGTGCCTACCGTACGAACTCCTGCAGTATGCCGAAGTGCCGCATCGGCAGTTACCTCACCGGCGCAGGTGGGTCTGACAGTGATGATCCCTACGTGGGTGCACTCCTGTAAGGCTGCATTGGATTGGGTTGTACATACGTAGCCAGCGCAAACCTAATCTGTAAAAGATGATCGAAGCATATCAATAAGCAAGCGCTGGAACACCATATAATCCCACATGCCAAGCTAACACCGAGTATGCCGTATGAGACTTGAGCTTGGCGGGGTCGCAGATTACTGCCTGGAAGATGCGCCCCCCTGTTCGGTCCAGCATGCAATTCTCAAGCTAATAAGCCCTGCGGTCCAGAAAGGTGCCTCTTGTTTCTTACTCTAGGCAGCTCGTACTTCGGGTGTTGCTCTCCTCAAATATTCATGATCTCAGCTCTGCGGGTCTTGATAGGAATGACAGAGGGACCTGGCTCACGCTCGGCACTAGCAAGTGAACAAGTACATTGGCAGATTTCATCGGAAAGTTGGTGCATGCCCTGGATTAGCGCGGCAAATCGTCATTTCACAATGCATATTATCCTTATGAAAAGCATGTATGTGTTCAACCTAATGCATGTATACTGTGCGTGAACGCATGGCAATGCGTGCTATTCCAGCCAAAAGCGCACCTGAGCAGACAGCGTCGCGTCCGAAGTAGCGAAAAGATCCGTAGGCCGTACGTAATTTGACAAGAGTGATTCATCATTCTCGACCGATCTGGCCTGTATCGGACAAGAAAGCAATGCGGGCCCCACTACTCGGAAAGAATGTACTGGTAAACGTGGGGAAGTCGGAGGCGTACTTGATTCCTTCGCGCACAGAGTGGAACGCATGACTATTGCTGATATCGTAGAATCCTTCCCCACTTGGTAGACCGGTCTTGAATCAACAAGGAGCTGATCGCCTACTTGGATGCCGCTGCTGGTGATACCATAGAAAAAAAGGCGGCCTTGCCAGGCATCCGGGCGCGAAACCAGCTTTTCCCTTTCATGGCTCCAAAAATAGCATTCCGAAGACGATAACATGTCTCCCATGGATTGCTAGGAGTTTCGATAGGGTGATACTTCAGAAGATGTTTCTCGAGGGCGTCGCTCACGTCTGCTGTGAGCGCCAGGAGCAATGCAAGAATACTGGCAAAGAACTTCGTATCCGAAACCCACCATATCCTGTAAGTATCACTCACTCTCAAGTATAGCTTCATGATTGTGCGAAGGAAACTATCGACATTATCCGCTATGGCGACACTGGGCCCGATAGTGTCGATGCACGAAAGGTCCATCGGGGAGTGTATGCGATGCGCTCGAGCAACAGAATTTCGACAGAAGAACCAATCTGTATTGGTCATGATTGATGCACTTCAGTGGTCCCGACTCTGGTCCTAGTTGATCTTGCGTGAACCAGGGCGCTCTGAGCGTGGGCATAATCCGCCAATCAGGAACCTACTCAAGTCTGAGTATATCCTTGACGATAATCATCGAATACGCACCCAAGATGCCCACTTGATCGAAACATCGGAGCTGAGACGCTCAATAACTGCCTGCAATATGTGTGCAATACGATCAGCCTGGACGTAAGCGAAGGCGAACGTGTGATACGTGTCTTGGACATTCAAGGAGTAGTCGACCTCGAATGGCACATGCGACAACGAGTAGCCTTCGCCTATATTGTTGGTCCACGCGCGTTCCATGTCGGTAGCCATATTGTATAGAGAGTAGATGCGATCCCTCTGGTCAGAACATTGATAATAAGCGAACTGTCGTAGCATGTCTAAAAGATTCAAGCGATTGCTCTGCCTGCGACTATAATCCACTGTCACCAAATTAGTGACCGCATTAATATGGCAAAAGAAAAGTGTTCGAATGGCCTAAAGATTTTTCTGTTTTGTTAACATCGAAGGATATCCCAGTCCGGAAGGCAATGCAAGGGAGGTGCTGTGCCTAGACGATTATTCGCGCGTGCATTGCTGCATGGCTGGGGTACTGGTGCAACACGAAAGGAATTCATTTACGAGCAAATTTCAGATCCTCGGTACATCTAATCGGTCGTATCGAACGAGCGGTAGGGGACCTGAACCTGGCCTTGGTACTTGGCAGGGTGTACTTACCGGACATGGAATGCAGCTGCCATAAACTCGAAATCATCGTAACGGTTTCTAGTTGCTGGTCTAATTTACCAGAACGTCTCATTGCATGCCGAATCATCTTGTAGATACCCAATGCTGTGCTGAATCTAGCCCACGACATCATCGTGCCGCCGTAGATGAGTGTGACATCTATGTTGAAGACCACCTCTTGTATGATCCACGTACGAGAAAACCTGATAATCGAACAATTGTAAGCATGTATCATAAGACATCTTGGTAGGTTTACCATGACAAGTTCAGGACAGCTGCGATATCCTCCTCTCTGGTGTTTTCATACAGCTTCTCGAGAGCTTTTTGGTTTCCGAGTTCCTCCTTCGGCCACCTAGACAGCGATGATAAACGCATCAGACCATCCTTTTCGGCCTTCCCACCCGCACCTAGCCAAGCAAGTACCGTTTTCGCAGACCGAAAGATCTCATACATGAGAGGAATCTGATGCGACTTTTCTCCATCGTCACGTTGGTCGATGCACAGGGCGTCTATCCAGAGCCTCCTTTTCTCAGTTCTTTGACGCAGTCCTCGCAGCGCCTGGTTGAGATTGTCTGTAATCCACAATGTGTGAGACTTGCCAACGACAACCGGATGAATCAATGTCGGTTCTCCCCAGGTATATGACAGCGCCTCGAAGTGGTCATGGAACCCCTCATCTCCGAACATGGACACTCTTTCGAAGGATACTTGCAATGGAAATGCGTGCTCCCACGATGGTTCGAGGACCAATATCCGTACCTCGCTGGATGCATTCTGTAAAGATTCATATGTGTATGCCGGAAGATGCTGCAAATCCTCGAGTCGGCTCATCGTAAAGTTAATCAAGTATGTTGAAAACGAGACCATCGTGGTGTCGTCGAAGAAAGTTGAGCAAGGCTGATAGCCCCACCAGCCCGTATCATCCGCTTGCTGATTGGCTTCGTCTTCCGAGATGGCAAGGAAGTGAGATATAGCGCATTGGTTGTGAGTTCACACCGGTTTGGTATGCTTGACCCTCGCATGATGGACGTGTGACCCAGTCTGTGGAGTCCAAAGTGAAAGAGATTTCGGAAAGGGAAAGGACCATGTTGGGAATGAAAGAGCCACGGTCCCGCCCGTGAAACAGGCGCGGCCGGATCTTGATGACATAAGAGGGCTTGGCGGGCAAGTGGCGAGCGCGCAACACAGCCCGCACTGGAGCCCCTCTTAACCTAACTTCTTCCACAACTCCGCCCGCACCCTCAGCCCACAACACCACTGCGCCCGTACACCGCACGTACTCTCTCAAACCGCGCTTCAGCAGAGACTTGTCAACCAGATTCATGACCACGGACATCCAGAACCTCAAGTCCTTCGACCCGTTCGCGGAGGCCGAAGACTCAGTCGGCGACGTCAAGACAACCAGTCAGAATTACATTCACATTCGTATTCAGCGTAAGTGCACTCTGCCCCTCCTCTGCGTGCTTATCGCGTCGTCGAATACCTGCTAACCCGCCCGCCTTAGAGCGCAATGGTCGTAAGACGTTGACCACGGTCCAAGGCCTGCCCAAGAAATTTGACCAGAAGAAGATCCTCAAGGTGATCAAGAAGAAATTCGCCTGCAATGGCACTGTCGTCACCGACAGCGAGATGGGCGAGGTGATCCAGCTGCAGGGCGACCAGCGCAAGGATGTCCAGGAGTTCCTCACCGACAAGAAGGAGGGGCTGGGCCTGGACGCAAAAACCATAAAGGTCCACGGTTTCTAAGAAGCCCCTGCCGGAGCGCACCGCAGACCCGCCGTCGCCGTCGCAACGAGTCGCTCAACATTCCAGGGTTTTCGCCCTGATAGCGATATTCGCGCGGCTGGTCACAAGGCTGGAGGCACAGTCAGCCGCGGGGTTGATCATGCGGCGCCGCGCCGGTAGATACCCATTTTGAACGACTCTTTCCTCGCGATTTCGACTCTGCTTTGGGAATGCGATGGAGGGAGGACGCGTATTTCTCTCGAGTCATGGTTTTTCACTCGGACTATGACTATGGTATGAAAAGGGCGGGCTTGTGTAGAGCAGCCGCCTGCCTGTGGGGGCCAGCCTTCTCGATAGTCAAATCAACAGGTTCGCTATATTACGCTTCTGTGTGCCTATCGTTGCTTTGTGCTATGGCTCCAATACTTTCTGTTATCTTTTGTGTCGATTGTGCGATCTGCGCGCCTTGGATGGTGCAACCGTGGTTCCGCGTGGGTCCCGCCTTCCGTCTCGGTACGTACCTAGAACGGCGTTGCGCCATCTTAGGTCCACCCCGCCTTGCGCAAGCACAATTAAACATCGAGTAGTTCTTTGAGTGAAAGTCACAGCACGGAAAATTATCAAAATCTACATCAAATCCGGTGCATCTCACTCTTCTTCCTTGTCCCTACCACCTTTGTCCGCCATCGGCCCCCTCGCCTCCTGCTTCCTATACAGCTCCGCCAAATAGCCAGCCTCAGTAGCCTCATCGATCCCTTTATCTTCTCTCACCTTCAAGAACCTCGGAAACCTCGTACTCAGCCCCCTGTCCTCGCTCACCAGCCCTATAGCAGCAGTATACGTTGGACTCAGCGTCAAATCCGCAAATGCCACCTCCCACACTTCCTGCGGCTCGAACCAGACATCCGGCGTCCCGGCACCGCCATTGTACTCCACATAACTCGGTTTCCCGCCTATTACGTTCACACATTCGGAATCGTCCTTGTCGTATTTTGCACGGTTGGCTTTGTAAAACGCGTCGGTGAAGCCGGACATGCATTTTGTTACTGCTTCCAGTTGACCTGTTTCAGCGTTGCGGATGGCGAGCAGGATGGGGGACCACCAGGCTGCTTTTCGGCCTGAACCGTGGAAGCCGGCGATCGGGATGAGGTCGAGGGTTTCGGAGGTCGTGTTGTAGTCTTTTTTGACTTTGAGCCAGGAGTCGAGGCGTTTGTCGGGTTCGTAGGTCGAGAGGAGCGCTTTGCGGCGACCGTGGGATTTTGCGGGTTCGTCCGGTGCGGTGTCAGTGTTGCTAGTGTCTTTGGAGGCTTTTGACTTTGCTCCCTTCTTTTTCTTTGGAGTTGGTGGGGCAGGGGTGGACTCGGTGTGGATGTCGTTGTCATCTAAAAGATCGGGGTTCGGGAGGTTGTCGAGGATTTTGACCATGATGCCTTCGCATTTGATGTCGAGAGCGCTCTTGAAGAATGCTTGGACGGCCTCCACGTCGGCAGATGTCGCGTCCATGCTCTTGACCCAGGTGAAGTGATGTGGTATCTCTACGAAGAGGCTCCGGAGCAGATTCCTGCGCTCCCGAAAAGGGCGATCGAGCAGCTCCTCCCCGTTGAGGTACATGAGATCGAAGGAGAAGAGACACACGTCGATGGTGACACTGCCTATGACTACGTCTTTTCTGGCTCGGTTGGCTAATGTCTGGAAGGTTCTCAGATCGCCAGATTCGCGGTCAATAGCTACAACTTCGCCTTCCAGAATGAAGCTGGAGACGCCTTCACCACGTATCTCGGGCACCAGGGCGACCAGATCTGGATACTTGTCCGTCATGACTTCCAAATGTCGCGAGAAGATTGAGACCTTGCCGTCCTCATCGCAGTGTACCTGCGCTCTCTGTCCGTCATACTTGTATTCGCAACTAAAATCTCGACCCTGCAACTTGGTGATCATCTCACCCATATCGCGTGTTATTGAACCCAACATGGGCCGAAGTGGTATATGTAGGGCCAGACCACATCGCACGAGGAGTTCATCGCAGACGCCGATCTCAAGAAGCGATGGGATGAGATCGTTGTAATTAGGGCGCCGGGCAAAGCATGCCTTGACGACCTCCTCGTTCTTTGAGTTTATTTCGGCCAGCTCTTCCTTCTTCAACTTCTGCAATGCTGTCTGTTCACGAGTTTGGAATTCGGCATTTGGGGGCTTTGATAGCATGAAAGCCCGCGACAGAGCGATGAGCATAGTTGTCTTAACAGCTCCAATCCTCAGATGCTGTACCAGAGTTCTCACGATGTATCGGCTTTCCTCTGCACCTCTCGCATCTTGTACAAGCCTTTCCACAATCCTTTGTTTGTTCTCCACGCTTCCGTGTCCCTTGCTATTCGCTATTTTGACCAACGAATCAAATACACTTATGATCGTAAGCGGCTTCGGTTTCCTCAGTGTGAACGACTGCCGCTTCTTCGCCTCGAAAGCTACATCGCCCGGATCGCCATATTTATTGTGCAAGGTCTTCAGACCTGCGTTGTCCAGTCCGCAAACCTTTTTCAGCGCCTTGGATATCGCCGACCCGCCCAGTCCCAATTCAAGGTCGATGTACGGCGGGGAAATCGCGTTTGTAGCTAGCCACACCGCGGGCAGCAAGCTTTCGGGATCGCCCTCGATAATCGTTCGTAAGAGGTTTACCAGTGTATCTACGATCTTGATCCGACTCGTGGTGCTGTTGACGAGCACGAAGCAGCGCGTAAGCAATGCGTACGTTGCATGCCCACCCTCTGCTGCCCAGTGTTTCTGCAGATTCGGTATGTACAACGCTGGATCGAAGTCAAGAGAGCTTTGGTCGAACGGTATATTGGCGGAAACAGTGTCTTCGGCCGCGGCGGCAGATTGGAGCGAGAGCGTGTTCTTCTTCGGTGCGGCGTCCATAGAAGATTCGATGGTAGGCTTCTCCTGGCCTGGTAGTGTAGGTGAATCCTCCTCGCCATCTGCATCGCCGTTCGTCTCAGGCTTGGTGGCGTTCTTGGGTTCATCGTCGAGGCCGCTGGAGGTTGGTGCATCCATGCTGGCTTGCTGGTCTTGCTCGTTCCACTCTGCCTGCAACTTCCGCGCATACTCCTCATCTGTCAGAGTTGATTTATCTTGGTCGCCATTCAAGTCATCTTTCGATCCTATATCTTTGAAGTCTGCTCCCTCTGCAGGTTTCGTCGCTTCTTGTCTGTGCTTCGCAAAGAAGTAGTCCAAGCTGCGGACAGGCTGACTGGATCCATCGTTCTTCTTGCGACGCTTCGTCGGGGTACTCATCTTGTATATTCACGTATATGATGTGCTCTTGGATGCGACGAGGCCATGTTTCTGAAGTCGCCGCGGCGCAACACAGGATGCTTTTGGTAGCACTCATTCACGTCATGACGCGCTCGGACCACCGGTTATCTTCGCGTTTACGCGACGCGACGGTCACGCCTGCATATTCTGCTGGCCACCTCTTCTACTCCCACCAGAACGTTTAAAGCGTATAATTGGCCGAAGACATCTCTAATTATATGCAAACCAGGTGTTGATCTCCTCTGCTAGCACTTTTCCCGGCCACATAGCTCAAACATCGATTGTGGACTGCTCTAACCTAGATTCGGTGTAGTGGCTTCATCCTGGTTCACTTTCAAGAGTGTCCCGTAAGAGGCCTTAAATTCGTACCCTCCCCTCAACGATACTACGTTCAGTGGAGTGGCCCCGGTCATGATCCGATCGTACAGGCTTCGGGGTTTCGACGAAGCCACAGGACAAGTGTACGAAGAGACGCAAGTACCAGTTACATCTATGGTCTCAGCATGTGAGTACCAATCTTAACGTGCAGCTAGATCTGTGATCATCTTATAACCACTTTCAGGGCCAACCAAATGTAACGGTAGAAGGCAAAGGCCACGAGACTATCGTCATTGCGGACCAGGTAGCTCTTCGTTGTACGACATGGCAATGCGATCATGTGCCTGGCATATCGACTTGTTCCTGCCTAGCGACTTGCAATGTGCAGATTGGCATTTCGCCAATAAGATATACCACCACCTGCAGATAAACCAGAACTTGACAGCCAATGCATGGTCTCTGTTTCAACAAGCATTTCCTGGCGAGGAAGAACTCAATCACACTTACCCCATTCGCATACCAGCTCTCCATAGTCAAGCTGCTACAGAACTGCCGTCCATCCAGCAGTGGCTGCAGCACCTCCCGTTCGCACACCTGTCGTTGCTCAACATACAAAGCCTATGTCTCCAACTCCACCACTTGTTGATGCTGACAAACCTACCCAATCTTGGGGTGCTGTTGATTCGGCACGCCTACAACGAGCTCCAGCACCTCGATGATAAGGCGATGAGGGACTGGGGTCGGGTTGTGCAAGAGAAAGGTGCTTTTACAAAACTTCGAGTTGTCGGTCTCCATTATCACCCGGCAAGTCTTAGAGCTACTCTGAAAAGCCTGGCGTCCTTCCCAAACCTGCGAATATGTACCGTCGAGCCACATACGCCGATACCCTCTTTACATTTTGCTGCGTCGGAAATTGCGAGCGCCGCGCTACCCTTTGACATGTTTTCTCCTGATGACGGCGATGATCCCGAAACCATCTGGTCGCGTGGAAACGTTTCTGGTAAGTCATCTGGATTGTGGACAGCATGAGGTCATTGGTCTCTGTGCTGTGTCACACCTCTAGCTGCGTTTCACAGCAAGGACTGCTACGGAATACTGGGGGCAACACAATCTTCACCCTTGCGAAGACAACATTCTTTTCTATACGCTCAAACAGGCCGATCTATCAGAACTCCCTGCCTGGCTGACAGCCTGCCGTCCCAAGTCCATGACGGATGACGGACAAGCTTTTTTGAGTCTGGATAACATCTTGTCACACGCTACAGAGATCCCTGACCGATTCCACGTCTCCTTCGTTGCCCTTAGGGCCCTCGCTAACGATACAACTGCTCACAGGCCACGAAAAGATGAAGATGCTATATGACCTAGCCAAAAGGCTACAATCTTCGCAAAATTCACCGGAAGCACCAGAACCAGCTGTACTTTCAGTATATTACGGCGCAGAATGCGCTTTCGCATATACTAGATACCCACTTTGGTTCAAACGAACCGTTCATGTTGAAGCAGAGCATCAAGATGGCCACCGACCTTTGAAACGACCGCAGGGCAACGACGAGGGTGAGAAGAGGACTGGGGGCGCGGAGAGGAAGAGGAAGATCAGGGAAACGAAGCAAGTTGATGTTGGATCCTTGTTGGGAAGCTTTGGCTAGGGCACGGTGGGGAACCACGTCGTGAATCAAACGTGTACGAGATACACGACACGCATGATACCCCATCCGATACAACTTCGTAGCTACAGGTACCGTACTGCACTACAGCAGCGCACCAGTCTATGACTAACTATCAACCAGGTTTAGATTCTCCCTCGGGTTTCATCGCACTTTTTACTTCAGAATCGTCCATGTTCTCGCCAATGCAAGGATTAATGTCATTACAAAGATAGATCGATGACAAGATTTCTCAGTATGGACTAGGGATTGTCTTGAATGGAGAAGGAGGGATGGGGATGTAGCAATGAGGTGTGAGAGTGAGGTTTTAACGCACGCGTGTTTCTCCATAGGGCTAGCGCGATCGCAACCACCCCTGCGCGCATCCTCCACAGTATTGGGCTTCAGATGATTCGACTGTCTCCATTGGTCACAATGGTTCTTCTTGAGTTGCCCTATGTACATAGCGTTCGCTGGTCAGAAGCAATTCCAAATGTTCCCGCTACCACCTTTGAAAAGTTACTGATGTCCCTATGACGTAGATGATCACCCAATGCTCAAAAGTATGAGTATTCTATACCAGGACTCCACCATAGACAGTCGCATTACAATCATGTCACTAACAGAAGCCTACAACACCGTCAAGAAGGCTTTGTCTACCGCACCTCCCAATGATGCATATCTCAAGTGGGATGCGCCGGGCGTCGAATCACAAGAGCCCCACGAGACGAGACATCACAGAAGATCGGCGAAACAATGAACAAAATGCAGCAACACAACTTCGAAAAGCATCGGCATGCCTACGGCGCAACGCATGTCAAAACGCAAGGGATCGTGAAAGGGAAACTAACGGTACTGCCTAATTTGCCAAACCATCTACAACAAGGCCTCTTCAAAGAACCAGGGAAAACCTACGAAGTTGCAGCTCGCTATGCAAATGAGTCAGTCTTCCTTCAAGCAGATCAAGACCCTGGACCTCGCGGTTTGTCTATGAGGATCTTTGACGTCAAAGAAGAGCGTCTCCAGATGCCGATCCGGCTGGCACCACGCAGGACTTATTCTTCAACAATGCGCCCAGCATCGAACTCACAGATGTTGACATATGCCTAGACCTCATGCAGATGCGAGAGAAACATTTCGATAGTCCGACTAAGCTCGCTGCAGCTACTAGGCTGAGGACCGATGGTGTGAAGCAGGTCACGCCGTTTCAGCTGCCAAATACCAACGTGATAAGCCACTCGTTTTACACTCATAGCGCGTTTCGGTTTGGCGAGTGGTACGGGCACATGGGATTGTTTCTTGTGAAAGAAGAGATGAACGAGAGGAATGAGAAGGTCAAGAGTGGGTATAGCAGAGAGGTACTAAGGGACTGGTTGGCGGCGTACTTCGCGAAGAGCGGTGCACGATATGAATGCAGGGTAAGACTCTACCCTCTCACAATCTAATGGGGAGTGTCGACAACCGCAAGATTCAACTTGGCACTGCACCAGATCATCATCCTATGAAAGACGGCTCGGTGGTTTGGGACGAGCTCACAGCACCTTACCGAAAGATTGCGACTGTTGAGTTCCCACCGCAAAACTCTCTTACGTCAGAGCGCAGAGTGTTTTGGGAAGATCGGATGCGTTTGAGCCCCTGGGACTCATTAGCTGAGCATCAACCTTTGGGCGGTATTAACCGGCTGAGGAAAGCCGTGCATGCGATGAGCAAGCAGAAGAGGGAAAGGGTGAATGCGGCCCAAACGATAGCCGTTACTAGCGTTGACGAAATTCCATAGACACGACTTATGAGAAATATGGGGGTTTGAACATGTGCGGGCACTGCTACACTGGAAATAAGAATGGTCGTCTTATTCTTCGAACGCCTTCTTATATAGGCACCACCTCCTTCATGACGTCTTCTATCCAATTCATCTGTACTGCGCTCACCTTCTTCGCGTACGACTTGTTCGTATATAGAAACTCACTGAAGACAATTGCCTCAGCCTTGTTTTTGCGTCCATGCATCACACTGCCCGGATGAACAGCCACAAGCTGATTGTGGAAGAACGTTTTGTAGCTGCCGTCGGGGCACAGTCGCGCAGTGTTGGAAATGAACCCCCGGAGTATGCAGGCGAGTATTGCGTCGGTATTCGGCGAGGAGCTCGATGTAGGCATCTCTGGCGTTAGCAGCTTGAGCGAAGTGCATTGTTGCCGGAGTTGTTTGCGGATGTTCTATATCGTGTTGGTTTTTAGTCTTGTTCTACGACGATTTTGACACCCCGACAACTTACCATGACGTTCTGCATAGCGCGGTGAGACACGAAGTGTCTCTCACACCATGCCTTACGATCCGTCTGCTCCTCCGCATACTGTTGGACTGTCACTAAAAACGTCATGTGATCGCCTTCCCGGCGGTAGAGATTTTTCCTCGCTTCTTCTGCTTGCTCTCTTTTCTCCTCGGTGGCGATGTTAAAGAAGATGCTATCTTCCGTGCTGAGTGCGGAGATAATGTCAACCACATCCAGTAGACAGTCTCGTTCCGGCCTTGCGGCCTCCACGATAATCCGAGCAAGCGTTGGTGTGACAGGTAGCTTGGCCATCTTGATACCCAGATCGTTGACCGTTCCGTCCTCGTTCAGAGCGCCGAGGTGGAATAGCTGCATGAGTGCTTTGCCAAGGGTTTCTTGTGGTGGTCGGTCTAAAAAAGGAAAATTGAGCACATCGTTAACACCGCGCGCTTTCATAGTGAGCAAAGATTGGCTAAGATCACACCGAAGAATCTCTGGGGTTGTTCTTTCTTCCAGCGTCTTATATTCATCCTCAGTATAGAGTCGATAACACTGTCCTGGCGCTTCACGACCAGCACGACCTTTGCGCTGGATCGCGGCTGACCTCGAGATGGGCTTTGCTAACAGTGACTCCAAACCAAGGTTACTGCGATATTGCTTGATCTTTGATTTTCCGCAATCGATGACAAAGCGCACACCAGGTACTGTGACCGACGTTTCGGCGATGTTGGTAGCCAAAATGACCTTGCGAGTCCGGTAGGGGGTCGGTTGGAAGATGCGCTGCTGGGCATGCTGGGGCAACGCAGCGAACAGAGGGAGTGCAAGCAGCTTTGGCATATCTTTGTCCATTGCTGCCGCGTAGTCGTTTACCAGCTTTTCTAAGGCCTCAATTTTGTCTTGTCCTGTGAGGAAGACGAGGACGTCGCCAGGTAAAGGCTCCTTGTAGTGGATTTGGAAGATGATTTTTAAGGCGGATTCGACCCAATCTAAGGTGGGTTCAGGTAGGTATGTAGTCTTGACTGGGAATTGGCGACCTTCAACAAAGCAGGTTGAGATGCGATCGCGCACTGCTTGCGATATGGCTGTGGGTTCGCTCAAGGTTGCGGGAGTCTTCCGGGCTTCGTTGACGCCCTCAGCGAAGAAGTCAACCAGACCCTCCACATCAGCTGTTGCACTCATGACAACTACCTTGAGCGGGTGCTTCCGCGCTTCCTTACCATTCTCAATTCTTGAGACCACGTTCCTCAGAAACCCAAGGATCAGATCAACGTTGACGCTCCTCTCGTGGACCTCGTCGACAACGACCGCACTGTACTGTTTCATATCTGGATCTCGGAGCATATCCTGGAGTAGCATACCCTCGGTCAAGAATTTGATCTTCGTCTTCGGGCCGGAAGCATTGTCAAAACGAACGCTATATCCGACCTTGGCTGCGGGACTCTGTGTACCAAATAAACTTCCCATCTCTTCAGCAACTCGTCTAGCGAGCGAGATTGCGGCCACGCGACGCGGTTGCGTGATCGCAATAGTCTTCGTACACCAGTCCTCAGATTGCAGGAATTGTGGCACCTGCGTGGATTTGCCAGAACCCGTCTCACCGGTAAGCACGAGCACATTGGTTTCCCTTAGGCGCTTTCGAATAGCATCTGCTTGAGACCAGATAGGCAGGGCTTGCCGTTTTGGAAGAAGCTCATCTCGTCTCTTGATTAAATGAGGGCTTTGGTAGAAAGTATGCCCACCAATTAGAGTGTGTCTCGGCCCAGTATGCCCTTTGGTTGACTGATCAGTAGGCTTTCTGTGGTCATTTCGGGGCTTTTCTAGCCGCTTTTCTTCCCTGCCCTTTTGGGGCTGCTCAGATTTCGGTGTTTTAGCGATCTGAATCTGCGGTTCTTTGCTGGCCTCAGAGAGCTCTCGAGCCTTTGCTAGCTTGTTTGGATCCTCTTTGGTTTCATCTTTCTCAGTCGGTTGTTCGTCGTTGTCAAACTTGGTCACCTTGCCAGCACTCTTTCTAAGAGCAACACCTGACTCGCCACCCTTCCTCTTTCGCTTCTTGCCTCTTTTGAGCTCTGTGTTCTGAATGCCCTCGTCATTGTGGAGATCTTCAGGTTGCGTTTTCGACATGTTGTTGGTCGCGGCTGCGCCTGAACAACGCTGGAACATTTTTCGACATCTATGCCCTTATCGATAAGGACCCCTTGACACTAACCTGTTTGGGCCAGACGCGTCCTACCGTTGACACAACATCTCGACTTGTAGCGAATCAACTATCCTTCATGATATAGTGTAGCGAGCGATTCACTAGCTTTTTGCATCAGACATCATGCTGTATCGCATGTGCATTCGGCGCACATTTTCCCGCGCAACGAAGCGACTCTGCCGATCGCGAAACCCCGCTGGAGTTGGCGCGCCGCTAGAAGGTTCATCAACCGGCATTTATCCATCAATGTCGGACACCTCCAGGAGGCTAGGAACCGAAAAGACATAATGAAGCCATTTTCGTGACCCGAGGAGTACAAGATGCTTCCTATAGCTGCAACTACCCTCCAAGTCGACCATTACAATGTTGATACCCACTCCCCACCTACCAATATGGGTAGCCGCATTAGTGGTGGTCGGCAATTGTGAGATCGATCGCGAGTCCATTGTACGACAATACAATCTTAAGCTCAATCAATCGCATCCATATAGCCCAGTTCAGATCGGAAACGGGAATTTTGCATTTGGTGTCGACGTTTCTGGACTGCAGACATTCCTCCCACATAACACCCTGTCATCATGGGGCTGGCACAACTCGTCTCTGCCAACGACGCCAAATCAGACCGCTATTTCCGACTTTACCGGTCAAGATTGGTGGACACATGGTCGGCTCGTGAACTACAACCAGCCCAACCCTGCCGAGAAGGATATCAGTCAGTGGCTGATAGCGAACCCTCATCGCATCAATCTTGGAAGAATTGGTCTCTGGTTCGGGGACAAGAACATCACCGAAAACGAGCTCGCGAAACCATCTCAAGTATTGGACCTCTGGGAAGGAACAATATCGTCTTCGTTCTCGTGGAACGGTAAAGAGGTGTACGTCAAAACCGTCGCGAGCCCAGATACAGACACTGTTGCTGTAGGAATCGAGTCACAATTGCTGGGCAGTGGTGACCTAGGAGTGTTCTTTGACTTCCCGTATGCCAGCGGCAAGAACAAATTCGATGCGCCATTCGTGGGGCTGTTCAATGCCACGTCTAACCACACCACGACGTTGATAACCAAGAAAAACAGAGCTACCATCTCTCACACGCTAGATGCGACCACTTACGACACTCAGATCGTGTGGGAGAGCGACGCGAAAATCACGCGAACGCGTAACGCAACTCACCGTTACGTTCTTAAGCCTGAGAAGGGGTGCGAGACGCTCGCTTTTACTGCAACCTTTGCGCCCAAAGCGAAGAACAGCCGAGTGTCTTTCGCAGACGTAGAAGAAAGTGCGGCAGACTGGTGGAGTGATTATTGGTCTACGGGCGGCTTTGTCTCTCTTCCCACTTCGACTAATTCCTCAGCCAAAGAACTTCAGCGCCGCATTATATTGACGCAATATCTGCTTGCTGTCAATGGGGCTGGTAAAGACCCTGCGCAAGAGTCAGGTCTGGTCAACAATGGCTGGTACGGCAAATTTCATCTTGAGATGGTCTTTTGGTGAGTCGCACTAGGTCCTAACCTGTGGGTTTTCTTATGCGTAAGCTTACGATACCAACTTTTCAGGCACCTCGCTCATTGGACTGTTTGGGACAAGTGGGACCTTTATGATCGCAGCATCGGTATATATGACAGGTTTCTAAAGTCTAGCTACGACCGAGCGAAGCATCAAGGCTACCAAGGGGCACGCTTCGGCAAAATGAGTGACCCAAGTGGTCATTCTGCACCTGGTGAGATAAATTCCCTCCTGATCTGGCAGCAACCACATCCTGTAAGTGCAGTGACCCCCATTTGGAATGATTTCGACTTTCTGCAGGTTATGAGACTGACAAGCATAGATGTGGTTCGCGGAGATGGAATACAGGAAATCACCTACACAGAAGACACTCCAGAGATGGGACAAAATCTTGACCGGAGTGGCTGAGTTCATGGTGAGCTACGCTTGGTACAATCAATCCACGGAAGCATACGATTTAGGACCACGTAGGCATTCTGCAACTTCTCGGGTATACCATTAGCTAACAGTGACACCGTGTAGCAATGTACCCCGTCTCAGAGAACACCAACCCTAACCAAACGATAAACCCAACATTCGAGTTGGCATATTGGCGCTTCGGCTTGGATGTCGCGTCGAAGTGGCAGACGCGGCAGCATAGAGCCGTGCCCGCTAGCTGGCGTACCGTGAAAGAAAACCTTGCGCCATTCCCCATTCAAGACGATGTGTACGTCCTCTACGAGGGAGTCGAGGACATGTGGACGTCACCAGAGATAGCAGCAGACCACCCGGGCTTTTTGGGTCTATACGGTTGGCTGCCACCAGACTCACGCTTCAATTTGACCGCCTTCCAGCATACTGTGGATAAAGTGTATGCATCGTGGGACTTAGCGAACCTGTATGGCTGGGACTTCCCACTTATGGCCATAGCAGCAGCGAGATTGGGCAATGGAGAGCAGGCAATTCGGTGGCTGTTAGATTCGAATAACCAAGTCAATGAGGTGGGAATGCCCGAAGGAGGAAACAGAGTGGCCACGCCGTACTTTCCTGCAAGTGCGGGGATGCTGCTTGCTGTTGGTATGATGGCTGGAGGCTGGGATGGGCTTGAGGGCCCGGTCTTTCCGGAGGGCTGGAAAGTCGAAGTTGAGGGGTTCCAGAGAGCTATGTAGTTAGATTCGTCAGATAGCTAACAATTTGAAGAGCGAATGAATTAATCATGTATGTCGGGTACAACTACGAAGCTTCTTTGGTAGAATTGGTAAAGCGCAGATCTGGCAATTCGGTGACTATAGCTCATCCCTCTTCCTCGGATTTGCGTTTCCCTGCGACCTCAGGCGAAATACACCAACCGAATGCCTTGCAATCTCCGCGCTGAACGGACCGCTAGGCGCAATACTGCCGACATGCGCACCATACAACGCAGTGTTGTTATTTTGAAGTCCATCTGCGTAACTCGTTGCCGTAGCATTATACAGCCCCGTCCTCGTTCCGTTAGCAGTGGTACCATTACTACCGCTCAGGATTGACTGAGCCTCTTCATTGGACATGCGATTAGCCCACAAGTCGTACACGTTCCAAGTCTCGGAAAGCTCAGGGGGCGTTTTGTACGCACCCGCAGTACGCTGGTCGAAGAAGATGTCGTTCATTGTAGCGTTCATCGTCCTGCTAGAGTTTCCAGCATTGAGCAGCGCAACGACGATATCACCATTATCCATAATGCGCGTCCATAGCGCAATTTCCCCTTGGCCATTGTCGTCGGGCTCTACGAGATAGCGCCATTTCCTGACTGCTGCTCCAGCTGAGGGATCCTGATTGAGCGCAATGATGGCGGGGTTGGAAAGGATGGCGAGATTAGCGGGTGATAAGGTGGGGATATTGGTGCCTATCATCAGCGGAGATGAGTTGATAGCCCACATAGAGAAGTGACTAACGTATTCGTTGTCGTCCTGTCCTCCGTTGCCTACTTCGAGGCCGTCCATGTCGTTGAAGTAGCCACTCATTGTGCGACTCGTGATTGAAGGAATCTTGTTCAGAATGTTCATGATGGAGCCTGTAATCGACGACGAATCAGCAAGTTGTTGCGGCTTTACTCAAGTCGTTATGTGCTCACAGTGAAAACCCGGCCATGCGCAACCAGGAGCTTCAGTGCAGGGACAACGATCGTCGGGACGGTTGAATGAATCGTAAATATCACCGGACATACGTCCAGAATTCGCGATCAGGTATGCCCAATCGTACGGATCGTCATTTCCCCAGTTACACATGGCGTATATAATCTCGCGATTTGTCGCGTTCAAAGCTTGAGACATGACATTGTACCTATCATACGAGATCTTCGGCGTCCCAGACTGTCCCTGGTTGAAGCAGTTGTCGTACTTAAGATAGTCCACCTGCAACATAACATATTAGCAGTCTTCAGATAACGATCAGGAGGCTGCCTAACCCCCCAACTGGCCCAAAGATCTGCATCCTGCGTTTCATAGCCAAGCGAACCAGGATGTTTGGCGCATGTGAAGGTCCCAGCAGACGAGTATATCCCAAATTTGAATCCCATATCATGGAGTTGGGATATCATAGATGGCATGCCATTGGGGAACTTGATAGCTAGGGGCTGTCAGTAGCGATATACGAGTGCCATTATCGTACGTACGACTCTCAACAAGATATCCGCTCGAATTTCTTCCGATCGACCAGCAGTCATCCAGAGAGATGATATTGTACCCTAAGTCGCGCAACCCAAAATCAATCAGGCTCTGTGCTGAAGTGAGCAATAACTCTTCATCGGCATCGCACCCAAAGGCGTTCCAGGTGTTCCATCCCATTTGCGGGACAAGGTTGAGACCATTGTAGGATGAGGCTCCCGGGATGATCACTTCGGGGATACCAGAAGAATTGTCGATGTATCTGCGCAGGTTGTACGCGGTCGTTCCGCTTAGCAGAGTTGCTGTCGTCAGCAATTGAGTTGTCGTTCGATGCATCATAGCGACTTGGGGCAGCTTTGCAGTCGGTACCTTGCAGAAATTGCACCGAATAATGTTGTATTCGGTCACTGGGGCATTGGAGTGATCATATGCTGGACGCATGCGTGTAACCACACTTTCGACCTCCCCCGCTTTGATTCGCTTCGGAGACGCGATGCTGTGTGCATTTCCATCTCGAGAGAAGCTCCCGCATGATCGTTATCTTGCTTGGGGCTTGTGGGGCGTTCCGAGAAACTTTGCGAAGCTTTGCGGGGTCCCGAAAGACGGTCAATCATCCGGTAGTCCTTATTGGTAGATTGTCGGCGTTCCGGCGCCGCCTAGCCTTCTGGTGTGCAATCGATGAGAGCCGTAACATTGTCATGCTGCGATTGAGTGCTGTAGCACACAGTCTACGGCGTTCTCGTGGGGCTCCATGATGTTCAGGCGAGTCAACGAGAGACGTTGAGGCGGGAGATCGTACGCTAGTCCATGACAGGCAGCACATCCTTATTCTCCAGGCTCATTAGGAACATTAAGCGACGCATCGAAGGGACGACTGTTCGAGTACCCTCGCGCATTGTGGTGCAGGACAACACTCAATGAAGAGCAGAGCCGCACTGGGGCCCATCGCAGCTTCCGCCCAACTGATAGGAAAGCTCCACAGCTATCAACATCTTACAACCATTAAGCCGTTCGGTCGTGACGAGGCCGACACATCCTTTGTTAATATCCAAAAGGTCTTCAAGAAGTTGAATTCCAACGAATGGATCACGTGAAGGTGGGCGGTACAGGAGGCGATTTTGCCTCCCGTAGTGCTCGTATATTTCGAAGAAACAGTTACGAGCCTAGATTTTCTCTCCGGTGCGATGGACAGATATGCGTGGCACGTTGACAAGCTGCTGCACAACATCTGGCCACCTTACACTTCTTCGCAATATTCGTGGGTTTCTGCTCCAATTCCTGTATATAAGTATATTCCGGAACAGACGGGCTACCGAAGCACACATTTAGACCTCCGCCGACTCTTTGCAGAGCGAGAGACATCATTGGAGGCTGATTGGGTATACTCGATGTTAGGTCTCATTGATCCATTCGTAAAGATTTCCCTTGACTACACTTTGCCATTACAAACTCTGCTAAATGAGGTATGCGTAGGTCACATCAACCAAAAAGGTTCTCTATTTACTTGCATTCAGATACCCGATCGCCCCTTGCCAATGATCTTGAAGGAGATAAACCTGCAGTCTACGCTACGGATCGTTAGCTCGTGCTGCTTTCATGGGTGGATGGACGGTCAAATTGCAGTCGCTCCTGCAGATCTTTTGAGATAAGATGTTATTTGATCTCCGAGGATAAGGAGATAGTTGAGAAAGTACAATCAACTGCTTGGATGCAAAGTTAGCGGAAGGTGAGATCTTCTTTGTCTGTGTTGATGTCTCATTTGCGTTGCTACGACCTCCCATCCGACATCCCAAAGTACTCCTTGCAGACATCCGTCATCCTACCCGCATCCAACCCCGCCGCGCTTCCCGGAATCCACCCTTGACTCACCGCCTTCTGGTAACCCCATCTCGGATTATCCAGCTGCACCTTCCATGTCCAAAAGATCCATCCATTCGTCTGCTCATACAGTCTCTGCTGCGCAATCCACCACTGTCTGTAAAACGCCTGGTTCTGCCCCGCCTTCCAGTCAAACTCACTGTTTCCCTCGATCCCAGGATCGACTGTAAGACTGAATTCCTGCACAACCTTGGGCGTATCGTTGTCCGTGAGTCGATTGTCCGTGAAGCATGTGTACCACATGTAGTCGGCCTGCTTGACGTCTTCGGGGTGGCCCGGATGGCTGGCTTGCGTGACTGCGCCGCCGACGTAGTTGTGGTCGTCGAAGACGATGTTGTTATCGGACGGAAGATTCGACTTTGGGTTTCCGGCGCCCCACTGCGAGTCCATGAACTGTACGCCGAGTCGCTCGTTGGTGGGGATATTGAGAGCGGCTTCCGCGTCTCGCACAGCTTTTAACGCTTGCGGATAATACACTTGCGTGAAGGTATTGATTTCCTCTGGCGGCCTGCCTTCGCGGTCGGATTGGGGCTCATTGACGACTTCGAGGATGCCGACAGTTTTCTTATAAGATGGCGTGTTGTGGATTCGCCGGGTCATCCAGTCGAGCCATTTGCTGGCTCGATCGTAGTTGCGCTGAGTGAAGAAGCCTGGCAGCCATTCTTTTGGCAGGCACTGTGGTTGGAGTCAACAACATTCACAGTGCTTATCCATCGAAAGCACCCTCAACGAGGCTTACCTGTCCCGTAAAAGCATCCATCGTCTTCTGCGCACCCGGCGCAGCATGCAAGTCCATAACAACAAACATGCCCAAATCCGCAGCTTTCTGGATCACGGCGTCTAGATATTTCAAATTGATATTCGGGAAATGCTCGCTACTATCCACAATATCCCTCAGACTCCAATACCCAATCGGAATCCTTATCGTGTTCAAACCCGCATCGTGGATCTGCTGTATATCGTTCACCGTAATCCAGCCCTCGTAGTGCTTGTCGAATCTTTCATCGGCCACAGACTGCCCCAAGGCGCTTACACAGTCGAATTCCGAGCACTGTCCGGAATTGCAGTCCGAACATGCCGCGCAGCCGATGACTTGCGTCCATTCTTGCTGCATCATCCATGGCTCGGACACGAGCCAGCCGCCGAGATTGACGCCGCGAATCTTGCTGGGCAGCGAGAGTGCAAGCTTGCTGTGTGATTTGTGGGTGCGATTGAAGGCTGAGAGGTCGCGGTCCTGAGGCATCCATGCATGAGCACTAGTGAGGAGGAGACCAGGGAGGAGAGTATGTCGCCGCATGTTTAAAGACAAACAAGCTCAAGCTGAAGACAAGTAACGATCGAATCTTGATTAAACTCGTTACCAGGCCTTGAAAGGAGCGGCATCTTATATACTCCTTTCTTCTCCTCTGTCTCAGCCAACCTCCAGTCTCATGCAGTCTCCGGGCCAGCCGCAATCAAAAAGAATCATTAGGAGATGATCAACAGCGACATGCATCCCACCATCATGTTTTGTGCCGTATCTGGAAGGTTAATTCTGCAAACGGACAGCTCGCCGGTCCTGGTTCGCTGATGCATAAGCCTACTGGTGAGTAATTTGGACCCCTACAAATACTGTAGACTAGGAGAGGAGCTAGCTGACGCCATCTGGCACGCCCTACTCACGCATTACGACGAACTGTAGGTAAGAGATTCTGCCAGTGTGTATGTATAGCGAATGCGAGGATGACTGACATCGCGCTGATGCCTTGCTCGAAAGTGCGGCGGCCGTGCGACTGTTCGATGGCTGAAATGGAGGACATTGTCGCAAACACAACGTCACGCGGGACCAGTAAGTGGAACTCTATTTGAGAAGCAAAGTCTGTAAATCAAACAAGGGCATTTGGTGGGGATGGTGGAGGTGTGCGAGTTAAGCTCTTAAAGGAAGGTGGTGGCATGCAGTGCCTGTGCGGATAATAGCTGCAATGACCTAGTGTTACTACGTTATTTGGATATGCTCGACAGTCCTTCACTGGAACACTTACCGCGGCTACAAGATTCCTCCGATGCTGTTGTAGGTCCCCAGTCTCTACACCTTCAGAAGAGCATGCAGGCATCAGTCATAAATTCATTACTACATCACTAATTACCCGGCCCCGTAAAATTCCCAATGAACACCACAAGAATAGCGCAATACGCCGCAGACGCAGCGAACAATTCATGTCTCGCAGCCTTCGTCAAAAGTGACATCGCCGCACTAAACAGCAGCGTGAAGACGATCAGCAAGCCGACAGCATTGAGGGTATCCCTAGTATTAGAGTCCATAGAAAGGACGGAAGAATCCGATGATCCTGAATCGTTACCGCTGTGCACACTGGTGGATGTGAGCAGGTACATCGCGACGACTGGCACAACCAGGAGAGCAAAGATGATGAGTGTGATGAGGATGTTGGCTAACTTGTCGATACGCGTAGAGCTGTAGAGGGTGATGTACTTGTTTGTCGTTTTGGCTCGAAGTTCTGGAGATTGAAAGTATTGCTTCTTACATTAACAGCTTTCGGATTGTTGTGGAAAAGGTGTTTACGTACCCCGAGCGGCGAGCTGTTTACTTTGACGCCGAACGTACGAAGCATGACCCCGATCCACTCATCAATCTTGAAAATAGTCTTCTCTAGGCCGCCATCAAAGCTACCCCCTTCCCGCCCACTGTTGCGCAGCGAGACGGTGTCTTCCTTACTGCGTATAGATTCCGTCTCGGCATCCATAAGCGGCTTGTGGTTGTGGTGGAAGCGTCGTACACTGCGATAATTACGGTCACTGGGTTTCTGAAAACTATCTAGGGTACGAGCTTTGATCAGGACTTCATCATACTCCATCAATTTTGTTCTGATCTCTTTGAGGATTACCCTTCGGTTCCGCGCATCGCCTTCGTCACCGGCTTTTGCGACATCGATCTCACGTGAACGGAGACGTTCGGGTTCTTCATCGAAATCATCCCAGTCTATTTCGTCGAGTTCCTTTTCTAGGTTGGCGATCTCGTCCTGCAAGTCGAGCAAGACGCGTGAATGAAGGTAGGTGAAAGAACGATAGAGAGAGAAGTTGGTCTCTGATGACTGGAAAGCAGCTAGCCTGGGATATCCATTGGGCGTGTTGTCCACTTTTATAATTAGTTGAGAGTGGTGGCGGTCGAGGTGGGAGGCTTACACTGGCGCGTTTTTATTTCGGTGACTCCAGGTGGTTCTGGCTCGGATTTGAAGGAGCCGGTCACTCGCCGTAAAAACGTTGGTCGACTTTTCTCGTTTTCTGAACATGTTTTAGTTGGTGCCTCGTTGCATTGCTGAAGGAACGTGATACGTACGAGGGGGCTGTGCATGCGCGCCATTTGTCGATGATCGGTAGCTGGAGTCCGATGAAAAACGGCCTGTAGAGGCACCCTCATGCTCGCCGATTTCAATGATAGCATCACCCCCAAGGGTGTGCTCGGTATCGGTAGGAGACTGAGGACCTTTCTCAATATCGTTGACAATGGTATCATCGGTCATGGCACGTGTGGGGGCCATCTCCAGGCTGAGCAACCCGCGCAAGAAACTGAACCAGCGAAAAGCGACAGACTTTTGGAATCCGGTGGAACGGAACGACTTTTCTTAGACCGACATTGAAGAGATTGATAGACTCAGAAGTGGCTGAAGTGCGAATGAACAGTGTGGCGGGTGAGCCGCCGTCTATGTACGTTCGCAAAGCAGGCCCCGCCGGTGAGGGCTCGCAAAGATCGCCGGCACCGACCGCCAAAACGCCAGATGCCAATCAAATCCTGCCGCCTGAAGATCAATCTAACCATCCCGAGCCACATGCGCCACAATTTGCACGAACACAGCCACAACCCATGTTGCGTCTCAGCGCCGTTGCGTGCTTTCTGCCTTCAACTCTCTTTCTCGGACCCAGGCGCCGTCCTGGTACAGCCTGCCGTTGCCGTCGATTATCGACAGCTGATATTCCCAGTAGCCTGATGCAGTGAGACGGCCTCGTTTGATCTTGAAGGTGCCTTTCCTGCGTGCACCGTGCTCGATTATCGACATATGCACCGTATTGCCCTTCTGGAAACGTCCGGAAGCCTATCTGCAATGAGCAAGTGAAATGGCAACGAGTCGGATGCCACTCACATGAGTAGCCATCGGGTCCACATAAACGCCGGATTTTTCCATTGGCACAGTCGTCTGCTGCTTTGGAAGCTCTTCTTCCGACCATGACGGGTCCACTTCTCTCTGCAGAGAGGAATCGTCAGCCTGATGTGGCGAGGCTTCAGACGGCGTACGCGACTTACACATTGGGCCGGAGCTGGCTGAACTTCATCTTGGGTGGAGGCCATTGTCTCAGCGACGATAATGAGGCGAGGCGAGCGGGGTAGCAGGTGTGACTTGATAGCCTTGAAGAGAGTGCAATGCGTGCAGGGAAGGCTACAATGATAATATGTACTTCGTGACTAGGCTGTTGCAGGCCTCTCAAACGTTGCCTTGCACCTTGAAGACTGACCGTTCGGAAGGCTGATGGTGAACCATCCTTGCACAGCCGCAAGGATGGTGGTTTCACCGTCATCAGCGCCTACACCCGGCGGCACCTGAGCTGTTCAGCATGTGCGATGTCGCCTGGCACTCAGCCTGTCAAAGTTCCTCGCCATTAATAGGTGACATGACAACGGCCCCCGTTCTGATCAGTGTTCAAGCTGTTTTGACAATCCCACCATTCTCTCTTTGATGAACCGGCTGCAAGTGGAAAGAGGAGCGGACGGAAAGAGGGATGGTGTTGGCCCCCAACGCGGTGGCCCAGTTAGTCAGCGAAGATTGCCTCGCCTAAACTGTTTCTGTGCCATCGTCCAAGCGACCCGTCCCACCATTATGGGGGCTGAACTACTGGAGAACAGCGCGCAAAAGATGAGGGCACCTACGATCACTCCTCTCCTAAGGCCCGGCGACGCCTCTGAGCCATGGCTTTGATTTCACATGCACATCAAGGTGTCGTTGACGCCATGGAATCCGTTATCGCGCCGCACGTTCCTACGTCCATTGATCTAAGAGACAAAGTCTTCCATCTTAAAACGCAGATCGAGTCGATCGAGGATGCCCCTGGACACACCTCAGAAGCATCTGGCGAAGCCAACTTGATCACTGAGAGCGATGCTGAGCCCCAGGATATCGCGCGACGGAAGCGCGCCGCAGAAATGCAGATGTGGTGGGATGAAGCGATCGTGCGGAACATGGATCTGCCTGACGGATACGCAAAGGTTGCTGTATTGCTTGTGAAATGGGAAGATGAGTTGGACGAGCTCAAGACGAGAGCTGAGGTAGATCAGGCCATTGCTGTCAAGGATTGAATCTGACGAATACAGGCTGAAGAATTAGACGCCGTTTTCCGCGAACGGTTCCATTTTGTCACCAAAACAGTCGAGCTCAATGTCGCTACCAAACCGCAACAACAGATGCGCACTTACATGAGTGCCTTCATACAAAAGCATGACGGACCGCACAATCTCTTGATTGTATACTACACCGGGCATGGCGTTTATCGAGAGGACCACAAACATCTTGAGCTCACAGCGAGTCTAAATTCCTTGGTTAGACGCGGGTTCAGTCAGGAAGCCAGGTGCAATTGGAACAAGATTCAAGAAATCCTTCAGGAGGACGATGTAGAATCGGACGTACTCACGATTCTGGACACTTGCTATTCGAGCAATTTGGCAAAGGGTGGGAAAGAGGAGACTAGGACATTCGAGCTTCTAAGCGCTTGTGCCATTGATTCAACGACGGCTGCACCGGGGGACAACAGCTTCACCCGCGCCCTGATCGACACGCTAAAGAGACTTCACGGGCAATATGGTGAGAAGGGCTTCACAACGTTCCATCTGAACCAGGGGATTGCTCTCGACAAGAGGCGCCATGACACGCCGTCGCAGCTATGGTTCCTTAAACAGCATCACGGGCGGCATATACACCTTGCCCCCCTCAAGTCACAACCGACACGCGAGCTGAAAGCTCGGCGACTCCATCCCCTGCCGCGCGGCTACCTCACGCTTCGGTTCGCGCTGCGCGATGAAACACTCACGCAGGAACAAATTGAGTTTCTGACGCTGCAGCTGTCTAAAGCGTTTAATAATAAGCTACTCGTTGGCTTAAGTCGTATAGACTGGCTCGGGATCAAGCCAGCGCGGACCACATACTTCGGCAGGGCAGCACTTGCCCTGTTCGCGATCGCGCAATGGAAGAGAGTCGTCGAGAAGAGTCGTCAAGGGGAAAGACCACTGGATGAAGTCTCGTTACCCGTCGATTTAACGATCGATGAGCCACCAATTGTTACTCCTCGGAAACGTTCTCGTGACAGCTTCAGTAGCGAGCCTGGACCTGAGCGAATGCGCGACTATTTTGTCGCTCCACAACCGCCCTCACCCCCAGTATCTGATTCGTCTAAAGCCCAGCACGCAACATCAGGCACCTAACGCACCATGTTCGAAAAGATTACCTGTCCATATTACCTAAATTGAGCCTCTGTGCTAGAAGCCGAGTGATCCATCTTAACTTGTAGTACCTGGATGGAGTGATCGACAAATTCGGAAAACATTCACGTTCATGTAAGCCCCCGTATTTTCTGACGACGCTCAATTGAAACTTTGGGTCATGTTTCAAGCAACGAGCGACTCGAACAAGGACTCAATTGTTTCCTTGCAGCAAGAGCTATTCCCGTCCGCTGAGCTCAAGTGCTGACGGTATGACGTTTTCAGGGTCATTAGAGTAGTCTCCGTTCACCTTAGAACGTGCGCCCGACTGTTTCTCCAGACAGCCTGCACACGTATACACCACAAGTTTCGACGCATATGTTCAGTGTCTCTTGCTAGAGCTCTCGGTCAGCTCCCATTTGTTGGAGCCGAATCACCGCTTTTGGGCCGTGTAACCTCCGCCCAGACCTTTGATTCAAGGTACGACATCACATATAGCTTAGTGCCCAGCTGCGAACACAATGAAATGTCCTGACAAAGCAGGCCCAGACTTAGTAGACGCATGTGGGGCATGTCTTTGGGCCTTGGTCCCAAAGAGATTACTCGATGTTGTTCCGCCGTGCCTCCATTGGCCGCGTGTGTCAGAAGTTCGAGAATCCGACATAGGTGCCATCGCTATGCTTGGGGCCTCCACAGTTACCGGAACACCAAGGATCTTGCATATAGACTGCTCCTTTCATCGATGCTGAACAGCCGGTTCCTGCATAGCATCGTCAAGCGCCTTCTAGCATTGCGAGATCGCGGTCCTTACTGAGGCTATCACATGCAGTCCTATACTTGGGTCTTACTATGCTTAGGGCATCTCAGAAAATTGTACGTAAAGAGGACCGAGATTTTGGCCACGACGAGGACGACACGGAGGAACGGAGGAAATGACGGATCTGGTGACAGGAAGAGATGACGAACAATTTTTGTGCCATATGAAAGTTCCTCCGCCATGATGGCTTGAATACCTTTCTCATAGAACTTCACCCAATCTTTGTACTATAGGAGGCTGATTATTAGCCAGATTCTGTTGAATCCAACTTTCCAATAGTTTAGTGCCCTATTTTAACGTCTACCAGGCCCAGAAATTCATATTCAACAGAATTTGCCCAATAATCAGCCTCCTATAGTACATAGATTGGCTGAAGTTCTATGAGGTAGGTATTCAAGCCATCATGGCGGAGAAATTGTTGTAAAGCACCGATACTACGACAACTACCGCGCCGGAGGGGTATATAGAACCTCGGGCACTTCAGGTCAATACAGATCAACCTCCCGACCCTCATCAACATTTAAGGGCGTATCACATGTACTTTGTTCGATACAGATCACGTTGAACTTGTTTGAAATTTACCACTCACTCCTACCTTTCACAACACAATCGCTCAATATGCGTCTCACTCAGGCCGCCGTTGTTGCTATCTTAGCATTCACTGGAGCTGCTGCTCCTTTGGCTGCTGAGAATAGCCTTGCAGTCCGCGGTGGTGATAGCTCAAGCTCAGGAAGCGATGCTAGCACGTCGTGGTCAGGATCGGGCTCCGGCTCCAAGGGGGGCGACTCGGGCTCTTCTGGCGGCTGGGAATCGTCTGGATCAGGAGGCGACAAGGACTCCTCTGGCGGCGACGATAACGACAAAGATACGGGCTCTTCCGACGGCGACAAGGGAAGCTCTGGTTCTTCTAGCTCATTCGGCTGGGGTGGCGACAAGGGAGACTCTGACTCTTCCGGTTCGGGCAGCGGGGCTTCCTCTGCATCATCTGGATCTAGCGATAAGGATTCGTCAGGATCTGGTTCTTGGGGCAGTGACAAGGGAGCGTCAACTGGCGGCGACAAAGGCAGCTCTGACTCTGGCTCTGGCTCTGGCTCTGGCGCTGGCGCTGGCGGTGACTCTGGCTCAAAGTCGTCCTCTGGCTCTGGATCTGGCTCTGGCTCTGGCGCTGGCGGAGAAGGAGGCGACTCTGGGTCCAAGGGCGGTGAATCTGGTTCAAAGTCGTCCGCCGATGATGACTGTAACTCTGGCTCTGGTTCTGGCGGAGAAGGAGGCGACTCTGGGTCCAAGAGCGGCGATTCTGGTTCCAAGTCTTACTCGGGTGGCGACTGGAAGCTGTTGAAGGTTTAAGATCAACATCACGAACTTCTTGCCGCATGCGCCTGCAGACGAGCTTGCGTTGGGCCATACAAGTTGTCACCAACAAGGCGACCGCGCTGGACTCTGGAATCGCAGGCCATATGAAAAATACATCCGTACTTTACGTCGGTAGTGATAATGAATACACTCCTTTGCATCCCAAGCTTTAGCCACCCCATGAATTGAACATTATGGGTTTGGCATGTTGCCTTGGGTGATATTGAACTTATCTCATCACTGTATCAGGATCATCTGCTCTGATACCCACACCATCAATCCAGTCGGAATGTCAGCGCTTCATATAAAGGTCCTTCTATGACTGTCTATCAACTATAACTATCAGAAGACGAAGTCATATATGTTTCGCGGCAAAACAATTTCACAGATGAAAAGCATGGGTGTCCTCATACGTACTACAATATGATTGACCGAAGCGAAGCCATTAGAGAGGCCTTGGTTAATGGCGCCGTCAGCCCCGGCTCGCACGTTGTTCCCTTCTCTGAGCTGCCTCCACCATTCAGATCGTGTTGATATAAGCCCATGAACTATCTTGTTATATTCTCGAATATTAACAGGCTTGCAATAAAGAATCTGACAGCAATGGATTGGTCTTCCTGTGCTACAAAATTCCGAGTCAGAGATTAGAAAAGGGCTTGTTACTGCGTGCCTCCGTATCAAAAGGCGATGTGGCCGCCGGTACATGCAACGATGATGCAAACATTCTGCTGACGAACGCATCTGCAACGACCGGGGAACCCTCAGATGGAATTCCAAATATTCGAATGTTTTTTTGCTGCAGAAACGCCTGACCGAATCAGAACTTGAACTAGACGTCCTTTGTGCACACGCTAAACATCTTCGCTGCGAACGGTGATGCGAGCGTATTCCTCGATGCGGAATATGAACATGGTGATTGTGGTTGGATTCGTCCAAAGATCCATCTGAATGAGTATTTTAGCAAAAAGGACGGCAATTCTGAGTGGATGGGGCATCGGGTTCTAAAACATTATCAGCCACCGAGTGGGTGAGCATGAACGTTTTTAAAACCTGAGAATATCAATAGGCATCCTTTGCGGGCAATAGCAAGAAATCATAACGAATGTCATGGGCGATGTCCGTAAACAGTCAAGCATGTTGAGCGAGAAAAGAACTCCAGAGCTGTACACGTACGCGGTGGCCTCTTTTAGTGACGTATACGTATCCCTGCCGATGTAACAAAGCTCACCCTACCAGACAGCCCTAAGTTCGCAACAAGGGTAGATTTCACGCATGAGCGGAATCTGATGTTTCTTCTCCATTGGATCCTGTCGCGCAATACGCAGGGCGTCGATCCAAACTACTGAGTTTTAAGCTTCTTTGATTGTTCCGCTGGCAGAGGCAGCGGCGGAGCTGCTAGCGGAGATGACATCGAACGGTGCAGAGCTTCATGAAAACTCTTGAATATGGATACTGCGCGATTATGATGCCAATGGCATATTTCTTTCCACCGCTAGTGTTTCCCCATGCTTATGAAAGCGTGATGAACGTCACATCCTGGTGAAGGCTAAGGATGCTGAGAGTGCTTTTGATCTCAGCGTCCCATTCGTCTCGCTGGATATGGAGGAGCCGAATCTCCTGCTTTGCGTTGTCAGGCGGATATATCGCATAGAGCTGTTCCATACGGAGCGAACGGCGTTCGAAATAGATCGAGAGATCCTTTCTAACGTCAGCGCGGAAAGTTTGTTGAGTGATACATAGGAAGTGAAGTGAATGGGCTGATCATAGCCCTTCTGTCCATGTTCTTCCAAATCAGCTTCTCGCTGTTGGCAGAAAATTTACGAGGATGTGATGGAGATACACTGGCGATGCATGACTGATTGGCCGAGTCGTACACTGTCGCTTCTTTAGCATCTTAGCGCATGGCAGGGAGAACACTGCTTTTCTTCCGTTCTCCAGGGGTACCGTTGGGATACTTCCACCTTCGTATAACCCTGCTCCTCGTGACCGAAACTGTTACGCTTTTGCTGCGCAGGGTCGTCATTCATAACGCGTCATACACCTTTCTTGGATATTGGACCTCAAGCATAGCTTCCTCTTTTCGCCCGCTTCATCAGAAGCGTTTCGTCCGACCCTAGAAACACTATGAAACTTCCAGTCACCTTGTCCAAAGTAAGCATCTGGTGCCACTTCGCTTTGCCTTTGCCTCTTATGCAAGATCGAACTCAGATGCCATTCGGAGCAAATGTAAGCGACATTGCTAGGAACTCCATTTGATGTTATCAGTGGGCGAGTCGGGTTCGCCATGATGTTAATCTGTTGCGCTGCTCTCAGCAAACGTAGCCCAGCACCACCGGGAATCAAGCGTTCGAATAAGCTATACAACCCGTCCTTGGCCCGATCGTCACCGAGCACTGATGAGTGCAGCATGTTGCAGCAAAACCCGGACCAGTTTTCCAGACAGAAATAGGCTTGAGCGCCACTTAACGTTGCTGATGTGGCAATCTCGGGATCGATCTACAGTCTCTCGATCTCGCCTTTGCAATCTGGTGGGGTCAGCTGACAGCATCTCACAGCTTCGAGAGCGTCGAGAGATGAACCCAGTGCAAATCCTCAGTACCCTTGTGGAGCGTATGCCCACGTGGTATCGATATCGTACGTTAGCCTCGCCGACCTTTCTGATGTATCGGGCATAATGATAGACGATCACTGTGCAGAACGGGCCGAGGTTTTTCGCAAGTGTTCCCCTTCGAGCCTACGAGGAGACTCCCGTCTCTCTAAAGATGGATGCCTGAGCGCGTTGTACGGATAGAGACAGCTGAAACGCAATCCAACCGCAGGGCTGGCGAAGGAACAGCTGATTGGGGTGATGAGTTGGCCTGGGCGCATATGTCATCCTGCGTGAACGACCGTCCTTTGGATGTGCGATGTAGGTCTAGTCCTTGCGTTACGCATGCATGGGGTATCCATAGCTCTCTCCTCACTCTTGCGCTCTCATGGTGGACGTAGATGGCGAGATGGCGATGAGCTGGCAGAATCAATCGCAGCGACAGCCCCGGGAATGCGCACGCAAGCATGCGCACGTGTCTCCCGATGAATGCCAATCTTAAATTAAGATTTGGAAACCCCAGCATCGTGGGCGCATGAATTCGGCAGCGAACCACTTGGGTAGGGTGGTTGCAAGGGTCGTCGCAGACCAGACGTGCAACGTGCCGCTTTTCTTCAAACGCTCCTAACGTCGCCTCCCGCCTCGCTCTTTCGTGCCCGCCGACACGACACAGAGTGCAGTTCCTGCGTACGAACATCACCGAGACATTGAAAAGAGGGCTTGTCCGAGACATTTTGACAAGGTTGAGGCTCAAGCTAGGTGCGGCGGAGTGGTATCGAAGCTCCGGCTGCCATCATTGGGCAGGAAGCAGCGCGACCCGACAACAAAAGTGCCGACAGCGACGTTCCAAGGTTAACAGCAACCGGGACCGGCCCCCCACACTCGCTACATTCCTCTCGGACGACGATACCTTTCTTGTTGATTTTATTGGGTTTGGATTTACAGGACCATGGATCCGGATAATAGAATAACGATCACGGTGTGCGGGGATGGCGGCTGCGGTATGTCTTTCCCAGCCAAGGAAAGGGCTGAACACATCAAGGAGGGAATGCGCATGCGCGGATGAGCCCGAGGCTGATGCCGAGACAGGAAAGAGTTCGATTACACTGCGGCTAGTGAGGAGCGAATGGACCCATGAGTAAGTCGACATGTGGGCTTGAAGTGTGGCATTCCAGGCATGGTGGGCTGACGAAGCGCGCAACAGCTACGATCCGACAATAGGTACGTCCGTTATACCGCGCGCATAATGCCGAAGCGCATGCAGGAAGCACACGCCCGTTGACTCCCGCACAGAAGATTCATACTCAGTGACCCGCACTGTCGATGGACAGTCCTACTTCCTCATGCTCACCGATACGGCCGGCCAGGAAGAATACCGCTCGCTCTGGGCAGCCTCGAATTTACGCTCCGATGCCTTCCTCCTCGTCTACGATATCACGAACCAACACAGCCTCGACGGCCTCGAATACTTTGCCGAGATGATCGACATGGAGGAGGAAAACAGAATAGATCAGGGCAAGGTGCCGCCAGTGAAGCTTGTTGCAGGCAACAAATGCGATCTGTCGGCCGCACGGGTGATCAAGGCCGCCGAAGGGTTGGAGTGGGCGCGGAAGAGGGGCTGTGGGTTCATGGAGACGAGTGCGAGAGATATGGTTAATATTGAGGAGACCTTTGCGCGTAAGTGATTGTTGATAAACTCTGAGGAATGTTCAAGCTGACGGAGAAGTGCTTGTCCGTCGCGTGGTCGAAGCCCGCCGGCTAGCAGTGTCCGGAGCAACCGCGGCCACACATGAGAGAACCGCGGCCCTACCACCTTTTAACGAGAAGGATGGCTCGCCATCGCCGTCAAACGAAGAAAACGAGCCGAAAGAGAGCTTCTGGAAGAAGTTACGGTGCTGGTAGCGTTGGACATAAACACTGGAGCAGCCATTAGAGACCAACTCACACGAGTCTGTAAGATACGGAGAAATGGAGACGCCGAGATGGGACAAAAGCTTGGTAGATTGCTATTGGAAATGACTTTGGGACAATGAGCTGTCTTGAAAGCTGAGGGTACCTGAAGTTTGGCCGCCAGCTTGGGACATCAGCTCAACCGCAATGACGGGAGTACTCGGCGTGTATAGATATGCTGCGCTTGTGTAGCAGCTTTGCGTTCATCGGTGGTCGTTTCGGCGCGGCTTTCGGCTTACTGGCACCTTTCTTATATAAGCTGGATATCTACTACCACATACTAATACCTTACATCTTCTCAAGATTCGTAATAATACTGATCCGACCTCGCATCGGTCGCAATATTTAGCAGGCACTGAATTTGGCTTTACTCACGCTGACACCGGACGCGATACACGATACGTACGGCACCTAGCGTCTTGGCACAAGCACGTCAACCAAAGAATTCGATTCGCCGTCGGAGACCAATCCAAACTGCCCGAGTTCGGCTTTCATAACCTTCAATTGCCGACCCCATCCTCGACTGAACATTGTATGATTGTTCCTCACCTCTTACACCTTCGCACGAGCTTGAAAGTTCGCGATTGTGCTCGCTGTGCCCCGCTGGAGGCTCGTGCGTTGACTTGAGAAGACAAGGGAGATAGGTGAGGAAATTCCGAGAGCAATTGTAAGAGTCGCAAAGATGGGAATTGAGGCCGAATTGGAGGTTCCGGAGCATGGTCTCCAGAGGACGCTGAAGGATCTCTTTGCGGGCGCAGTTGGTGGTGTAGCACAGGTGCTCATTGGTATGTAACAGAATCCTCTACGACTGGCTATATCTTCCCGACAAGCTTTCACAGAGGGTTTGACCTAAATGTCTTCGTAAACTCAACTCCAAGCGTCAGCTTGCATAGTACGAGAGCGAACCTCTAAAGTTGATGAATCATGTACTCCGATATCGGGTGGAACAGCACTAATTCGGAACAGGACAACCGTTTGATATCGTCAAAGTCAGGTTACAGACGACATCGCAATATTCAGGCGCCCTGGATGCTGCTACCAAGATCTACAAGAACGAGGGAGGCCTCGCCTTTTATAAGGGTACCTTGACGCCGTTGATCGGCATCGGCGCCTGCGTGTCAGTCCAGTTCGGCGGATTCCATTACGCTCGTCGCGCATTTGAGGCGCGGAACCTCGAAAAGACTGGCTCCGGTGATTTGAGCTACTCACAGTACTACACAGCGGGTGCGTTTGCAGGGATAACGAACACAGTACTGTCAAGCCCCATCGAGCACATCCGCATCCGTCTGCAGACACAGCCTCATGGTGCAGCTCGTCTCTACAACGGCCCCATCGACTGCATCAAGAAACTCACAAGCCACGAAGGTATCCGGGGTGTCTACCGCGGAACAGCTGTGACTTTCTTGCGTGAAGCAAATGCATATGGCGCCTGGTTCGCAGCCTTTGAGTACATGATGAACAAGGATGCGGAGCGTAACAACATCAAGCGGGCCGAGATTAGCACGCTCAAGGTGGCTCTGTATGGCGGTCTAGCAGGCGAGGCACTCTGGCTCTGGAGCTACCCCTTCGACGTTATCAAGAGCAAGATGCAAACGGATGGGTTTGGCGAAACGCAAAAGTACAAGAACATGCGCGATTGCTTTGCTCAGACATTCAAGGCGGAAGGCCTCGGTGGCTTCTGGAGAGGCATTGGCCCTACGCTCTTGAGGGCCATGCCTGTTAGCGCAGGAACGTTCGCGACGTAAGTTCTACGGGACATGCCGTCGACGGTGACTGACTGACACGCTGCAGGGTCGAACTTACTATGAGACTTATCAACTAGGAAGATGGCGCGATAATCACCTGGCACAAAGTATGGAGGCATTAAGGTTTCGATAAACAACGCCCTGGCAGCTTAAGCGAGCAGCGGGCTCGCAAATTTGGCGGACTGGATGGCACAATCGTACCGTGCAGACGGCCATGGGTGCGGAGGTCGGGAGCGTGGTTGACGGACTCCGGCGGCGAGGGATAGAAGATGTACAAACCCACCCTATCAAGAATTGTCTGCAGTAGCACAACCGACCCCTTCGGACGCGCCAAGGTCCTGTGTACATGCACGCACTTCAGCCTGCCACGTCTCCCTGGCCCATGTCAACGACACATGTTCCTCCGCCCACGCTCACATGGCACTACCGAAGCCTATGTAGACGGCTGCACACGGCGTGCTCTTTATGCATGCCAACCCTGATACATAACAGCAGCGAGCGCTAATTAGCGTTGTCCAGGCGTCGTCTTCGCAGGCCTCCGTGCACAGGTGCCAATAATTTTGGCCCCAGTCAGACATGTGCACGTTCGCTCCCCACGGCCTAAAACCTTCCAGAAGCGTTAGCCGAGTCCACCCATGGCCTTGGACCCCTGCATAGCCGACGCTCCATGAACCGCTTCCAGCTTCCCCGAAAGTTAGGCCAGTGCGGCGGGCCCGCTGTGCTTGGGACGGGTTGCTGTGATAAGAGGGTGCGTGCCGTTGCGCTGCCCTTCCCACGTGGAATTGGCTTCCGTCCATCGCGTGTACGATAGCTCCAACGGGTACCATCACGGTATTTGAGAAGCTCGATTCGAGCCAGCGTGGGTGTTGGCCGTAGGAAACGCAAACCATGTCACACATGAGCACAGCTTCGCAGCCTACGAGCTGCTCGACCGAGGGTACGGGAATCCGGAAAACGCTGAGGAGGTGGAAAGACAAGTGGAGGACGAGTTCGACACCCAGCTCGCGCACATCCAGTCCCAGAGCGCCATTATCACGACTCCCATCAAACGCATCGTCGGCGGCTCCTTCACATAGATCGAAGCCTGCGACAGAACCGCTCCCTCCCATTCCCGCTTCACCGCCCCCGGTCCCAACCGCTCTCTTCACACCCACCACAGAAACCTTCATACACTCGCCGGCAGATCCTAGGAATAGGTCACGGAACTCTTCCAACACGTCGAGTACCTCACCGCCTGGCACGCTGAAGAAGCCGAGACCAGTGTCGAGGAGGAACACAGCGCCGTCCGACTTCCTCACCAGCGCGCTTCCGGACGAGAACCGACTACCGGATCATCGAGACTTGCCGATGAATGTAGTCACCACCACCATAGTCGCAGGGAACGGCGGCGACAAGCGGAAGCGGACTTCACGACTACGACTGTCCATTTCTCGAAGGGGCTCCATACTATCGTCGTCGCCGTCGAGCCCGTCACTGAACAGCCAGTTTGAGCGGAGCAGCAGTCGAGCGACGTCGCGCATGGAGGAGCGCAGCACGAGTCGAGCGGCGAATCGCGTGTCGGTAGTGCCCGAGTCGTGGTCACCAGTTGATCGGGTGGACAGCGATCGCGAGACGCTGTTTGAGGAGACGGAGCTGATCAAGAGGAGACCGAAGGAGCTGAAGGAGTTGGCGAACGAGAGGGACATAGGGACCGTAGAGCTGGCGTATCAGTATGTGGGCAGCAGAGACGGACGGACGAGCTGAAAGGAAGAGGGCACACGAGCCGCATCCCGGCGATTTCTTTGGAGTAGACTTTGTCTTTTGCTGGAAGCTATAGGGACAGTTCCCTTTCTTTTGCTCGATACCCATGCATCGAGGACGTTCGCACTGGGCGATTCCTCCAGCGTCCACAAGCACGGCTCCCGCGACGCTGTTTCGTGATGGTGATGAGTCGTGACCCCGACGGTCTAGACGCAGGCCCTGCAGGTACCCGGCGAACCATGGCCGCGCAGCCGCTCCCAACGGGTTCAACACGTCCCAGCAGCCAGCAGCCAGAAGCCTGCAGCCGGGGGAACGCGCGCCTCTTCAGGCCATGCGCGTCCTGTCCTCGTCTCGCGCGACCATGTCGTTCTCTCGGGCGGCGCGGGACGGGACTCGGTGGTTGTCTGCGAGGCCCCCACGCGGCGGCAGCTTCTGCAGTGGATTCCGGTGGGGCGTTCCTCGTTCCCGTGGCAAAATCAATCATCCAAGCCATGGCCTGACGGGCCCTAGCGCGGTTGCTGCAGCCTGAGGCACCGCCCCTAAAACCACTCACATGTCGCGGAGCTGAGCTGCACTCTCGACACTTGCAGCTGCCCCCCAACAGCCAATATCTGGCATTCCCCGATACAGTCGTTCCTTCCGTCGTTATCGATACCGCTTTGTACAATCATCATGGTCAATTGGACTTTCTGCGCTGCCCTTCTGAGCGTCGCCGGTGCGACCGTCGCGCCTGGCTTCCCTGTAAAGGGCGCGCCGGACCTCAATGTCACTTGGGCAGACAACAACGTCAGCCCGCCCGGCGAGCTGCTGTCGCGAGCAGGTACGTCGTCTTCCTCACCCTCCAATGCTTGTGCTGATCCACATGTACAGACACCGCACAGCCTCCCACACAAATCTCCTCGCCCGTCTGGACACCGGGCGGCTACGCCATCCTCATGCTCGTCGACCTCGACGTCCCCCGCAACAACACCCGCGTCCAGCTCCTCCACTGGCTCACCGCAAACGTCACCATGCCCTCGACCGACACACAGACCCTCAAGCTCGCCGACTCCTCCCTCGATCTCGCCCCATACCGCCGCCCGAGTCCCCCGCTGAACGACACAGCGCACAAGTACACTCTCCTCCTCTTTGAGCAGCCAGAGAACTTCACCGTGCCCGCGAGATACAGGTCGTTGTTGGAAAGCAGGGTGGGCTGGGATGCCGCCGGTTTCGTGAATGCGACGGGACTGGGGAGCGCCTTGGCAGCGAATTGGATCAGAGTGCAAAATACAGGCAACGAGACTGGCAATGCTACTGCTAGTGCCTCCCCGACGGCGAGTTCGTCACCTACTTCCACGCCGACAGATTACTCGGGTAAGGCGGGTGCCATCACGCCGAGCGCGTGGTTAGGCACCGCTGTGGTGGCGGCGTTGATGGCAGTCATGTTGTAGGAGGGAAGAATGAAAGCAAGCGTGGGGGACGAAGAGAGACGCGTCAAGATAAGATATGATATCCTGGGTAATTAAAATGGGAATGATACCTTTTTCTTTCACACGGCAGCTGTCTTCCTTCCCTTCTGCCGCCCGACCAGCGACTCACATGTCCATTCACATGATTCTCAACAACTTCTGTTGTTCGGTCCAGCAAGAGACCCACCGCAGTATAGGTTACTGCAGGAGCACCTCTACTGGACACCTTTGCCTCATGCGTACTTGTCTACCACCTACAACGTATGTCTTCATGTGCTTTCTCTTCGCTTTACTGAAATACAGCACCTGATTTGTACGGACAACAGTACCAGCGAAAACACGCCGCTAAGGAGTGCACGAGTGACATCTCCTTGGTGCTTGCACTCTGCGTTCCCAGCACGACAAGTCCACTTCGTAATTCGCTCTTTTTTCGAGTGATTGGACTGAGGACGATGCCTAATCTTAAATATCAATAGAAAGTAATATTGCATCTTCCGTTCCGGACATAGCACCAAAGAGTCCTCCTGCCTGGAAAACTTATATGGCTGCACAAGCGCTTGAGTAAGCAACAAACTATATATTTGATCCAATAGCTAACATCAACAGCTTCTCCGACGATCTCGTACAATTGAAAGTGGATGCTGTGCGTGCTACGTTCAATGTCAACAAAAAAGTACTCTCCGCATCTTCTAGGTTTTTGCAAGCTGCGCTCAAGAGAGAGTGGGCTGCCTCCCGATCAGAACCAAACATCGATCTCTCGGATAATAAAGGCGTGATCGTGCATGCCTATCTTCATTGGCCTACACTCAACAACTTGTGACTTCTGCCGTGAAGATGCTGGTCCCACCTTACATTTTCGGAGAGAAGATTATGGACATCAAGTACAAGGACGTAGTGCTCCAGAAGATCATGGGCGAGAGGATCCCAACAAGGGAGATCGCGGCAGTTGCAAATCAAATCTACGGGGGCAGCACTCCGTCTTCACCTGCACGACGTCTGATGGCCGACATGGTTGCGGATCTCGCTCAAAAGGGTGACGAATGGAACTTCGTCATCGAGAGACTCAACAAATAGGTGCTTATTGATGCCATGAAAGCCATGGCGGAGGTTCGGCGTGCTCCAAATACACGAACATGGATGATCTCAAAGGTCAAGTATCTAGAAGAGGAGTAGGATGCCTAGGCGTTAGTCCGAGCTTCTCGTGCTCTACTGAAGGAGCACAATCTTGTGGGAAGACATGCTAGGGCGGTGAGTTCAGGCTCCTCGATTCGAGTACTACGATCTTGAAGCCCGGAAATTTGGGATCGAATTTTGTGGTTTGATCAGCTGAGTGGCTTCGAAATGTTAAGGCGGAATCACCCACTCAAGTGTAGCAGTTATAGAACGCTTCTATCCTTGCAGCGATAGCGAGGCACCTGTGGACAGTCTGCAAGGGTTTAATTAGTCCAAGCAAGCATTTCATTGCGTGACAATCCAGAGAGCGAGCTAAAGATTCAAGTGCGCTAGGTAAGTTGATCAAAGGTAGAAGACCGACAACATGACCCGAGGTCGAAGTGGATAATTCTTATCCGCAATGTGAAGTCCGCGTTACAGCTTCCTACAGCTTCCGTTCAATACTGATGGATCTTGATGACAGCCTAATAGGGCGCACCGTGCTAGACTGCATATCGGTACCCCGGCTTCTCCTTCCCACCCCTAACATGCACCATTTCCCCTTTTTTTCCAGTTTCCACTCTCTTCTGTGATGCTCCTTCAACCCCAGAGAAGCCACTAGAAACGCCGCCTGACAGCACGCCACAGTGATCAAAGCCGGCTTATACACCGGCGCATCATGCGCTGTTAACACCAAATCCCTCACACTACCCGCAAAATTCTGGGCCATGAAGTTCAAACCCAAGCCAAACGCTCGACCCGTCGTAGCTGTGGTGTTAGATAGGAGACACACCGGGACCCAGTATACCTGGCGTGAAGGTACTAAAAGTGATAAGGTAGGTTAGAAAGTAGCCGGCTTAGACGTGCGTGACTAAATTAAGCGTAGCGAGCAATGAGCAATATCCACAGCGGAGGGAGACGGAGAGCGCCGGTGGCGATGTAGGCATGTTGCTGGAAGAAGTCTGAAACATAGGTTGTGGTTAGTTGAACGGCAGCGGCCATGAGGTTGGGTCCGAAGGTGTAGAGATTCGCCTTTGAGGGGACGATGGCAAGACGCTTGACCATGGCCGGCAGAAAGTTCGAGCTACTGGCTACGCGGACGCCTTAGAGGAGCGGTATTAGGGTATATGGAGCAATGTCAAATCCAAGCCCTCCCAGTGCTGACGAGAGCTTAGCTACGTATCCAGAGCTAGCATAAGAAGCAAGTCGGTCTTCCGAATCAGAATCCTCTCTGCAAATTCATCGAACGCAGCTGGGGGGATCCGCAAAGACAGTCACATCGAAGCTGGGCTTTTCCTGGTTATCCACCGCTGCCAGATGGGCAAGATCCTACATGAAGGGAAAAGGAAAATGGAGGATCGGCATGTGGGACGATGACAGAAATGCCAACTCAAGGCTTGATGGTACTTATCACTGCAGGCAGGCGATTTCAGTATCACACCTATATTCCATAGCTGATTCGATCTTACAATTGAGCTGGTCAACGTTTGGACTCACTCTCGCCAATCACTAAGAGCGAGCTCGCCATCTGTATCCACTGCGTCGATGTGACATCTTCACGTGCCCGCCTTCGCCAAGCGTAGGAGTGTTCAGGTCCATGTTGCCGGCACCGAAGATGAAATAGTCATTGAAATATGCGCAAAGCGGAAAGGCTACAGCGATAGTGTCGCGCGGTGTGTTCTTGAGTTTCAGCGTCAGTCTGGGCGGACACATTATAATCTACAGCGGGGACAGGTAACTCGTAGCACGCTGTAGACGTGCAACGTCTAGATATAGACATCATGGATAGTACTGACTCGGCGGTGGGGTAGCTTCGGATTTGCGCGATTCGCTTACACAGTTCAGGGTTCTCTGCTCCTTGTATAGACACTCAATGTTTTCTTCGTTTCGAAATTGGAACGCATTGATCGAAACAAAGTCTGGAACGCGTCACATTGTGCCTGCCGACATACCTAAAGAAGACGAAATAAATGATTCGACAACCTCTTCAAGGCCGACTAGGAAGTCACCCTTGATTCACTATCCCAGCGCCCAAAATACTGCCTTCTTCGCCTGATGGCGCAAGTCATTTCTGGCCGTTGGCTTCGCGAATCTACTGCCTCCTTTGTCACTTCTTTGGTCAGGAGAGGCACCAGTCGATCTCACGGACTACACAGAACGAACGAAGAGGGTTCTCCGCACCCACACCTTTGGTCGATGGACGCCATGGTCTTCCATGGCACATGTGTGAATAGGACTCCACAATCGTATATACGACTCTGGTCTGGACTTGAATAAGCGTTCTCTCGATCACGTTGATCTCCAATGAATGCGACAAGGAATCATTGGTGGGTAAACTCTGGAGTGAATATGTTGATTGCAATGCCAATTAGCAGCATTTCGGAGGTCCTTAGGTAAACCAATTTTGACGCATGCAATAGAGGTGATGATCAATTGACTGAGTAACGCTATAATGAATCGTTAGAGGCACCCTTGAAAAAATCGACTTTACAAGCGTTTCATTGAGGAATATCCAGACAACCTTCAGTACTGCGATACTCCTTCCTGTGCTCGATCCGCAATCAAGAAAAGTCGGATTTTAAAGCATGATCGAAATTTTAGGCGGACTTTAAGTTGGTGGAAGCGTCGCAAGCATACGCCAGGGTTTCGAGCACTCACGATTGCGATTAATCTTTCGGCACATCGCCCAGCACTATAGCCGCTGTTGGCCCGGATTAGGGTCTACTCAAGCTCGGCTATGCCGCGGTCAAGGAGATGAATCGTCCCGGGATGATGGCCAACTTGTCCCATGTCTCCCACCAAACAATGCGGGATGTAATGTCTGTTGCCCAGGCGCCCATCATCTTCAGTCACCCAGGCGCATACAGCGTGGAGAAATACTTGTGGCACGTCCCAAATGACGTCCTGCGTTCCAAAAAACAAATGTGGCATTGTCATGGCGGTATTCGTGAACCGCTTCTCGAACATGAAGGACCCTGATGAGGCAGCCATCAATGACGTTGTGGAACACCTTATGTAAAGCGGACGTCTGTAGTCGATCATGTCCCAGGGCAGAGTCAGCAAAGCAGTGACGAGCATCGGTACGAGTCCTTGGGATGAGAGTTGTAAGCGACGTCACAAGGCAGCAGTTGGAGACTTGAACCGGACGGTAGATAGCTATGCGGGGTTAAGTCGGATCAAATTACGATCCATCTTCAGACTCACTACTGATTCCGGAACCAAATCCTGAACTTGGAGTCTCGCGGGTTCCTGAAGGGTATCTTCGATACGACTCGCAACGAAAATGCCGCAGTGGATTTGCGGCCCGCAGTAAAGCGGTTCGCATTGGATTTGAGCTTGACCCTCAATTACGGCACCCGCTAGGCGGCTACCTTGAATGAGCCTAGAGTTGCCAACGTGAAGAACCTCACAGAGACCCGCCTTTGAACGAGATTGTTCAATTCGAATCAGAAATATCGCCATACCGTGAGACGTCGGAAAACCACTCAGATTTCTTTCCACTCTGCGGTATTTGGGGTCCAATCGCCTCCTTGTTCGGTTTGCTTTTTCGGTTTGCGCGAGCAGACGAGCCATGCAGCTGACATCGGTCGCAGTTGTCTAGGTTATAATGACGTGCTGTTAAACAACTTGAGCCGCGAGTTGAAGATAGAGTCGATAAGCCCTGCATCCGAGGCGCTGTCCTCCGAGACTCCGAGGCGGCTGGGCTCACAAGGGAGGAGCTCATCAGCGTAAGTCTAAGCTTGATGTTGGTAAATATGTCCTGTCTCTCGTTGTTGATCAACTGAAGCGATATACTGAATACTGTACGGGGCCGATGCCAATCAGCCCAATCTCGCGTGGGCTATCCTGCTGTTGGCGCATTCGCCTGATTTGCAAGGGGAGGTATACGCAGGCATCCGCACTGTTAACAATCTACAACTACCCTGTAGTGCATATGCATCTACTGGGTTCCCGTACATTGACGCGCTGACCAAAGACATTTCGCGATACTACGTCGTGCTGAAGCTGGGATTGCCGGGTGTGACCTATACGGATTCGAGTACAACGACGCCTTTGTACGAGCAAACACGGTAGTCATCCTAAATTCATGGGCATTTAACCGAGGTATTAACGTACGACGAGCGAGAAGCTGCTTTGAGCTAAATCAGATGAGATCCTAACCGCTTCGCTCACCCGTGGTCTTTCGATCCGGACCGCTGGCTCGCGATGGAAACTCGGACAAGGAAGGCTCTAGACCGCATGCAAACCAGTTTGCGTTCGGTATAGGTGGTCGTATATGAGTGGCATCCCATCTGGCCCAGGACGCGTCGTTTACCGTGTACTTGCATTTGACTGCGAATTATCGCGTCCTACCCGCTGACGGTGAGGGCAAGGAAGCCATCGCTCTGTTGAAAGGATTGAAATCTCCAAATTCATATGTCGCTACGCCGAATGGATTCAAGATTAAGTTTGTGCCACGAGAACGGCGGTAATTGCTGGAATCATGGATGGAGAGGAAGTGATGTCAGCGGAGACTTCGGACAAATCAAAGTTGATGTGGCTGTGCGTGAGGCTGCATGTGGCTGGTGAGCCCCCACAAGGAAAGTGCATCTCCCAACGACCTTGAAGTGTCTCTCTTTAACTCTGAGTGACCAGCAAAACGGCTCCCAAATAACTTCTGTCGAAAGAGATAAGTATTCAGATGAGGTTCCAGCCCATGTGACGGAGCTTAGATTTCGGTGTGGCTATTCTTCCACCTCGTGTCTCAGACCTGGTTTGAGCACCGTTTCAAAAGTACCTGTGCCAACGCGATCTACAAAAACACAGCAAAGTCATCCTAGCTTCGAAAACAAGCTATCGCTAGCGACGATCTTAAATGGACTAAAAGTCAGCGGCCTGGTGCGCAGTCATGTCTCTTTGCAGAGACTCAAGCTGTGTCATTATGGTATTCCACCCGTCCAGCGGTACTTTGTAGCTTGTAGCTTATCACTACGTTTAATATTGTCTTCACAAAACATGGCGCGCTTCACTGTCTCTCACAGAAGCACCGATATGGATTTGGAATCTCCCGAGCCGTCCTTGTTACGCGTCTTAATGATGAACTCCGGCCCACCTGAGGCATCCCCGGACCAATCTCAGGACTTGGCGAGCCATGAGGCGGCTATCTGCAATGGCGATCCCCGTGCACAGTTCCTTATGCAGCGGCAAAGAACCTCAGGAATCATGACCATCCGGTTTCAGTACAAGCCTCTTGTTCCAGGCATACATCCTTTGCACAAGCAGTATGATGCTCGTCTGCATAGACCTCCATGACGAGAGACGCAATCGTATTAAAGGTAGAGACGCCCAGGACTATTGACGACATTCAGCCGCTCCCTCTTTGAAGAACAGTCAAGTCTTTCTTAATTACACTTTCCTAGCTACACTCCTTTGTCGCCGGGCGACTTGCTTTCTCTATCCACATTACGATTCTTGATACCCAATCTCCCATAATCATCATGAAGTTCACCGCTGTCATCGCTGCTGTCCTCTCCATGGCGGTCGTCACCATTGCTGCCCCAATCGCCGTCGCCGAGGCAGAAGGTATGTCAAAATCTATAGGCTGTTCTGATTTCCTCGTCTGACGGACCGCTATGTAGCCCAGAACCACGGCATGTGCGTCACGAGTGATGGCACAACAGTTACCCAGATCACGAACTGCTAGACGGCTCGAGGAATTCGATGTATGGGTTTCAAAGTTGAACGGGACAAACACATTGTTTTCTACGAAGGATGTGGAGCGAATAATCTCCTATGACTGTTCATACCCTTCCGAGTGAGCCTGGCGTACTATTGCCGAGCCCTCTCCCTGATGTCATCAGCTAGACACTTTGATCGGTCGCTAGGGCGGCTCGAATGAATACGTAATAAACATAATCACGACTTCCAATACATCCATGGATGTATCGATGCACGTCATTGTTCGTACCCTACTCGCAATGATATAATAGTTCGTGCCGTGATGCAGAAGACCTCTGGATGGATTATGTACAATCTAAAGCCGAAAACGTTCGTGTAGCTTTTGATCGTGTAGTGTGCTTGCCGCGTATACATGCACCGTTTGCTGCAGTGTGATGGCGGTCGTGATACAGGCTAGTCTCTATTTGGCAGTGTCGGCCATCGCGCCACCACAGTTGATAACGACTGTCAGGACGTCAAACAATAGCGAATTATCTTCCGCATTGTGATCTAGCAAAACTGTCTGCTAGGACAGATCATTGTCCATGAGCAAGTGTACGGTCTTGGGAATCGAACATCGACACTGGATCGAATGTTCGAGCCTGCATTGCGTCATGAACGCGCGCCCGGTTCCCCAAAATAACCTCGTTCCAGGTTTCTCGACAGAACATCACCTTTTGGAATTCTTCTCGCTCTTTTGTTTGTCAACATCCCTCAAATCATTCTCATTCACTGTTACGGAGTCTTTTCCCAGTCATCGCCTTTGTTCTGGTTCTCCTAGTCTATATCTATCCCTTGGACTGTCTTGCACATTATACTCACAACAAACCGTAGTAGACGGTTTAAACTTGTATTTGAATATTACAGAGGAATTTGAAGCCCGCTATCGTAGGAGCGGTACAGACGTTCCTTACATGAGGGCCTAGGGACAAGATGCGAAACATGCTCAATTGCTCCTGTTTTCAATAGAGACACAGACACACAAATACGTCGACGCAGGGGTGAGAGGGCAAGCGAGATGCCTCTCAAAGTGTTGAGAACCCAAGATAAGGTGGTTGAGGATGTAGCCGACCGTTGCAAGGATACTAAACTGGGAGAGATGGGAGAGATGAAAGAACACTGTGAGCGGCTGTAGATGGTTGAAGAATGCGTAGCCAGGCACATTGGAGCTATCAATACTGGCCAGCAGCGACTATATATCACGAGCTACCGTCAAAGAGCGAATGGGGCGCTCTTGCCGTTTGCGCTGGCGTAAACACGGCAGGTGCGAGGCACTCACCTCCATTCCTGGCTCTCAACAAACTTCACCTCACCTCGACCACCCACTTGCTACCGAACTCTTTGCGATCGTGCGGCTCGTTAACTGTCCTTGAGTCTCCTACACCCGCTCACGAATACTGTTTGTTACCTTCACAAGCAGCAGTTTGGCGTCATGCCCGAGAAAAGCGGTGCTGGCGGCTGGCGCAAGAGGAGTGAGTGATCTCGAAACCGCACAGCGTCTTTCACACAAATATACTGACCATTTGTTTTGCAGTACATGCTCGACCCGGCGCTGCAAAGTTGAATCCCGAAGACCACGTCTCAGCCGAGGCAGATACAGAAAGCCTTCGGCCACCGTCAGAGCGGTCAAGCTGGAGGAGCACCTTCCACAGCCGTCCAGCAACACCCAGCAGAACACCGACGCCGACCGTCTTCCAGGTCGACACAGATGTTTTCCGCCGCGAGATCACCTCGGATGCGCCTAGCCCGCGCAAAGCAACGAAGCCCAAGTTAGCACGGTATCTTTCAGGCTACCTGTCAATCAAAGATGCATCAAAAGAGCCCGATACATTTTCGGAGCCATGGGTTGAATTACCACCAACGTTTACAGAATACGTAGATCCCTTGGTCTCTCTTCAGTCCGTGTTTTCGCATATGACAAGCAATCCGTCTCAGCCAATACCACTTCACTACAACAGCGGTATCTTCCGTATCTTTGAGGACTATCGCAAGATTAGGGAAGAGAGTAAACGTCTGGACAATCTTTTACACGAGACCTTTGAGGGATACCGAGCGGCGGAGAGGTTCTACGACAAAGCAGAGGCTGAATATCAAGCGGAGATTCGTCGACTAGAGCTTCTCATTGCTCGTGGTACATCAGGCATGGCTGGGTGAGCAGTGACGTGCGCTTTCTGAAGCAAAACAGTTAATCAGGTCGTGCAGAGTGATAAAGGCGAGACGCGACTCTACTGTTGAGAGGGCACGGACTCACCGGAAGACAATCTCATACGACCATACACCAATGTCCCTCCCAGCGGCCTTCGAGAATGTGCCGACGGGGCAGTTGGACGAACAGATCCGTATGCGGAGTCAACAAGGTATGTATACTATGTCGAGCATAGAGCATATGTTCAAAGCGACTGTGCTACAAATTGCTTGTATGGCTAAATGCTATAGAATAGTCGTGTCTCCGTAGATAAGCTGACGATCATTACAGTACTTTTACGAAGGCCAGTATCTCCGTCAAGCAGGATGACTATTCTATCTAGATGCCTTGAAAATGCTCAATCTGCGGGCGACTTTGCTGTTGGCACGCCGCCGACTTTAGGGAAGGTCACATTGTCTCGCAAAGTGCATAGCGAACTCAACCTCGCGCGCCTTGGAAACCATGGCATTGACGGCTCACTCCCTCACTCAATCGACTCGGGCTTTTCCGGTAACGGCGATCCATTGCCAGACGAGGTCGGGCCTCCGCCGGTTTTGGTAGAGCCTGCAGTCGATCTGGAGGCTTTTGTAGCCCTAAAGGAGCTTGGGACTCTGGTTGCACGAAAGCGAGGGATCGATACGGCCAAGTTTCTCACAGGGCTGATGCAATTGTACTCGATGGTTTCGGAGAACATCGAACATGTGCCCAGCTATGGAGCGCCTGGTCAAGAGATCAACATGAGCTCTTTCAAGCCTGCAGGAAACCTTTCCACAACCCCTTCCAGCCTAGAGCACATTGTACGACAAATCCATTCACAGCCACAGATCGGATCTGCTCAGCGAAGCCGAAGACATTTCTCATTCGAACCAGGCGATGATCAGGTCCCGGCAATCGAAAGGGAAGTGGAAGCGCATAAGACGGAGGACTTGTCTAACTCAGACGAGCTAGAGACGGCATCCGATGGAGAATGTAGGTCCTCACTGCGTAGTTCGTCGCGCCATGCCGACACACAGAAGCCATCCAAGATTCTGTCTCCGATACAACGACCGGGGCTAGAGAATGTTCGCCACGAAAGCTCAAACTCCAGCGTAGGGAGTGCGCTCCAAAGATCAGACACGGACGAACGACGTGACAGTCGGTCGAGTGTGCTGACCGCATTCCGTCAAAATTCTAGCGGAAGCTTGCAGCCTATTACGCAGAGCAGAAGTATTTCTATGCATACCTTACGACACGGCGAGGGTCATTCATCCAGCTCTGTTGGCAGCCTTGGGGTGCGACGCAATATCGCAGCTCTGGCTGCAGCTAAAGCAGTCGACCAGGCGGACAAATCGGTGCCCAAAAGCAACGCCACCCAGTCCGCCACGATAGCTCCTGCCTTGGGATCATCCGCACGAGCTAGTCGTCTATCTGGGAAGGCACAGATGGAGAACGCTTTACCTCATGAGCACCCATGACAACGTATTCGTATGGCACTAATTCATCGACATCCTAATCTATTCCATGTTGGGATGACACGTTAGTGAGAAGGAGTTCTGCGTTGGCGAATAATGGCGCTTTCGTCACATCTTGAAAGAGGCCCTAACATACCTAGCTTGAAGATGTAACCACGGGACCATAACGCCGCGTTGTGAAAGCCGCGGGCTTGATTCCATCACAATACACGGATTCTTCCTGGTGCAGCTGTCTTCCTTCGCATATCATCATTACCCCGTACATATGCTATTGCAGGGGTATGCGTCAAAGTTGGGGAACATTACATGGCGAGCAGAAGGGCAACAGCTTATTCGGTCGCGTCAAAAATTTGGGATGCACCCGGTATCGAAATTGGAGTTCGCTCTTTTCGGACAGATTAAATGGCAATCCCCCAAATCTCACCTCAGCAACCTCGAATTACCGCCATGTGGTGTAGCCGGCGGACTGTGACATTTCTGCGCTTCACATAATGATCCGAATAGTTCGCACGGAAGCCAGCTACTTTGACTTGGTGAAGAGATTGGTGTTCGATTATCACATCCTGAGTTGCTAACAGATGATGAAGTCTACGACCTAACCCAACCGGCGCCGTTGTACCTGACGGCCACATTCAATCTCCTCTCCGGTTAATGCATTTTCTTCCTTGGCGTCCAAACATGCGCTAGAAAAGATCAACCTCAGTTCACTGTGGCTGGACAGCATTCATATCCGATTCTCTCGCGAAGTCGGCTAGCTGTCCCACGAGCACACGCGTTCTTTGAAGTCCTGAACGAATGATATCCAGGGGAGGACGTTTTGCGCCACCGCTCCCGTGTCGATCAACGCCACAATTGTGGCGCTCCATACATCGGCTAAATGCTCGGCGAAGGGCAATCGGCCGCTGTGCCACAGCCCTGAGCCCTGAGCGAATCTGCAGCGTCTCATCGCGTGATGATGTGCAACAGATCGCGCTCATCAATTGCTTCATCTGTCCGGCTACCTTGGGGCTCGCCACACTTATTTTTATATGTGCGGCTCGGCTTTGACTCCGACGCACGCAGGCGGTAACTGCCGGGTTCCATCGATGGCGGGTCGGTGTGACGATAGCTCTGCTGGCGGTCATGCGATTGATTGTCGAATCAATCACCGAAACACGAAATCCATCACGTCGGCGGCAGAGAAGTCGATTGTGAAAATGACAAAGTGCTGGTTTCGCATGGCGACGGGAATACGCACGTTGTGGAGCTCCTTAATCTCGGCTCATTGGTATATGGAAGCATGTTAAGATATTTTGGGTCAGGCTAGGCGCGCAATGGGCGAGTTGCTATACTCCCAAGCGATATGGCTGATTTAGTTTCAACCCACGCAAGCCACCAGATTGGCCGTTAGGAGAGATTCCGGGGCCCAATCCTCGTCGGTCGAAGACGGTCCCGGGGCGGTCACGCAGGAGACGATGCACGGATGGGCCACGGGAGGGCTGGACGCTTCACTGTACTGCGTGCCAGCAAAGGCGGGGATGTTGCGAAAGCATAGCGATAGACGAGGACGGTCAACCGTCAGGTGGCAGATGTCATGGAGTGCCAGCGCACATGGTACGCCGCTTTGATACGTACCGCGGGTTCAGAGGGGTTTAGTGGGCCTCGGATGGGCTTCTTTGGGGGGATAATTACCGGGGGCACAGGATTGGCGTGCCACCGACCTCAGAGCCACAAAAGCCTCGTACAAACAATAATGGTGTGGCAGTTGGAGGACGGATTCGAGAAACGATGGGGTTGCCGCGTGGCACAGGCCCTCGGTGCGGGCGCGACGACCATCACCGCCTATTCGGGCGTGCTGGGGCTTCCAGAGCTTCGCGGAAGACGTAGGGCAGTGGCTGTGCACTGCACGTCGCCGTCGCCAGAGGGACGTCTGTGGTGGTGTTCTCGGGCGCTCTTTGGCCTAGCGGAGGCGCGAGAGCAAAGGTGCAGCGGCAGCGCGACGCAGGGAGCACGTCTAGGCCTCTGGCTGTCGCTGCGCGCCGCTTTTGCGCTACTGAACCCATCGTGCGGCGGCCTTGTCCAGCAGACGCGATGACCGGGCCCCCAAGCGCTGCCGTTTGATCCAGTGAAAGCTCGGTCGGCTAGCCTGATAAAAGACGCCTGACCTCGCAGCCCATGCACCGGCCCTGTAGACACCTGTGGCTTGACCCGTGTGGCATCTCTCCCGTTTCATCAAGTCACCTCTGGAGCCTCCCCATCTTCCAACCTCACCTCTCTCGATGCTGGTAGACACACCGCGCTGCCGCTCTGAGCTTCCCCGCGATGTTTCGCAATCGGTATGTCCTCGACGCCCGTCCTCGTCCCGCACGCAGCTTCTTGTTGTGTGCTGCGCGTCGCGCCCACGGCCAGCGCAGCTCCGGTACCCATGCTGACCGCTCCCCAGCACCAATTCGCAGAAGCCCAATGAAGAGCTTCTAGAGAACTTCAGAGCGACCTTCCCGCACCTTGCACACACTTCGCGCTCGCAATCCCTCAACAATGCCCAAGGACCCTCTCTCACGGATGCGCTCGACGTAGCTCAGACGGCTCGGTAGGTTTCCGCCCCGGCGCGCGCCAGCACCCGACTCCCCATGCGTTGCCGACCACGCGCCTTGCTCAGCAACCCTCGTATTCAGCCTCGAGACATCATCTTCTGCTATGTGCAAGGACTCTGCTAACAGACCATCTATTCCAGCAACTTTGGCGACCAAGAGGATATCAAGGATGCAGACCCGACGCCGCGCGGGAATAACGAACCATGGCGCTTTACACCATCTCTTCTCGACCCAAACAGCTTCGCATTCACCACCTTTGCTAACCAACCGCCGGGATATTATACGCCCACCCCCGGTGGAACCAACACCCTCTACCACAGCCAGGCTGGCGACCTGCACACTCCCGGTTTCAGCTTCGGCCTAGGTACTCCGCTATCTCTCCCCACTTCAGAAGGCGCTTTGCATGCTGGACAAACGGCACCTACCACTCAGCTCCATGGCTTCAACCCACATGCGCTTGGCACGCACCATCACTTTACGAACCAGAACCCCTTCGCTATGCAGGCTCAACATGCGCCTGCTTTTGCGCCGCATCAGTTCACTCATCAGCCCTCGGTCTTCGAACAACAACATGCGCCACTAGCTCAAACCCACGAGAATTCTCCTATGGACAACATTGTGCCCGACATAGAGATGCAGGAACAATCACCTTTGATTGGCTATGCACCTCCGACGTTCGAAGAGAATGTTCCAGCTCCCGCTGCTCCGTTGCCGGGCGAGAAGTAGGTTTTCCTAGTCCGTTCAAATTACTTGGTGCACTTGGCTGACTCCGCGTAGCTTCCGGTATCACGTTACTCTGAATGCGCCCACGGCAATGATCAAGCATGCAGATGAGATTCCAGTAACATACTTGAACAAAGGACAGGCGTATACGATCTCTTTAGTTGATACGGCGCCAGTCCAGAATTCACTCATGCCTGTCAAGTATCGAACATTCATCCGGATTTCGTTCGAAGATGAACAACAGCGTCAACGCCCGGCGTCGTGTTGGCAGCTTTGGAAGGAGGGTCGCGGTACGAATGAAGCACATCAAAGAGGTGGCCGATTACAAGCTGTTGAGTTCGTCGATCCAAGCCAAGTGGGTGGTGGTGAGATGCAAGGACGCCCCAAGATCGAGCTTGACACCGCTTCATTCGATGGTTTCGCCGTAACGTGGTCGCCCGTTCACAATACCGCTCCTGAATGCTCACTCGCCGTTCGCTTCAACTTTCTTTCAACGGATTTCAGCCACTCAAAGGGTGTGAAAGGCATCCCAGTCCGATTATGCGCCAAGACTGAGCTGCTTACGAACGGACCCGGATCTCCAGGCAATGGCAAGCAAGCAGAGCTTTGCTATTGCAAAGTGAAGCTGTTCCGCGACCATGGTGCGGAGAGAAAGCTGTCCAACGACGTCGCACATGTCAAGAAAACCATCGACAAGTTAAAACAGCAGATTTCTCAGGTTGAATCTGGTATGAAAGATTTCGGAAAGCGAAAGCGCAGTGGATCGATTTCCAAAGGTGCGCCCAGCCAAAGACCTGGGAAGGTGCAGAAACACAAGAGGACGTGGTCCATGTCATCTAACGGCGAGTCTGGAGGTCGACCTGCCGCCGAAGAGGACCTCCATCTCAAGCTGGCCAGCCTGCAGGACATGTTCAGCTCCACGAGGCCAGTCAGCGTACTATATCTCAAAGGAGAAGACAGTGATGACCCAGATCTTCACCCAGTACAGCTGACAGGCTCACCACCGGATCTACAAAGGGTCGACACGAACGTGAGCACCGACACACAAATGTGGGAAAAGCAGAGCTCGCATACTGGAGCTACATCTTCAGTCGTTTCGCCAACCCCTAGCCATCAATCTCTACATTCCGAAAAGCGGAGAGGGTCGACATTCAAACATCCTACGCCTTTCCCCCCCTCTCGAATGTCATCAAACGAATGGCGAAATCTTCCTCAGACTGCGACGGGCGACATTAAGCCTCACGGCGTCACTGCTGGTTCTGATGTGCCCACGAAGGTCCAAAGACCATATGGCGATGATCATACCCTTTCTGGGTGGATCGAAGCTCTAGGGGTCGATCAAACGTACCAACCGCCACCCGAGCCAATTATCAAGCCAGGTAAGTAATGATCGTCGTGTTACTACATCATATGCTAATTAAAGCGTCAAGTGGCCTGTTTCTTTGTGCAGCCTCGCATCGCGGGTAAACAACCCGACGACAACTACTTCCGAGCCGTTTATCTCATGGAACGCACCCTCAAAGAACTCGTCGCCGGTATCGCACGGAAGATCAATATCGAACCCACCAAAGTCACTCGCACCATCCGTGTCAATCAGAAGGGTCTGCAAATCCTTCTGGACGATGCTGGTGTCCAGGCTATACCGGAACAGCAAGATATGGCTGCTGAATTCCAGGAAATTATACCGCCAGCCCAACCCATGAGACGAGAATGGGACGCAGGCCCAACGGACATTCAAGTCGACGGCGACATCAGCGTAATCGAGAACGTGAACTCTACTGGCTACGAGCTCCGACTTCTGTACTAAACGCCAGCCGTTTGTCGCCAGACTGCACTCTCTACGCTCGACCTCAGTCTTACCACACTAATGATCCTACGTAATGATATTGTACTATTTGTACACACTCGCAGTGTCAGCGGCAACATTCGGAGATACCTCAACACTGGTCCATTTCGCTTCACTTCTACTTCACCTTTGGCGTCTCTACATCTTCTTCCAGATACCACAGCTCCCTTGCGAGCCTTTGATACTACCTTTCTTATGTTGATTCGTTTTACGATACCCATTATTCTCCTTGTGAGAACCTGCTTCGGATGAGATTGGATTTGGAGAGCGGTATACGCGCGGACAGATCTTAGCTTGAGCTTATTACCCGTACACACTACTTTGGACGCGACCGGAGGCCGTATTTGTTAATGAACGGATGAGGGAAAGGGAAAGGGAGAGGGAATATACACGCGTGGATCGTACATGTAGCCCATGGAGACGGGCTTTCGCTATCAAGGCGTACTCGAGTCATTTTGGCAGAGATTGTCTCTTCCTGCTAAAATCTATCAAAGACATAACAACGTCAAACTTTACAATCCTCAGTCTTTCAGTCTTCACATCACTGACTCCAGTTCACATCTACCGTTGGGCAACTACCTTTACCGCCACCTCGAGACGAAACCAACCAGTTGCTGAGCCGAAATTCAGATCAATTACGCCGGATTCGCAAACGGCCCGCCAGCGCCAACCGCTAGCAACTGTGATACGGTCGGTCTTGATACGTATAGTCGCCCTTTCGACCCAGTCCAGCCCAGCCCAGCGCACCTACTACCAATTTAACGAGTCAAGCGCCAGTACCCCGGCCGCGGGCGCAAATTCGCATTGCGCCATTTCACAGCACACAAACGGAACGCATTACCGAAGTCTGACCAGCATTCATGTTGCGTACAAGACGTTATCACAATTTTGCGCATGGGAAGAAGCTGGTGATTCGGAGCCTAGTCCGAGATCGGGCTACGCAGACGGGCCTTCTTTGTAATTGTCACAATGCGGAACGAGAAAGAGGTGTTTTTGCTAGGTGTGGCTGGGGAGGTTTGGACTAGGATTGGAGGGGTTTCCTAGCGCGCGTGCTGTGGGGATGTCGAAAAGGTACCAGTTAGGGGAAACGTTTGTTTGATGGAGCGAGCTTGATGTCATTGTGCGTCCCCACTCTGACCACTCACATGGATGAGTTAGGGGTTTGAATGGGGATGCGCTGGCCTTTTCACGGTACTTTGTGCTGTCGCGGGAGCGTTTCGTGTCAACTTTGGGCGAGTGGGTGAACTGGCCCTCGATCAGTCTACGCGTTACTCCGTTTGACGCCGGAGAGGCATTCGAAGCGGCAAATAGCAATTGGCGCGCAATGCCATTGACCATTAGGCGTTGTAAACCTCATGCGCCGAAGCACCGCACAGAATCATGCCATGCTGCGCGCGTGAAGAGACACCGGCGGTGTTGCTTAGCACTACCACATGGCAGTCTCCGGGACCGTTTACAGTCAGTCTGGAAGGCGTCAAGCGACACCTACTGCAAGGCTAATCCGATAAAGCGTGCTGGACCGGCCCCTGCGAGTATCAGTCGGTCAAGAAGCAGCGTGCATCGGTGCCCGGCCGTGCGGGTTCCACCTCGGTACGCTTTACATCATGCGTCTGCACATCTTAATTCTCCTCTGCCCTGCAGCGGGCGTGGAGGGTTCCGATGGGTCTCGGAGGGGATTGCTGAGGCTGGAGCGTATCGCGGTCGCCGACAAACTAGGGAGATGTCTCCAGACGCGTACGCCGGTGTATGCTAGCTCTCGTAACATGAGGCTGGTACCAACGACGGGCCAATTGAAGCACAGAAGGGACCGTTACACGGCAGTTCTCGATGGTTGGAGATGGGAGTTTGAGTTGCCGATCACGAAGATCATGCTACTGTGCCACAGTAGAATTTGCCACCCCGTGTCAGAAACACGGGAACTGTGGCGAGTGCAGGAGCATTCGCCACAACGGCTCGGGAAGATGAGGCGTACCTACCATGTGACCGTGACTCAGAACTACGACCATGGCGGTGCGTGTGCGGAGACTCTGTTTGGTGAGTGGACGGTAGATAGGTCTGTCGGTTACAGCACGCTTGCAACACGCTTCTGTGAAAGCCGAGAGGTGCTTCATGGCGTCTAGGGTACGCGTCCTTGTTGCCACACGGTACGGGAGGTGTCTTGGGCAATGCTCGGTGGTACGACCATTCTGTAACGATTGCGTAGAGCAAGCGGTGTGAAGCAGTGAGCTGTACAGAATACTGTTACTACGCTCTGGACATGTACGCATTGGGCAAAGCGCAGTGCCTGTCCTTGATTGACGACACCACGCGAGCAAGCGACCCGAATGCGTGGACGTACGTGGGGATAAGCTCAAGGCGTGAGGGAGCTAGACTTGCACAGGAAAGTGGTGTTCCAAACAATGTATGCTCATCCCGAAGACGTATCTCTGCACTGCCACAAGGCATCTGGTTCGCCGCCGGTCGCTGACCCGCAGGCGCTCCAAAGAGGGGTACATGGAGGAAACTGGCCTTTCGGGATGTCCGTGGAAAGAGCTAGATGCGAGCTCCTGCACCCTGCACACCACACGCTGGCCCCTCGGCGTCGTCTCCAGCGCAAGAGCGCAATTGCACGGAGACGAGAACAGTGACATGGGATCGCCAGCACGCACGGCTCGCTTTCGGTTCGGAGAGATCACCGATCGCAGCTCGATATCCGCATCGTCGCCATCCCTGCAGGGACGCTGCTTTAGCATCCACGCCCAGGGCAACCGTTTGATCGATCCCGTGACCAGGCCCTTTGGCGTACCCTTGCCAGTCCTCATTTCAGCGCGCAGAAGCAGGGGCGTCGTAAGCTCTTCTTGTCGCCATTTTTGCGTGCATTCTGCCCCTTTCTTTCAACGCCAGCCGGAAAACCGAGTTTGGCATGCACGCTCGTGCCTGAATGCACAGCGCTGCAGAGCTTCACGCCGGAAATGCACTTGGCTCCCGTCCCGCCCGCCAGCGCAGTGTTTCAGACGCCCATCTGCAGCCATGGCACCACGTGACGTCAGAAGCATGCAGAAAGCATTTGTGTCGTGGCCCAATAGTCAAAATGCCCTCGTCAAAGGCCAACCTTGGGATTCATCACTCGGCCGAATGGGTCCTCGTGGCGTAGGCACTCACTGGGCTGCATGCCATCACATGCAGCCCGACGCGCAGGGTCAGCTGGGGTGAGCTGGAATGCTGCCGGTAGGTCGAATACCTCGCAGCACCGAAATGCCACGACTATTGAATGCAATGGCAGCGCATCAAAAGGAACATGCATTTGGCAAGGCTGGTGGGTCGTGCATACCGCGATAGACTCTGAAGAGAACTTCGTTCGGGCCTTTTTCTCCCGTGTTGATGTTCGAAAGAGACCTTACGTGCGTGTCGCAATGTTCGCCACTCCAGAGGCGGCAAAATTGTGGTGCAAGTGGCCGCTCCACCGGACACGGCTCGGTAGAGGCTTGCTCGATGAAGGGTATAAGCGAACAGATAAGATCCTTAGACGAAAGGTGGAGGAGCGGAGGAGATTCGCAACTAGGGTGTGGCGCAAACTGCCTTCATCTGAGCTGACGGGATAGGAAGGTATTGACTTGCTCAGGTTCTTGGCTATCTATTGCCAATAGTAGATCCCATCGAAGAGTTGAGAATATTCTCCGTGGTGATGTACAGATCCTACGAGTAATCGGACCGCAAGGCGGAGATTTTCGTCGCCATATATCTTCCGGGCAACAACGGCGTACGGAAATATTATCGAAGCCTTTGTTAAGTGGCGCGGCCTACATGGTCCGCAATGCATTACTCACGATCGTTGGGTCGGCGATTCAGTAACTCACATTGTACCGTAAGCAGTAGATAGTAAACTTATGAGAAATCATTACCTATGCGCATGCAATTCAACTTTGGAGCATGGTACGGAGATGTGATTGGTGTTGAGGTTTGCAATAAAAGATGGATATTCGTTGCAGAGAGGTTGACCATTTGGCTCCGCGATTTGACTGATTTCCTCCTATGCCCAGGTGTTGTTCTAAGCACGTGAATCATGTCGAGCTTGGATTTGCTCGACCTGTGGTGTCTCCGAAGCTGTGTCTGTTAGAGCCATCTCTAAGAGAAGTAGACGCAGAGCACGTGCAAGAGGCTTGACGAATTAATTCTCCTTAGTATTCGTAGCTGTCACCTGGACCAAGATTGGACGAGGCTTGTGCCATGCACACCTAGAGAGAAGAATTGAAAACGCATAATTCTTTCTTGATAAGTTTTTGATTGACATGGCTATGCCAATAGTACGTAAGTGATAGCACACAATCGAATCGACCCCATCACCATCCGAGCCTCCCTGTAAGACCCCTACCGAGAAATACTGAGACATATCTCGCCTGTGTGCGGACGCACGATTTGGACAGAGGCCACTAACTAGCAGCAGTCGTACGAGAAGGCCTTGAAATTCCCATTGATGAAGTTACCAGTGGGAACCTTGCGTTTTCCCGTATTGCAGTTGTCGTCCGTGTAGACCGTGACTATGGGAGATTTTTAAGTCAGTCATCAGTATTTGTCAATAAAAGGCCTTAGCCGTGCTCACTCACAGCAATAATCGTGTCCATTGACATCATGATCCACATGCGCGGCCTTCACACTCTTTTCCGTACCGGCGGCGAATTTAGCGCATCCGCCATTGCAGTTCTTTGGGGGTACAAGGCCTGTGATAGTCGTGCAGTCGGCGCCATTGTTACTCTTGCAAGCGGTGATGGAGCCGTTGGCTGCGACTTGCGTGGCGCAGAAGGCTAGGATGGAGGCAGCAAGGGTGAGCTTCATGTTGGGTGAGGTATGGATGTAGGCTGGTTGTTTTTGAGCTGAGTGCTTCTGGAGAAGTTGGTGGTCGATGGATAGTATAATTAATGGATGGAGATAAATAGGATCCTTTTATATATTCAAGATGGACACATTTTTGCAATTCAATCTCTGCGATTAGTGTCGTACGCTCGCAACATTGTCACCGCATTCGCCTATCACGATAGTAGATTCCAGATTTGTAGTTCAGCTCACATTGTGTCCGAGAGACCGAAGAGTATGTTTAGAGACATATACTGCGATTAGTCCACGAAAGAGGACAGCAACAAAGCCAATGGTTATGTTCGATTCCCAGCCCGCGTACAATGGTGATTTACTGATCGTACTCCTGTCCAGTATTTGGCGTATGAGGTAAGCCTCAATCTACTCAGCCAATGTAATCTCTGCTATTTTTTTCAGCTACTGTGAGTGACTCGCAACATGCAACCCAGAATGTACTGTGACACTCGAATTAAGGCGTGCAATGTAAACCCTATTAGCAAATTTACGGCTAAGCTTCAACTGGAGAGGTACTTTATGCGATCGTAATGGCCGGCAAGTACGAGAAAAAGCTCAGCAACGTCGATCTCCTGAACCTGGTGTCACTGCTCAGCTGCGCCAATTCCATGCAACACCTAGCTGTCGCTATTGCCGGTCACGATTTCGTGGATCGTGGGAGATCGTAAGCAGGATATTCGATTGTGTGTTGTTCGTCATTGCATAAGACGCGTTGTGAGCAACTGAGCAGCACTTACGGCTGGAATCTTACTGAATTGGCCTTTCGGAGTAGCCTTAATAGGGTCACTAAGGTGAGAGCGCCCCTGATGATTCGTGATCGAAAGTACAGAAGGAAAGTGATATAATGTGGGGGAAATGGACTGCACAAGGAGCACCTGCGCCTTCCTTCACACGTCATCTGTAAATAGGGAATGTTACGAATGCGCACAGTGTGGAAGCAGTTATTTACTTGTATCTACGATTTGCCTCGAGGAAATCGACTGAGTACATCGCGATGCATGTGACACTGACCGACGAATTCAGAGCCCTTTAGAAGGACTGTCTTTGAACGATCCACATTATGCCAGTCTACGAGGAATCGAAGCTACAACTGAACTTTAGATGCAAATGTTCCTTATACATCATGTCGTCACCCGTGACCCATGGCCCCAATTCTTCATGCCGCTGCTTTTGCGCCCGTCTACCTAAACCTTATCGCTACGCGTGCTATGCGGCACAAAATAAGACCGCCTAAAAGATCATGGACTAGTCGACGCATGAAAGAATGTCGTCGAGGGCCTGCGTGGACACGCAGTCCAGGGGTTGCATAACGTTGAGCTGGGCGTGGGCGGGGCGATAAATCTTGAAGACGTGCTCAAGGTACTCACTGCGTCTGCAGCGTACACATCCTTATCCTGTGCCTCGACGTCAACAGCTGCCGGAAGCTCAGTCGCAGCAGCATGCTTTTCGCTAGAGCGCAAGGCCTTGGAATATGTTGTCACATGCTTGTGCAAGGCTGCATTGTCTGACCGGGTGAAACACAGCTATGACAAGGTGTTGAGGAAGCGGTCAGTCGGCTGGGCTTCGTGAATGAGTTCGTCGATGAGCAATAGAACGGTGGTGGTTATTGATGAATCGTATTAGACAACCCACCAAAAGGCGTTCAGCATGTCTCAGGCTGTTCTTCTTAAGGCGCCTCGGTTCGCTCTTCTTCCCTGTAGGCAAGTAGATCGTCTGCCTCGGGAAGAACACGCATGTGACCAGACGTCGAGCGAGGGTACCCCAGGCCAAGACCTTATGCTTGATCTACTTCAGGTGCTCGAGAGGCTTAGGTGCTCCAATGGAGCCATGGCGGACAGAGCTGGCGGCGGCTGTTTCTCTGAACGGGCCTCGGGTTGCGCTACTTCCTCGGGTAGTGTATATCGTGAATATTGGCATGGCGAAGGGGAGGGGTGTGCGTCAAAGAGGCGTAACATGTAAGGAACAGACGGACGGTCTGTCTTCGGACGAAGACACCCATAACACGACCTCGAGCCAGCGCGCTCTCAGCGTCGTGTGCACCGTGCATATCGGTAATGGCAGGGTCAAGGTACTTGGCGAGGACTGAACCTGTACTGTAAACCTCGACTATCCTGGCTCTCAGTCATCCAGCTCTCTTCCGAAGTCGATGAGCCGCAACTTCTGGGCATCTTTTGGATGGAACTGCGCGATCTTCGCCCTCACGAGGAATCGCGAGGCAGCAGAGTCCCTTTCAAGCTGATGGTAGGCCCTTCCACCGCCAGGCCCGGTCAAGGTCTTGAACAAGATCCCAATGAGCTCACGCATCTCGGCGTCGGCAGCTTCGGCTTCAGTCAACGGCTCTTCCTCTTCTTCAACAGCAGCTCTGCTGCCCCAGATTTGATCGATCCTGCGTTGCCGGATGTTGTCAGACACGGGCTTTTTCGCAGCTTTCGCCCTTCCTTTCTTCGTAAAGCCAGCTGCGAGAGTTTCGTTCTCAACGTTTAGCATGTCGCCAACGACAGGACCGCCAAGCTCTTCCGCAGCAAGCATAGCGGAGAGGTAGTCGTCGACGAACTCGTTGAGGGCATCACCAAGACGCTGCGTTTCCTCGTCGTGCCTTTTCTTTTGAGCACGCTTAGCAGCGATGAGTTCCTTTGCAAGCTGTGCAGGTGCTTTCTGTGATCGGTCCTCGATCTGAGCTTCCAGTCTCACCGTCCGGTCGCGCAGAGCTTCCTCGATTAGATTTGCATCATGCAGATTCGCCTCTTCCTGCTTGAGTAGAGCTTCGCTAGATGTGATCTGTGCCTCAGTGCTGGCTATGGCTTGTTTGGTGCCCCGGACGTTCTGCTGTAGTGTACGGGTTGCGAGCAAGGCGGGCAGCACGGAGTCTTTTGACGGCAGAAACGGCGCAACTGGCGTGAGACTTGTGTACGCGGCCTTTACTGCGCGCAGTTGCTTCAGCTTGTCACGTGGGTTTCCAGAGGCGTAGGCTGCTTGCTGTATATTGACGTGCGAAGAGCGGCGTAGCTTTGGTGTGTTAGCGAGCATTCTTTACCTTTTGGTTATAGATTCTGACCTGATCCAGAGCAGCTTGTTGTTCGTCGACGCGTGCTTGGAGTTCCCGCACCGTCTGTTCGAGACGCGTCTCAGTGCCGGACGCGTCAAGGTCCATGGCGCCACGCTGTAGGTCGCGCGTCTCCGCAGTAGACTTCCGTATGCGCGCAATGGTATCGGTGTCTGGCTGCACCATTTTTGCTGCGAGCAGAAAAGGGAAGATCAGACGGGGACTCGGTGCCGCGAAAGGAAGTCGCGACCGGGCAACGGATGAAGGTAGCCTGTTGTTGTCCAATTTCACCACAACCTTGGAATGCGTCCCGTCACGATTCAAGAATAGTATAAGTCATGCGGTGCGATTAGTGCTCGGTAATACTGTGACGCGTAATAGTAGACACAGCACCGAGAGCCCGCACCTGCAAAAAGCGGTCCACGTGACGAGTGCAACTTGCCAAGACGCCAACTCTCCACTAGGCTAGCAGATCTCCGCCTCCGCTTCTCTTTTGGCTTGGACGGCAGCGACGACTCTTCTTTTCACTTGCGCACACCACCTGCACTCACTGACCCCTCCCTTTCCGCACTTGGCTTCGCTTCCTTCCCCATATCTGCTTGCTCTTACTTCGAGCATCGCGCAGACGCAGACGCGCCCTCGAATCTGAGACGCCGGCTGCTTGTCCCCCAGGAAGGTTTGACGAGCGAGCTTTCTCTTTACTTAGGCCAATTTCTCCTCTACGTCGACGCTTGTTCCAAGCTACACCCACTCCCTTCGACACATCGCTGCACCTGCACAAGCCCCCGCGGCACCTCTCATCGAGACGCTGCTCTCCCATCCGACTTCTATCCGCCCGCTACAGCACGCTTCCCAGCCTATCCCAGCTTCCGACGACCCTGCCTCTCGCCCCTCGCCCCGTCGCAGTCCCATCCCTCGCCAGCACCAGCACGTTTTCCTTAACAGCCCCCGCTGTACGTAACGTGGCTAAGAATTGAATCAATTTCAATCAATCCAATTCCAGCTTCGCTTGAGCTCGTGAAGAAATACTACCCATAACTGGACTCCACAAGCCTTAGAAAAGATGTCTGCGTCGCCAACCATCGCGACCTCCTCCACCAAGCGACCCCTCGAAGAGCCCTCCTCGCCCTCCGGTCCCAATGACCAGCCCGATGCCAAGCGCCCTGCTCTGGACAAGGTTGTCAATGAGCCGGCTGCCGAGGACATCGACACGGCGCAGCCAGTGAAAGCTGAGGACATTGCGCCCGAAAACATCAACGCTGAGGGTGACGCTGAGGCCGAGGTAATTGCTGAAGGAGCTCTGGCCAACGAGAATGGTGCTAAGGAAGATGCGCAGACGGACACTGTGCTCCCCGACGCGCCCGCCGTCGTTCCCCTCGCTTGATACCCAGCCCATCCAGTCAACCTCCGGTGCCAATGGCCGTCCCGCTGCCCACACCCAGCACCAAGACGAAACTAACTGGCTGCATCTGCGTGCTTGCATTGGTACCAGCGAAGCTGCCACCATCATTGGAAAAGGTGGTGAGAATGTCACCCAGATTCGACGTCTCTCCGGCGCTAAATGCACCGTGAGTGACTATGCACGGGGCGCTGTAGAGCGCATCCTGACGGTTAGTGGCCAGGTTGATGCTGTATCAAAGGTAATTTTCTCCGTCATGATGCATTGTAACGAAAGCTTACTTGTCCAGGCTTTTGGCCTCATTGTGCGTACTCTCAATCAAGAGGACCTTGAGACCGCTTCCACGGGCACTTCTAAGGCTTACCCCATGCGTTTGCTGATCCCGCACATTCTCATTGGCTCCATCATTGGCAAGGGTGGAGTTCGCATACGCGAGATTCAGGAAGCGTCCAATGCCAAGCTAAACGCTTCAGACACCATGCTGCCCAACTCCGGCGAACGATCCCTTGTCGTGCTGGGCGTCGCCGATGCTGTACACATTGCTGTATACTATGTGGCACAAACTCTTGTAGAGCAACTGACGGAACGTTTCGGCGGTCCAGCTGCATCCCAGTATGCCACTCGTAGCGGAACTGCGGCGAACGTTGTGCCCGGCGGTATGTCTGTTCAGCCCTACATTCCCCAGCCCGCTGGCGGCCAGTACAACTACCCCGACAATTATCGTCGACAAGCCCATCCTGCGCAGCGCACTCCTGTGCATGGTCAACACCCCCCAATATGGTATGCATGCGCAGGCTCCACAGCAAGCATACGGCCAGCCTAGCATGCCATATGGTGCTGGCTCACCTGCGCGTGGCCACTACGGCGCTCCCACACCGCAGCCTGGCCCCTATGGTGGACACCACGCCGCTGCCCCAGTTGCACATGGACATGGTGCAGTGCCTAACCAGCCTCCTGTTCAGGTACCCGGTCAGGTTAGTTCTCCAAGTTGTCTCTCTGGCGCAATAGGCGGAGGATGGCTACATGCCTACCAAATCTGAACAAATCCGCTAATTACGCTGCAGCCGCTCACACAGCAGATTTACATTCCCAACGACATGGTCGGAGCTATCATTGGTAAGGGCGGTGCTAAGATCAACGAAATTAGACAATTGAGCGGTAGCGTCATCAAGATCAACGAACCGACCGACAACAGCAACGAGCGTCTTGTCACAATCACAGGCACTCAAGAGTGCAACCAAATGGCGCTGTACATGCTCTATTCTCGACTCGGTGAGATGCCCGGACAGCAAAGTCACGGACGTTGAAGCTTACTCAAGCTAGAATCGGAAAAACACCGAATCTAAGCTCTAAACGGAACTCTTACTTACCCATTACCTACGACCACTTTCGATACTTACAAGTGTGGATTGACCGGTCTGATAGGCTCCTGTCAAGACCTAATTGTATCTGGTAGCACGGCGTAAACGGATTTGGATTCCCGGCATCTTTAGCATGCACGGTCCTTCACTTCATTACCGATTGGCGAGTGCACGCACTTCTAACGGCCTGAATGCTCAGATTTTCATAGTATGGTGGAGATGGTGGCTGTGAAACAGAGACGATTGTATTCTAGCTGGTGAGTGAGCAGTGCCACTTAGATTACCTACCTACCGGGGCTGCTCGATACATCAAATCTTTGGGCAATATCATGTAACATCCCAACACTGCCTCTTACCGCTGTCTTTATTTATCTCGCTACGTTGGTGGTGGCTTAGAATCGTGTTTGAGGTGCTGTGTTTGTGCTTTCCGTTCCCGGAATCAAGTTAGCGCGCTCGCCCATTCTTTGTCTCCGCGACGTAGCTGCGCGCGTCAACCACACGGTAACCAGATCCTCGACAATGAACGCTTCTGTATCCGATATAGCTCGCGATGCATTCCTCAGGCTGTGAAAGACTTCCGCTCGCGGACGGGGTATATGAGGATGCTCAAATGAAGGCAAATTCCCTTCACTGCCCTGTTCGACCGACCTAATCGTACCTCTCGTGACCTGTCACGACCTCACCCAACGCCCGTCTTCGATTATTAACTTTGGAAGAGTATTGGTGTTGGAGGATAGAATGACACGCATCCCGACAACGTTGCCGCCGCCATACACGGTGAGCGCTGGAACTCTGAGGTAAGTCCAACATTGTCGAGCGAACCATACAATTTCACAAAAAACCACATCCACTTTAAGACGGGCTAACGAAACCCCAGAACGACTGCCGACCACTTCACCAGGACGTCCGAGATCCTCGTTGGCGCGGGCTCCAAATCCACTCGCTTCCTCCTGCATACCTCCCTCCTCACGCAGCAATCGCCCTACTTTCGCGCCGCTCTCACCGGTCCCTTCCTCGAAGCCACAGACCAATCCATCCGCTTGGACGATATCTCCGTCGAAATCTTCGAACTCCTCGTCACATGGCTCTACACAGGCACTATCAAGCCTGTCCCCTTCAAAGATGGAAAACCCGCCTACTATACCATGCTCCACCTGTACATCCTCGCGGACCGCTTCTGCTTTGAAGGCCTGCGCAACCATATTGTGGACATGATGGCAGATCTCGCGGACTCAACGAATAGCGTGCTCACACCTTCCGACACGAGGATCTTGTACAATGAAATTGATGAGGGTGCGAAGGTTAGGCAGCTCGTGCTGGACTTGTTTGCGTTCAAGAAGACAGATAAGCTGCTCGCGACGCATACGGATGCTTGGCATGCGAAGTTCCTGAGGGATCTTTGTGTAAGGCTGAAGAAACCGTGTGCGCAGACGATGCAGAGACATCGGCTGAGGGGCTGGTTGCCGCTGAGTTGGCATGCTACGCGTTCTTGTGAAAGCTGTAGGGTTATCTTGCCGCCCAGGATTGGGGCGGTGGGGTGTGATGAGTGTTGTTGTGCGTGGTGTATACGATGTTATGAGGAGGGGGTCGGTGTGCCGAGTTGGGAGGATGGGAGGGGTGGTGTCTTGGAGGACGAGGAGGCAAAGGGCGTAAGGAGGAGGAAGGTGTGTTATGGGAGGAGGTGGGAGAGCTGTAAGCCGTGGAGGGGGAGCAGGTGTGTGGTTTATCATGAGCACAAAGAGACGGAGGCTTGTGGGGATTTATTTATGGGAAGGTGACGAATGGGGCTGGTGATAGGTTGTGGGGCTGCATTTCATCATTCCGTACGTGAACTCGGTCGCTTTTCTCTGCGTGCATAGCTTTGAACTTGTGAACCTGTCAACCTATCTGCCGCTTGTAAAAATTCCCTTTCTTCTATTCGGCTGCTTTTTTTTTAAAGCCATCATGCCTCCCACCGTCATGCTCACAGCTCTGTTCGTTATGTTAGGGAGAGTCCGGCAAAGGCCAAGACGCATGTCCGACCTCCAGTTTTTGGGTGAAAACGAAGCGAGCCCAGAAAAACAGGCCACTACTTATTGTATCTGCCCCGTGGCAAGCGTCGATTGTCGCAGCGTCGAAAGAAACAGATATGTGGCTTGGTGCTTTGATCCTGAAGGAGAGAACCCAAGTCATTCTAGCGTCTCGAAGACTCCTCTCGCAGCGCCTTGTCTTTTGATTTCACTTCCTGCTTGCCAAATCGCATGTCAGACCAGAAGCATGTTTCCTTTCTCATTAGTGGAAGAATCTGATTGACGGCTGAAATCGGTATACTCACTCATTGATCCACAACAACATGTCGATTTATATAGAGAGTTGGTTTCAAGGCAGGTTTTAGACAACACGCTCCCTCTCAGCAGTCAAAACCGGTGAACATGGCATCTCAACCAAACATGATTGGCTGTGATGGACCAATAAGAGTGCACCCATGCAGTGACAGCTGCACTTGCGGACCATCTTTCCGAGCGAGCTGCAAGTCTGGGAGGGGCACATCCTGACCTTCTAAATCCACTACTTCTGGTGCATACAAGCTTGGGTTTTCGGGGACGGATAGATTTCCCTCCGCTGGCATTCCCGACTTCCGTTGATTTTGTACTCCATTCCTCAGCCTTACGTTCGAAGCCCATGCGATCTCCTGCTGGCCGCATTGAATCATACCCTTAGCACAACATGAGCGCTATAAGGCGCTGTGAGTGTTTCTACTCTGCTGGATGTTACGTTGAAGCTAGACAAATTCGCATCCACTCTCAAAGGTGCACGCAGGACACTTACCAAATACATGTACGAACTAAACGACATTAACATAGTAAGTTGGGAAAAAGGATAGCTCGCTTCTATCTAGCTCATACACATTCCAGCTCCATGGATCTATCAAAGACTCCACATCGAACGTGTAAGGCCTTCAAGACTTTACCCTGGTCTACAGGGGTCGAAAGACGATTGTCTTTGACTTCTGTAACGAGCCCGTGCATAAGATCATCAATGAAGCGGAGTCGACAATCAACAGCATGTACTCTTTGAGTAGCATGTCGCGACTCAAGAAGAGGCTTAGGCTTCTGCTATTTGCACTTGGGAGAGATGTTATTAGGGGCCTGAAGAAAATCCCTTTTCAGTACGCAAGAGATGCACTGATGATAGCACTCGCAGCAGCAACGGACTACAGAAGCAGAGCTAGCAATTTGCTCAGATAATGATTATATAAGTCCGGGGTGAAGGGGCTTGCTTGTGTACTTCCAGAAGGTGTTTTTGCAACGCTGACGTGTGTGAAGTTCTCGATAACTGCGAGCATCCATGATTCAGATGGCCGAGGCATTTTTGGGATCAACGTTATGTGAGCCATCAGACAGACAATTTGATTCGGAAAGGATTCGACGAATAACTTTCCAGGATACGGAACTTCTCAAAGACTACGGGAGTCAGCTAGAAGAGAAAGTGAGAGCTCTCGAAGCTGGCCGTGTGGCCAATTCTAATTTAAGCGACAGCAACAACGCCGATGATTCACCGCATCATACTATAAGACAGCGCTCGAACAGTGTTGTTGAGTTGAGAGAGGATCGCAAAGGAGGCGTACCATCGAGAGATCTAACGAAAATCCGTGGCGTGCAGGAACGCGTAGAAGACAGACCTGTACCCACTTTCGAAAACGACAGTCGAAAGAAGATCAACTGCAAGCGTCGATAGTAAAGATACAGCTCCTATCAGCGGACATGCAAGTAAAGAGGCAAGGACGTTCACACCGTCTTGGGAAAGCTGTTCAGCCATTCCACATAGGAAGGCATGGACAGACGCACAATGTAATTGGCACTATCCACTGAGCTACCCCTCGAGAAATGACGTAAAGACGGGCGCCACTTAGAAAATTGACAGAATTAGGGTTAGTGTTAGCACGAGTGACGAGGAATGAGGAGTGGGCAGCATGGCCGGCATGTAAGAGTTTTTTTGGTATGAAGAGAGAGGGCTGCGGGCTGCTAGAAAAACCTCTCCATTCTGTTGGTGCGAGCACTCTAAGTACTATACACATCGTCTTCTTGGACCCAATCTCTTTACCATATTTTCGCCATATTCTGTAATGCGAATTATCACTCAGACCGTCTAATGGGATCGAGACATCGCTACGACGTTTCCTCTACTGCTTGCCGTTATGCATAAGGATTCTTGGAGTACTTGACGATCAAGCCCGAGACCTCCTTCGGCTTGCTCAGCATCGAAATATGGTCAGCATCAAGGTGCTCCACGGTGAATTTTGCACCTGGCTGATCAATGAAAGCCTGCGCCCACTCAGGTGTAACAGACTTGTCTTGGCTCCCGACCACATATACAACCTCGAAGTCGCCCGTGTAAGGTATGTATGTCGCAGTGGCATTCAAGGCGTCAAACGAGGAGAAGTCGAGCTTGCCGGTCCAGTAATCAGCCTCTCTCGGCGGTAGAAGATTGTAGAAGGCCTTCTGGGGTGGGAGAGTAGGGTCGCCGTCAGCTGTGACCTTGCCCGTATCGTCGTGGTAATTGAACAATGCTGGAGACACGTCGTGTATGTCTGGTTTGCTGGCGGGATGCTCGACCTCCTGAATGGTGGGAATGTAGCCGGCAAGGTAAATGAGGCTGATGATACGACCGCGACCTACGGAGTCGGTAGCGACGGGGCTAGCTGATGAGGCCGAGTAGCGAGGAGCGCCGTTGACGGCCTCTCCAATGACAGTGCAGCCATAGCCTGATGAACGTCAGTTTCCTTTCCAAGTCTGGCGCGCTGTCCTATCTAGCTTACTGTTTCCAACCAGGACCACGTCCCTACCGGCGTTGAGATGCTTGTCTGAGCAAGGTCAGCAGTTGAATCTTACGGTTCTGAGATACTTACAGAGAACCGACTTGACAGCGTTTGTATCAGCCTGTCGACCGACCAGGTGGCCGACTGAGGGTAGAGCAACAGCGTCGAGGAACTCGTAGTCGGCTTGAGCTAACTGACGTGTCACCTTCCCGAAAACCTCAGGCGAGTGGAAAGCTCCGGGGACCATGACTACGGCCGGCTTGTTCGAACGCGCATCTGCGGCCAAACCCAAATTCAGGAAGGCGCATAGAGAGCACGAGATGAGGAGGGTGAGCTGCATCTTCGCAGGGTGTACAGCGGACGTGGTCGAAATTCGTTCCTGAAGTGCGAGCAAACGGATGGAAAGATGTGCTGGAGAGACTGGCGTGGCCGTCTTTTTATACCAGGTCTAGTCAAAGTGCGTGGCCGGCGTGAAGGTGAAGGTGAGATCGAAAAAGGATAAGAGCCATGTCTACGCGCGAAGTAAACTGCCATGGTGGAGTCAAGGCTCCCGATTGCGCCTTCTGTGATAGCTCTTAGGCCGTGGAAGCAGCGCCATCAGGGCGATAGCGTAGTAAGCCCATTCCTTGACAAAGGATATGCATGTGACTTAGCCAGCCACAAAATTGAAAGCGAAGAAGTTGTGATGGCGGATTCTCTGTGCTGGGCCCTAATAGGCGGGAACGAAAGATGTTCCTGTGAAGCATGTAAGCCAGGGCGATACGATGCGGCGTAGTCAGTCCTGGGTACAATCCCTGAGCCCGCAGACAAAGGGAACCTACGGTAGCGAGCCACGCATGGGTACGAAACACTACATCGAGGGAACAAGTACGAGTCTCGGGGGAGACATAGTGTGCACTGTCAGTACGTATATCTCTAGGGGTTTCCATGACGTAAGACAGCACATTGAGGCACGCCGTCCACTGCCCATTATAGCATCTATTCCCCGAATCGACGAGACGCCGAAGCGTCGTGATCGGGCTGACCAGAGCAGCCACGGAGGACCCAATCGGCTCCGCTCAGTCATGTCCTTTTCTTGGCCGCTGGGTTTTCTCCATATGTACCTGAGTAATATTTGCCAGTCTGGCATCCGAGCTAACCCACTGCAGCGTATTGTATTTCTTCTGAAGTGGCCTGCCAACGTCAGCACCAATAAGAGCAGCTGTATGACAACTTTCCTGGACAAAAAGGTACCTCCTCCCGGACATGGGTCTACGGCGGGTGCGGATGGCGGAGATAGTGGTGGACGCTACGGCCGGCCAGGACCACGATGTCTACGGCATCTCGGGTACACACTGATTCCTATATAAGTGACCGACAGGTCCTTCTCGACTGTAAGTCTTCATTCCCAGGCACAATATCTTCTGCATATCCAGGAATCACCCCCCAATCTAGTACTCTGTAAAGGAAAGAGGAGAAAACATGCCTTTCATCACGCATCCTCTGTCGCCCGACAACCTCCCAGTTGTTCCGCTCTGGATCAACGGGGCTGCACATGCTGCTTCTGAAGACGACAACCTCTTCCCCGTCATCTCTTCCGTTCAAGACAAGCCTGTCCATTACGCCGTCTCTGTTTCCCCCAAAACAGCTGCCCTGGCCGTCGAGTCTGCCGCTTCAGCCCTCGTTCAATGGCGGAAAACAACGCCTGCACATCGCCGAGCACTCATTTTGAAAGCCGCAGATGTACTGGAAAAGAAAGGTAAAGAGGTGATGCAAGCACAGATGACGGAGACGAGCTGTGCGGAAGCATTTGCACAGTTCAACTTGCGATCTACGGAATGGATCCGAGAGGTTGCATCTGCGACGACTGAATTGAGAGGCGTTGTGGCGCAGAATGCGAGTGGAGAGGGTGGAGAAGACGTTGGTGGATTGACGATCACGGTCCGAGAACCGGTGGGGGTTGTGTTGATCATCCCACCGTAAGTAATCATCTGGATAATCCTACTCATTGGGTGACCGAATCTCGGGACTAATTGTTACAGATGGAACGGTGCAGTGATACTCCCCGTCCGAGCAATGAGTATGGCACTCGCAGCTGGCTGCACTATAGTTGTCAAGGCCTCAGAACTCTGCCCTCTCACACATCACTTGCTGCTCGAAGCATTCGAAGAAGCAGGCATTCCACCTGGTGTAATAAACATGATCCAGGCCCGGAGAGAGGACGCTGCTGCCGTTACTGAAGCAATCGTCGCGCATAAGGCACTCCGAAAAGTAGACTTCATCGGCAGTGCCGCCGTGGGTAGCAAAATCGGTCAGTTATGCGCAAAGTATCTCAAGCCTGTGTTGATGGAGCTTGGTGGAAAGGGTCCAGCATTGGTCCTTGAGGACGCCGATCTGGAACAGGCGGCGAAGCTTTGTGCTATGGGTGGTAAGTCATCTCCCGGTGCCCCATATAGCATAAGAGGTATTAAACGTTGTCAGCGGTTGCGGACCACGGTCAGCTCTGCTTTTCTACAGAGCGGATCATTGTTCATCGAGCTATCTATGACGATTTCGTGAAGCACCTCACCGCCGTGTTCTCGCACATACCTGGCGCCGGCGACGCTGTTACCAGACAGTCTGCGAAGGCAAGTCGAACCACCGAAGGCATAGGACGTGCAAACTTTTTTTTGTCGTATTCAATAACTTGTATTAGCATGCCTATGACGTTCTCAGCGATGCAAAGGAGAATGGTGCTACCTTCCTGGCCGGCGGTCTCCAATTCATCAGCGAAACGAGCCTTAAGCCCACCCTCGTCACCAACGTCTCGCGCAACGCTCGCATATTTGATGAAGAGACATTTGGGCCATCTGCGACGGTATACATGGCCCAGAACGACGAAGATGCCGTTGCAAAGGCAAATGATTCGGCGTACGGACTGAATGCAGCGGTGCATAGCAGGAGCTGGGAACATGCGTTTGAGATGGCAAAGCAACTGGAGTATGGACAGGTGCATATCAACAACGTTACCTGTACAGATGCTCCTGGAGTACCGATCAAGGGTGTAAAGGGCTCTGGTTGGGGGAACTTCCAATAGTATTTGGGGTATTGAAGAGTTCAGCGTTCAGAAGTCTGTGTACTTTCACACTACGGGAGGATCAGGCATGCTCGCCAGGCATTAAGCACAGAAGGATGGTATGAGTGAAGTTTTAGCAAGAAGTGACTCGCGGTAGTTTAGAAGGCACAATCATATAGCGTAATATAATAGTGCATATACGAGCCTACAAGAGACAAGCTCAGCGGTTACCTTAAAGAACGGGACCTACCGATGTACCTTATGAAGGCGTGTGTAGGAACTAGGATCATATTCCGGAGCACAACCGTAGAAAAATGTTGGCGATGAGGGTAGAGTTATTCGATCAATAGTCCTCTTAGCCGCACCTGTGCCGACCAAGGCAATACCGAGGAGAGTCGTGAATATGTATGGTAGGTTGGTGATCATTCGAATCGTCTATGCGCCGATAGAGAGCAAAATATCTAGCAATTACTATCGCTAAGACTCGGAGCCCTACCACCACGATGTGGCCAGGCACAAATTAATAGCTATCACGAAAGTAAGAAGATCTTTCCAAACCAGAACAGTCCCCTTCGGGCGAATAGGGTCCTAGATAAGCGGAGATCTCAAGAAAGAATCCATAACCGTCATTCGAAAGATGTGGGTCATCTAGATAGCCAGCCGTCCTCTATTTCACGGCAAGGAAGCTCAGTAAAAGCCAATCTGGGTGTCCCATAGCGATGGCGTTTCTAATTTTCCATGCGTTGTTGATCGACTGCGCTGGCTTTACTGGAACAAGTTATATACGCCGTACGGCAATAACTCCATAATGTGTTGGTACGTATTTCCTATTCAGTAGCTCAGAAAGCGCGCTGGGGGAACTTAGAAGGCATGTTTCCTTTGGAGGATTGGGAAGGACAGGTTCCTGGAAGATAGCATAGCGACCAGGAATTTTATATCCGCACTCAGCCCGTGAGAGATGTATATCAGGCACAGCTCAAGCGCAGGTGCTATAGTGCTGCCTTGCTCAAGCATAGTATGAGAGAGACAGGCGCCATGGGCCGAAGTAAAGCTCAGGTGGTCTTTCTTGAAAATACGAAGGGCAGTGCAAACGTGACTTGCAACCTCGCCTAGCGCTTGTATGCGCCCAGCTGGAGCATGTTTGGTAGCTCGGGGCCATCGTGAATTTCCCTGAAAAGCGAGAGAACTATAGAAAGTTTCAACGTTTGAACAAAGCACGTTGATGACACAGACGCGGAACGGGTGGTCGGTGGGCAATATCGCAATCGTTGGGGTTTAGTGCGGGTGTATGTTCAATCATCAAATCAGCTTTCCAGATTCTCCGTAATCTTAGTTGCTGGCAGATGTCCAAAACTCTGGACGCAGGATGTTCCATTGCTTCTCTGTAGAGAATTATCCAAGGGTATCTGCCACGCTCATCAGCCTCACGACGGCTCTTCGAATCCATAGCGCACGGTCATCTTGATGCTGTCGACTTCGCATCGCCATTGTGGGTACTACTTGCTGTCAGCAACTGCCGTTATCTCCAACCCATAGCACAGTGAGGTAGGAATTCTGGCTACTCACCTTTGCTCTTGCCCACACTAGGACCGAATCACCCTCCTTCAAGACATCAAAGAAACGCTCACCATTGCCAGTGCCCTGGTTGCCTTCCCAACCGTCCGGAGTCCACACCACTCGGTAGTCGATATTTTGCCGCTCTGTTACCTTGTTCCCTTGCAGATACCACGCAATGGGCAGCTCATCTCCCTGTGGACCGACTGATGCACTCACAGGCCGTTCATCAACAAGCCTATGTCCCATAGGTAGCAAGTGGTTCTGCAACTCTTGTGGGTTATCATACTCCCTATCCCAGAATGGAAGCTTGTCCAGGGCGGAGTATAGCGGACCCGGTCTGAATATAGATACCTCCAGCCAAGACGAGGTCTGGAATGTGCCGATTGTGTTTTCGCTCGTCCATCCTTGATCTTTGCTCTTGATTTCGAAGTCGATCTGTTTGACCTTGAGCACCACATTAGGTCCAGAGATGCGGCATATAGTGTTGCGACTGAAGACTTCGGCGGGCAAGCAAACGCGCGCGCTAGTAGCGGAGCCCATAACTGCCTCAGCCACTACTCGGCGGCCTTCGCTAACGAACTCAAGAACAGGCTCGTATTGCGCGTAGTCTAAGATTTCGAGGACCAGCTCCGTGGGTAGACCCAGCGATTTGAGCAAGGCGCGCGAGACGCAGATATCTGCGTAAGAAACTGTAGCCGCTATGTCACGTTCCTTTTGGCGACTTTGGCGAGGTTGAAACATGGAAGTTTGAGGTGGTGTATTGTCGCCGGGAGAGGTCAGGTAGTCGAAGCCGGCGCTCAGGAGGTTGAGGAGGCTGTCCATTGTCGGGATGTAGTGATGTAGTGTGCGTGAAGTGTTGTTGAAGGCGCGTTGTTGTTCCTTCACAGTGAACGCGACAGCCGGTGACGTCGGTCCTTCTTGAGCATTGGGCGAAGTGGACTAGCCGTGAACAGACTAATGCAATTCCAAGCGAGACGTACATCCATGGATTGCGATAACGCACCTCTGCGCGCTCACTTTGAGAATCCCCTTCTGATCTCCATCCTCTAATGCAAACACAAATGTCCGCAAGATTAACCTCGATGGAGACAAAACCTCAACGAAGGGGTCGCATCAAGATCCATGACTTTGATCAGCTACCACCTGTCCTATGGCGCATAGCGTGAGCTTGACCGGTGAAGCGCGTATGTACACTCTCCCTTGCATCGGCATATCAAAGCTCTAGGAAGGTACGTCTCGGCGACATGGTTGATTTAGGTTTCGTCATGCGGTGTTGTTGATCAGCTTACCGATCGTCACAGTTGGGTGGTTTTGGCGTTGCCAAGAGCGACCATGTCCGTCAGCACAGGTCCGGATTATACAACCCTCAGCCCTGCAGGGCTGTACGCGGTGTCTCTGCTAGCTGAAAGGCAGCATCTTCCCTAGGATTATGGTCTTTTTCCATACTTCCAATATGTTTCGAATGCGAGTTTCTGCAATCAGCCTCCTAGTGCTGTTCTTCGCCGGTTTTGCGCACGCAAAGATAGATGAAGATGGTTTCGAACCGGAGAACATCATACAAAGAGACGTTGTGATCGTCGGAGGTGGAGCGTCTGGTACATACGCCGCAGTCCGGCTTCGAGAGGACCTCAACACTAGCATAGTAGTGATTGAGCCAAAAAAACCGCTTGGGTGGTCACGTCGATACATATACGGTGCCTGAGACCAACACAACACTCGAGTATGGTGTACAATCGTACATGCACTATGGCCCAACCGTTAGCTTCTTCGAGCGCTTTGGCATCGAATTTGGGCCATTTACATCACGACGTCTTACAACGATCAACGTGGATGTCGAGACAGGCAAGAGACTGGATTATACGCCACCAGCCGCAAATGAAACCACGGAAGCACTTAGAAAATGGCTGCAGTTCGTGGAGAAGTACAATGACTTAGTCGAACCAGGCTTCTGGAACTTTCCTCCGCCAGACCAAATACCCGCAGTGTTCCTCACGCCATTTGGCGAGTTTGTACAACACCAGAAAATTGAAGCTGCGGTACCTCGGATCGTCACGATCTCTGGTGTAGGTGTTGGCAGCCTGCAGATCCTCCCAACTCTGCAGGTAGTGCAAGCTTTTGGGCTCGCGGTTACCAAAGGCGTGGTAGAGGGTACCTTCATTCAACCAAAAACCTCAAACAGTCTTCTGTACCAACGCGCATACGAGTTGCTCAAGGAAGACGTTCGACTCAATTCTACAATCCACGAAACGGAAAGAGACCACTCAGGCGTCCGCATTGTCGTCAAGTCCGGAAGCGACACCGCTAAGACACTCATCAAAGCTAAAAGAGCCCTCTGGACACCTTTCCCAAGCCAGTACAACCTGAAACCATTTGGACAAGACGAGAAGGAATTTCAGGTATTCAGATCTTGGGTTCCGGAGTGGTCCTATGTCGGTGTAGCCAGTATACCCTGCATACCGGAGAACTCTTCTATTCAGTATCTACCGAGGGAAGTGGAACCGTCTAACCACCTGGCCATTCGACACTATCCGCACAGCCTCAGTCTTGGTACCACTGGTCCATCTGGCCTTGATCTGTTTCGAGTGATGTTAGGAGCCAATTACTCCGTCACATACGAGGAGGCGGAGGAAATGGTCACTTCAGGAGTGCAGAAGTTGATCGCAGCTGGGACATTAAACTACACAGGCCACTGCGAGGTAGACATGAAGGCTTTATCAGCCCATAACGGAGTTCTTTGGCCACGGCAAGATGATACATTGGAGCATGGCTTTGTACAGGAGCTGTACAGCCTACAGGGCTACCGGAGTACGTGGTGGACTGGGAGAAGCTGGTGCGAGGAGTACTCGAGCAACGTCTGGGCGTTCACCGACACGGTCCTTGAGAGATTGTTGAAAACTCTGGAGTAGCGCGACAAAATGCCAACGCTCAACGGCAATAAAGTCCAAGTCGTCGTTCCGGTAATGTTCTGCAATTCTGGTCCTGTGCTTTACGGACTTTGCATGAACATAATCTTGACGCTACTCGCCATAGGAAGGAATCAACCTGCCTGTCCTTGTTCGTCGACCGGACAAGATCGGTTGTGTAGGCTCGTTTTTTGATACCGTCGCAGGGACGGGCGAAGGTTTTTCCTCCACGTTGCGCTCTTTACGCGCCAGTGTTTGCTTTTCCGGTGTAGGCGTCTCGCCTCTCGCCAACGTCTCGATACGGGTCCGGATCTTCTTCTCTCGCCCAGCAGTAGTCTTCAGGTTATTGAGTCTAGAATACATGCGCCAACGGTTGCCCTTGTTCAGTTGTCCCCACGTCGCCTTAGCTGCTGGTACTCTCTTCAATGCTGCGAGGTCCTTGTTCGCATGTCCATACAAGCTGTGTGTGCTTACGGGATCCAGGATGTTGTGGAGTAGGATCAAATAAGCACAGTGATTAATGGCAGAGCTTGCTGTGATCGAGCCGTCGTAGAGCTGGTATACATTTGGTGGTGGTCATTGCTGGGAGAGACACTCGAAACTTTTTTTGATGCAGAGCCAGTATCAATATAAACTTTTTGACGTACGTAGCCTAGATCTGATCATTACGCTTGTTCTAGAGATAGGCCATTTGGCCGTTGTATAGCACGAGTGTAACAAAAGAAGCGTCCACTGCTTTGTAAGCGAACCCAGGGGGAGGGCAGAAGCCGAGAATATAAGAGGAATCGGAGATAGAGTAGTTCAAAATGCTCTGCAGTCGATTTTTGGATACGGCATAGTTGCTGACAGCTGCTTAGACAGCTCAATACTCTCGACTGGATCCTGTTCCCTTCAGCTGTGATCGTCCAACAAGAACGTAAACACTTCATAGAATGCTTTTATACGGTAGTAAAGTACGTACATCCATAGTGATTATAAGTCCATCTCAACTCTATGTCTACAGGCACACCGCAAGACCTAGAACTGCGGCCACACCTGCCCACCCCAACCCACTCACACTCCACCTCCACCCAGCACCCTGAAACTCATCAGTCCCTGCCCTCGACGGCGAAGGTACGCTCCCAGCCTTCGTCTGTCCCCCTCCGCTGACGCTACTCTTATCACCCGTACTCCCCTGCACACACTTACTTGTGCCATTCCTGAACATGCGATCTACGACACCCTTCCACACCATTGTTACATCGTTAATCATAGGTGCGGTGTAAAACATGCGACAGTCAGCAGCCTCGTAAATGAACTCGAGCGGCGTTTTAGAAGGATCGTCGCGGCGGAGGTTGTCCTTCAGGTTGATGCCGCCAGCAGGTCGGTCGCCGCTATAGGCGGTGCGCTTGAACAATTGCTCTGCGAAGGCGGTTTTGCCAAGAGAGGTCTGGTTCCACTGGGCTTGTTGTTCGGGGGAACCGAGGCTGCGGTGATTGTCAGGAGTTTCGGATTGGTGAGAAAGTGAATGCAGGCTTACAAGTAGACGATCTGAGTGCGGATTTGTACATCGTCGTAGGAAAAGGATTGGGCGCCTTTGGTGCCCCCAATGCCTTGCATGGGGCCAGCTTTCGGCTGACCGCCGACAGTGATGGTACGGACGCCACCCTGATTTTTGAGGAGTTCCGAAACGATGGTGCAGGTTGAGGAGCACATGCCGTCGTGGAGCTTTTTCACATGAGCTCGGTGGCCAGGATTAAAGGAGAGTAAGGCTTACCATAACAATATCATTCGCATTGAAAGGCTGCGGTGTCTTCGTCTCATTCGCATTCTTTAAGAAGCCAATGACCGAGAAATCCGGATATGTATAGCTCACCTCGTCGGTGAAGTTGTATCTGAGCGTCGTAGTGAACTTATCAGCATTGACCATCACAGGACCGAACATCTGCTCCCAGCTACCGAGTGCTTTGTTGTTGATGTCAAGTTGGTGCTGGAAGCTGAAACCACTCGTAAACAAGGAGATATCGCTCATAGTGAGCTGCCCAAAAGCCTCTTTGAACGCCATCGGGTTGCTCTGCGCGAATGTCTTGTTGGCACTGAAGTCCCGAGTCATCTGACCCACAACGTTGAGAGCATCGTTCGCGCGGAATCGTGTACCCCCGAATGGATCCTGGTCGGCTTGCGGGAACACCTGCTTGAAGGAGTCATAGCCAAGAATTGCATTACCTCCGCCGTTTCCCCGAAGGTCGAGTATCATCTTGGTCTTGCCAGCTTTGACTGACATGCGGATGAAGTCGCGCATAATATTCTGATAAAGCTGAACATCGGGCGATTCGTAGGAAGGCATGCTCATGACAGCAACGTCCTGGGGGTGTGTGTGTTAGTTTTATTCCACTTTGACGGACGAGGGAGCTCACATTATAGCCAGTATCATTGATCCAGTAACCGCCAAGTGACAAATTCGGATGTATGAGCACCGCCTTCGGATACCCAACATGCGACGGTTTAGGCTTTTGTGTTGGGATAGTCGTGTTAGTACCATTGGCGGCAGTGGTAGTAGCTGTGGTCGTTATGGCAGGACCGGAGCAGAACTTCTTAAAAAAGGTCGCCCCATCGGTGACGCCCGTAAAGTTCCCAAGAACAACCGCTACGTTCATGTTGGACTTGGCTGTACCATTGGCAAAGGCCATAGTTGTATTGGGTCCTTGATACATGCCCGTTCGGAAGGATCCAAGGAAAGATACACCGGAGGCAATGAGCGCTTGGCTGGGGAAAAGGGCATTCCAACGTGTGTCTGCATCGTGGAAGTCGGCTTGTGTAGCGACTGTCTGCAGATATTCCTCAACTCCTATACCATTGATTGTTCGCACTGGGGAAGGTTTGAACGAGGTGTTGTTCTTCGCAAGCTCGAGGTCTCGGTAGGCATAGATTTCTGGCAATTGACTCCCATCAGATGAAACAGAGACAAGTTCTGTTCCAGCCGGGCGTTGGAACTGCACCACACCGGCGAGGATGTCAGGTTGCCACGCAAGATGATTGTCATAAGCGCGAGTAAAAAGCTTGTTCAGCTCTGATTGAAAGTCGTACTCGTTGTTGAAGCCATTGGCGGCCAACTGCTTCTTCATGCTGTCCATCTCTACCATAAGGTCCACTGGCTGCTCTGTGTATTCCGCTGGCGGGTTTTTCAGAAATGCAATATTACTTTGCCACTCAATATACAGCTTCAAATCATCGATGAGCTGCATATTGCCTTTCTGATCCAACGGTACCGACTGCAGACACTTGACTGCCAACTCTGCCGGGAGGACCTTTCGGCTTCCTGAGGGAATGGCTTTTACCGCGCTACTGACAGCAGCGCATGGTTCTGCGAGACCTGGAGTGTTTGGCATTGTGGGTGTAGTGGTCTTCGGAGGTTGCGTTGTATTTGAGGATCGAGTGCTGTTGTCGACTGCTGCAGAAACTACATCGAAGGTCGCCATGTTTTCCATCTCGTCGATGTCAATGCCGGGACCTTTCGGCACTCCGTACAACATGTATGGGCTCGACTTGGCCGCCGTGAGGCCGAGCGAAGCGCTTAGGAGCACTATGATCGGAAGCATGGTTGCGAGTTTAGGTACGGTGTGTAGTAAGTGGAACGTGTATCCAATGGTTCAGTAGAATCTCTTAAAGCCTCCTCTTCTCGCGATCGAGCTCGGGAATAATTAGTATATTAGTTGTCTATAGCGGACCGGCGCTGTCAGTGCAAATGGTATCTATAAGGAAGAAGTCGACGCGAGATCTATCGCTATCACAATTACAAAGGATAATAACAAAAGCAGACTCCGCGCAAGGCTATACAGTGCAAGACCCTCTACGCAGAACAACAGTACCACCCACGAAGTCGTAGAGATAGCGAACCAAGCTGTTATTATCAAACTCAGTAGGCATCCGGGTCCTGAGACCGTTCCCATAGATAAGGTAGTTTAGCCTGTAGCATGAGCGTCGCATAGTCAATGCTAGAGCTTGCGATGCGCAGCTAAAACGCGAAGTCGGATGATACGAAACTCTATACGCGCCATCGCTATGAGCGCAGCAATAGCAGGAGAATCAAACATCTTGCGTGAGCCCGTCGAGGGCGCCACACAGCTACGACAGGGTCGCATTGCGATATATCGGATGCGCTGCATCCATGTTTTTGGGCGGGCTTGGATATCCTTGGAAAGGTAGTGGTGAGGTGGTAGGTGTTGGACGATGATCGCCACTTGAAGCACAGCGACTAACCCTTTTGGGAAATTCAGCCATGATAGCGTGGGTAGAGATCCCAATCAGGGTATCTGAATTCCCAATCGTCCTGGGGTGCGAAGTGACGGGTCCACGACCCTTTTTATTCACTACAGTGACGTGTGGTTGTATCTGACCTCCGCTGAAAGAACCGTTGTACTCTACGAGAATCTCTGCATCTCTTCAAGGCTTACAAATTGCCAGCACAAACAGACGAAGATGCTAGTTGAGGGAAGCTTGGAACGATTGCACCATTATACGACTCTCATAGGTATCGGATCATCATGCCAGAAAATCCGATTCGTAGTGTCAAAGTCTCGTGGTGTTCTGTCCTTAGTGCTATCACTCTCCTAACTCGCCCGCGTCTCATATCTTTCACAAAGCTGGTCTGCAAAGTAGTCTAGGTTCGGAAAGCACACCGTGATTTGAGTTTGGGGAACTTCCGCGTGCTGTGTCATCCGAAATCTAGACTACTGCGTCGCTGCGAGCTAGGCATACGCGTAAATGTACTAGTAATCGCAAACAATTTCAACTGGTAGGTAAGCTACGACTGTCGGCATTTGTCTCAAAAGCTATGGTTACGAAGAAATCCCAACCAGCAGTATTTCACAGACTGCCTACCTCTGACGCATACCACTCGTGGCGTTGTCACCGTGCGATGGACGGCCGTAAAGGTTGTGTCAGGATGATTATAGCTATATTCTGTATGTTAAATCTAATTGCACAAGATCTCTCCTAGTTCAGAGGCGCCATAATATCACAGGAGCAGATGGTTGTGGGTCGAGCGAAATTCCTGCTTTGAGTTCGAGCGTCTCCATATAGTCCAAGCAGAAATAGGACCAAGGCGTGACACACGCGATGGATGTACTCGAAAGCTCCGTAGTTCATCAGTCTCGTCATGGACCCAGTCCGTAACAATCTCATACAGAGTGCTCCTTGGGGCAGGTGGTATTGCAGGTGGAGGATATGGGGTAATGTAGATAGAAATCGTGCGGGGGAAGATCATGGATGCGGTGGGACTAATTGTGCACTGGTATAGCTCCGAGGCGAAGTGAGGCTACGATTGCGGTCCTTATTGGGCTACATGTTGAGCCAGAGAAAACTTTTAAAATGTGGCATTCCTAGCGGCGGACTTCGCGTACACACAATATAGAGTGTGTTTGTGCTCGCGTAGATTTGACTCTCAAAGGATACGGTATGACTACGCGGGTGTAGGTCGGCCGATGCAACCATCGAAGCTATACTGCACTAAAGAATCAAGTAGAAAATGACGGTCGACTGGACATGTGAATGGGTAGTTAGCACTTATTTGACTCTCGTCTAGTAATCTGAAGCTCTAGCTCTTTCTACTCATTACCTAGGTACGATCAACGTGAAGCCTTCAAGCCTTCAAGCCTCTGATCGCTACTGTCACCCTTGTTACAGGTGTAATTGCTGCGCCCGTCGGAGTTAATTCATCCTCAAGAGGCTCATCGATAACTGCACAGAGTTGTTGTATCTACTTGGATTGCTTTGCTTCAGCTGCTTCGTCCGAAAGTACCTAGGCAATGGCCCACAACTGGTGTGTCACAGCTCTTGCAATATCACAAGTCATGAGGCGTTGAGTAGGAAAGGTTGAATGTCCTCATGGCGCAACAATATCACACGCTACCATTGGCACTCCGGATGCATCTGACGTTAGTCTCAGCGGGCAGTCGAGAGAACGCGACGTGACGGCGTGGGGCAACGCACGTGTCTGGCGCGATGTGATCCGTGCACAATGTTTACCAACAGCACCACACAAAGACGGGAGCGCACCACCGACTAACCACACTCAAAGCAGCGAAAATGTCGTCCGCCTCGCCGCGGAAGTCGACGCGGGCTGCCGCGACGCGTCGAAAGGCGCCCATCATTGACGACGACTCGGAAGGAGATGAAAACCAGGCACCGAAGCAAGAGGCGGATGAGCAAGACGACTTTTCCCCAGCACCCGCACCACAGAAGCGAGCACGAGGGCGACCAAAGAAAGTTGCTGGCGCGGCAGCGACTCCAAAGCCAGCAGCGACACGAAGAACACCACGGCAACCCCGCGCAACGGAGTCGGTCGAGCCAACAGAGTTGATCGAACCGACACAGGTGTTCAACCCACCCACGGAGAGTCCCGCGAACCCCACACCGGCGAAATCACCACGGAAGCGCATAATGGCGGCGAGCAGCCGCAAGTCGCGCGTATTGGTAGCGGAAGATACGACGGTGGAGGACTCAAACTTGCCTACTCCACAGCCGTCAGAGCCGTCAGAGACGCCGGATCAGAGCTTGCTACAGTCGGAAGCAACTGTGATTAAGTCTGAACCTCTTGAAAACCCGGAACCCGCTGCAGAAGCTGAACCCCAGCCGCCACCCGAGCAGCCTACTATCGTGCCTGACGCACCCCTCGCAGATATCACCGAGACCGCTGCCAACGAACACATACCCGTGCCGCGGTCACAAGCCGATTCCGACGCCCGACCCGACGCTACAATGGCGTTTATTACAAAACACACGGTGCTGGAGAAGCCAATGGACATTGTGGTGCGCAAGAGGCTCGCAGGCATTCCTTCGACTCATCAGTCGGATATTCCACAACAGCGAACCGTGATCGAGTGGCTAGTCCTGACCAACTTCAAGAGTTACGCTGGGGAACAACGCGTAGGACCTTTCCATCGCTCCTTTTCCGCCGTTGTGGGGCCAAACGGATCGGGCAAGTCCAACGTCATTGACTCGTTATTGTTTGTATTCGGTTTCCGCGCGAGTAAGATGAGGCAGGGCAAGATCTCAGCTCTCATTCACAACTCGGCCGCATTCCCTGACCTCGAGTATTGTGAAGTCGCAGTGCATTTTGAAGAAGTCAAGGATCTCCCTGAAGGAGGTTGCGAGCTCATCCCGGATTCCAAGCTGATCATTTCTCGGAGAGCCTTCAAGAACAACACCAGCAAATACTACATCAATAATAAGGAATCGTCGTTTACAATAGTAACCAGCCTGCTGAAGGGACGCGGTGTTGACCTCGACCATAAGCGATTCTTGATCTTGCAGGGTGAGGTCGAATCGATCGCACAGATGAAGCCAAAAGCCCAGGGTGAACATGACGACGGCCTCCTAGAGTATCTGGAGGATATCATTGGCACATCCCAATTCAAGACACCTATCGAGCAAGCCATTACCGAGACAGACGAACTCAATGAAACTTGTCAAGAAAAGGAGCGACGGGTAAAGATCGTAGAGAAGGAAAAGGATGGCCTCGAAGACAGGAAGAACGGAGCTCTTGCCTACATCAAAGATGAAAACGAGATCGCAGTGAAGCAATCGGCACTCTATCAAATATACGTTTCTGAATTCGATGACCACATTCATGCGACCAGCGAGTCTGTGGTACAGATGCAAACCCAGCTGGATGACGAGCTCCAGAAACATCAAGGAAACGAAGAAGGCATTAAAGAGCTCGAGAAGCAGTACAAGAAGGGTTCAAAAGAGTGCGAGCGGTTAGAGAAGCAGGCCCAGGAATTGCAGAAAGAGGTTGCTAAGATCGACAAGGAGACTGTCAAGTTTGAAGAAAAGAAAAAATTCATGACCGGAAAACAGAAGAAGCTCGAGAAGACAAAGGAAACCAGTAGGCATGGCATTTCTGAGGCTACGACGAATGCGAGACAGTATGCTTCTGATCTGGAGGGCTATGCCGAGGATATGGTAACACTAGAGGAGAAGATGGCGGCCGAAGAAGAGGAGCTTGAGGCTATCCGTGCCAGCCTCGCAGGCAAAACGCAGGACCTATCAGACGACATCGCAGCGAAACAAAAGTCTCTCGAACCTTGGACCGCCAAGATCAACGAAAAACAATCTGCGATCGCTCTCGCTCAAAGCGAGCTTGACATCATCCGCGAGAAGGAGAACGCGGGCGCAAGAGGCATTACAGAGGTAGAAGCCAAAATCGCTGCCTTGCAGGAAACCAAGCAGAACAAGCTCGGTGAGCTAGAAGAATGCAAGGCGGAACATAAGAAAGCAGAAAAAGAAGCTCAGAGAGTGCAGTCGAAACTCGATCAACTGACACAGCAAGAGCCTGTGCTGAGATCCAAGCTATCTGGTGCCAGACAGAATGCCAATGAAGCGCGTGCGAGCCTCTCGGAAACTCAAAATCAGGGCAACGTCCAGGACAAATTAATGAAACTCAAGGACCAAGGACGTATCAATGGTTTCCATGGACGACTGGGCAATCTCGGTACTATTGACCACAAGTACGATATTGCCATCTCAACAGCTTGTGGTCAGCTGGATCATTTCGTTGTCGATTCAGCTGAAGTTGGAGAGCAGTGCATCGACTACCTTAGGAAGAATAACCTTGGCCGAGGCACCTTCCGTCCGCTCAATCGTCAACAACAACGGGACCTTTCACCTATTGAAACACCCGAGAATGTACCACGATTATTCGATCTAGTCAAGCCGAAGGACGACAAGTTCAAAATTGTTTTCTACAATGTTTTACAGGATACACTTGTTGCAAAGGATCTTGATCAGGCCAACCGTGTTGCATACAGCGCAAGACGGTGGCGTGTCGTCACACTTAATGGCGAGTTGATCGAGACAGCGGGCACAATGAGCGGGGGTGGCAATCGTGCATCGAAGGGCAAGATGTCATCCAAACTTGCGGCCGATGTCACAAGCACTCAAGTCGCCAAACTTGAACAAGATCGCGATGCCCTTGAACAGAGCTACGCTGAGCTTCAGGAACAACAGCGGGACCTAGAAGCGCAGCTTCGCAGCTTGAATGCGCAAATACCTCAGCTGGAGACAAGAGCTCAGAAGTTCGCCCTGGAGTATGAGAGCTTCGACCGAAACATTGCTGACTCCAAGCGACGGATCAAGGAACTCAGCGCAGAACAAGCCTCAGTAAAGTCGGATAAGGCTAGAATCTCGAAGCTCGAAAAGAGCATTGCTTCAGCTGAGAAGGAAGTCTTGAAACTGCACGCGGAGACTGCTGAGGTAGAGGCTGAAATCAAAGAGCTCCAGGAAAAGATCATGGAGATCGGTGGCTCCAAGCTGCGAACCCAGAACGCCAAAGTTGCTGATGTAAAAGGCCAAATCGACTCTCTTGCTGATATGACGTCGAATGCAGAGGTGTCAAAGTCAAAAGAGGAAAAGCAGCTTGCCAAGCACGAGAAGGCCCACGCTGATGCGGTCAGGGACCTTGAAAAGCTTGCACAGGATGCCGAGAAGATAGAGGAGGACATGGAAGCACACAAGCAGAGCGCCGCAGGTATCAGACAACAAGCTGAGGAAGCCCAGGAAGCCTTGGAAGCGACCAAAGAGGAGTTACAGGCTCTCAAGACCGAACTTGACGACAAGACGGCTTCACTGAACGAGACACGTGCCGTTGAGATCGAGATGCGCAACAAGCTCGAAGATAGCCAGAAGACCCTCAATGAATTCACGAGAAAGCAGCTAGCATGCCGTGAGAAGCTGTCTAAGCTGTCGTATCAAAGCATCAGTGATCTCGGGGGGGATCAAGAACAGGAGGGTGCAGGTCTCACCGAACACACCAAGGACGAACTTCGGGACATGGATAAGGACGAGATCAAAGATGAGATCGCCGCTCTCGAAAAGAAGATTGAGAACGTCACCGTCGATCTCACTGTACTAGCCGAGTACCGCAAGCGCACCGAAGAGCATGCGGAACGCACTCGCTCACTGGATGAGGCTGTCGCTGCCCGCGATAGTTCGAAAAAGAAGCTTGACGAGCTCAAGCAGTTGCGCTTGGTTGGCTTCATGGAAGGGTTTGCTATCATCACCTCAAAACTGAAGGAGATGTACAACCTCATCACCAACGGCGGTAACGCGGAGTTGGAGTTGGTCGACTCGTGGGATCCTTTCGCGGAAGGCATCAACTTCAGCGTTATGCCGCCCAAGAAGAGCTGGAAGAGCATCTCGAACCTTTCGGGTGGAGAGAAGACGCTAAGTTCGTTGGCGTTGGTTTTTGCGCTACATCACTATAAGCCGACGCCGTTGTATGTAATGGACGAGATCGATGCTGCGCTGGATTTCAGAAATGTAAGTCTGGCGAATGGCAAGGAGACCCTCCCGAGAATGCCAGGCTAATGTGCATAGGTCTCCATCATTGCGAGCTACATCCAGCAGCGCACGAAGAACGCACAGTTCATTGTCATCTCGCTGCGCAACAACATGTTCGAGCTTTCCGCGCGTCTAGTCGGCGTGTACAAAGTCAATCATATGGTATGTGCTTCAACCCTTCTGTCTCTACAGCGTCACTAACAAGCCTACAGACAAAGAGTGTGACGATCGAAAACAAGGACTATATAAAGAGATAGCATGCTTTCCTTACCATGCTTCCTCTGGTAGCGTCGGCGTTTTGGGTACATGGAAGTCGGCGTTTAGATGGGGTCACAGCATTGGGTATCGCACGGCCTAGATGGCACAGCATGACTAGTCATGATGGGAATGAGGGTTGTTGGGGTTGCTTGGAATCACGATATCCCCTAAATGATGTTGTATATTGCAACGATACGATATGAGATATGCAAAGGCTACGTTCGCGGGCATGGTGACTAAGTAAGTTGTCGAACATGAAGGTGCATAAATGATGCGTTAGCCACTAGCTCTCAGCTGCAGCATCCCATACTTGCTTGTCTGTCTGGAAGTTCAGGCATTCTGACTGTTCTTTGCACAAACACCCGCACATCGAAATTTGGGGTGTTAGTGCTTGTGGCCGTGGAACTGTCGCGCGCTGCTAGTAGGTGGACTTTTCTCTCAATATATCCTTGCAGTGATCAGTAGGGTACAGTGCAACACTGCGGGTGAAGTTTCGAATTCTCCAGAAGACTTTGTTGTCTTCAGCTTCAACCGTACAATCAAATGAGAAATCCAGTGTTTGTCCACACAGCAGCAAGCGAATGCTTACGACGTGCGTGCCGTGGACCCGTAGTCCGAACTACTGGCACTCAGCCACACCACGCCTTGACTACACAATTACCGCAATCTATGGCAGATAGCAAACGTCCTATTACGCCTCGGCAAGGCTTTTGCCTTTTTCCGCAACAGCAAGCGGGCGTCAAAGCGGGCCAAAAGGCGCTGGGAAGCCTTCGCACCCAAAACGGTCAACATGCAATCGGCTTCCGCGCATGTACACGCAACGAGCCCGAAGCGGTGGCGCTACAATGCTGCACCTTGCGACTCGTAGAACGGTCTTACGTGCCACTGTGCACACTTGGCCTATGTGAACGGTCGGCGGTGCACAATGACAGCCTTGGCTGCTGGCCGCCTCGCGCGTCCTGATTGGCACGCAGTGTCCGTCGGACATTTGGCGACAAATACAGACCCTACCAAAGACTCCGACACTGCCTTCTACCGCTGTACGGCAAAGGCGACAGCTGGGCGACGGAGTCGCAACGGACTGCCGTACGCTATGGCGCCTCTGCTCCAGCACGAGAGGGCGCAGTGATATAAGAGACTGTCCCTCAGGCAGTCCGATTCTTCATCAGCACACACATCATCGGCCTCGGCTTCCTTTTCTACAGTTCTTTGCTCTCTACAGCTTCATCAGCAGTAATTCTTACCGTCACTCCTTAATCACAGTCTCTTACTACATCGCATTCCAGTCCATTCTACATATTACTTCAGACTTCTTCTTAACATGCGCTCCTACGCCATCGTCGCTCTCTCCGCCCTCGTGGCCTCCGCTGCCGCCCTTGGCAAGGCAGTCGTCAAGAACAACGGCGAAGATACCATCTACGTGTGGTCAGTCGGTGCCGAGATCAGCGAGAAGCAGACCGTGGAGCCTGGTACGCCCTCGTTCTCATTCAGCCCCCACCGCTCCCAGCACTGACATACCCAACAGGCAAATCCTGGTCCGAGAAGCTCCACACAGACCCCACCACCGGCGGCATCGCCATCAAGATCACTACTAAGGACGAGGGTATCTTCAACGGCGCACCGCAGCAAATCTTCGCATACAACCTCGTCGACGATGCGGTATGGTATGACCTCAGCACCGTGGATGGAAATCCCTTCGAGGGCCAGCACATCACTGTTACCAACCGCCGCAACCCGACCATTGACTGGCCTGAGGGCACCAACCCCGGCGGCGAGTTCAGCCAGATCAAGGCTGGCGACAGGGAGAAGGATGTTATCTTCCTTGTTGGTGCGGGAGAGTCGTAGGACAGTAATGGTGGAGAGATGATACCCTTTCTTTGGTCACTACGCCCGTTCTTTGATTTAGCTTCGCATGGTTAGGGTGTTGGTCTATTCGTGTATATCTACTTTTTAGGCATCTACTTTTTAGCAAGCATTAGAGAAACTTGATCATCAGCATCAACGCACAATAAAAACTGCATATCGAACTCTGATCAACGCTTCCAAGAAGCCGTGAGGGACAGGTCGCAAGGCTAGTGACGTCTTAAATGGAGCCAACCTCTACGAATACGACATCTGGAGTCTAGAAACCTCTCACCGGTACAGTCCACCATCGTTGAATTACATGAAGTAATCCTTGACAGTATAAAACAGGTACGCCGTCATCGTCACCAATGATGCCTGCGTACCGTAGTACCCAATAATCCTGCCGACTCCTTTACTCTTCGGTCGCATCTAAGCCCCTCATTAGCAAGAGCTCTTGCACTCGTTCGCGATCATGTACTTACCAATCCAAATTCAACATGAGAGATACGGAAAGCCAACATAGCGCCAAGGAAGTAGTTGATGTATTTCCTACAATTTGATGAGGTATTGCCGAAAATATTTTATGGAGAAGAGTTACCGTTCGGCTCCATTGAGTTCCGCCAATGCAGCGATGATTAGCGTGAGCGGAATGTTCTCGTTGAAGTTCTGCTGCGCGCGAGTGCACACGTATAATGGATCTTCGTTGCCCTTGGACGCATCTATCTTATCTCCGAAATACCTTCCTTCGAATTAGCTGGACCGTTCAGTATTCTATAGATCAACATACGTCGCGGTAGTCAAGCGGTGATATACGATTCGGTTTTGGAGGAACAGGTAGTACGCCGCGAAGGGAACGGTCCATGATGCCGTTGCCGGGGTCAAGTTAAGGCCGATGCGGCTGGTCGGGAATGAAGCCATTGTTGCTGTTCGTGAACAATTGAGATTGAGAAGGTGTGAAGTGCAACGGTAGAAGAAGGGATGGCAGTGACGAATGAAGAAGATACATGTGGACCCTGTGAGCTAGCGTGAAACGAATCCTTCGGACTATTACCGAAATCATCCGCACCTCGTTCAGACTGGGATTGCTGAATAGGGCGAGTGAAGTTCCTAGCCATTCTGGAGCTGCAAACACAATTGCATGTGCGAACACTAGGGCCTTCGCCTGCCTTCCTATGCTTCTATAATATAGGCACCTTTCGAAATGCTGTGTTCCGCTTTGGAAGAAGCAAACGCGTTGCCGATGAGGGAGCTGCTAACCATAACCATGCGATATATTACACCCGGATGCGAACGCCGTGTACTCCCAAGGTTCTTCTGTTGGTGCTTATCGTTTCTGGCATCGTAAGTTATGAACTCTACGAAGGTGAAGATGGTACACTAACAGGCTTCATGTGCTCCGCATCGTTCTCCCGGTTGTCTTCTCGTGCTTCTTTGACCATCTTGTCGATCCCCCTCTCTTTCAATACTTTCTGATGGTGATGAGTAGGGCGGACTAGTGAAATGGGTTCACGTACCGAGAGACACTTCTCATATTGCTTGAAGAGTGGGTCACACTCATCCGTAGTAGCGGTGCCTCGGAGAAATTCTGGGAATGTCAACCAAGTGTGATGACCATTAACGTACTAAGGGAGCTTACTCTCACTGTACCATTTCAGGAAGCAGTTATCGTACCGCCTGTAAGCCATTAGTTATCTCATCTAGCCTCGATGTCACATAACACATACTCTTTCACTTCATTGCACTCTGGTGCCAGTGAGGCCGACATTCTGCTGATCTGCTTTGAGGCAGGAGGAGCCTAGAAACAGCGGCGTGAGCGGCAAAGTGAAGGTGCAGGCACGGGAGCTAGCTTTATCGATAAGGTCGCGCCAAGATTTCAACATCTCGAATTTCCTTTCTTCGAGCATGGATGGTGACAGACTTCCTCAGATACACGCCCTCGTTCTCAAGATATACCCCCGAGACGCCACTCAAGATCAATCGTTTGGTAGTTGCGCCATGGTAGTCGACCGCAGGTAGCGCCACCATGGACTTCAAAACTACCCAGGAACGGATTACCAAAGCGCTCATTGCAACCACGCGCGCTGCAACGCGTATCAACGGTGCCGACGTACCTTTCCAGCGCTCGCTAAATCCTGCGGCGGGTGTATCCCTTGACGGCCAAAATGCGCGGCTTCTCCAGCTCGCGCGACGCCTTCTGGAAAATGCTGCAGCGGGCTCGGACGCTGTAGGTCCCGATCTACCCAATGTCGAAGCCCTCGACGAGGACGACAAGTGGAGGGGGTTTGTTGATGTCATCGATAGCTTGCTGGAGAAGGCTGACACCAGCCTGGACGAATACTCAGGCGTTGTGAAGCGCATGAGCCCCGGCGCGGAACAGGTGCGTTGTTTATATTATGTATGTTGGACCCAGGCTGACTTGCGTAGGCCGCCGCTGCTGCCGCTGTTAAGCCTCGTCCGAACATCGCCGCTGCGCCGGGAAAACATTTGCCAAAACCGCAGGTCCTGTTCGAATATGTGCCCAAGAACAACGAAATGGGCGGCTTCCGACCATTGCTCACTTCGAAACCACATGCAAAGGTCCCCTTGGAATACTGCCTGCAAACTTTCAAGGACAGCCGGAACCGGGAACAGTAAGACCAATGTATGTAGCTCACTACCAGCATTGACAGAAAGCAGGTATCCACACCCTTACCAAACCGAGATCGAAACCTACGAGTACCCCGATTCCATGTATCAGCGCATCGGACCGAAGCCTTACAAGCCTTTTGAGAGCACCACCGCAACCTTTGTCGATACCCCAGAAGCACTGGCAATTATGTTGTCTGAGCTCAAGACAGCCAAAGAAATAGCTGTCGACCTGGAACACCACGACAATCGGTCGTATATCGGCATGGTCTCGCTCATGCAGATTAGCACACGCGATAAAGACTGGATCGTTGATACGCTCAAGCCTTGGAGGCGCCAACTGGAGTGCTTAAATGAAATCTTTGCGGATCCTGACATCATCAAGGTCCTACATGGAGCTTACATGGACGTTGTCTGGCTTCAGCGAGATCTAGGCCTGTATATTGTTGGACTCTTCGACACGCACCATGCCGCTCGCTCGTTGGGGTATCCGGGAGGGAGTCTTGCATATCTTCTCGAACGATTCATCAAGTTCCAAGCACAAAAACAATATCAATTAGCGGACTGGCGAATACGACCATTGAGCAAGGAGCTCTTCGAGTACGCCCGAGCCGACACACACTTCCTTCTATACATATTCGACAACATGCGCAATGAGCTCGTCGAGAAGTCCGATTTCTCGAACTCCAAAACGAACAAGGTGCTAGAAGTTCTGACCAAATCGAAGGACACGGCGTTACAACGATACGAGCACCCCATTTACGATTCCGAGCTTGGACTAGGGTCGACAGGCTGGTATAGACTTGTTTCAAGGACACCCGTACAATTCACGCCTCAGCAGTTCGCCGTTTTCAAAGCCGTACACAAGTGGAGAGACGACGTGGCTCGAGAGGAAGACGACAGTCCCATCTTCGTCATGCCGAACCATGCTTTATTCTCGATTGCAAGAGATATGCCGAAGGATAAGGCAGCGTTGTTTACTGTCGTGGTCCATGTCTCGCCTACACTTCGCAACCGAGCGGAAGAGCTGGTCAAAATCATTCAGGAGGCGAAGGCTGATGGATTGAATGGCCCCGATCTTTACGTGACGTTACAGAGGATCGAGAACCTCCGAGAAGCGGATCGAAAGGACCGAACCCGGACTCGGATTCAGACTCACGCTCAGTCGACTCCTGCTCCACTGGTCGTTGCTCCTCCAGCCCCGGCTGTAGTCATACAAGAATCTGCCGTACCCATCCAACTCGACACTTCAGCACTGCGTGCGAATGCCTCACAGTTTTGGGGTCTCTTAACCAAAAAGCACACTACGCCACCGAAGTCTGCGCCTCTACCGGATATCTCCTTTGCACTCCCACTACCACCTCTCACCGCAGACGTCTTCGCCGACTCCAACGACACCACCAACTCGCCCGCCCCCGTTCAAGAACCCCCCAAATTCGTCGCAAAGGAAGACCGCCCCGCCGAGGACGCCCGCACTGACATCTTCGTCGTCAAGCAACTCGGCGGACGCAAACGCAAAGCCGAAGCCCTTGAAGCCGCCACATCATCCAAATCCGACCCCATGCTTGACGACGAGATCATGCTGGAAGAAAGTGACGAGACAATCCGGCGCCGCGAAAAGGCCACGCGCAAGGAAGTCCGGAGGGCGGAGAAAGAAGCTAAGCGCGCAGCGAAGCAAGCCGCCCGGGACGCCGCGCTCAACGACGATGACGAGCCTACTTTCGACTATGCGAATGCGCCTAGCGTGCTGCATGCGAATACGCCGAGTGGGGACAAGAAGAAAGATAGGAAGGGCAAGAAGGAAAAGAAGAAGGCGGCGAATTTCAATCCGTATGCGAAATTGGCGGATGTGCCGAAGGGGCTGCCGCCCAAGCAGAGGGAGAGTGCAGGACGGAGCAAGACGTTTGGGTCCTGAGGATGGAGACGAAGGAAGGTACTCTTGATGAGGCTGTTTGGTCGACTTCTGTACATAGTTCGATGAACTAGACCCTATGACATGCATCATGCTTTGATCCGAGCTGGGAAGAAGGCTCGAGGGACGTATAGGTGACCACCATTGTTTCATTATGTACCCTGCTACGTTCTAAAAACTATTTGTGCTATTGCCTGCAATTTGTCCTTTCGCCGCACTCAGTGAGAGGCAATGCAAACGCTAATACTATACCTGCTCAGGTGATTCCTCGGTGTCGTGATCCATCACGTCCTGCCCGTGGCTTCCATCTTCAAATCCAACTCAGCCGAGAAAATTTATATAGTTTTCTCTTCTCTTCACTGTGTCCATTACCGCAAAGACCACCTGATCCCACCAGCCGCCCTAAAACTCCTTCTCTTGGAGCACCTCTAGACAGGCTTTTGCCACGTCTTTCGGAGGATTGTTGAGCTTGCCGCAGAGCTGTCCATAGTGTAATGGATGTCGGAAAGTCGTGGACATGAGAGCAAGTGTCGAATACTCCAGAAAGCGGAAGTAAACAGAAGGGAACTCATTGCTGTGTGGACCTGCCTTGCGTGCAGGATGTCACTACGCCTGCCTCTAGCATCCTGCTGGCAATGCAGTGGCAGCGCGCAAAGGAGGCAAGAACCATGCCCACGTAGTTAGTTCATTTGTATACACTCGCCATCACACATAACGTATGCGTCCCATGGTAATCGAGCCGGCTCGATATGTCCCAATATTTTTTGGATTTCTATGAATAGATCCAAAAGTTCAGCCTCGCCAAAAGTTGAGCCTCGCCGGAGCATGTGCCGGAGCATTTCCCCGCCGTCGGTCATCGAGGGTCATTTCACGTGGAAGCGGACAGGGTTCCGTTCAGCCCTACGAACATGGAACATGCATTCTGCCCCACATCTAGGCGATCACCAAAATGGGGACCATGCGGCCACTTTCCCGTCAACAAACACCCGCCCACTCCACACTGACAACCAGATTACAAGTTATACGCAACGTCCTCATGTAACCGTCACAAGAAGTATGGCTCCCACCACGCTGTCCGCCTCCCACCCCTCACCCAAACGCAAGCGCGATCAGCCGCCGTCCATCCCGCTTCTAAACACCGCTCTCCGACCCGCCTCGACTCCACCCACCGGCAGCCCCACGCTCAGCGGAAGCGACAGCCCAAGAGATGGTGTCGCCGACCAACTGCGGGGCATGACCTTGACTGGCATCACCGCGATTCCCATGAATCCGCTCTCGCCGACGGACGACACAGCGCACAAGAAGCCGAAACTGGAGGTGGGGAGAGCGAATGGTGGGATATCGCTTGCCGGACAACTCAAAGGACCAAAGAACAATATCGTTCAGGCGGCAGGTGCGGAAGATACGAAAACCACCACAGCATTGAGATCTGGCGAGAGAGAGATACCAGAGACGCCTCAGGCATACACACAACCCCGCATCCTCTCAGACATTGCTGCTTTCGCACGACCCACCGCTTTCGTTTCGTCACCCATCAATACATCATCGGACAAAAAGCAAATAGCAAATCAGGGTTCTTCTGCAAATGACACCGCATCGCTACCCCGCCAACGCAAGAAGTCACCATCGCCCCCGCTTTCAACGCTCACGTGGCAGGACAGTGAAATCACCGGCCATCTTGCCGATCCCTCCAAGGACCCCGACGATGACGGGACTGGAATAAACGGCATCGGGTTCAGGCCTACACCAGCAATTGCCTATGTTCGCGCGCAGAAACGAAAACAGCAAATTCTTGACTGGAAGGCACGAGAAGCGAGGGAAGCCAGAGCTAAGAGGTCTGAGAGACGAAGAAGGGGTATTGGAGGGAGGTCCTCAAGAGAGCCGACGATCGAAAGGGAAATGCCTGCGAGTACGAAGATTGACGCTCGTCGATCTGTGAAGTTCGCCGTATGATGGATTATGACGGATGTTGCTAATCATAATGTCGAGGGGGGTTCCAGTTTCACGATGTCACGATAATTTTACGATGTACGAAGGCAGCACTTGAGGGAAGCGTTCTTTGGGTACGAGTTTATCGGGTTCCGGAAGGATAGGCGCATCATGGTCCTCTCGGGCACCTGATGCGCTCTTGAGGTTTTCTTGGCACTCGTAACAGGAGGGTGGCGCTAGATCAAACGTCGAGTGGTCTTAGCATCTGCATTGCCTCGCATCGGTTTCTTATACTTGTACATCTTTTCATACACGGTTCTGTACATAGCTACCTTCGCCTCGAATCATACCACGCTCCTACCAAAACCGCACGTTCTTGTCGAACCAGTGACCCCATGATTTCCGCCTTTGCTCTTCTAATCGCCGCGCCTCTTCCAGCTTGTCTTGTTCTTCGCGCTGTTTTCTTCGCGCCTCCTTCTTTGCTTCGATGGTCGCGCGTTTCTTTTCCATCAGCTCCTGCGCTTGCTTCATGCCGTCCTTCTCCTTCCGCCGATAGTACTGGCACACTTGGTAGTGTACACATCCTGTCACGCACCACGCCGCTACCGCATAATTCGAACAAGTTATTACCGGTCCTGGCACACGTTAGCCCGAACCATCTCTCCACACGCACTTCAAAACATCCACGTACTTGACATCACAGCCCCTATCATATATCCAACGAACCCTGAGCTTATACCCGTCAATTGACTGTCGCGTACGCACGGCCGCTTGTAGAAGTTGAGGTAGTAGTCTGCGGGGAGGTTTCGGACCACGTCGACGTAGGAGACATTGTCATCGGCCTTCTGGCCGCCTGCTGTATGGGCAGTACCACCAGGCATTATGTTTGCGGGGGCGCGCGGAGGCGGGGGTGTGGGAGCGGAAGGTTCCCGTGTGTCGTCGGCCATTGTGGTGATGGTGTGGACGTGAGGTACTCGAGTCGGATGGTTGGATATTCTCTCCTCTATCTTTCAGTGTCTGGGTCCTCCTCTTGCAATTCAGGCGCAACGTTCGACGGCGCGTGTGAGGATATGAATCCGAATTGCAGTGTTGTAGCGATGGGTTCCCGCAGTGTGGTTCGATCCGCGTGGACTGGCATCATGGACTTTTCTGGTAGGGCTAGGGTCGCCAAGCGGCCCGCTTTTCAGCCCGGACCAAAATCAATTAAGCAGGGAAGACGCGCTGCGAACGCGAACCAACGCGTACCGTCGAGCCGACGCGCTTGCACCCGTTTGCAGCACCACGCCTCGAGCTCTGCATCAACACGACCGCGACCACTTCCGCCCCAACTCTCAACGCCAGTACTCGACCTTGGCCTTGTTCCTTCATTCCTTCATTCCACTGTTTCAATGATACCCTGATTCCATTCGCATCTGCTTTTAGTCACCTTGACCTCCCTACCCACATAAACAATGCCGCCGCGACGGCCAGGGCAGCCCTTCCGCCGAGTAGGCAAAGGCGGCAATGCCTCTTATGGCCCTCGAAAACCAAAGACAGTCGAAGCCTCCTCATTACGCAGCACAGAAGCCACTTCACAAAATGAGAAACTCGAAGCCACACGCCTCGCGAACCGCATCGATGAGTCCATGGGCTTCCCCCGCTACGAAGCCGGCAAGAAGCGCATTGGCTGGCTCTGCAACATGCACTCTACCACCATAGAAGACGAGAACGTGCCTGGGGGAAGGGCGGGCGTGGACTACTACTTCATTGGCGAGGACGGCGACACATTCAAGGCGACGCTCGAGTACGACCCGTATTTCCTGGTCGCTGTGCGCAAGGGCCGAGAGCCGGAGGTAGAAGAATGGTGTAGACGGTCGTTTGAGGGCCTTGTCAAGAGCATGAAGAAGGTAGAGAAGGAGGACTTGTCCATGCCGAATCATCTCACGGGATACAGGCGGACGTTTTTGCAGCTGAACTTCGCCAACGTTAGCGACTTGCTGGCTGTGAGGAAGGTCATGGGTCCGATCGTGGAGAAGAACAAGAAGAATGTCAATGCCATGGACACGTATGCCGAGGTGGCCAGGTTGGTGTTTCCATGTGCTGTTGAAAAGAAGAGGTGCTAATGTTCGGTAGCACAACTGCTGGCTTCGACATCTTTGACGACGATTACGATTATGATAGACGGCCTACTGCGACGATTGATGCGAGCGATTTCATTCTAGATATACGGGAATATGACGTTCCCTACCACGTACGAGTTGCTATCGACAAAGGTGCGTTATCCTGCCTTCGCAACAAAGGCACCACGCTGACACTTCCCAGATATCCGAATCGGAAAGTGGTACACAATTGAGGCGAAGCACGGCATAATATGCTTGACCTGTATAGACGACCGTTTGAAAATGGCCGATCCGGTCGTCATGGCGTACGACATAGAGACGACCAAACTCCCTCTGAAGTTCCCCGATGCAGTCATCGACCAGATCATGATGATTTCGTACATGATAGATGGCCAAGGTTTTCTTATTACCAATCGAGAGATCGTATCAGAAGATATTCAAGACTTCGATTATACGCCTAAACCGGAATATCAGGGCCCTTTCATGATCTTCAACGAACCAGACGAGAAGGCGGTCATAGAGAGATTTTTTGAGCACATCAAGGAAGCCAAGCCGACAGTCATGGTTACGTACAATGGTGACTTTTTCGATTGGCCCTTTGTTGAGGCCAGAGCGAGTGTGCTTGGTATCGACATGTACCAAGAGATTGGCTTCCGAAAAAACAGCGAGGACATCTATCAGTCTGACCACTGTGCACATATGGATGCCTTCTCGTGGGTCAGTCGAGACAGTTACTTACCGCAAGGTAGTCGTGGTCTCAAGGCGGTTACGGTGGCTAAGCTTGGTTATGATCCAGACGAGTTGGATCCTGAACTGATGACACCGTACGCAAGCGAGCGACCCCAAACACTTGCCGAATACTCCGTCTCCGACGCCGTGGCCACCTATTACTTGTACATGAAATATGTGCACCCGTTCATCTTCGCTCTATGTACTATACTTCCTCTGGGTCCCGACGACACGCTACGAAAGGGTACCGGTACCCTCTGCGAAATGCTGTTGATGGTGCAGGCTTACCAGAAGGGCATTGTTCTTCCGAACAAACATCAAGCCCCAAAGGAAGCTTTCTGGGAAGGCCATCTACTAGAATCCGAGACCTACGTTGGTGGCCACGTCGAGAGTATCGAAGCTGGTGTCTTCCGCAGCGACTTTCCGTACAATTTTGCTGTTGATCCGAAAGCCATCGACGAACTCCTCAGCGATTTGGATGCAGCGCTCAAATTTGCCGTTGAAGTCGAAGAGAAGAAAAAGATGGAGGATGTGACAAACTATGACGACGTCAAGGCTCAGATCACCGAGAAGCTGCTGCAATTGAAGAACACACCGAATCGGAACGAGCGGCCACTTATTTATCACTTGGATGTCGCATCCATGTACCCGAATATCATGACGACAAATCGACTGCAGCCGGATTCTATGATCAAGGAGTCAGATTGCGCGGCGTGCGACTTCAATCGTCCAGGAAAGACTTGCGACCGAAGGATGCCGTGGGCGTGGAGAGGCGAGTACTTGCCGGCCAAACGTGATGAATACAACATGGTCCGGAACGCGCTAGAAAACGAGAAGTTCCCCGGCCGATTTCCCAATTCACTAGCACGCACTTTCCAGGAGTTGTCACAAGACGAGCAAGCTACCTTGATCAAAAAGCGTTTACAAGAGTACAGCAAAAAGATTTATCACAAGATCCACGATGCGACGACTATCGAGCGAGAAGCCATCATCTGCCAGCGCGAGAACCCCTTCTATATCAACACCGTACGAGATTTCCGTGACCGACGATACGATTACAAGGGGAAGCAAAAAGTCTGGAAAGGCAAGACGGAGGAGTTGAAGTCTGCTGGTGCTCCTGCTTCTGAGGTCGAGGATGCGAAGAAGATGATCGTTCTCTTCGACTCCATGCAACTGGCTCACAAAGTTATCTTGAACAGTTTCTACGGTTATGTCATGCGGAAAGGTTCGCGGTGGTACTCGCTAGAGATGGCGGGTGTGACTTGTTTAACCGGTGCTCGTATCATCCAGATGGCTCGTCAGCTCGTGGAACGCATCGGACGACCGCTCGAACTAGACACTGACGGAATCTGGTGCATCCTGCCAGCCACGTTTCCGGAGAACTTCGCTTTCAAGATGAAGAACGGCAAGAAGCTCGCCATCTCGTATCCTTGTGTCATGTTGAACCACCTCGTCCACGCCAAATTCACCAATCATCAGTACGAGACGTTAACAGATGGTGAGACGTTCCGTTACGAGAAGCATAGTGATAACTCTATCTTCTTCGAAGTCGATGGTCCTTACAAGGCTATGATCTTGCCTACTTCCAAAGAAGAAGACAAGAATCTGAAGAAACGATATGCAGTCTTTAACCACGATGGTAGCTTGGCTGAGCTGAAGGGGTTTGAGGTCAAGCGACGTGGTGAGCTGAAATTGATCAAGAACTTCCAAGCTCAGCTTTTCAAGTTCTTCTTGGATGGTACTACGCTTGCGGAAACGTACGGCGCTGTCGCCAATGTCGCCAACCGGTGGCTCGACATCTTGGATACGCGTGGTGCCACTTTGGCGGACGAAGAGTTGATCGATCTAATCGTCGAAAACAAGAATATGACGAAGACACTAGAAGAATACGGCGCGCAAAAGTCAACCGCGATCACCACTGCGAAGCGACTTGCGGAGTTCCTTGGCGAGCAGATGGTCAAAGACAAGGGCTTGAATTGCAAGTACATCATCTCTGCGCGACCGAAGAACGCTCCTGTTACTGAGCGCGCCGTGCCTATCGCGATCTTCTCCGCTGAAGAATCTGTTAAGCGATACTTCCTGCGGAAGTGGTTGAAGGAGGATCCAAGCGATATGGACCCTCGAAGCATCCTTGACTGGGAATACTACCGGGAACGTCTGGCATCCGTCATTCAGAAAATCATCACTATTCCGGCAGCTCTGCAGAAAGTGCGCAATCCTTGTCCTCGTGTACCGCATCCGGATTGGCTCGACCGAAGGATACGGCAGAAGGAAGACAAATTCCAGCAAAAGAAGATGACGGACATGTTTGATAAGGCTCTCACGGACGCTGATACGAATGTACTTGGAAATCGAATCGCCGTGGACCTGGAGGACTTTGGAGGCTCTGGAAAGATATCGCCGAAATCACAAGCCAAGAGGGGCATGGTGACTAAGATGGCCACAAAGCGGAAAGAGCCTGAGCCTGCGGTGCCTGTCCAGACCGACCCATACGCCGCCCTACCGAAAGTCATGCCCTCGATCACTGAGGACTACCCAGGATGGCTCATGTATCAGAAGCAGAAGTGGAAGATCCAGCGGCAAGCACGAAAGCGCCGCCGACAGCTGTTCGGTGAGCGAACAGGTGATGCCGTTGATGGTATCGGAGGCCTTATCAGAAGCCAGAATCAAATGGTGTTCATGAGCACGTGGCAATTGGTGCAGTTACGACCGACAGCAACACCAGGCAAAGTCAAGGCTTTCGTGCTCATTGACAAGAAGATTCGTTCGCTTGATATCAACGTTCCTCGCCACCTGTACCTAAATCTTAGGGGCGAAGATCTACCCGATGTTTCAATCAGCGGATGCAGTGTCGAGAAACTCATCAACCACACCCTTCCGAATGGACATCCTTCAACACATCTCTTCAAGCTGGAGATGTCAGAGCAGACGTACGTCGATGAATCGAAGAAGATCGCTGCGCTGTTCAATCACCCCAGTGTGGAAGGTGTTTATGAGAAACAGGTACCTCTGAATGTTCGGGCGATTCTAGAGCTCGGAAACATCTGTACCTTCGACGAAACCCAAAAGGGTGTTCTGGGCAAGGGTCTTGCTGAAGGTTTTGACCTGCCAATCCTCAGAAAGGTAGCTTCAATTTCCCCTTACCTTTCAGAAGCGCCGCTCAGCTACCTTTACCTCTACCATGTTAGCAGTGGTGAACGCAACATTTACGCTTTATTCTCGACCTCAAGGAATGAGGCCCACATTATCATTCAGAACAAAGCGAAGGATTCTCAGGGCATGCCGAACATCGACCGCATCTACCGCGACGCTCTACGGAGGCGCCTGGACGAACATGGTGGCGAACAGTGGCAGAATACCATTGAATACCAAGACGATGTACATTTTCGAACGGTTTCTGTGACAACACGACGAAAGGCGCTTCTGGAAATCGGCGATGCTGTCAAGCAGATCAGGCAAGCAGACAAGGATAAGCCGTTCATCATGGTTGTACAGTCACCCAACCATGCCCTCCTCTCGCATGACATCCCTCAACTCCAGGATATACCTACCTTGCCACTACGGGCGGATGAATCAGACAAGCAGCTGCCTCAGCTGAGCTGGCAGTCGGTCGTTGCTAAGCGTCTTGTCGGGCATTATCTGGACCTTGGCTCGTGGGTTTCGCATCTTACGGAACTTGCTCGATACGGAGACGTCCCTCTCTGTAACTTGGAGTCAAATGATCCGCAATTCTTGATTGACGTTGCGTATGCCAGACGGCTGCAGAAAGAGCGTGTGATTCTCTGGTGGTCTGCGCAGCCCAAGCCGGACCACGCTGGCTACGAAAAGGACGACATCCTAGGACCTCTTGACACCGTTGATATGCCTTCGATCAATAATCCTGGCACTTACTCCTCCGTCTGTATCGACCTCAACCTCCGCCATCTCGCTATCAACACTATTCTATCGTCTTCGCTTATCAACGATCTCGAAGGCGCAGATTCATTTTCTTTCAACCCTGCGGCTCCTTCGTTCGACAGCAGCAATGACGGAACGAACGTCATCTATTCCGAGAATGCTTTCGCCACCGCGGGTATCACTGTGCTGCGAGAGATGGTGAAGGCGTGGTGGAGCGAGGCAGCCAACGGTGACTACATGGCCGATGTCATGGTACAGCATCTGGTGAGGTGGGTCAGTAGCCCAGGATCTTTCCTCTACGACCGCGCTCTTCACTACTACGTACAAATGATGAGCAAGAAGGCGCTGCAGCAGCTCATGACCGACTTCAAGCGCGTGGGCTCACACATCGTTTTCGCATCACCCACGCGCCTGCTCCTCCAAACGACCAAAGCAGAAGTCGGCAACGCCTATGCCTACGCACAGTACATCCTCAAAACCATCCAAGCAAAGCCCCTCTTCAACTTCCTCGAGCTGGAGATCAAAGAATATTGGGATTACCTTGTCTGGTACGACGAATTCAACTACGGAGGTAAAGGGTGTGAGAAGATCGTCGAAGAAGAGAACCAAACCCTCGACAACATAATGCACTGGCAGCTCGCGACTTTTCTGCCCCCAGACCTGCAGAAGGAATTCGACGCCACCATCGTCGACTTCATCGAACTGATGCACGCGCGCAAACGCCCTGGTCCTGGCCCTGACGGCAGCACTCCGCGCTTGACGCAGATCCCGCTTAAGCCTCTCACGGTGGATCCAAACGAAATGACACACATTCTCCCCAAGACCTTCACCAAGCCGCTCTTCAAGCAGATCTCTACGTGGCTGCGTCGCCAGCACGCCGAGATGCGCGTCGCAGACCTTGCGGACAGCTGGGCTTTCCCGAGGTTGCCAGGCAGCCATCTCAACCTTTCCAATCCCGTGCTGCAGCTTGTAAAAAGCATCATGCAAGTCCTCAGCTTAGACCGGAGTATCACGCTCGAAGTGCGCCTGTTACGCAAAGAACTCCTTGCGCTCTTCGAAATCCGCGAGTTCAGCGCCGATGCCGCGTTTCAGAATCCCAGCGCGAGTCTGATGCTACGGGGTGTTATTTGCGAGGAGTGCACTGCGGAACGCGATATCGATCTTTGCCGCGATGCCTCCCTTCTCCCCACTTCTACTAACTCATCGACCATTGTCCTGCCCAAGTGGAATTGCGAAGCCTGCGCCACACCCTACGACCTCCTTCGCATCGAGGAACAGCTCGTCTCCGATGTACAGCGCCTGCTGCTCGAATGGTCGGTGCAGGATCTCAAGTGTGGGAAGTGTAAGAGGTTGCGCTCTAACGAGTTCATGGAACATTGTGCTTGCGCAGGGGAGTGGGTTGCCACGAAGGATAGAGCAGACGTAAAAAGGAGACTGAATGTATATTGGGGTGTCGGGGAGTTTTTCGGATTGAGGATGTTAGAGGGGTTGTGGGGAGTGTTTGGGGATTTTAGGTATGGTTGACGGGGTAAAGGAGCGGTAGAGGGTGTTCTTTCATGTTGTGACATTAAAGGAAGAAGCATTTTTTGGGCGTTCTGGGGCTTAAGATGACTTAGGCATGGTTGTGAGGGGTTTTGAGCTACGGGTCTAAGGTGGACCATATGCGTAAGGTGATGTTTGTGGTGCTTTACAAGCGAGCATAGCTCGATGTTTTACGATATCAATGCAGTCTTCCCCATTTTGCATCTCAAGCTACAAGCGACTTACTTGACAACGCTCTGTTCTTGAAGCATGCGAGCTCAATGAAATACGTGCGTCTCGATGGACTAATTTCAAGCGCGAGAGATTGTCCGTGTTGATTATTCTGGCAGAGGTGAGGTCAAGACGGAGGTTCTATGCTCCAGGTGTCTTCTCAGCAAGCACTAGCGTGGGTCATGGCCTAGGAGAAGCTCATGTTCCCGCGTACATGCATCTATACATGTACATGCAACCTGTATGCACGTAGCAAGATAGGTGATATGTCAAAGAACATACAAGAGAAGGTTCTAGGTGCACAGAGCGATTTACCATGAAGCCTTTCTATGCGCACTAGATTGTCCTCTTAGCAGTATAGTTTGTGTCAACAACGTAGCCAGATCGTCCGATTACTACAGGTGTTGTCTACCGGCATTTGCTGCATGCTGCTTTAGATATCGTCCACGAGAAGACTTCGGTTAATATCCTCACGCTAGAAAGATCCTTGACAGAGACAAAACCACACTCCGCGTGCTGTGTGACTGGAGCCGCACAATACATCCGCGGAACGGCTTTGGACAAGTGTCAAAGCCGTGCTTGTGGCGTTGGTGAGGGTGGGGTTCTGCAATTTTCGCGCCACCGAAGGATGCCTGGTAATAGGTTCCGTGGAACAAATTCCATCTGTTAGCCATTGATGACTCATGATCGAACTCTAAGGCACTACAGGTATTCCATTTTTCGGTGAAGAATGAAGGTGCTGTCCATTTTGAGGAAACCCCGAGAGCCTCGATGAGCCTGTAACACGGTCTGTTCAGCAGGGCTTTGCCTTCCAACACTGTGCAACTCATGACTCAAGCTTGTATCCCGCCAGATGCCAAGCCTTGAATTATGCCGAAGCCAATCAGTGCTGATGACGAGATTTCGATGTAAAAGACTGTCATCACCGACCAACTTGATTGGCGAAGTTTGCAAGGTGGTAGGAATCACCACGGCACGAAAAGAAGGCTGGACGCTGTGTGGTTGCGGTACGACACACCGAGATACATTCGGCTCAGGGATCCGATTATGCAAGCGAGACCTGAGTCGCGCGTAGTGTCCGACCCACTAAAATGTAACATAGTAGTGTGATGTCAGGCTCGTGCTGCTTCGCTTGGAAGGAGATTCTTATCATACTGCTTATCATAGTTATCAAGTCCAGTTTCAGGTCCGAAGTCGTATCCAGATGTCAATTTTCGTTGAGCCCTGTAGATGTAGATTAGGAAAGCTCTTCTGTTTGGATCCATTTGGATCCGTTATGATACCTCGGACACACCTGGAAAACGAGTTCCTGCTATTATTGATTAGTTGAAATTGTGATCCCTAGATTGACCCAGTTTCTTGCCTATTGTTGTCTGACTCAAAACAAAAATCTCAACATGATGTTGCTCCTCTTTCATAACCTTTGAAGCTGGACATATCAATTGTTAAATGGGGTATCGTGTAGTTGTGTATATCGTGACATGTTCGCAAATCCATCACCATGATTCCATTCCCCATTCCTGTGTGAGCGCGTTAACAATCCACTCGGTCGGCCAGCGTTGGTTGCCTTCGAGATTGGCAAGTATTTCTAGCACTTTTGTTCTTTCTGCTTGGTCGGACAGCAGCGGGCCCCAAATGAAGATGGTATGGCAAAAAGTGATGAGATTTGTGACATTTTCGAGCGAGCTCATGCAGGAGCCACATATTGCTCGGGCGTGCTCTAGAATTTTCTTCTGATATAATTAACAAACGTAGGTCGTCACTTGGAGATAGGTGAACGTACGTCTGTCTCCGAGGGTTTGTGTCCTGCGAAGCGCATTGCAAATTTCGGACCGGGCTTATAGGTTAGCAGGAGGATACAAGAGAAATTGTAATAACTAAAGGCCACGGCTGAGAGTAGTTAGTCTTGATCCAAGAAGTTGTTCGCAAGACATACCATGCCAGTCGGCGATAAAGTATATCTCAGGGAAAACGCTGTCGCCATGAGGACCGCTCCAGATTGGATCGAAGCTATGCGGACGACTTGCCTCCCAGCTTTCGATATCATTCCAAAGACCTTGCCATTGTTGCAATCTCAGAGCAGGTTCTACTGTCGTGTATCTATCGAAGCTGAAATTCGCAACACGAGCACAATTCCACGTCGCCTGGTTCGCCCATGCTGTCTCTATTTCTATACTGGCCAAATGGTGGTGATCGTTCATCGAGGGTGGCGAGGGATGCAGCTGTAACGTAAAGTCTACGTTTGGAGGTGACTGGGTGATGGTGGCATTGTACAAGCACTGGCGGACGTAGACAAAGAAGGCTGCCTCGCGAAGAGTAGGGGTTGATGGATCAACCGATTTGTTCTGCGACGAACGCAGAATGGCCGAAGTACCGGCCAGATGTTGTTCCTGATCGGCACCTGAGCTGGAGGGTACATTAAGTTGTTCGAAGAAACGTAGAATGACAATGGCACAAAGCAAGTCGTCATCGTGTAGAGCCGTATTGAGGTTGAGTCGTTCGATGACAAGAGCAAGGCAGGCTTGATATGCCTCTTCCGCAGTGGCATCGTCTCGCAGATGTCGTGCGGCGAAACACACGACAGCATGGAGCAATATCGAACAGCGGCCGACTTGCTCCGGCACGCGTAATGTAAATTGACGTGCGGGGTCCGTTCCGTCTAACCATCTGCCTAAATCTTGTGCCTGTGAGTCGAAGATCAATGGAGGGTGGCCTATTGCCTTACATTCAACGTAATGATGGACAAGCTTTGCATCACGACGAGTGACTGACACACAATATCTGCTTATCCTCAGTATCTGCACGAAACGTTTCCATGGATGTGAAGGATGAAACCTTCAAAGCTTACTTTGGTAATGCTGTGGAAAAGGCTGCCGGCACTGCAACGCCTCCGCTGGCCTGCGTGCTTGCAGGTGAATTCACCTGCGATAGGAACGGGGAAGTAGACGGCTGCTGAAAACCTTCGGTAGCCCTGCCGGAAGGACGCACGTGTGTGGTGGTGTTTTGGCCGGTAGTAGCAGTCCTCTGGCTTCTCTGACGTCGACTGGGCGCTAAGGCCACATGCTCATCATCCCCATCAGCATCCACCTCTTCTGTTTCGGTCTGCGCTGTTGCACTCGACGAGCCTGTGTCTGGGTGATAGCCCTGAAACTTGGTCTGCGGCGTCGCCCATTGACAGTCGCGGTTTTTCTTTGCGCAATTTCCACAGACTGGTTTGACCTCGTCGCCTGTTCCTGGTCAGCAGAGACGGGTCCAAGGGCATTGCTGTTGCTCACATTTGACGCGACGTTGACGGCAGGTCGAACTTTGACTACTCCTCAGCAAGCCGGTCTACGGTGATGGACTCGAAGCGGGCGCTCACCAACCGCTTTTGGAGCGGTATTTGCCCATTCGGCACGGAACTTGAAGCAGCCCCAGCAACGCAAGGTCTAGGTGTTCATCGAGCGCACATTGCAGAAGGTCGAGTCGATACCGCGACGCACGGGGACGGTCGATACGATGGAGAGCTCACTCATGCCGTGGAGCGATGATGTATTGGTCACGCAGGCGCTCCATGTCCAATCTGAGTCGACGTGGGAGTTCGGTGAAGTGCCCCGTCACCCCTCCATGGTGCGTCATGGGCTTGGGTCGAGAGGAGAGTCACGGAAGTTTGAGCCGGCCAAGTCAGGGGAAGGAAGGGGAGCTCTCGGGCCGGAATGGGATGGCCCAGGGTGATCGCCTGCCCAACCCTCGGTGCAGGCACAGGCTCACGGCTCGGCCCTTCCAGCCGTCCAATTATAGCGTATGCATCCAATTGAAACAGATATCCGCATGGTCGGTACCCAGGTCCACTGTTCGCAGCCTGCGTCCACCAGGCCTCCGCTGACGAGATTCAGGGACACGCAATGCCTGACCGCGCTCGACTTGGACGCCCTCCCCACTCAGCTACCCCCGAGCATACCGAGGCTCCATAGTACCTGGCAGCCAGCAACCGGACGCAATGCACTAAAAGCAAAATTTTTGTGTCGTCACTGGCACGGGCTAGCCTGATACAGAAGATCGAATCGAGGTTCCGCGCCCCCAGACACTGTGCATCACACGTGGCTACTGCTTCCACTGACCGGGCTTCGTAGCGAAGAGGAGCTGTGACATACGCCATGACCTGTGTACATCCTGTGTAAGCCTTTCTTCTGCACCTCCTCTGCCTGCTCCCGATTGGTTCGAGTATTTGACCTGTACATCTAGCCGCCATGCTCCTCTCTCAGTCCACGACCGCTCTGAACTTGATGTATGGCTCCTGTAACAACGCAAACCACCCTGATCCGGAAAGACTCAGCAACGGCGCAGCCTCTCGTGGAGATGGTTGCGTCGGAGAAAGGCCCGAAACCTCAAACTAAGCACAACGATAATCCATTGGACATCACCGTGCTAGGTTTATGCTCTGGGGCGGCCTTGGACGGAGTGTCCTGCGCTCTCCTTCGCTTCAGACAGAAGAGCCCTAATGAACCCCTCCGCATGTCCATGCTTAAGGTATCGTCTTGTCGCTACGAATTGGGAAGTCACAATCTGACAACGACATCAGTACGAAGAAACCAATGTACCTCTCCGATTACGAACGCAGATCCTTAACCTGCTTCGAGACCATCCAAACAATCCCCAGGCCATGGTACGCGTGCACAGCATGCTCGGCTACATGTACTCGACCACAGTCAAGTGCTTCCTCAGCAACAACGGCATATCTGAAGAAGCAATCCACCTGATAGCGTCACGAGCTGACTGTATCTCTCCATCTGTAACACCTCCGCTGCCTGTCTCCGTGACGATTGACGAAACCGAACCGGTCTTGAAGAGTTGGACCGCTGTGGTCGCTGCAGAAACAAATATAACGACGGCATCAAACCTGCCAGTAACACCAAGACCAGTCAACAAACACGACCCGACTGCGGAATCTCCAGTAGAGAGTCTCTTGCTTCAACATCCCACAAAGTTTCGCGTCTGCGTAACCATCAATGAGCTGCTCAGCATAACCATGATCCCACCAGCCGATGGCAACCCCAGAACCAAACCACCTAGCTCCGTGTGCGGTCCGGGCACCATGTTCATAGACTACACGATGCGCTACGCAACGTCGAACCGCGTCCAGAATGACTACGACGGCACTTACGCTTCCAAAGGCATCGTCAACCATGCCGTTGTCGACCGCGTACTCAAAGCCAACGATTACTCGGCACGCGTGCCCCCTCTCCAGATCGCCACCGAGATGTTTGGCCACCACGAAGCGCAGGACGTCATCGACGAGTGTCTGTTTCTCGGTATGACGGACCACGACACCATCGCCACCATCACACGTATCACCGCGGAGAATATCGTGCTTCAGTACCGCAGACTCGTTGCTGCGTACTGTCCGCCGGACCAGAACATCGATGAGATCTTCATTTGCGGTCGTGGTGCGCGCAACACGGACATTGTCGACTACATGGAAGAGGTGCTACCCACGGAAGTCATCACGAGACCGCTCGACGACATTGGCATACCCGGAGATGCGAAAGAGGCGGTATGTTGCGCGCAGCTGGGGTTGGAAACCATCTTGAAGTATGCAGCGAACGAGGATGGTCCGTTTGAGCGAAGCCATCAGAATCCTATCATGGGCGCCGTTGCAAAGGGGAAACACTGGGATGAAGTGAAGAAGCAGATCATGATGTTCAGCAATGGGGAAGAAGTGCCTGCTGTACAGCGCGTTGTGGTGGAGAAGAAGTGAGCTACAAGCACGGGTTCCTTGGATGGTTCCCAATGCACTTGGGGGACGCAAGATGTCGATGAGAATTGGGCGACAAGGCTGTTTCTAGTTCGACGTACTAGTCTTGTTAGAACTCTCATGTCAACTATGAAACATAGAGCCTTGACTTCTGTCATTCCCACCCGTTTTCGAGGACCCCTCGTTCAACACCCACGCCCACACTCACGTCCCACTTGATAGCGTTCAAATGTTTTCGCGCAGCTGCAGGGACCACAACGGCGGCCTTTACCGCATTCGGCTTGCATTGCCACGGCGTCATTGGTCTCGGCGATTTGCGCCGTCGCACTAACTTGCATGCGATCCTCAACGGATGCGTCCTCCGGACCCACTTACACTTGTCGTCCGGAGTGGCACAGCATCGGTTCCCGCCTTTCGAAACCCTGCTGATCCGTCCCTCAGCCTGATTTACGTCAGACGTGCCACAGGATCGGGTCAAAGAAAACAAGGCGGGAGGACTTGGGGGCGGCAAATGTGAGGCATGACTGACCGCATCGTTGTATACATCGAAACATCCATGACCTCCTGTTTTGACCGAGCTTCGGCTCATTCTGAAAGAACGCTGTGTCGACACTAGAACCTCAGATTACACATTACATTACAGTCCTGAAGCTCCCATGTTTTCTCCCACTCTGCTATCTGCTTACTAACACAGGAAACCATGCTCAGATGAGTTCTTGAACAGCACAACTGCCCATCATTTCACCGTCACCCCTCTCCTCTTGCCACTGCAGAAACTGTACAGCCTAACCATGAAGCATCATCCCACCTTATCGAAGCTGCACATCCCAAGCCACATCTCAAACCCCGACTCTTCTTCTCAACTTACACACCAACTTCCTCTCCCTATCAACCCCCTCCCTGTCAACACCCCTCCCTATCAACAAACCCCCGCCCTATCAACACCCCTCCCTACCCATACCCCATCAACCCCAACCTCGACTTCCCCATCCACCACACCCACAACAACAACCTGCTGCGTCCCCGCAGCGACCTCAACCTTCCCGCCAACCCTTACCCAGCGCCTGGTCCCGATTAACGCCCTTGTCCCACAGCTCACCCCGCCTAGAAAAACCTCGAAGCTCGCGCCTCCGTCGCCTTTGATCCATGCCTCACACTGTACCGAGGTGGATGAAGACAGCGAGACTGATTGGGACAAGGTGATGGTGGACGTGGACGTGCTATTGCTTTGCGCGGCGAAGAAGTGGTTTCCAGAATGGGCGGCACCCTCCACCACATCTCTCGATGCCCAGGAGCCGGTGGCGTAGACGGCCCACGGAGTGATGGTATTCGCTTCGAAGGACGCGTTGAGAAGAGAGTTGGAGCAGCTTGCGCGCCGTTGCGAAGATGGCGCTGAATCGAGTGTCTTACTTCTTGGCGCCAGGGTGTTCAAGGAATGGGCGCCTGCAGTCGTGCTTTGAGCGAGGAGTATCAGCGTCGAGAAGATGGATATAGAGAACGAAATAGTGCGCATGATAAGAACAAAGGTGGAGTATTTCGAGGAAGGAACGGTCTAATAAATGAGGAGAGGTAAATCCAGAAAAAAAGAATCGAGACAATCAGTACAAGTACAAAGAATGCCAAGTGGTGTAGAAGAGGAGGTGTAAAGGGTAGAGTCATGGACATGAACAAGATGGTGCAGGGACGCTACGGCCTATACTCAGACTTGAGCACAAGCATATCAAAATCGTGCGCGCACAGATGTTGCACCACAGGAGCTGCCTCCTGGCACCATTGCGATCAGACCAAGAACCATCGCAAGTGTCAACAGGCGAGGCTGAAATAAAGGAGGCGGCCATATATGAAAAGGGTGAGATCAAGATGGTGAGGGCCGGGGGCGTTCTCTGGAATAAGGGTTGGGCAAACGAAATAGCTGCGTCGACCAATAGCAGCTCCGAAACGGGTAGACGTGGTGAAGGCTGAGAAAGCTAGCTAGTCCCAGACCAACTAGCGCGAAAACGCAATCGGAGAAATAGTGCTGTGGAGGATCGACTGGGCCACATCAAACGGCGGCGAGATTTAAGAAACCATCTGCGTCAGGGTCAAGGAAGGCAAGGGTCGGCGAAGCGACAAGAAGATGGAGAATACAGTGCTGATGTTTCGCACTTATCTATCAACTGCAAGCCTCCTTCACGCCACGCACATAGCAACCATGCCGCTGAAATGCATCGAATACCAAAGCGTAGATTCAGACCCAACTCAACACTTCTGCCTTGTTCCTGTCATGGTACGCTAAGGAAGGGAATCTCGCCCATCTCGTTCTTGCTTTGACCTCCTACCGAATATGTCACTTTCCACCTCATCTTGATGCTGCTACCAGACCCTCGTTGTACGCCGTTGAGCCGTATGTTTTGCGTGATGCCATTGCGCTGGTTGGGAGCGAGTGTGACACCTGATTGGTGTTCTAATTGCAACTGTGCGCCCTGATATCGAAGTCAGCCATTGATCCCATCAACACAGTGGAAGTTAAGCATACCTTCGATGCTGCTACCTGAAAAGTAAGGTCTGATATGGGTTGAGGAGTATTGTTCGATATGTGATTTTGTATCAGGAGAACGGTGTCTGATTCTCTAGAGACCTTGAAGACCACATTGATGACCGTGTTGTTTACTGTGATCTCCGTCGAAGTGTCAGGCACAGCTGAGGCGAATGTCCATTCATCGTCATCGTTGGCGGCAGCCGTGCTGCTTTGTGCCAAGCTGGAAGTTGGTGCAGGTAATGCCCCTCCAAGAAGATCAACAGGCGCTAATGCCGCAGGTGGAGGCTTGACGGATTGCTGGAAGTTCATAGGCGAGCTTTGGCGGGGTGTCGGCGAATTCAGAGCGGCGAAAGGGTCAGGAGTGCGAGCTGGTTGCGGCAGGGGTTGAGCGCGTGCAGATGGTAGAGTTGAGGGCATCTGTTGAGAAGAGCCAAGATTCGATGTAGAACCGAACAGGTCGACAATCGACTGCGCAGTGGTTTGCTGTTGTGGGGGATGTGGTGACTGTGGGACTGGCATGCCAGAGAGTCCAAGTACTGTTTGAAGGTTAGCTTATATCCGAGTGTAATTCGAACTTGCTTACCTGAACCATTAGATCCGCCCAACGATATACTACCGCTTTGACCGTAGCTGGGGCCGCCCAGGGAGAGACCCAAGAGATCATCCTCCAGCGCGTTACCCTTTTGCGCAGGCTGTTCTGAGGTGACAGGTGCGGAATCTGAAGCTGCCGGTGCTGGTTCAGGGTCACCAAAGTCGATCAGATTGAGCTCATTGTTCGGACCCTTGGAGACACCAGCTCCGCTCGTGCCTAGTGTGCCCTGAGGAATCCTGTTCGCCGCTTCGATATCGCCCTTTCTGAATAATCTATATCGCTCTATTGTTCGATTTATGCTGTCGTTGATTTCGAAAAGCTTTGCAACGGCCTCGGTGTCTTCCGACTCTTCTTCGCACATCTTCTGGATCTTCGGATGGGCGCTTTGAAGTGCGTTGGCCAGTTCCTTTACTTGTTAGTGGTTTTCAAGGCGTCATGATCTGTCTGTGTGCCATACCTCGAACACGTCGCCCTCTTTGATGTCGTCTCCGGGTTTGTACCCTTGCAACATCTCCTCAAGGATTCTGGCCTTCTGCTGTATCCGTGAAACCTCTTCTGCAGCCTTTGCGCGCCAATCTGTCTTGTTTCTGGTGTCGTAACCCGCCATGACCTTCATCAGCTTGTTGGCCTCTTGCAGATCCTGTGGGCCTCCACGCCGAATGAGCTCCTGCAGTTTTGCGGACTGTGCCTCTCGTTCTTCCTCCTCCATCTCTTCGGCTGATCTCAAATTCTGCTCCACGATTAGCACAATACCCAGTGTTATGACTTGCTCAAACATACGTCGCTTGGGTTCAGCACAGCCGCGTCTTCTTTTCGGACTTCAGGAAATATATAGCCCTTGTAGCTGAGTAACCGGTGCATATCCCGTATAAAGCCTAGATCCTCCTTGTACCGTGAGGTCTGACATATGGTTTGCCGCCATTCCTCTATCAGCTCAAGTATCCGATTCTGTACACGCGACGGGTGGACCGGAGGACGTTCGGGGAAGCGGCGGACTAGCTCATTCAGGAATTCTTTGGTGCTAATCTGAAGGTGAAACGGATATCCGCAGTTTTTGACGCAGATGTCGAGGAGCTATGTACTGATTAGCCTCGTGTGGATGAGCAATAGGTACGCAGTCGTACGTTGAGTGCGAGTAAGGCAACATTCTGATTGCGATGATTAACATAGTGAACTATGGTAACAGCGGCTTCCCGAGGCCTAAAGTTTGGTGTCAGCGGTTCTCCATTGACCAGAGACTCCTCTATCGTACGTAGATCCCTTCTTCGTATTAATCAGGTCGCTAATCTCGAGGTTCAAGGCCAGATTGGGCTCGAAATTCTGCGGGTCGCACGCGTTTACTGTCCATAGCCGTCAGCGATGATGCTCCCGCGCGTAAAGGCGAAGCACAGTGTCGTACATATGAAGCGCTGCAGCTGTGAAGTGGGCGCCTCCCCCCACCCGCCGTAGCGGTCGCGGGCGGCCATCCGCGCCGATGCCGCCTCCATTGAGACCGGTCGAGCTTGTTCAGCTTGTCGGAGGAAACCAGGGAGAGCCGCAGTTGGTTTCGGTGGCTGGGCGGAGCGTCGAGCTATGTCTTGCCCGGTCTGAGGTGCTCCGTCCAACAAGTTGATGCAGGCGCGGGGCCTACGCCCACGAGTAGCGCACACAGCCATATCTTGGCGCCACATCTACTTTGGAGGGTCCGACCCCAGCTTGATCCCACCAGCCCCAGTTTTCTCCTGCAAGACCGACTTTCTTTCTCTCTGCCAACAGTCAGCGGAATTTGAAGATGTAGTGCTTATACATGGTATACAAAGCACGCGTACTCTACGTCTGTGCGGTGCTCAGGCTAACTCAGAGTACCTACCCATAGTCGCCTGGCCCTCATACTGTCGGACTTCCAATGAAGCACGTCAGTATTTGGCATTTGCCTTCCATTTCATGATGAAGCATTACTCTGATCACCGTCCTCACTGCGTATCAAAGCCCCGGCCAGATGCAAATCAGGTACTCTACACTCTAACTAGCTTGGTTGGTTCGAAGCCCTTCGAAATGCTCACAGTTGATCGTATCAAGGATCCGTTACAAGGAAACCCAGATTACGCGACGATTCAAGCTTGATACTGGTTGTTGAAGAGGAGGACAAGAATCAATTTTCCTGGTCGTTCGGCGCGAGTCATGCTCCGCAGATCAGCCGCCCTTTACCATGCTGCCCTTTTAGGACAGGGTACGAAATCACCTTCACCGACTCGAAATCCTTTCGTTCGACTTCATCCTGCACTGTAATGGCCCTAGCCCTTCTCGCGTTAAAGTAGAGTCTCTATGAAGCCCCTTCTTTCCGATTGGCCGTTGAGGCACAGGCAGCCATAGCCATGCCTTCCAACTGGATTACCCTGTTGCAAGCATTGGAAATATACAATAGCAGCGAATATGTCGCACTGCAACAATCCTACTCAGAGCTCATACAGGCAGCAATCACCGCTGGAGACAACCTGACCCAAAAATTCGCCACGCTGCCGCCTGGGATTGTGGTGGTTGGAGTACTAGGTGGGGCTAAATGTTTGATGTGCAGAGGAGCGCCATGCGAAGGGCGGTGGTGCAGAGGTAGAATATTGATGCCTTGAGTGCCATGTAGAAAATGTCAGTGGTATAAGTATGGACTTTCTTGTCCTTTTCTGTTACCCAAAGCAGAGGGATCCATCATCTCACTTGCCCACCGTTAGCTGTTATCATACGAAGTCTTTTTTCTTCGCTCCCGAGCCTCTTCACGCATCTCTACAATAAGATCACACGATGGCTGTGCTGGAAGCATCGAATGGCGTCAATGATGTCGCCAACAGGGCCAACGGCACCAATGGCAAAGCCGTCGCCCCAGAAGGCACTATCCCAACCACCACAGCCCTCTACCAAGGACCCCAAGACAACAACCGAAAATGGACCTGGCTCGACAAAGAGCCCGACGACGTTGCAGAAGCAGCCGAGAACGCGCAGACCGCCCAACACGCCCTCATCACGCGCCTGCAAAAAGCGCAAGACTCGCGGAAAAAGTACGAGATTCACAGCCTCATTATTCAATCGCCATGGCTCAAGGAAGTGCTGGAGAAGCATATCTTGGATGGTTACCCCGGAGTGTGCTGCTCGTTGAAAAGATTGGAATTTGAGGCGCCATTCGAGCCGTTCGTGCATCGGTGGGGAAAGCTGTGCAGATTTCGCAAGAGAATGGATTTGGATGAGCTCACCCGGGAGCATGTGAATCTTCTTTACGACGTTCTACGGGAAGAGTTGAAAGACGTGATCAAGACGTTCGAAGACTACGTCGAGAAAGGTATTGTCACCTACGAGCACGCCTGGACTATCTTCCAACCCGGCGATATTATCTTCTCTAGTTCTCACCAGGGCGCGGTGATGGCGATGAAGTTGAGGCGTGCGAAGTACATCGAGACGCAGTGCGGCAACGCCTATCAGCTTACCGCTGAGGCCGTCGACTGGAATGGGAGTCATTTTGGACGAAGTGTCGAGCGGATCAACATTTGGGAATTCCTTGGAACGGCAAGAATCATAGGGTTGGCGGCGTTCCCATTGAGCTTCCACCCACAAGAGAAGGAGATTCGCGAGGTGCTCATACAGCGCGGGAAGGTGTTTGAGGAGCTGGCTGGCTGCCATTACAAGGAATACGACGGATTCGCAGTGACGTGGGACAAGGAGGGGAAAGAGGTGATGACCAACTGCGCCGGTCGCATAATCGTCGATTCCGACACTTTCCGTCATTACTCACCACGCTATGTAGGCTACATTGAGCCCCTCGCTGCGAAAGAGGGACTCCCCGAGCCCGAGTGCGCTCCAAAACCCTTCACCGTCGAAAATTCCAACGCTGCGAAGTATACCTTCGGCCAGACCGAGATAACAAGCAAGCGCCTTCGCCTAACTCCCGATCTCCAGCTCATCTGCCTCCCCCGCGTTCGAGGCTACTCGCTCAAGAAGAAGCAATGGCTGCTGTTCTACCTTGACATGATATCTGCTATCAAATTCGACAACAACGCCTTCTCATCGCTTGTTCTCCCCGAAGACCAGAAGGAGCTCATCCTCTCCTTCGCAGAGTCGCAAGCAATGAACCAAGGCGTCTTCGACGACGTGATCTCCGGCAAAGGACGCGGGCATATCACCCTTCTCAGTGGGCCTCCAGGCGTAGGTAAGACTTTGACGGCAGAGTCAGTCGCAGAACACATGCAAGCGCCGCTGTACATGATGTCTGCGGGCGACCTGGGCATCAGTAAGTTCATCGCAGATCCACAAGACACGCCTTCCGTACGCTAACTGTTCGGTAGATCCCGATCGCGTCGAGCAAAACCTCACCAACATCCTTGAGATGGTCGCGAAATGGCGCGCCGTCCTCCTCATTGACGAATGTGACGTCTTTCTCGAAGCTCGCTCCACGCACTCCCTAGAGCGCAACAAACTCGTCTCCATCTTCCTGCGCGTACTCGAGTATTACGAGGGTATCCTCTTCCTCACGACTAATCGTATTTCCAATATCGATCCGGCATTTCAGTCGCGCATCCACATCAGCATGTCATATCCGTCTCTCACGCCTACTTCTCGGCGCAGGATCTGGGCGAATTTTGTAGAGGGGCTGGGTGTACCACAGGAGTGGAGCGAGAAGGATTTGGATGAGTTGGCGACGGTGGAGCTTAATGGAAGGCAGATCAAGAATGTACTGAAGAGTGCGGCGTTGTTGAGTGCGAGGAGGAACGAGCCGCTTGGACGGAGGTTTGTGGATATGGTGCTTGCGATTGAACGGAGGCGACCGGGCGTGCAAGAGAGCTTCTAAATGTCGAAGCACCACTTCATGACATAATTCACGATGTTAATACACACTGAAATCTTAGCGGAATAGTGTTTTGACGTGCCGGCATCTTTGTCTCATCGATTAATGACACTTCTTTGCCCTCGCACACGAAGAAGAAAATGCATTGCAGATATCCCCAAAACACATAGAGAGTCAACGTTTGTCATCCTATCCTATTAATACGTTATGAAGGATGTAAGAAGGTGTCGCGGGCAAAAAGATACCTGTCCGGCACGAAAGCAAAAACAAAACAGAGAATCGAACCCACGCAACTGTGAGCGATGTTGTTTCCAAAGATTGAGTAAGTGCAGTGAGGTGCGGGACTCGCGGCCACTTCTGGTAAAAGGCAAGAAATGGGTTCGTACAAATCCTCGCACTGCACAATTGGAATCAGGAAACAATAGATTATATATAGGTAGCCGTGCGAGTAGCGGGTCTGACTTGGGCAAGACGCTAAGTAAGCGAGTGGCTCGGACCGTGGGCCGTGCGATAGCTGGAGGCAGGAGGTAAGTGCGCTATTGTCGACGAAGGCGCCGCTTGTTGTGCAAAGTTCTCAATGTGCGGACTCAGAAATCGTTAGTTTTTCACAAAAGACTTTGCGAGCGAGTCAAGGAAAGATTGTAGGAAAGACAACCCCGCAGCCTACGGAGACTGGCCCGCCATTTAGGCTCGCTTAAACAGTGTGCTTCTCTGTACTACTGCGCGGGCTACTCTTCAATCATTTCTCAGTACGAGCTTTCTCATCTGGCTTGGCTCTGCAGAGCTGCCCTCATGACTAGTAAGGAACACATCAGCTGTCATTTCTGATATCTGGAAAGCCCAAGTCAGAACCGTGAGGACGTCATAAAACCATTGAGCAGACAGAACTACAACATGCAACGCACACGAGGTGGAGATATACTATTTGAACGCATGTAATCCTACAAGAGTACATATATTAAGACCAGAGCACGGACGTCCATTTTAAACCAGAAGCGCCTTATGGTATTGAAGCGCTCGTACTCCTCACACTAAACCCAAGAACCCCAGTGCAGATTCTACCTGCATCTCTTCTCCACGATGTTCGCGCCATGCTCCTCGTACTCCTTCCTGCTTATCCATAGCTGGTGGAAGCTTCCCAAGCTCGCCAGAATACTGCCTCCAATCCATGCCGCATATTTCCTCTCCACAACCGGCCCGGGCGCAATCAACTTGTTTCTTGTGCTCGGGTAGATAGCGTTGATCTCGTAGTTCAGACGGTCACCAAACTTGTACAGCAGCGTGGAGCCACCTGTGACGACAATGTTCTGCAGGAGTAGCGGACGCTGGTCCGCATCGACGTGCTGCACAGCGGCCTGCACGAGGCGCGGGAGCGTGTGCTCGTCCTTCGGCCGGGGATTCGCGTCGTCTGTGAGGGCTGCACTGGCGTCAAAAAGGCCCTCTGCAGCTCTGAAACGATCCACCCCGAAGACTTGATTCCAGCCATCGGGCATCTCGAAGGGCCGACCCGGCATGCTCTTTGCGATTTCCTCGTTCGTGCCGTTGGAGAGGCGACCGGGACCTGGCCAGATCTCCACGACAGACTCTTTGTACTCGGTGAGCACGCGCTCTTCTTGGTAATGGCGGAAGGAGTCAGTTGGGGGGACACTGAAGGTCTTGTAGATGGCTTGGGCGGGGGAGCCCGCATCGACGGGCGTCTTGGACTTGACGAGATAGTGGGGTGTGAGTGGGATCTCGGGCTGCGACTGCTTGAAACCGAGGCGGATCTGGTTGGAGACGAAGTTTCCTGCTAGAGGCGACTTTTGCACGCCCTTTTTCAAGACCATGCCGTCCAGGACGGGGGTAACGGAGGTATGTGATGCACCGACGTCGATGATTATGCCAGAGGCTTTGCCTGATGCGAAGGCCGCAAGCACGCCTGTCTTTTGGAGGTAGAAGGCGGGTGTACCCCATTCCTCCATTGCAATCTCAATTGCCTTCTCGCGCGCCTTTGTAGGGTTCCAGCCCGGCTCCGTCATCAGCAGCGGGCTCTCTTCAAGCGGCTTCTCCTGGTTCTCAATCGTCTCCATGTCCACGTCCGTAGCTTCTCCGTTCTCTTGTTTCGGATCGTCATTCAGTCCGTTCCTCGCAGGATCCCCAGCCCTTGCGCCCGTCAGCCGAGAAGTTATCGCATATTCCCAGACCTTGGCTGCCGTGTCCCAGTCCTCTACGATGCCGTCCGACCCCCAGTAGTTCTTTATTTGCAAGTTGGATGCTGGTGTGTGTATCGCGTTCTCGCCGAAGAGGTATTGTGAGCTGTCCTCGATTTGGCCATAGAAGCTGGGGCACACGGATTTGGGGACGTCTTCGCCGGCAAAACCGGCGCGAATGGTTGAGTAACCCGGGTCAAGCACGATCGCGGAGACCTCGTCTGCAGATGCAATTAGATTGCGCAAGCCAAGCTTGGTGCGCGCGTAGCTTACCTCCGGCGTATTCGCCTGCCGCAGGCGCGGTCGATGAATTGAGAGTGTTCATTGCGCGCAAAAGTCGCGACTTTGAAAGCTTCGCAAAGCTCTAATCAGGGTCAGTACAGCTTTCGACGCGTGGTGCCTGGCGGCTTATGCGCGTGCGTGGGGAGGTGTCGCGGGGATCGGATCTGGTGTAGGAGCTCAAGTCGCATCGCGGACCTTGAACTTTTGTGGTTGGTTGGCGAGAACGTCAAGCTGTCCTCCCTCGCCGCAGCGGCGCCTTCCCACACCAGGCTGCAGCAGAACATGTCTGTCTGGCCACACTAGGCAACGATGGCACTACGATATCTGCGCCAGCTCTATTCGCTGGAAACCCTGGATACACGCTTCGTTGTGCCGGCCAATGCGCCACCCAAAGAGGCCCTCGAGCTCGCCGAGCTGGACCCTGCGCAACCGTTGCCGGTCAGGAATGGCCAAGTCAAGAGCAGGGACTCAGTAGAGTGTGTGCAGCCTTCAAAATGGCACACATTGGAATTCAAGACCTATCTTGGACTCGTCAGCCTGTGTGTCTTCTTCATGATCAAAGCGGTAGTTGACGTATCACAAGGTTGGTGAATATAACACATATCATTTCGAAATTGACACTCTCACAGTATCGCACCCAAACTATTCCACGTTTGAACACTTGCTTTCAGATGGCTGGATACCTGGGCGCAAAGTCGTAAGGATCCTGTTTCCACAATTATGCGTCCACTAAATACTCGTAGGACAATACCGACCTTCAGTACTCCAGCTTCAGATCGAACATCATACCTCTCTTTTTCGTCGTGCTCCTACATCCCGTCCTTCGGAAGCTCTATGATGGTTTCTGGAGAGCAAACACTTACACCCAGGTCCGGCCTTCTGGTGCAAATGGCCTGACCATGGGGCTAAGCGCACCTGCAGCAGCAGATGCGCGTATGAACCAAAGGATTTCTTTTGATGTGCCATTCACCATCATCTTCATTATAGCTCTACATGGCTTCTCCGCTTTCAAGATCGTGGTCATACTATATATGAACTACTGCCTCGCGAAAAAGCTACCGAGGTCCTATGTGCCCGCAGCAACCTGGATCTTTGGAGTAGGCATCCTGTTCGCCAACGAGTTTGGAAAAGGCTATTCGTACGCTACCATCCTGGAGACATTCCTCCCCTTTCCCCCTGGATCCAAAGAAGAGCAACCAGTCACCAACTTCGGCCACACACTCGACAACTTCGGCGGCCTCATCCCCCGCTGGGAAGTCCTCTTTAACTTCACCGTGCTGCGCCTCATAAGCTTCAACATGGACTACTACTGGAGTATGAACTCTCGGATCGGCAATTCCCTCGAGGTATGGCTTCCTCTTCCTTTCCCCGTCAAGCTAATAACTCCAAGAAGAAACAACTCGACCCCTCAAACCTCTCTGAACGTGACCGCGTTGCCATACCCGCAAACCCCGCCGACTATTCCTTCAAAAACTTCTTCGCTTATACGCTCTACTCACCGCTCTATCTCGCCGGGCCTATCGTAACCTTCAACGATTACATCTCCCAGCTGCGGTACCGACCTCATAGCATCACGCCAAAACGCACAGCGCTCTACGCCATCCGCTTTGCCATCGTCCTGCTCACCATGGAAATCATGATTCACTACATGTACATGGTTGCCATTTTCCACGCTCGCCCCCCTTGGGACGCCTACACACCGACTCAACTCAGCATGCTCGGCTTCTTTAATCTCAAGCATATATGGCTGAAGCTGCTTATTCCGTGGCGCTTCTTCCGTCTCTGGGCGTTGATGGACGGAGTCGACCCCCCAGAGAACATGGTACGCTGCATGAGCGACAACTACGCCGTGACGCACTTCTGGCGCGGTTGGCATCGCAGCTTCAATAAATGGGCCTTACGCTACCTGTTTATACCTATGGGCGGCAGCATCGCACCAGGAGTGTGGGGCCAGGTGCGCAGCGTGCTGAACAAACTTACTGTCTTCTCTTTCATCGCTATTTGGCACGACATCCAGCTCAGGCTGCTGATGTGGGGCTGGCTCGTCACTTTGTTCGTGCTTCCCGAAGTCATCGCAAGCCACATCTTCCCTCCCAGGAGATGGAAAAACAGACCAGATGCGTATCGCTACCTCTGTGGTATTGGGGCTGTGGGCGAGATTCTGCTGCTGATGGTGGCGAATCTAGTGGGGTTTGCGTTGGGCTTGGATGGCTTGAAAGATCTTGTGAGTGGGATCTTCTCGAGCTGGTCGGGCTTGGGGTTCTTGGTGATTGCCTGTGTGGCGTTGTTCATGGGGGTGCAGATTATGTTTGAATGGAGGGAGAGCGAGAAGAGGAGGGGAATCAAAATGAAGTGTTGATCAGTCAAAAGTAGTCACCAAAATGTAGTGTCAAAGTAAATATAATCGTAGGAAGATCTGCGAGTGTCCATTGCCTCGATTTCTGTTGTCTATCCGTTCCTCATGAGCGACCTCTTGTGATCCCGCAGTGAGCGGGTTATCATACAAGCAGCCATATCAAACGCCGCTATGTGCGCTCATCCCTCACTTCCCCTTCCTGCCATCCATTCATGAGTCCACATCCATTGTCTCCGCCGTTGCTGTGACGCTGTCATCCTGCAGCTCGTGCACAGTAACGTACTTGCTGATCTCCTCCCTCTTGATGATCTTCTCGTTGAGCACCGCAGTCGTCCCCCTGTCGAACCTATAATTCCGCTCCTTCCTGCCACGCTCGTTGGGTGTAAGGTGGTTCCTCATCAAGGTTGTCTTCTCCTCTGTGATAACCGCCACGTCCACGTTGCTACCAGATCCCAGATCGTTCCAGATACCCGCCTGAATCGCGTCCGCGCACAGCTTCACGGCATCATCCCTGGACAGATTCCGTTTCCACTGCGTCTCGAAGACAGACATGGCGGCTAGCGATCCCGAACCCATTGTGACGTAGGGGAGCTTGTCGGTGGAGCCGTGGGCGTGTACGGTGAAGAGATGTGAGCCGGTGGGGTCGACACCCGCGATGACGAGGTAGGCGCCTATGTGGCCCTGGTAACGGAAGAGGTGCTGCTTGAGCAGAGTCATACAGGTGACTACGCGCGGCTTGCGGCCGGTGGAGAGAGCGTGCAGCTCCAGGTTGGACGAGATGATGGCGGTGGTGAACTCGGTATCGGCGGCGGTACCGGCACCTGCGCACCAGATCTGGGGCGCGATGTAGTGTAGCTTCTCGCAGTTCTATGTAGTCGTTAGATGTCCGTCTGGTCGACTCAAGGTAATATGACCGCGGCCCACCTTGTCTGCTACTATGGGTCCGCTTGTCGCTCGGGTATCTGCTGCAATTACGACGCCGCCATCAAATAAACATCCAACAATGGTTGTTCCGGTGCTCGTCGCTTTGGGGAGGGGCACACCCTGGGCGTGAAGTGCCGCATTGCGGTTATGGTTGGAGAAGTCAAAGCCCGCCATGTCAACGTCGATGTGATTAGGTCGCTGCGAATGTTTTGAGGATTTCCCGTCAATGCGTGGAATGGAGTCAGGTCTTTAAGGTGGTGATGTAGGCGTACGCAGCTTGTCGATTGCCTGGAGCTCAAGCTGGGGTCGCGGTAAGGTAGCGTCTTGGCGGTTCCCAAACATTCGACGTGAAAGAAGAAAGTACGGGTACACAAGCTGCCACTGCTCAACCAGCTTGACGCTCTTCTCCACCAGAGCGCCAGGCCTTGTATACCTCGCGCGCCATTTTCAACAAAAGCTTCGAGCTCTTTCGCCAGAGCCCACCCCGGCTCTCACGTTCCTTATCCTCTGCGTCCGTCGCACGAAGATCGCCCGCAAGCTCCGATGCGAACATTCGACCTCAACTACTAAGAACCCCGTCGCGCGACATCCGACCCGAATATCTTCTCGCGCGCACCGCCTTTGGCCTCCACCACTCGATGTCGAGCTCGCAAGTACATTCGGGCGCGGAGCTCGAAGAGATCTCGCCAGAGGTAAATTTGCGCATTTGAACAACTTGAAGATGGATGCTAATTAAGATGAACAGATCATTGGATTCTCTCCATTCAGCGCTGGTCTCGAAGGCCCCAAAACACTCAAGCTTCTCCCTTCACCGTGGCCCACAACCAACCTCCCTCCAGCTTCCGCATCACTGCTGAGTGTTGGATCAAGACGTGGGCTTCTAGCAGCAGCCTCCCCAGACAAGCTTGTCATTGCTTCGACACAGAAGATCCGCAAGGCTTTCCAAGAGAAATCGGCAGAAAAAGATGTCGTGACCAGCTTTATACCTGATGCGACGCTACCGGTGCCGCAGCTACGCCAAGTAGCATTCTCTGCGGACGAAGACTTCCTCGTGACGAGCGCAGAAAACCGTGGTGGGCTGTCAGTATACTCGTTGGATGACTTGCTGAAAGGCAATACACAACCCGGAGTACAGATCCCCACGGAAAACAGCCCCGTTCGAGCCCTTCTACCGAATCCTGCTGCGGAACAAGCACATTATATGGCCGTAATACTGGACTCAGGCCGATTAGACATAACAGACATCACAACGGGAAACGCGAGAACCGTCCATAGTGTGGGTGTCACATGTGCTTCGTGGAGCTTGAAAGGAAAGGCGTTCGTGGCCGGCTTCGAGGATGGCACTGCTTCAATCCACCTAGTCAGCTCCCTTGATCAGGTCAAGGGTCGAGTGCCTCGTCCGCCTGAGGTTGGCGAGAATTACGAAGGTAAATATTCCCGCCGTGACAAGTACAAGTGCAGTCAAAGCTAAATCGAACAGTGTCGGCAGTCAACTGGTTGAAAAATGAGGAGCTCTTTCTAATATACTCCCCCCCAGCAAACAGCGGGGATGACACACTGTACTATTTCGTTACTACCAACAAGACATACAGCAGCTTTACATTCCGCAGAACGCCCTTCGAATTGATCTTTGCCAGCATGGACGGGCCGGCACGCAAACCTCCACCTCGCTTTTCCATGCAGCGACTCCGAAAATGGGAACCTGATCTGGACGACATGATCATTGTTACCGCTGCTAACTCCGCAGATGTTGGGGTGGTTTTGCGTTCTCCGAAACCGCTAGATCCAGCAGTAACTACCGTCAATGAGTTCCAAATGACCAACCTTGCGGATCACAGGAAACCAACAGTTCCAAGGAATCATGAAAAAACGGCAGACAGTGCTCTGATCGGAGAAGCGCTGGATCTGTCAGCCAAGGAGAAGGCACCACAACCCAGTCGCCGGCTCGAGGAGATCTCTGAATCGCCTACACCTCTACCAGCATATTTCCTGCTCACACACGAAGGATTGTTGGCCGGGTGGTGGGTCGTTTGGGACAAAGCGCTTGAAGCTCGGACCGCGTATCAAGGCATGGTTATCAACGAAACAGCACCGGCGGCTCCCACGTCTCAATCACCTCAGCCATCACTCTCCATGTTCGGACAGGCCACGCTGGCCCAGAGCTCTTCATTCGAAAACCCACAAGCAACACCAGCTTTTGGAAAACCATCTTTTGGCGCACCAGCCTTTGGAAGCCCGTCGGCTCCTGCTGGCAGTGTAGGCTTCGGCAAGCCCAGCTTTCCAAGCACTACACCGTCCGCTGCGCCGGCGTTTGGAACACCCGGACTTGGGGGCCAGAAGTCGCTTTTCGGAACACCTTCACAGATATCTTCAAAGCCAAATCCATTCGGTTCTGGAGGATCGGCCTCACAACCTTCTAAAATAGCCAATCCTTTTGCAGCTGGTGGCTCTGCCTCACAAAACGACAAACCAAATCCATTTGCTGCCGCTGCAGCTAAATTTGGCGGTGGATCTCCTGGGGGCGCGTCCCCTTTCTCCAGCTTCAGTAGTAACAAGGACGGCCAGTCAGGGTTCGGCGGTCTTGGTCAAAAACCGGCATCAGGTTTTGGCGGCCTCGAGCAGAAGCCGCTATCCAGCTTTGGCTCAACAGTCACAGTGGACTCGAAAGCAACGGGTACAGGTTCCACACTACCTTCCTTGGGCAATACACCTGCGCAACAAAACAGCTCCCTGTTCGGGTCTGATGCAGCCTCGTCTTTTCCATCTTTCACATCCACGCAGTCGGGTTCAACAGACGTAGGCAACCGAGGAAGGGATGAAGCGACCCCCACTCCTCAGCCTCAGCCACATCTTAAGGAAATAGCTGGAGTCTTCGGTGGAAAATTTGAACTCAAAAGCAGTTTCAAGGGTGACGGATCTGCGAAGGATGATCTACCTAAGCCCGACGCATCATCTGAGAGCCCGCTCTTCGGCAATGGCTTTGGTTCCGCATTAACCAGCGCGAATTCGAAGCCGCCCGAGACCCCAGCCAAAGATGCAAATAAGGCCCCGCTGTTCGCTTCCACTACTCCAGCAACCGCACCTAGGCCCTCGAATGGACTCTTTGGAATGAGGGCAGATAGTGCAACTCCCAAAGCTGCTCCACCACAAGAAGCCATACCAGAAGAGGCACCTTTGCCTCCAGCCTGGCCAATTACCAACCCATCCAAGACGGACGATGAGATCCCTCCGCTAGCTGGCAGCCCTCCCGTCAAGATTGAGGCTCCATCTTCGTCAGGTGACATGGATGAGATTCCATCGTCTCCCTTAGAGGACGATGAAGATGAAGATTTGAGCAACCCAGATGATGAGGAAGAAGAAGAAGAGCTTTCCGAAGAGGAAGAGCAGACGGGCGATGAAGATTCAGAAACAGCGGTACCATCACATGTAGGGCAAACTCCACAGCAACCTAAATCTAGTCTATTCGGGGCCAACGCGGCACCTATCGTTTTTCCTGCTGCACCAACGCCTCCGCCCCAGAAGATCGAAAGGCATCCTCCAAAGCAGAACCTGTCATCAAGTTCAATGTTTAGCGGGACGCGACGGGATCCGTTGACCTCATCAGCTCGGCCACCATCTAAGCCACCTACGCCTCAGCCTATCTTCTCGGACCTTGTGGACGACGAGGACGAGCGGATACGACATGAACTTGAAGCCGAAATTGAGCCTACTAGGACGTTGGCGCCATTTATCGCTCGACAAGAGTACACCGAAGCCGCATTGAACAAAACCGGTCATGCTGCCCAGATCGAGATCGTGTACCGGGACATCAACAGCATGGTAGACACACTGGGGCTGAATTCGCGATCGCTACAGGCATTCATCGACTTCCACGAGCAGCCGCAGCGAGATTCTCAGCTTGATCGCTCGGCGTTAGAAGAGGTGCTAGATGAAGGGCAAGATGGGCCGTGGTTCGAGAAGTGGTCTCTTTGTGAGATCGAAGATCTCATAGACCTGGAAGGCCAAATCGCACACGAGCTGAGCACAGGTGGCATCGGCAAGGTCGTCGACAAGCTCAGCAAATCCGTCCGCTTGATCCAGGAAAATGCAAAACTACAGTCCAAAGTCAACGATGAGCGGAGACGCATCATCAACAGCAAGGATCCCGAGAAACTCGAGGCGCTCCGCAAGGCCGCGCTGCCGAAGGAGCTTGCAGACCAGCAAAAGCAACTGAGGAAAGACTATGCCCAGTTGTTAACGCAGCTCGGCAAGGCGGAGGACGCGCTGATTCTCCTCCGGAGCAAGCTCGCGTCGCATAATGCGAAGAATGGACACATGGGCGCGGTGCCGAGTGTGGAGGCTGTCAAGAAGACGATTAATAAGCTCATCGATATCACGAAGGAGAAGAATCACGACATCACGCTCCTAGAATCACAGCTCCGCAAGGCCAGCCTCACAGAAACCAGCAGACCGGTCTCCGCATCGTCACGCACTGCTGCTACACCCCTGCGTAAGTCTCGAGCGGTTAGGAACGAGACAGTGTTTGCCACCCCGCCCACATCTAAGAGCATGAGCTTGAGGCAGCTGAACCAAGTCGCGATGACACCAGAGCAGTCTGACACGCCTAGTAAGGGATATGGATTGTTCTACACGCCGGAGGGAAGCCCTTCGGGCTGCAGGAACTTGGCCAGTCTCGCGGATATGGTGGATGACGATTTGGAGAGGCTGAGGGAGACGGCGAAGAGAAGGAGAGACATCGCGGCCAGTCTGGCGACGGCGCTGAAGGATCGGGGGGTAAAGAAGACAGTTGTGGCGTAGGTGGGCCCACTTGTACGAATAGGCGCTTGAGGTGTTTGGATATGAGGAAGGTTTGAGCGAGCATCAGCGTTTTGGAACGGAAGATTGCAGGATGGATAATCGTATTGTCTGGGAGATAATAGCATCGAACATCGAAATCAACACCACGTGGATTATTAGCACGCAATATTATCTCCCCATCCCTTTAACCGCCATACGTAAAGTGTGCGTCGACATCCCGTAGATCATCTCATTACTCATCCAGCCCCAAGCTCTCCCTCACCTCAGCCTTCTGCTCCTCGCCCTCGATACATGGCTCAATTGTGTCCTTCCACATCTCCGAGCTAATTTTCTGCCTCTTCTTCACTAGCTTGCCCCACTTCTCACATTCCCTGTCCACCTCCTCCCTCTCCCTCTTTGTCACCTTCTTCGCCTTTCCCGCCTTCAGCACTGCCAGGCGGCCCACAAGCTCCATTCTCTCTGCTTCAAGGGCTTGCACGTTTGCAACGAGGTCCGCGGTGCTCAGCGTGGTGGTGAGGGAGGCGAGGGTGGTACGGAGGGTCTTCGCAGTAGCGTTGAGAGCGGCGGTTTGGTCGCGGAGGTCAGAAGCCTTAGAGTCGAGGGCGGCGAGGGCTTCGGGGGTGACAGAGTCTTCAGGATTCTGGGTTGAGGAGTAAGCGAGACGGGCGTACGAAAGGGGAGGGAGAGCATCACCTGAATAGCGTGGTAGACGATCTGTTTCCCTAGTCACACTTTAGTGAGAGGCATTGTCTAAAGCAATAAGAGTGTATGTACCTGCGGCTCGGCCTTCAATCTCGTTCCGCTCATGGAGGTCTTTGAGGATCTTGGCTGCGGCAGCTGCGTCATGTGAGCTGAGCGGCATAGTGAGGGAGCAAGTCCACAACCTTTGGTCACTTTGTTGTGAAGGTTGTTGGATACATCGATGGCCTGAGTGAGCATCAATATGTGTGTGCATTGATCAGTGAATTGAAGGCACGCTTTACTCACTGAGTATGGGCGACTGTGCACCACACGGACGTCAGCCAGCAGCGACAAGCGGATGCGAACCCACTCATGTCACTTACTTCTGCGTGCCTGTGGTATCGTCAGCCATCGCTCCTACATCATATCGTATTCATCTGGTAGCGGGCAACACTTACGCAAGTAGTTGAGAATCATGCCAGCAGCTTCATCTGCTGTGGCCTTCGCTGCGGGCTTCTCTTTCTCCTCGACCTTTTTGCGTGGCGCCATAGTCGATGCAGCTAGCAACACTCGTAAAGCGAATGGATGAGACAATGTGACGGAGACAACCATTGGGGAACGATGGCGGGGGAAGATGTAGAGAGGGCTAGCGCCGCGGCGTAACAGCTTGAAGAAGGTACGACCCAGGGCAAGAGCTTCGAAGCCGCTGGAGAACGCGCCGAGGATACTACGAAAGCTGGAGGCTTTCCATACAACACAGCGAATAAACACAGATCAGAAATGACACATCTACATTGACTCACGGAAAGCCTTTCAAGAAAGCAATGCAATTGGGTATAGGGACAAACGCAGTGTGCCAAAGAAGTGAGCTCTATCCATACACGCTCGTCAAGAATAAACAGGACTCCGCTATGCAGAAGAAAATGGCTCGAAGCGCGCGCTACATGCTTATACTACATCACGATCTGGGAAGACTCAGCGCATGGCACAGAAGCGAAGATGATGGAGCAACTTACACAATCACTGTCTTTGGGTGCTTGCCCAATGCCCATTTCGTCGAAGGTCTTCGGGCCCTTGCCCGGACCGCTTGGTGCAGCGGCAGGTGGCTTTGGAGCTGCAGGCTTCGACGCCTGAGCAGGTTTGGCTGCTGGCGGTGGATTTGTCGTCCCTGGTCGCGGTTGTGGTGTGGTGGATTTGCCTGGTTTCGGGCCTTGCGGGTGTGGGTCTTGTGCTGAAGGTCGTCCAGCAGATCCCGGACGAGACGATGGTCCTTGCCCAGGCCTAGGCCCTGGCCCTGCGGTGCCAGGCCTGTCTGGGCGGGAAGACGTTCTGCTCTCCAGACCCGGCACTGTTGTTGACGGACGTGTATGCTGTCGCGGCTCCAACGGCGCAACATACCCAATATCAGGCAATGTGTTTTGCTTCTTGAGCGGGCCACCTGGCTGGCCGACGTTGTGTGCCTTCTGGAGCTTGTTCGGTCCTCCAGGCGCATTGAAACCGACATCAGCAGCAGGTCGTGCTGATCCTGGTCGGTCGTACTGCTCGGGACGTTGTGCACTTGGTCCACCGGGTTGTCTGTATGCACCAGGCCCCGAGGGAAGCCCACCACTAGGAATCCGTCCGCCACCGCGGCCCATGCTGTCAACGCTGGTAGCTGGACGGATAGGGAGAGGACCAAGATTGGCTCCATGTGGTGGTCTTCCACGACCGTAGGGGTCGTTCGGACCCGGGCCTTGGGCGTACACCTGTGGATTGATGTTGAAAGCTTGAGATGGCGGACGGGCACTGGCCGAGCGCAATTCGGCAGCGAAACCACCTGCCATGCTGGGAATTTGTGCATCGATCCGGGGTGGACCGTCGTTTGAAGGGTAAGGTGCTACGGATTGAGAGCGCTGAGAAGGTGCTACCATAGGCGGCTGATCCGACATAGGGTATGGCGTAGTAGAGGAATGTCGATCAGGGAATTGGCTACTGGGCGAGTCTCCATAATCCGAGGGGCTACTCTCGATCGTTGGTAGGTTAGGTGCGGCCAATTTTTGCAGCCTCGCTGGTCGTTGGCCTTTCATAGAGCCATGCTTTGATTTGATAGCGTTAATCGCGACCTTCTCATGGTCCTTCTTTGAAAGTGTTCGGTGCATAGTTGAGATACTGTCAATGCGTGCCTCTGCGTCTTTGTTCCCGTTCCGAGCAGCCTTCTGGTACCACTCCAAAGCCTTATCAATGCTAACAGGAACATGCATACCAATTTCGTAGAAATAGCCCATGGCAAATTCCGCAGTTGCAAGCCCAGTGATTGCTGCACGCTGTGCGTATGTGAATGCAAGCTCCTCATTCTTCGGGAACTCTCCCTCGTACCCGCACAAGAACCACTTGCTGATTGCCATGTCAGCCTCAGCTTCTCCTTGCCGGGACGCTAGCGCGTTGTAATGCAGTGACAGGGTGGGATTGAATTCGCAGCCAAGACTGCATAGTTCGTAGGCGGATCCCATCTTGAGCTGGGCTTTGGCGAATCCCAAGTACGCGGCCTTTTCGATGTGCTGCTTGGCAGCCTTCTCGTCATATGGCAGAAACATTTCTGGGACGTTGATCTGGGGCAGCTCTCGCGCTTGAAGCATACCCAGTACGTACGCGCCCTGAGGAGCATTCTCGTCAGCCGTGGCCGCGGCCTGCTTAATCAACTGGATACCTCGGCCGAAGTCTTGTTGTTGCCCATGCTGACCTAACAAAGTCATCATGCCCAATCGGTAGTTCGATGCTGAGTCTCCAGCCTCCGAACCCTGTTTGTAGTGTTGGAGAGCCTTGATCGGGTCGTTTGATTGCTCAAACTGCATACCCATGCGGTATTCTGCCCTGGCATATCCCTTCTGCGCAGCACGAGTGTAGCTCCGGAAGGCCTCCTTTTTGTCTACGCGAAGCCCGAACTTCCCGAACTCGAGCCACATGCCCCGCATAAAGTCGGCCTTTGGGTGGAACTGATCCGCCAGAAACCCAGTGACATTCATAGCATCGACGCGCAGTTGGTGCTCGACCGCGGGCGTAGCAGGGCGGGCGCCCTGAAGTTCAGCGAGGCGCTGCTCGTTCAGCTGCGCCATGTCGACGTACTGCAGGGCATCTTGGGCCCAGGCCAGCTGCATCTCCGGATCGTTTGAGTTAAGCACCGGCAGGCGTGCATTTTCCAAGACTGCCTCTTTCTCATCGTCTGACGGCGGGACGTTTGGCGCTCGGTTCGGGAGCTTGGGAAAGATGGAGAAGTTAGGAGCTTCGCTCGGTTGGGCGAAGCTGTGGTAGTCGTGCGAGGTCTGCTGCTGCATGGCTTGCGGTTGCACTGCGGGCGGCTGGTTAAAGGAGGAGGAGATGCTCGCCTGTCGCGAAGGCCACTGCCCCTGGCCGCCGTGGGCAGCTTGGTCGTTGTTGTGGTAGCTGGAGCCGCGCGGAGGGAACTGGGGTTGCGACTGCAACTGATTGTAGCCCTGGGCCGGCGGCGACATGGGCGCGTTTCGCGGACCGTGGGCTTCTAGTTCCATGTGAGCGATGTTTTCCTGCATGTTCTCGGGCACCTCTGGCATGAGCCTACCGCGTGTCAGCAGGAGTGCAATCTCATAATGCTGGATGCCAGGTCAGACTAACCGCTGCGGTGCCGGAGAAATAAGCTCTGGATCTGGCGCGGGCATGTAAAAATCGTCATAGCCACCCGGCACGAAGGTGGCCCCCAGAGCTGGGGGCTGGGACTGCTGATAGCTCATTGTTCGCAAGCGGTCCTAGCCAGCAGCGCTGCGGAGCTTCGACGGTCAGTCTTTGTCTGGAAGCAAGCCGGCCTGGAGCAGCTCGAGGGCGCGCGTTGTAGACTCGGGGAAACAGCGCATGGATGGTCGCAGGCGGTGACGGAGGGGTTCACGTACTTGGCGGGGTATGCGCGGAGCTGTCGCCGGTCACGAAGCTCGCCTTGAGGCGCTCTGATTCTGCTGTGGTAGGTTTCGTTTCGAACGCGCGAGAGAGAACGCCAGTGTTGCGAACGTGCTGTCTCTGCTGCGTTGCCCGGTTCTAGAAAACAACGGCCGGAGGTAGCGGAAGGTCCAACGAGGGGCTGTGTCTTGGGCAATGTGCCTGAGCAGACGCTGGACAGTGAGCGTACAGGGAAGCGCCGTTTGCTACTGAAACAACTAGGCAACGTGAATCGACGGGGGTTCTCGAATTATGACATTGGACTATCGGCCGTTGGGTCTCGCTGCATCTAAGGCCTTCACAGCAGGCTCGTGGGCGTCATCCAGTGCCTCATCCGTTGACGCGCGCTCTCACAGCAGGGCACCTGGATTGCTCTAATTGTTCCTTGGTCGGCACCTCGGATCGTTCCTTCCTGGAATCCGCAGACTGCGCCGCCATCCCAGAGGCTGAGTCGCGTCGAAGACCCAAATTTCGCCTTGAGCCACCGCAAACAGCACTGAGCTTGTTCCGTGCCGTCCTAGTCTCGCAAGCAGCTACTCCGTTTATGTAGCTGAACGCTATACGGCGGTGGAAATGAGATTACGTGTTTGGTGTTCGGATAGCTCAGCTTGAGCTTGCGTGGCCGTAATGAATGACTGCTGACGCTGCGCCATTTCGCATGCAACCATTGTCGTGTTTGCTCTCTGAGGTGTTACCACCGAGAACATTACTTCATGCCTATAGAGGGTTCCACATGTGCCTGAGTAGCACCGTACTGGGACGACTTATCCATGCAGTCGCTCCACCAGCTAATCTCCCAAGTAGGGTAAGATGTGCGACTGGCCATCATAATACCTGGCCGCACTGAAACAATTTGCCAGCAAGTAGAGTATGAGGTTGAAAAGTTAATTCCATGCACCTCTCCAAAGCTCAAGAGAGAAGCCTGCATCGTCCCACCACCTGTCACAGTGCCACCTAACCACCTCACACCGAGGTAGTATCTATCTATCCCAGTAAACAAAGGGGGTATGGAAATGTATCTGAAAAGCATGAGACTCAATGAGGATAAGAAAGCCCACGACCAGTTACACTCCGAGGTTGCTTCAAGTAGCTTCCTGACGTTGCTTTCGCGGACTGCGATGGACCGGCACAGTCATTGTAGACTTCAGATCAAGATTCGCGAGACGCAACGAGACTTTCACCGATGGTTCTGGAAGCGACGAGGTACCGGCGTCCTCATCAGACTTAGGAGCCGTCGATAGACCGTCCTAATGGACCATGACGTCTGGGTTTGGCTTCGCAGGCTGCTTGGGGTGGCTCTGGTCGCCGGTCGCATCATCCATCTCCATGTCGTCGCCGCCCTCCTCCTCAGCCTCCTCCTCTTCCTCGTCCTCGCCTTCACTTTCCTCAATATCTTCGCTGCCAGCGTCTGAAGCAGCGTCGTCCTCTGCAGCTGGGCCAGCAGTGTCATCCGCGCCGGCCATGGCGGCGTCTTCGCCCTCGGCAGGAGCGGCGCCCTCTGTCTCTGCCTCCTCGTCCTCGTCCTCCTCTTCCTCCTCGATGCCGTATTGGTCACCATCCGCGTTCAGATCAGCTTCGGGCTGTTCGGGGGGAAACTCGGGGGGAGCCGTCTCCTCAGAATCCCTGCAACTGTTAGTGCTGTTGCCTGGACTACGATTGTATTGCGCGAGTCATACCACTTGATCGCAAAGCGGGTCACTCGAGGCTTCTCAGCCAGAATATTTCGCCGCACTTTCTCGATGATGGGCTTCGCTGGAGGTTCGAGCTGTAGTGCCTCGTCTGTATACTCGTTGTTGACATAGTATCCAACTCGTACAAACTCGCGATCGTCGTAGCTACAGCTGAGGAGAATGACAGTGACGCCAATGATCTCGTTATTGGGGATGCGCGACAGATTTGGAGGGTCGGCGCGGAATTCGAACTTGTTCACACCAACGGGAATGGGGCCCACGAGAACGGAGTCAAGCTCCTGGTCGTGCTCGTTGCTGTTGGAATTAGTGATCCCGTTGGTAGAGACGCTCAAAGCGGGGCACGTACGATGTTGCAGAGCCAACATAGGTGAGTTTCCACTCGAGATCTGCAGCCGATAAGCGTATGTTCCAAAACGCAACAAGTCGAAATCACCTTTCTGCAGCGACTCGTGGCACTCAAAGGTGATTAGAAACTCATATGGCGCGTCGAACGTTGCCGGGTTGTTTTTCACCTCGACGCCGAGCAGCGAGACGATAGACATGCTGAGGGATGTGGGGCACGTAACGCAAGACGGGGTATGTATGCAATTACTTCGTAGAACGTTGCTTAGATGCGGGTGGAGGAGAAGTTGAATGTTTGTTGTGACGGGAAAGTGGCGATGGACGTGCGGCATAAATACAGAATCGGCGGGCCCGCCTCGGCGCGTCTCGCTCAACGCGACGCGACAAGTCAAGTCACGTGCTCCATGTGGTGAATGATCCACGGGGTGAATGATCCATGGATGTTCAAAGATGAGAATGACCACACGATGAGCCGCAAACTGTGCTGAATTGCCTGCGAGGCCTGTTCATGAAGGGCAGAAGGCGCGTTGGGGGTTGCTTGAAAGTAAGAGCAGTAAGAGCAGAAGACGCGTCCGAGGAAGGTGCAAGCCCTATGTTCAATGCTACCTTCATTTGATTATTGCAATCCGACAGGTTCAGCTTGTATTATGCTAGGTGGTGAAGATACGGACATGCTATATCTCTATGACTGTACACTGTACGTCACATCTGAGGTGACTGCAAGAAGTTGCACGGCAACTCTTGTCTGGCGACTGAAGTAGGAGTCAAACAGCGCTCAATTCCAATAAACGCCGACCTAGGATGGAGGTAAGGTCTCAGAACTCATGCAAACGCCACAAAATGCACCTACATGCTCACTGATGCTGGTGTCCTTGCTCATATTCCTGATCCGCCACAAAATTCTCTCCCTGGCTGTTTCCGGTAGCCTCAGCGGCGGCTATGTCCTCCAGCTTTCGAGCCAATGCGATGCCTTCTGCTCGACCTCGCTCTACGTCGACGAGCATCATGATCGGGAAGGGGAGACCGATGAGGATGGCAAGGAACCAGAATGCCTAAAGATATCATGAGCATGTATTCCGGAAGCGAAGTGAATGGTACAGCAAGAAGCGCAGCAAACAAACTTACGGGTCTTATCTCGCCATAGCGATCCGTGATAGCCCCCACAATCGCTGGGCCAAAAATACTGCTACCTTTGTCAGTGATGGCGTACAGCGCATAGAACGCCGCCTCGTAACCAGGTGGGATAAGTTCGCCGAACAGACTCCTGCAGTAACTGCTCAGCCCACCTAGTACAAAGCCGTACACAGCCCCTAAGGGATACATTTCCCATTGCTGCTGCAAGCCGAATACACCAAGGCGTTTGATGGCTGGAATATACCCGAGGAGTCCGTATATGGGGATTAGCTCGAAGAGGACAATGCATGCGAGAATTGTTTGACTGGGACGGAGGCGCATATATATGCTGATGCGAGACCAGGTGAAGGCTCCGATGACACCGGAAATCGTGGCGATGACGTTGATAAGCGCAAGCATGGCGTAGTCCATTTCTAGAGTCGTCTTCGCGAACAACACAGCAGTACCAGAAACAGTAGCAATGGAATCACTTAAGAGAAACCATGCTGCAAGGAATAGCAACACGTCCTTAAGGTACTGTGCGTGCTTGACTGTGCGGCCGAGCGACTTCCAACTGTAGGTAAAGTAGGCAAGCCCGGTGCCGAAATTCGATTTCGACGGTGCGATGTGTAGCGGTGGTCCGGGACGCGGACGTAGCCACATAGCTGTTGGGATAGTGAACACGAACCACCACGCGCCGATGATGAAAAGGACCAGGCGGAGACCAAAGTTCGAGTTTTTGAATGCGATGACGACAAGTATGCCTATGGTCTGAACGAGCAGCGCGGCTATGTATCCGATTGCGATTCCATACGAGGAGATCTTGGTAGAAAGTCCAAGTTCTCGGGACGGTGTCGCTTGCGAGACGGGGTTAGGGACAGTAAGGTCGGCTTCGGATTGCATACGCGGAAGGAGTGCTGTTGTTGCGTCGACAACGTTGTCCATAACGTTCTCGTCGTGAGCAAGCTCGTTGGAAAAGTGAGTTTCATGTGCAACGTCTGGATGGTCGAGGTCCTCGTCGTCCAGGTAGCTCGAACCTGGTGATATGTCCGCATACTGGACTGTTGGGTGGAATCTCACTAGCAATGGCAAGAAAGAGTTGAGGAGTACAAAGCTAGCTCCAAAACACGTGTTGGCAATGATAGCCAACACCGCACCCAACACATAGATCTTGGGCACAATCGGCAGAAAGAGCATGGTCGCCGTGCTTCCTATGAAGGCGAACCACAAGAGAAAGGTCTTGCGGAAGCGGCCATGATCTGCCGCGCCAGACATGCTGATTATGAGCAGTGCTTGGATGAGGACGGATATGGAGAAGGTGTACATGGCGAAACTGGCCGTATTTATGTCAAGGCCAAGCAGTCTGACAATACACTGTCCGTTTCCTTCTTTGGGTGAGGATATAGAGTATGTGAGTGTTGTTATGCGGGCGGCTTTGCATGGCTGTGTAGGGTCGTGGAGGAGGAAGCCATTTTCGCGGGCGAGCTGTTCAAGAGTGACGGGAATGAAGCTGCCAATGCCACATACGACGAAGACCTCTGCGGCCCAGCCATACATGTAGAAACCAGACAGCTCTTTGTCGCTGGTCAGGCGAACGTCCTCGCCCTCATAATGCGGCGGGGAGCGGTCGGAAGACATATCTGCGTAGTCGTCGGAGATACTCTGCTCGTCGTCCGCTTCGTTGCTAGGTGACAGCGAGGGCGTTTTCGCGGAAGCTTTGGACTGATGCGACGCATCGCGGTCGAGTTCTGGGCGAGGTATGAACTCAGGCGCCCGGGGCACCATTTTGCGGCGCGCTGATCGCGGAAGCTCGCAGGGCGGGCGCTGATTGGCGGTTACAGGGCGTGTGACCTGGAACGAAACATGGCGACTCGGTCAGTGGATAGGGAGGCAGCGAAGCAAGGAAGGGTAGGCAAAGGCAGAGTGGACTCGGGGAGCAGCAAGGCGGTTACTAGAGAGGAGGTGTAGAGGGGCTGGCTCAGTAGACATGGGACCGGGGAGGTTAGGGTCATGTAGACTCGTTGGGGAATCGATGTGCATGTGACATGGGCCAAAACACGACGTCTACACGCATGTTCACACCCGCGACGGGGCATCCGAGAGTTGTGCACGCCTCGTTGATCGCACGCGCGGTTATGCAGGGCGGGCGGCAGCGCCAACTCAGTCTCGCTCGCGCTCGTGGCTTATTCACCCGCCCGCCGTCCGATTGTTTGATGGTGCCAAGCAACGATTCAGGGCTTCGTCACGGCTACGGCCCGCTCGTAAAGCCTGCATTCTATCATCTCCCGCCCAGCACACCACACCACACCGCCACCACCCATACACGCGCCCGGCGCACCTCCACCGTTGCGACCGCCCGCTGAGTCCATTCTCCACCCACTGCATCGCGCAGGCGTCGTCGCCGCCCGCCGAGCCCAACCGCGACGACAATGCGATAGCCGCATCCACGGGCCCTCTCACCCGCCGCAGCTGCACACACGCATCCCCCTTCCCTAGCCAGCGCCCGAGGATTTCCCACGCGCCTTCGCCCCACCTTTGAAGGATCCGCTTGCGACAATTACCCGCGCGACCGCAGACGCATCTCTGGAGGCCGCCCGCAACTCAACTCTGCAACTCCCAGGTCTCCGGTGATACAACCAGCTCAAGATACAGTCGGCGCAGCCACCTGAGCGGGCGGAGGGAGACAGTGGGGAGGCTGCAGAGAGCAGCAGGGGCGGTGCGCGCTCGGAAGGGCTGCAGGACCGCGGCCAGACTATGCCAGGCATCTTGAAGATGAACAGCAGTGTGAACGGAGGTTCGGGCGCAAGAGATGTGGACAGCAAAAAGCGGGCTCATGACGGCAAGATGGTCAATGGCGAGCGCACCATCGTCAGGAAAGACTCGCCTGCGAGCGCGCCCGCCGTGAGAACCCCCTCGTACAATGGCGGAGATGCACACGGGGCTACACCCGCCGTCAACCAGATGGCACAGCTACCACCCGATCTAGCCCACGTGCCCTCGGAGAATTACCACTCCCTCTCGAAATTAATACAACGGATCTCTCAAGAAACCTATAATGAGCTAAACGAATGTCTCTTGCAGATGAGAGAGTTGAAACCGCCTCAACTCAATGGCAATCTCCCGAATGGACTCGGGCTGCCGAATCCACAAGATGCGGAAACCAGCAAAAACAAAAAGCTCCTACTGCTGAGATTTGCGCACGACAATAGAGCAAAGTTCATCAAGTTGTTGGTACTTACCGAGTGGGGCAGGAAGGCATCAGTCGATTTGTCTAAGCTGATCGATCTTTTCAGTTGGGCTAGAGCTCAGAGCTACAGCCAGGACCGTATCAACGAGCAGATCGAATTCATGAAATTTGTCATGAATGATGCAAGGCAGCTGAACCCTGATATCAAAACCGCATTGGAGATCTTGGGAACAGGGAAGGCAGGATGGATACCTGATGTCAATATCCCCTTACGCCTGCTTAGGGAGATGCTAACAATTTCTAGATGGGTTTCATTCCGCCTCCTCCGATGTCGGCAGACAAGGCGCTCAAGCTGTTACGGTATATGAACGTATCGCTATCTACCCGCTTAATCATCCACGAAAAGATCCCACACCAGCTGTCTAAATGGCGGATAGAGAACGGTCGCGTAACATTTATCGTAGACGGCGAGTTTGAGTTTGACCTCATGTCCTTTGTCGAAGATTCCTCAGATCAGTTCCACTTCATTGATATGAGGTTTCTATTTTATCCAGCGCCATCGATCGCGGCAGACAGTCGATTCTTCAACCGCCTCAAATTAGGTGTTGATAATCTGCTTCGAGAAGAAGGCCTGGAGGCTTGTTTCGGTTATCTTCACAACGTTACGCTTTCCCACAAGATTTTCATACTTTCCACACAGGTGAATGATTTACTACGGACTGGATGGGCAGGTTCACTTCGGTCGGAATTCGCGCATCGAGTGTTGTGGATCCAGTACTGGTTGAACAGGCCTGGAAAGAAGAGCTGGATTGAGATTGGTGTTGCCAGCAACAAGCCCAAGGACGGAAAAGTGTCGTGGCGAGGCCCTCCAATACCGTCAATAACCGCGCGTTGGTTCCGCGAAGGCGTGCACGTCCAGGACGTAGACCTCAAGCTCGATTGGAACAACTTATCCGTGGAGCGTGTGATCAAGCGGGTCATAGCCCTTCACGTCGGGCACCTCTTGCGGACTACGCACCAGGCCTTTGGTGCCAACGTGAGCGCACAAGTGACCTTGGCGGATAATGAACCTTCGAACTGTCGATTGGCTGTTTCCATTGGTTCGAAGGAAAATACAACTTCCCTTTCTATCGAGCCCATTACCGGTAGATACACGCTAAGCCCAGCGACTCCTCTTTCGAACCCCGCAGAGATTGCGATCAACCGTTCCCTCGAGCCAACAGTAACAAGAAACACAATTACGCAATTCCTAGCCCGCTCAATTGCAGAATCAATCCAGCGGTATTCACAACAGCTTGGATGGCAGCCTGTTGCGCGTCAAGCTCTGCGCATGGAGGTTGTAAAAGCAGCAGTCAACTTGAACGTTTTGAGATTCACACTCTTCTGGCCCCGGGGATGGTCAACAAACACAGCTCTAGCCGCAATTGTGGACGCTACTGGTGAATCGTGGTGGATATGTGAAATTGGCGAAAAGGGATCCACTATCGTGCACGCACAAAAGATCGCCATTGAAAGTATGGATGGTCGACCACCTCCGATTAATCGTCCAACACTATCACGCATCGAGCGAGTAGCGATCCACCAATTGGCTTATTCTATAACATCGCGTGCTCTTGGACAAGAAGGCAAGACATACAGCCTCCGGTACGAAATCGAACCGCCACGGCGTCCAGCGTCGTTGGACGGCGTTGTAAGAGGCTGGGCGTTGCATGTCAGAACTTCGGAACTCCTTGGCACAAAGCCTGGAGACGATTCTTGGCTGGAACCTGCGATGCAAATTACAGGCCATGGCTTCCGCTCTGATTATCGCAATGTCTGGCACATTGTAACCGGTACTATGGTCTCCGAAGCTGCGACCGATATGCAGAAACTCATGTCCGCATCACCACAAACCAACTTTACTTTCTCAGAAGGCGGCAAGTTCTCGGTTCTCTTGTCTACGCCATTTGGCCATGAGGTTGTCAGTGAACTGAAAGCTCGCTTGCGAGACCTGAACCGCCTACGCTCTTTCGCGACGACCCTTGAGAAGCGTAAGATGCTGCTCAAGTCTTCGTCGCTCCAGCAAGTTGAGTTTCAGTACAGTCAAGGGCTCTCTGTGAAGGTCCTTTTCGGGCAAGGAACGGACATCCAGGTCAAGTTTGGAGACAGGAACCCCCACAATCGCATACACAGCTTTCTCACGGACATAATCAACGATCGGTCACCCGGTCTCTCACGTTCGTCCCATGGCGACAACAATGGGTTGGACCGATTCTGTACGTCCCTCATTTGGACTCGGCCCCTTCTAACGGTGCTCAACGAGCTCGAAAACCGGACTCCTGGCAATGTCGACAACCCTGCTGTACACGTGCATGATCTGCGTACATACCGCATCACGTATACCAACCCGCCGTGCTCCTTCGACTTCAAACTCAAGCCCAAGGACGATCGGATGCTATGGGATATCGAAGACAACGAGGGCAAGCCAGCAGACCTGCGACCGAAGACTGAACGCAGCCCCCATTTCAAGCGACTAGGTACCTTGAAGTCGGCGCTGCAGAAGCTGTTCAGGGAGAGGGATGTGCGCTGGTGGGGAGTGCGCACGGGAATCATCGCTGATATTGACGGGATTCCGGACGCGCTGAGGAGGCTAAATGAAACGGTTATTAGCTGCTATGTTGAGGGTGGAGTCAAACAGGAGGTCGGCGACAGTGCTCCAGTTAACGCACCACCTGCCAGGCAACCGAACAACTCCAGTACCACAAATCGACCTAACGGGAACAACGCTGCAAACGCCAAACCTCAACCCGGACGACTCGGTGGTAATCAGCACGACGTGATAACGATCGACTGAGGAGATCTTGCTTCTTTTCTAATTTGAGCGTGTACTGCATTTTTGGAGCGGGCTGGGACTTTGACGGAGTTTTCTCGATTGGCAGCGGCACCTTCGCTCAATTGGACTTGGATCGACTCGGGATACCTGGGGGGAAGGATCAGTCAGCCGCCGGCACCGAATGCCTAGCTTTTGGGCGTTGGCAATGTATCATAGACTTCTGGTTCATGTGCAAGGCTTTGTATTATAGAGTCTGAATGGCCGAGTCCAATGGACTGTTCGCTTCCTGAATGAACAATATTAGCGAATCTCATCAACGCTTCCAACATTATTGCATAGGCTTGCATATGTCCATATGCCTAGCTCAGTATTGCGCGCTCATTCAGAAGATGATTGACATACTGTGTCTTGCATCAAGAAACCGGACGGTCGTACGTTGTCAGGTATGCGGCGCTCGTGCTAGAAGTGAAGACAATTGCGGCATCATCAACTGCTTCGCTCACAATTTAAACCAACTATGACATAATGAGGATATTCGCGCTATTTGAAGAACTTGGTCGCATAAAATTCGGCAGAAACGCATGAATAAATTACAAACGCTCTTACGACACCAATAATAGATCAATCCTGCTATCTCCTTTGTAAATCATCTTGTACAGCCTTGACCATACACCCTAACAAATTGATCAAATTCCCATATGCGACTTCTCCGCGTCACCCTTTCTCCTCTTCGCCTTCACCAATATACCCTATCTCAGCGTCTGCCTCAACCTCCCCGTCGTACTTCCCTCAAGCATACTCGTATCCAACCCCTCCTTCTGCATCTCCACTATCCGGTCCTGCTTCCTCTGCTCCATGCGTTCAATATTCTCCTTCAGCGCCGGAGGCACATCTTCCTCTTTCTTCCCCTTGTGGAACGGCTTTTTGATCGCGTCGACCATCTTGCCGACCGAAGAGCGGCGCTGCGGGATGCTGCTGACATCTGACTTTGGCTCTGCGGGCAATGGTGAGAGCCATGTTATGTCGTGAGATGTGAGGGTAGTGAGTTACCTAAGAAGTCAGAGGATGGACCGGCGGAAGGATCGGTTGTGGTTTTGCTAATGGTAGTCGCTGGCGTATTGTCCATGACGAGAGTATATACAAGCAAGACTTTCATACAAAAGTGGACTAGCTGTCGGAGCCAGGCGCACGCCTGAAACGGTGGCTTTTTATACTGCGTTGGTGATAATTAAGTACTATGATGTCATAGGGCTGTGTAGGATGCACATGCCCAGCATAGCGACGTCTTGAGGCTTTGTGATTAGCAGTCCGGAATTGCGGGGTAGCTATAAGCTTATAGGTTTCTCGCGCGACATTTGGTGGCTGAGACGGCCCGGCTTGTATGGTTGCACGCTTGAGGGCATGGAGGGCATGGAGTCGACGGAGTATTAACGGATTGGGTAAGAGGTTGCGCGGCAGGTACTGTGCGTCAAACCGTTCTGGTCGTCTGCCAGCCTTCGCCAAATCGTCTGCCGGGTTGGGGTGGAAAAAGTATGTGCGATCCTAACGGTAGCTCGAGATTTGCTTCCCTCTATGCCCCATTCAAAAGAATGCTCAATGCGCCTGAACACTTGATCTGTATCTACCAACTGGAGGGTCAACATCGAACCGCACAGCTTGGAATCAACGGGAGTGAATTTGCCTTCAGCAGACTATTTGTCTCTATACTGTGCATGCGGAGCATGCACTGGCATGAAATAGAAGAGATGCCGGCTATTATTGAGACCTAGGGCGTCCTCAATCTGGTCGAGAAAGTTGGGGGAAAGCTCCCGTCGTCCGTCATGGCAAAGTCGAAAGATACACTGCCCTCACTTAAAGACATTCGTATGCGGACGGGCCTCAGGTATCCGTGAATGTCCATAAAGCGGCCAGTGACTGCTCCTGTGGTGTTGTCACCGGCGTATTGCAATTTTGTGTCCTTTACGCGTACAAAAGTCCGCTGCTGTTCGAATACTGTCTATATGATAACCCCGTCGATTGAGGCTCAAGACCACGAGGGTGCACAGTAGCGTGCTGGTCATTGAGGTGTCGACCCATTAGGACGGGGGTGAGCCGTCCACATCAATAGAGTCTCGAGATGCCCGCTACATACTCGTCACTTATGACCTGCCTAGATCTTTTCGCAATATCTTCAAGCGCGCGTGAACTAGCCGAGATGGTCCATCCAACGTGATCATGCATCCTCAGTCTGGTCATTGGCGGCTCCGGTCAGAGCTTCCTTGGTATTGTATTTCTGAATCGCATGTTCATATCAGCCGCAATGATTATTGGCACAGCATTCTCAACAAAGCTGTTGTCTTCTGAAGTGAAGTGAAGGATATAAAAGGTAACGACCCTGCAACACCTCGGCTCGTTTGTTCAGAGGAACTTCTGCCACCTGAATCTTCCAGAATCTGGGGTCGAAGATTTCATACGCCTGTTGCCTCCGTTGGGTAGCCGTTTGCACATCGACGCTGATTCTAGTCGCCAGAATGCGAGGACCGTCTTAGAAGGAAAGGCCAACCGAGCTGTTTGCTGCCGCCGCCGATATGTTGCAATACCAGTGCTCGTAGACTTTGTGCATGTGAGAAGCTTCGATGCGCCATTCGGTAGGCTTATTTCTATTCTGAAGTATGCAGAGTGAATCGAACCATATGCAGGAGTTCACAAGTTGACGTATCATGACAGCGTCCTGGAACATGTTTGGTGGACTTGAGGAGATATGTTAGTTGTGAACGATTCGATGTTTAATTGTAAAAGCTGGACGTGCTGAGCGTCTTCCCAACAACGGATAGCGTCACGTAACGACCTGTGAGGTGGTGCTCAGAAACACAAATTAGTCGTATATCGTCGCGACTTCCAGGCCGTGGGTCAACATGCAGCAAACGAGTGGAGAACCAGGAGGCTGTGTTCGCATTGCAAACATCATGAGACGAGAGGCAGTTCGACCTCAGCATCGTCTGATATTTCCACTTCGCTTCCATATCCGCACACCCTTCAGTCTTTGCCCTAAAAATATCAGGCAGTAACGAGCGAAGATGTTAATTGTAAAGCGGCGGAGGTGGAGATCCGTCATCATTGTGAGCACACCCTTCCAGAGTATGGAAGGGTCTGCAGGAAGCCCAGCCCTTGAGACACGTTCCGTGGGTGAAGTCAAGGTACAGTACCTTGATATTGACGGTTGCAATGAGGTCGGGATGTGTGCCTCCAGTTTTGACGGTGTCCAAGCGTAGAATCATACATCGCTTCTCGCATTCTTGACATCATCTCGAGGTTGGAAGCTGCTTCACTCGGATTCATCCTCCTGCATGATGGTCTCGCACTTTTGCCTCAGCTCCTGTACACCCGGAACAGCGCTCCACTTGTGCAGAATCTGGCTGATCTCTCCCCACTCTTTCTCTGCTTCTTCGTCCTGCTCCTGGTCGATCATCTCCTGTAGTCTCCGTGGAGTATCCAGGACCCAGCGCACTGTATCCTTCTGCTTCTGCTTCGTAGCCACCTCCGAGACGTTGTTATCTTCGTCCTCGACCTGTATGTCGATACCCAAGCCCTGCGGCTTTGCGGGCAGTGCCTGCATCGAGGATGACAATGAACCGGCGGTCTCAGCGATGTGTGCTATGGCAGGACCAAGGGTATGCGTGGTAGGTGCAAGAGGGTCCATATTGCCGCGCATGCGGCGGATGGTGCTGGTTGCGGAGAGAAGCTTGGAATAATTATCGTAAACGAGAGACTTGCGGTCGCTGTCAAGGTTTCGTATCTCTGCAGCATTATTAGTAGGACTTGACCAGCTGGAAGAACAAGCGGTACGTACGCGATATCAAATCTGCTTCCACTCTCAGCACGCCCTTCAAGCCTTCCTTCGTGAACAGGTTATTCACATATGCGTCTGCATCGAAATTGGTGGCATCAAGCTCTGTCAAGGTTTCGTCTTCTTCAGGGCCTAGTTCTGTCCTTGCTGATTCTTCTGAGATCTTTGCTTCGTTATCTTTCGCAGCTTTTAGACCATAGTAGTCACGTAGAGCGGCCCGGTTACGTCGCGTAGTCGAGGGTGGACGAGCAGAACCTTCGAAGGATGCGCGGGTAGAGGAAGGGCTCCGTATGGAAGAGCTTGGACGCGGTGAAGCTATGGTAGACATTATGACCTTCTGTACAATGCGTGAGCGTTCCAATTCGTTGCGCGGCGTGATGTATGGTTTGGCGTGCGTGAGGACAAGGAACATTCACAATGCCGAGCCGCGTAGGGCTGATCTAGCAAGAGCTACCCGCGTCATTGCTCGACGTGTCGTGACCCCCACTTCAGTCCACTACGCATACATGAGCGGCCATCATCCTGCACACATGAAGTAGTCGCACAGTTGTACGACCAATTAATCGCCCGTATGGCAAATAACCTCTCAGCAGAGCTCACACAGCATCTTAATAGCCGACACTTCTATCCCGCCGCTGCATGGCTACAGAGCTTCGTCTCCGGCACGCGCCCGAACACGGCCCTGCCTGCGCTCAAACAGACAGCTCTCTTCCGCCTCCTCGCAACCGATATTACCGCGTCGCTGCAGGCTCCAACGCATACCATGTTTCCTCAAGATGCCCTCAGCCCAGGGACGCAGACGCGCACCATTGCTGGTCCCATTATCTGCCAGGTTCTCGACATCGAAGAAATTGGTCTCTCACGCTGGGCACAGGTCGAGCAGATCGAAGCCAAAGAGCGCGGCGAGACGACCAAAGGCCGCGAAATCGTGCGAGTCGTCGAGGATGAGAATGAAGGTGGAACAGTCGCGCCTGCTGTGCACAGCAAAGGCCCTTTCAAGCTACTTTTGCAAGACGCAAAGGGTGCCCAAATCTATGCCGTTGATCTGCGCGGCATTGAAGGTATTAACACTAGCATGGCCATGGGCACGAAGCTTTTGTTACGGAACACAGACATCAGGAGGGCTGTAGCGATGCTGGAGCCTGGCAATGTGCAAGTCCTCGGCGGCAAGATAGACGCGCTTGACAAGGTATGGAGAGACGGGAGGAAAGAGCGGTTAATGAACGCTGTTAAGATCGCCGGTGAGGGTGTGAACACATGAAATGTACGCGATGGCATGAGAAGAACGCGCGAAATTCGAGGAGAGCGCGTGACTTATAGGAGAGCGCGGCGGACGTTGCGCTGGCGCTACGTGGTCACATGAACTCGGCGTGGCATGATTGATACATGCAAATCGCCTTCCAACTTTCTTCCTGAGGCTTCTCCAGATCCTGATACCCACCCAGCCTTACTCGACAGACACCCAAATCCAGATCACTATGCTCAATTCCCAGGCTTCGTTTGAGGGAACCGGCACGTGTGACATGGCTGATTCCGATGCGAACGTCTCTGATGGCGAATATGTGTGCAAACGCTGTGACCGCATATCGTAGGCGCGCCTAGCCAACGGCGAAACTTCTGAATATATCCGGGTCGTGAGGAATTTGGTATTAATTTTGGAACCTTTTGGTGGTGATGAAATTACTAGACCTGTGGGGCTACCCCCCTCCTTTCCACTACTGTCCTTCGCATTCAGCATTCTCCTTGACAGTTATCTGGGGGGAGATGGACTGTAGGTGAGCGTGTGAAATTGCGGTCATCACACTCATCAAGTAGAGAAATCCACCGCACGTGTCAGCTATTACGTCTCCTCTGCGTCTCATATACTAGATCCTTGCACGCAACCAGTGCTGGTTTGACTCCAAGATTACGGTCACTCCCGAAGCCCAAAGGGGAATGTGGAAAATCTGATTGACCCTGGGCGACTGGGAGAATTGATCGGCTGTCATGGAAGCCAGTTATCGTGGAAGTGATGAAGTTACGGTAGAGAGGAAACCATAAGAAGATTCACGGCGAACAGCCCTTTATCCATCTAGGCAAGGCTGTAGCAAGTTCCAAGAAGATGGAGGTGCAAATGGTAAAGAAAAGAGAATCACGTGCTAGGCCTTTCACATCAACCCTACGCACTGGTGAGAAGCACTCCTGGAGCAGCGTAGCTGGCAATCCAACGCTTCCTCTATTGTGATATGTCTATGACCCAACGTACATTCCATCTGAATTTTACCGCTTACTGACACCTCAAAGCAGCGTGTGCTCAAATTCCATCGGAGCAGATGTCGGCTGCTTCCTAATCATCGAACGTTCGTCATCGTCTAGTGACTCATGTGTGTCATTCGACTAGCAAATGGCTGAGCTGACTCTCACAGGGCAGTTGGCGCTCCAGGGGTACATGGCTGCTTGTGCAACGAGCATCTCAGCCTTGCCTTACCAGCAACATCGTTTCAAAGGCACTTTCCTGTGAGTGCAGTGTAGCGAGAGTAGGTAACCATCGAAGAAGAAACGCTGCGCTGTCAAAATTCTGCAAGAACTTGAATTATCAAGTGATATCTGTCTATAAATGATGAGGCTATGCGAAGCCAGTGGTATATCCCCCATGTCGTAAATGCCCAGAACGCCGCCCATATGCCAATACAACAAAAGAAAACTGACTGAACTTTGAAGGTTGGTCGGACCTGGCGAGGTACTATTCCTCCGATCCGACTCTGTTGCGGAAGCAATACTCTGCCATTTATGCGGCACATTTCTCTTTATCTCTACCGCTGTCATCCTCGCACCGCCTGATCGAGAGTGGCTTTGCATCCTCATGGCTGTGCTCAAGCTCTTCTTCAGCTGCAGCTCTCTGATTCAATAACGAAAGATAGGTCTGCCATCCGATCGCGATGACACCGCCGAATATGCTGCGGTATTCGATAGGTATGAATGCAAACGAAAATGCTGTGACTGCGGGCCAGAGCTTGCAGCTGTTGATCCACGACACAGGCACCGTGTTCTTTATGCGCTCAACGGTCTCGGTGATGGTCATACCGGTGAGGAGCGATTGCATGCCGAAGAAGTACGAATTGAACAAGGGCGTAAAGAGGAGCTGGTTGACAGTAACCTATATATGCGTCAGCTTCAATCGCACAGAGACCGGGAGGAGAAAGAAACGTACCTTTGTCGCCAGCGACAGCGTCTTAGAGCTGTAGTTGAAAGAGTTACTTAACCACAGAAACCACTTGTATCCCGGCACTGCTGCCGCACCCCCGATCAAAAGCGCTCTTCCTGTCCTCGCCCAGTCCCTCTCTTCAGCCCACGCCTGCACCCAGCCCTTCTCCACCTCGTCCTCTCCGTCCACACTCTCTACAACCTCAGCCGGTAGCCCAATACTCTGCGCAACAAAGTCGCCCACCAAATAGATGACCAACGAGCTCACAAACTGCGTCATGTACGGCCTCCTCCTCTGCACCCTACCATAAGCGCGGAACGGCTCGTAGATGGGCTCGAGCCACAGCCAACTCGGTCCAGGAATGGTGGTTACAGACTCTGGCGCCTGCTGCCCCACGGGTTTGGGCGACGCATTCCATCGTTTCGTTGTGTTGGTGGTACCGCAGCGGATTTCGCGCAGTACGTTCGCTGTGCGACTATGGCAATGCGGGGTGGTTGTGCGCCCAAAGCCTGCGCCTGCGTGCAGAACCCGGGCGCGCGACGGGATCATCATGGTATCGGGGCGTGGTAGTAGTACATAGGTCATGGCGGAGAAGCATACATTGTGAGGAAGGTTGCGAATGAAGAAGTGTTGAATGTCATCCGGCTGCGCCTTGTGACAAAAGCCGCTGCGCTTTCGGCTTTCGGAAAGCGAGACCGGAATGGCGACACGACACGACAATTCGACGGAAAGTGGCTGAGTCAGCTGCTGTCCGCCGTGAGCCTCCTCCTGCATACATCAACAGCCTCCACAACGACAACAGGTGAGGAGAGCCGCAAGCTTCAAGAACCGAGGCTCGCTTCTGCGATAGCCCGCTGCGGCGAGTTTCCTTGTTCCTGGACAATCGCCCAACGAGGTTCGGGCCGAGGCCTCTTCCTTTTTGCTGCATTTTGCCTTGGCTTGAACCCATGCGCGATTGGATAGATTTCGCGACTCACTATGCCGACGTCAAAAGAGCTCGTCGCCGAAGACAGCAGCTGGCGCCAACGCTCGGAGCTGGAAACCATGGCTGAGTGTCACCACAATTGGAGCAAGACTTGGAAAGATCGAACAAGGAGATGTGGGTCTCTGGTGAGAAGCTGAAGGATATAGTGCAGCGCTTCGAGGAGGAACTTGAAGAAGGTCGCAGTTGATGGCCATCTGCCCCTTTCTATGTTTGTGCCCATCTTCGGTTGACGAGGAAAGCCCGAGACCTGGGCAGCAAACGTTTGAGAAGTTATCTGCGGGTCTGTACCTGGGAGAGATCTTCCGGCTAATGTTGGTCGAGCTCGCTGATCGAGGCCTTGTGTTCAAGGGACAGGAGAAGAACGGCAATGGTAAGCTGCGAGAGCGATCTCGATCGATACTGGCTTCCTCTCACAGATCGAGGATGATGAGAGTCAAGGCTTCACCAAGACTCGGGACCTAAGGACGTGCTGGGGCTAGACGTCAAGGATGGGAAGCTGGAGCTTTCACGAAGGTTGGCGGAGCTCATTGCTGTCAGGGGTGCTCGTTTGTGTGCCTATGGCGTTGCGGCGATATGCCTGAAGCAAGGCAACACCGAGGGTCATGTTGCCGCGGATGGTAGTCTGGCGAACAAGCATCCGAAGTTGAAGAAGAGGTGGGCAAAGGCTTTGGGTGAGACATTAGACTGGGACGGGAAAGTCGAGAACGAGGATCCCATCATCACCACTAGTGCGGACGATGGGAGCGGAGTCGGGTGTGCAATCATTGCCGCCATGGAATTGGGGAGGAGAGCAAAGCACGAGGAAGCCTAAATACAGGATAGAAATGTTCACGTACAAGCACAGCGCAAGACCATCACGTTTCCACGCTAAGGGGAGAAGTTTAGGTAATCTCGTATCATACAATGAGCTTTTCGATTCCATTCGTCATGAAATGCTATGTACACAGAAAAGAAGCGGCCGCCTCGCAGCACATGCAAAAAGATAGGACTCAGCCTATATCCAAGAACATACTCTCAAGTAACCAGCCCGTCTACATGGTAGACGAGAATGCAGAAGATCGTGAAGCAGGGTGACACGCTTAAGCGAAGTCACGGGCGTGAGCGCGGCGGGCGAAAGCGCGGGCGAAGCGCTTGGCGGTGGCAGAGCCAGTCTTGGTCTCGAGCCACGAGATGAACTCGGAGATGGTGAAGGTCTCAGGGAGGGTGGAGCCAGAGCCAGATCCCTCGTTGTTCTCGATAGCGGTGGCAGTGGGCTGAGCAGCAGACTGGGTGGCAGAGGCACCGGTGTCGTAGCCGGAGCCGATGGTGGGAGCAGGGGCAGCGACAGCAGAAGAGGTAGCAGCGGGAGCAGAGGAGACGGCGGCGGCAGAGGAGGTGGCGGCGGCAGAGGAGACGGCGGCGGAAGAAGCGGCCGCGGTGGCAGTGGGAGCAGCAGACGAAGCCGGGGCAGCGGAAGAAGCATTGCCAGAGCCGGAGCCGCTGGAAGCACCATCCCAGACCTCCGGTCCAGGGACATCGTAGCCAGCGCTGCCGGAAGCAGTGCAGGCAATGTCTCCGCTGTAGATGTTGCACAGAACACCTGGGTCGGTGGCAGAGTATGCGCCAGGGAAGGCAACACCCGAGGGAAGGCTAGTCGAGCCAGAGCCAGTGACCTTGATCTGACCACAGCCGTTGTAGAACTGAGTTTTGCCCTCAGTGCTAGCCTCGTGAAGAGCGATGATCTCAGGGCGGATCAAGTAGTCACCGGCAGCAAGGTCGGGGATCTTGACGTTGACGAGACCCTTGTTGGTGATGAAGTTGTCAACACCCCAGGTGGTGCCAGTCAGACCATCCTGCTGGAGCTTGACCCAGACGTCACCGTCTCCGTTAGACTCAGCAGGAGCAATGTAGACGATGACAGGACCCTTATGGGAAGAGGCAATGGGCTCGTCGGCGTCACCAGAGGTGGAGGCACCGTCGTTGTGGTGCCACTGGAGTCCGATCTCTGAGCCAGCAGCAACCTCGATGGTATCGGCCGCCTCGGTACCACCGTTGCAAGTCATGGCGCTGGAGGTGACATCGAGGATGGGGTTGTTGCCGTTGGAAGGAGTGCGGACACCAGTGTGCTGGCCCTGGTCCTTTCCGTCGATGACGAAACTCTGGAAGGTAGTGTGGGCAGCGGCGAGCTTGCCAGCAGCGAGAGCGAAAGCAATAGCAGTTTTCATTTTCTTGACTGGTTGGTCGGTTGGTTGAAAGTGAGAGTATGTTTCAAAGGATGAACGAAAGAAGGGTAGACGAACAAAGGTTCGGAAACGAAAGCGAGTGAATGCTAAAGAGCGTGTAGAAAATGAGAGTGCAGCTTCAAGCTTGTCCTTTCCGTGAAGCAGAGGCTGAGGCTCTTATACTCATCCCACCACCTTCGCGGGATTGCGTCCAGGAACCAGGAAATGACAGCCCTAGTGCCATGCCTGCATCGTGTTACCGAGCATTAGTGTACGGCCAAGCAGTTTCTCAATCAATCTCATGAGAACTAGCACGAGTATGGTCATGGTGTTTATTCATTAGCTGCCGCAGGGCGACGAAATGGGGCTGGCTCAACCGCGCCGCCAAGCAGTTTTGATGAGTTCATGACCGTGCAGGAACAACAATGGCGTCGCTTACATGCATGTCCATGAGTTCCATCCGCTGAACGTCTGGGTCGTCGAATGACAGTCGGTTCTCCAAGGAAACTGAAACGCCCCGGTAAGATGCGCCATCGCATGAGTGGTCTGGATAGCAAAACACCATGCCTCGGCGACAAACGAAACGTCATGCATTCATGGCGTTATTAGAGGTGTTATCAGAGGCAAGAAACATCAGGCCATGCGCCATGATACTGCAAACGCAGTACCTTCGCCACATGCACGCAGTATATCAAATCGAGTTGGCAATCTCCACTGCAGCGAGACGCTCGCAAAGATTGCGATGCGTGGACTACGTGGACTCTCATCTCGGCTCAAAAGGCGTGGGGCGAAGGGGGAGCGATGGACGCACGCGAGGTAGCGTGTGGTGGAGTCGATTTTTCCGTTCGTATGTTACAGGTTTGAAACGGAATCCTGGTGGAGCAGATTGCCGGACCATGCCCGCTCGGGCCCCGAGCCACGATATCGCCAAGCGTTCGCGAGAGCGCTCCGGTCTTCATCGCCAGAGGAGCGTCGGGGACAAAGCGGTTATGCGGTGACAAAGGAGGCTTCCGTGTCGTGATGTTGGCGGATGACTGCGTTCTTGACTCGTTGGAGGCGTGCCTGCTTGTCGGTTCTCGGCTCGCACTTGGCGCGCTGGCCGAGAATGTCGCCCCTGCAGACGTGGACCTCCTCGTGAGCCAGTTCGCTTGCACCACCATGGGTGTGCGGGACGAGAATCGCCAAGGTGTCTTGGCCGCTCGTGTTTCGAACGCGGTGGTGTCTGCGAAACTCAACACCATGGCACGCCTATCGACGAGTTGGCGATGGTTTGCTCGACGTAGACGTCTGCAATGGAGAGATACGCCTTTCAAAGGCAAGCGAACGACTGGTGGAATGAAATAAGCCGGCGCCGCTCAGATGTGGGTACTACTCGCGGTTAGCACAAGACTAAACGTGGGGAATCGGGGCAACAATCCCTTCTCCGCTCTGGGGAAGAGGACGGCGGCAACTGTCGAAGGCTCCCCATATGTAAAAGGCCATCCCCGGACCAGGTTCGCTGTTTGCTAGGCAGTCAAGAAAACTCAGGCTTGCGCAAAATGCCGTCCCAATTCTTCAAGAACCGCAGGGTGTACCTGCTCACCACCGTGGCCTACATGGGCAGTCTTTTGTTCGGTAAGTGACGTGATGAAGTGGTGCGCTTTGTTTGCCTGACCTCCGTAGGCTATGACACTGGAGTAATGGGCAGTGTCCTATCACTCAAGGCTTTCAAAAAGGACTTTGGACTTCCGACAGACTCTTCTGGTTTCGCCAACTCCAAGAATGCGTACGTGTCGTCCAACGTAGTGTCACTCTTGACAGCCGGATGCTTCTTTGGGGCCATCGCCGCGGCTTTCCTCAACGAGCGCTTCGGTCGTCGTTATTCCCTTATGGGTTTCTCCGTCATCTTCCTCATTGGTGCAGCTATCCAAACGGCAGCCCACCATGAGATCGGAATGATTTACGGTGGTCGTGTCATTGCTGGTCTAGGTATTGGTGGTATGTCATCTATCACACCAGTATTCGTATCAGAGAACGCGCCGCCCGCAGTCCGTGGACGTATTGCCGGGCTGTTCCAGGAGTTCCTCGTCATTGGATCAACCTTCGCCTACTGGTTGGATTACGGTGTGGCCCTCCACATCCCGGCATCTACTAAGCAATGGAGGGTACCGGTGGCCATTCAGCTTATCCCGGGCGGCTTCATGCTTGTTGGGCTCTTTTTCTTGAAGGAATCCCCCTCGTTGGCTCATGAAGCAGGGACGGCATAGTGAGGCCGCCGAGTCTCTTGCTCACATCCGATGCGAGTCGGTAGACAACCCAGATGTCGTAACAGAGCTTGCCGAAATCCGTGCTGCGATCGAAGAAGAGCTAAACGCCACTGAAGGGGTCACCTGGCGCGAATGCCTTATACCAGGAAACCGTTACCGCTTCATCACCGGCTTCGTGCTGATGTTCTGGCAACAGTTCAGTGGAACCAACAGGTAAGCTCGTCCTCGCTTGTTCGTATCGGTGGAGGGTGGATACTGACTTTTATTCCAGCATCGGTTACTATGCGCCCCAGATCTTCCAAACTGTCGGGGTATCGAAGAATAACGCATCCCTTTTCGCCACTGGCGTATATGGTACAGTCAAGGTCATCACGACCGGAATCTTTCTGATAGTTGGTATCGATTTCATTGGCCGCAAAAAGTCCCTTATGGTGCAGCCTGGATGGCAGCAATGATGTTCATCATCGGAGCTGTCTTAGCAACCCACCCACCAGACCCATCATCAGGCTCTGTCTCTCAAGCATCGATTGCCATGGTTGCCATGATCTATCTCTATGTCATTGGGTACTCTGCGTCTTGGGGTCCCGTACCTTGGGTGTACCTTTCTGAAATATTCCCTACACGGCTTCGCGCATATGGTGTGGGCATGGGAGCGGCGACTCAATGGCTGTTCAATTTCGTCATCACAAAGATCACGCCCGAGGCTATAAACCACATCGGGTGGAAAACTTTCTTGATGTTCGGCATCTTCTGCTTGTGCATGGGTATCTTTGCGTTCTTCTTCATCAAGGAGACAAAGGGTCGCACGCTTGAGGATATGGACGTTTTGTTTGGTGCTGTTTCGGCGGAGCAGCGCGCGCAAGATGTTGAGAAGAGCATGGCAGTTGAGAACAAGAAGATGGAGCTGGAGGAGAGGGAGGAGGCCGGGAAAGCGAGCAATTGAGGGATCCACCCATGGTGCTAAGTGTGGCTGTGGTTCTGTCCCGAAAGGTGTTTTGTAGCCCGTAAAATAGTATGATTGGCTGCTGGTGAGCAGATTTGCGACCGTTTCCTGAGAGCAGCAAGTGCCAACCTTGAGTGACATTCGCTGACATCTAAATTACTGTTTAGATGTCGCGCCCCTGCACCAGCTTGTTGAATTACACAGAGCAACAATTTAAAATTCGTCAATCTGCTGTATCAAGCCAAGACTTTCGGTCAGTTGTCTTCACTTGACAAGTCTGTCACCACGCCACTCTCACCGCGACTGCTTACATTTAAGGTCTTGTCTTACGCTTCAGTTCCATGTTGGTCCTATCAAGATTGACGAGAAACATGCCACCTACCGTCTGGTAGAAGAGCTAGATCAAGTGCTGCGTAAGGATAGCTTCGCTAGCAAGACCCTTGTTTATCTGGTCGCTGAGCGGGCAACCACTGAATGATACAAGCCCAACCATGCTGAGCTGCTCATATCTTTCTGGCTCTTTCCCCCAAGAGAAAACTGCGAAAAACTCCTTCGATAAGCCTAGAAGTGATTCAATCGACGTTTCGTATTACGATGCGCAGCCCGAGGTGAAGGCATCGAACGACGAGGATGAGCGATGAAACTGACGCAGCCCGTTAGAGGACTGGGATATGTATGTGTGGATGTACTCATTATTCCGAAAAAGGGCCGCGAATCAATCCTGAGAAACTCTGGGGTTTCTTGAGAGGCAGTGGGCGATTTGTTGCATACAAAGACGTCTGGGGGTGTTTTCCGATGGCTTCAGCATACATTGTGCGCGACCTTCTTCGAAAGGACGTTTCTGATATTCATGCCAACTTGTATCATTGGTATCATACTCGACTCCCTCAATAATCACGCTTTCTACGTTATTCCATTCACTCGTGTCAGTCGAGTATTCGCAATCCAGACCTACCAATGACGTCATGCAAATTGACTTTGACTTCGACTTGCCGCATTCGCGATGATGTATTAGGACGCCGCTCTGAACATGCCATAGGTATGCATGTGCATATACAACTCACAACGCATCCCACCAAACAAAAGATCAAAGTCGGAAACCAAGCCTAAAAGTTCGATCCCGATCGTGAGAGCGGCTGAAGTTTGAGTCGTCAACTGAACCAACACATTACCCAACCATCAATGGCTCCATCATCCGCTAATTTCTCCTGGCACCCTATACCCTCTTCGCCAAGTGGAACAACGTGCAAAGTACACCTCCTGCAAGCCGGCGGCCTCCTCATCCCCTACGACCGTGTTCTCCTCCCCAGGCCAAAACAAGAAAGCCACACCCTCTCCCCAGACTACAGCCCCTCAAAAAGCGAAAAGTACTACGTCCCAGACTACTGTTTCCTCATCGAGCACCCGCCCACCGGAGACCACTACATCTTCGATCTCGGCATGCGCAAAGACCTCGACGCCCTCCCGCCCCTGATTAAGAAGACCACGCTACCAGTATTCACCCCATTTCCCAAGAGCCCAGCGGAGATATTGAAGAAGTATGGGAATCCGCAGCAGCAGCCTGAGAAATTCAAGGCAGTGCTGTTCTCGCACGTGCATTTTGATCATGTAGGTGACGGAGCAACAGCGGGTTTTATACACGCAGAGCTTTGGGTTGGCCCAACGACGTGCACGTACGCAAGGCCTGGCTATCCTGATTATGAAAACGCGCCTGTCTTGTCGGAGAACTTCCCTACGGATGGAAGTAGGAAGATTGTTGAGGCGTATGTTAGCGATGGGCGACTGGAACAGGACGGAGATAGCAGGGTGGGCAAGGTAGCGCAGGGGAAGAAGGCGGGGAAGTACGAAGCTGTGGAATTAAGAGACGTAGGGAATGACGGATGGATTGGCGTCGGGTCATTCGACCGCGCATTTGATGTCTTTGGGGATGGGTCGGCGTATTTGATTGATGCACCGGGGCATTCGCCGGGTCATCAGATGCTACTTGTGCGCATGACTGCGTCTTCGCATGCAGATTCATCGGCTTCGTCGTTTGATGAAGACAGCTTTGTACTCCTCGCTGGCGACTGCTATCATCATCCGGACCTCTTAAAGGATCCTGAACGTACAGCGCGTCCGCCATATTCTAAAGGCTCGATGCATACCGATCCTGAAGTAGCGGTCGAGACTATACATCGTACGCAAGCTTTTGCTTACAAGGATAATGTATGGGTCATGGCAGCGCACGACTTCAGTGTTGGCGAGGCTTTGAGGAAGGGTGAGAAGGAGATCGAGGGTCTCATTCTGATCAATGACTGGCGGGGGAAGAAGTGGAAGCCGGATGTGCATTTATAAACTTATGTGGTATCGTCAGTGACCACAATACGTGTATTCATAGTACGTAGCGGAATTTGAAGAGATTGATTCTGTTCGGCATTGACATCAACATCACCTCGACGTCTCCATCACATCGAGTGACCATCTCACACCAGACGGAGACTCCATTTCACCGGTCAGGCAAAGAGAACAAAGCACTCTGCCGTGCAGCATAGCCGAAGCGATATAATCCGGCTACGACTGCCCGCGCGTGTGCGGAGCCCTAGGACAGCGGCGCGCAAAACGTCTCTCAAAAGCGCAGATCGGTTCAGCTGCACGCGACGGGTGGCGTTTTGAGTGGCAGCCCGCATGAACAAAAGTGGCGTGTTCTACCCTGTTTACAAGTTGGGCTGATACACCGCAGAATATGCGATTCGTAAGCTCCCCGAAACCGTCAGGCGAAGGGCAGAGGCCCGTAGTCAAGTGATCTGAGTCTTTGATGGACATTTTGAATGTTTTTGCTTCATTGTTTACATGATGGTTTTTGGTTACAAGTATCGTATCGTGTCTTTCGCCTTCGCAGCGCGGCTGCGCAGGACATTGGGGTACTAGGTCCTAAGGTAGGTATGGTAATAATACGCTTTGCAGAATTACATAAAACGCCTCCACCACCACCGCCAAATAGCGGGTTCGAAGAAATATGTACTGGGTGATGAAGTTGAGGTGCAATGCAGATGCAGCGTCTAGAAGTTCTCCTTACCCCACACAAAGTTGAAGCCGGGTTCGGAGTACATGTTGCACTTGATGTGGAGGGTCGAACCGAGGACTTTGGGACCGCAGAAGAAGACACCGGCTTCAGCGGGCGCGTGTATCTTGCGGATGGATTTGAAGATCATGTCCCAGTTGGGGCGACCGAAGTTTGTAGGTGCACGTAGCCCGGTGATGGCATCTTGTTCGGCGTTTGCGTCGTTGATCATGATGTTTGTTGCGTCGTCGGCCTTGATCTTGGCGGTTAGGTACTGTGCAGCCATTAGCGTCCATGCCATGTTTGTAGAGAGAATGCTCGGGCACTTACGGTGTGGATCTCGATGTGGTCGTCAAGATCCTGAGCCTCAATAGCCAAGAGCAGCGATCGGAACCACTCAAATGAGCCGAAATCTCTGCAAATCCAGAAGAAGTAGACTTTTCGTAGTCGCGTTCGGCCTTGAGGGTAGTTCATCCGGTACCAGATACTCTTGAGGATAGAAGCGAAAGGTGTCACACCGATACCGGCACCGACCAGCACAGCGACTTCGAACTTGAACACGTCCTCAGAGGCGGAACCAAAAGGACCGTCGATGTAGACACGCGGAAGAATTTGCCGAAGTGCGACCTCGGTGGCTCCGTCTTTTTCGCCCTTCGCACCGCCCTTCTCGAGATTGCAACCGAGTGCCTTTCCGAGCGCACGCGTGAAGTCACCGACCATACGAACGTGTACGGAGATGTAGTCCTCCTCAGGAGCGCTAGTGAGCGTGAAGGGGTGGTATTGCCAGATAGAAACCTCCGGGCAGCACAGGAAGATGTACTACAATAATTAGCCATGCCTCGATAGTGATTTTACAGTAACCTACCTGACCGGCCTGCGTTTTCGTGTTCTCCTTCTTTATTTGAATCTCGCACACGTTGCTAGGATGCTGGATGACCTTTGAGACGTACGTCTTGTGGCGTCCACGGATTTCACGTGATGTACGCTCAGCAAGATACGCAAACCCGCCATACATCCAGTACTCCCAGAAGACACCGATGCCGTCGCAAAAAGGCGCAAAATCGGGCTTGATCATACAGAACGCTCCATGGATGGACCAGAAAACAAAGAAGATGATGAACAGGTGGTGGGTGTACCAGAACCGCTCGAACTGTGCTCGTCGTGGCTTCTCAGCAGCCGTCCAGGCCATGGCAGACAGCGCAATCAACATAATGTAACCACTCCATCCAGGTCCGGTGGCAAGGTTGGCAATAAGGAAACCGACGAATCCCAGTTTGTTGATCTGAGCGAAAAGCCACAAATTCCTCCAATGCGCAATGGTGTGTAGCCAGGAGAAGAAGAGAAGGGACCATCCGACGAGCTTGTGGAAAGTGATGTTCTTGTCGAAAGGAATGATGCCGTTGAGGGGTGTTCGACGCGCCATGGAGATCAAGTTACGACACACAGGGAACAAGATAAAAGCTACATCGACGTGTAGCGTGAGAGCTGCTGAACGGGCGATTGGAAATGTTATGCCAAACATCTGTCGCGATCCGATCGAGCTGTCCTTGAAGCCGTAATGTGCCATACCGAATCCAAAAACCATCAAATGTAAGATTCCGAAAGTAAAAACGAAACTGGAGTTGTCAGTACATAGGCACTGAGCAGGGAAGGCTCGGCATACAATCTCCGGTAACCCTCATTGACCATCCATCTGTCGAACTTCTCCTTCAGATAGAGCTCTCGTGGTTTCTCGTCCGACATCTCTCCAGACATGAGCATTCTCGTGAGAGGCGGCCATCTCGATCGCTCTCGACCTGAGAGGCTGTAGCCTGCGTAATCAGATTTGTCCATGGTAAAGGCGGTGTGAGTGCAGCAGCCGCGAAAGGCTGGAATTAGGTGAGGCGAAGTTCAGATCCTGCTGAATGTGGCCAAGTATGTCGAAAGTTCAAAGAGTGACCAAAATCTGGACCATGGTGAGCACGCGTGGTGACACAAGAACGCGATGGCGAGAGTGGTGTAGACTTACTAGCAGGTGTGCCCGCACTGAAGAAGAGAAGGGTTGGGAGAGGTTACTTGACCGGCTAAAGAGGCACCGGCATGAAAACGGAGGGTCTCCAAAGGGGAAACAACGACTATAAGCACATGCACAGTTGGAAGGACTTCGGAGGGGGTGGGGGGTTGGTTCAGGATATCATTGCGGCGGCCGGTGGGTACGAGACAGGGACGCGTGGAGTAGAAGAAAGCTTAGCAAAACGGTGGCAGAAATCGAACCATTCTCACAGTCGGCAAGCCCAGAGCTGTGACAGGACGTATCGCAAGGGTGAGGTGCGGCGCCCAGAGCCGCGCAGCAACGGTCAACGACCAATGATGGACAGAGAGCGAGTACAAGCGACCTAGCGCGGTGCCGAGAGGGGAGGCTGAAACTCGTCTCGGCATGGCATTCTCCTCTGGGCGGCGAATCGTGAGCGCTGGCCAGTGCGGCCGTGTGTGAGAGGTGTGTCAGGAGGCCTTGTGAAACCAAGCGAGTTTGGCGCGGGCGCTTGGGGTACCTCCAACTGCGACTCCACAATCCCCCTCCGACGTCTCGACTCTGCACAACAACTCTCGCGCCACCGTAAAGGCCGATGCCCGATACGTCCGGACGAGGCTCAGACTGCTGCTTCTGCATGCGTGCGAACATCATACGAACGCCGGTGCAGAGTGCTTGACGCCGCGTCCGCATGCTGTAAAGCTGCACTCTCGCCTCAGAGCTTGCAGATCGAAGGCATCACTCCACGCGTCGGATGCCGGCAAAGGCATCGCGATTCTGAATCTGGTATGATTGGCAGCCCGCATGTTTCTCATAATACACCACGTTATTCCCGCCGCCGCCGGCACGTCTGCACCGGTTCGTTCCGCAATGTCAAACATCTGCAGTCTGGACCTCGTAGACCCGAGCAGGGAAACCGATCTTCCAAACGATCGAAGAAACACAGTAAAACCGTGTCATTGCCTCGCGCTCAGTACATGGTGTACCCGCCACTCGCGGAAATCGTCTGACCCGACACCCATCGCGCACTGTCGTCTGACAGCCAGGCGACGATCTGGGCGATATCATCGCTTTAGGAAGTCAGCATAATCCTCCAATACCAGATACAGCCATGGCCGCTAGGAGGGTGTTTGCAAGACTCACACTGTTCCATGGCGATGTTCGACCGGAGTTGTTTTTAGCTGAACCTCCACGAGGTCCTGCGGCACGTCGTCGAGCATTTCTGACTCCACAGGGCCAGGCGCAACCGCGTTCACGGTGTGTCCCACATGCCCTAGTTCGGCCGCCAGCCCTCGCGTCAAGCCCTCGATAGCAGCTTTCGATGAGGCATACATAGCCAGCGATTCGAAACCTTGACGTGCGCCGACCGAGGAGAGGTTGATGATCCTTCCCGGAGCGCGAAGATACGGCTCGACAGCCTTGGTCATCAGCAACGGCGCCCTAACGTTGACATCGAAGATGGCAGCGAAGTCTTCTGCGGTAGTCTCTTGCAGAGATTTGCTCAATAAGACGCCCGCGTTGTTTACGAGAACGTCTATCTTGGGACCAAAAGCCCCCAACGTGGCTTTGACGATGCGGTCGGGCGCATCGACCTCTCGCAGATTCTCCTGTACGACTATCGCTCTGCTGCCGTTATTGAGCTGCTCTATCTGGGAAGCCACCTCTTTCGCTCCTGCCTCGCTCCTGGGTGAGGTGAACACAATGGTCACCTGATTCAACTTAGTTATTGTTTCTGGGCTGGGGTGTCAGACGAACTTTTGCGCCTTTCTTGGCAAGCTCGAGGGCAATGCCAGCTCCGATACCGCGCGATGACCCGGTTACAATGGCGACCTTGCCTGAAAGGTGGGCTTCACTGATCATCTTGGTGCAGTTGGTGGCGTCGGGTTGCGTTATGTTGTTCGATAGTACTAAAGTATAGACACCGCATGTGCTGTAGACCTGAGACGTAAGGTATCAAGTCTATATACCACAGTGAATCGCTACGTCATGCTGTCAATTCTCATGCGACGACTCAAGGCTCCAGCGACCAAACTAGAAGGATGCCGGAGGTATAAGAGCATTGGTGGTACCGTATGTACGAGACTCTTCGGAGCACCCGATATTCGTCGCTCGACTAAAATAATGTCCGAGAAGTTCGGGAAGATGATCATCGACCGTCAGGCAACCAAACCATGGGTCCGTGCGCGGTTACTCTCCTCCGAGAGAGACCACACTGGCGCCGAGGGCACCCGAGAGCTGTCGAGGTACAACATGTCCACGCAGAAAGTACGTCTAGGGCTGGTGCTGCAGATTGTTGGATCCCAAGAGAGCCCGCAGGCGCAATGAAGTCAGGTCAGGTTGCTTGGTGGACGGTGATGCGATTGGTGGAAGGCAGTGAGGGGGACTCGCCAAGGGGACCGGGGCGGGTCGTCGGCCAGCAAGAATAATCTTCACACCAACACCTGCCATTCACTTTCACACCCAATTTCCTGACGCCAACACGTCTAACGCGCTCGCCTGCCTTCGGACTCCGGTCACCCTCCTGCTGTTGTATAAGAACTGCTAACTTCACAGGCACACTGCCCAGCGCGCCTTCTCCAAGCTCCCGTTTCGCATTGTAGCGGTAAGAAGGACTGAACCTCTATATCACGCAGTGCAGCAGCGAACAGCGTCATCGACCTCCAATATGGGCGGCCTTCCCCTACGCAACGACAGCCCGAGCGATCGTGACCGCAAGGCTATCCGCGACTCTCCCGAACGGGGCACGAAGAGGATAAGTCAGTCGCCCACAGTCCGCACGCAGCCGTGCTCCCACCACCGCACTGCACTCCACCGCGTCCTCGGGCATTCAACCTGCTCAGCATTCAACCTGCTAACATGGCGCTTCAACCAGGGACGCAGTCGCTGCCTCCGCCCGATCTACCCAAGCTCGTTGCCGAGCAGAACCAGCCCATCCCGAGCAGCGACAAAGACACGCAGCGCCTGATTGTCGTGCTGTGCAGCGCGACCCTAGAGACGTACAAGGCATCGCACAGCGTTGGTCGCGGCGGCGCCGGCCGCGAAGACAAGTTCAACTTGCTCAACAGCGACGATCACATTGGCGTCATGCGCAAAATGGGCCGCGACATCAGCGAGGCCCGGCCCGACATCACCCACCAGGTAAATCGCCGACGACGCGAAAGATCCCGACGCTTCGCCATCAAAGCGACGCCAAGTACTAACAGCCCATGTAGTGCCTGCTCACCCTGCTCGACTCGCCCATCAACAAAGCGGGCAAGCTGCAGATCTATATCCAGACGGCCCGCGGCGTGCTCATCGAGGTCAACCCCACCGTGCGCATACCCCGCACCTTCAAGCGCTTTGCGGGTTTGATGGTCCAGTTGCTCCATCGCCACCAGATCCGCTCCACCACTTCCAATGAGAAGCTTATCCAGGTCATCAAGAACCCCATCACGGACCACCTTCCGCCCAACTGTCGCAAGGTCACCCTCAGCTTCGACTCAGAGGTCGTGCGCGTACGCGACTACATCCAGGGCCTTCACACCGACGAGAGCATCGCAGTCTTCATCGGTGCCATGGCAAAGGGTAGCGACGACTTTGCCGACAGCATCAAGGACGACAGCATCGCTATCAGCCAGTTCAACCTCAGTGCCAGCGTTGCCTGCAGCAAATTCTGCCACGCTGCTGAGGATGTCTGGGGCATCATCTAATTGCACCGATGCCTAACCCATCCGTAGCGGGCACGCCGCTGCTACTAATTGCCGATTCGAGGAAGAAAGGGGACATCAAAAGCATTGGAACCCAGGAGTGATTCAGGATTCAGGTCGTGGAGCGCGCTCACGCCGAGATCACAACATCGACGCGTGAGCGTGTCACCGCTGTGTTTTTGAGCGTCTGTCTGAGTTTTCTTTTACAACAAAACAATACTCCGACTCAACGTCCAAAAAATACTCAAAACGAGTCTCGCGGAGCACTCAACGTGCTCCGCCTCTCCTGTGTTTCTTTTGTTGCTTTGCGCAGAGGAAGATGCGCCGAAAGTAGGTCCGAAGCACCTATGGGTACGCGTGTAATGTCTTGCCTGGTCACAGCCTGCAGATAGCTAGATAGATACTTGGAGCGATGTGCGGCAATACGCAGTTTGTATCGACGTCAGCCTCCACATGCCCCGCGAATGAGAAATGTCGCACCTCAGGTCGTCACGTTTATGACAGCGCGCTTTCGGTCATTGTACAGTCGTTGAGGTTCATGCTTACGAGACACAGGAACCTGGTGGGGGCGGCAGCGCGTGCGGCGGGAGAGCAACAGGTGCGTCAGTGATGCCGACAGTTCGTCGCTTTCTAGTGCCGTTTAAAAAGATCGAAGAAGCGCTCCGGCATCACAGCCATCGACAGCCCTGCCTCAGCAATCGGTGGCCGGCGTGTATACCGTTGCTGACAGCATTACTGGGGCTGCCATCGGCATTGATCAGATCCTTGGATTGTACCCCTCCATGCCACTTTGCCGTATTGGTACCGATGAGTCGTCACTTCACTTTACATGTTGCTCCTGCAGCGCGGGGACAAGTGGTGCATACATATTGCTGTGCCGTCAACTGCAACCTGCGAGATGGTCCAGATCCATCTAGCGCACGGCTCTGCTCGAGTCACGATATGAGGCGAGAGACTGCAGCGGATACGGGCCGAGCAAGCATCCAATCGCTTCATTCGCTTGTGCCCCAAGATTAGCTGCAGGCGGTGGACATGTGGCAGCACGAGGGCACGACTTGACAACGGAGTCCTTGGAAGCCAACGACATCAGTGGGGCGCACTAAGAACGGCCTTGCCGCAATGGTATGGACGCCTCGCCAATGCTTTCACGATGGATCGAAAGGCTCATACCGCTCATGGGTTGGATATAAACCTCTGGTGCTACCTCAGGTGCATTCTCTACACTCTGTCACGCCTCTTGTACCCACCCTAGCAATTTGCAACTTTGCTGTGCTTTAGACGCAGCATCATCTTGTATTCTTCTTCTATTGTATACCTAATTCCTTTCGTTTCCGTCCTTCACCGCCTACGTGGAAAATGCCTGTCTCTCACATCGGTCTTACTGTTTCGCACCTACCAACGTCATGTTCATTTTTTCTTTCAGCATTACAACCGCTTGGATACCGCTACATCGGACAGCAAGGCAATCAGATTGGTCTCGGCATTTACGATGCCGAATTCTTCCTGTGCCAAGAAACGCCTGGGTAAGGAACCCTTAACGATCATCAGGAGTACCTACACTAACAGGACTACAGCGTAAAAGCCGGCGCAGCGCACATTGCCCTCACCGCTCATAGCAGGGCTGCTGTTCGAGACTTCTACGCCGCTGCTCTGACCGCTGGCGGTCGACCTAACGGCGCACCGGCCTCTCGTAGCGACGAGGATGGTCACTTCAACGCCGCGATTCTAGACCTTGACGGCAACAGCATCGAAGTCGTGTTCCGAAATGGACCCGATTTCAGGGACGATGGAACTGTCATCGAGCATAGTAGGGTCATCACGTGGCGGAGAACTGTGACAGAAAGCTTCCGGGATGACAGAAGCGTACTCAGTAGTCGCTCCACCCAGTCGTTATCGAAGCAGGCATCCGCACCTGCTGCTCCCTCAGTTGCACCCTCATCGGCATCCAAAGCGCCCAGCGTCGCGCGAAGCGCCTCCGAACCCGCTATACCCCAAGCCCCTGCAGCCTCAGAGAGCGGCGGTGGAGCTGCAAAGCAGATCATTGGCACTCTCCTCGGAGCCGCAGCCGGCGCAGCAGTCGCTTACGCAATGGTCGCCAGCGAGCGAGACAGCGCAAAGAAAGAGAAGGAGTTCGAGGCTTTCAAAACGGCCAAAGCGGCCATGGCGTCGGTAGCCCAGTTCGCTCAGGGCAGCGAACAGCCAAAGCTACCCCAGCAGGGCCCACAACCCGTTTACGAATCCAAGCAACTACCACCACCTCTACACCGCAACACCAGTGACAGCGATTCCCTATACTCGTCGCCGCGGGCTCGTAGCATACGTGCCATTGAAGCCGCTCCTAGCGATCATGGCCCACTGTACACGAAGGCACCCACTACGATTAGCGCGTCTCGGCAGCTCGAGTATGCTCCAGCGCGGTCGATTGCACCTTCCAGGGTTTCCGAGTATGTCCCTGCGGCTTCAGTGGCACCGTCTAGGACAGCTTCCAGGGCTCCCGAATCCAGGGCTGTCGAGTACATGCCAGCTGCCTCCGTCGCACCTTCCAAATCACCTTCCAGGGCGGCGGAACTCCGGGCTATTGAGTATGCCCCAGCTGTTTCGGTGGCACCGTCTAGACTGAGTCATCGATCGAAGACGAGCCCTGAACTGGCGACTGTCGAGAAGGCCAGGAGCACTGTATCCAAGGCGCAGAGCGCAGCCCCCAGCTCTTTCATCTCGACCTTTGTGCCGGATGAGTTCGAGCGCCGTAACACTGACGGCGGGAGCGTCGCTTCGCACCGCTCTAGCAGGTCAAAGAAGTCCCAGCATTCGAAACATCGTAGTAGTAGTAGAAGTAGAGCTCATTCACCATCGCCCTCAAAAGCACCCTCGGATGCGCCATCGAAGGCTCAATCGAAGGTAGGATCTGTTTTAGGTAGCATCCTAGGCCGCGGCGGTGACGACAACAAATCCATCATCAGCAACCCCTTCGGCGACAAGTACGAAGTCGACGATTACACTGACGACGACGATTACACGATCGCCCCATCGGACAGCATTTCGCAAGTTTCGTCTTCGCACTCGCGTCGCAAGCACCGCTCGTCTAAGCATAAGGACAAGGATTCGGTCGCCGGTTCCTCCCATAGTCGCTCCTCAAAGCACTCTTCCAAGTCGCACAAGTCTCGCTCGTCGGCGCACAGCTCACAATACCACACTGCCGAGGAAGAATTCCGCAATAGCGTGATTAGCGAGCCTAGTGATACGAGCACCATCAAACCTAAGAAGTCGAGGCATCCGGAGCGTAAAGATAGCGCGACAGAGTACGATGACATGTTTGATCGGGTGCAGTATGGGAGTGGGAACGTGCCTGTTAGGGGGATTACACCGAGCATGGTCAAAGGAGGTAATCCTGAGGAGGGAAAGAGTAAGAGCGTCTTGGGGTTCAAGATGGCACAGCGGTTGAGGGCTTTCGAGGGGAAGTAATTGTGTGTTTCTCGTGTTTTGCAAGGCTTTTTGTTGATCATGCATTCTGGCGTTTGAATAACGGATGATAATTTTATGAGGCAGGATGATGTATAACGATAGCATAAGATATAGAAACTCAACGGTCACGGCGTTGTTTGAATTGGAGAAATGCATCTGGCTGGCATTCCTACGAGTTGAGATACAAGATAAGCACGACTGATGCTCGACCAGGGCGACCCAGCACCGTAGATGATCGGCATCCTTACTATGCTTTAGCAAAGCTCGCCACGTATCGAACGTAGGCCAGGACTAGTTCGTAATGACCAAGCGTGTAGTTTCTGATGCGTAAATGACCGTCTACACGCAGTACGTTTCTACTACGCTCAACAGCCGCTATCGAGTTAGTGTTCTAAATCAACATCTATACCAAAAAGACATTTCTACGTTTCAGACGTGGCTTCAAGTTCATGCTATTTCTACACTTGACGGCGTTAACGCAAAGACCTAAGTCGAGGCAAAATCTTCACTGGCGTTATAGGCATCGGACTTGGCCCAGTCGTACACGGCTGTAACGTCTTACTGCTAAGCCGCACTCACTCTTCGACCCCATGGCTCTTGGCAAGCCCAAATAGAATAGTACGATGATGCATATGCAAGGCAATCACTCGATAATTATCGCACAACAGACATCTGCAGCTCACGGGGTATCCAGACACAAAAGCGCCATCTTCGGCCCAGCCGCACATGTCACAAAGGTAGCGCATCGCCTGCAAAGGCTATTAATGGCTACGCACTGAGCGGACATCAAGACTCACTGGACTGTTTGCGATCTTGAGAGGCTGGTCTCCATGCCGAACCGTTACGCACCACTTTCCCGCCCGCATCTTTTCGAACGAGCAATTGCCGTAATCAACATCAAGACGCCAAGCCTATCAAGCCATTTATCAGTCGCTACCTGTAGCTGTTACCGAGCCAGTTTAGGCCGGTCCAGCGGACTTAGCCATGTAACGTAGGTCAGGCGAAATCAGTGGTGACAGTGTGCAATTTGCTGGCTCAGAAAGTCGCCATCGACGCCAGCATCCTGAGAAAACCATTCCTTGGCTATATGGCTGCGCTTGGTTTAGCCATAGGGGAAGAGTCGACACTAGTTTGAAGACGACTTGCCTACGATGGAGTCCACTACTTTGTCTCGCAGGTCTACTGTTTATCAGTGGCAGAAGCGTCGGCGCCTTCATATCAACTCGTTCAAGCACCAAATCCCGCCGAAAATCTTCGACTAGCTGCAGCAATCTCCACCGTGCTACCGAAACCCACTGTTTCTTACTCGTCCGCAACCGAAAACGAGCTGCTGCTTGATAACCTGAACGACGACGTCCTAGCCATCATTGTCGATTTCTTGTTTGAGATGGGTGAACTACCTAGACAGCATGAGCGAGGCGGCCTGCATGGGCCAGACAGCCTGCACTTGCGTCTGTCATCCCAACAAGGACCTAACCCGTTTCGCTTTCATAGAAGCACCCTAAACTTTTCTTTGGCCAATAAGCGACTCCGCTCTGCGTGCATTCGCAAGCTATTCAGGGACATACATAGATACTCATCAACAATAGGTTGGCTGAACCGGCAGCTAAAGGACATTGAGCTCAACCCGCAGCTGCTCTCGAGTGTCAAGTGAGCGCAATACCAGTGGCGATGCTTCATCGGCGAACACCCTTTTTCGATTAGTATTTAGAGTCTACCAACCCTATGTAAGCTAAATCCACTCATAGGACCTGTGAAATCGTTACATCTTCTCGTTTCGATTCCACTCGTCAAGACTCGGCTTCCGAAAGTCTTAGCGAACATTCCCAACCTCAAGGAGCTATCTTTAACTCATAAGTATCAGTCGGCCATATCCCACGATGCCATATTCCTGATCAATATCTGTATGGATGCATACTAATTCTGTTGTAGACCGAAAAGATGTTGATATCTCGGCTTTGGAGAAGACATTCAGGAACGTCGCGTTCACTTCGATAGCCTGGATGCGTATCCGATCTGCTGGTGATTGGCATTTCCTCGTAGCGGCTTGCCCAAATACCGAGATACTGGTTCTGCATGACAATTTATATTGCGAGAGCCTGATGAAAGTCGCGCGTGACTTGCGGAAGCTACGACATCTAAAAGTCTACCGGAAAGGATGGCACCAAAACGACATCAAGCGTATTCAAGAGATGTTCTTGAAACAGAGAGCTTGTGCCTCAAAGGCCCAGCTGATTTCTCTGACGATGTTGCTGTAAAGTCTACAGTGTCTTCGTGAGTGATGCATTGTTGGACTGATTGGCCATATACCTGGGTTGATACCTTCAAACTATTTCCTCGTCCTGATTTATCGTATCCGAGTTACATCAGTGCCACTGTTAACAGTGAATGTCCTATGTAATGAACACATTGGCGGTCTCACAAGAACGGCACGCAAAAGATTGCGAGGCAGAGAGCAGTTTTCCCGACGATACAATTCATGCTTGCAGTATACTGGAAGAAGTACAATCCTGAGTTCGACATTGATGGCTATTCAATAGCTCTTAGCTTTCCTAAAGCAATCATGACGTCCCGCACCGATATCGATCTCCCACAGTTCGGCAGGCCAACCGAGCCGCCCAAGGGGACTGTGACGGACTTCTGGGAGGTCCAAGAGGCTGGGGTAAGGACCTCCTTTAATTGGGTTTCCAACTGACTGTTCTGCAACCAGGAGCAGACAAGGTGGTATGCAGAGCCGTGGCTCCAATGGGAACGACTCGACAACGATTACTAAACGAGGCGCAGCCATTACCACAGCGTCTTCTCGAAACCTACGCATTGAACATTCAAGCTGACCTCCCTTCCACTACGATTGTCATGTGCAGCGAGAAGAGATGGGAGACGGCAATCAAAAAATTAATGCTAGCGTACTTTTTGGGGCCACTATTGACGCACAGTGCCCATCGTAGAACAGACATCTTGATCAAGCACAGGACTGCGGCTTTCGCTGCAGCATCTTACACTACGGAAGTGGACAGCTCAGAGTCCTGATCAGCGACCCACAATGATCATGAGGGAATATTATATTATCATGCTCTGTCATAATGTGTAGAACTTCCATAGCATCATATAGCAATAACAGTGATATCTCGCACCATTTTCAAAATCACTCAACCCAGAACGCCGTGCGCAACCTTTTTTTAACCTTCCCTCTATCGTCCGCCAATCTGCCCCTTCGGCACAGGCCTAATCCAGCTAACTGCAAGATTGATCCCAATCGTCATAACCCCAATAATCCAAAACACCTTACCATATGCCTTTCCGTTGTACCTGAAAATGATCGCAAAGACAATTCCTCCAAAATTACCTGCGGCGCCTGTGAATCCACTAACAACCCCATTTGCATGAGGATGCACATGCGGCACTAACCCAAAGTCCGCGCCGTTGCCTCCCTCAAGGAAGAACGCCATCGCAGCCACAAGCCCGAACATTGTAGCCTGGCTCTTACTATCCAGCACGCCAATCAGAATGAGGAAGACGCCAGCGAGGATGCTATAGGTATGCAGCACAACCTTCTTCGCCCACACACTGCCTGCTTTGCGGTATGCAAGATCCGACACGAACCCACCCAATGGCCTCGTAACGCCGTTGAGTAGGCCGAACATTGCCGCCCAGTTACCCGTTTGCTGCAATCCTAGTGCAGGGAAATTCTTCATGTAGTAGTTACCCAGGATGCTGTTTATCGCCAGCTCCGCGCCGAACGTACAGAAATAGCATGCCGCAGGCACCAGAGTCTGGAGACTAAACATTACACGTAGGATATTACTGGCAGAGGGCTTCTGTATGATTTCGCCGCGGGCGGTGTCGATTTTCTGCAATGGGGAGTCCTGCGCTTCGGCGTCTTTCCAGGATTTGGACTGGTCTTTTTCCGAGATGGGGGTACCGGGCGTGGTGTCTTTCTCCGGGAGGGGCGCGTCGGTGATGCTGCCCTGGATGTCCACAGTAGTGACCGATTGCCTGCGGAGTGTGTCTTCTGCTGCTGTGACGCGAGAGCTCCAGTGGCCGGTGGGCGTATCGTCGCAGAGGAGGAGGAGGCATGCGGCGACGAAGACGATGAGGATGCCGGGGACGACGAAGGAGATGCGCCAGGCTTTGTGCGGAGCGATATTTTGGTTTTGGACGAGGGAGTTGTAGACTGCCGGCATGACGAAGTAGGTTATGCCGCCGCCGAGGTTACCCAGGCCGCCGGTGAGGGCGTTGGCGGTGCCTGTAGAGCGTCAGTGTCGAGGTCTCGGGGAAGGTTAGGGTAGGTGGCGGCGTACCGACGACATTCTTGTCGAAGAAACCCGTCGTCCACACTTGACAGGGGACGAAGCTGCCGCCTAGGATACCGATGAAGAAGCGTAGAGCGTAGAGGCCGCTAGCGTTGTTCACGCAGCCTGCGAGAAAGGTGGGTACGGCGCCGGCGAGTAGACACCCAGCAAAGGTAAGTCGAGGACCGAAGTGGTCACAGCAAGGTCCAGCGATAAGTCTAACAATCAAGCTGGTATGATGTAAGCTATTGGGGTTTCTTAGCATGATGTGGGGAGACGGCACTTACGTGGCAGTCAAGGCGATGATGTTCGAGTTCGCAACTTGGTAACTCTTCATGCCAATGTCGCCAGCAATGACATCAGCTAGAAGAGGCGGAAAAGCTGAAGACCCATGTCAGTCGTGCTCTCAATGTGGTCAGATAGAGCTGGGGGCATGGTAGGGCTGAGAATAAGATAAGCCATATGCAGGCTGAGGTCACATACCATACCACGACCAGAAAGCAATCATGAAGCCGAACCACGAGAAGAAGAAAACGCGTCCATAGCGATCCGTGACGGGGTTCAAGAAAGGAATTGAGCGTGCTTTCTTGTTGAGGGGGTTGATCTCGGGGTGAGCCCAGAGGTGTGAGATTCGAGCCATTGTGGATGAGTATCTGCGTCTTTGTCTAGACCACTGTAGGGTTTTCTCGAATAATGGAAGAGGATCCGGGGTAGCTTCCCGTTGTTCAAAAAAGTATGCTCGCGGAAGATGCCAAATTCCACATCTGCGAGCAAAGATGATATTAATACCTGACCGAATCGACAATGATGTCTGGCGATAAGCCAACATCTCCGTTGAGCTTCTCAGACGTGCTCAGAAGATTTCCGCGGCGTAGACCCTCCCCCATACAATAGCCCCGGTCCCGCAACAATGCCGTACCATAGCCTCGCCTGGATCCACAAAATGAGTTGTTGTGCTCGGACAAGCGCTCCCTCCTTCGACCCCGGGGGTACGGTGGCTGCGATCTGGATGAAGCGGGTGGCTTTTTGGTTTAGCTTTTGATCCCAGATCTCGTGGGGTGGTGGGCACAGAGATGGCGCATACGGAGCAACATCTGCCTCCAGAAGCCACCCCAGAGCAGACGATGGGCGTCTCTATTGGCCCAAGAGGCGCATGGTGCTTGTTGATCCCCTTATCTGCCGCAACCGGTAGTGGCAAGGTGGCGCGTATTTTCTGTGGGCCTTATCAACACGACACAGTGCAGCACACCCAGACTACCTATCTATAAAGGCAGTCCTGCTTTTCCGCGGTGTTGCGATGCTCAGAGCTCATGCTGAGGTACCAAAAATCCGATCCCGAGTCAATGGCACATGCGTTCCTACTACGTAGGCGGCAGACATGCACTCTACCCTTATCTTCACCCAACCAAACCTGACGATAGCCAAGTAGTGACTGTTGGCTTGTCATTGGCAGCTACGGCTTATCCAAGAGTCTTACGCGAAAGAAGCTTTTCGAGAGTTACCCTGTCACACAGTACCCTCAGCCTTCGCATTCAAGACGATACAACCCGTCGCTTGGTGTTGAATAGTCCATTGTCTTACTAGTAGTACTGTGCCTGGGAAGGTCGTTATCAGGGTGGGGTTTAGCTCCCGTCGTAGCGCGGGATGATCAATCGTTTTGGCCTTATCTCTCCACTAAAGTAAGCACCCAATCAGACGCACCTTGACTGTCCGAGGAGAAGCGCGCACGTCATGTGATGTCTAATCTGATCGCTGTCAAAGTTGTCGTGTCTGCGAGACATTGTTTTACATGCATTCCGACGACCCATGGAAGCCGCGTCTCCAAGAGGTCGGGCCGCACGATAAACGATCCTCGATGCACGTTGCGGAACGGACCGATGCAAGGAAGAACGTCAGAACACGAAGAGCGATGAAATGATGGGACGAATGAGAGTAACAGAGCCTTAAAGTAGCATTGGCGGCGCTTCAGATTCGATGGCACACCGTATTTGCTCGTCTTGCGTTCGCGATACCGCAATTGTTCTCAAACTCCAGAGCGGCCCAATATCCAACAGGACCGAAGTCATCATGTGGCCCGAAAAAGGCTTTTGCAACAAAAGCCCACCCAATGTGTTGCCGCGCTGTATACAGAAGCCCGATGGACGCCCAGCTTCGCCGATGAGGAAATACACAGATGACGAAGTGGCGATATCGCTGCACCTGCTTCATTTTTGCATCGCTCGCTGAAATGCTCGAGATAAGAAATTCGTGACGCGTTTCGAGGGAAAAGGGAAGAAAAGGGTGCGTTACGAGGCGGGCTGAGGGGGTTGTGGGGTTGGATTATCGGGCGCAGAAATCGGAGCAACCACCTCGTCCTCGTATGGTTTTCGTCCCCAGACCACATAGCTAAACTATCAGTGAGAGCAACACGCTTGGCAGAAGCATTCACTTACATCTTGTGGTAGCCATGGACAGCACGATTCGAGATGGATTTTCGAACGTTGACTAGGTAGACCTCAATCTCATCTTTGGTCCAACCCAGTGCTCTCGTGAACATGAACAAGCTCCATGCCTGGATGCCTTCGATGTAATTCTCCTCGTTGAACTTTCCAAGCATTTTAAACTGTGGGTCTTTGGGCCAACCGTTGATGGGCAGTTTGAAGACTTCTTCATGTACATCAACAAAGCCTGCTTGTTCATACCAGCGCTTCAATTTGTTACCAATGCGCATAGGCTTGCCTAGTTTCATGGCGGCATCGTCCTGAGTCTTGACCCATAGGGAAAACGGATAGTTTTGCGGCATGGTTCCATCATCACAGTAGACAGTCGGCATGATGTCCTGTGACTCCATCCATCCGCCAGGCTTCAGCGAGCGAAAGCCCTTGGCAACGATTACTCGAAAGTCCTCGAAGCAACCGAGGAGAAGGCGAGTGTGGATGTAGTCCTGGGGCTCCACCATCCAATCCTCCTCGTTGGCATCGTCGATGATGAACTTAACATTGTTGGGGACCCTAGGAAATCAGAAACGATAAGCTAAGAGTTGCTGCATGTTACTCACCACTCTGGCTGTATGGGCGACAGGTCGGTGCCGATTACCTATCGAGAGTTAGCGGAGTCTTGGAGAATATCTCGCACGCGACTCACCAACGCCTGCGGGAACTCGTTGCCTGTCAATGTTAGCACCATTCTCCATAGAAGATGCAAGTGCAACGTACCCATCTCGATAGCCCATTTACCTGTGCCACAGCCGATATCGAGAATTCTCCGTGGATCCTGGAGCGGTGCAAAGTAGTTCCTGAACTTGAAAATCACCTTCCATATCTCGTGCTGCGTGTCCATGCGATCATTCTCGAGCTGCACACGGATGGTCAGCAAGGAGGGGCCAGCTGTGCTCGTGGCGGGGTCTGGCGATGCGTACCTGATCGTTGGGGAATGGGTATACTGTCGCACAGTCAGTGGCGGGTCCTTTGACGATTCGCGAATGTAGATTGCTTACAGCCTGGCTTGTAGCGATGGTAAGTCCTGCCATGCTCGCGGACATAGTCGAAGATGCTCTGGTTGACCGACTTGGTGCTCCTGCTCAGCGTCAGCACGGCCAATTGAAGAATTTGCTCGAGGGACGACCGACGTGTCACAGCTCTGCGCTCCATCCGAGGGGTCGGACTGCACAGGTACCGTCGAGTTAGCAGGAGTCGCAGCATCGCAACTAGGCTGGCGGGCGGCCTTCACGTACGTCGGGCTCGATAATGTCGCGCGGGCTCTGGGGCTCCGACGAGGGGGGGCTCGTGTCGCGCGAAGGCAGCGGAATAGTCAGCGACATGTCTGCGGCCATGTCGCGCGCGCTGCGTGTTTCTGTGTCGGGCTCGAGGAGGCCCAGAGTCGTGGGTGGAGCCAGAACCACGGAAGGCGCCTGGGGCGCTCCTTCCCGAAGGAGCGCCCACGGAACCGTTCCAGCTCGCTAAATTGCTTGCTTCGGGTGAACTGCCCAAGAACACCACCAAAAGCGTCCTGTCCTCTTGCGATGCAGTCCCGCACGCAACCGTCTCCCTCTGCGGTCGAATCAAGGCCGACTGCTCCTCACCGTGCGCACTTGTCTGCGAGGGTGACTGTTGTTGCTGACAACCGCCTCCCCACTGGTGGCATCTGGCCATCGCCCGGCCCTTTGGTGGCGCACCTTCTACGTGTCTTCGACCACCGCCTGGGAGCGACGGTGCGAGAGCCTGCATGCGCCGACCTCGATGGCTCCCGCTGTCTGGTCCGCCGAAGCTTAGTCTGACGTGGCAGCTTGTCAGGTACTCCGTCCGCATGTTCGCTGCCAGTAGCGGCACCACGACGAGATGCGAAGAGAGGGAAGAATAGAGTGCCGCGCCTCGGCAAGCAGCGCGTCAATGACTCGAGGGCTTCGTAAAACGATGCGGGCATGCCGCAGTCTCATTGGTGACTTCTGTTGAAGGTGCCCTTTTTACTACAGCATCCGAAACCCAACAAGATGACTTCTGACTGCAAACGACACCGAAACAAGACGGTCGTGTATGCTACCGGGCCGACACTGCGTTGAAAGAGCTACGCTCAAGACGCTGACCATGTGTGCTGCATCATGTGTTACGCTCCCGACACCGTTCCTTCCTGGCGCGGACTACGATTCGACGGTCCTTGAGATATACGGTGCATGTTTGGCCTCTGCAAGAAAGGAAGGACCTCCGAACCCGAACAACACGGTCTATCATATCGTCTAATCTATCAGAGAGATGGGTTTGCCATGGATTCAAGTGGACGATCCGAAAAATTGTGAGGCTCCCGTAGAATCTGATAACGCACGTCGTCCGGACGGATGGGCTATCTCTGGGGCGCGTCCTTTCTGCTATAGATCTTGATGCAGTGGCGCTCTGCATCGCTTCGACATCTCAACGTTATTGTCCATACTGCAGAATTTCCGAGCACAGCTTGGAGAACATCTCAATTCATATAGATTCCATTGATTCGCATGTCATGAAGTCGTGATCGTCAGCTACGCCATGGCGCCCATGCTCATATCTCCCCATGTCGCATCCACCCGCACATAATTACTTCTCATGAGCAGCATGTCCGCCCTTCTCACCAAGCTCCTGTGCCAACTTGCTGCCCGCCTTGAACGTGCCGTCGGGGTTACGCTGCGCGCTCGGTCAGTCATATCCTACAGCCCATCGACAAAGGTAGGAACTTACACCATCCTGCTCGACAGCCTCCTTCTCAAGGGCATGCTCATGAGCTACATGGCCGCCCTTGGCACCCAGCTCCTTTGCGAGGTCGGAGCCCTTGGTGAAGGTGCCATCGGGGTTGCGGTCGGAGTGGTCCTGGGAGCGTTGTTAGCGTTGTACCAGTGATATGGCTTGAACAGCAAACCTCAGCATCGTTGTTGGAACCGTGAGAGGCATGCCCGCCCTTGGCTGCGATCTCGCGAAGCTCGTCCTTGGGAAGGTTGGCGAAGTTTGCGGGGTTGGAGTCGGCCATGTTGATGGTTCGGGGTGGTGTATCTGGTACGGTTGAGATTTGTAAGTTGATGGAGATGTGACTGAATTGTCGTGTAGATGGAAGAGCTCTCAAGTGAGAGAAAATGCCGCCTTTATATCTTCACTTGCTTGCTCTGGTGGCCTTCTGACGTTATGTTGCCTGCAGAAACAGCAGGCACGCCCGTGTCTCAAAGCAATAAGCAAACAACTCAACAAAGACATCTGCATGCCGATCCTGCGGTCTGCAGCATGCCATTTGCTGCTCATGCGCAAAGTCTGGGCCCCATCGCGATGCCCCCTCAATGCTGCCTTGTCACTTCCCTGTAACGAGGACAGCCGTTACTAGATGACATCATGCTACGCGACGCGAGATCACGTAATCACGTGCAACGCGTGACGACCGCGCTGGATTGACCATGACTCGCGTTGACCGCCGGGATCGTCTCCGCCTTACCCCAGCCTCTAGAACCCCTAGACGCGTCTGCCTGTTCGTTCAGCACATCCTACTCCACATAAATTGCTGCTGACGCACCTCTTTGCTCAATTGAACGTCTCGCCACCATCGCCACCGCAAGTATGAGCCTCAAGCGCAAGGCCGCCGACGCCGCTACCGACGCCGCTAAGAAGACGAAGGTCAATGGCAGCATCACGTCGTTCTTTGGCGCGCCCAAGCCCAAGGCGGGCGCGACGGCCGCGGCGAAATTTGACAAGGACGCGTGGATTGCGAAGCTCACGGATGAGCAGAAAGAGTTGCTGAAGCTGGAGATTGACACGCTGCATGAGAGCTGGCTGCCGCATCTGAAGGAGGTCCTGCTCAGCCCGACATTTCTCAGCTTGAAGCGGTTCCTGAAGCAGGAACTCGAGAGTGGGAAGACGGTGTATCCGCCCATGCAGGACGTCTATTCCTGGTATGCCCTTGTGCGAAGCATCCGTGACTTCTTTTCACGGCTTATCAAGCAACGCAATGGCTAATTGAACATGCACAGGTCGCGTCACACGCCGCTCAACACCGTCAAGGCAGTCATCACAGGTCAGGACCCCTACCACAATCCCAAACAAGCCCACGGCCTCTGCTTCTCCGTCCGCCCGCCTACGCCCGCTCCACCCTCGCTCAAAAACATATACACCGCTCTCAAGAAGGACTACCCGGATTTCAAGGAGCCTCCGAACAGGGGCGGTCTGCTGACACCGTGGTCTGACCGCGGCGTGTTGATGCTGAACACGTGTCTCACAGTGCGGAGAAACGAGGCCAATTCGCACTCTGGCAAGGGATGGGAGCTTCTTACGCAGAAGGTGATTGACACTGTGGCCAAGGTGCGGACGAATGGCGTGGTGTTTTTGGCGTGGGGCTCGCCGGCGCAGCAGAGAGTCAAGGATGTGGAGAAGGTTTACAAGGAGAGGCATCTCATTCTGAAAAGTGTGCATCCTAGTCCGCTAGCTGCGCACAAGGGTTTTGTAAGTGTTAGGCTGCAACATCGGTCTCAGAGCTAATGGTGTGTAGTTTGATTGCGGACACTTCAAGAAGGCAAACGACTGGCTGCAGGCGAAGTATGGGAAGGATGAAGGCATTGATTGGAACCTCGATGTCGACCCGGAGGAGGCAGGTGTCTAGGCTACGGCCAGCTACTCGTTCTAATGTCTTCGATATCTTCGTATGACTTTGTATGGTCGGCGTCTCGCGGTCGAAAACGGCAGTGGTATGATTTGGCGTCGCAAACTGGGTCTAGGCGTAGGATAGGCGTTTGGAAAAAGACATCATGGTACTCGCAAAATGCTGCGATGAATTCTCAAGCAGCTGTTCCTGGGCCCTAACATACACGAACAACTATACAGTAGTAGGAGATCATATCCTGTCGGAACAAGGTGTCTCTCCCTCCCTTCATCCTAATCTTGCAAGACAGTAGAGGTGAGCATGACCTCCAACGGGAGCAAGCTAAGAAGTCGCGTTCTTGCTGTAGCCTATGCCTCCCAATGAGATCGCCCCGAGGGACGTCAATCTACAACTTCTAAACCGTTTCTCAACGCGCTGACGGTAAACATCACCGCTTCAATGTACTACGCTCATGAGTCGACAATAGTCGGGCCCTGGGAAACGGATCGTTCCGAAGTCAACGTCGCTGACCCCGATACCGCAAGGCAAACCAGACTAACGGGTTCCCGCCTTCGACGCACGGCGAGATCGTGAATATCTAACAAGCCTCACTTCCACAAGTATTTCTAAGCCCCTAAGCAGAGGAGCTCCGCGGACATCGCCTCTGTGTCGCACGGATCGATGCAAAGGATTGACAACCCCTAGGAAGACATAGCTGCCACATCCACTTCTGATCTGCTTGTGCATGGTGCATCCTGACAACACAGCAGGGTATATAGTACGTATACAGCGAGGTGTGCGGCGTCTATCATTCTTTACCATGTTCTTCTGTGGATGACTCTGCTGATATTCAATTCGGGTAGTAGCGCGGAGTCTCGTCCTCCAGAAGCGATGCTGTAAAGTACGCTACTGTCCACCATATGACCTGATGTTGTTGTTGGTTAAGAGCCCTGATAATTGTAGTGCATATTTCACTCCTCGATTGTCCTGCGAATTTCCCTCTACTACCATAAGTACTCCGTATCAGTCTTTACCACGCTATTGCTGACTTGATATTGAATCCCGAATGACCATGCGTCTCTCCTCTACAAGCTGGTGTTTGATCCTGCCATTAACGCCCTCAGAGTCAGTAACAACGCTTGTTGCGGCACCTTATTCGTTTTGACGTGCTAAGCTAGTAAGGATGGAAACTGGTGCTCGGAGTACAACTACGGTGGCTTGTCTTTAGGCTATTGCAGTAGCGACAAGGGGTATTAATTGGTATTCGGCACTTGCAGCAGCAAGCCTGCCTCCTCCTTACCTGGTCTACGCTCGAGCTCGGGGCCAGCAGCTCCTATACTCTTGATAACAGTGCGAACTTTCTCTTTTGCTCTGGGGGTTACCCCACTCACAGTTGCTCAGGTCATGACTAGTGCAGGCGCTACCTCCATGTTAACCGCTTCAACCAAATATTGCCCTCCCCGCAGAACGAGTCACCTCCGTAATCACCGGTATGAGCACCGTCACTGCAACGGCGACCGTCACGCTCCCTGAGAAGAAAAAAAACTCCTTCATTACCACTGTTGCCACAGTCGCACCATGTGCCGCCCCTGACCCCTCTGTCACTTAAACCGTGCCTATAGGCGACTCACCTCGACCTTGACCTATGATATCAGATATTCTTTCTCCTAAACCGTGGAAATTGTTTCCTAACGCCGTATATCGGCTCAACGTCTACTCAAAACAGAGTATATACCAAGCAACTGCCCGTGGACACTGGCAAGTCTAGGCAGCACCTACGCGCTTAGAACTGATTTATACCGCAAGTAACAAGTCTAAAGCCGCCTCCCTCCAGGTCCCGACCATTGCGCGCCTGGCTGGTGCATTGCTTATTGGACCTAAATTAACTTTCTACTACTAGATCCCGTGGCCGGGCAGACATCGTCGGCGCTGTTAACTATCACTGGGCTCTGTGCTAAGGTATCACCGGGGCAAACGGTGGCTCTTTATATCGGACACGTGGCTTTGACGATGAAGGGGTTCTACTCGCCTCTCCAAGCGCAATGAGGATCAAGAGTAGGCCAATAAGCATTGCGAAGACGTGCTGACCAATGCATCGTTACCTACCGTAGGTAGGTAGCGTGGTCTCCGGTGAAAATCTCAAAGCATTGGGAGGGGTGAATCAGGAAAACGAGATCTGACATAGGCCGCGGCACATAGCTCACGAGAAGAATTGTAATAATACCCAAGATAAAACGCCAACGCTATGCTCAAGAGAATGTCGATCGAATGCGCCAGTCAGCCCATTACCCACTTCAACCTCTTACCATCCACCTCTTACAAAGGCACGTTCTTAACAATCTCCCCACCTCTGAACTCTAGCTTATCCTTACTCGGCTGCTTCGTAACCGCACTCTTGGCCTTCTCCTTATACGCCGCGAGCGTCTTCTCGCCGTCGAAATTCTGGTTGATAACGCCACTCATACCCTTCTGGCAGTGATCTCCAACCGTCTGCGAACAGTAGTACCAGAAAGGCTCCTTGCTCTGGACCAAGAAGGTGAAGGCTTTTTCGGCCTCGCCGCTCGGGGTCGCGAAGTTGAAGCCGGAGAAGATGCCAGGGCCGTCGGCCAGGGGCTCGCAGGGCTTGTCAAAGGTAGATTGCACAATAGTATGATTCTTGGGGAGGAAATGGAATTCGATGAGGTCGCCGACTTCGGCGACGACATTTTGCGGCTCGAAGTGGAGACCGTTGTTTTCGACGGTGGAGCCGGCTGTGATGCGGTGGACGACACCGGTGGGAGGGATGGAGTTAGGTGCGGCGGTGGTGAGGCCGAGGAGAGTGGTGGCAGCGAACGCGAGGGTAGCGTAGGCAAGCATTTTAATAGGTTTTAGTGGACGAAGTAGAGAGTAGAAGTTTGTTGATGCTGTGTGATGGTGGTTCTATCGTCGTGAGAATTGTAGGATATATAGACTGGTTCTTATGCACTGCATCGTCAGATTGTCTCTTCATGTTTAGAGACATGGGCGCGGAAGAGGTTGCTGCCGGATGGCTGCGATCTGTTGGTGAGTTGGTGTTCAGCCTCCACAACGTCCTAAAATGCGAATCGTAAGAAACCTTGGCCACGATCGCCGCAGCATGCTTACATATGCTGAACTCATACTAGTTTCGTTCATTCGCGAATCATAGGTTCTGTCGTGCTGTTAGTTGTGGTCGAATTAGGGACAAAACTCAGCCCCATTTGCTCAGCCGCACAGCTCCCCAGATGCTGACGATATTACAAATATTTGAAACAGCCGCCACTATTTCCAGACGTCGAATCTCTCTTTCTCTTCTCCCGATGATTTGGCAGACCACGTGCTATCGGTCTGATATGCCTCACGTAGGTCGAGTTGAGCAATTGGGCCTGTGTTTCGTTTCTCCACGGCTGACAATCCTGCGTCATCCGGAGAGAGGTCTCTCCGCGCGCAGCAGTGCTGTCGCTGACGATGAGATGTACCGAAGTATCATGGAAAAATTTAAAGCGAACACAGCAGCGGCCCGAAGGAGCTAGATCGTGTATATGCGATGTTCGTTTTTCATCGTGGCCTAATTTTAGAGCCGGCATCATGGCAAGAAAAATCGTCCTTGAGCGCGAGAGAAATGTAGAAAGCGCCTTGATCCACACATGGATCGCTTTGCTGATTACACATGAACAGACAAAACAAGCCTGAGTATCTGAATCGACCGTCCCAGGTCTAGCTCGCCGCCCAAGATAGCGTCCGGGTCAACGACCAATGATTCACATGCCATAGTCTCGACCACTATGGCTCGTAGAAGTAGTCCTCGATGAAGACTTTCAGTCGGTAACTAGGCTTCCCTGAACGCTGCTTCGACTTCTCGTGACTCCTCTCAGCGAATAGTTGTAAATAAGTCGAAGTTATCGCTGAATTCATTCAGGGAGTTTACGAAGAGGCAACAGTGGAATAATTCTGAGAACGAGCTAGCGTCCTCGAAATTGAAGAACCGGATCTCTTTTGCCTGCAAGTTTAACGGCTCGTTCATAGTCCAGTGACTGCAATGGCGCCTTTACTTGACTGCGTATCTCAATCGGTCTGGTGTGCGAGGACCAGCAAGTGCATCCAGATTTGTCGAAACGGAACTGCGCGCTCAGTCATTACTCAGCCGCTCTCAACGTATCTCTCCGCCTTTCTCGCCATGAGGAGGCTGAATGATGGCGGGTGGGGACTAATCATGAGTGCCCTGGAAGAGGCAATTAGTTCAGCGGCACCGGGCTTTGGCAAGGTCTTCTGTTGACATTTTCAATAATGTGTATACAGACTCGCATCACCATACGAGAACTACGCCGCACCAATGTTTACATTTGTGAAAAGCTCCATACCATAGCCGTCACGTTTCTTCCCGTTGTCCGGCTTATGGCTTCGCAGCATCGTTTCGCTGCTCTGCCATAATCTCCCGTTCAATGCGCACCTTCCTCGCCTCCTCAGCCTCGCTACTGACGTCTCCAAAGACCGCATCCATCTGCTCTAACGTCTTTCCCATCGTTTCAGGGACACAGAAGTACACGAAGGCGAACGCAAGCAGACAGAAGACCGCAAAGAATGTGTACGCTCCGTACCCGGTGTTTTGTACTAGTATAGGAGTGATCAGACCCTATTTCACGTCAGTGTTCCAGTCTGGTGTGGGAAAAGGAGAGATTAGGTTTAACTAACAATGATGAAGTTGTTAAGCCAGTTCGAGCACGTGGACAAGGCCACACCCTTCGCCCTCAACGTGCTCGGGAAAATCTCCGACGGCATAGCCCACGGCACAGGGCCCCACGTCCCGCCAAAAGTAAACATGTAGAAGAAAAGGAAGGCGACGGCAACCCAACCTTCGGTTTTGTAGTCCGTCCAGGCGTGCCCGAATTTCCCGACCATGACGGCGATGATCAGGTGCGCGATGAACATGAGTGCTGCGCCGACGAGAAGAAGGGGCCGACGGCCGAAACGGTCCATCAGCCAGAGAGACGGCATAACGCCGACGAGTTGCGTGCAATTTATGATGCCGGAGAGGAGGAGCTGCATTTCGTAGCCTTGGCCGAGGGTTTTGAATAGAGAAGGAGAATAGTAGATCAATGCGTTGATGCCCACGAACTGTTGAAAGAACATGAGGCCCACGCCTACGAGTGTCCTTCGCCAGCATCCGTGCCTGAAGCAGTCACCCCAAGCAGCGACCTCGAGCTTAATGCGGTTCGCTCTCGTGTTTTCTTGCAGCTGCGGATGCTTCTCGGCATTGACCTCCTTTGTAAAGGCAACCTCGGCTCTGATCTCGCACCATTCTTGGAACACGCGGGAGTCGCTCTCTGGTAGACGTCTAAGTTGCGAGAGGACTTGCAGTGCTTCCTCATCGCGGCTTTTGGAGGACAGCCAGCGAGGCGAGTATGGTAGGAACATGATACCAACGCCGAGAATGATACCGGGAACCATCTGTAGGAGAAAGGGAAGACGCCACGACCATTCGCCGGACATGTAGCGCGTACCGTATGTTGTCCAGAAGGCGACCACAATACCAAATACGATGCTGAATTCCTGGAGAACAAGAAGGGTGCCACGGATTTCCGGGGGAGCAATCTCTGAGATGTACAAGGGAGAGATGGCAGCAAGCATGCCGATTCCTCCACCTCCGATCAAGCGACCGACGGTAAGCATTGCGTACTCTTGGGCCGCGGTTTGGAGAATGCTCCCTACGGTGAAGACAACGACTGCAACGACGATGGAGCGCTTCCTTGATAGCCTATCCGCAAGATATCCGGCGGATAAGGCTCCGAGAAAGGCACCTAATTCCAGCATAGCGGTCATAAGGCCCTTCCAAAAGCCAGCGCCAGAAGCAGTCTCGGATACGCGCGGGAAACGGTTGAGAAATTGGTCCATGACAAGTGTTACGGATATGAGACCCTGGCTACACTACTGTTAGTAATTGCAATGCTCACTCTTGAGAACTTACTCATATCCAAACAGCAGCCCACCTATGGTGGCAAAGAGTGCGCATAGAGCAACATAGTAGTTGCTCAAGAGTCCTTTGAAGCCTACAACAAGTAAACGAACCGAACACGCCATATCTGCGATGACGACAAACCACTCGGCCCATAAGGCTCCCGCGTCGTCCACGCTCGCCCTTCCGAATACATGCCGGTGATCTCTTGATGTCGCTCCCCAGGGACAAGGTCAACCGTGTCGATCTTCTCCATTGTCAAAAGTACAAACGCGGCGTCGAAATGCCTTAATTGCGAGCACTCTCCGTCGGCGAAGTGTGCATTGTGTCGGGGTAGTGGGTGAGCCTTATATGCAAAGACTTGGACCATTAATTGCGGAGGTGGAGAAGATGTTAGCGCAAGTGCCCGCAACGCGCCAGTCGAACAACCAATTCACGTCCTACAAGCCATGGACTCCAGGGGAGAATTGCCGAAATACTGGGATAGATGCAAGGCGTGCCAAGTGTGAACACTAGGTCGCGTGTAATCGGTCCGCTTGGGTTGGTCGGGCGTTGCAGCTGGAGTGGGACTTTGCGATGGTCACGAGGCAGCAACGTGCAATGTATCCACTCGCCGACGAGCAATGAAGTTTCTGGCTGTTGCGATTCAATTCGAAGTCGTCTGTCGCAAGTGGGCCTGAGGTGGTATGACGCTTCAAATGCTGGATGTCTTGGATCAATTGCAGCCATTTTTGGCCATGGACTCCGCAACTCCAAGGTCGATAGTTTGATTGAACTCGAGCAAGCTAGGTTCAACTGACTTGGGCCCTTCTCTGGCCGAGTACATGGGCAATGCTTCGTTTGCAGAATGCACGAGATGACGTCACCCTGTAGCAAAGACCGCGGTCTTTGAACTGTCCCGCATTCCCCAGTCTTCCCCAGCTTTCTCTCCACGTCTCGTTCCGGCGCGTCCTCGGTTCCTGCCCCTGCTTGTCGAATTCAATTAGTGCAACCTTTCGCTGTCGAGCTGTCCCTAGTTCGCGGCGCGTTTTTCCTGTGCGGCGCAATAGGGCAATGCAGAGCGGGTGCGCTAGCTGCTTCGGCAAGCCGTAGCGGCGGGTCTAGCTGTCCCGAAACGCCAGGGCGGACGCATTAACTGATTGGGGCGACACAGGCAAGTCGTCCCGCCCCTAGTGCGGCTTTTGAGGGTTGATTGTGGCGATGCCGAACTTTGGATCAGACTGTCGAGCATGGGGAAGACCGGCCGGATGACTTACTACGCAGTCCCAGTTGGCCGAATACTCGTCGTGCTCGCGATCCATGCGCGAGCATTTCTCAGATACCAACTCAAGATATAACACGGACATACCATCATTGTCCCGAACATCTGCCCGCGTTTGCAGGACACGAAGCAGTTTACAACTAACATCACTTCTTATGCATATGTCTTATTGATATCCGCCAACTGGCAACATGTCTTAGTGAGATCGGGTAGGAACGCCTTCCATCATGATACAGTGCAGCGCTTACTCACTCCCAGCAGGAGAAGACCACAGCCTTGTCAGCGTGACTGACACGGTGTTCCGTCTCTCCTCACAACTCAATAGCAGCACACACACCAACTCAGTGGGTCGGCATCGCCATGATACCGCCCCACCCTCCCCTCCGCCTGCATCGCCTCCTCCACCAGCTCTTCGGTTTCCACCGCCGTTTGAAGTCGTCTTCCTCGAATTGCCTGCTCCGCCAGATTTCCTAGCACTGGGCGCTCTACTCACTCCTCTCTTTTTGACCCCAGCGTACGAATCACCAAAGCTACCGGACCCTCGCTTGCGATAGTTCTTCTTCCTGAAGGGTGGTTTTGAGGAGCCAGCTCTCGGAGCAGCAGGCCTGGCCGCGCTGGGTGTTTTCGGTCGGGGGTTTGATGTCGTTGCGGCGGCTTGCGAGAAACGTCTGTTGAACGCCTGCACGTCTGGGTTGACTGATTGACTAAAGTGATGGCTTGTATGCACCTGTCCATCATCGTCTTCATCGTCTTCGAAATCACCCATTGAAACCTCGCTCTCGTTGTCCGCTTGGGCTTGCACTTGTCCTTCGCCGTCGCCATCGCTCTCACCGAGGAGATCGATCTCAATCCGATGATTGGGATCTGCCGGTCTTTCCTCATCGTAGTCATGTTTTTCATCCTCCTCAGTCTCTTCGCCGTCCTCGGCCGAAACTTTCTGCAGAAGATGTCTCGGTACAGGCAGGCAACCGGCCGACGCGAAAAGCCCTCTAGTATTCTTGATGAGAGGCAGAAATTTCTTCCCATAGAGTCTCACCATTTCAGGATTGATACCGGGAATGGCAAGCATCTCTTCAGTGTTGCTGGGAAGATCAAGTCCCATTTCGCGGAGGATGGTGTCTGCAAATGGCGCAAATTTGATGCCTTTCTTGAACTTGATATCCTTGATCGTGTTCTTGGCGCCAGTCATGTAGTCGCCCAATATGTCTCTTTGGAGGTCATCCAAGCCACTTAATCTCTCGTCCACAGTAATGGGCGCGCTATGCGTCTTCTGCCTTGTTCGCCGAGGAGGAGGCCTTGCTTCGCGTACGGGTGCGAAATCACTGTATTCATGGTAGTCCTCGTCATCATCGTCGTCAGGTATCACGAAGTCGTTGTCATATCGTACTCGACTCTTTCCACGCGCCGGTTGAGGAGCGGCGGCACGGTCGTCCTCATCGTCACCCGGCTTGTACGTGTATGATTTGATACTTCGTTTGGGCGGACCTCGGATCGGTGAAGAAACGTTGGTGGAAGGATATTCCGGTCGGGTTTTGAGTGCTTTCTTTTGCGGCTCTTTCTGGGCGGCAGACTTTTTGCGAGGGGTCACACGAACTTGCATACTAAAAAGTTTTGTGCCACTTGCATAATCGCGACTTCTCGGGCCAAGCTGTCATTCTTAGCAGACATCGCCAAGCAATACGATCACACTTACATGAATATAGTTGGTCGCGAATCCCATCTTGTTCGACACAGAAGTCTCTTCCAATGCCCGAGACTCTAGCAGATGGTTGAAGACACGTTCGACATCGCCTCTTTCCAGATCGGCACCAAAACCAAAGATGTCGTCGCCAATGTCAGCCTTCTTTACCTTGGCGTTCTTTGCTCCACGGAAAGCATCGACACATTGCAAGACCGTGACGTTCGACTCGTGTACTTTCCTTACCAACTCGATAGCCTTCTGTGCATATCGAGAAAGGTCTCTTTCCTCAAAGGTGGCGTCTGACGTGCAGTTGTCACAGGACTCATCGCAATCCTCCTTCTTGAACGATTCGCTGAAGTAACTGAGCACTTGTACCCTGCGGCAGTCGCTCTTGTTCTCGCAGAACTGAATGACATTTCTCAGCATATCATGCTGACGTTGCTTTTGCTCCCTGCTGCCTTCCCCCTCATCGATCATCTTTTTGAGTATTTTGCAGTCGCCATAGTTGTAGTATAGATAGCATGCTGACTTCTTGCCATCTCTCCCAGCGCGGCCAGTCTCCTGGTAGTATCCTTCTAAGCTTTTAGGCAGCGAATGATGCACCACGAATCGCACATCGGCTTTGTCGATACCCATTCCGAACGCGATCGTGGCAACGATGACATGGTACCTGTTGGTTTGCCACTTTCTTTGAACGTCCGATCTCTCCGGTGGCTCCATTCCGGCATGATAATGATAAGCTGAGATGCCCAGATCGGTAAGTTTCCTAGCAACAGTCTCGCAGCTTTTGCGGGACAGGCAATAGACAATGCCGCATTTGCGAGGGAATTCGGATTTGATCAGCTCTGCAATATTTTGCACAATGTTCTTGGCCTTGGGCAGGACGGAGTAGGACAGGTTCGGGCGATTGAAACTCTGCGATATCAATCGAGAGCCACGGATACCAAGGTTTGCCATAACATCAGTGCGCACTAGTTGAGTTGCTGTAGCAGTGAGAGCAATTATCGGTACGCCGGAGAACTGTTTCATCACTTCGCCAAGCGCCTTGTAGTCAGGTCGGAAGTCATGACCCCATTGACTGACACAATGCGCCTCGTCGATGACTACTCGGGCCAGACGATTGCGTCGATGAAGTTGCTGAAATGCGTTGATCATCCGTTGATTCTTACTAAGCATCTCCGGAGTCACATAAAGCACCTGTATGAAATCCTCTGGGTTGCGTTCTCGGAAGCCGTTCATGATGAGGTCCTTCTCTTCTGCAGTAGATTCGCCGTTAATAAGAAATGCCTGCATGCCAAATCGGTCTCTGCACGCCGCGACCTGGTCTTCCATCAAACTCAATAGAGGGGAAACCACGATAGTCACGCCCCTCGTCTTACCCGATTTGATTACCGAAGGCAATTGATAACACAAAGATTTGCCGCCTCCAGTAGGCATGAGAACGAAGCAATGATCGCCTCCCAGAGTGGTATTGACAGCCTCCAGCTGCCCTGGACGGAATCCTCGAAGGCCGAATTTGTAAAGCAGGGCATCCCTAACTTCTCTCGACCATGGATGATTCATGCCTGGCGCATAGAGCTGTGGTTTCTGGGGAGAAGGCGGACTTTTGCGATGCTGTATTTTGTTCGCGGAGGCTTCTTTGAGAATTCCTTTAGCTGGTTGGACGCTTCGTGTGTCCACTCTGTCACCCTTCCAATCGTACCCGCCAGGCGGGCTTTTCTCATCAACATTGCTGATCTCACGAAAGATATCGTCATCATTTTCGTCGCAGAAGTCTTCGTCGTTGGCACCGATTGCTTCTGGCACCGCGCCCATCGTGTCACTGATCGAATTGACATCGTCGTCGTCGAAATCATCTCCGAATTCATCGTCAGATATGACAAGCGATTCTACTGGATCGGTTCCGAACCGCTGGGGTTGGCGCACTCGCGAAGTGGGTGAACCACCTTGATGCCGCGCCCTAGCTGGTTGGTCCACTTGCCGTTTTGACGAGAGACATGTGTTCTTAACGGGAGCAGAATGCGTCTGTTTTTCTTGCTTCCAGTCGAGACGTGGAGGGGTCGATTCAATGATGCGGGTTTCAGCGAATCGAATACGTCGCGACGGTGTCCAGACTTCGTGTCTGGATATCTGCGTCTGCTTAATATATTGTGTTTGAGGCACATGATCCGGACTTGGGACATCCACCATCTTGCTGTTATCCGATGTCGGGGTGACCTGAGTAGACTTCACAACAACCCCACCTTTGATCTGGTCGGTAGCGTCGATGGAGGTGTCCATGTATCTCGCCAACCCGGCGTCTTTTAGAAGGAAGTACATCTGCACGTGAACATCGTCAAGATCCTTGGCAAAAGCATTCAACGCTTGAGTATCGTCAGCGTTGAACTCGTCATTGTCGAGATCTTCGGCGATCTTTTGCCTCAGCTCGTGTCGTTTGGTGGACAGATCCTCATATTTACGCTTCATCAGAAGAAGCTGCTCTAAAGCTTTCTTCTGCGTATTCGCGCGCTTGATAGCTTCCTGATGCGCTGGTGTCGATGTGCCAGCTTCCGCATGCTTGAGATACGTTTCTTTGGCTTTCGCCCAGTTGGCGACGGAAGATTCGATATGTCGCTTCAAACGACATCCTTCCAGGTCCAGAAACGTCTTGATAGCTTGAAAAATGCTAGCCTTCTTTTCGTGGGATAGTTGTGAGGCGGTAGGCGCGGAACCAAACTGAAGTGTGATTGCCGCCAATGGCTGCGTTGTATTGGGAGACAGACGCGTTACCTTGGACGATTGAGATGTTTCGGGTGTGATTAAGGGGTCGTGCTGTATCTGGGGACGCCTGGGTGCCTCTCGAGGTTTAGAAGGCGATCGAATAGGGAGCTCCATCTGCGACGAACGAAAAGCGGTCTCGATTTGGACTGACCGGGCCATTTCCGGACTGGCTTTGGGAATGACATCAAGCTCAAATCCGTCGAAAGATTCGAAATCATCTTCAGAGTCCAAAACTGCATCTTCGATTCTCCTCTTGGATGTCTTGTTACGTGTGCCCTGACTTCCTTCACGAGGCGAAGGACTACCTGTTGACCTCCCGAGCTTTCTCGCAGGTACCGCCGTCCCGGACGGTACTCGACTCAACGACTTGCGCTTCCGGCTGCCCTGGACAGTTTGGCCAGTCTCACTCATGCGTGTATCTTCCTCTTCTACTAGCATTGAACGTCCATTGGGCACAGTTGTCGAGTAGGGCGGAGGCGGGCTTTCCGGTACAAAGGTCATCATATCATCGATATTCGCAAACCCATCGTAATCCGTGCTGGAGCTCGACGCAGGTATTGTCCTATCCGGACGTGGGGATTTTGTACGACACAAGTCCGCCGCGTACTCCTCGCTTTTCCTTTTCTTTCCGCGACTTTTGTTTGGGGAGTGCTGTGCATCGCCATCGGTCAGATCTATCGCCTCAATGATCTGTGCCTGAGCGCGTTGTTTTTGGGCAGTCGATTGCTCAGCTACTGACGTAGTTGAAGCTACCAAATTTCTTGATGGAGCGATACTTCTCGGCGCCGAATGCGCATTATCCGATTTCGAGCCGGCGACTATGAGCCGAACTTTATTTTCTTTAGGCGTAGCCCTTAGTCGCGCCATGTCTTCCGGTCCTGTCTGTGCCGAGGGCAATCTATGTATGTCGACCGTGCGGGCACGAGCAAGTTGCGATGTCGATTGGGTGATGCCGCGTACTGGTCCCGAGATTGGTTCATCGTTCGGTGGAGTTTTTACCGAGAAGGAAGAAGGCTGCGAGGTTCTCGCTGAGCTTGCTGGGGCATAGGGATCGTATGCAACGAGCGAAGCGACGGGCGGTACGAAAGGCTTCGCGGATAACAGCCACTTGAGTTCAGCGCTGATATTGTTCTTGGTAGGCATTAGTGTATCGCCTGCTCCGCGATAAGGTCTGCATCGGTAGGCGGCGCGTGGTCATGCATGCGGCGGTGTGTTAAAAGGTGTTGTAGTGGCGATGTGGGGGCTCGGATGGGATCGTGTTGTGCAGTCGCGTTCATCGCGCCCGCCTCGCGCTAGGTCCGCAACCGTCTGTAGCCCGGGCGCCCGGGCGCACGCCTGTTCACGTGACCGGGGTCGGAGCTCCTCTGGGAGCGATGACTCCTTCACTTGACTTCTCTCCAACAAATTTGAAAGCAACAACTATTCGAAATGCATTCGGATCCAGAGACCTTCTCACAGCTCGCTTCTGCAATTTCTGGCCTTCACCTCCAACCACCACCTGAACGTGTCCTCCCGTCAGAGAACATTGTAACTCAAGCACGCGAGAAGTTACAGAAAAATCTCTCTACCTCTGGCATTGGCTTTGAGGAAACGATCAGGCATATCCGAGACGACCTCGCCCCGGGCTTCAATGGTTCCAGCCGCTCGCCCAACTACTACGGCTTCGTGACCGGCGGCAGCACGCCTGCCGCGGCACTTGCCGATCATATGGTCACTATCTATGACCAAAATGCCGCAGTTCACCTTCCGCAAGAGTCGATAGCAACAAATTTGGAGGATGCTGCTACTTCATTATTGGCCCAACTGCTGAAGCTCGAACCATCACAGTGGCCGCACCGTGTTTTCACTACCGGAGCAACAGCAAGCAATGTGTTAGGTCTGGCATGTGGCAGGGAGTATATTATTGCTGAGGCTTCCGCCCACCGAAGCGACACTGTGAACAGTGTAGGTGAGCTGGGTATTGTGGAGGCCATGCATCGCGCTGGCATCGACAAGATTCAGATCTTGACCACCGTGCCGCACTCTTCACTCGTCAAAGCCGCTGGTGTTCTGGGCCTGGGTCGCACGTCAGTAGTAGATATCGGTCTACCAGGTGCCTCGCACAGATTCGACGTCGCTCAGTTAAAGAAGCTGCTTGAGCAACCTGGCACTGCTTCCATTGTAGCCATCTCTGCATCTGAAGTGAACACTGGATTGTTCGCTACCTCAGGATTAGAAGAGATGCAGGAGATCCGCAAGCTAGCCGACATGTATGGTGCCTGGATCCACATCGATGGTGCATTCGGTATCTTGGGAAGAATCCTTACTTCCCCAAGCTACGCCGACATCATCGCTGCCTGTGCAGGTCTCGATCTCGCAGACTCTATCACTGGTGACGGGCACAAGCTACTGAACGTGCCTTACGACTGCGGCTTCTTCTTTTCGCGCCATCGCGAGATACCGGAACGCGTCTTCCAGAACCCTAACGCCCCGTACCTCAGCACCGGAGCGGCTACTGATGCGATTGTGTCGCCCTCAAACGTCGGGCTCGAAAACTCGCGCCGACTCCGTGCGCTACCTGTATATGCCAACCTAATATCATATGGTGCAGATGGGTATCGGGACATGCTTGAACGGCAGATTGACCTGTCAAAGGGAATCGCCGAATACATCATCGACAGTCCAGACTTTGAACTACTTCCGGAGTCAGACCGCCCCAAGGAGGAAGTCTTGAGGGGCATCTACATCATTGTTTTATTTAGGGCCAAGGATGAGGGCTTGAACAAAGAACTCACTAGTAGGATCAAGGCAAGTCGCAAGATCTACGTATCAGGCACTGCATGGGACGGTCAGCCAGCGTGCAGATTCGCGGTGTCAAACTGGATGACGGACGCGAAGAGAGATCTGCCGCTCATCAAGCAAGTGTTGGCCGGGGTTGTTGAGGGCTGGAAGAAGGCATGAAGAGGCAGTGGTATTGAATATCATAACACCATAGTCGGCGGGATCAACTTTTTGTCATACTATCCTATTGCTGGTCAAGGTGCTACGCACCGAATCCATCTGCTCGCACATTGCCGCCCATGTCGTGAGTACCTTCAGAGATCCTCCATCTTTTATACTTCGTAAGCAGGCTCCTCATAAGGATTACGTGCGGATTGGTCCCCTCCTCTGATCTGAACTGCCCGACACCCTTACTCATGAACGCGCACTTCGTGTACGTTCCCTTTCCAGGGAAGCTCCCCGCGCCGGCAGTGAAGATGGCGGGTTTGTAGGCGGAGAAGGCGGCGGGCGGGACGAAGAAGACGAGCATAAAGCGCGTGGAGAGGGAAATTATAGGATTGGAGGAAATCAAGTTAGCCTCGAGTGGGGTCTGAGTCGAATCAATTCGAATTTGAGAGTGATAGCGTCGATGTGATCAAGGCGATTTGTAGTGCAAGTGATTAGGCGGAGGTGGGTGTAGTGGAGAGAGTTTTGCATAGACCTGCCGGATTTAGAGGGGTACCTAGGTGGGAGCTCGGTGTATGGCATGGATGGTTGGTAGGGTTTGTGCAACAACCATCAACGAGACACGTAGGTGCTAAGGTGTTGTGAGGTTTGTCAACGCAGTGCTGGCCCCTTCATTGAGATGCAACAAAAGATATCGCGCCGAACGCTGCATTCAGCCGTGCGTTTTTCATGTCGACGGCAAGCGCTGCGAATGCAAAGAAATAATAGGACAGGGCCCTCTGCGTGGTGAACGCTTGATCGTCGAGCCTTGTACTGGAAGACTACCAAAGGCGCCGAAATCTTCACGGTCGTGTGTACAGCCGCCAGGTTACCGATTTGGAATTGAACAAGAGCACGAGGTCCATGCTGAAAGGCTCAATAATCAGCTCACTGGATAAAATGAAGGACCTAGTACACTGCCAATGCTGAAAAGTCTATTGCTTTATCTATGATTGTCGTTCGACGATGCTAATTTTGGTGTCTCTGTCCTGCTATACCCAATTTTATCTTAATGGGCGAACGCCGACAAGGAAATTGAACTGAATTGATTTGACACTAATTGTGCTATGGATGGAGAGAGAAACACATTGCTGATATGGAAAAGCTACATCACGTCGTTGACAATCGATTCCAACCTGCTTTGCAACCAAATTCACCTGAAGATACCGACATTGACGGCCGAGCACTTCGATAACCTTTTTCCGAATTTAAGCTTTTGCTAAGAACCCAACGGTGATCTCCAATAAAGAAACATGCCGTTAGACAAGTTTGTTAGGCTACATTTTACCTGTCTGAGAACTTTTGAGTCGTCAAAATGAGGGCCATGTTCTTCGTTCTGTCGCAAGCACTGGCACAAGTATGTAGGCCAAGATGACGTATTATCGACTCAACTCAAGGTAAACCAGACTGGTTTGTGGATATTCCTCACTACAGCCCCAGACTTATACGATCGGCTAAGACGTCCATGAATACCATATACTTCAACACTGCCCTTTACGGCTTATTACCTTAACATGTCATCGTTGAGATATGACAGGTACATTGTGTCTCGAATCCTATCTCGCAATGCGGAAATAGTTTCGGGTCCGATGTAGAGTCCTTACGCTTTTAACGCAAGCAACGAAACGTGACGTTTGGCATTTCTCATATGTAGACATATGCCCAAATTGGAACCAACGTTCAGACTCAATCGAGCTTTCATTCTAGTTCTAGAACACTTCCTTTATAGTACTGAATGTACCCACAACATCATGCCTTCCGGTAAAGTATTTCTGATTTTCACCCTTCCGTTCTCGCCATCGCCGCGGAAGTCGCGGGGAGCCTTCTAGCAAGTTGTTGAAAGGTTTTACAACAGGCTAGCCCCCCTTGTCATCCTTCACCGCAATTGTCTCTTTCCAATACTCCGTAGTCCATCTAAGTGAAGAAGGAAGGCATTCTCGGAGAAGGAGTGCAACAACATGCGGTAGTGTACAATTCACTTCCAGGTGCGAAGGTGTGAGTCCAATATTGTTTCGCCACCACAAGCAGTTGCTAGATACTTTCCCAACATGGTTTCGAGTACCTTCTGAACGTTCTATACTCGCATCGTCTGCGCACTGATGTATGATATGAGACAGTGCAGGATGATATTGCCTTGCTTACCAAATGAACACATTTCTTTTGTTGTAAGCTCGTCGACCGCCTACCAAATCTCGCTCCTTTGTTTTTCAGCTATGACTTCCATCGGCATAGCCATGGCGTGCTCCGTGAACCATCGGCATCCTACACGAACGATTGGAAAGTGTCACCAAAGGCTTCAGTGAAGATGTGGTTCAGTGAAAGTTTGGACTAAAGATATTCCATCAGAGCTTGGCTCAGTGTCTGATTGATGACATCCCCGTCAATGGTTGCGTCATCATAGTTATATGATGAGTCGATAGCAGACACGTCCAAGGCTCGCTGATAAGTGTCTTCGAGAGGTGTGAGCATCTCATGAACTAGTGGCGCTGTTTCATCTAAGCAACGCCTAAAGCTTTTGCGAATGCCATCGTGACCTTCTGGTTTGCGCTTTGCAGGACATCTATCGAAGCTCTCGGTATAAGAGACTGGAGCGTCTCCGAGAGTATCTGCTAGGTGGAATACTTCGAAAAGAGCTCTGCTTAGGATTTGGCATGCATCCGATATAAGTGAGGTCACTTTCATTGGGCCGTCTTTCCATCCACAAGACCTCATAATGGTAAGACCCCGATCTCTTACAATTCCTCTTGAAGACGTAGTCCAAGGATTCTCTAGTTGCGTCTGTTTGGTTGTGCTACGGTTCGTTCCAGCTTGAAACAGACCTTCCTTGGGTACCGTTGGTATCGAAGCTCTACAAATGACAGAGCCTACAGATGTAGCATGTTTTCCTTCCTTCGGACCTACTAAACGACAGACATAACCAGCCCAATTGGAGGACGGCACAGTCATGCGCCCTAATGCGACCTCAGTAGGTTGTTTCTCGATTGTATACAGATCTCCGAAGAAATTCGACAGCTTTTCTTGAATGGCAGTCTGAAGTCGTTGCAGCGGAGTCTTGAGGATTCGAAACCGGACTTCATATATGGTGCTCTTGCTCTGTCGGATAGTCTCCGTCCAGCTAATACTTGGAGTCACGGCCTAGCAGGGCGATCTACTTGTTTCGAATTGTTCCATACCTGATACGTATTCAATATTAAATGACTTTGCAGTGCATAGACATGGAGAAAATCGCGGATTCACATACTCAACACGCCCTCTGGCGGTAGTGATACGGTTACTTTCCAACTCCCGACGAATCATTTGAGGTGATGTGTGATCCACCAGCATAATAATACGCGAAGAAGGGTGCGTACTTTCTCTCAGGTATGGAATGTTCCTATTGGCGGCATGCTTAAGAGAAAGTGGAACCTTGGAAGTGATGGACAACTGCCGTTTCAATAATTTTACCAACTCGAGCGCAAATCCGGACGTGGGATCTCCAGGACACTGCTTCGTTCACAAATGTCGCGCAATCGAAAGCTGACATGCCTGCGTTGTGAAATACTGTATGGAAAGACGCACGAGAAGCTGCTCTGTGTATTGAGCATGGCATGAGTAAATGACGACTCTTGCCACGCTGCGCTCTGTTATCTGTATTAGCTTTAGCTTATACAGGTGGAGGTAAGGGACTGGCCGGCTACTCGTGGTTGTCTCTTTAGTGATTCATTCGTAATAGCATTAGTAATAGCAAAAGGGTCAGTTTGCGTACCTGCCAGATCTTCTTTCATTTCAGCCTTTGCCCACCAGCCAAGCCCCACTCACCAGATAGAAACAAAAAGCAAGACCACAAAAAGAATCGAACAATCACAATGGTATGGCAGCCCGCTTAACACAGTTTACCTGTGTAGTATTGAAATGTTTTTAGACGACCTCTTCATGTCGCATTCTAACCATTGCCCCATCTGGACCGTTCTGCTACGTTGAGGGGTTTCGGTCTCCCACAAATCAACGTACTAGGTCCTGCCCGTGAGGGCGTGTATTCGATAGGAATATCTTGAATTTGAAAATATACATGCATGGGTGGTGCGTGCCTGAGGATGCGCGGAAAATAACACGTTGCGCGTGAGCCTTGCGTATCTGCAGACATTTTCAGTGAAGGTGGAGCAACATTGGTGGTTGTCTTACTATCTGCGCTCCTAAGCTCATGGCAACCTTGAGGGTTCTCTAGGACAGCCGCATGACCACTAGCATCGATGCAGCTGATGCGACGCGACAACCGTACGATGGAAGGATGATGGTAGGGTACAGCGGGAGTGCGTACTGAGAGAAGTCAGATTCTCACCAGCCATGCGGGCGAAGGCCGGTCCGTGTCTGGCATCGAGGAGATCAGAAGACGAGCGTGAATTGCATCAGCAGATAAACACGGGTACTAATCGTGCCCGAACGACTGAAGAACTTGGATATCAGCAGAAGAACGAGCATTGAAAAGCCACAGAAGTAAAAGAGCCCTAGCCTACTACAAGCGGCAAGAGCAAAGGACAACGGTGTTTGGTCGTTCGAGCGGAAACAGGTTTTAGCCATGCATAGGCAAAGAAGTAGTAGGAGGGAGCATTTACATCGTACTTGGTGGTAAGAGGAGCACAGGTTGTTCTAATGATGGTAAAAGTATGTGAGGATGTGTCACACATTGAGAAATGGAGACAGCGGCGCGCATGATAAGCAGCAAAGAGAAAGGTATCTTACATGCATAAGACCAAGTGGGAAGAACGTTGGTTCAAATGATCCGGCAACTATCTGTTGGTGATCATGACGTCGCAGGTAATTGTCATTACATCAAGTCTGCGTAGACTTAGCCTAAGTAGGGCCCTGGTCGCTGTCTCCCTCAGCGCAAACCGCCTCAACTGCGGCCGTCATCGATTGAGCATCTCCCGCTTCCTCCACCGCCGCCTCTTCCTCTCCGTCCGATGTCCCCTCTTCACCTTTTTCTTCCTCCGTCTTCAAGACGCCACCCTTCCGCTTCGGAAGCACCTGAATGAACGCCTTGCCCCAATCATCGTGCTCCAGCCACTTGAGCATGATCTCAAGCACATGATTTGTGACGAGCACCTTTCGACTGTCCATCTGCAAAAATTCGCCAATTGGAAGCTTCGCCGTCTTCATGCCGCTGTCTAACGCTCGCTTGTAGCATAAGCCTTTATGCCTGTTCTTGTCGACAAGGCCACCGATGATGTATGTGCTGTTGGGCTTTAGGCGTTCCAGCGTATTGTCACTCTCAGCTGAGAGATAGACGATCTCACCCTCTTCGTCTGCCTTTTCATCTTTGGCCGTTGAGTGCTCGGCGGAGTCTTTGGCCAACGCGCCCGCAATTTTGCCTCCCTGGGGACCCTTCATCCACTCCTTGCTCATCTCACTAGTCTTGACGAAATCTTCTTCACAGAATTGGAAACCCTTCCAGCTCGTGTACTGCTTTGCTAGAATGCCGTCAAATCTCTCTTTCATCTTGCCACCCCAGCTGCTGATGCCCAGATGGAACCTGAATGGGGCTTTTCGGTTGTCGGAATAGCTGCGAGTGATTTGCAACCCCAGACTCTTTAGCTCGTGATCGTGCATGTACTCCTCGAAGTTGCAGTCGAAGATGACGGTGATCGGGACCTGTACTCCTGGCGGGTCACCTCGGCGAGGTGCTCGCAGGGGCGGAGGCTGCGAGATTGATCCTTCGGCGCGATGCTCTTCCCACTCTGCTCTGCGACGCTCTTTCCGGGCTTTGATTTTCTCTTTGCGCTTGACTTTGCGATCTTCGCGGCCAGACTCCCAGCGTTCCCAACGGCGCTGCTTCTTAAGCTGATTCTTGGACAACTTGGGCGCAGCCTCGTCGGGTTCTTCGGGTTCTCCTTGTGGTACGTCTGTTTGTTCTTTCTCCAGTTTCCTGAGTGGCTGGGTCCCAGGTGCATTGTCGTTCTGCGCTTCGACTTGGCCAGCAGTGGGGGTAGGATCAGTCATGTTAGTATCTTCCGTCTCTTGTGTATGCTCCAACTTTCTCAATTTCGCTGGCCGCTCTTTCGGATCCATAGTCATGTGTAGTGGAGAGGCCGAGCGTGGTGAAACCTGAATAGAGTGGAGAACTCTGACGCTGACAGAGCCGATCGCCAACGGTGATATCGGGGTAAACGGTGAAGACCTCACGTGCTGGGACCACCTGAACCAGTTCCTGGCTATCGCTGGCGTGGCTCTAACCATTCAAGTTTCTGCGGTAGAGGTCGAAATCGAGCAGGTTTTTCCTGACTCAGGCGTGACATAAGCGCCAAGTCCCGTGTCGCGATTGGAAGCTGCGAAGCTCCGCAACCTCACCTCTAGCTTTCCCCCTCCGACCGACCCATTGACGCCGCAACACACGACTTCACTATGCCGCAGGATATGCCGCCGGCCGGCGGCTACGGCCCCGTCCAGTACAAGCGCAACCTGCCCGCCCGCGGCTTCCGCCCTGCCATGTATCTCGTTGGAACCGCCGCGCTAATGACATATGGATTTTGGAGGGTCGGCCAGGGTATCAGGGAGCACAAGTGCGTATAGCTGCAATAGCCGGAGGGCTTAGTCAAACAGCTCTTAGGTGGAGCTTCAATCGTGGCCTTGAGCTAACGCGGGCACAGTGAACTGGCACGCGAGAAGATGTGGGCGCGCATATACCTCATCCCCGCCCTGCAGGCCGAGGAAGACCGCGATCAAGTGCGACGATATTTGGCAGATAAGGCCAGGGAGAAGGAGCTTTTGGGCACAGAGACCAAGGTCTACCACAGCGACAGGCATGCTCCCACGGTTTCGCCGTACTGGTCCGTAACGCTAACTCAATTTCAGATTCGTACGGCCGACCTTTGCTGTGACACCTGAGAATCAACTGAAATAGGGGACGAGATGGGATTTTGGGCAACAGCAAGACCGAATTGTACATATACAGCGTGTGACGAGATGTTTCAGTCGGAATATGGCGCCTTACCGTGCGCGACACTGGGAAATGCATACCTCTCTTTGGCTTGAAATCAGGTTTCCGCTTATTTCTCCGATTCGCGAAGCCTTTCATTCGATGCGTACTTAAGTTCGCATTATGGACGAGAACGCGCCTTAGCACCTTTCACGGATTCTTGAACATGTTTCGTCGTATCAGTCACTTTCTTTCACTTCGACTAGCTATCTTTGGAAAAAGCACTGTCCGCTTAGGTTTAACGTTACAGGAGCGTGCGGTGTGCAGCTGCCGCGTCCTCATAAAACCCCAAAGGCTTACTCAAGACCACCCACTACCTCGTAGCCCCCGTCAACAGCCTGACGTCGACACACTTGATCCCAGTGACCACCAGAAAGGTACAGAACGTCTGCTTTACTCAGCCCATCCAGCTAGACAGGTAAGCCAGCACTTTTCTACGCTCGCTTCACCCGACATCAACTAGCCTGCCTTCAAATCATACACGTCTGTTCAATCTCTAGTGAACTTCCAGCAACCCACCTAACGCCATCAAGTTGAAAGCAGGTATTTAAACACTCGCTCGACTTTCAGCTCACTCTTGTCACCCTTAGTATTAATCATTAACTACTTATTCCACGAACAGGCTTGCGCGCTTTGCAATCTCTGCAGCAGGTACCTTTCAAACATAATGTATTTCTTGAGAAAACTTGGCTTCCGATCCTCCTCCTCTTCTTCTTCCGGTTACGGCTACGATGACGCCCAGAAGGTAAGTTCTGGACATTTACTTTTCAATGTTCCCTAAGCTGACCAAATGTAGACACGAGACGAGAAGTATTTCGAGCAGTACAGCGAGCAGGTTGAACAGATGCTGAAGGGTGAATGCATTCTCGTCCAGTTCGGAGAGAATCTGGAATCGATGTCCATCAAAGCCGGCGATATCAACCCGAATGCAAAGCGTCTCGTGCGTGCGCTCCATACGTACGGCCCTAGAGATTCCAGCATCAAGCTTGCCATCACGCTCCCAGAGGTCAGCAGGTCTATGTACGAGACGTATGTGTCTTGGGGCATGTCTGTGGAAGTGACCGCTCTTACCTTCAAATGGGGTAAGCTTATCCTTCTGGCTCAAACCACCAAGCTCCTGGAAGATGCAGAGTCCCACCGTAAAACTCTGGACAGCATGGCTGCCAAGGGCGAACAGTGCAAGTACATCAAACACCTCCTGTTCCAGCCGGAGGACTGGTCTCTGCTACGGAAGACTGTGCATGCAGGTGCGCGCTGCGACGATCCAACACGGAAGGTTGTCGCCGAGCTCCTCAAGCGTTCCGATGGACTGAAGGAGCTCTTGCGTATCACTGGCAAGGAGCTTGAGCAGATGGGCATCACATTGAAAGAGACTTGTGTTGTTGAAGACATTGTAGACGGAATTGAAGTCGAGCCTGCCGTCACACGCGTAGACAAGAACAAGACCGTTACTGTATCTGACGCGGAATCTGTGAACAATACCGAAGTCGCGTCTATCACAGCCCATGAACAGGCTCAGGACGAGGACGATGACGAATGGGAGATACTATCGATTAATAGCTCGCATTCGGACGAAGGATCGATCGCTTGTGACAGCGACGATTCAGAGGAAGAAGATCCTCCGGTAGCCGAGCCAGCTGTCGACGCTGACCACTGGGTTGTGGCACCTCAGTCTCTGGCCGAAGAGAAACCCGAATGTCAAACCGACGAATCTAACAGCAGCAGCCACAAGTATGGCCCTAAGACTCAGGTTGGCAACGACTCAGCGAATGACGATGCGAACGCGTCTACCCAATCTGCGGATGACCTCGCGAAACAGCTTCGAGGGCTAGCGGTGGACGAGGCCGCTGTCTCTGTCGAGGACGTAGAGGAGCATGACACTTGTCAAGAGAAGGACTCCGAAGACAAGGACGGTGGTGTCGCGATCCGAAAAGATTTTGCTCCTGGGTACGAAGGTGCTTCACCTGTCGAGACTTCGGAGAATAACTCTCTCTCCGCAGAGTTCGATCATGCGCAATACCAACAAGGCACAATGATCAAATGCACTGTTTACACGGAGGCTGAGATGCAGTCGGCTCTTGCTAAGCTCCCCGGGTTGAAGACCTCAAAGTGGGCTTCCACTAAGCAGGAAAAGCCACCGTCTCCCTTGAATGCCGAGATGATAACGGACCTGACAGAATACATGAACTCCAGCACGGCAGTAGAGAAGCAACTTCGAAATGAGAATGGCCCCACCGAAGCAGTTGGCAAGCTGGAACGCGATCTCGCGTTCGCTGCAAAGAAGGAAATGTCAGGTCTTCCTTCCCACCCCCAGTTGCCCGTCAACTCCAATGCGGACCAGGCTGTCCCTGCTGAACGTCCGACGACTGCTGACCCGAATTGTTTCGCCGGTTTTGTAGCAACAAAAGATCTCCCGCGCACCGTGCCTGCTTCGCTGACGAAGGTCGAGGCCGATGACAAGACGGAAAATCCTGTAGATGAAGAGAACGAAGAGGTCGCCCTTCCCGGAGTGCGGCGGAAAGTGCCAGGCAACCGGCGGCAGGGCCACAAGCGGAAGGTTTCTGAGGACGTGAACCTAGATGGCAATGCTGGTCGAGAACACGCGCGTCGTCATCAGACCAAGGGCCCGACCTGGAACAAGAAAGGTGAAGGCTTATGGACCGAATACAAGAAATCCGCCTTGAACGCCTTGCGAGAGAAGCAGGTCGCATCTACCCCGGCCTCCGCCTACACGACGAACAGGAACTCCCAGGCTTCGGCGAGCACCTACTTACGCCAGCGGGAGGAACCGGACCGCCAACCTGAAGGTGTGGCAGGAGCGGACGCCGGTCGTGTGACAGAAGGCCCGCCAGCTGCAAGCAAGGAAATGAAAGAGGACAAGAAAAAGGACCCGGAGGAGTGGCCGGAGAACTTCGCCGTTGGTGCACCACCTCGCCCGAAGAATCGCCCTGAGACGCGCGTGCTCGTCACTCTTGAGAAGGGTGCGCACTATATTGATTGGAACGCTTGAATGGTGGACGCCAATCAATGACCAGCTTTATGGTGGGGCTACCAGTGAGGCGGCGAGATAACGAATTATGGACTACTGCACTGTGGTATACAGGATTTGTAAGTAACAGTGTTGGAATCGAGTACTAAGGGTCTGCGGGAAGACGGCGTTGGACGAATATATCTACACGGCACACGCATTTCCATCTTAGTTTCTAAGGTTGAAGGAGGAACCCAAAAAGTTTCTGGTTCCAACACGCAAAGGCATTCTATGGCCTTGCGAGTTTTGTGATTCTAGAGAGCGATTAGCGACATGCTAAAGGCATTTGTTGTTTCTTGTGGCACAGAGGCAAGTACGCACTAGTCTTCAAAATTTGTGCTGTATGATGGTTAGCAATTTCCAAAATGAAGACAAATCTCTGAGTATACTGTATATGTGATGTGCGCGGACGATGCCACCATGACAAAGCCTGGTCATCGAGTTTCCGGCTCCTTTGGCTGAGCTCAATCACGTGATTGCCAACTACCTGTACCCGTGGACCCAAAGTTTTCAACCTTGGAGTTCATGACTAACTGTATAACTCCCCTAATATTACAGGCGACATTCAGTAATGCTATAACATCTTCTTTGGGGCCACACTGACATGTAGCCTTTGTTTGTGGCGTGTAAGGAACTTTTGCGGTTCTCCTTTTCCGACTCCGCACTGAGGTGATGCGGGGAGATTTCCCTCCATACCCGGTGAACTTACAGACAATGGCCAACGACAGGCTCATGAACTAGCGAGTTGTCTATTTGTACGGTCGCTTTGCTTTCTGGAGCATGTTCTGTTTTATTCATGACTCAGGCACATCATATTGCAACTTGATTCCAGGGAAGCGTGCGAGTAGTGAGGAATAGGATAGTCTGCGTAAATATTGCCGCGATTGAATCAAGGAATCAAGATGTGCAAGAAGGTAGCGTTGATCACCGGCGGAGGTGAGAGCCGATAAAGGAAACCCTTTTGAGACGCATATCCATCTAACACACATCCAGCCTCCGGAATGGGCCTCGAAGTAGCCACGCGCCTTTCCAAGCTCTCCACCTGGGACATCCACATCCTTGACCTCCCCAGCTCCCTCGGTTCCTCAGTCGCCTCTTCTCTCGGCGCTACGTTCCACCCTACCGACGTCACCGACGAAACCGGTCTCAACACCATCTTCAAGATCGTATTCATCAGAAACAACAGAATGGATTTCGTATTCGCAAACGCGGGTATCGCGGAACACGCGAGCTTTTTCGAAGAGCAGGACACCAATGGGGACGTGAAGTTGCCGGTTAAAGGACTGCACGCCTTGGTGGATGTTAATCTGAAGAGCGTGATTACTACGAGCTATTTGGCGTTGCAGTATATGCGGCGGAGCCCGGGCAAGGATAAAAGCCTAGTGATGACGGCGAGTTGTGGCGGTCTTTATCCTTCTTACTACTCCCCTATGTGAGTCACTTGACCTCGCAAACGTGCATCATAGCTAAGAATATGATCAGACGGGAAGCTGACGAATCGAAACAGATATACAGCGACCAAACACGCAGTCGTCGGCCTCACTCGTTCTATAGCACCTTACTGTACGTAATGGTACATGCGTGGATCTGCTCTCGCGAACGTTTGAAACTTCCGGACGTTAGCGGGCAGCTGAAACGACTACTTTCTACTCATTACCCCTGTTTGCGACCATTGGACTGACTCTATCATCCTCATCTAGTCAATGCCCACGCCGGCATCCGCGTAAACTGCATTTGTCCCGGCACGGTAAAGACCAATCTGCTCACCTCCGATGAATGGGCCAACTTCCCAGAACAATATTTCACTCCTGTTGACAAGATCGGAGAAGTAGTACTCATGCTTATCGACGGAAAAGACGATGGAAATGGCGAGGTGGGTAAAGAGGTGGAAGAGGCGAGCGTGGAAGAGTTGTTGAAGAAGGGCGTGTATGGAAAGGCGGTGGAGGTTAGTGGGAGGAGGCATTATTATAGGGAGATGGTATGTTATGCGGATGAGGCGATGGGGTCGGTCATGGGGGCGACGAATATTGAGGTGTTGGAGAATGCGGTGGAGAGAACACTATGAGAGGGTGGAGGTGGCTAGGTGTTCTTCGGATGGGTGTGTTTTCGGACCACGTGAGGTTTGTTCTGGGCTGTATTTACCTGTTTATGCTTTAGCGAGGTAATCTATACTGTGAGTAGTAGAGCGCCTTGGTCGCCAGCCAGGACAGGTTTTGGTCATTGTTCACAGAGTGCAGCTACAGTGCACAACTACGATGACCAAGTATGAAGACTTGCATTGGCATTACTATCGTAAACTCGAAGTGTCTCCATAGAAACGTTCAGGTCGTTCCGAAAATAGATCCGTTTTCGGAGACAGGGTAGGTTCATCAACGCCAAGTGAGCATCCGAGAAGAAGTCAAGCGTGTTGCTGCCGTGATGTATTATTAGAAGATGCGGACAAACTCGAGTTCACAAAGTAAGCTAGATCTTAGAAGCTGCAATCTAGATGAAGTGGGAAACATGCTCGGATTGCATGACGTGATAGGGATAGCTTGGAATAGATCCGCACTGCCCACGAGTCAATACCGTCTACACCTTGATCACTCACGTGCTGGTATGCCAGGAAAACACACCAGAGCGGCTTGCGTGTCCGGTCAATTTTGTCAAAATGATTCATCCTCAATCAGGTAATGGTGGGTTCATCAAATATCCCTATTCGGGCCTGCGTATGCTTGTCGTAAGCGTGGTTGTTACCATCAAAGTAATTCGTTGTTAGAAACTCTGGTGTATCGCAAATGCGAAACTTGGTATTCTAGCGACCTTGCGAGGAAGGACGAGGCAGTGCTCTCAAGCCAGGATCGTTGTCTCGAGAACACCGCAGGTGTGATTCGCTGTCTACTATTGAGGAAGCATCCGGCCTCGCACTCCTCTACGCTTGCATGACAACCCACGATTAACCAAGGGTCCAGTAACGGATCGTAGAGTGCAAACCTCTAGATGGATAGCCTGATGGTCTTGTCAGGCGCCTGAGAGGTAAACGAGGATATTTTAAGCTTCGTAGATCCTACCTGGGCCTGCTTTCTGGCGGGTGTCGAAGCTTGCCTGCGCCCCATGTCTCGCCCCCACTGTCACTAATGACCTCATTGACGGGGGGAACTACGTTGTCCTGCGGAGAATTGATCGGATACTTTCCCCCTACGCACAGTCTGACAACATGCCGCGGGCCACTGGTCGATTTCCGGACAAGGTGCAGTTGCGCATCAAAAGAAGTTAAAAGCACACAACGTACGTAAGCAGTCGCGCGTTTACACCGTCGTTAGCAAGGCTGGCGTCTGGATGACTGTTCAGGGTTTACGAAACAAGTATGTTGTGATGGCTCGAAGTCCGCTTCGTCTGAGACTTGGGTGTCGTGCGTACGAGGCAACAAACGATGCTAGTCCAGCAGCTCGACTGGATGCCATCATGTGCGCTCAGGATCCAGTAACTCTCGGAAAGTTCGGAATGAGCGACCGAAATAGCAAAGTGGAGCATGCATGGTCCGAGAGTGGAGATGGGACGATGCCAGCGCAAATCCTCGTGGAGCATTGAGGACAATTTTTGAGTTCTGACTCGCTGGGGTTGGCGTCGTGCGGCTCTAAGCGAACAGAATCTGCCTTGCGCAATGATCTGCTCTGAAGCCGGAGTTGGGTATCTCCTTCGGAAGAGCGACTGTTTGAGGTCCAAAATAGGTGTCGTTCGACCGCGCGCATGGTCCTTTAGGTGGGACGGTGGTCTTTGGATCCGATGGGAAGATTTCCGAGCTTGACAGTCTCGCTCTGTTGCAGACGTGTTGCTACGGCCACAACAGCAAACAAGACGGACAGAGGAGCGGTAATGCGTTGAGATGTCTTGGTGCAGCACGCAAGTGATGCGTCAGTGTGGTGACGGGCCCGGGCATGCTGTGCTCAGTGGCGAGAGCGAGTCTCGGCACAATGGCTGGCAGCAGGCCCGTCGCAAGGTGTATGTCTTGAGGATGTTGGAGAGAAGGGCTTCGTTCGTCGAAGGATCGAAGAAGTGAGTGAAGGGACGGGTGACGAGGGGGCCAGGAACGACAGGACCCCACATGCCTGCTTTCCTGTTGCGGCAGTCGCAACCTAGCTCCCTCACCCTGTTTTTGGACGGACAAGATCCGACGTGCTTCTCCACCCACCTCACCTTGTCCATTTTCCTGGGCGCCGGCCCCGACACATGTCGGCTGCGTTCTGCTAACCTCTTCGTTCTGCCAACCTCTGCGTTCTGCTAGCCTCTTCGGGCGCACTTGCAGCTCCATGTTGCGAAACACGCTCGGGCATGAGCATGAACGACTGCACGTCGACCAGCCCGGATCCTGAGCCTGGGGGAGCATCTGGACGACCAAGGCGTGTTCCACCATGGGGACGTCTTCGAAGCTGCTTTGCAGGGCTTGTCATGATGCGAGAGGCCCAGCGACGACGCCGCGTGGGCTGTGGTGGCCATGTCGAAAGCCTCGCCCTGCGCCGTTGGCCATGTTCCTCGATGCGCCGCAAAGCGACCTCGACGTCGACGTCCGCCCGCGTCGCATCCACTCGTGCCGCCAACGCGTGCTGGGCCCGTAGCTGCGTGGCGGCACGCTGGATTCGACCATTGACCGGTGCAAGAGACCGAGTCGCCGGCCCCGAGCGGGGGCTCACGTGAAGAGCGTCGCTGTCCACCGCCCTGGCGAGCGAACGAGGCTCGATGAAACGCTCTGACTCAGACATCAAGTGAGCAAGAGGGCCGGCTGTGGGCTCGCTTCTCGGTCCTATCAAGTCCTAATTATACCTGGCTCGCTGGCGCGTCGTTGCCCGATGCGGCCGCTCTGCACGAACGCCGTCCGGCTACACTCTGCCGGTGTTACGTGCTTGAAGTCGACCGGCCTTTGCCATCTGGCCTGGCACGGGCAGCGCGCTAGACTGCACACCGACACTGCTCTTTTGCGTGCGCGATCGTCGACGCTACGGCCCTGCTGCTCTGGGGAACCGCTTTTTGCCCCCTGCTCTGCCCTGCCCTGCCGCCTCTGATGTCGTCTTACAGCACAGCAACGGGGGCTTCCATGTGTCTGTCCGTCACACAGAGCACCGCACTTCAGCTCCGAGAAACCTGAGGCAGTCGTCCCAGAAAGCGAGTCCTTCTAGAAACCTTCCATCACCGACGCGCCGTTGTCCGGCGCGCAGGGGCAGGCGTGAGCTGCCGCCCGGCTGCAGATGCGCTCGTGGACGACAGTTTGATTGCACGCGCCCTGGGGTCGACCCTAGTCGGACCCGTCAGAGCACCGGGCTGGAGCCAGAGCTTGTTGACTCCCGTCATGGCGGTACGCACCCCAGTCGCAGGGATCTGCTGGTCACTTCCAAGGCTCACTCGACCGTCCACCGCGTTTGTGAACACTTATGCACTCCTGCTGCAGCGGGAGGAAGCAGCCACGATGCGGTCTCCAAAAAGGAACGCCATTGTGAGCGGCCCTTGTCCACTTTTGGGGCCCTCTTTTAGTTGGTCTTCTATTTATCGGAATAGCCTCCCTGAGTGAGATCAATCCTTATCGTGCCTGACAGTACCATCGGCTCTCTCTTTTGCCTGCGCCCTGGAACCATCTCGACACCATACTTCCTTGACTCGCTCCAACATCCATCTTCGGTTTCTAACTTGGTCAACGTTAGGCCCATCCCACGGGCCAATCGTCCCAACCCAGCAACTGCGAGACATCGCGACTCCGCCACTGTCCGCCACACTGCTCCACGGTACCAGCCTTATGTCGCGGAAAAGCATCCATCACTAGACCCTCCTTGAGCTAAACTTACACTCGGACTATTCAGTACAGCCCTACTTGCGCCCTAACCCTCTCCGACTTGGCCCACTTGTTGAAACACACCCGTTGTCACCCTTCACCTAAGCATTTCATTCAAACGCACTGGCCCTCTTGACTGATATACCGTCGCCTCGCCCACACATCGCATCAGACTTCTAAGCCGGTACACAGCACTTTCGCAACACTTTCTCTCCACCCGGCACCACAACACAGTCATGACGAACTTCTTCTCACCGGAAGCCGAAATGGTGCTCATGGCACAGAATGATGGCATGGGCCACCTCTTCCCTTCAAGTTCATGCCAATCGCCTCCGAGCATCATGTACTCGCCGCCTCTACACCACATGACGCATCGACCACCAACAACACAATCTACGAATGGACACGTCTACCCGTCAGGACACGAGTACGCTCAACCTGTGGTGAGCTCACCGTACCCACACCAGAGCTACTGGACATCACAACCACTTCCAATCCCGCAAACGCATGTAACCTATTCGTCTTACCCTCCACTCACCGCAATGAACACGCCCCAGACACTTGCCCCGGACTCGAGATACATGCCACAATCCATGGGCGGCGTTCGCCCTTCGAGATCACTCTCGGCTTCCTCTAGCCTCGGTGTACCCTCAACTCGCGCCGCGGAAAGGTCCCCACCTTCCCTATCACGCTCGCTATCACCAAGCTCTCCAGACCTGAGAGCATACGGATTTCCTAACAAGAACGGCACCTGGAGCTGCGCATATCCTGGTTGCACCTCAAGAGCGGTCTTCACGAGGGGGTGCGACTTAAGGAAACACCACAAGAGGCACACAAAGTCCTTCTTCTGCCGCCATGAAGGATGTCCCTAAGCTACCGGTGGTGGCTTCTCTAGCAAGAAAGACCTCGCGAGGCATGAAGCAAAGCACAATCCAGGCGTTTTGTGTGACTGGGAAGGCTGTGATAGAGTGTTTAGCAGAGTCGACAACATGGTAAGTCAGAGCACCTTACGAGGAAGCGGCAAAGCTTACAGACTAAACAGCGAGACCACGTCAAAAGGATACACCTCAAAGCTTCCAGGAACGGCTCTGGTCCAAAATCGATTGCGGCGTAATCAGCTACTACTATTGTTCTTCTCGGTGGCAATCGTCGCCTTCTGAGACGGCCTGGAGACCCGGTCTCCCGGCGCAGACGATGAGCACGCACATATCGAACCTAACATCCAAACATTGACCTCTGGCCGCACCTGGACCAGGCTGTCTGGTGCAAAAGAGGCTTTGACATTGAAACCTTGGGCCGAGCTCGAAAGTCTGGTACTATTTCCTCTACGATCATTCACGATACCCGATTGCACGTTCTCAAAACATTCACTCTATAGACGTCCAGGACACTGGGCAATGCATAGCTATGGCGTTTCAAGGATTTGCAGGTGGACTGAAGAGGACGTTTGGTCCTTCGGGACCCTTGCAGTGTTTCTGGAAGGTATGGGGTGGTGCCCCAGCATATCATTTGTGCAAGCGTTTTCAGCATTTTCTAGCTACACAGAATTACTCGTGTTCTCTTCTGTCAATATCCCCTGTCTCTCAACTTGTCCGCTATACTGATGACAGCCTGCTCAAGCTCCTCTCACTACTGCAGACCACCCCGCCTCTAAGTCGACATCCTTCCCAGGTCGGCATTGGCGGGCTCGAACGTCATGCCAGGTCTTGGTTGGGTAGCCGCTTAGATCTGAAACGACCGCAGTTAGTGTGGGTGGCCTGACCTTTCGACAAGGCTGATTCGACGCGTCTTACAAATAGGTAGGCATCATTCCCGCACGAATGACATTCGACAACCACGCTACCGCGATAGCTTGCGGAGCTGGGCGTCAATTGTCTCCACGGTGGCAGTTGCTTGGTGGACTGATGCACAAGAATGCATACGCGCTGTTGGCGATTCCTTCGAGTCAAGGGACACTGATTCGATCTTCAAGAACCGCCTTCGCAGTTTTGTTCGCTCGCATTCGATGCCACAACTTGGCTTACATTAGAGCAACGACGCAATCGGACCACGCAGGTTGACGAAAGCGCCAAGGCAAAAAGAGGCGAGCTACCCAACGCCACGGCTTTTCTTGAGCAGCTGCATTTCTTCTACACCGAGGTTGACAGTGCGACACGCATCATACAACAGCACAATGGCCAATGGATTGTTTTCGAGACCAAGAGCTCACTGAGGCTGCCCTGTGCCACACAGATGGGATACATGGCACACTCGACAGCGCCTTCGATACTACATCGCACGGGATACTGCAGCTCTATGTTGCAGGTGAAAATGCTCGTCCCTGGCGGCCTGTGATAGGCCATGCAACACTTGTGGTCGGCGCTTAATCTATACATTGACAGCATATCTGTGCTTGACAACCTTGTTGAGGGGGTACCAGTCGGCGAAGGCAATATAGGTTCCCTTTTCAACCCGGAAGTAATGTTGCGGCTTACGTTGGCTGGAGAAACTTCTTGCTTGGGCTCGCCTGCAGGCACTGTACGCTGTACATGCCCTTCTTGTCATCCGTGAGAAAGCAGGGAACATACATGGAGCCGCGGACAATCTCCCATGCCCCACTGATCCTTCACTGACCACGGTTTGACGCCTCAGCACACGGCAATCGTCGGGCTTCTCGCTATGAATAGGATTAAGCATAACGGCACCTCCCACGCAGCGGGTTTTCCTCCCTCATGGGATGGCCCAGCACAACGGGGCGGATGCACCCGCGGATGCGTGGTCGGCCTGATGAGTTGCCAATCGTTGATGACGGGTCACGTTTTGCGTCGCGTGGCTGATCCTTCGCCTTGGTGATGGTCAACCAATGAGAAACGTGTATGATGCATCCAACCGCATGGGCGGAAATTCCATAGCCTCACGGCCCCACGTCTGAGGAGGAGGAGGAGGAGCATGCGGGCAGCGCCTGGCTTCGTCTCACCCATCTTTCGCCCCATGCATCCCCGTTGGGGCGGGTGTAACTCACGATTCGCTCTTTAAGCGAGGACTTGCACGCGTACGCTATACCTCTTTTGCTTAACCTGCATTAGCGTCGATCATCTACCATGTCAGTTTTGAAGCGAAGAGGCCTACCACCAAACCTACACAGTACCAGACGAGTCTACAGCAATCAGCTATTCACCGTGCGCGAGATGCAGTGGCCCCCACAGTCGTCTTTGCTTCCATCGTCACGGCGAATACAAGCATCGCTGAAGCCGAGCAACGAAGAGCGCAGACCGTGAGACTGTGCGCGCATGAGTGGACAGGGCTGAGTCTGACGGGCCCAGGGTCGCGCAACAGGACAAGCCCTGCTGATTGAGGCTCAACTGACCGTCCGGTCTGCAAGGCGCGGTTGTGTCGCCGCCTGCTTGATGCTGTTTGTGAAATTCCAGCATGCTGAGACGTGTAGTCGCGCAATTCTGAGTATGGGGCTTCGGATGATGCACCGGCGACATGCCGTCATTTGCATCTATTAATATATCACGTCTCTGCGTCGTTAGTCTGCGAAGGCGGGAGGTGGCTATGGAAACGGTCGCGTTTCAGAAAATCAAGCTTTCGAGATGCCGAGAGGGCAATTTACTCGAGTAGCCCCCCTCGGTCGCCGTCCAACATGATCGCCGAACTTCACTTTACGAACGCTTGGCCGTCAGGTCTACTGCTGCGCAGTATTGCCTGCATGAGGGTCTTCGTCGTCGCCGACTTGAGTTTGGACGACAACGCAAGAATGGGGCGACAGCTTTGCAAGTAGGGCTGCATACTTTACGATATCGTACACCTTACTGCGTGGGGAAACTGTCCTGACACTGTGTAGACCTTGAGCGCAGTATACACTGCACACGGACACAGTGCTACTCGTAGTGCGACAGGGCTGAAGTCTCGGGCCTGCGCCGGAACGGAGGATGCAGCCATTCGACATGCGACGACGCTGTACTTTCGCATGGTACTCGTACGGTCTCCACAGGTCGCTTCACTTGTACGTAGCATGCGGACTTTCGCTATGTTCCGAGGTCTCAGTATCTACTCTAGGACCCAAAGAGTAAGAGGCGCGTAGACTGGAGATCTGCAAAATCGGTGCCCCGAGAAGGTCGTGGCATGTCGCTCGGCGCTTCCGATAAGTTCTCTGGGCAGTTCCAATTTGCGCGCTGCAGCGCTCGCAAAAGCTGGTAAACCTTCAGCCCTGAAGTGGAGCTCCCCGTCTTGGCCGTAACGTGACGGCCGGCTTACTCGAGCACGTACGCTAGTCCCGGATTCGCTCTGTGCGACTGTACCTAACGTACTGCGCACTCCACGTCCACCTCACTGTGTAGAAACTTCTCCTCGACATTGCTCAAGCGCAAAAAGGGGCCTCTTCGTGGGCGCATACGCACTCACACGCGCCCAATAGACGGGAATGGTCTTATCGCTTGGGCTTAGGCCCATCGCGGTATGGTTCCCCCTCCATCCAGAAGGGACGCGTAACGAGGCGAACCCAAACAAGACATCGTGAAAAGCACGAGTCGACATTGCTACGTGATCATCCCCACTGCCTCGTAAGACCTCGCAAAACCTCGTAAGGTCCTCGTAAGCTTGCCGCGGCAATTGTACGAAACTTCTGCTTGTTGTCGTACATGCGACAAGTGTAGATTCTGGTTAATACAAGCCTGCAGCCAGGCCGATATCGCGCTACCGCCTCTGTAGGAGCGGTGACTCCAACATGCACTCCCTAGCTTCTTTCCTTTCGTTGTCTCTTCTCGCATTCGATCCAGTGACGGCTACACCTATTTTAAAGAGGGAGCATGCAATCCATGGCAATGCGAACTACATCTTCAACGCGATACACTCGTCGGTGCGCCAATGGGGGTCCTCACTCAATCACAATGGCATGTCTTTCTTCATGGCCACCGTACCAGTAGGTACACAGTTGTACCATGGAACATCAAAGAAAGAGGAAGTAAAGGGCATGGAGTGGCTGGCCTTTGAGCCAGAGCATGCGCTTGTGTTTGCGAGACCGAGAGGTCCACCTCGAGGCAAGCGCCCAGGTCAGGGTGACGAGGACGACCATGAGAAGGAACGGCAAGAACTACGAGGCCGGAGGGCAGCTGAGAATGAGGACGACTGTGAAATGAGGCCCGATCCGTGGTCAAGACAGGGTCACGCCCATATGCCTGCACCGCCTGAAATTCAAGGTCCTCTGCATCATCCACCGCCTGGACACCCCCACGGCCCAGACAACAACTCCCCTCCCACCGGGCCACCACGAGGACCGCCGCCGCATCACGACTCGCACCCGCCACCTCCACCTCCTCCGCACCATGGCGAGCAATCCACCGCACCTCCGCCAGTACACGACGACGAACGTCAACGCCTACTGACAGATGACGAGCCACCACAAAACCCTCCCAGCCGTGGAAAAGGTTACCTCCATACCTACATCCCAACGCGCCCCTTGCGCCTCCTCTATGTCGATGGCCTTTCAGCAGGCAAGACCTCAAACGGCACCCTAGACTCGCAGGACATCCTACTCCTGAACATGACCGCACCGCCCGGCTCCCCTATGGGCGGTGAAATCGCCCGCGCGCGTAGACTGTGTCATCTTGCCTCCACGCTATGGGATAAGAAGATCGACGGCGTCCTGCGCATGGAAGCTGGGTTTGAGATTATCCTTTGCGAGTTTGAGGGCACGGTCAAGAGGAAGAGCGTCGTGGTGTATGATGGAGAGAGGGATGAGAGTCCTGGAGGGCCTCCTGGAGGGAAAAGGGGAAGAGGTGTGATGGGTGGGTGGAGGTATATCAAAGCTGTCAGCGAGCGGTTTCATGGGATTGGCGGGAACAGAGTGACGCTGGACTACGAGAGGTTCGTAAGCGTGTTTGCGTATGATGATCAGGAAGAGGAGGGGATGGGCCTGTGGGACAACGATGTTGTGAGCGACACGCCGCATCCAAGACTTATTAATGCATTACCGGAGCAGTTAGAAAAGGTCCGGGACGCAGTCACTAGGATGGTTCTTGAGAAGAGCTGGGAAGAAGAGGGAAGAGACTGGCAGGCCGTCGCAGACATGGTGGTTAAGAGATATGGCGAGGCGATACATTATCTGCATACCGATGCTTCCGTCCGTCGCAGCAAAGAGGCCTTCGCCACCTACCTATCTGCGCTACTACGGCCCTTTGTATCTCCCTCAGCGCGCAACGCTACCCTCGAAACTGAGCGTTGCGTCGCTCAGGTCATTCCGCCATTCCCGCTCCCTCCGCACAAATCCGCATCGCTCGCACACACGACGCTCCATACCGTCACAGCCCACATCTGCAGCACGCTCATTAATGCGCTCGACGCATCAACACTGACACTCTCGCGCTCTCTTGCAGCCACATCTAGCCCGCCTTATCACGCGCTTGACCTCATCGATGGGCTGGTTATCCGTTTACAGTGGACGATGTGGAAGGAGTGCGGTTCGTGTGCCGACGATGAAGTTTGCTTCATTCCGATCTGGCCAATGGGCAGTTTAGAGAACCATAAGAACCCGCAGTGTGTTAAGGAAGATGGCGTAGGAATGGGCTATTGGGGTGGTCGAGGGGGACCGCCGCCGGGAGAGGGCCGCCCTGGAGAAGGTCGTCCGGTACATGATGATCCTACGCATGCACGCCCGGGACCTGAGGGACCGAAGCTGAGAAAGCATCAAGGTACGGAAGGATCGGGTCGCCCATCTTCAGCTCATGGTGGCCGAAAGCATGACGATTGGGAGCATGACGGCTGGGAGAAAAAGGGCAGGCATGGCGACAGACCATGGCACGGTGGTCGAAAAAAAGTTGAACATTGTACTCCGCGGAAGCATGGTGTTCCTTTGAACCACGCTCCCGACCGCTTTCACGGCGGCTGGGACCGAGGAGCATGGAGCCTGTTCAGAGGAAGTCTCATGCAGGTGGTAGAGTGGTTCGGTTCAGAACCGCACAACGTTGAAGTGAAGGTGAACTTTGTAGATACCCATACTCGGTAGTGGTGACGCTGGTTGTGCAACGGCAGATGAAGACGGCAGCTACTTCTTCGCCCGCATCCCGCCAGCTTACGGCCTGTACATGTCGCATAATGTGCCTTTTTCTAGGCAGCCGTTTCATTTGTTTGAATATACCTCGCTTCCAATTTCTTACCTATTGACAGACCGGTCGAACGTCCCGATTCGTATGATGTGCAGTGAAGGGCGTTGAATAATCACCAATTAGATGAGATATGTGGTTGTTGAAGTTGCTGCTGACCGGACCATGCTACCTACAGTATAGAGCATAGGCGTAGCGTACGGGCCATGAAGCCACGTGGGGCACAAACGGCGGAATCTCATACCCTATACAACCATCGTGCATATGGATTGAAGTAAGACATCTCAAACAGACAAGCTCAATGCTTGATCGCAAAGGTCTTCGAATCAGTGATCGTTGAGAGAATACCGAGGCTAGTAGCTAGGATTAGACGAGCGTAAGACGGTTGTTATTCCACCAAGATCAATATCCAGCGGCAGGGGGGCTCTTTACGAGGGGACAACGATCAACGGAAAGCCGGGCGGTCAGCTCTCGATGCGAGGCAAATTTCATGATCGTGTCTGGATGCTGACATTAACAGCAGACTGCTGACCCGCCGCGCAACGTCTGGTCTGGTACGGGTAGGACCGTAGGTACTATGGCCTTACACAGTACATGATCCTGACCACCATCGAGACATGACGAAACGGCAAGCTGCGGAAGGACCCGAAAACCAAGCTGCTTGTCAACACATACGTTCCCAAAATTCTGCACATAGGTGTCAGACTACAGAGATAGCTCGTGTGGCCCTGGTATCCTGGTGTCTTGGAGATAGACTGCCAAAGGTGGATGCGCCTGGACCACATGGTCGCGCAGCATGCTCAAAACGGAAGCCGTTCGTCGGTATCTCAGTACTCCGATAGCGTACCGATATCGACAATGTCATACTAAATGTAGCGGTAAGACTAGCTATTGCGAAACGGCGTGACCATAGATGTAGCGGTGGCAGTGATACATCGTCAAAAGAGTTGGTAATCTTGGTGTAAATCCATGGTACGCCATCAGCTAATGGAAAAGGTCCACGAAAGTCATTATGTGGCGACGATTTTTCGGCGTCCGCAAAGATCAAGCAGTGCGTATGATCTGTAGTCCAGCGGTCAAACCGAGGATCTGGATGACTTGCATCTGCACCGTACAGAGACCCAACTACTACGGCAGAGCTGCGGGACGATGATTGACATAGAGTCGGTGTGGACACTTTTGGAAACTTCGGTCGTGCTTAGTGGTGAACGTCGGAAACATCATCGCGCCAAGTTGCCTTGCGAGTGAGGTGGGCAATGATCGCGCGGGTTCCACAGCGCCTGATTGGTTGTCTCTAACCATAGATGCGTAGGGCTGATTATAATTGCAAGCTAAACTAGAGCCAACGGTACCTGGCGGTGTCGAAAGATGAAAACATGATCATGCAGTCGCGTGGTACCGTTGGAGGCGTCGGCACTGTCACCGAGGCGGACATTGCAAACAACGGCGGAGGCACGACCGAGGGGCTCGCAGTACTGAACTAAGGGTGGAGCAGTCTAAACACTCAGAAAGAAAGGTTTTTTGATTGCTAAACAGTTCTTGGTAAATGCCATTGTTGGCAGGACGGCGTCACGGCCTCGCGCTCGAACTTTGGAAAAAGACCCGTCAAACTAGAACTCCGTGCTAATGACTCTCATCGAACGCGCATGAAGCTAAAGAAATCTGCGTACAAAAGGGATTTTGAGTGTGCCGGGCGGGTATGTTTGATCTGCCGGCTTTCAGTGATGGTAAATCCAACGAGCACGTCTTTATGCTCCATCATGAGTACGAAAGGATGACCCAATGAGGGGTACTGTTTCTCTTTCAGCTGGGATTGTTCGGCGCCAGGATTGAGTTTTGGGCCCAGTGAAACTCGGTCAATCGCGTGTCCGGGTGACTGCAGGTGCAGGTGGAAATGGAGAATCAGTACTGTGGGCCATCCTTTGATATGATTGTCTGTTCCAATGTGCCAGCTCAGAGTAGATCGCGCACTCCGGAGGCTCCAATCTTTACAGTGAGAGACTGCATGCAAGAGGAATGCTCATTGAGCCTTCCTATCATTTTCTGTCTATGCTGACCGCAGTGCGATGCAGCCCTTAGCTACTAACATATTCCTGCAGCTGCGACAACCAAGAGTATAGAGGCCTAGCGAACCAGATAGCTTCTCTTTGGGCGTCCTTTGGCTGATCTGTGCGTAAGGATATGCCGATTCATCATCCTGGGGCTAGCATCCCACAATTCCGTAGAAAAGCGGCGTGGCTGTGATGTGGCCTGGGGTGACTCCCTCGTTGAGATGGCTTCTAATTTTGGCATGGCATTGCCTCAGTGATGCGGTCGAACAAACGTCGATTCCAGAGTCCATGCTTCAGCCAGGACGAGGACGACCATCAGGGCCAAACCCCGGGAAATGGTTGAGACCATCAGGTGGACTGTTGAGCAATGACCAAAAGCCATATATTATAGCAACAAAGAAGGATATGACGACCAAATGTCCTACCCATTCGTGCAGCCCAGTGTCAGATGCTGATGTTTCGATTTCGGTGCTTGCCGTAGATGAGTCGTCTCGCTCTTGCCAAGTGCCGTAGTTGTATGTTGGGGGAACCCCGCCTAACAGTGGATTCGTGGCATCATCGTAGGATGGAGGGGGCGCATCGGGCCCATCATGATATCCTGGCGGATCATGGTGACCCGGCAGAGGGCCGTCATGGATGGGGTGGTGATGATGTGCGGATGGCTCCCACGCTGGCGGGGGTTCAGGGGCAGGGCCATGTGAAGGCTGCGACTGTCAGTATCTCTGGGCACAAGGCGATGGCATGGTCAGGTTATAGCATACTGGTGGATGATGGTCCATGGAGATGGCGGATGGCGCGGCTGCAAGTAGCCGGAGAAGCTGCGGGATCCGGAGCTTGTGTGGGGTCAACCGTCAAGTTGCTGGAGGCTTGAGGCTCCTGCCGCGCATACGCCGGGACGGAAAAACGAGATGCCGAGCACTCGTGTCAGGAAGGCGCGACGGTCTTTGAAGCTCACCTGCCACCAGGCAGACGCGAGAAGGACGCTTCAATTGCTCCAGCCAGCATGTCCAGTGCGCCCGATCCGCTCTACAGACATCGCATATATTGTCCGGCCCAGGATGGCTCATGATTCTTCTGCTAATCTCCAGATATTCTCGCCAACGGGCTCCGGTCGCTCCTCACCCTCGCCCCGCGTAACGCGCAACCACGCCGAAGACGGTACGTCACAGTCAACAAATGGCTGCTTGTACATGCAAGCTTACTGAAGCTTGACAGCGCTGCAGAAGAAGGACAAAGGCTTCCGACGCTATGCAGCTGGTGTCGAGCGCGCACTCGCACTGTGGGACACGGCACAGCAGGAATGGGCTGACTACATATCGTTCTTGGGGAGGCTTTTGAAGGTCAATATGTCCATCTGGCTCTTGGAGGAATTGCGCTCATGTGGCTGTGTTCCAGGCTCTGCAGTCTCATCCTTCCGAAACAACGGTTATTCCCCATAGCGATGCAGTCGCACTCCGATTAGCGCAGTGCTTGAATCCAACATTACCCTCTGGAGTACACCAGAAGGCGCTGGAAGTGTATTCGTACCTGTTCGCAACCATTGGTGTATGCCAAATCCAGTTCCTGTAGCCTACGTATGCTGACCCAAGCCCAGAAAGATGCGCTTGCTCGTGATCTTGGTCTCTACTTCCCAGGACTGTCCTCAGTGCTCTCTTTTGCCTCGCTCTCGGTCCGGCCACTCTTCCTAACCGTATACGAGAGCCACATTCTGAAGCTCGACGGGTCAGCCCTTCGCCCCGCGCTCAAGGCTGTCATCCTGTCTTTGCTCCCAGGGTTGGAGGACGAAACTAGTGAAGACTTTGAGCGCATGGTATCTGCGCTCGACAAGCTACGTGAGGCTGTAAGGAGTCGTTCGGAGGGAGTCTCAGATGCAAAGACCGAGGCCGGTTCGTCGCACTTCTGGCAATGTTTCTTCTTGGCGGCCATCACAAACGCATCCCGCAGGCAAGGTGCTCTTGCCTATCTTGTGCGGCGCTTGCCAAAGTTCAGCCTTCCACAACGGCGTGCATCCGTTGCGACAGACTCCGGTGCGCTTTCCGAAGGGCTGTTGGTCGAAGCTGAAGCCGCCATTACTCCAGAGCCGGGTTTGCTTATTCGATGCTTCGAAGCTGGTCTTTCTGATACTCAGCTATTGATACAGCGAGGCTTTCTCGATTTGCTTGTTACGCATCTGCCTCTAGACTCTCCCGTACTGCAGGACCGAATCGGCAAAGAGGATCGAGAGCGGATTGTAGCTGCTGCTGCAGGCGTTGTTTCGCGGAGAGACATGAGTCTGAATCGAAGGCTGTGGGCCTGGTTTCTCGGCCCCGAGCCGGCACCCGATCTGGATCGCAACGACGCTGTTGCATCACCGATGCAAGACAAACACGGCCCAGCATCCGACCCAGCAGCCTACCATGCCGCCTATTTTTCGCACTTCGGTCTTGAAGCGCTGACTCAGAGTGTGTTGAAGATGATCAACAAACCTACCAAACATCCTGCTGAGCGCGCAAAACCGTTTCGTGTGTGTCTGTCTCTCATGGACCGGTGGGAAGTCGGAGGTTTGATTGTGCCGGAGATATTTCTCCCCGCATTACAAAGCATCGAGTCTTACAGTGAAATAGCTACGAAAGCTCAAGTCGACGAGGTCTTGCGAAGCGCAAGTACGTTCTTTGATGGCGTCGACAGCGGACTGATCTGGGGCAAATTGATCCAATTAGTCACGACCTCGCTGGAGCCGGACTTTTCGAGCCCACGAGAAGCTCTTCGACATATGCGATTAGCCAAATTTGTCCTGTCCCGCTTCAATCTCAAAGAAGAAGACATGCTGCTTCATCACATGCCACTGATGGTCTTCTCCGCACTCGCAGCATTGAACAGTAAATCCGGCAGTGCTTCGAGCCTATCCACCTATGATCGAGAAGTCGTAGATCTTGCACTTGAAATCATCGACTCGCTCATTCAAATCGTGCCTGATCGAGCGATTAGGGGATCCCAAAAGCACAAGAGCACCGATGGCACAGACCAAGCAAAGAGTGTTGCTCTCGAGAAAGTACAAGCCTTCTATGATGAATCCCAGGGCAGTCTGGATATGGTAGAACCCCCTTTCACCGCCCCCCAACTTGGTCACTTGATTATCGAAGAATCAACGCGAATGTTTTTTGCCTTTGTTCAGCTCCACCCCGAGATCTCTGCGGAGACGCCTTCCAAGATACTGGCAAATGCTATCGTCAAAGTCCAGCAATTCGACGTCCTGAACGACATGGAACCGTTCGCAGTGATTCAACACGTCCTGTCAGCGCCTGCCAGCAAAAGCGGTCCACCACTAGCATTTTCTCGCCTAAGTGCAGTCACCACCGTTCTTACTGGCCTACAGATTGCGAAACCTTCGGACCCATACATTAGCGAATCTCAGATTGGTGAGATCATCCACCCCTTGGTTGCTGCCTTTTGGCAGTATCTTTCACCGTTGATGCCGAAATACCATGTAGAGGCTGTGAGGTGCATACTGCAGTTACACAATATGTCGCCTTCAAATCGTGTTGTAGAAGCAGCTTTGTCATCGATTTTGGTGCATCACACGCTGGAAGGGTCATCAAGCCTTCACTCTGCTGATGCCAGTCGTCGATTTGCGGTGATCTGGACCCATACTATGTATGAGCTCAGCTTGCAGTCGGAGAAGCGCGGTACTTTATCACGTCGCACGAGTGCAATGAGTCTCTCGAGCCTCGCCACCCAGGAGGTCAGCTTCCACTCCGTGCTCTCAAGACCGCTAATGCTCCTCCTGGATCTGCTTGGTGAAGAAGGAACTGAGGCCGTCGCTGTGATCAGCACTTGGCTTGAAGATCTTCCAACTCTCAACAAGGTCTTCGAGGTACTAGTCACTCATTTGAAATCCCTTCGATGCTTGTCCAACACCGACAGTCTGGCTCCTGGTATAGCGCAGCATCCAGGAAGCTCACAATTCACGGGAGACGACAGCAAAGATTGTCTCTACTATCTAAAACATATCCACAACATACTGAAACGACCCTCGCAACACACTTGGGCGACGCTAGCTGAAGAAGCCGGTCTACGTCTCAATGAAATAACACCTAGGATATCATTGCAAGAGTGGATCGTAAGGAATTGCCTGAAGACTATCTCTCTGGATAATAAAAAGGAAGATACCAGAAAGCCAGCACATTTGGAAGAGCTTTACCATGTGTCCGTTGACATCATCTCTAGAATCTACGGCAGTCCATTCGCGCTAGCTTTAAGGGACTTGGAGCTTGAGATTCCTCTGATGGCTCGTCTAAGGTCAGCTGGCCCTTCGCTGCAAAGTCTGCTACTCGGCGCCTCTCTACATGCACTGCGACTACGTCTCACTCGACAGAAAGAGGCCCAGATACCAGAGCAAAGACTCCAGAGCTCTGCATCTCACAAGTCAAGGCTATCTCTGGCTACCAATAGGGACTCCGTGGAAGTTGAACCTGTGCCTGTTCCGCCACCGCCTCAACTAGTAGACATTATCAAGTATGGATTCTCTTCCTCGACAAGTCGCCTTGTTTTAGACGATTGGGTTAACTTCCTTGTGGAGGTGCTCCCGCTCTTTGCAGATGCCATTTTCCAAAATCTACTTCCCCTAGTGGAGTGTTTTTGCAAGGAAATCCAGAATACGTTCGAGCAACTGAAGGGTGTCTTTTGTATCAAAGAAAACGCCGAACAAATCTCGCCTGAGACAACTCTCATATCCCTCATTAACGGATTGGAGCAGATTCTTGCTAGGGCACATGACCGTCTCATGATGCAAGAGACAAAGTCTGTAGCCAACAAATCACCAGAGCAACCTCAAGGCTTTTTTGGCAACATGGTATCAGGGGTATTTGCATCAGAGGCACAGCAATCACGCACGCCGACAGCTAATAGCAGACTAACCGTGTTGCTCTGTTTCCAAGACACTGTACGCATATGCTTCGCTATCTGGTCGTGGGGAGGTTATGCGACGAGCGGCGGACAACACGATCCGACATCGGCTTCTTCATTTGGTTATACCTCCTTGCGCATGCGAAATCGAGCGAGACGAATATTGGAACATTTATTCGCTGCGGAGGCGCTGGAATGCTTGGAGACGCTCATTGTGTTGTGGTCCCATTCTCCCAAAGACGATACCCAAGTAGAAGCCATCATGGGTCTTCTCAACGTATTGAATGGTTCAAAGCCAAAACACACCATTCCAGCAATCTTTAATGCTGTATACAGTCGAACAAATCCAAACGCCCTCGACCCCAACCGCATGTCTACCCTGACATCCGACCTTACAGATACGGACCTTGTTGCTTTCTTGGTTGACTACACTAAGTCCCTAGAGGATGATGCCATGGACGAAATATGGCAAGATTGCACTCTTTTCCTGCGAGATGTTCTCGCAAATCCACTTCCTCATAGGCAAATATTGCCGCTGCTCCTCGAATTCACGGCCGTCATCGGGCAAAAGGTCGACAACACCAACTTCGGCGAGCAACGAAAAATGAGGAAGGAGCTAGCAGTATGTAACTAAAACATAGAATTTGATCGACAATGCTGACTTGAGCACAGGACATATTCCAGCGTATACTAACTGCTGTCTTCACCACACGTCCAATGGGCCACTTTCAGGAGCCCAATTCCGGCCAGGGAAATGCCAAAGCGTCAGAGAAGCTTTATATTTCCACAAACAGCGCCCTCTCGCAGAAGCGTGCTGCGGACATAGTTACTGTATTGAACGCCATAGTTCCACATCTTCCCATAATACTTGTGGAAAACGAGCGCGTCTCAACCGTGGCGACAAACATCGCCACTTCGGTCATTGGCCCTACCTTTCGCACCAAAACTTTCCCCGAAAACGTATCGAGCGGCGTCCTAGACCTGCTCCAATCATTAGCCAGAGTCGCACAAGGCAACAAGTTTTGGAAGAAGGAACTCTACGACGCTTTCAACGACAGTCGATTTTTCAGCACATCTTTGCCCCTGCTCAGAGACTCCTGGCTGCCCATTTTAGCTCAATGGGCACACTCCGATAAAGATCGTTTACCAGAATTGCTAAGTAGACTGAGTGCGCCCACGACAGCAGGCATAATGTTCGGCGTAGGCGCGTCTTCTGCCCGTCAAGAAGCAGATCGCAAGACGCAACTCACGCTCCGCCGCATCGCGCTCCTTGTCTTGTCCAGCGCCGAAGATGCGTTCACTTCAAACGTCCCAGCCATCATGTCCTCGGTCACGGAACTCCTAACCGCGACCCCCGCGTCCTCACCATCTTCAATAACCCGCGCAGATGTCTTCATCCTTCTCCGTGCACTCATCCTCAAGACATCATCTATCCACCTAGCCTCCTTGTGGCCGACTATCAACGCCGAACTTACATCCGCCTTGAGTAGTCTACTTCCCGATGCGACGAACAGAGAGCACTACAACAATGCAGGCATCATACAGGCATGCAAATTGCTGGACGAGCTCGTTATCCTCAATCCAGATGATTTCCAGCTCATCGAGTGGCTTTACATCTGCGACACTATTGACGCCGCATATCCGACTGACGCCGCCACCTCTTCGTACCCTGCCAGTCTTGCAGACGAGATATCACAAGTGCTACAAGCCACCGGATCTTCGATTTCACGTCCGATGACACAAAACGCGACCGAGGACGGTGGCGAACCGCAAAGGATGCTGTTCTTGGATCCGCTCATTGAAGCGTTGGAGAGAGAGGAGGGTGCTGAAGTGATCGAGATGGCGAGGGGCGAATTGATTGATAGGGTTGTGCGACCTTTCTTGGGGAGCCTGGGTATGTTGGCTTTTGAGTCTACGTATGGAGGTGGGGAGATAGACGTGGATAGTGTTTGGGCGAGCGTAGTAGCTGATGCTAGGGGTGTAGAGTAGTTACAATAATTATGGGGAGATTGCGTCCCTTTCGTGTACGGGTGAGTTGATGCCGTTGAATGTTACATCAGTATACTTGTGAAGTTGTACAAGAAGATATAGACCAGGAGTAGGTTCTGTCTACTCATGCACTAAAAGAAACGAGCTATGGAGCTCTACTCAATATCACGACAGACGTACATGTCTTGCGCCTCGCGGCATGCTCCATCTATCACCAGCCACTCTCGACTACTACTCCCTCACCGCTAATGCACTTTTCATGTCCTCCACCGGCCAGCCCTTTTCATACGTATACTCGGTAGCCACATCCGACTTCATCCAAGCTCTCTTACTCGTATATAACTCAAGCAACCTACAACTAACATCAACCACAAACTCCGCCGGCGCCCCACTCGCCACCCTCCTCCATTCTCCCACCGCCTCATCTGCCCAAGTCAACGTAAAATCCACCACGAATTCCTTCAACAAGCTCCTCCTCACTGACCCGGTATTCTCGTACACCCAAGTAATCGCCTCTTCCTGAGGTGTCCCCGCATCACCGTCCTTCAAGATCACAGGTACGATGTTGGCAAAGAAGGTGGCGTCTTTGAGCTCGAGAGCGAGGAGGAATGCTTCATAGAGATAGATAGTGAAAGACGTGCTGGGACTTGGAATCGTGGAGTCGAGGGAGAGGGAGAGGGAGAGGCGGTCAGGTGGGTCTATGGTCCAGAGACAGTAGAGGAACAGGGCTTTACGGTCGACGTTCAAGTGCACGACCGGGTAGCGTGGGTCAACTGGGGTGGATGGTACTGTCGTAGCTGGCTGTAAGGGTTGCGACAGGGTGCCGGTGGGTTGTCTGCTGGGTGCGTCATTCTTATGAGTTGCACCCTTATTTCGGTGGAGTAGAGCGAGAGAGGGTTGAGTCTCGCGGAAGAGCTTGTGCTTGAATAGTTCGGACGTTCTGACCAGCGTATCTGTGTTTATCTTGAACACTTCGTCTGTGTCGCGTGCTTGTAGCTGAATGATTCTACCACTGCGATAGTCAATTATAGTTTTCACGCCATCGAGATGTGTAGGCGCAGCATACCTGGGAGCGAGCTTCGTTGGTAAAGGTGTCCTTCGCTTGCGGGGAGACGTCGCAGTGTCCTGATTAGTGTCCGCGAGAACATCGGTACAAGATTCACCTTTCCGCTTGTGAGAAGACGATCCTGCGGGCGGGGTGCGTACATTGTCCAGTGACGACTCCTGCCTGGATATCGGAGCCGGGCTTGAAGGCATTTGAGTTCGTGCCATGGACTCGTGACTTAAAGTGCTACCTGAGCTTAGGGTATCCTGAGTATGAGGCGTGCGTCTTGGGGATGACATGTTGGAAATGGTGGATCTCCAACGACCTATAGTGTTGAAGATTGTGGCTCTAGGGAATCCACGGTGAATGAAAATGCAATGCAAGGATGTGTTCTATCATAAGGGTGCGAACGCCGCTTTGGCCTGTGCTAAGCATCAAACTTTACTCGGGTTGAAAGCAAAGCTTCGCGCTGTCGTAGACATTTTGCTTCTACATATCATGCATCGGATTCCATCTGTAAAAATTCAGAATGAGAGTCAATGACACAAACAAATTCACAGTTCTTGATAATATAGGTTCGAATGTGATCTGGTTGAGATGACCTCGGGACCAAAGAGTATATTGTGTGGCCTGTTGAAGTTGATGGCGCAATCAAAGTTGCAAGGCGGATAGCCTGCGGCACTGTCTTTTCGAGATACCTTAGATAAAAGAAATGCCAGATTAGCGAAGAATCGAAAGGCCGTGGTCCTTTGTCAATAACCCAGAGTGGACTAGATACCACCTGCCGCCTAAACTATATGAGCCTTGAGCCAATCACCACTCGTGATAATCTTACGTGATCAAGCTCCTACACTATAGTGCCATCTCATCCCTTCTTCCTCCCAATGCTGTTTCTCACCAACGAGTTTCCAGTCTGCCCAAAAGATGCCTCTCAACTCACTTCCGCCCGAATTGACTGTCACTATCTTCGAGCTGCTGGACCCTTTCTCATGCTTCGACTTCGCGCTCACCTGCAAAGCTCATTGGAACCTCAGCAACATCCTCCTTCAGAAGCACCAGCGACTATTCGCCGAAAATCGTGTAATCGATGCCAGAGACTCGGCATACCCATATCAAAACCACGTCCTATGGGACAAGTTGAAAGAGATATTGGACAACCCGGTCGTTGGGGAGTACGTCCGCGAGATCAGTTTACCCAGCTCTCGCGCGACATATTTAGATGGAAACGCATCACATGATTTCCAGCTCACCGCCCAGAGTGCACGACTGCCACAAGAAGACTTTGGTCGATATGCTGTGGCGGGTCACCAGATCGAAGAACTATATGAGTCGGCGAACATAGGTCTCACACCTAATGGCAGCACCTGGGACGAATGGGTTTCGAAAGGTTCTTCTGAGCCAATTGTTGTAATGCTTGTGCATCACATGCGCTACCTCAAGACGTTCCGCTTTACGGATCTGGAGATGAGTGCAGTCTTCATGAGATGTCTATGCGCTATTGCAGTGTCATACGGCGCCTCCGGCAACCCTGCACTTGCTCCGAAACTACCCCTCCAGCACCTTACAACGGTAGCAGTTGCGCACTGGGATACCGAAATGTCGTGTGACTTCGACTGGTGCATAATCTTCTGCGCTATACCTAGCGTGCGCAACTTCATAACGCATGCTATGGGGGGCGATGATGTCGGGCCCAGTCTTTTTCAACCTGGGTCATTACCAAATTCGAATGTCAGGGAGCTGGTATTTCATTACTCGCGTTTCGGCACATCTGCCCTTGTAGCAATCCTGGAAAACACACCATTTCTGGAAAGAGTAAGCTATGAAATTGCTAGTACAACTGTGGATGAAAGTGTGATGCCTACACCAAGGCAAGATCTGAAAGCTCTTGTGGAGCATGTCGGCCACTCATTGCAGCATCTTGTCCTTGAGATTCTTGATTATGGCTACGAGGAAGTACGTCTTCCCCAAAATGTTAATGAGTAGATGTGCTGGTGTATTAAACGATTGTGTAGTTTGAAGACGATCTTTCACAAGTGTCGCTGCGCGGATTCCAGAAGCTCAAAACCCTGCGAATCGACTGGCGCTTCCTTTGGCCTGTGGACATGGTTTCATTTTCTGAAGAGGAGAAGTCCGATGGTGGCTTTTATGAGGAAGAGCCGAATGCGAACAACGACTTCGACCCACGAAGTCTGCTTCCAGCGTCGCTCGAAAAGCTCTATCTCACTGGTTCTTTCACCAAGGAGGAAAAGGAGGAAGTGTCTAAGATTCGAGAAGGGCCCAGCGAATTCACGCCGTTGCTGAACAACATAAACATCAGAGATACGTCGGTACGATTCGAGGATGAGGATGTCCCGGGAATCCATGCAAATCCGCTGATGAAATATCTAGAGGGACAGGGGTGAGTGCCCACCTCGGAAGATGATGGTTCAAGCTAATCGTTCCAATCAGCGATCACTAAGAGGTGCAAAACATCGCAAACCATATGCAAAGGGTATATACCAATCGCAACTCGAGCGAAAGCTTCCATAAGAGCCCTTCATGGCTGAACGACGTCTACCCTGTGTGACTCCGGGCTTGACTAATCAAATTCGAATGCCCATGATTGGACCGAAAGCTACGGTCTCATCGCTCTTGTTGACCGACCACCACAACTCGCAAGTATTCTCGCATCTTCAAAATGTAATGATCAACCTGTCCAGGGTAGCGGGCGTACAAGATTGGCACCTTCTCAACATGTACGCAAAGTGAATCGGCATCTATGGAGCAATCCGTAGTTGAATTAAACCAAGCAGCCTGTGAACATGACCACGTTCATCAAGGCAGTGGAGATTTGCAGACTCTCTCATAATGGTAATGAATTCAAACCCGGGGGTTCCGTCGGGATCTTCACTAGATTTGGATCGCCTCACGAATCTGTTTCAGAATAGTTGTATGGCTGGGGCCCAATGTATGTCGTCACGTTCAGACCATTTTGGAGGATGAGATCCACAATCTTGGAGTCGACGCTTTTGCTGCCGCAGCAGATAACTAATTTCTCTGCAAGGATAAACTCTTGTTGGATCCATAGGCTTTTCCAATAAGCATGCAAGAGTAGATTGGCCAGGCCAGACCTCTATAGTCCTTTGATTCACAGAGCTAAGGATCCTCTCGGAGTTGTGCAACAGGTCCTGCAGATATCCGATTGCCATGTCGGTGACCTCTGTGCCGGGGCCAAGCTAGACCACACCCTTGGCAGCCTTGCGATGTATTTGGTCTTTTAGAGCGACTTGATGATTGCGCTCCTCGAAGTTCTACTGATCGACCGAAATTGCCTTAATCCAGAGGTTCTGAGCGTTCCCCGTTGCTCACTTGGTGCAAAGAGTCCCATAGACTCTTACGCACAAGGAATCGTTACTTGTTGAGCGTTATTTCGAAGGAAGATATCGCTCTCCCCATGTGTAGGATAGTGTTGTGAATTCTCGTTGTTCCAGCTGCACGTTCCGCAACGTACAAGCTATAGTAGTTTGGGAAGACCCGGAAAGCAGCTTGATCAGACGGATATAGTTCGTCCTCGAGTGTCTTGTAGAGGTTCTGTACACGGAATATAGGCCGTGTGACGATTAGGTTGCATCGTGATATGGGATGGAAAGTTAACGGCAACCGACTTGAGCGGCGGCCTGTAATGTGGACAGAGGTGAAGCCGGAAGGCGAAGGCCAGCGCAGCCAACACTATGACAAGAACTTGCTAGAAGACGACATCGAAACTATCCAAAGAGCACGTGTCAAATATCTACTTGCCCCCGATGTAAATCATAAGCTGAGTGGCTGATCAAGCTGATGCTCGGCGTTCCCGTGGCCATTGGGCGGCATTCTGGCTGGAAGTACAGGGAACCGCTTGATGTAAGGTCGAGAATCACCAAATGTAGTTTCTAAACGACTGGATGACATCAGTGTATTCGATGAACCACAAACGGGTTCGAGTCACCTTTGAGGATCCCCGGCCGGACCCACACTATACCCGAACCAACGATCACGTGTCGATAAGATAAGCCAACATTCATCCCCAACTTTTTTCCACCTCTCCAAAAACATAACAACATGGCGCCAGCAAGAGGAGCAGTAGGCGCAGAAAAAAAGGGCCGTAAGAAGAAGAGCAAGAGCCGGACGCAGAGTAAGTTATGCGCAAGTTTGGACAAGGCATTGCTGATCATTGTAGTCGAAATCTCGTCTTCAGAAAGCGAGGGCGACACGCCACAGCAGAGCAGCAAGAAGTCCAGCAAAGCCAGCGCAGTGGTGGGTCCATGTGTCCCATATCTTCTCTGCTGAGACGGTTCTTACATAAGTAGCCATCGAAGAACCAGCAGAATGGCGACATACCTATGACAGACGCACATGATGCACCAACATCATCGCCATGTACATCACCGTCACCAGCAACTTCAGCGCCAACACCATTAAAATTCAAGACAACTCAAAATGATCCAGAAGAGTTTTCGTCCATTTACCTGAAAAAGGTCACGGCAGAGCTTGCGGATGACCTTGTCAAAGTTCGCGACGCACAGGATTTCAAGGCGAGCAGTTTGCCTATGCTTGTACATGCGTTGAGGCAGGGGTCGAGCATCTACTCGGCGGAGGAGAAGAAGAGGATTGTCAATGCGACTGGCTAGTGTAGGGAAGCATGCATGGGCGGCGTTCAGGAATGGGATATGAGTTTCGGCCACCGGATTGTGGCTGCAATGCAATTTCGCAGTATTATATTGTCAAAGATCAAGAAGGCTTTCAAGTATTCGTGTTTGCGTCTGGGTGCATCTCAATGCGCCTCCACCGCAAGCCCCGACCTCCACTCAAGTTCTATCTGCCAGGCAAGCAGGTACGGATGCTTGATTATAACCATATCTTGCGCCAACTTCATCACCTTCTCCCTCTTCGCTTCCTTTTTCCCAGCCGATAGCACAAGCAGCGTATCGTACGCCCTCTGCAGTAGCTTCTCCTCATACTCCCTCCTTACCTCATCGTCGCTCGTCCAATCTACAACGCTCTGGTATATATCCTCTAGTGGACTTGCTCCATACACTTCATTCTTGACCTCTATCGTCGTGCCCTCAAGTGTCGCGCCGAGCCTCGACCTGCGCTCATCGATCTGACGCTTGATGATGGATGCCTCTTCGGCTTCGTGGATCTCGGCAAGGCGCGTGTAGACGGCGGCGGGCTTTGGTAGGCGGCCTTCGAGATAGGAGTAAATTGGAGAGGTGGGTAGTTGTGTAGCGAGAGCGCGGGCGTATTGTAGCTTTGTGCCGTGTCTTCTGGCGTGGTCGACGAGGCCATCGATGGCGGTTTGAGCTTTATGTGCATCGTCACTATACTTGTTAGCAGCTGCCCACAATCGCACCTTTCATGAGAAGCACATACAGCTCTGCATATATCTGCGCCAACTGCACTTCGACGTCTATGCGTTCGTCCACTTTTGCGTTTCCTTGTCTCAGATACAAGCCTCTCAGTCCCAGCCAGGCCTGCGGATCTTGTGGCTTGACCTTCGTCGCGTCGTTATACGCTTGTGCTGCTGAGTCCATTCTCCCAAGCCCTTCCAACGCGCGTCCTATGAACAGTTTCGCGAAGTAGTTTTCTGAGTCCTTCGCGAGCACCGTGTTCGCTTGCTCGATGGCTTCATCCCAGTTTTTAGAGTCGATTGCCGACTTTGCGGTTTTGAGTGCAGCCTTGGTGGACATGGTGGCAAATCGATGCGGCTTGGAGAGGGTAGAGAGGGCGCAATGCGCGCAACGGGATTATCTGTCTGCCATGGAGGTGCAGAGGCGCGCGGGACGGGTGTGGGTTGTAACTCTTATGACGTTCCCCGCACTAGGTAGGCAGAGCTTAATTCAGCCCTGTGAGCCTCATTAACACTTGAACACCCCGCTACCTTGTCACGCCTACTATCTCAACGCGCCACGTCCTTGCAGGACATACGCACTTTGTCTAGTGCTCTTTCATTCCTTGCTCCCGGGTCGACGTTTCTCCTGTGCTGTCCTTTTCCTCGATTTCGCCGATAATGGCGTCACACGCAAACAGCGCACATGACTTCCTGGATTTGGACATTCAAACACTGCGTCAATTCGTCGAGCTTTTTCCGGACGAAGGCCTCTCCAAGGTTGTGACTGGCTACTTGAGCAGTGGCCTGTCGCGATACCCGCTCAATGTCGAAAGTGCCGACGCCCCAGATTTGAGCGAGGGCGGAGTATCGCTCAGCCAGAATGAAGCACTAACACAAGAGGACTGTTTGATGATGATGACTGAGGGTATCGAGGACGCGAAGGATTCATCACTTGCGCATTGTCTTCTTGGGGAGTTCTATTTGTTTCTGGAAGAGTATGAGAGCGCCGTTGAGACCACGCGGAAAGGCCTGAAGCTTGCGGCCACGGAGGCGAAGAGGACGGATCTATCATTCCAAAGGATACGAGACGCGCTGAACAGCACACTGGCGACTGCAATGGTTTACTATCAAACTCCAAGGAATCACCCTGAGGCAAAAGGCATCTTCGAGGCGATATTGGAGCGACAACCCCAGTTCACGGCAGCTTTGATTGGTATCGGACTCATCCTAGAGGAGGAGGAGGAATATGCTAATGCAGTCGAATTCCTTGAGCAAGCACTAAAGCAGGATCCATCAAATGGCCGCATCGGCGCAGAGGCAGCCTGGTGTCAGGCCCTCAGTGGCGACTACCAGACCGGTCTCTCAAGGCTTCAAGATTATCTGGAGTACCCCCAACTAGACGCATCAAAACCGCGAGGCCGCGAGCTGCGGGCGCAAACACTGTATAGGATAGGTGTCTGCATGTGGGAGCTCGATTCTTCGAAAGCAGCGCGTCGCAACCGTGAAGGACCTTATGCGATGTTCCTGGCCGCCATCAAGGCAAACCCTAACTTTGCACCAGCATACACCAAGCTCGGCATTTTCTACGAGGATTACAACAGGGACAAGAAGCGCGCAAGACAGTGTTTCCAGAAGGCCTTCGAGCTATCACCGTCAGAGATTGTTGCGGCGGAGAGATTGGCACGTCTGTTTGCTAACCAAGGCGAATGGGACATCGTTGAGGTGATATCGCAGCGAGTAGTAGACTCCGGCAAGGTGAGAACTTCGCCGGGCTCGAAGAAGAAAGGCGTTAGCTGGCCTTTTTCCGCGCTAGGAGTCGTGCAGATGAACAAGCAGGAGTATCAGAAAAGCATCGTATCCTTCCTTTCGGCTCTCCGCATCAGCCCTGATGACTACCATTCGTACATTGGTCTCGGCGAGAGTTACCACAATTCGGGCCGCTACAATTCCGCTGCGAAAGCCTTCAACTATGCCGAGAACCCCTCCGATAGTGTCATAATCAAGAAAGCGAACAGCGAGGGCTGGTTCGCGAAATACATGCTGGCGAACGTCAACCGCGAACTTAGTGAATTCAAACAAGCTATTGAAGGATACGAAGAGGTTCTGAAAGAGCGGTCCCAGGAGTTCGGCGTCTCAATTGCACTACTACAGACTCTGGTAGAGAAGGGGTGGCGTTGTATTGAGACCGGTTTCTTTGGAGAGGCGGCAGACAGCGCGATAAGGGCTGTGGATGTTGCCCTGACAATCACGGAATATAAGCCTGACGCGTTCAATTTGTGGAAAGCCGTAGGCGATGCTTTGAGCATCTTCACTTGGGTCCAGGAAAAATTGGGGCAGTATCCAGGAAGTCAAGTGTCGAAATTGCTCAACAGCCAGTCAGATATTGAGCTCAATTTCGACACTCACAAAGACATTGATGGCATTGGAAGTAGCGATCTAGCTGCTCTTGCATCAGAGAAGTCATCAACTTTGACAAACATACTCCGAGCATCGATACTCGCTCACAAGCGAGCGATTGCGAGTTGTGTTCATGATATCCATGCGCAAGCCGTTGCTTGGTATAACTTGGGTTGGACCGAATATCGTGCCCACATTTGCTTGGAGCAGGAAACTACTGAAGATGCCAATCTCACCACGTACCTCCGGGCAGCAATGCGGTGCTTCAAGCGAGCCATTGAGCTTGAAGCCGGCAACTCTGAGTTTTGGAACTCCCTCGGCGTCATTACTACCACATTGAACGCCAGGGTCGCTCAGCATGCCCTTGTTCGCTCCCTGCATCTGAACGAGCGAAGCGTACGCGCATGGACTAATCTGGGAACGCTCTACCTCCTTCAGAATGATACTGAGCTTGCCCACCAAGCCTTCTCTCGCGCGCAGTCTACAGATCCGGATTACGCATTGGCATGGGTAGGAGAAGGCATCGTCGCCTTGCTCTTCGGTGACACCACTGAAGCGCTCTCGCATTTCACGCATGCATTCGAGCTGTCAGATTCCTCATCGTTGATCACAAAGCGCCATTACGCCGTGTCGACCTTCGACTTCCTGGTCTCTTCACCCTCCGCATCGAACAACATCACCAACCTCATACAGCCCTTATTCGCCCTCCATCAGCTAGGCTTCCAAGCCCCGTACGATATCCCACACAAACACCTCGCGGCCCTTTTCCTGGAGCGCATCGGCAACCACGATGCCGCCATCCAGGCCTTGACCACCATCTGTGAAGTCGCAGAACAAGACTATGAAACCTCTGAATCGCTCTCTGCCCTTGCCCGCTTCTCCAAAGCGAAGAACGACCTAGCACGCAACCTCCTCGCCACTGGCTCATATGTCCCCGCCATAGAAGAGACCGAAACAGCCCTCGAGCTCCTCTCCGACTTCGACGCCCAAGCAAACACTTCCATCCTCTCCCAGTCTGCATTCGACAAAACCATGCTCTCAGCACGAGTTACTGCCGGCCTGGCGCACTATTTCCAAGGCGACCTGGATGCCGCGATTCCCTACTTTCGCACCTGTCTGAGCGCGACGAACTCCGATCCAGATATAATTTGTCTCCTAGCGGAAGTCCTCTGGGCGAAAGGCGGTGAAAACGAGAAAGACATTGCGCGCGAGCAGCTCTTCTCCGCTGTGGAGACGCACGGGCGGCACGTGGGTATTGTGACGCTGCTCGGTGCTATGGCTGTTACGGATGAGGACGAGGATACCATGGCTGCTGTAAAAGAAGATCTCGATTCTTTACGCACGTCGTCAGACATATCGGAATCCGACCTCTCCCGGGTGGAAAAGGTCATTGAAGCAATTTCTCTCTTCCTCGGCGGCGAAGAAAGCGAGTTGGACGAGGCGAAGCGGAGTGTTATGCTCGCGCCGTGGAAGCACATGGGGTGGAAGGAGTTGGCTGGTGCGACCGAGAGGAGCACGTTCGGGGCTGTCATGGCGCGGGAAACGGCGGGGCGGAGTGTGCCGCCTTTGGGTGGGTTGGATGCGAAGGATCTAGCCGATGCTGTGGCAGGCACTGGGAAGGTGGGAGATGCGCAGAAGGGCGTCGTGCTTGCGCCGTGGCGCAAGGAGGGTTGGGGTGCGCTGAGGGAATGTGTGTCGAAGGCTTGATCGCTCACCGTGACATGCTAAGAGGCCTGACAATGGATATCAAGAAGGACAGCGATGAGCGCTATCATACGAGAATGTAGTATAGCGATGCAGTGATGCATTATCCTAGCTGTGCCTCAACTCATTCAAAGCCGCATTCGACAGTGCACTGCAGCGCCACAAAATGTTGGGGAAGGATGTGTAAGGAGTACATCGATAATGATCCTACATGGGGTGTAGGTGGCCGCTGGTATCGTTCGTGAAGGGTGTGTATTAGACGAATGCCAAGTACAGGTGCAGACAAGTGAATATGTGCCGGTACCATCGATGAAACACTGGTAAGGGAGATCGCAAAGCGCGATCGTGGCAAAAGTGAAAGAAAATCTCGTACAAATAGTGCTTCTTGCACGTATTACAATATTGATTGCTCTTCATTCTACCTCCACCCTTGTACTGGGGCGCTTTGAAGCTTCTCTCAATGGCTCTGCACCACTCGTGGCCCAATTCACCGACGCCTTAATCTTCGAGTGTCGCCTTCAGTGAGCTTGGTCGGCTATTGGTGTTCATTGTCTCCACTGGCATAGTGTCTGATGATATCTTCCTCGGATTCCGTGCCTTTAGAGAAAGCTTGTGGTTTCTTTGCAACCTGGACCTGGCATTTGCTTGTGAGGAATACAGTAATGGCGGCTTCCTCCTCGGCGGTAATTGTGTCATCTGTGAGTCTCGCTTTGAGCGCTTGCGCGATGAGCTTGCCGACCACGTCGTAAACCGGCACCTCGCGATCGTTTTGATATACGGTTACAGTAGAATGGCGGACTCCCATCGCCGCTACTTGGTCTTTGGCCGACCATTTCATGACTTCGAGGGTGTGCGACTCGATCAGCTTCGTGGCTCGAGACTGGGCCTCTTCCAGGTCCAATGAATCCCTATCAAACACCGGACTCAGCATTGTGTCCACGGCATCGAGAAATTCAGTCCATCCTGTCACACTCTCCCTTATTTTTCTCATCTTTACCCAAAGGAAGTCAAGATCTACGCCTGTTACCATGGGATGTATCCCCAGCCGACGCCATGACTCAACCTTTGGCACGCCAAACAATGATACATGTTTTGGAGAAAGGGACACAGTCAGAGCTTCCACAAAGCGGGCGATAGCAATGCGGACTTCTTCTGGCGAGAGATGGTCCCTGATGTCGACTTTCGGTAGAGAGAATCGTTCAGGATACGCGTCTGTTGTGATACGAGGGCGTATGTGTCTCAGGTAGAACGCATCGTAGGATTCCTCCCCTTGAACCCCGACAGCCTTCTGCAAAGCCTCTGCTTTCATAAGATGTGTGTGTTCATAAGAAACAATTTTGAAAAATTCGAGCAATCGATGTTCGACCTGCTTTAAGTGTGACATTGTAATTTAATGCGCTCGCTATCAGAATCTAAGGTGTTAATGATTTCATGGCTGCGCAGCTCAAAGGGGGCGATCAAGGCTTCTTTACGCAGAGGCACAAGTATATCACTCGCGAGCAGATTAGTACGATAATTATGAACGTCCAGCAATCCTAGAAATCTTATATGATTCAGGTCCAAGGCCAATGGATTGTGTTCAACGAGAGTCTTCGCCCGACATGCTATCGTGGTAATATCGGTCGTACTTAGCTGTCCGTAAAAGCGATGGGCAACGGGGGCATTTTGCGACGTTCGCCCCAAGTTGGGACGTAAGCCGAGCTCGACCCTGCATTGGTCCACGAGCAGAGGGAGGTTTAGACCAAATGTACCAGGGTCTGTGCCCCATCCTTTGGAAAATAATTCAGAGCTTTGACTGGAATTGCATTCGCGGAGCTATTCTCGGTTCTGTTTCACGTACTCTTTGGCTCGAGCAATGAAGACTTTCTTTTCGGCTTCCCCTGGGAACAATGGATAGCTATAATGCAGATCATGACCATTGACCTTTTGACTGCTATCAGAAGAGGCGTGCTGGCGCAGCTCAGAGCCGGTATAGCTTTTGAATGATCCTTCATGGTACAACAAGGCCGCGGCGAGGTTATCTCTGACCGAAATTTCGTTTACTCTTGCTATGGCGACAACATGATCAGCTACCGTAGCTTCCTGTACCAATTGACAAGTGATAGAGGCAAGAACGCCACGAGACGTGATTTCTGGGGGTAAGGGCCCTTGTTTTGCGTTGTGATCCCATTTGAACCGAAACGATTTGTTTCGCCTCTGCAAGGTATCAAGTGAGTTCCCTTCTGTGAAGTTTTGAGCCAGTTTCATTGATGCGACTGAGTTGTCGAGGAAATGGACACGGAATAGACCTTCCGCCTCGTGGATAGCATCGAGGGTTTTCGATGGGGTCTTGATATTGAAGGATACGTGTGGCGGATCAAGCGTAATGGTGGTCAACGAGGATATGGCGCTACCGACGGGAAGGGGCTCAGTTACGTTCGGGTGAGTCGCGTGGACAGTAACGACGGCGACCGTGCTTGGTACGCGGCGCATAACTTCACGCATGGCCATCTTCATAGAGTCAGTGTCTGAGGTTGTCGTCTCTTGATGTGCCAAGGTGGCGGTCTTGTCCAGGGAACCTGAAGCAGCTCCATTGTCGCGCAGATGCAGCCTGGTAGTTGAACATTGTCGGTAAGCGGGAGGGGTTATCTGAGAGGATGGGCGCCGGCATAAAGAGCGGTTGCAATGCGACACTCGCACTATGAAGTTTTAGCAGTCTTTCTTAGGCAGGAATGGAATGAAGCTCACCCGCAGAACGACTCCATCGATAGAATGCAGCGTAGAAGCGACCCACCGGGCGCAACGCAGGCGCCATTGAGGAAAGTAACGACTAGTACTGCGCCATAGAAACACGGGAACTGGAGAGAACTCTGAGAATGGCAAAAGCCGAATAAAGAGAGCGGAGCAACCTTGAAGAGGGCGAAAGACGCAATCGTCGTCGAGAGTTGACGTCGCACACCTGCATCCCTCACCCCTGCCAGAAAAAGTTCCGCCGAGCTTCTCCCGCCCGCAACCACCCAAACCACACGTCCATCTTACCTCCCTCACGTCAATCACCCACCACACACGAATATGACAACACCCATTCCCTCCCCCAGCGCCCTGCGCGCTCTCCGCGCGCTCTCCACGCATCCCACCCCAACGCACACCCAAGTCCGCCACGCGACGCTCCTCCGCCGACCCAAGCGCCCCTACACCTTCACCCAACTCGTCACCCTCTCCGATGGTAGCACCTTCGTGCAGCGCACTACCTCCCCGGTCTCGGTCTACAAGGCGACAAAAGATACGCGCAACACACCACTGTGGAACCCGAGTTCTCAGAAGCTCTTGAACGTGGAGGAGGATGAGGCGGGCAAATTGGCCGCGTTTAGGGCGAAGTTTGGACGGGGCTGGGATGCTGAGCAGGTATGGTGATGGTCACTCCAGATACTGAGAGGAGCAATTGAGGTGCTAACCAAGGTTACAGGGCAAGGGAACGGCGAAAGCGGATCATTTTATGGATTTGATCAGTGGGAATGCGGGTAAGGCAGACGCGGCGAAGGGGGCACAACCTGCTGCTCCTGCGCCCTCGAAGTCAACGCCTGCAAAAGCTGGGAAGAAGTGAATGCAAGGCGTGGGAATCGGTGCGTTATGGGCGGTAAGACCAGTGGAAGCAGGCAGTATTTGAACAAAACTGCAATCGCGACGAGCACATCTTGCATTCTGGATGAATTGTATTCATGTTACATATTTGTTACATTATCTGTACAAAAAGAAGTATAAGGGGCTTTTGATGTAGGAATACATGACGCCAAATGTGGTGAAACCTGTCTTACGAATCCCTATTTGTCCTGCCCCGGATCTTCAGCTGAAAATACCTCGAGTGCGTCGCCGAACCGTCCCTGAACGGCCAGTCCATGTACGCTTGGTGCAAATCCGTAATCATCTCGTTCGTCAACATACTGACCTTTAGATGGTCCAGGTCTAGTCGCCCGCCTCGTTTCGGGTCCCTCAGACTCGATACTTCGTCACACAGTGAAGATGCCCCGGGCTGCATCGTATCGAGCGCTTTCTTCACAGAGGCGTTCGGCGTTTGGAGCAGAGCGTATGCAAAGTCTAGGATCCAACTCCACCAATTGGCACCACGCCCGGGTGGGAAAGGGCGAGGTTCGCTATCAATCAGGCAAGCGCGCTTCATGGGCCAGACCTCATCCTCGTGCATGACAAGGGGTTCGTATGGTCGATGGTCCCATTGGAGGCGGGGAACAGGTGACTTGAGGCTAATGCGCTCGTTTGCTTCTGATATTGCACCAGTGCGTCTTATCGACGAGAGGTCGATCAGGGCGGCTTCCATATTCTCGTTCATGGTTTCCAGCACCTGGAGCGCATGCTCTTTATCCGGACCGTCCTTCATAGCGAGAATTCTGCATTCCCAATCAAAAATCTCTTCCAAGCGATCTGCGACTTCTCCAGCCTGGATTCTCTGCTTCCGGTTTGATTTTAGCGTAGCCTTGCGTTGGGTGACTCTTCGACCCTCTGCGCTTGCTCTTAGTTGGCCTTTCTCGTTTTCGCACATGCGAAGATGAGGATTGTTTTCTAAATTCATCAGGGCCTTAATAGTCCTGATGTCCTGTTCGTAATCGATTCCAACTGTTGACTTCCCATCGCGCACCCGCTTTTCCAGATACTGGAACATCTCGACCGTAGACAGCCGAGCATCGGCAGCCTTTCCCCGCTCTATGTTGCACTGCGCTATCTCGTCGGCCATTTCGTGAACACAATCTCGACGATGCTTGGGAAGTTCCATCCCGTTGTCCTGACCACGCTGCATCGCGCGAATCACGCTCTGGATCTCATATTGTGGTAGACGACCAATCGTAGAATAGGCAGGGCCCTTCGGTGCATGTCTAGGCGTTACCACCTGGACGGTTTTGGCTAGGTAATTCACGAAGAACGAGTATTTGCCGTACATGTAGTGGGATCGAGGTACAGCGCCCTTGAAATCTTCCTCGGTCATCCACAAGAGCGAGCGTACCGGTCCGTATTTGTGGTAGCGCTCGTTGGTCAAAGCACTTTCGGTCAAGTGCACCAGCAGCTGCTTGCCCAGGGAATCATATGCCATGCCTTTGGCTTTGGGGTCCCACATAAGCGAACCGGTGACCAGCAAGTTGTTGTTCGGTTGCCGAGCCTCCAAGCTCTGCGGCTCAACGGGGTTTTGACGGGGAAGAATGTCACTCCTAAACAATCCATCAAACGCGTCCTTGTCCTTGATATCGCTCTGAAAGAGCCTGTATGTCGAGCCTGGCTTGTCCAGCAAAGGTCGTTGATAGTCGCTCCACATGGAAGGGGTGGGTTCAAAGAGCACATGCGTCCGCGGTTGGAGGAAGTCATGCAGCTTCTGCGACCATAAACAGACGCCGGGATTCAGGTCGATGAGATCGCATCCTTTGTACATTTCCAGAGAAGGACCAATGTATTTGAGCACATCATCTGCACGGCAATCAGCGACGGAACGTTTGACAATTCTACAGCTGTCCCGCCAGCGCCAGAACTCAACGTACCGCATAGGTCTGGACTTACTATCTGTGTGCGCACGCGAACGTTCGATCTGTTGCTACGCACCGGGTCACCTCGAGTCCCGAGGGCGGCAAGCTCGCGCGACAACGGGTATGCGTCGGGAGCTTCCAGACGATTTGCGCCTCTTGGGTGCCGCCCATCTGCACTCGGCCGATGCCTTGTTGCAAGGAAGCGTGGGTGATGCACTGAAAGGGACGTCCGATAGGGCGCCCGAAAGGCGAGCCACGTGCGCCACCGGGTGAGGGAGCCTGGCATACGTGCGAAGGATGGTGCTTGCGGTTGCGAACATCGAACATCGAGCGACAACGAGCCCAGTGCGTAGGCGCGACGGGAACATGCTGCAAGGCGGGAGATCTAGCCTCATATGGTTAGTTTGAAGGTGCAAGAACTACGTGCGAGTGTTCGGCGTCATGTTCAAGTTCAACTTTTTTTTTTAATTATGCTCCTCATGATTCAGCGTCTGAATTATGAGGTTCTGTATGATTCATTGAAGCCGCCTTATAAGTGCTGAAGAGGTCTCCAGTGAAGAAAGTTGGCTCTGAAAGGCCTTGTCCTACGAAAGTGCGTTGGCAGTCTTTAATCCCCACAATGCAGTCACCACCTAGGCAGTGCATGATGAAGCAGACCGATTATACGATGCATCATCCATCAATCGCTGCCGTTGCAGGAGCACATAATCAACGTGTCGAGCCTGGGACCACTTCGTAGTACAGCGTGTTATCGTGACCGACGGGGAAATGCCCGGACAGTCTTGGACGAAGAGACACTATCGCCTTTATTGCATCCACGAGGAACGTGATGGCAACTCTTGAGCTCATCAGTGCAGTTCGGAAGGGTTGATGAGTCTGCTACTATTTCAGTGTACCACAGTTGGCCAGAATTCGAAGTGTATCTGTGTGATTTGCTTGGTACAAGTAAAAGAATGGGGTAAACTGTTCAAAGCGCCTATGGGTGCCGTGGGGATGAGATGGTCATGTAGAGCGTCCACGACGTTGAATGCAATACCAAATTTTCGGCTTTGTGATTTCCGAACGAACAACCTCTCATTCCCTCAGTAGTTATGAAAGAAGTAGCCGCATCTGTTCGTTTCTACACTTTTCTCTGATCGTGCCTGCCTAAACAATTGCACTAGCTACTCTTTCTACCAATACTTGCCTTCCTTGACACGATTCTCTCAGACTTGTAGAGTCTGCTTTTCCTTCAATGCGTTGCAGCTTTCTGCCAGCCTTTGAACTATTGATCTGGCCGCGACAAAGTTCCACATATGCTGTCATGGGCACATTTTGGGCACCCATGCTTACGCTACGGCCTCCAAATTGTATAGTGAGATCTGATCCTGCATGCCCTCTTCAGGAGTCTTTGACCTTATACTGATATAGTATCTCATAGGCTGCCGCTTTTTTTTTCCTAATCTTCTTCCTCACTGTGATACTCCTCCACGTCCAGTCAAGGAATCTTGTCCTGGACGTACGGCCTCAACTTCGCTATTAACCTCGGATAATTCGGCATCGCTTCCTTTGGGAAGCATTTAAAGTACCAGGAGCCTTAAGCACGAGAAGCGTACATCTCCCCTACCATACGTCGCATTGGAGATTCTTCACATGTTCGTAAATGATGATGAAAGTCGGTGTCTATACAGCAACGAAGTTGTCCACGATAATATATGTGAAGCGAAAGTCCATTATCTCCTCTCCCAACACGTAGAGCTTGACGAGGTACTCATAGGTCTACCAAGCAGTGGTTGAAGAGTCATTCACAGTTTGAGGAATGGGGCTAAAGTACAACCAACGTGCATACGCTTTGACTAACTCCGGTTCAAAAGCAAGCCTACCAATTTGCTTCTAATCCCGCAACGCGTCCCAATCACTCTTCGTAACAGCTTGGAAGAACTTAGAGGAAGAACAGAGCACAGCCCTAGGTATCCAGGTCTCGACTTGACCTTCCTGGAGTTTGGCTTTGATGCAGACCTCTTCAAGAGCCCACTGTCGCTATTGTGCATGAACTCGTCGACATGATCTAGCGCTGATGCGAGCTTCCCCTCCTGCTTGCCACTCTGATTTGCGTCTTGAATGCTACCGTCCTCCAGCTTCCTGTCTGGTTCGCTCGGATGTTTGAGCACTAGACAAATCATTGGGTTGGTACCGATACTGTTTAATAGTGTGAGTTTGAAAGCTGTGGCTCCCTGTATCTACGACTCGAAACGCGTAAATACGGTTGAAATTGAATATATGTACTCTTTGGTATCACACTCTGAAACTGTTAGAGACTGTACGATCAGTGCTTGAGGTTCATAATTTCATTGGCTTTGAAGGTACTCGCTGAGAAGGTCTTTTGGCGGCGCCTTTTTGACGGCTCGTTGCAAAGGTCAATTTTCGAACGCTAGGTTCAAACTCCCTGCGTGATTGGTTTGCGGTGAAGTCATTGAGGTAGAGTGATGGCTCTCGAGGGACTTAGGGCGCCTGAATATAGATGCGGAGCGGTGGTCATATGCCCGAGCTTGAGGAACTGGGGCCCACGTGGAAAGAGCAAATAGCCGCGGAGATGCTGGCATGATCAGGGCCAAAGTCAACGCAAGTGAAATCGGGATGCTGCAAGGAACAGAGAAAATACCGGTCTTTTTAGTGGCGTACCAGGCCATTTTATGCAATTCTGTCCTTTTTAGCTCGCCTGCGTGCTTTAGCAACACGCGCATCTATTAGCATTAGCAGAAGCTCTTTTTGAGAATATGAAACGAAGTACCGTCAATTTCTATACGACATATAGTGGGCTAGAGCCTCTTCTATGAACAAGTAAACGAATACTTTGTCAAGCTGCGTCTGCTGTCGCCACCAGCGGTCTCACATTCGTGATGAGCTGCCCAATCTTATCCTTGACATAAGTCTCCCTCTCCTCTTTCCAAACCTCGACCTCCTGCCCACCCCTCAATACACCAACCCTCATCGTACACAACAGGTTGTGCGCTGCGTTACTGTGCATATACACTCCTCCGTTGAACACCGCCGTCGCATCCTTCCCTATCCATCCCTTTATCAACGCTCTACCGCCAGGGTGCTCAGCAATGAAATCCGTCACATCGTGGATGATCCCTGCGATCGCTACGAGTGCGCCTTTCCCAGAGGTAGAGCGGAATTGAAATTCATCCCATGAAAGGACCGGGAGCCGTGACAGGGGCACACCCCAGTCGAGGGTGGCGCGGCGAGCATCGAGAGCTTTTTGCTGCTGTTGGAGACGGCCCTTCTCAATCTCGTTGTGGCGGAAGCGTTTGAGGTCGTAGGCGAGGGTGGTTTTGGAGAGGAGGAAGATGAGCCATTTTGTGGGATCGTATTGGTACCATGAGATGGCGTTACCTGTGATATGCTTAGCCGATTCCCTAAGTATGGGGGATGCTCATGGGGTGAGAGCGATCAGAAAGATATAAGAAAACGCACGGTAATCGCTGGGGAACTCGTGGTGGAAGTTGTGATATCCTTCGCCAAGCGTGACGATGGCGGTGATGAAATGGTCTCGAGGCGTCCTTCGATCATCGAATGGCTGCTCGCCCAACCAATGAGCAAGAGAGTTGACACAGAAAGTGGCTTGCTGGACGAAGCATGCTCTCATAATGCCCGCATAGACAAGTCCTCCCCACCAGTCGCCCCAGCCTAGACCGGCGACGCACATGGGAAAGAGCCACGCTGCGATGAGAAGACTCTTGCCATCTGCGAAGAGTCAGTATAGTGAAAAAAAGGTAATTCGAAGTATCCCAAGACAGACTTACAATGTTTATGTTGCCACACAACAACAGGATCCGCGTCCAGGTCGGAGATATCGGTCCTCCCGATCTTCTTGGGATCCTGCTGCAAAACCATCCAGCCGATATGGGCATGGAAGAATCCTCGAAGCGCACAGTAGGGGTCTTTCGTGGTGTCTGTCCATCGATGATGAGCCCTGTGTTTGCTGCTCCAAAACCTGATAGAACCCTGAATAGCTCCCGCCCCTACAAAGGCGAGGAACAGGCGGAGAGGCAATCGTGCGTTGTAGCAGCGGTGCGACCAAAGCCTGTGGTAACCGCCGGTGATTCCAAAACCCGTGAAGAAATAGTATATGACTGCCCAAATAGCGGTGGCGCGCGTGAGGGGAACGGATCGGCAAGCGTATAGGCCGTACGTTGGGACAAGGACGACGAGGGTAGTGGAGAACCAATTGATGTGTTTGTACCAGTTTTGGAGTGTGACTGGTTGGTCACTGATGTGCACCCTGGGACATCAGGTAAGTGCAAGCCCATAGCAATCCTCCATAATGATGGGTGTACTCACTTTAGATTAGGTCGCTTTTCACCCATCCTGGGATTTTATTGACTTGAAGATGGAGAAATGTTTAAAGGATAGGTGGTACGATGCGCGACTATATACTAGCCAGGAAGAACACATAATCGGTTCCTTTAGAATCGTGCCGAAACTGCATTCAGTGGCACGATACTAGGACGACTGCGGTCGAAATTGCGAGACACCTAGCAACAAACCTTCCGCATCTACGTCTCTTTGAGTGGTTGGGAAGCGGCGGTGGGTTCGATGTAGGGCGAAGGCTAGGAAGGAGCATAGCCCTAAACCGCTTCCGGCGATCCTTGCGAAAACCCTTGTCCAGGTGGTCCTACAACCACACGACCCTCACGATTTGGCCAAGCCTAGACTACTGGATCTGATGACGCTCGAGCAGGTCGATTGCTCGATATTCATGAGGTCCTAGCACGCGAGTGATTCATGCACGTCGCTTATCATTCTACTCCAAGTATTGCTCCACCTCATGAGATATGCCTGCGCCGATCATGTCTAACGTGCAATGTTAGCATTCAGGTACTTTCAATGTCTTCACGAGGCATGCATCACGGGCAAAATTCTAGCACAAAATTTAGCCCAATGCAAAGATTTCCATTCAATCTAATGCATGACCACGTATCTGCTCCGACCCTTCGTACTCTTAAACTCCATCCTCATGTCTACGCTTAGGCAGCGATGGTGACCTCAACCTCAACACCGGCCTCGATGTTGATGATGATCTGCTTGACGACCTCGGTGGGGGCGTTCAGGTCGATGAGGCGCTTGTGGATGCGCATCTCGTACATGTCCCAAGTCTTGGAACCCTCACCGTTGGGCGTCTTGCGGGTGCTGATCTTGAGGTTCTTGGTGGGCAGACGGACGGGGCCCTTAACGCGGAGGTCCTTGCCCTTGGCACGGTCGATGAGCTCGGTGCAGACCTTCTCGAGGCTCTTCACATTGCGGCTGGTGAGGGTGATGCGAATTTTGTGGATCTTGGGACCCTCGAAGTCACCCTTCTCTGGCTTGTCTGCGCGTTTGGTCAGAAATATAAGCGCGCTCGGTGAACGGAGGGCGCGTACTGTAAGACATGGCGATTGTCGGTGTTGTTGGAGATGGAGGCGAGCGATTGAGAATGGATTCCAGTCACGACCCGGATGCTTTGATCACTGTAATGTGATGACTGGTGTGGTGTTACGTGCGTCGGCGAGATTGTCGATGGCTTCCCCACCGCCCGCCAAAGAATTTCGAAAGTGTGCGCGACGCCAAGAGTTATTGACGCTAAGCCTCTTAGAGACATCCCGCTTTCCTCATCGACTCACGATGACTACGAGACATATTCAAAAGCGCGCACTCGCCCAGCGGTATTCGGGGCATTTCTGAAGTCAAAGAAAAGAACATCAAGATCGAGGGAGTCGACGAAGCCAGTCGTACAATGTCTCTCCCGCGGTTTGCCCCGTTCCCTGACGTCGAGGTCCGCCAGCACATATTACCCGTTGAATGGACAGTTTATCTGGATACCTGGACGTCTCTAGCAGAGCTGCATCTTCGGCTTAGCGACTCTCAGTTCCGGAATGCTATCATAGAGGATGCATCTTCTTTGACAACTTTTCTTACCTCTTTCTTCCACGAGCTGGCCAACGATGACAGCTTGTTGCCGCAGACTCTTTTGCTACGAAAGAAATGCTTCTTCCTTTTACATCGGATATATTCTGAAGACAACGTGCCGGCACCGCTGCTCGGCTGGTCTCTCTTGTCGGATGCATGCCGTATCTTTTCAAAGAGCGCCCAATTCCGGTCTCTCTTGGAGCGTCTGTGGAAACGAAAAGCTGCATCAATTGAGAATAGTCTCCAACCCGCGAAGATTTCACTGATCAAGTATCTGGATTCAAAGATACCAGAAAAGGCACAAAGCACGCTGGAAAAGCTTGCGGCTCTGTTACGATTGTCGCCTGATGCAGGGATGTATATGATTACGGGATCTGATTTTCTGGATTCCTTATGCAATGCACACCCCAAAGTGGACACTTCTTTCCAAACGAAACTTACTACGACTGCGTATCTAGGCCTTATATCTCTTCTTGGAGGCGCCAAGCCCAATTTCTCTGCATTATCGGATCATTTATACAGTCTTAAAGCGAACGGCGAGCAGCAAGCGAAGATTGGTGCCGCTCAGACATCGCTCATTGCAGACCTGGTGACGAATACTCCTCTCCTGCACAAAATCAGAGATAAGGCGACTGTGCCTGAAGCTGCGAGGGTGAAGAACTTCGCTACTTCGCTGAGTTCCTTTCAGCAGTTGTCCGTCGCCCGGCCAAAGAAGCTCGTTCGTCGAAAGGTTGATAAAGGCAAGAGTCAGGCAACCGAAGACGAGCATGGACACGGTGCATTTGACGAGATACATGTTCATCGTATGAGCATGATCAGCCAAATACAGGACCTCTTCGCAGACTTGGGCTCCGGTTTCGTGGTGAAGCTGCTCGATGAGTATAATGACAACATTGAAGAGGTCACTGCGCACCTCTTAGAAGACTCCTTGCCTCCACATCTCGCCAACGCAGATCGGAGTGAGCCAATGTGAGTGCACACTCCTCATTCTCACCACTATAGCTGAGTAACGTATCTAGTCCTTCCCTTTCCGCCGCAAAGCCACACTTCACGCCACGACCAACGCCAACCGCTGTCGAGCGCCGCAACATCTTCGATAACGACGAGTTTGACCGCCTTGCTGTGGATGCATCACGCCTTCACATTGGTCGCAGGAACGCCAAATCCACGGCCGATACTATCCTCTCTGACCGCACCGCCGCTCCTAGAAAATCTGCAATCATCTCCGCCCTTGCAGCCTTCGACTCGGACGATGATGAGCGCGACGACACATATGACGTAGAGGATGTCGGTGGCACTGTGGACTCTGCAGCACCAGGACCCGACGAGGCCGATGTTGATCTTAGGGATAAGAACGAGGAAGCGCTGTTTAGAGCTTACACTACTACTCCGGATCTTTTCGCACGTGACGCAGAGAGCAGGCGAGGTAAAGCCAGAACAGCACTGAAGAGCGAAACGGGTATGACGGACGAGGTAATCGAGGGTTGGGGTCTGATGATGGGTCGTGATCCTAAGCGATTCCGGCGTTTGCGGGCTAAGTTCTCGGCTTTCTACGGACAGCAGACGCAACTTGCTTCGACCTCGTGGCGGGCAACGCCGGCTGGCTCTGATGCTGAGGTAATAGAGGCCAGCGGGGAAGGACAAGGACAGCGCGGCGGAAGAGGAGGCGGGAGAGGTCGTGGTCGAGGTAGAGGACGAGGCGGTGGTGGCCGTGGCGACGGTAATGTCGCTGGGCCCAATGATGAAAAGGGCACACAGGTTTCAAGACAGAGGAAGGAGGCGAACAAGAGCTCGAGAGCGAATCACAACCGGAGAGATCAGCGGGCGAGAAAGATGGCTAGGGGGGGTTTGCCGGGATGATCGGACTGTAATGTACTAAGCCCACCTCAGACGGCATCTACTCTAGGCTTGCAGTGTGTAAGAGACTATATCGACAAGAAAGAGACCCCCATCCTTCTTGAGCCACGAATGCGGCAAATTCCCACCTCTCAAAGTAGCCGGAGCAAAAGCATTTAACGTAGTCGGTCACAGGGGACTTTGGCCTTAGAATATCCAAAGCCTCAATGCGGAATCGAGCGCCCTTAAGTTCGATCGAGCCAGGATTGCATCCCCTTGTACCGCGAATTCAATTTTCTCAACTTCACCTTTACTCATTTTGCCCCTCTTTGTGCAAGAAGCGCGACCCCGGTATACCTATGCTAGAGCTAGAAACCTGGTGAGCTTTGAGCAAGTGCCTTGCTGCCATTCGCTCCAGACTTAATTCAAGATTACACCATCTTTCACAGTGCCCCACCCCACTGACCACCAAATCCTGCAGTAACCAACGGTCGACCAACCGCTTTGGCCCATAACCTCGCTGCTTTCCGCTCTGGTGTCGACATAGACCCACGCGAACTGCGGCTTTCCGGATACGAAGCAGCCCAACACTCCAAGCTCCGAACATGCCCGCGCCGAAAGATAATCGCAGTAAAACATCTATGCTAACTCAACATTTCGAGACACTTGTCAAGTCCCGTATCATTTTCTACCCACAGTCGTGCGCTCATCCCATCCGAACAGTTCTCGAGACCGGGTCGAGCAGTACGTGATCCTGATGAATATTATGCAAAGTTGCCTACGCATCCTGAATGCTATCAAAGTCTTGCCAGGCAACTAGATTTCGACCCGGTATACTGAATTAATGCTAACTGCGAGTACATTCAGCGACGCCATGGTCAAGATCTTTATCGAGTACGGCGACGAGCAAGTAACATCGGCAAACTAAGTCAAGCGAGATGAATTCTGAGTCCCGCTCGATCTGATGCGGCACTCCTCCAAGTTCTTTCAGACGGGGACAAAACCAGAGTGGGATGCTATGGTCGACGAAAGGCAATGGTCAATATCGAACTCAGAGACTAATAGCTTTCTAAGGCATACTTACACTGGCTCTACGAAGGCACAATCCCCTGCACGGACAGCCTCGATAATGATCAAGGCCATACGTTTCTTGCGAAGCTCTACGTCATGGGCGAAGAGCCGAGGGATGCGAAAATCAAGAATGCGATCCTAGACATAATCGCCGCTATTGCTGCGATGTACATCCCCAGCTCTGTTGCTGTCAATATCATCTAAGAGGGTATACCTGCAGGATCGCCGGCCCGACGTCTGCTTTCCGGCTTCTGTGCTTACGGTGCACATGCCGTTGATGGGGGAGAGTGGTGCAAGGGATTTGACATGTTTTCGCGTGAACCCTTGTTGGGTTACTTTCAAAATTATATCGAATGTAAGGGACTCTACCGATGGGCGCGTGGGACACAATCTGAAAGAGTACCACGAGGTTGTCTGAACATAGAGATATTGGTATCGGTAAGTCGCGTGCCTTATCTAGAGGGTCTGCAAACCCAGGCTAGATAGATCTAGGTACTAAGCCCAATACAGGATTATCCTAAACAGATTTATGAAAGACTCCATGAATCCCAGACCATTCTGACCGACTTACTGACTTTAGATATAAGCGCTACAATCCTCCAACGATACTATTATTAGTCTCCTCGCTAGTATGAGCGAGTATTGATAGATGAGTGGCAAGAGTCAATCTTGTTTAGGATCCGGCCATGGTATGATATAGCAATAGCAAGAGCTCGCATACGATATGAGTCAGAGCATACACCAGACTCTTCTACTTGGCTGTTTCGAATGACCTTTTGCTTTTGCAACTTTTCTCACAAATGGCAAACATCGATTCCGAGACTTTGTGCAGCTATGGTATCGTGACGGTGCCCTTTCATGAACACACAGTGATTTGGTTCATAATAGCAGAGCGCATTAAGATTGATGCAAGAGGACTTCAAATTGTACGAGAATTACACCTGTGAGTGGTGCATATACAGACGGCTGGTCTAGACCACAGTTTGTCAGATTGGTATCCGGTGACCTGATGTGACTACACCCTGGAACATTACAAACAGCCCGGTACAAGCCTCAACGGCTCCCCATCAAAATGGTCCATCTCCAACCACGAAAGAGGACTCCCGCAATAGTATCAACGTGAGCTTGCGTCATATCCCCAAAGGCTTGACGCATGCGGAACCCAGTCCCCTTCATCTCGAACACCCCTCACCCATCCACCTCTCTCCTCAACCATTCTCCACCCCATCAAAATGTCTTCCACCGCTGTGGCAAAGCCAAATCAATCCCCGAAAGAAACCCTTGACATCTTTTTCCACCTTAAAGCACTCATCTTATGTAAGTGCTCTTCGGTGACTTCATGACGCAATGTCATCTAATGTATCACAGCGAACGCTAAGATGACACACGGCGGGTCCATCAATGGAAGACCAAGAACATATGATATCATCACCACTAGCCGGGTGAGAGGCCAGGCGCAGTACAAGGTGCAGCTGGTGGGATATGAGGAGAATCAGAAAGTTGGGGGGAAGATTGATATCGACAGCAAGATATTGCTGAAGAGCTCCGTAAAACTTTCTCTCAATTTTGCTATGGAAGAACTTTTGAAGAAGACACAGGAGGAGCTGTGGAAGGATTGAGGTGGGGTGCTCGGGAGTGTTGGGGCCGGTTTGGGGATGGCGCGGTACTGCCCTTTTCGCATGTGAAAAGTGGCAATTCTATTCCTAGACGATGCACGTCCTAATATACACACTTGCAAAGTCTTTATATAATTCCTCAAAGTTGTCTTGCTCGCAGGTTTCTGCGAAAATTCGTCGAGCACCTTAATGATAACAACTCCGGAGCTGCAAAAATCGGGCTGGCCTTGCGGGGTTTTGAACATGCCATGAGTGACTATCACCTGCAAGCATTACCCCAATCTTAATCTATGTTACCTCCTGAAATTTTACCAGGACGCGCTGTTATGTTCCTGACTACCTATGGTAACCCGTGGAATCCAGAATCATCGTTCCATGCCTCCTAGTACTCAAACTACAACAGAGAAACATAGGTTGGCTGCAAGAGATGCTATTTTCGAAGGGGCTATGGAAATGCCTGTCTGCAATGCCGATTCATCGATCGTCTTTTCATGATTTCCCGACCGCTTGTGGGCTAAAAAGCTTTATCAAAAGCACAGAAATTCTCAAGAAAGCTTCAGTCCTCTGATGTCCAATCAAAACGTCCATATTCCCGGCTCCCCCTTGCACAATCAATAGTATTAGGGTATGTCTCGCACATTCCGGACGGTAAGTCTCCCTCCGCATCCAATGAGATACTCAGTAGTCACCGTCACGACAGTGCCTCTTGCGGTCGGCAGCTGGGCCCCGGGGAACGCCGTCCCTGTCGTGCCGATACTCCGGACGAAGAGTCCTTGTGTCGTCTGCAGGTCCAGAGAAGCGGTAAACAGCTTTGTACGCGTCGAGGTGAAATTTGCCATCCGCTTCGCGATAGCCCTGCTGACCGTGCAGCTGGTCGCCTACGTCGGCTTTGCCTGTGAATAGTTAACGACCATCATAGTGTGGATATCGTCCAGGGATACGAACCGAAGAGATCACCGGAATCATGAATCAAGCCGTCGGCAAGAGCGCGCGCGGCCTCCAACGGGCAAGCGTGTGTCTCCTTACGCAGGATTCGGGTATAGCCGTCCAAAGAGCACACGAGCACGCATATGTATTTTCCCCCAGCGTTGCGACCGGTCACGAAGTCTAATTTAACATGAGCCTCGCCCATATGAATGTCGGTCGAACTTTACCGAAGAACTTCCTCTGCTCACTGCCGTAGAGGATACGAGCATTGCCGAGGACTGACTGCTTCACCTCTAGGAGAGCGGTGACCTGCAAAATGATCAGCGAATACATCATCATGATTGGAAGAACCAGCTCGCCGTAGAGATGTTCTTGACAGGACTGTCTGAGGGGACAACGTTGCCACCGTTCATAGCCATGGCGTTCATCAGCTTGTTACCATCCACCATATTGTAGGCTGGTCCGAGAAGGTTGGAAGTATAACGGTCAGCTACGAGGTTTCTGAAAAGAGAAAACAGAACAAAGTAGGCCCCTAGAGTTATATAGTGGCGGGCAGAGGCAGATCAGGCATGCAAATCTCTCAAGGTAAAGGCAACTTAAATGATCCTCTCAAGAGTAAGTGATCGGTCCGTGGCTGAATAGGCCAGGGTATCTTACTCTAACTACAACCTTGCATGAGCTGTAAAAGATGTCAAGTTTCGAGGTCTTCGAGATTAAGGGATGTGTAGATGTTTAGCTATGAACGCACTCGATGGAGTGAGCATGGGACTTCTAAAGGCAACTCGTTCATGGGTGAACTACTTGTCCTGCCACTTGGTGCAGCTTGCCCTGTCCCTTTTAACAACCGTGTTTCAAATCTACGAATGAGCCGAAGTTGTCCCTTTAGAGTTGATACCAGCAGGCACGTGCAGACGTAGGTACTCTAGATGTTATCCTTCACGAATGCTTTCAAGTTGAATAACGAAACGTCAGCACTGGCAGAGAGGATGAAGACAATGTGATGCATGTTCATATACAAGGTAGGACAGCTAGCTAAGCCTTAACATCAAGCCCGCTGCTATCAGGAACGCCGTGCTCCTGTGGTGCGTGAATTAACAACCACACCATCAATTAGCCCAAAGCAGCCCAGACGCCCGACCCATTCGCAGGACGCATATCATAATCAAACATGATCGACTCGGACCTCTACATGCCATTCACTTTCTCCCTTTGGCCGTGAAATTATTTAGACACCCTTGATCGCCACAGTCCGCTCATTATTCAACTTCATCGCATTCCGCTCATGGCTCTCCTTCTTGCAGTCCTCCAGTCCCTCGCACTTGTGATCCTCCAGCAGGCGGTGCTTCCCGCAGAAGTGGCCCGAGCAGAAGCCGCAGTCGCCGACGATGCGCTGCGCGGCGTCCTTGCACTCCTTGAACGAACACCGGATCTTCTTGGGCGGCATGCCACCGCGAAGCGGGAGCGCCATGTGCAGGGTGGCGTTGGGAGGAAGGTCGAGTGTGGAGAGGGTGGCGTTGGGAGAGGAGAGGTGCTTGCCGGCGTGCACAAGGCGCAGGTCGGTTTCGGGGAGGTTGTGGCGAAGGGCAAGGAGCGTGGAGAGGGTCGATATTGAGGTTGAGGAGGGGAGGTCGAGCGGGATTGCTGTTGGTATGTGTTAGCATGTGGTTTCGTTGCAGTAGAATGGTTGGCGTGGTGTCAGGATGACGGAAACCGCGGTTCCGAGGGTCGGAACCAGGCAGCCACACGGCGGGAGTACGTACTGGAGGTTCCAGAGACGTTCTTGACAAAGATCTGCATCGTCTCTTCGTCCGAGGCCTGCGAGCTGATGCTCGAGACACTGTTTGTGCGGCGCATCATGGCGTGTGGGTGTGCGGACAGGGCGATGACGGTATGAGTTGTGGCGCTGGGACGGTGTTGACGGTGACAGACTACCAGATGACGGAGACGGCGCTAGCTCTGTGCATGCGAGGCGAGGGGAGGGCCGTCTGTGGTGACTTTGGCGAGGCGTTGGTCGGTGGTGAGAGGCAGGTGTGGCAGGTGTGGGCGTGGTTGCGGAGTGCAGATGGGTGGTGAGGCGGTAGCGGTGACGGATGGCAGCGTCGGAAGCAGAGCCAAGGTGACGCAGCAGGCGGTTCGGCGTCTTATAAAGAAGGCTGGCCTGGCGGACGCACGCGCCGCTGGTGCTTGGGAGCTGGGCAGGCTCAGGGCTCGACGCCTCGCCTCGTGCCGGGTCCGGCGCATGCCCTGGATGGCGACGTGCACAAGGTCAGGATGCCAATCACTGGCGGCGGACGAGGCGAGCCAGATCCGCCTCAGCCGCTGCAGCTGCGAACACACATCATCTCGGCGCTGGCTCGGCGTGGTCGTGTGCCTCGCCGACAGTGCCAGTGACTACGTGGTGGTCCTCTGCAACCCGCGGCTTCCATGGCCTTCGACGCGGGCCCTGCATGGTCATGCTGCAGGAACATGGTCCATGGCTGACTGTACATCCGCCTCGCTCGACAGCTTCAAATGCTGGATTGCATGTGCCACGTCGCTCCTCCGTCCAGCATGCCACCGCCATCTTGTAACACGTGGACGACCTGACAGGCGCCGTGTAGGACGAAGCGCTGCCGCTGCCATTGGCCCGCGCATCGCCCAGAGCATGCATAAACCCTCGTTCCGGGCACGACGCTGCGATGCGGGTTGCCCCTTGGAGACGTGCGACCATCACCTTGCGACTGCTTGATGCCGACGCCGGTACTGTAATCTGTTTGCGCGCTAGCGGTCATGGTGCCAGAGCACTCAGCGTCAAGACATCGATCAATGCGCCGACTCTTCCTTCGCTGCTTGGTGTCACGCTTGTTTTACGTCTCCTGAACTCTGCAGTAGCATCTCCCTTTCGACGCTTCATCATCTGCATCCAACTATCCTCCGATACCACATCATCTACAAGGCCGTGCCAGGGACCCAGACACCCTGTATCACGGTGCCACAGGCAATGTTGAACTGGTCGTCGAGTACCGAACACATGCTACGGTACAACTACAACATCGCCTTGGGAAAATGCCGCATAGCTTGCCTGACACCCAAATCCGCCAATATCTCCTCCGTCCCACCCAGAATCGCATCGAACTTATACGTCCGATGAAACATCTCCACCACCCTTCCCATACCACTTTGCGTGAGCCCCCTCCCTCCAAAGATGTTCACAGCCTCGTCCGCAATCTCGTGCGCCGATCTCGTAGCATGGCTCTTCAACAACCCAATCGGCCCACCCAGGTGCTTCGACTGCTGCGCATAGCTCATGTGCGACATCTGGTAGGCGATGGACTCCAGCCACGACTGGTTAGATTCGACGTGCGAGATCATTTTGGCGAGTTTTTGCCGGATGGCGGCTTGTTCCACCAGTCTCTTGCCGAAGACGATGCGCTGGTTGCACCATTTAAGGCATTCTTCGACGACGCTGCGGGATTGCCGGATCACGGCGCAGGCCATCATGAAGCGCTCGTGGTTGAAGTTGCTCACTTCTCACGTTAGCATTGTCCATCGTAGGCTAAAAAGGGGACATACTGATGACGACGAATCCCTTGTCCTCCTCACCCAGCAGATGCTCCGCCGGCACAATCGCATCGTTGAATTCGACGAACGCCGTCCCTGCCGCAGTCGAGTAACTCGTCTTGATCAACTTGGTCTCCACAGCATCGCTCCTTTCGACGAGCATCACCGAGAAGCCCTTCTCAGTCCTGCACCCCACGACGAAGTAATCGCACCACATGCCGTTTGTGATCCACTTCTTCGTACCCCTGACCACGTAGCTCTTCCCATCTTTACTCTTCGTAGCCGTCGTACGTAAGCCGGCGACATCACTCCCCGCAAATGCCTCCGTAATCGCCAGACAGATCTTCTTCTTCCCGGCCAGTACCTCGGTCACAATCTTTTGCTTGAATGGCGTGTCGGGCATCCACTGCAGCACGGCTGTTAGACTGATCATCATACCCGCCATGTTGCCGTCCTGGAAGCCCCTCGCGTTCGCCCTGACGAACTCCTGCGCCTGCACAAGATCGTGAAGATAGTCGAACTCTTCGCCCTTGACCACGCCCAGCAGCTTCTTCCCGCGTAGATGCTTCCCGGGCCCGAGACGCATGGCTAGCATGTCGTTCTCCGCCATCCGGTCAATCAGCTCCTGACTGATGTAGCTTCCATCCTTCTCCTTCTCTTGCGCCTCAGGCGTGACGTACTTGTCTACGAACTCGCGCACCTTCCTCCTCAGCTTATGATGGCTCTCCTTGAAATACGGAGACTTGAACTGCGGGCGCAGCCAGAGCGGTTCGGCATACGGTACAGGAGATAGGTCGCCCGCCTGGGGCTCGATGACTTCAGACTTCTCGCCTTCGATTGTGCCGATGCATAGGTCCGAGTACTTTGAGAGAACTTCTTGTCGGTGGAGGTTGTAGAAGGCCGTTGTGGCGTCTGTGCCGGCGACTTGCTCGAGAACGACTGAGCCGCCAGGGTGCGCGTCGACGAAATCGGTCAGATCGTATACTTTGTGGTCGATTATGCACCACAGGTCGTCTGGGGCGTTGTGCGAGGCGACTGCTTCGCGGGTCAATGTAGCCTCTGCCATGGTATGCAACGGTGAATGAATGAAACGTTGAGTATACGAGAAATGGACGCAAGATCACAGCACGAGACGAGTAGAGAGAGGGACGGGTTTGATTATTCTACAGACAGTGGAATGGACCTCGGCCGATTGGCCGCGGAGGACTCCGCAGTGTTGTGGAGGCGGAACGTCGCGCGCTGGGGTGCATGGAGCCGAGGCATCAGCAAATCCCCGAAGGCTCCTATTGGTCGTCGCAAAGTACGCTCCATCGCGTTTCGCATGCTGTCTGTGATGGACTTCGGTTGTATCCTACTGTTGACTTTCAATATCGCGTCTTGACTCAAAACCTACCATGGTATAAGATATGTTTCCAGTGAGCGCCACAGCGTGGAAGTTGCCCATACCCACTAGCAAACGCCATACTAAAGCAAAAGATGATACGCCCCCACAACACAGCTCAGATCTGCTCCTCCAAACGGACAGTCATTCCCGTAATAGGTATCTGTGAAGCCGCTTTCTGCTGCTCCAACTTGGCCTCTCTTGCCAGACGCTTGGATATCGCATCGCCCTGAACCTCCATCAGTCGGTCCAAGCTCTTCGCTAATGCCCCCGCGTTGTCGTTGCCCAGCAGCGCCTGTAATTCGCTTTTTGTAGCCAAAGCAAGCTGATCTTCAAGACATTCTATAGCCTTGACGCGGAGAGCCTCGACATCCTTCTTCAGCTTCTCTTCCGCTTCCTCACGCGCCTTCTTCGCTGTCTCCTCACGCTCGGCCGCACCCGCTTCATCAGCCTTGCGTTTGGCGGCGCGTTGGACATCACGTTTCGCTCTCATGGCGATGTAGCGCGCCGAGTGACCCAGAGCTTGGCCCTCTCCCTTCACAAGACCTGGGTCATTGGCCGGAGGAGCTGTGAAGAATAGAACGCGGCCTTGCTCGTCTCGCTGGAATTGCTCCCGAACATCTGCAGGAATCGAAGCATTGGCATGATCCGGCAAGACGTACACCTCGACTGGCTGTGGTGCTCTGTACCCACCGGGAGGCTGCTGCATAACCGGTTGTTGATACGAAGGGGCAGGCCGCGGGGTGGCATATTGCGGGATAGCCGCCGGAGGCTGTGGCGTGGACAATGGCAGACTGGGCGTGATGGCCTGGTAGCCGGTAGATTGAGGGACAGGTTGATAAGAAATCGGGGCGGGCGATTGTGAGTGAGTGTGGTATGTTTGAGGCGTGGCACTGTATACACTTGCCATATGAGGTAGCTGTGGCGTCGGTGCAGGCATAGGTGACGGGGAAGGAGCCGCCGCGAGCGGATACTGTTGTCGCGTATCGCCGTAGCCGTTCATTTGCGGAGTCGGTATCGACGGAGTAGGCATGACTGGCGCTGGCGGGGGCTGTGGTGGCGGAGAAGGTGTGGGCTCAGGAGGTGGGGAGTCCTGGACGGGGTGGTCAGTATTGGGAGAACATGAATTTGTTATTGGAGCTTACTTTGGGATCACGCGGACGACGGTGAACAGCACCTATTTTTGGCGGGGCATTATCAGCGCCCCACTCTGGCTTGGGCAGGTCGTCCGTCTCTTTTTGTTCGTCTTTGAGTAGATACGCAATTGGACTGGGGACCTTTTTGAGCTTCCGAGGTGCGTCAAACAGGTCCATAACGTAGTCCTTGTCGCGAACCTCGTCCGGCAGACAACTTGCCCACGTCTTGATCTTGTTCAGCTTATGATTTTCTTCATTGTAGCGTGCCTCGCAGACGTAGATTTCTTTATCCGTTGGAAAGTCGCGCGGGCGACCCTTGTTGTATCGTGTGACAAACATGACGAAACAGCGGTCTACGACCTCATCGATGGGGTGGTCGCGATATTGGCCAGTCTTCACCACTTCGTTCTCCAAGAAGTGTCGGTCGAAACGGTGCACGGTCTGCTCGGGTCTGTAGTACCAGCATGCGTTCACCCATTTAGCCCCTTCCGCATCCTGCCAGGTTCGGTAGATTTGGGCTACTATGGGCTTCGTCAGGTCATTCGCGTTCTGTATGTGTACCCAGTCTCCAACCTTCCACAGCTCGCCGTTGTGCAGGATACCGTTAGGCATGGGTATGCGGCCCTCTTCCATGACGAATTCCGAGTCGTCTTTCGCTTTCTCTTGCGCGGCAACTTTGCGCGACTCTTTTTGCAGGTGCACCGCATCCTTGTAGATCTGACTGTCCTCCTCGTTGTACTGCTTTGCGTTCTCAAACATAAGCTCGACATCCTGCATGAAATGGTCTACAGAGTTGTATTTCTTTCGCTTCAGCTTCCTCTTCAATACATCCATTGCCATCGGACTCTTGATCTCGGCGTGGTATTCAGGCATGACCGCTTTGTCTGGAACACGCTCAAAGGCAGACACCATGAGCTTGTTTTGCGAGTTCCTCGGCTTCCGGATTGCCTTCATGATGGCCTTGATTCGAGCTTCCATAGGCGTATCCACCCGGGGCGGCCGTCCACGCTTCTTTCGCGACTCTGGATCTTCCTTCGCTTCGTCTTTTGCCCCTCGGCCAGATTCACGCTTCGTGATCGCAGCAGTCGAACGAGGCCCGCGCCTCTTCCTTCGTTTTCCTTCGTCATCGTCGTCATCATCATCGACATCGACTTCTTCTAATTCCTCATCCAAATCTTCCTCATCGTCTTCCTCTTCCTCTTCCTCCTCTTCTGGTAGCAACGGATCCTGCTCAGGAATCTCGCCAAGGTATGGTAGCTTCGTAACTTCCTCGGTCACGATCTTCGTATCGACCAGCTTCTTCAATTCCTGCTCGAGCGCCTTCTTGACTTCCAACGCATCGACGTAGGCCTGCGAATCCTGCCTGTTGTAGACCTGCGCGTTGTGCGGAATGAGGGCAAAGTCGTGTACGAATTCGACAAACGACTTGTATTCTTGTTGCGCAACTTTCTTCTTGATTTCACTCAGGGCCATAGGCTCCTTGATGACCTCGTAGTAATCGGGCAGCGCGCGCTTGTTAACCTTGCGCTGGAAGAGCTTCGTGGGATCGTAGCCGCTGCGCAATCCGTTAGTGTTCGTAACGTTCTCGCCGCGCATAGCATTCAAACTCACTCGTCGGTCCTAAGCGCATATACATTAGTCAAGACGTCGGTCATGCCCTTCCATTCCTTGTCGGTGACTGTCGAAGTCGCGCCATCGTGGGCAAACTCCGTCGTCGGCATGGGCGTGTCGCTTTCAGCGCGTCCCGACGCCATCTTTGCGGGATCGTCGATTCCTCTTCGATTGTGCGATAGCGATGCGCAGGTAACGTTGATGTGCACTACTGCTCGGCGCGTCGCGAACTTTGGAAGCGTGAGGTTGAGAATGGGCCGTGCGCTCGTTCCTGTCTGGTCACGTGACTGTACCGGGGCAGTGGTTCGGTGCAGGGGAGTGGCGTGTGACGTGCCTGCCCGTCTTTGGAGCTCGCCGTTTCCGCAATTTCACCGAACCCATCAACCTTCGCAATAGTGTGATTGTTAAGCACGCGTTTGACATGCAATCTGTTTAGCTCTAGCACGTATCCATCAGTTTACCTTGAGCTCTTATAGTTTTCCACCCCATTTCTCGAACGTTCCGATCCAACCACTTTCCCGACCGGGCGTACGAGTATATAGCCACTAAAACCCCTCCCTCCAACTCGCGCTTTCTTATTGCGAACCTCATCTACCGCACTGGACCGCACCACGCGATCCTAGATCCGTGCATCACAATAACCCATCTTCACAAAGTGAAGTCGCGTCAAGACAAGTCTCGTTGCACCTCCATAACCCAACATGCCGATACGGATACGTCTGCGTGCGCCAGACGGCCAACACACCATATCCCTTGACGACAACGCCTTCGTATCAGATCTTCTCTCGTCGATCGCTACCACCACAAACCTGCCTCTGTTTGATCTGAAATGGGGCTTTCCTCCACAACCACTCGATCCGGCATTATACGGCATGAGCACGCTACTCAACGAGACCGATCTCAAGCTCAACGGCGCACAGATAATCGTACTGGGTCAAGCAACCGGTGACCCAAGCGAAATCCACGCACAACAGCAGAAGGAGCAAGAACAGAATAGATCGGCACCGCTCTCGCTAAAGAGCAAGCAAAGCGAGGCACTGAAGGAGACGCCGGAGATCCCGCTCCCTTCACGAGGCGGTACTATGGTGTTAAGAGTCATGCCTGATGATAACAGCTGCATGTTCCGCGCGCTTGGCACCGCCGTCTTGTCTTCGTCTCTAGACTCAATGACCGAACTGCGATCACTTATCGCGCAAGCTATACAAGCCGACCCAGAGACCTATAACGAGGCGGTGCTCGATCGGAAGCCGGACGAGTATTGCCAATGGATTTCATACTCGGATTCCTGGGGCGGCGGTATCGAGCTCAGTATTCTTTCCAAGGAATTCGATGTTGAGATTGCAAGCATCAACGTGCAAGACCTACGAGTCGACACGTTCAATGAGGGGAAGGCCGAAGCGGTGTATACTGGTGTATTCGGGGATCCACTACGATACGATCGCATTCGTTCCACAAGGTGCCTCGACGCTTGATACGGACAATGATATCAAGTTGTTCGAGTCAGCGGACAATGAGTATCTGGAGGCGGCTAAGCTGCTTTGTGCAGAGCTCCGGAATAAGCATTATTACACCGACACGAACAAATTCAGTGTCAAATGTAACGTCTGTGGGTGGAAGGGTGCTGGAGAGAAAGGCGCCACGGAACACGCCACGGCGACAGGCCACTACGAGTTTGGCGAAGCGGATTAGAAAAGTTACCCTAATGTATAGCGAGGGTCGGATAGACCCATCTCGAAGTCCACCATTGCGACATGTATATAGGTACTGGCACGATAGCACATATACCCAGGCGTAGAGCATTGGAGCGATCCAGCGTTAGCAAGTAAACGAACCGGGTGCACGTGGTCCCACATTCTTGTTTTCGTCATGCTTCGCTTGCCTGCCAACAAGACTCATCAGCTTCTCGAATTCTTGGATGTCCCTGCCTATATCAAGGTTCTCTACGATGCTCTCATTGTTGGGCCACCGGTCGCCATATTTGCCAATCAACGTAGCATTATAAAGGAAAAGCTTCTGCTTCTGACACTTTGCTAGCTCAGCTCGCAGGCTAAGCGCGCGAAGAAGCTGGGGACCTCGGTGGCTTATAAGTAGTGTTAAAAGGCGGATGTAATATGCACTATGTGGCACTGTCTATGCTTTCCAGGTCAGGGGAGGTCCTATCAGTTGTCCGCTCCAAGCTACTGTGCATAATCGGCGATATAGTTCGTCCGCACGTCGTCTCTGTTGTCGAGATTAGTAGGAATCTATAGATACCGGATAGTAAGCGTAAAGGCGTGCTACGCACTACGTGATGCGGCAGATATTTGGCGGCCTGTGGCGACACCGCTCAAGCTCATGCCTAGACGCACGATTAGTATAAGCGAAGACATATCTGAAGAACAGGCGTGTTCCTAAAGGAGCGAGTGCGGAAACGCGCTGTGTAAACTGAGCGTATTAGATGGACTGCAGGGCGACGGTGCTGTGAGGGCAAGAGCCTACGCGAACGGTATGGGTGGGCTGTAGTTAGAGTAGTGACAGTATTGCAAAGCTTTCCTGGATGTGCATACAATTGCTGATATACTTGACGAGTATTTCATCGTCGTGCTTAATGTTATATTGCTGTATTGACTAGTGCATTCTTCGTTGTTGAAGTTGCCAGTGTTCTTGATCACCATCTCACAGACGAGCAAGTAGGCATGATGTCAATCTAGTAGCTTCGGTTCAGCCCAACGAACCGCTGCACAGCGATAAGTGCGCGATGTTCGTTCAATGCATAGCGACATCATTACGAATTCTTGATCTCCCGATCCAAATTTTGAGCTTGCAGATCCAACGCTAATACTCCCGTCGAACAGCAACGACAAATGTGAATGGATTGCTTTACCCTCTCCAAGCTATGCTATGTATCAGAACTCCTCACACATCCTGCTCCCCTTATAGTTTACTAACACACTTCTCAAGAAGTGCTACCCTGGTATCCAGAATCTACACATACAGCCACATTTCAAACCCCTCCCACGAGCTTACCTATACGCACATCCCTCACTCCTCCCCAACATCCCTCACCCTACAAACCACGCATCCCGCCCCCACCGCTCTCTTGATAACATGCGCATGCGCTACCTTCGCGCCCACACTTCTCGTCCACCGTTCGCTATCCTCCGCATCGCTCGTAAGCTGCTGCTGCAGCGTTGCCGCCACGCTCGCGCTCGCACTTGTCTTCGGCAGCAAACATGAAAGATGGAACGCGTGCCCGCACGCAAAGCCAACAAGCGTGTCCCGGGAAGGTGGAACCGGGTCGTCAGTAAGCGCCTCTTCGTCTGCGGTGGGGAGCGCGAATGGCTTGTGGCAGCCTGTGCAGTGTCCAGGGGGAGCTTCGCCGGCAGGTGGGGCAGGGTCGGGTTGGAGGCCTGACTGGACAGGCGTGTGAGAGGAAGGTGCGGTGGTGGTTGTGTCGTCTTTGGCTATTTTTGCTGCAGTCGGAGGGTCGACGCCTTTGGTCTCGATGTCGAATTTCTTCCCAAGCTTTGTCTTGTCGGACAGTCCTGACTTCTGTTTCTCAAGTGAGGGATCGAAAGAGTCCTCGTCATCGCACGGTATGACTTCAAACTTGACGCCGCGTTTCTGCCCTGCTCGAAGGACGTCCATGCCTGTTGCTACCTCGCCTCTTAGCACCTTGGCCACACCCTCTGATATAGAGTACTGGATCTCGTATTCGCGCACCATCCGACCAATGCCGTCTCTTAAGCCCTCAATTTCAAGGCCCTCAGGTATGCGGCGGACAAGTCGAACAGGATCGATGGCGGTCCCGACTTCTGCGAGTAAGCCGCGGATGAAATGAGGCTTGTCCATCGAGAACTCGAGGAGGTCGTTCCATAGATCTGGGTCGTCCTGTTCTTTTGCGAATGAGATCGCAAAGCTAACGTCGGATAACCTGTCGATGATAAGGTAGAGCGCGCGCTTGGTTTGACCGGTCTTCGAAAGGATGTAGCTAGATTTCGGTTAGTCTTGGAGCAGTCGTAACTTGATAAGAGAAAACTTACACAAGCTCAGGGATGTACTGCCTGCTTTCGCAGATGCTGGTCGCTTTACTGAGGTCGTATGCCTGCGACTCACGCAAGTACCTCAAAAGTAGCTCGCGGTCGTATTCAGCAAACAAGTCAACCATGAGATCGGCGAATTCTTCCGCAATGTGCTTGCCATCCACAGCTAGTCTCCCTGCATTTACACGCTCCCTTGCCGTCCTACCTTTCCGCTCTTGGCTCTCCGGTCTCCACAACGATCTCAGGTAGAAGAACAGGAATGGTTGGAACGATTCGCCTTTCCGCTTCAATTGTTCAACCACCTCAGGCGCAGGCACGTTGCCCCGGGTTGCTTCGTCTGTTAAGACACCAACGGCTTCAGAAGATGACTCTTCTAATTCTGCAAGCGAAGCGGACTCCATCTGCTCTTTCGACACGCGGAGCAGTATGAAACCTGGAATGTCATCTCGTATAGCTTCCACAAGATGGAAGTCCCTTATCAAGCTCATAGCCGCATCCGCGTTCTGGAGTCGAATATAGCAGCGTAGAGCCGCTCGTTGATGCCCTTTAGCCAGATAGAGCTTTGCAAGCGCATCTTGTAATATCCGCCAATCTCGGCCCTGCTCGTTGCCTTCAATCGAATCTTCGGTTATGTCGCCTCCAGCCAATTTACTTTTGATGGCTTCAATAACGATACCTGTGTCGACGAGGTCCGTGTCCCAGGCTTCCAGTAAATGCTTGAAACGTATCCGGTCGTGGATAATATAATGGCCGAGAACGACTTCGTAGATAGTAGAGGGCAGCATAGGCTGCGTTTGCTTCTTAGGCATATAGGGTGCAATCTCATTGAAGCGATCCTTTTCAGCGAACTTCCACACCCAGTGTTCCCATCGTTGCGAAGTGCCTAGCACGCGCCCAGCAACTTTACCAGCTTGTTCCCAATTTCCAGACTTGACCAATTGCTGCACCCACAGGTCGCCTATCCGTCGTTTCTCTTTTTCCACTGCAGAATTTTGATTTGCACGCGTGGCAGATATGGTAGTCTGGGAAGCATCCTCATCGGCGAAGAACTCTTGTAAACTGCCCGGTCTTTGAGGAGTGCTGGCGGGAGAAGTGTCGGAGGCAGTTTGTGTGGCAGCCGCGGCAATTTCTGGGTGGTCCTCAAGAAGCTCCCACGCGTCTTTGTAGTTTTCGTGCTCGACCTCCCAATTGAAGTGGTCCGACAAGTCTCGTTTTATTGCTAGAACGCAATCGTATGGGCTCTGAATGAACACCTTGAGGCCGGGTCCCGCGGCATTTGGATGTGCTTGGGACATTCTCTTTCCTGCAACCGATGCAGATATGTTTCCAGAGGAAGATATCGAGGGTGCCCTCACGTCGGTAGTGCTTGGCATACTAACCATGCTTGCACCAGAGCTAAATATACGGGCAGCTCCTAGGGTTGCGTCCCAAATGCCACCGCCGATCGCTTCGATCGCACTTCTTTGCGCGGGAGTCATGGTCTTCGGATGGGGCACGTATAGCGTCCCGAGATGGTAGTCGGCTGCGGAGAGATTCTCAAACCTGCTTACAGTCAATGAATCTACTTCGACCTCGTCAGAAGTAGCTGCATCAATCAACTTCAGCTCAGGCGAGAGACCGTTGTTGCGCCTATGCATCCCGCGTTTCGGGGTAGTATCTGGAGAAATAGGGTTGTCGTCGTCATCGCGAGTCCGATACGCAAGTACAAGAAGTAAAGAAGGGGTATAGAGCGATATGCCGGAAACAATGCAATCATCGAACCGAAGGCTGTCGTTTCACTGTTAGCATTTGTTGTATCTCCAAGAGTGTGGTACGCACAAATGGATAATCTCGGCGCTTCCCACAGATCTCTCGCCCACCTCCCTACCGACGCCTGCGCCTCCAGGACTGACGTGTACTATCCAAGCCGCATCCCCCCAGCCGACGACCAACTTCTCAAGCTTTCGGTTCTTTTTGGTTGCCTTAGACTTTCCTGAACTGCGGTGATGCGGTAGCGTAGCATCTGATCTCTCTGTTGCATTGCTGCCGTTCATTTTGATGATGGCATCGTCGTCTGACTCTAGCTGTTGATCGTCGACCCACTCCAAGCGCGCCTTCCAGACACCCGCCATCTCTTCCCAGATCTTGCGATTTGGCTTTTCAATGAAGCCTATCCTCTTCCATGCAGCATCGGAATCGGCACTGTCGAGATGCAGATCTGTTCGCATTATTCGAATGCCATGCTCGTTGACCCATGCAACGAATTTTCCGGACAGTGACCACTTTATTGTACTGATGGTGCCTTCACCCGAGTGCAGTATGTTGTCCTTGCCACTGTTGCTCCCCAAACCAATAGCTCCGAGCCAGCCCTGGGCTGTGTGAGCAGCATGACTCGTGTTCGCGTTGGATCGGACGCCCGCTTGCCCGCCGGTCGTGAGGATAAGCTCGCCGGCCAATCCTCCGGAAAGGTATTGTCGATCAGACTTGTATTTGGGCGACAAGGCGACCGCTTGTACCGGACGAGCAAAATTCCGTAATGTAACATCTTTCGGATCGATCAATGATGACACACAGACATGACCATCTATTGACGCAGATGCGATATATATCTGATTCGAAGGGACTGCGGGTACGAGTGGCTGCTGACGAGGCGTGCGCGGAGACTGGCCAGGCGCAGGATGCTGTGGTCGCTGAGGAATTTCGGGAGGATCGATGCTTTTAGTAGGGGAACTTGACTGGAGGATAGGAAGTGGAGGCGGGAACGGCGATATGGACAGGGCGGTGATTGAAGCCGAAGGGTGGGCGTTGTAGTTGCGGAGCGGTTGGTAGGTGGGGATGGCCAGGATGTGCTATTACAGTCAACATGTACGTCTTGAAGCTTGGAGAGCATTGCGACTCACGATGTTTCCATTATGGCTGCCTATAATCTACCTAGAACTCAGCTTGTGCTTTGCGACAGATGAAGGCTTGAAGCCTGTAGCATGCGCCCTACCATTTTGTCGCCAGCTACCAAAAAGGTGCTTGTCGCGTCGCCATTTCTGTACACGGGCGCCAGATTGCTCGTCAGGCGCGTGTATTTGAGCTTCGGCTCCTCGTCTGCATCCTCGTCCTCATCGTCATCTTCACTCTCAGAGTCGTGCGCGGCGGGCTTCCCGTTGCTCACCGTGCGCTCGAGCTTCTGTTCGTCGTGTGCGGCCGCGCTGGGCTCGTCCTGGGTTGATACCGCAGCCATGCCGAATGCATGAGCTGCGGATTGTGTCGAGAAGGCGCCTTGAAAGCTACGGTGACTGTGAGTTTCGAAGCTCGGTGATGCCTGGCAAGCTCACGTAGTTGGATTGTAGATCTCAAGTCACGTCCAATGATGTCGTGTGCCAAGCGATTTACCCCAGGAAGTGCCGCGGCCAGGCCTCGCGGCATCCCCGTCGCCTTAGCTGAACCCACAACTTCCATCGATATGCAACATGACCGGAGAGCTTGTCTAGGGGAGGCATCCATCTACGAGCACACATATCACCTTGGTGTTGCCCGAAATTCTCGCGCAGCACTCCTGGGCATTATCTAGCCAACGAACTACAAGCTTACTATGAATGTGCCCCATCGGAGCACAATGTTTAAGATTAGGGATGACTGTTGTTTACTATGGATGGTACTTCGTTAATCTGATGTGCATTTAATACACCAAGACATTCCTGTCTACTTGTCCGTAACGACGAACCCGACAGTTACGGTTCCAGAAATTTTTCTGGCCGGGCGTTCAGCTACATCCTTTTCTTTCAGCTTGTGACATTCATCCCGATATTGTTGTGGGGTTCATTCCAACGATGGTTAGTCAAGGACATGTGCAATTGCTACGGGACCCGATAGCAGTTTTGTGTGAACAATAGAGGACACCTGGGGCTGGTGAGCAAGCCCAAGATGCAATATCGACCGATATATGACCAAATCTGACCCTGCTAGATTACTTTCAAGAAGCGGTCACCCACGTGAGTGTCGTACTTAACGCCTCACGCTTTTTCAACTGTAGCATGTGTCCGGGTGAATAAGGAGTTCGCTGAGCCATGGATGCTTCATGCCAACCACATCGTGGAGTTATATGAATGGAACGAGTGCAAATGCCAGGACGGAATAGGGCGAATGGTCGGGATTCTGTTGACGTGGCATGTCAGTGTGACCAGACCAAATAGTGGTTGGTATTCATGAGTCTAGGCAGGAGGCGAAACGAGTAATACCTGTCATAGCAGACTGTAGAAGACCAAGCTTGACTTGACCCGAGAGATCCTGAGATATTGAAGGGTATGTGAATATCTGGCTGTCCACCCAAGTGCCGTTAGTTGGCCGCATCCAGATCATGGACTCGCACTGGCTCGGTTTGGAGGGTGTTCTTGCATGATTTCATCAAGGCCCGTTGTGAGGACCCTGGATGGACTGTCCCGTGGTGGGCAGCCCACCGATGGAGCTCTGAATGCGATGACTATATGTTCCGGGAGCTCAGAGAACCCCTGCCACTAGTGGTGCTGATTGAAGCACTAGACGAGATGATAGTCCTAGAAAGCACCTTGGGTTGGTGAGTTTATTGCATTTATGATGTGTTATGCGCTTGTGTCTGACAGATCATTTACTTTGGGCGCGCTGTTGTAGCAATGCGGGTTTCTTCTACCCTGCGACACGTCTCTATTTCAGCCATAAGAGCCCTCATCCCTGGAACAGTCCCCACTCCTTGATATCAAAGCTCTCCAATACCTTCTTTGCTATCTCATCACCTTCCCTCATCAAAGCCGTCTTCTCGCCTGCTCCAGCCTTCTCATACTCGCCCGGATAATGAGGGACATTGATGGTGATCATGATATCCGTACCTTGTTCCTTTAGGCGAAGTAGCAGCAAGTGGATAGCGACAAAGTCGGGAGTCTTGCGCGGCCGGTCTGGCGGCGGGGGAGTCTGGATGAATGAGAGAGTGTGGGCGGGTTTGTTACTAAGTTCATTGTCAGCTTTGCAAAGTGCATGGCGGTCTTTTCATAGCGGTAGCCAGGGTGTGAATGCAGCGGGCACGTGACTCGCTCGTCCCCAATTCGCGTGCACCAACAGCCTAGAAGAGTGAAAACAGCAAACTTACGGCATTCTCGCCATGGAAGCATGCGATTGCTCTAGCATGTTGGTCTCATCGCCCGTGCCGTCGACTAAATCCGTGAAATGATACTGCAGCGCTTCGGCATCTGTGGGTTTCTCCACATACTCCAGGATCTCGAAAATGACGCCGGAATACCCATTCTCGTCTAGATACAGTTCCTGGTGATCAGGTACTTCTCGAATCTGGCTGCGAATAAGTGTTAGCGATGTGGTGGTGGGGGGCGAGAAGGGGAGGTGCGAACCTTGCGTCGCCGTATGCGGTAGGCAGGTCGACGGTGATGGCGCCACCGTAGAGCTCGACTTTTTTGTAGGGCATTTTCGAGGTTTGTGCGTGACTTGTGTGCGTGAGGGTCTAACAAAATGGCTTGTTATCGGTGATGCATGTTCAGGTGCGTGGTTGTGGTGCTTTATATGTGGCGGCTGTGAGGTTCTTGAATTTCTCGAAGTAGCACCGCGTAGGTAGCAATCAGGCAGGCTCAGGCACCATTTGTATGGTTACCTAATTCACCACGCGAGCACTTTGAAACATGAAGTAGGATTATGTAGCATTTTTGAGCCTGTACGACTGGCTGTGGGTATCATTGAAACTTTTGCGTATCCTCTATGTGGTACGTCCCCCGAAAGTTGAGCGCCTTACAATGCAGATGATGATGTAGGCAGCCAGGCAGCACTCTGTGCCCGAACGGCGACTGAGATGCTTCTTGATTGCGAGTCCGCCCGACGCTCTCCCAGACCTGCCCATGCGTTCCCTTTAGGCGTTCCCACCTCCTGCCTATCCGACCTTCCTCCCTCTATTGGCCTGCTTCATGTCGCCATGGCGCGAGCGATGCTCCGAAGCTTTTCCTACGCCGCCACCGCAGTGTTGTCCACCTCCATCAGCGTTGTCGTGCGCTTTCCATTGTCGGTCGCAAGTCCTGCGGCTGCCTCTGCTTCCTTCTGCGAGTACGGCTCTTCCTTCAGTTGCTTGACTCTGCTCGGCTGTCAGTGCCTCCTCGGTCAACAGTGACGGCACCTTCCTCACCTTCGCTTGTGCACCTTGCCCTTGTGGTGGGCCTCAAAGTTGGCCTCGCTCTCAAACCATTTGGCGCACTCTTTGCAGTACCACTGGCCCAGCCCCGGCAGGTCCTCGGTGGCCTTTGCGTCCTTGAAGTGCGAAAGGTGCTTTTCGTCGCGCAGGTCGGCGTGGATCTGGTCGAGATCGCGCGTATGTCGCCGCGTCTTCTTCTTCGAGTTCTCTCCCCCGAATCGCCGGCATCGTGATTATCTTGATTGTCGATGTGCAGATTCGGCCGCGGATGTGGGTCGCGCTCGGAATGGGACGTGCGGCGCGCGCGAGCTGTCTGCAGGTTGACAGAATTTTTCGGAGCCTGCAAACGGGCTTGGCGCTGCAGCAGCAGTGCAGCCTGTGACGACAGCTGGAGCGCGCACTGAGCTTGCGAGTCGCAGTGTCTGGGACGGCCTTGTGTGTGTTATCTGCTGCCAATCAGCCCGTGCGAGGCGGCCAAAAGAAAGGCGCACGCGGGGTCATTCCTCCAAGCTCGCAGCGCTGCCGGGTGACGACATGGCCACAGCCGCCGTCGCCAACTCATGCTGGAGTGCGCCCCAACCGTGATATACATGGCAAAGACAAAGTGCCGCGGCGTGTTCCGCGCACCAGCGCTTCGAGTGCGAAGTGCGCCTTTTGTCGCGGCTTTCGCACGCCCGCACGTGAAACAAGCAACGCGGACGACGGGGAAATCACAGCCGCCTCGCTTTTGCTCTGGCGCCGAGGTAGCTCTATCCGTGCGACCCGCCCGCCAGCCAATCAGCCGAGCTCTGATCTCCATTAGTTAGCGGCCAGGTTGCGGGCCAGCTTCTGACGTTCTTTTCATCCGCCTCTCCGTCTCTCCAACTCTCCACTCCATCCCTTTCACCCACCATGCAGAAGTTCGCGAGGCTTGGCCGTGTCGGCCAGAGTCTTGTCCAACGGAGGCAATTGGCCACCGTCAGCGATGCGCCGCTTTCCAAGAAGGTCGAGATGACCAACTGGGAGAAGGGCCACTACATCAACTACCAGAAGATGAGCGAGAACCTGGGCATAGTGCGCAAGCGTCTCAACCGCCCGCTCGCCTTCGCCGAGAAGATCCTTTACTCGCACTTGGACGACCCTCACAACCAGGAGATCGAGCGAGGCACGAGCTACCTCAAGCTCCGCCCTGACCGCGTTGCTTGCCAGGATGCCACCGCCCAGATGGCAATTCTGCAGTTCATGTCGGCTGGTATGCCCTCCGTGGCCACTCCGACCACTGTGCACTGCGACCACTTGATCGAGGCGCAGATTGGAGGCGCAAAGGATCTGGCTCGCGCCAACGACATCAACAGGGAGGTCTACGACTTCTTGTCCACCTCTTGCGCAAAGTACAACATTGGTTTCTGGAAGCCTGGCTCTGGCATCATCCACCAGATCGTCCTCGAGAACTACGCTTTCCCCGGTGCTCTGCTCATCGGTACCGACTCACACACACCTAACGCCGGTGGTCTGGGTATGGCTGCTATCGGTGTCGGAGGTGCTGACGCCGTCGATGTCATGGCTGGTCTTCCTTGGGAATTGAAGGCTCCCAAGGTGCTTGGTGTCAAGCTGACAGGTAAACTGTCTGGTTGGACTGCTCCCAAGGGTAGGTTCTGTCCGAGCTTTTCCTGTCACCGGAGATCGACCATCTCTAGTGCACAGAGTGCGCGAGTCTAAACAGTGCTGATCATAGCTTTAGACATCATCCTCAAGGTCGCCGGTATCCTCACCGTAAAGGGTGGAACTGGCTACATCGTCGAATACCATGGTCCTGGTACCGAGAGCCTGTCTTGTACAGGCATGGCTACGATTTGTAATATGGGGTATGGTCTTCGCTTCCGCGGTGCTGTACTTGGCTGACGATCCCAAAGTGCTGAAATTGGTGCTACCACATCTTTGTTCCCCTTCAACGACCGCATGTACGACTACCTCGCTGCTACCAAGCGCCAGTCTATCGGTGACTTCTCCCGCGAGTATGCCGCTGAGCTCCGTGAGGACGAGGGTACGCAGTACGACGAGCTCATTGAGATCAACCTGGACGAGCTCGAGCCGCACATCAACGGTCCCTTCACACCCGATCTCGCTACCCCTATCAGCAAGTTCAAGGAGGCTGTCAAGGCCAACAAGTGGCCCGAAGACCTCAAGGTCGGTCTCATCGGTTCGTGCACTAACTCCTCATATGAGGACATGTCGCGCGCCGCTTCGATCGCTGAGGATGCCATGTCCCACGGCATCAAGTCCAAGTCTCTCTTTACTGTCACTCCCGGCTCAGAGCAGATCCGCGCCACCATCGAGCGCGACGGTCAGCTCAAGACCTTTGAGGAGTTCGGCGGCATGGTGCTCGCCAACGCCTGCGGTCCTTGCATTGGTATGTAGTGGATCCTGATACTGATTCCGAGGATGACTTGAATGGTCTTCCCGTGTCATCATTTGATGGCGCCTATGATTTCCATGGCCTTTCTTTCTTTCTTATCTTTGTGTCGACTGCCTTCTTGTAACTATGCTAACTGTTGCATAGGTCAATGGGACAGGAAAGATGTAGCTAAGGGCGAGCCCAACTCCATCATCTCGTCCTACAACCGCAACTTCACCGGACGCAACGATGCAAACCCCGCTACGCACTCTTTCGTGACATCGCCTGACCTTGTCGTCGCGATGTCTATTGCTGGAACGCTCAACTTTAATCCCTTAGTGAGTCTACCCGAAAAACTTCGAGTGGTACCAGGATGGGCGATGCGCTATCCAAACTCTTGACCTCGTCCTTATCTTCCCTCTACGATGTACACAGTACTTGTGCTTGAGGTCTGGGTACCTTGAGTTACCCCAGGTTGCATCGAAATTTTTTCATAGATATTGGCTAACTTAGCATAGACCGATACATTGAAGGATAAGGATGGCAAGGAGTTCAAGCTTAAGGAGCCTACCGGCGACGGTCTCCCCGGTCGTGGGTTTGATGCCGGTTTGGATACGTATCAAGCTCCTCCCGAAGACCGCAGCTCCGTCTCCGTCGCTGTGTCCCCTACCTCGGACCGCCTCCAGCTATTGCAGCCTTTCGAAGCCTGGGACGGAAAGGATATCTCCGAAATTCCAGTGCTAATAAAAACTGTTGGAAAAACGACGACTGACCACATTTCCATGGCCGGTCCCTGGTTGAAATACCGTGGACATCTTGACAACATTTCCAACAATATGCTTATCGGTGCCATCAGCGCCGACAGCGGCGAGGCAAATAAGATCAAGAACAACCTCACTGGCGAGTACGACGCCGTCCCGGCTGTTGCCCGTGACTACAAGAAGAACGGCATAAAGTGGGTTGTCATCGGCGACTGGAACTACGGCGAGGGCTCTTCCCGTGAACACGCTGCTTTGGAGCCCAGGCACTTGGGAGGTATTGCTGTCATCACCCGATCCTTCGCTCGTATCGTAAGTAGTACTTTCCGCAGACAAAAGGAAACTTTACTGACCTCGCACAGCACGAGACCAACTTGAAGAAGCAGGGTATGCTTCCCTTGACCTTCAGCGACCCGGCCGATTACGAGAAGGTTGGCCCCAACGACAAGGTCAGCATCGCTGCTACCGAGCTCGCCCCCGGCAAGCCCATTACCCTCACCGTCCACCCCGCGGACGGCAGCAAGTCTTTCGACATCAAGCTGTCGCACACCTTCAACGAGGGCCAGATTGAGTGGTTCAAGAACGGCAGTGCGCTCAACACCATGGCTAAGAAGTCTGGTAAATAAATGCATCATGGCAAGAATTTTGGGACATGACATGTGAATCTGGGGATGTACATATTAAGGCTAGCAGCGCCTGGATAAACCGCTGATGGTGAAGAATGAAGTCACGAAGTCTGGGAAAGAAGAAAGTTGGATTGTGATTGGTCGTCACGAACACGAAATGGGCTGGTGGCAGAGCGTTTGATATCATACCGGCTCGGCAAGTTCGGGTCTGGACTGTACTTTTTATGGTGTTTAGCATGCTATCTTTGAAATTAATCTGCGGCATTACTTCACCAAACAATCACAATATCTTCGGTTTCAAGCGGAAGCTGATTACTTGCGCTACAAAAAGCGTCATTCAAGCGGTACGCTGTAATCAAATCATGCTGAGGCACAAAGAGCACAATTTCATTACGTGGCGTATCAAAGCGGTCTTTTGTGATATTTTCAATTCAACTCTCTCTTGACATTAGGTTCCGCATTCTACTGACGCCGTGGCACTACCTGAGACTAACGCCCGTTGCGCGCGGCACGTTCGCGCTAATGGTCGCCCCAACAACCATCGCGAAAACAAACTTTCACCAACGCAACTCCACCGTCCTGGAGTCGAACTGCGCACCAAATTCTGATATCACTACCCATATACACAATGGCGCGTCTTCGGAAGCCTAGCCCTACGGAGCAGGTCATATTTATACCACCACCTACACCCACCACGCGATCCACCCGAACCAGTCCCCGCAAGACTATGTGCAAATCGCCCTCGACCCGCAAGTTGCGATATACTTCGCCAGAAGACTCAGATGAAGGCTCATTCCTTGTTCCGAAAGCTCCCATAAATCAGTCGCCGGTTAGGAAACAGCGTGTGCTACGGCCAATGGCAAGCAATGCGAGTCTGGTACAGAGGCCCAGTACTGAGAGCCTGCGCAGCTTGGTAGCAACGCCGGATAAGGATAGGAGGCCGAGGAGGCCGCTGAGAGACGGTGGTAGCGCGGCAAATCATCTGTACTCGAAGACTTTGGCGAAAATTGTGGCGAGGAAGAAGGGACCATTGAACATTGCACCATCAGAGTTCGAGGGGACAGTCGTGGATGAGAGGGACGTTGAGCAGAGCATTGTATGTGGAGATACCAATGAAGCAAATGATGAAGACAAGGAGAATACGCCGAAGAAAGAAAAGAGTGACGACGATGTAGACGACGAACCTGTGGTGGACGCGAGGAGGAGGCGCAAGCAGCCCCGAGCGAGAAGGAGGGTAGTCTCCGATTCTGAGGAGGATGAGGACGAAAACTACGATGATGCTGTGATGTCCCAGCACACACAGACTCCAGTTCCAGAGCCTGCATGGAAACCTTCCGTGGCCATGCCACCTCCACCACTAGTATCGAACAGGCCCCCGTTTCGAAAGGGTCATAGCATTATCTCAAATTGGGCACAAGACGTCATTGACTTGACGGAGTCTCCAGAACCGCAATCGTCTTTCGCAATTCCCCCCACCTGCTCGAGCACGCACCGCTTCTTTTGCCGCTTCGTCTCGTACAAGCAGCAGGACGTCGAACCGTGCAGATGACGTTCTGATCTAGTGAGTTCATCCTTTTCTTTTGTGCGTACAGAGATTGACTTCGTTCAGCTCCCCAACTCCTACGAAACAGCGCTCACCTTGCAAGGCCCCTCCTTTAGCGCGCCCAAGCACGCCGACTCAGTTACTTAGTCCCTCGAAACTTGCCTCTCCATCGAAGAAAAATGCTCGAATACCGAACTCGGTGAACCTGCGACCTAGTATCGATGCGTTCTGGGACCCGGAAATAGTCAATGACCACGTTGACAAATTCTCGCCTTCGAAGCCGCTGCTTTCGCCACGCAAACAGAACCTCTTCAAGCAGCTCGAGAAGCAGACGAATTCCATAACTCTATCCGACGATGACAGCGACTCGATTCCATCCCCCCACAACTTCGCCACGTAAGAAGAAAGCAAAGTCTCCTACGAAGAAAGCATCTGCAGAAGCCTGTTCGCCCACGGTAGCGGTCCTGCGTGCCCAACGCAAAGATTTCGCAGCCCGCAAACATGCAATGGCCGAAGCCTTCCTTGCCGAGGTAGACGCAGCTATTACAAACGGCCGTATCGCCGAACTATCTAGCAACAGTGGTGGCATAAAGCTCGTCTGGTCCAAGACTCTCAAGACTACCGCTGGCCGTGCCAACTGGCGTCGCGAGCAGATCCGCCTTCGCAGCGGTCCTCTTCCATCCGATACGCGCGTCGAAATTCGGCACTACTGCTCTATCGAGCTTGCCGAAAAGGTCATCGACAACGAGGAGAGGCTGTACAACGTGCTTGCGCACGAGTACTGCCACCTCACCACCTTTATGATTAGCGAGGTCCGGAATAATCCGCACGGTGCGGAGTTCAAGTCATGGGGCGCGAAAGTCACGGCCGCGTTCAAAACGAGGGGCATAGAAGTTACCACCAAGCACTCGTACAAGATCGACTACAAATACATTTGGGAGTGCGTTGCCTGCGGCTACGAGTTCAAGCGGCACAGCAAGTCCGTTGACCCTGTCCGTCACTCGTGCGGCCGGTGCAAAGGTTTGCTAGTGCAGACTAAACCTTGTCCTCGCGGTGGCGCTGTCGATAAGGACGGGAAGAAGCAAAGTGGCGAGTATCAGGTCTTTGTCAAGGAGAACTTTTCCAGGGTAAAGAAGGAGATGGATCGTAGGGGAGAAGAGACGGCCATGGGGAAGGTTATGGCAGCAGTTGCGAAGGATTACAAGAAGATGAAGGCGGCGAAGGCGAAGGAAGTCGAGAGTCAAGTGGACGACTTGGAGGCTGCGATCGAGGGACTGATGATATGAATTCGAACACGGTCGACTCTTGATGATTTTCTATGGGCTGGCGTTCGGAGCTGGGCTTAGGGGCTTCTTCAGCCCTCATTTCTGCTCGACTTGGGTAAATGTGCATGTTCCCAAAAGCATTATCTCTGCGCTTTCAACCGTCTTTTCGATAATAATGATTGCGACGTCTCTCTCCTCACTGTAAGATGATTGGGCTGTTGATGTGTTGAATGCAAACCACAGTGCGCTCACCGAGCGTTCTCAACGGACCTGAAGATTTGGTTGTAGGCCGAAAAGCAAAGTATTGTTTCATGCGTCGCAACATTGGAGTGGTGTTGTACGAATTCACCAAGCTGAAAACGAGCTAGTCCCAATTTCCGAGCCAATGACGTATCATCCCAATGCGGTCTCTAATAACCGAGCAGGGGCAATGCTCCACCACGCGTCGACGGCGATCCAAAGGCTCCGTACACATGTTCGCTTGCTCGCAGTAACACTTGGCTAGGCACTGTAGGAAATGCCACCAAGCACAAAGCGATCCCCTGGGCACGAAGACGTCTTGGCTTCAAATACATACCAACCGACGCTCGCTTTCCCTCGAATAACCACCGTTTATGCATCTGTACCCCATACTTACAGGGGTAATCACAGGGCCACCCTGTCTAGTGTTGCACAAATTCGTCAAGTACCGGGAAATTTATTCCCCACCGGCGGCACTTATACGAGGGGTTACACCGTCAACTCGAAACACGCGGTCGAAACACATCAAAAGAATAGGGCCGATGCTTGATAATTCGCGGAACAACAATCTCTATAGTGCTCGGTGCAGTTCGGGCGGACACTGCGGAAGCTCAACGTACATAGGGGACGCAGTATAAGATGACTTGGCTTCCCAAGCTTTTTATGTCCCACCCGCGGTCTTGCACTCTCTACAATCCTTTCGATTCTTTCTCTACCCACCGGTGTATATCTTCAACATGAAGTTCTCCACTTCTCTAGTCTCCTTGGCGTTGGCTGCCTCAAGCGCCTTCGCTGCTCCCCTTGATGCTACCCGTACCGTTGAGAAGCGTGACACGACCATCTCTTGCGACTCTTGGGGCTCCCTCCAGACTGGTGGCTACACCATCTACCACAACAACTGGGGAGCGTCTGCTGCCACCTCTGGTTCTCAGTGCACTTACTTCAAGTCACTGAGCGGCAGCACCGTCGCTTGGTCCACGAAATGGTCCTGGGCTGGTGGCTCATACAATGTCAAGAGTTATTCCAACGTAGCTCTCGAGAACGTCAACAAGCAGCTGTCCGCTGTTTCCTCTATTCCTTCCGTCTGGAAGTGGTCGTAAGTATCATCCTTGAAGAGATCCAGATGCGATTGACCTAACATGATGTGCAGGCAAACCAGCAGCGGCACTCCCGTCGCCGACGTCGCCTACGACCTCTGGCTCGCCCCCACTTCCGGCGGCTCGAACGCCTACGAGATCATGGTCTGGCTCGGCGCCTACGGAGGTGCTGGTCCTATCTCCTCCACCGGCAGTGCCATTGCCACCGTCACGATCGGCGGTGCTAGCTACAAGCTGTTCTACGGCCTCAACGGCAGCGTCAAGGTGTACTCCTTTGTTGCCTCCAGCACCAACAGCAACTTCAATGGCGACCTCAACCTATTCTTCAAGTACCTTACCAGCAGCCAGGGTGTGCCCTCCAATTACTACATCACCTCGCTCCAGGCTGGTACCGAGCCCTTCACTGGCTCGAACGTCGTTCTTACCACCTCTGCGTACAGCATCTCCGTTAAATAAGACGCTTTTTGGAGAAAACTTTCTTTGTATATATTGGCTGATGCCATCCTGAACATATTTCTACTTCATTAGCGTAGTGCAAGACATATAAGTTGTCCACCAGAGCTGTTGCTGCCGTGAATAATAGCCCACCCCGTATGCCATCTATGAGGATCTAGCGGTTTATCGCGATAACGGCACTTCTGCTCTTTTGACCATGAATCGCTCTCCAATAACGACCCATTGCGCAACAGTAAATGCGAAGCGCATGGCATTAGCGTTCTTCAATTTGAAAGCTTTCTCAACCAGCCCTTCGACCTTGTCCCACGCGATGAATCCAAGTCTCTTTACTCTTTCTCTGGTCAGCAGTCCAGAAAGCAACTTGTGCAATGGGCCATTCTCCGGATAAGTTGTCGGCGCAGAGTATGGCTTCAATCCGGGTCAGTACGCGCTACGTATTTGCGAAAATAGCATACTTACGTGTTTCTTCCTCTTGTACAACTCATCCGTGATGAATGGCTTACTCGCCTCCCTCAAAATCCACTTCTCGGTAAACCTTTGTTCCTCACTATCCCATCTTATTTTGACACTCGGTGGCAGAGCGTTCACGTACTCAGTCAGATGGTGATCTAAAAAGGGCGTCCGAGCCTCGATCGAGTGAGCCATTTCCGTCCTGTCACCCAGGCATGAGAGAAAAATGTTGGAAAGATGGCCTTTCTGCCAGACATACAATGCTGAGTGAAGCGGATGCCACTCGGACATGATCTTGTCTCTAGCGCGCCCATCTATCGAGTGCGCGCTTGTGAGCTGTGGATCGCAGGTTGCGTAGCACTTCGTCCAGTCTGCAAAGAGCGTGTCCGGGGAGAAAGCTGCCATTGACGACACGGTCGTGATATCGTTCAGCATACGTCGAGGCAGCGATTGTCCACGATCGGAACCATCGGCACCGATAGAGTTGTAGTAAGCGCGATTCTCCTCTTCGGTCTTGATACACTGTGTTTTTCGCGTTTCCTCCGGTAGCGGGTTCGAGTATGCGAGGTCTTGCTCGCGAAGATAGTCAGGTAAATACATCGGATAGCCACCAAATTGTTCGTCTGCACCCTCCCCAGTGAGAACTACCTTGAAGCCCAGCTCTTGCGGTACCTCAGACAGAGCATATTTTCCAACATAATTCAAGTCCGGATTGTGGTGTTCGCAGTGCCAGGTGGCATCTTCAAAACGTGCGGCAAGTTCTGCCTCGTTCATGTGCTTCTTGTAGTACTTTACACCTAGGTAATCTGCTGTTCTATTCGCTATGGCAGACTCGTCAAAGCCGCTGTTTTCATCGAATGCGATACTGAAGCAACTGACGCGCTCTGTCTCGTTGTCGTTGCCCATGCGTTCTCCTTGCTCTTTGACGAGGTGCGTCACCATACCGGCAATCACTGATGAGTCGATGCCGCCACTGAGGTAGACGCCGACCGGAACGTCGGCTCGGAGTCGAATGCGTATGGCTTCCAACATCTGGGATCTCACACCTTCAATCATTTCTTCGTTGGATCGTGGATCTGATTGAGTCTACTCTGGTCAGATTACCGCTTCTGACAGGAAGATGTGTATTACCTTGAGCGGGTATTCCATGTCCCAATACGCACGCGACTCTGTGCTGTCGAAGGATTGGCAGATGATATAGTGGCCGGGCCGCAACTAACTTGATCAGTCGAAATCATAAATTATCTACTTCCGTTCCATACTTTTTTCACGCCTTTAAAGATAGTCCTCGCATCATGATTCCACCCCGCCTCTTTCAAGCTCGCAACGTCCCACTCCGGTTCCCATCCCAGCGGCAAGAAAGCTTTCGCTTCAGCAGCAACTAGCAGTTTGACTTCTATAAAAGTGTAGAACAACGGCTTAATGCCATAGCGATCTCTTGCTGCAATGAAAGTCTGTGTTCGTGCGTCATAGATGCAGAGCGCGAATTCTCCGCGCAGCTTGGACAGAAACGATAACCCGTAGTATTTGTACAGCGCGATTACAATCTCGCAATCGCTGTGGCCTTTGAAGGAATAATTTGTCTTCTCGACCAGGGATGTACGTAATGAGTCGAAGTCGTAGAGCTCGCCGTTGACAACAGCATGCACGGTGTCTTCCTCATCGTGGAATGGCTGCGCGCCATCTGGGGACAGATCGTTGATAGCCAGTCTTACGTGACCGAGCGCTATATGCAATGTCAGTGAAGATGACCGAAAGGACGTACATGATCGATTCGAAGGATAGCTAGGATAATGTACCAACTTTATGGTCCGAGCTAATCCATTGGCCTCTGGAATCAGGCCCTCTATGCTTGATCAATTCGAGACTCTCATCTAGCTGCTTTGGCCATGTTTTTGGATTGCTGAGACAGCCAGAGGCTTCCCTTTTTGCGTGGTCGAGGCTGACGATGCAGCTGATGCCACACATGTTCCAGCTGTTGCAATTAGAAAACAGAGAGTCATGTGCAAGACAATCTGCATATGCAGTTTGGGTATTTCGGTGCCGATTCAAGGCTCAATGACGTATTGATGATCCTTCGTGGAATAGCGACGGCGGGAGTCCGTTACGAGCTAGCACCCGCATCATCCTTAGTGTCTCCTTTTGTTGAAGCATTCCCTCGTAGTATGAATCGCCTCGAATGGTTAATGATAGTTACAAAGAAGAACTTATCCGGCCAACATGGCCTGCGAAGTAAATCACGACAACGATCTCCGATTACAAAGCTCGCTAACATCTACTGTTTAGGTGAGCTTAGCAAGAGGTCATCGGTCCACCGCTGCATTGTTTCTCAGGTCACCCCAAGAAAAGAATGAGCGCCAATCCCTCTTTTTAGGACCTTCTTCAGACCATGCTGAGGAGGCATTGTCTTATAGTCTGACTTGACGGAAGTGAGCAACGCAACCGCCTTAAAGCAGACCGGACGCGTCGCTGCGATGATGCGGTCCAGCTGAATAACAACATCAGAAGTTAGGAAAGCGGATTGCGGCCCAGACATAGTCCCTTTAGCCATGTCAATCGCCCGCATGCTGCGAGGTATGTGGCAGCTAATGTGTGTTGCCACGGTACCCAGAAAGCCGCCAACGGTTGGAGATGTGCGCGTTCATCCGGAGTTTCTTCATGTTCATAAATAAGATGAAAGTTCGAAGGCACTCAAGGGAAGAAGCCTGTATGGTCAATTGTACTGGACCACTGTTGAGTAAAAGCGGATTGGGAGAAGCGTTGAGTTTTGCCCTGAAGACACGGAGGGGATGAACTGAAACATCGCGTTGGTGATGCAAGACATGACAGCAGCACCGTCCTCGCCCTCGACCATGTTTCAGAGCAACTAGAGAGGGCTTATCCTTATCTTTTGTTTATATTCTCATGCGTCATCTTCTAGAGAAACTTCTTGGGTGGGCTGTCTTCGAGAACTCCTCGTTGCCACCAATCTCAATTGGGACATGGTCTTTGTCTCTGCACCACTAACGTCCTTCTACATCAAATTCGAAGCACAAGTCGAACCAACTTTCTGGGTCAATGTTGGGACCAGAAACATCGCACAGGTGGCATTCTTAAACCATGATCGAGTATGCGTTGCGTATGAAAGTGCTCTTGGAGCGGCCCGAGCCGCAAACCGAGTCAGGCGCAGTTGCCGAATCAGAGCTGCGCTGTCAGGACTGGCACAACGATTTCCAACACCAAAAATCCGCGAATATGGCAGCTGACCTGTTACGAAATTTACCCAAAGATGCGCCTGCTAAGGCGAAACCAGAATTGCAATATGCAGATGTGAGTGTTGCACCAAGGTCAAAATCACGGGCGAAGGCGCTGACAATCGACCAGGTCGCTGTAACAGCCACAGCAAAAGAATTCGCGGGAATATACCGCAATAAGCAGTACCATGCGCCCGACTTCCCGGCTGTACTGGACCGTGCCTCAGAAGCCAATGTGAAGAAGGTCATGCTTACCGGAATGTCTCTCTCGGATGCCCAGTTTAACGCCGATATCGCCCGATCAAGGCCAGATCAATGCAGCATCACTGTAGGCGTGCACCCATACCACGCTCAAGAGCCTTACGCCAACGGAAGCGATGGTAGCGAATACTTCTCGGCCATGGCAAAGACGATCGCCGACCTGCAAGCAGAAACGCCCGTGCTGGTGTCGGCGTTTGGGGAGCTGGGCTTGGATTACGATCATCTGGAGTGGGCGAGCAAAGATGTGCAGATTCGGTGCTTCAAAGACCAGCTCGAATTGCTTGTGAAAGAGAAATACGACCTGCCTCTTTTCTTGCATTGTCGCGCATCCTTCGATGACTTTGTCGCGGTTATTGAACCGTATCTTGCTCAGTTACCTCGTAGAGGGCTGGTGCATTCATTCGTCGGCAGCTCGACGCAGATGATGAAGCTCACGGACATGTGCTTCGACGTAAGTGTCAACGGCTTCAGCTTCAAGGACCGAGAATCACTGGAGATGGTTGCAGCGGTGCCGCTAGAGCGGCTGCAGCTTGAGACGGATGCGCCGTGGGGTATCATTCAACCAAGCTCAGAGGCTGCGAAGAATTATCTTTTGAACGCGGCGCCGCTGCCGGTGAGCAAGAAGAAGGACAGATTCCAAACCGGTATGATGGTCAAGGAGAGGAATGAGAGCTGTGCCATGAGTCAGGTTGCTTTTGTGGTAGCGGGTGTGAAAGGATTGGGTGTCGATGAAGTGGCACAGGCTGCATGGCAGAACAGTACGGCAATGTTTCGCCTGGACAGCTGATAACAAATATGTAAGCACTCATCTATTCTTGAAGATGTATTTCTCTTACTTTATGTGGACTGAATTGAAGCTCAAACGTCACTTGTGATGTCTTATGTCCGGACCTCTGTTCGCGAAAACATCTTATCGATAAGCTACGAAGTTTTTAGGAAGTCGCGGGGTCGTTCTAGACACACTACAAACAACCCATCATGCCTCCTGTCGACAGCGATTCCTCTGACGAAGGCGAGGATTATACCGAAACCAACACTCTCCTAGGCTACGCGTCGCAGAGTGCATCTGGAGACGCCATCTCTCACCTGGGTGGTTCTCCGGTATGGCTAACTTCTCATTACCCTTGCAGGAGCTGCGCGTTAACGTGAATGTTAGGCATGGATCGATGAAAAGACGGCTCCTTCGGGTGCATTGGCAAAATGTAGAGTCTGCAACGGGCTTCTCACGCTTCTACTCGAGCTCAACGGCGACCTCCCCGAGCACTTTCCTGGCCATGAGAGACGGCTGTATATATGGAGCTGTCGTAGGAAGACCTGCAGGCGGAAGGAGGGCAGTGTGAGGGGTATACGAGGCGTGAGATTTGCGAAGGGCTGCAGTAAGGTTGCACAGAAGAAGATGGAGAAGAAAGTAGTCAAGCAAGAGGAGCCACAGCCGCAACTTGGCGAATCTTTATTCGGAGTCAAAAGCGTTGGAAATACTGGAGCAGCAGCAAATTCGTTCGCGAACCCGTTTTCAGCGGGCTCTAATGGGGCAGCACCGGTGAACCCGTTTGCTTCAGGCGGCGCCAGCGCAATCCCTTTTGCGAGCGCACAGCCGCTATCGAAGCCTACGCCAGGAGAGGGTAAGGATGTGGCTTCGACAACACTGCCTGAAACATTTGCATCAAAGGTTCGCGTCTCGTCACCACCTCCGTCGGCGCAGCCCGCGCGACCGCACGAACCATGGCCAGCAGAGTCAGAGTTCCCTCCTGCATACCCATGCTACTACCTCGATGCCGAGTATGAGACACTAGATGCACCCTCCACCCCCCAGATACCTGCGAACGCGCGGATGGATGTAGACGTTGAGGGTGGTTACAGCGGCGGGGGCAAAGAAGACAAGGAAATATTCGAGAGCTCGCTCGACAAGACGTTTCAAAAGTTCGCAGACCGCGTCGGACAAAACCCCGAGCAAGTCATCCGGTACGAATTCCAAAGCAAACCGTTGCTATACAGCGACGCCGATGCTATAGGCAAGCTTCTAGCCGCACACTCAGAATATGGGTCATCTTCAAATGCAAAAGTCACTACCGCGGGCTCCAGAGGAGGGTCAGGGATGCCGAGGTGTCAGAACTGTGGTGCTGAGCGTGTGTTTGAGGTGCAGCTTACGCCCCATGCTATCACGGAGCTTGAGGCTGACGAGACGAGTATTGATGGTATGGAATGGGGTACTATTATATTTGGTACTTGTAGCAAGGATTGCAAGCCCAGTGACGTGCCTGAGGGTGAGGTTGGGTATGTGGAGGACTGGATCGGTGTGCAGTGGGAGGAGGTTGCGAAGAACCACTGAGAGTAACTGTTGTCATTCGGTCCAACCATTTGCCCATCCTAGCAGTACTTTTTCGAATGATACCCGCTCGAGAGCTGAGGTCGCTCCCGCTTTTGGTTCAATCTTGCCACGCCGCTTCTCCCATGTACGATTGCAGCCTCAAAGCGTGAGATACGAGCAATATGTGACGGCTGTTGAAGTACGCGAGTCACTGGTGCATCGTGGGGACAGCACCGATCCTCCCCGAAGTTCGAACCCCAACGAACATGTATCTCGCACATCATTCGCGTGACATTCAACGACTTTATCACTACCACAACGAACCTGCCCCGATCACGCACATTATCTCCCCTCGGTCGGCGAGGGCCGGGAGGGGGGCGGGTGGGAGGAAGATCACTGCAAGGGCATGGCATGATCTTAAGGTGCATGCTGCCAGTAAAATGAGCTGGGGTGTGCCGGTCACCAACGAGCATGTGGAGTCGCACTTCAACATAAGGGCCGAGACCGCCACGTACCCGAGACCGCCGCCTACCCGAGAGCGAGACTGACGCGTGTTGGACCAGGAATGTCCCCCACAAATCCGCGAAGCCTTGGTTCGTGTACCCTCGAGAGGCTGGCGCGAATTCGCCGCCTTTGCCGGTCCAGAGTTTCCCACACTAACCGCGTGGTCAGCTCGCATCGTCTTCATAGGTGACTCTTCGCACGCGCTGTCTGGTGCATTTGGCTCTGGTGCGGGCTCCGCTATGGAAGATGGATAGATCTTGGCTCAGGCGTTGGCGTACCATTCTAATGACACTAGCAGAGCCCTGGACTTGTTCAACGCCATCAATCAGCAGCTGAGAGAGTGCGAAGAATTTGGAAGTTATTGGGCACCCGACGTTCGATGAGAGTGTGAAGAGCAAGGTGATCTGGGATGGGGTCAGGAGGTTGGATTGGATATATCACAACAACATCGAAGCCGTCTGGAACAGTGCAGTTGAGGGAGGCAGTGCAAAGGTGTCAAAACCTGGAACACTCCATTCGAACACTCAATTAGTATCCTTATTATTAGCTTTTGTGGACTTTAGGGCGCTAGAATACCACCCATGCATAAAGGACGGGAGGAGTGTAGCTCCAACTTGTATGTGGACAACTCTTTTCCGATATCGCCCCAACCCTCAGAGAATGTTACAATCCGCGACACGTTCCCTTGCTTTTATTTTGTGGAAGGCTAAGAAGATTGCAGGGTCACGAGTCCATTCTGCCAGAGTGACCTTACCTGTCATCAGTACCCCCCCTCGCTCCCCATTCAACCACAGCAAATGATCACTATCGTCGGGCCCACCCCTCCTAGATCCTCAAAATCACAGTTCCCTCCCCAAAACGATTCCTGCCAATCCCCCTCCTTCCAACTAGCTACATTGTAATAGCTCAAGTTCCAGAACACCTCCATTCCATTCGCTGGGGCCTCCCTCACAAGCTGCCCCCGTCGGTCTGATAAACCTGAGCGACACAAATCTCAATAACCGCGAAAGCCCTGCGCCAGTCCGGATGCACCACGTTAGCATTTGCAGAAGCATTGTTCACCGCACCGGCAGCGACGTTCTGCCGGAGCCACCGAACTTCGGGTGGAATGTTGATGATATAGTCTCCAATTTTCTGTACGGAATTGGGGTCATGTATTGCGGTTTCAGCAATGAGGCGGCTCTGAGAGGTAACTGTCTCGCCCAGTTATGCGGCGCCGATGAGTATGAGGGGAGGTGCTTTAGGTAGGCTTCGTAAGAGCTTTTTGGGGGCGCTTGGACTGGCCCTGAAATTACAGCCGTCTACGAACATGGAAAGGGAGGGCGGAGGAAGAGGAGGAGAAGAGCCGGGGGCTGGTGGGAAGGAAGGAAGTCTTGATGGAAGATTTTTGTTGCTGCGTTCTGAGTGTAATCGAAGCAGTTGCGAACGCTCACTCCAGAACATTGCAAAGGTATACATACCGAGGGGTCCGATCTCCGTCTTCATTTGTCCCTCCCTATCAAACCATCATACAGTAAGTTATGTATATCAATACTGCGATGCCTTTTTTCACTTATACTAACTACCTCAGAACCCGAATTTACTCTTCACGGCCCCCATGACCAGACCTCTCTTCTGTTTCGCCACGTACTTGTTCACGTCATCTGCCCACCCCTTACTATTGTTGCTCAGATTGTCCATGCTATCACCCACAATGCTCAGCTTCTCCGTCCGTTCGTTCAGCGTCCTAGAGGCCCACGCACCCCAACCTTCATTTGCAAGCGGAGGCGCAGAAGAAGCAGCACCAGGCTGGCCGGAATGGCGCGCATCTCTGCGACGCTGTTCTTCGTCCGCGCGGGCTTGGGCAATCATGCGCTTCGAGGGCGGTCGGTCGGGGCCGCCAATGAGGAGGTCCATGTCTTCGAGGGTGACATACTGGGTACCGGATATCCATTGTATATTCGAGATTGTAGGGCGTGGTGGGATGAGGAGTTCGGGATTGAGAAGAGTATCGCGCGTTTGGTCACTGTGTGAGTGTCATTAAACGAACCTGGAGAAGCTCAAGTTTGACGACTTACAGCTTAAGGTTCGTACCAAAAATGTTTATCAGGGCTATTTCTGCTGGGCCTGCCCAGCCCAATACGTCACCTGTGCTTGTGATCACAGCCTCGGATAACCGTCGCGGATCTAGGACATCTGACACTTTCACAGCTCCAATCTCTTTCAAGGCCGGTATTGAGTAGCCTCTCGCGAATCCATCGCCGTAGATTCCAACAAGAGCGTAACCTAAATCTTCATAGCGCACAACCGCAGCCGAATCACACAGGAACTCATTCCAGGTCTTGCTCGCACCCTTGTGGGTTGAAGGCTGGAAAATTCGAGCCCCGTTCGAGGTGACAGCAAGCAAAACGCCACTCACCTTCGCACCATTTCGTAAACCGGCAACAGCAGTCTGGAACGCGTATGCAGGGCGTCCTGTATCTGTATGCATGGGACAGATGCTGATGACTTTATCGTCTAAGTTGCAGACGCCAGCAACGCTGACAGCATAGCGCCCACTTGCTTCAGGGAGCAGCTTAAAGGTCGCAATATGACCCATGTTGGTGCCCACATGCAATAGGATGCTTGAATAGTCCTCGTGTTCCAACGTCATGACACTAAACTCAACACTTGTTGGCCACTCCGGCTTTGTCGCAGTTTGGGAAGAGCTTCTCCGGAAACTACCTCGTTTGTCGGCTTTCACAAGATCGGATACACTCGCGTGATAGATTATGGCTGGACCTCTCAGATCGATGATAGCAAGACTTCCGCCTTCAAACCCAGCGGCCACGAAGCCAACATCTGAGTGCTTCAGAGCCGTCACAGGTCCGTTACCTTCAGCTAGTAGTGTCAAAGGCAGCATTCCCTCCTTCAAAGACGCTTCGGTCCGATCCTGCACATCCGTCAGAGCACCGGGCAAATTCTCGCCCGGAGGTAGTTCTTGGCCAAACTGCTTGTTGATACCCCAACGAAAAACTACCACCTCGCCAGATCGTAACCCGACCGAGAGCTCGGAAGCTGCACCGGCGTAGGAGATTTTAGTGACCTCAACGCGATCTAACCGACCAACAGCACGCGCTACATCTAATTGGAGCAGTGCATCGTTCTCGATTTCATCCGCATGACCAGCATCCCACAACCTGACTGTACCATCTGCGTGGGAGGTCTGAACGATGTTGCGATGTTCAAATCGCTTTAGAGGGTAATTTGCTTCGCAGCCTCCGGTAATGAGCTTCGGTCCATGTTGCCGTTTCTCGGTCATACCTAGCCACCTTGTGCGTTCAACAGGAGCCAGATTCACATGGCTCACAAAGGGATGTATGAGTGTGAGAGATAGGTGTAACTGGTTTGTAGGTGTTATGGGCATCCCGCTCGGAAACGAAAGTGTTATCAGCTCGCCAGATGCTAGCAGAGCGATGGCAGCAATTGGGTCCTGACATCCCGCAAAATGAGGACTCGTGCGAGGTATGAGACATAAATCTATCACCTCAGTACCCGGCGGACAAGGCAGTATCCTTTGTCGCTTTGGATTCTCGAAGTGATCTGAGAGTATCTGCCACGAAGAAGTGTTGTATATGGGTGTGCGTCCAAGTTCGAAGAACGTCAGGCTCTTAGCTTCAATGTTGGAAGGCTGCCCTCCAGCAACGAGGATGCCAGTGTCGTCCGGGTCCTCATTCGCACACCAAGCGATTTTGAAAATGGGGCTTTTGAGCGCAAACGTACCAGGGCCAGCACCGGGACTGAAAGTGCCGGGACCAGGTTTGTCAACATGGGTGTCGGTCAAAGTTCTGGCTTGGATGACTCTACCATCTTTTGGATCCCAAAATACAAGACTGCCGTCCTCGTGTCCAGTCAAAACGAAGGTCCCCGTGGGATGCCAGACAGCCTGCGTCAAGGGCGGACTTCTCTCCTTGAAGATAGATCCCGGGTCCGAGTCTCCCCCAGGTGCGCCTTTCGGCAGCACATAGTGGAAGTGCCTGACAGCTTTGTTCTGCTTGAACGAATATATGACAGCGCCGGCATTGTAGCCAATCAGCAAGGTACCAATGTCGCGCGGGTGCAGCGAGAGTGTCACTACCGATGTCAGTCTCGACGGAGGGAATTGCTCTCTCCACAAGTTCGTTATTCTAAATTGTGTAAGCTGTTCTCTATCCAGATCATAGGCCAGAACGTCTCCGTTTTGCGTCCCTAGCAGCGCGTAATCGAGCGTCGGGTCGCTGTGCAGCGCGGTGATCTTGGCGGGCGGAGAATGGGCGTTCAGCAACTTCTTTGTTGCCAGCGAGAAGACTGACAGGTCATTTCTTGAGTCCACACAGAGGAGCTTCTCGGCGCAGAACTGTAATATCTTGACCGACCCACGATGCGGGAGAGGGAAGACGACCTCGACACGCTTCTGCCCAAAAATGTAGATTTGCCCGAGCCCAAACTTGCTTTCGTTGGTGCCGACGGCGAGGAGCTTCTGCACGGGGTCGTATGCGATCTGGGAGATCTGGCTGTTGATTCCAAAGTTCTTGATCTACGCGCGAACGTTAGGCTGCAGCTCTTGAGGGTGCCGGTCGCAGCGACTCCCAACATACATGGTCCAATACAAAGAGATCAGGCCCCAGTCCAGTGGAGAGATCGTTGTGGACGCCAGCTTGCTTTCCACGCAGAAGGTGCGACATGGCGGTGTCTCATGTCTTTGTGTCGAGGATAGGGCTGTGGTCGACGCCGACTGCTGTAGTGTCTTGTACGCGTCTGCGGGACCCTGCAGCGAATGACGTACTAAACAAGGGCGGGGCGGGGCGGGCAGTCTTATTAAGCGAGCATTCACCACCAGGTGCAACTCACAGCATTTCGGTAATCTCCAGAATTACTTAATGAACTACTACTTTCCAGACCGCATTTTCTGCTACCATGTGTCTGTAGTGGTACAATATCCTCAGTCCAAAACATCGCCCTACTTTTGGACGGACTGAGAATCCAAAAAGGTTTAGTACACACGGGTCATGCTCTGTGCCTTGGTTCCTTTGGAAGACGATATAGAACGCCATGGATATGCTCTATCGATATCCGAGCTCTGTCACCCAAACGCCACAACACCTGCTTTCATACAAAGATAATCTTAAGTCGCCATTGGCGTTCCGTTTGCCTGTCCACCATACTGCCCGTTTGGAGGAGGCTGAGGAGTTCCTGAGCCTTGCCTGCTGAAGCTGTTCTGCGCTGCGAGTCGAGCTTGCGTCTGTTGTGCTTGTTGCCTATCCAACATCATTTGCTGAGGATTGGTGCTGATACCGGTCGTCGAAGGTGCAACTGGAGTGTGTGGTTGCGTATTGCCGTACTGCGAAGGAGGGTAGTAGGTACTGCGCATCTGACCACCAGACCCATGACCTGGCCGAGCACCATAGCTCGGCTGGGTAGCCGACGGGGCTGCCTTGAGCGGCGATGCAGTGCGTGTCTGACTATTTGGTGTTGCTCCATACATTGGGGCTACGTTCTGAGACCGTTGGTAGTAGCCGTTTTGTGTTGGCTGTGAATACCGATTGTGCGGCTGGCCCTGCGGAGTAGATCCGTAGAATTGAGATTGAGCGCCTGCGTAGTTGCTGGACTGGGAAGAGCGCTGCGAGTAATATTGACCCGGAGGGTTTTGCGTGAAAGACGTTCTTGTCGTCTGTTGGCCGTAAGCTTGAGCAGCGGGAAAGCTTGGCCTGGGGGTAGCGTAGGATGACGTGGGAGCTTGGTATACCTGCGACCCGGAAGAAGAACGCTGGTAATGCATTGAAGGAGATCGCGCGACAGACTGTTGCTGGGGATAGTAGTTTGGGCCGGATTGTACAGGCCGAGCACTAGTATGCATCGAAGGTGTCGACCGGCCATATTGGGTGCTCCCTGGAGGGTAATGCGAGTGGGTACCCGAGCCACTTGAGACCATACGATTCAGTGTTGGGGTTGCCGCTGGTGCTGCGACCGGCGCCGTTGCAAGCCTAGACGATTGAGTATCTTCGAGGACTCCGCGGGCAGCTCTGTTCTCAACGATCAGAGTCCGGCTGATATTTAGTTCCTCTAGTTGATCACCATTGAGCTTGGCCACTGCGTATGGCGGTAGCTGTGAGATCATCAGTGTGAGCTGCGACTTGAGCATTTGATAGACGTCGATCTCATCGGATGATGGCGTCGATGGGCTGCCTGCCAGTGAAGCCAGTGAAGAATTCTGTATCACTGGTGTGCGCGAATTAGTGGCCAGCGATGAGTTACGTATCCTCTGGTGCGATGCCAACGTCTCAAGAAGCTCAGATATCTCGTGGAGCACATCTTCGGTATCCTTGTCAAGTTCGGTCTTTGCTTCTGCGTCCGCGAAAAGACCTCCTTCTACTGGCTCGAACGTATCCACAGCTTCCTGGAACGCCTCTTCTTCATTATCGTCCGTAATATCAATCGCTAGATCCGACGATCCGTCCAGGCCTAGCAATTCAGGGTCAATCGGGAACACCTCGTTAAAGCGCTTCTCGCCCACTTTTTGCCACCAAACCATGTTCTTAGTCTCCTCGGGAACGACGGCCGTAGTATCATCACGGCTGGGCGCAAAGCTAGAGTATGCGCTGCGAAAGAGTGCGTCTTCTTTTGCCTGCTTCACGGCCACAAGAGTTGATTCGGAAGGTGGTTGTTGCGCTTCGCCCATGCTAAGTGCTCGTTGCCTGCTCTTCTTCTTCTCATTGGGAGACGTAGGATCTTTTGGCATGTCAGCCCCGCCATATCCCAACCAGTTGCTGGTGGCAAGATTCTGGGTAGCGTAAGAGTGTGAACCCTTGCGACTCGGTTTAGGCACTTCAGGTGGCGCAAAAGTGACTACGTTTCCCTTGGTGGTCAGAGCCTTTGCAAGCTTAGGCGGGTTGAGCTGCGGTAGATGGGTGGGTGCCTTGAACACCTTGCCGATCGTTGCATTCGCCTTCCTTTTGTCATCTACATCATCTGGTAAGGGAAAAACTTCGGTGGTAGAGATGATGTTAGGTAGGGTCGATTCACGGAGTGGTAAAGCAATCTTTACCGATAGATCCAGTGCAGAAGCTCCGTCATGAGGCGCGACAAGACGGGGTTGTTGCAAGCTCGAGAAGAGCTGTTTCGGTCCTTGAGCGCTTCCAAAAAGTGTGAGGACGGTTCGGCTTTCCGGAGATTCTACCTTGGTTGAAGCCTCCTCATCCTGACCTTCTGTGTCTCCCGGTGTGCCATCCTGAGTTTCTTGCTGCGTCTCAACATGAGCTCTTCGAATCTCTTCCCTTGCGACCAAGCTCTTCGATAGTTTGCGGAAAGCTAACACTCCTGACTGCAACTGGGTTTCCTCGAGCGTAGGAGGTGCGGTAGCCAGTTCGCCAACGCCGGAACAGGCTAGTATATCCGCAGTCGCTTCTTCAACATCCTCTGCGAACGCCTCAAGTGAGGTATACGCGCCGTTCTGCACCAGAGTAATTATGTTAGATGGGCTTGCTGGGGAAGACAGCTTTGCGCGCTTCGTATCGGCCTCACCGGACGCGGCTCGAGCAGCTGGCGACGTGACTGGATGTGCAAGTATGGAAGGTTCTGTATCATAGCTATTTCAAGTCAGCAAACTTTCCGTCAGGTGTACTGAATAATGCCGGTTCTGGACAGATGACGGCCACCGCCAAAAGACGTAGACTTGAGTGTATTAGGACACGACGCCAGCCTTCTGCCCCGGTACTACCGTGTTTTGCGCATGAAGTTGTAGGCTGTTGGGCTTACGCCGAGGGGCGTAGTGATTCGTAATATCAGACAAGCAAGGAAATGCGGGTGCTAGATAGCGCTTGTGGTGCATCCTACCTCTTCAGTATCGAGATCATATCCTCGAGCGCGGTCTGTAACGAAGGCGCTGCGCCGTTCACGAGTTTTGTAGGCGCGACAGGAGACGCGCCATTCGTGATAGGTACGTCAGTCTCGGTGCGTTTCCGTTTCGCGAGCGACGGCGATGTTGGTGCAGGCGGCAGCGAAGGCAGGGACAGTGCGCCGTTGATAGTGGTGGACATGGTGATGGGGACGCCTTTTCGCGACGAAGCGGTGCGTAGAAGCGTGCAACGCGCGAAGGAGGTCCGATGTCGCGGGTGGTGAGCAGCCCGCGGGAAGCCTCAACGCAACTCGACCGTGTGCTAGAACAAGTGCACTCAGGCTGGGCGTCTGTAAAGCCGTGTGCACGTCGGTAACTCGGGGCTGGCGTGGATGGGTATCTCGGGGTAGTTTTGATGAGCGTCGACGAGGAAGGAACGCAGCCGCCAAGGAATATGCAAGGCGCCTCAATTACACGCCCAATCGGCACCCCGCGGTCCACACACGGAAGCTTTTTCCAATGCAGTCGCTTTGCAATGTTTCGATAGCTGCAGTATCGAGTAGTCTGCGTTTCGCAAGATCAAAGGTTGAGTTGAAGCCAGCGCATCTGATGCTGCTCGCGGCAGGCGCGGCCTGAAATAGGACTAGTGTGAAATGGAAGAGGGAGCTCCGATACTTTCACCGTCTCGCTGCACCTGCTTCCTCCCTCAGCATTGCCCGTCGCCCATCCTAAGGCCGCAGCTCGCCTGTCGATGAATGCCCTTGATTCTCTCCCTGGCCGTCCCAGGTAGCCATTGCCGCTTCCTTAGATGCAGAACGCGTCTTCCTTGTGCTTCACAGCCAGTTAGTAAGACATGAATGTTCTTGAAACCTATTCTAAGTTGTTCAGCACCACTACATCCCTGAATTTCGTGCGATTACAAAGACTAGGCTACAATGCCTCGCATCGACACAGCTCCTTTCACGTGCGTACTTCACGAGTCATCAATGTCGGCCGATAGGTGCAAGCGGTAGCATTTCGTATACGACCCCTCGTCACTCCAGTGACTATCGGAGAAGCTATGCTTCAAGCGATGTATTGCCTGAGAATGAACAGGATTTGTTTGCATCTATTCTAGGAGTTGACGTCGCCGAGGAACCTGCAGAGATAATTGACGAGGGATCAGAGGGCGCCACTGGGGATTCGGATGGTTTGAAACCAGCTCCGTCAAGGCGGACCAGAAAGCGCCAGCGATCCAGTCAGGCAGCTATGGTTCTGGAGAATATCCACAATGAAAGCCGCGATTTGTACTGGTCGGCAGGCGCGAACAAGTTGGACCACTCCTACGTCAGTCCGGCACCGAGACAACACGGCGGGAAACTACGTCGCGATTCTCGGTCCATGGTCGCGGATAACATCAAAAACCCAACGGAAGGCCCTATATCTCTGTACACTATACTGTCCCGTCAACTTCATGTCCTGACAGGATCACCCTGGGCGGAAATAAGCTTCACACATCAGGAGATTGCACTACTGCAGTGTAAAGGTTATTCCGAGGAAGACGTGCACCTGTGGGTGAGATGTCTCGTCATCGGTGACTCCATTCATGCTTGTGCAGTGTTCAAACAAGATCATCGCCGTACGCCTCTGTTCCTGTTGCTACTGTATCTTCGAAGGAACCGTATACGAGCATTCGCACTTGGGACGGTGATTAGACATCTAAATGCACGATTGCGAGCAGAGCCTATAGAGTGGCCCTCACTCCAAGTGCTAGTAATACGATTACTGCGCCATGCGCGGGCAGTCTGGCCCGAAGCACTACCATGGATTGCATCTCTGTTTTGCACCGAGGCCACCCGGATGTACCACCAGGACAAGAAGAACGCGTCTTTTTCAACCACATTTCAGTCAACTCTAACTCGATTCTGTAACTCCATGTTGTCGCTAATATCGCTGCCTGCGCCTGAGCACCCTGTGCTTGTCGGCTTCCACCAGGAAAAGGCACAGTTCATCGTGTTACAGTTTATGGCTAACTGCGAACCGGCTCTTACCGTAACGCGATATGGCTTCCAAGGAGCTGTTCGTACCCAGCTTACACATGCGAAGACAGCCCAAGAAAAGGAATGGGCTAGGCTTAAAGGGCCGTCATGGCCGCCCTGGAAAGAGAACAGGAATGCTATGGATGAGGATAAGGGTTATATGTTTGGTGCCTCGAGAGCATCCCGCCTTCTTCATCGGCTGTATGAAGCAGGATATGATGGGCGCGGATGGGAAAAGATCGCCGAAGTCTACGCTGGTTGGGATACGGATTTGTCTCCGACTGTGCAAACCAGAACTTTGATGCCTCGGACGCTCGGAAAGAAAGACCCTAGTCTGAGCAAGGCACAACTCTGGACCGCGCGGATTCGAACCACAAGAACAAGACGCGAAGCATGGGCCTGTTTTCTGGCATACGAAGAGTCGAACACTGGAGATTCCTCGGAAGTTTATTTGGCTATGTTCGAGAAGATACATTTTCCAGAAATCGGAGTCCAACAAAGCGAGAACGGAGATGCACAGTCTGTCGGAACCAGCGGATCACTCGGAACAAATCTTTTACCTGGAGACATGAAGGAGGTCTTGCCGGATCCCAAATCGCCACTACACCTTGTGTACTTGAGTGAGCCAGTGCCCTCATATAGCCAGCTTTACCAAAGAATGCGGCACAAACGGTTGCGGCCGAGAAAGAGGCTACTCGCTTTCCTACTTGACACGCTTCCCGACTTCTCCACCTGTCTGCATCTACTCGACGCAACGCAAAACAATTTTGCTGGCGGAGTGCGGATGCTTATCCAAGGATCACCTTTGAGTGAGAAAGCCCGCTCATCTATTCCAGATTACTTCATCGTCTCTTTCATTCGTTTCCTTTGTCGATTCGGTCGCTTTGGGCAAATGGCTCCAGATGAGCCCATCCAGGTGTCACCAGAGGATCACCTACAGCGACTCAAGCTCGATCGAACATATTTGATCGACTATGCCTATGCTCTTCTTATGCACTTGTGCCCAGCATGCCGCCCAGCATGGACTGCATACATGCAGAAGGTGCTGTACGGATACGGCAAGAAGAAGACTGCAGAGAAACAATTCACCATAATGCGTAGACTATTCGACAAGCTGACCGAGATGAACGTCGATCCAGACGATGATCAATTCCAGCTACTGTGTGCCGTTGCGCGCTACGCAGCACGAACAGCATACAAAGGGAAACTCTCGGCGGACTCCACAAACCACATACTCGCTTCAGCTCCGCCCCTCCTGCGCACCAGTTTTCACAACCTGGTTGGTGCCAACGTCGATTCCAGGGTCGCAAGCCCAGCAGGTTCCGTTCTGGATACACCCCCCCCTCATATTCCCGGTCCAGCCGTCCTCCAAGCGTACGTCCGCGCTCTAGGATTCTTGAGAGACTACGAAGGCCTGTACTCGTTCTCTATCTGGCTCACAACATATCACAAGGAGGTCACAGTCCGAGTTAATGCCCAGCGTGGAGGGCCACAACTTCTGTATAATACCCTAGTGGCATTGCGAGCTGCGTTAGAAGGAGCACTCGACAGTAAGAACGTCGATGAGGGCGCGCCGCAGGAGATCATGGAGCTAGTCAAAGCGCAGATTGAGGGCGTCCAAGAATGGGACTGGCCGTCTGAGGAACATACAGATACGTATGTAGGGAAGCAGTCAAACTAAGATCTAGGTCGCAGTACTAAGTGTAGTATCACCTGTGATCTATGTAGGACAGATAAGAAGCCTAAGGCGGACTCATAACTACGTATACTCTGGTGCAAGGGTTGTGCCATAGGTGTTTCATATACTGCACAAAAAATAAAGACACTTCACCAACCTGTCCTATACGTACCCTTAGTGCAGCGTCTGCGTATCTCGGCCTTAGCAACCGCCTCTCTGTTCCACTGAGCATCCCTCCCTCACTGCCGATAGATCTAATCTAATCTGCACCTGCACCATTCTCAACTTGGGTCGCCCAGCTTCGTTAGCGGGACCGAGTCTACGCTTGCGTCAAGACGAAACCCTGTAGTTTCTACGCTCGCGACCCCGCTCTCTCGGTTTACGACGACGGAAGCTCAGGGTTGCGAGCACGCAATCTGGACTAAGAATCACAACAGGAAGCCCATTATGGGTTGTTGGGTTTGCGATGTGCGATGGCGTGCGTGTCACGAAATTGTGCTTGTATAGAAAGGACATTCAAGCCACTTTCTCAAGTACCCAAATGTTGACCATTGCTCTGTATACCCAGGCGGATACGTATCTCCGATATAAGAGTCTGCAACAAGGTACCATCGAACAATGGCTCCTGCCTTGACAGCCCAGGCGCCCACAGCTCCTCACGAGCTCGGTGCTAAGCTCAGCCACGAGGCTCCCAAGCACATCTATCCTGATGGTATTAAGACCTCGGGACAACACCCACCGCTGTACGATCAGTTGCGCCCATACGAGGATTTTCCCAAGGAAATCACTGGCCCCACAGTGTGGAACGTGGAAGATTACAAAGGTACGAGGCTCCAACTCACATCCTTCGCTCCCACAATCCGATTTACTGACCGAGACAACGTCCAGGCCATCCCGAGCAATGGACACACATCTTCTCTGACGCCGAAGTCAAAGAAATCTCCGACACCGCAGACGCCTTCATCAAAAGCGGTACGCCACTGACGGGTATCTCACAAGAGAATTTCCGCCTCGAGGACTTCGCGCAGTTCCTCAATGTCCTGCGGAAAGAGTTGATCGATGGCAAGGGCTTCATCTTGTTCAAAGGCCTGCCGGTGCAGGAATGGGGGAACCACAAGAGCGCCGTAGCATATATGGTAAACACAACCCTTCTCCCGTAGCCTTGACGGGATGCTAACAGGCATAGGGCCTCGGAACCCACCTCGGCTACTTTGTCTCCCAGAACGCCCACGGCCACGTCCTCGGCCACGTCAAAGACCTCGGCGAGGACAGCAACGCCATCGAACGCGTGCGCATCTACCGCACCAACGCACGTCAATACTTCCACGCCGACGATGCCGACCTCGTTGGTCTGCTATGCATTGCGAAAGCGCTCGAGGGCGGCGAGTCGGACCTCGTATCTTCGCACGCAGTGTGGAATGATCTGCAGACCAACAATCCCGATGTAGCGAGGACGTTGACGGAGCCGATTTGGTACTTTGATAGGAAGGGGGAGAAGAGTGTAGATGAGGAGGACTGGATTAAGACAAGTGTGTTTTATCTTGAGAAAGGGGATAATCCGAGGGTGTACTCAAAGTAGGTTTCCAGTCATTTCACTTGCTGATACGTGTACAACGATGTCTAACATACCGTAGATGGGACCCCTACTACATCCGCTCGCTAGCCCGCTTCTCCGATGCTGGACTGATTCCTCCACTATCAGATGCCCAACAACATGCCACCACAGTACTCGAGAAGACCTGCCAGCGCCTTTCCCTGCATATGATCCTTGATGTTGGCGACATCCAGTTCCTCTCCAACAACCACATCCTGCACGCCCGCACAGCGTACAAGGATTATGCGCCGCCGGCGCCTCGTCGCCACTTGATGCGATTGTGGTTGAGCACGCCGGAGGAGGAGGGCGGCTGGAAGCTGCCGTTCCATGATAGCGCGGAGAAGAAGAGAGGTGGGATTCAAGTTAACGATAACCCCCCTGTGGCGCCCCTAGATGCAGAGTAGGCGGAGAATAAGTAAATGTCGTTTATGTAGTGAGGCTTCGATTGCGGGAGAATGCTATGAAGCCTGGCAACCGATGTAGTGCGTACAAGACTGTAGAATTAGTGGACAGTTTCTGTGCTAGATGGAAACGAACTTTTCGAGTTAAAGCCATGATGTCTGCTCGAGGTTTTGGTTGAAGCGAGCGGATGCACGATACATACTGTAAGCGCGCACCGCAAGATATTCACCGTACAGCAGAGGTGAGAGATGAAATCTGAACTCGAGAAGACGAAGAAGTACATGGTATCAATTCGTTCTTGGTGCTTGACTTCGACCTCATTTATCCACGAGCCAAAGTACGCCGAGTATGGCGATTTCTTTCTGGTTTCGTACGCTCTTTTCAGCCCGGCACGGCCCTAACAGATCTCAATCTCGCGTTGATGCAGATTTAGGAGTCCCCGTACCCTGTGGTTTTGCTCTTCAAACGTAGGGCCTCTCTTGCGCATTACTCCTGCCTCGCTGTCCCATTTGATCATTAAATCTTCAAGATCCGGTAGCTCTTCACATGCCCCGACCACGTCCCCTGCCGCGACCCCGACCACCACGCCCTCTTGGGCCACCACGACCACCGCCGCCACCGCCGCGACCACCACGGTCCGTTTCCTTCCTCGCCTTGTTCTTGGGCTTTGGTGCATCATCGATCAGGAGTGTGTCGAGTGGCAGAGAGTCCGGAAGGATGATATAGCGGACAGTTGAACCTCGGACAGTCATGGTGTCTAGGGTAACTGTATCGCGGCCCCGGGGAGTGTATTTTACTGTTCGTAGTGCGACGTTCATGAGCGGGGAGACAGAGGCGATTGTGCCATTGACGATTGTGCCTATACTTTGTCAACATTGATCTTTCCGATTGTAATAGTTACGAAGAGATGGAAAACACGTATGCTGCGTTTGATGTCGTTGATTGCGCAAAGCTATCCGGCGCGCACCAACATGGCAGCGCAGGTGTGCGCCAAACGGTTAAAGGGAGATATGCTCACCATTCTTGAGCTCAACCGTGACCGTCTCGTTCTGGCACTTCATAAGAAACCTGCATAAGATGTCAGTCGCATGGTCAATCATATCCAAGGGCGTCTACTGACCTGACGAGCTTCATTGTGGCGAGATAGGCCTTACTTTAGTTTTCTGGGGCCGTAACGCTTGGGATTGAGGGCAGAGAGACCGTGCGACGAGCGTGCGATGTGCTGTTGGCATGGAGCGGTGGGGAAGCTCCAGCGTCAATTAACGCAAGAATTAGGCAAAGCTCGCGCTAGTGATCCGAGCTTTTGTCACGTGCAACTACCTTCACCTGGCGCACCCTGGCACCCTTGTACCCCGCGCTGCTTTCAGGTCATGAAGAGGCTCCCATGAGTCCAAACAATGTTGAGACTTCGGATTATTCAAAGAAGCTAGCACATGTCTATTGCACTTGCATAGCAAGAGGAGGGTGGATGCAATTCGCTCTTGAAGTAACGTAGGCTAGCGGCACTTACTAGACGCACATGCCAAAGGGTATGTATGTAGACTTATGTTATTTTTGGCATGTTTTTAATGCATTGGTCATGTCCGACCTTTCAGTTGATATTAAGCAATTTCTAAGCCTTTCCTTGTCTACTCTCATGCATCTTCTGGTGCAAACGGTACTCAAGCCTCCTTCGGTTGTGCTTCGCTTCGAAAAACCGTTGAGAAATAACTTCTCCCGCATCGGTCCTTAGGCGGAGACGTGAACATATCGCTTTCTCGTAATGCTGAGGCGGATGGAGCCTCTCTCCTCAACCAGGAGCAAGGGGTAGCATCGTCTCCTGGAAATACTCGGACGTGATTCCATGTTTGTGTAATGCTTGGATGAAGTATGCCGCAGGTCCCCGGAATCCAGCGTGGACAGGCAGGCGAGCGCCGGCATGGGTACACGGAGCGATTCTGAACGATGACCCTCAAGCCTGCTCTTTCCATATCCTGATAATCTGCAGCTTCTCCCACCCAGCTTGTTTTCCACTCGAACCCACAGCCTCAGCCATCCAACCTGGGTACCACTGCCGAATACGCTCCTTGACCTGCTCTGGCTTATTCTGCGCGCACAGTAGCACATATGCGACCCCTCGATCGTCACTCAAAATCTCCGGTATCTGCTCCAGCATCCTATCTGTCACCACCATTCCGTCTTCTCCTCCAGCGTATGAGAGCTCCAACAAGTATGAGTCCTGTTCGAAAGTCGTCTTCTTCTGGCCCTCTGGCAGGCTATTGTAGCTTTCATGTCGCGCAAAGTCCGGGAGCTCAGCGGGTACATATGGCGGATTGAAGATGAAGACATCTACAGAGTGCGGTCGCAAGCAGCTGGCCAGATCGCCGTTGATCACATCAAGCGATATCGATGCGCCATGCCCATGTTCTACGATTGCAGTCCGAATCGTCTGCGCGGCGGCCTTGCAAGCGAAGCTGTTGATGTCAGTACCGATGGTTAGCACGTCTTGACGACCAAATATACGGTTCCCATTCACAGCTGCGAAGGCGAGAACTACTCCAGAGCCAACGCCAACTTCGAGGATCAAAGGCGGGGTGCTTTGCGCTTTGCTAAATCGCTCTTGCAGGAATGCAACTTCTGAACTTGACGAGAGCGTGTCCAGGAGCAGGAATGAGTCCTCTGCTGGCTCATATACGCGATCGAAGCAGACGTGGGAGGTCGAAGGTGTCGGCAGCATGGCAGAGAAGAGGTAGAGGTTGGAATTGGGTTTTTGTATGGAGCAGTTACAGAAGGCTGCCCAATGGGAGATGTGCGATGGTGCTTAGTCATTGGGCCGAGGTAGTCTTCGACAGCTTTCTTTCGCGACCTCGAACCATGCCTTCCCTTTCACATCATCAATTTGAAGTCTTTGGCGATCAAGATGAGGGTCTATAGCCGCCTACTAGCTACTGCAACGGATGCTGGTGCATCAAAACCTTTCCGGCCGGCACCAATGGCACTTCTACCACCAATCCCGCTCTACCGTCGTCTATTACGAGCTCATCGGAAACTTCCTAGAGAGGAACGTACGCTAGGAGACTTATATGTCAAAGCTGAATTCCATGCACATAAGGATATCGACAACCCAGTCCATATTGTAAGACTCATCATATATACTCAGTTCGTAATATCAGCTAACTCGAACGGACAGGTTGGGTTTCTGACCGAATGGCAGCTATATGCGCAGCAATTAGCAGGCGATGCATGGAAAGGAGCTAAAATGGACAGATCTAAGGTAGAAAAGATGAGTGGTACGCTACGTTTGCGCAAAATTCACGGTTCCGACTATTCAAGCTATCAATACTGACGTTGAATTAGACCAACAGATTGGCCAGTTGTACGAGTTGATGAGCGCTATTCGCAAACAAGAGCTTGAGGATAACGATCCGGAACATGGGTCTGGGAATGACAAGTAAAGCGTTTGGCTCTCAGTCTTCGCAACCAGGAGCAAGTCCTCCGGGAAGTGCTTCCACTGTCACACGTCTAGTGGGATCACCAGCAAACTTCAATGCTTCGATGGGGCTTGAATGACACTCATGTCACCAACGAATGTGAAGGACCGCCTAATCTGCAAGCGTGGAGTACAGCCAGCAATCATAAGTAACATTTACACTGCGCATCCGCAACTTCACTCCTTCCGAAACAGTCTCTTCTCTTCAACCAGGACATCAAAGCCGTGCTCAGGAGGACTGTTTCCTTATCTAGTCCCGAACAGCATTCTCAAACCCACCACGAGCCGTCTCTCACTCTCATCAAATACCCACGGAGGACTGGCGCGAATGTGTCTCTGCACGCAATACGATTCGCCAACTTGTGGACACTCATGGACCTCGATGACCGAGTCGTGTGGGTACGGTCAAGATCTCCTCAATTGCCCCTACCGACAGACTGTTCAATATCTTGTCGCACCACCGTACACTTGCCCTACATGCAATGGCGGTTTCGCCGATGGAGAGACGCTTCAGATGATCCAGGGCCCCTGGGGCTGCAATCAGTTGGTTCGCAATCATTATGGCGAAGACTTCGCAGTCGGTAATGACTGGGCTGGCTCGCTACCAGTACCGCAACTCTGGTCTGGTTATTCCATGCGTGGTGGTGGCTTTAATAGAGGGGACACTAGGTCTTTCGGTCCGTACAGTGGTGCTGTACTCACATGCAGACCGTCAGTCACTACATGCGCATCTGTGGGAATTGTTTCCAACCCGCAGATGCTCTGCAACGAACCCCATATCGGTGCATGCTACGATGACGCTCTTTACGACTGTCAAGATGACGGTCGACGCAGTCGGTACTACGGTGGCTATGGTTACGGTGACAGGAGAGGGCAGCGGAAGCACGACTACCAGTACAAATACCGCAGGTCGACACGCGACGGGCAGGGGTGCTCTGTCATGTGAGTGCTTCGCAGCCCTGGTTGGTTTCGACCTGTGCGGCAAAGGCGGTTCTTGTTGTGTTATTGGGACAGGTGGATGTACCTTTGTGGTGCTAGAGCCTACCTCACTGCACGCTGAAGATAGTCGGCGAGGATGCTTTTTCTGTGTAAAGATTCTTGAGGGAGTGTTCTGCTCCTGGGGGACAGCGAGTCAGCTTGTGGCCTTTCTGTGTCGCTGCCATATGTTCGATTTTGTGAGTACATTCGGTACAATGCATCCACCTAACTGCTCTTCTCAAGACGTGCATTATTTAATCTAAGGATCATCTACGTGACTCTCGCTGAAGGGGCTAATTCTGCGTTCGGGATTTGGCGCGATACCAGCCCCGCGCGAAACATCAGACACGTCAGGAAGCTGAGCTACTACTTTCCAGTCCCCACCCTCGCCTGGGTTCTCGGTGACGCGCACCTTGCACTCTCGACCAGCCTCTATACTGCACATCCTTCGCAGGCAGCAATCGCGCATCCGAAACGTAGTATCTTCACACATTCCAGCTGTCCTGTTTGCTAGGCATCCAGCGGGGCAGACGTGTCACCCCAAGTACAAAGCTCCTACTTCTAGCTACCCAGGCCCGGAGCTCCAAACAATCCACTGTGCTTTACAGACTAAACTCACCACTATCCGCGCGCCCAAACAAACACCATGGCGTCCGTCGCTACCTTCTTCGAGAACCTCTGGCTGTCAATCTTCGAGCCTGGCCCGACAACCACCCTCCTCGTCGCAACAAATGCCTCTTTCGCCGCGCTCCAGCTACTTTTCTTCGCCCTCCTGATCGCGACGAACAGCATACACTTCTACATCCTATCTGCACTTTGCGGGGGACTTTGGTACGCTATCAACTGGTTCGCGACCGAGATCCGCGCTGCACAGGCCAAGGAGGAGGAAGCGAAGCGCATCAGAGAGGCGAAACGCGATAGAGAGAAGGGCAAGGCGAACGCGCGGAACGGAGATGCTATGGACTCTGGCGACGACACAGAGGTCGAAACCGAAGTAGAGGAGAAGCAGAAGCCCGTTGTACGAGCGAACCCACCTCGCACGTCTCGCTCCGAGACGGAGAGCACTGTGTTTGTGGAGAAGCCTGTGGAGAGCGTGGCGACGCTGAGAGGCAGCACGCCGGTTGCGAGCTCGGGCGCAAGCTCCGGACTGAAGCCTGGGCCGGACGACAAGGTCAAGCAGAGAAGGAGTTTGGGCGAGTCGACGGGCGATTTGAGCACGGACAGCGAGTGGGAGAAGCTGTCGCAGGACTCTGGCGATAGATGATGGATTGGATACCCCGGAGTCCGGCTAGAAGAAGATGGTCGACTCAAGTGTTAGTGAGAGCTTATTCTGTGAACCACTTAGGCGCGCAATTCATTCGTGGTTATCATCACATGACAGCGCGATTGTCCCAGATAAAGTTGGTCCTGCACCGTGCAACTCGTGCGTTCCAAGGTCTTGCCCATTACGACGTCTACGAGGAAGACTTGGAAAGGTCAGATGCTACAGGACAGTGAACATTCCAAAGCGCAACGGCAGCAGCATAACGGATGCAAGCGCAGCTGCCCAATGTGGCTCGCCGCGTGTCTGCTCGCCTAAACCAGCGATTGCTGCCCCGCGGTGATGCACAGGTGCAGCCGCCCGCTGATCCATCACAGTCCGCGGCTCCTCGAAACACACAGTCTGCCACGCCAGATGTGAATTGCGTACGCCACCCAAATGAAACACCGCCGCCTAATTCTCGACCGCTCAAGTGATCCACGGCTCCCATCTCGAGCTCGTCCCTGATTTCCCTGCTGTTACATCCAGCAACGATACCCCTCCAACCTGTACCATGGCATCCCTCGGCGCGCCTCTCAGCGTGCAGGAGCTCACGGATCAGGCGTCAAAGTATGAGTACAATGCGTATATTCCCCTGCGGAACTGGCTGCGCACGGCGAGTATGATGCACAAGCAGGTGCATAGCTCTACTGGCTTAAACGTAGTTGCGCCAGCTAATGGCTCCAGGCGCAAGTGTATGCAGCAGAAGGTAACGATCCACAAACATATCTACTGTTGTACAGACACGCGAACCTTGTCCTCGAACACCTCACGAACCATCCTGAGAAGAACCTCCCTGAGAATCGTAAAGCCCTGAGTGCTGCGACGGCGGCTGTAGGCTCCGACATCCAGACGTTAGAAGATATACGACCGCGCATAAAGAAGAGACATGAGGAATTCCACGCAAGACGACAAGCACAGCAGAACGCTTTACAATCGTTAGAAGGGAAGAGCGTGCGACTTGTCGCCCAGGAATTGGATGGTCCGTCGCGGGCAGCAGACGGAAGAAGTTATGAGAAGCAAACCTTGGATGCTTTGGAAAACCAGACGCTGGCGGCGAAACTGGCACAGAGGGAAGTGAGAAGAAGAGATGCTGCGCGGAGAAGTGTCCGGCAAGCTGGCGTGTCGGAACAGGAAGAGAGTGAGAGAAGAACGGCTGGCATGTGGGGAGATTGGGAGAAAGAGCTCAGGCATCATAGTGCGGAAGCGGATGGTGATCTTTCGGCTCAGCTCCAGGAGGTAGCACGCATGCAACAGAACGGGCATCAGGTATTGAATTACACGGTAGGTCACTGTTCAAGATCAAGACACGAAACTAACATTCACAGCGGCCATACCCGGAGACCTCTACCTCGTACCACTACCCTTCAGTACCAGGGAAACAAGATCGGTGGGCAGAGTCACATTCACAACACATCTCAGAACCTCACGCACCCGCTCGACCACCAAAAGAGCACCTCCCCCCCCGCCCTACGATCCCTTTGCTATCCCACCCGCTCTCCCACCGAAACCCTCAAGGCAGCTCACTCCCAGGTCACTTTCCGAACAGCAGCCACAACCACCCCCAATACCAGGGAAATACGCCGACACTACACCCTATACACCTCCCGTGCCTAGAAAGATACCTTCCACCCCGCAAGCCGATACCCCGACCACTGACCTAGACGAATTCACCTTTAAGCCCGCCGCCTATCTGGAAAATGGAGTTCCACTCCGCACCATCTTTCTCCCCACACCGCTACGCAAACATTTCCTCGCCGCCGCGTCCGCAAACACCCGCCTCAACCTCGAGACGTGCGGTATGTTGTGCGGTATACTGAAGAACAACGCGCTGTTCATCACTCGTTTGGTAATCCCCGCGCAGACGAGCACCAGCGATACATGTGAGATGACAAACGAGAGCGATCTGTTTGATTACTGTGATAAAGAAGAGTTGATGGTACTGGGCTGGATACATACACACCCGAGCCAGACGTGCTTTATGAGTTCGAGGGGACCTGCACACTCATGTCGGATATCAGGTGATGATGCCTGAATCTATCGCTATCGTGTGTGCGCCATCTAAATCGCCTAGGTATGTCCTCACCTTGCTTACTCTTGTTTTGTAATGATGTGTGAACAATGATGCTGACGAGGACACAGCTGGGGATGCTTCCGCCTTACCGATCCGCCTGGCAAACAGGCGATTCTGAATTGCAGTCGCCCCGGTATCTTTCATCCGCATGATGTGGATAATATATATACCGAGGCGTTGAAGCCGGGGCATGTGGTGGAGCTGGATAATGGGCCATTGGAGGTGGTGGATATGCGGCCGAAGCGGTAACCCACCGAATTACCAGGTAATCAATGGAGAACCCATTTCCGATGTGACATCCAAGGCTTCTTGACACCCGTTCACGTCACAGATCACATTGGCACATCGCATTGTATCGCTCATTAGATAAAGAGCATTTATAGCGTGTATAGCGAGCTGGTCAGTCGCAATCTGCAGCCTAAAGACTACTGCCTTTAGCAATGAGTAATGGTCTGGGGGTGTGCAAGACGCAAACGAAAAGTGAGAAAGAGTTGTTGGATTTAGGTCACTCAAGCTACGCAATGCTAGAGCACAATTGCGACATTATGGTAGAATGAGTGCTGTTCGAAGGCCCTTGTGTATTAAAGAGAATGATGTATCAATAAGGGTGGCATATCAAAGTGTTTGCGCTTGTGTACATCATGTCAAATTGAAAAGTCATATGGTGATACGCCCTGAACGTCTATGTCCCTGATGACCTACCCTGTGTCCCTTACTCCAGGTATGAATTCCCTCCACGACGCCTCGCTAGCTCGTATATATCATCCCATCAGGTAAAGCAACGTAACGTAACAATCATCACTTCCGTCTCTTCCAACGTATCTGAGACTCCCAACCCACCTTTACTCCTCCATCCCCCTCAACCCACGCCCTCCACTCCTCCCAGTCCCGATACTCCAACCTCACTTGCCTCCCCTGATACCTCACAACGCTCAACTCGACCTTACTCCAATCCTCTTTGCGCCCGCTCCACCCCGCCTTCCGCATCAAGCTCACCAGCGTCTCTTCCTTCGTCCAACCTTGCTCCTTTGCGACGTCGGGCAGGTACGTGGAGCCGTAGCGGCGGCCGTGGTACGTGAATGAAATGCGCAGGCCGTGCGTGCCGACGGTCCAGTCGAGCGGGTCGGAGACGGGCTCAAAGTTTGTGAGGAGCGTGACGCCGCATTCGAGGGTGGGGAGCTCGGATTTGGAGATCGGGTTGAAGCGGGTGTCTTCGAGGGCGCTGTGAAATGCGTCAGTCTCTTTCTAGTATGTTTCCAAAGCTGTTAGTGGTTTGAGAGCCAAAGAAGGGAAACTTACGATATGATAGCATACTGGCGCAGTCCCCTGTCGAGTTCCTGCGCCTCAAAGGTCCCGATGCAGCCTCGTAATCTCTTCTCCTTCAGTCTCGTTCCATTCGATCTATGTACCACATTCCACGTCACGAATAGCGGCGTCGCTGTCTCGCTCTCTTCTTTCCCCGCGCGTCTGCCCAAGGAGAAGAAGCTGCTGCGACTACTGTTCTTGCTTGTTGCTGAGCTGGCCTCGCTTGCGCCACTGGGCGTGGAGCTCGTGCTTTGCACGCTTGACGAGCTGGTGGTTGCTGGTGAAGGCGCGAGGAGGCGCGAAATAGCAGCAGGGCGATATGGTGATCCGTCTGTTGCCGTGGGTGCGGCATCAACGTCTTCGTTTTCGTCGATGTCGTCTTCTGGCGCGTTGGGATCGGGTACAAAGGGCTCGGCGTTATATTTGTTCCAGAGCTCTTCGACTTGTCGCAGGTTCAGTGCCGCGCGCTTCTCTAGGTTTGCAGACAGTGTCTCAAAGCAGTAGGCGCAGTGGGCTTGAGTGGCCATGGCAGATGTGGGAAGCTTATCGGCTGGTAATGTTGCTTGTGTATTGAAACAAGGGTGACTATAGGAGGACAGAGACTGAAGGCAAGGCTGCAAAGCCTACGTGGAGAGGCAAAGGTGAGATGACGACGAGAGGCCAGGCACCACAGGCTAGCACGAGTGCTTCAGGGCTTGGTTGTCTCGCCAGGAACGGACCGGCGTGGGGTCGGCGCTGTGCGTTCAGCCTGTCCGGAGTGCAGACGGCAAGAGCATTAGAGGCTTGTCTGTCGTGTTGCTGTTGTCGGATGCTCTTGCGTCACGCCCAGGAGGATGTAGGGGTGGGAGGGAGGAGTGGCGGGGTCGACGATGTGAGCGGGTTGGAGTAGCTATACCCCCACCCGAGCCCGGCGACAACAAGAGCGAACTGCTTGTAGGAGGCAGGCTAACTCACGTGTAACGTAAACATCCAACACAGAGACAACTTATGCACGCGACGGTCATATCGGCTAACAGACTTGCATTGATATATCATCCTAGCATAGAAACTGTGTCGAATTCCTTTGAGCGGGAAAGGCGCCAACGGTCGAGCTCAGTACTTCTTGCTTCCGTTGTCGACTCCCAGAGGCCTCGAAAGACCTCGAGTCTAGATTCAGTAGAACAATGTGTAACGCCATCTCCATGCACTCCGCTCCTTACGGAACAAAGGGCAAGTGTTTGGTAATGATGGCGTATTAATCTTGGCACGAAGATTTTCCTTCAGCAATTCGAGCATGGGAAAGCTCTGGTGCTGTACACACAAATGCCATTTGGGAGTGAACCCATGCTTTCGAGAAGCCATCGCGAGAGACAATGAAGTGGAGCAACCGGGGTAGAAGAGCCTATATGTTAGTGGAGATACATCACATACTCGTGCCTGTTGGGTTTTGGACTTGTTCATTGCCGCGTCATCCTATCCTGAACCCGCTTCCCGATGTCAGCTCGAAGCCGTCACTGAAGACCTTTATGCCATTGACGCCAGCCAAATGTTTCATTGTGAATGGAAAGCCGTTCCCGTCGTCCGTCATCGATCATTCCTTATGCCGCATCGCGCTTGCCCTCCTTCACCTCCTTCTGTGCCGGATGTCAGTGTCAAGTACGATACGTGAGCTCCAGAGAGGGCGCACCAGAGCGCGCATGGTGCCGTGCAGAGCATGCCTGTGGTTACGTCGGAACTTGGGGTCGGTTCCCTTGAGCGAAGGGTATCTGTGAGTCTTGGGCTTCTTGATACTGTAGAGTGCAGTCCCGTCAGCAATCGTGTAACATTTTTCAATTGTTATTGCAGGCGTGTTATGCAAGATCTCGAGAGATGCGCATGGTGCTCGCGACGCAGAGAGGCGGAGGCTGCGTACCCATTCCTGTGGTTCTTCTTCGACTGGTTGTGCTGGGACGAGTTCTTTGACTCTGCGTTCTGTCAGCCTAGCCACCTCACGGTGTTCCTCGCCTGGACGATAACGTACTGGCCATGGCGACAGTGTTGGTGGTCGAATTGGCTGGATGAGTTCGTGAACGGGGATTGGTGTCGCGAGAATCAATGACCGCGCTTGAGTGTGGCCGCTCGCTTAGGAGGCCACGCCAACTCCTCAAACAGCTTAGCGCCACATGGTCACAACTGCTACTGGGTGCTCGTTCATCTTCCTTCAATGATAGTTGCCTGTTCTTAACACGCTCCTGGAAAGGCGTACAATGAGGCCATGCGCAGAACGACAAACGCTGCAGCTTGCACAGACTTGAAATGCTTTCGTGTCTTTCAAGAACTTCAGGCCTTCATCTACAACAATCATCAGTCTTCTCCGTGTCAGTCTGGCCTGCTGGGTTGCCCATTCACGAAGATTTCCTCCGCTAAAACTATATTTGGACATTGGTCTGAAAATTCTCCTCTGATTTATTCCGATTCGACGAGTGTATGGCTTCTTAACTACACATATGTCTTCTTCGAATCACAATCGAGTCGATTTCGACGCTTCAATCCGGATGAATTTGAGACTTACACGCCTGCTGATCTCAATACGGTGGGGACCAGATTCCCCCATTGCGTCGGTCTCGTGCAGGAGGTTCACTTATCTAGATTTGACGCCTGACCATGCTCGGTTTCTGCGTCAAAGATCTTGAACCATCTATCATCCTCATGATGCGAACTTGGCGGTTACATAGACCATAGCCGAGGTCCTTAGCCATCTCATAAAGCTTGTTGGGGCCGATGTGACGATTTGAATCGATCAATCTTGTATCGACTAAACTAACAACGGTGGAACGATCGATCGTATCAGCTTCTTGGGCGGGTTCTACTACCTCGCACAGTAAGTCGTGATATGGCTGGGACCAGGCGCTCACCACAGCGACATTGTCATGAAAAACCTGTACGGCACGCAGAATATTCTCGACGATATCTGTGTGATTAGCTGCGCTTTGTAATTACCGATAGTATGGTTCCTTGTCGACTCCGAAGAGCTATATGCATACGGACGCTTCTTGGTTCGACCGTGGTTCTTGAGGCTTTAGACTGGCCAAGCGGCGCTACTTATCCAGTACATCTCTGTCGCCTGTGAAGAGTGCTTTGTCCAGCGGCGTTACATAGCTAGCCTTTCTGACGGCCTGGTGTACTCTCAAATACGAGGCCGCGTTACGCCGCCTGAGTGGGAGTATAGACGCAGAGGATATCTGTTTAACCCCCTTCTACTACTAGCATGATCAGGAGCTCGGTAACAGGAATGCCTAGATCTGATCAGAAGTTATAGTAGTTCTTCGACCTTGTTAATATAGCAAGCTCGCTCTATTGCTCGCTTTACTTGGAGTTGCTGCGAAGCTGATTTATACGCGAATGGTGCGATGCCTAGGCTCTTATGAGAAGAGCTGTATATAGACTGAAGACTGACTAAGTATACCAATACCTAGGATCTGTATCTCTAAAATGGAGGCCGGATACCTTGCGGTTCATGTGTCCGAACTTCAACTCTCTATATCTAAAGATGCGACGTTTCTATCGTGAATACTCTGCCTTTTATGGTGCCGAAGCCAAGGGCAGGATGTCCGTGACATGGGACATCTAATCTCGCATTGTCGCTATAGCCAGCTTTCAACTGGAGCGATGGAAGGTCCTGAAATCCGTCAATAGCATATCAGATCGCTGCCTCGCTGAATGAAAGCAACGGCAAAACGCCTGAGCAGCGGCGGATTGACAATGTAGCATGGGATCAGAATTACCTCACCCTTGTACGATCTGTTAACAGGACACGTTCCTGACGTATATCAGTGAACTCTTATAGGTAGCGGGGCTACTGGCTTTACAGATTATCCAAGCGTATACTATTGAAGGAGGTTAGGGACGGGCTTGAATCACTGCCCACGGACAGGGGTGCTAATCTCTGTTACTACAGTGGAGGCGAGGGAATAGTATGTACGGGAAGGGTATTTATTGGTACCGGAGGAGACCGGCCGGTACTAGGACTGGTGAAGAGTTAGCAAGGTAATATTGTGTGCATGTTCTATGGCGCTGCTGTATCTTTCGTGCCAAGTCCCTCTCTTACTGTGCTCAGAAATTGGCGCTTAGTAGACACATTGTACCACATAATATTGTTAAGATTCTACAGGTACTAAGCGAGCTGAAAGATGTTATTATGCTATATAATCGCAGGATCTCATCGCGGTCTCTCTCATGCACACCTCTTCGCTCTATGTCGTGAACTTGAAGTGCGGGTGGTCGTCTCCCAGATTCTCACAGTCGTCCCCTTCCAACCTGTGATCCCTCTCGCCCCTCGTCCTCTTCTTATTCTCTTTCTTGACATAGAAGAAAAGTACCATGCTTGCCGCCCCACAGATCCACAGCATTCCAAGACTGACTCCGTAACCTGTCGGGTATCTCGCGTTTTTTGCCTCGCTTTCAAAGAATACATTCGACGCGACGATTCCACCGATATTACCGAGTCCCACTTGAACAGCAGACGAAACGGACCGCTTGTAGTGCCCGGACATCAAATTCGCCACCCAGACCAAAACGATGGGCTGTGTAATATAACCTCCCGGGACAATAAGGAAAAGCGCAAAGTATTTCACGCCTGCACCCAACGTAGCTCCACACAGCAGCAGGATGTATCCCACGGATGCAACCACGAGGCCGCCTATGCAGAACCAGAACCTATGCCGGAAACGGTCCGACATCCACGAAGCGACAACTGCTGTGACCGTAGCAACAACGAAAATGGGTATGGATCGCACTTGTGCGGCAGAAGATGTATAGCCCAGCTCTTTGATGATGGTCGGGATAAAGAAAGAGCCCGCATAGCCCGTGTTTACGATGCCAAAATACATGATTGTGCCGAGGTATATCTTGACGTCGGAGAAGATGCGGCGTGTTGCGCGTTTATCGAGGTGGTTCATGGTGGCCGGACCAGTGTCGGCTGAGAGACGGGCGATAAGAAGGGCGCGTTCATCCTCGCTAAGAAACTTCGCGGTTTCGGGCCAGTCTGGAACCTTGGGGTTTATCAGAATAGCGCATACACGAAGGTTACCATAGAGGGAATCGGGGAAAGGGAGGAGATTTTTTGCATACCCAGAATTTCGAGATGACGCCCAGCACAATGGTCAAGATTCCTTCAATTAGAAAAATCCACCTCCAACCTGCATAGCCGCCGATACCATTCATTTTGGCCAGAGCGAAGGCGAAGAGCTGGGACAGTCAGTAGGTTTACACGCGGAGCAGCGGAACTGTGCGTACGCCACCGAAGCCTCCAGCTATGATACTGGCAGTGAAGAAAAGAGTGAAGCGCCATTGAAGCTCGTAGCGCTTGTAGTACATGGAGATGAGGTACATGCATCCTCGATCTGTCAGCCTGAGAAAGTCCAAAAAGTACTGTTGCGCTCACCAGGAAACAGTCCAGCTTCGAAGAGACCTATAAGCACACGAAGTGCTACCAGGCTTCCAAAGTTCCTGACCAAGCCTTGTCCCAGGGTGCAGATTCCCCACAGCACCATGATGGAGCTCAGCCAGGTTGACGGAGCCATTTTCTTCAAGATCAAGTTGCTGGGAACCTCAAAAAGGATGTAGGGGATAAAGAAGACGAAGAGTGCAATGTTATAATCTGACCCCACCATTTTGAGATCGGTCGTCAGACCTTGGATTTTCGCATTTCCGATGTTGGACCTGTCAAGGAAAGCTAGGAGGAAGAGCACAAAGAGGGGTGGTAGGACGCGGATATCGAGTTTTCGAAGCAGTTTCTTTTCTGCGACAGGGTCGATGTGATTTCCTGCGGTGTCGTTGATGGCCTCGATTTTCTCCTCGGTAAGAGCAACCTTGTTCTCTTCCGTGGCCATGATTGGAAAGGCGGTTGTCGCAGCGTGGTGGTTACAGGTATGAAGGTGATAGGACTGGCATTCGATTTAATACGACGGCTCTCCGTGAGTGGGACGGGGAGTGAGAGACGCGGGCTCCAACGCACCCAATCATCAACGCCTGCGATACCCGTCTTTCTTCCCCGGACAACTTCCCCGCAAACCCTGGGGTAGCATCTGGGAGGCGAGAGGAATTAATTCCGCAACGCATTCCGCGACATGTTTCCGACGCTAGACGAAGGGAACAAGATGCTGGAGGATGACAGAAGGGCGGCGAATGCGAGGAGACGAAGTGGTGTTATACACAGTAGTTTCGGTAGGTGCAGAATGGTACACAACAATGAGCATGTCACGACGACCAGGGGCTGTGATCCAGTGGTGCCATGTTGGTCAAATGGGTCGACACATGCACGTCTGGGCTTTGAGAGCGAGCAAGAGCCATCTTTGTGTGGGTGCTCGCAGGGCGCGCAATGGCCAAGCTTCGTGACGGAGGCGGCGGCCACTCACGTGCAGACCCTCTAATGGAACCTTGGAACCTTGGAACCTCAGCTTGGACCCTCGGAACCGGTAAGCGAAGAGGAAGAACCCTGCGTCGTCATGCCAAGGAACCGGCCAACTCGAGCAGTGAGGCTTGCCTCGACTTCTAATTCAGTCGCAGGCTGCAAGTCCGTTGCTCGCCTGTGGTTTCAGGGGCTCACGAAAGCACCTCTTGTCTTGTTCGGTCGAGCCTGCATGCCCTCGTGACCCGCCCTTGCATTGCTTTGACGAAGCGAACCTCGTGTGCTGCGAGCACCAGTGACGTAGCCCGGTCTTGATCGAGCACCCCATGCTCCACCCAACCAACAAGACTCACCACCACCGATCCTCAAAGAAACGCACTCTCAGCATCAAGCAAGCTCGACTCACCATGACTGCGAATCCACCCACGCTCATCAATCTGCCTCCCCCGCCCTCGGATCCCGCGACACCCAACGATGCCCCGTAAGCCAGACCTCAACGCTGATGCGACGCGCTGGCGCCAACATGAACTAATCTAACGCTTCTCTAGGGGCACCCCAAACTCGACGACTACCTCCATGTCCGAGCTGTCTACTGTAGCTATCAAAGATGGCCACCGCGGTCACTTTCCCCATCACCAGCAGCCAGCCGACGCCGAGCGTGCGGATCGCATCTCACGCTTGGCGGGGTTGGAGCGTGTAGCAGTATCTGGCCGTACGCCTCAGGGTCTTGCGCCTGGCGCCGCCAACAATCCTCCACCGGGCTATTTCGACTCGAACAACCAGCCTCAGATATTTCGCGAGCGCAGCACTGTCGGCAGTGCAAGCGCAACGGGCAGTGTTGGAGGTCGAACAACCTGGGCGAGCGGCAGCGATGTCTACGACCCGGATCGCATGAGTGAGGATCAGGATGTCGACACTTCTAGCATGGGAGGCTTCAGTGACGAGGCTGCCTCCTTGGTCGGCTTTGGCGAGGGCGCAAGGACACCTGCGAGACAGCACAGCCAGCTGGGAAGCCCAGCCATCGGTAAAGTAAGTGCTGTTCCTCCGTATCTCCGCGAACAGCCGCCACCAAGCCCAATGACCGGCGTCAGTGTCCCCAGCAGTTCAGGAACCACGCAAACTACTTCCAGCGTCGAGCAGCAGAAGCAGGACGCGAAACAATACGATGGCATGACATATGACGACTCTGTGACTGATACCACAGACCGCACCCCGCCCTTGACGGGTCAAGGCGCAGGAGGTGCGACCACTGCGGAGCAAGTTATCCGTGAGCGGATGCGCCAGCGCCAGGCCGCCCAAGGCGGAGAGGTCATGGAAGTGGAGCCGCAGAGGGAGAATTAGGTCGAGCGTGCAGTTGACGCGAGCGTCTGGAAGAGTGTCTCTGTCGTTACCTTGAACGATTTCCTTGGGATTTCTGATAGGTGAGTCGATAAGGCTATGATGGGAAGCTTTGCTTTGTACGAAAACGGGCGGCTGGGTCGCTGAGTTAGCAGCATGCAGTTCTTACGATGATATCATGAATGGGAGAAATTTGAACGAAAATCGCACAATGGCATGTGGCAGGAGCTTTCAACACTGCTTCCATTCTATGATACTCGTTTTGCAACTCCTAGAGGCTTGCATAGCGCTTCGATGACAATCGTAGGAGGTCTCTTCGACATTGCCTTACATGTCAGTATTTCACACCATGCCTCTTCCATATCGAGGATTCGAATTCATGACAGTAAATGTAAGCACCGAAGTGTAAAGCGCAGTAGCAGGTGTATTGCATGATGCAGCATCGCGCTTGCTGCGGTTACACGCTGTACAACGTTCCGGATGCGGCGTTATGCGAGATCCCAGCTCCTAATGTACGTACTATAGAACACAGTATGGCTACTCGGCGAAGCACAAAGCTGGGGAGCTTTAGCAGCCACTACAATCCCGAAGACGCTCGGCCCTTACAAGGCGGCAATGCTGAACACACAATTCATCGATCACGCACATAATGCGCCCTTTATTTCCACTGCTGGGATGCGCGGTGTCTATGGAACTCATCTTACGACATCGAATGACACCATAACTACACCCTACTCGCCACCACCCAACGCTGCACAGGAGACTGTCGAGCAGAACGGCTTTGGCGTCAACATCACCTACCACGGATTACTCGCTTTGACCGTTCCACTGGCACCACCGAACACCAGCATCGCCACCCTTCCTGCAAACTCCTCGTCTTGGCCTATGCTTCTCTTTTCGCCAAATCAGCAGCCATGGCTTCCTCGTCGTTGCACCTGATACGGCTTACGACGCTAATGTATTCGTTTTCGCGAAAGGAACCGTTGTCGAGGGAAATGCCAACGATACGCTGGAGGCCACAATGACGCCTTTTGAGGTGAGGTCTCGGGGCGCTTCCTTCATTCTCGATCATGTTCACGACAACATCACTTCGCTCATTCTTGGTTGCAAAGACACTTGCCTCCATACTACGCACGTCGCTATGATTGGGCACTCGATCGGCGGTGCTGCGGATACAATCATGGTGTTGATTCGATTTCGCGTACTCAGATGCATTACAACGCGTGAGCACAATGTAAGAGATTCCCATTCCGTCTCGCCATACCTTATTAAGATATCACAATATGACGCAAAGAGCACCGATAGCCACTCCAAGCGTCACCAACCACGCCCCCAAGGAGCTGAACAGAGTTGCGCTAACCCTTCCTTGGCCACCAGCGCCGCCAGTAAACTCAGCGACGCTGTTTGAGGACGAAGCAGAAATGGCAGAAGAAGCGGAGCCCAGAGCCCCTGTGGGAGTTGGTCTGCTCCTGCTAGAAGTAGAGCTCTTGTCATCAGTGGAGGATGTCTCCAATGGTGGAAGTTCGGTCGCTGATTCAGGTGTGGGGAGAGATGCGGTAGCGGTGATGTCGTCAATGGATGACTGGGCGTCCGCGCTGGCAGAGGCATAGACGCTGGTAACGTACGTGGTGGTGACTTCGCTGGAGGTAGATGTGCTTCGGGTAAGAGCTGGGACGTAAATCCAGTAGTACTGGTAGTACCAGCTGCGGTTGATTTAGAAGCGAACTTGGATGAAATCTGGGGTAGTGGCTCACTAGGTGATGGTGAAGGTGTAGTAAGTGTAAGATGCAACAGATACCGTCACCGTCTGCTCTGGAGGTGGTGTCGTGAGCGGTGCTGAGCTTGAGCGCGACGGTGCGACGGCACTCGTGGGTGCGTTGCCGTCGTCAGGTGTGCAAGCAAGACATGTCTCTCCAACTGGACATGAACCACCACCAGAACAGCAGTAATAGCCCGGGCGAGCGTATGTGCCTAGGTCGCAGCAGGTCGCCGCTTCAGGCGCACTGTAAAGGATTGAACAGCACTTCTGACCCACTGGCGCGCAGTACGAGGTGAGGCCTATGGTTCCGCAAAGGGTCTCTCCGGAATCACCTATCATAGATGATAAGTAGGTATGTTTGCATTGGAGAAAGCAAGATTACTCACAAGCTCCCTGTCGCTTTGCCAATGCAGAAAGAGTCTCCTCACGCTTCGCAAGGGCGTTGCACTGAACAGCAGCTGCAAAGACAGCAAGTGCGCATAAGGTCTTGATCGTTCTGAAAGCCATTAAAATTTTGGTAAGATTGTCGTTTAGTTTTGAGGAGAGGCTTGCAAGACGTTCATGCATCGAGGTCGCGGCCTCGCATTTATCTTGCGTTGGTCTTTCTGCAGCCTGCTTTTACTTTTGCCCAGGCACGGCACATTGATACGAGATTGTGTGAGGGTATCGTGGAGTGCGTGGGAAAGTTACCTGGCCCCCACCCAATCACTGCGACAGACGGGAGCTTAGCGTCTTGAAACTACGCGTTCTCCGCATTCTCCGCATTCACTGCCTTTCGCGGTCGCGCGCTTCGTATTTGGAGTTTCTTGGTCTGTGGGGCGGAGCGAGCGATGGAAGCCACCTGGCACTGAGCGACCAATTGACCAGCCCACGGTGTTGTGCAGGCTCGTATCGCAGTGCGCATTTGTTCCTATTCCTGTTCAGTAGATGAACAGTGCACTATCTATAGAACAGCCTTTTCCTTTTGAAGTTCTTGAAGTTCCTATGTTCATTGTCGGGTTCGCGTTGAGATATCATAGTGGTTTGTGGACATTGTGCTGAAAACACTGCGTCCCCTGACTAATTTGCGTCACCCTGTCGAGCAGCACGAGGAGCATCTTCGTTAGGCACGAGAATTTGAGGCTCTCTTTCACAGCAAGAGGAGATTGACAGACAGAACAACAACGGTGGTTGAGTCGGACAGTAACAGCCAAAAACCGGTGAGTGCCTGCGGCGCTAACCCAAGCCCCCGCCTTCCATGCCTGACACCTCTCGCACTCCCATACCACTATCGTCAACATTGAGTAACCCTCAGACCATCCACCCCAAGTTCCATGACTCATCTACATGACAATTGCAGCGGAACTACCACTCAAAGCTTCCAAGGTTCGGTTTCCAAGCTTCAGCTACCACTACAATCTACCATAGTAACCTATGCCTGTACTCCCGTTGCAGAGAGCGATGAGGGAGCAGCGGCGGACAATTGATTCTGGTCCTGTATGGCTTAACTCCAGGATTACGAATACAACCTTTAGATATCATTATCGGTGCTTGCGTAAAGAATGTGCCACCTCCTACGGTGCTGGAATTAGAAATTTAAGAATTCCCGACAAACATATTTACTATAGGGAGGGAATTATTAGCTAGATCTTGTTAAACTTATCTTTTTAGACCTAGTAGAGCCTAAAATAGGCTACTAAGCTGTTAAAATAAGTGTACTAGAGCTAAAATAAGTGTACCAAAGTAGATAGACTAATACTTTACTTCCTATAGTAAATATATTGGCTGAATATCCTTGATTCCTTGTTCCAGCGCCGTGGGGGGTGGCACATTCTTTTTGCAAACGATAATATTACCACCTTCTCCTCTTCTGTAAAAGGCGTTGTTAGAAAGACTTCCAAAATCCGGGATGCGACGAACAGCCACACACAGGTTCGCAAAGCCCAGTCTACACCGTCAGAATTGAAAGTACACCGGCACATTATCTTAGAGACCAGGCTCTAACGCTGCCATAGCTTATCAGCCATCTACAACTTGTAGGATGCGGTCTCTAAATCATGATTCCTCCCTTGTAATGACTCCATTAAATGACTGGTTGACATACCCAACGAGCAGCATAGGAACTTTGTATGTGTTTTTTATGGAGTACTTTGAAACGACCTGTATTTCTTTTTCCAATACTCGACCTTGGCAGCAGGTGTTCATGATGCGGTCTTTTCCTATAGTAAAGATCTAGTCGGTCTTTTTGTTGTTACTGTCAGGTGGCACCGTTGTTCAGCGATGCATACCTTTCCAAGAGCCTCATGAGTCTACAAATCCTAAAAATCGTGCACTAGACGGGGCGACGCGTCAAAACACCACGGCGTTGTTGTGCCAGACTCGAACCTCACTGTACCGTTGACCCCGTATTCAGACTACGCGCATATGATGCAGTGAGCAGGCCGTTTTTGCTGGATGAAGGTAGTGAGGATCAGTACAATACGTGAAGTTGCTGAACAGGGAGGCTGCGTTTTACGTTGATGCTAGTCGGTTGCCCGGCGGAATGAGTGGGAGACTGCATCTCGTGGGTATAGATGTGGACGATCGATTGCCAAGGTATCAGAATAATGGAGCTGGGGCGAGGTACGGCACCGGCTATTGTGATGTGAGTTTTCCGACGAATACGAGATCCACTCTGGAAAGGTTAGAGAGCTGCACTATAGCTGCTCGTTCTTTATCCTAATGACTGATTGATACCTAGGCCAGTGTGCAGGACTAGGAACCAAATTCTATCCACATCACCTACCAAGGCATGGGGAAGTATGGTCCTTGCTGTCCCGAGATCGACGTCTGGGAAGGAAACACTGCGATCAATGCACCGTCCGCACATCCATGCTCAATGGACAATTAAGTGAGCTGTCTAGGTGCCACATATACCACCATATGTGATAAAGACCGCTGTGACAATTATCGCGTAGGTAACACTTTCTTGTACGGTCCTGGCAAGACAATCGACACAGCGAAATAGTTCACGGTGACAATATGATTCCTGATACACGACAACGCCGACAGTGGGACTTTAGTCACGAATTAAGGAAGAACCTCCAGAAGGGCGTTATTTTTTCTATGACATTAGATGTGTATCTTTATTTCCCACTGTTCAGGAGCAACAGACTCCGTTTACCGCCAACACAGGGCCGCATTCAATCAATGAGATACGTTCGCTGCAGAGGGTGGACTTACCTCTATCAGCAAAGTGTTAGAACGCGCCATTCGTTGTGTTCATTATTTCGGAAGATCAAGAGGTACATATGCTTTAGTTCGGTTTGGATTGGCCACTGGATGTAGACTCAACTACACCAGAATCCAGACACCTACAAGTCTTGCTATACACTAGAGCAAGCGCACAAGCCAGGTAGTTGGCTAAGGCGGCTTTGTAAAGTTAGAAGACGTTAATAACACTGCTTAAATCTCTTTAGTCCGCATTTCAGGTGAATTGTAATCAAGAGCAGTCATTCCGACATGTGAACAAGTGATCCCATATGACATCTTGGTAGATCGTTGTGCGCTCAAGGCAGGTGAATTGAGCATACCTAGGTATCGTCCAACACTGCTAGCTGGGCGCAAAACACCAAATAAAGCGGAATGTTGTCCAGTACTTAAGAAAAACATCCAGAATGTATCAAGCAATATAAGCTGACCTTGCGGTCGGCGATTACTCGTTTACCCTCATCGGCCGATACCCACAAATTAGCCTCATGCCGCCTCACGCAAGCGAGCATGTCATCTTAGGCATCAATTGGGGTCCGTACCCACCGCCAGCGCACATCAGGCGCACACACTCATATCCAGACCATCGTCGCGTACAGCGAATCTTTGAAGGATTTCTACGCTCATCCTACAGTTAAGTTGCCTTCTGCCGGCCGTAATACCCTCGCAAACCCTTGCATGCACTTTCTGTATATCATCTTACATACCTCCAGGTGGCCTACTCGCTCTCCCCTAATCACTTGATTTGCCCTGCCATGACCGTGTTTTGCACACACAGCCTCACATCGTCCGCATCGCTCGGTATTGCTCCCGCTCTAACCTCGATAGCGTAAGTCGCCGCGCAAGGGTAGGCGAACTGCTAGAACAGTCTCAGATGCGATTGGTGATATGATCAGCAAGGGTATGCGAAGGACCACTTGAGTCGCACGTCGCTAGCCGGATGGGCGTGGCACGGTGAATGGTGAACGTGCGACAGATTGGGAACGGGTCGGGGTAAGCGAAGGATGGGGTTCTGGAAGGGTTCGCTGCGTATTTGCAGGGATTGTTTTGATATTGGTGACATCGATGCTGACTGCCCAGTGACAATTGGACATTGTTGTTAAATTATTATTGCTTGCCTGTAGCAGGCAGAGGCCGGCGTCAATCCTAATATTCCAGGGCTAAGATGACGTGTACTTTGTTCAAGGTCTTTGCGCCTTCGGCTAGCCAATAGTGATCGATTAGTGACGGAAAGGGAAGTCATATCAGATTTAGGGTTGTATTTTGCTGGTCGAAGGACCGTGTCATGTTATAGGATCTAGAACACAAGATGTCAGAAGCGTGAAGCGAGTCGTAAGTTTTAGTATTGTCATCGCCCATGAGCATACAAAGCATCACAACCGTACACAACCCAAACTCACTACCAGACATTCATAAGCCATGTGCTTCGCTATCATTGTCTGAAATAATCATTACCGCGATACTGCTATTCAGAGAAGTTCAAAATGAACAGACCCAGAGCCTGCCAGCGTATCGAACGAGAAGGGAATGCAAGGATCGCCATTGCAGCAACAAACCAACCAAAAAAGAAGAGGCCAGGTATTGAATCAAATACACGAGGAACGAGCAAAGTGTAATATCGTAAGTTCATACAACTGTTAGCCGAAGGACCAACCCTCTGCCGAGTCCGCACTGCGGCAAGCACAACAGCAAGAGACAAGGCGACCTGTATGGGCATGCAGTAAAAGTGAAGACTTTCCTTGTAGTCTCGTGATATCGGCGAAACGCAGAATTCGCTTAGTGAAACCAAAAAAGGCGAACAACGACCCCAGAAAACACGGAGTTGGTAGACCTCCCAACGTAACGCTGCATCCTGACGTCGTAGGGCGGCGTTCGTCTAACGATGCCTGATTGGGAACGTAAGACCACCCAAAAGGTATGAAGAACGCAGGTTTATCTCAGCGCTGCAAGGGTATTGACCGCATAGGTCAGAGAACGGCGAGCATCGATGTCGTTCAGGCGGGGTTGTGGACGATAGTGGAGCGAGGCTATCTGAACTGTCGCGCGGTATATTGCATAACTAACTGTATCAGTTTGATCGTGTTGGAGAGTCGTACGACTTACATCAACTGTCGGACATATGGTGCCCCCGCACGCGGAGGCCTCTCTCCGTATCCTTCGAAAAAGGCATCGCTTCCGTTGGAAATGGCCTCATTCATGAGAGGATCTCCCCAGATCACATTTGAGAAGCCGACTAAGCCTGTGACCTGCTTGGTCTGTTCATGCACTAGCACACTGTGAGTGTCACACATGTCTGTTGCGACCATGCACGGTGTTTGGACTTCGTCAAGCGTGTGGATTTGTTGTTCGACGTAGTATCGAATGCTGTCGTATGGTAGCGTGATAAGCATGTCCTCGCAGTCGCGCAGTACCGATTCCAGGAGAGCGCGGAACGCCTCACGCCATGTTCTGCTACCCTTGTTTGTAAAAACGTTATGTGTCATGCCGAATTGCTGCGCATTGAGCATTGTGATAGTTCGCATGTATGAACCTAAGGTTCGATCGATCGTGCCTCGTTCGTGCGCGGAGATATACGGTAGCATGTCAGAAAGCCTCCTTCCGTGAAGGAAGCTCATCAGTAAGAATGGCGACCCGAGAACTCCACCATGCTCTTGATATTGATAGACTTCCGGCACTGGTAGCTGTCCTTGGCGGTATTCGCGAAGATAGCGGAGTGTCTTTAGCTCGGTCTCAAGACCATATTTCTCGTGCCTGAGAGCTCGACTAGAGACATGCGGCGGGCACTTCAGCACGAAGGTACTGCCATCGGCAAGTTTCGCTCGGTAGACCTGATGGAGACGTCCAGAGAGGCGCTCCGCTTGCTGTACGGTGATCTTGGAAGAGCGAAAGACGCTTTGAATAGCCCTTTGGATACCCGAAAAGTCTGCGGAAAGGGCACAAGTGGGAGAAGATGCGGACGAAGAAGAAGATATGCTCGAGACTGCTGATGAGCCTCGAGCTGACCTGCTGACGTGTCTGCCGTGGCTCATAGTGACCACAGGATAGACAGCCACATCAAGAGGAGGCAGATGCATCTCGATTGAGATTTGAAGCGAAAGACTTAGAAGTAAGAGACAACGTCAGCAAACGAGCAAGCGACTGGGTAGTGCCTGGATAATTACATCTGCATGGCGAGACCTTCTCGCTGGATTTGAATGAATTGTAGGTGTGGTAAGATTGAAGCTTGATTGCCAGAAACAGATGAATCGGCGATCAGAGTAACATGTGTGGTGTCGAAGGCGTCAGAACCACGACTTGATCAGATAGACCGAGCAAGCCCGAAGAAATTTGAGTTTTGTGAAGTGAACATGGGCATGTGCCTGTCATCGATATATCTGGCTGTTGACATCTCCGTGAACACCGCCATACGCCTGTAGGCTTGACTAGGTCCATGCTGCGCAAGATTCCCCCCGTGCATTAGGGGTCGGATCTAGATACGTAGACCTAATCGAAAAGCAACGCAGCTGCGCAGGCCTTGACGAGCAGTGCTGTCATTCGGTAGACGGCCAGCCCAATGGAAGGATCTCGAACAAGGCCGCGGGAGGCGTTCTTAAGTGATGGGTCGGCTGCATCAGTGTTCGTCTAACGTGACCTTTTTGGGAATAAGTGCATTGCTTGGGTTGTCGGTTAATGCGTGCTCTCATTGGTGGAACCATTAGCCAAACAACCTGCAGTAGAGTAGTTGTCTAAAGCCAGAAGAGCCATGCGCGGCCTATGTTCATAGAATCTTCAGTGTAATTGTAAAGCTGGTTCAGATATGCAGAGGTTTGGTAGTCAGGCTCGGCTTACGTTGAAGCTAAAGACGGGGTTTCTGTTCACCGCAACTTCACCTCCAGCTGAACCTCCGTACATCGCTTGGTCACACACTCATCAAGCGGCACTCATGGAATACTTTTGACGCCACGGTAGCCTTGGCGCGACCCGACCTGCTGGAGACGACATCTGTGAAGAATGTCAGGCCAACCCCTTGGAAACATGCGTAGTCATGTAGTGTGCACTGTTGGTTGGATTTACCTCGTATGACCACACCTGCAGCCAGCAATAACTCACATCGGAGCATATCCAGTTTCAGGTGCTTCGCGCGAAACGTGCGGCAAGTTCAAGGCGCTCTGGCGCCGCAGGCTGCGTCATCTTATCGTTTCGTATGATCTATGGTTCGACGTATTTCAGCCCTCTGGTACTTCCTTCTGGTCCTTCGTGATAGTGTTGTCGCGCAACTCAGCCAGATTGTACTTCTTGAGACTGTCGTAATCTGAGCCTACTACGCTCATGCCTACGAGACTCTAGATTGTGTGAGCACCAATCATGACCAGAAAACCGCCACAAGCCTGAGAAACATGCCATGCGTACGCGGAAAGTTTCATACCTGATAGACCTCCACGAGAATGAGTAGATCATACCCCGAAAGATCGACCTTGTGCCCCTTGCCCACAAGGGATGCAACCTGCTGGATGATCTCATCTCGGGAAATTTGCTTGTTATTGCGAATATTCACTCGAATAGCAAACTGCACAATCTATTAGTACGCTTTGGTCACCCAGTTGCACAGGAACACGGAAGCACGCGTCCTATCCTTTTGACTTTAGATTAAGATAGTGTCAACTTACTTTTTTGCCGCTTTGCTCAGGTGCATGGAAGTGCGGAGCAAGAACCTGGGTAGCGATGTCCTTCAAGCCACTTCCTGCGACTTTACCAATGGCTGAAAGTGGCGTCAGCCTCTTTACGAAACGGCAACGCTGGTGCTCAACACCGTCTGCAGTATCCTGACAGATCTTGTGGAGGAACGAGACGGGCTCAACGGGCGAGCGAGTCTTGAAAAATATCACTGGTTACTCTCAGCATTCTGCACGTTTGGGCAATGATGTTGGTACAGCTTACAGCATTGCCCAGACAGCTTGACATTCTTGAAGAGAGGTTCGACCTTCGGCTTTCGAATGCCCTCAACCTCTTTCTTGATCTCGCTCTCAATGTCAACGTCGCTCGCTCCGGATTCTTCACCCTCAGCTGCCTCAGCCGTTGAAGCATCTTTGTACAGCTGCGAGGCATACTACGTAGTTCTCAGCGTTTACTCATCAGCACCTACAGAGACGCGCATGGCAAGTGCCGTGGCGTACACTCACCTTCTCAAACAAATTGCGCAAGTCGGCGACTGATGGTGCTTCCTTGTTCATGGCGCATGTTACCCAGATGCCTACGTCGCCTGGCTGAATCCCCCGAGCCTCGGCACCTGGCATCGTCCATTTTTGTTTGCCCTGTGATTCTGCTTAGCACCGCAGACAGGGAGTCAAGGGAAATGCGAGGCGAGAAAGGAACCTTGGTGCCAAGACCAAGCTCCGCTACACACAGTAAGGATCGTTTGCTAACCTTTGATCTCTTTCTGTTGCCTCCATCCCGCTGCTCTGGCCCAGCTTTCCGTTTCTTCGGGCCGGTGTCCATTCTGGGCGTGAGGGTGTAAGACGGGTGGAAGGCCTTGAAGCGTGACGCACAGCGAAAACGATCTCTCGGATAGATCACGCTAATCGTTCATAGCATAGTCTGCACGCTAAGGAATCCCCTATCGTTCCTTCAATGGGTAGTCACTCATTCAAAGCTGAGGGACTTTCTCGTTCACTTGATGTGATTTTGAGTCTACTAACCTATGTTGCAATCTATGGGCAGAGGTTTTGCTATGGCAGACGCCACAAACCCGAAGGAATGGCTCTGTATGACAACAGTTGCGACGCGCAAAGCTGGGTCAGATTGCATGATCTTATCGTACACTAGATCTTATGCATGATAAAACGTTGTCTCCGGCTCTCGGTGGTGTTCACTTCGTATTGCGAGGCATGGGACATGCTCGGGCGTCACAATCCATGTCTTGAAACGCTCGTTATCCATTCCGTCTGACCAGGGCAAGACAGCAGAACAGCTAGGTTCCTCAGCCTTCTTCCCATACAGTCCCTCCGCCGGCTCGGAAGCCTAGCTTCGCACGGATGTACAGGGTGGTGAAAGGCCATTTTACATACAAATTTCGTCGTAAACCTCCACATCCGTGCGAAGCTAAGCCTCCGAGCTGGGGACTGTACATATTCTGGATCAAGCACATACATCACTTGACGGCGCGACTTCAACCCGGCTCCACTCGGCGTTGCCTTTTGGAACCTGTGAAGATGATTCATTTAGCACGACAGACGAATCGAGAGTCCCGGTTCTGGGTATTGCTACATAACGTGATCCGGTGCGACCTATTGTTCGCTTCATCGCTCCCGACGAAATAGACCGGCTCGTAGGTCTGACCGGACGTTCGGCGACGTGTCCGACGCGACTTTGAAGCTTATGCGTTCATCCTTTCAGCAATCGGTACCTCTATACTTTGACAGATACGTAACGTGCCTAGCGAACTCTGGATTGGGTTGCGCGCAAGTTCCTCTGGGTGGTTGCGCACGAGCGTTGAGTACTTCTCGAAACTGTTGGTAAGCCTCTTCAGAATTTGTGCGGTTTGCCAATCCCGGAGTGTACAACGTATTGAAGTCGTTTAACTATCCTGCGCTTTGACACCGCCGTGGATGAGCGCTCATGAGAGTCCTTTGGGAGGGAAACTCGATTCTCGTTTGACTCCATCCTTGGAAATGCGGGCGAATTGAAGCGTGGGTAGACCTGACCATTGACCATTCCAAATTTTCAATTTCTGCAAATTATCTGCGTTCTCGAGATCAGGGACCCAAAAGCCAGAAGCGTATTCGCCTTGCTCCATAGACTGGTTTTGCTTGAGAAGAGTCTCGCGTGTCGATGGCGGTCTTCCAGGACGGCGTTCCGCCTTCAAGGTCGCTAACTCTTCATCATCGCGGCCAAGGAAATCCTCGATCATGGCCTGGATTTCGGAGATGGATAGTGGAGCTCCATGTTCCATGGTATATGATTGAAACGATTTGATGCGCAGCACTTTTTGGAGATCAGCGACTCGACCCAAGGGGTCAGAGATGGATACTCACGGTACGGATGATTCTGCTTTTCTCTCACTGCGGCCAGGCGGTTGAGCTTGTCGTCACGTTGAGCAGCGCTCTGCAGACGGCGTGTATCCCGACTGTTCTCGTGGAGGGCGACGTTTTTGCCCTTCTTTTTGGTTATGTGCTTCTGCACCTTGCTCAGACGGTTGCTCGGCATTCTTCTGTGGACTTCTTCGAAGGTCAATCACGGGTTCTGAAAGCTGGTCGCCGGCCAGAAATTTTGTCGCAAAAGGGCAACAGAACGCTTAGCGCCGGTGGCCAAGTGTGACGGCAGGCACGACCCTGGACCGTCCCGCCTGGCTCTGGCGCGTACCAGCCAGCTCGACGCGTCGACGACCGGCTTCCCTCACAACCAACACTCATTGACGACCGCCAACAGCGCCGGTTCCTCTTTCGCCTGAAGCCCCACGAACGGCAATGCTACAGTAGCAGGCGAGCCCAACAAGCCGTTGCAGGCTTCGACGTGCCACCGGCCCCGCGGTAAAATGGGCATTTCTGGTGAGACCTCAACCAGCATGTTGTCAATTTGCCTGTTGACATTGCGTAGGCCTCTTGCCGCTTTTGAAGTCAGTACAGAAGCCATGCAGCCTCAAGAAGTTTGCTGGGCGAACGATTGGTGTGGATGCCTACGGATGGCTGCACCGCGGCACAGCTGCGTGCGCCATGGAACTGGCCCAGGATAAGCCGACAACCAAGTAGGCAATCGCGACCTAGCATCATGAACAGCAGCTCATAGTTGTAGATTCGTCGACTTTGCTATGAACCGCGTTCGCATGCTTATCCATTTCGGCATAACCCCTTACCTCGTTTTCGATGGCGATAACTTACCCAGCAAATCCGGCACAGAAAAGAGTCGGAGAGAAAGGCGGAAAGAGAGCAAGAGACTCGGCCTAGAGCTACTCAAGGTGGGCAAGACCTCGCAAGCACACATGGAGCTTCAGAAGTCTGTCGATGTCACGCCAGAAATGGCGCGCATGCTGATCGAAGAGCTGAAACACCACAACATCCAGTACACCGTCGCTCCGTATGAAGCAGATTCACAACTGGTCTATCTGGAACGCAAGGGAATCATTGACGGGATTCTGTCCGAGGATTCGGATCTGCTGGTCTTTGGCGCCAAATGTTTGATTACCAAGCTCGACAAGTATGGCGAGTGTGTGGAGGTGAACCGCGATCATTTCACAGCCTGCAGAGAGGTCAGTCTGGCAGGGTGGAGCGACGCCGATTTCAGACGCATGGCCATCTTGAGTGGGTGTGACTACCTTCCCGGCATCGGCGGTATGGGCTTGAAGACAGCTTATCGAATGTTACGGAAGCATAAAAATGTCGAGCGCCTCGTCAAGGCTGTTCAGTTCGACGGGAAGTTCAAGGTGCCCAACGGCTACTTAGAGAGCTTTTACCAGGCTGAGAATACATTTCTCTACCCGTGGGTTTATTGTCCATCGTCCAAGCAACTGGTCAACCTCACCAGCCCGGGGGCTGAAATCGACATCTCGCAAATGACGTACATCGGAGAACAGGTACCTTCTCATCTTGCGTATGGTGTCGCACGAGGCGAACTGCACCCACGCTCGAAACAGCCAATAACGCTTCAAACGCAGACTAGACCAACTGGCAAACCTCTCCGACCGGCGCGAACGAGTTTATCGACTTCACAGACACCTACAGGTAAACAAAGTCGACCGATAGATTCTTTCTTCAAGGCAAAGCGAACTCCTTTAGCGGAACTGGATGTTAACCTCTTCACGCCATCTCCTAGCCAGCAAGCACTTCTAGAGCAGCAGCGAACCAACATCGGATGGGAAGCAATCCCCGCTCCACCAATCAGCCAACGCCAACAGATTCCACGAGTCAATTCCGCACCTCAGCCAGCTAGGCGCCTTAGAACAGACTCGAAAATGTCAAGACAGACCCAACCAAATCCCTCAAAAAGGCGGCGATTGTGTTCTGATACTGAGGCTTCTACACCCGCTCACGATGAACGCGAAACTACGCGAAGCCGCTTCTTTCCATCATCGGCTGCAGAACCAAGCCCCTCTCTCCGCCCGAATAAGAGTCAAAGGAGGTCAAGCAAAGATTTCGAACTGCACTCTGATGATTCTATTGAGGAAGCTATGGCCGGCCTAGTGGACCTGGAAAGAGTTGGTCCGTCTCCTAAAAAGAAGTTGAAGGTCTTCAAAGACAGCTTCATCTCTAGCAGAGCCAGTGACTCGCAGTCGACTGTTCTGTCACGATCTACACTAGAAACGTCACAAGACGCCCAAGACGCTGGCGGAATTACACCTGCAACTTCTTTTGGCAGCCCTGAGCCAGAGTCTATCTTCAATGTCCCGCTTGCCAAACAGCTAGACACTCTCCGTGCAAAATTCTCGTACAGTGCGGCTACCTCTTCACCTTTGACCCCACCAACATCGTCAAGCTCAACATGTGTTCGAAACACAACGTCGCTCAAGGTTCCATCTATCAATAAGTCTGTTCGCGAAGAAGATACTCTCTTGTTCACCGCTACCGAAACGGCTGCGGTCGGGGGCTTCGAAGACGAGATCTTGGTCGAGGCCACTACTTGTGCTACTGCTGAAACCGAGGTTGAGGTGCCTGCCAGCGATGCAGGGGACATTCCACCTAGTCCTTCAACACCACGTAGGTCGCTGGAAGTGAAGGGTAGTGAAGAATTGCTCGTACCAGAGTCTAGCGATGCGGAGAGCATATGCTCGCCCCGCAAGCCGCTACTCAATCTCGGACGATTCGCATTCGGCCCATGATCGAACTTTTGATACGATTATTATTGATGCCCATCCCCAGGTCGCGAGGTTTTGGACATGGTAATTGTTATCTCAGCGACTTGTATATCCGTCCTATGTGAACACATCCGCATGAATTCGATTGAGCGGCAGCGTCGAATTCACGCCTTAACGTCCACCATATTTCTGCATAGCTATATACCCACATCAATTGATGGTCTTCTTCTCAAGCATGTTATTTCATACTGAAGTGTTCTCCCGATCTAGTGACGCGTCGCAAAACACCCTCGTTCCGAGACCTACGGCAGAGACCGCATGCCTGCAACACTCGACCTCCACAGACCAACTACCCACACTCCCGGGGGTCCAGCGAGACCCTGAGTATCAAATGTTTTACCTGTGGCGTATCTACCAACACAAAGAAAACGCGTTGTCTCGCAACACCTGACTGACTTCGCTTTCACAATACTACGGACAAAGGCATCTCGAGAACTTCGGTGGAACTCTCACTGTGGCCGTCTGCGCGCCCAACTGCGTGTTTCTTTCGCTTCTTTGTCCAGCTGTTGGTTTCTCCGCATTCGGCGTAGGTCAAGATATGGATGGTATTAAACGTCGGCCGCCTTGACAGAGAGGACGGATGGTTCGTTGAACAGACACCACAGTTCAGGCTCTGATTTCACCACGCGACAATCCACAGTCAGCATCCATTTGTCGCATTACCTCTCAGCGCAATATAAGTGCTGCTAATCCAAGTACCACTAAGTACCACTACAACGATGCCACCACGCAGGAGCGGACGGGTAAGGAGACGATCTCTTGTCCGCAGAACGGAATCTGTGCTTACCCAACCTAGAATGCTGCTAAACCTGAGGGCTTTTTCAAAGAGCTGGCGTTGCAAAAGAGGGCCGAAGAAGCCGAAGAAGTAGCAGAACAGGCGCCAGCCCTGAAAGCGCCCAAGAGGAAAACCGCCTCTAAGCCTAAGAAAAGTCCACCTGCTACTAAGTCCGGTCGAGTCAAGAAGACCAAAAAGAAGGCTGCACCCAAGAAGCCTGCTGCTGCTCCTGCTGCCACCAATCCGAAGAGTTCTTCCAAGACTCCGTCGAAAAAAGGCGCGAGTAGGGACCCAAGACTGCAGCTGGATTCCACCATGAAGGAGCCTATTCCCGTATATGTACCTGATGATTTCGAAGGTGACGAAAAGACACCGTCCCCACCCTCTCACCGCAAGATCAAGATCAAGAATGCAAAGGTCAGTGCTTCCAGCTATACGTAGGACTAGCCCCACTACTCCCAAGTCACAGTCCCAGATCTGGTGTGCGATGAGCACTCAAGACCTGTGCCCGCGAACGGAACTCTATCATAGACAAAGCTTCTAGTACTGACGTTGCATCTGACAGAAGTGATCGTCAAAAGTCTAGGCCATCAATCAGGACAACTATCGACGGGCCTTCCTCCTAGGCTGGAGAATTTGGCATAAAAATATAATTTTGAATCGAATAAGACCAATACCGGTTATTACTCTACTAGCGCAAGGCTTCTTGGGAATAAGGGAAGGGAGGTTTGTAAGATATTTTTAAAGTCGTAGCCATGTTCTCATTGAGTCTCTGTAAGGTAACGTCTGAGAGTTGATTTGTACATACGCTTTCTTCCTAGACCGCACTGTCGTCCCGATAACAATGCTGGTACCGGGGAATTACCGTTGGCGAATAGATAAAGCTTTGGAACCGCTTCTCTCCAGCTCAGAAAGTCCTGCAGCAAGACTATGATTTTCTGATTGTTTGTGCATCCCAGTCCGATGGGGTCATCTGTCCCATCACGCTGCTCCTCTCACTCCTATCTTTCCCTACAACCGTCTTGAGCAGTACTTCACTATTATGCAGTTCACCTAGACACAAAGTGATGGTCAGGACTAGTATAACCAGAGTAGAAATTGAGGCTACGTACTTAATCGTGCCGCAACCAGCTGAGCAATATCCTCATGCAACCCTACGATCGCAGCCCGATATGGGACGCTAGAATTCCAGGTCTTACTAGTAGTCTTTGAAAGCTTGACCTTACAGTCGACGCTGCCATCAGCATTGGTGACATAGGCGACCAGAATCGCGCTGGTGGTGAAGGTGCCAATGGTATCGTATACGTGTTGTGGACCGTAGAGTGCTTTGGCGTTGGCTAGGGGTCATAAGTTAAAGCGAGCAATAGGAGAGCAGAAGATGAATTGTACCGATTATGCATTCTCTGTGGAAACGGAGGACTTTAGTACCGTCCTTGGTCAGCATCGCCATTGGGAGAAGCAGGTGGGTAGCCGCGGGAAATTTACTGATTTAAGAGTGCTTTTGTAGTGTCGATGAGGTTTGCCTTATCTCCCTTTTCTCCTCACCGGACGCTGCGGTGTCGTGCTAACGCCCTGGAGGATGGGGCTGTGTGTACGCATGCTGACGAACCCTTGAGCTGCGGTCCGCCTAAGCGTGAGAAAGTATCAATGATGGATTTCCTATGGTATTTCTTGACTGTACCGACTTTTGATGCACGTCTAAGCATGTGGCGTGGAGAGGATCAATCGACTTGACAGATGTCGTGGTCGAAACACTAGCCTTTTAAGGCGACGCCATTGTAGAGCGAAGTTAACATCATACTCAGTGTCGTCAGATGGTTACAAGAAGCGAGCGGAAGTGAAATTTGCAGATGTGGTGAGACGCAAGGTGTAAGACATGTGTATCATTCCATTCACTTTTCTACCACGAACCGCAAAGGAGAGTAGAGGGGCCCGGAGGCAACGAATTGAAGTATTAAAAAGGACCCACAGGACAGGCATCTAGGGGCAATGATTGACGAGAAGCGAAAGTAGCAGATACGATAAGACGAATGTGCTAGTCTCGTAAGACGCCTGCTGCAATGCATTCCCGCATTGTCCACGTTTCATGGACCCATCTTATGCCTGATCTTGTTACCCTAGCACTGCATGCTAGCTGGGCGTAGCAACAGCTCCATCTAGCCAAACAGCTTACCCAACTGCTATAGGTCAGTTTTGCATTATTATTCTAGAACGACTTCCAACTCACCACACCTCTTCTCGCCCGCTCTACTTCACCAGTGTACACCGGTGGCGGTGGCGGGTAGTAGTACCTACTTCTGGTACTAGTTATCAGCGTCGACGGTGCGCTAGAGTAAGACGTGCCCTCCGTAGTCACAGATGGTTCCGTGTAATAGCCAGATGATCCAGAAGTGGAAACAGATTTAATACCTTCGGAGGAATCTGAGACTACCGTACCATCGGTATTACTATCAGTAGACTGGCTAGTAGAGGCGTCTGAAGAGAAGCTCGTGCCGATAGTTCCAGTAGAGGCGGTAATAGGCGTGAGGGTGGGTATGGAAAAGGTTGAAGAGGTAACAGAGGGAGTCTCGGTAGTAATTGGGATGCTTGAAGATGTAGTAGATGACGACGTCGTCGAGCTAAGGCTCCAACTCGAGTGAGACGAAGACGCCGTTCTCGAGCTGGCTGAGGACGATCCTGGCGTGGATGTTGCTGACGAGCTTGACTTTGAGCCTGTCGAGGAATATGTAGACTCCGTTGTCGAGCTCCCTGAGCTGGACTCCGACGATAAGCTCATTGAAGAAGACGAAGACGAGCTCGCCGAGCTAGCTGGCGTGGTTGAGACGGTCGAGGAGCTTGAGCTGAGGCTTGACGGCGAAGAAGCCGAAGTTGAAGATACAGACGTGGGGACTTCTGTCATGCTCGAGCTGACACTGAAAAAGGTCGAAGACCGCGTGATTGAAGAGGTTGTGGTAGACGATAAAGTATCTGAAGGAAAGGGAGGAGCTGTCTCCGACTTGCTCGTGCTTCTACTGGATAGTGAAGACGGAGAACCTGACGTCACACTAGCTGACGTTGAAGATGCGCTTGTGAAACTTGCCGAAGTGCTTGACAGACTGGAGGATGATGACGACGATTCCATTGTTGAGCTTGTCAAGGTCGACGACGACGACATTTTGGAAGAGCCTGAGGAAATCGAGCTTAGAAACTTAGAGGTGGCACTCGAGCTAGATGACGCAAATGAAGACGTTGCTACTTCTGTTGTTGTCCCACTCGAAAACGACTCTGAAGAAGAAGTTGACGACGACAAGCTTTCTGATGATGAAGACGATACTGGCACGGTTGAGCTTGAAGAGTCGGTGGTAGACGAGGCAGAGCTGGGCGACCCAGTGGAGGAGCTTGTGCTAGACTCCGATGTGGGCAAGGACGTAGTTGATGCCGTGGTCGAAACGCTTGACGATGACTCTGAAGTCGCCCTCGGAATTGAAGACGAGCTAGAAGACTCTGTTGTGGGGGAAGGTACTGAAGTAACCGTAATCGTGATGGTAGAAACTCTTGTTGACGATAGGCTGGAACTTATCGGCTCAGGCGTCGGTGTCGATACATTCGACGAAGTGTCAGACGTGAAAGATTGAGAGAAAGTCGTCCTAGACACTTCTGTGCTGCTAGACGATGAAGAAGAAGAAGAAGATTCGGTGCGTGTAGATGTCCCGGGCACGGTTAAATTTGCAGTGGAGGTGACCGGCGGGCCATAGCCGTAGGTGGAAGCCGGTAAGCTTGAGTAGGAAGTACCGAAAATTTCAACACCGGTCGGAAGCTCAATGACGCGGGTAACAAGGCGTGCTATAATAGAATAGTGAGTATAATGTTCGATAAGGGGAGGGAAGACGATAAGCCATGTTAAAGAACGAGCCAAGGCCTGGGATGGAACCTACTCGCGATAAGTGTACTACAGGGCTTCTTCGGTGCACAAGAACGCGTGGCGACGTTCAGAGTCTCTATAACTGTGGCATTTCTGCATGTTGTCGTTGTTTTCGGAAGAGGCGTGCTAGTAGAATTACACGTAGTGTCCATGCTCGTCGTAGACACAGCCGTGCTAGAGTTAGACCACCTCGTGATGCTTGAAGTACGCGGGGTAATAGAAGACGACTGAACATCAGTCAAGGTCGTTGCCATGCTGCTGGTGGCGGTCGAAGATGGTACGGTCGAGTTAGTTGAGGAGAAGGGAGTGGGCTTTTCAGTAGAGGAAGTGTTCCAAATACCGGTGCACGAAGTGATGGAGATGATCGTACCAGACGCGACGGTTCCGCTGGACGTCAAACTCACACTAGTGTTGGCCATCGTAGCAGTAGACGAGGTGGCATTCAGGATGTTGCTGCTGGTCAATAAAGTTATCGTCGAAGTGATATTAGCAGTCGAGGTTGATTCATCAGTGCACGAAGTCGGAGAAACAATGGTGGTCAGGTTGGTCCAAGTTGGTCCGGTCGATGTAAAAGTCAAGGATGTCACAGGTCCCGTTCCGGAGAAGCTGGATGAGACGCCAGTCGAGCTAAAACCAATTCCTGTATTGGTAAAAGACGAAGTCGTGGAGATGGAAGCAGAAGAATTGCTCGAAGCAGTGGATGTGACAGTGGCCGCACTCGTGATAGTGGTACAGTAGAAGCGGCTGAAAGTGTCACGGAAACATGTGACTGAGGCGCTGGCGGTCGTTGATATCGTGCTGGTGGTATTGAGGAAGTCAGAAGACATCGACAACGTAAATGTTGGTGCAGACGTCGTATTGTTGATAGTTGTTTGAGTTGCAGCTGTGCTCAGCGGTATGCTTGATGCCGTCGAGCTGCTGGTTCCAGTAGAGAGCGAGCTGCTTGTTATGCTAGTCGAGCTCTCTGTCTCACAGGGCTCAATCGTGCTAGACGAGGGCGACGGTAGCGAAGAATAAGATGTCCCATGTTTGCCTCTTCGGAGATTCTTTGGGACATGATCTGGGAGGGAAAGCTCAGCATCGATAGCAATGCTTACAGATACCGCGAGAGCATCATGCAGAACACGAGCTTGCTGTAAAATGGAGGCCCTTGGCATGGGGATAGATTGGAGACTTACACGGCAGAGGGTCTGCGGCGACAACTGTCAATACCGCAGTGAACGAGAAAATGTTAGCGACCCTCATGATTGACGCCTTGAGCGGACACTTTCTGGTCTATGCGAACAAAAACGAGTGAGTATCCAAGTAACGAGAGGATGTCTCCAGAGAGACGCACTAGGATAGCGAAGGCTGATGGTCCACCATGTGTTCTTCAGTGTTTATATGAAGACGCTAGAGTAGTACTGTGAGATGATCCAGAAATCAATGGCGATGACACTGCCATACTGACGTTGGCCACACCAATATACACAAGAGCAGCGCATCGGGAAACTGGTTCCTTTGCCCAACGGACCCGTTGACATGGTGCCTAGGCCGCCGATATGGGCCGCGCTGTCGCAAGCCGAAGCCGACTCCGTATAGACGGATGGAACTTCGCACGTTCCGTTTGTGGCGAATACTTGAGGTTGGGAATTTTGGCGAAGGTGGTGGCAGTGATTCTCATCAGAGCGTTTCTTGATCGCATCGCAATCGTGATCTCGAGGTTTGGGCGATAGATCGGAAACCAGCTCCTCCTCGCGTCTGACGTGGAGAGTTTGAGGGAACCAAACAAATGTGCTATTGAAAGCGTGATACAGCAACAACTCACTCAGCCACCTGTAGCGCAAGCCGAGTACTGGCAACGTCCAATATATGCGACATAGAAGTAGAACATTGAGACGACGAGGCTTGTTCGACTTGTGAATAGACAAGATGCACAAGCTTGATAGGCAGGGCAAAGCGTTGTTGCGACCCAATCAACATGTGTTGGTCGAGTCGGACGCAGATTGCCGTTCCGTGCTGCATCAGAACGACTTGGGTACTCCGGAACTCTGGTAGCCGTGGCACCAAAAGACCAAATTTTGAATGACAACCGACATGTTGACAGGCACCTTTCATGTTGTCGCCTCAAGGGACAATTGGCCTATTCAGTGACTCCATGCTCCAGTGTAGCTCAATGCGTCAGCGTCCATGTTTGCGACGACTGAAGCGAGACGTCAGTGTCATTGCCAGATTGTAGGGGCCCGCATACATTTGTGTAGCGTATATGAGAGAGAGGCAATGCAGGTTTATAGAGGTTGCAACGGTATTGGATTGTATGTAATTGTAGCGGATGTTGTACGTTTCGCGTAACGTACGCGACAAAACATATGAAGATTCCTGTCCCAGCGCACCTTGTCAATAGCATTGTTGTTGATCCATCCTCATCGACAGTGTCTGGAGATTGTAGACACTACTTGAAAGCTGTGTGAGACTATGCTAGCGACGGTGGGTTCCACTGCAGTCGGGTCTGCTCGAGGCTTGCGTGTCGAATAGCATGACCAGTCGGAGGAAACGTACGAGCTCCACTAGTGATGGCCATGGCAGTCGGCAACAGGAGACGGGTCTGTCTGGCTTGTGATCGGGGGTTGATGGGTAATTACAAGCATGTAGGACAGGAGGTCGAGGTCCAGGCGGCGGCAGGACCTTGCGGCGCTAGTCCGCGCATGGCGTTGACGGGACACGCGCAGCCTCGTACCTTGCCGTGGAAATGTAAACATGCATAGAGGATTGAGAATGCTGGAATCTGGTGCGCTTGACTTGGCGCGCATTATTTGCTCCAGACCCCTGGGGTAACGTTGCACCGCATCGACGGGCCGTGGCCAAGTGCGCCAGGGACAATATCACACCCGTTCAGGTGCAATCTCCGCATTAGACAGGTATGGAGCGTGATTCCGGGCACGATGGAGATTGATGGCACTAGCCTACGGTAGAAGACGATGCACGTCTGTACAAAGGAATTTTGTGGCACGTCTTGAGAGGCGTTTCCGATATGTCATTAGATATCTCAGCATAGCTTACATTTACGTCGCGGAGATGACCATCCAGGCTGAACAAAAGCCACCCTCCATGCAAGGCAAGTATACTGTTGCCGTTTCTCACCGTCAGACTCCAGGTGTATATATTCTCCCACGACTCGTTACCTTGTCGTTCCATAACTGCGGAATGTAGCACAGGTACCCTGCCCGCGCAAAGATCATAAAACCGCGGAACGCCAAGTGAGATGCGCAGGCTAGTGACATTGTGGCACAGCTGCGAGGGGGACGGATGCCCCCTTTTGAACGTTAAGAAAGTGCTTCGTAAGGTAGAAGCGCAAGATAGATGTGTGAACACCAAACGCCTTTTGGTATCATGATTCCAACAGCTACATTGGAACACCACACGCATCGATCACTGATCCCAGTTCACGAAGGAGTTATCTTCGAATGGCTCGCCAAGAAGAGTATCGTTAGCGCGGCGACTGCCATCCTGAGACGAGTATGAATCGAAGAAGTTGGAGTATTCAAAGCCCGTTGGCGTGAAAAGCGGCTGCGGTGTGTAAAGATGGTCTGACAGAGCTGACGGTGGGGTGGTCGAGGTACTGTCAGCCATAGCGTCAAGCTTGATAGATTGTTCCGGAGCCAGCGTCTGGGCGATTCCGGGCTGAGATACCAAAGCTCGAGAGGATTTTGGCGATAGATTAGGATTATAGGTATAGGTGCCAGTGAAAGGCTGTGGCAGATTCTCACTCCCTGCCATGAAAAGTGATGTACGCGGGTCGCTCGGGTCGAGTGCAGAGCCGACGAACTGCTGTGACTCCGGTGGCAGGGACATGGACAAAGGGTTCATGTCGAGAACTTGGGACGAGCCGAATGGCAACGCGCCAAACTGGTAAGAGATCGGAGAGGTATGCTCCGACTTCAGCTGCGGAGTGGCATGTCCAGACGACGAGGTGGATGGAGTGCCGGCAGGCGCACGCTGAGGTGATACAGATTGATGTTGCAGGCTTTGGGCTGTCGAGCTCCTTGACAGTGGCGGGCGCGCTTGACCGTCAGGCGTCTGTTGGGCCGAAGTTTCCAAAGCATGTTGTGGCAGCGAAAGTCGTCTGTTGAACTCTCCTCGTGGAGTGGTGACATGCGAACCAGGCTGATTGACGGGCGCGAAGTCAGTCACCACATGCGGCGTGGCGATGGAAGCAGAGCGTTGGTGCGGCTGAGGTCTCTGGGGGATGCTGTAGGGAGCATGGCGGTAACCTTGCTGCTGGTGCTGGAATCCCTGAGGGCTGAATGGCTGCTGAGGCTGGGTGAAGTCTGGGGTAGCAGCATTGAAAGCCTGGGGAGGGAGCATGGAACCGCTCATCATTGGCAGCTGGGTGGCATTTGGCTGGTACTGGGAGCCATAAGGCTGCAGCTGGTGGCCGGGGAACTGCTGGTTGAGAAACATGTTTCGGACGCCATGCTGCGTAGCGATGTAGTCGTGAAGCTTGCGGTTGAATAGCCACGAAGAGGTCTGCAGATGAGCGTTCAGTCTCTGGTACTGAGTGGGCAGGTCATCGTCTTCCTCTTCGTACATCTCCTCATTGACCACATCTTGCTCGGTGACGCGCAAGGCACGCCCCGTGCGCTTCTTGTGAATCTCAGAGGCGCGACGGGCAGACTCGATGCGTGCCTCGAGGCTGCGGTCACTCCTGCGCGACGCAGCTATGTAGGCACTGCAGGCTGTCAGCACGGATTCGGCGGCAGCAAGGGGATGGGTCAAGGACGACATACCGTTCCTGGTTCTCCTCGTGGGTGCGCTCCGTCTTGACGGGCTTCGCAGTAGGGAAGGTTGCTCGCCTGTCGGCAGGCATGGTGAGGGACGAGGCGTGGGGTGGTCGAGCGGTGGCAAGAGCGTGGGGTGGGGCGCGCTCAGACGCGGGAAGGCGCGGACTGGTTCGATGTCCACGGGCGTAGACGAGACAACGGACAGCTAGCACTGTCTTCTGCAACAACGAACAGCGGCGTCGACGACAGCAATGCGTGTGACGCGCGAAGGGGAGAGAGGAAGCAGCGGTGCAACGCGCGGGGAACAGTGGCGACGGGCCTGGGCGGGCGTGACGGGCGGAGCAGGCCTAATAATGGGCCGAAGGGCTGGAGCTAGAAGCTCACTGCTTCCGAAGCCAGGGCACAGGCGACAATTCACCGGGCCCGATCCAGACGGCGACAGGAGCGCGGCGCCAGCAATCGACGTCGGAGCGCGACTGCTGCGGACGGGGGCTGGAGATGGCGGATGCAAAAGCGCACAGCGACGGAGAGGCAGGGGTCGCGCCGACGAAGGACCGAGCAGAGGAATGCGGATCGAAACGTCTCTCGAGAGCAAGGGCACGCGCGAGGACGACAGTGCTGATGCAGTTTTGCTGGGGGTCGGTGGTCTGGACGGAGCAGGCGGGCGTGGTGGAGGGCTACCCGCAGCGGTCTTGTCTAGCAACAAGAGGAAAGCAACGAGGGCTGGCGGGCAGCGAAATTGGTGTAGGTCTCGGGATGGCAGAGCGGAATCAGCGGGCAAGGCATTGATAAAAGGCGTGCATGGGCTTGGGGACGGGGCGCATCCAGTCAGCGGCGTCTCTTGCTGCTCCGCGCAGGCCGTCCCAGCAGATGTTTGGCGGGTCGGCGAGGTATGGGAGGGGACCAGTTTCCCACGACCGATGCGGCCTAGCACTCGACACCCTCAGCCCGCTCACAGGTGCTGTCCTCGGCCGCCTGCCATGGACCATCTTGTAGCACACGCCGCCTCCGATTGACGAGCCGCCCGCATCACAGCCCACCTACGTCGCCCGCGCATCATGCCCAAGACCCTCGCCCCAGCCGTCGAGATCCGACACGACCGCTCTCTCGGAAATCGACAGGTCCCTTTGTGCAGCAACCAACCCCCCGAGCGTCCGCTTGCCCATTGTCGCCGCCCACCCCCTACGCCCAGCACGACGCTCAAGGGCCTTCCACGAACGCAACAGACGGCAAAGGCTTTGGGGTAGCCAAGGGAGGCAGGAGGCAGGACGTGGTTCGGGGACACTTCCGCCGCCGTGGCTCGGCCAAGAAGCTTCCGGCCCACAAAACCGTCGCGCCCCTCCTCCGCCGACCATGGTTACCCTCTCAGTCTACGCTTTCTCATACCAAGTGTCCTGACGGCTTGCGGTGCAACGCGCGACGCACGCCCATGCTGCAAGCTCACCATGCGATCCCACGCACACAATGCAGGCGTAAGCTGGACATCATCGGCTCTTCCTTGTGCCAGCCCTCCAGCACAAAGACAAAGTGAAAGTGGACTCGGGCAATCATCATTTGCGATACTCTGCAGCGGCGCGCCATGGATGGATCCGAATCCGAAGGTCTCGAGTGTCGCGCGGGCCCTCGCGTATCGAAAAGTCCCCTGTCGGCCCTTGTCAGATCGATCGTACAGGGGTTTGAGTTTGGCTTAGGCGCGATCTGGGTGATCTGACATCGCGCTTCCCCACGCGCTTGACCGTGTCGTTTCAAGCTCCATGCCTGCTGCTCCTCCACCTTGAGGCCTCAGCGTAGCGCCGTGCCCGGCCTTATTGGATACGAGCCTTTTCTCGCCCCGTGCTGCAGTGCTTCGCCGATGTGGAAGAAACCCGCTGTGAGGAGGCGTGGCTTGGTCCGGTAGACGCTTCCGCCTGCCACCGTGGACGGCATGACGCAGTGGGTACAATCGCCGCCCAGGAACGGCATTCGTGATTTGCATTTCTGTGAGCAGAATGCCATCGCTTATTTCACCCATGTGTGCTGCCAGGAGCCGTCCAGCTACGTCACCCCACTAACCGTCCAAGCATAGTCATCGCGGACATCGCAGGAGTCGTGGCCATGCCCCCTCAGCCATCTTCCTGTGGTGCGCACCGATTTCATGGGTCCACGCAACCACGTTCCAACCACGTCGGCACGAAAAGCATGCATATACAGCTTTGAGCTTCGTCGGTCTTGGGAAGGAGGGCCAGTTACGGTTAATTACTATTATCCACGTCGCCTCCTGTACCCTAGCGCAAGCATTGCAACTTTCGCACGGCTATAGGATGTGTTGTCGGGCGTGTTTAACAGCGGTACTATGGTTGGCGGTTTATCGTCCCGCCAGCCACCGCGGCGCCGTGGTCTAACAAGATCTGGACCCTCAACTCACTGATACCGTTGCCATGGGTTCTACAGTACTAACGGTCGAACACAACAATACACGAGAGGACGTCGCAAGAACCGCTTCTCACGTTGGGAGCAAGAACCCAAGTACAACAGTGACGCTTTTAGTAACGCCTTTTGCGACAAGCTATCTGTCTGTCCTCGAACCTTGAACATGGGAACGCCAACCCAACAGGCCGCTCTAGCATTACAAAGACAAGCATCGGGTCCATAAATATCTGGTTTTTCAATGTCGGAGCATTGACACGTGATATCGCGTCTTGCGGCATGCGATATGCGCCATGCCTAGGGCTCCGGGAAATACTCTGTATCATTGGTTGCTTGCACAAGGTTGCGCATTCGTTTGCAGAATACATGCTTTGATCCGCTATCGTTAGATGGTCCAGCTCGGTTCAGTCACCGAGACCAGTGGAGAGAGATCACAACGAGCACGTCGCGCTTGTCTTGTCTGGCGCCCCAACAGCATGTCGAAGCACGCTTCGAATGAGAGCCAATACATCAGCCGTAAGGTAACGCTAGAATCGACAGTTCGATGGGCTGCGAATGCATCAAGTACGAATGGTTAGCTGCAAGATGAATATGTTCTCCGATGCTGTTGAGCATAAGGTATGCGCGACTGAAGGCGCATGCATCGCAGCGGCTTCGTGCAATGTTTATGGTGCACCTTAATTCTCAACACAACCCACTTAGGAGACACGGTAACCTCGACGGAGAACTGAGGTTCCACCCTGGCACCTCCTTCTCTCACATGGGCAAGGCCAATCCATTAGTCAAGCCATCAGTGGTGATTCACAAGTGAGCTAGACTCGAGGGCACAGTTCCCTGAGTCGAATCACCATTAGTTGGTGTATCACACTGTGTCTGTGGAGTGAGTGCAGAGCCCCATCACAGTAGCACCGATAAGGCCACTGGCTTGGACAATGCCATGCGTGTGCACAGCCAGGAAACTGTCGCTGTGGTCTTCGCTTCGAGGAGAATGCTATCGCCGCATTCACCCGAGCCAATACCAGCAACGGCCAGATAACACAGCACTGTTAAGCCCCCATGCGAACATACATGGTGGCCTTCCCCGGACATAAGCGCATCTCTGGTCCGGACCACGTCGGGTCCGTTTCGCCACCGCCCTGCCCCACCCGCTCATCTCTCGTTCCGTTGCCTGTTCCGAGCCGTTGCACTCCAGTCACGCCCCAGTCCACCGACCTCGGCACTGTACTTCACTGTTGCCAGCGAACGGCTCACCTCGAATCCCCCAAGCACGGCCTTCTTTGCCGTGACGCTGCTGATTCGCCCGACGATTGCTTTTTGCCGTGACGCCGCTGATTCGCCCGACGATTGCTTTTTGCCGGCCTGACGCATCGCCGGGTAGATTAGCGAAGGCGCATCGCAGCGTTTTGTGGAGAGTGCGAGGCTGAGGACGTGCTCGAGGACCGGGGCGCGATTGGCTACCAAGACTTTGCTCTCTGTTGGTGGCCGTATTGTTCTCGCGTGGCGGATATCGAATTGGTGGACATGGACGAGGGTACAGCCACAGGGTTTGGAGTGCGAGGCGTCGAGGACAAGGCTGTCAAATTATCGACGCTTCTTGCTGAAGGCAAAGGAGTGGTGCTTGATGGAGCCCTGGCAACCTATCTTGAGACGCTGGGTGCAGGTACGTCTATACTTTCTTTCCATCTTCCTATTGATTGACACCCCACAGACATCTCCTCCGCCCTCTGGTCCGCCTCCCTCCTGCGCACCAACCCGTCCCTAATTCAACAAACACACGCCACCTATTTCTCCCACGCCTCTCAAATTGCCACAACATCCTCCTACCAAGCCTCACTCCCTGGCCTGATAGAACACCTCTCCATCACCGAGTCAGAAGCCGTAGAGCTCGTACGAGAGAGCGTTCTCCTCGCCCAGAGAGCACGCGATGACTATTTATCTTCTACCAAACTCCACGTTGAGCATGCCCATGGAGCCAAGGACAGATTACTGGTAGCAGGCAGCGTCGGCCCGTACGGCGCCTACCTCGCCGACGGCAGCGAATACACAGGCTCCTACACGCTTACCTCCTCGCAATACCAATATTTCCACCGTGGCCGCATTGCCGCCCTGGTAGATGCAGGCGTGCATGTCCTGGCCATCGAAACCATCCCTAATTTCGTTGAAACACGAGCACTCCTTGACCTTTTGCAGACAGAGTTTCCACACATAGAAGCGTGGTTCGCCTTCACATTGCAGCCCTCAGATGCAACACGCATAGCGGACGGTACGCCTGTAGCAGACGTTGTGGCGCTGCTCCAAGGTTACGACAACGCTGTTGCCGTGGGCGTGAATTGCGTCGCGCCTGAGCTTGCGCTGGCTGGGCTGAGGGAGATGCGTAAGGGGACAGGGAAGCCGCTGATTGTGTATGCGAATTCGGGCGAGAAGTGGGATGCGAAGAAGCGCGATTGGAAAGGTGGGAAACCGGGCGGTGGCGAGTTGGCGGTATGGGTGAGGGATGCATGGGATGCTGGCGCGAGGATCATTGGGGGTTGCTGTCGGACCGGGCCCGAAGATATGGCGAACGTTGCGCAGACTTTGGGGGAGTTGAGCAGGTTTGGGTAGCTGTGTTGAATACATCGTCAATGAAAGGAACGTTATCAATCAAATCTTTTTGCTACGACAGCATAGCGGCGAGTATCGACCGTGCCGGCAATGTGTATCAAGTGTGAGCTACACTACGGTATAATACTGAGGACTGGCATTGTTCCGAATTGGAACGTAGAGGTTTGCCAACCATACTATGAAAGGCTGTGCGGAGCCTGCATGGGTCGAAACGATTCCGCTCGCGTCTAGGAGCTCACGCAACCGGCTTCGTGAAAGGAACACTTTCGCATCGCCTATTTGTTACGGTCAGTACCTTGCTTGTGGGATTTCCTGAGTTGTCAGGTATACGGGTAGCAGATAGCCCGAATTTCTCTTCTCTCATGTTGTAGATAGCAAGTCTTGGTAGCGTAGTCAAACCTACGATGTTTCGCGTCACGACATTCTTGTCTACACAGATTTTCATAGCCTCAGTGGAGTGTGCATCACTCAATGACTACAGAGGTAAAAGCTTGCTAGACCGCTAGGTCGTTGTTTAGGATAATCAGAGCCATGGCGCTGACGATTTGCACGCTTTTTTACAATACAGCACGCATCTTCTGTGATAAATGTAGAAGGAAATAAGCAAAGATCGGCTGACAAACCACCAACATGCAAGACCGCCTATCGCACAGATAGACGGACTGTAGCCTACCTTCTCCAACCCCCCTTCGTCTCCATCCAGGGGTGTCAGACAATTGTTTACTTCCAAGTAATCTCTTCAAAGGTACGGTTGGTTTTCGAAGTCCAAAGGAATATAGTAGCACAGTCAAGTAGGCCGTAAATAGTTGCATGTCCTACCATAAATAGATGCTTTGGGTCGCCTAAATCTGTGTCTCTCACACGTGGCTGTGATAGACGCGCCTCTGAGTTCGTATTTCGATGTCATACATAATATCACCACTGGGAGATTTCAGTAGCGGTACTGAATGGATGTTTTCTCGATGAGAGGGAATATTTGCTGGTAGATCTGTTGCGGTATCACGTTAGTAAGTAGGATGTACCACTACCATAAAGCTTCGTTGACACGCTAGATTTCGAAGTAACTTAGCATGTTACATAGCAGCACATGTACACGCAGTCGTATACTAGCACTGAACATTGAACCCTTCAAATCAGTTGGGTAAAGGCTGGGCAAAGATTGTTGTGCCGTTATATGCTTTGAACTAGATTCGATCTGTACCTCTATGCAGTGGAGCAGAATACTATCCGAATAAGCAAGAATCCAGTGTTGGTATATAATGCACCCCAAAACCGGCCCACGCTCATACTTCTGAAATGCATTGCTGAACTGCAATTTTCCCAATCCTGAAGAAAGAGCGCCATTCACCAGCATTTGTAAGACTCCCCAACGCAAAGCAATATAAAGAACCCCTACCTGGTCGGCCGAGGCAGGTAAGCACCACCCGCGAGCACCAAGTTCATCCTGGTAAATTGCACCTTATAGACAGGACTCTCCTTCGTCTGGAACGCGCTGATCTGATCTGCTGTAACACCTGACTCTTTGGCACTCTTTTTCGCGCCTGTGACAGGGGCCCCAGATGCTCCCTTCGTAGTCAAGGCTCCATCCGCTTTCGCCGCAGCAGTGCCGTCGGCAGCTTTGGAGGTCGACTCGTTAGTTTCCTGTACAGCGTCCCAGACGCGCACTGTCTGATCGGCGCCGCAAGACACGAGAATGGTAGACTCGACGCTCCACGAAAGGGACCAGATGCCGCCCTTGCCGTGACCACGCATGCGCTTCTTTCGGCGACCAGTTTCGAGTGTCCATAAGATGATGTTGCCCATGTCGTCTGCGCTGGCGAGTGTCCTACCATCAGGTGAGCAGGCAATAGCTGTGACATTCCCGGTATGTCCAGTGAACAGGCGAAGACAATTGCCACCAGAGGTGTGCCACATCCGCACTGTCCTATCGCAAGAACCGGTGAAAATGTAAAGGTTATTCGGGTGGAATGCTACGCAGTCGACGTCGTTCTCGTGTCCGACATATATCCTCAGCGGTTCAATGTGGTCAGTGGCCCAGAGACGGGCGGTACGATCGTTTGAGCCTGTGAGAAAGTAATGACCGTAGGGTCCCCATTGTAGGTCCCAAATGGGGTTGTCGTGACCGCGGTAGGCAACCAGGCACTGCCAGACATCGAGAGACCATAGTCTAACACTCTTATCTTCTGATGCGGAGAGGAGGTATTGTGATGATGTTGGAGGGCCGCTGGGATCTGGGTTGATCGTGGCAGGGGAGAAGGCGACTGCGTAGATGGGCCCCGAGTGACCGACTAGCCGTCGGGAAGAAGCGGGTTGTGAGTTGTCCGAGGGAGATATGAGGGCACTGCCGTCCATTGTCCATACTCGAATATACGACTCGGCCATGCCAGCCGCAACGAGCTTGTTGTCTCCGGAGAAGTCGATGCAGTTGATACTGATTCATACATTAGCGTGAGATAACATCATATGTGGGGTAAGTTTTACCTGTCGTATGTGTTGTGGAAGGTGTACATGGTGACGCTCACTCCAGGACCGACGCCGCCTGTCCTGGTACCCTCTAGCCTGTAGCGATCCCGATGTTCAACCACTTTCTGCACCTCCATTGAGACGTCTCGGGCTAGTGACGGAGGAAGAGGTACCATGTCACGAGAGGGAACGTCGTCAGTCGGCTCGCGTTTTATGCGCGCCTCATATTCATCCACAAGTGAAGGCTGTCCTGGCCTTGGCGCGTTCTTGGCGTCCTCGTCTTGGAGCGTCGCACGCACATCTTCCTGCAATTCCTGATCCAGAGGGTATGGGCCAAGTGTGAGCCGAATCCGGGAAGCCTCAGCTTCAGGGTCGTGGCGCGATGTGAGCGGGTGACCGGGGTTATGACCGGGTATGCCTTCGTCTTCCGCAGGAAGCTCTTCATCATTCTGTCCGCTAGCGAGGATTGCGGCGATGCTTCTCTCAGTCGTCGCTGTCCGATCTACAGTGACGATGTTCAAGTGGTCTCGTATGACGTCTATGAGGGCTTGTCCTCCTTCAAATATCTTGGATTCCAAGAATTGGATCAAGTTGTAAAATGGCATCAGCGTCATGGTCACGCGGTACTTGTTGTCCAGATATAGCTTTGCGAGACTGTCAGTTGTTAAATGTACCGGCAACCGCACGGCGCTGAGAGTGTTAACATCCTGCGGGTGATCGCGCTCGAAGTTATTCCTGTACTTCGCGAAGAAAGCTTCCGCGTCTTTGGTGAAGTATTCGCGCACGAGATCCAGGTACGAGTAGACGAAGACCGGCCATAATAACTTGCGCAGTTCGGGCTTGTACACGTCCAGGATGTCGTCCATGTACTTCCGCAACAGCTCGAATGCTTTCGTCGCTTTCGCGCCGCCCTGATCAGAATTTTGTGCAACGAGGGAGGCGCCATTCGTGGTAGTAGGTTCAGACTCTTTGCGGAGCATGGCCTCGGTGCGGACATACCCTTTCTTGCTCAGATATTCTAGCACCTGCTATCGTTAGTTAAGCACACACGGGACATGTCTGAGCCAAGGAGCTGTGGATTCTGGCTAACTTGAGGTGTATCTTGGAAGGAACGCATCAGGCTGGCTGGGCTGGCTGGGCTGGCCGGGCGTAACGAAGCGTGCGGGCTGGGCATATACTGCGACTGCGGCCCTATGTTTGGCATCTGCGGCCTGGCTTGAAATTGCTGTGACCGGCGATCGCCATATGAGGGGACCTTGTGAATATAGCGATATGGGTTTTCAGACATTTCGTCGGTTTTGACCAAACAAAGTTTGCGAGCATGCAGAGACAAAGAGCGGATGAGAGCTTGTAGCAGACAATCGCCTCAACAAAGTTATGGTCGTTCACCTCGCCCAGGCCCCAGCCACTCATGCATAAAAGGAAGGCAAACACCAAGAAAGTGAAGGTGCAAGAAGTATCTCACTGACAATTTGGTTAAGGTTCTGCTGCGACTGCGGCCCTGCTGAACCACCAGCCGGTGGAGGCACCGAACTTTGCTGCGGCGGCATTCCATTATGTGGCGGCAGTCCCGCACTCGGTGGTCCAGTTCCTACGCTCATTGCGCGCCCAGCCCCAGGCCCTGGCGGGGGCCCGGACATGGTACAGGTTTCCTTGCTCTTTCACAGTGCGCCGGACGGTCGCATTCACCTCGAGGTGGATTCAATCGCGTGGGACATGGAGCGTTTGCCGACGTGAAGGTGATGCACGTTCGAGTAAACGGGCGGCTGGCGATGGAAATAGGGGTGTGTTCAGGACGTCGTATGCTATGGGAAAGTTGTGCGCTCACTCTTCTGTGAGTCGCGGAGGATGTCGCGACGGCGGTAGACCGCGCCTGTGGCCGTGCGCGCCAAGCTCGTGGCGGGGAGCTCAACACCATAGTTAGCTTAGAGCTCTCGCGCGATCACTCCAATGTCGTGTCGCCATCACCTTACACTCATTTGCAACTTGCTCTTATGTAGACAAAGAGCTGTATTTCCGATCGACACTCGATGAATTGGTGTCAGTTGCTCTTTTGGCCAGCCTGCCCCATAGCTCCTTCCACTGTCCCAAGACTCACACGCGCCTGCTTCTCCCGAAGCGTCAGCACCGAATCTACTGATACCTCATAGCGGGAAGTTTCCGCCTTGTTCCATCGTCCTAACCTAGCCAAAGCGTTTCGGTTATAGCCCGCAAACCACTACTTGATTTGGCTCGGCTCTATCCAATTTCTCGATCGACCCGCTCCTCCCAAAATGGCAGCAGAAAAGGAAGACTACCGCTCCGCCGCATCGACACATATCCGCGCCCTGTCGACCCTCTCCTCGCGCGTTCCTCCCATCCTCAATCATGCGGCAACCACGCTCTCCCAACTGACGAATGCGCCGATTTCATCCTCCACCACTGCAGACTCATCGCAAGCCCGCCGCAATGCTATTTCTTCTTCCGCGAAAGAATACTTCACCGCCGTGTTTGACATCGCAAAAGACCTACATAAACAAGTCAGCGACCTGGAAGAGGCAGGCGTGATTCCCGCCGAGGAAGTCCGGTATATCGCACGCACAGTCAGGGAAGAGGATACGGCGTTTGGCGGCCAGGGTGGTGTATTAGCAAAGACGGGAATGCCGCAGACGATGCCTAAAGATAGCGAGGTCACTATTACCAATGGCGGGTTAGGCGAGTTTGACATCGGGGTGCTGAATGCGCGCGCGGGTATCCGGGAGAGTGGAGAGGGCGAAGTATTGGAGAAGGTCAAGAGGCTTTTGGAGGATTTGGACGGCCGGACGAAGGAGGACAGCAAAGAGAGTGGCGAGAAAATGGATGAAACATGAGGTTGCATCGCTGACCATGGACTCTGGCTCCACGATGTCGAAAACAATTTGACGTGGGAGGCAGCGCCCAGTAACGGCCACATCTGAAATACCGCTAGTCTGATGACTTCCACGCCTGCGATGCGGCTTACAACATCGAATATTGTCGATGACTTGCATGACAGGATTCCTATGGAAAAGGCTTGTTCGACTTGGACACGGGTCCGGAAAGTAGAAGACAAGAACGAGGTTGAGAGCGAAGGGTGAGGTAAGCGTTATGAAGATCAGAAGCAGGGCGCAAGAGAGTCAGTAACAACGTTGGAACAGCCGCATCAGAGCCGCATCAGCACGGTCAACACATGCTTAATTACAGTCTGGGTGCTTGATGCTAATGGGAGGTTTGAAAACTAGCGTCATAGATGGTCAATCAAGTCGTCTTTGGCTGCAGAATTAAGTCTAAAATCTTGTTCACCATTTGAATCTTCTGACGTGTCATCCATGTGCAGGAAGCATATGAATGTCGAAATTCAAATAATGCTCTTGTATTAACATGCAAAGAAATGGTCGTGCATATACGCAAGTTCTCTTGAACCCTCCTCTTCTTCCTCCTCAAACGGCTGATATGATTGTGCACATACAAAAGTGGTGTACTTAGGTCCAGTCCATGCTATCCAACTCCACGCTACTCCAGGCCCTAGTTTTCGATTGAAAGCGCTGGCTACCACGAAGAAAAATAGATAAGAAGAAAATACCAAAACGCCTAGTCGCCTAAACGCTCCTCTCGGGGCTCTCGCCCTCGGCTACAATAGCCACGCCTAGCCCCCGATCCGGTGATTGTAATACGAGCTGTTCATGCCGCCTCGCCCTCACAAAATCGCTTATGCTCTTGATCAAGATGAACCAGCCGACAATCATGAGCCCGTACGCAAGCCAATCGCTACTGCTTATTCCTGAACTGGTGGGTGTTTGCTCTCCCGCATTCCCACTGCTTCCCAGCGCATTCGGATCGAAGTCGTGGCTATTCGGGTCACTGGGTACGCCGCCATCGAAGCCACCACCTGGTGCGTCGTTTCCGGGTGACAGATTTGAAGCTGACTTCATCGTGAAACCATACTGGACCAGCGTTATTCCGAGGCCTGCGCGAGAGCCGTTTTTGGCGGCGTGGGTGGTGTGAAGAAGGTAGGTGAGGAGGAAGCCAACGAGCTGGAAGGACATGGATATCATGGCGTTCCAGATGAAGGAGAAGACGGAGCCAACGGGAAGGCCTTCAACGAAGACTTCGTCACCGAAGGTGCCCGGGGCGAGGATCGTGGTTTCCCAGTACGGGGGCGTAGCGTCTGCGGCGGCTTGTTCGTAAGTCTGCATCATTATTAGTATCCAAACTCTGTGAAATGCAAAGATGTACATACCGGAGGCTTCTCCTCAACCTCCTCGCCTCTTGTCGGCTTCGCGCTGAGGTTCGCCCACACGCCATCATTCTGTCCTCCGCCATATATTCGACCTCCGTTTGGAGTCACTGTGTTGAAGACAGGCAGCTGTGTGACGCTTCTTTGCCTGCCTGGCCTCACTGACCTCGGCGTGCTGTCGTCGGTGTCCCGTTGCTCCTCTGGGCTCCCCCGCATGAGCCGCTGCCGATCATCGCTCTCATCCTCATCATCATCCGTATCCGTATCAAAAGTGTCGGCTAGCGTGCCGTCTGCGTCGTTGGCGAGCGGGTCATCGGACAGGAGGCGGCGCGAAGCGGCGGCGGGTGATGAGGCACGGCTGTGGAAAGATGGGGGTGGCGAGGCGGGGATAGAGTATGGCGCTTGAGTGCTTTGAGGTGTGTCGATGGTATCTTCGTCGTGCGCTGCTACCTGTGTGTATCGCATCGTCAGTCTTCTGTTCTAGGTGCGGGTGTCCCCGGCGCGCGGAGGTGCTGTGTCGAGGTGAAGCCTCGGGCGGTCTGATACGTACCCGCTCATATCGTTGTGGGCCCATTGTTGCGCTGCGGCGGACTGCTGCGCTGCAAATGTGAAAGGCTGTCGTGAAAAGGAACAGAAAGGAAAGAAGCGAGCGAAAGGGACGGTAGGCGTGGTAGGTAACGAGTGAGTGTGTCAGGCGCGGGTGTCAGTCACATCCATAGGCGTCGCAGCGTTGGCTGGGCCAAGTCCGTGGAAGCCGCAGCAGCAGCGCTTGGGGAAGGGTACCCGCCCTAAAGGGGAAGGCTCAGCCACTGCTTTGTCACACTACGCGCGCCACCGCGAGCCTATCGAATGTCATAGATGATGCGAGCATGTTTGCGGACGAACAATTGCGCACTTCACAACCACCGCCATGTCGCAGCCTGTGAGCACTCCCAATTCTGTGTATTTGTGTAGCTTGAGGACTAATCCGGATTCTACAGACAACAGTAAAGCACTACACGCGCATCCTTTCTCTCTGGCCTAAGGATTCCCTCCGCCCAAACCTTCCCTTCACACGCACAATCGAGCGCCGCGCAACACCCTATGGCGTAAAACCCGTATCACCGCCCGTCGAGGATGCTAAGAATTCCGATACATCCGCGGGAAAGCCTGCGCCCATTGCAAAGTCAAGCCCACAGGCCGAGTTGCCACAGATCAATGCGCTATACTCCCTGCTCGAAAACCGATACAGCAAGAAATACCCAATATCGCCCGGCCTGCTGAAGCCGACATCGAATCCGGAGCACTATGATCGCCTGATGGAAGAGATTGAGCGCGCGCCTAAGAAGAGCTGGCTTCAGGCAAAGATGGATGAGTGGAAGATGAAGATCAGATGGCAGTAATGTGGACCTGGGGTGTATGATAAACTAAAAGGTTAGAGCTCTTCATGTTGAAAAATTGGGAATAGGCGCATTTTGATTGGAAAGGGCTCTTGAATTGTAAAATAAAAGGGATTGTGATAGATCATCCTTCGCAACGAACAGCAGGTCCCCCCACTGCTGGCTGTGAACAAGGGCGGGCTGTACTCGAGGTGGACATCAAGATAGAAAGACTACTAAGGGGTATCATGCGTCAGACATATCAAACGCCTCAACGCCCCAATACCAAAAAGACAGCTGTACACGATAACATCATATTAATTCTTCAAGAAGAGCCGCGTAGACCGCCTCTTGGCTGGGACATCTGACATCGTAAGTGGTGTTCCGTGTCATTCTATGCGTATAAATAATCGACTCACCGACGGCGGAATCAATGCTACCGCTACGAGCCTCCGTCTTTGTGGAGCGCTTTAAGTCATCCTCGCGGTTCTCATGGCTTGCAATCTCAGCCTCATGCTCCAGGTCCGCTACCGGGGTTTCCGCGCGATATGAGGACTTGACCTAGACACGAGTTGGCGAAGTGTGTGTATTGTACACATAACCAGGCTTACCTGATCCTCGACTTCCCATTCAGACAAGTCAGAGGGGACATCCGAGAAGGGACTGGATCCGAAGGGAGATCCGAAGGGAGATCCTTCAGCAAATTCAGCTTCTTTGGCATCCACTGATGTTTGTAAGTGAATGTACGCTTCCTATGTTCGTCACCGCCCAACATACCTGCTCGCACGCCATCTGAAGTCGTCTGGGCGTTTTCCAAGGCAACCAGCTGACCAGAGTCCTTGCTCACTGAGTCTGGAATTTTTCCGTCGATGTGGCTTGCGGCCGGTTTCTCTGCTCCTGCACCCCTAGCTGGATCCAGAGCATGACCGTCAACTTCAGCAAGCAGAGCGGATGACATCTCCGTACCGCAGAGCTTGTAGTTGTGAGCTGGGTACTGCCCTTTCACCAGCACATGTCGCCCAACAATCATGCCCTCAACTTGGCCCAGCAGCCGCTCGTGGTCGGGATGACCTTCGAATAGGTCATCTCGCAGCAGCGTCTTCCTGTTAACGTTGCCATTCATGGGGGTGGCTTTCGAGCCCTCCCGAGTAGACTTGCCGAGAAAATTTACGTGGTCGAGGTGCATAGGCTCCTGCGTGCCACCATGGAGCAAAGCATCGTTGGAATCCTCGGGAGCAGGCATCTCGCCAGATGCGTCCTTCGCCATCTGCATATCATCCTCCTCTTCGAGCCACAAACCCACGGGATGCGGCGTAGGCGGATATGCCTCTGGATCATTTGTGTCATTGAAGTCATGGTGAACTGCCAGCATCAGTACCAATGCATGTGTCTTCTTATTCTATTTGCTTCCGTCCAGGGTGACTCACTGCCGTTATCATCCCAGAACCCTTCTGTGCCGTCCCAGGTGTACGTTCCATCGTAGAACAAAATCGACCTCGCCGTGAGTAAGTCGTCCCAGTGAGCGGGATGTTTGCGTTTTCGGGTGGTAGCGGTGCTGTCACAGGTGTGACTATTTGCTTCGGCCATGACTGATCGTGAATGCAAGAACACCTCCAGGGCGCACGCTGGTCTGCGTGATCCAAAGGGCAAGTGGGGTACGGTGGGACCTTCAATAAGCGGACGCAAGCTGGCGCGCACTCGTCACGGTCAACGGGTTGATAATGGGGTGACGTCGTTGCTGAGAGAGAGCGAGTGAAGGCAGGAGCGACCGAAAGCACTCGAGCATGGCCACTTGCAAATGGTAACAGGAGACAGGAAACGGAGAACGGAGAACGGAGAACGGGCGGCGCGGTTGAGCCATCATAAGTGAAAGGGAAACATCGACGTACTGGTTTAGAACATAAAGTCAAAACCTGTACGACTTCGGGGTACGAAGATTAGAAGCCGGAACTGATGATTATGCTTCGCCGGGAACGAGAAAAAAGATCCGGCAAGTGTACTGTCCAAGCAAGCGTACACGAGCTGAATCATACTTGACTAGACGCAATGACTATTTGAATATCGCTGTCGCTAATGATGTTCGTGTCGAAGTCTAAGTACATCATCAATCTCATATGTGAGAAATGTAAAACGGAATCTGATCGTCACAGTCCTATAAAACGAGAATCTGAACTCGAAGTCAAAGTTGCTGGAAGAAGTAAAGGCTGGACATAAGTAAGATTACAGACACATGCAGGCTGATATTACATCTATCTTTTGGTAAGCTAAAGATGCAAGCTCGTACGCAGGCAAACTCCATAACACATGCTAGGACAATAGAACAACACCATACGTACCCGTTCCCGTCGCTGTAACACCATGTTCGCCTTAAATCTGATAACGCCACTTCGTAATCGCAAACGTCCACCCTTAATAGGTACATCGGCAGAAGAGCCGTTGAGGATTTCTATCGTACATCGCCATGCATCTAACGGAAGAAATAAGAAAGAGAAAGCTGACATGATGCTGGCATCGATGTACAGTTATAGCGTTGGATGGACGGTACCAGCGTGCGCGGCGACGGGCACGTTGGCATTGTTGTTGTTTCCGAGCTGCTGGCTGAATTCGATCCGCTTAGCCTTCTCCTGCTCCATCATGGCTCGGTCCGCTTTGGTAACGCGAGGCTTGCGCACAGTTTGACCACCGCGAGAGCCTGGACCGCCGCCGCGAGCTCGACCGCGACCTGAGGTTTCTCCCCGGCTGGCTCCACCACGGCCGCGACCACGACCGCGCTTGACAGTACCATCGGCCCTATTTGCTGTTAGCCTATCACAGTGACAGAAATCGGCAAGAACATACCTCTCAACAGCAGGTTTCTCCTCGGTGATTAGAGGACCGCTATACACGAAAAAGCCGTCCTTGGCCATAAGCGCCTGTTGCTCCCAAGCCAACTCTGTGTCGTCGATGAAGTCGTCTTCCTTGTCATAGTCTTCTTGTTTTCTCTTACGGGGCTTCTTCGTCTTGCCAGCAGCGGAACCCTCGTCGTCCATGCCCGTATTGCCACCATTGCTCTCATTATCCGACAGATCGACCGACATGTCGTCAGCGGATCCGGCGAGACCAGCAGCTTTTTCTAGAGCAGCGCCCATGGAAGTGATTTGCCGCTGACGCTCCCGACGAGCTGCAATCCGAGGGTGTAGGGCAGCGAATCCATACTTCTTCTCCACCTCTTGGGCAAAGTTAATGGTGACGTTGGTCTGACCTTTCAAAGGGAAGGTGAGCCAAATGTTAACGCCCGTGGGCTCGGTAGAGCCATTGCCGTTCGCGTTGACGGCAGGACCAAATGGAGTGCCTGAGAGCAGACCGCTTCCTGTCGGCAAGGGTGGCGGTGCCTCTTTTTGGCGGGCTTTGACAGGTGGGGTCGGCGCGTTGGAAGGCGTGCCCGCGCTTGCGGAGTCCATCTTCTTCATGGGCACGGAAGTCCTTGGATCGGAATCAACATCCATGGGTGCGGGACCCAGAGGTGGTGCGGGCCGAGGTGGTTGCTGGTTGTCCTGGGCTGGAAGGAGCGGCCCCTGTCGACTTGACAGGGCGGCAGGCGACAACGGAGCAGAGGTGACGGACGTTTGCTGCTGCAGCCTGGCCGGCTGTGCGTAGGGTAAGCTGGTAACCGTAGGCGGATCGATCAAAGACGTGATGGAAGGGGAGGCGCTTGCTCGATTAAGAGGCGGCGAGATGGGCGGCGGAGGTGCGGTCGCTGCAACGAGTGGTTTTGACTCGTAGATGCCGCCACGGATGGGATCATACCGTTGGCCCGAGCTCGCGGGTCGAGGAGTTGAAGGCGTCGGAGTGATGTGTGAAAGGTTGGGATTGCCGTGAAGGGGCTCTGCACTGGCGCCGAGCGGGCGCAGAGGTGGAGGCTGCGTAACAGGAGACGGCTGCTCTGGTTGGAGTACCTGCGCCAGCTCTGTGGGTCTTGCTTGCGGTGCGGATTGTTGCTGCGGTACATTCACAGCGGCCTTCTCCTCTGGGGGCGCTGGCGAGGCATTCTGTGCCTCGAGCGAGGCCTTGGTCCTCCTCTTGCGCGGCGCGGGCGCTGCGTTGGGGTCCTTTGGCTCTGCGGCCCTGCGAGGCTTCCTGGGCTTCTTCTCCTCTGCATTTGGATCTTTGGGTTTTGGCTTGGGCCCGGGCTTCTTGCGGACGGTGCCAGCAGCGGTAAGTCTGGGTGTGGGCGTTGTGGATGCTGCAGGGGTGGCATTTGCTGCAACACCATAACCACCGCTCGCGGGCTGGATCGCGGAATTGTTGGGCGTGCCCTGTTCAGGCGAATGAGGGGGCGAGCTCAGACTACCAGGCGACGATGCGGCCTCTGCTGCGTCCATGGCTCTCGAAAACCAACACTGAAAACGCTGCAACGCCAAAAGCCAGCAGAAGCGCGCGCTACGGGACTACAACGATTATGGAAAAGGCACCCAGAAGAGAAGACGTGCGGTGGTCGACAATCCACGCGCGCAGGCGGCTCGATTGGACTGGCAGCTGGGGACCCGCGGACTGGCTGGCAGACAGACTCAACGCCAACGCGGTTGTGCTGAGATAGACGACGGACGCTGGCGACAACACCAAAACCGAAGTGCAGGCCAGACGCCAGGCGGCCAGGGGCTCAAAGAGTGACTGGGGCACGCGGACGAAGACGATGCTGCTACACCCGCAATTAGTTCGATGGCGGCACCTGTGGACGGCCCTGGATCGATGGATTGACGGCAAGAACGTGCAAAGAAAAAGGTGGAAGAGGGAGCGCCGTCGACGTGTCGAGGGGGCTTCACGTATAAAGGGCAGCGCAGCAGACTGGGAGACGTTGGGCGGGCCAGTCAAAAGCACGGGCAACGGTTACGAGAATATGGAGCGAGCATACGCCAGAAGGGAGCGACCTTCTCGTAGGCAGGAGACAAGCAATGCCGGGAGCGAGCCTGGAAGAGACTTGCCGCTCGTTTCGCAGGCCCTGGGACGAGAGACGCTGGCACTCCGAGAGTACACAGTCGACGATTGCTCCATGAAGCTGGCGTTGCTTCCGCGTGCCACGGTAGGGCACACGTCTCGGAGAATGAAGCAGATGGCTTTGAGAAACCGACATCACGTTGAGATTGCTCTCCAGCCACTGCCGCTGCCACGCATGCAGCTCAGACAGCCGAGAAAGGCGTCACAAGCGCCTGATCTCGATGCCACCCGCCCATGTGCATCCTTGCTGATTCAGACGGACTCGGCGCCGTCTCGCTTCGAGCATCATGGTTTGATTGAGCACAGGGCGGCGGCAATTGTGTTTACACCTGGCCATCTGCTCTTTAGCCAGACCAGACCTGGTGTTGCATGGCCCGAGTATCGCGTATGCGCTTGATTGGCCACTGCGCTACCGGCTAACTGTTTCAGTCCAACGACAACGTGAACATCGTGAGGCAACCAACTTGAAACGATACTTGCGGAAGAAGGAATACCATCCCTACTCTTGTTTTTTTTGAAGCAACCCATCCAATCCCTGTGCCAGCGGTGTCTGCCCTACAATCAATGGCATCACCTCGTGCACTCACAGTAAACGGCAACGAAATTCGAACAGATGACCGTTAACTATCGGGCGTGCCAAAACGACTTGTCCCAGTACACATGATATATTTTGAGTCCAGAAGCGATCAACAACCTCTCACTGCATACACAGCTCGAGTGAAACGTTTCACTGCGGTGCATGATCGATGCAAAGCCAAAGCTCCCCAACAAACGCCTAGCTGCACAAAATCCGTCGTACATAACCGGAACGCCAACTGAAGGTATCATGCCGTCGAAGAGAGTGGAAGCATAGCTCGTGCATTACCAAGTCTACGCTTTGCTCTTCTTCTTCTTCTTCTTGCCTTCGCCATCCTCATCGGCATGTTTCCTTTTCTTGTCCTTCTTGGACTTCTTCTCAGATACCTCCTCCTCGGCATGCTTTGCCTTCTTCTCCTTCTTCTTCTCGCGGATCGCTTGCTCAGTGGCCTTTCCAGTGACGCCGTCAGCCATCACAACGTCCTCTGCAGCATGCGCAGTGGGATCTTCGGTGTCGATGTCAGCCAGAACAGAGTCCATAGCTGCCTGCATGACGGCAGAGTTCTTCGCGGGAGTGGCACCAGAGGCGTAGAATTCTATCCGTTCTTCGACCTGGCGTTTCAACGCCTCTCCGAATTTGGCTGTCGGAGTGTCTGAGAAGTTATCTATGCGACTTGCGATGGACACTTTATTGGCAAGCTGTTGATGTCAGTGAGACTTCTAAGCACGAATTTTCCTTGTCACGTACAAAGCGTGAAATCCTGCCCTTCGACTTTGCGCCAGTCTTTCCAATGAAGGAAGAGTGATAGATCAGACCGTACTTGGGCGTGTTTCCCTTCGTCTTTAGTGCACTATGATAAAGTCAGTAAGAGTCTCGACCATGGTCGACGCGAAGCGTACCGGAAGAGTGCCTTTTCAGCACCAAGGATCTGTACGGTTGAGGCAGGGTATTTCGATAGATTGGTCAGGGAACCAGCCTTCGAGATTAACCTAGCCGCAACGGTATCACCGATGAGCGCGGCTGTGTTGGGCGCTACCGAGTTAAGTTTGTCAGAGAGATAGCTTGCCAGCTGTTTCCTGTAGGCGCTCAGGGCATCTGTGCGCTTAGCAAAGGACATGACCATCTCGAGGTCCGAGGACGAGATCTCCCTGCCCATACTCGTCCTGGCGGCCTTGATGATTGCCTGAGAGACCGATTCATCATCACCCACCACAGCAGCAAGATCGTGAAGCTTCTCCTCTGATAGCCCACTCTTGTCGCCGATAAAGAGGACTGCGCTTGCGTAATGATCGTTGGTCAGAATTTTGCTAAGCTCCGGGAAGTGCCAGCCGTAGTTCTCCCTGAGCCTCATGGTGAAAGTATTCAAGTCCTAACTATGTCAATTTGAGGTGCTCTAAACAGCCCGATCTATTGACGCACCTTATCGACTTGGTCCAAGGTTGCGATTGCCTGGATAATACTTTGATCCTAGGTTTACAAGTCAGGCCTATCCTTGAAAAGCTCGATGTACGACTCACATTCTTCGCAACTGAAAACTTAACCTTGGCGCGGGAGTATGCGTGCCCGAGACCCAGAACAGACCGCTCAAGATCTCCGGGCTGGAGCTGCTTGACTAATTTGTCGCCATGTTGCCGCAAACCTCTCAACAGGTCGCCCACAGGAGGGCTCGACTCAGATGTCTCGCATTTGATATTCGCAAAGACAGCCTTGATACTGCCAGCTAAATTTTTGTCCCATACGCCTAACTTTATTGCCTTCTTCTTAGACGATGTGGGAAGATTGGACTCGAGTGTTGATCGTAAGAAGTCAGAACACAAGCCCTCGCTCACGTCCTGGAGTATCTAGTCAGTGCGGGTCAAATACCCACGACGTCTTGCTTACGTTAATCTCTTGCAAAGCTTGTTGGGTTCCTGTGAACGGCGTCAAACCGATAATTTCAACCGTCTGTCAATGTCAGATATGGACGGTGCACAGCTATAGGTAATTCTACCTTTCCAAATCTGGCAAGGTCCTGAACAGCTTCTTGAACTTCCTTCAACCGATTGCCAATGGTGTCAGGTTGGTTCACAACCTTGAAGATTGCATACCCGAGAGCGGACTCGTGTAACAAAAAGTCCACCGACATGTTTGCGTAGTTAACGTCGAGTTCCCGTGGTGCGCAGGCGGGCGGCAGGTCTTGCAAAGCCGCTGTTGAGTGTGTGAAAACAAGCAGAGTTGTACTGGCAGTCGATCGGCGTTCTTTGCAGCTGCTGTCGAGGGCCGTCGAGGTGTGCGCGCGGACGACCGTTCTTCGCAATGGGAAGCGCAAAGTGGAGAGCTAGCTAGAACTTTTTCTCTTCGGCGTTGGAACAACGTAACGCCGACAAGCGCGAACTTTCTATCAACGCGACATACGCGAGGACGACCAGGCTCCCGGCAAAACGACACACCACGTCCTTGCCTTCTTTCCACCACCACCGAAGGACTTGCCGTAACAATGTCGGCTGCACAGCTTCTCAATCCGAAGGCCGAGTCGAGGGTCAGTTGCGCTTGCTGAGCTCTCCGATTGAGCTAACTTTGTCCAGCGGCGCGGGGAAGCTCTCCAAGTGAACATCTCGGCCGGTGAGGGCCTGCAAAAGGTGATTAATTCAGTTTTGCTTGTTATTTCACCATGCTGACTGTAGAGAAGGTCTTAGCATCCAACCTTGGACCCCGCGGTACTCTGAAGATGTAAGTTAACCCCAACGAAAGCATAGAACTGCAAGCTAACGTTGATCAGGCTTGTCGATGGTGCAGGTGCCGTATGTCAAAACGCTACAGACCGCCATACGTAAAATTGACCAGCTTGCAGATCAAGCTCACGAAAGATGGCAGCGTTTTGCTCAAGGAAATGGTGTGTTACAGACAGAAGCGAATTCCATTACGTCGCTGACACCAGTATAGCAAATTCAAAACCCCACAGCTGTACGTAATCCGAACGAGAGCGACGATCTCACGGTCTCAGATACTCATCAGCCCTCAGGTCATGATCGCGCGAGCAGCAACCGCACAGGACGAAATCACAGGTGACGGGACCACGTCGGTCGTTCTGTTGGTTGGTGAACTGTTGAAGCAGGCGGATCGATATATTGCAGAGGGCCTTCATCCGCGGGTGATCACGGATGGTTACGAAATAGCGAAGACGGAAGCACTCAAGGTTTGTGGAGCAATGACATATGGCTTGGATAGATATTGACGTTGACCAGTTCCTGGACGAATTCAAGCTGAACAAGGAGGTTGACCGAGAGCTACTTCTTTCGGTTGCTCGAACGTCATTAGCCACAAAGCTGGACAGCACCCTCGCCGAACAATTGACCCCGGATATCGTCGATGCCGTTCTCGCCATCTACCAAGCGCCGGCGAAGCCAGACCTGCACATGGTTGAGATCATGACGATGCAGCACAGGACTGCCGCTGACACACAGCTCATTCGCGGCCTGGCGCTAGATCACGGCGCAAGACATCCAGACATGCCCAAGCGTGTTGAGAATGCTCACATTCTGACACTCAACGTCAGCCTGGAGTATGAGAAGTCTGAAATCAACTCTGGGTTCTACTACTCCAGCGCAGAGCAGAGGGAGAAGCTCGTTGAGAGTGAGCGGCGGTTCGTAGACGAGAAGCTCAGGAAGATCGTGGAACTCAAGAAAGAGGTTTGCGGGAACGACCCTAAGAAGGGCTTCGTGATAATAAACCAAAAGGGCATAGATCCGCTCAGTCTAGATGTGTTGGTCAAGAACGGCATCTTCGCGCTCCGGAGAGCCAAGAGGCGGAACATGGAGCGTCTGCAGCTTGTCTGTGGAGGTATTGCCCAGAACAGTGTCGACGACCTAACCCCAGATGTGCTTGGTTGGGCAGGCTCCGTGTACGAGCACCAACTAGGCGAGGAGAAGTATACTTTCGTTGTAAGTAATTCTAGCCTGACAAATGACCTATCTGACACTGCGTAGGAAGACGTGAAAGAGCCCAAGTCGGTCACATTGCTTATCAAAGGACCAAATTCGCATACAATCACTCAGATCAAAGACGCAGTTCGAGATGGACTGAGGAGCGTATACAACATGATCGTGGACAAGAGCGTCGTTCCGGGAGGAGGAGCCTTCCAGGTTGCTTGCGCATCACATCTATTGAGCGAAAGTTTCAGGAAGACGGTCAAAGGAAAAGCCAAGTGGGGGGTCGCTGCATTCGCCGATGCATTGCTTGTCATTCCCAAGACTCTGGCAGCCAATTCGGGTCATGACATCCAAGATTCACGTACGGACACGATGCGTATATAACCTCACGCGTGAGCTGACGATATACAGTGGCTGCATTGCAGGATGAACATGCCGACGGCAACGTTGTCGGTTTGAATCTCGCCACCGGAGAGGCTATGGATCCCATGCAAGAGGGCGTTTATGATTCATTCCGAGTTCTCCGCAACGCCATCGCATCAAGTACCGGCATCGCGTCCAATTTGCTTTTGTGCGACGAGATGCTCAAAGCACGACAAATGGTAAGTCGATCACTGCCCATTAAATCGCACTTGCTCACTTTGCAATTTAGGGACGGCAAACGGGGCCAGGCGGGGAGGAGTAATGAAGTCACGAAGTCTATGCGGCAAGTAACTATACCACGACTATGACTGTATAATTGGGAACTACGGCTAGATGCGGGCTTTTTACTCGAAGTTTGAGGTAGACCTCGTGACTGGTCGTCAATATAGCTGCGAGCATGGGTATTCCCCACAGAATTTAAGCTTCATGTGGATCATCCACATTCGGTAGGACCCTGAGCAACCATGCATAACGATAAGAACGAGTCGTTTGCGAATGTGTCTGTAAATTACGACTAAAACTCATCGAGGTAGGGCTCGATCGGCAATGCGAGGTGTTGTTCGACATTCCATGCCGCATTCCGACCTGTCTGAGCGTGTGAAAGCGGGGTGGATGTGCGACGAGGGGTTCGTTTGAGCTGAGCACCAAGCATTTGCTAGACTACATTTGGCATTCGAGATTCCGAGCCAAGCCCGTGGAAGTTGTCCACCTGCATAATGTAATAACTCCTCCTGTTAGTTCTCGGTGTCCTTTTGAACTGCTTGCTCCGTCGTGACTGGTCTTCTCCTTTTCCCTTTTCTGCGCGCTTCTCCAATGGCAGCGACGACGTAGCACCTTCACTCGCAGACCGCTCAGTCTCCCAGCGGCTCTCTCCACGTACTCACCCGACACGGTCGACCGGACTGTGCGCCCACCATGTTCCGTCTCCGCAGATACCGCGTCTTTCTCGCTTTTACTGTCATCGTGGTCCTTGCGCTATACAGATTCGGGAGCTCGAATCCATCGTGGAGGGATCGGGCTGCGAGCTTTGCACAGGGTCAGGGTCAGCGCGAGGTTGAAGAGCCGCAGGTGAAGTGGGAGCCCAAACCGCAGGTTGCGAAAGAGACGAAACAGTTTGACGTCGAGGTGCCTGCTGCGAAGAACCCTCAGATCAAGCAAACTCCTCCGCCAATTGCGCCGGTAGAGCGACCTGTCGAGCAGACGTCTACAACGGCGCAGAGCAAGAAGTCAATACCTGTGGGCGTCGGACATGTGGGGGCTGGCAACGCTGTGCGTCCAGAAGCGACACCTACGCCGCGTGCGGATGGAGGCGTAGTACACGCCGTGGTAGGCGACGCCCTATCTTCCGTCGAGGAAGTTATCCATTGGACCAAAACGAAGGAACAGTATCCTATACCGACGGAATCGCTCATCGCGCTGCCCACCGCGAAGGCAAAGCCTATACCCAAGATACAAGCCGATTTCAAGAAAGAGACGGCTGCGGAGAAGGTCGACCGTGAAACAAAGTTAGAGACGATCAAGGATGTATTCAAACGCTCATGGTCCGGGTACAAGGAGTTCGCATGGCTGCATGATGAGGTCATGCCGGTGACCGGGTCGAAGAAGGATCCTTTTGCCGGTTGGGGTGCGACGCTCGTAGATGCTCTCGATACGCTGTGGATTATGGGACTGAAGGAGGACTTTGAAGAGGCTGTTCAGGCTGTGGAGAAGATTGATTTCACAACGACTTCTCGTGCAGATATCCCCCTCTTCGAAACCACGATTCGCTATCTTGGAGGATTCCTTGCGGCGTACGACATCGCCGGAAAGAAGCACGAAATTCTGCTCACGAAGGCAAAAGAGCTGGCTGAGATCCTAATTGCTGCCTTCGATACACCGAACAGGATGCCACAGACGTACTATTACTGGCGACCGTAAGTAACATCATTCCATGGAAAATTGCAGATTTGACGAAATACAGGGATTTCGATTCAAACTCTCATCCTGCGAGCAATCGTGTTGTCCTTGCTGAGATCGGCTCCCTAGCCATGGAATTCACTTATCTTGGGCAACTTACTGGCGACGATCGATTCTACGATGCGATTGCTCGCATTACAGACAATCTGGAAGGATACCAAAACCACACGAGGCTCCCTGGTATGTGGCCGACGTACTTCGATGCCTCGGGATGCGTGAAGCACGACTATAACATAGACGTCAGCAAGCCTCTTCAGAGACCGATTTCTGCAGGAGATCCAGGATGGGAGGAAGCACTTAAAAATGGCGCGTATGTGAAGGCTGACCCTAGCCGGCCTCTAGTTATGGCCGCTGAAGACGGTTCAGCATCTACGAGTGGAGAGGGATTCTCGCCTGATGGGAAGAAGTACATACCATTGGAGAAACCGGAGCCTCTCAAAGTTGTACCCAACGGACCGAATCCGACATGGAAGCCGCCACCTGAGGAGTCATTTGTTTGGCCTGGGCCTGATGGCACCAAGGCTGCTCCCAAAAGGCGTCAGCTTGCCGCTGCGGGTTTCCCATCCGATCCTGAAGTACCCTTCACTAAGCCTACCTGTGACAATCCTGGGTTTGGGCCATCATCCGACGGAGGAAGAGAAGAGTACACTCTCGGCGGGATGTCGGATTCTACGTACGAGTACCTCCCGAAGCAATATCTACTCCTTGGGGGTCAAGTCGAAAAGTATCGTACCATGTACGAAGTATCCGCAGAAGTCATAAAGAAGCATCTCCTGTTCCGCCCCATGCTGCCTAACAACGACGATATCCTCTTCTCTGGAAAGCGGTGGGTTTCAGCGCAAGAGCCAGGCGAGCCTTTCCCCAATGAACTGGAGCCCGAATACGCACATTTGACCTGCTTTGCGGGTGGCATGTTTGGCATCAGCGCAAAGATCTTCAACAGGCCCAAGGATCTCGAAATTGCCGCCAAACTGGCAGAGGGCTGCGTTTGGTCGTACAATATGACCGCAACAGGTATAATGCCGGAAGCCTTCGAGAGTGTGGCTTGCGAGAGTCGAAAGGATTGCCCATGGAACCAGACACTTTACTACGATATCCTTGATCCTAACTCCGAGAACAGGCTTAAGCAGTACGAGGAAGCCATGACGAACTATGAAGTCAGACTTAAGAGTGCAAGTTTGTGGTATGACGAGCAAATGCAGGCGTATATGGAATCTGCCACTCCTACGCCTACTCCTATCCAGACTGGTGTCGCTGCATCTGCAACCGCCGCTGCTGAAGGCGTACAGGACAAACGACAACTACCGGATTTTGAATCTGCTGCACCAGCACCCACGCAGAACAGGGGCCTACATGTAGGCAGCGGTTCCGTAGACGTCGAAGCGCCTCCCACAGAAGTCAAGCCCGGAGTCGAAATGCTAGAAGAGCCTCTACCCAGCAAAGTCATGCCCACCTTTCCGGCCATCTACTCGCCCCAGGTCCCCCTCAACCACGAAGATTTTGTCAAGACCCGCTTAGAAGAGGAACGTCTCCCGCTTGGTGTAACTAGGGTGAAAGCCCGGGAGTACATTCTCCGGTAAATCATTCCCCTCTCGTCCAGCTCTCGGCTCCGCTAACAACCCCTACAGCCCTGAAGCCATCGAATCTGTCTGGTACATGTACCGCATCACAGGCGACAACTATTGGCGCGAAGCCGGCTGGCGCATGTTTGAAGCCATCAACGAGAACACCAAGACGGCGCACGGCAACTCGGCAATCGACGATGTCACCAAGACGTCACCCAACCTCAATGATTCGATGGAGAGCTTCTGGCTTGCGGAGACGCTGAAGTATTTTTACTTGCTGTATAGCGAGCCCGGGGTTGTGAGTTTGGATGAGTGGGTTTTTAATACGGAGGCGCATCCGTTTAGGCGGCCGACGTAGATCATTGTGAGCGTATTGAATTATAGATTGAGTGTGTAAATATTGTGCAGCATTCGAAGCTGTCTTTTTCTGGTCTGTACGTGGTTTGGCGCATGGTTGTCCATTGGGGTGTCAAGAGATACCGCTTCGACTGGGTTTGGAGTCTGGTGTTCTTTGGTATTGAAAGTTAGGGTGTGAGGGCTTGACTGTTAGCGATGGTGCACACGAGGCAAGCGGTAGCATCATAACGGAGTTTGTCTTTATTCTGAAATGGTCGTCATAAGTGGCTGATCGTCTGCATCAGTGAGTGCCCGGGCGAAAACGCTGCGCAAGTTGTGACAGCGCTACGCAGCAATTGAAGGAGACAATGTCTGAGTTGAACAGAAACGCAAATTCTTATGGAGTGATTATCACAAACTTTCGCATCGCTGCAAATAGCCTTCGATTACAACAGGCGAGAGGAAGGATGGTCGACGTTTACAGGAACAGCTTCCTGTGTTGTCCAGTGGCACACAGTCCAAGGAAGTATAGGTCAAAGAATAGATTCCACATGCCGACTAAATCATGTATCAGGCGTTGTAGATTACTCGGTCATTTGCTTCAGAAGTATTCCGGTCGCCACCCTTCAATCGGGCTTCTCATTTCAGTGCGGCGAGTAATTTCTCCTTTCATTGCTACCAAGTATGACTGCATCATCTTGTATTCCAAGTGCACCTCCGATCCGGAAAATAGTAATCGTGCCAAATCAAGCATGTTTCATGCTAGCAGTTCTGTGACGCCAGTGACCCATGCATAGTCGTCGTACGTGACCACGTTCGTACCATCATCACATGACCCGATCTCTTCCCCTCATCCCCACAAGCATTCCTTTTTCTGCGAATCACTCTCTACTGGAAACCCAGGAAAGTTACTGAGCTCATTTCGCGACCGCCGCGCTCAAAACTTGGGTCCTAAAGAAGCCGCCCTTCGTCCGCTCGATGACTTGCTGGTAGACTGATTGCGGCGGGTGATTCATGACGACTGTGCCGGCTTGATAATCGATCTTTGCGTCTACTCGTGTGTCCCGGATGAGGTTAACAATCCACTTCTCACCCTCGTCTTGCGAAAGGCCGAGACGGGTGGAGAGGTCCCTAAGTCGTGTTAGGCAGCTGCTTCAGATTAGGCGCTTGAGAGACTTACTTGATATCGATTCTCTGGTGAATCTTGCAGTAGCTCTCAGAGATGAGATGCCTGGCGGCATCGACGAAAGGACCAGCAGACTGCAGCAAGAAGAAGTCGTTCTCTAAAATCTGTTCCGACTCGCTGAGCTTCTTTTGTGCCTCCTCGAAGTCAAAGTCAATGTATAGCGCCTTGATGAAGTCCGTGACAGGGTCGCTGTACTCGTAACCCTCTTGTCGCACTATCCGTATCAGATCCTTCAACTGCTTCTGGTACGCGCCCTGGTTGCGACCAGCGTTACGCGCGGTGATGACGGAGGTAGCGAGATATCGTAGGATCCAGGGGCAGTTTGTCTGGATGGTGTTTATGTAGGCGGGTTGGAAGAAAGTCTCGGTGATCTTTTCGCGGGCCTGCTCGTCATTGAAGAGCGGAAAGAGCGACCAGTGAATCAGCCAAGTGCGCTGCTGCAGCTGGGCGAGCGGGTTGGACATAAGACGGCCGTCAATGAGCTCCTTGATCTTCTCAATTTCCGCGATAGCAGATTCCCACTCAGTGGAGAGGATCTCACAAGCAAGCTTTCCCCAGGTGGCTTCACGCTCTTTGTCGTTGTCGGTAGTCTAGTCGCACATTAGTACAGGCGCAACCCAAACGGAATGAGACTCAGAGCGCACCAGGATACGGTAACGCGTCAGCAGGTCGGCGGCATCGCCGTACAGCCCGCAGCCGTACTTGAACTGTGCCTCCTCATAGAGCTGCTCCACCATCTGCACAGTCACGCCATGCTCCTTCTCCAAAAAGGCCAAGTTCTGCTGCTTGTCGCTTCGCAGGCTGCCAAGCACAGTCTCGTCGGTCAAAAGCTCCATGAGCTTGCTCGTAGACTCCTCGAGCTGTGCAAGTCGCTGCTTCTCCTGCTCCTGCTTCTGTAAGTATTCCTGGGGGATCTGGTCGAGGTTGTTGATGTTTTGTGCGAGTTGGCCGACGTAGCCGGTCATGTAGGTGGGCTTGAGGAGCTCGAAGAGGACCTTCTGCTTCTCGATGGGCTGCTCCTCATCTTCGGCGGGCGGGGGAAAGTTGAGCAGCGGGTAGAGCAGGTGACGGTCGAAGTGCGGCATCATCTGCGGCAAGAGGCTGTACTTGTCGGCGACGGACTCGCTGTTGGTCGCTGCTGACGCCATGGTGGGCAATTCTTCGCGGAGAGGTGTCGCAGGGACTGTGTGCGAAGAGGCGCGATTTTGGGTGTGCAAGCGGGTTGTGGGCAGTGCGGGCGGAATTTCCACGTCGTAGTGGGGGAAGGAACAAAATCAAATGTGGAAGCGACGACCCCTACCGCGCTAAAACTTTGGTGTTGACGGTCGCATGAACTCCATCGCAGACCTTGCATCATTCGGATCAACGCGCCTGCCCATTCCTTTCCTTATTTTTTGTTATATTCTCGACATTGCCAGTGCCATAATGCCACGAATACAGCCTCTGCTACCGCTCTTGAGGCCATTGGCTGCGCCCAGGCGAGCAGCCTGCGAACAGCTCTTCCGCTTCTCGAGTGCGACCAGACTGCGCGCGGATCGTACGTGTTGATGCCATCTGAAAGGGCTCGAGAGCTAATGGGTACCCAAGAACCGGCAAGAAGTGGCGCTGCGTCTGCCGTCAAGCCGCCGCCGAAAGCACCGCAGACGTCCCCTGAAGCTCCTCCAGCAAACGCCAGAGAAGCCTCGCGCGCCGCAGACCTCGCAGCAGCAGAGGCTGCAACTGACGCAGATAACCCGAACGGCCCCGCTCCGAAGCCCGCTCTCCCTTCAAATCGATCCATACCATCGTCACCGGCCAAAACCCAAGCCGCAGATGACGTCGAGCCATCGTCTACACCCGCCGAAGCCTCAGATGCGACAACCGACCTCAACACCGTACAGGCGAAACCGTTCAAAGGTGGAAAGCAGGACCGCAAGACCAAGTCCGTAGATGATGTGCAGCCACCAGTTGGCGACGCACTGGATGTAGCTACCAATCTAAAGACTGTCAAGCCTAAGACCTTCAAAGCACCTTCGAAAGCGGCAAAGACTTCAAGAGCAAACTCTGGTGCGGCTCAGAAGATTACGCTAGAACTTCCACCAAAGTACCACGTCGCGCGCTCGTCTTCGAGAAATCTACCCATCTACACGGACTACAAGCGAGGTGGCAATTTACATCTGACCACGGTGCGCAAGATCACTGGAGATTCATCGGCGCTGAGGGATGAGCTGAGGGTGTTTTTGAACAAAAAGTACGAAGATGTCAAGATTAACAGCCTGACGCAGCACGTCATTGTGAAGGGTCACCACGTACCGCAGATTACCGAGTTCCTGAAGGCCAGGGGTATGTAAAATTGTATTGTAGTTCGAGGGTACACACATGTAGTAGTATATGTAAGATACATGGTGGCTTGGGACGAGCGAATAAGATCCATTCAGACGTCTACCGAGACTCTCTGCTGATTGTTTACTTCTTCCAAATATCACTTCTGTCTTCTTCCGCCTGTCGTTTTGCGATGATGCACCCGATCAGCCACGTTACTGCATGCAATAGCTTCTCAACGTCACGAGCGCAAGAAAAGCCCTTGCTGTGCGACAAATCAACCTCGAGATCATTGTACGTGCGCATGTAGAAGATCATCAGGAGTAAAGGTACAATTCAAATGTTCTGTAACCCCGGAAAGAAGCTACCAATGCGCCTTCCTGCAAGTGACCATTCGCTAGCACCAGCCCTACCACGTGTGACGTGTCAAGACCATCTCCGTGCCTTGTCTCAATGGCTCTACCCTTAAGTCTGCGGGAACCAGGGCCCAAACCCTCTAAGGCACAAAGCACAATCCAAAAACTTTCTTACGTCAGTCCCTCTTCGACTGACACAGAAGATACGAGAGATGGATCTTACCTTTGGATAGGATCTACAAGCATTGGGTGGGACACCCATGCATGAGATATCGCATCCAGCGTTTGAGCCAATGTCACCTTGATAGACTTCGACATCGTCACGGGCCTTGGGTGCGTCTGCCGCGACCTTGCCCTCAGTCGAACGGCAGAAATTGCAAGAGTGGCATGAGAATTCGGTGTTTCCGATGCTGCATATCTCCTCAGCGCAACTCGCAGGGCTGAATTTGCACTGGGCAAAGCTGTCGGCGCACTCGGTCCGGCAGAACTTCGTCTCGGATTGACGTGTCTCGCCCATTGGGTTCGTGCTCGAGGTGCGGCAGAAAGGGCAGCGATCACAGAACGGTTGGGTCTTGGTGCAGACTTGTTCGAAGCAAGTCGAGTGGGTGAATTTGCACTGGGTGAAGTCATCGGCACATGCGGTTGGGCACAGCTCCGACTCCAAGACTCGAGGAAGAACGGTCATCGCGGAGCTGAAGGCTACGCACCACAAAATGAGGCTGAGACTGGGGACCTTCATTCTCTCGGTGTGACTTGATTGAGTTGGTGTTCGGAATGATTGAGTCGGTGTTCGGCGGTCGAGTGAGGGTAGAGAGGCAAAATTAAGGAGCAGAAGGAAAAGTGCTGGCACCAGAATTTATAGTCTTGGAGTGCAAATGCAGGTGCAGCGGAGTCTGAGCACCTACCTTACGGGTCACGCTTAGAGCCAGCAAAATCTCAATTGAAGATGAACCAACCCCTTGGAGGTAAACTGTGGTTACTGACCCAAACACAATATAGAAGTCTTGTAATTAGCAGCCCCTCGGCCGCCATTATCTGTCCACTGCAAAGACTCTCGCAGTTTGCCCATCGCCGCTATTCAAACTGATACGATAGGACTATATAGTGCAAGACACAGGTCAATTACAGCGGCGACGACCATCAAAACGTACCAACATTTGAAGTCACTGCCCACAGTTCTCAGGGTATATCCTTTCGAAGCTAAACAACACTCGACTCAATTCGTGCAATAACTTCCAAAGGCGATACGACATCTTCCATCTTCTTGATCAATTTCTTTGCCACGCTGGCTGCCTTGCAAGCCCTCGGAACTTTTGTATCACAGACAGATTGGGACAACATATTTTAGATACAACTTCAAGTGGCACGTGAAACGTTTCTTGAACCAAGCACTCTTTCTTTCTATTGACGAACATTTGCGTCCCCACCCTTCCACCGCTTCCCATGCTGAAGTCTCGTTCAACTTTGACAAGCCGATTAGGCCATATCATCATACGACAAGGTGACACAACACAGCGCTGATTCGATCTTATATATAACTCCACCATTTAGGCCTTGGCAGAACCGTTGTTAGCCATGACGTACTCGCTCATCATCTTGGTGATGGGCGCGTTGCCACCCCAAGCTTGCGAATCAACCATGCGATTGACCTCGCGCATGGTGATGAAGACCTGGCCCTTGGCGGGGTTGGTGTCCTCGGGTGCATCCTGGCGCTTCATCTTGGGCTCAGCGGATGCAGTGCCGTTGGCGGCCTCGGGCTTGGGAGCCTCACCGGCGGGAGCAGCAGAAGGTTGGGCTCCTTCGGCGGGCTGGGGCGCAGCGGGTGCGGCACTGCCCTGAGGAGCGGCAGGGGGGACAGCACCTGATTGAGCACCGGCGGTCTGCATCGTGAGGATGTACTCTCCGTCAACTTGGGAGACGGGGAAGGCAACGCGCATGTTTACAGTGTCGAGGACGAGGTTGGCCTGCACGGGGGTGAAGGTAGGCGCAAGTAAAAGCTGGGTAGCAACAGGGTTGTTTCCATTAGTGGGAGTGCCCTGCTGTTGACCAGTGCCCCCAGTGCCCTGCTGAGTCTGCTGTCCCGTGCCAGTTTGTTGTCCAGTGCCGGTCTGTTGTCCAGTGCCCTGCTGAGTCTGTCCAGACTGACCTTGCTGGGTCTGGTTGGTAGTACCGGTCGTGCCAGTCTGTTGTCCGGTGCCAGTCTGTTGACCAGTGCCAGTTTGTTGACCGGTGCCAGTCTGTTGACCAGTGCCAGTTTGTTGACCAGTGCCAGTCTGTTGACCAGTGCCAGTTTGTTGACCAGTGCCAGTTTGTTGACCAGTGCCAGTTTGTTGACCAGTGCCAGTCTGACCCTGCGTAGTACCAGTCTGGCGACGAGTGAGCGCGGCCCTGAAGGCCTCACGGCCGCGTTTCTGAGGGGCTGCGCCAGCTCCAGTCCCAAGGTTGGTGGTAGCACCACCAGGGTTGCCGAGCACGCTGCGCTGGGCAACACCGAGTTGGATCTGGCCGCCGGGCTGAATGCCAGCAGCTTGCATCATGGTCTGGATTCGCTGAGCGTTGACTATGGATATGTCAGTTTGAAGTTGATTGGTAGATGTGATGAGATGACTCACGGGGCATCTGGATGACAGTGACCTGCTGGTTGAGGTTGGGCTGGACACCGGCAAGGTTGGTGGTAACGGAGTAACGGTAGTCGTCTACCCGAAATAGTTAGCATCAGCTCGCAGCTCGGAACGTGGGATATACTCACTGACAGATGCTTGGCCCTGGAGAGCAGCCAACATGCTTGAGTCGATGCCCTTCTTGACATCGACGTTCATCGTCATAGGTTGGGTGGCCTTGACAGACATGCGAAAACCGTCCTGGAACTCGTTCTCCTGCAGTCCAGTTCCTGTGATGGTGACCTGGGAGGCTTGGTCACTGCCAAAGGTGGTGAGCTGGGTCTCAGTGCCCTGCGTCTGACGCCCCAACATCATGTACTCGCCATCAATGTTCAAGCGCTTGACCATGCGTACAGTCATGTCGGTGTTGTTAATGCTCCTCACCGTCTCTTGGATCATCCAGGTTTGCCTATCAGGCGAAAGCATCGCTACATATGTGTTGTCGGGATTGATCTGCGCCTGCTGGAGCGTCTGCGCGGACATGGCCATCTCGATTTGTCCACCGACAAGGTCCGAAGCACCGTTTGTGCTGATGACCATGGAAGTCTGCTGGAGAGCCACGAACGGGTTACCGGTGGAGCCCGTGACCTGGTTGGCGGAGATGGAAGGCGTTTGTTGATTAACAATTAGTTGTTGCTGCTTCTGCGAGAACGTCTCCACCTTCGATCCATCCTGGAACTGGAAAGAATTAAGCGTCATCTGAGGTTGTTAGTATCATGTTCAGGGCCAACAGTTTGGTGGATAGAGGTCACTCACGTCGCCATTGATATTAAGTACTTGGTTAAACTGTGCCTGTTGCTGCGCCAGCGCCGGCGAGCAGCTGAGCAGAAGGAAGAGGAGAGAAGAGACAGTACCAGACGTCATATTGGAAGTAGGAAAACCACCTGGGTTTGTGTAAATAATTAATACAAGAAAGAAAGGTTTAAGTTCTAATTACGAAAATTAGGAAGGAACGGCGAGCTGCAGATCAGGCTGGCTGAGCAGTAACGCTGATATACTATGCCAGCAGTTTAAATATGAGGGAACAATGCTAGACGTACAGCCACCGGCGTGGATTACTTCCGCCGAATGGTGTCCCAGAGTCATGTTCTATGCGGGAGAGGCGAACTCCTGGATCCGGTCGGGCCAGGCATCGATTCCTAAAGTTCTGTCAGAAGCCTAGTCGCATCGCTAGCCTTCCGTGGCAAATACGCGATAGTAGTTGCGAACTTGGATTTTTCTCTTGTCGGTTGCTGCCAGTCCGACTTGGCAAGGTATCCAATGTGCATGGTGTCTGTTTCATGCGGACTGGACTGTTTGGTTTGACACTTCTGAGGCGCAAAGCTTAGCCGTAGATCCATCACGAGACGATCTTAGAACTAGTGAAACTCCCCGTGCACATCGTGAGTGGTCCATACCCCCATGTGAGGGGGCAATAGTCTCGATCTCAAGGTTTCGACAGTAAGAAGCATTGTGAAGCATATGGCGACAATTTCTAGCTTCGGCGGTGTCACTGGTTAAGCTTCGTCGGATTGATCCATGCCGTTAATCAAGAAGACAAATGGAAGACGCGCTTCCACTACGGAATGAGTCTGGTCCCCAATTGTGTGTGTGATGTGTACGAACGGTCTCCTTTCCTAGAAATGCGTTCACTCGCGATTGTGTCTTTAGATGCGAGTGTGGTAGCTCGCAACTCGATAACTCTCAAGAGATGAGGTGATTCTACGCTTGAGCAGATCTATAGTTTGGTGGTCAAACGCAAACGTCTGGGAGATGTTTCGCAAACATCGACCGAGGAACACCACTGCGACAGTGCGTCAAGCTAGGCCTGGGACGGCTAGCGCAGCTCCCAAAAAAAGCAACATCAGACCCATGTCACAGCTCCTCCACATCAACAATTCAGTGTTTGTCAGTAGACGCTCCGTAAGATCTTCACAAGAATACACTAAGGGGTTTCGTATCCAGAGTAAACGGTCGCGTCGTGCTTGGCTCTTCCACAATCGATTGAGCAAGGCAGTACCCGCAACTCGGAGGACGTGTGAAAGCAGTCTTTTTGTAACACGACTTAGTTTTTGGACGAACGTGTGCTTACGTTTGCCTTTCCACGCGTCCATGCACAGTTCACCCTTGGCGAGAATCTCGAGTTTGCTAGCTTATGGCCGGCATTCGTTACATGAAATAATATGCGTTTGCATATTGCAGCCAGAAAATAGGCTTTACTCCCTCCCTGCGATCGAAAATGCCATGGGTCACGCAGTAGGTTACAGGCTCTAGTGCGCACAGTCATGGTTAGATTTCCACCAATTTCAAGACAGTAAGATGGTGATAGTAGACCTTTCGATGAGATTCCTTTATCTGGTACTTAAACGCCAGATCATGCCGAAGACGCATAATTACATGATTAAAATAGAAAATGCGCCACAGTCATACCACAAAATATTACATGCAAGCAGCACCGTCAATACCGATGATCTTGCCGTTCACCCAGTCACCATCTTGGGATGCCAGGAAGCAGACAACGCGAGCGATGTCGAGGGGCTGGCCAACACGGCCGCACGGTGACCAGGTAGCAGCGTACTCGTCGACCTGGTCGTCGCTGAGCTGGTCACCTCCAGGGATGTACTCGCGGCACACAGCGTGGTACATGTCTGTCTTGATACCGCCGGGAGCGACGCAGTTGACAGTGATCTTCTTCTCACCAGCATCTGTGCAGCTGTTAGTAATGGCTCTCGAAGGTGTGAGTTTCGGCAAACATACCAATAGCCATGCACCTGGTGAAGGTCTCGATAGCACCCTTGGAACCGGAGTAGACGGCGTGCTTGGGCACACCCTTGGCTTGACCAGTGATGGATCCCATAAGGATGATCCTGCCACCAACAGACATCCTCTTGTACGCCTCCTTGGCTACAAAGAACTGTCCACGGGTGTTAATCTGCATGACACGGTCGTACTCCGCCTCTTCGACATCCTTGAAGTGGCCGAAAGAGACAACACCGGAGTTCGAGCAGCAGATATCGAGCTTGCCAAACTGCTTGATGACCTCATCCATGAGGTATTGGGTCTCCTTGACGTTGGCAACATTGGCCTTTATGGCAATGGCCTTAGCGCCAGTCTTCATCGCTTCGATCTGCTTGACGACATCCTCGGCGGCTTCCTTTGCATTGGCGTAGTTGACAGCGACACTGGCACCACGGCGGGCAAGCTCAAGAGCCATCTCCTTGCCAATGCCACGGCCTATCAAAATGTCAGTTTGCCAGAACCTCTCACATACAGACATGGCGAGAACAAACTTACCAGAGCCAGTAACGACGGCAACCTTACCCTCAAGGCTCCAGCTGGGGATCTGCGTGTTGGCCATTGTGATATGTGAGGTGGAGGTGGAGGACTGGACAGTGGGTATTTGTAAGTGGGCGTTTGCTGGCGGGGTAGCTGTTGAGCGAAGATGTGATGGTTGATGGGATGATGATTGAAACTGATCCAGAAAGGGTTCAGATAAATACTATGTTCAGCTTCGGTACCGCAGCGGATAGCTGGGTTCAAACAATAGCTTGTCCGACTGCTTTCTCCTGTCTTCGCCCCATACGGCCACAGAGTCCTCCACACAAACTTTCCATTGACATTCTCCGTGACGGCACCAGGTCGGGACAAGCTGCCCTTCCGAGCATGCTAAGCCCTGAACGAGCACTCTCGCGCGCGCTCCCGATTCGGAATGCTTAGCACCCGTAGGAGAGCCAGAGCCGCCTGTGTCAGGCATCGACTCGTATCAGGCATTGGAGGGAAATTTCGGACATGTGCGGGGCCGAAGACCCTTGAGGCGTCCATGTTGAGTAGAGGGCGTAGTCAGCGAATGCATTTTCGCAATGACCAGCCATCTCAATGACAACAGCGATGATCGAGATAACTCGTCTTTGCGTTCGCGCGTTGACGTGAGGTTGTCGCTCGAATGACGGAACTCTCGATGGTGTAGCGCTAGTCCAACGCGAGCTAGCGAACCTGTGTGAATGCAATCGGATGTAATGGCATGTTCCGTTTGCGTGTCTATCGTGTGGCAGACAGCACGATGTGAGGACCGCGTCTTGTCATGCATCGCGCTCCTGATCGGTCCTCAGCCCGAGTCTCGTCATTGGCTGCACGACCTCGTTCCTGCTTTTTCTTCATCGCTCCAACACGCTGCACACCTCAAGGCGTAATGGCTCCCCGTATTGATGCTCATCAGCGCAATTCCGAACAACACAAACGGCCGGCTGCCTGAGTGCTCGGCGAAAGGAGGTGTTGCGGTCGTATCCGGGCGCCTTCGGCTCCGCACTTCCACCCTCCATCGCATCGGAGATGGCACGTGCGCCCAGACCTCAACTCCATTCCAGCATCGCGTTCAGATTGAAAGAGGTGGTGAAGAGCGCAGCGTGCTGTGCTTCGTGAGCGTAATTACCTTTAGAGAGTAATGATCGTTTGCATAGCACATTGCTTGTTTTCACTTATCTGTATCGACGCGATAACATGTTGTGCGACCGAATGCCAAACAGGGAGATTGGTATCGTCGTTGCTTGCAACTCGAAGTAAGAATGGTATCTTCCCAACTAAAGACGAAATAGTCTTCATATAGATCTTTCTGTGCGTATTGCGTTTTGATCGGCGGTAGCCTAGCCCAACCGCGGCGTCCAAGGCACGAATGCACCTACCCGGAATCAATTCACCGCTCACTGGAAGGTAGTCGCTTTTCAAGAAGAAGGTCATAGATTAATCTCCAAGTTTGGGGTCATATAGCGGGCTTCTGCCCTCCGTGCGGCGGCAGTGTTGAAAGGGAGACCTGGTGTGTTCCTCTGGGCCATCTACCTAGGGGAACCTAGCAACTGGGATATCGGTCAATCCCGAACGAAGGCTTGTAAATTGAGGAATCATGAACTGGTAGGAGTTCATGGTGGTGTTATGCGCTGCTCTTGAGCAAGTAGAGCGCTTCTTTTGATCGCTTCAATGAAGTCTCAGTCGGGCCAAACGGCATCTTCACAAGCCAGAGCATCTTTTGTTCAGTTCGTAGGATCAGGAGACCGATAAGAATTGAGACACTGTGTGTCAGTAGCTGTTCATTGCGAGCTAGCACGTCACTGATTGGCATGCGCGCTCACGCCTCTATGACCGTTACCTTTTGTACATGCCGGTTCTTCCATTCCTCGTATCGATTGACGCCAACATTATGCCTTTAGACCAAGTTCTGCTTAGTTACTGTAGATTTAACCCACTAATAGTGGTTTTGAGGCCCGCTTCTCCCCTCATTGTCCGTAGCCTTAGGCTATACCTTGGGTCTGTGACTTTTGGTTGGAGCCGAATCACGGTGTTTCATAACAACAAGCTCTCTCACATAGCAACCGTATGGTGTCTGGTTCGTTGAGTGTATTAGTATTCGAGGAATCAAAGAAGCTAGTGAGTCTGAGAGGGATTTGCTGTAAGTGCGTGTCACTACCAAAAGAAAGAACCCGAATCTCGTTTCGAATTACTGCAAAGTAACAAGGAGTTGAACCCGGTGCGAAATCATTCGTAGCTATCATACTTGGTCACACTGTACGCACGTCCACAACATAACAGCAAAGTTGCTGTTGTTCCCCGACGCCTAGCCTAGCCCACATACCCCAGACAAGCTACACCCCTAACGCACTATGATGTACGAATTTCATTTCTTTTGTTCCAATCGTACCCCTCAATTCCCGAATACAGTGCCCTTCAAATAACGGTCTATGCACCACCGGCGTCACCAACCGCCGACTCACCGTCGTCTAACCAGCTTTATGCTGATCTACGTCAAAGCTTGTGATTGAGTTAAGCTTCGTGTGCGAGATTCCCGGCCGGGATCTCAGTCTCCATAGGGATCTTGCTTGTAGTGAGGGTAGCTCTTACGCATACTCGGTGCCTGCGTGATCTTCAGTGATACAGTGGCCGGTCTGTAACTTTCGGCGCAAAGGCAACAGCATGTAGCCTCACAATAGTGTCTTCTCTGAACCACAAACCTAAGATCTTCCCGCGGAAGATCGAAGATCACATTCCAGACTCTCGCTCTGGTTGTACAGTGGAGATAGTTGTGTCGTAGAGATCAGATCAACCTGGTGCTTGGCCCACACACCGACGCATTCTTTTGTCTAGCTCTCACATATCGTATAATTGTACATACGCGAGTATTCTAGACAATAATAACCCCATAATCTCTCTTTGGCCTGCTTCTGCAGGCAAACATAATGTTACGGAGAATGATATTGCCGTCTGACCAGAATCGATGCATTGACTGTTAATCTGTGAGAGTCGCACAGCGTCATGTAGTACTGACCACACGGTGACCATTTTTATTGCCTACCGGATAAGCTTCGTACACTCATCAAATACTTGTGTTTGACTTGATAACCGGAAATCGGTGGGTAGACACAAAAGTCTAGATACGCGCCATCTTACCATCCCACCCGCTCTCTCGCCTTCATTTTCCTCTCGAGCATACCTGCATGACCGGGCCGCCGCCCCTACTCCGTCCCCTCTAAGCGCCGGGACGGACAATTGCCAAAACCACAACGGCCTGCACACGTGCGACAAAGTTGGAACAGGCATCTCCATAACGGCTCTTTGGGTCCGGAGTACGCGCTTCCGAGTACCTAGCTACGTCAGGTGCATCCCTACCTACCTAAGTATCCTTAGTCTAGGCATGTGGAGCAAGGTTAAATGGGTCACCTGCCCATACCACGACCATTATTCTGCGACACCGTCGGCGATCCCTTGAACAATCTCCAATGTCTGAATTGTATTTACTCGACCAGCCTGGGTTAGCAGCCTCACCGCCATATACTACTTTCGATCGACCTTGCCTACATCACCGCCTAGGACCAACCACGCCGCCATCGCCACCCATCGATATACGACTTGACTGGCTACCCGCCGCCATGACACACCATCTACCCGACCCGCAGGCAGACATCGGACCCCACCATCAGCCGTAAACGCTTGTGAGACCGTTTTATCTGCCATCTATACCCACGCTATAACATCTGAAACGCAAGCGCACATTCAATTACCGAAGGACGGAAACATGCAAGAGGATTGGGCTCATACTCGTTCTTTAGAAGGAGCTTAGGAAGAGTTGTACATGGAAAGGCAAGGGCAAGACCGTGATGATCAGGACGGTGCTTTCGGGCGTTAATACGATGGGAACTGGGGTGTAATGCTTGGGAGAGAAAGAAGCGGGATGGGATGGATGACTGTTGGCATGGGAACAACAAAGGAGTAACGCTGCCTCGTAGAGGTCAAATGTTATACGTTGGAAAGCAGAGGTAAGAGAAGACCGAGAGAAAAGTTGGAGGCGGAACGGAAGTTTGCAGAAAATACGTTGATGCTATTAACGTGTTGGGACTATACATTACCGAAGGGCCGTTCCATCAGGGCGCCGAGTTATGAGGCGGCCTACCCTCCGAAGCCATTTATATATGGCATCAACAATAAACGCGAACCGCTCGCTGAACGCCAATCAAACTCCGGTCGACCCAAGGTCAAATGCTGCCCAAAGATCCAAGAGCACTTCCGGATCGAGTGTGTGAACGCAAAATCTATCAAGAAAGCGAGAAAGATGAGCCCCCACTTAGTCTAGCCCCTGGCTAACTTTTCGAGTTTCCCGCGTATACCATCGGAGAATCTCGTCGCAACACCCTCATCGATGACATCAACGCAGTGCGAAAGCACTCTGAAGCCATTGTCGATGCCGACCGGCGTGCCGTCTCGCTTACTGAGTGTAGGAATACCCTCTCTTCGCGTGACGTACCGGACAATGACAGGGTCATTCGCCTGCAGACGATCGACCGGCACCGAGGTGCCTGGTGGGGTGTATTGGCCCTGCTGGTTTGGACTCGTCGACTCATTATGAGTCAAAGCGTCTGTCCAGAGCACCAGCCCAGCGCGATAGATTGCACCAGGCCACCATGGAGGTCGAATGCCCTTGGACATCTCCCGAATGATGCGCATTATCTGTCCGGAGTGGAAGATAGCTTCGTGCACATCCGAGATGCACTTTTTGTGAATCCAGAGCATCTGCTGATATGTATCAACGCCTTCCCTTCGAGCAAGTTTCTCGATCTCTGGGAAGTTAGTAACAGCATTCATGCTGACGAGATGGAACATGACAAGATTGGCCTGCATCATAGGACACATGGGGTTCATCGCCATGTAGCGCTCTGCCAGCTCGAACCATCTCTGCAACAGCGACTGCACCTCTTCGAGCCGCACACGAGTAGACGCGGCCGTCACAGCTCTTGAGCGCTGTCTTGAAGCCATGCTGTCGGAGAAGCAACTTAGTAATTGACAGTATTGGCACACCAGAGTCTGCAAAGGATGTAGCAGTAGACGAAGGTGCAGCGGAGTAAGCTGGATGTCTTGTGCAACAATCTCATCATCAAGAAAATGGCGGAATAAGTCCCTGAGACTTAGTGGCCGAGCACCAGAGCCCACGGACGAGTAGCCGTTCGAGAATTCGTGCACCTTGCTGAACATTTCAGACCATTCTGAAGCGTCCGCTGTCTGCCAAAGCCCGTCGGCATCTGGCATAGGTGCACCAAATTCCGTGACGGAGAACAAAGGAGCCGTATCATGGAACAACGATAGGTCCTGATCCACCATCACCCACGAGTAGATGAGCCTAGATGACAGGTTAGTAAGCCAAGTCACGTGGTCAGGTCTGCACCTGCGTGGGGATCCGAGGCTTGCGGGATCTTGCACTTACCGACTTCGACCTTCCTGCTGAATCCAGTCTTGCCACAGAGCATCCGTCCTGTTTCCATTCTGATGAGGTGTCGAGAGTCGCTGAGGTTCGAGAATGCCCGAGTGCCGCAGCATTGCGAAGTACATCCCGCGCTGACCCATGGCAATGTCCATCTGCCACTTGTCCCCGCTCCACGCCGCCTGTACTGTGAAGAGAAGAGCCGCACGCAGTACGATTGGATCGCCGGCCATGATGATGTTCTTCTCAACAAGGTCGAACAGGGAAATGCGGCACGCCTCGGTGATACCGCCGGTCAACCACCGCGCCTCCATCGACGGAATGTTGATTCCGCCCTGTGCGATCATCATCAATATCAGAAGACTCGATGCTTTGTCGTTGTAGTTCTGCATGAGTTCATTCGCATCCAGCATTCCACGCGAAGTGGTTGGATAGAAGCGCTCGAAGGAGTTGGCATAAGAACGAAGAAACAGATCCAGAACAGGAGCAGGTGGCAAGAGAACAAAGTTTGACGCCGTTGATCCCGGCGAGTCACTACTAGAACTGGACATACCGTCTTTGTGGATGTCAAGGGCCTTGTGCAAAAAACTCTGTGTAATGGCAAGCAGCTTGTCTCGCGTGGATTCGTAGATCTTCGCAACGCCCACTCGTCCGCTTTGCTGGAAGTCGGTTTCGTCCCAAGAGGGCCGCCAGTTGCTCCATCCCTCGTGGTTCTTGAGGCTTTGCTCAAGACGCTCGAGATTCAGTCTCGCAGTACGAGGACAGGAGCTTGATGGAATGGAGGGGGTGCAGCGAAATACAGACCATCCATCGTGGGCCGCAATGATGGCTCCAAGGTCGGGAACGCCAGCGTCGACGATGGAATTCTGTCTGTTCGACGGGTAGAACATGGAGGCGGAGCTACCAATTTGCAAGTCGGAGAAAGACTCGTCCATTCTCGGTGTCTGAATAGGCGTTTGGACCGGCCCGAAAGTCTGGGAAGGTGACATCTCGGGAATCATGCCCAGGATGCCATCAGTCGGAGGACCCATAGTCATGTCCATGTTCATTGACATTATCAGTGACGGGTCGATCCTCATGGGGTCGAAATCCTGACCCATTGACATTGTATTCCAAGGATCCATGAAAAACCGTGGACTGGGCTCATCCGAGTGGTTCTGTACAGTCCCAACGAAGTCCTCGTAACCTGACATTGGTGTTTGCGAGATGAACCCATTGACTGGGGTGGGCAGCGGAGACAAGACCGAAGGCATCGTCGAAGGGAGACCATTGGGCGGTGACTGCTCGAAGAACGGTGGTGTGGTCGTCGCGATGGGTATATGCAGTGGCTTTTCCTCTGGAGGGGGATTTTGCAACTGTTGCACAGGCTGGGAGATGGATGGATTCCGCGAGTGTGCAACTGACGCAGGCTGTGGTGACTGGCGCGGCTGCGTCTGTCCATTCGACACTTGTTGTGGCGACTGTCCTCGCGGATGCACTGCCTGTGCTTGCGCTTGCGTCGACGTTTGACCGTCTCGCACCGGAGAGTCGCCACCAGAATTGTCTTGGGATTCGTTGTTACTTGCCGATTCGCTTGATCCACTAGTGGCAGCCTCGCCCGTCGCTATGATCCTGTTCACATTCTTAGATGCTCGCCGTGTAGGACGCAAGGTGCACTTGAGATTCCGCTGTGCACATCGGCTGCACGGGAACTTCTTGTCGCACTTTGTCTTTGTCTTCGCGCAATTACTGCATGCAATGGGTGTGCGGCCTGCCGACTTGGGAATGATGCCAGCGTTCGGAGGGAGGCCTTCTTGATTGTTCGTGTCGCGACCGTGGACTGTGTAATGTCTCTGAAGGAGATCCCTGGTGTTCAATCAGTACTCGTGTCGGTCGGTCTTGGCAAAAGCACTCCCCTGAGTACTTACCGGCGGGCAAAGCTCATGTGACAAGTAAAGCACTTGAACGGTTTGACATTGGTATCTAGAAGAGATGGTCAGTCCATTGGGCCAGTTCAACATGTCCAGAGCAAGACTTACGGGTAAGAATGTGTCTTTCGAGGTGTTCGTCTCGGGTGAAGGACTGCCCACAATAGGTGCAGAAAACCATGCTGAAGAGTCGATGCTGTAACGACTTTTGGCGAAGAGCGAAGGTTGATTTTACAGTCGAAGAAGGGATGAGAATACGCAAAACGAAGGTGTTGTGGTGGTGATGAGTGTTAGCGTTGAGAGCGTACCACAGACATGAAAGTGTAGATGACGAAGTTATGGTACTGCAAATGGCGGGAACGAGGACAGACGGGCGTTGAGCGGTTCGACTCGGGGCTGCGGTGTATAAGGCTTGGTGCTCTGGCTGGAATAGTCGCTGTCCTGGGTGGGTAAGGCGCGGTTGGGGTGAGCAGCGGATAAGTGGGAGCTAAACGACAATAGCAACCTCAGACTAGGGTCTGAATTTGGAAGTTTCAAGAGGGTGGTTAGCGGTGAGTCTTTGTCAGGTAGGCTGTGGGCCTGGCTGGCGGCCGTGCTGAGGATAGAGAATGGAAGGCAGAAGCAGAGGGAAAGGGACAAGACGGGCAGGCAACGTGAGGGCATATCAGACGGAATGGTGGACATGCCGGCGGAGATGAGCTTGTACGCTTCTGCTGGATCTGCCTTTCCCAACGCGGCGCATCGTTGCATAATCAAGAATGGAAGCGCAGCAACGATGGTCATCGATTGCTGGCTCTAGCTGCGCCGAAGACAACGCCCAGCTAGTGCCTGGGATTCCGTTACATGGGGCGCCAGGGGCTCGACTTAGCATGGCGCCATCCGTGGAGCCAGGACGGGGGCATCTGGGCGATCGGCGCGGACTGGGGCAGTGGGGTCTGCTGGCATGTGCGTGCGATGGCAGCTGAGGAAGCCAACATGGCGCTGTGGCACAGGCAGCCTGCGCGGGACGGCGACGCGCACGGGCCCGGCGCGTGAATCTGACGGTAATGAATTGGTACGGTATCCTCGGTAGCAGCACCTGCATGCAGTCGAGGGTTCCGGTGCGTGGGCGTGGTACGCGCGCTGCTCCTTTGGGGTCATGAGCTTATCGTCGCTGCACGCCCGCCGCCACCGCCTGGGAGCACCCCCCGCCCCCGGCCTCGCTGTCCGCACCGCGTCGTCGCCCGCAACTCTCTCCCACTCCTCGTCAGCCACCGTCGTAGGTCTGTCCGGCAGGCCTCGAGCCTCGCGCGCGACGTTGCTGCGTATAGCCGTCATGCTGTTGTATTGACTTTTAGCCCGCCCTCTCGCGGCTCCACATGGGCGAGCGCTGCGAACGGCAGCCATCCGGCCCAATCAGCGCCGTCTTGATGAGTGCGCGTGCTTGCACATGAAGGCGTGATGTTTTGCATGTCCGACCGTGGGCGGCTTGCGGCCGCCGCCGTATGGCTTCGCGAACCTCGTCCAGGGCCGACGATTCATGGCTGCAGAGGTACAAAACCGCACTCGTGAGGTCGTCTCGCAGGGTTCGCGCGAGCCAACAGGGGATCTCCCGGCCCGCGCAAGCTTCTCTTGGCCGTCTGGCTCGGAATGTTTCCCAGGGGCAGCCTTGTCGCTCCTCCACCCACAAACCACACGCCTCTCTTCACCGCACTAGAGACCGTCGCTGGACCTAAGCGGCCCTGGGCTGAGCATGCGCCCCTGTCGTCCGCGCAGAGATCCGACATGTCGACTTCCCAGTCACTGTCGAGGCATGTCACGAGCAACATCGTGTCGACGAGCTGTTCTGCCGACAGTCAGCTGGTGCGGTTGGTTGCGGTGAGAAACAAGACGTCGCCCGTACACAGTCCAGCCAGCCTTTCGCGTGCAATGCAATGCCCTCCTCAACAAGATTCGCACCAGCAATCTCCAATTGTAACCTTGTTTTTCGACACTGTGAGCGGAAGGCCAGAAGCGGCTAGATCCATCGGAGAGTCGCCGGTATCGTAACTGTATTTTGGCGCGCTTACATCGCAGATCATACCCGGCATGTGACAGGGAACATAGTCCGACCGCTATCATGATGTATACAGCTGCGCATCGTTGCCATCACCACTCTGCTTCACCGAGAATTGCGTTATCATCTCCACGGCGCTTTGATTTGGGCTCTTTCGGCAGATGGCACTGAGGCTGCCTGAACCCATGCCAACGGCAACCAAGGGAACCCGAGTCGGCCTCGAGCGAACTTCGCACCAATTGCTGACCGACACGAACCACAGCGAACCTCGACTGACCAGACGATGTATGCACGACCATGTACCCCTCGAACACTCCTCAGACTTCTCGAGAAGTATAGAAGAGATCGCTGCTCGCTTACGGAAGCCCCGGCTGTCGATCCCACGACAGTACTTCCCAGAAAGGAAGCGTATGCTGGAAGACCAAGACATCCAGCGGCGCGCTTGGTTGAGCATCCGCGATGCACAGTTGATGTTGTCGTCTCAGGGTCCAAGGACCCGCAGCGACAAGAGCTTGATACGCGACTCGCCGAGGACTGGACAGAGGGGAAGCGTTGTGCCTAACGATGCCCGTGTGAACATACACAGTAGTCAACAGTTAGTTTCCTCGTATGTACTCCACCAGCCATGTTCGTGAATCCCCAGGTGCGCCTGAAACATTGCTTGGCCCGCAAAACTATCGTTTCATAGACCGAGTCGTCATCAAACGACGGGCGGCTGTCTCGACAAGTATTGAAACAATGACATCGAAGACCAAACTTCAGCCGAATACATCCCAGAAAGGTTCAGGATCCTCGTTCACTTGCGTTCTCGGATTCGTCGCACTAACGCTGTCAAGGGATGCGCAGCTGCTTTAAGCGAGCAGTTGTCAGCCAGGCGTGCGAAGCGAAATCTTGCGACGAGCGCCACCAAATGCCATACGCGGTAATTGTGCGCCCTAGTGTTGCCAGGCAATAGTCAGAGGCAGTCGCGTTATTCCCAGGACACGCTGTGCGGTGTTGGCAACAACGGCATCTTGATACGGAGACAATTTGGGTTGAATGGACGAGAGGGCGTTCCTGTGGAGTGGAACATGAAGGCGAATGGCTCACCGCATTTCGACACGACTGATGACGACGATGCAATGCGGGAGGACGTTCAGCCGTAGCGGGGGCCACTTGGGTGTCGACTGTCCAGCAGCAACTTTCTGCAAAGGAGCTTGCCGTGGAGCTCACGATACCAAGCCCAAAATGAGGGATCGAGGCGACCTGTTGATACTATCATTATCGTGCGCGCTCGCTAGATAGCAAAGCAGACGGTGGTGATGTCACGTGGCTGCAGCCACGCCAAACGGTCGAGTTATCGGAGGTGGCGATGGTTGAAGGTTGCTTCCTGGCTGACATGGTGCAACTGGCTGCATCGGCGTCGGCATCGGCATACATAGTGAGGCAACGAGAGTCCAATTGGTGTTGTAGCAAGCTGTGAGTGTCCTGAGATGCTCAAGAAGTCGCTTGCCGGATTCGCGTGACGTCATCGCACAGTCTCGACCGGTGCCCCCGCTCCGATGCGACTGATTGGGCAGGGACGTTCAAGACGGAGAGGGAGCTTGACGGCCTCATGCAAGGAATCAACACCATGTCTGACTTCTGGATTCAGAATCTAGATGACAGTCATCGACCCTCAGAACCCAACATCATGTTCGCCTCAAAATGGAAATCTTGCTCGGATCTCCTCCGGCAATCTGGCTGTCTCGCTTCAGCTGGGTTGAAGCGTGGCTGACTGACTGTCTTGGGAGCGTGGTGGGGGAAGTGGCGTGGGATGATACCTGCGCGAGCTAAGGTAGACGACTGCCCTACGAAATGTCTGGATGGTCTTCTCAACGATTGACGGATTGGGACTGCAGATCATGCAGGGCTTCGCTAAGTGAACATTGATGCCTCGTAACGGGAGACGCAGCAATGGGAAAACGAAAGGACTCGTAGGTGCTAGAGGAACAACGCCGGATAGTGATTTCTGCCCGTTTCTTCGTCCCAACCAGTGCTGACGACGGACAGTTTTTCGCTTTCGGTACCCGTTGAGTCGATCTCGAAACGCGCCCACCATCGCGACGATCGTGCCAAAGGTTCTCGAGCGTTGCCTATGGACGAAAGCGACGAAGGATACGGCTTCTGTGATTACTACCTCAGTCCAGTTCAACATGAAGTTGAGGGTAACAACGCTTCGCGCGGTCTAGACGAGGCCATTTCCAAAACTTCAACACTTTCTTTGTTTTCCATACAGCGAACACGCCGCTTGTATCTTGACTAACGAACACACACCTGATCAGGGGATGGCGAAACTGAGTCTATGATCGAAGTCTATCTTTGCCATGGATGAAGTCATAAACAAACTGGCCCTGTTGGGGGGCCCAGTGCGCATTCCGCAGAGCCACAGCTCTCCTCGAAGTACGACCTTGGGGCCCCGGGATGCCTGATACCAGATACAAAACTTGACAAATGCCATCAAATGTGTCAGCCTGATGGCGTGGCGTCGCAAGCATGAATCCGCGCCCACTCAACCATCAGCGCTAATTCAACAACAAGCACAAGCATCAGCAACTTCGTGCAATGGCTTTTTCTGGGCGACAGTAAGCTGCATGGAAACCCATACAAGAGGGTCAAACTACCGGCGAGCTATCAGATCGTCTGGAAACCTTACTAGACGACGGACACCATGCCGCTCGTGGCCTTACAGAAGTCTGTTAAAGATAACGCGGGGTCATATGAACGGCTACGCGTAACGGATACAAGTTCTACGCTTCTGCAGGTTTTCGATAGTATACACATGACGTGGTTCTGAGTACCGCGTGCCCAAGACATGCTTTGAATAAGTCAATTGTTGCACTTCTCGTTCGGAGCCCACGGGTACATACGTATGTACCCTCTTCGCCGAAGCAGTGGCAGACGTCCTGCCAGTCAGCAAGCCAGCAAGCTTTAGAGATAGCACTTGCAGAGATTCCCCGATGCAAGAACTCGTGTTCATGTCTCGATTGGCTCGTGGCTAGCCAGCCCACTTGAAAGCTGAACGAGCCACATGCGCTTCACTTCGTCCGTAGTCAACTCCGACATTTCGAAGTCAGGAGCTGACTACATCAGCAGAGAAGGACCTGGAGACCACATCCGAGATACTG